AGCTTTTAATAAAAATCTGTACAATAGTAGTAGGATTATAATAAATCCTAGAATATATTTATAGCCTAATCCTATTTATTTCTATAAATTTTCACTAGCCTTTAAGCTGTGATTTGGTGCTAAATTAAAACAGCTGTTAGTTATTTAAATAAGGTCTTTATAAATTCTATTTCTATCTCTATAGTAGAGAGAGTAATACCCAGACTATAATATATATCTAAATTATATTTCTATAATTTTAATAAAGTTATAATCTTAGCCAAAAAGGCTATCATAAGCTTTAGTTTCTACCTAGCAGAATTTAAAGGTTTTTATTTTTAGAAAGATATTTCTCCTTATTTTAATTATATATTTATTTTCACACTTTGAGTAAATAAATAGACTCTATTATCTTACCTTTTATTTTAGCAAAAAGAATAAAGATATATCTCTAGATATTAGTAAGAAACAATTTACTATCTAAATTTAAATAGATTATTATATAGTGAGCTCTAAAATTATAGGAATTTTAGTTTTTCTATTTTAAAATTAAGGATAAGATAGAGATTTATAGTTTTACATCGTTCCTAATATACCGAATAAATAAGTAGCTATATATTATTTAGGGGCTATAATATCTGTCCTTCCTATTTAAAGATTATCTATAACCTTTTTAGGGTTATAGAAAAATAGTTAGAGAGATATTATTATTAAAGTTTTAGTAGTAAAAGCGTAATTAGACTACCAAGGCGCTTTTTTATTAACGTATTCGGTAAGCGGCCTAGCCACTTTAAAACACTAAAGTAAATGCGATAAATTATAACTTTATAACTTTATAACTATAGCTTCTTATGATGTCTTCTTATAAGTCTATATTATTTATATCGAGTTTAACTTTTTTAAAAGCCTCGAAAGTTTATATAATAAAATAATTAGAAGATATATCCTTAAATCTTAAAGAGGCTAAATTATAATATATTTTTCGTAAAGTTTATTAAATTAAAATTAAATTAACCTAGACTCTTGAAATCGACTTTTTATACTCAGTAAGTAGGATGTAAATGATAAAGCTATATAGACTTATAGTTATTATTCTTAAATATCGTATTTACTATAATATTTTAAGGTGGCTACATAGTAAATGCGATATTTAAGAATATAGTATTTCAGTAACTATAAGTCTATATAGCTTTATCGTTTATATCCTACTTACTTTGAGTATAAGAAGTCGATTTTAAAAGTCTAGGTTAATTTAATTTTTAGGCTTTAAGGATATATCTTCTACTATCTCTTACCGCCTTTATCCGATCTTCCAATTATTGCCATTCGATCTAGAACGAGTGCTTTTAAAGCTCAATATCTAGCTTCGGACGCCTATGCCCTTAGGAAGCCGCCCGAGCAGCCGATTAAGCGCTTTTACCCCTAAAACACTAGCGACCGTCGCTGAATTACTGAAATATAGAGCGTTAATCTAGTCTTCCCTAAAACGACGCTTAAATAGCCGCCCATCGCCCTCGCAAACCGCGATAAACTAGCTTATCAAAGGCTGTTAGATCGCTATGCAAAACGGTATATTACTTAAGTAAGAAAACGAAGAATTACTGGCGGCCAACGCGGTGCAGAAGCAAAAGCGTATATAGGTTGGTAGGTATATAGCCTCTAATACTAGTATATCAGTGCTACAAGCCTAGGGGCATTTACAAGCCTATAAGGCTAGTTTACAGCCTATAGCACCCTCTCCAGCAGCACCCAGGCAGCCTATTCATCCAGCAGCAGCGCTAGCGCGACGGCGCTAATACACATGTTCTATATGCGGTGAGAAAGGGCATAAGTCCCCTACATACCTAGTTAGGTAGAATAATTAATATAATGGCGTTTTGGTTGAAAAAAATAGACGTAACGTGAAAAGCGGATGGTTAGGTGGGCGGCTTGCTTACATGGGCGGCTCGCTTTCCGGTTACTTTAATACTTAATTATTATATTAGATAAAAAGGTTAGGATTAAAGAAGAGATTTAGACGAGATTTAAGAGGTTTTAGAAATACTAACTTTTTATAATTTAGAAAAGTAGCTATAGGCTAGCAATAGTAATTAAAAGCTAGTAATCCTAGGTCTCTTTAGACTAAGATAAATCATAAGGTTTTTCGGCTTTATCTTTTGTATCCTACTTATTTAGAGCATAAGAAGCCGAATTTAAGAGCCTGGGTCAATTTAATTCTGATTTGACAATCTTTACCAAAAATACACTGTAATTTAGCTCCGAGACTTTTAAATACATATTATCAATTCACCACATCTTGAAAATTTTCGAGACCTTCAAAATACGTTAAACTTAATATGAAAAGCACATGTATATAGGAAGACTTTACGAAAAGCTATGGTTGTTGAGATATGAAGTTGTAATTTATCGCATTTACTATGGTGTTTTGAGGTGGCCCACTCGCTTACCGATTACATTAAGATAAATAGATTAGTAATCTAGAGTTCTAATAAAAATATATTAGTTAAGTATTTAGTAGTTAAATAAAATTGAGAAAAGTAAACCTAAAATACCAAAAGATAGTCTTTTTTTCTTCTATTGTTTAGTCTTTAATTTCCCCTTTTTCATATATTTACTATATATTTTTAATAGATTTATTAGGTTTTAGGTTTTTAGACCTTTATTTAGCCTTTATATTTATATATATATATATATCTCTCTCTTAAGAATATTTATCTAAATCTTACTATCTTTTTTACTTACTTTTCCTAGATAATTTACTATTCTATCTTTAGCTTTATCCTATATTTAGTTATAAGCTACTATTTAAGAAAACTATCTCTAGATATCTTAGACTAAAAGGCTTACTTCTTAATCTAGTTAGGCCAAATATATTTAATAGATAATAAAGGTAGTTTATAGAAAAAGATATAATAAATTAGCTTTTAGTGGCTGTATATAAGGTAAAAGATAAATAATTAAATAAAGATCGATACTATTATTATTAATAGATAAAATCAAAGAGTATAAAGGGCCCACTATTTTAACGCGAAACTAATATAAAAATTAAGAGACAAGTAAGGAGAAAATAAATTCAAATTATAGTCTATAGAATAGAGGGGCAGGCCCTCTACCTAAGGATAATATATTATAATTAGCTAGAAAGATTATAAAGTAGAATATCTTCCCTCTTAAATTTATAAGTCTATCTTCTATTAGCCTCTTTCTTTCCTATATACCCAATTTTTACATATAGGCTCTTAAATATAGAATTAAAGTAATAGGCTATAAGGAATATATAGTTAAAAAGACTAATATTAAAGTTTAGTTAAATAAAAAATAAATTAGACTCTAAAGTAGAAAATAGTAGTAGTATATATATTAACTAAAAGAGATATTTAATCTTCACTAAACATTCTTAAGAACCATCCACTATCTTAAGATAATTAACCTTTTAAAGCTAAATGATAAGGAAAGGAGATATAAATTAAACTAGAAATAGATATATTTCGTCAAATATATAGGGAGAGGGTAAATAGACATTGACATGCCCATGGGCATGCCCGGCCCGCCCATAGGCAGGTCCTAGGTCCCGACCTTTAGGCCCATAGGCGGGCCCACCTACCCCTGCCCGCCCATGGGTCATGCCCATGGGCCGCCAAGATGCCCATGATACAGAGAGGCATAATTAATGCATCTTATGTAGTAATTTTTGGTATTCAAAGAGTAAAATTACTGACTAATTTTTGAAAAGCTAATTAAATCAGATAGAACGAGGGAATTTTTAATTTATTAAGTGAAATATTAAATAATTTAAGATATTACTCCATAGATATAAGAAAATAAAGTGATAATTAAGTGATTTTAAAATTAAAATTTTAGTGAGGGTAATCTTAAGAAAAGTGGTGGTGCAACCACATATAATAAATATATATCTTTAAGCACTAACTATAATTTTTACTACCACTTTTTTATCTTTACCCTTACTAGTTTAAAATATTAATACGACCGATAAAATCGACCATTAAATATATATAAACAAATTTATTTCTTATAATTACCTAGTAGGTAGGTTAAAAACTAGTAATATTACTTGTTCTAATTAAAACAGACGTAAATAACAGAAATTAGTCAGCATATTATGTCGAAAAATCAGGCCAAATTAGGTGTCCACGGGCGACCCGTGGGCGACCCGGCCCGGCCCATGGGCGGGCATAGGTCCTGACCTTAGGCCCATGGGCATCTATGGGCCCGGGCCCAGGTCCTGGGTCTAGGCCCATGGGCGACCTATGTCAATGCCTAAGGGTAAATAAGTGATAGTTGTAGGTATTAGAACTAAAATAAGTGTAAAAAAATTTAGGCTAATCTAGGCTAAAATAGGTGTCGATAGATAGTCCATAGACTATCTATGCTAATGTCTAAGGAGAAAGGAGAGAACGTAAATAATCAACAAGGAAAACGAGGCGATCGGCCACGATTGGCCACGTGCTAGAATATGACCTTCAACCAAGCACTGGCCTATTATACTACCTCTATATTGAATGGTAGTTAGAGATAAAATGCATTGTTTTTATGCTAAATCATGCACCAAAATCCCGACAAAGTAAAATACCTTCAATACTCAATTTATCATTTTATAGTTAGTCTTCAGCTATTAGACTCTATATTATATCATTATAAGATATATAGCCTGTTCTTTAATGAAGGCTAGCGTAGTTTAAAGACAAAAAAATTAATTATCTCTATGAAATAAAACACAACATGACCAATTGTCGAAGGGGGAAAACGACGTTAATGAAGTAATTTGATTGCCCGAAACGCCACCCATCGAGGCCAAGACGATGAATAAAGGCAGAAATAGAGGGCTGGGACACCGTGCTTTACTTTTCTAGGTACTACCGACTAGCAGATTGTATGTGAGACATATAGTTAGACAGTGCGCATAACAATAGGCCAAAATAATGAAACGGGAATAGTTGTCTTGTATGATAATAGGGAGGACGAAAGCTAGAAGCCTCCTTACGACAATGGATTTAGTAAGCCTAAACGCGAGTGAAGAAGTACACGTATGCAGACTTCTTCATATCCTCGATATCCTCATACTTCACAACCTTCTCGTCGTTGAACATGACCCACGATAACCCATCTTGGCCGGGCAATGCCTTCCGAATGAAAGCCACGTAATGCCTTGGGTCCCCGTTAGTCACGAACAGAAAGAATTGATAGAAACGACTTACCCTGCATGGACAGATGTACCCTTGTGACAGACGATAGACCGCACTTGATAAAAGGCCGGTTTGTTGTCGTAGCCAGATAATTCACGATGAACGTCACTGTCCGCCTGAGTATCCTCCACTTCACCTTCGGGGTGGCTGAAGACCCAGTCTAGAGCACGATTTACATCGCCGTCAGTAGCAGCCAAAGCTTGTCGGGCTCGAGCGGCCTCGATCCCCATCTCGCCCAGCTGCATTATCTTTCCCTCATCTTGCTCAGCACCTTTAGACCCACATGTAGATTGATCCAAGACCAGTGGCTCATCGATGTCCGGATCTTCCATATGAGCAAATAACCAGTTCATAGCGGCCTCGGGGTCAGAATTCCCAGTCGCATGGAGAGCCTTCTCGCACCTCGCGGCAGGGAAGCCCATATTCAACAACTGATCAAGAACCCCGGGGTTAGGTACGAAGGTGACACTCTCACTGACCTCTGGCAAAAATTCCTCATTTGGATCATGCTCCATAGCCAGATAGGGCCCAAAGTCAAGTGGCTTGTCGTCGACGACCACTGGAATATCAAGCTTTGTAGGAACCCAGTTGACCAGCTCAAAGCGACGGGCATTTATAGCCAGTTCACGCGGTAATGTTTTGAAGGCAGAGCGCTTGGAAAAACCATCACGGCTATCACAGGCAGGGCAACTGAGCTCAACGACCTCCTCCGCCGTGAATATGTCGAGACACTCCGACAAAGTCACTGGTTCAAAGCGATCAGATTCGCTAGACATGCGGCGTGCAGGGACCGCAATGGATATGTTATCTTGCTCGTCTATCTTGTAGCGGACCTTCCTGCAGCCTAAGCATTGGAGACGCTGTTCAACCTCGAATCGGAAATGCTGGACAGGGTTGAACATGTCATCCGGATGTTTCGAGAGGCTAACGGACTTGAAAACATGCAGAAGAAACTCGAATGCATCCTGCTGTCTCATCGTCGCAAATTCCTCATGACCCTGTCCGACCAGGTATTTGAACATTGTTGGTGCCAGCCCTTTTTGATGAGGAACCTCTGGGGTATCTGGGGCAGCGACAACACGCGAGTCCGGGCGAGAGTACCGACCGGAGAGGATGCCATCTGCAAGCTTCCTCAATTGAGTTTCCAGATCCTGTGCCGGGGTCGGACACAGCGGTGGATCCTCAGTAGGATGATAGTAACGCTCTGCAAAGCCGGGTGTCGAGAAGAGGCATTGCATGATACTGGACAGATAACAGCTGTTTCCAAGATTGGCCAGCCCGGTAAATCCCGGACCAAAAACTGGGGATAGTTCGCGGCCATCCTCAGTGGTCATGGAGAACTCCCACTGCAGGTTGTGTTCTACTTGCATCTCCATCAGGCTTTTCTCCGTCTTCTCACGCCCGGCCAAATAGATTCCCCAGTGTGCAAGATGATTGGCGAGCTCCGGGTCTGTTCGTTCCTCATTGCACTTGTAGCAATATACGTCTGCCGAACCCTCTGCTGTAATGGAACCCAGTTTGACAGCAACGCCGTGTGATGCCGAGTCTGCATGAGCAAGAGCATGTGAATTTCCGGGGCTACCACCAAATTGGCTTCTTCCACAACCAATATTACCACATTCGAGACAGATCCACAGATTCTCCTTCAGTTCACAAGCCGAGCATTGGCTAGAGTCTGCAGGTATTCATTAGTAACCTTTTAAAATACCACGTCTAGGGAGCCGGTACCCTTGCTATCTGCATCCTCGATCCCTTGCTGGACCAGACACAAAGTATGCTCACATGGGACAAACTCTTGCTCCCACGCTTTGACCTCTTCCCTTTTGGAGAAAGTCATTGCGTTCATGATGCCTTCAATCACTGAGGGTAGATTGCCGCTCGTTTTATCCACATCTTGCTGAGCACACGAATAGCATGTCACCGATGTCACGATGTCGTATCGATCCTCCTCTGTTTCGGCAGTAATAGCAAGCTTTGAAATTTTCGGCGGAGGCTCATCGCGCTGTTGTCCCGTGAGTAAAGGTGTTGATATTGTGCCGGGAACGGCGGGAGTGAAGCCTTACCTGAACTTGTTTCGGGATCCTTCGAATATTCAGGGCCAGCGGATGCCCAAACCGCTTGTAGTGAAGCAAGCCATGGTCCCTATCCCCAGTACAGCCACCATTGAAGCAGTGGAGGCACACGTTCAGACCCAAGACATTATCCTGGAAAATGCCAGTATTAGACAGATTCTGCAAATGAAATTAAGGGAATATACAAAAGAATCGAAGCACTGAGTGCAATCTTCTCGGTAAACAGCTTGAGAGGGCCCCGGTGGGCTAAGCTCTATTCCGCATTGTCAACAAGTTAGTTCCCGTGAAGGTTTGAAACGCTCTCACCAACCTGAAGCACCCGAATGGACACAGGATGTCATATTGCGGGTCGTTTGCCGAGACCTAGAAGGTTTCCAACACGAACCGTGTAGGAAAATAGGAGACGGGAAGTTGACTATAGCAAGGAAAAAAGGTGGGACAAGAAAGTGAAGGGAAGGAGCTGCCTGCGCGGGGCGAAATATTATATAATGACGTGGGGGGGTTATGGCGCACGTCGGTGCCTGAGGACTGTAATTCACGTGATCATTCCACTTTACGCGTTATGTGCTGGTTGACGCGTCGCGGGTCTCCCATCCCGGTGCACTACAACCTCCCACTTGTCTCCCTTCTCGAGATATCTTATTGTCTGTTATTCTCATCGAAAGCAGCCATAATGGCTTCAGATGCAGCTTCTCAAGTCACCGTCGGTGCTCTCAGGTAAGTCTGCCGTCCCAAGACAACCTTTCGTGCTTCAATTGAGCAACGCCTGATCTCTGACCCCAACCCCAGTGCCATATTCGACGACACCAAGGATCAAGTTCGTGAGCCGATCGTCCAGTGTGTTCAGGTCAAGCCACTGCCACCCCAGCCAGGCCATCCAGAACGCTACCGTGCCGTCTTTAGTGATATTGCAAACTATGTCCAGACTATGCTTGCCACCCGTATGTTGGGCCAACCACACAGACCCGTTCTACCTTGTTAACATGCACAGCAGAAGCCAATCATGTGGTGACTGATGGCTCCCTGCGAAAAGGTTGTTTCGTTCGTCTCAAGTCATTCCAAGCGAATGCTGTCAAGGGCAAGAAGTGAGTGACAATAGCCATGCACATATTATATCGGCCTCCCCATGTGCTTATATATATTACAGAATCCTGATTGTTCTCGACCTGGAGGTTCTAAAGGAGCTTGGCGAAGCAGAAAAAATCGGGGAACCCAAGCCTCTGGAAATCAAAGCCGAAGAGGAGGAGAGAGCCCAACCCACCACGATCTCAAGCAATGGGTTCTATGGCTCCAAGCCCCCGGGTGCACCGGCACAGCAGCTCAATCAAGCACAGCCGATGCGAGGACCGTCTGCCTCTGCTCATGCCACCATTTATCCCATCGAAGCCATCTCCCCCTACTCGAACAAATGGACCATTAAGGCCCGCTGCACAAGCAAGTCCAACATCAAAACCTGGCACAACAAGAATGGAGAGGGAAAGCTATTCAGCGTTAATCTGCTCGATGACAGTGGTGAAATCCGTGCCACTGGCTTTAATGATCAATGCGACATGCTCTATGATCTTTTCCAGGAAGGCAGTGTCTACTATATCTCCAGTCCCTGTCGTGTGCAGATTGCGAAAAAGCAGTTCACCAATCTCAACAATGACTACGAGCTTACGTTTGAGCGGGATACTCTGGTAGAGAAGGTAAGTGCAGTTTTGAGGAAGGCAGTTGCTATCATAGACTCACATTAGTTGGCAGGCCGAGGACCAAAATGACGTACCTCAAATTCGTTTCAACTTCACTACCATAGGGGACTTGCAATCCGTGGAGAAAGACACAACCACCGATGTGATTGGTATCCTTAAAGAGGTTGCTGAAACATCTCAGATCGTGTCCAAAGGAACTGGCAAGCCTTACGACAAGCGCGAGCTCGGCCTCGTTGACAACACTGGATTCTCGGTCCGCTTGACTATTTGGGGCGCCACCGCCGTCAATTTCAATGTAGCTCCGGAGTCTGTTGTTGCTTTCAAAGGTGTCAAGGTTTCTGATTTCGGTGGGCGGAGTCTGAGCCTGCTGAGCTCTGGTTCAATGACTGTTGATCCCGACATTGGAGAAGCCCACCGACTGAAGGGCTGGTATGATGCACAGGGGAGAACGGAGGTTTTCACATCCCATGCATCCGTATCTAATGCAACCAATTCCAATATGAAGCCGGATCAATTCAAGACCGTCGCACAAGTTCGTGAGGAACAGCTGGGCATGTCTGAGCAGGTGGACTACTTTTCGCTCAAAGCAACCGTCGTCTACATTAGGCAGGATTCTACCTGGTGCTATCCTGCTTGTCTTTCCGAAGGTTGCAACAAAAAGGTGACCGAGCTGGACCCCGGGCAGTGGAGATGCGAAATGTGTGAGAAAACTTGGCCCAAGCCGGAATATCGCTACATCATGCCAATTAGTGTGAGCGATCATACTGGCCAACTCTGGCTCAGCTGCTTTGATGATACTGGACGACTGATCATGGGAACTTCTGCCGACAATCTCATGCAACTCCGAGAGAACGACCCCGCTGCTTTTGGTGAAGTATTCCAGGAGGCTAACTGCCGGACCTGGAGCTTCCGGTGCCGGGCAAAGATTGATACCTTTGGTGATCAGCAACGGTAAACAACCCCGCGGTTCTTTGTCTTCCCAAACTCCATAGGCCCGAACTGATCGTGATACAGGGTTCGATACCAAGTATCGTCATCCAAGCCGATCAACTATTCCGAAGAAGCATCACGTCTAGCCGATATCATCAGCTCCTACTCTCTGGAATAGATCTTCAGCAGAGTTGAAATCTGACTCTTCCCAACTACAATCTCGGATTCCACTGACCTGTTCATTGTATCACGGATGGCTATGATTATTGTCTGAACCGCAATGTTTTTATTTTCTTATTATTTCAGATGTAGTCTTAAATTACACATGGGAAAATCTATCGTTACACTTGAAGGTACTATAATGAACGGCTTCTGAATCTAGGTAGAGAGGTATTATCTACGCGGGTCCGACCGACTTTAGTTAGGTGACTCTTCCGAGTTGTTAGAACTGAGATTGTGTGACTGTATAGTACTGAAAAGTGCTATTGGCATTCTTAGTCCAGCGGTCAGATCTCTGATATAAATATAGTCGCAAGGTGCTCATCCGTGGTTTCTAGTTTCTGTCTACTTCAACTCCCGTATATTCCTTGAGTGTGGCTACTTTACTTCCTTACCATGTAGACCAGTGCAATTTCTCCGGTCTCTTTGTACAGGTATAAGTATCTAGTCTCCAAATCTTATACACCAATCTACAATAGGCCGGTAGTTAGTTACCTAGGCAAGTAACTAGTTATAGTGGGTCGATTCCTAAGCGGCCCCGACGGTGAGAAATGGCAATACATTTTATTTTCCCAATTTTTTTTTTCCGCGATCGGCGCCTTCCAGACGGTCTCTTCAAGTTGCAGCATCTTTGTCATTGTTGCTCAACACCTCTCTTTCCTTGATTTACGAGCTTTCAAGAGCTTGAGGTCCTCTGCAATGGGCAAGAGAAGCCATAACGCCGAGCCAACCGAGCTGCGGGCAAAGAAGAAGTCAAAGTCCGACAAGCACTCTGGATCCGCCAAAGAAAAGACCTCGTCAGACAAGGAGAATGGCAGCTCCGGAGATCAGGCAGCCTACATCCAGAATGCTGCCCTCACTGATCTGCCTCAATCCCAGATTGATCTGTTCTTAGACGAAAAAGTCATCAAAGTCACCGATTCTTCACCCGGGGGCTCGAAGTTCCGCCCTCTCATTTCCTTCGATTATCTGCCCCCCTGCGACGATGATTTGTACGCTCCATTGAAGTCATTCCCCGCGCCTACGCCGATTCAAGCGGCGACTTGGCCGCTCCTGTTTGCAGGCCGTGACGTGATTGGCATTGCAGAGACTGGCAGCGGCAAAACCTTGGCATTTGGTTTGCCGTGCCTCAAGAAGTTGATGGAAAGCAAGCGGAGCAAGAAGCCTTCTCATCCGACGACCGTTATCATTTCGCCCACTCGGGAACTTGCTATGCAAATCTATGATCAGCTCGCCAAGTTTGCCGACGTGGTGAAGGCTGGCGTGACCTGTGTCTATGGTGGCGTGAGGAAGGACGAACAGCGTGAAGCGCTCAAGAAAGCTGTCATTGTGGTTGCCACTCCCGGTCGCCTGAAGGATCTCCAGAACGACGGATCGGTCAACCTTGGGAAGGTGAAGTATCTTGTTCTGGATGAGGCTGATCGTATGTTGGATAAGGGATTTGAGCAAGATATCAAAGACATCATCCAACCTATGCCGGTCTCCAAGAGGCAGACTGTCATGTTCACCGCCACGTGGCCTCGCTCTGTCCGGGATCTGGCCGCAGGTTTCATGAACGCTCCCGTGACAGTCACCATTGGCGGAGACCCTTCGGCCGACCCTCGTGCGAATACGAGAATCAAGCAAGAGGTCGAAGTTATGGATGGGCGGGAGAAGGAGGGGAGACTCATCCAGCTTCTGAATCGGTCGCAGAGGGGGACTAAGAGCCCAGAAAAGGTCTTGGTCTTTTGCTTATACAAGAAAGAGGCGATTCGAGTGGAAAGGCTTATCAAAATGAAGGGGTTCAAGGCTGCTGGCATTCACGGTGACTTGAACCAGGCAGAACGATTCCGCAATCTTGATGCTTTCAAGAGCGGCGCAGCCACCATTCTTGTTGCAACCGATGTAGCGGCTCGTGGCCTGGACATTCCGGCGGTGATGTTGGTGGTCAACGTCACCTTTCCTCTCACTGTCGAGGACTATGTGCACCGCATTGGACGGACTGGGCGAGCTGGAGCCGAGGGCCATGCCATCACCTTTTTCACGGAACAAGATAAGGCTCTGTCCGGCGGGTAAGTGGCTCCTTAACAACACCTTGCACCTATGACATTCAAGTCGTGCTGACCAGGATAGGTTGATCAACGTTCTCAAGGCTGCAAAGCAGGATGTACCCGAAGATTTGATGAAGTTTGGCACTACCGTCAAGAAGAAGCAGCACGACGCATACGGCGCGTTCTTCAAAGACGTTGACACGGACAAGAAGGCGACGAAGATTACATTCGACGATTGATTTGTGATATAGAGGCTATTCATTTTTCGGACCTTTTTCACGAGAAGATGCAAGCTGACGCAGTCTCATCAAATGCCCCGTTATGTATTTTCGTTCCACATAAAGTCTTTTGAATTTGTTAGTCTGTTAAACGCTGGTTGAGGGGGTTTGGTTTGTTTTCGATTGTTGACTTACACCAGAAGACAATAGACACCACTTAATGAAATCGCCGAGATGATACCCAAACCCGATACTGACAGCGTCCGGGAGGCCAGCGCCGCCGTAGCGATGATTCCGAGAATGTAACTGGCGGGTTGGATGCTCACATCGCCAAGAACGAGACCATCACCGTGCCGACGTAGATAAGAGCAGATGAAATTGTAGCTCCACAAAGTACGGACCATCATGTTGACGATGTTGGCCAGCACGAGCCCGTAGGCACCCATGGACCATATTTCCAGGAATAGATAAGCTGCTAGGGCATAACATGCAGAGAAAGCGCCCATCCAAGCCGTCTGCTTTCGGATTTCCCTTGGGTTAGCCGCAGATGACACGAATGCTTCGGTGATTCCGTTAAAGGCCAAAAACGGGACATAATAGCAATACAGCGAGAGCAAATCACCGACTTTTGGGGAGGCCCATTGACGCCCGCCCAAAATCTGTAGCACCTGCGGCACCATGACTGGACCAAGCGGAAAGACCAGAACAGCTAGCAGTTGATAAGCGTGTAGAAGCTCAACCATATGGTCTTTGGCAAGGCGAATATGCTGCTTATCTCGCTTTCCGCTACCGTTGGGGCTGAGGAGGGTGGAAAAAAGGTTTCGGCTGCTTTCCTCAAGCGGTTGAAAAATGATGCGGGCAATGAGACCTCCGTAGTTTGATGCGAGTGAGTAGATACCCTGATCTTCCAAGCTAGACATGGTAGCAAGCATCATGGAATCACCCTGCGTGAGAAGATGTTTTACCAATGATTGCAAAGAAACGCTGGCGGCGATTGAAGTGAGCCGATGGGAAAACCGACCCAAGAAATATTCAGAGACGTTGCTGTGCGGTGTTAACATCGGATCATATGTCATATTTTTGAGGGCTTTCACTCTACCTGGATCGTATACGCGTCGGTAGAAAAGAGAAATGCCTTTCATCTGCTGCCCAAAGCAAGGAAAAGCAATAGCCGAACACCAGAGCGGTCGAATAAGTCAAGTGGCCTAGTGCAAAAGGTAAAGCTCCTGCATCTCGACCTGTCTGGGATACATATAGGAAAGCGCAACACGTCGTGAGACTCCTGAGAAAGGCCGCCGGCATTTCCACGGCTGCACGCTTTTCATACCACATGTGCTGCTGAACGACCGCGAAAAATGGCTCGATGCTGAGCTCCATAAACGAAGCCATTCCTGTTACAAGTACACTTTCTCTGAAGAAGGGAGTCCCCAGTGCTTGCCTCGGTGCCAGTCGCTCATAGAGCATCGTGAAGATGATTGCAGATGGAAACCCCAGAAGCAGACTCAAATAGGACACGTTCACCACAGATTGCGAGGCCTCTGATTGTCCGTCTTGTGACGCAGATTGGGCCTGATTTGTCCCCTGTCTGCTCAAGGTGGAGGACAGTACCAAAGGCTGTCTTTGAATCGCCAGCCGGATACTCTCTCTCGAGAAATATAAGATCGACACCTGGTAGAGCTCAAGCTGGGCAGCAACACCCAGCACGATTGGCGAAAGGGTCCGCAAGATGAGCTGATTTGAGGCAAAGGTGAAGATTCTGGATGTCAATTGAATCAGAATCAAGAACGTCGTGCCCGTGGCGGACGATGCCACGGCATTGCCGACGCTGGCTTCGTCGGGCTGCGACATTACCGATTCACGGGAAGAGGGGCTAAGGAGATCGGAATGCCCCAAAACCAGGCCAATACAAGCACCTCCGCTTCACCTTGAGGACACGCGATGATCAGAATCGAAGTGACCACGAGGAATGATACATATGCGTACTAGTGCGTCCGATGCACTGACCGCTTTCGGTGTCCTTCATAGCCAGAAGGTGCCTTCAGGGGAAAATACTTTCGTGTACACTCGATTGGGAGAGGATTTAAAAAAACGCGAATTTAATTTGATCTACAATTATACAGTGGGCTAAAACCTGCCGCCGGCGACACGTATGGACCAAGAGGTGGTTGAACCAGCCCGTTCGAGCCACCACTGTCTGTTTCCATGCGCTGGGGCTCTAATGCATTGAAAGATCGTGATTTCAGTAAAACCTGTGACATGATACCATGGATGGATCTCGGAATGTCCAGAACGAGAACTAGAACGGAGGAAGATAGAAAGGGTAGCCACCGTTCTTGGTCTTGAAAACACTGAGAAGGAAGCTGTACGTGGCAAAGAGAACGGCTCCCCAAGTAATCACCGCCAATTGCTGTCCCTTCACGTCCTCCATGCGGGGAACCTTTACTGCAAGTGCGATTGTGGCAAATGATAGGACAGCATCTGCATCACAAGTAGATTAGAATTGGGGAAAGCGACGACGATCTTCGAACACGGGGTTTCACTTACAAATGGCAGCGACAATCTGCGTCTCCAAGCCGAATTGATTTTGGAACCCGCCAGCAAAGTAGCTGATGCCACCGTGGCCATCACCTGCAACATAGGGTACCTTTCGAATATGGTTGAACATCTGACCACTAGTAAAGAGGAGAATGGCAATCAGGCTGACCGCAGCCCAGAGGTTTCGATTCTGGATGATTGGCAATACGTAGGGCGACAGGACCGTGAATAGGGTGGCAGCACCCATCAGAAGGGTGATTGCAGAGGCAATGCGCATATAGTTGACCGGTCGAATCAACGGAGGTCTAGGTCCGTCCGGGAGGTGACGACCGATCCATGAGTAGATCTGATCAGCGGTAACTGGACTAAAAAGAAGTGTAAAGATGAGTGATTGACCCTGGTATCAACGCTATGGTCTCCCACTTACCCTGTGAAATCAAACCTCGCGGGCTCTGCATCCACCTTGGCGAAGGGTCCCACGGTGGGGGGGAAAAGGAGAAGAACGGGGGCAGTCTGAAGCAGGAGCTATTGCACGATCTGGGTCAGCCATTTATGATGAGCTAGTTGAATGTTGATGCAAATCCGACCTTCTGGAAAACATCCTTGCCATGATCGAAGTCCAGCGTGCCGAAAACGACCTTCAACCCTTCGAGCTTGGTGCCTTTGTTCCAGCTCCGGGAGATGAGATCCCATTCGGAATCGAATTCTCGACACATGATGCAGCCATAGCGAGCATCAATCGCAGTCAGAATGACGGCCGCATAGTAATCTCGGGGCACGGTCGTCAGCTCTTTGAACGAGGCACTGTCCAGATCGACGGGCCCGGAACGGGAGAGGGATTGGAATTTCTCGAATGTGTCGGACGGCTTCGCGGCGAGCACGCCGGAAATAACCGAAAAGAAGATGAAGAGGGTGGCCCAGGGCTTCATTTTGGCATTCCAGAAGCTTTGAAGTTGGAGAGCTTGAGAGTCCAATTGAGCAGATCGTACCTCGAACCGATAGGAATGAAAGGTGGCCCGTTACGTAAGGCCGGCCCCGCTCCGACGCGTTTCCCCGACTTCGCGCCGAGTTGTTTGGCGTTTGATCTGCAGCATTCATTCATAAGTCTTCAGGCAATTGCCCGCAGTCCCAGTCACGATGGCGGTAGCTACTGAAGCATCCTTGCTAGATGTATGTTCGCCGTTATTGTCTCCCACAAGACCTCCATCTGACTGATTTAGTGCGAGATGTCTCTTAAAACAGCCCGCCTCGAAAAGAAATATGAAAAGGCTATTGCGGACTCTACGCATCTTCTAGATGCCGAAAAAGAACGCGTTCGACGTATGGAGCAGCTGTTGCTTCAATTCGAGAGTGAAGCGTTGCGATCGCAGCTCGAGCGTGCCCATGAGCAACTACTTGTATCTACGCGGGCGGAATCTGAGGCGCGCCTTCAACTGAATGAAGCTTACCAGGAAATTGATCGCCTGGATAATCATGTTCAGAGTTCATCGAATGAAGTCGAGAAGCTGAAGGTGGGTTTCCGTTTCGCTTGGTCTGTACCGCAGAGGTTACGTTCTAGGTCACCCGCTAACCAGCAGCAGGGCGAGCTCTCAACTTTGAACAGTGCTTCGACCGGTTATAGCACCCTCCTTACGGAAAAGCTACATCTGTCCCGAGAAATTTCTCATCTCAAATCCGAAATCGAACGTCTCAAGTCACAAAATAACTCCCACCAGGCCCTGGTGGCGGAGAAACATGAGATGGATCGGCAACTATATTCTTTAGAAGTTCAGTTGGAGAATGAAAAGCATGCCCATGAACGTGCACGGGCGAAAAGCGCTCAGCAAGCGGTCGAGATCGACAGGCTCTCTATTCGAATCGATGAGTTGCAGACCGAGCTCACCAGAGAATTGCGTGCAAAGCAACAGCACGAACGTGACAGCCGACAGCAAAATATGGGATGGGATAGCCAGCGGTCAGTGCTGGAGGGCAAGGTTGAGACGCTGAAGAAGCAGCTGCGATCAGCCAAGGACAAGCTACAAGAAACCCAGCAGGAATTACAGCAAAAGCGAAGCAATGTCAGGAAGAATGAAGGCGATGGCACCGAGTCGCGATCGCGAGTCGTTCCCCTCCAGCGCCCTGGCCCGAGTGCGGAGTATCACAATGGCGTGACAATTGCAACACCCGGGGCCGTCCAAGTGCAGGAAAAGATCCAGAGGCAATCCGCGTTGCCCGGCGACAAATCAGCTTTTTCTATCACACCCTTCTTAAACCGGACCGGCGGCCCGAGAAATTCACCCAGTAGTTCGGAGGCGGACGAAGATCCAATGGACGTGACATTGGACGAATCCAATGCTTCGTTCCGCAAGGCCCGGGCTATCGACGAGCCGAGTGGTAACGATGCCGCCCGGAATGACAGATTTGGTCCCGCACAGGTCTCTTCTCCTGAAGCCAAAGTAGGAAACACCAAGCCACAGGCGCGCGCGAGAAAACCTTCCGCGTCGGGACTCATGAATGGAACCAAGAAACCCGGCAAACGTTCCAATGGCAAAGAACTTACCGATGCTTCTGACGACTCCATTGATCCATTTATTGAACAAGGACAGGCCAAGCCAAAGAAGCGCAAGCTCGGTACTCAGCGGGATCGAAGCCTGTTCGAAGAGGAGGAAGAGGAAGATGGCATGCTGGAGAGCAGAAAGCCCGGCCGAAACGTCGGCCTGGGAGCAGGTCGAAATTCGGTACTGGCGACAACTGCCTTGTCCAGTACTTCAACTGGTGACCGGGGACCCCGTGCTCTTGGATTTGGAGGAGCCGGGGGGTTCTCACCTCTTAAGCGCGACCGCAAGCGACCGTAGTAGCTTTAAATGCCATCAGATTCCCCTGCCCTGACTCCATGTAGTACCTAAATACTGAAACTGTAAGTGGTAATGGGAGGCTAGATGATCTTGGAGGGCACGGACTCGTTTTGCCGGCAGAAATCCTGAAGCCGTCCGTGGAGCTCTACACTTCTCCACCTCTTCACGACTCTTCATGTTTGCAGTTATCTCTATCCGGCCCCGGGGGCCTTCGGCCCCTCTGTGCTTGGTCAAATACGGCTGTCATCTTCGAGACGATGGCAGGCTCGCCAACACAAGGACCAGTTTACGAGGGAGGCTGCTGTACAAGGTCTCAAAAGCCGAGCTGCGTTTAAGCTGTTACAGGTACCGCAAACGGCGCCCACTTAATATATCTTCTGACACACCTTCATCGGTATAGATCGACGAGAAGTATCGCCTTTTTAAGGGCGGCCAGACCGTCGTCGACTTGGTATGCGTGCCGTTCCCTGCAGAGTGCCGAGGTTCTGTAGCTGATCCGTCAAATTTCATCAGGGATATGCGCCGGGCTCTTGGTCACAGGTAGTTTTGTACTTTTGATCCGATTGAAGATAACCTGACGTTCTCTCCAGGTCGCCGTGAACCGGACTCAGCCGCACGGACGGGTCCTCGGCGTCGATATCATCCCAGCCCAGCCCCCGAAAGGGGTTTCGACCATCCAGGGCAATTTCCTGGCACCCGAGATTCAGGCATATATCCAGGAATTCCTGCGCAATCCGAACAGAGGCAGGCCCCGACAAGCGGGTGCACTCGACGATGCTACCGGTAGCCTGCTAGAACCTGGGATGGTCTCGGACGCATCCCGAACGGACGAGAAGCTTGAAAGAACGGTGGATGTGGTCCTTAGCGATATGTGCGAACCCTGGTATCAGACATCCGGTTTCTGGAAACGAAGTCTAAGTGATCCTTATCGCAGGATGATGAACACCAGCGGGAACAATTTCAGAGATCATGCTGGGAGCATGGTAAGGATTCGGGTCAATTCCGATTATTTTCTGCGCAAGATACCTTGCTGACCAGTGAGCAGGATCTTTGCAATGCTGCTCTACGTTTTAGTTCAGATGTCCTCAAAGCTGGGGGGCATTTCGTCTGTAAATTCTACCAGGGAGCAGAAGACAAAGAGTTGGAGCACCAGCTCCGGAATTTGTTTCAGAAAGTTCACCGACTTAAACCCGAATCATCTCGCAGTGTAGGGTTTTGCCCATTCGTGATTGACCACAAGCATCATCAACTGACAGTATTTTATAGGAATCCAGAGAGGCATTCTTTGTTGGTCTTGACCGCCGACCATGAGACTGAATACCGACTACCTCCAGCACCCATCACAGGCATAACCAGCCATGCCGAGCCCTACAGAATTTCGGCTTCTTCATTTTCTGAGGCCTCATCCCACTCCACGTCTGCCAGCGCGGCCTCGGCTTTCTCATGGACCTGACTTGATGTTAGGATCTTGAAAGTCTGATCAAATTGAGTGTCTGCGTACCTCTTTGAGCCCGCTCAATTCCTCCACGTACCCGCTTTCGTTGAGAGCCTTTCGTACGAATTCCCAACCTTGTTCTTCATACGCTGCCGTCACCTTTTCCGAACACGCACTACAGCACGTATAGCTCTTGCCGGTGACAGTAATATTTTCGAACGTGGCAAGAAATCCTCGAATCTGATGAGGCACAAGCCCTAGAGGATGATTCCCGCTCTCCTCACTTCCTTTCAAAGGAGCCGGGGCACCAGCACCCTGTGGGTGCTGCAGAACTGAAACGAGCAATTCCACCAGGAGTGCAGAAGCTATAGCAGCTACTCCGGGACGAGTAACGGTACACTGCTGATCAAGAGTTTGATCTTTGACAGACTGGGGTTGTCAGCTCTCTGCTCCCAAGGTCTCAGAATGAGTCTTACATTAGCCGGTGCCACAACGTCATTGCAGAAATAGCATCCGAGATCTGCAGGTGTAGATCCGCCCCCTGCAATGCCGTGTCGCATTACCACATAGGAATCAAAACCCAAGGCTGCATTCATTACAATCTTTCCGGCCGCTTTCCCCATAACAGTGGGTAACCAACGCGATTCTCGAGTATCCATAAGAAGGAATATAGCATCGTGTTCCTGTATCAAAGCTTGCAGGGCTTCGAAATCAGCTCGTGTCGCATTCTCGTCCACGGTGGGATGGCCTGCCATGGGAACCGAAAGAAGATGGCCTGCCGTTTCGACACCGGGATAGATTTCAGTCAAGGCTTGAGCTGCACGATATGCTTTCGGTGCTCCACCATTCAAACAGTCGGCGAAGTTGAAGAGCGGCTGCCGAACGGGATTGGAGAATGAAACGGTACCCTTGTCCACAAATGTGATTTTATTCACTCCCCAGCCCTTCATTGCCGGTTAGCAGCCAACCTGTTCGGAGCTAGAAGGTTGTACATACCAACAGATTCCGGGCAACATAGCTTCCTAGGGTACCAGCTCCAAGTAAAAGACATTTGGTATGCTTAATTTTCTCAAGATCCAACGTCGGGCTGATCCTCCATTTCATAAGTTTGAGGTTAAGGTCGACTGATTGGTCCGCTAATCTATAGACAGAATATCAGTCTTCATAAGACACCGGTTGCTTTTCTTCGGGGGACGATACCTTGCGGGATCCATGTACTCTGTCAGACTGACGATTCTCCCCGACAATTTCCCGGCGGGGTTGCGCTCCCAACCAGTGATCTTTGGTACCAAGCCCGGGGTTTGATGTGCTTTCATCGTGTCGGATGCTGGATCCAATTTCGATGCCAGTCGAATTACTATGCTTCGACCTTGATCACGCTTCGATTGAATGTCGCGATAGCGTAGAATCTGAACCCGGTCAAGACCCCAGCGTTGTTTAACTATCACCAGCAAGTTCCGCAACATCCACCCTGGCGCATTCTCGTAATTGGATGGATCTGCAAAGCAGACATAGCGGTACTCGAGCGGGATACCAGTGAAGAAGCCATTTTCGTATTCCGATAGTGAAGCCACCTGCCAGTTGCTATGTGCAGATTCGCCCAGGGTCTTTCGTTGTTTGCGGGCCAAGAAGAAGCCTCGTTGACGAGCATCCACGCTATAACTCCAGGTTTGCACCGCATCCACGAGGGCGGTGCTTTCATGGGAAGATAGATATTCACCCCGGAGCATGTCGGGATTATCACTTTGTCGGGACTCGAGCGGGGAATCAGCCGAATCCAAGGGCACCCATGCTGGATCGGAGTGGATGGCGGGAAATCCAAACCAATAGTAGAATTTGAACTTTTTGAGGTCTGCGAAGGACAGGATGACGAAGGATGCTAACAAGGAGGGACAGGAGAAGATCGTGCCGTCATTGATGGCATCCCAGATCTATAGGGCACAAGCGATCCCATTAAAAATTAGCCTCCTGGGCTGGAGCAGTTTCTTCTTACCGTTTTGCCCGCCTGGATAATCATCTGCGACTTATCCATATTGCGGTAGTCCTCGATGGTATTGACATTCTTGATCATGCCCTCGGCACGGTAATAGCTCGCCGGCGCTCTACTCAACTTTATCAGCGGAAGGGAAAGCCAAAATAGTTGTGCGGCCTTACTCGCTACTAGTCAGAGCATTTCCATGTATTTGCATTCGACAGGAGGCATTCGCAGCATCTGTGGAGCGGATCTCGTACAGACCCAGGACGGAGCGGGCGGAGTCATCTAGCCTGTCATGGTTGATTTTGTGGGAGGCCAGAGCCGTGTAGAAGGGCAGCTCGATATCAGATGCAAACGGCGTGTACTGCATCCTGTTGTATTGTTGTTGAGGTCAAAGAAGAGAAGTGGGGTGTGATGTAATCGGGCGCGAACCATCGATTTATGGGAAACGCGGGAAAGCTAAGCTGATCTCTGCCCCACGCGTGTGACCGTGATCTCGTGGAACTTTTTCCCTTCCTTCCATCGTGGATCATCAGAATGCTCGTCGGTCTATGCGGAGGTCAGGAGACTCTTCTTCCTCCTATGAAGTCTCGACACTAACCCTTCTCTCCCGCAAAAGGCATATGCGCGGGCAAACATGCGATTGCCGAATACCTGATCCGGCACCAGGGCTTCCAGCTCCTCGAACTGTCTAGCAAATCCCCTCACCGTACCACCGATCAGCTGGGGGACGACCTCAGATTACAAGCTTCGGAGATCGGCAAATCCGGCGTGCAGTCGGACTTCGTTTTTGAAACCGCCGATTCCCTCTTGGACTTCGCGACAAAACGATGGCAAGAACGTTGGGTGACAACCGATATTGCGAACGGCGAGACGCTCGACCGCTTTCTCTTGCGCCCTTTTTTCCTTCTCGTGAGCGTTGACGCCCCCGTAAGCCTCCGCTGGAAGCGATTCTCCGACCGGTTCGTCATCCAAATATACTCCAGAGGGACCCCAACTCATTCCCGGTGTGATATAGATGCCGGCGAAGGCAACTGGACCCTCCCGATCTGGAAAAGTTCGTACTGTGGAATGACCGCCATCTTTATGAAAAGGACATCGGACGCGTGTATCTGACCGGCAGGGCCCACGTGCGCTTATTCAACTCCTCCTCGTCCCTGCGCGAGCTCTATCAGTCTCTCCAGACGTTGGACCTGGCGGATGAACAAAGACTACGACCGAACTGGGATCAATACTTCATGCAATTAGCATCTCTTGCAGCACAAAGAAGCAACTGTATGAAACGAAGAGTAGGGTGCGTGCTCGTTCGGGAACGTCGGGTCATCAGTACCGGCTACAACGGGACTCCTCGACACCTGACGAATTGTAACGAAGGTGGATGTACGAAGACACATTCTCGGCTCCATTGATTCTTATTTGCTGAGTGTATTACAGGCCCACGTTGCAACCGCGGTGACGGCGGTGGTGTCGGTCTTTCCACCTGCCTTTGCCTTCACGCCGAGGAAAATGCATTGTTGGAAGCTGGTAGAGAGCGGATTCGAGAAGGTGCAATCCTCTATTGTGATACGTAAGTCTTTTTGCATTAAACCCTGCCAAAGAAAGGACGACAGAAACACTGACTGCCTTTATGTCATTCCAGGTGCCCTTGTTTGACTTGTACCGTTAAAATTGCCCAGGTTGGAATCTCCGAAGTTGTTTATTCGCAGGGGTACAACATGGACAAGGATGTACGTTTCTACCGGCTCTCTCTGATGGGCTGCCACTGATACTGTGATTTAGAGCGCTGCCATCCTTGAGGCCGCGGGCGTCCGCCTGCGGCAATTCAGCCCGGTAAATCCCCATTGGCAGACTTCCTCCATTCTCGATAACTAATACTAATCGCCTTCGTATTCAGCCATCAAATGGACTCATCTATCTGCAGGGCCCTATTGGAACTACCGCAACTTGAAACAGGAAGCTTATGATAGGGAATGAATCCGGTGTAGAGCCGAAGGAAACGAGCCTCGATTCCACGGCTGGTTTCTCGCTGCTGTCCCATCTTCTCTGGCTATTCTGGTCGACACGTATGCCCAATAACCTCTGATAGAATAAATTGAAGAAAAAAAAAAGATTCAAGCTCCGAGTGAATATTTTTAGCACTAATATAAAATGAGACATGGAAACACCAGTTGACCCCGACATGTCTTTATAGAGTAGCACACTACCGTGGTAATTAATACAGTTCTCGACAAAGAGAGTGGTGAAGTGAGATCAGGAGAATGCCCAGGTGGCCTAGTGACATATTTGATATCAATATTACCAAATATTCTAACCACGAACGTGGATCAACAAATAACATGTAGTCCAATGAATAGGTTGATGTCGTGAACAGGCGGTGCTCGCTCGCGTCCGATTCTGCCGGCAGAAAACCACAGTCATGACTCAGCGGGTGTGGGATTTTGGAGGGGCCTGCGATGACTCCCTCCAAATTTCCCCTCTAGGCTGGACAACCCCTTCTCAATTCTGCCTGCTGAAGACGACCTGGCTGCAGAATTATAATCATGCCCACCGTTCACCTCCTCGACTATGTGGCGGGGAACATCCGTTCTTTGGTCAATGCGATCAACCAGGTTGGATACGAGGTGGAATGGGTTAAGACCCCCGAAGATGTGAAGAACGCGGATGTACGTCCATTCGGAAATTGGGATCACTTGAAGTTAGGTGTTCGCACGTGGATTCTAATCTCAATTGACTGTAGAAACTGATTCTCCCCGGTGTCGGTCACTTTGGCCACTGCCTCTCCCAGCTCGAAAAAGGCGGCTTTCTGGGTCCAATTCGGCAGCACATCGAGGCGGGCAAACCCTTCATGGGTATTTGCGTTGGACTACAGGCCCTTTTCCAGGGGTCCGAGGAGGATGTCAATGTTCCAGGACTGGGTCTGATCCCCATGCGCATCCAAAAATTCGACGACAAGACCAAGAGCGTGCCACATATCGGATGGAACTCGGCGATGAACACAGAACTTGCATCCAAAGAGCGGAGCTTCTACGGACTGATGCCGACTAGCAAGTACTACTATGTCCACTCCTACGCGGCCCCTTACAACCCCGGGATTCTTGAGAAGGATGGCTGGTCCGTTGCCACTGCCACCTATGGCGAGGAAGAATTTATCGGCGCAATCAGTCGAGAAAACATCTTTGGTACACAATTTCACCCCGAAAAGAGTGGTGTGGCTGGTCTTCGGGCAATCAGCGCCTTCTTGAATGGCGAGCAGTTCCAGTCCCTTTCGCGGGATCTGATTGCCGGCAATAAAGACGGGCTGACCCGTCGAGTCATTGCCTGCCTTGATGTCCGGACAAACGATACAGGTGACCTCGTTGTGACCAAGGGTGACCAATATGATGTGCGAGAGAAGAGTGGCATGGATGCGGGTGGCCAGGTTCGAAACCTCGGGAAACCGGTCGACATGGCCAAGAAGTACTATGAGCAAGGAGCAGATGAAGTTACCTTTTTGAACATCACTTCTTTCCGGAACTGCCCGCTAGCGGACACTCCTATGCTCGAGATCTTGCGAAGAGCATCAGAGACCGTTTTTGTGCCATTGACCATTGGTGGAGGTATCAAAGACACGATCGACACCGATGGCACTCAAGTTCCCGCGCTGGATGTCGCAACGATGTATTTCAAGTCTGGCGCTGACAAGGTGAGCATTGGATCGGATGCTGTATTCGCTGCTGAGGATTACTACGGGGCTGGTAAGAAACTGAATGGCCTTACCGCGATCGAGACCATTTCCAATGCCTACGGAAAGCAGGCCGTGGTGGTGAGCGTGGACCCCAAGCGAGTATACGTGGATCGACCCGAGGACACCGATCACCATACCATCAAGACCGCGTATCCTAATGCCGCCGGCCAAAGTTTCTGCTGGTATCAATGTACTGTTAAAGGCGGCCGGGAAACGCGGGACATGGATGTTCGTCAATTGGTGCAGGCCGTTGAGGCCATGGGCGCTGGAGAGATCCTCTTGAACTGCATTGACAAGGATGGAAGCAACAGTGGGTTCGACTTGGAATTGATCAACGATGTCAAAGCTGCTATTAAAATTCCCGTCATTGCTTCTAGTGGAGCTGGCGTACCGGACCACTTTGCCGAAGTATTCAGCAAAACCACCACAGATGCAGCATTGGGTGCAGGCATGGTAAGTGTGCGCCCAAATAACAACAACAGTGAAAAGAAAGTCTCAGCTAACATTGGCCCAGTTCCACCGGGGAGAATATACAGTGAACCAGGTTAAGGATCACCTTCAAGCAGAGGGATTCCTGGTGCGCCAGTTCGAAGCCGAAATCTAACGGCTCTGAGAATTTCATGCTTGCAATTTATCGTGCTATGACATAGACATTGAATATTACATCATAGAACTGCGGATTTTCAGATGCAACAACCGTGAATGAAACGAGGATTGTAGATCATCAGTACATGGAGCCAAGTGTATAGTGTGCGCGGTTTCCTTTTCCGGAGCTGCCCCTCGATGACATAACCCAGGCGGTGTGAGCAGCGGTGTCATCTGACTTTTCTTCCGTCGCCGCCGGCCGCATCACTTCCTCTTCACAACACCCCCTCCCGACACCCCCGACCTTTCTCTTTCCCAACGGCGTGGACCGCCCGACATTCTGTTGCCTTCATCCGGTTCAACGCATGAGCCTGACACTATACATCTCCTTGGCATCGATATCTTGGTCTCTACGACAAGGCTAGGTCGTAGGTCTGACTTCAGGTGAGGAAGGTGGTACAGATCAAACAGGTCAGAGGATTGGGACATTTCTTGAAACGCCCTTTCTCTTTCTTGCCAGGCGACATTTTTCTCTTCGACAATTGTATTCATCAGCTTGCTCTTCCATCTGTATGCAGTGATATCGCTCACCATTCAGCATCCAAGAGACAGATTCATTTCTAATCTATCATCTCTCGCATCCTCGTCGATAGTTTTTGAGAGACTATCAACCACGCAGTCCTTCCCTAAATACTCTTTGTCTTCTCACGTTCCTCGTTGTGGTCTTCTCCCCGTGGTACTTTTGCTCATATCCCTCGCGGCTCTCTATTCCTCTACCGCTTCTCCCCTATCTTCTGTACATCTGTGATTGTGGTGCCTCTTAAGTTTGCAGTCTGATTTTAAGGCCATCTGGTTGCACACACACACACACACGCACACACACAGTTCAATACAATGTCATCGTCCGTTCATTTCAAATTCAAGTCCCAGAAAGAGCCTTCTCGGGTAACTTTTGATGGCACCGGTATTTCTGTCTTCGAGCTCAAGCGAGAGATCATCAGCCAGAGTAGATTGGGTGACGGGTCTGACTTTGAGCTGTCCATCTACAATGAGGACACCAAAGAAGGTAGGTTACACAACTCCCCATTCGTTACCCACTCTGACCATCTGCAGAGTATGATGATGACACCACCATCATCCCCCGGTCCACCTCCGTCATAGCCCGCCGATTACCTGCAGCTCGCCCAGGAAAAGGCGGTGCTGCCCGCTATGTCTCCGGTAAAATGCCCGTTAACGCCCGCAACGCTTCCCGTATCGAGCCGTCGACCACTCGAGCAGTTCCCGGAACTGGCAGCGTCAACAACAATGTCCTGGAACTCAATAATGCACAGACGGAGGAAGAAAAGATCAATGCGCTCTTCAACCTGCAGGCCAGTCAATGGCAAGAGCAACAGCAGGAGATGGCAAAGTAAGCATCATGCTGTACATACCGACCCGGGCCCGCCTACTAACGGTTCACAGTGCGACTCCTGTGCCATTCGGTCGCGGTAGAGGAAAGCCGGTCAATGTTCCTGACCACCCTCCGCCTCCCGGTTACCTTTGTTACCGCTGCAGAGAGAAAGGCCACTGGATTCAAGCATGTCCCACAAACAATGACCCCAAATTCGACGGCAAGTATAGGGTCAAACGGTCCACCGGCATCCCCCGATCGCTCCAGACGAAGGTTGAAAAGCCAGAAGGCCTGGCCCCCGACGGTTCTAGTGATGACGCGAGAAATACAGGGGTAATGGTCAATGCAGATGGTGATTTCGTCATTGCAAAGCCGGACAAGGCGGCCTGGGAATTGTATCAGGAAAAGGCCAAGGCATCTGCTGCGGCTGCCGCTGAAGCGGCCGCGGTGGAGGAAAGCAAGGCACTGCAGGCTCGGGGTCTGGAATGCTCAATTGACAAGAGAATGTTCTTAGAGCCAACAAAGACACCTTGTTGCCAGCGAACATATTGCAATGACTGTATTTCAAATGCTTTGATTGAAAGTGACTTTGTTTGTCCCGGTTGTTCTACAGAGGGAGTACTGCTCGATAACCTTACCCCCGATGAGGAGGCAGCTTCCAAAATCAAGACATACGAGGCAGAGAAGGCCGAGGCAAAGAAAGAGAAGGAAAAACAGGCTGCCTGCCGGGATAGCGTACCGGTCAACGGGACCCCCGATCACGACGAGTCCAAGGAAGCCGACTCTAAGGAGCGTTCCCCATCCCATCAAGAGGCGGTCGATGCAGATGCGTCCACTCAGTCGAAGAAGCGGCCGGCCGATGATGACCCGACCTCCGAAGTGGACGGCCACGGCCCCGGTAATGAGGCAAAGAAGCAGAAGGGAGACGAGGAGTCCAACCCTCCGGGCACTGAAAGCAACGCCAAGGAGTCCTCCACTAGCGCCGCTGTCCCATTTAACTCTCAGATGCCTTTCGGAGGATTTGGCATGATGCCGTCTTTCTCGGAATCCGGGTTCGGCAACGATGCCATGGGATTCATGAACCCGATGGCCATGGCCAATGGCTTCCCCAATGCGATGGGCCCCGGATGGAACCCGATGAATATGCCTTTCAACCCAATCCAGGCCGGAATGTATGGCGATCAGTCCAACGGGTTTCCCAATATGTTCAATGGTGATCCGTCCATGTCGATGTTTCCCATGGCCCAGATGGCTGCACAGATGCAGAATCCCGGTTTCCAGGGCCCGGGTATGAACAACTTTTCCAACCAACAGCGGACTGCATTTGGGGGCCCTTATTCTCGTGAAGAGGACTCCCCATACTTCCGCCAGCCTGTGAACCCACAACGTCATCAAGCTCGGAATCGAAGGGTGCGGCCGAGTGACTACCGGGAATTGTGATGCATGGACGGTCCAATTTGGGATTTGGCGTTATAGCCTTGCAGGTGTATATGGCGAGGCCTCGTTTATTTTTTGAGAGCGGGTTTCATCCTTGTGTTTCTGCATTCTTTCCTGTCCTTTCGTTTTTTTCTTATTTGATATTTGCATATGGATCTCGCTCCTGTTTTTTTACATACCCCGGGAGGACTGCATTTTCAGAATCACGATATGTATTTCTAGACGAGTGCTACTAAGCAGACCAATTGGTAATCTTCAACCAGGCATGTAGTTAGTTCGTTTGCTTCTTATGTTTTAGGCAAAAATCAATATAGAAATGTCCATCCTCCCTCCCCCGGGACAGACCTCTCTTATTTACTGAGGAACCCACGGGCCGCCATGTCAGGTGACCCGCCGCAGGAAAATCCCCCCAGATTTCCCAAGTTTGCCCAACGCTTCCAGTCACCGCATCATCATATGTTCACTTCCTCGTCCTGCTCACCACTCTAAACGTGTCAACCCCGACGGAAACATCCTCAAGTCCATCATGGCGAAATACATGAATAACCACAGTAGTAATTCCAATCAAATGAACCGGTTTCTCGACCATGACTCCACGGCCCTGGCCAGCTGCTACTCCGTCGAATCGACCTCTTCCAAGGTCCACGGTTTCCACTACTGCACTACTCTGGGTGCCGGTAAGTCTCACTTCTTCTCACTCTCACTCGATGCCTGTCCTGGTCTTTGATGCTCATGCACCTCATTCAGGAGCACAGTGGTATCCCTGAGGTCCCCTCAGGGTCTAAATCGTCCATTATAAGCCCTCCCCTCGAGCGTCCCGCTCCCAGCGCCGAACGAAGCTGGCCCGGGACCAACTGGCCCGAAAACAAAGGGGAGGCGACGCACACCATCCGGGAAGAGTGTGAGAGACTCTTCTGTGACACACTGTTCACGACATTCCTTGGTGAGGGGATTGACGCGAGGCAGGAGTCACTGGGGATGGGTACGTTTCATAATATTCAGCCAAATTACATCGGGCCTGGGCACGATCGCATCCAGCGATGGATCGAAGTGTGGGATTACGCCGGCGACGCTATCTATCGCGGATTTGTGACTGATATGCACGGAGAGCGAACTTTATTCGTATTCTTCGAGGATGGTGCTCTTGGACACGGCCTCAAATCCGGGTAAGGGCTTATTCGTTATTCTTTACGGCTGCATGCCTCATATTCCTTGTGCAGGGCGGTCGACTAACACTCTTATTTGCAGGTTGATCGCTCTTTTCGAACTGGCGGGAATTGATGCCTTCGACTGTTCTCAGATCGTAGCCTGTGTCAAGCGCTCACAGCACACGGATGAAATGGAGCTCGTTCGGAGCCTCGGGTGGTGTGGCTTTAACCTCACCACCTTGGAGCCGTGGACAACAGGTGGTGACTCGGGACCTTCACTTAGCACGGAATGGCTCTTCTTGGTCGCCGAAGCATGATCCTTGGTTTCGTCGAGCTAGTCTCCAATCCGAGATCCGAGTCCGGAGCGGTAGTGGATCCGTTGTTTTGTCCTATCTTTTCTGGTGATAATATTTGAGCCGGCTCGAATACGCTTTTCTTATGCGCAGCGTCTACCACTTCTTTCAACCGGCAATAATTGATTAGGGTCTTTTGTACCATTCTACTCTTCTTGACTTCTTGTATTTCATAGTTTGGTAATAATGTGAAACTGGAGTGTGGAACATGACGCTTATCCGCCAAATGTATCGCGATTGATAAGATAAGCCGTGTCCGATGACCTCAGCCATCAGTTCACCTTTGATCGACAATTATCCCTAGCTCCCCCTCCTCTCGCCTCGGCTTCTACAGACTCGAACCTGGAACATGACAAAGACCAAGGTCAAGCACTCCTTTCCTTTCCCTCGATTCCTCCTTCCCTCTTTTCCCGGTAATCGGGATGCGAGGCGTCCTCCGCGCTCGAGCTCCCCCAGCCCCGCCGATAAGTACTTGGATGGCCATGTTTCCTACCTCCGCTGCGCTGAATGCGCCTCACACCTCTGCTTGACGTCGCAGATTATTAGCAAAGGATTTACGGGCCGCCACGGTCGAGCGTATCTCGTCACTGCGGAGCCGGTTGCCAGTGCTGTGTCCGTCTGCGCGTCTTCTTCCCCCACTGATACCCTTCCTAATACCGTTTTGCAACATCCTGTGCCACGCCAGCTGGTTACAGGGGCCCATACCGTCAGCGATGTCAGTTGCGCATTATGCGGGGGTGTGCTAGGCTGGAAGTACGTCGCGGCCGAGGAGGAGTCGCAGCGATACAAAGTTGGAAAGTTCATCTTAGAGACCAAGAAGATCACTGCATCTTCTTGCTGGGAATCCCCGGACGTGACCCTTGTCACACAAGAAGAACACCGACGGGCTGAGATCGATCCAGGCTCTGCGGAACCCGAGTTTGATAGTCAGGATGACGACGAATGCGAGGACTTATTCGCAGGTATTTGGAGTCCAGGGCTGGCGAGCCGCCGCAGAAGCCGCAAAATTGAGCGGCGACCTGCTATGTTCGGAATATCATGATACATGGACCTTTCTACTTGTCATGATACAAGGAGGACTTGAGGTCGCTACCATCTCTCTCTCTCTCTCTCTCTCTCTCTTTCCTTTTTTTCAGACATGATGCCCAGTGATAACCCTAGTTTCGTGCACAATACATTTTTACGATCCGTGTTCAGACACGGTGGGCTTCCATTTCAATTACAGAGGAAGACTTGAGGACACATTTCTTGGGTGAAGAATGTTTAAATAGTATGATATTTTCCAAATGCGTAAGAAAGGGTCCAGATTTATGAAATGCTCCAACAACGCCGGGAATAAAAGATACATGAGATTGATATCACGCATCGTCCACGCGTGCGCGTTTCGCCTCCCCTTCCGTTGATTCATCCTCTGCGGGGCGTTTGGATGCCGTCGCCTCTTGCTGCGCAGGTTTGCTAGGCTTTCGCCGGACCAAAGACGAGAGGTCCGTTGCTCCTTTGCTGGCTGCGTCCAGGCTAGCCTTCTGATCGGTTGGAGATTGGCCAACAATCTGGCCGAGGATGCCCTTCAGCATAGCTTCGTTTGCCTGGTCGTTTTGTTCGATCGATACCGGGGATCGTCGAAGATCAATCAGCTATAGAATTCTTTAGCTAAAAGGACGGAGGTCCCACAGACAGCGGCTGGAGACGCTTACTCTTTGCTCCATGTCAGCGACGATTTCCTTGACATTCGCGATCTTTCGCTTTGTGGCAGTCACTTTGTCCTCATCCATGTCCTTGTTTGTTTCTAGCTTCTTCTCTTCCTGCAACATTCGGACCTTGCAACTCTCAATTGCACGCTCCATTTGAGTCGCAGCTTCCTTTCGCATCTCCTCATCCACTGTCTTTTCTTTATCGTCATCGTCACCTCCCTGCTGTTGAACAGACGCAAATTCCAGTGCAAGAGACAGTTTGAAGTGGCATTCGGCGACCGACGGGTCTTCGAATGGAAACAGTGAGTATCGAAGGTCGAGAGAGGTTCGCAAATCAGTCACCGCATCGGAGAACCTCTCTGCTTCCAGGGAAATTTCAGCTTGGAGGTCATAGGTATCGGCAAGTCGTTCCTTGATGTGCCTCAAGTCTGCTGGTAGCTCGGCTGATTTGCCCTTTGCGTTATTGCTCTCTTCTGCAGCGTCGATTTTCTTGACGTAGAGAATGCGCGCCAAATCCAGAACCTCAAAAGCGTTGGCGAAGTCGTCTTCTTCCTCGTCGTCTGCCTCGCCGTTCTCCTCATCATCCGAATCAGAGTCCACAAAATTCTCGTCGCCAGTAAACTGGAAGAAGGGTTTGGACGGAGCGGCGTCTGGCTGTGTACTCTCCTCCTTCGTAAGGGGAGCGTTCTTGGTCATAGCGTTCGGGATAACATCTTTGACCAGGTTTTCACCAGTAGCAGTCGAGCCGGCAGATGTCGAATTTGCTGAAGGAGCACTCTGCGCCTGTGGCTCTCCGGCCACCTTGGATCCCAGGACATCACTCTTGCTCACAGCGACATTGTACAACGACTTGCCGTAGGCATAGAGCAGATCGGCGTTCTCTGGCGACAGCTCACCGTTGAGCTCAGCCTGGAGTTCGGTGGCCTGTGAATAGAGCTCCGAAGCGGAACTGTAGTCTTTGGTCGCATCTTTGGCCGCAGCGCGTGCGATGAGATCGTCCAATTGGACGCGCTTGTCTTGCGTAGCCTCGGGGGCCTGCGTCGGTTGATTTGCTTCAGCCATAGCGAATGCGAGAGAGGGAGAGGGAGAGGGGCAGGGGAGACAAGAGAAATGGAGGCAGCAAGGGCGCAAAGTGGAAGCGATAAACGGACGATAAGCGCGGCAGGTCGGCGCGGTCGCGTTGCGTGTCACGCGTCTCACTTTGACCTTCACTTTTTTGACCTGCACTCAACCAATTGACAGCGTAACGCTTTATGAATTCCTCTCTATCACTTACCTTCTTCATTTAATTTTCTCATTTCCCCTTATTATTACCGAGAGAAACCTGAAGTGAGACTGCAGAGACCTCAGAGACCACACGGCATCATGGATCCCACAACCACCCCGCGACATACAGATCGCTTCAGAATGGGTGCTGCAGACCCGGTTCCCTCCTCTTCACCTGCCTTTGGGACGCCGGCGCGCCCATTTCGAATGCCGAAAGGCCATGCTCCTCCCACCAAGGCTTCCATCTTGCCCATCCTTCTGCCTCCTTCTACCCTTCGACCAGTGGCCTTCCGGACCTTCACTCGCAAACACAACCTCACTATCTCGTCATCGGCTCTACAGACACTAGCAGTCTTTGTGGGCAAGAACTGTGGTTCCGGTTGGAGGGAAGAAGGCCTGGCAGAGAAAGTACTGGACGAGGTGGCCAAGACCTGGAAGAGAGCCGGCGGCGGCGTTATTGTGGAAGAAGGGAAAGGGGCGTCATTGAAAGCTATTTTGCAGACGCTCGAGGGCAGCATGAGCGGCGGGAGGGTCGTCGCCGGGAAAATCAACCAGGACGGGTCTGCAAAGTCGAATATTGGCGTGGATGTCGGGCGACTTGAAACGAGCAACAATCAGTCGCAAGGATCCTTCATGAGACCGGGAGACGCAGGGGAAGACGGACCCCAATTGCCCCTTCATTCGCGCCATTGGCTCAAGATCATCGACGCTTTTGATCTGCCTCGCTTGACGTATAACGTCGACAAGAAATATTTCGAGGCCGTCAAGTCCAAACCTACGTTGTTTCCGCCAGCCTCTCACAAAACCGCGCTCTTTAGGGACCGCTACAACTTGGTGTACCAGCGACTGCTTCGCAACGAATCGTTCCAGAGCTCTTTGGGTGTTGCAAGCGTCCCTTCACTGCAGCGTTCATCATCGAACCTTGCGACTCAGCAGTCGTACAAGTTGACACCAATTGCGAACCTCCTGGGCCGAAGCGGAACCTCACATCTACTACTAGGACTACTGTCTATCTCTCCTACCGGAGATCTGTCTCTCGTGGATTTGACGGGGAGTGTGGCATTGGATTTGAGCCACGCGCGCATGATCCCTGAAGACGGTGCATGGTTCGCACCAGGCATGATCGTGCTTGTTGATGGAATCTACGAGGAAGAAGAAATGGTCAAGGGATCCGCCCTAGGAGGAAATACCGGGGTTGGCGGAGCTATTGGGGGGCACTTTGTCGGGGTTTCGATCTGTGGCCCTCCCTGTGAGCGCAGAGATATCTCGTTGGGAACGAGCAACCGCCAGGGCAGCAGCGAGCTCAGCTCTAGCGGTGGTTTCGGATGGGTCGACTTCTTAGGAATCGGCAGCGAACGTGCACAAGGAGCGCGCATGAGGAGAATCCAAGAAGAATGTCTGCGAGGCGAACAGGAGACCCTAGAAGCCGCGGTCCGAATCAAGATTGCGGTGATGAGCGAGGTAAATCTCGACAATGTGAGAACCCTCGACGCAGCCCGGAAGGTTTTCAGCAGCTATAACGACTTGGCCCTCCCGGAGCGCCCTCAGACCTTTGTCTTGATAGGCAACTTTGCACAGAAGGCGATCATCAACGGAGGTGGGCGGGCTGGAAGTATCGAGTACAAGGAATACTTCGATTCCCTCGCCGTGGTCCTAGCCGACTTCCCTGCCTTGCTGCAGCACTCGACATTTGTCTTCGTCCCAGGTGACAACGACCCGTGGGCATCGGCCTTCTCGGCGGGTGCCGCTTCAGTCATTCCGCGACAGCCGATCCCTGAACTGTTCACTTCTCGAATTAGACGTGCCTTTGCAACCGCAAACGCGGAGCTCGACAGATCTCAGACTTCGGAACCAATTGGCGAAGCTATGTGGACATCTAACCCGGCACGTCTTTCGTGGTTTGGACCCGTGCATGACATTGCCGTTTTCCGTGATGATATCTCGAGCCGACTTCGACGAACCGCAATAAACACCAAGCCTGACGATGACGAAGTTGATACCACCATGCATGAGGCATTAGATGGCCCGACGAACGAGGCGGTCTCCATTGCGCCTGAAATGGATCAAGCCAATGGTGCTAAGCCCGACGGCGTGCCAGCCGCGGCTTCTATGGCTCGCAAACTGGTAAAGACCATCCTGGATCAAGGAACGGTTTCCCCATTCCCTCTTCCGCTACGGCCTGTCCTATGGGATCACGCTTCTTCCGTACAGCTCTACCCGCTGCCCACGGCCCTCATCCTGGCAGATCCCGAGGCTGCACCTTTCTGCATGACTTATGAGGGCTGCCACGTCATGAACCCCGGAAGGTTGCTGCCTGAGGGCGGGACGCCGACTGTGAGATGGGTTGAGTATGATTTGTTGCGGAACCGAGGGAAGGTCATGGAAGAACGTTATTAATGAAATGCTTGGGAGTGTTGGGTTTGGTGCTGGTCCCTCTACCTAGGCGGGCAATTGCGACTAGATAGAAAGAGCATGCAAGCCTAAGCAACGATGCTACGACTGTAATATAGAGAAAAAGAAGAAAGAAATTGACCACAAAGATTCGAGTAAGAATGCATGAGATATGCGTGTCACATTGAAAGTCTAGGATAGGAATACAGTCGTGAAGAGAAGACCGTAGTCTCCCCCGTGAAGAACCAAGAACCAAGAACCAAGAATTCGGGAGACGCCCGCAGAAGAGCTCTTCCAGAGAGCACGGGGATAATCACGGTGCTAATCAATCATTATGATGTCGGCCTTGCCAACCCCGGCCTTCTGTGGCGAGGTCTTGACTGGTTTGGGGGACACCGGGACCCCCTGAAGACGTGGCGGGGCTGAAGGAGGCTGCTCCTGTTTCCCTTCATCGCCCCGCTTGATGGGCACGGGATGACAAGCGCCCAAACACTCGTGGAGCCTGGAAAGAAGATTTCCCACTTTGTCGATGTTAGACATGGCACCATCTCCAAGGCCCTGCCACCCATCGCCTTTCGAGTTGTAGACCTTCTCCCGCACGGCCGAAACTATCTGACTGTGATCGGGCGAGCCAGATTGATTTGAGTCCTCCAAAACCCATACTGAGCGGCCCCGCCGTGGGCGAGCGGACAATCGGAAACGAGACTTTAGGCGAGGATAATGGATTTCGAAGGAAATGGGTGTCCTCACAGTAACATGCACCAGGGAAGATTCCGTCTGTGCCGGCTTGAGGGTAATTTGATCCAAGCAGTGCAGCAGCGGGAATGTATCTGCCATGAAACCGAGGATGGAATCGACGCCTGATTCAGCAAAGCGATGGTTCAAAGCCACTGTAAGGGACTCTGAAATGCGACGGTGAGGGCTGGGGCTGTCGAAACTAACCCGCAATCGCAGCTGGAAGAGGGGATCGGCTTTCGACAGGGCTTGAGGAACGTCGATGTAGGTTGATAGCGAGGGCCCCGAAACATTGATGCCGAATCGGCCAGAGAGCTTCTTGTTCGGGCCGTAAGAGAATGAGATCTGGGACAGCGACAAGAACCGAGGCTCCATGCCCTTCTGGATGAGAGATTGAAGGATGGATAGGACACATTCAAGTCGTTGTAACCGCTCAAATAGGCCAAGAATAACGGAGTGACCAGCCGGTACAAGCAAGCGAAGCGCAAAACCACCACCTTTGTCCTGCAGGAGCAGGGAAGGGTCCATCTTGGAGACAAGTGGGAGAAGACATTTGATACGGAATCGCAAAGTGCCATACGCCATCAGAACTGCTGATTGACTTTGGTGGTCAACCCCATGGAATGAGAGACGGACGGTATCCTGTAGATAGGATCCTCTCTCGAGCCCCGAGGGCAGCGCTATTCGGAAAGCGGGTGGAATTGTAGACGCCTTATACTGCAAGAAGAGATCCGGTACCTGAATGTCAGACCCCAACTGCAATTTCTCTAGCGGTGGATAAAAGTGAGCATTGGGCAGGTCTGCCAAGCACCGTGCATTGGCGTAGATTGCCAGCATTCCCGTCAGGCCATATACCAGCTCTGCGCAGGTGGTGTAGTCAAACCGTCCTTGTTGAGCCATCAAAGTGTTGCAGACTGCATGGGCTAGCGAGAAACCGGCGTTGGGATCATGAAAAGAGTACGACGTCGCACTGCGAGCTGTGTCCGCCGAGCGAAGTTGAACTAACCACCAGCTATCGCCATCCATGCTGCTTGTCACAGCAGCGACCCAGCGACGATCCCAGAGCTGATGAGTGAAAAATGCGGAGCGCAATACACTGGAAGGGAACAGTCGACGGACATCAAGCCCCAAACCTCTCTGGTTGACACTCTCAAGGCCGAGTGCCTTTGTCCCAGACTCTATTTCATCAACCGCAGTGAGGCATCTAAGACGCGTGACGCGAGAGAGTAACTCCTCGATTGCCGATTTATTAGGAGCTCTTTCGCCCTCGGGGCGCTCCAAGGCGCTTGATGTACCGGACAGCGTGATCGACCCTGACAAGGGTTCGACAGAAACCCGAAGATACCGGGAGGTTGTTAATTGTATGTCGAAATAGCAATCTCCTGGCTCTGTCGGAGATAGTTGCGCACACAAAGACAGCGCGCGACTGGAGAAAAGACTGTACTTTTTCAAGGTGGTATACGCAGTCACAAGGAGATGCGAGGTGTGCAATGCAATGACGCTTCGTAAAATACGTTCCATGGAGAGGCTGTCCGAATCGAACTGAACAGCATCGCTGTTCGCTTGTTGGCCGTCTCGCATCCAGCGAAGACCAAGACGTGACACCTCGTCTCCAGCATCTTGGGAATAGGTTTTGCGTGGACCTCTTCGAACGCCGATCTCCAGCCAGCTTTTTGGTCCTGTCCGCAGTGGCCAATATTGAACAACCAGGGTTCGATGTAGCAGCTCAATGCGTAGAGCCTCGGACCATAAGCCTCGTGCAAGATCACTGGCTTGTTTGAATAGGGTATTTATCTTGTTTGTCAGGACCAACCCATGCAGAAAGTTAAAACATCCAACCAGGCCTTCGCTGCGAAGAAGGTCGTTGACCTTCGCATCGAGTTCGTTGAAGATACGACCTTTCGGAACGGGGGACGACGGAGTAAAAAGGAAGCGAATGTCCACAAAGAAGAATTGTGAAGTTTTCGCCTCTTCAGCCACCGAAAGATCGAGCTCGAATTCTCCAGGGATCGTGAACGTAACCCGGCCATCATGAACGCGATAATTCCGCATTGGGCGTGGTGCTTGGTCATGCAATGCCAGCCTAACGCTAATGATTCGGTTGATCTTATATAGCTTCTTAAGCGTCACGCGTGCAGTCAAAGGTTTGGGAGGCTTATAGCCGAACTGGACCAGAAAGTGTTAGAAACGTGCCGATGAATGAGCCCATCGAAAAAAAGAACTTACATCTGGTAGAGATACCACTCGACCTCTTGAAAGTACCTCTAGAGCGGTTTTCAGATCAGGGTTGGCTACTTGTGCCCGAACGAGGTCTCGCTTCACTTCGCCAACATATTGAACTGCGGAATCATATGCTTGGTGTCGCGTACGGATGAAGCCTTGTATATCAATGAGCCTGCTAACCTCTGCAGCCTGTCGGCTCCATTGCGAAAGGACCAGGAGCTTGATAAACTCGGCTCTTTTGGCATGCGCAAAATCCAGGATCCGTAGTTTCTTGTGAACATTCTCAGAAGACTGGTTACCCGGAGACTTCCCATTTGTAATTGGCGCAGCTGGACCTTCAGAAGAAACTTGGATCGCAGCTAACTCGGTGATCAGCTCGGAAAGATCATTCCAGCACTGCTGCACAGCCCGATTGATGAGTGTTCCGAATGGGAAGAACCCTTGCGTAATGTGTGGCAGTTCAAAAGGTGCCAGTGCGGTATCTCCTACAGTTGGAGATGACGTTTTCGAATTATCGGTCCCTCTCCCGGCGCCATTCACATGGACCGGCCCGTTCATCGAAGCAGAGTGTTGACCGGACTTGTCATTGTTCCCGAACAAGCCAGGTGCCCCATTTGTAGCCTCATTGAGGTCCGTCCTTCGCACAGATCCCTCGGCGTTGGCATTGTCCATGACGACGCCGGGCATGTCTAATTCAATCGGCTCGTCGGCGCGTGTCGGTCCTAATTGAGCCTTCCCCTCCTGCGCCCTCTGCACGGTACGGAACACGCGACCTGGTTCAGTCGCTATTTTGAGCTCGAATACGCTGGCGCCGGTGGTAGGAAGGGAAGCTGAAAGTAAAGCCCAGACAAGAGGAAGATGTTCTCAGCCCAGTGCCATGCGTATCACTGGCCGTGCAAAACAATGGCCGCGGGCATAATCAAAGGATCGAGGTAGAAAATAGGGACCCAAATTGGAGCGTTGATAAGTCGATCGAGTAAACGAGCGGCCTAGAAGATCCTGTGCGAGTGAAATGCCTCGGGAACGGCAGGCCGGATATCGTTGCGCCTGGCTCTGGCGGGACGACAGCAGACGATGCGAGGTGGGTATGGGTGGAAGAGGGTGGAAAGGCTCACAAGGAAGTCGCAAGGACCGTGCAAAGCCAGTTCAAGGTACAGAAAGGAACGGAGATCGAAGAGAGGAGAGGGTTAGCCAGGAACGGTGAACGGCGAGGCCCAAGATGGAATCGTGAAAGCGCGCGATGCGCACGCACCGCCTGCGTCCTTGATGCCTTGGTGCCTGGTTACGGGAGTATCGTCAGGTAGTCGTATGTATTAATTACATTACGCTGATGTCCGCTCCATCAGTACCGTAATATTGTAATTACCAAGAATGTTTTGCCCCGTAGATGACCTCACCACGACTCCGAGCTCTCGAGCTATCTAGCTATACCCCGGATCGACTTGCCTAGGTAAGTAGTTGAGTTCCGGAACAATAGCGATGTCTCAACTTGAGGACGAGGCCGATGGACAACCTCAGTTTCCAGGAGATGATCCTCGCCCGACGAGCAAAAGGGAGCTGGCCGGCTGGTACTGCTACGGCTGGGCGGCCGAGGTCTTCACCGTATGTGCTATGGGTATGTACATATCTCGTTTATCAGTTCCAGTCTTGCTGCAACATCTGAATCTCATTCTAACTTTGACCAGGCTCTTTTCTCCCGATTACCCTAGAGCAAATGGCACGCGATCGCGGTGTTCTTCTATCTGATAAGATCACCCCGTGCAGCCCAACTTGGAACCCTTCCAAGCAGATATCTCATCCAGCCGAATTTGAAGTCCAAGGATCTGGCGGGGGTCAGTGCATCATCTACTTACTAGGCTCGGAGATCAACACGGCGAGCTTTGCTTTGTACACATTTTCCCTGAGTGTCTTGGTCCAAGCGGTTCTCATTATATCCATGTCTGGCGCCGCCGATCATGGAAACTACCGCAAGACGCTGCTAGTCGTGTTTGCTTTTATTGGCTCTGTTGCGACTATGTTGTTTCTTGCCGTTGTACCTCAGGTCTACCTTCTCGGCGGTTTCTTGGCCATCGTCGCGAATACCTGCTTCGGTGCGTCTTTTGTCCTCCTGAATTCCTTTTTGCCAGTTCTTGTGCGCCACCATCCTTTGATTCTTGAGAAGAGTCGAGAAGCGCATCTACCACGGGTGAATGTCCATGTATCCCACGGAGACCCTTCTCCTACTGGGCACAGTGCCCAAGTGAGTCCCGACGACTCCACACCTTTGCTTGGTGCCGACAGGGAGAACCACGAGACCAATACCACCGTGATGACCTCACTGGAGCTCAGTCTTTCTACAAGGATATCCTCCTTTGGAATCGGTATTGGCTATATCGGCGCAGTGACCCTTCAACTCATTTCCATTGTCGTGGTCATGACTATTAAGCAAACAACGTTTTCTCTGCGCCTTGTGTTATTTCTGATCGGATTATGGTGGTTCGTCTTTACCATACCCGCAACCGTGTGGCTACGGGCTCGACCTGGACCGGCCCTTCTGGGACGCGATGGGAAAGCGCTTCACTCCTGGATGGCATACATGATATATTCCTGGGTATCACTTGGGAAGACTGCAATGCGTGCACGACGCCTCAAGGATATATTGCTCTTTTTGGCTGCCTGGTTTCTCCTCAGCGATGGAATTGCCACCGTCAGCGGAACCGCCGTTTTGTTTGCGAAGACCGAGCTAGACATGAAGCCCGCAGCTCTTGGTCTGATCAACGTGGTCGTCATGATTGCTGGAGTCTTTGGGGCGTTTTCCTGGAGCTACGTGTCGAGTCTGCTTCGCCTTCGAGCTTCGCAGACGATCATTGCCTGCATCGTTCTATTTGAGCTGATTCCCCTCTACGGGATTCTCGGTTATCTCCCGTCAGTGCAGCGGCTGGGTATTGGCCTCCAACAGCCTTGGGAGATGTATCCGTTGGGGGCCGTCTACGGGCTTGTGATGGGTGGACTATCGTCATACTGTCGAAGCTTCTTCGCGGAGCTGATCCCGCCGGGATACGAGGCGGCCTTCTACGCTCTTTACGCGATTACCGATAAGGGATCGAGCGTTTTCGGGCCCGCGATCGTCGGCGCTATTACGGATCGATATGGCGAGATCCGACCCGCATTTGTGTTTCTGGCCATTCTGATATTCCTCCCGTTGCCCCTCATGCTACTTGTAGATGTGGACCGTGGGAAACGGGATGCCCTGGCGCTGGGGGCCGAACTGGATCATATCTCCGAAGGGTCTGGGTATGGGGCCATTTCCACTCGGCCTGAGGATCAGTCGAGTGACTTCCACAGCCCTATAACCTCGTAATTTTGCTCTTAATAGCTTTGTCAGTGTTAGGTAATAGCCGTTCTAACTGGATGCCAATTTTGACGGATACCCTAGATATCCTATATACTTGAAGCACAAGCATCCTAAGAGGTTAGAAACATGGCACGTGGTGAATGTTTTGCCAAGCATTCAAGGCCACGGTAATCAGTTCTGTGAGCTCACGAGGAGACGTGGCCAGAAGCAAATCTCCCGATCGTGCGGCAGTGGCTTCTTGTAGTCAGTAGTGCTAAGTACAAGTACCTACGTGTTCACATGAAATGTGCTGAAGGGGCGGGTACCTCGACACTAGGCGGGTCCAGGGTGCGTCCGGGTGTCCCCTTGCTTTTCCCTGCATAGCAGCTCCCGCTCCACTTCGCCTTAGCCGCAAAGAACAAACTGTCCTCAACTTTCAGTGGCCCCAGTCGCCTTTTAATACACTTTCACCCCCCTCCACTCTTGTACCTTCTTCAACATACCTTCCACTTTATACCCAACGCCATGCGGTCGTTTACACCTCTGGTTCTGAGCCTTCTGGGGGCTGCTGCGGCTGTCTCCGCCACGGAGCCCGCTGATGCTGCGGACTCTAATGTCATTTCCTTGACCAAGGATACCTTTGACGACTTCGTCAAGGAACATGACCTGGTCCTTGCCGAGTTCTATGCCCCGTGGTGCGGCCACTGCAAGGCTTTGGCTCCTAAGTACGAGGAGGCTGCGACGGAGCTGAAGGGCAAGAACATCCCCTTGGTTAAGGTGGACTGCACCGTTGAGGAGGATCTCTGCCAGATCTACGACGTTGATGGATACCCGACTCTGAAGGTCTTCCGTGGCCCCGATTCGCACAAGTCCTATGGCGGCGCCCGCCAAACTGAATCGTAGGTCTCTCCGGCTCTTTCTGACGCATTCGCGATCATCTGCTGACCGACGTGTGTTCCATTCTAGGATTGTCTCCTACATGACCAAGCAGTCGATGCCCGCCGTTTCCAGCGTGACCGAGGAGAACCTGGAGGACTTCAAGACCATGGATAAGATCGTCATCGTCGGCTACGTGTCCTCTGATGACAAGACCGCGAACAAGAGTTTCACCTCGCTCGCCGAGTCCCAAAGAGATACCTACCTTTTCGGTGCCTCCAACGACGCCGCTCTCGCCAAGGCCGAGGGTGTCAAGCAGCCCTCGGTTGTTCTCTACAAGGATTTCGATGAGAAGAAGGCTGTCTACGACGGCAAGCTTGAGGAGGAGGCCATCCTCAAGTGGGTGAAGACCGCCAGCACTCCCCTGGTTGGCGAGCTTGGCCCTGAGACCTACTCCATGTACATGGCGGTACGTAATGGGAATTCCTCCCTCCACTGCACTTTCCGATGAAAAAGCTAACATGCATTCTCTTAACAGGCCGGTGTCCCGTTGGCATATATCTTCGCTGAGACTGCCGAGGAGCGCGAGAAGTTCGCTGAGGACTTCCGCCCCATCGCCGAGAAACACCGTGGAGCCATCAACGTTGTGACTCTTGACGCTAAGCTCTTCGGCGCGCACGCTAGCAACCTGAACCTCGAGCCCGAGAAGTTCCCTGCCTTCGCCATCCAGGAGACCACCAAGAACGCCAAGTACCCCTATGACCAGTCTAAGAAGATCGACGCCAAGGAGATCGGCAAGTTCATCAAGAATGTCCTCGACGGCAAGGTTGAGCCTAGCATCAAGTCCGAGCCCATCCCCGAGTCCCAGGAAGGCTTCGTCACTGTCGTCGTGGGCCGTAACTACCAAGAGGTCGTCATCGACAACGAGAAGGATGTTCTTGTTGAGTTCTACGCCCCCTGGTGCGGACACTGCAAGTCGTAAGTTGATTTCCTGCCCATCGTCTGATGTATATGCTAATTTTGGTCTTTTAGTCTTGCTCCCAAGTATGAAGAACTCGCCGCTCTGTACAGCGATGCCGCCGACAAGGTTGTGATTGCTAAGATTGACGCCACTGCCAACGATGTGCCCGACTCCATTACTGGGTTCCCCACTATCAAGCTCTACCCGGCCGGTAAGAAGGACGAGCCCGTCGAGTACGCCGGCTCGCGCACCGTCGAGGATCTTGTTCAGTTCATTAAGGAGAACGGCAAGCACGAGGTAGACGGCCTGCCCGAGGGCGCCAAGAAGCCCGAGGAGCGTGCCGATGTCACTGTTTCGGAGTCCAAGGCCGCCGAGACTCCCGCTCCTTCCGACAAGGAGGCTCACGACGAGCTGTAAACGTGGGTCGCTTGGATCTTTTTTGCCCTCTAGTGTTTTGTATCACCAATTTGAATTGGGCCATTGATGATTTGTGTTGGTATTCCGTAAGACCTCCGTAGCGAAAACTAGGGAAGTTGTATGCCATTGTAGAGGGATCGGGGCGCAATAATCCGTTGCGATAGATCCATTCTTCCCAATCGGGTCAGCTTCGTCTTATCTAATCTACGACGCGTTTCGCGTTTCGCGTCGATCGCTGCAACTTTCATCAACAGCGCATCTTGAGATCCCCTGTTTCACTCCCCTCCTTTTTCAACAGACAATCCTCGCACTCCGTGTTGCATGATATCGATTGTTTCCCGGTCACGTCGATTTCCTCCACGCTTCGCCATGGTTAGCCCGGCACTGAAGCGGAACTCGGACCACCTCTCAGCCCCAGCGGCAAACAGCAAAAAGCCCAAAGGCGCCAGTATCACGTCCTTCTTTGGACCACCCAAGCCAAAGGCCACCAGTACCACTCTGACAACGGCTTCAACTCCGGCCCGGTCAACTTCTTTTAACAAGGACAAATGGGTGGCGTCTCTCACGGCGGAGCAGAAGGAGCTGCTCCGGCTGGAGATCGATACTTTGGACGACAGCTGGCTTGCTTATCTCAAGGATGAGGTGGTTAGTACTGAGTTCTTGAACCTCAAGCGCTTCCTCAAGAAAGAAAAAGATTCCAAAGCCAAGATCTTTCCTCCGGAAGAGGATGTCTATTCTTGGTAGGCCCGTTCCAAGTTGACCATTCCTATTCTGCGTGCTAAGATATTCAGGTCCCGACACACGCCCTTGCACACAGTCAAAGTAGTCGTGATTGGCCAGGACCCGTATCACAATGATAATCAAGCTCATGGCTTGGCGTTCTCTGTGCGACCTCCGACTCGAGCTCCGCCATCGCTGGTCAACATCTACAGAGGAATCAAGAAGGACTACCCAGACTTTCAGATACCGCCGAATAATGCTGGTCTTCTCACTCCGTGGGCCGATCGGGGTGTTCTGATGCTCAATACCTGCCTCACGGTCCGTGCCCATCAGCCGAATAGCCACTCCAATAAGGGATGGGAGAAATTCACTCAGAAGGCAATCGATCTGGTTGCTCGGGTGCGAACAAACGGAGTGGTGTTCCTGGCATGGGGCAACCCCGCTGGAATGCGAGTGGCAAAAATCAACAGAGAGAAGCATTGCGTCCTGCAATCAGTGCATCCCAGTCCACTGAGTGCGCATAGAGGATTCGTAAGTGGTTACCAGTTCCTCTCATTAGCAGGGCTCGGCTGTGAATCTTTACAAAAACATACTAACTATAAAGGTTGCAGTTTGAGAACGGGCATTTCAAGAAATGCAACGATTGGCTGGCATCGCGGTATGGAGAGGACGGAATCATTGACTGGAGTCTAATGTCAACTCGGAAGCCCATGCCCACTCTACCCTCAAATAAGGAGAACTCGCCTACATTAGCCAATGTCGCGTCGTCACCGACAACTAAGGCTGTGGACCTATGTCCAGGGAGTGAAGATCCAGCGGTTCGTCCTCTGGAAGATGAATTTGATGACGCAGATGCTCTTGAAGCTCTTCTGGAGGCGGAGAAGGGAAAGCCTTCGAACGCCACTTAAACCAGGCATGGTCTCTTGCAGCATTATATCCTGCTACGTTTTTCCGCGTTTTGAGTTCTTAATCTATTAGATTTCTCTCGTCCTTCTTCCAGCTTTATCACCCGAGGCGTTCTTGATGTTTCGGAATCTAGGACTTTCTTTGTCGCTCAGTTCATGTTTCCATTCGGTCTTTGTAGATACATTACATCCGTCCATTAGGCTATTTGCGTGCCATGTCCGGTAGGTAGGTAGAATGACATACACAGGCTCACCGAATCAGTTATACTAGAATTTTTATTGGTTATTCCATGTTATCGACAACTTTCGTGCTGGGCGAACAATCGATTTTCCTATTTTCCAGTATTGTTGAGATTGAAGAGACGAATCGCGCATTCGGGGCGGTGCGTGTGTGCTCCGCCCGCGACTTCTCGATAAACTACCGCAAGTTCCTTTGCGTCTCCGCCAAGACCTGCGGTACGATGTGAATGTAGAACGAATCTATAACCGAATGGAGCTCACTTGGCTTGCTGATACTCCCCAGTCGCGGAGTAGGACTCGAGCCTTGCGAGCTTGTCCTGCCTGCCAACGGAGAAAGGTACGCGGTCGCGATGCAAATCCCGTATTCCCTGCTGAAGATATTATAGAAACGATGTCGACATCCGATGGCCTACCCCGAGCTTTTGAATGATCAAATCCCCAGCAAATTTAGAGGCACTGCCTCGAACACCTCCACTGGCGGCGATACAGGCCATCAGCCTTCTCGCTCCCGTGGTCCGGCTCGGACAAGAACTGCATCTGCAGATGCAGCGTTGCCATCGTTTTCCAGCACGGAACGATTTGTGGGTGACCTGAACCCGGAAGCTGTCATTCGAGAGAGGCTAGATGAGCCGACTGGCAATTCTCTTCGAGGCCGCATTGGTCTTTGGATCAGCTCGCCAACGACAGAGAATGCCAGCGGTGCGCGAAAAAAGCGCCTGGCTTCTGGCACGGAGCCTCTACCTAGTGGGCCACCTCAATCAGCCCTTGATGGCCAGATAATTGCATCGGTCTTACATCAACGCTACGCATCTGCAATGCAAGCATGTGGCCCGCTTCCGGCCACGACTCGGGAGCCACTAACGGCCATCTATCTGTCAAAGGTCAATCACATCGTTCCTCTTCTTGAAAGTGATGTCTTTTTACGTGACCAAGTGGAAGGCTTGACCTCGGTGTTTCTTGAGAGGGCCGTCTGCCTGGTCGCAGCCAAAGATCCCGCTGCTGCTCCTCACCTGCGTCTGACGGAGAATGGGTCGGTGCAGACCTCGCGTCAATTCTGTAGTGAAATATACAAAGGACTCGTCGCTGCCATGGATGCAGAGCTAGAGACCGACCGCTTGACTCGCATTCGTATACTAGCATTGATGTCTCTACACTGTGAAGGATATGAAGGAGCCGAGGCTGCATCCCTTCAACTCTGCCAGGCCATCCACCTGGCCCAAACAGTAGGTTTGCACCTTGACCGGCCGGATCGAGTATCTGCAGACCCCCTTGCGAACTTGTTCTGGTGTATGTGGACACTGGACAAGATGCATGCAAGCATAGGCGGGCGTCCGGTGCTCCTGGCCGACCGGGACATTGGGGTTGCAAAACCCAATATCCAGACCCACAGCCGCGGGGCATTTGGGGTGTGGCTGGCCATCTCCGATCTTCTTGCAACAGTCATTTCCTTTTACCGGCCCTCTGCGGGTGTCACCAGCGGATGGGAGGAAGGGTTCCCTGCCTTTGAAGACATCGTGGGAGAAAACGCCCAGGGAGATCTAGACTATGCGACCCTGGGTATGTTTGTCCTCGGCTTTTATCAAACATCAGTGCCGTGGAAGCTAACTGCCGATGTAGGACTCCTGGAGCTATATTATCACTGCGTGGCAATTTTGTCCTGTCGATATAAACTGACCGAGGGCCTCGATGGCAGCAAAGTCTCGTCCATCCGGCAGGGTCTCGCGGCTATTCGCATCTATTCCATCGTCGCGTCAGAATATGCAGGCAACCTACCGCCCCTTCCAATTGTACCCTACGCGATTACACTATCCATGGGTGTTTCCTACCGACAACTCCGGTCCAGCAAGCTGGTCACCCATTTTGACCGGGCCAAGGCTAGTCTGGAAGCATGCTGTTCGCTGCTAGAAGACCTCAGTCCACAATGGTATTCTGCCGAGGCAATGGCTCGCCTGGGACAAAAAGCATTGCATCAGATTGATTACGAGCATCAACGCCACCCTGCATCAGAGCTCTCGATCTCGCAACCTACTACCGGAATGGCTCCGACCGGTTCGGTGGCCACTGAACTCCCAAATGTATATGAAGGCCCGGCCCAGGGAGGAAACGAGGTCGACTCAGCCATGGCATCCATGAGATCCGCCCCTGAATTGCCGATGGGGAGTCCCCTGGCAGCGACGAGCGAGCTAGATACCTCGATGCACGGATTTGCAGATTTCGACACGCTATTCGGAGAGTTCCTGGACCTGTCGTTACCGACGAACTTCTGGGATCCCATTTTTGCGGAGGAAGAGCAGACTCAACACGGAAATCAGTGAAGAACTACAGTACCTACCACGAGAGGTTGAATGCCGATCGTGGCCAGAACACGGCAGACCCGTTGGCCTGTGGGGAAATCAAATGGCGATCGTCGCAGGCGCAGCCCGAATGGGGCTTCTTAAGCCGCGTATTTCGTGGCTTCGTCCCACTCTTCCAGGGCTCCCGTCGCTTTGTTTCTTTGTCTTTGGTTCGGGGAAAGTGGATCTGGCAAAAGGCAGGATTTCCATGGGAGAGGCCGGTGTCAAAGCCGGGCCTCCCCCTTGTGAGGTCCACCTTGAATCGGCACTTGAAATTATTTTTACGAACGGCATCTTCTCCGACCGCTCATTTCGGCCCCATTTTTCTTGGTTCTTTATTTCTTTAATTTCTTTTTAGTCTCTGCCATCGGTAGTGTTAGAGAACTCGCGGTCCCCGGTGTCTCACTTTTTTTCATTGTCCCGCCACCGCGGTTTCGGCTTCAAAGTGTATGTCTTTATCCCTGCGATCGCAACAGCCTCTCTAACGACCTCATAGTATACAGTTGTCCTTGCGTGTTGATTCACTCATCTAGCCAGCCATTCTCCCAGCCGTTGCGAACCCTTTGAAGCCGAAGGGTAAACATCTTACAAGGCCAGTCCCGATCGCGATTTTATATCCGACTGCATCCCGATGGATGCTGGCATGAGCTTTGATTGGCATGCCATGCGCCGCTACTGAACCACCTGTGATTTCCCACGACTTGCGTACACTTGAAGAAAAGCGCGGGTCAAGGGTGAATCTCTTGGAATCAATTGACGCGTTCATCCGGACCACAGTTGTTTTGCCGAAGCATTCATGGCGGCATTGGACATGGATAAAACACGTGCTGCAGGTGGCAGAGTTGACCCCGAGGAACAGCTGGCCTGTTCTGCAGTTGTGGATACACAGCTTCCGTCTTATCCAAGTCATCCAATTACCCTGCTCCAGGGTCCATTTGAAGAGTCTATTTTGGAGGCGAACAACAGCTCAGCTGAGGAATGGGCCGTCGATATCGATGCGCAGACACGTCGGCGTGATTTGTTGGAGAACGATGAGTATGAACGGCTTTGTGGGCGGAAATGGCGCCAGAGGGGTGCCGAAAGGTGAGAATCGAATTGCACGTCGACTCTGTTTGGACCATGTTGGTATTGACTCAGACGTAGATACCATCCTTTCTGGAAGCTGGTTTCCCAGATGGTGTTTGGTGTTCATCTCCTGGCCATGCGGCTTGCGAAATCCGAGTTCGAGGTGATGAAGATTCTCCAGGGCCACGTCGATGAACTGGACGGATTCCTACAAAGGACCACGGAGGACTTCTTGATTATCCATCTGGATGTGCGCACGAGAATACAATATCTGAGTCTTCCCCTCGCCAACCTTGATGCGTTCGATGAAATGCTGCAAGATCGGAATTTCCGGCTATCCCTCGTGGCCTATAATGATCAGATTGAACATGCCGTGGACAGATTTACACTCACCATTACGGATTCGCTCAAGGATCTCCAGAAGGGTAAGGAGGCAATGGGAGCCTTGTGGCATTATATGCGGCAGCTTGCAGATGAAGGTTGCTTTGAGCCGGATCGCCTCAAACTTTTCTACCAGTCCATGATGGAAAACATGGAGGGCTGGATCAAGGCCCTGTCGAAGCTCCGCCGACGTGGGGCAGCCCTTTCCAAGGCGCTTGGTCAATTGGCATTTGCAGTCACCGAGATGCAACGGCGCGTTGGAGTGGCCAGCCGGAAGGATGTGCGGTCCATGATGATGGCCAACGGATGCCCGACTCGAACCAAGTGTGTCTCTCAGGGGCTCTTTTCGAAGGATTCGAGTCCTCCTGGTTCGTGCACAGTGCGCGATAAGCCCTTACCACTCGATCCTTTCTTGAAGCCTAAAATTCCTGGACCAGCCACTCGCCCAGTTCATACACCGGCAGAAAAGGGGGCCATGGATCCTAACGGCGACAAAGCAACCAAGAGAGTGAGCGCCCTTCCAAGGGTCATCGACCGAGCGAAGTCATGTAGCGCTCTGGTCGGAGGATGTGACTCGGGTGCCACAACTCCTCCTCGAATGCCGGGAAGACTCACGAGGCGTCTCTCCAAACCCTTTCTCCTCAAACGATCGGTCAGTGAAAAGACTGATTTCCCTCAGAATCGGCCAGCCACAGCGCCAGCCCGGACACTTAAAACCCGCAGTGCCTCGATAGAACAATTGAAAGCAATGTGGGCAAATGGTCGTCCTCGCACTCAGCAATCAATGGCAAAGTTACCCTCACGTTCTCGACACCAGGCCTCACTGCCTCCCGATGGCAGCGAAACCATGAAGGATCAAATATCTCAGTTCCTGAAGACAGACCGCGTGGTCGAGGCCTGGGAAAACATTACCACCAAGGCAGACTGCTGTGGCCGAACACTCATAAAGACCAAAGAGTGGCCTAGTAGCATCTTTCGAGTCAAATCGTTAGGTAACCTGCGATCCCACCCTAGCAAATCGGGCCTGTCCGGCGCCGAATTGGAAAAGCAGATGTCGTGGGTGCAGGAACCGGAGTTCCTAAATACATACTCGTTCAAACAGAGGCCCGAAATGTCGCCTCGGATCCATGTCCTTTCTGTACAGTTGGCCTTGGACGAAGAATTGACTGTTGCCCAGGAGGGCGAGGAGCCTTCCGATGCGGGTGGTGATGCCGGTTCCATCATCACAGCACTACCAGCCGTGCCGCCGGCATCAATACCATCGGTTAGTTACATTTGATGGAGTTTTCTTATCTGGATATAAAGTCTGACTTTTTCGGAGTTGGCTACGAAGTATAGACCTCGAACAGTCGACTGCGCGCAAGCGTGATTGGTCTGGGCCGTCTGAAAGCTCCTCAAAACCAATCCATTGCTATAGCAATTCGCCGTGTTCCTGTCGCTGTCTCCTCGTGTATCTTTTGATGTAACCGCTGTGGGTATGCCAGCCATCAATTGACGATGCGTCTAGGTATATCAGAACGCTATTATACCAATTGCCGTGGACAGACCAAATGCAAGGATGAAAACAATACGTACTAAGACTATCTGGATGGACGAGACGCTTGGACGGCAGGTTCCGTCTGGATATCAAGTCCATCGTCAGCCCAGCTCGACATCCGCGCTGGCTCGTTACCTGATCCTTTCCCCCATTTTCATAATACCATATATACGCTCTACGCAATGCCGAGTTCTTTTCCTTCCAAAAATCCCAAATGCAGATCCAGACCAAGGAGTCTCACAATCAAATTAGTGGTACAAATCAAAACCGGAAAGGGGAAATCTAGCATTCATTTTTCAGACCTTCATGGCTGAGCCTAATCCGACACGCAAGCCCCGGCAAAGCACCTAAGGAGGAAACGCCCAAACATAAACCAACAGAGCCAGGACCAATTCATAACACATGAGCCCATGGCCGAACAAATTTTCAAATGCCCCAGGATCATTTGCAGCGCTTCTCCACGATATTTGCACCGTGTTCGTCGTATTCCTTCTTGGAGATCCACATTTGGTGGAAGGTACCCAAACTCGCCAGGATACTTCCTCCAATCCAGGAGCCGAATCGTCGCTCGGCGGTGTTTCCGGGGGCCGAGATGCGCACCCGGGGTCCGGGGAAGAGCTGCATCAGTTCGTGATTCAAGCGATCGGTGAAGCCGTAGAGCAGGCTGGATGCACCGGTCACAACGACATTGTTCAGGAGATGGGGCCGGATGTCCACGTCAACGCCACCCAGGGATGCCTTGATCAGCTCTGGGAGAGTTTGAGCCTGCGTTGGGGCAGGGAAGATCGAGTCGGGGTCGGGAATGGCAGCTTTCGCATCGAACAAGGATTCCACCACGCGGAAACGATCCGCGCCAAACAGCTGGTTATATCCATCGGGGAACTCGAATGGACGGCCGGGAGAGCTGCGAGCCATCTCCTCGTTGGAGACACCGGTGGGACCGGTGGCAGAGAGCTTGTTCGGTCCGGGCCAAACCTGAACCACACACTCCTTGAACTCCGACAGTGTCCGCTCCTCGAGGAGAGCGCGGTACGTAGCGTCTGGTGCCTTATCGGCAGGGAAGGTCTTGTACTTGGCCTGAGGTGGCTGGCCAGCTTCGACAGCAGTCTTCGAGGAGATCAAGTAGTGAGGCGTGATGGTGATGGGTTGCGGGGAGTTCTTCTTAAACAATGCGCGGATTTGCGACGAAATATAGTCGCCGCCCAGCGGCGAGTGCTGGACACCTCGTTTGAGGATCATGCCATCGTGGACTGGGGTAATAGAAATGTTCGAAGCGCCAATGTCAACAACGAGGGCGGAGGCCTTTCCGGCCGCAAATCTGAAGAGGGATCACGTTAGGCAAAATGCAAGTTGTAAGCAGTTGGTATGTAGCGATACTTACGCCGCAAGCACGCCGTTTCGTGCCAGATAAAAGGCCGGAGTACCCCATTTCTCCATTGCAATCTCGATGGTCTTCTCGCGAGCCTTGACAGGGTTCCAGCCAGCCTCAGTCATCAACAACGGACTGTCGGCCAGAGGCTTCTCATCCGACTCCACCTCCATATCCGTGGGGAGCTCCTCGTTGGAGATGTCGTTCAAGCCGTTGTGAAGGGGGTTGCTGGCCTTTGCGCCAGTAAGTCGCGACGTGAAAGAATACTCCCACACCTTTTCGGCCATATCCCAATCCTCAACAATGCCATCCTTACCGATCGGATTGTGGATGGACAGGCCGGGGCGCGGGGTCACGAATATGTCGTCGCCGTAGATGAGCTTTTCTTGGCCGTCGGCGTTATATTTGCCGTAGTACGTTGGGATCAGGGACTTGGGGGCGTCTTCACCAGCGAAGCCAGCGCGAGTGGTAGAATATCCGGGGTCGAGAACAATGGCAGAGACTTCATCTAAACGCGCACGTGACGTATATTAATATTCATATGCACCAGCACAGCGTAACTACTCGATTGAGAGGGATTGAGGGGATCGAGAGACACGAAGGGCGTCGCATCGCGAAAAGCACGTACCTCCACCGTACTCGCCAGCTTGGGGCGGATTCGAAGGATTCATGATGACAGCGCAAGATGACAAGAAGAACGAGTTTCAATCCACCGGGGGCGTCGACAATTCAATTCGAGACCATGAGAGGACAAAGGGGAGAAGGGGAGAAGGGCGGTCTTTTCGGTGCGGGAACAGCTTTGGCGGAGACTGGTTGGATCCGCTTGGCAGATGACCTCACTTTCAATTCTTCTTTCTTCCTCCACGTCTTCAATGCACCCCAAATTACTGGTTATCAGATACCATGCACTCCATGGACGCCGATGATATTGCCCCCGAATCTCTTTTTCGGCCTGCAAAACGGCGGAAGTTTGTACGGCGGTGCCCAGACGATAGCCTCGAAGACACTACGACTACGGCCAGTGACCGGGTCGTCGACAATAACGAAACCGGTGGTCGCACTCCTGGATTCCAGTCTGCTCCAGACGGTGACGAAGATGCAGAGCCGACTGCCGTCGTCCGCCTTCGGCGACCGCTTACTACTCGGAAAGGTGGCATTGGATTCTCCGCCACGTCGCGATCGGGCAACGGCGAAAGTCGGCACACAGCGCTAGGACCAGCGAGAGATCTTGATAAAGAGACGGTTCAAGATATGTGTGACCGATTCACGGGACGTGCTGGCCAGACGGTGGATGTGGACAGACACATGTACGAGAACTCTCTTCCATGCGAGGTGCTGGGTCGATGCAGACTAACAAGATAAGGATGGCTTATATAGATTCCGAGATGGCTAAGCGTTACCGACGCAGCCCACTTCCAGAGAACGAAAACGTCGATCGACCGACATCGCAAGAACCCACCGGGGGTCAAACAATACCTGGGCAGCCCGAGCGCGAGCCGGCATCGCTAGGCCGACTACACGAGATTGATCTCGGTCAGGAGACCAAGTTACGAAACATTGCGCGCACAGAGGCAGCCACTCGACAATTGGTAGGGGACGAAGAATCGCCAACTCCCGGAGAACCCGCTCCGCAGGATCGCGCCGGTCCAAGTGAACCGTGGCGTAATCGCAAAAGACGGACCAGTGCCGACATCGAACGAGACCGGCTGGTCGAGGAAGTATTGCGTGAAAGCAAACGTATGCATGCCCTCCAGAAGTTTCCAGTCCGATGCTAACCCTCTATCTTCAGTGGATGTCTATGATGAACCAGAGGACGAACTCCCGCATAATGACCAAGCTGCAGATGATCGAATCGCGGAGCAGTTCCGGCGAGACTTCATGGATGCGATCCAGGACCGTCGCAAGGCTCCAAAGACACGCACTACCAAGACGGACAGCACCGAGTTACCCAAAGGACCCAAGCTGGGAGGCAGCCGGAGTGCGAGAGCTGCGATGCGAGAGATGCAGAGCAAGCCCGGGCAGAAATAATTTTCAGTGTACCACTGAGCCTTTGCCGAGTAACTAATTATGACGATTATGAGAATACCTGCATAAGCTTAATGATTCATTTCCGGAGTTCCTTGAACCGTGTAATCTACAGTAGAATGTGTCCGGGCCCTGAACGGGTTTGGTTTGTGGAGGACTGCATCTGCATCAGATGAATCGCAGTCTCACACAGGGCTCATCTCGATAGGTTGCGGTGTAATAGGTCATACTGTACATAGTAGTCAGGCAGGAATGCCATACAAACTCGCATGGAATCAATATCCGTGGACGACTGTCTCATTAGGTAAATGGCCAAGTGTTGGCCAACCCGGATCCACATTGTGGCAGAGGGGACTGGACCTATGCATATTTTTGGAATCGAGGATCTGCGTTTGATATCACCTACGCCACATCCCGTTCGACTGACAAGGGATGTTTAAACGCTTTGCTGGGCCGTGACAGGGGCTCCATCGTGGCCCGGCTCAGCCTATCGTGGGACCGAAGTAATAATAACGGCCCAACCGGCCGGCGCTTGGCTTGTCTCAGGTTGATGGCGCGCGGCACAGTCTCGGGGCTCCCTTTTCCGTGAGGACAGCTAGGTAACACCGTAGACTGAAGCTCCTCAATTTCAGCGCAACGCTGGGTCTGTGTGCGCACAAGGGTTCGCGTCCACGGCGAGATCTGGCAGTCTGAGAAGATCCACAGCGTCTAGAATGTCAATCTGGCGAGCCACAGTGTACGGAGTAACGGTCTCGTACGGAGCACATCTGGAACCCCCATTTTAGGGAAAGTCGGCACAGATCTGGGCTTCGATTAACCATGGCTCGAGGTGGCGGGGCCGCTTGGGGGCTTGTGTGGTCCACTCATTGCTTGGTTGTTTACAGAGAGGAAGGGCGAAGGGAGCTGAGCGCCTGCAGAATGTTCACAGCGATAATATTAGGGCATCGCAAACTTAAGACATAAGACACGACAATAAGAATAGCAACGAGGTGACCAGAGAGCGAATAACGAATAACGAGAAGAGGCGAGTCTAGACTTGTGAAACGCGCCGGGGCCAATCAACCTGCTCAGGGGCAAACGTCCCCATCGTCCGGGTCGAGACTTTCAAGACTTTCTCTGAGGGGAACTCGGTTTGTTCAATCTCTCTTTGCTCTTGCTCTTACAGCTCTTTTTCAAGTCGTTCTTTGCTTTATACCACTCTCTCTTTGCATCTCTCGCGATCTTGCCGTCTTCGTTGCTTTCATCTCCTTTCGGCCTACAGGTTGATCCTGTCGGTTCTCGCGCGATTGAACCCCCCTTCGGCTCCGTACGCCCTTTTTAATTCACCGTCGATGTTCTTGCGCCCAATTCGTCTCGATTAGTGACCCGTTCAAAATGCGGAAGACCATCTGGGCCCTCCTGGGCCTGGGTGTGTTGCCCCAGTCTCTAGCGGCCGATACCCTGAGTACCAAGGGTTTCAATCTGTGCATGACCGATTCCGACATCAAGGTCACCAATCTCGATGTCGTCTACACTCGTTCTACCAAGGAAGTCGTCTTCGATGTGGCTGGTACCAACTCGAAGCGACAGAATGTCACCGCCTCTTTGACGGTGACTGCCTATGGCAATCAAATCTACAGCAAGACTTTTGACCCGTGTGGCGACGAGGTCCACGTTGATAAGCTTTGCCCCGGTGAGCATCCGCCTCATCTTTCCCGCAACGTCGTTCCAACCGGCTGACCCGACTCGCATTAGTCCCCTCTGGCTCCTTCTCGGCCCAAGGAAGCATCGTTGTCCCGGAAAACTACGCCAGCCAGATCCCTTCTATCGCCTTCAACATCCCCGATCTGGACGGACAGGCCAAGTTGACACTAACGTCCAAGGACACCGATGAGGACGTGGCATGCGTCGAGTCCGAGCTGTCTAATGGAAAGTCCACGAGTATTAAGGCTGTGGCCTGGGCCTCAGCCGGTATCGCGGCGGGCGCTCTTGCGCTGAGCGGTATCTCTGCACTCGGTGCAGCCGGTCATCCCGGCGCCCACTCCTCTAGCCCGGGCTTCGGTGATGTGATGGGTTGGTTCCACAGCATGGCCACCAACGGCATGCTGAGTGTCGCCTACCCTACCGTCTACACCAGCTTCACCAAGAACTTCGCCTGGAGCACCGGTTTGATTTCATGGGGAGGCATGCAGAACTCGATTGATTCTTTCCGACGAGCCACCGGCGGCAATTTGACCCAAGATAACTATGTCTACCTGACCAGCTTGAGTGACTCGTCATCAAACGGCAGCTCGTCGACCAAGCGGAGCTTGAACTTGATGCTCCGTGCTGTCGACCTCGTGCCCCGCTCCATGGATTTGTCCGATTCGAGCTCTTCAAACGGCTCTTCAAGCAGTGGCAGTAGCAGTCTCTTCTCGGTTTCCGGGATCAAGAGCGCTGCAGAGGAGGCCATGATTCCTTCCGCCAATGTCTTTATGACCGTTCTCCTGGTTTTCGCCATTGTCGTCGCCGTTATCGTTGTCGGCATTCTCCTTCTGAAGATTATCCTGGAAACATGGGCATTGTACGGCAATTTCCCCAAGAAGTTGTCCAATTTCCGCAAGGACTACTGGGGTATTATGGCTCGCACCATCACCAACATGATTCTCGTTTTGTACAGTATCTGGGTGCTGTACTGTATCTACCAGCTCCGAAATGGTGATTCATGGGCAGCCAAGCTGTTGGCTGCGGTGACTCTCGTTGTTTTCACGGCCGTTTTGGCCTTCTTTGGGTGGCGCATTATCCACATGGCCCGCAAGTACAAGAAGGCCGAGGGTGATGCCACTTCTCTCTACGACAACAAGGACACCTGGCGCAAGTACAGTCTGTTCTATGACAACTACAAGAAAGACTTCTGGTGGCTGTTTGTGCCGATCATCGTGTATGCTCTGGCCAAGGGCTGTATCATTGCCGGTGCCCAAGGTCACGGTCTGGCTCAAAGCGCCGGCCAATTGGTTGTTGAAGCTCTTCTATTGATCCTCCTCCTGTGGAACCGTCCCTACGCCACCAAATCGTCCATGGGCATCAACATCACCATCCAGATCGTGCGGGTTCTGTCAATTGCCTGTGTGTTGGTCTTTGTGGAGGAGCTGGGACTCTCCCAAACCACCAAGACCGTGACTGGTATCGTCCTCATTGTCCTCCAGTCTACTCTGACTGGTGTGCTCGCAATTCTCATTGCCGTCAATGCCGTCATCACTTGCATTCGCGAGAATCCTCACGCCAAGCGGAGAAAGGAAGCCGAGAAAAACAACCGTGACCTCGACGACCTCACCCCCTTGGATGCACGAGAATCTCTCTTGATCGAGCACCCTCAAAAGAGGGACTTCACCGAGATGAGCAAGTTCAACTTCACTGGGCCCTACGAACCCTATCGGGACCTACCTCACCGATCCAATTCCACAGGCAGCAACGAACGTCTGGTGTATGCCGACTACGGTGTAGCACACACCCGCAACTCGAGCCAACAATCCCGACACAGTGGTCGCCGCAGCCCATCGCTCGAAGGCCGTCAACCGACCAAGCCCGGCTACGGCATGGCGTACTAGAGCGCCATAGATGTCACGACGTTGCCCTTCTTTACTTTATTTCCCCGTGTTTCTCACGAGGCACCGGTGCTACTACCGGCAACATTCTTCTGCCTAAATTTTGTTAAGCGTGTTTAAGTGGCGGACGGATTTCTTGCTTGTCTTTTGGATTTTGTGCCATAACACCCTTCTTCTCTCTCTCTCTCTCTCTCTCTCTCTTTTTTTTTTTTTTTTTTCTTCTCTCAACACACTCAACCTTTCCCTTCGCTTTGTTTCCTACATATCAACCGTCTTTTATTCCCAGCTTCTGTCTTGGGATTTTGTGAAAAACTTGTGGTTTGCATACATGTGATAGATATTGGCTACAAAGCAAATTGTTCTGAAATTCTGGTTTCCTTGGTATATCATCAAGTAGTCGCACCTAACTGGATTGAGGTAGTTATTGCTGGGGAAGAGGGATCTCTAGTCATAGTGATCTGAACTACACTTGCTGGAATAGATCTAGATACCCCAATACTACTTCACGGAAATGATTTTGAATGATTTTGTCATTGCAGGGACTCTGAATAGGAACCAAATCGAGTAAACCACCGTTTTCTTTCTGCACGGTTAATCAATTCCCTAGAACCCCCTGAAAGCCGCAACCCACTAGACTCGCCTGTCCATGATGAGGAAGAAAAAGCAAACAAGCGCAAGATCCATCGACGAAAAGAGAAAATTTTGACTGAAAAGGGTCCCTTGACAGACAGAAGAAGAAAGAGTGAAAAAAACCTGCCGAGTCCACAGTCTAACGAGAGTAGGGGTGGTAACCACGAGATTGTCCTCCACGACCACCCCCGCGATAGTTAGCACCGGGCTTGCCGGCGTTCCGGGGACCAGTAGGGGCGTTGGCCGGAGCAGCGCTCGGCTGGGGAGTGGATCCCGATTCTGTATAGAGAGTTAGATGGAGTCGATGGTTCAAGGGCAAATCATGTCACGTACCGCGTCCCATGCTGCCACTGCGAGCCATGCCTTGAGGTCCAGTGGGAATATTAGGCTGAGGCACCTCGTCGTACATGCCCTCCCACGAGGTTGGGCCACCCTGCTGATAGGGCGAGAAGGCACGATTCTCCATGGCGCGGCGAACCTGCTGGTGCTCGTACTTCTGCTGCTCGAAGGCAATCTGTTCCTGAGCATTGTAGCCGGGGCCACCCGGGGCGTTAGCACCAGCAGCACCAGCAGCACCGGAAGCACTGCCTGACTGGCGGTTGTAGTTGGCATTGGGACCGGGGCTAGCACCACCGTTGCCACCGCCCTGGGCCTGGTTTTGCATCTGCTGCATCATGGCCGGGGTCATCATGTTTTGCATGTTCTGTTGAGAACCGGGGCTTTGCGGGTTGGGGCTCATGCCACCCTGTTGCTGGTTGCCACCACCCATTTGCTGCTTCATTTGCATCTGTTGCATCTGTTGCATTTGCTGCATCATAGCAGGGTTCATGCCCTGCATCATGGCGGGGTTCATGCCGCCTTGGCCCGAAGCTGCGGCCACAGCCATCTGTTGCTGCATCATAGCAAAGTATTGCTGCATACGCTGCCAGTACTGAGCCATCATTTGGGGAGTCATGCCACCGGTCATGCCTTGCTGTCCTCCCTGCTGCTGGGCGTTGTCTCCTTGGCTCATGTCGCGGAAGTTGTCACGGCCGCCGCGACGGCCTCGGTCCTCGTCTCGCAGGTTACCACGGGGCTGAGCTTTCTTCACCTCGATGGTTTTACCCAAGATCTCAAGCGGCCGAGAGAGAGCATTTTCGACGGCGGCTTCGCTGTCGAAAGTCACGAAACCGAATCCACGGGGACGTCCAGTATCCTTGTCGATCATGAGAGTGGCATCGATCACACGGCCGAATTGCATGAAGAACTGCTTGAAGTCCTGTTCGGTTGCCTCTTGGCTGACACCGCCGACGAATATCTTGCTAGTCTTCTCCTGTTCATCACGAGGAATGGCACGTTTGGGATCGATCTTAGTGTTTGAGTTAGCTGGCGGTTCCACTTCTCTATCTCATTTTCGAGCAATCTTACAATCTTGCCATCCAGGTAATGCTCCTTCACCATCACCGTGTTCACAGTTTTAGGGTCCCGGAAGGTCAGAAAACCAAAGCCACGCGAACGGCCAGTAGCGCTATCTCGCATGACAGTGCACTCTTGAACATCACCGAACTGCGAGAAGTAGTCCCGAAGAGATTCTATGCACCCGTTAGACCTGATATTGACCCTCTCCCATCGACCGAGTACATACGATCTGTTGTTTCCCAGTTCAAGCCACCGATAAACATTTTCCTAACCAACGATATTAGCCTCAACCGAAATCCATGTATCTCCAAATAAAACTGCCAACGACCAACAAAAAAAAAAAAAACAAGATTAGAAGCGCGAATGTGAGGGCAAGATGTGAGTGCTCTGGCTATGGAGCTGGTGGTGCTAAGCTGCTATTCACGAATACGGCTAAATGCCGGTCTGTCTGGCGCCCATGCTTTGTCAATGGCGCGATGTTGGATGTCGAGGGTGTACGGTGACAGCAAAGTGTCCCATTTTCCAATTCCAGCGCGCAAGCCCACCTGGTTTACATGAGCTTGATCCGAAGATAGACCATGTTTCCCCTCGTGGGCTTCATATTCGGAAGTTGTAGGCGAGATTGAGGATGCAGCGAGGAATTCAGGCGAAATAAGTGAATTATCACTGTCTGACTGTCTGTCCCCGATGCAGGGAGAACCCCTGTCTAACAGAGTCCCAAGCTAGATAGCGATGGCTTGATAACCTCCCATCAGACAGCGTTGCTACTTCTTGCTCTGCTCTATCAACGTATATCGACAAGAAGCTATATAGTATCCGCCGTACTATATATGGTGGCTCGCAACAATGGTTCGCGGCAGGTTCTGATCTCCTGTCACACTTGTTCGCGGCCGACTCGACCACCGGCCCTTAGCCAAAGGTCCCCCCCCCGAGACATCTGCTGGGTTTTCTATTTCTGCTTGATCTTCATTGCCGTAGGAGCTGGTTGCCAGTGGCTCGTGGAGTCAACCGTAGCACCGAGAGAGTTTTGGCAAGACGCTGATGAGGTCGTAACGGGCCTGTGTGTGCATAAACACCGAGCGCATTTGAGTTTGCTCATTCACCTCCCCACAATCGAAGGCATATGCTTGTACCAGTGGGCCGCAACCCGTCCTTGAATATCGCGTTGATATGGGGAATCGCAGAGGAACGTAAAAATCAAGTTCCAACACCCACCAGGCATTTGCGCCGTGAATAGCACTTGACACCACCCAAAACCAGCAAAGCCTGGCCAGGTAGACACCAAAAATCGACGAAATCGAATAAACATAAAACACAGGGCTCAATTCACTTACCCATCTTCCTTGATTCCCGTTCCATGATTGTCGTTATCCGCCGGAGCAGGTACGGGGGTAGCGGAGGCGCCATTATGACCATTCTGATAGCCCATGCCGTACTCCATCTGAGAAGGGGCTTGCGCAGGGTATGTATCGACATGCGAGTCCTCGTAGCTCTGGATAGGCGCATCTCCAGTAGGCTCTGCAGGGATAGCCGAAGCAGCGGGTTCGGCAGGCTTTGCGGTCTCTACCGCAGAAGTTGCGCGATTGGTCGATTCATCGGCGTCATAACTGTGTGATCGAATTGTCAGTCGGGACAGTCCTAAGAGCAGATTTAGGTGAGGGACGTACAGATCAGCGAAGAGATCCTCCTCGAGTTCTTCCGGTTCCGCCATGATGCTGGAAAATTCGTGACACGGGTGAGAGGGCAATGGGGAATAGAGAGAACTAAGCGTCTAGCGAGAACAGAAGACCGAGAGACCCAGAAGCTCAAGGATCCTAATGCGTGGGGGAAAGGAAGGAGTGGAGTGAAGAAACGGAGGGAGGAAAGCGGTGGGTGCCATGGGCACCCATGGCACTATTACTCACGCACGGTCCGATCTCCGAGCTATGGGACGTCTGCAACAAACCGCCCTTTGAAGTATACTACAAACCCCTACCATCAGGACAGATTCTAAGGATTGCGATTTGCTTTGAAGCACTACGGCGACATGCATTATTGAGCTCTGAGTTTCCCGATTGCTACAGGGCCCGAAGGAGCGAACGCCATCATTGCAGGGCCCCCCCGCACTCGAAACCCGTTAAGGTCACGCAGTCCACAACCATGGCGAACAAAAAGGGGCAGCAGGTAGGTTTCGTTCCGACCATCCAGAGCCTGCTATGGTGGCACTTAAGCTGACTGCCGACGCAGGAAATGGTCCAGGTTGGTCAGTATTACCCCTTCGCAGCTTCCTTACGGTTTACAGCTAACGAAGGTGCTTTGGTAGACAATTCCGAGTACGTTCCATGCCCGCCGATTTATGCACCGTGGATTGACACTGACTACTGTTAGACGTGCAGAATCTCCCTTTTGGGCTGGCCGAAACGCATCCCTGAATCAGTCTCAGTCCAAGGTCTACGGACAGAACACGGTGGTTGGTGCTTCATACTCCCACGCCAATATTCTACAGTCTGTCATCCCACCACACAATTTGTTTTGTATCAATTGTCTTCTGGTCGAGACATCCTGACTAGGGTTTTATTTATAGAAGTGCATCATCCGGCCCACGGCCTAGAACACCGCCTCGATCGTCCTCGAGCAATGCCCCATACCCTGCGTCGCAACTGGCTCATCGACCTGGGAACGTGGTAACTTCGCCCACTCGTGAAAAGCCATATTCGGGAATCATGGCTCAAGGGGTGGATGAGTGGAGCCGTGACCCCACTGATGATGATGAAGATGATGATGACGATGATGACGAGATTGTATACGACGACGACGAGGATGAATTTGGACTTCCAAGTCTTGCCAGTATGAGGAGAAAGAAGTCAGGCCCTTTGAAATTCAAGAGCGCCAATCCCGGCGGATCGATGGGCGAAAATCCTTCCTCCCTGGGGTTCAGTCTCGCGGCCAACAACAGACAGCGGGCAAATAGCTCAGACATTGCCGAGGAACGGGGCGCACCCATGTACCCAACGGCACGAAAAAGCGAAGGAAAAATTCTTAGGCCACAGTACAAAGATATCCTACAAGGTAGAGATGCTATTCGGGACCTCAGGCCGCAGAAATGCTAACTCTACTCCTAGATCCTGCAAATGCCTTGAATCTCATCAATCACACTGTGCCCCCGACAAATGCTACACCAAAGGAGAGAGAGATGCATTCGAGCCGCATCTCACGAATCAACAAATTCAAGCGCATTCTGCAGGCAAGCACGGTATCTATAACCGAATTGCGGGACCTTGCATGGTCTGGTGTTCCAGAGGAGGTTCGGCCGATGACCTGGCAGCTTCTCCTCGGCTATCTTCCCACAAATAGTGAACGACGTATATCCACACTCGAGAGAAAACGCAAGGAGTACCTTGACGGAGTACGTCAGGCCTTTGAAAGGGGCAGTGGAGCCGCAACAGCAAACCCTCCGGCTTCGAGTACAGGACGCGGGAGGGGACTGGACGAAGCAGTCTGGCACCAGATCAGCATAGATGTCCCGCGCACGAGTCCTCATCTTCCACTCTATGGTTACGAAGCTACACAACGTTCTCTAGAGCGCATTCTATACGTGTGGGCTATTCGACACCCCGCCAGTGGATACGTGCAAGGTATCAATGACTTGGTCACACCTTTCTTCCAAGTGTTTCTAGGCGTGTACATCACCAATCTGAACGTTGAAGAAGGCATGGACCCAGGCCAGCTTCCCCGAAGTGTCCTGGATGCAGTCGAGGCCGATACATTCTGGTGTATAACGAAGCTTCTCGACGGCATCCAAGATAACTACATCTATGCCCAGCCTGGCATTCATCGCCAGGTCAGAGCCCTGCGGGATTTAACTGTGCGCATCGACTCCGCCCTTGCCAAACATCTCGAGCAAGAGGGCGTAGAGTTCATGCAGTTTAGTTTCCGATGGATGAATTGTTTACTCATGCGGGAAATGAATATTAGGAACACGATACGCATGTGGGATACGTACATGGTACGTTGTTCATGGACACTTCGCTTTTGTTCTCATGCTAACGGCTATTCCAGGCTGAGGAGCAGGGCTTCTCACGATTTCATCTTTACGTCTGTGCTGCATTTTTGGTCAAATGGACAGACCAGCTCCTGAAGATGGATTTCCAGGTAAATGCATTCTGCACCATACAAGCTACAGACCCGAGAGACTAATTTCTGTACAGGAGATCATGATGTTTCTCCAAGCATTGCCTACGAAGGACTGGACTGAGAAAGATATCGAGCTCTTGCTGAGCGAAGCATTTATCTGGCAGAGCCTATTTCAAGACTCCCGCGCACACCTCCGAGCTGCTGGTGAACCGCCTGAAAATGGTATCTTTTATTGATAGTAATCATAATTCATCATTCCAAATCGGACTCCAATCCTTGCTTTGTTTTGGCGCCCCTGGAGATATGGTCTCGATCAACTGAAATGGATTCCCTTCTGGTTGAAGGCCCAAAGCATCTTCAAGAAATCATTCTCGTCACACATTCTTGCACGTCTGTCGGCAAGGCCGGTTTCGTCCTCGAGGACCTGGCGTACCTTCTCGCGCACCAACTCTGCCACCTTTCCTCGCTTCTTCCGCGAGGGCTTCTTGAGTGCCTCCTGAAGGCGGTTGTTGGTTTCTTCCTTAAAGAAATCGGGGACGTCATCATCGTCCATCTCCATAGCCTCATCAGGGTCCTCCTCAGCTGCTTGTTCCTGGCCCATATCCATCGCGTCGCCATCGGCATCTTCTGCCGGGCCATCCTCCACCGGAATGTCATTTTGAGCACACCAAGTGCGATAATTCGATTCGAGAATGTTCATGATGGTGGGAGTGCCGATGAAACTAGCTCGCAAGGTCTTGTTCTTGCGCACGAATGCAATGCGCAAAAGACCATCCCACTCGTCGTAGTTGATCTGCGGCCTCGGGACCTTGGGGACCATGCGGATAACGCTCGACTCGACCAACGGCGGGGGCTTGAAATTGTTCTTGCCGACCTTCATGATGTGATCAATCTTCGCCCACATTTGGGCGTTGACGGACAAACGACTGTAAAGCTTGTCGCCGGGTTTGGCGAATAAACGCAACGCGAATTCTCGTTGGAACCTATGAGTATTTGTATGTTAGCATATGCAAAATGAATTACAATATAAGACACGTACATGAGAATACAAGTACGAGGCGCGGGCAATGTGGCCAGGAGCTTGAATGTGAGAGGGGAAGAGATCTGTAGAGCATTAGAAACAGGTATCTCCCAGATCAGAGGCGGCATATACCTGGTAAGGAGTGTTGCTAATGCAGACGTCGAAGTACGGAAGCTCAGTTTTCATGACATCTCCAAGAATCACTTCCAGACGTTTCTGGGCCGGAGTGCCTTGGAAACGCTTGGTGACTTCGGCCGCCATTCGAGGATCCAATTCCACCGCGATAGTCTTCTTGGCCTTCTCCAGAATCTTCGCTGTCAAGTTTCCAGTACCGGGACCGATTTCGAGGACCACATCACTCTGCTTGAGATCGGCTTTGTTGACGATTCTATGTGGTTGTCAGCGCGTTTTCAATCGTTTGACCAAGAGAGCACTCACTGCTCAGCAATACCGGGGTTTTTCAAGACGTGCTGGCCGATATCTGTGTTCATCTTGAAGATGCTGTGCGCGGCCTTGGTCTTTGCGACTGCATCTGAGTGCGCGCTGTTGCGCTTCTGGGGTTTGACTTTAGGCATTTTGAACGGGGTCTGTCAGAAGACGAAGCTTTGCGACAAATCCCTCAGAAAGGAAAGAACCCAAGGTAAACTTGGCGATGTCACTGTGGGCAACTTTTTTTCCCGCGATAAGATTGTCGGATTCGGATCTACTTTTCTACGGGGCCCGCCCATCAACTCTCTCCAACTCTTGTCGCAGCTTCATGCCCCATCATGGCGTCCGGACGCAAGGATTTTCTCAGCCAGCAGGCGCCGGAGAACTATGTCGCCGGTCTGGGTCGTGGTGCGACTGGCTTCACCACACGCTCCGACTTGGGACCCGCGCGCGAAGGCCCGACACCTGAACAGATCCAGGCCGCGTTAACGAAACGAGCTGCCGCGCTCGGAGCTGCTGCGCCCACCGCCTACGGTGATAAGTCTCGCGAGAAAGGAGGCAAAGAAGACAAGGAGGAAGAGGACGATGAGCGCTTCCAGGATCCCGACAATGAGACGGGCCTGTTTGCCTACGGGCAGTTCGACCAGGAAGACGATGAGGCAGATCGCATCTACCAAGAGGTAGACGAGAAGATGGATAGGCGCCGAAAAATTCGAAGGTTAGTACCATTCCCTTGCGCAGTCCTCTCCCAAGAGATATCTTGTTCATCGGGCCAAGCCCCGGTTGTTTGGACAGAATACCGACTTGAATCGTTCGCCACCTACAGGGAAGCTCGAGAGCAACAAGAACGCGATGACTACGAACGAAAGAACCCCAAGATTCAACAGCAGTTTGCCGATTTGAAACGTTCCCTCGCTGCGGTTTCCGAGGACGACTGGGCCAACCTGCCCGAAGTTGGTGACCTGACGGGCAAGAACCGACGAGAGAAGCAGAACAATCGCCAGAGATTCTACGCCGTTCCGGATAGTGTTATTGCAGGTGCCCGGGACTCGGCACAGTTCGACACAACCGTTGCCGACGACGGCGGTGCAGCCGAAGGAGATGGCGATGGCACCATGACGAACTTTGCGGATATCGGTGCGGCGCGTGACAAAGTCCTAAAGGTCAGACTGGACCAAGCTGCGCACGGATCAACCGCCGAGACCTCGGGGAGTGCCACCAGTATCGACCCCAAGGGCTATCTCACCAGTCTGACCCAGTCGGAAGTCAAGGCCGGCGAAGTCGAAGTAGGCGATATCAAGCGAGTCCGAGTCTTGCTGGAATCCGTCACCAAGACCAACCCCAAACACGCCCCGGGATGGATTGCTCTTGCGCGTCTTGAGGAGCTTGCAGGTCGAATTGTTGCAGCCAGAAATATTATCGCTAAAGGGTGTGAGCTTTGCCCAAAGAGCGAGGATGCATGGATGGAAAATATTCGTCTAAACGAAGGCCACAATGCCAAAGTTATTGCGGCAAACGCCATTAAGAATAACGACCGCTCCACAGGACTTTGGATCGAGGCCATGAAACTTGAAACAGATTCCCGGGCCAAGAAGAATGTGCTCAGACAAGCTATCTTGCACATTCCTCAATCAGTCCAGATCTGGAAAGAAGCCGTCAACCTGGAGGAGGATCCCGCAGATGCACGCCTTTTGCTGGCGAAGGCCGTGGAGATGATTCCCTTGTCAGTGGAATTGTGGTTGGCTCTTGCTCGATTGGAGACACCCGAAAATGCCCAGAAGGTCTTGAACGCTGCACGCAAGGCGGTCCCCACTAGTCACGAAATCTGGATTGCTGCAGCTCGTCTTCAGGAACAGATGGGCACCTTTGAAAAGGTTAACGTCATGAAACGTGCCATCCAATCCCTCGCCAGAGAGAATGCAATGTTGAAGCGAGAGGAATGGATTGAAGAGGCCCAGCGATGCGAGGAAGAAGGTGCCATCCTCACCTGCGGTGCTATCATTCGTGAGACGCTCGGATGGGGCCTGGATGAGGATGATGATCGGAAAGATATTTGGATGGACGATGCGAAGTCTAGCATTGCCCGGGGCAAATACGAGACCGCTCGTGCCATCTATGCGTATGCACTACGTGTCTTTGTCAATCGTCGGTCTATTTGGCTCGCTGCGGCTGACTTGGAGCGCAACCATGGTGACAAAGAAGCTCTCTGGCAGGTTCTTGAGAAAGCCGTTGAAGCATGCCCGCAGAGCGAGGAGCTTTGGTTGCAGCTAGCTAAGGAGAAGTGGCAGTCTGGAGAAATTGACGATGCCCGACGAGTCCTCGGCCGTGCCTTCAACCAGAACCCAAACAACGAAGATATCTGGCTTGCTGCAGTCAAGCTTGAGGCAGACGCCAAGCAGACCGACCAAGCGCGAGAGTTACTGGCCACTGCTCGTCGCGAAGCTGGCACGGATCGCGTGTGGGTCAAGAGTGTTGCTTTCGAGCGGCAATTAGGCAATGACGACGACGCATTGGATCTCGTCAACCAGGGCCTGCAGCTGTATCCGAAGGCCGACAAGCTCTGGATGATGAAGGGCCAGATCTACGAGGCTCAAAACAAGTTCCCACTAGCCCGCGAGGCATACGGAACCGGCACCAGAGCCTGCCCCAAATCTGTCCCTCTGTGGCTACTGGCCTCTCGATTGGAAGAGAAGGCAGGTGCCGTCGTTCGTGCACGCTCTGTTCTTGATCGAGCTCGTCTTGCGGTCCCCAAGAGCGCCGAGCTTTGGACAGAAAGTGTGCGGGTGGAACGTCGTGCGAACAACATCGCCCAGGCCAAGGTATTGATGGCGCGGGCTCTCCAGGAGGCTCCGGCATCTGGATTGCTCTGGAGCGAAAGCATCTGGCACCTCGAGCCGCGGGCACAGCGCAAGGCGCGCAGCTTGGAGGCGATCAAGAAGGTGGACAACGACCCCATCCTGTTCATCACGGTGGCACGGATATTCTGGGGCGAGCGTCGACTAGAGAAGGCGATGACCTGGTTCGAAAAGGCGATCGTCTCGGATAGCGACTACGGCGACGGCTGGGCTTGGTATTACAAGTTCTTGTTGCAACATGGAACAGAGGTTCGTTATTTGGACGATTGGGCTTATGGAATTTTTGCTAATATCAACTTGCAGGACAAACGATCCGACGTGATTTCCAAGTGCATGTCAATGGAGCCCAAGCACGGCGAGATCTGGCAGTCTGTGGCCAAGGACCCGGCCAACGCGCACAAGTCGACGGAGGAGATTTTGAAGATCGTTGCAAACACCGTTAACTGAGATATCATGATGCACTACCATAAGAGGCGTTTTCCTGGATATGGATGAATCCAATTTCTGTTTACCAGATCTGTTCTGTACTCATCTGCGAACCGTAACTCCATAACATAGATGTACGAGTGAAAAATTATCAAAGATAACGAATCGATTTCATGGGTATCGAACAAGCGTGACCTCTCCACGCCGGGTAGAGGCCATCGCCATCAGTTCTGCTTTTTCGGTTTGCAAAACAATCTCCATGCTGCACCTTGTCCGTGAGTAGATACTGTACATTGTAGGGCTCACTCAGTAAAGCCCCCAGGGGGATAAGTAAAAAGGGACATAAAGCAGTCAAGACTGGACAGTCACGGTAGATCTTCAGAAACAAGAAACTCCGGCACCAGATGCATAAAAAGACGGACGTAATCCCAGACGCCGTGATCCTCCCACCGTTGACCGAGAAGTCAGGAAACCAAAAAGGAAAAAGTAATCATGTAGTTTGACCGTATCAAACCGGGGCACGAAAATGGGTATCAAAGTTACGCAGCCATCGACAGACACTCGTCGAGTAGGGAACTCAACTGTTCGCGATCTGCGGCAGCACCTCCTTCCCAGTCCGATAGAGAATCGTCGACTTCGTCCAGGTCCATCTCATCTTCAGCGGTCTTGATCTCATGTGGTTCGCTCACGCCGTTCTCCAGACGATCTTGCTTTTCTGTTTCGAGTTCATCTTCAAAGTATCCACCCGCGATCTGGTCTATGATCAGTGGCATGTGACCGAGGACGCTGCCACTGAGCTCCAGGGTAAGTCGTAGATCCCTAACGCCGAGTGGTCTTCGAACAGCGGCCTCTTTGGCCTCAATGGGAAGCAAGCCAGTTGCGGTATCCTTTGTGATCTCACCGCGAGTGTATGCAAGCTCTTCTCGTTCAAGTTGCTCTCGATATTTCCGCATCATCATGCCATTGATCGTGCCTGACGGACCATTGGACCGGGTGCGCGAGAATACCGAGGACAAGACCTCCTTCACAAAAGTTTCAGTTGCAATTGCCATAAACTCGGCGCACGGCAGACCGGCGCCGCTGGGGAGTGATTCTTCGTAACACATGGGGACCATGCGGGCATGGATAGACTCGGCATCGGGAAATTCGCCCGTCTCTGCAGCGAGAGGTTGCGCATAACGTTTTCGAATTTCCAACTCCCAGTCTGCGAGTTTCAAACGGGTTAGATTTGTCCATGGTGTTGAGGGGGCGCACGCGACGCGAGATCGCTGCCCAAATGTTCGCCGCAAAGGTAATGGTACTTACTGGTCTTGTTCAGTCCACCCGCACTTGCGGGAACCTGACTCGGAAGCTTGATCTGTTTGGCAAGGTGATATTCCTCCAGTTCGGTGGGTGCTGCATCGTTGGGATCGCGCTGCTGAGAATTAGCATCCTCGTCCAATATCTACCACCACAATCGCCAGCGCATACCTCTGGAATCCCCTTGATCCGCCGACGGTCCCTAGGAGGCAGCTGCATCACCTCCGTCTTCAGCCTCTGCTCCGCAGCATCGCCCGAAATCGGCTTGGACACCATCGAAGGCTTATCGTTCGCCGAGACCCAGTTTGCGACGCCATGGTCGGGGAGGTCTCGAGTAAGGTTTCCGAGGATCGCGCACACGAAATTATTATGGAGATGTTCGATTTTAGGATCGGCGCATAATATGTGGTCGACTCGCGACGCGTATTCGTTCTGGTTGTAGTGTCCTAGAATCGGCAGGAGGTCAGGAGGTCAGCCCAAGTCCGAGTCAATTCATCATAAACGGCCTCTGTGAAAGCCAGAAAATACACAGGATCGCACGGAATAGCATGCGCACCGACTCATACCTAGTAGGAAAAAGGCTGTGGCCTCCTTGTACTCGGCCCACTTGTCCCCGATGGCGGCCTTCAGGTCGGTATAGGCATGCTCCAGATCGAGTCGCGGGACCGAGATGAGTGCCCTGGACGACTTCTGTGTCGCCGAAGCATTAGTCGCCGCACCCTTCGCCGGATTTGAGGCCGAGTCTGTCCGACTCAGGGCGGCCGGATCGATCTGCATGGCTGGACTAGGAGCGCGAGGCGAGGCCGAAGGGCGGCAGACGAGAGGAACTACACATCAAGAGTGCAGAGACTGTGATCGAGGGAGGTCGGATAAAGAAGGCGACGGGGTGATGAGTTGATGATGAAGGGTGTGGAAGGCAGGAGGTTGGAGGTTGCGGCTGCTGGTTCCCCGCCAGAAACGGACGCATCGCCCCGAAACCACTTGAACGATATCAGACGTGTCGTATACTACGTTTTACTTGAACGTTTGAACTTCTAGCTCTTATTCGCCTTTCTACACTAGATCTACTATATCTTCGCTCAGGACTCCAAATAGCTGTCCGATTTCCGCGATCATCTCATTGATCTCCTCGGACAACTGGCCAGTCACCAAAACTGATCTCTCGTCAGCCGAGGAACGTCCCAAAGGGGCAAAAGGTAGACTCACTATATGCATACAGTAGCGCGCTGTCTTCGTCGGTCGTCAGTCGAGATGCTTCGTGATCTTGGCGATAACGGTAGATGCGAGCAAGAAGTCTGTCGCGAGCGTGATCGATGCTGGGGAGCACGTCGCTCAATGGATATTCGAGTTTCATGGACGATGCCATTACTGTGTCTGCTGAGCATAGTTCACTAATCAATATAGAGGTCACCGTCACCTACCGGTCAGCAAATGGCTGATGCGAGCAGAAAGCTGTTGCCGTTCTACGGCAGTATAGCGAAGGAGACTGATTTCACCCTCGGTGGCTGTTTCGCTCTTCATGAGCTCTAGATTCATCGCATGGAAGGCATTCACCATGTCCCGCGTACGTCGAATGATAGTCGCGTATGCAGACTTTGGAAATGCCATCCGCAAATCAAACTCGGAGCTTGCAGCGGCCAGAAGCGATTCCAAACGGTTTAGATATCGTTCAAGCTGGAGCTTCTCTCGGGCAGTCATGCAGACTACAGAGCGGCCATTCTTTGCCATGGCAGACAGCGGGTCGCGCTTCCACACAAGTCCCATCCGAAGCCAGAGAATGCTGAGACCATCTTTAAGCCGTTCTCGTGCGCTGATCGCCCATATCAAGCGCGTGATGATGACGCCCCAGACACAACCTGACAACACCGCAACGACTCGATGAAGCGCAATTTCAGAGATAATTGGATTGTGACCACCTTCGTCCTGGTCACCATCCGCGTCCTTTTGGGCGAGCGAATATGCGTAAAGTACGGACAGGTTGTACGTGAGCATGATAAACCGTCCCATGGCCCCATTGCCCTTGACAATGGTAATCCATGCCGTCCATGTGGCCATCGACCAACCGACAAATGCAAGACCGAAGACGTTTCCACTCGTGATATACCAGGACAGGATTGCACAAAGGGCCCCGAGACAGGTACCCAGGAATCGGGCATATCCTATAGTATTCGATGCCCCAATCGTCATTGAGCAGACTAGCATGTATGACAACAACCCCCATTCACCTCTCCAATGCTGGTAAAACGTGCGAGTGGAAGGTAGAAAAGCTGGCAGAGCGTAAAGTGCAGCTCCTGCCCCAACCTTGATCGCGTATTTGGTGTCGTCCCGTCGAAGACACTTCAGGGATTTCCAGAGACGGTAGCCCAGTCTTTCTTTCACGCTGTTCTCTGAGGTTGGGCGCATGCGTCCCCGAACTGCAGCAGATACCCTGTCGTCAAGACTGAAAGGGCCGGACGGGTGTCGTTGCCGGCCATTCACAGGGCCAACAAATAGAGAATCTTGAAGAATCAGCATAAAAGTGAAACACAACGCAACGCTAGGATATATAGTACATACCAGATTCAACAGGTTCTGATATTTTGGTCTGCCAGAACTTCATCCAGCTATAAGATCGACCACCGGGCCTTTCTTCAGCTTCGAGTTGCAGCTCATCAAGAATGCCCAACAACTCATGAAGCTGCTCTCCAAATTCCAGGAGCGAAAAACTGAAGTGACCACAGCTAGCGGATACCTCTTCAAGGTCCGCTTCAGCTTCTTGGTTATTGAATCTCATCGCCTCTGTTTGCTGGTAAAGGGACTTGAGAGTCTTTTCCCGTGACTCTCGGTAAAGTTCAAGAGCACGATCAAGACTCGTTCTGAGGCGACTGTCCACGGACACATTGTAGTCTGGAGCAGGGCCAAACGGGATCTCCCTAAAAATCTCCTTTAATGTAAAGGCTAATGACCGCTGTTCCCAATTAGTCTCTAGGTATAGCAACGCTTTGGGGGATGGCTTACCATAGATGGGCCCAAGTGAGAGATGAATATCGTGAAAACATCAGCGGGAAGAGCAGATGCGTTGTTATTTACATCTGTATTGGCATCCAGAACTGGAGTGTGCGTGCTCCTTCCTGAAGATAGTTCTTCCTCCGGGCGTTCATCAATCGGTTCCAGGAAGGGACCATCATGATACGACCAGCCCCGCTCGAGACTTGCAAAGTATTCAATTGGGGTAGCCTGTGCTCCTTCCGAGGAGCGAGTCTCCCGAGCAAATGTTTCTCGAATCAGACTGAATTGCAGAGAGGCGGCACTCCGCAATCCTCCCATATTATGCGTGATGTCCTGCACCCAGCGGACGAGCTTCTTCTCCAAGCGATACTCTTGTTCAGAGCCAGCTGCGTAGTGCTCAAGCTTGGCCTCTCGGACCAACTTGTCAAGTTGGCCGTAGGCCTTTCGGTGTTTTGCTTCAGCCTCGGTAAATTCAGCTGATGTGAGTTCTTGCTCAGAACCGCTCAGGAAGCTCTCCGTGATTATGGCCAGCATGGTGGCCAGCGTATCCGTGACCGTGACCAGGTTTGCGCGAAGTTTCCTCCGCGCAGAAATGGGGAAGATCAAAAAGGATACGAGCATGGCAAACACCACACCCATGACGACCATTTTTAGAACCTGAGAGATCTTGGTTAAGGAGAGATCTCCGCTCTGAACGGCTCCTTCCTTGGTCAAAATAGTGATCGTCGAAAGGGCCGTGAGTGAGCAGGCGACGTTGACGAGGGGATCACCGAGTCGCTGCTTGATCCAGCCAACGAAACCCAGCCCACCACCGCAAAATACAACGAGGACGATGGCATGGCCAGCTACAGGCATGTTCAGAGTATCCTGAAACAAGTTCTCAACCAGCATACTCGTGATTGAGAGAAAGGAAGAGTAACAGAACGCGAGCAGCGCGCAGATCAAAGCGCGGAACATGCTGCCCTGGGATCTCGCCGGGTGGAAGTACACTGTGACGGTAGCCACCATATGCTTTCCATCTTGATGTCCGAGGAAAGAAGAAATAGCAGGAATGAAAGTCGCAAGCGAGCCCAGAAAATAAGCCAGCCCGCATTTCAAGACCCCAATACCCGGCTCAGAGACGATAAGCTGGTGCATTGATAACCATAGCTCTCGTAACCGTGTCCATAACCTGGTAAATATCCCATTGTGTGTCTCGATCTCGCCCGTAAGCAGCCCGCGCCGTTCCTCGCGCTCATTGTCGTCATCGGGGACCGCCGTTGTTTGTGTATTGTTACGCAGGCTCACAAGGCCTTTCAGACGTTGACCGGTTCGTGGGAGGACAAAGGTTGCTTGTCGGAGCTGCAGCGATCGTCAGCCGGGTTTCATGACAGTTGTGGCTTGGGCTGCGGATGGATACACACCTTTGGGCGCAATAAGCGCCGGGAGCTACTCGGAGCTTCCGACGGCGACATCCTCAATATCGTCTCACGTCCAGGCGAGGTGCACATTCATAGTGAGAACCTCATGGCAGGCGTTTGTAGCCTTGCCTTCACCTGTCTTAATTGGAAATTGGGCAACAGGGCAGAAAGTGCTGTGGGCGCAATTGGCACAGACATATTTTGCGGCCACATCCCGGCTCCGCCTTCCCCACGCACTCGCTTCTCTGTTTACTCGGATTTCCATATACTCTCTTTCCTACTCGGATTTGAATATGTCTAAACTCCATCTTCATTCCCGGTAGTTACATCCAATAATTGAAGAAACTTATTTCAGGCCCTCCACTTTCCACACCTTCACTGCGGCATCAGCTCCTGCCGATGCGATCTTGGAGCTTCCGGCGATCCACGCCACGCCGTTGACGCCCTCCTTGTGGGCGTTCGTGAGCTCCAGCCAGTCGCCAGGGTTGGCCAAGCTCCAGACGAAGATGTTGGTATCCACCGATCCACTCACCACGTGAGTGCCGTCCTTGTTCCAAGCAAGTGATGTGATGCGTGCCGTGTGGGCGGTCCATCGATCTGTGACCAGGCTGCCATCGGCGACTTTGAAGACCAGGACGCGTCCCTTTTGATCGCCAACCGCCAGAAGCGAAGTGTCTGGAGAGAAGGCGAGTGTGGAAACTTGGTTACGAGAGGCCTTGATGTCTGTCTGAGGCGACAAGCTCGAGCTGGAGACGCTGCAGATTTGGACCGATCCGTCCTCGCCGCCAACGGCTGCAACCGTCCCATGAGCCGCAACATTGGTGACGGGGAATTTGGTCTTGTATTCTCCAGTCTTCTTGCCATCCTGGAAAATCTCAACTGCCTCGGCGGCAGCGACCAGCACAGTCGAATCTCCGGCGGCAGCGCCTTTAGGTTGACCTGTAAGCTTGGTAGAGCTGCCAGTGTAAGTCTTAGCGGCAGCATCAATGGAGCGAATGGTGTCGTCCCAGCCGACACTGTAAATTCTTCCGGTGCCCTCCGATGTGGTGGCTAGGCCGGCAATGTAACCGGGATGCCCCTCGCCCTCAATCTCGCCGGCGGTGCCAGAACCAACATCCCAGCTGCAGACGCGACCCTCAAAGCTACCGGTCCACAAGGTCTCCTTATTGTCTAGAATTGACTGGTTCATGGACGTAATGCTCTTCTGGTGGCCCTGAACAACCTGCCGGGGCTTGGGGGTGCCTTCAACCAGATAGTTCAGGTCACCGCTGAGAGACAAACTGATGAGAAGGTTGTCGCTTCTGCCCGGGGGCCAGACAACACCGACTTGCTGGTCACGGACAGCCATGGCACCCTCCTCGCCCAGAGTCCAGCTCTGTGTTGACTTGCCAGCTTCCACATCCCAGATCTTGACGGTTCGATCAGCGCTTGCGGTCACGAACTTCCGAGAGTCCTTCGACCAAGAGACACCGAAAATACTGCCATTGTGTTCTCCTTCGCCGATCTGACCCTTGGTCTCTCCCGTCTTGCCATCGTACAGCCAGATCTTGCGGTCGCCACCCACACTGACCAGGTTCGAACCATCCGGACTGAATCCAACACCGTAGATATAGTTCGTGTGCTTGTCGGGAACTCCCATGTTGAACTTGAAAGGCGCTCCGTGGTAGAAGACCAGCTTCTTATCGTCACCAGCGGTGGCAGCGCGAAGAGGCCTCTGCTGTCTGATTGACACCGAGTTGATCTGTTGGGTGTGGCCGTAGATCTCTCCGACGGTGTTTCCACTGTCCCAGGTGATGCAGTGTCCAAATCGTTGCTTTCCATCACCGACGGCAATTATGCGCTGCGAATCGCCGTCCCAGGCCAGGTCGTTGATGCGGCCATTGACAATGCTGTATTCCCCCTTGGTGATGCCCTCGCCGACACAATCCCATACTCTCACAGTGCCGGTGGCATCACCACTGGCGACATAGAATCCAGAGGGAGAGAACCGAGCGACAGTTGTGTGGGCCTTGTGTTCGGTGTACTGTCTGGCGATTGCGGGGTCGTCGATTGAACGCAGGAAGATGGATTTGTTCGACTGTGATTATTTGGGTCAGGAACTGCCACTAGAAGAGAGCTGGTTGGAGAACAGTACAGCATAGGCAAGTCGCTCGCCCTTGGCATCGGACGAAAGCTGGGTGGGCTGGCCGCGGGTGGTGGAGGGGCTTGCAGCCCAAATGGATTCTGCGCGAGTGTCAGCCAGATGAATTGAGAATTCCAGGGAATACAACAAACCGTTGGTGATTGACATGAGGCTAGGTATGTCGAGGTGCGACGGGAGTAGAGTGTAAGATGGAGGGAGGAGAGGAAGTTGTTTATTGCCCTGACGTACTCGGATGGTCCAGGCAACTCAACTTTGGCGGGGAACCGTTTCAGCACAACACGTCAGTCGATATGCTTTCAACACGGCATATACTTTCTAACTACATACCTCGTGTACTTCAAGAGGTACGAAGAAGTTTAGCTACATGTCTTAGGAACGATAGAGAGCAGGATGGATTCCGTCAATGAAAAAAAAAGATGAATTTGCGCTGTGTAATAATACATAAAAAATGTGTCCCTTGAAAATGGACTGTTGGTTTGTCCAAGAACGTCATAGACGGTCTCAACGGTCTTCTATGAACGAGACAATATATCCTTAAAAGTTGCGGCCCTCAAGCTTAGCCCGAAGTTCCGTCGCCAGGATCTCGGGGTGTCGGTGGACAGATGGCATGAGGCCGAGGCCCATAGCTCTGCGAATGGCCTTGGCAATCTTTCGCTGGTTCACAGGTCGCAGGCCAGTCTGGTCTCGGTGTCTAATGCGGCCCAGAGCAGACACGTATTCGGACATCACGGAGAAGTTCTGAAGTCGGGTAAACACATTATCAGTAAGTGTTCTTCCTTTCGCTATCCTATTTCTCTTTCTTTCTTGATTCTTGCATTCTCCCTTCATCTATGCAACAGGCGGCTGGGATATCAGAATGGACGTACCTTGTAAAGGTCCAAAGGGTTCAGGTTAAGAGCATCAAAAGCATCCCTGGAGGGACTCTTGCGCTTGCCCCATTTCTTCATCTCAGCCGGGCTGAGATCGTGTGGAGCGTAGATATCACCGGCCTTCCATTCGCGAGTTTGAAATCTCTCCAGCGCTCGGCTTTCTCCCTGTGCCTTCTGGTCCTCGAGGAATCGCAAGCGGTTCGGTAACCGGCGTCGGTGCTGGACTTTCGGGGCTAGTGCAATTCATTAGCCTTGAAGTCCATATGGAATAACACTCTGCTCGTAATCAAGTCTGGGAAGGTGTCGAAGGTCGGGCATTCCACGTACTTTGTGAAGAGGACGCTCGTTGGGAGGTGAAGGCGCTCATGGCCGCCGTCGAACTCCAGCGACAAGCCGATGGCACGGCACTCGCGACGCTGCGCAGCAGCGGCGATGAAAAGAGATTCAGAGACATTGTGATACACGGGCTCGAGGGTGTCGAGGTGCAGTGGAGGAGGCCAGGATCGGAGCGGATCTTTTTTCGCGGGTGCCAAGACTTGGACCGCCTGCTCCGCGTCGCGAAACTTTGCAAAGCATCGAGCTCCCCGATCAACTCTACGCTTGCTTTTTTCATCTGCACTGCTCTCTCCCTAGAGCTAGAGCAACGAACCCGGCCCACCATGCAGTCTCATCTGACGAGACGGGTCTTCCGGGCCATCATCAACAACGAACCACTGCATTTCTCGAGATGCCACCGACATCAATTGCTGCACACCATTTCCCCCGCACGAGTACGACCCTGGGTCCCTGTCCTCCATGTACCGCGCCGGACTCTCTTCGCCTTCAGTCTCAATCCGACCACCGAAACGGGAGAAGGGCAGCCGGCGACCTTGTCCTCGGAAAAAGGTCTCCAGCCCATGACCGATCTCAAACGATCCCTCGAGGACAAGAGCAGGGCTCCCCCGAACCATACACTTACCAAGGCCTTCCAACTTTTCTTTGCTACGAGGGTGGAAAATCCCGGAATTATCAACCTATTCCAGGCTCGGCTGCTGTCTATAACGTGGAGGCATCTTAAGGCGCAACAGGAGGAGTTGGATGACCGGGAATATCAGGATGTTTTCTCTGTTGAGAATCTTGAGAGAATGCTGTTTGTGCTCTCGGAGGCAGAGTGTCTCCCCGAGTCGCGCGCTACTATCCTGAAGATCGCTCGCTATGCCTACGCAGAGCTCTGTGCCGATCATGGATTCGGTCCCAACTCAGTCAGCCGGCCTGCTCTTCTGGTCTACATCAATTTGCTGTCGAGCAATGGCTGCCCAGCAGAGGCTCGAAATACCATCATTAAGTTCGGCGGCCGATTTCGGGGGGCGAAGCCGTCTCCATGGTTGACCGTAATGAAGGGCTTTGCTATGGATGATGACAAACGTCAATTGCGAAATATTGTTCGAGACATGGAGAAGTACAGTTTGACATTCGATCAAGCCTCTCATGAAGAGCTCATCAACCTTCTCATTGAACAGGGTCAATTCAAAGCTGTCCAGACGGCCTATGAGTGCCCTATAACGGGCGACTTCGACCCTGGCATGGTCAACAAGAAGGTCGTCATCGTCGAGCCTTCCGTTGCCACCAAGAAAGCCGTCGTCAAATACGCAATTCTGAATTCCGAGATCGAGTGGGCAGGACCAATCTTCCATTCACTTCCTCGGGAACCTCTGTCTGAGATAGTAGGCATCACCTTACTTTGGGAGGCGGCACAGGGCAGCAATGCATCTTCGCTTGCGGAAAAGGTCAAGTCCTGGATCGCATCTGATCCTCAGGTCAAGGATGCCCTCACTATCGCGGATTTGAACAGCGTTATCCAGTATGCCAATGCTTCGCAGAGACCTGAACTTGCCCCTGGCTTTGTTCGCTTGGCAGAGCAGTGGGGTCTGGTTCCAGACCAACGAACTCATCTATTGCAGTTGGAGTCGTACATCCAAGCCGGTGCTGTTGAGCAGACGCTTGAGATGCTCGAACAGCGAGTTGATATCGGTCTCCTGCCAAGCGAAAACCTGCCCCTTTGCAACAAGCTGATTGCCATGCTTTGTCTGTCAAAGCAAAGGAATGCTCTGTTCCAGCGAATTTCGTCTCTTCTCGATCCCCTTTTCCAGGATAATGTTCGCCTGGACCCTACAACTGTGGCCGCATTGACGCGTATGCTGCTTTATCGCCATGACTGGGAGGCTATTTCTGAGCTGCTTCGTCCCCGCCTGGGTACCTACGACGACGAAGGAAAGGGGGTCGTCCGGAATGTAATCACGGACTTTATCCTCGACTCGAGCCAGAAAGATGAGGATGTGTGGGACGTATACGAGCTTTTCAAGCTCGCATTCCCCCAGACCGCTGTCAGCGTACGAACCGAGATAATGTGCAGTTTCTTCGAGCGCAAGCGCAGTGACCTTGCCGTTTTGGTATTCGGACACATGCGCCAGGCGGAAGACCCGAGACGCCGTCCCAAGCCAGATACCTATGCTCGGTGCTTCCAAGGAATTGCCCGAAACAGCGACGCGACCAATTTGGAGCTGGTGCATAACATGCTGAAGCTCGACCTGGAGGTGAACCTTAACACGCGGATTCAGAACGGGCTGATGTTGGCCTATGCCGCCTGCGAAATGCCCGAGAAGAGCATGGAGATCTTTCGCCAGATCCTCCAGTCCGACGAAGGACCCTCGCAAAAGACCATTGGAATCTTCTTCAAGGTCTGCGAGAAGCACCATAACGGTGCGCAGGAGGCGATCAAGATGCTGGAGAAAATCAAAAAGGTGGGCCTTGAACTCGATCGCCGGCTCTTCACCGGATACATTGAAGCCGTGGCCGCGCAGTGCGAGTTCGACTTGGCCACCACTGGGATTGACAAGATGCAAGCCGAGAGCGGGGTTCCCCCCACGAGCACGACGTAAGTGAAACTTTTGAGTTGCTGTCTATGTTCATTGCTAACTTGACCAGAATTGGACTATTCTACAATGCCATTCCATATCAGTATTGGAAGGATCAGGTGGAGGAGTGGGCCGTGCAAAAGTACCCCGAGCTGTGGGCGCATCTGGCCACGATGGAGCGCAGCGAGCATGAAGACGGGCTCAAGTTTGATGGCATCGACAACGAGATATGGGTGTAGCCCCTGGGAGGTGAATAAATAGTTCTTGTATATTACTTTACTTGAATCATGCATATTATAATTCTCAGCATCTTTTCTGGTTCTTCGAGAGGTATATACATCGAACAACATCCACGGCCTCCACGCAATCCACGCGGGCTCACCCGAGGATCGTAAGGCGTTCAAAACATGATCCTCCCCCTAACCTCACCATTCATAACTCTCTTATTCCTTAACCCAACCCATTACCTTCAACCTCCATCATAGCATCAGGACTCATCTTCAACCCCAATCCACCTCCTCCACGCCGCTCCCCTCGCAACTAGCACCGCAACTCTAGCGCATGCCCTGTTAGAACTAATAATGACCTCTGCCTTCTGGATTGCGTTTATTGGGGCTGTTCTGACGCTGTGAATATTCCCCGCTTATATCTAGCAGCTGGAAAGTTGTGGATCAACTTGAGATGAGTGGATTGATAAATGAAGATGGATAGGAAGATCCCGCTATGTAATTTCCTAAAAATCCCAAGTCGCTGTAGATATATACAATGCACCACCGATTCGCTTCAATGTACAATGTTTCGCCGAAACCGTTGTGAGAGCTTTTACAAGCTGAAAATACCGCTCCGTTTCTTTCCGTGCGGATACACAACCAACGCCGAGACGAAGAGGCCGACCGAGATACCGATGGCTGTTTGAATCATTCCATAGCCCAGGGCAGTCAAGGAGCTTCCCGAGTTGGCAGCAGTGATGGCCGTCTTGTTACCGGACGCCACGGCGTCGGCATACTCGAGGCCGGAGATGATGGAGCCACTGGATGCGAGACCAGAAGGCACGAGGGTAAAGATACCCGGAATGATTGCAGCCGCGGCATGACCGTGCCACAGACGACTGTACAGATTGGCGAGAAGACCGATGGTGAAAGCACCGACGGTGTTCGAGACCTGACCCGACCCGAGTTTCTTGCTGCTAAAGTAGTTGGTCACGTAGCCGCAGACACCCATGAAGACGGTGACGGGAACCTGCTTTAACTTGGCCTGGTTGATGAGGGCGGCGAAGAAACAGAATAGTGCGACCCAGGGAAAATGCTGAATGTATTCGTTGCCCCAATCCGTGGCCGCATTGGAGCATGTTGATTCTCTAGTGGCATTGTGGTCGATGACACCGTAGATCGTGGTGCCGACGGTGACACCGTAGCCGAGGAAGAGGGAGTAGATGATAGTGAAGACCAGGCGGATAGAACCGGCGTTCATCTGGTGGGATTGCAGTTCCAGACTGCTGCTGAGGACCGCAAAGCCGGGCAGAATCATAGCAATGGATGATTCGGCTAGGGCCGCATAGCAAAAGACGAACTCGCCATTATGCCGGATACTTCCAAAGGCACGAGCTAAAAATGAGGTCAAGATGGCTGCTGACACCTCCAATACGTTAGAGTACGTGGCAGATGATGGGGCAAGGATGCGCTGCATGAATCCAACCAGGGAGCCCAAAACGAAGATGATAGGGAGGTCGATAGGCCGGGCAGAGAAGGCATAAGGACCGACAGCGACACTGGCAAGGCCAGTCAACAGGACCAAGAACCAACGATTGTAGCGCGGTTTGCGCTGCATGATCTGATCCAGATCGCCGGTGGCTTCCTCGACACTGACCACGTCGTGAACCACATTCTTATAGACATTGTGAGTCTCTGCTAGACGAGATAGATCCAAACCCTGAACGACACGAATAATCTTCACCTCGGCGGTGCGCGTCAAAGGATCATCGAAGGACATGAACATGCAGCCTGGGATGTACATGAACTGCCCATTGACCTCCAGTACGTTGGAAGTCATCATCATGTACTCCTCGAGACGGTGAGTTGGGGCACCGTACTTCATCAACGCACGACAAAGTTGCATGATGTATTGCTGACGGGCGAGAATAGCGGCAATGTGTACCTTCAGCTTGACATCCTTCTCATGCTTGCGTTTCTGCTTCTTCCGCTCCTTATAATTCAAGTTGCCGGGGCCTTGAGCAGCAGGCACGCCGACCCGGCCCATATCCATGGAGGCCTGAATCAAAGAAGAGGTGTAGTGATGACCGGACTCCCTCTTCTTGGGCATGGCCGGCTTGGGCAATTTGTTCAGCATGGGGAAGCTGGCCCTGCTGTCGTTGTTGGAACCATCTTTGTACCATTTGACCTTCTCTTTCTTCCCACTGGGTGTACTCGTTCCAGTCGGCGTGCTTGCTCCGGTGGTTATTCCTGGAATAGTCTCTGTTTCAGGATCCGTATCTGACCCGGTGGAAGCCACACTGACTCTGCTCGCAGCAGCCCCCAGGTTGTTGGCATATACTCGGAGCAACTGCGAGAGGAGACCTCCGTTAAGCGGTGTGGAGGCTCCACTTTCGCCGGGGGTCGTCGCACCAGAGCGCGGTTCCTGTGTGTCACGACGAGTCCCGAATACATGCGGCAGACCCAGCTGGCTCAACATGTGGTGGGCCTGCGAGTCATGACCGATGCCGTGAAGGCGGTTCTCCTCATCACCGGCCTGACGAGCGTGGAAGCTTTTCAAGTCGTCCGTCGCCCCGTAGTATTCGGGCGACCAACACGCGTCCACGCCCTCCGCTTCTCTTTCAGGCGGACGACCCAATCTCTCTGCAATTGTGGCAGTCCTCTGTCGAATGCGCTGGCTGGCAGTCCTCCATCGCTCGGGGATAGAAGGCGTATTATTCGGTTTCTCGACGACTTGATCGCGGACTTCTGTGTCAGGATCCTCAGAGTTGAAGCGGGCGGTATTCTCAGTAAGCTCTCGGTCCTCCTCCCCCGTGGAGGATTCCACGGAGGTTTGGTGAGGTAAGGACGGAATCTTGTCCTGCGAGTCGGACATTTAGAAGCAACCACGTGGCGCATGAGCAATACCCCACAAACGGCAAAACTTCATATTCCTGGGGAAAAAGAAAGAAGCAGGGGACACAAGGGGGGCTGTTTTTTTTAAGAGGCACCGGTCTCACCATCAGACCCACGTCGCTAATGCGGGTTGAAGTCATGGCCGGACCGAGACGCGTGAGTTCTCGTGGCGCTCGGCCATTGATGAACCACAAAAAATGAAAATGAAAATCGATTCCCGAGTGGACTGGACACACCCTGGTTCAATCCGTTCAGTTCCTGGTTCGATCTAAGGAACTTTGCATCATGCGAGAGGGCTATGAAGGCCAGCACATAGTGTTCATTAATAGACAAGCTTCTCCAGCAGCCGCTAAAAACCCACGCTAACGACGCAGGTTTATTGCTAGAGCCGTCCCTTTCCTGAGTTCGCCTTCCATTTGCAATTTCCTCGGTGCTTGGCTCCGTTGTGGATCTCTGCGACGGACGAAACTGGTTCTGGGCCTGACCCACATTGACACAAAGGACCGCGGCCGATTGTTCATCAATCAACGGGGAGATACCAGGGTTCTCTCTCTTGTCGGTTGGCCACGAATCATGATCGAACCAAACAGCGCAAAAATAGGTTAGGGTGGGGTATATCCATACTCATTGATCTTCACTGCTTAACTTACGGTCGTAAATATTTCACGTAGCTCAGACCGGCTAGCTCCGGCGTTTCTAGATCACCGTGCCTGAAGATAGCACGAAAAAGATCTGATGAGTAAACGCGCCCCGTTCCCCCGGTATGTATGTAGCTCAAGTGGCGGAAGTCTGGAGCACTCCGGCTGCCGTTTATCCATGCCTATCTGGGCGTTAACCCTCGGCGATATAAGTATAAAGAGTATACATGCAGTGCCGAGACAATAGAAACCCCCTACCACCGCCGTCAAAAAATACTCCGCCACAATCACGTAGCTACAGTCACATATCAGAGCTATCGCCGGCTGCCTAAGCGCGATTAAAATGCTCCAGTTGTAGATGACGCAAAGTCTCCCCCTCCAGCCCCGCCATATCGTCACTCCTTCCCCGCACCTATAATGCGCGGTAAACCTCACCTGGATATGAAACCCTTCGGTAAAGAATAAAAACCATAAACTCTCGCAAAATAAGGCCGAGATGTCGATCCGAGAACTCCAATCCCCAGACCACCCGATCGCCCTGCGCCGCACCCACCTCCTCTCCCCCGCACCAGACCGACTAACCAATACCCCAACGACACTATGCATCGCGCGCGAGAACACCCTATCAGGACGCGACTTCACGGTCACGCAGCTGCGTAGAGACGAGCCAATAGGCAGCTCACGACGCAACACACTCCTGTATACCGTGAACGGCAAATTCTGGAGCAACTCACTGCAGCGTGAGATCCGCGATGCATCCGGGCGACCGATACTCGAGCTACGCCGGATATGGTGGAAGGGACAGTGGTCGGTGAAACGGGCTGGCGGAGCCGGTGACGAACTACTCAACGTGGACATGCGGTGGGCGATAGGGACGAAGATGGATATACGATTTATGAATGCGCTTGTCGGGCGCCTCGACGACGGTCAGCCTCGATGCTGCAACGAAGAGGATATGGAGAGTGAAGCTCCGCCGCCGTATACGCCGCCTCCGTATAGTGCCGTCCCGGCCAGTGATAGTACGAACCAATCTGGGAGTGGTGGCGAGAGTGATAGTGCCGACAGTTCAGACTCCAAGGAACGGACAAACAACTACGAGCCTCCAACCTATGACTCGCTTCGACGATCGAGTCATTCGCTGCGCGATTTGCTGGATGCGGTTGAGCCGCCCAGGGAGCCAGCACCGGCACCGATGTCACATCAGAGACGCTGGTCTGAAGGGGGATATGATCCCAAGGTGGAGCTGAAGGTGGTGCAGGTGAATTCTCGAGCTGCGATTGTGACGATGGGGGAGAGAAAGATCATCAATATTCGGCGGGGCAAAGTCATGGATTATAGTCTGTCTGGGCCGATGCCCAAGTGGGAGGTTGAGATTGCGGAGGGTGTGGACTTGGTGCTGGTGAGTTGCGCTTCCATCGTCTCGGGATTGGGAAGGAAATGCTAATTGAGAAAAAGGCCGTTACGATTGTATTGATTATGGCCGAATTTGTACGCCATGAGTATCGTGTTCGGGTGGGTTGATGTTCATTTATCTTGCTCCTTACTTTATGTCCCGAGGTAGGATACGGTTTATGTTTATGATCTACACTACATATGAATCATGTTCAAAAAACCCCTTTCAACCGGGGCATTTCAAATGCCAATGCAATTGGAAATCCAACAACTTTTTTTAACCATACATTCGTCAGGAGGAATGCCTCATTCCCCGTATTAAGTATATCGTTTTTGCCCTGCCAGTCTTGATAGGCATGGGCATGGGAATTTCAGGGAATCTGGCGTAAACAGCAACAAAAAAAAAAAACAAAAACAAAGAAAAGACCCAAGTCTACGACTGGAGCTTAGACAAGCGCTTGGTCATGCTGGAGAGATGTTAGTGATGATCTAGAAAGACGAGGGTTATAGGTGAACACGTACAAGTCAAAGAAGGAGAACTGGCTAGGGTTGTTGCCGAATTGATAGACGAAACGGCTAGCCAGGTGGCTACCGAAGATAGCACGGAGGTAGCTTTCGGGCACCTGGAGAATCATTAGCATCTTCACCGAAATAAAGGACGGACTGTAAACATACCCGTTCCAAAATGTGGTCTAGGCCGATCTTTTGCAAGAGAAGACTCGGCAGAGCATCGCTTAGGACCGAGCGGCGAAGGGCGATGTTGTCCCAGAGCTCGGTCTGCTGAAGCTCCTCGTCCAGCTTGGTAATGGCGATACTGAGACGGTCACTCAGAACACTTCGCAACACACCGGTCTGCTCGTGCTCGCGCCAGATAGCCTCAAACTCGAGAGTGGCGTTCTCCTTGATGATCTCCTGAACCTGCTTGACGTAGGCCTGGTAGAACTCGGGGACGGTGCCGTCCTCGGCGACACACATGTTCTGGATGAACTCGGAGTCGTTGAAGGACAGGGAAGCCAGAACCTCCAGGGACGAGGAGGTCACACCACCCTTGTTGGCGGAGGCATCCTTGAACAGAATGCAGCCAGCCTTCTCCAGACGCAGCTTGGCATCCTGGGTGATGAAGAGGTTGGCACCCTCAACGATGTAGGGAACAACACACTTGTTATCCTGGATAAGCTTGCCAACGGTGGACAGGTCGATGGACTCAGGACGACCACCGCAAGGCACGAAGACGTCAAACTTCTCGTGGTGACGGAGGTGGAAGGTGTTGCGGAAGAGCATGCCGTTGGCAACGACCTCACCACTGGGCAGCCTGACGTTCTTCTCGTCAACCAGCACGCGGTAACCCTCGGGCGACAGCTTAGACATGTCGAACTCGGAGATCATCACACGCTTCTTGGCCAAGCGAATCAGCTCCTCGTGGTTCAACCCCTTGGGGTCGACGATGACACCGGCACCGTCAACGATGGCCGAGTACTTCTCATTGGAGAGCAGAATCTCATTGGATCCCAGATCGCCGTCGGGACCACCGGTCTGCAGCTTGAGCATGGTGGAGGGGTCAATGTTCAGCTTACGGTAGATACCGAGCACGTACTGGCGGACGGAGAGGGTGGTCATGCCGTAGGTGTCGTGGGGGATACCACCCAGCTTGGGGCTCTTGCCAGTGAAGAAGGACTTCCACCAGGGGGCACCACGGTTGCGGGCGTGCTCGGTGGCCCAATCAACCAGCTCAGCGGTGTTCTCATCGGGTCCCATGAACAGGATCTCGTCCTGGCCGTGCAGATCGACGATGGGATCCTTGATACCGGGGCTGACGGGGGGCAACAGCAGATCCATGATACTGTCGATGTACTTCTCGAAGGCGACCCGCGCCTTGTCCTGGTGATCCACATCCAAGAGGATGACACCCTTGGCACCGCCTTCGGGGATATCCTTGTTCTTGCGCTGCTGCGTGTTGGCCAAGTTGTAGTTCTCGTCAAACATGGAACGAGCGTTGATGCCGTAGGCTTCCTTGTTCCGACTCTTGACAATACGGATACCGCCACGAGCAATGTCACGGAAACGCAAGTGGAAACCACGGAACTCGGAGCTGATAACCAGGAACATGCCGTACAGGGGCTGGGGGTACTCGTGCTCAGGCAAGAAGTCCGGCTTCAAGCGGAAGCTCAAGGCCACCTTGGTAGGGGTGAAGAAGTTGGTCTTGAGGATGGAGTTGTTGAAGACGCGGAATGAGTTCATGACCATCTCGTCGTGCTCGTTCATAGCGGTGCCGCGGATGAGCGCCTTCAGCTTCTTGTCGTCCAGCACCTCATCCACCTGCAGACGCAGGTAGCTGAGAGTGGGCAGGAAGTCATCTCCCGTGGGGCCCTGGGTCTGTACGTAGTGGGTGTTGGCAAAGTCCAGGTAGAGCTTGTGAATGAGCTCGGGGTAGTTGTTGATGATCTCAAAGATGTAGTCGGCGGTGAAGGTTTCCGTACGCAGACGCTTCTTGATCTTGGACAGCAGTTCGGCGTGCACGCTGTTGTTGGTATCAAGAAGGGCAGACAAGGAGGTGTATTCGGAGCCCAGGCGGTTCAAGAACTGCTGCACGAACACCCAGGCGCAGTGAGCGTAGATGGTCTCCTGCAGACTGAGGCGGCCCGTGGCAAAGTGTCCCTGGAATCGGTTCTGGGGAATACAGTAGAGGAGCGAGGCCTCCTTCATGATCTGGTGGATGGCAGCTTCGATCGGGGGGTACTTGGCCGATATCTCGGGCTTCTCCGAGGGGCGGAGATAGAGGGAGATGACGGTGATACCATTGGCGAAGTTCTCAAGGTACTTGCGCGAGCTGGTCAAGCGGTAGTAGTGGTACAGATCAGACAGAGCGCTGAACAGACCCATGGCCGAGCCCTGGCGGTAGGCAATCACCAGGCGTTTCTCCCGGCTGCCCTCGATCTCAAACATCTCAATGACCGGGCCGTGACGACCGACGGCAGTGGAGATGATCTCTTGGTAGATGGCCTTGGTGTTGGGGGTGGCCTTTTGCAGGAAACGCTTCTCACCGATGATATCGATGTTGGTCTCATTGGGAGAGACGTTAGGGTTGGCGAACTGGCACTTGTACACGAAGTAGCAGCGCAGCTGCTGGCCGTTGTCACCGGGGAGGGTGGTGGGGGAGCGGAAGGTCTCCACGCGGTAGCTGTTGGGACCCTTGGAAGTGTTGATGTACTTCTCATCAATCCGCTGCTCGTAGCGGGGGCCGTTCACGGTGGACACACCAGGCCGACTGGTGTCAATGTAGACCGCGTGGTCTTCGGCCTCTTTGTCCAGGCGGATCTCGAGCTGCTTATCATCGCGGGCATAGGCGGCGACCTTGGCAGCGTAGAGGGAGAGGATCTGGGTTACAATGGCATCCACCGTCTCGGTCTGGAAGTAGGTGTCGTCGATGCCAAGCATGTTGTAGAACCAGGTAGTCTCGGAGATGATAAAGTCACTGGGGAAAAAGCCCTTCTCCTCCAATTGATCCATCACTGCGACACGTTAGCTCAATGAATTGGTCTTCAGAATTACAGTCTTCACGTACCCTGCTCCATCTGCTTCTGCTTGCCCTCGAAGGTGGCGGCAATGTAGCCCGGGTCCTCCTCGGACAGAATCCGGTGCGGGCTGTGACCCGGAGTGCCGGGGATGCCCAGATGCGTGGGCTGAGGGGACGGTTGCCGCAGGGCCTGCCCGACGACATGGTCCAGGTGCTTGTTGTGGGGGGGGAACCGTTGGAAACCGATAGGCGTCCCGGAGCCGGAGCTCCCATCCTGGCTGTTAAACATCTTAGGCTGGGGTCGGTAGGGCAGCTGGGCGCCATTGGTGGTCTCCGACGGAGGAGTAATAGGCGCGGGAGACGACATGATGTGTCTTTGGAGACTCTAAACAAGAAGAAAGCAGGAAGAAGAAGAACTCTGAGGAAGAACCGCGGTCAGCCGGCGGCACGTGGACAGATAAGAAACGCTTATCACTGAAGTCATCGAGGGGTCAACGGGAAGTGAGAGATCTCGCAGGCAGCCCGATAACAAGCAAGGAGGACAGATACTCACCGACGCCATCTACCGTCGATCGTGCTAGATACTTTTTGTGGTTCAAGTGAAAAATCCGGGGAATCCCAGGTTTATTAAATACTTCCATACAAAGACCGGGTGGCCAGAAAACACTAAAAAAGGACCGCCGAATTTCTCTGACACAGCGCGGTGATGGAGCCAGTCATAACCGATGCTAGGCGGCGCTCCATCGTGACCAGCGGTCTCGATGTCCTTGATCCGCAAGGATGCTCCACCGGGCCAACGCTCATTCCTCCCCTCGTCCCCTCAACCCAGGCGTGACTAAGACCGGCGCTTCGTCGCCCGTTGATTGGCAGCCATCGCCCCTCTTTCCGAGGGCAAAGCCGAAAGGGAAAAATCCCGCTGCGTCATGCGGGCCGAAAATAGAGAAATAATTGCCTCACTGGAGTTCACCTGTGTGGCTGAGACGCTGGTCTATTCTACGCTCGTCTATGCTAAGCATCCTTGGGGATTAGTGAACTATGGCGACTATCGATTCTCCCGCTCAGGTGACTCGCCAGAGACTTTGGGCGCTAAAAATAAACGAGAAGAAGGAGGAAAAGAAGGTAAAGAAGGCGAAGGAGCGGAAAGAAGGTTACCTGAGCACGTCAACCGCCCTGGCCGGTCGAAACCGTCGTTACTTCCGCTTCATGAGAAATGAGGTGATCGCGGTGGGATGCGATGTGTCATGGCGCGGCCTGGACAGGTTTTGAACACAGTAAATGCCTCAATTGCATCCAGCCCGCCCTACCGTCCAATTTGTCCCCCAGTCCGGGGGATTTTCGCCATTGGGGATGCGTAGCCAAGGCTATTACGCACTGAAGGACACCCCGGGCCGGTGACATCTCCAACCGGAGGGGCTCTGGTACCTGGATCCTCGTGGGTTGCGGGGTAATGAGGACTAGTCGGCGCTGTTGCGATCCAGCCGTCTCGCACGTTCTGTACTGCAACGAATCACGGCGAGCCCTATGGCCTTGTTGGGACCCCCTCAAATTGTCCGAACAGATTCTGCAACCCCAAGGACCGGCGGGGCCTTACGTGATACCGGTCACTCGGCGCCACTGCGATTGGGAGAAACCTCCGACGGTGGAGGATGAGGTCACGCTTCATCTCTGGGGAAAATTCTGTTCTCCGGGTGACTTGTTGCCTGAGGCACGTGTTCGCCCAGGTCGGATACCCCAGCCGAACCAGACTTTCAACTTGGGAGTGACTGGCCGTGATACTTCATTCGCCCTCTGCTGTCTCCAGGTTTGCAACAACCCGAGGAACATCGCAAACAAGGGATGACATCAAGGGGCAACCCTCGGACCAAAACCGAAGCCGACTCCAGGAATTGCTCGCCTGACACCCGAGTTGACCTGGGTAGGCACGGACAAGTACAGATACTTAAGTTCAAAGCCACTGTTGACCTGGGTAAGACAGGACAACGAGCTCGTACCGTCCGTCCTTGCTCGCACGGTCCCGGATCTCGGATCTACAGGACATTCCGCTGAGATCGGACATCTTTTGCTCAAGGGCACCTGGGGTATATCCCCTGCGTACAACCCCAGCCGCCCTATCTCTCGCCCCGGAGGATGTATGTCCGAGGCCCATGGTTCGAACCGATTTGGAATGCCTGCGAACTAGTACAGATAGCTACCTAAAGCACGGGTGTTGCTATCACGACCTGCCCAGGGCGAATGAACGAGTGTACATATCTGATCGGTCATCTGTCAGGCGTCTGCAGAAACGCCAACTCATCATCGCACAAGCATGACAGCCCTGCCTTTATTTTTTATTTTTTTTGGAGGCGGTGAGAACTCCCCTTATCTCATCCCACACAGCAAATATCATTGGTGATTATGGTGGATATTTGTTGGGCCTCGATCGAAGGGGGTTCCCGAATAATGCGCAGAATCCGGAGCCCCGGCGGGGAAGGGATCCATCCGGAGGGTTTAATCCTTTCTGGTATGCCCCTTTATCTCCAGAATATATTGCAGGGGGAAACAACAGTCAACGGTCAATAGTCAATTATAGTAATGCCGGCTATGTGACACCCCTTGAATCCGGGGAATCAGCAAAGGTGGAGTGGCTCATTTAGCGGGCTAGGGTTTCGATGGAGACGCCTCCTGTAGATCGTGGGATGAGCTCGCGGACCAATTTCCGAGAGAACAGCGGCCGGCTAAAACATGAATCGGGCGTTTACCGCCATTCCTGCAATAGCCACGATAGTGGGATTTGTTTTGTCACCCCCTTACACTCTACCCCAGCTTCATTGTTCCCCGTGGGCGTCCGCCCAAGGGACCTAGGATCCCTATGTACTCGAGCTCTAAGGGTCTTGGACCTTGTACACCCGATCATTTTTAGAGCCTATACTGCCGGGAGCTATATCATCATAATAATCATAATATCAGTGTAGAGTGCCCGACAGTCTGGTCGCTGGAACGATCTACCTCGTGCTGGGCAAGTCTGGGCAGCTTCGGCGATTCCCTGCTGATCCCAAGACCCTGAAAGGCCTGGAAGCCGTTATTTCCATATGGAAGGCCGCCAGAATACAGGGAGAGGTCCCGTAGCCCGATTTGATTTGAACCGGGATCGATGTCCGTCTTCCCCGAAACCCTCCTTTCCAGAGCTAGTGTTGCACATCGCGACCGTCCATTTCCGTTCGCGGAGGAGAGCTGATCCATCTCATTCGAACCCCTGTGTGCAACCCGCCTTCCCCACACTCGCAACGCGTCAGTCTTCCCCCGAAGAGGGCGGGAATGTCCACATATCCCTGTATGATTCGATGCTCCGAATCGAGAATGAGGCGATTGGGACTCGGCGATTGGGACTTGGCGTCCCCAGGGCGTTTTCTTTTCTTTTCTTTTCTTTTTTTTTATGCTATGGTGTGCCGTGCTTTGTACCCGGTACTTCTGTTTCCTTCCCCAGGCATGTTGCTACAGTAGCTTACTCCACACTGGTTATTATTTTTTAATTTTTGCCCGGCGAAGTTTCTGATGAATAAAGGAGGTGCGACGAGTATAATTAGCCGGAGATCCAGAAGATTTCAATCTGTCTTTGCTCTTCTGTCAACTCGACTACACCTTAGTTTTCTGAACAGCACTGCAATACGTGACAGTCTCACCATTCACTCATAAACCCGGCTTCTTGCACCTTTCACCTTACCACCTCTCATCCATACGAGCTTTATCTTCCACGTTTTATCTTCAACCTCTCACCAACATCATTCTCTCACTGCATTCTCACCTACTTGATTCGCTATTACTTCTCCGTTACATCACACCGGGCATCGGGAAGTTTCGATTCCATGTGAGTAGATTCCGTTCGAGCGTCTTTACATCATATCTCGCCCCCGTCTCCTCGATCCTCCGATCCCGCCGACCGTCGGGCGGTTTCGGAAGAACTATAACATATGCCATTCCACGCCACAAGATAACACGAGTGCTGACTCTAAATCAACGATAGATCCCGAAATCAGGCAGCTCTCCCAATCTCCAACCAGCCGAGGTATTCACCCACCCTTCAGCCGAAGCATCCAACATAAAAGAAGCCCCATCCGTCCACAACCACCAATCCTCACAATGGCCTCCGTTTCAACGAAGACTGCAACCCACCTCCCCGTCGCACCCCCAACAACTGCCGACTCCTTCGCCGCCTACTCAGAGGACATCGCTCGCGCAATCATGACGGCCACCGGTCCCAAGCCAATTAAGCTACATAACTTCATCGACGAGCTACCACCCGCTCCTCCGCCGTCCCCCGTCTCCTTCGCCATTGACAGCAATGGCAAGACCAACGGCAAAAAGCACTCCAAGGTGCCGAGCATGAGTCTGGAGTAAACGAACCCAACTCTGCGTTTCTTGTACAACGCCTCTTTCTCTTGCGTTATCACTTGCGAGCGATACATCTTCCATTTCACATGGCCGTTTCTTCTCAATTCAGGGCCTGACATAGCGATTTACTTGGTGGCGTTCGAACGGGCCTTTGCTGGTGCAAGGCAAATCATTATTTTTTTTTTCTTTTAGCTTTCTGTGATGAATCTGGGAATTGGGATACAAAAAATGGCTAGGGGTTACGGTGATTAGGTTTAATTAATTCCCTAGTCTAGGAATACAAATAATTGTGAATTACTTTCGATCTTGCGAAGAGAGACTTAGAGGAATGGGGAAGATTGTAGAAGAGTGGCAGGCCGGTAAATTGGTAAACCTAATGTAACAGCTTATCTCGTGACAAAATTATGAGCTCAATTGCAGGAACCGAGGGATGGCGAATACATGAGGACAAACAGGTCCATTCATCTCGTGTACGTTGTTCACCAGCTGCAGACTACAGTAGACGGATCTTGACTCAAGGGAGCAAGGGAGCCAGCCCCCTCGACCCCCTACAACAAGATAGTATAGATCGCATGTGAGGAAGACACGCCGATCACGACGTCACACGTCGGGGAAACCGAAGGTGGCACAAAGCAACCGGAAGCCTCCGTGGAAAGAGACCCGAAAAGACAGGGGTGCGGAGATCGGTCGTACGGGCGGTTGGCGGCTGGGCCGAGTCAAAAGGCAGAGGATGCGATTTAACGGTCACATCATAAGGGAGGTTGGTATGACGTTACCATCACACACCAAAACTGAAATACAGTCAAGTTCTTGACTTGATATTAGCATGTGCGCTAACTATTTTGTGATCAGTTGAAACAGGCCGAGGGGTGTGGGGCCCGCCTCCCCCAGTCCGGGACCCGGGGTGATCCTCGAGCGTTCCATGGGAAGGGAGAGCTGTCCTGCTGCCATATTGAAGATATTAATGTGGCTAGTCGGCACCTTGCAATAAACACCAACAGATCTGCAATAATATGCAGGGTCCATACCGGGCGTAAGCTTGGCCCTTAGCCAGCGATGGCCTCGGCCTTGTGCTTACACGTGACCCTCGCACCGGCGGAAAAAGGAGTATGAAATCATGCCGCGGTGGCCCGAATACCCGCGGCCGGGTCAATTGGATGAATCAAGTAGATCAGGGCCGAGGCCGGTGCCGAATTCCGGAAGCTTGGTTATGATCCATAATCCACATGGACTACTCAACTCTCAGCCGGATGGAGGTATTCACGTATCATTTGTTCCAGAGTTGCCAATGCCTCCGCGTCTCCTTCGACAGCTAGCTGCTGGAGCCGGTTGACTTCCGCGATTTGGGCGTCGGTGCGGGCCCATCCACTCAGACGCTCTGCAATATTCACGTTGCGCCGAGTGCTCATAACAGTGCGCACGGGATCGGTTTCGCCCTTGGCGGTTTTGATATTCTGCAGCTGCTGGAGGAACTGCGCCTGATACGTTTGGGGCACCGCACGCCGGGGCACGCCCATGTTCCCAGCCGTCTGAGAGGAGGAAGAACTCTCAGGCGCGAGCTCTGGAGTCCCAACCATCGCATTATCCTGAACCAATCCGGGCCCGGAGCTGGAGGTGATGTTCGCCTTGCGACCGAGGATCTTCACGCTGTTGGCAGCAAGTAGATCAAAGGCCGGGCCCTGGCGCAGAGGCGTATGATCAGGGTCCGGGTCCGAGTCCGGGTGCGCAAAGACTAGCTCGGTACCGATTTGATCGGCCCAGGAGCAGCTGAAGATTTGGTTGTGATACGAGACGATCGGGTTGCACGTGTGGAGACCGAGAATCTGGATTCGCTCGCTGCTCAGAGTCTCGGATTCTGCACTCTCGAGGGGCGTGAAGGCTTCGGCACCTGTATTGGAATCAGGCGCATCGTCCACTGCACCGGGTGCCTCATTGGAAGAGGCGGGGTCATCTTGACGCCGTCGTGGAGGGCGGATAGGACCATGGTGGGAGCTAAGGTCCAAGTTCAGATAGAAGGTCTGGGAAAGTCAGTACTGGGAAATCGACAGGACAGAATAGATATTACCTCCGTCTCTGAATCATGGTACTCGTACTCGTACTCCTCGTCCGAGTCCGGATCCACGCGGCGATCCATGTTTTGCAAGGGATGTCCATCATCACATCAACTTTCGGCGATAACTTAAGATAGAACGGATGAGTCATCCGCTGCAAGCGGTGAGACCGAGATGAGATGAGGTGAGGGGTTTCCGTTTGCGGTCGGTCAAGTAGAACCGGTTATTTGTATGTTGCCAGTTCCTGTCGGCTCTCACGTTGTATACTTTCAAGGCAAGAGGTTTCGACAGTGATTACGCTCTATGACACGATGTCAAAGGCGTTGTAATGACATTGTTTCGTGCGTGAACCTTTCAAATCATCCCTGTACTAGAACACAGCTGCCTGAACCCTTTCCCCGGCCGATCAAATCAGCCTTACGAAGTTAGTCCCTCTCCCTTCAACCCAAGGAGAAACAATGGCGGCATCATGTGTTCGTAAGTTATCCGAGACTTCCGCCCTGCATAGTTCCAGGCAAAGCGACCGGGGTCCATGGCGATCGCATCCGTCTTGGCTATCGCCATGCATTTCCGCACGTTTCCGGTCGCTCGCGCTGACTTGTTCGAGAACCGTCCCTTTTGACTTTTCTATTTTCCTGCCCACGGACGCTTTGCTTGAATCGGAACGCCCGGTAGACTAGTGACTGACCCAAAATAATTGCTTTATAGGTCTCTCGTCCTTCCTGCAGTGTGCCCTCCTCGCTTCCCTCGTTGTCTCCCAACCCATAGAACCGGATTCCACCGATCCTACCAATCCCATTAATCCTGCGGCATGCCAGATAGCTTGGTCGTCGCCCCATTGCATTGATTATCCGGCCTCGACTGGAGTTTTGGAGACTGCCCTGTCAGTCCATGAGCCTGACTCTCGGCTAGCACGGGCAGTCTATGCCGGTTCGTTTCAGCAGATGGGTCGCAAGGCGAAGGCGACCATCGTTGCTCTGTCGACCCTGATCGTCTACGTATCCGTCAACAGCCTCGCCCGGACCCTCGATCCGAAATCCTTTGTCTGGTATGACGAGGACAAAGACGAGCGGAGTTGGATCGCGACTTCACGATCCTGGTTCGACCGCAAGAGCTGTCGTTGGCTCGGCATCTGCGGTGCCGCGCATATCCAAACGGTCGAGGAGCACTTTGGACGGCGCAATCCCGAAAAATGGCATGAATCGAACGATACCGAATCGGAGCCTTGGCGGTCCTACTGGTTTAGCGGGGCCAGCAATCAGTCCGAGTGGGATACCGAGGAGTGGGCTCGGCGGGAGATTCCCGACTACGTTTTTGACTATGCCCCATTCGTCCATCTCTATTCCGGGGAACAGTTTTGGCCCGGTGACATCGCCGAGCATCTATACCACACCACTCCCATGCTCAACTATACCCCTATCCAGGCTCAATGGGACCATGCCACACTACAGAACCTCAACGAGCTCAACCGATGGGAAAGGGGACGCCATGTATTCTTGACCAGCAATGACGACGTGCAGACCCGGCCCCCTTGGCTCGAGGGCGAGAGGAATATCCCCGAGTCCGACGAAGAGATGGAGGAGTCATGGGCCGACTGGGACGGTCGGGTGGATGGAAAGATCCCCGGTGACACCGAAGAGGATCGTGCTGAGTGGTTTGACCTGAGACACCCAGAAGACGACGATCTAAACAAGGAATCCTCGCAAGCCCATCGATTGCTGAGACAGGAGCTGCGCAAACGCTATGGCGGTAAAGAGATTCAGGAACCTGTCGGAGACACGCCCACGGAAGGACCGGGAGGCCGCAGCGATGCACCTGCAATCTTACTCGTCATGGATAAGGGCAACGGCGTGGTAGATGCCTTTTGGTTCTTCTTCTACAGCTTCAATCTGGGCAACACCGTCGTCAACGTGCGTTTCGGTAATCATGTTGGCGATTGGGAGCATTGCCTCGTCCGATTCCACCATGGTCAGCCGAAGGCCCTCTTCTTCAGTGCCCACACCGCCGGTGAGGCCTATCATTATGAAGCTGTGGAAAAGATCGGAAAGCGGGTGAGTCAATGGCCCACAGCCGTCTTCCCTTGGTAACAATTGCTAACGCATCCAAGCCGGTCATCTACTCCGCCGAGGGAAGTCATGCCATGTACGCCACAGCCGGGGTACATGAATACATCCTGCCATGGGGACTGCTCCACGACGTGACCGATCGGGGCCCGTTGTGGGATCCCCTGCTCAACTCCCATGCATATACTTACGACTTTGACAACGATACCCTACGCGCATCCACCTACAGCCCTACGTCACCAACGGAATGGTTCTACTTCCGCGGGCACTGGGGCGACAAGTATTATCCACTAGGTGACGAACGACAATACCGATTCGCCGGTCAATACCACTACGTGAACGGACCACTCGGACCCAAATTCAAGCATCTCAATCGAGTCAAGGTGTGCCAGGGTCCGGACCGTTCAACCTGCGTGATCAAAGATTGGATTGGAGAAGATGTACGAGCCCCACGCTGGGACTCAGTCGGCTTTGGCGAGTGAGATCTTCCATGGAGGCGTTGCGTATACCATGATTTTGCTTTTGATTTGATATATACCCCCTTTGATTTTTCCTGCATTTTGACTTGAGGATTGACAGGCTAGACCCTGTTTTGATTCCACTGAGCGTTTCCCATCGCTGAGAAGCAGATGGCACGACATCATGATTTTTACCTAACCCTGGCGCCATCTCTTTCATTCGAGTGTTTGGCGTATACGATATGGTCTATTTATTTGATTTGAAGCTAGAGTTCTACAAAACCAAAACAAATACACCCCGATAGAAGCACTTTTTTGTGACCTTTTTGTTTTCTTTGCGTATATGAGATGGATGCTTGTGAGAAAAATCTCAGAATAGAGTACAGTCATGCCAGGAACATCATAATTGAGCGCTACCCAGACTAATGAGAAGCTTGCTGATCATTTACGCCAGATATGAAAAAAATGAAAGGACAGTGGATATAACAACACTGTCAAACAATGCATCCAGCTTGATTCTACCCTCTAATCTCCCAGAGTCGAACACGGCCCTGCTCATTACCAACGGCCAACTGCTCAGAGTTTGGTGAGATGGCCACAGATGAAATACGACCCAAGGGCGTATTGGAGGTAGGCCAGTTGCGGTAAACGGTGCACGATGGGAGGTGGACTAAATAAGATGTTAGTAAAACAAAAACTTGAATAAATCAGAAAGTAGAAGTTAGCCTACCAAGACGCAGGGCATCACGCTTCCACCGACTCGCCATAACCAGCATCTGACCATCAGGAGCAAAGACCAAATGGCTGATCGGGGTAGTAAGCTGGTCCAAGACACGGACCGGGTTCGGGTTGCGCGGGACACCAGCCTGATTGCCATCCTTCTCGGCAGCAGAGGCATTGGCATAAGCAGCAGCCCAGTCACGACGATCGTAGACATTAACAACACCACTGGAGCTTCCAATAGCAACCCAGCGATTACCGCCGAGCTGGGTGCGGCCCGAGCGGCCACCCAGACTCAGAACAGTAGTGCCGACGGCACCGGCATCAAGCCAGCGAGCGATCACACGACGCTGCTTACCGTCCCACTCGGAGATCTCACCATTCTTGCTAGCAACGGTCATACCCTCGCCATCGGACCACCAAACAAAGTCGGCGACTCCACCACGGCCATCAACGCGGACCTGCGCGATCCACTGTGCAGTGCCAGAGTCCAGGACGTTGATCACACCGCCGCCCTTACGGGAACTGCCGACCAGGCCGACGTAACGGCCACAGGGTGAGAGCTTGAAGCGTTCCATGGACTTTTGTTCGTCTTTGCGGTCTGCGGAGCCATTGACCTTATCCACCTTGCCGGTGTCCAGGTCCCACATGTGGAAATAGCGGCGGCGGCCGGAGGCGAAAATCTTGTTACCTCCCGGGGCGAAAGCGGAAGTGTGAATCGGCGTGCGTTTAATGTGCAACGAAGTCAGGAGCGGGTTCGGGGCTGGTGCTGAGGGAGAGATGTGATGCAGGAATAGGGTCGATGCGGGTCCAGAGGAGAGCAAGAGCGGGTAGTGAGGGTGGAACATGAGCGAATCGACGGAGGACTGGTTGGATACGTTAGTTGTATGCTTCGCATGTTGTCGTATTTCGAGATATCTTACCGGTTGCGCCTTTCCGACATCCTTCAATCTCTGGATATCAAGCACCTCCTGTCGCAACTTGCGTTTTCCACCTGAGCGAGCATTATCTTCGATGCGGGTCAGGTCGGTAGCATTCTGAAGCAGCTTGGCAAGAGGCTGCATGGACAATTGCTCCTCCTCATCAGATTCCATTTCCTGATCACTGTCCACATCTGAGTCGTCCGAGTTCATCTTCCGGCGCTTTGCGGCGAGTTCCGGGTTTGCCCATTCGGGAGTCGGGTGCAGACGCTGGAATTGTCTGCGCAGTCGCCGAACGTATTCCTTGCCGCTGACAACGTCCTCCGATTCGGTGATGCGCAATTTGCGCAGCTTGGCTTGGCCTGCTAACGATACGGCGATTCGCTCATCGTCGCTGTCGTGCCATACGGCAGGAGCGTCTCCTTCAGAGTCCTCGGCATCGGAGGGGGTCTCGGGAGATATGATCTCTGTAGGAGCGGGTGCATCGCCGGAGTCAAGGAAAAAGAGCTATATAAAAGCAGAATTGTTAGTACTAGCTCATCAATCGTAGCGAAGGCCGCATGGGCTTGAGATGGGTCACATACATCCGCATCGGCCATATTATCCATATCTTCTCCCTCCTCGCCCTCTGCGTCTTCATCAGCGCTTCCACTCTCTTCGTCACTATATAGAGTGAGCTGCATAGCATCAGCCCGCTCCTGCTGGCTCTTCAAAGCGCCCATAAAGCCCGCATCGTCACCAAAGAGCATGCGCTCCAGCTTCTTCTCCGATTCGTCCGCTTCGGGGATACTCTCTTCGTCCGAGCTTGTTTCGTCGTCCATTTCAATGTCTTCATTCACATGCTGGTTCATGGCGGTACTTTCGAACGGAGACCGAGCTGTCGTCCGCTTGGTCTTTTGCTTCAACCCAGTTGGAAGCATTGTGGCAGCTCCGTATTCGCAGGCTGAATGGAGCTTGTAAATTTTCCTCGAAGGTTAAACCTCCACAGCGATCGGCGTTTGAGAGCTTGCTTTGGCGGGATCAGAATATTTTTCGCTTTGATTTTTGCAATGCCGGCAGATCGGGGCGGTGTAGGGGGCGGTCCATTTTTATGCCTGAGGCCACAACATGGGAAGCGGGTGTGAACTCCGCGTGTAAATGTTCATTTGTAACCGCTGTTGATTTAATTTAGTTTGCAAGCAAGTGTGTTCAACTGGGAAGCTAACAATGGAAATATAGCCCTGCGAGATCAGCTCCGGTTAGGTGTTTTGTTTTGCAATTTCGGTTGAGATACATATTTAAGCAAGTTCTAAGGTTAGAGAAAGAGTATATCCGTATTCGAGAGTAAAACATCATGTACACGTTTATTTCACAAGATATCATCGACGAGAGCAATCGCAAAGTCCCACCAAACTGTTAACAAAAAAGTAGTTTATTCCATCGTGGGCTCACGTATCGGCATTTGGTTTCCCACCTTGTTCGCTGCGACTGCTGCCGGAGGAAAAAGGTTCATAGGGTGGAACCGGAGAATGGTCCTCAGTGAGCTGCCCTTCAGATCCATGGAGAGCGTTTGCAACAGCCTTTGCATGTGATGGTGTATCTTTCCCATGTGCTGATTCTTCATCACCCGAGTCCGTGGAGTAAGCCTCGTCCAGACCAGCGAGAAGCGCTTCCCGCCGGTGAAGGTCATCGGGATTGTCAACAGAGTCGCTCTCAGTGTAAAGGTCGAAAGAAAGCTGCTTCTTGATAAAAGAATCGATGATATAATATTGGAGAGCGTTCATAATAAGTGGGAATAGAAGCATGACGAAAGCAATCTGCAAGGCGGTATTGCCCTCAGTCCATCGCAAAGCCCAGTCGCCGACTTTGATGATAAAGGGCAGAAGTTGGATGAGGAAGAAGACGCATATCTTCATGCTGAACAGCCCCATGAAGTAGATGATGGATTGCTTGAGCCACCATGTAGCGCGCGGTGGATGACCATAGTTTCCGGATTCAATCGACTCTGGAGGGTTTGCGAGAGGGGTGTAAGATGCAAGAAAATTCAAGATGCGTAGATTGAGGATAAGAATCGGAATACCGAGGGTAGTCTGGTAGAATTGTTAGCGATCGCACTTCTCTATGAATACAAGACAGTAACTCACGTCAATACCCAGATTCAGCAGGTAGAATGAACAAGGGTTTGGTCGGTAGGTGCTCTGAATATCGAGCTGACCGGCCGAGAACATGGATATGAGGAGATTCGCCATGTGAAGCATGGTTGAACCGAAGACCTGCTTCGAAACATCAAACGCCCATACCTTCACCTGCCGTTGTGGCCGTTCTCTCCATCGCTTGTAGACCAGAGACAATAGCGCCAGAGCCCCTAAAGCAGCCTGAACGAGGAGAGAAAATGACCCAAGCAGCTTACATTCACCATTTTCATCTCCGCCTTGGTCCTGTCCTGGCGAGGACGCCTCATGATAATATAGCATGTGCGATTGCGAGGAAGATGACGGGGAAGGCGGAGATGTAGCAGCGATAAGAGTGCTCGTCGTGATCGCAACCAGCGACATGATGGGCGATGTATCTGTCATTGCTGAGGACTATCGGCTGCAGATGACTGATCAACTGCAGAGAGACGCTGGGGCTAGATGCGACCCGTGATGCGACCCGTGCTGGGATGACTGGGTTCGGGTGTGACACTGGACTAGTCGTCTTATCGATCGCGGAGGGCGTACGTCATATGTGTAGCATCCTAAGCTGGACCGAGGAGCTGTGTTTCTCAGGCAGGGATAAAGACGTGGGATAACGGTTTTGGAAGATAGGAAGAGTCGCAGATGGACAGGATGTCGTTGCATCCAGCGGCCTCGGAGGCGGTAAGTGGGGCACACATGACTCCACACTGAGGCTTGCCACAAGGGTCCTAGTAAATACCGTCGGTATTACTATCTAACTTCGCATCACTATGCATCGCAAAGTGAGGTCTCCACGACCCTGGTTCACCCAAAGGGCCATTCGTCAGGTTCTCGAGCCTGGAAAATCTATCACCCTAATGCACCCTCGGTGACTTTGTCTACCAAGTTGCCGAAAAAGCTGTCAAAAGAAGCACATGGCCATCTCACGCTGCAATAAAGTTTCATGAGCTGAGACCAGCAACCGCTCAATGCGGGCGCTGATAAAGGTCTATATGCTAATTTTGTATCTAAATATGGAACTAGAAACTGGCCAGACTCGCGCCCTGCAGGCCACGAATGTAAACCTATGGAGCTCGTCGCACTTCAGACCTTGAATTTCCGAGCTTCGGGATACCCACCTACCCACTCAGGCTGCAAACAAGACCGTCAGGGTAAAGAAGAGCTAGTTCCTGACTGGCTTTTTGCTTTTCTTTCAAGGGAGATTGTCTCTAGCCTACGTCCAGGTGTTCAGCGTGGGAAGGCCACTCTCCCTTTTGGGCCCTAGATAGGATCAAACGAGATATGGTTCGTGAGTCTTCCCAAAATCTTCTTATATAAGTTATCTCTCCTTGCCTAGGTTGCCCTGGGGTACATTAAAAGGGCCCTGCCCCCTTGTTCTGCCCTAATATACAGAAAAGCACTAACAAAAGATCACGATGAATATAATCACAGCAAGGCAGGTATCTGGCCCACTTTTGCTGGACACATATGCTAGTCTGGAATGAAGAGACCAAGTCTCCATAAGTAAAGGTTTACCTCTTATGTAGATTAGGAAAGTAACGTTGGCCAACTAGTAGGCTATATCTCCTCGCCAAGCACAGGACCCCATTTCTCTTCAGCCCGGTGGGTACTTTTAAGGTAATTCAGCCTTTCCGCTCTTGGACCTTGATTTCTATGGGCTTGAACAGTCAATTTACATGTCGATGTCAACTAGCCTCATCCACGTGGAAGCGGATAGTTAGATCCTGGAATCTCAGCGGGTTGTGTTTGTTGAGCAAAGCGGGGAATTGTAATTGATCGCCAGATAAGATGGACGATGAGATAAAATAGAATAAACATTGAAAAAAAGAAAATCTCCCGCGAATACGTGCTCATTCTGCGAGGAGCCCCTAGATCGATGCCAGGGAATAAACCCATCCAACCCTCCATTCTCACCCACTCAAAAGCACCGTTGATATGAATCGTGAAAAGAAAACCCAGGGAATAAAAACGCCGGAAACCCCTCAACCAACCCAGAATGATAGAATTGGAGAGCCATTGCAACACCATGCGCAGCTAAATGCTAGCAGAGGGCATCATAAGAGTCGAAGGTCGTCACACATTACTCTATCCCATGCTGCTGTTTAAGTCGTTCGAGATTTTCTTGTCTTTCCGCGAGGTCTTCTTTCGAACGGAGCATCTTTTCCGGCTGGTGATACAAGACTGTGTGCAAATCCCGTTAGCATTGAAATCCATCAGTGGCTTAAATTCTTCCGTTGTACGTACCGACCAAGTATCTGTTCTGGAAATTGAAGCCATTGAGCTTATCGCATGCCTGCTTGGCGTCGTGCACGTCCTCGTAGACCACGAATGCGGTACCCTTCGAGTTGTTGGCGATGCCCTGGCGGATTTGCCTATCAACGGGGAAAAAAAATTAAATGTCAGCGGCGGAACGACGGGCGAAATGGGAGAGTACAGGTGGTTTTACCGAATGGGCCCAAACTTGCCAAAGAGGTCAAACAGCTGATCTGCTGTTACGTTGTAGCTAGCGGGACAAAGTCAGCGATGTTCCATTATTAGACTGCAGATGTCACGATCCAAGGGAATGCGGCGAGCGTCGACGGCGGGGCGGCAGGCGACTCAGGTAACGTACTTGAGGTTCTTGACGAAGAGAATCCTAACAAAAACACAAAGTTAGCATGCATGTACCACAGACACCTCAAGCTAAACACGTATGACGCTCCGTTTTGCGGCGGACAGGAGTTGGTCGCCGAGGCCAGGAGGGGCAGAAGATATGCGCACATACCGATTTGCTTCGGGGGCGAGCTTCCGGCTCATTCTCAGGACAAATGGGGTCCAAAAGGGAGGTGCTATGAAGATTGAAAGGAAGAGCGAGATACCCGGGGTATCGAGGGCAGTGGTAGAACGAGAAGGAGGAGCGGAAGATTGGAGACACGCAGAAAGCACGAGGTCGCCTTGGCAGCCCGTTGTGGTTTAGCGTGCGCCAGAATGCTTGCAGGATGACCTAACCAGTACCATACATGACATGTAAACTCACGTGCTCCCGTACAAATATCATTACATACAGTACCGAACTGTATCAGAGACACAGCTCGGCGCCGCTCTCGTTCGCAACTGGAGCTTCGGGGCATTCAAGGCTGCCTTTTGGCTTTTCGCTTTTCGCTTTTCTTTCCCAGAAACAATCGATCGCGAACCGCTTTCTCACCTTGCGAGGACCGACATTGATTCCAAGGAAGGACCCAAGGTGCAAAGTACTTCATCGGTCGCAGCGGTCCCGCCTACATACCTGACCTAGTTGACTTCCCGCTCTCTCCTTCGCCTACGCCTTGCGCTCATCCTTCCCCTCCTCCCACGGAGCGCTTCATCCATTCGCACGACCTCCGCTCGTCATCCAGTTCGCAGGATTCCACTCCTGCTGACTGGATTACACTCGATCCAGCTCTCCTGCCCGCGGGCTCGCGCCGCGACTCCTCGGCGCCTTTGTCCTCCCGCCGCTTGACTCCAGAACCCCCCTCAACTCGAGCCGCTCCGCGACACGCCTCCTTCGCCCACGCCCTCCGTCCTCAATCGGCCATCGAACATTTCGGTGCATCTCGCGGCCTTTCGTGCGCATGTCCGTCTGCCAGGAATGACTTTCCTTTCCTCTGCGACGGCCTCTCGCTAGTCCGTGTGGTCCAACATCCCCGCTTTGCACCCACCTGCCGCAATCGCAAAACTTCGCGCCTCCGACCCCTCATACAACATTTTTATCTGCTCGGCATCATCTGAGTGTGTGAAAATGATGAGCGCGGCGTCGTTCCTGCCTCCGCTGGGCGAGCGCCCGCCGCAGTACCGCACACCGTCTCCTCCGCGACGCGCTGTCGAGCCCATCACACCGTCGACTGCCGAATTTCGAGCATCGAGGGCCGAGCGCGGCGTCACTAGAGCTGCCAGCCTCGATCACGACCAGCGCCCGTCAAACCCCAATCAGAATGTCGCCGCGGATGGGAGTTCACATCATCGGTCGGGCCACGGCCGGTCGAACTCGACCATTGATACCCTCGCGACGATCGCCCTCGCAACCAGCCCTACCTTCACACCACTACCGAATCGCGCACCATCCCCTAATTTCCAATCAGTCGTACCATTATTCCCTCCCGAACCTATCAAATCCGAACGGCCCGCGAAACGCCCACGCTCGGAGCGGATCCCGTCACCATATCGTCCTCGGGGAGCACTCTCGGATGCCTCCCACCCGAATATCCAGGATAGCATGACCACCGATGCGGAGCTTTTGCTCAACTTCGCCCGACCTACCAATTACCAACCCGGTGGCCATGCCAAACGAGTCAGCATCGACGAAACTTTTCACCACTATGGAGAGGATGGAACGAGACACAGTCGGGTCGGCTTTGCCGGTGGGAGCTATGGTGGCCTAAACGATGCGAAATCTGCGTATCACCCTGATGACCACGCCCCATCGCGCATGAGGTCTCGTTCGGACGGATCAACATTTCTTTCACGCCCTGTGATCAGTGGTATACGCCCAACAACCAGCGCAAGCACATTACCTCCCATTGTATGGGAAGATGACAATGAAGACAGCCCGTGGAACTCATCGGCAGAAACATTTGGCTACGCTGGGTACAGGGACCATCGACCTGCCGCTGCTCGAGAATCTCATATGTTTCACAAGTCAATCGATCCTACCCCGAAGGTCGAAGAGGAGGAGAGTGATTCGAACCAAGCAAGCTGTGCTGCATGTCATCTGGTGAGAATTCCAGTCGAAACGGAGGAGCAGGACGAAGACACGTGGATTGGTTGTGACGGATGCAAGCGCTGGTTCCATATCGTTTGTGCCGGGTTCAAAAATGACCGAGAAATCCGAACTGTCGATAAGTTCATCTGCCGCAGTTGCCGACCAGTTCACGGCCAGACGACATTTGTACGCAAGTCCTCGCGCGCCCGTACGGCAATCGACTACGCCGGTCTAAATCAAGGTCTTGTGAAAGCGGCCACAGATTCCTTGGAACACCACTATCTGGAGCCCATTCGCCAGGGGAGAATTCAATTCACCCCAGAGAACTTCCCTCGGATGAAACCTGAATTGGTCACGGCTGAATACTTTGAGCGCGGCAACGGATGGACAGAACCAGTCGTGATCCCTGCGTGTTGGAATAACCGTGAACCGGTTCCTGAAGTCGACGTGGATTTCGAACATCTTGTGCAAGAATCTTCATCCCAGGAAATGTTCGATGACGTACTCGATCATGTTTCCGAACACCAAACGGATATTGAGGAAAGAGTCGACTGTGGTCAGGACCAGCTGGACATGGTCATTCCTCAAGGGCTCACCGTTCGGGCTGTAGCTGAGCTGTACGGCCCCGAGGAGAGGGTGGAAGTGATTGATGTCAAATCGCAACAGGGAGAGGACAAGAGATGGAATATGCAGAAGTGGGCCGATTACTACGAAAGCAACGAACCGAATAAGGTCGTTCGAAATGTCATCAGTCTTGAAGTGTCTCAAAGCAGGTTGGGCAGGCTCATCAAGCGGCCCAAGGTCGTGCGCGATCTGGACCTGCAAGATGCCGTGTGGCCCAAGGAGCTTAAGGCTATTGGAGACTACCCTAAGGTCCAGTTTTATTGCCTGATGTCCGTCGCTGACTGCTATACCGACTTCCATATTGATTTTGGCGGCTCTTCAGTATATTATCACATACTCAAGGGCAAGAAGACCTTCTTCTTCATTCCCCCGAAAGACAAGCACTTGAAGAAGTATGAGGAATGGTGCAATTCTCCTGCCCAGGATTCAATATTCCTTGGTAACCAGACCAAGGAATGCTATCGCGTGGACCTCTCAGAGGGAGACACCATGTTGATTCCTTCGGGGTGGATTCATGCCGTGTGGACACCGCAGAACAGTCTGGTGATCGGCGGCAACTTTCTGACAAGAATGAACTACGGGATGCAGATCAAGGTTCTCAACATTGAGAAGGAGACCAAAGTTCCCAGAAAGTTCAGGTATCCTTTCTTCCAGAAGATCCAGTGGTATACGGCCCTGAGGTACCTGGAGGATGACCCCATCCCCCAGAATGTGCTGGAGGCTTTCGCGCAGGACGACAACTATCGGTTCCATCGACATTACCCCATCTATTACGAGTTTGCGGAGCGCACCAACCAAGAACCTATGGGTTCTCCATACTACAATTCACGGTTCTATTCTCAAGCCGAGCTTGAAGGCTTGCCGGAGTTGACCAAGTATCTTCTGCGGACAGCTCTCATTGCAGGTTCCTATCTCGCCGACGGAGTCTCCGTGGACACGCGCAACGCTGTCAAACGCTCGATTCCGAAGTGCGTTGCGGATCCTGTTGATATGATCAGGAAGTTCGGCATTTGGGTTGCATGGAAACGCGGGAATGAGAAAGCACCTCAGTGGACTTATCCCGGCGTCATCGAAAGCAACCCCAAAGTATCTCTCAACGAAAAGAAGGCTGCGGGGAGGCCCAGCCGCCGGTCCGAACGCAACGTGGACAGTCAGCGTACCTATGCTGAAAGACAGGCAGTCCAATGGCCATCGGAGGAAGTCGCCGCAACTCCGCTTCCTCCGATAAATAGCGTCGTATATGAGCCATCCGAAAGTGAAACGCCGGCACCAGTCGGTTTCCTTCCTGATTTTGCTCCGCAAGAGATCTCTACACCCAAGCCGCGAACTGTCCAGCGCGGCTCCGGACTTGGGCCGAAACGTGTTGCTTGTGACGCTTGTCGTCGACGACGTATTCGATGCCGCCACAAGGATGAGCCGAATGACCTGATGCTGGGTCGACAAATGGCAATCAACGGATTTGGATCGGCATCAGGCGTGAGCACACCTTCTTCTTTGGCGCAGGATGCTGTTTCGGCGCTCAACTCACTGGCAGCAATCGCTTCCCAGGTTGGGTTCCAAAGCAATGGTGCTGTTGGCTTGGATCAGTTCGATGGATCGGGCAATTTTCAATCAGCTGTCATGGGTACTTCTACAGCGGCAGCTAATCGACTCGGCGATCTCAGCCCCGACGGAGCGAATGGCAAAAAGGGACGGAGCAAGGCATGTGATGACTGTCGGAAGAGCAAGGTTGGTCGTCCCACCCTATCCATAATGGACTTAATTACTGACTTAAATAATAGCGCCGCTGTATTCATGATGAGTATGGCAGGATAGATCCTATCAAGGCCCAAGAGCGATCAAAACCTCGAGGCACCGCTTCCGCAAAACGACCACGGCCCAATGGGGAAGACGGTGTGCCATCTGTCACCAAGAAAGCGAAGCAGGAGAGCACGTCTCCAGTTGCGCATCAAGGATTCTTCGGCCAGAACGACGATAAGGTTGCAGTGATGCAAGCTGCCTCTGTAGCGGCTTATGACCCCGATGCTGTCGACTACGGTCCGTCAAATCAATTTCCAGCACAGCCTCACAAGAAGGGCGAGACGTCCCTTGGCCTCACCTATGCATCGCCGCCTGTTTTCCATGCCGAATCGGTTGATGCGAAAGACCCCAATTCCATGTCTGTTTCGTCGAAGCCGACCACGTCTTTGGTTTCTCCTCCCACATCGCTGGCCGACGAAATGGATGTGACACAGGATGGCGAGGCGTTAACGTCTGTTGAAAGTGAAGCTCCGTCACTCCACACGCCGAACTCCAGCTCTCGTCACTCTTCCCGTCAGCCCCGACATGTTGAACGATTCGTGCCAGAAACAACTCTATCCCGTGCGCCCAAACCAGCTGCTCGGCCGGCACCATCCACCATGCGCCGAACGACTCCTGGTCCACTGCCAGCGTCTGCCAAGAAGCCGTCATCACGCCCTTCGTCATCCCATACGAAGAAAAGTTCACCGATGGTTGAGAAGCGCTTCGAGCGCCTCATGGCATCTTCATTATCACCCAATCAATCAAGCAAGCATTCGAAGCACCTCATCGACGAAGAGAATACGGATGCAGAGAGCCTTCGTCTGATCCGGGAGCTTCAAGAAGAGGAATTCGGGCTACGAAAACGCTCTACCCGCGGCTAGGCAAGCCATTCGAAGCAGCACAGTGCTCACGAATGAAACTCGGAGGATTGCCCTTTTCTTTTCAAATAATTTTCGTCAACACGGTTTATTCAGGATATCATATCGGGAGCTGGGTTTGGACAAACGGAGTTCATTTTGCGTTCAAGGCGTCTTACACTTTTGGGCCAGGATGGCCGGAGGAGTTTGCGTGTGATTTTTGTTGCATGGGTCTTTTTTTCATTTGACAAATTCTGGTCTTGGTCTTTCTTCGCTTGCCTCAGTGGACGTTTATTTTCTTTTATTTTCTTTTGTTATAATTCAGCCCAAACTTCGGACGGACTTCCTTTGCACTTCGAGTTTACTTATCTGATCTGGTATACCTTTTTCTCTTTGAATGTCTAAACATGACTCAACCTTCCAATGCTTTTGCTGGATTGAATTTTCCCTTTGTTGGGCACGGAGCTAGGCGTTTGAATTTTGAATTTTGAATTTCTCAAGAGCACTCGTGTATTTCCCTTTGCTCAGTCTTATGGTCAATCATTTCCATACTGTGTCCTTCTCTTGATCATTGTAAGGCTTGGTATATCTGTGAAAACCTAGTTAGGGGGCTATACCTCTGAATTAAGTCGATTTGCATCACAGCCCGGAGGGCCGGCGAGGGGAAATTCCCCATATCCAATCTCCAATGGCGATCCACCACGCTATTTTCTCATTTCCCCATGGGACTCCTGGGTTTCCCCAGCATCAATAGCACCAAAAGTGAGATTAACGTCGGAGTTGATCCAGACTCGCGGTGTTTCGGCCCACTTCGGATTCCAATAGCCGAGTCCGTTCAATAGCCGTCTGCAAGGTACAGAGGCCGGGCGTTCTGCAATAGCCAACAATAGCCGTGGTGTAGGGCATTTGTACCTTGACAATGGTAGTTAACATATAGAAACGTAGAACTACCCTTTAAGCATTGGTTTCAATTTCGCTCTCTCCGCAATCCCATTGTGTATACCTGACCCCAAGCCCAGGAAGCTTCGTATACAGTCACAAGCAAAAGATAATCAAAATGGGCAAGCCAGTCGTCCTTCAACTGGGTGACGACATCCGTTGGAACCATGAATTGTACGCAAAGTTCAACGACCACTTCGAGGTCAAAAGATCATACAGCATGTCTCGACCGGAGTTCATCCGAGCTCTGAAGGAGCGCAAGTTCGGCGATTTCTTTGCCACGTATCGACCGTTCTGGAATACCGGTGGTGAGATGGGCAACTGGGACGAGGAATTGATTTCTATGCTGCCGGATTCCTGCAAGGTGTATGCCAGTGCTGGCGCTGGATTTGACTGGGTTGATACTGCTGCTTTGGCGAAGAAGGGTACGATATACGTGGATCGGATCTCCAGGATCTTTTCTAACATGGATTGCAGGCGTCGTTTACTGCAATGCTGCCGCAGCTTGCACGGAATCCGTTGCTGACGCCGCGCTCTGGCTGATCATCTCCAGCTTCCGCCTGTTTTCCTGGTCTGCGATGGCTGCACGTTCGCTGGATGCAGACCAGTTCATCGATGCCAACAAGAATCTAGCACCCGTGTCACTGAACCCTAAGGGTCACACTCTCGGAATCATTGGGTTCGGCCAGATCGGTCGCCGGACAGCTGAAAAGGCCTACCTCGCTCTGAACATGAAGATTCTCTACCATGACATCGTCCGGATGCCACGAGAGTTGGAGAACGTTTCAAAAGCCACATACCACAAGAACATGGACACTCTCCTAGCAGAGTCCGACTGCTTGGTAGTAGCGACACCCTTCAGCGGCGAGACCCTGCTGAACGCATCTCTGATGTCAAAGATGAAGAAGGGCTCCAGACTGGTGAACATCGCGCGCGGAAAGCTTCTGGACGAGGCTGCTCTTGTGGATGCGCTCAAGCGAGGCCAGCTTTCTGCTGCTGGTCTGGACGTGCATTTCAACGAACCGCATGTCAACAAGGAGCTGGGTCAGATGAAGAATGTGGAGATCATGTCGCACAATGCTGGTGCTTCTCTGGATTCGCATATTGGGTTCGAGCGTCTAGGTATGGAGAACATTATCTCGTTCCTTCAGAATGGCAAGGCTGTCACTCCTGTTAATCAGCATTTGGTGGGCAAGGCATCGGTATCTAAGCTTTGAAGACTGAATTATAGAACGTGATTCCATAACGTGCATAGATTAGTAGAAAATTCCCAATTGTCAACGTCCAAAACATTAATATCCTTCGTACTAAACGTGCTAGATAAGTAAACAAGAACAAGTACAATATTCACAGCTTGAACGTGCTGGTCGGTCGCAATTTCATCCCAGCCTTTTCATAGGTTCGATCAATCGCCTCCATCTGTTTGATACTATCCTGGCCATCAACCCAAACCCCAGAGCCATCGCGCTTCTTTACCTTGTTCACGAACTCATGGAGCTGATAAAGATAGGTAGTCCACCAGTCTTCACCAGTCACCCGTCTCCCATCCTCAGGTGACCAAGAATACGCTTTCAAAGATTGAGGCTCCTTCCAAGTCTTGACTACTTTCCCATCACGACGGATCGTATGCGTGTCTTCCACATCGATCCGATGGTAGACAGTAGGCATAAGATGATTCCACATCGTGGCCGTCCGCTTGACGGATCGGGTTTCGCCATCGGAGCTTCCGAGGTCCTTCTCTTCCAATTCAACCTTGCATTTCGGCCAGCCAAAGCCCGGCAGTGCCTTAATCCAAGACGATGAAGTAGCTAGATCAGCGACGAGGTGGCCCGTCGCGCCACTTTCTGTTTTGTATGTTGCTGTCATCGCCTGTTCAGCAGGCTGATCTTGCGTCCCGGGTTTGGAAGGTAGATCAAACCTCCCTTGAGCCTGCAGCACTTCTGTTGGCTCTTCGCGTAGAATCTGACGCAGACAGCTTAACGGATATGTACCGAAATCCATCAAAGCACCACCAGACAGGTCATAGCGCCAGCGAATATCGTCATTGGAGAACATGCCCTTTGGAGCATATTGTTGCGCAAATGCGTCTTTTACTGGGCCCGCCATAGTGTTATCGTGAATGAGGGAAAGGAAGGTTTGCCATGCAGGGTGAAAGCGGTAGTGGAACGCTTCCAGGAGAACAGGAGCGTTGGGTGCTTTGAGCAAGGGGTGATTGAAAAGGGTCTTTGCTTCTTGAGCATTTGAACATGACGGCTTTTCCAGAAGGACGTGTTTGTGGGCATTGATGGCGCGCAAGGCCCATTCGAAGTGCAGGCCGTTGGGGAGAGCAATGTAGACGGCGTCGATAGTTGGGTCATTTAGTAGATCTATGACACGTTAGAAGAGTGTTCATCCGGTACGATACTAGGAAGACAGTTGGGTATGGTACCTTCATAAGAGGAATGCACGATAGGAATATCATGCTTCTTAGCATACGCCTCTGCGCGACTGCGATCTCTGGCTGCAACGGCAGCAATGATGACCTCCGAGTGCGCTCGCGCTGGTGTTATCAAGGCAATTGGACTATAGTCATGCGTTAGAAATATTGAAAGAATAGAATCGTCTCGTCTCACGCGATATTGGAAGCTCCGAGGAGTCCGAAGCGGATGGCGTCATCCCGCTTTGGGGCTTGAGGGGGGTTGAAGAAGCCTGCATAGATGCGATGCAGGGCAGCGAAAACCATGGTGGCGTCGCGAGCTGGTCTTGATTTAAACCTTTTGATGATATGTGGGTCGCGATATGCGTCTGTGATGATTTATTCGGAAGGATAGCTCTGGAAAGGCTTGTGAGATAATGGCTCCACCGCCGTGCGGGGAAAGCTGTCGCTCCGCTCCGGAACAATAGGCCAACTTTGCGCTGAGGTTTGTTTCGCAGGATTGGCCAAAAAATGGTCTCTCTCTAAAAATTACGAGGATTCTCTGAGATGATAAAACGTTGAAGAAGACGTACAAAGCGATGAGACTATCTGTATGTCGGAACGAATATAGCAGGGGAGACCGGATTTATTAATGATCCGATGATATTATTTCTTATCTATAAACATCCCTAGTTAACTATAAATTGCCAGACTCAGGGATATAGTAATACAGAGGTTTCTTCGCACTAACTAGTAAGTCTAGTACGTACTCTTATAGTTATAAGCCTAGCCCACCGCTAATAAACCTATCTAATTGGGCTAGAGAAGCAGTCGTCGCTTCGGACGCTATAATGACCGTGGAGCCTCTAATATGGGTGCGGTCCCTGGCTCTTGGGCAGTCTGGAGTGTCATGGTCCTCTGTGCAGAATAGGTATTAAGCCACTCGATTGCAGTTCCAGGCTGTATGTCCATACAGTTGGCAATTAAAGCATCGCTGCGGACTTTGGCTATCATCAAAATTCGGCAGTCTTGGTTTCTCCCAAGGAGCGCGAGGCTATCAAAATAGCTTGGTTGGCTGCGTATGCGTCATCAAACCTCGAGTACCAGCTTCGAAGTCTCCGGTTTAACCTCCTCCATCTCACGGCAACTGAGTAGCCACCCGATATAGATGATCACAGACAGGTATCGAAAAGCCCCACCATTCTCCATCTTAGTCCTTGTCTTGAAACTAAACCCGGGACCAAACGGAACTTCGCTGTGGATAGTTGATTGTCTATTCTGTGAAATTGAAAATACACCGTAGATACTGTTCATATCGGATTAATGTATGAGATTCTTCCGGCCCGAATCCCTGGGATGTGGATAAATGGATAGGAAGTGGGTTGACTTGATTATTGTAAATAAGTCTTTTATTGTTTGTCAATCTCTGTCATTTTATACATCATTCGCAAACACCTCTCCAAGTTTCACCAGATGCTCCCATCTTTCATCCTTTCGTGTTTCAATCTTACCTTCTGGTGTTGCGACCTTCATCTCATCAATTGCACTCGTACCGAAGTCATATGTCTGATCATCATTGACGAATGCGACGAGAATCTCGATCCAATCCTCCATCAATTTTCTCTCGGCAGTTGTTGGACCATGCATGATGGAGAAGCTAGTCGAGCCTTAGCAAAACACACAAACAGATCTTTTATTTACTTACTTCCAAAACGGCTTGTCCATAGCATGAGCCACCCCAAACGAGTGAGGGGCAACTTTGTCCGTGATAAAGGAGAGCCTGTAGGCAATTCGATAGCGCCAAATATCGCGCAGAGAAATACCATTCTTGTTAAGACAATTGATCAACCATCGAGAGGGAGCTCGAACTTGGCCGTCTGAGATAATATTTCCGAAAAGTGTGTTCCACTCGTTTGGATCATGGTTAGAGGGTAGTTGGTACTCTTGCAGAATCCGATCCGTGGTCTCAGGAGCATAGTAATTCGACACTTGCAGCCGCAGCGACTCGAGATTTGGTTCAGGGGTATTATACGTCGCATAGAGGGTTTCCTCATTGAGAACCTCGCCAATTAGAACACGCAGCCGACGTTTCTTGAACTGCTCGGCAAATGCACCGCTGCGGTGATATTCCGTGAAGCCGCCGAAAATGAACAATTCATCAGTAACGGGGCGGAATGTATGGTTCTTGAGTTCTTTCATGGCGTCGACAAGATCCTGATAGTTCACTTCACGCAGCTTGTCGACCTTTTCAGGACCAGAAAAGCTATCAGCAACATTGAAGTACCGGCACAGCTCATCGAACTGAGTATTCACATCCTTCAACGCTTTAGGCTGAGCCGGAATAGCGTTGGAATACATATAAAACCGGTGAAAGATCTGCGACTCGCGACGGAACTCATACAACACTTGCGCATGTGTGCCGTATGCACCGGCACTGCGCCCACCGAGGGTAATATTGTCGACATCACCATTAAAAGCAGTGATATTCTCATAAACCCATTCCATAGCCAAACGCTGATCCCACAATCCGAAATTGCCCGCACTCTCCCTATTGCTATCTTCCAGAAGAGCTTCGCCAGCCAGGAAACCAAAGACATTGAGACGGTATCCGATTCCAACGACGACTGCATTTAGTTTGCCGGTTGAGATAAGCTCGGTGGGATTCATGCCGAGTTCTTGGAGGGGGTCGCCGAGCTGGAACCAGCCGCCGTGAAGCCAGAGCAACACTGGCCATTTATTATTTGCTCCAGGCTCTTCAACGGGAGTCCAGGTGTTCAAGAGAAGACAATCCTCGCTGTAAGTTTCTGGGCCGATGTCCTTCTCTGCGCCACGGGAGAAGGTCGCCTGCGGGCAAACAGGGTGGAAGAAGGATGCATCGAAGGGAGTTCCGTCCGATTGAGTGTAGCTGTGAGAGCGGGGGAGTGCGCGGGGCTTTCGCCAGCGATTTGCACCGACGGGAGGCTGGGCGTAAGGGATGCCTGCGTATCTTCGAGCTTTGTTGTCGTACTGAATGCCTTTGATCCTGACTTGGGGACCTAGATCAATCTCGTGTGGAGTTTCATTGTAGGTAGATAGTGTATTGCCCATGTTGGAACTCGATAGAATTGAAGAGCAGTTAGAGGGGGGATTTTGTAAGAGGACCCTTTATAGCCGACCCCCCTCCCCCCAACCAGCCACTTATCTAGTTGGAACTAGTCGTTAGTCGGCCGATGCCCATCACCTGGGCCGGAGATAGATATCGGCGACCAGATGTAGTTCTGCTCAGCCATCATCCATTATCTAGTTAGTCTCAGTTCCGAGTCATGCATCTCCCTGATCGTGCACATTTGTTAAAAAAGAGTCGATTTCATTGTAAAACTCTCGTTGGGCAGTAGAATCAGGCAGATGATACCTCGAATTGAATAAACACTATTTGGCGAGAGGCCTGAAAGTGCGGGCCACGGGCTCATCTCGAAAGACCAGCAAAAACATCAAAAAAGAAAAAAGGCTTCTCGTCAACTAGCATATTTGACACTGCGGCGAACCCATTGCATTGCCAGCTTGTTCACGACATGGTCGATAAACTGGTCCAATTCTCCAGGTATCGGAAAAGTGGAAAACATTCGAGTGCAACACCTTGACCCCTCTTTCAAAATAACGCTCTATCTCAAAATCAATCGTCAAATTACAGTGTTGTGGGTGTGAGAAAACGTATCCATATTCACCATAGCTCCATGGCACTTCATTTCAATTTCACACCTCTCCAACCTCTGCATTTCCTTCCATAACGTACCGCTCAATACTGGGAATATTAGATAAAGCAAAGCCAGCCAGTTAATTTTAACTCATAGTCTATTGGTAATCAAATGAACAGTGTTTCACCTACCAATACCATGTTTCGCCCCGGGCCATCCGCCGTCCAGTTTTCTAATAGTTCGCCATCGTCTCGCTGTTAACATAGAGGATATTTTGTGCGTGATTGAAGCCATTGAACCGGGTTGCAGTGGTTAAGGTATACGCTGCATAGAATCAGCTTGAAAATTCCAAAGCAAGCAAATGATGCCGACACTTACCTCCCATATTCCTGTATATAAGCCAGTCTCCCACCTTCACCTCTGAGTCGAAGGCCATTTCGCGCACGACACAGTCCGTGCTGTCACAAGTAGGGCCCCAGATTGAGTAGCGATGACCTGCAGCTGCAGTTTGCGGACTATGAATTTTGTCTTTGTCTGGGGTTGGTGTCGTTTTCACCGGGGATTCTTCTTTTGACCTTTTCCCAAGAAACAAACAAGGGTCCATCTTTTCCTTTTCCATTATGACATTCATAAAGTTACCATACACTCCATCATTCTGGTACAGCATGTCTGGAACCCCAGCAGCAGCTTGCTTGCCGACTTGGCAACGTCGTGCGATCACCTGAGAAACCAGTGTGTAGGCACCGCGAGCATAATATCTGCCTGGCTCCGCAATCACCGTCACACCAGAGGGGAATTGTTCGCGGATGGCCTTAGTGACAATCGAGGCCATCGACTCAAAGTGGCTGTCTTGGAATCCGCCGCCAATGTCGAGTACCGTAGGATTAAAACCTTGCCGTTTAGCGAGGCTCAACACATGTCGGGCGTCTTTGATAGCTTGACAGAAAGCCGCTGAATCTGAAGCTCCAGTTCCTGTTTATCAATTTTAGTTTCGAAACACAACTTAAAACCCAGAAATACTAATCAAGGCTCTTCTTACCAACGTGGAAACTAACTCCAACAACATTCAGTTGGAGATCCCATGCCCTCAAGAGAAGATCCTCAGTCGTATCCAAAGGCGCACCAAATTTATCACCCAAGCAAATCAAGGCGCTTTCATCACTTGCATAAATACGCAGTAAGAGTTCCGCATTGGGCAGATGCAGCTTGATTTTCTCCAATTCATCAAAGTTATCAAAAGTTGTACGCGTCACGCCGACCTGACGTGCGAAGTCCATAGAAATGGGTGATTTGCACGGATTTGCAAACAGAACGAAAGCTGGATCTATGCCGAGATTCAGAACTGTTTGCATTTCTTGCACGGAGGCACAGTCGAAGCCGGCACCTAGGTCGGCGAGGCATTTGAGTAGTGTTGGGTCAGAGTTGCATTTTACCGCTGGTAGTTTGTCAGCTATATGTTTGTAGATTTTCGAAGGCAATTTACCGTAATAAGGATGCACTTCAGGCAAATTCTGCTTCCACCTTCGATGTTGGCGAGTGACTTGACCCAAATCCGCGATGAAGAACGGTTCGTCTCGTTCGAGTGGTTTTTTCTCCAAATAGACAATATGGCTCTCAATGGCGAGATCAATGAGCTTTGGGGGAAATATCTTTTGGAGGCCTGGGTTTTGGAGGATTCCACTGGTGCTGAAGAACTCTCTGGGCGCAGAGAGGAGATCCATCATTACCGAGAACTAAAGAAACTCTCTCAATGCAAATAAATTGACAATTTGCGGGTAATTTACAGGCCAATAACTCAAAATAATGAAACAAACAAATAAAGGTGAACTAGAGAGTACCCTATGGAAGGCAAGGCGCTAGTGGCGTGGCGTATTCGATACAGCGCAAAGACATGCTGAATATGTCTGTGATACTGCAGCCAGCATCCCCGTAGCGAGGGCCTATCTGCAAAGGCTGAACTCGAATTTTCATTTTAATCCGTTCTACGTTGCTCTCAGGTAGCTGGCCTCATGCAGTACAGCGATCTTCCAGGGGATCGGTAATATAAGATCGGGCTAGATTGGCCATGTTCCGACTTGTCACACATAAAAGGGTCTGTATTGCTTGCACCTTACAGGATGCTGCGGAAGAACATGTGAGTCTTTACCCACTGTCATGCAGGTATGTAATACAACAGTAAGCCACTCCAGCCCCTCCCATGTCAGCCACTATTTCTGCGGGCCGTAGGCGGATGCATCCGAGAACATCGTCAATCAATCAATCAATCAATCAATCAATCAATCAATCAATCAATCAATCAATCAATCAATCAATCAATCAATCAATCAATCAATCAATCAATCAATCAATCAATCAATCAATCAATCAATCAATCAATCAATCAATCAATCAATCAATCAATCAATCAATCAATCAATCAATCAATCAATCAATCAATCAATCAATCAATCAATCAATCAATCAATCAATCAATCAATCAATCAATCAATCAATCAATCAATCAATCAATCAATCAATCAATCAATCAATCAATCAATCAATCAATCAATCAATCAATCAATCAATCAATCAATCAATCAATCAATCAATCAATCAATCAATCAATCAATCAATCAATCAATCAATCAATCAATCAATCAATCAATCAATCAATCAATCAATCAATCAATCAATCAATCAATCAATCAATCAATCAATCAATCAATCAATCAATCAATCAATCAATCAATCAATCAATCAATCAATCAATCAATCAATCAATCAATCAATCAATCAATCAATCAATCAATCAATCAATCAATCAATCAATCAATCAATCAATCAATCAATCAATCAATCAATCAATCAATCAATCAATCAATCAATCAATCAATCAATCAATCAATCAATCAATCAATCAATCAATCAATCAATCAATCAATCAATCAATCAATCAATCAATCAATCAATCAATCAATCAATCAATCAATCAATCAATCAATCAAAGTTGACTTACCCGACGGAGCCTAAGTAGTTGCGTCGAGGCTAGGCAGGCGCTTCGCTCAAACCGAAGCAGAACTTGGTATCCTGAACGCCATGTCCGTAGAACGAGACCCTATACAAAGGAAAGCTGGCCTCTGATTGGCCAGTACAGTAAGGAATGTAAATAGATGTATCCAACGCCCTCAAATCCCTCAAATCCCTCAAATCCCGCAGATCCCGCAAATCCTAGCGTCTTCCATCTGCATCTCAACGCCTGCGAAATCCACTCGTCCGCTACATCACTTGTGATATCGGATCCCTTCACCCCCCTGGCAGAAAGTGCCCGGGAGCACGTTTCAGATGAAGACTGGAAGTACTTCCGCATCGTTCGCCTGTATGGTCGTGATCGGCGGTTTAGCTTCGAATGGGATGGAATGTACTTCGAGTTGAATGCGGAAGAATGCGATGTTCTGCAATGGCTACTGATTTTGGATCGACTCGAGAGCTCTCCGAGGTCTACCATGGAGACTCGAATCCTTCGACCGTCTGGCAATCCATCTCCTCTGTCTGAGGTGGCCCTTTCAGAGCGCATAAAGGCTTTCTTTAATGTTTATTCGGGCAGTAAAGACCGATTTTCTGTCACTTTCCTCGATGATAGAAAGGGATTTGTGAGAAGCAACGCTGGTGATAAGATCATTAAGTTTGAGGATATATTTAATTGATGTTGCGCGTCTAAGCCTATCTCAAACTTATCCAATGGTAGTTCAAGTTCTTTAAATCCACCTCAGCGCACGTACATGACTTCGTAATATTTATAGACTCGGTTACTTGGAGCTGGGCCGTGCTCAGTGAGCTGAAACCATCCACTCCACCACCAGCAGGAAAATCCCATTCCGCCACCACCGATAAAAAATTCATCACCGCCAGTTTTCCAGATATTAGGCTAGTGAGTAGCTGATTACTATCTCGACTAAATATGATGGCCTCGACCAGATATTCTCATATGCACGAATATAGCCAAAGGGCGTACAACTTGCATGCATGCCACAGATGGAAACACATAACTCTTAGCCACCGTCACAATCCTTCCTAGTTATTTAGCGCCGAAGTAGTCGCAAAAGTGAAGAGATCATCTGATGCCAAGATGCAGCCGAAACCCACAGGAGTGTCTCGTTGGACACTTTATTGCCTCGGTCAAAAATTACAGCATTTTCCATTAGCAAATAGAAATTGCGATCGCACCTGAATCGATCTATACAGTATGATGTGTATATTACCAAATACCGAAAGATCCACGCGCTTCCTATCTAGGTGAATTGACCGACAGCTGAGACTGCATCGCGGCGGTATTCGCGTAGAAGAAAGATCCGATAGTGGGTTGTCGTAGTCACCGGAAATAACCGAATTCCTTCAGTTAAAGTTTGGCGAGCATCTACAGCGATTCGATTTAATCTCTGCTATACACGGTGATCCTTGACTGCAAAATGCGGCATCTTTTCCGAACTCTTCATACATCTGCAGTGGCATTTGCTGGCCATGCTCCAGGGCCAATCCGTAAGATTTGTTCTTTTCTCGATTTTTGATTTGCGTTATTGTTCCGTCTGGATGGTGCTAACAGCAACAAGGAAGTCCAAGAATTACGAATCTCGTTCCTCTCATCAATGTCACGAAGCCAACTTTCGCAGCCGACGATTCTCATCTGCGAGTTATCCATGAGATTCTCGAAACAAAAGGAGCACTTCAATTGCAACTAGGGTTCGCCGACGAGGAGAGCGCATATCTTCAGGACCTCATCTTGAATCTCCATCGGCGCCATGGACACGGTCTACCCATATCTCACAGTGCTCAACGCGGATGGTTCTGGGACGTTCGACCTTCCACGAAGGACTTCCAAAGCCACAAGCACCAGGCAAGATCAGAGACAATGCAACGGTTCGAATGGCATACCGACTGCAGCTACGAGGAGTGTCTGCCACGGTACTTTGCCCTTCAGGTCCTTCAGCCAGATCATTGTGGCGGTGGAACGCTATCGGTTCTGAACGTTGATCAGCTTCTCACTCTACTCTCACCCTTTGCGCAGAGGTGGCTTTCGAGTTCGAACTACAAAATCATGGTCCCACCCGAGTTCATCAAAAACCCCGAAGAAAAATCTATTGTGGGAAACCTCCTAGCTCTGAACTTAGGAAAGGCCGGTAGTCGACTGCGATTTCGAGAAGACATCACGGTCCCGTTGACTGAGAATGCGGCACAAGCTCTAGATGAGCTGGAATCTATCTTACTTAGCCACCAAGCTAGAGAAGAGACGCTCCATCTGACGGCTGAAGCTCTTCCCCGTGGGTCAATTATCATGATGGACAACCAACGGTGGCTGCATGCGCGCAATGAGATCAAAGACCCCAATCGACATCTCCGGAGAGTCCGATGGAACTCGATGCCATTCGGTGCTACAAGTACATAAAAATTGGTTGGATGTATCATATTTAGGATTTAAAAAGCAGCTGTTTGTACCTTGAGATTTTCTTTTGTGTGTATTTCCATTATACTGTTTCATCCCTGTACGGCGAAATATCAGAGTTTTCAACGACTTTGTAAATACAGGCGGTGCGTCCTTTTGCGTGATGGGTTGGTTTTCTTTCTATTATCCATGTGTGGCATCGTATTCGGTGAGAAATCAATGGTCCCTGGACAATCACAAGTGGAGTACGATGGAAGAAGAATACGATAAACGCAAGCCACAGAATCCACATTTACTACTACATTAGCCCACATATGCGGTCCAATACGGTAATTATATAATTTACAGAACAGGGCAGTACAGAGCCAAATTTAGAGTACATCGTATTTAACTGGGCTGAATATCTGGAATTACTTCCCGAGAGAAACTCGGTCTCTCTTTCCGCCATCCTCCTTCCATTGCAAATCTCCTACAAGATGAGAGACCCCCTTGTCGGTAGCCTTCGTTTGGTTAGCCTCCCAGATGACGAAAACTATTCATTCGTGTCAACAGAAGGATTGGATACCGACATCCGAAACCGACATCGCGACCGATATATGTCAAAGCTGATAGGCTGGTCCTCTTCTTGGCCTGCTGGTTCAGTGAATTCCGCCTGCCCTCACCCAGTGTTGGTCACAAAGCGACACCAGGAGCAGTTGAAGGAATTACATCAGGCACTTGACTTGGCAATCGAGGATATCGTTGACCGATGGTGGGCCGATGAAGAAGCCCAGTTCCCCCGGCGGATGCCATTGGAACCGGAGGAAGAAGAGCTCTTGCGAGTGAGTTTTATTACCCTATTTCTTAGCAGATACAGAAGGCAGAATACTAATCTTCAACTGCGTTGCAGTGGATCAACGACAATCAGAGCCTATTTGGACCATACGGCGAGCGGAAAGGGTCTTGGAGACCGGACTTCCTTGTGGAGAATGACGAGACTGGTGCAGAGCAATTTCGGATTTGCGAGATAAACGCCCGATTTTGCTGGAATGGATACATGCATGAAGCTTATGGGCAGAAAGGCCTTGAGGCATTTGACCTTGAGTCTCGGGGATTAGCGCACGCTACAGATTCAAATGCAGTAAGCACAATGATAACAGTCTTTACACCAAGCCGTACAAGAAGTTGACACTTGTGGAAATTGCAGATCTTCGACGCACTGTTGGGACTGTTTGACCACAGCCTTCCCTTGCATCTCGTCAAAGGAGAGGAACATGGAATTGACATCTTCATGTTTATTGAGTTCGCTCAGAAACATGGTGTAAAAGTGCGTCTTATCACCCCGAGTGACCTCCGGCTAGTTCCAGATCCAGCTGGAGTATACGGACATAAGCTATGTTGTCTCGCTCAGACAAACAGGGCCAATACTTTCCTGGAGGGGTCCGACGAATTGCTTGAGGATGTCCACCAGCTTTGCCTTGAGCTTCACCAGCGAGAATTCCGTGCTTTTGAGCCAGAGATGCAACGCCAGATTAGTCTGCGGTGCTTCAACGACATGCGGACCATCCTACTCACTCACGATAAGAGAATGCTCGGCATCATTCGGGAAGAACTTGAATCCTTGACATCCCGCAAGATCCTTACCCCGGAGCAAGCACAAAGCCTTCATCGAGGCATAACACCTACTACTTTACCAGGATCCGCGGCACTTGACGAGTTCATCAGCAGTTGCAAAGTATCTGACAACTTGAAAGATAACTACATACTGAAGCCCATCAGAGGAGGAAAGGGAGCTGGCATTTTATTTGGCGACGAACTTGACAACGCCGACTGGCTGGTTCTTCTTGAGTCGATGCGATCCGCGAAGCTGATACCGGGCAAGGCTTCATACGTTGTGCAGCGCAAAATCAGTCAACCCTACTACGATGTCCTTTTGGGGTCACAAAATCGGGCAGAACGCTGCCACATGGTCGGTACCTATCACTGCATCAATGGGGTATATCTGGGACTTGGTATTTGGCGATGTAGTCCTGCGCGGCTGTGTGCTGTATCCAGTGGGGCTTCCTGGATATGTTCAGTGATCGCGCAATGATAGTTTTGTGTCTGTAACTCAATACTCCCATTCGAAATTTCAGAATTTAATTCATAGATATTACCCTAAAACATCTCATATATTTGAGCTTGAAAGCATGTGGACTCCAGGTATACCGATTGATAGCTCGGCAAGTTCTTTCCTGTTGTACCTGAGGACCACGTTTAGGAACAGGCGCTACGAGTAGCCCGATCCGACCCCGAAAGCTACTTACTGATCGACGGCTGGCGGACATGAGGGGCTATGCACGAGCGGATAGCTCATAGCAGAATCAAAGCCATCACACATCAAGTTGGTCCCTCCTGTACATCCGAGATCTCGTATTGTCGAGATACAATACACTAGCGGTCCCGAATCTAAAATAGGTGGAGTATGCAGTGCTCAGGGCCTCGCTTATTTTCATCTGCAGCCACCAACCCGCCCTTGACGAAAAAAATGTAGGTAGCCCCGCAAGGTGGTTAGGCAGCAAACTAGTGATGGTGGCGTTGTCTCAGCGACGATCGGCAGAGATTTCAAGATTCTAGTGATTCTACCAATGGAAGAACCCGGTCGTAATTAGTCTTATAGGTTAGTCAAGCCACTAGACGATATTCGACGCTTATTTTTCCGCTGATCATGTTTCTAAACTACATGACCATCGCCAATTACCGTTCGTTCCGACGATTCTTGTATAGACTTGACATGTTCAATCGTGCTATTTTTGACCATGCAACGCTGAAATTTGTCAACTCCATCGTGTTACCCTAGGTCGTTTTAATTACTAGTTCATGCATCATCTCACTAGATCAAGGCGTCCGCATTAACCTGCGTCTCGAGCAGTGGCAATTTTGATCTTAGTCACGTACCTTGAAATGCCAAAATACGGCCTATATATACGTTAGTAATGATGGGTGAGCTGAAATGGTTTCGTCATGTGAGGGGCGGGGTCAACAGACAGGGAGGCAAGACTCTTCGACACTCCCAGTTGAAACCCGGAATATCATACGAGGGAATTTGAAACTTGAGAAAGTTCCATCTCCTGAGGCAATTCCTGACCATGGGCAATGCTCAGGCGGTTTATACGGAGCCTTTACAATATGACAATGTTAACGGAAACCTGCAGCTATTGTCAATGGGTATCAAAACAGATCCCGGGCATCTTCGGACCCCAAGGAGGCCTTTCCCGTGTGTTTTCCATGGTTAAAGTTTCTGCTTGTCTTGGAATGATGTTAGGGCCTATCATCGGGGGTGTTCTGAAGAAATTGGTAGGCTATACTTATATGAACTGGGCTTTTAGTAAGTGACCCCTCGCTTTTAATTTGATGCATACTAACTTTGATAGGTCTCCTTTATTGTATTTTAGCGGTCCTTGTATTTGGCTTTTTAAAGCCCAGGCATATCTGATCACGCCCGAGATCTATATTAATGCCTGATCCCTGAGTTGTTAAACGTTGTTCCCCTAGCGATTGCCAACATTAATTTCGCATTGCTCTTGACTTCTACTATTTTAGATTGATTCTTTTGTATAATTTTCTCCTTCTGCCTCTTTAATTGTACCATAATGTCCCCATATCATCTCGGGAGCCTTGAGTGCTCTCGCTTTATCAACTTCAAAAGACTCATAATACAAGTCTAAGCCATAGACAACTAGCAACTTAAAGACACAAGCTGGTGAATGATTTATTGTGGGCAATAGGCGATTTCCAAATCGTGGTAGTGGACCTCTCACTACGAAGAACATTCATTCCCCGTGGTTCCCATGTGCCCCTTCCAAGAATAGAGTATTCTATCAACAGGAAGAGTATTCCATGACACTCTAATATTATACTAAGCAATCGCCCAGTTCGCCCGTTGGGCGCCACTACATGGCAGGCCCAACCACCATACAAGCGGGAATTTTGCATCGCGCAAGAGTGAGAGAAGAGGCAATATTGGACTGAATCAAAATTATTGAGATGCCAAATATCACAGCAATAAGCGGCTGAGTGCTTGAATTTAGGCACCCTACTAACGGATCGCCTCAACGATCCTGTGTCCGTTTCCCTCCACAATCAGGCCGCCCAGCCCTAGGTTAAACCGGTGGATTGGTTCTCAAGGCGATCGGAATAGCCTCCAAACCTGCCGACTGCGACGTACTCCATACGAGCTGCCACCACCCATTCTTACCGGTCGACTTGGCATAGAAATTTCCGTTGGGTTGGGTTAGCAACACATTTGAACCATACAGTGACCAGGTTTCTGTGATTATTCCACCTTCTTCAGTCGTGCTAGTGCCCGTATTTATGCCAGTGAATATGACTGGATTGGTCATCGAGTTGCCCTGCTTCAGGCATAGCAGGTTGGTGGTGGAGGTGGTGCCAGTTGCCTTGAAAGCAAGGCGGGAGGACTGCGTGGTGTTCGCGTGGGCCATCCAAGTCAAGCTATCGTTGTCTGAGTAAGTCACTGGAGATTTATATGAGCATTTCTCGGGACATGGTTGCGGAAGTAGGTGAATCCTTACCATACATAGGGACTTTGTTGGATGCATTGGACAGCGACATGTCTCCAATTTGAGCTTGACCTATAGACCAAATATGTTAGACCATCGACTATCAGTATCAGGCTGGAAGGCTAACCATCTGCGTAGAAGACCTGGAGCCCGGGAATTCCTTCACCGTACGCATACAGATTGAAAGGCTTCCCAGAGGACTGCCGCTCTTCCAGTGGCTTCGCCAAGCTTAAAAGCCCAAAGGCTGCTACGAAGGCAGGTATGATAAAGGTGAATAGTATTTTCATGACCTTTTCGAGTCCCAAACCAAACTTTCAACAAGTTCTCTGGTAGCTTAGAAATAAACACGGATGGGCTATGCCGCCGGCACCAGCCTCATTATATCCTCTCCCACGGGTCCCTGATTTTATCACAAAAAAAGGCCCAGTGAGTTTCAATTATGAGCCGAAAACCACGTGTGAAGAATGTATCCAGGGTGGTTCCATGCAAGCTTATATCTTACGTCTTCATCTTCCTACGTTTGAATCCTGAAGGACTCCCTGCATCCATGTCAAGGCTTTATGGCGTTGACGTCGCCGAAGAGGCAGTGTTAGTCCGACACCGTGTTACAAGTACCATTTGCTCACTGCTTATTGACACGTTTAGTGATTTGCTCACTTTCCGGTTCGATTTGTATCATGATGGTTATACAGAACTGCCACGACGCGCGGCAAGGCCCCGTCCCACCTCTAATGCAACTCAATCTCACCTCACCCGAGGCAGCGGGTCGGAGTTTTCGCCATTTCTTATCGTTGGACATACTATGGTTTCACCAGCAATCGGAACACGACATCGCGGGCCCTACGCCGGGGACCTGAAAACACGATTACAACTACCCATCAGCAAGCCTTGCAGCGCCAAAATACGATGTCGATGGACAGGGACACCCATGACAGGAGCCAGGCTACCGGGTTAATCACGAGAAAAACAACCGATGACTCGATAAGCAATAGCCTTCTTGTTTCGACTCACAAGGGGTTGACACCCGTCCATTCAAGATGTCGAGCAGCCCTCCAAGACATGAGCCCAAGTCCCTGCTGAAATCTATACATGGAATAGGGCTCTCTAAATGGACAGATATAATATCTGATAGCCGCATGCTCCCAGCCTCAACTGCGAAAGCAGCCAGCGTATCCTAGAGAGGACCAAACCTACCCTGTCTCGGGAAGGAAAGGCCGTTCACAATGGAGGGATCGGAGTCTGTCCTGCTGAATGAGCGAGGTATATAACTGGAAAATGTGGTCGGGATCAAATGTATCTCAGCTCAGGTCTTCACTTGGTTTGCGGACAATCTCTCTGTCTAGGCGATATCTTGATTTTACCTTGCGTGCGTTGGATGGTTCTTAAGCCATCATGAAGCTACAGAATCTCGCTTTTCTGGTGCAGGCTCTCAGCACCGGCACTGTTTATGCGCAGATACCCTCTGGAATGCCTACAGGACTCCTTCCGTCACTCGTGACAAGAACACAAAACACTTCTGCCGCAAGTCCATCTACGACAGCTTGCCCAGGCAACACGCCGAACAACAGAGCCGCCTGGTGCAACTATAGTATTGACACCGACTACGAGAATGTTGTTCCTGACACTGGCGAGACTCGCGAATATTGGTTCGATGTTGACGAGGTCACCATCGCCCCCGATGGATATCCACGCCCGGTCATGGCTGTGAATGGAACAATCCCGGGGCCCACGCTCTTTGCAAACTGGGGCGACAATGTCGTCGTCCATGTCACAAACCATTTAGAACAAGCGCGAAATGGATCCAGCATTCATTGGCACGGTATGCGACAGAATTACACCAACCAGAACGATGGTGTTGTCTCTATTACACAGTGTCCCCTTACTCCTGGCCAGACCATGACATATAGGTGGCGAGCTGTTCAGTATGGCTCTTCTTGGTATCACTCTCATATCGGGTTGCAAGCCTGGGAGGGTGTGTTTGGTGGCATCGTCATCAATGGGCCGGCCACTGCAAATTATGACATCGACAAGGGATCTCTGTTCCTCAACGACTGGACACATGCAACAGTTGATCAGTGGTTTGACTTCGAACGGAACTCTAAACATGGCCCAATAACACTAGATAACGGTTTGATTAATGGAACGAATGTACTCGGAACTGGCGCAGATACAACCAGGGGTTCGCGCTTCACTATGAAGGTGGATCAGGGTACCTCCTACCGGCTGCGGCTTGTCAACGCAGCCATTGACACGCATTGGAGTTTCATGATTGATAATCACAATTTGACTGTTATCGCAATGGATCTTGTGCCTATTAAACCATTCACCACGAACATTGTGTATATTGGAATGGGTTTGTCTCTCTTGCACCATTTATCCCTTGATCTTTTTTACAGAAGAAACTAATGACCAACTCCAGGCCAACGTTACGATATCATCGTGGAAGCAAACCAAGCTTCCGTAGCTGAAAACTTTTGGATTCGAGCCGTACCAGGAAGTGGATGCTCATCGAATTACCAGGATAGCAACATCCTAGGCATAATGTACTACGGCAGTGCCCCTCAGGGTGCAAACACTGTTGGATACACGCCGGACCAAGACTGCCCAGATATGCCCATGACCGACTTAGTTCCGTATCTTGCAAAAGATGTAGCGGCACCAGTCTGGGATAAATCCGAGAATGTGACGATCAGCGCCGCGACCGGAATTTTCCGCTGGGAACTAAACAGCACTTCGATGAAGGTCCTGTGGGAGAACCCGACACTCAAACAAGTATACAACAACCAGATGAACTTTACCAACTCAAGCGGCGTCATTGAACTGCCGTTCAAGGATGAATGGATATACCTCATGATCAACACCGCTCGCGCCATCACGCATCCAATCCATCTACACGGGCATGATTTCTCTATTTTGGCACAAGGGATAAATCCTTGGAATGGATCGATGGTGACGAAGAATCCGCCTCGTCGAGATACAGCTATGTTGCCTAGTAATGGATATCTCCTTCTCGCCTGGCAGACTAACAATCCCGGTGCGTGGCTCATGCATTGTCATATTGGGTGGCATATTGAGGAAGGATTTGCGTTGCAGTTTATTGAGCGATATGATGATATCAAGCCTATGATTGATTACACTGAGCTTCAGAATGTTTGTGGGCCATGGGATGCATATGATAAGAGTGCCAACGTCGTGCAAGACGACTCAGGTGTATAGGAAGTGGGGCTTTGAGATTGCTTGTTCGTTTATTTCGAGTCTGAATTCAATTCTGTCCGAGTCTAGGGCGTACAATTTTAATGAACATTCACTTCACTTCATCCGTAATGCTATAAAAGCTTCCACAAGATCGTCACGCCTCGGTGGGGTGACAGATGGGTTATCGGGCGTTCTTCGGGTCACAGCACGGCCAGGCTATAAGGTGTTCGCTGAAGGAATATTACGGTGGACCATCCAAGGCCCCCAGATACCCTGCATACTGTGGAGGCATAATCTCGACAAAAAGATGGGGACACCGAGACAATATGGGAATTCTTGTTAGCCTGGCTTAGCTTAAGCAGAGAGTCGTCATAGGGTTCTGTCACTCCTTCCCATTAGTCGGTATCAATTTCTTCCCTGGAATTGTCAATCGTGCTTACGGCAACTAGATGGAACGCTCGGCACTTTAGAACGAGCATGTACTAGAACAGGAACTGATCGGCTCCAGGAACACTGAAACAAGGATGTGCCACCCTATATCCGGGCCGAGCCAGGAACCAGACCTGAGCCAGGTTCTGATGATTGTCTCAGCTCTAGGAACAAAATAAGAATCGGATCAAGGTTTTCGCAGGTGCTTCTCGAGACTCAAGGAACAAGTGAGATTTGTCCAAATTCTCCTCCCGAGGTCGGTTGTTTCGGAGCATATTCGATTAGGTGCGGTCCGACCGTAGGTCTAAAAAGGACCGTCGGCGGCTTATTTTTGAGCTCTCGTTCGCAGAATTGGAGCATCCAGATGACCGTTCTTGAAACTGCCTCGGTTTAAACAGTTAGTAGTTTGGTTCGACAGTGGAACACTAGAGGGCGTTGAAACAAGGCTAAATCTAGGTTTGCTTGATACAGGGCGACGTTCTGTATGTGAAGATCGTCGGATCCAACATTCCAACCACTCATTCCCGGGACCTTTTATCATTTTCACGTTCCTAATACGCGCGCTCATCTCTTTGGATCTGAGATATACGGAGATGCTGCTTCAAGCTGCTCTCGTATCCCTAGTGCTGCAGGCCAGCATCGTCCACACCGACCTGTCGGCTCGAGGCAGTCCCCTTTGTGACGCGACATTCGACTACGTAGTCGTGGGTGGTGGCACGGGCGGAAATGTCGTGGCGACTCGACTCGCGCAGAACGGGTTTAGAGTTGCTCTAGTCGAAGCGGGAGGACTCTATGAACTTGAGTCTCTGGCTGCAGTACCCGCGGCCGACGTGCTTCCCTGTGGCTCGGATCCGGACACACAGTCTGCCGTGGATTGGGGATTTGTGACGCATGGTCAGCCAGGAGCAAATGGTCGATCTATTCATTATGCTCGTGGAAAATGTCTGGGTGGATCGTGAGTACTTTGTCCTAAGGACTACGTATGTACTCGAGACTGACGCATTCCGTAGATCTGCATTGAACTTTATGGCCTATCAACGGTGGGATCTCTCAATGGTTGACAATTGACACGAGCTAATTTCAATTTCAATTCCAGACCAACAGTTGGCTCGATGCAACAGTGGGCCGATGCAGTCAATGACAGTAGCTATACTTTTGATGAAGTCCTTCCGTATTACAAACGGAGTGTTCAGTTCACAGCACCCAACACTAACATCCGCGCACCAAACGCCACTGCCACCTATAGCCAGAATGCGTTCGAGGAAGGTGGCGGTCCATTACAGGTTTCTTACGCCAACTATGCCATGCCCTTCTCCTCCTGGATGCAGCTCGGCATGGAGGCAATTGGTATCAAGGAAAAGGATGGTTTCAATTCGGGGTCTTTGATGGGAGCGCAATACTGCTCGTCAACCATTGACCCTTCGAGCGAGCTTCGCAGCAGCTCTCAGTCTTCCTTCTTGACCTATATTATGCCTTCTACTTTGACAACTTATAGCAATACACTGGCGAAGAAGGTCGTGTTCAATAAGCAAAAGGAAGCGACGGGTGTGCAGGTGAACGGATTTCTTGGTAACACAGTCACTCTTCACGCGTCCAAAGAGGTTATTATCTCTGCTGGTGCATTCCAGTCACCCCAGCTTCTGATGGTCTCCGGTGTCGGTCCTTCTGATGAGCTGAAAGAGCATGGAATCGATATTGTCGCCGACCGACCTGGCGTGGGTCAGAACATGTGGGATCATCCATTTTTCGCTCCCACATATCGCGTGCGGGTTGACACACTCACTAAGTTTGCCGACAACCCTCTCTACGCTGCCGGCAGCATTCTTGAGGGATTTCTGGACAAGACCGGTCCTATCACCAACCCAGTCGCGGATTATCTAGCTTGGGAGAAGATCCCACAGTCTCTCCGCTCGCAGTTTTCGCAGAGCACACAGGATTCTCTAAAGCGATTTCCAAGTGACTGGCCTGAAGCTGAGGTAAGAAGACCCCATCCAAAAGCTTTCACTAATTAACAACTTGATAGTACATCTCCGGCGCGGGATACATCGGCAATGTCTCCAATCTCCTAGACGACCAGCCTAATGACGGCTATCAATACGCCTCAATCCTGGGCGTTCTAGTTGCACCCCAATCTCGCGGCAACGTCACAATAAAATCCGCCGATACTTCAGATCTGCCAATTATCAACCCCAACTGGCTCGACAACACGGCAGACAAGGAAGTCGCCATCGCCATGTTCAAGCGAATGCGTCAAGCTTTCCAAAGCGAGGCCATGGCGCCAGTGGTAATTGGCAAGGAATATTACCCCGGTGACGGGGTCCAGAGCAACGCCGATATCCTGGAGTTCATCAAGAACAATGTCATGCCCATATGGCACGCCTCTTGTACTTGCCAGATGGGGAGCTCCGATGATGAGATGGCGGTTGTTGACTCGCAGGCTCGAGTCTATGGCGTTCATGGTCTGCGTGTGGTTGATGCCAGTGCGTTCCCGTTCCTGCCTCCGGGTCATCCTCAGTCGACAGTTTGTAAGTGCTTCGTTTTCTGATACTTGCTACGGAACTTGGGTCTAATTCATTGAACAGATATGCTTGCGGAGAAGATATCGACTGCCATTATTCAAAATTCCTAGGGCTCAGCCGTCGAATTGGCGAATCATTTTATTCATTTGCAGGCTTCGATTGGTTTGCACATTTATTAGCCAAGTCGAAACAAGAGCTATCCCTTCCAGGATGATCACAACACGTATCGGAACCCTATGTTGTCGATCTCCTTTTGATCCAACATGCCATTTTCAATGCTATCCTCATCGTCATGACTCCCAGGCATCCTAGAGCACACATCACTAAAAGACCATACCCCAAATGGAACTCAACATACGCAATATAAGCACTGTGGTAGCCCGGCGCCTCACTATCCTTGAGAGTCTGCGGCCCAATAATATTCCCAATACAGTACCCAGTGAACAACAAGGCACTCGTAACCCGTTTCTTAGTATATCCCGCAACGTTAGAGCTAACCATAGTCAAACTCATCCTGAAGCCCAGACCGGAAAATAGCACAACCTTAAGTCTCGTTGAGGTAGTTGTAGAGGAAACGCTTTGGAGCTGTAGTGGACTTGGGTCTGGGCTATGGTTTCTTTTTCCTTGGCTATTTGCAGACTTACGGCTAGAGCTTGACTGAAGAAAAGTGCCTCAGGTCACTTCAATTATGAAATATCATGTCAAGGTGGAAAAGGCTCGTAGTTTAAAGGTCCCTTAATCTGCTCGGTGTCTCGAAACGGTTACGTCATTTCTCCATCCTCGTAGATCGGCATCTCTGACATCAACAGGATATCTCCCACTTTCTAGAATTGGTAATTGACCTTACTCCAAGTCTCATAGCTTCAAAAACGAAGATCAATGCGCGCCTGTTCATTCATGTAACTTGTAGATTCTTTTTAAATTCGTTAACTATCGACCCGGAAATTCTACAGAAGGGTCTTCATGTCATCCATGTTACGGATGCCAGCCAGGTTACCAGCCTTGACACGCTTCAGAGTCAAAGCAGCAATCAAGGCAGCACCGACACCGGAACCGTCCTCGGCAGCCATGATGGAAACCTTGTCCTTCTCGTTAGGAGCCCAGTCAAGGATCTCGCGCAGAGCCTGAGCACCACGGGCCTTGAAGTGGGGGTACTTGGTGAAGACAGAGCCGTCAGCACCGACGTGGCAGGACTCGATGTTCTTCTTGGTGCAGATAGCAGCGACACCGCAAGATGAAAGACGAGCAGCGCGGGTACCGATCAGCTCGGCCAGACGGCGGATCATCTCCAGCTCGGGCTGCGTGGGGCGGATGCCGAGCTGGCTGTGGAAGGTGTCCGCGGTCTCGGACAAGTTTTCGTAGGGGTCCTCCTCGATGGCGGCGAGGAAGGAGGCGTCAAGCAAGTAAGGCTTGTTCAGCTTCTCGGTGTTCTGGCCGTTGAAGATGGTACCGGGGTGGCTCTCGAGCAGATCCTTGAGAGCCAGACGGAAGATCTCACCCAGGTACAGGCCGGCGGTCATCTTCTCGAAGGCCTGCTGGCCGGGGCGGGGCGAGTCACGGTCAATGATCTCGTCGAACTTGGACAGGGGGAGAACCACGCGCTCGTTGTCAAAAGCGCCATATTCACAGTTGATTGCCACGGGCATGTCGGGAGGGAGATTCATGTGAGCGATCTTAGGCACAGAGCCAACATTTTCCATGTACGCCGCGTTGACTCCGGTGCCGAAAATGCAGCCGATCTTCATCTCGGGGTCGGTGTAAGAGGAGGCGATAAGGGTACCGGTGGTATCATTGATGAGGGCAGCGATTTTAATGGGCAGGCCCTATTAGATTTGAGTTAGTTTGATGTCAGTAATCAAGTAGAGCACCGGTGTAACGTACCCGCTTCTTCAGAATGGCCTCCAGAGGAGGAACAACATCCTGGCCCTCGACACCGTCAATGTCGAAGCCCTTGGTCCAGCGCTGCAGGACACCGTGATCGATGTAATCCTGGGTAGCTGGGTAAGAGAAGGTGAAACCGAGAGGCAGCTTGGCCAGGTCCTCGTTCTCGTGGTGGAACTCGATGAATTGCTGCAGGCAGTCGGCGATGTATTCCCACAGCTCCTCGGCGGTACCGGTGCGGAGCTCCTCGGGCATCTTATATTTGGATTGGGTGATATCAAAGGCGCCCTTCTTCTCGGTCAGGGTGATCTCGCAAACACGGAGGTTGGTGCCGCCCATGTCGAGAGCCAGGAAGGTACCCTGTTCTTCGCCATCGGGGAAGCCCAAAACCCAGGTGACATTCATGGGCTAAAGGCTTTCGGTCAGTCTATGTGTGGCATAATGTATCGGGATGCGCGGATCTCACAATGTTGCCACCCTCGACGGTGAGGCCTGTGTTGTTGTTGTTAGTGCCTTGAAGCGGAATCGACGGGCGCAGGACTGGCACGTACCCTTCTCAAGCTCCTTGACGAAGTGTTTCACGATCTCCTTGAGTTTCGCGGTGTCAACAGTGAAGGTCTCCTCGAATCTCTTGATGTGCTGTAGAAGGTCTTGCGGCAGCTCGTGCATCGATCCTGGGAAGCAATTAATGAGGGACAGCTTGTAGGAACAAATCAGGCTCACCCTTGCGGGATGGCGGCTGCTTAGGACCAATTCCGACCATGATGAAAGTATGTAGATGAAGGAGGAAGGACAAGAGAGTGTAAGAGTGTAAAGAGCAGGAGGGGAGGGGAATGACGATATGAAGGGAGACGTGGGGCCGGCGATCGCCTTGATTGATTCGGATGCGGTGGGCAACCTTGAGAATACACCGAAGTCAATCCTGGCTTTTCGTTGGTCTCTCGGCTTCCGACAAATCAGGTTTCACTATCTACTTGCTTTGCTACAGCTTACCCCATCTGTCACGGCTGTCATTAACGCATTTCATTGTCACTTCGTCCCTAAAAACCTATCCTAGAACCGTAGAGGGCGGGGGCGGTGTAAGCTCCCCATAACGGTTTACCGGGATTGGCGCGCCAAGTGCGGAAACACATGCGCCAGCCCATCATTTGAACTCGCTTCTCCTAGCCGTTCTCGCACACGCTTCTCGTATGCACTCGTTATCCCTAGCGACCGCTCAACTTCTTCGGTGAGACGATCCACCTCATCCTGGAGCCGCTCATCTCGAGTCAGTGGAGGGGCATCCTCGGCCTCACGCGACTTGGGATCCGGATTGGTCTCCTCCCAGAGAGCCTCCAGTTCTTCATCCCAGCCCATAGCTGTAGCAAACTTCCTCACACCTACATCAATATCACCCAGTAGAAGGACATCGTCCGGGCGTGATCCCAGGCTCCCAACGCGATCCATGTTGATAAGCACGCGGGGCACACCATCACTGCACATTGATGGGAGACTGGCAAATGGCTGGACAGACAGGCTGGTTCCCATCACAATACATAAATCCGCTTCTTCCGGCAGCGAGCGATTCAAAAAGAAACTCTCCGGAAGAGCTTCACCGAAGAAAACAATGTCGGGCTTGACCAGTCCGCCGCACTCCTTGCAGTGCGGTACCTTACCGCTCTTAACGATTTCATACATCTCATCATCTGGATAAGGCACCTTGCAGTCAATACAGTGCTGTGTCGCGAAGCTGCCATGGGCTTCAATGATCTTATCACCGGGAACACCAGCCTGGCGCTCAAGACAATCGATATTCTGCGTAAAATGCTTCAACAGGAGTCCCTTGTCGTGCAGTAGTTTAATGAATGTGTGGGCAATGGTTGGCCGATAGCGACCAGGGTAAAGTTCATGCGCCAGGGCATAGAACGGCTTCGGGTTCTGCCTGAAGAAGCCAATGTCGAATACATCTTCAGGTTCTTCCAAGTCCAGCATGGCCAGATTGGCATAGAGTCCCGTCTCCGGTGACCGGAAATCCGGGATGCCTGCTGAAGTGCTGATGCCCGCTCCTACCTGCGTCAAGTTAGCTTTCTGTACATGCGGGAAGGAAAAAGTTAACGAACCATGACCACCACTTTCTTGACATTGTGCTTCTTGATATATTTGGCCACTGCTTCGATGTTGCGAGCTTCCAACACCGAAGGGTGAGTGGAATCCCTCACCATGGACGACTCTTCATTGCCCATGATGTGATGGCGCCCGGGACGCCGAGGTTTCTGATGCCGCGGTCTGTGACGACGTCCCACTGTGACGACTCGGTACCGAGACTTGCTCAGGTTTGAAGAATGTAGACGTTCAAAGTGGTTGGAGTTGAAGAAATAGAGTGAGAATTAAAGTGAACGTGGGGAAGAATGACGTGACTCCAACTCAAGAGCCGCACCGGTCTTTTTTATCGTTTAACAAACGAAGACTCTATAGATATGATTCACTCGAAAGGACATTCATGCAAGCTCGTTTCTTGCTGATCAAAATAGCATTCTTTGTCTGATATCAAACGCTCAGCTCCCATCGAGTAAAAAAAGCCCCGGTCCTTCACCGCCCGCGGAGCCTACAACTGGCGTATTTGGCATCAACAACTTGCTCTCCGTGTACATCAGCATGGCACTGTCCGAGGTGGCCACGGCCAATGTATCCTCTCCGTTCCCGGAGCAATCGAGTCCCGTCGAAGCTTCTCCGCGAACCGACATCTTCAACGCCAGCTCGGTGGCCGAGATCAAGGCCGCGTTGTCCCGCCTCCACAATCAAGAAGCGTCGGTAACAGCCCGCCTCGATGCCCTGGTGACCTCGCAGAAGGATTTGTCCCGAGAAATGGGCAGATTAGATCTCATGCGCGCGAATATCGGTACTCTGACCTGCACTACGCGATCGATAAGCCATGGCATGCTCTCCGAGGCCGCGGGCACCGCCGAACGAATCTCAAGCGCCGTGCGCCGACTCGACCTCGAACAGGCTCGGGTAAAGGCTACACTGGACGTTGTGGAGCAGGTTGCAGAGCTCAAGGCGTGCGCATTGGGTGTTGCGGGGTCGATGGGTGCCTCCCAGGACTGGGAGACCGCGGCCAGCTACCTGCACCGCGCTGCCCAGGTTCCACCGACTGTGGTCAATGGAGCATTCGCAGCTGAGATGGTGCCGACGGCCGAGGTCCCTGATCCGCCGAGTGTGACGCTGGATAACGCGGCCGAGTCGCTTTGCGGGCTGTTCCTGCGCGAGTTTGACAAAGCCGTGAAGGAGAGCGACGGAGCTAAGATTACTCGCTTTTTCAAGTTGTTCCCCCTGATCGGTCGGTCTGAGGTTGGACTGGATGTCTATGGTCGCTACGTCTGCCAGGGCGTAGCAGCCCGGGCCCGTGGAAACCTGAATGCCAGTACTGGGGCGCATAAGGACGGGTTCTTCTACGCCAATGCGTTGACCAAGCTTTTTGAACATATCGCACAGATCATTGATGGCCATGGTGGGCTGGTTGAACGGCACTACGGCCCGCGGAAAATGGGGCGGGTCATTGAACGACTGCAGGTCGAGGCCGACGTGCAGGGTGGCATCATTCTAGACACCTGGAGTGATGAGAGGCATGTCGATCGCAAACTGATGGACATCAAGTCATATGCCTTTACTTTCTTGGTGCAGAGCTTCCTCCCGGCACAGCGTACTGGCCCAGCTCTCACGCAGTCGCCAGCCCCTGGTGCAAATGCAGCCACTGAGGATGAAGGGGTGGACATGAAGGAAATTGACGGTATCCTGAATGAGATGGCTATTATGCTTGGTCGGTGGTCACTTTACTGCCGGTTCCTGGCAGATACATGCAATGTAAGTGCACTGCCCACTTTGAATGGTCTTTACTGACGAGGACAGGCACCTTCAAATGAAGAGAACGAAGAGAAGGAAAATGATGACAGCAGATACACACTGCCCAGCTTCTTGCAAGAGGCACCTCTGGCTCGTAAGATCAACGACCGCCTGGTGTCTCCATTCAACACAATGACAACATTCTTCTTCCGCCGATCTGTAGAGAAGGCCTTCCAACTGGACGAGTCGCCCTCAGGCTTGAACCTCAGCCTCCAAAAACCACTCAGGGCAGATCCTCCCCACATTACCTCCGCCGTGGACGATATCATGTACATCGTGAACAAGGTGATCCAGCAATCTCTCGCCACCTCCCAAGAAGCGGTGGTAACCAACGTCGTCCCAACACTGTCCCGTGTCCTCGGCTCCGACTTCATTGGCATGACCCAGCGCAAGATGCGCGACGAATGCTATCCACGCGCAGCCGTGCAAGGCGGCCAACCCCCCGAACAAACAATCATCTCATTCCTAGTCCAAATCAACAACCTCGACATCGGGGTCGATTACATCCGACGAATCGTGCAAAACAACAGCGGCTCGAAACAACCTCTGCCGGCCAGCGACACCGCCGACGCACAAGTGACAGACCACCTCCGCTCTCTCTTCCCAGCACCAGCATCCGCACTCCGCGTCGCACAAACCCTGCACTCACTAGGCAGCTCCTTCGAATCCAAAGTCAACGACCTTCTATCTGACGGGATCCAAGTCGTCTTCAACAACGTGATCAAGCACCGCCTGCGCCCAATCCTAGCAGACGCCTTCCGCGACATCGAATACCAGCCCCACGACGCCGACTCGGACGTACCGGACGAATACCAAGACGAAAGAGGTAGCAAAGAACTCGTCCGGCCCCGCTTCGCATCCGGCTGGACCGAGCTCCTCGTTCCACTAGCGCGGATCCTAACCGCCCAAGCGTTTGACCGTCTTCTCACGGTGACAGTCGCGTACTTTGTGCGTCTGCTCGAGAAGAGGCTATGGTCGTACCAGGGCCGGATCAATCCCCTCGGTGCGGCGCGTCTTGAAAGAGATATTTCGGGTATTGTTAGTACTGCTGTTGATGTTGGGCAGGGATCTGGAGCTCCCGGGAGGTATAGACACCGGGACACGTTTGCGCGGTGCGTGCAGATGACGTTAGTTATGAGCATGGATGAGGATGAGTGGGACGAGGTGCTGCGTGGTGGGGAGGCGGCTGAGGTTGTGGATAAGTTGAGTCGAGAGGAGAGGGTTCGTGTTCGGGCTATGGTTCGACGGGGGTGAAATGGATATCTCTCCAAGTTTGAGGGAGTAGGAATGTCGGATATAGTACTGTGGATTGTGGATTGTATATTGAGTGACTACTTGTTTTTGTTCTGCATTGCATACATGGAATTGAATATCATGGATAGGAAGCCTTTCCGTCTCAGGTCAAACTGAAAGACAGACAAAACAAGCAGGTGATGGAGCATAGAAGAAAAGAAGAGGAACTATGTCAAATCTACAAGAGAGCTTTTTGAAAAAATTCTAATCAGAATTTGTCTATACTGCAAAACAGGTATGCGAAACCGCACAGCCGAAGCTCCATTACAGTAGGAGCAAACATTATGTTACACGATCCCGATCCCATGTTGAAAACGCCAGGCCAGTCCATAGACAATTGCATTTCCCGTGGTATGCACGAAGGAGGTTTGGGGAAGCGTGAGAGTGTAGTTCTTTTGAAAGACGTGTCGGGTTGGTCTTGTAGATTGGTGGATGGATGGTTGATGGATAGGTATAAAAGTGCAAGGAAGCCCCAGGCTTCCAGAGAAAAAAAGAAAAAAAAAAAAGAAAACACGCTCAAGGGATATCGAACAATGCGAATCGAAAAATAAGGCTGAAGAGATGCTGAGGCTATGAGAAGAAAACACTTTTTAGTTCTCTGTCTTCTCGTACACGACGGGCTCGGGTTGAGTGTGGGGAGGTTGGTGCTCAGCAACCTGGCGAGGCGCAGGAGTAATCTTGAGCTCGTGCATGGCCACGTCACCCTCACTGTCTCCGCGGGAGCTCTCCCCGTTCGGAGGGCGGCCTTCGAGCATGATGCCAGTGGGCGGGTTGCCGCCGCACATCATCTCAGAGTGCGCGCCGACACCGTAGCGCTGCTCGTCAGGGATGTGGTGGCCGTCTGCAAGCTGGTCGTGTTTCTGGGGGGTCCAGGCGAGGTAGTCACGGCGGACCTCGACGTAGTCGTAGGCGAACTCGCCGAGCTGGTCGTCGTCCATACCGAGGAGCTCAGCTTCTTCGGAGGCGCGCAGGTTAAGGCCCGGGATGGCGTTGATACCGTAGGCGATGATGGCGGACATGACGAAAGCGTAGGTAGCAGTTGCGACGATATAGGCGATTTGGATGTATAGTTGTTTGTAGTTGTGGATAACCCATCCGCCGACGCCGGAGCCGGTGTTCACGCCGTCGAGGCCGACGATGGCGTCGTCGCCGAAAAGGGCGTTGAAGATGAGGCCGACGATTCCAGCAATGCCGTGCTCGGCTAACACATCCATGGAGTCGTCGATGCGGATCCAGTACTTGATCTTGGTAGAGTAGTTGCACACGATGCCGGTGACAACACCCAGGATCACACTAGCCCAGGGAGTGATGAAACCAGATGCAGGGGTAGCAGCCACGAGGCCCGAGATGGTACCGGAACACCAGCCGACCATGGACCACTTACGAGCCAGGCGCCAATCGAGCAGAACCCAAGTGATGGCGGCAAAAGCGGCAGTCAGGTTGGTGTTCCAGGAAGCCATGGTAGCGCGGATGTTGGCACCGAAGGAAGAACCGCCGTTGAAGCCGAGCCAACCGAACCAGAGGAAGACGGTACCGAGAAGGATGAGGGAGACGTTGTGAGGGCGGAAGTTGAGCATCATGCGTTCCTGTCGGCGACCGAGGACCATGGAATAGGCGAGAGCAGTGAAACCGGAGCCAATCTCGACGGGGCCACCACCGGCGTAATCCAGGACACCGTACTTGTAAGCCCAGCCGTTGACGTTCCAGGCCCAGCAGGCCAGCGGGCAGTAGACGATAGTAGCCCAAATGAAAGTAAAGACCATAGCGGGAAGAAGCCGACCGCGCTCAGCGACAGCTCCCATGACGATAGCCGCAGTTACACCGCAGAATTGCATCTAGACCGAGTCAGATAAAACACTCCACGTTTGCATCACATGGAGCTCGAAAGTACCTGATAGAACGCATAAAGAATATTAGGAATCAAGGGCGAACCAGGGCTCGGATCAGCCAAAGTCTTCATCAAGCCAAAGTAGCGCAGATTTCCTATATATCCATTGGTGGCTGTCGGGGAGAAAGCCAAAGAATAACCCCAGAAGTACCACTGGAAGGTAATAACCGAGAAAGAAGCCATACAGGCCCAGATCATACTCAGAGCGGACTTTCGACGAGCAAGACCGGAGTAAAGGAAACCGAGACCGGGGATCATCACCATGACCATCGCGGAGGCCACGATAATATAGGCCTGGTCACCGGATTGGAACCATTTGTTCAAGTTTTCGGTGCCTGTCCGAGAAATCCATGAGCACAACAGTCAGTCAGTCAAGGGCGAAGGGCACGTACGGGAGTTACCGCCCAGAGCCGGGTTGGTCGAGAGAGAGTAGTCGGACGGAGCACCGATCCAGTTGTAGGACGCATAATCCGGGGCGTACGGGGCTTTCCCGTTGAACGCCGACATGATGAAAGATCTGAGCTCGTGAGAGCTCGCGTGTGTTGAGAGGGATTGATTGATTGGTGTGCGGGAGAGTGGAAGTATCGAGTCGAACTAATCGTCAAGGGCGAAAAGAAGCTGCAATGGTCGCAGGGGGAAGAGCGGGAGAGCTGAGCACCGTGTGAAGGATTGGAAAAGTCGCCACGGGGGGAATGAGACTATAAAAAAGAATGGAACGCGTTGCGTAGTCCTGGAATCCAGAGATAACTCGGATCGACGGTCTCCACTTTGGAGGCCTGAATCGGACCGCGTGGAAAAAAGCAAGGTCGGGGCGATAAAGGCGAACGGACCAAGGGGATTTGAAGGCTAGACGATTTCGAGAAGGAGAATAAAAACCGGGGGAGGCGCGGTTAAGTCATAAAGTCGAAAGCCGTGAGGATTGTGGTGGATTGCTGGGAGAAATGATTATGACAACAGCAATGGCATAATCGGGGCTCCGCCCGATAAACGTGAGATCGCTTGGCTAAAACCCTAAGTATACTTCACGGTCTTCCGTCTAGTCACGAATAAATAGTCAAAGGATATTCAATTGCATTCTCTAGAGATATAATCAGCTCTCTCCTGCATCATCAATGCGTCTCTATGATCCCAACTCCGACGGCCGCACCAGGTGGCGACGCGATGTTTTTGACTTCCATGGGTCTCAGCCCGGACGTGTCTGGGCTGCAAACGCCTAAGCAACTCCGGGCTTTTACCCAGGATTTCCCGGTGACCCTATACTCCGGGGAACTCACGGACATGGAGCCATGGAGACCCCATTTCTCTGCAGACGCACCGGCTCTATATATACGTCTTCCACGTCTCCCTTCGAGTTTACTATCTTATCATTCCATGCCGACGGCGTTCCTGTCCCTAGGTACAATCCTCGCGCTTCGCCGGAATGCAAGGAACACTCGACAGATAACAGCAAGCCTGCGCTGCGCTATCCGAGGCAGGCAATTGGACAAGTGACGAGCTCTTATCGGGCCTCTAATTGGCCGCAGATAAAGATTGCCACCGGCCTCAGTGACTTTCAGTTACTTAAGTGGATTAGCACAAACTAAGCTCAGAAAGTTCCCGGGTGGGTACCAGGCTTCCGCCGCATCAGGTTTAACCGCATCATACTCAATCAGTCTGTCATTGGCGGCAGATAAGCCGCCTTCGCCTCTACCGGATTCTCCCGGCTCGGGATGTTCAGGGTTCCCCTCTTGCCTGCCGAACTCGGGGCCAGGGTCGGGTTGGGCCTCGGTGAGTCCGAGCATATTTGTGTCAATTCTCTTGAAATTGACTATGGAGTCAATTCGAAGTCGGTAGAACTGATCTCTACGTTTACATCGGGCGAATCATCGCTTCTACATGCACACGACCACTCGGAGCAGAGGAATAGTCATCGATCCGCTCCCGTGGGGCCGGGACTCTCTCAGCCGTGGATGGGTCCTGTGGACCTTATCGTAGCCTCATGCTTAACACGATCAGGATGGCTGAGCAGTTCGGAGATGGAAAATCTCCCCGGCGGCACTTGCTCATCGTTTCATACGGTGCCACGGGGAGGCTCTTTCTGCCGGTCGGAAGATATCACCGATGCCATATCCTGGATAAAACCTCCGCCTGTGTAGCGATTGCGCACTAAACTAGTACGAATCCAGATTTGAGTATACCGATAACGGCTTACTTACGGGCCAACGAATTCTCCTGGAGTGGATACATTTGTTCTTCTGTAAAACATGCTTCTTCTAGAAGAATGATTGCAAGGCACTAGAGAAGCCCCTATTAGCTAGACCCCACGCTCCGATCGAACTAGAAATAATAATTGAAATGCCGGTCTAGTCAACCAAGTGGGGATTATTCAGCCATCGACGAAGTGCCTCGGCGGGCCGGGGGTGGGGGGTTACATCAAGCTAATATGTACGGATAGGGACTCCAGTATCCTTCAGGTTAGCCACTTCAGTTTCCCCAGAGGCGTTGCTGTATGGGTATATTAGATCTGATCTGCTTTGTCTACGATCAAATTTTGTCAATTGAGGCAGAGTCCAGGAGGGGAACACTGGACACTGGATGCTTGGACTCGAGTAATGTATCGACCCATGCACCCATACACAGTTCGCCGGTATCTGATTACACTATGCTGCCTATGGATCCTCCTTCAGTTTGACGGTGGCCAGTTAGATTTCAATTTCTTTTTGTTCAATTCACGAATGGGAGCCTTGAATAACTTTGAACATACTCGATCTGCCTTGACCTTCCAAAATATATTTCGAATGTCATACTTCAAAATGACGCCTCTTAACATTCGCCCCTATCCAATATTGATGCTACGAAGTAAACAAAGAGGGCCAATTAGATCATTCAGTAAAACCGTAACCTTGGAAATTATTCACGTTCTATAGCTTCCAGAAGCCAGCCAAGCCCGTCCATCCGTCTTGGCTGCATTCCACATCACGGCCAAGCCCACCTGACAGCCCCACATAGCGCAAATTTTCACCCAGTTCTTCAACAAGTAGGCCGGCTGGCCCAATGGCAAGGCGCTTGACTACGAATCAAGAGATTGCAGGTTCGACCCCTGCGTCGGTCAATTTTTTGGTGTTTTTGGGTTACTATTTTGGCTGTATGTGGCTTTATTTTTGCATTTAGGAAATAAGGAATAAGAAAAAGTCATTTCCGACCACTGGGCATGTGTTATGTATGGTGTGGGCAATGGAGCAAAGATAGCTACTGCTGCAAGCGAAAAGAATAAAACAAAGAAATAGAGTTTGCCCAGGTGAGCTTGAAGGCTTAGTTGAAAAAAAGATATTGGTACAGGTCATACAGACAACATGTGCGTCGAAATTCCAGATTCTATCTAAGATTATCCACCAGTGACAGGAAATGCGAATACTTTTGCATCGGCGTAAAACATCTATTATATATAGGGGATATCAATCCAATCACATAGGTTACACACATTCACTGAGATCCATCCAAACAGGCTCGAGGGATACATCAGACGTTAGCACTATACCCAGGACCCAGACCGCGCCGACGTTGAAGAGCATTGAGGTACTTGCGGCCCTCGTCAACCCAGAACACAGAGCTGGCAAGTAAGAAGAGCCTGAACAGCGAGCCGAAGCTCAGAGACTCGGTCTGGAAGACACGCTGCAGGAAAGGCAGGTAGATGACACAGGCCTGGCCAGCCAAGGAGCCAAGGACACAGTAGTTGAACATTTTGTTACCGAACAAGGAGATCTCGCCGCGCAGGACAGATTTGCCCTCGCTGCGGCAGGTCAGGGCGTTGAACATGTCAAAGAGGACGAAACAGGTGAATGTCATGGTTGTGTCGTGGGCGGTGACGACGCGGGTTCGTTTGCCTAGGGTGGTGCCGTCGTCGACGTCGCCCATCTCGTGGATGTAGACTGCTAGCGTGCCGAGCATGATGACCAATGCGGAGATGAGGACTCGTTGGATGAGGGCTTTTGTTAGGACTCGTGCTGCCCTGGGACGCGGGGGTCGGTTCATGATGGAGGGGTCGACGGGCTCGACGCCGAGAGATTGGGCGGGCGGGCCGTCCATGAGAATGTCTGGACTGAAGTTAGAATAGTGAAAATTAGACAGAAAGAGAGAACTCACTGATCCACAGAATCTGCATGGCATTCAGCGGATTCTCGAAGCCGAGCGTGGTGCTGACTAGCACAAGACTGAGCGCGGCCACACTGGTACTAAGCTGGAACGTAACGAAGTTTTGGATATTGTAGAAGATTCCCTTGCCTTGCTCGATTGCCCGCAGGATAGTCGAGAAGTCGTCGTCTGTCAGAATCATATCCGCTGCCTCCTTGGCAACATCGGTGCCCAACTTGCCCATCGAAATACCAATGTCGGCCTTTTTCAAAGCCGGTGCATCATTGACACCATCACCGGTCATAGCCACGACATCTCCGCGGGACTGAAGGGCCCGAACAATCTTCAGCTTGTGGTCCGGACTCGTGCGAGCGAAAATCGAGGTAGTTGCAATTGCTTGGGATAGCTCAGCAGTGCTCATGTGGTCAAGTTCATCGCCGCGGATGACCGATCGCGAACCCGGCGCCTCGATGACTGGCATTCCCAACTTCTTCGCAATAGCCACGGCGGTTGTCTCAGCATCACCAGTGATCATGATGACCCGAACTCCGCCAGACATCAGACGACGAATAGATTTGTGCACATCCCTACGTGGCGGGTCGTTCATGCCCACTAGTCCGGCGAAGACCAGTCCATTATAACGATCATCATCATTGGAAGGGCTGCTGGAACTGGACGTGGGGGTTCCAGAGCGACTGCCGAATCTCCGCATACCTCTCGATGAGTCTCGGACTGCACCGCTCGCAAAGGCGAGGACTCGCAAGCCTTCGCTTGCCATTTGCTCAGCAGCATTCCGGATGATCTGGCGCCGGGGCTCGTCCAAGATGACCTCCCGACCATCCTTGGTCAGATAAGTATCAGAACGAGCGAGAACCTGTTCAAGAGCGCCCTTGATATAGGCAACTTCTGACTCACTAGGGCTGCCGCTACCAATGATCACGCCCATCCATTTCCGCTCAGAGCTGAACGGAGTCTCAGAAACACGAGCTCTGATTCGATCACGGACATCGTCCTCACCCAAAGTATCAAGAAGATCCAAGATGGCAACATCGGTAGGCTGGCCGACCCAACGGCTCTTCACAGCGTTCGAGTTTCTATCAACGGTTGAGGAGAGTACCGCAGCGGAGGATGCAGTGGCCGGCGAGTTAGCATGCATGCGGGAGAGTCGAGAATTGTTTGCAATATTTCCGACTCGAAGAATCGTGCGAGCAGCTGGCCCGGGCGAGAGCACAGAGGCCATATCCCGCTGAACCTCAAAAGGCTCGGTACTATCAAAATGCCACATCTTGGTGATCGTCATATGGTTGAGCGTAAGTGTTCCAGTCTTGTCACTGCAGACAACGTTGACAGAGCCGAGCGTCTCGACGCTGGGAAGTCTTCGCATGATCGCTCCCCTCTTGGCCATCCTCAGAACTCCAAGAGCGAGAGTGACAGTCACGATGATAGGCAAGCCTTCTGGAATGGCTGCAACGGCTAGGGAAACACTAATAGTAAACATTTCCAGGAGCTTACGACCTTGCAAGAGACCAATGAACATGATCAAACCAATGACACCGAACGAGACCCAACTCAGTTCTTGACCAAGCCGGTCCATGGTCAACTGCAACGGAGTCCGGGGACTCTCAATCTCCTGCAAAGAAGCTGAAATAGCTCCGAACTCTGTCTTGGCACCGGTTGAGATGACAATACCCTGACCATAGCCCGAACGGACCAGGGTCCCCATGAAAGCGATGTTGTGTTGTTCATTCAGACGAATATCGGCACCGACGGCGCCAGTAGCCGGGGCGTCATAGAACGGGGATCGAGGAGGGCTGGTAACATTGAGGGCCTGGAGCTTTCCGCTATGTGTACTGCGAAGGGCTGCGGCAAACTTCACCACCGGTTCGTTCTCGCCGGTCAAGTTTGATTCATCGATCGAAAGGTCGGTTGCGGAGGTGATTCGAATATCGGCAGGGATGCGGTCACCTGTAGCGAAGAGAACCATATCACCAGGGACAAGGTGAACTGCAGGGACAAGTGTAGACGCTTTCATCGCAGAGGATGCCGTGGCTGGGCTCTTGCTCCGGAGTTCCACCAACTCCTCCCCAGGCCCTGCCGGAGAGACACCCTCCATCCCAACATGTACATGTGTCCCCGGGTGGTGACGAATGAGGTGGGCGTAGTGCGGAACAAGACGGCCCAGCGCCTCGAGCGACTTCTCGGACCGGTATTCCTGAACGAAGCCGACCGACACCACGATTGTGACTGCGAGTGTAATGCTGAGGGCATCATCGAGGTTGCCCATGATGAAAGAGATTCCGGCCGATGCGAGCAGGAGAAGAATGAGGCTTTCCTTAAACTGCTTGAGGAACCGAAGCCATAGGGGTTCCGGCTCCTCGTGGGGAAGTTCGTTGGGTCCATCGCGTGCCAGGCGAAGTTCGGCTTCGGCAGGGGTTAGTCCATCGTGCAAGGAGGTTTGTAGGCGCTCGGCGGTTTCATGAGGCTCGAGCCATGAGTATGTAGCGGTTGATGTCTGGAGCAAACGGATCCGTTGTGTTAGCGGCGTGTCTCCAATCGAGAGCCCAAGTGAGAAGAAATCCGAGCATTGGTCTAGCCTGAGTTTCCTCGATGACCACACTTACCGAAGAAGGTGCATCTTGTCGCGCACCTAGAGGGTTGGTGACTGGGGGACGCGGAGACTCTGTGTGCACATTATGCAGAGGTAGCGCAGGTGTCATCGACCTTGACATCTCTCATGCTTTGATGGAAAAGGAAAGAAATAGAGAGAGGGAAAAAGACGCGTCGAGACTAGCGTAGAGCACTTTGCATCCCGCCCGGATCAGAATTGAGGGGGTTGTGGAGGGATGTTTTTTTAAGATGCGATCTGGCAGCAGCTTCAAAACGGGGGGCTAGCCTGGCGGATAGAACCGAGTGGGAACCGGGGAGGATCGACGAATGAAGGCCGCCAACGGAATGAAACAACAAATCGAAACAGATGACTGTCACTCAAGCAGCACAAGGGCAACGAATTGACATGAGATTATCACGACAGGGTCGAATGCGAATGGAAGAGGCCCAAGTCCCATGATGATGCTTTACCCGATGGGGTTAGTTCCTGCGAACGACGCATTAAATATTATCCGAGTGCGCATCGGGCTTAGCGCGATTCATGACTAACGCATTCCTCGTTTCCCAGCCCCCTCGATTACATGAGCAGGCATCACTGAGGAGAAAGGCACCTGACTGCCTGATTCCCACCCGACGCGCATCCCTCGTTTTCTTTCTGAGACCCCATCCCTCGCGCATCAAGGACGTGACTCCAACGCGACGTGGTTGTTAATTTGGATCTCTTTTGGTCGCAACCCTGTCGCCTTGGTCGCCTATTCTTATTCAACGTGTACAGCACCTCCCTCGAGTCTTTGTTTTCATTCCAGCGCGTCAACCTCTCTGTTACTCTGCACCCCGCGCCGGGCGGGTTGCCTTTCTCCAATATCTGGCAACCTTATCTGTGTATAGCTTACACTTTGACTACGCGCCATGTTCTACTCCGAGACTCTTCTCTCCAAGACGGGGCCGCTGGCCCGCGTCTGGCTGTCGGCCAACATCGAGCGCAAGCTATCCAAGTCGCACATTCTCCAGTCCGACATTGAAAGCAGTGTTAGCGCCATTGTCGACCAGGGCCAGGCGCCCATGGCTTTGCGACTCAGTGGGCAGCTGTTGCTCGGTGTTGTGCGCATTTACAGCCGCAAGGCCCGTTACCTTTTGGACGACTGCAATGAAGCTTTGATGAAGATAAAGATGGTATGACCTCGACTTTTTTTTTTTGGTTTAACTCGATCATCAATTGACTGTATAACCAGGCTTTCCGTCTTACAAACAACAACGACTTGACAAGCACGGTTGTCGCACCGGGTGGCATTACCCTTCCCGATGTGCTGACTGAAACTGATCTCTTCACCAACCTTGATACGTCGCTACTCTTCCCCCAGAACCTGAACTTGGAGTCGAGTGGAAAGCGGCCGGGTGCCATGGATTTCGGTAGCCAGCTCTTGCCTGATAGCACTCTCCGACGTTCGGTCTCTCAAGAGCCCGCGCGTCTTGAGGACCCCAGCCTAGTCGATCTCGATTTGGGTGAGGATGAGATTCCCCTGGGGATGGATACCACTATGGAAATTGGTCGAGACGCTCCCCCGGCTCGTCCGATGGAAGAAGATTTGTTCAGTGATTCTGGCAAGCTCATCGACAATGACATCGATCTTGATATCGGAGAAGATGATGCCCCGCTGGACAAGATGGATCTGGATGCACTCGACAACTTGAACGACCCCCTCGCCGATGGCCCAATGGACTTTGGCGGTGATGATGACCTTGATGGCATGACTCCTCGTGCTGAAGGGAACCGATTCGCGCGTGACTCGGAGAGTCCTCTTTCGGACGCCGGGTCTGTGCAAATGAACCAGCTCGAAGAAGAATACAACCGTGACGGCTCTGCTACTCCTGAAGCGCAAGCCCAGCAAGGCCAGCGCTCCAAGCGTCAAAAGTTGATCGAAATGGACCCGCGGGTGACCTTGTCGAACAGCCAAGTCAAGGCCCAGCAGGCCGATCGCTCTGAAATCCTGAAGCCCACCTCTTTCCTGCCCCGTGATCCCGTCCTCCTCACTCTGATGACCCGTCAACAGAACGGCGACTTCGTTTCAAGTATTTTCGGCGAAGAGCGTGGTCGTGGTTGGGCCCCTGAGCTGCGTGGTCTTCTTTCTCTGGACTCTGTCAAGAAGTCTGGTGAACTGAAGCGCAAGCGTGACAGTGGAATCTCTGACATGGATGTGGCTGCTGCTGATGTTCCTGCCTTGGAATTCGGTGACGATGATGCCATTGTCCCCGTTGACGAGGGCATCGGCCTCGACACCACCCTGAACCAGCACTCGGAGATTAACTTCCCCGGAGATGATGGTGTTCAGGATATGCACTTCAGCGACGCAGGTGATGCCCAGCCCCTTGTGGACTTGGATGACACCATTCGCCCGGTTGACAACGAGGCTGTCTCTCTGGGGACCAAGCACGCCGTGCACGTCCTGCGCGAGCAGCTGGGCGACTCTGAACAGAAGAAAGGCGTTCTCTTCCAGGACCTGCTTCCCGAGAAGCGTGCCAGCAAAGCCGACGCGACCAAGATGTTCTTCGAAATCCTGGTGCTGGCCACCAAGGACGCCGTCAAGGTCGAGCAGAACACCAAGTCGATTGGTTCTCCCCTGAAGATCAAGGGCAAGCAAGCTCTCTGGGGCTCATGGGCCGAAGAGAACGCTGCCGGTGCTGCCAGCCAGCTGATTCAGGCTCTGTAGATGGGGGATGAATGCCTGTTAAAATTCTGGGATATACTGGCGCACTTTCCATTCATGTACAGCTGAGTTTGGGATGGCCTATTGGGTTCTGGAAGATCCGATAATTGCTGGGGTAGCATCGTTTTGGATGACTATCTGGAGTTCTGGGACTGGTTTGGAGCCACGGGGCTACGGCGATTGCTTTTCTTATGGGTTTGTGTTCACTGGAGGATTATTATTGATCGGGTTACCGTAGTAGCGCTAGCAGCTAGATAATGAACATATCAATGTGATACAGCTGACACCATTTCATCCCATCCAACTTAACTGTACTCGAGTTCCTGCAGGTCACAGTGCAAGTCATCTTCACGTGGAGGCCTTCGATCGTCGCACGCCACGTGCGAGATGACAATGCTTGGCTGTGCAAGGGACCTGCCATTGAGCTGGCTAACTCTTGGCACTGAAATATTCCTAAATAGCTCTAGACCTCGAAAATTCAAAGCTTGCCCGACCTTGAAGCTTCATTGTGCAACCCATGAGCACGGCCAAGAACCCGGCGCATCGGGTTCTAACATCCGAGCGAACACCGTTACAGCCAAGCCCATTGATTGCTTTTTTCCTCCGCCGATCCCCCACAGAGTAACCGATAACAAAAGCATCAAATAAACGATTCCCTACTGTAGGTAGGACGAAGCCATGGATCTTAACAAGGACTATCAAGCAATAATCAGGATTCGCCCCATTGGCCCGAGAACCGGGATTAGCTCCGGGAATGATATCACCCTCTCGGCGACCGAAGTGGATAAAAACTAGCTTTAAATCAGTCGCGTCGATAACGATTAATCAGCTCGGCGTATCTAAAAGCCGATTCAACAATTCAGCAGACACCCTCGAAGGAAGCTCAAGCTCAAGCTCAAACTCAAGTTCAAGCTCAGTCTGACCTTACCCTTCATATTTTTCCGACGCTGTTTCCCAACCGGATGGCCTAACGAACACCCGGAACCATGTCCGCGCGATCGCCCTCACCCCCCGCCCCCGGCATTCGCGCCGAGGCCGATACCGATACCGAAAAGCCAGTCCATGGCGACAATCCACGCCGGTCTATGGAGAATAGCTCGTCCGAACAGAGGGAAAGTAAAGAAGAGGAGAACGGGGCATTTGCACCGATTGCATGCCCCCCCACGCACGAGCGCGGGCTGCAGAAGCAGAGATCGACTGCGTCGCGATCGTTGGAGCGGAACTGGTCGCTAAATGATGGGGTTAGTTTAGGCGGTAATAAGTTCGGGGAGGAGGATGGTGAAGCTGGGGATGGGGAGTCGGGGTATGTTGTTGGGTGGGAGGAGGGTGACGCGATGAATCCAAGGAATATGAACAAGGCACGGAAGTGGTTGATTGTTGTGATTGTTTCTATGGGGTCGCTGTGTGTGTGAGTATTCCTTCATATGGGAGCTGGAGGGGTGGTTTGGGATCTGGTTGTTATGTGGGTTGATGCTGACTTGGATAGGACTTGCACGTCGTCGATGTATACCACGACGTATGACCAGTTGATGAAAGAGTTCAATTGCTCACAGGAAGTGGCGACGTTGGGATTGTCCTTGTTTATCTGGGGTCTTGGTTCGTTGCTGTGTTGGACTTGGTATTGGGCTTTTTATTAACATTATCTTAGGAATTGGACCGCTTTTCCTCAGTCCATTATCCGAGGTATGGTTGATTCCAAAAATGCTTGGTCCACGGGATAAAGGGACATAACCAGCTGACTATGGACAGTTCTACGGCCGAAGGAAAATCTACATCGTCTCCTTTTCGCTGTTCCTGATCTGGCTCATTCCCTGCGCAGTGGCGAAGAACATCCAGACCATGATCGTGTGCCGCTTCTTCAATGGGTTGGCAGGAAGTGCTTTCCTCAGTGTTGCTGGTGGCACGGTGGGTGATCTGTTTGATCGACATGAACTTGGCTTCCCCATGATGCTGTACACAGCAAGTCCCTTCATTGGCCCCGAGGTTGGACCTCTGTAAGTCTAATGCACCTCGAATCTCTCTCCACAAAGCTAATGGTCTGTGATATAGTGTTGGCGGCTTTATCAATGAGTTCACTACCTGGTATGCTATCTTACACTATCAATGATGGTCAAAATTAACCTCTGCAGGCGATGGACATTCTATGTCCTTCTCATTTGGACTGGCGTCTTGCTCGTCTCGATAGTTTTCCTTGTCCCGGAGACATACCATCCAGTGTATGTACCATCCAGATCAAGTGTGGCGCGTTTCGCCTGTACTGACCGAAATAGGCTCATGAGGCACAAAGCGCAGAAACTCCGCAAGGAGACCGGAGATGACCGATGGATAGCCCCTATCGAAAAGATGAATCGATCGGTAGCGCAAACAGTCCTGCGATCCATGTATCGCCCTATTCTTCTTTTGGCACTAGAGCCTATGTGCCTGAATCTGTGTATTTTTTCGGCCATTCTATTGGGTATTCTCTACCTCTTTTTCGGAGCCTTCCAATTGGTCTTCGAAACCGTGTACGGCATGTTATTGTGGCAGCGAGGCCTCTGCTTCCTGGGTCTCTTTGTTGGCATGGTCTTCGCGATCCTGTCAGATCCCTTTTGGCGGCGGAACTATGCGCGTCTGGAGCGAAATTACCAGAAGACCACGAATAAGCCGGACGAGTTTCAGCCCGAGTGGCGACTGCCTCCAGGTAAGTCTTCGACTTTTCGAGAACCGGGGTCAGATCTAATTCATTGTTTCATAGCGATCTTGGGTGGGCCCCTGGTGACCATTGGGCTATTCATCTTCGCCTGGACAATTTACCCTGATGTACACTGGATTGCCCCCATCATCGGCAGTGCTCTATTCGGTGCAGGGTAAGTACACCTGACCTGCTTCAGCCTGTTACTGAATCATTTGATGCTAATGGAACCGTGTTACTACTAGGACCATCCTGGTCTACTCAGGAATTTTCACCTTCCTAGTCGATGCCTATCCCACCTTCGCAGCCAGCGCGCTAGCAGCGAACAGCTTCACCCGATCAGCATTTGGAGGCGTCTTCCCCCTGTTTGGGATCCAAAGTAAGTTTGCCCCAGAGCTATTTCAATCACGGCAGGGATCGAGGGTCTGTGCAGGGAGAGCGCAGAGGATCTCCGTTGCAGGCACGATGCATGGTGTCTCCAGCCGGTTCACATAGGCGTTGGGGCATTTTGTTGAATCGCAATTGTGTCGAGGATTGTAACTAACGGCCGTGCAGTGTACAACAACCTGGATTACCATTGGGCAACCTCGCTACTGGCTTTTTTGACCCTTGCCATGGCCCCTTTCCCGTAAGTGATTCGATGTCTCCTGATTTCTCATCCCTGATCGCCGGCGCTATGGCCTCGAAATTTCTTTTCCCCTGGGCAAACCTCGAGGGCGCTCCAACTCGAGTGCATGCGGAGCCAAGTCGCAAACTTCATATGAGAACTTTTCGATCGTTTTATTGATATTTGGCTTTTTTAGGTACATCTTCTTCAAGTACGGGCCTCGCATTCGCAAGCATAGTCGCTTTGCGACACAGCAGACGTGATGACATCAAAGTCCTGAACATAGTCTCATGGATGGCCAAAATAGTCTTTTCCAGTTTACAGATGATCATATACCATTAAAGAATTTTAATCCGAGATTTTGCTCTTGACTGCGCGATCCCAGAGGGGCAGTTGCAGTGCTGTTCATAGTACCAATGCAGGCCCGACGCTCCAATGTGCTTTGCGAGGACTGCTTACCTCTCGAGTGACCAGCTGGTATCCTGTAATCTGGTGACTCTATCCGGGCCATACGTTGAACTCCCGAACCTCTGACGCTCGGTTTGTCACCAGGATGATGGCTCAACGCCAGCTGCTGTCCCACGTACGGCTGAAATTGAAATGCAGATAATGGAGACAATTACAAACATATGCTTGAAGATTGTACACATCTTCACCAAGAAGCTATGCGCTTGAACCTTCCCATTTACACCCGTTATTAAATAAGGATAGCTTGACCCTACTAGATCGAAAACTGAATGGCCCACCCGTCCCCGGCATTTGGCGTGATTAGCCCAGAACCCAATTCTCCGACACAACCAGGCCAGTTGCGAACCATACGAGCGTCATGTGGTCTTGAATTCAGATGCTTCCTAACAGCTGAGCACACCAAGGCGTCCAGGCAGCGTTCAAGTCCTCTAGCCGAGGCACGACCGAACCGCGCAGCCTCGGGTAGAGTCGGGACCCGAGGGCGGCTTCGGGAACCGAAGGAACAGATCAGACATGCGGGGGGGGGGGGAACCGTAGGTGGCTGAGAATCAAAAACCCTCAAGGTAAGAGTCATATACAGAATTGCAATGAACAATGTTAGGGATTATTTTTCCACACGTGCGCAATTGCCCGGGAAATGTGCGATCTGCCGCCGCAGCTTTGCGGCCCAATCAAGGCGGATACACGACAGTTACGGTTTAACGCGCTAGAAGTTACAGGTATTCGTTACACGTTACTGCCGCGCTCCAGTTGCCGATGGCCTAAACGTCAGCATGTGAGTACAGTAAAGGTACAGATATCAGCTATCGAGGACCAGAAATACTGCGTGTAGCTAGGAATACATGTGGGAGATTGGCTCGTATTCACTACAACCACCGAGTTCTGCCCAGTCTTATTTAATTAGGTAAAAAAATGGGGAGAAACGTAAAAATGGCTCACTCGAAGTATATCTATCCCTGTGGAGGGAGAGAACGTGCAAAATCCACCACCTGTAATTTAAAAAAGAGAAAGAATTAAAAGCAACCCCAGTCTCCCTCACGCACGCGAGCTGCCGGTTCTCCTCCCAATTGAATCGGTCCGGTTGGAGTCCTGCCTAGGTATAGTATATGCTTAGACTTCAGTCACGGGAACATTCCGATCGAAAGCCATTTCACGAACAACTTCTTTTTCCCCGCGCCTCGCTCTGGACTGGCCCCCAAATCTATATCTTCATCTTCTCGGTTGTCCGACCTGGACTGCCACTCTCTTCTCTCCCCTCACAACCTTTTCGATTCCCGCCTTCCCCGCAGCCGAACAGGTCTGCCGCCCTCTCCACTCCAAATTCAGTTGCGCCCGAGTACCGTTGCGGCATTTTATCTCTTCCTTCGCCTGTCGCGTAGCTCCCTGTTCCTACCGGTCTCTACGACTCCCCTTCAATGCCTCAGATCCCCGGCGAACCGTCTTACCTCGACTCAATTGTGCCTCGTTACACCCGTGACTCGACCGCACGCCTTCCTTCCGTTCCCCCGCTCTAGTCGCGAACGCGCGACTATACGATCGAACGACCCACGAACCGCCGAGGTTTCCTTCAGTGGCCGTACAGGTGGAGTGAGGAGTTTGAGGAGCCCCGGAATCCATCTGCGACCGGCTTTTTCTTTTTGGTCGTTGTCAGAATTGCGCCAACACGTGGATCCTTTTCGCCGAGATCGAAAGCGTACGCGGATGGTCCCAGCGCTACTACCTCGGAACTTTGAGATCGTGGAAAAGCGAAGGCGGCTAAGCGAGCCCTTCGAATTAGCAGATTACAGAACCGTGATAAGTTTGGACGCGCCCGCGAATTTTTCCCGCCCGGGGAATACATGACGAAATGAACGACGTTAAGTTGAGCGGCTCCCCATTAGCCGACCGAAGTGGCGGGGATCGCGATTCCGCCGAGATCACTGAGCATTCAGAGCCCATGGACTCCGGCAAGGACCAGCCGAATGGCAGCAAGGCAGAGAATGGCCGTAAAGCGACCAACGCTAAGGACCCGTCGCGACCGCGTCGGAAGAAGGCGCGGCGTGCGTGTTTTGCCTGTCAGCGAGCTCATTTGACTTGCGGTATGCATTCCCGATCGACACTGCGTTCTGCGCCGAGTAAAGTGAACCAAACTAACGTACATGCGCTTTTCTAGGCGACGAGCGGCCTTGTCAGCGCTGTATTAAGCGCGGTCTGCAGGATGCTTGCCATGACGGTGTTCGCAAGAAGGCCAAGTATCTCCACGATGCCCCGGACGGCGCACTGATGCCCGGTGTGGGAAGCAACAACAACACCACCAACAACAACAACAACAACACTTTCTACAGCAGTACGCTCCGCAACAATCTACCCGGATCTCGAAATGGCAGTGCGAATACTCCGCAACAGCAAACACCCAACACCAACAATTTCTACCCCACCCCCCAGCCACAAGCTCAGCCGCAGCCGGGATCTTACAATATGTACCAGGAATCGTCCATGAGCCAGAGCCCCTTCACCACCCAGTCTCCCGTTTCGCCTACGTTCAATCTGAAGACTAGTGCCAATGACCGGAATTCCAGCTTATCGTCTACGGTGAACCAGCAGCCCACCCCGACCACTACTCTCGCAGGTGATACCAGCCAGCCGCAGAATCCATTCGCGGGGCCGTTTTTCGACCCCAGCGACCCGGCCCTCTTCAACTTTGATCTATCAAGCATGAACTTCGAGAACCGCTATGGTGCTCTCGAGTTCGGTATGCTCGGTCATATGGCTACTGGGGCCGGCGATTCACCTACCGACTCGGCAACGCAGCGAGGGTCGATCGGCCGCAGTGGGTCTGCCCAGTTCTCCACGCCAGCTCCCGGGTTTGGAGAAAGTCCGGGGAATCAGCAACCCTTCATGTTTGGCGATCCCTTACTCAATGAGTGGCCGGCCGGGCAGACCTCGGGCCCGCACGTGAATGTCGGAGGCGTATATGGGCAGAATGGCATGCTACCCGGGCACATGAAAGCAGATGCACCGCATGCATTCGCAATCGAGAGCGGTCCTGCGAACTTGACCAGCCCCGGCTCAGCTACCAGTCCGCATGTGACTCATGCAGGCTTTGATGAAGCAGGGTTCAATGCGGCTGCCGCCAAGGCCAATACACTCGCTCCCAATGGTACGCGACCGGTGATCACCACGCCAAGCTTGAAGCAGAGCTTCCAGGTGGCGCCCAAGCGACGTCATCGCAACCCGTCCTCGATCTACGAGAGTGTGAAGGAGCCGTACGCTTACACGAGTGGATTCCACAATCTTACTGCCTTTATCCAGCGCCGATTCACGCCGCAGAAGACTGTCCGGATTGCCAAAGCGCTGGCATCTATCCGGCCGTCGTTCATCGCGACAACCAAGACTTTGAACCGAGATGATCTGATATTCATGGAGAAATGTTTTCAGCGGACACTCTTTGAATATGAAGACTTCATCAATGCCTGCGGCACACCAACAATCGTCTGCCGACGCACAGGAGAGATTGCCGCGGTAGGCAAAGAGTTTAGCATCCTTACTGGATGGAAGAAGGATGTCCTTCTTGGCAAAGAGCCGAACATGAACGTCAACACGGGCGCTTCACCAACGTCAGGCACCACATCACGAGGCAGCTTCACCCCACGCAGCTCAACGCTAGAACACTCGGGCGCACGCCCGCAGCCCGTTTTCCTGGCCGAGCTACTAGACGACGAGAGCGTTGTAGAGTTCTACGAGGACTTTGCACGGTTAGCGTTCGGCGATTCCCGTGGTAGTGTCATGACACGGTGCAAGCTACTTAAATACAAAACCAAAGAAGACATGGAGGTTGCGCAGTCCGACGAGGGCAGGTGGAACAACCACATCCGCAAAGGCGGAATCGCCGGCGAAGCTGGTATGAACCAGCTAGGATTCAAGGACGGCAAGGTCGAATGCGCGTACTGCTGGACAGTCAAGCGCGATGTATTCGACATTCCCATGCTTATCGTGATGAACGTGAGTCTTCCCAGTTGTTTCCAATTGTTATGATGACTTTTACTAATAACCTACAGTTCCTTCCGTGCATTTGATCTGATTACCGTCCCATTTTTACGTGTTTCGTCTAGTTCTGTCCATTTCTCTTCATACCCCCAGGCCCCAAGCCTCCTTTTTTCTGGTTTCTCGCCGACTCCTGTTCTGGTATATAATCTTTCCTGTTCCTGGGAGTTCCTGGGACTGTACGATTCTCCGACCTTTGATCTGGTTCTGGTTCTGTTCTTGTCAGTACATATTGCCGATGTTTGTAGCTCCGGTCTCGACCTTGACCGGGACTAGTTGATATGTTTATCTTTTTGCGGCGCTCAAAAGGGACAAAAATGATATCTATGGGCTGGGACTATGTTTATTTATGAGATCTAATGCCTTTGATACTGTGGATGTTTATTTGGTTTTTGATACTCCCGATTTTGTATTTTGTTTGTTAAACGGTTCTTGGGTCTGACTTGAAGAGGTATCTTGCATGTGAATCCGTACAGCGCGTTATTCGACTTGTTCTAAGAAGTAAATACGAGGCCGTAGAAACTCGTGCACTACAATTGGTGCCCTGCTGGATGCCTCAGGTGTGACTGCTTATCGATAGCCCCGCCATTGCTCATCACTTCAGCCTCGGAGTCATTGTGGCATCCAGCAACTCCTAGGCTATACGTAGAGCTCCTGCTCATCTTCTTTCCCTCCGCCTTAACCCACAGAGCCTAATATCCGGCTTTTACTCCCCGCGCTCGTTTGACGAAGCCCACCGCCCGCGGTCCCCTCCGAGCAGTCATCCGCAAAATCATCGCACCTCACCTCGGTTTTTGCGACTTGCACTCCAGGAGTCCCCACACGAGTCTATTCGAAAAAGATCACAATGCGTCCCGACAAGCCCCGCGACCCAGTTGCCGGCCCCGATTCAGGGCCCGAAGCCCCGTTCCCCGTGCGCCTGTCTGGGCCGGTGATCAAGGGCTTTGGGCGGGGGAGCAAGGATGTATGCACTCAACCTTGCAATTTCTCTAGCTCTCTACACACATGAATACATGCTGACACCTACCTACAGTTAGGAATCCCCACAGCCAACATCCCAGCCGACGATTTGTCCGAGAAATACCCCAACCTGGAAACAGGCGTATACTACGGCGTGGTAGCACTAGACCCCAAGAGCTACGAGCACGCAAACGGCTCGACAAACGAGAAAGAATCTTCAACACTCTTCCCAGCCGTGCTGAGCATTGGATATAACCCGTTCTATAAGAATACCGTGCGATCAGTGGTATGTAGCTCCCAAACCCACTCCTTTCCGGGCCCCATATACATACTAGCTGAGCTATCGCTCAGCTATCACCTTGATGAACACCTTCTCACCATTCCAGGAAATCCACATCATGCCACCTCTGACATCTCCCTCCCCGACGGCGGTGGCTCAGCCGAAATTCAACCGCCTGCCTGATTTCTACGGAACAAACCTCAACCTGCTGATCTTGGGCTATATCCGGCCGGAATACGACTACGTCTCGATGGATGCGCTGATTGAGGATATTCGCATCGACTGTGAAGTCGCGCGCCAGAGTCTCCTGCGCGAGGCATATCAGCGATATCTGGTCGATGATGGGAAGGCGGCGGAGAAGGTTAATGCGGACCGGAAGTGGTTGGTTACATTCTGAACCAGAATGAAAATAGAGCATTGATAGAAGCGTGAATCAAACTAGAGTTTAACCTATATTTGAATATTTCCAGAGCCGGAGTGGAGTGGAGAGTGTACCTGGGACAGACTATCTTATCATACTCGACGTCATCACTCCAAAACAAAAACCCTAAGCATTGGCATTCATAGGCTGTACAATTAGCCTCTTGTCGCATGTAATCCAAGAACTAAACCTTCCGGATTATCCGGCTATAAAACCAATTATAAAGCCCGTCCCTTCCACACCATAATCACCACCCACAACCGAAAATGGTCAACGTCTTCTCCCGCCTAACCCGGCGCGCAACCAGCTCCGGGAGCGCTACAGCAGACGCCGCCAGCATAAAAACACCCCTAATTCACGGAAACTCACTAAACCGCACATCAAGCGCCAGCTCAGTAAAACGACTCCGCCGAGCACCAGCAGACGAACCCGCACGTCGCCGTCTCCTCTTGATATCAGACACAGCGGACTTTGACCCGCATATCACGCACCGGTTCCAAGCGGAGGGGTTCGAAGTTACTTTCATCGGGTTCGTATGTAGCGGTGATTCAGAGCGGGATCGCAAAGCTCTTGAGAATGCCGTTCACGAGAAGGAGGACGAGTTGGAGGAGGGAGAGAGGTATGCTATCGTCGGTACGTCACCATTCCCTACTATATTGCTCTTTCTTGATGCATGGAGGTGCTGATGGGACCAAAAAAGCATACAGCCGTCCAGCATACTACCTCCTCGGCTCGCACCACCTAACAACCAGCAACACGAATCCATTCCCGCGCCTCTGTGCGCTGATCGCATATTACCCGCTCACATCCACGGACCAATGGACTCGAGACTACCACGCCGGTGGTGACCAAGGTCCAGCGTGCTGTAACACGGACTCTATCTTCGAGCCTGCTCTGAACACGAATTACCTTCCGATCCAGATCCATTTATCAGGCCACGAGGCGAAACACAGTACATTCTGGCCGTGGATTGGGGTTCCGAGCGAGGGAGATACGACGTATAAGAAAAGACACCAGTGCTATGTGTATACGTATCCGGAGTCCAAAGCCGGGTTTGCGGAGTGGAGTGGGAGTGTTGAGGCGGATGATAGGGTTAGTGCGCAGCTGGCGTGGAGCCGAACTATGGGGTGTCTACGGCGGGCGTTTGGGGTTGGGAGTAACTGGGCGGTTGTGGATATTGAGACTGTCTGGGAGGAGTATTGGATGCGGGTGATGGCTGGTTTGGATAAGAAGGTTGAGAACGGGGCTGCGGTGGAGATGATGGTTAGTCGGGGACAGGCTCATGAGGGGAATATGAGGGGGAAAATGGATATGCATGAGGGGGAGGGCCCTGCTGTGACGTGTGTTCCTACCAAGGCTGGTGGTGAGTTTCTTGGTCTTCTGCAGTATGGGGAGGGATAGTGCTGATTTATTACAGGGTCTACTCCCCAGACGTTGAGGTCTTTCTTTGCGGAGACGTTCATTCCTGCTGGGCCGGCTAGCCAGCATATTCGGCTTTTGTCCAGGACTGTGGGTGCGGATCAGATTGTTGATGAGATGAGGTTCTCTTTTCGGCATACTGCAGAGGTTCCTTGGCTTTTGCCTGGTGTGGCACCCACGAATCGCGATATTCAGGTTGTCATTATTGTAGTGGCTAGTTTCTGTGCCGACAAGATCGTTAAACAGAGTTTGTACTGGGATCAGGCTGATGTGCTTGTACAAGCTGGATTATTGGATCCGAAGCTTGTGCCGAGGACGAATGTGATGGGTTAAGAAGTAGTCTATAATTTGGCTGAAGGGGCAGAAGAAGGGAAGGCGAGAAGCAATTGTTAAATGCAACTGGAAACCAGAGGAATTATCGTGAATTATCTTGAATTGCTTCATCCCGGAGTACTGAACACGTAACTACCTAAATGTCTATTATTTGCCCACATGATTCTTAGGCCATACGACACATGTATACTTGCGTCGTGTTGCTAGACTATCCCCGTCCCATCGATTAAAAGTGTTCCTGGAGAAGAGTAAGATTATGCTGATAAGGCTGGGTTTCAGCTTTTCGGGGCCTTTGATCATGGCGCTTCGTTATCTGTCATGACTGAACTGCACGGATTTCAACGCTAAAGGGGACACGGTGAAATTCGAGCGTTGCTTTGGTGGCGCCAGCCCCGGGATTGTAGGAGGGGTGGCGGCTAAGTAAAACGTTAACTGCACTAAAAATTGACAATGAATAGGCTCGATACACCTGGCATTTGATTTTAAATGGCTTGGAGTCCATACTACGCGCCGGCCCCACGTTGGAGCTCCATTTCCAGATTCCGCCCTAGGTGCAAACAGGTCAAACACAATAGCACTGGCCTTGAGAATCAGCCCCGATTCTCGAGTCCTCATCATTCACCATCTAACTCACCCATGCCTCAGCGCCGCCCCCGACCGAAGATCCCTCTTTGGGTACGCTTTCGGGCATGGCTCCGAAGCTTGGAGTCGCCCCTTAAAATACGCAGAAGTCTCTGGCGGCTCAAAGAACACCACACACATCCCTTACTTGCACTCCTGCGCATGTTCATTCCATATCCATCTTGGTTCTTCCCAATCCCTGGTCCATTCTCACCTCGTGCGCTCATAGACGACAAAAAGAATGAGACGGGGCTCATCAGAACCCAATTCGGCGATTTGCACAACCTCCGAGCTATTCCCATCTGGCGCATGCGCGATACCCCGCTGCGGTCTATTTACCGGCTCTACGAGCTTCACCTCGCTGACCGATATAAGTTAATGGGATACGAGACCGAATATTTCTTTTATCGCCCTGGCTGGAAGCTACGAGATATTCCAGACCCAAAAGATTCTGACCCAGTTCGTTATGCCGTGGTCGCTTGCATCCTCGAGGAATTACACAAGGCAGTCAACTGGAGGCTAAGCTTGGGGATGCGGAGAAACGGCGATCATGTGTATCGCGAGTTTGACGAAGACCCATTGCCTCCTTTTGTGCCAGAAGAATTGCCTGACTGGACAAAAAATGTACCGTCCATTGATAAGGAGCTACTCAGGCAGTCTGTCCCATCAGATAAGTTGGATGCAGAAGGGAACTTGGTGCTTGAAGAGGAGGGCAAGAGTCCCATATTTGCCCAGCGTAACATTATCACGAATACTGGCTGGCTCTACACTATCTAGAACAGTTGAATGAATTCATGCAATACCATTGGTCACTGTTTGCGGCTCTCGTTGGGTTGACGTCTCTTGCATAGCCCCGCTATTTGAAAACATCCTCATTATACTGGCGGCGGTATGCGTGGGCTACCAGTTCCATTGTGCTACGGTCTGGAATAACATCAAACCCATTAATGTTCATCGTGCGAATCGATTCCCCATCGAGAGGGCCCCGGTTGCGCTCCCTGAGGTATTTTAAAAGGGCGAGCGCGTCTGTCATATCGTACTCTGCCTTGCGGTCTCGGTCTGCGGCGTGTATTCTCCTCAATTTGCGCTCGAGAGCCCATTCCAGCGGGGCAGCAAGAATTTCCAGATTCTCCCCTTTGAAGAGTATGATGCCTTGCCTTTCAGCTTCGGCGAACAATCTCTTCCGAGCGTTTCCGGTGACGAAAATAGCTATGTCTTCGTTGATCCATTGCTCGTTGTACCGAAGTTGAGACGCGACAGAGGAAACGGCGGTTCGAAGAGCAGTTTTGATTTCATTGTCTCCAGCAAATTCGGGGTCGATCAGGTAGTCAATATCACCGGTGCTCTCACGACTTTTGAGATAAGACACCGCAAGAAAGCCGCCTGCTGTAATGATGCGGATGGGGGCGAATGCGATGAGCCAGGGATTGCGACCCATTTCAGCGTCAAGTGCCTTGAGACCTGTTTGGCGAGAGTGAGTGAGGATCACTCGCCCAGTGATGTGAAATGTACCTACCTTCTTGAAAATCCTTTCCATTGAGATATTCCTTTCGCTCTGTCATGATGGCAGTATATGTTGGAAGGCAAGAATTCTGCAAGAGCCGAGAAGATGCGAAATGGAAGGAATGTAGTATTTGATGAGATGTGTCTAGAGAGCGATGCTTTTTATAAGAGGAGAAGGCTACTGAAGAGATAGAGAAATAGAAATAGGCACTAAGCGCCGGAGTGCCTATTAGTGCATGGTCTAGGCATCTCAACAACACCCAAATGCACCTACGCGGACGCTCAGTGTTAGCGCCCAATGTCTGTCAGAATGGTGTGCCGGGTCAAAGGCTTATTGGCATTTGGGCACTGCTACGCGCCTGCTGACGGTCCGCTTGGAGCTAATATCGTAGGGTTTTGCCAGCTCAATAACCAATCATTGAAGACGTAATCTATATGTATGTACCTATTACAGTCACCCCTTCGCAAGGACACGCGCCCACCACAGAAGAATATCTCAGGCAGCATGAGTATCTCAGATAAATAGTGTAAAGTTCTGTTGATAAATTGATAAATATAGAGGATGCAGAGCTAAATTTCCATGGAGAACATTATTTACTAAAAAGCACTAAAGATGTCTAGAGAGCCCTAAGGTCCTACCTACTTTTACTATCTACTCCTACTTCTACCTTCAATAGTAAGAACCTTACGCCCTTTTACCTCTTTCGATAGTATATAACACCTATCGAAAAGAAAGATTCTATTAAAATAGCTAACACTAAGCGCTAAAGAGATCTCGGATGCTATTATTCAGTGTTCGCAGACGGCATGCAGGCTAAGCATTAGTTTCATCCCCCACTACGTCCAAATGTCTTTTACCGACCTTGTATACCTCGATTTTGAAGCCGATAACTGAACATAATTTTCATGAGAAACTACCTTGTGCGTGGGAGAATTGGATCCAGGAAATAGAAATTAATACCAGTAAGACGTAATAATGAGAGGCAGACAAACTTGGTAGGAATGTGCAGAGAGTAAAATTTTCGCTCAATATATGCTTGATGCAAGACTTGAATATCACAGGTCGCTTTCATGTCAATAGATCAACAACTAAAGCCCAGCTGTACCCCTTAGGCCAACCAAATCCTGACTGACACCACCAGGACTAGTCAAAGTCCTCCGACTCGCCTCCTGCGCAACAGGAAGAACATCCTCAACACGCGCAGTATCACCTTTTCGCGCCAGCCCAGCCACGACAACACCGAGCAGGGTATCACCAGCACCATTAACGCTAACCACATCCTCGGGAGTCAACTTAGCGGCCGGAGGGAATAAACGCATATAAACTCCACCGAAAGGCGCATCAGACGCAGGCGCGCGGGCGATGATATACGGCGCATATTCCGGGTCCGTGAGGCGGGGATCACCGGGAGGTAAGAGCTGGGTCAAGAGAGCACCGGCTCCACCGAGTTTCGTTATAATGCAGGGGATGAAAGGAAGGAGCTGAATTGATTGCTGAGGAATACCCTCGTCGACGAGCGCAGCAGATGTCACGTAAACGAGACGCTCGCGCGAGCCTGTTGGGGATAGATTCATTGCGTCGATGATGGCCCACCAACCCTGGGACTCGAAGAGATCTGTCTCACGCGCGGCGGCGTACATGGAAGTAAGCTCGAGGCGGTTCGGACAGGCGAGGCTGATGGCGTGGTTGGGGACTGTTTGGTCGCTGCTGATAGCCGCGCCCACCCCTGTAGCATCGCGGCCGAAGAGGCGGCGGGATTTTGCGGTTGAAACGGGCTCGAAGGCTACACGGGAGCCGTGCTTGCGAGCGATAGTGCTCCATTTCTTCAAGACCTCCGGGTGCCAGTTTGCGTCAACGACGACCCAGGCGGGCTTGGTGCGTTCGAGTAGGGGTTCCCAGAATCGGTCAAAATCGAGATGATGTTCGGGGAGCTCGACGATGCCCATATCGGCCATTGCGACGAGGAGGTCTTTCTTGGCGTCGTTGATGGCAACGTATTGGGCGGTACGGGTTCCTGGTGTTGAAGGGAGGACTTGCACGCCTGCGGTGCTGAGGCCTTCTTTGTCAAGGGATGCCAGTGCTGCGCGGCCACTTAGGTCGTCGGCTACGACGCTGCAGAAGAGGACGTTGCTGCCGACGTAGTTTGCTGCGACGGCGACGTTGTGGCCAACGCCTCCGAGGCTTTGGCCGATGACAGCTGGGTTGGATGTGTGTGGCACGGGTGCAATCTGGGTTTGTTCATTGCCGAATGGTGTGTAATCACAGGATAGATCGATGGCGAGGGAGCCAGCAACCATGACATCCACTTTTTCGACCTGCTGAGGAGCTGTGGAGGAGGTTGCAGGCTTAGTTGTCTGTTGGGGCTTAGGGGTATCTTGTTCTGGTAGTGGAACATTCAGGATTGCAGGCATGTGTCTATGCAGAAGAAGATCTCCAACTTAGCAATGAACGTATTTTTGTATATAGAAGCCCAACTCACCGAGCCGCAGATCCTCGGTCCTGATCCTCGAGCTTAGCAAGCTCCACGGCGACTCGTGTAGCGCGCTGGACATTGCTTTCAATGAGAGCCCGGTTGGCAATCACACTCTTCCCGCCGCTCAGTTCCTTGATTTTAGCTAGAACATATGGGGTATTATCACTGCCATGGTAGCCTTCTACGTCAGCGAGACGGACAGCCTCTTCAATGACACGATCCATCTCGGGCTTGGAGACTGACGCGTCTCGAGGCACAGGGTTGGCGAAGTGAATGCCAGACAAGACAGGAAGTTTAGATTGCGCATCTATAGATGTCAGCCAAGCTGTTGAGGTGTAGCCCAGAGGGTATACTTACAGACGATGGCGGCGGCTTCGGCCTCATTCTGGATAGTCCGTGGGCTGCGGAAGCCACTGTCTCGCGTGAAGAATGCAGGGAAGTCGACGGATCCCTCACGTCCATCGGCAAAGGTACCAACGCAGACACCTTCTGTCTCGAGGTACTCGAGTGTCCTAGGGATATCTAGGAAGCTCTTGCATCCGGAGCTAATGACCGTCACCGGGGTTCGGCCCAGCTCTGTCAGATCGGCTGAAGGAGGTGTCAGCGTATGGGCGAGGACTTTGAAGAATCCGCTGCTTACCGGAAATGTCCATCGAGTTCTCTCCACCACGGTGGACGCCACCTGTAGCCAGGGTTAGATATTGTATATGTTGTTTACTGCACAGAACTTACCAAGACCACCGGTTCCAAAAATCTTGATCCCTGCAAGTTCCGAAAGTATCATCGTGCCAGAGATCGTAGTTCCACCATGGATACGTTTTCCAGCCAGGCCCTGTCGACGTATTAGTTCCATTCTCATTGGTGACTTGGTCAATTCATACCATGCCGCAAATATAGCCCAAATCTCGGCGGGAAACCTTCAATGCGGACTTATTTTCCGCAGTAGAGGCCAGCTCTATAATCTCATCTGCACTCATACCAACTCGCGCAATACCTCCGAGTACGCCGATGGTCGCAGGAACACCGCCGTTCACTCGAACAACTGATTCCAACAGCGACGCCAGTGCTATGTTGTCAGGGTATGGGAAACCTGAGCTATGTTAGCTATATTTACTCCCCTTCAGATCAAGCTATGAGCTTCAGAGCTGATCTAGGTACTCACCATGAGTATAGATGGTCGTCTCAAGGGCAACGACCGGCTTCCCTGTCGCGACAGCATCTTGGACCTCTTCTGATACCTTCAAAAACTTGCTCTGAGGGTGTTTATGAAGGTCATGCAAACCACGAACACGGGGAAGCCGTGCTGTCCTCCACCAGCCAGACCGAATAGCAGCCCTCGAGGTGAACATTGTGCAACGAAAAAGATGCAGAGGGAGGGAATGTAGATCGAAGAGGAGAAATGAGGAGAAGCTGTTATCGGTGCGATAAGACAGCGGAGTGCGCTCTGTGGCCGCTATGCTCGCCGTATTGCGTATACATGGGGACACCTCATCAGCTTCGGCCGTCCCAATTCACCGACCACCTTTCCTTCGCCCTTTTGATTTTTTAGTTCCTCCCGGAGACCCTGCTCTCCGGCGTGATACCCTCAGTCATCATGAGGTTCTTCACTGCCTCAGTGCTCGGGCTATTTGTGCCCAGCCTAGCTGCTGCATCCAACCTCAGCACTCCGACCCAGCTCACCCTCCCATCAGACTTCAAGCCCCCGCAGGTCTTCAAGAACACCAATTTGGTTCGGAACACCAACCTGGAGAAGAGCTATGTCCGTGAGACCATCAATGTTGTCGTGGAGAATGTCGACAAGCAACCACAGAGCGACTACTATATCCCCTTCCCTTCGGACGTGTTTGACCGCGTAGGCGGCTTTGAAGTCCGAGATAAGAAGGCGACCGACAAGGGAAGATTCGAGGTGGATGCCACTGAGGTTGTGTCATCCAGGTAGGTATCAATTGGATGCGCCAATGGCTCCTGGATGATCTAGGCATGTCGCGTGGGTTCGTCGCTAACTCTTCAATTTCAACAGTAGCAACCAGTACTTCGTGGTTCACTTCCCCGAGCCGTTGGCCCCGAAATCGCAGATCACTCTTGGAATCTCCTACTCCATTTTGAACTCCCTGGCCCCGCGCCCCGCCGTCATTCAGCAAGCCGACAAGCAATACCTTACCTACAGCTTCTCCGCCTACGTCCCATCGGCCTACCAGACCGTTACACAGAAGACCAAGGTCAAATTCCCCAGCACCAACGTGCCCGACTACACCGAGACCTCGGACCTCAAGTCCGGTGCCGACCCCGAGCGCAAGGGCGCCACCTACACCTACGGTCCGTACGAGACGGCCAAGCTGGCCCCCGGCACCGAATACCCGGTTACCGTCCGCTACGAGTTCACCAACCCTGTGATCACTGCCCACCTCCTTGAACGTGACGTGGAAGTTTCCCACTGGGGCGGTAACCTGGCCACCGAGGAGCGATACTGGCTGCGCAACAACGGCTCAGAGCTGGCCAACCAATTCTCGCGCGTGGAGTGGACATTCTCCGCCTACCAAAAGGCGCCGACCTCGGCCGTGCGTGAGATCACATACCCTCTGCAGCCCGGCTCCGTCGACCCCTACTTCACCGACGACATTGGCAACGTCTCGACCAGCAAGTACCGCCCCGGCAACGGCAAGACCGCCGCCCACCTGGAGCTGAAGCCTCGCTACCCGATATTCGGTGGCTGGAACTACAGCTTCAAAGTGGGCTGGAACAACGATCTGGGCCGGTTCCTGCACCAGATCAAGGGTGCCGACTCGTACGTTCTTAAGGTGCCGTTCCTTCAGGGCCCCAAGGTTGCTGAGGGGATCCAGTACGAGCGCGTTGTTGTTCGCGTTGTTCTGCCCGAGGGTGCGCACAATGTTCGCTACCAGACCGTCGAGGGCGCCAACAGCAACGGTCTGCCCGGTGCGAACCACATCCGCGCTAGCCTCTCTTCCTTCAAGACCTACATGGACACCCTCGGACGGACTACGTTGACCCTGGAGGTTGACAGCTTGACCGATGAAGCGCGCGATGCGCAGCTCGTGGTATGTGTTATTTTCCCACCGATGGTTGTATCACAATATGCTAATTCATGTTTAGGTGACTTACGATCACACCTTGATGGATGCCCTGCGCAAGCCACTTACCATCTTCGCTGGCTTGGTGTCTGTCTTCTTTGCCGCATGGGCCATCGGCAACATCGACATCAGCATCAAGAAGAGGTAGATGTGCGTTGGAGAGATGCGCGTGTTTCATATCGTCTTTCATTGGCTGTCGTAAAGCTTTATATTCATGTACGAAGACAGAAATACAACTCGAGACTAGTTCTCTTGATGAACTTGGACGTGGCCCGTTTGGCGTTTGTTTCGTAGTTCGTTAACTGTCCCGAGGAAACTTGTAAGGATCAATTGCTCGGCGCTCTGAGAAAAAGTTCAAAAAGTTCAAGGAATGGCCGGTCTATTTGAAGGACCCGTTACGAGGAACTGACGCCAGAAGAACTTGCATCGAGATGTCGTGAATGTGGAGCTGGGATTGGAGGACAGAATCACCGGGCTCTTGAGGGTGTAACGCTTGCGGAGCAGATGGAGTAGGCGGAAGGGGGAATGTTGTTCGATTGCGATAGCAATTTAGATATATTGTTACAGGGTTTTCAATCAGGTTCAAATCGATATAGATACGTTATGAGTTTCATGATATCAAAAGGTCATGTCCGGTATCTAGCTTGGTAATCTCAACTTCCGCGCATAACAGTTCAGCCCCTTCCAGCTGCGTTAGCCCTAGTCAGACACAGGGCAGAAATCATAGTTCCCATTAGAGTTATTACCCCACCAAGACGGGAAGGGGTGGGAAGGACCTCCGGCACCAAACACCGCAAAAGAGAGAATAAACAGCACAGTCAGACTAGCACCGTCGAAGGCGCCGGTCACCAAGTATGAATAGTCCTTGAAGATGCGTGGGCGGTAGTTGCGGAGGTAGTACTGGACATAGAAACCTGCGAAGACCCAGCTGAAGAGGACACACGTCTGGCTCTGGTTGTACGGGATATAGCCAGCATATTGAATGAATTGGGGCATGTTGATATCAGCAACATCGAAATTGCGGATTTTGGGAACGAACTATCAACATAGGTCAGTCATTTTATGAAGAAATAGTGCATCGAGGTTGCATACTTGATAAAAGATACGGTGGACGACGACAGCTGCAGCGCCGATAGCGAGACCCACGGGTACCATGGAGTACTGGCCGCCGATCTTGTAAAGGTAGGAAGCCAGAGCCCAGGAAGTTGCGCCAGAGTTATATGCCTGCATCGTGGCACCGCTCCAGGAAGAGTTGCCGTTGCCGTTGACGAGAATTGCTTTGTTTCCCTTGACGATAGAAATCATCACAGCGTAGTTGATAAACCCACCAAGCACAGTGCCCCAGATTTGAGTTAGGAACATGACCCGGGGAGGAATTTTGACTAGACTTAATGGTTAGGACTGGCCTGGGCTAGAAAGGGAACCACTTACGGTATTCACCCATCTTCAGATCATTAGACAGATTGACCGCATTGTTGACAACATTATGGGACCAAGCAGAAAAATACATGTTGCCGACCGGGCGTCCAGGAACCATAAGACCCGCTAGCATTTTTGACAGGTTGTTAGTGGCAATGCCGTTGCCGTAGCGAGAAAACAAGATAATACTCTATGACAGGAAGTCATGTTGTTAGTGCCACTCCGTAAGCGCTAAATTTGGAGATATACTCACAAAGGGCGAAATAATGATTCCGACCACCAGCGAGACAATGTATGCCCACACTGGAATGGTAATGTCCTCTTTAATGACCACAATAAGACCTAGAATAAAGCTGATGACAAGGATCACCACATACCACCACCATGGCGCTTCTTTATAGTGCTTGGCCATATGCGCATGATGGCGGTCATCAAACTGACCTTCCTTGGCCTTTTTAAACGCTTGGTGGATATCCTTGCCCCAAAAAAGGAAGCAATGAACAATAAGGGCGCCGATCTCGAAGGTAATTAGCCCATGAACAGAATATGAAATCCTATGGAATATGGAATTTAGGGGCTTTGTACTTACGGCAGCATTAGCCATAAACATGGAGAACGCAAATGCTCCAGTCAGTTTAGGCAGACCGTACTTAGCCAAGGCTGTTTCATCGAGCACACCGCCAACAAAGACGTCATCAACGGGATATGAGGTTCCATTGGCCAGGAGGAGATTTGTAGACATAAATGGAAGCGATCTTGAGTTCCAGCCATTTCCGTAGTAAATCCCGATCATAGCAATAAAACAAGCAACGAACCCCGCGGCTTGATGAGCTTGCAGCTTGAGAGGAAGAGCGGTTTGGAAGGAGGTGATCTAGGACGGTCAGCTTCATTACCCGGTCGATGCTGGAATTGACCTCTTACATATTGCCAGTCAAAAGAGAAAGTAAAGAGACCGAGTCCCTCATTGGTAGTGGACCCGCCGAAGAGGTTGGTAAGGAGAGCAGCCTTGTTACCGGTGGCCTTCCTGGCAGCCAGACACTTCATCATTACACGTTAGTAACTGGGTCCAAATGAATCGTTTCAGTGGAACTATACCGGAATAGAGACAGAGTTCAACCAGACGAAAATGTATGCAGGGAAGATTTCGTAGAGAGACATGCCGGTAAAAGCATACCAGAAGTATCTCAGTGGCTTTGAATTCTTCAAATCCTGCCAATGAAGCCCCTGGAGAACTTTGACGGTAGGCAAAGTGCTCCAGTAGACGGCGTCAACGTGCCAGACTGCGATGGGACGCATGACTCCACAGATTCCGTAGCCAAAGAGGCCGATAGAAATGGTGGCAAAAATAACAGTTACCGGGCTCAGGGACATATTATAGAAGATCTCCTGCGCTGCGAATACCTGGGAACTTGTAGCGGCGTTCGAAGCACCTGTGGCAGTGATAGAGCAAATTGCGTGCTCCTTCAATGACCACGGCCCATTGTTAAAGAATTTGAGGATTGTGATGTATAGGGGGAGTTTGCCCTGGCTCTGGCCTTGCTTCATCCTCCATCGGGCCTCAAATTTATCGCCGCGGGGGAGAAACTTGGCCCATGCCCTGCCCACAAAATAAGAGATGAGAACGATGAACGTTCCTTGGATGGTAATTAGGGTCGGTTTAAACTGCACATATGTCAGCTCAAGCATGTGGAGGTCAAGCAAGGTCGTGCACATACCATATAGATCTGATACATGACCGACTGGAAGCACGCGAGAGCTGACGCTAAAACGATACCTCGAAATGTAAAAGCCGGGTCACCATCATCCCGCAATGGGAGCAGATGTGCAGCGGCATCAGCGCCAGTGATGATAATGACGTCTTCACTATTGCGATCATCCTCGTTGCCATCATCTCCAGATCCCGAGAAGGATGTTGTGGTGACTTGGGGATCATCTTTGGTCATAATCACGTCGACAGCGGTCTTATCATCGAAAGCATCATTGCCGGAGACAGAGACGGCGCCCTCCACGACCGGGTCGGAGTGGATCGCCGACATATTGCGTGTTTATCCGCCGGGGTGTGGAATGAATGTGCCAAGCGGCCTTTCATGTGGCAACACATGCCTCTCTTATAGCCATGCAGGCTCGTCGAACCACGCATCTACCAGAAGCCCGTATCGAGCAAGCACGACATGATAACATCAAGCCCCAAAATAAGCCACACAAACCTACACTGGCGTTTCTACTCCCCGGGAAAACAACACAAAAAGCCAAAATAGCCAGCCCCGGTAACACTAAAGCTGTGGTATTTTCCCTTTTGGCTCTAGCACTACTACCTCGCAATCTAGCATATCGACTTATCCGTCTCTGCTGTCTTGGGCCTCATCTTGTATCTGGTACATTGACTTGATCACCGAGTCAAAAATTCTAGAATTTTGTTGCTGGGCGAAGGGGCGAGGAGTCAGACATTGCCCCAACCAGTGTGGTACCATGCAAATGGTAAGACAAGATTAGATGGAAACTTCTTAGTGGAAACTTCTATTGAGATTTCATTGGCGTGGCTTATCACGCCTTCCGGCGGGGCGCTCATACTTCTTCGCTAAGAAGATAAAGGAATGGTAACATGGGGCGGGTTGTTGAGGGGCAAAATACGCCTTCTTTCTTTAAACCCAATGAGATTTAAGACAGCCACAAATGAAAAGCCAAGCCGAGTCAACCCAAAAAGTCTACTAAATGAGATTTTCCAGAATCCTTGACATTATTGAGGAGGGGCTCCTATCTTAAGGTAGTCGTTCACATTCACGGCCTGGTAAATTGCGGTCTTAAAAGTTAAGGTGAGCGGGTTCTCCGCACGGGAAGATTGAGGCCTGAGCGTTGGAAAAGGAAGTCCGACGGCGCTACAACCTAAGTATTACAAAAATAGTCTGTTTAATAGGTTAGTAGGTGTAACGGACCCTGCTTTTGGTCTGTGCTTCGCAGATGATCTGTGGGCATGACCCTTATTACCATTCCGGACACAAGATACAACCAATTAAGCAAGTGAAAAGGGTACACGAAGCGATTGCGAGCCACTAGTCATATTTCGAACTCGAGGAAGAACTAATGAAAGCTCGATGTTCATTCCTCTCCCCGTTACCCTAAGAGCGGCTCTATCTCGCCACCTTGTATAGCGACTTTGTCCGAAGACGAGCGATGCAAGGCCAACACCAGAAGTACTGCCTGGCCAAGGGCGAAGACAAAGCTGTTCACGATAACCCAACCGATAGCCCCGTACCAAACAGAAAAGATATTCCAATTCATCTTACCATTCAACATCTCACAAGGATATGGAAGACTGCATATCCACGCCAATGAGATCAACGTGAATACGGCTGCTTGCACCCCTAGACCATGCAACTCGGCACATGTGGAAAAGTTACGGAGACACTTAAGACGTCTAGAGCCATTATAATTGGATAAAGAAGTATAGAATGCAGAGCGTAGAAAATCGCTAACAACTATCTCCGACCTTCATCGTCGATCGGCGCGATAGAATCGATAACTAAAGGAATGATCGAGATGAGGAGAAAGCTTGTGTAGCTAGCGACTAGGGAGATCTTGCAGTCGCTGTAGACAAGAAATTGGATGAACCTAGGAACAAAATATTAAAGCCTACACAAATAATTTTAGGAAATATAACAAGTCTCACAATGTCAGGAAAAGAATCGTGACCAAGGCACAGTGGCAAAGGCTAAAACAGTCCCCTGCACTTGGGGGAGAGTGCAGTAAGATGGTATTCAGTACAGCGTAGGTAGATATAGATAGCGAGCTGCTCAGTGGCGCTAATCAAATTCCACAGGATGTAAAGTGAGTCGACTCCACGGGTGGTCTGTTTTCTCTGAATACGCTATATCGGGGGAAAAAATAGAGCGATGGCGAGGATCAGCAAGATGCTGTTCAAGTCAGTCAAAATTTATTTAGGGATTATATCAAAGGATGCACATATCCGACATCAAAGAGGTTCAGGGAGTGACATATTCGAGCGTATGGTGAGGACGATCTATGTAGTTGAAAAGGTATGCGAATACAAGGAAAACAGAAATACAAAAACATCCAGAATGTTGGCGTTGATAGGCTCGGCGATGCCAAGATGCGGTGGCCCCATATTTCGCGCTTGTAAGAGCACCTGTACAGGAAGAGAATGAGGAGAAGGCGGGGGAAAGGTGGAGAGACGGATCTGGCAACGGCGCCCCTAAGGAAGAACATGTTGTCTTGGCGACACACATGTTTGAGATCCGATCCGCTCGGCTGGAAATTGGTGCGCTATGATATTTACCTCGGTACAGTAGGCAAGCACGCAAGCCCACAGCAAAATTAGCCGGAGAAACCTGATGACCAGGAAAGCAGATCAAGCCATAGGCTTGTGATTATTTGAATCTTCGTAAAGCAATTTTGCATCTACTGATTTCTTGGTCTCTATTGTTTCTCTATGTTGACCTATTTCTAAGTGATATATACGAAACTCGACAGATACTCTTCTCATCTTGATTGCGTGGAAAAGTTGAACAGGATTTCGATGCACTGAGAGGTTCAATCAAACAACTATGCGTAGAGAATGCAGACAAAGGAAGATAACAGTATATAAGTTAACAAGGGAATCAAGTGGACATGTAGAGAGTGAGCCAAATAAAAGACGGGGACTTGACGGGTCCAGTGGTTTGGCCGTCATAGGATGTGATGATAATCAGAGTTGTTGAATTTCGGCATCAAATCCATATGTGAAGGTTTGAAAAACATCGTCAGCGACCCAGAACATCCAGAAGGCCCTTTTCTTCCAGATGGAGCTCCTCGTCCAACTTAACCCATAGCCTCGACCTAGTATCCAGATCAGCGCAATGCCACTGCGATGGCGCCTCCCAAATACGATTCATATACAACCCTCCACCCCTCGCATTCTCCACTCCAACACCCTGCTTCTTAGGATCCGGACCAAACACCGGATTAGTTGCCGCATTAGTAATAGCCAAGCTACCTTGCTGCGGCGTAATAGCAACATAACGCAGGAGAAAATTGAGAGCTAGACCAGCCCCATCCCTACGCTCGAGGGTATTCCAGATGTTCGAAGCCACAAAACCGGGATGGACCCCGTTGATTGTGATGTGGAGGTACTCAGGGTGCTTGAGAAGTCGAGACTGTAGCTCTGCAACCCACATCTGGAAATAGAGCTTATTGTTTGCATACGCGTTTCCGCTCATCTTTGGACCACCGTTGAAGTGGTCCAGGTCGAAGTATCCGAAGTGGTGGAGGGATGATGTTGTGCAGATGATGCGAGGTGCTGCACTGCGGGCTAGAGATGGGAGAAGTCGGAGGGTTAGTAGGACGTGGGATAGGAAGTTGACCTAGGCGTTTAGTGTGAGTTTACGAGAAAAGGCTAGGACAAGGCGAACCTGGTGAACTAGCTGGAACCCATCCGTCGTCATTGTCGAGGTGTTGTTCGCGGCAGCCGCAAGGCCGGCATTGTTGCAGAGTATGTCCAAGGGGCGGTCTGCTTTCAGCCATCTTCGACAGAAGATCTCGATACTGTTGAGATCTGCCATATTAATCTCCCACCATTCGATCGTCGATGAATGGCCGTGTGCCTTCGCGAGGTCTTTGCATTCTTTCACGGCAGCTGTGGGGTGTTGCTCCCATGCAGGTGGCTCGCGACAGGCGAGAATCAGGTTTGCGCCCCATGTTGCAAATGATTTGGCGGCTTCATATCCCACGCCGTTATTGGATCCGGATATGATGATCCATTTCCCTGTCAGATCAGTGCCGGGGACGTGTTGCTCGGAGACGAAGGTGCTGTTGATTCCCAGACAGCTCTGAATCAGATCATAGACATGATATAGCGGTGATAAGATCGAGGCCATTGCGATGCTCGAAAGATATCAGAGCTGAAGGAAAGGAAGCGTTGAAGCTGAAGTTGATGAAAGAACGCTATGCCTCAAGCGAGTTATTTCCGCCGAGAGACCTTTTATCGTGGCCGTCAAGATAATAACAGTGACTGGGGATAAGTTGTAAGAGTAATTCTTGGATTTCTGCTACGCTCACAACCTCGGTATTCTGCCTGGGGTGACTAAAGCTCGTGTGGAGAACATCGCCGACCCCGCAACATCCGCCACCCGCATCTTCATTTTGATCTTCACACCAACACAATTCCCCGATACCCCTCCTCTCCGCACTCCATACATCTTCACAATGACCGACTCACCGGACGTCCCTAACACCCAAAAGGCCTTCGTGCCCCTCGGTACGTCTGCACATGCCTCCCAAAAAACACCCAACTAACACACCTCAGAAAACAACCCCGAAGTGATGTCCCACCTGGTCCACCAACTCGGCCTCCCCAAAAGCCTAGGTTTCACAGACGTATTCTCAATCGACGAACCCGACCTCCTAGCCTTCGTCCCCCGCCCTTCGCACGCCCTCCTCCTCGTCTTCCCAGTCAGTAGTACCTACGAAACATCCCGCACGGCCGAAGACAGTAGCCTCCCGGAATACACAGGAAAAGGGCCGTCGGAACCAGTAACCTGGTTCAAGCAAACGATCCGCAATGCCTGCGGTCTCATTGGCCTCCTGCACGCCGTCTCAAACGGCGAACCCCGTCGACACATCACCCCAGGCTCAGACCTTGATAACTTACTCCGCGAAGCTGAGAACCTAGCACCCGTCGCGCGAGCAGATCTTCTTTATGAAAGTAAGGCGCTTGAAAGCGCGCACGCGGGCGCAGCGAAGTTGGGGGATACGGCTGCACCGGAGGCGGAGGCTAGCGTTGATTTGCATTTTGTGGCATTTGTGAAGGGTGCTGATGGGATGCTTTGGGAGCTTGATGGACGGAGGAAGGGGCCGTTGGCGAGGGGACAGCTTGGCGACGAGGATGCGTTGAGTGAGAAAGCACTTGGGTTGGGGGTGAGGCGGTTTTTGAGCACGGAGGCGGCTGGCGGGAATCCGGATCTGAGGTTTAGTCTTGTTAGTTTGGGACCTCTTTTTGATTAGGGATTGGTGCTCTAGCTGGAACGGAAGTTGTTTGTGGGTCATGGCGTTTTTAAGGCTGCATAGAGCTAGTTCTTTGTGTCCCGGATGGGAAATCGAGACTATGGGCTTTCAGGAGTTAATAGCACCTATGGGTTGTACGCATCAACAAGCTGTGTTTGTTAAGTGTGCTCGAGGAGCTTTTGTCAAGCTAGAGCCAATTCATCGCTGTTTATGCAGTCTATGTCTATTAAGTATGTCTATCTTCGGAAACACTCCGAAGAAACAAATTATATACTTCTGGCCCAAGGCATCTGGCCAACCGAGTCATCCTTTTAAAGCATTATGTCTTGAATGCCTCCGTAGGAGACCCCGCTCTCGTCTCGGGGGCCGAAGAATCAACAATAGCCGTCTTTTCGCCCCCGACGTCACCAGTCACAGACTGCTTCGGTTCGGGACCTTGTCCACCCTGAGTCCCAATTGTCAAGAACGGGACCAAGACAAGCGAAAGTCCAGCCCCCGCCGCAGAAAACCAGTAAACGGCCAAATAAGGCTTAATGGCCGGCGTGCTCTCGGTCATCTGATTCATAACAGCACTATGAACCGAAGTAGCAATACCAAGACCAAGATTATTGCAAAGCTTGGAAACAGTATTGAAAATCCCACCGGCAATAGACTGTTGCGAAGGCGGCAGGGAAGACATGACATACATATTAGTCACGTTGAACTGGATATCAGCGCCCACGACGACAAGGGTGATCGCCGGGAAGATGAAAGCCCAGTAGATGGCGTCTTCTTCCATGAAGCTGAGGATCAAGAAGGAGGTTGTGTATGCCAGGGCCCCAATGCCGGTAAGGAGCCTGTTGCTGACGCGGTGCATGACTAGGCCGCACACGACGTTAACTAGCACGCCGCTGATGACCATTGGGAGCAGACGCACTGTGATGTCGAGTGCGGTGAGGTGCTTCACTTCTTGGAGATAGAGGGAGAGATAGAAGCTCATGGAGGAGAAACCCATGAAGCCGAGGCAGAGTGTTGCCATGAGGAGGGCGAAGTTGCGGTCTTTCCATACCCATAGTGGCATCAGGGGATTGGTTGCGACTGATTGCCAGTATATGAACGCGACCAGGAGGAAGAAGCCGACGAGAAACAAGGCGAGAACGTAGCCAGTTCGCCAGCCGTCGGGTGCATCGCCCGCTAATCTATAGAACTGTCAGTAAAGGGACAATCCATACAGTGACCTCGGAGTACTCACGAAAGCGAGCTCGAAAAGAAAGCAAAGCCCACAATAACCAGCCCTGTCCCCAACAAATCAAACCTCTTAAGTGCCTCAACACTAACAGGCGTCCTGGCAAAGTCATCGGCAGGGACAGTCCAAATCGTCAACGCCGTAAAGATCGCATAGACAACTGAAAGCGCCCAGAAACTAGCACGCCAATTGTACTCATGCGACGCAACGCCCGAAATAATCATACCACCCACGAAACCAAGCGGGTTTCCAGCGCTGAAGCATGCAAAGGCGCGATTTTTGCGCTTCGACGGCTTTTCATAAACGGCGCCGAGAGCGCCGACGGCTGGTGGCACTACGGCGGCGGCAAATAGGCCCAGAATGCCGGAGAAGACATCCATGTAGATTGCATTTGTGGCAAAGCCGGCGACGAGCAGGGATAGTGTGAAGCCTGCCATGCCTATTGTGAAGAGTATTTTGCGGCCAAACATGTCGGCTAGTTTGCCGAATGTTAGGAGGAATGCGCCGCTGCTTAGACTGTAGGTAATAGAGTTAGTGAGGCCCAGCTCAGGGAGAGAATGTGATCTCGGATTGGATATAACTCCAATCGAGGATTGCAAGAGAGAGGTACGTACGAGGCACCAGCGTTGATCCAAGTAATTTCGGCAGAGTTCATATTCAAATCCGAGCCTATAGATGCCGTCACACCGACGATACAGCCCTGGTAAAAAGACTGTTGCCCGATAGCCATGGTAGCCGTCAAGACGAAGAGACACTCCTGGAACGTCGAGGTGAAACATTTCGGGCGAGCCGCGTAGATAGGTTGCTCGTTGGCAGCGAGACTGATCTCAGGGCCTTTCTCCTGGTCATTTTCACCCATGGCGAAGACCGATTGGGCCGTTTTCTGGCGCAGTTAAGAGGTGAAGAAGGAGAGGTCGGAAATGCCGAGACTTATCGATTGCGATTGCCACGGGAAAAAAAATTAGGGCCAGGGTAGCAGCGGGTGGTTTATGTACGGGGCGCGCCTAAAGAAGGTGGGGTTTGGGAGGGCTTTTATTTTTCTTTCTTGTTGCTTGTTGCTTTACAACTTATTATGTAGTTACATATGACGTGAGACTTGCCCGATGCGACTTTGTCATCGCAAGTGCTGAAAATCGCACTTTATCAGCTGCGGCCGGGTTCCGCAAGTGTTGAGAATTGCACCTTGTCAGCTGCGGCCGGATTCCGCGACCGCCAAGATTGTGGTGATTGGCTTGGCTCTAAAGGGTGAGCAAAGTCAGAAGCACGTGGCTGGCATCCCCTAGCGCTCTCACACGATTGCAAAGCAAAAAGCAGCCTAGCCGATGGTGGAGGGTGCGGTGTTTGGAAGGGGAGTAGCATAGCACCACGTTAAAAGGAAGCGAGATCTGTTGGTGTCAAAGGGCGTAAAAATGTGTATAAATCGGCATGGGAATTGTTTTAGAACCGAGAATATAGATATTACCACTCTTTAAGATGACGGATGACTCCTCTACAAATATAGAAAATCAACGTGTCATTCGCAGTAACAAAGCAGCCGAGAAGGCGTTACATCCACTAGCAACACCAAAAGCTCGATCGGTGAGGCTCCAAGCTCAACTGGCGGGGCTATAGCGTTCCTCCTGGAACAACCGCAGTACCTCTCTCAACTGGTGCATGGGCAAGTGCACCAACCACTGATCATTGATTCGATCACGGAGCAACTCAATCACTAGGGCTCTGTAATTGTCGTGAACGACCTGCTCGGAAACAGTCTGGCCAACACCGGTGCGTGGAGTGTCATGAACCTTCTCACGTCCATGAAGTACACGGTAGTTATCCCAGATGAACATATCGCCCGGAGAAAGTTTGAGGCTAAGCTGGTGTGTTGGACGACGCATGATCTCGAGAAATTTCTGCTGTGCGCGCCGAGCCTCCAAATACCCATCGTATGGCCCAAGGATGTTAGCGATGAAATTAGGATGCCATCGAATGCGCTTGAAGTCCTTGGTGCCGGGTACCATTGAAACAGCTGTATCGACAGTCATCTGATATACATCCTGGCCGTAGAAACCGGAAACGCGTCCAAGCGCCATCGGCGTGTTCAACAGAGACTCATACAGTTCCGGCGCTTCCTGCTTCAGAGTTTCAAGCGAGGCGGGCACAGAAACAAAAGTATTCTCACTGGTACCCTCGAGAATTTACCAGCCCTGAATTTGAATTGGCTGCTCGTAGAAGGCGTGATCAGCATGTGGGAGCAGCACCTGGTCGGTGTCATAGTTGGGTAGCTCCTTGCGCTTCTCTGCCTCGGCGGCGCGTGAAGACACGTTGAAGGACTTGTCGTTTCCACGAGTTGGGTGGACAAAAACTGAACCAAATAGCTTCTTAAGAATCAACGTGATCAAATTGTCGACATGATTCAGCTCATCTTCGAAGTTCGGTGGTGGCATGTTCGTGATCTTGATCAGACCAGACGAGCTTGGGTGCAACAAGTGATCAAAAATCGTGAGATACACTTCATTCATCTTGACCTGGTCCTTGTCATCGAAGATATCATCGTATGAAACTTCTGGGATACGAAGAGAGTCGACCTGCCAGCCTTCTCGCCATCTGTCGGTGACGCGACAAACGGGGCATTGACCCTCATCGTATTTGGGTGCGAACCGAGCGAGGGGGGGGGCCAGACCTGCGGCACGGTGTAGCTTCTGGTATTCTCCCAGATCCTAGAAGTCAATTCAGTATCGCCGACGGTTTGCAAGCTTCCACGTCAAAAGGCAATTTCAACCTAATCTGTCAACACGTCAACGGGATTTACACCGCCACCGAGCCGGAAATCAAGCACGTCTGGCGAATGCTCACTGAAGAAATGAGATTAATGATAGAGCCAAGCTCCGCTGTCTCAGTTGCGACAGTTATGTTCAATCAAGGATTTCGTAAATAGTTGGCTGCACAAAAACGAGATTGGAACATCGGGATCATTCTCACAGGGGGCAACACAACTGTCACAAGAATGATAGAAGAATTCGGCAATTCGCAGGAAAGTTTCAAGCAAGTGGATGAACCTTCGCAGACAGCAGCCATGTAAACGAGATTGCTATGTCGTGACTCCCCGCAGGACGAGTGTTGTGAATTAGTACCGGGCGTGGCACGCTAAGTTAGGTTTTTTGGGGGTTGATATCCTCATGTGGATTCTAGCAAATCAATCAACCGAGATGTTTCGCCTTTTCCATTCTGTTCCAAAGATTTCACTTCTCTTCCAGAAGCTCCGCCGAGCCAAAACATCACAATATTCGCAATGGGCTATAGTCAAGCGTGATGCTATTGTGGGATTAATGTCGGCCTCAGCAATATTCTCATCAAAGAAAGCGCAGAGCCTATGTCGGGGTCTACGTGCCGACAGCCTCAATTCCACAAGATAAAAGCATTTACCAATATCTATAACCACGTCAATCCAAACACCAATATACTAGTATTTAATTCAGACCGATTCAATCTAGGTCTAGTGGACGACCTTAGCGAGGCTACCAAGTGCCAATGCGTGGGCGATTTCGATCGCGTGACAAATTTGGAATGCACTCGACCCATTTTGCCTTTAATTTCCCTTGTTTGTTTCTCCACCTTCTCATACGTCAGGTCATCAAGTAACCAGTTCGTGGCGGAGTAGTTTACCGGGTTAAAGGCTTCTCGGTTGTCTAGCGGAATCACTAATCCTATAACAGCACTTTACTCCGCCCTTACTCCGGAGCTTTGTTAGTGAAAACATAACATCTATGATATATTCAAATACAGTGACTGCCACATTGAGAGGCCATCACATTCAGTTTGCATCTTCCTTTGACTCAGAATTTATCGCCAAAATTGCCTTCAGAAACTACTACTTCCTCACAGCCGACTCGACTTGATTTATCGTTGACTCGTCTTCTCGCTGACCCTGAATACGCCGCAATTGGCTTGCATTGTACCTCAGAAAACGGCGAGAAAAGAAATAAGTGCAGAATTTAGCGTCCATGGCGGAAGTTCTCGAGGTTGGGAATTGTCTGCAGGTAGACACTCGAATCACACGGCAATTGTCTCCCGCAAATGAAAAGACGCTGAGCTCGGACGGAACGAACGAAACGAGCAATCAAGATGAAGATCTACCTCGGGTTGCAGACCAAATTCCCGTTTCGGCATGGCTTGTCATACTGATCAGTACACTCGAGCGCTTCGCCTTCTTTGGAATTCGTGAACCATTCCGTGAGTGTAGGTGGCATATGATTTTCATCTTCCCGTCCATTGACCTCAGCGCAGAAAATTATCTTCAGAATCAGCGACATGATCCTTTGCGACCCGGCGCACTCGGATTGGGCCAGAGCAAGGCTAGTAATCTATCATACATGTTTTCGTTTCTGCTATACACCATGCCGCTATTCGCTAGCGTTATTATTGATTGCTTCCTCGGGCGCTATCGAGGGATCCTGTTTTTCTTATGGTCAGGACTCAGAATATGTCATAACCGGATTTTATTGATCTTAGCTAACATAAAGGGCATAGCATCTATGTAAGCGGGGCGTTTATCTTAACCATGACGTCCATACCATCATCCTTGGACGCAGGCGCAGGCCTTCCAGGGTTCTTGGTCGGCATCATCCTAATGAGTATTGGCCTGGGGGGTGCGAAGTCAGGCGTTTCACCTTTGATGGGTCTGTTCTTTCATATTTTCCCGCTAAGTAATCACTAACGAGAAGTTATATAGCCGATCAGTACACCAATTGGGAGAAAAAGATCTTGGCCAAGCCAAACGGTAAGCGTGTCATAATTGATCGTGACCTTACTATGGAAAAAATATATCACGCGTACTATTGGTGAGTGATGGAAGACTCAGTTCAACTCTAAGGAGGTATAGGTACCGCATTAAGCTGACCTCGTCTCAAAAGGGCTATAAATATCGGGGCGTTATCTGCGCTTGCCACAACTTATATTGAGAAAGATATCGGATTCTGGGCGGCATTTCTGCTTCCTTCTTGTGCTCTTTGCTTATCGTTGCTCACGCTAGTCCTATGTCGAAATAAGATTGGTATGTCCTAATTTAAAAACCTAATATAAGATAATACTAAAAACTATCTTAGTCAAGTGACCCCCTAGTGGGAATATCTTGCCTACAGCTTTTCGAATCATGTTATGTGCAGCGAAGAACGGCTTTAATATGGACGCTGCACGGCGGCAAGGTCAAACGTATGCAGTCGATTGGGACGATAAGTTTGTGACGGACCTACAGCGCGGCCTTATAGCATGCCGTATCTTTGCATTCTATCCTATCTTGTGGGTCTGTCATCTACAGATAAATAATAACCTCGTCTCCCAAGCGGCTCAAATGGAAACTCACGGCCTCCCGAACGACTTTTTCCCAACATTGAATCTAATCGCTGTGCTCGTCCTACTACCGCTAGTCACCAACGTACTCTATCCGACTTTACGCAAGCTACACATTAAGTCTCCGCCAGTTAACCATATGGCAGTTGGCTTCTTTATAGAAGCCATCGCAATTGCCTATTGCGCCGGTATCCAGCAAGTCATTTATACAAGAGGGCCATGTTTTAAACACGCGTTAGAGTGTCCTACGTCAGACGGGGGCAGAATTCCGAACCGAGTTAGTGTTTGGCTCCAAGTACCGGTCTACGTCTTAGACGGTCTAGCAGAAGTATTCTTCGATGTTGTGAGCCAAGAATATGCGTACAACAAAGCCCCGGATAATGTCAGAAGCTCTGCCCCTTTCCGATCCGAGATATTTACTAACAGTTATCGCTCTCGTTAAGATGAAATCGATAGTTCAGGCCGTTTTATCTTCTATGTCAGGCGTTGGTGCAGTGCTAGGCTTCGCCTTGTACCCAGTTGCACATAATCCTTATCTTGTCTGGATGTACGCCGCCCTCGCAGCCGCTATTGGCCTCGCATCGGTGGTGTTTTGGTTACTTTTTCAAAAGTATAATGCAGAAGATGCGGAGCTCAACAAGCGGGATGTCAGTAATAACGGAGGCGGCTCGGTAGTAACGGACGAAAGCACGAATCTGAGCATGTGATGAAATGCAGCAAATCTATTTGGCAGAAAGCTGCAGCCCCTACTTCCAAGCAAGATTCGTTATTCTCTGAAACCATTTGCAATGTTTTATCAATGTAGCATCCTACGTCATGAGTTTAAGGTGTACCGCGTATAGCGCCTCAAACACAGATTAAAAATAGCTTACAGCATGAGCTCGACAATAATTTTGACGAAGTCTCAATTGAAGGGCCATCTCATATTTTGGAGCCGCTCAAGCCTGTTATTCAACACGAAGGTGTTCTCGATATGACTGACACGATCCTGATTGGCACAGATATGAATTAATGACTCGGGACTACATATTCCCTCAAAACAATTGAATCTGGCATGGCCATTTACTGTATTCTTACGACAACTTGCTACTAGTACTCAACAGCCCCTGGATTGAGCTTCGGACCGTCGCATCAACCAAGTCGGGCCGACATCCGACCACCGTCAGCATATCGTATAACAACTTATATATTTGTGGGAACTATTAAGTTCCATGGTCAGCCGTCCATATTGAACTGCGAGCTGGAGGACCTCACTCACTTGGTGTTCCGCTTTATCGGGATCGTATAATTTGTGGTCAATGTCTCGCAGCTCTGCAATGCAAAGTTCGCGAGCAGACTTTTCGATATCCCGTTGTAAACCACCCGTGTCCATAGCATCCCCTCGTGGTGACTCATTCTGCAACAACATAGCCAGACGATCTAGCGTATTCAGACCTTCGCGCTGTTCCACACCTGATCTTCGCGACCCGGGTCCGAACCGTGCTGTATAGTATTCGAGAACAAAGGCGTCGACTGAAGGAAAACCCAACAACTGCAAAGCATGCTGGCACTGCTGCAAACGGGCACTCATACTCTGGTCACTGGATGGGCCTCGAGGAGAAACTGTGTCCGAGGGGCTTCGCATGTACTGAAGTGGAAAAGGCTCGAGAGCCGCATCAGGGGGGGCCCGGGAGCAGTCGCACAAAGCTTTGCGTTTGGTCAGCATCTTGAGAAAGCTTCCTCCTGTTGGCGGCATCGAGAATGCCACGGGGCAATGGTAACGAATCTGTGCCGAGGATTGGTAGGCTGCGGTCTTCGACTGTCGACGCCAGTTCTGCGTCGGTTCCGTCTACCAATGAGCCGAGACATTCCCAATTGATTAGGCCAGTCAAGCGGGGCAGTTGATCATGTCTGGCGGGCAATGGCATGCTGGACCAGATATGGTTGGACAACCTTAAACAACTGGGAAGACCCTACTTGAAAGCGATCAGACAAATCATGGTAAGAAGAGTTGATTATCTAACAGCATGTAGAAAAGTGAATATGATGGGTAAATTTGGAGGTTGATAAAGAATTGCTGATATATTGGCTAGGCCCCTTGATTCTCCGATGACAAATGTGATGTGATAACAGGGAGTTAAAACTTCACCACATATACCCCTGCCATGCTCTGTAAATAGTCGAGCCGCGGTTCGATGCGCCATGACCCGCAATCAAAGGGCTTTTTTTTGTCTCAATCTAGCCCCTAAACAGATCAATACTACAATAATGCTACAGAAGAGCAGGTGCATTTACCCCTGCCACAGACAGCGCCATCCCAACCTTACGTCGCGATAGCTTGATATGAGCACTGAGCACGCAGCAGTCTTCTGGTAGTCGATTAGGAAAAGCTTCGAGTAGGTATCTCTTTACCAAGCTCTACTCTAAATATGTGTGTTTGTCTCTGGTTACATCTGCGCTGATAGACCTGGCACTCACCCGCGGGTGACTCTCCGGACCCTGAAGGTCGCACATTTAGGTGCCCGGCCCTCCGAGGGTCACCCTCAAGGTCACCCTCAGGGTCCCCACGTGACTGATTTTAGGAAAAAAGTCACGTTTTAGGCAGAAAGGGCATATTTTAGGTGTCAATCCACTTAGTCATCCATCCCAAAGTAGTAAGGCGTGTCCTAAATAGGTAAAGTATGTGATATGCGGATCGGTTGGACCCTCCGGGGGTGACCCTCAAGGGACCCTCGTAGGGTCAGATTCAGGGTCAGGGTCGGTGAGGTTGGACCCTGACCCTCGGGCCTGCGGGTGGAGGTTCCTGACTTTGGACCCGCGGGGCGGGTGAGTGCTAGGTCTATGCGCTGATGGGTAGAGAATACTGCCAATCACTTCCCGGAAGCAGCCCATACGCTCACAGGCTTATGAACCATGTTTCCAACTTCCTTGTTTTTCTTTTTAGCTTGCAGGGAGCACACAATTAATTATTCTCGCCCCACGGGCCACGGCGACGCCGGTGCGGGGTAATGCTGCCACCTTTCATTTTCCACATCTATGAATTGTATCCATGGATGATGGGAATGACACCGCGCGCACAGTCTGCAGCTTATCTGCCAGTGGTATCTTGTCGCTCAATATATACATGTTGTACCAGTTCAACGCATGAGGAACACTGACATGACAAGCACAAACCGGAGGAACGGCAGACTCGCCTCGTGCGAAAATTGCCGGCGAAGGAAGAATCGCTGTGACCACACTCGGCCGGTTTGCAACCGATGTCAGATTCGAGGGTTGGCATCGACCTGTTTCTATCATCCAGCTCCATTGACAAGACCACATGCGTTGGGTGCCGTGGCCGAAGCGCAGATTACCCTTGTGGATCTCGGCCAAGTTGTTACCGAGACCACAGCAGACTGCCCTCCTCCCTTCAACAATCGATATGCCCAACACCGAGCCTCACTTCCGTGGCCATCGGTTGCCTCTGATGCCCATGATCCAGGATTTCGGCTGCCCGGCCTAGGAGCAAGCCCAGCAGCTATTCATGCCGAGCAAGTTGCCGTTACAGTAGAGATGCTGGTTCAACTTCAGCATCTCGATATGGTAGAGAAGCTACTCAACGAGTACTATGCTCATAGCCATGCGGTCCTAGTACCTAGAGCACTTATGATGCCAGCTTTTTCGGCACTTCGTACGCACGGAGTCGGCATACAGCCCTCGCCATCCGACGTGGTCGAATGCGAAGACAGGATTCTGGAGATCGCGGAAAGCATTGTCCAATCGACATCGGCCACTATCGAATTCGATTCAACCTACACGTCGACAAAGTTTTGTGCATCGTATACTGATCAGAATCTTCGCCTCGAGGCCGTCGGCTTGATATTTGCGCTCGCAGGGCGGTCATGTCTGCTTGGCCATAGTAAATATGATCCACAGGATGCATTCGTATATACTATGTTCCGGTGCAGTACATGCTGCCTACAGATTGCTCGTGAAATCGCCCCGGGGGTTAATGACCTAATGGCGTGGTTGGCATATGAAAATCTCTTACTAACGATGTCAATACAAGGAGATGCAAGTAAGTCACGGAAGGGGTACGCTTATAGATATATCCGCTATACATTACTAATAAAATATCTTTACACAATAGGTTCCAATGTATGGCGTCGGCTAGGTGACCTAGCAACTGATGTATATGCTCTTGGCATTCATCGAGAGTCTAATCACGCTGGCAAAATACCATTCTTTCTCTCTGAGTGTCGGCGTAGAACATTTGCCGCGGCCTATCATGTTGATAAGTTGGTCTGCACATTCTTTGAAAGACCTCCAAGAATACTAAGGCGCTTCTCTGATTGCAAAATGCCGCTAGACCTTCTCGATGATGAGCTTCTAGCAGATTCAACCAAAGCAGAGCAGATAGGACTTCAACTAGACTCAGAGGGATGGAGTCCTATAGCTCGCTTCGCTAGTTCAACTTGGGCGAGGATACGTTATATTCTCGGCGTTTTCCGAGAAGAGACTTTAGAGTTTCCATTTCGTCAATTCACAGCTGAGAATAAAGCTAAACTAATGTAAGTACCCTAGGATTTTATAGGTTAATAAGTTTATAACCTAACTAAAGCAATAGGGATCTTTCAGAGAGATGTCAGCAATCATGGAAGTTATTGCCAGAGCATCTTAAGTACATACACGAGTGCTGGACATCAGATCTCGAGGCTACTGTCTGCCTAATGCTCACTATTGTGTATCTGTCATATCTACAAAATGAGTTTCAGATACACCGCCTCCTTAAAAGGAGCACACAAAGTCCTACTCCAGCATTACTTACTATTTCAGCAGAGATCGTCGCAGTCGTTGTACAGCTAGGTAAATCGCGTGATAAAGCAGTGCTTCTAAACCACGACTTCCCTAACATCGTGAGTGGTTCTATAGTGTAAATTTATTCTAATATAATTTTGACAACCTATAGGTCGTCAATTACGGTCTTCCTACCGCCGCTACATTAGTGGCAGCTATACAAAATGGGGCTAGAACTCAGACTCAGCCATTACCACACAGCCTGAGTCGTTCTGCAGTGATCCGAAGCCTTATGGTATTCACTTCGTATCTTGAGAGTATTCGCGATGTGGGTGAGACTATAGAAAACACATGTTTGCAAGCCGCACAATCTATATCTCGCACCGTGGATCGTATGCTCGACGAACCACCTTCCTTGTCTGGCACGAGGCCAGATATGACCCTCCCTGCGTCGATGTCTTACGATGATCCTGAAACGCCCTTTTCAGCTTCGCAATTCATGCAAACAGGACCTGATATTACCGGATTTGCAAACAGTGACTTGCTCAATCGCAATACATTAGACAACTTTGATCTTTCCGGGTGGTTGAATACTACTGCGTGGATAGGCGAGAATGTGGGATACTAGGTGTCACATACTCGTACTTGCAAATCGTGTCTCCGTGCGCTGGGATTACATAAACGTTTCCGACAGGATAGTTATCGATTGTGATGTTTTCGGTCATCTGGAACTTGAAGACAACCTTTGGAACAGTCCCAACGTCCGGCGCGGTGTGGGTCCTACGTCCCCCTGTTTCTATTGGAAACAGTCGACACATATTTAGATTCAATTCAGTTTTCAAGTTGGCTAGGTGTCTGACAGTAGCAAGTGATTGACTCTTTATGTGCCCCACCTTGCGTGCTTGGTATTACCTGGCCTTCGTGAGCCAGTGTTAGCGGTTGTGATTCACTGAAGTCGACCCGTCTGCTACTAGTACTATGACAAAATGGCAATTGTGACTATCCCACTTCGATATAGAGGATTGATACTACCAATCCCCCCCTTCCCAGATTACAGGTCACTACACCTAGGTCGAAAGCTCGGTACACCTAGCAAAGGGGGGGTTCGCTGTATCAATTCCCTTAAATTATTTTTGTCTGTATCTAAGATCCTGACCAATTTACAGGCACTGGCCTAACAGTTAGCATGGTCACAAGACTTCTTTAGTTCGGAGTGAAGGATATAACAGCCCGAGAAGCACCGTGGCGCAGGCTGGCAGATCGAGAGACCAATCCCGGGACTTGATGATGACTTGAAGTAAATCAACGTGAATCTGATGTTCCCCTCTCCTAGAGGATGTTCTTGTTGTTAGATGACTGAGCGACTCCGGCAATATGGGAGAGGTCGGATCTTAATATTCTTGGGTAGTCAGAGAGCGGAACTCCGGCCCAGAATATCATTCCCTGAAGCGGGCACTAAAGGCACTTCACCGCTATCGAGACCTCCGGAGTACTCATGTCTCATCCGGCTTGGAGGCCTTTTGTGAAGTTATTCCGGTCTACTCCGCTCCCTGCCGCGGTCGGTGCGGATCCTGGCTATCAATCTGTCCTTCATCATGTATTCTTTCTTCAATTAGTCATGATCTGCTAGGCACGCCCGCACGCGACACTCATTACACTTTACTTGTTTCCATAGCTGAAGTTCATTAGCAGGGCATAGAACTGTTGATCATCAAAGATAGTCGAACTTCAAGTACGAGACTCAGTTTTTGGAATCATATTCACAAGCTTGAATTGCGATCATTCTGGTCTCTTGCTCCATCTAACTCGGTGTAATTCCGTCTAGAAGCCTCGCGCGTACCAATAAGAGACCCTTGAATAGCCTAGCTTTCCGTTATTCGAATTGAGTTCGCATCTTTAACATCGCGATTTTCCCCCCAAAAGTCCAACGCCTGTCTATCTGCTGACAATTCCTAACCTAACAAGGGCCTTCGTTCCTCGTCATCTGCATGAATTTCAGACTTATTCCGCAACAGATCCACGGGTCCGTACAGCACTTAATGCTGTATAACGAATAGCCCGTCAAAGGCCAAGCTGACGCAGGCTAGGCCCAGCTTTCCTGGATTTTCGGTTATCGCTCTGGCTGCGCCATTCCATATATCCCCAGAATCAATCGAATCAAGCAAAAGTTGTGTCGGACTGAAAATTCCGCCAGTTGTGTCTAACAGCACTTGGGTGATGGAGAAACCAAACGTTGAGCGCTGGCGGATATGCGATAGTGCTTGAGGAACGTATTTCACGATTGTCAGAAGGACTTTCAATAGAGACAGGGTCGTAATCTGTGAGTAGAAAAGGTCAACTTCTGATTTCATCACTTTTCGATACCAAGGTGCTGCATCGCATAACGTATGGCAAGGATCAGTCGGGGCCCAGAAAGTATGAAGGGATTAAGAAAAGAGACATCACACGTACAACATCTAAAAATAGCCAGCGAGGGTGCCCTTCGCCGCTGCTCTCCCCTAAAGTCGCGGCGGCAATACTTATTATCACCACTAGGCCAGCTCCCGCTAACAGCCAGCATACTGTCCGAGCAGGTCTCGCGTTGTTAAACTCTAGACCTGTTGCATTCTGATGATCGTGCCACCTCCAGAGACGAGGTTTGAATTGACTGAGGGTCAAGAGGGACAGCAGCAACGCATGGACTGCGAATGCGAGATCGATCCACCGTACTGTTGGATCTGGGTGAGAGGGATGCCGCGTGACATATTGGGCTTTTACGGTTGGCGAGAGAAGGAGTACAAATATGCTGACGGTCTGGACAAAGAAATGAGTATGTGCTCGACTTGCGTCGTTTGCGATCACGATTGAGATCCGACAGAACTCACATAGCAGACAAAACCCCAGACATTCAGTAGTGGATAGTCAATCAACAGCCCCTTTGTTGATTGATGGCGCCAATTTAATAGCGGCTGGGCGTAGAAAGAGGCAGACCATGCAAGGAAATAGAGCCAGCCACAGATACTTGCACCCAGGAGAGAAATGTCAGAAATTTTAACGTAGGTGTAAGTCATCTAACATGGTTTACATGTTTTTATGAGGGGAATCCTCCATAAGGTCAAGTATTGGAAGAACTTACCTTGACAGAACATTTGACGTGGAGCTCATAATGCGGACCCAGAACTATTGCTAGTCCGAGATATCAATTTATCCGTGAAGTAAATGTCAAATGTGCAATTAGGTATCAGAACGAGTCATGCGGAAGGGTATCTGAAGAGAACAATGCTAATTATTCCTGTCACCTGTCAGCACACGCTCAAAATTGATAATGAACTACGCCAGCGCTCTTATTTTTCAAGATTGGGCCGCGGAGTACTTGCGGAATAAACGCGGAGTAAAAGCGGACTACACGGAGCTCGGATCTAAAAGTGGAGGACTATTTTGCATTCCGGTCTAAGTCTTGGAAGGACTTTATTGATTGCATCTTCAATGACTTAGGTTATTGTTCGTACTAAGTTGTGACTTGCAGTTGGATAGAGTTCAAAGCTCAAAGCTGGCTCCGACGCGACCTGTCCGACGTCACGATATCGCTAGGTTTCGCTGGTAGAAACCCTATTCATCGTCCACCGCATAGACCTTAACGAAATTGGACCATGCCGCCGCATTTCAGTTTTTGGCATCCCGTCTAACACTGTCCGGCTCAGTATCGTCGACGGCATAAACTTAAACGAAGTTGGACCATGCCGCAGCGTTCCATTTGTCAACTTTGCCTTCGTGTACGCTGGCGTCTGTAAAGATTTTAGAAGAGCTGTTCCGGTTCCTATCTGGAGAGTGTCCAAAGGCTTACCAACTGGAGCACAATTAGATAGCAAACCTCGCGCGAGAAGTATGAGTATGGTAAACTTGTGCATTATCTGTCATACAAGTCCGTCAATTGATATGAATGTCCTTCACGGTATGCCGATCCTCGAGAGTCCAGCTAGCGATGCACCGGTCGTTGACTGGGTGGCAAAGTGGCCATGTAGATGAGTATCGGTTTCACGGAATGCGCCGGAGCTCGAAGGACAGGTAGATATTTTAACCCGAAGTCTCATAAGTCCAAACTGACTATTTATAACCGCTCGATTCTTCCCCTACACTATGAAGTACCAATACGAATCTTCTAGCTGTGACCTCTGCTGTTAAACACAAGCTCTCCAGGAGATGGTTTCTTCAATGGCCACCATAGTTACGAAGAAGAACTCTTTTCTATCTGACGATCACAGCGGACAAGGTAAGCGGCTCTCGTCAATTCTGTGCAGATGAGACTTTCTGACCGATGACGATCTGTTGCCTGCAGGCTTCCAAATCTCTAGCTACTGGCGGCTGCCCTGCGCACAAGATACCTCGGACCTCCAAGTTCACTCTCTGGATCTTATCTTGGCCTCCCATCTATCCACATCGGAGTCAAAGTCATTCTCATCATGGTTCTGCACAATACTCGAGAAAGTAGATCTTCCAAAGGCGTTAGCATCCAAGCTTCCATCAGCTTATGAGCCAAAATCTTTATTCACGGCGTTCAAGGTCATTCTGCCTCAAAGCAAAGGCTACTGGGTTCGCAGAAACATAATTCAACAACGTTTCGTTGACGCTGATGCCAAGTCAATCGCAGATTTGGCACAAGCTCGTCAATACTATGAACCAAATAAGGTAGAGAACCTATCCGCCAGGTCGCTTCCAGGTTTGCTCGACATTGCGGTCGGTGTGATTGAGCTTAACGCGAGAACATGCCTCGATAGCGTCGTTGAGGAATTCGCTGCTTTGGAGCTCGAGGTGCTTAACCGACTGTCTCTTCCTCTACTTCTTCCTGAACCGATTCCACGGTATCGACTGGCCGTACTTCATGGCCGCTACAACTTCAAAATGACCGAGATGCTCTACCGCGCAGCTTCTGAAATGGACATTGAGATTTATGTGCTGGCAGAGCCAGACCACTGGTTTCAAAGCAACGAGTATGCCGCATTTCGCAAGGCTTACATTCCAATCGATATCCAGCGAGTGGACAATACTTTAGCGCAGCGTATCGTGGACGCACTTCATGATCATAATATCGAGGTCAAAGGGGTCGTTGCTCTTACCGACAAGTGGCTTATACCCGCAGCGCAAGCAGCTCAAATCCTTGGATTACCAACAGAGTCTACCCGGGTGTACGAAATCTGTCGTGATAAATTCCTTACGAGACAGCTGGATCTACCCTTTGACTTCATGAGCGAGCGTGTCGAGGGACTGAAGGGTGCAGAAGTCTGGCTAGAAAGGATACGCCAGAACCAAGAGACATTAAAGTATCCACTTATAGTCAAGCCGTGTGCAGGATGGGCGTCAGAAGGGGTGCGTAAAGTGTACAATGAAGCCGAGCTTTTTGGTGCTGTTAGCAAAGCAAACCTTAACGACTATTCTCGGGGTGATCTGGTTACTATAGAGACTTACATTGATGGACCAGAATTTGATGCCAATTTCATTCTGTGGGAAGGTAAGCCGCTGTTCTACGAGATCTCTGATCAGTTTCCCGCCGAGGCCGATATTGTCACCTCATCTTCGACGAATTTCCTCGAAACTGAGCTATTTCTGCCGTCCGCTCTGCCTTCCAATGAGCAAGACGTCATCAGGCAGGACATGCTTAATGTTCTAGACAAAATGGCCTGTCTGAACGGTATCCATCACATGGAAGGCCGTATGCGGAATTCGGCTATGGAGTACCGTTTGACTGATGGTACTACCGACCTCACCTGGAAGTCTGATGCGTTGATAGGAGAGCCAAAATCAGTCCTGATTGAGAACAACCCTCGGCCTCCTGGGACTAATTCCAATACGGTCATTCTCCAAACTTACGGTGTTGAGTTTTACGCCTTACACCTACTTATTGCAATTGGCGACGCCCCGCGCATACATGCCTTATCAGTGCCATTCAAGAATGGGCCTCAGTATCACTGCGACCTCGTGAGTATACCTGTGGTGAAAGGTGGGTTCTTTGCCTCGCGGGATGCTACTGCCGATTTCTTCCAGCGATTGCCGCATCTTCAGACCTTGGTCAAGAAGTCCGGTTGCTATTTCAGCTACGGCGAGGAAGTGCCAGATCCGAGCTCGGGGATATGGACCCAAATCGCCTACTTCATGGTCGCTTCACGGACGAGTAGGAAAGAGGTTATTGATGACATCCGTGTAAATTTCCGATATAAACTTGTGCCCAGTTTGAATGAGCTGGACGCTTGAAGTCGGCTAAACCGGTGGAATATATAGCTCCAATTGGTTGAGAATGCGGATGGAGAGTTGTGCAAACAAGGATCACGCTTCCACCAGCCAGACCCCATCACCTGGGCACGGAGAATTCATTCAACAAGTTTCGAAGGCATCCGAAATCGCTCTCCGAGGAGCCATCCCGAGGTCACTGAGTAGACCACACTCTTATTCCCATCATGTTACACATCAAACACAGGCTCCCACTTGAGCCTCATAGTCGTTTAATGACTTCCAGGTCTTCGCTATAACAAGACCTGAGAAACTCGAACCTTAGGGAGCCGCCGCGGCGTGCCCGGGCTGCCTGCCAGGCAAGGTCGAGAAGCGGGTTACCATCGGTGCCGTAGTGAGCTTCATAACCCAGGCAGTGATTGAGGTGCGGCAAGTCTCTTGCAGGGTCGAGCCATTCGTCTAGCATATTGCCGGATGACCACTCACATTCTGGAGGGAAATCATCTCTTTCGCCAACGTAGCTGCCAGCCTCTAAGACAATGGCTCGGGAGTCGCGGCAGACAAGAGAGATGAGCGGCCGATGCTCATTCATACATGCCGTCTGCATATGGTCGTACGGCGACGGTTTTTTCCGGCCGTAAACTTCGTTATGCATGGGGGTGTCTAGCTCGGCAACGCAATGCGGCAGGCATTCGCGCCAAACGGCTAGCCGCAACTCGGTTGGGAGCCTGGGGAATAAATGGAAAGCGCGCTCTGGGGCTGAGGGCGTAGATTCCATGATGCAATAGGATTCCTCAAAGCTAACATCCATTTCTGCCGAATATAAGCCTCTATAGCGCAAGAAAGGACTTCAGAGCATTGATTTGCCGCTAACTATTGTGAGGCATGCGCCCCCGGCCTTGGAGCGAGCCAGGCGACTTTGCTTTCTAGGCATGAGAAACCCAGATTTTTTTATTGACCGCTCGTTGCGCGATCGCGTTGTCGTATGAAAAGAAAATGGTGTCGCAGGTGACATCAAAGTTGGCCGATTTACAGAAAATAAGAGAAAAGAGAAAGGGTCGACGGAACACTACAACTTTGCGGTTCCTGGACGCTCTATGTTGATGGCGCTGTTCTGTCACCTTGTCAGGATACGCACTAGGGCTCGAGTTGTCTACACGTGTGGGGTTATCGTAGCAAAACAGCCGAAAGAGCTAGAAGTTTCACCGCTCAACCCAGCACTCACGCGCATTGAATTTCAGCACTTCATTACCGCACGCCCACCACCCAGCTGTCAAGTTACGCGCAAAGACCTCGAGGGCAGCGTAGCTCTCAACACTTGACTCGGAGGTGAAAAACACCCGCTCAAAGACGGCTTTCAGATTCGGCTTACGCGAGTGAACATCTGGTACCGCAGCAATGACCCTTCTCTTGGGTAGATACCGGGATCCGGTTTCATATGACTCATTGGACGTAGATGCAGCAACAGGGGTTCGTCGACCGATCACGAGGATTTCGTACGGCTTTCTCCAGAGTCCATCCAATGGTATAATCGGTTGTCCGTCGACTGTGGTCTTGATCCAGACCCATTCTTCGTGGATGGCGAAGCCGGTGCTTGTTAGTGCTTCGTAGGCTGTTTGGCGGGATTTTTCGGAGTTTGTTATCCAAATGGCTGCGACGGATATCTCGTTTGTATTTAGATGTAAAGGGTCAAGTGTGGCTGTATCCTTTGAAGAGGAGGATTGGTGATAAGCGTGAACATGGAAAATATTTCGTAGTCGTTGGGTGAGAAGCTCGTAGGGGTGTGTATGATAGTGGCCGCTTCGACGAACGGAACGATTTGGCCAGGGCGGGTCCAATAGGATCAAATTGAATAGTTCGTTTGGAGGGAGTCCGGGAATGGGAGATTCAAGGGGAAGGGAATCTTGCGTTTCTGACAAGGGGATCGTGCAGTGCGCAAAGTGCGACCTTGGCGGGATGATATACTCTGATGAAGCGCCATCAATCCCCTCGTCGGGAGAATCGATCGTTAGAATAGCAGCTCGAGACGATGGATTCTTCACGACACCATCAAGCTCCGCTATCGACTCAAAGGCATTGATTGATGTTGACGACAGAATCACCGGCGGTCGAATAGAGGCAAAATCACGGTCATCCAAGGCAAACTTTGATGTAGAAGAGTCTCGGAGCAGCCCACTCGATCTTTTCCTCAGCGCAGAATGATCAGACTCGGGCCCCCGTTTCCTCGTCCGGGTTCTCTCCTCGTCAGATGTACGTCTCGGAAGACACCACTGCCCACCAGAGTATCCGTTCTCGATATCCCGCAAAGCGCTCTGAAGCAGGAGCTGGATTTCATCATGGAAGAGCCTCTCGCTCGGCGGTACTCGTTCAAGTAGCCTGGCGCGCGCAACCTCAGTCTTGGGCTCGCACGATGATGGATAAGGTAATTCAAGTGGTTGGGACGAGAGGAGGTGTTTTCTGGAAACACCTCTCCCCGGCTCTGAGTCCAGACTGTCCAGTGGTGATGTGTCCTCTCTGGGGTCGGCTGTGAAGGAGTTCAATTCTTGAGCCTGGGCGATTGAAGTTGGGATGTCGATTATTAAGACGGTATTGTCTTTATTTTGATAGAGGATGGATGGATCCTCGAGGCTGGTCATTACAACGATTTCTTCATTGCTTCATCGCTGGTTGATATGGTGATTAGAGAAGTTCCACTTCGATTACGGGAAGCTTAAGCTTACCTTAAAGTAGTCGGAGTCAATGGTGGATCAAATACAATGCGACTTCGGCCGTGACTTTTTACAACTAGAAAATGAGGATCTGTGAAATTGACGCCGAAAATCCCCGTGGAAACCGCCGCCGTTCAACAGTGCCGCTTCACCGCCCCACGACCGTGGCCCGAATATTCTGCACCCAAGCATTATTTAGTCTGCATTCTCCTGGAGTACAACACAAGGCACATTTTACCTCCGGCACCTACTCACTATACAAAAACTAGGATCTCCTAGGAATTCCCACGTGTAATAGGAAGTAATAGTAAAATACCCACCCCATCACCTCTAAATATAAAGCGAATATTTGCCGATCTAGCTCCCGTAATCACAAATCCTAGGTAACTGGCACTATATATTCTCACAGGCGACGTCGTTTTATTCGAGGCTGTTTGCTATCGTCAAACGTAACTTCTGAGTCTGCCTGCTCATCCAGATCGTTAGGTACCCAGTGAGAAGTGTCTTCTTGACCGTTATGCGTCACCTCTGGCCTATCATGGAATTCCTGCTCCTTGAGTCCTTTGTGCACCAGAGAGGCAAATGAGGCGATCTCATCATAATGGGATAAGGTAGTAGTGCAGTCAGGTAGTTGTCTCAGAGAGGGAGTTAGCAACAAACAATCCTGCATGTTTGTTCGCAGGTGTGAGAGCGGCTCGCAAATCTCATTCTGCAAGGAGGCAATAGGTTGCTCTATTGTGTCCGAGTGCAGTGCCGAGTCTTTCTTGAATTCATCAGAACGTTCAAGCATTGTTCCCAGTTGGTTCTTCACCACCAAGTACGACTGGTTGATAGTGGTCTCCAAGGTATGCAAATGATCGAGATAGGCGTCACTAAGCTTGTTGTTCTGCGATTGGGTTTTTTCCAATTTGTGAGCCCAGAGCTCCACTTGTTTATCAAAATCTCCTTCATAATTCTCGACAGTTTGCTGTAGGTCCTGCGTCGCGGATACTGCAGCTTGTCGGACGGAAAGACGTTGTTCGTCAACAGTCTGCTTCTGGTTATCAAAAGGTCACGGTAAGACGGATTTGGAACCACACCTTTCTGTCTTGCCCCATGCGCACTTTGAGCTGGCTCCCTAAATTAACGAGCTCCTCGGCAAACTGCTTCTGCCTTGTGATACAGTCGTCGATACGGCTGTGCGTCGCAAGACCTTCTATCATATTCCCAGAGCTTGAAATGTCACCGCAGATGATACCATAATTTCCTTGAAGTCGGTCCCGTCGTTGCCGCAATGAAGAGTCATAGATAGCACTGATTTGAGCCAGAAAATTATGGCGCTCTGCTTCAGCATTTGTACGCTCTTCTTCCAAAAGTCGAGCCACATTAAGCGATGTCTTGTGGTTCATTTCTATCATTCGAGAACTGGCATCTTGAAGCCGAAGCCGTAGCTCGCTGGTCTTGATGTTTTGCTCCTCAACATGTTTGACGATCGTTTGAAATGTAGACTGGATATCTTTCTCGAGCGTGTTGTAGGCACAGTCAAACTAAAAAGCTGGTCAGCCGAGCTCTTAGAAATGTACGAGAGGTAGTACCTGGTTGTTGCACTCCAATATTCCACCCTGAAGCCCTTCAACTATCCGGGAACTGGCCTGAGAGAGTTCATTTAAGGCCCCAGAAACCATAACCCTAATGCTTTTGGTGATTTGCTTGAGCTCATGGAAAGCTTCGTCTGTCTCGCCTTTCAATGGTTGTGTTTTTGAATCTACCCGACCATTTTCGACGGTAATGAGAGTATTGTAAAGGATTGTCTGGCTCTTCTGAGCAGCCATCATCTCGTTTTCGAGAAATTGGCTGAGATTGGTCGAAAAGTCTCGTAAGAGTCTCGTCTGGTGAGCTTGAAAATTTTTCATTCGCGTTTCCACTTGCTCGGTGATGCCTGAGACCTCTGCAACGGATCCGTTCCAGGTATGCTGAGCCTTGTGTAGAGCGTCATTCATTTGACAGATCTTCGCATGAGCCTCCTTGTTATCGGTGACTTAATTTCGATTTTGACGCAACAGTTCGAGCAGCTCTTCTGCTTTGCGTTGGAGGCCTGATTCCAAGGCTTCTATTCTCTGCTTTTGCTCCTCGTTGATGATGCGTCGGGACTCATTTTCTTTGATCATCTCTTCATGCGCGTCGGAAGTCATGTATATCCCGTTTCGATGCCTTGTCGCGATCAGATTGCGTTTAAGATTCTCAATTTCCGAAGCGAGCTCTGAGAGCAATGTATCTTTTGGAACGGGGCTGTTCATCTGCGGTCTGTTGTGGATGTTTTTGGCCCGAAATGCGTAGTCCAATGTAGAGACGGACTCTTCCTGACTTGACTGACAAGGCGAGACAGTAGCAATTATGCATGTCTTGGTCCGCCCACCCAAGGAATCTTGCAGTAACCTTGTTAACTTAGACTCTCTGTCCAACATTAGTTTCTCTATCTTCAAATGGACTAGGGGATGCAGTACCTGTATGGAACATGAGAAGATTTGTCGACCAATGCATTGATGACCCGTCCAAGCGTTAGCAAGCTTTGGTTGATTTGGTCGGCTTCGACAGCTCGCTTGTTCTCGGCACCACTGCGTTGAATATTCTCACTGCCGGCCAGGTCCACCAAATTCAGCTTCCCAGACGTAACGGACTCATTGCTAGTCCTGGTGAGCACATTGATCGTGAAAATGGTATGACTCCGGGAACTCAGATCATTGCATTTGGTTGCTGCCACCTGTCGTTTCCGACTACCCATCTGGAGTAGCTGAAGGCCAGCTGATGGAGAACCAATGTATGATTCCTGCATTCCTTTCACCAATACATTTCCATTGGTGCCATTCCGTTCGCTTTCGAACAATTGCAGTTTCGTATCTTCCTCATCAGAGAGAAGATCACGCAAGGCCTCGTTATATAGCTCGATAAAAGAGCACTTGACAGTGCTATCTCTTCCCTTGAGCTGGTCGAATATCGTGTAGAGGGTGCGTGGGATAATCCCTGCATTGTCGGACAAAAGCCCAAACTCTTCGGCCATTTCTCCAGACATTGTGTACGTTTTGCCAGTTCCGGTGTGTCCATAGGCAAACGTGGTGCAGTTGTAGCCTAACAGCAGCTAGTTTGTTTATCAGTAAATATTGCTAGAGGAAAGGCAGCTTCAAATCTCACCTCGTCAATCATTGGCAGCACAGTATCTTCATAGACCGTGCGCTGGTCAGCAGCCGATGAGAATACCCGGTCGAAATTGTAGGTCTTGTTTCAGAGAGGTCCCAAAGATACTTCCACAGTCTTTCCCTTGATGCCATCCGCTCGGAGTATAACAGGACGACCTTCCTCTGTCTCCCGTCCACTGCGACTCCGACAACGCACCGTCACATATATTGCCGTCTTATCGCCACTTTCTTGCTCAATACTCGTTGAATTAGTAGGAACACACGGGTCTTTTGCATGAGCAGTTTTTCGATTTTGTGACGCCTTGGGTTGTCTCCGCACCTCTTGCTTAGAGAGTTCTACAGAACCTGCTCGTCCTTCGCTTTGACCCATCCGTCGGGTGGAGGGTTTAGATCGAGTATTCATTGCCTGCCAAATTCAGACAGCTAAAGGTTCATGCGTCAAGATCAAGATAGGAGGAGGGGAGTGGGAGAAGATATAGCTGGAAACGCGCGCGCCGTGTAAACAATCACGATATCACGTGACACTTTAAAAATATCCAATCAGGAGGCCGCAGCGGGGAAGGCGGTGGGGCCGCGCAGAAGGGCGGGCAAATGGGCGCCGTTTCCGGCGCCCCGCTTGCCGTCGTGTGGAATACTAAATATTATTAATTATTTCTAGTACGTCTCCTCTGAGATACATGGTTGTCCTTAGAGATCTTTCAATATTATCAGCTTTATCAGTCTAGAGACACTCGCCCATATATAGGCCTGTGCCGCCGCATGATTTCCTTTCGCAGCTCGTTGCCGAGGCCTCATAGCTGGTCTCCTCCAACCCCTGCATTATCAGCAATTTGACACTCTCCGCGATCTTTTTGCCTCTCTCTCAGGGCAGTGCATTTAGATCCCAGGGGTACAATGCCTACGAACTGCCCAGCATAACTTCAGTTCCCCCCTGAACAATACCAGTTGGATTACGAACACATCACTCATGACTACCCACCGAGACAAAGTGGCAGTTGTCATCTGCCATGGTTCTTTCCACACTCCCGCCCCTTATGAACCACTTATGCGCGTATCTCGTGTTGGATAACGATCTCATCGTGCCCAAGGAGCACCAGGAGGCATTGGTCGCGCTTCAAGTCAAATGGGAAATACCTTCACGATTTACCACGCGCCGTCGGGTCACTCCGCTCATCTCACCTGGACACAGCAATTGGTTGGAAAGATAGCCGAATTCACGGACTAGGCTAGGGTCGTGTATCCCTGACCCTGATCCCAAATTGGACGGCGGCCTGTAATTCGCCTAGGTTCGGTGTTGGGGGGCGGAGGCGGAACGGGTGTGCGTGCCGAAGAAGCCGACAGGTTCAGGGTAAACACCCACTCTTCCCCACTTGGTTCGCTGGGCACCAAACGACAGCTCGAGTGGATCTAACGGGAATATGTACTGTAGTATCATATCACATGCATCCAATTTGGCGCTGCGACGCTGGCTCCGCTTCTGACCAGTTGCTTTCCCCTGCTCCGTATAGCTCTGTTGGTGGATCGCCCGAGTCGCCGACTTCTGGTTCTGATTGGTCATTCCGCGGTAAGACCACCGTGGTCCCCCTCCGTATTTAAATTGATCTGTTTTCGTCTATTTCTAGTTCATACGCTTCTTTTTTTATTTCGTGGAAAATCCGACTCACACAATATAATCATTTAAAGATGTTGAGAGACGTCACGCCCTGCGCCGTTACACGCGAGGCGGGCGGCGCATCGTAGGCATTGTAGCGGTGCCGTCTACCTTGATCGTTCATGTCCAGGGGTTTTTTTTTTTAAAGTTAATGGGGCGTAATGAATTTCTTGATTTTTGGTAAAACTTAAAGCGCAGCCGCGCTGTGGCACCGCCTTTACTAGCTCCTGGAATGTTGCTTACCAGCCTGGACTGTTCCCCACGCTACGGTCGGCCTGCAGCGGAACCAAGCCAGTTCTTGAAATCGGGTCCCCTTGCTTATAGCACACATTGGGGCTGACGCCCCATGATTTGCTTTTGGGCTAAGCAATGAAAACCCCGTAGCCACTCAAACTCAGCCTTGCCCAGAAGTAGCTGTCCACACTAGGTTCCAACATTTTTGGCCTTCTTCCTCTACCACCTCACACCGCAGGTGTAGTCGCTACCGATGCGGATGCCACGAATATTGTCCTGGCTCACCCCCCGAGGGGCTGGAATCGCGTTCATCGCGCTGTTTCTTCTTCAGATTACCTATCTGCTGTTTCCATATCGTCAGGAGCCTCTCCACAGTACATATTACCCGCAAATTTATTGACGATCGTTCACGTTGCAGGCAGTTCGGGTGATCGTCGCAGCACTTCTCAACAACTTGCCGATCTCAGACAAGCATACAACCCACACAATGTCAACGCCAGCGTTAGCCTTGTTCTCGCATCAATTCATACCGATGACCTGACCTGGTTGCTGAAACACTGCAAGGAATCGTGAGTCGCCTATGCCGACCTCAACCCCTTCAATGGCTGACTTGAAACAAAGGGGCCACGTACCATTCATATATAGCACCGAAAAATCCGCCGAACAAGGACTGCTCGTCCCTCCTACACGTCGCGGGCGAGAGGTACCTGCCTACCTTTCCTACATCGTGGACTTCTACGACCGTCTACCAGATTATTCCATCTTCATCCATGCATCCCCCGAGCAGTGGCACAATGATCTATTCGGACCCAAGACTCGGGACACGCTGAAACATCTCCGATTGGAACCGATCGACGTCTATGGATATGTCAATCTTCGCTGCAAACACGACCCCGGGTGTCCGACCGCCGTGTTCCCCCTTTCGCCATCTCAAATCGACATTGACGCTCACGACATTCGCGCGTACTTCTCGGAAGCATATCAGCAGATCCTCGGCGTCCCCGCCGAACAAGTGCCCGAAGCGATAGGAAATGTGTGCTGTGGACAGTTTGCGGTGAGCCGCGAGCGGATCCTGGCGCGACCCAAGGAGGACTATGAGCGGATACTGAACTGGGCGGCCACGACGAAGTTGACGGACGATTTCGGCGTAGGTTGGGTACTTGAAAAGTTGTGGCATATTGTATTCGGAATGGATGCAGTTTAGTAAGTCTGCCTTCGCTTGCGTGGCTTTTTGTGGCGTGCGCCTTGGCGTTTCCCTGGACACTCTTGCTAACAATGTGAACCATAGCTGCCCTCGTTATGAGCAATGCCGTTGCGACACCTATGGGTGGTGCGGGCCACTACAATCAGGAGAGATGTTGCAGCCAGTCATGAGAAGTGATGTTTAAAATGGATACCCAATTAGAGTACGGTTATTTGGAGCTCCACGTCTTTTGGCTTAGAGAGTATCACCCAACGATGTACAGTACGTCCCGAAGCTGGTGCGACCACCTACATATTGCTAGACTCCTCGGTGGCATGTGCCAAGGCCTTGGGGGGTTGGTGATTTACACGTCTTTCAACGATAATAATGATACCTACCGACCTGAACTGCCTGATCTCCGGGAACGGACTCCCTCGTATGTCCTCACTCCCTTTCTATTGTAGCCCTCGTTTCCATCTACCTCTACTACTGTAGAGAGGTAATCCACGGTAGCCTTAGATGGTTCTCGTTTCTGCCGCTTCTATCCGTTATTGGGCGTTGGCCGTTTAGGCACAGCTATTACCGCCCACTTAGGCTGACAGACCGCACGGGCGTCGGTTGTGTAACTATGGATATAAGCCGCAGCTCGTATCACGCTTGGTAAAGTCACGAAACTCCGCCTACCTATCTAGTAAGCACGCCACGTCGCCTCATCACCAAAACGGGGGCCAAAACGCATCGAATAATTCTGTTGCCTGGGAATGCGGAAACATTAAAGAGCAGCCACTCATCATCGCAGAACTGCCACGGTGCGAACATCGCAAATATGTCTAATAGAGAAGGAAGCATCCGCTTTGAAATTCCCAATGTACAAGAGCAATGTTTTACGTGGTACAGAGCGTTTGGCGACATCAACAAGACACCACCGCTGATCTTGATACACGGAGGTCCGGGCGCTGGCTCCGACTACCACCTCGATCTTGCGAAACCACTCGTAGCTGCAGGCATTCCTTGCATCTTCTATGACCAGGTTGGCTGCGGACGCTCATCGCTCATCCGCGAGAAAGCTGAAGATGAGAGTTTCTGGGGCTTTGATTTGTTCTGTGCCGAGCTTGACAATCTCGTGGACCACCTTGAGCTGCGCAAAGTCGGATTCTCTATCTACGGCCACAGCTGGGGTGGCATGCTAGCCAGTATATATGCTGGACGAAAACCGCGTGGCCTTCACAAACTAGTCATCGCCAATTCAATTCCGAGTTCAGCTCTCTCCGCCAAAGAGTGCGAACGCTTATTCCGGTTGCTGCCCGTTGACGATGCTATCATACAGATGGATGCGGACGGGGATTATGATAACCCAGCATATCGAGAGGCGTGCCTCCGCTTCATGAAAAAGCATTTCTGCACCCTTGACCCGTGGCCTGCGGTGCTCAGTCAAGCAACGCTGGGAAACAGCACGAAAATGTGGAAGACGAATGGCAAGAAAGCTACCTCTCTTATCCGACAGCCAGGCTTTATGTATCACTATGATGCCATCCCGACCGCGGGGGATATCGAAGTGCCAACACTGCTCCTGACGGGTCGGTACGACAAGAATAATGAGGCGATCATGGGCCCTTGGTTCAGATCCATACCACGGGTCAAATGGGCCGTGCTTGAGAAGTCGAGTCATAACCCGGCTCTTGAGGAGCCCGCTAGATTGGCCGAGCTCTTAACGAATTTTCTTCTTTAGAGAGACAGTAGATAATCACTCAGTGGGTTTAGAAAATGGAAGCCGTACCATCTCCTTGTACTATGTAATCTACATAAGAAGTAATACATGTCCAACTGACAGGGGAACTCCAGAAAAACTGACAAGATAGACCAGTATGTTTTGGTGTTGGGCCTGGAGAATCAATCGAGGAGCGTAGGTGCTCGCGGAAGTGTCCGGAAATATTTAATAGGCGAGATAGCGCCATAAGCCCTCATTAGCAGATCATCGAGGTGCAAATGAGCCTCCCGTCGCCTCAATCTATTCGACGCGCTCCACTATGTATACTGTTGGCCGACCCCGTACGCTGCATGATCTCTAAGCGGCACGTGACAGAGATCGCTTCGTGAGACTCAACTTAAGCTAGAGCTAAAGTGGTATAGATTGATACTAAAGCCGCCTGTAGACTGGTAGTTATAACACTTGAGCGGCTCGCCCACCATCATTCAACTTCTGTTTTCTCCCAACACAAACTTCGTCCCTTTTCTACGAAAATCTTGATCTCCCGCCTCCTTCCTTCTTTTCGTCCTTTTCAAAACAAGGTTCGACGTCATTTATAACTCACGTTGATAACCATGCCCCCCAAACCCGGCCGCCTTGCTTCCATTCTCCGTCCATGGGACTTGATCTGGTTTTCTATTTGCCGTAAGTATTTGTCCACCCCCGCCCCCAATTTCCACAACTCTACTAATCATACCTCCGCTACAGTGCACTGGGAAGCTTTGACACAAGCGATTCGTCAAGACGGTCTCGCAGCACTTGGCCGTCCACGACAAATTCGAGATGCCGCTTCAGCAAAGTTGCTCAGTATAACCTGTAACCTAACCCACTAGCCATATCTTCCCTCACTCAACTCGTGTACAGTGTAAACTGATCATCATGCGCAGCGGGCGGTTTTATCGCTTACGAAGACACAACCATTGTTCCCTCGCTCGTTCAAGCCGCTGGCGGCGTTGTTCTCGAACTGGGCCCAGGGCCAGGCAATCAGATTCATCGTTATGATACCTCTCTTGTCAAACATGTCTATGGTGTTGAACCTAATCCGCACTTTAAATACGACATAGATGCCAAATTGGACAAGCATGGCCTACGGGATAAGTATAAGCTTATAGCTTGTGGCGTTGAAGATAGCGATGTCCTGAGAGAAGAGGGAATCACGGAGGGGAGTTTGGATGCCGTGTTATGCATCCAGGTCCTGTGTGCCGTAAAGGATCCGAAGAACGTGATGAAGGAGGTGTGGAAGCTGCTCAAACCTGGAGGCAAGTTTATATTCTGGGAACACGGACGGAGTAGAAACCGTTTGACGACTGTAGCGCAAGGTATGTCTATCCCTACGAGCCTTTTTTTATTTTCTGGGTGGACTCTATAGACGTTTGTCTCTAGTGGAGGGATCGACGAGCGGTGCACAGCGGCTAACATGAAGAAACCGTAGCGTGCTGGAATCCTGTATGGAGCACATTTGTCGGATGTCATTTGACTCGCAGTGTGTTGGCAGACATTCTCAACAGTGGAGAGTGGGAAAGTCCGCACGAGATCGAAGAACCTGAGGAACCATTTAGTGTGCTGCCTAGAATCCAGGGCGTGCTTGTCAAGAAGCACGCTTAATTAACCCCTGATTAGAGCAAATCCACTCACTCTCTGGAGGTTATATTGGATTTGGAAAATAAAAACGTGTTACAGTAGTTTTCGAAATCCCAATCCTCAGCCCAACCCGAATCTTTCCAAGAATTTCTGGAGCCTCACAACTTGCCGTTCACACTACCGTACTACTTGCAGCCGTGATGATAAAGTCAGTGACAGCAGCCGGTTCGACGAGAAAGCTGCAGTGGCCTGTGTTAATTTCCTCTATCTGCTCCACTTGATCTCCGACAGCTTGTAACTCGCTAGGGAATTACGTTATCTTCCCAATTTATTATGGTTAGATTTGCGGCTTCCAACGCAGGTCCCCTTTGTTAGGATTCTCCCTTCCCCTTCGGGTTTAGCGTCCTAATATATTCAGCCATATATTAGGAGTCAGCCACCTAATAGGAATGCAGTGTTTCCCGACTCTCACACCCTTGGGCGGCACCCGACATAAAAGACTCGTCCTCGCCCCGTTTGACTTCATCGCTTTCACTTCTACATCCTCCCGTCTCATCAGGTCCAAAGTGCTTACATATCCCTTTGCCGCTCTCTAGAAAGTCCCGTAAGCCATAATGTCAAAATTAGATGCATTCTCAGATCACCTACCTGACGGGTTGACACGAGAAATGAACTTCTACGACTCTTCCTTCTTCAAAGAGCCAGGAAAACACCTCCCGACCCCAGCGCAAGTGAAAGCTTTATCAAAGGACGTTCACACGAGCCCTCAACCACAGCCCGTTAGATTCAAGGATTCCGAACTCCTCGTCAAATTTGGCCCTTATGTCACAACCACAGAAGCACAGTGTCTTTGGATGATCAAACGGACCTTTTGTGACGAGATTCCAGTCCCCGAGATTTTTGGGTGGCGAGTTGACGAGGAGAACTATGTTTTTATCTATATGGAGCTTATCCAAGGACGGACATTGTTGGATCGCTGGACTGAGCTCACTGACCTGGATAAAAGCTCTCTCCGCAATCAACTATCTCAGATCATGAAAACTCTACGCGGACTTGAGCAAGATCCTTCTGATCAGTATATCGGTACGCCCCAGACAAAATGGAGATGTTCGTGACTTACATCTGACCGACTGATTCCAGGTTCCCTGAGCCGCCAGAATGTTCAAGATTATGTCTTTCAATCATTCCCAAAAGCCGGCCCTTTCTCCACTGTTAAGGAGTTCAATGACTGGTTTTCTTATTTGCCACAAGAGTGGCTTCCTTTATCGAAGAAATACAAAGACCCCTATAGGTATTTGTTACCAGACAACGAGGACATTAAGTTTACTCATGCGGACCTCCACCGAGGAAACATCATGGTCTCTTCCTGTCAGCCTGCTCGCATCCTTGCTATCGTGGATTGGGGGCAAGCGGGATGGTATCCAAGCTATTGGGAATATTGTAAAGCACACTACACCTGTTGGTCCGAGGATGAATGGCGACGAGAGTGGATTGACAAATTTTTATGCCCACGAATGCGAGAATTTGAGGTATTTGCAGAATATACAATGGCAATGGGATCCGTTTGAATTACTGTACTTCCTCGGTCGTATAAATTGCAAGCCTTGTAAGCCCGACGATGATGTTTGGAGAGGTCATGAGCCGCTTCCCCACTTGTTACACTTAACGGTCACTAGAAAAACGCATGTTCCTCTAGAACATATTTATCACGTCAGGATGACTGGCTACTAAAATTTGTTGCGTCCATTGCAACAACTACATAACTATAGGTCAGTGAGCCAATCAATCCGAGTGGGAAACATTCCGGTGTAATGTCACGTGGAGTTCCTAAGGGGGGGTAAAGATCACCTTTCCTATTGTCTTTTTCTAACCTGACACTATTTTTGTCAGTATAGCTTCCAAGGACTACTACCCCATATCAACATGGATATCTTCCAAAAGTACGAGGCCTTCAAAAAGATTGATGGCAAAATGAGATTTTCCTATGTCCAGGTTTTTGTTCGGCAAGATGGCATATTATATTCTGGAAAATGGTCAAATCGATTACATCCACCGGAGACCCTGGACGACCTCCAGGAAGTCAAGCAAATCTCAACAGAGAACAGGGGCCCAGAGGTGAACGACACTTGGTCTGCAGTCTATATGAAAACACCAAGTCTCCTCGCATATGTTAATACGAATCTTGATAAGCAAATCACTCGCGAAGTCGAAATATGTGAGATTCTTCGTAAGAACCCTCATCCGAACATTGCGATCTATTATGGCTGCATAGAGTCTCATGGTAGAGTCTCTGGGCTGTGCTTCAAGCGATATACGTCCACGCTTCTTCAAGTGGTCAATCCTCGACACCTGGGCAAAGTTGCTTTCCATTCAAGTGGGCGCGAACTAGTGCGAGGGAATATGGAAACACGTTTAGAAGGAATTTTGGCCGCCATTAAACATCTTCACTCGCTTAGAATTGTCCATAACGATATTAACCCCGCAAACATCATGCTGGACGAAGACGGCACTCTTATTCTCATCGATTTCGATAGTTGTCGGTATATCGGGGAATCTTTGCGCATTACCGGAACGAAAAGAACCCACCTTTGGCACAACCCTGCCGTCGAGATTTCGCTTGAGAAGAATGACCTTGACGCTTTCACAGATCTACAAATCTGGTTGACTGGTTCCTCAGATGAAGACTTCAACTTTAAATGATGTGCTTGTTAGTTAGTCAACAACACTAGATATTTTCGTTCCTTATCATTTATCAAAAAACCTGTTCTAGAATTTAGGATGAATTCTATTTTACCTTTAGCTCTTTTCAAGTACCAGAAGCATAACCATTCACGCACTCCTTTGATACCGAAATTTGTTGAAGAGCTGGTCAGTTTCTTTCCGATGGGTCTAGTTTTAATGTCCATAAGAAACTCAGACACGGGATTGAGCTAAACGTTCCCCAGCCGCTACAGTGTAGTTGGACGCCCGTTGAAGCCGAACTGGCTCCACAGCTTCACCAGTAATGTCGGCAGCAATTCGATTGGAGTAATGCGAACGGGTATTCCGATTGGGTGGGCAAAATTTAGGGGCACAGTGTTGAGTGCAAGATAGAGGGAATATAGGCAAAAGGGACGGAGAAGGAGAATTTGTCCTCATTGTACATTTTATAAATAAAAACTATGAGTATCCATTTCCCCTATGCAACAGGCACAATCTCACCCCAGAGATCAAAGGTCAGATACATGGTCATTTGAAACGCTTCTCCATGAAGATACATGAACGTGTCACATCGACACCCAACTTTTTAAGCACCAAATCTATTCCCTTCCCACTCGCAGCGGCGAACCAGCGTCCACAGGAGCGAAGGGAAAAAAACCCCCCTATCATCAAAATCCACAAGGTAGCTAGCTTAGTTAACCCGGTGAATCCGCATGATAAAACGGCCAAAAGAAAAAAGAGCGAGGAAATGAATTTATACAGGTAGATGGAAGGCAGGAAAGATCCGATTAAAAATTCATACGCAAAAATCAGTGCTGGGCCTAGGTTAGCATTGCGCCCAGGGAGATTTTTATTGATGCCCACTTACCCGTCCTCGACGGCCCCCGGGTTGGCCCTGAACTGGCTGGCCCTGGGGGTAGAACTGCGGAGGGTATTGGTACATCTGCGCAGGGTTGACCACAGGACTGAACTGCTGCGGAGGGTAGTTGGACTGGCCGAGCATCGGGCTGGGGCTCATTTGGCCCGATCCGGACAGCGTGGAGGCATGCTGGTTCTGCATGGAGCGCAGATTGTCAAGGGACCCTGCGGGGTACCCGAAGTTGGCTCCCGGCATACCCTGGTACATGCCTCCGGCGGGAGAAACACCACGGGCCTGGGCAGCGAGGTAGTTTTGGTACTGCAGCTGTTGCGGAGTGAGAGGCATACCGGGATCCTGGAACCCGGCGCCATTGATACCGCCCAGCCCGTTCAAGGGGTTTCCAAACCCGTTGATGCCGGTGCCGTATGCGTCGAGAGGAACGTTATTCTGATCAGCTGAGATGGGCCGCGAGCCGTCGGATTGGCCAAGCATGTTGGAAGCAAATTGGCCGCTGTACTGTCGCTCCAAAGAGGGTTGCGAGGGGAAGTTCGTGCTTCCGTGCCGAGAGGATTGGCGGTGCTGCGACTTCTCGGGGGTAGAAGAGTGGCTGGCTCCGTGCTCACGGCCGTGGTGCTCTCGTCCGCTGCCACGCGAAGACAGACCAACTTCATCCATCAAACGCTTGTAGCCTTGGCTTGGAGAAGCCTTTAGCTTGGTGAGAACCTTTGAGACGTTCTTCACCACTTCCGATCTCATGGACTCATCAAAGAAGGGAGTGGTCAGAACCTTGAAGATCAAGGTCGCGCCGGAGGTTTGGTCACTCAGAATCTTCTCCAACACTTCATCGTTCGGGCTAAAGAAGAGAGCTTTGAGAACGATGTCCCGAGCTTCAGCCTCGTTACGCTGGTTGATGACCTTGAGCACAGTAAGGTAAGCAACCTTGTGGGTGCACAGGTGCACGAGATGGGGCACAAGTCTAGGAGCAAGAACGGTTCGGCGGCGGGGGAATGTACAAGTGTCGAGGAACCAGGTGAGCAACAGAGCTCCGTTGGCGTTGGTGGCTAACTGCACGCTGTGAAGAGCGATGGCAGCCGCAAGAGTCCGCTGCTGATCTTTGGAGGAGTGGTGGCTTTCCAAGCAAGCCCGCATCGCTCTGGCGCCGAATCGTCCCTGGGAGACCTCCGACATCCGGCTCAGCATGCTCTCAAAGATAAAGTCGTTGAATGGTGGGCCGAATCGAAGGCAGCACTGGAGGACATAATTTCCGTACTGGTCCAGGAAGAGTGGGACCGTGTAAGGACGAAGGGCATCGACAATCAGGTTCATCTGAGCCGGTGTCTTCGCCACGTCGATGATCTTCTGAGCGGCCCAAGTTCCGTTCTTGTGGACACCGATCTCGGCGAGGTGAGGTGCGATGTGCGAGAGCATCTGTTCCTTGGTAGACTCGGAGCAGAACTCGAACAGCTTCTGGACAACAGTGTTGCCCAGATAGTCAGAAGACAGCTCCGCGATCTCAGGGAGCATAGCACCAGCAGTCTCTTCAATCTCTTGAATGGAACAGGCACCGTTGTCAATACGCTTGCGAATATCGCGCAGGCGAGGGGCGTCAAACATGCGGGTCTGGCTGGGCTCAGCAAGGGCCGGGATCTCATCCTCATATGCTTCGAAGCCAATTGCGCTCTGAATGATGTTGGTGATGTTGTGCAGATCATCTTCGGTGGCGCCGAACTCCTGGACAATCTCCACCATCTCAGGCAGCAGATCGATCAGAGCAGGAATCTGTGGCACAACCCCCAAAGCATCTGTCTGCCCCATACCATCAGATGGGAGGTTGGACTTGAAGTTGGGGTCGGGGGTAGGAGACGATTGAATGCCATTTGCACCAGGGGTGCCACCTGCGGAAGTGCCAGGGACCTTGGCATAACCAATTCTGACAGGCCCTGCGCCTGGGAAAATCTCCTTGCCGTTGAGCAGTGACTTTGCCTGCACAGCGGCCTCAATACGCTCGAAGTTGACGAAACCGCAGTTCTTGTGGGTCAGCACGCGGGTAGACTCGATTTTGCCGTACATGCCGAAGATGGCCTCCAGAGAAGTCACAGTGGTCGATACGGGAATACTGCCAATCCACAGAGCCCGGGTGGGGCCATCTTGGTTGTTCTCATCGACCATATCTCCCGGTTGGCGTAGACCAAGAGTAGGGGCACCACCACCGAGTCCCATCATTTGAACTGCCTCCGACAGTTCATCGTATTCACCATTCTCAGCGATCTGCAAATCGGCGGCACTGAAGCTGTTATCGAGACGAGAGGGCGTTGCGAGATAGTTACGGATGGAAGATCGCTGAGGAGGAGCCTCCAGAATACCGGCAGTTCGAGCCCGGGGCCGGTTGACAGAAGCGTGGCTAGCAAAGGCCTGAACCGCAAGGTTATGCTGATGAATCTGGGCTTGTGTGGCAGCAAGTTGAGCAGCCGTAGCAGCCGCAGAGGGCGTGAGGGTGCCTGAAGGGATTTGAGAATAACGGCTTTCATACTCCAGGTCCTCGTCATCCGCGTATTTCTCCTTCGCATTGACCGAGTACGATCGGAATCGATTATTGTTCTTCATCATCGCCAGCTCTGCCAGGAGCGGCGGCAGCTGAGCCTGCTGCTGCTGTTGCTGTTGCATCAAAACCTCCATGGAGGGTCGTGCCAGACTCGCCCGTGCCTGCTGAGGAGTTTCGGCAAGGCCAAGGTAGTCCAGCGTCTTCACGTCGGAATCCGCGAAACCATTCCCGGAGAAAGACGATTGGCTTGGCGAGGTTGGACCTTCAGAAGAACGAATACTGGTCAAGGTTGTAGCACGCTCGCGGCCACTTGGCCAACCCGAAGAGAACAATGATGGGCCGAACGGGTTGCTGCCGGACCCTAGCAAACTGCTTCTCTGCGGCATCGAGCCAGCTCGAAGACGGGATAGCGTATTCGGGTTGGGCGCACCGGCCGACGTCGCGACCTTGACGTTCGAATCCATAGCGGGCATACCTGGAGGTCGGAAGGGGCTGGTGGAGGGTGTTGGTCGGGAGGTTTGGGACATATAAGGCTGCTGGAGGTCCGCTTCATTCAAGGTGCCCATAGGAGGGAATCGCGAGGGTACTGTGCCCGCTCGAGCCCTGCGACCCGAGCCACCGATCGGGCCATTGGTGGTAGGAATCAAGTCGGGAAAGCTGTCCTGGCTGGGCGATTCGGGGATATTCTCACGGAGCGGAGTCGAATGGCCACTGGTCGGAGGTCCCCAAATGCTGGGAGAGATCCCTTCTTGCGCTTGGATTTCACGAGCCCTATAAAAACGCACCCAACGTCAGACCAAACCCGGATTCCGGGTTGTTCCAAAGGTACTTACCGCTTCGGGTATAGACGTGTCCCCAACTCATGAGAAGGGGAGCCAGCCCCCAACCTCGCACCACCAATCGAGCCGGCAGGACCGAATGGTGCTTTCGAGGTCCCAGCGTCACTGGGAGAGCTTCGCCCCGTCGATGTGCCGGACATGGGCTGAGTGGTCGGGATGTAGTTGAAGTTCATCTGACCCTCTGGGCGCGAAACCGGTAACATTATCGATTATCTCCTTCTGCCTTTCTGAGAGGCAGTACTCTATTCCCTTGCACTTCAATAACCCGATGCAGGTGCCAGAAGGGACCGACAGAGTCAAAAAAAAGTCGAGTGTAGGTTTCCTGCTTAGAAGCGGTTGTGCGTCGTAAGCACCATGTGGTGGAATCGAATCGATGGCCGTATGCGAACTCCGACGGATCCGGGTGCGTCGAGGTAATGAAATGACTCGCCCTGTTGAGATGAAAAGACTTCGACGTCAGTGGTTGTTCGAAGTGGTGTTTGCCAGGCCTTGCATTTCCGGGGTGTCGAAACCGGGGGGAGGGGGGTTGACAAAAGGCTTCCACGCAGCAAAAAAAAAAGGCTGTAGGGAGGTGGGCGGCGCTCTGGAATATTTTTGTCCCAAGACCGACAAGACTGACCGAAGGATGTTATGATGGCAAAATCCCAGTGTTTCGCCGTCGGTAGATGTGACGATCACCCGTCCGCGTTGCCCAGAGTGATGGAACAAGTCGAGAAGAACCTCGATTTGGCACGATGGGTCGTCAAAAAGGGCTTGAAAAGGGAAAATGCATCAAAGGAAGTCCCGATACACAAAAGGAGCGTCAAGTGAGGACTAAAAGCGCAGCGAGAGGATGACGGGGGCCGAAGGGATCGAGGTGGCTGGAAGGCGGGTTAGTTTGCGCGGCTCCGGGAGGCGGAAGGGAAGCAAAGACCCAAGGCTGATCTCGGAGGGGCCACTAACCGAGAGCAGAGTAATAATGCAGGAAGAAAAAAAAATAAGAAAGGAGAAGTGAGGACAAGAGACAAGGGGAGGAAAGTAGGGTGGAAAGAAGGAGAAAAGGTGTTGGGCGGATGTTCTAGGAGATGTGGTTGGTGGAGAGGCGCCTCTTCAGCTTCACATCCACAATCCAATTGTCTTTGGCCACTCGGATCTACGGGTCATGTACCGGTTTGATTTCTACATCGGTTCTTTCTTTCCCCATAGATCTATCTTGACTACGGTGCACGAGTACCTTACCTTGGGCCGTATAAATGACACAGCCCCAACGATGTCATCACTCCGGAGACAAAGATTCAAAAGATTCGAGTCGGCCAGGACAACGTCTGATTCTCATGGGAATCCCTGACTGGAATCATTGAAATCCCTCATGAATAGCCGCTACAGACCCCGGCATTCCCTCGAGACGGTCCGCGCTGTTCCTGTCATGAAGGCGTGTTTATGGCATGCCCGGTGAGAAGCAAGCGTGGAAACGAAACGAAGCCCCGCATTCCCATGCGTCATGTCCTCTCCAGTCGGACTTCACAGTCATGGTGCAGAAGCACGGCTCAATTGTGCCTGGCGAACCGGGTGACGAAATTGCCAATGCAAGGGACCCGTCCTGCTGTTCCGAAACCGCGCCCAAATGTTGTTTTGGAGGCGAGCAAGGGATGGGTCAGGTACGTGTCTTGGTCCTGGTCATGGTCCTGGTCCTGGTCGTGCCGATTCAGAGATTTAGACCCGCAATGATAGACAGGTTCAATGGTCGGATTGCATGCCATTCATCTTCGAATATCAGTAGACGAACATGTTCGCTTCTTTTGCTTCTGCTGGATCGGCCAACCTTTGCCGGGGGGTAGGGGGAGAGATGTTTCGGCTTTGGCGCCGGCACGGAAGTCCCGGAGAGTGGGCAAGGCGCGTAGGCTGTAATGCTCACGGATTCGTGGACTGGTGGGGCGCCCGTCAACAATGGCCAACCGAACAGAACATAAGAGTAATCGCGAAGATGGACACATGGACACATTGAAACTGGTAAACAGTTGACTAGTGAGTCGTTATTTCTGCCTGAGGCTTCAAGGCACCACGCGCCACGGGACAAGCCACACGATCCTCACATTAGCGCGACACTCTGGAAATCTTGCGTCAACTTTCCTAGTCGTGTCCTTTCATTACACACTCGCTTGCCTGAGCTACCTGAGCTACCTGAGAGTGCTCACACGCTATACTATATCCATTTGCAGCCGTGATTTGCCGTACATCCGGCTGCTGTCTCATGCTCGACCACAACCCGATCGATCCTCGCTTCCCCGGACTCTAAAGACGTGCGCCATGGCCGACACTCTCGAAGATGATCCATATGCGGGGCTCCAGTCTTCTTCGGGGGAGGAAGAGGAGGAGGAGGAGGTCCAGGAGACAGAGGTGCCCGTGGAGTCCTTGATTTCCGGGCGCGCGAAGCGAAGCACCGCTGGACTACATATGTCTGCGCTCCTCGAAGCCGCCGCAGACGACGACCTTGCTCTACTATTCGAGGAGGTGGATGATGATAATGAATTCGCAGAGGATGCAGACGCAGCGGAGGAAGAGGATATGGGACTTGAATCTTCCTCGGACGATGATGAAGACCAGGGTCCGAACGCCCAGAGCGACTTGGAGGGTGAAAAGCAACTCCAGAAGGAAGAGCGCAAGAAACGCCGAGCGCAGAATGACCTCCGATTTCAGACCCTACGAAAGCGCGTCAAAATCGACCCTACCGCCGTCTCCGCCGTGCCTCCTCCCCGACCGAAAAAGAAGTCGGAGCGTATCTCATGGCTCCCTACGCTGGAAGACGGCCCTACACGGACCTCGTCTCGCAGGCAGACCATGGCCAACAAGGAAATCACCCATGCGCGCCTCAAGGATAGTCAGGAGAAGCGCATTCGCATCATTGCTACAATGAAAGAGGCGGAGAAGCGGAAGGCCCATCTGAAGCCCAAGGAAATGACCCAAGAAGATCATCTCGCGGAGGCAGCGAGGATCGAACGACTCAACAGCAAGAGCGTGAATCGGTGGGAAGCAGCGGAGAAAAGGAGGGCGGAGGAGCGAAAAGCCAAGATCGAGGCGCTGCAGAACCGCCGCCTCGATGGCCCTGTCATATCCTTCTGGAGCGGAGTGGCTACATGGACGAATGGCCGTCTCACCCGAGTGGGCAAGGTCGATATCAAGGTGAAGCCGGATAAGCCCAAGTCGGAGAAGGATGATCCCAAGAAGAAAAAGAACGAGGAGAAAGCTACGGAATCACAGGGTCCTCAGAGTGCTCCTCCTACTCCTGCACACACGCAACAGTTACCTTTGAGCGCCCCCGGCCCCGCCCATCCTGAAGGTGCTCCTTCTCCGGTAGCAAATGGCCAACCCACTGCTATCCCGCCATCTGATCAGAACGATCCCCAAAATCCTCCTGTCCCGGGGAACGTGTCAGCTTCGACAGCACCTCCAATACCCGCTGCACCTAGCACGGTCGAACCCGCCAAATCCAACGATCAAGTTAGTGAAAACGAACCAGCGGCCGACTCTACCAAGCAAGATGAGAACAAGGCCGCCGATACCCCCGTCGACAGCACCGCCGAGACCCCAGCTTCCACGACCAAGTTTTCTGATAAGTATCCAACGCCGGTCGTGGAAATCCCGGCGCCTCCTAAACCTGATGCACCCGTGACCGATAAACCACCCAGTCCAACGTCGACAGAAACTCCTCCGAAGGAGGTCAATGCCATGGACGTCGATCAAAAGCCACCGCAAACAAATGCCGAGACCGAAGCCTCGCAGCCGGCACCTGATCAAACAAATCCCCCGACCGCCACAAGCGCCGACACACAAACAGATTCAGGGGACGGCTCTCAGACTAACATCGGGCCTAGTACAACGGGGCATTTGCAGCAGGTGACACTTCAGCCAGAGCCTGCACCTGCAGCCACCCCATTGGGCCCTCAAGCCCCTTCCGTCAAGTCGACCGATGCAGCCCCCCTGCACACCACGCCGCCCGAGATTGCTGCAATCCAGGGCCCCCAACCCGGTTCAGCCCCGCCGGCACCTCTTCAGTCACCTGAAGTGAATGGCTTGCCAGCACAGTCAGAGGTGCCGCCCGTCCCGCCGGTTATCGAAAAGACCGGGCGCAACCTGACGATCCTCGAGAACTTCGACGATAGGACGGCACATAGTAAAAAGTACAGCATGTATTTCAACGCTAGAAAGCCGCCTCGCTTGACCAGTACGTGATCGTGAATCTTGCAAGCAATTGAGCCAATACTAATCCATCGCAGAAATCTCGTCATCACTTTGTGTCATCACCTCATTACCATCTCGGTATCGTGATCCAGAGACATCACTCCCTTACGCTAATTCCTACGCATATGGGCAAATCCGAAAGATGCTGTCCCAAGGGTACATCTGGAGTTCGATGCTGGGCTGCTTCGTTGGCGCTGCAGGCACCGCGGCGCGTGGCGTACCCGATCGATTCTTGGGTAAAACAACGGTCGGGAAAACCGAGACTAAGGCCCCGGAGGAGGTCCAATCGGTCCCGAAGGTCTCGGCGAAGAATCAAGCAGCTACGGCCGAGCCAACGGCGATGGACCAGGCCAGTTAAAGAGTGTGTGTACGATATGTCATTATAGATACCCTCAGTGCTATAAACTAAACTTTTTGCCATTTACCCATGGAACCCCAAACAATATACTCGAACAAGCTCGGTAGGGGTCCACAATGGGGTCATCGACTTTCCAGGTCTAAGATATTTTCCCGGATCCCCCCCAAGGGGCTGTTTGATAGTTGATGATGCATACACCCTCCCCGGAGGGTGCGTCACGACCCAATCCAAGGTCAACGGCGGCAGCGGCCCAGGGTTTGGAACGGAGGGCGCAGGAGTCGGTTCACACAATAGAATGGAGAGGGCAAAACATATTCTGACGTGTGTATACACTCATCTGTGAAAACTCTTCGAGTTTGTTTTTATCCCGACCGTTTCCGGCACTCGCAATGCCAGTCAAGGAGTCCGCGGAAGCATCTTGATTTCTATTTTGAATTCTTTTTATCCACAAAATTTTCAATGACTTCACTGCCCCAGAGTGATCGACCTCCAATTCAACCATTATGCTTAATTATGACTACAGACTAGCACGAGACCGATCCTCCAGGCATCAGTCTCCTTCCCCGTCGACTCCACGGACCCGAAACACACGTAACGGAAGATCGACCGTTAGGATGATAAATCCCGAGACAAGGACAACGGTTCTAGATTCAGGACAAAGCGTCTGACCGGCCAACACCAACACACCTCCCCAGTCTGCCATGACGATCAAGCCGATCAACTTTGGCCAGAACAGAGTCCGGTGTGCACGGCCAGATCCGCACTCTACTCTACTCTACGTGTCAAGGATGTGTCACTGTGGGACGAGGGGGTTCCACCGCCCGAACCAGATCCATCTTTTAATAACTCTTTTTACTTCTTATTTTTAATTCAACGATTATTTTTTTTCATGTGTTGCGCACACCATTATTATTTCTACAAGTATTCAGCTCAGAGGCATTTATGGCGTCATTCCTGGAAGGTTGGCCTGTTCCACCGGGGTACTCGATCCGGGAATGGTGCCATCAAAATCCGGCCCCGACCCCCCGCCGGAGAAGTTTCCCCTGTCCACCCTAGCGCACTAGTGTGTGGTGTTATGCAGGTAAACCTGGAAGTTAGGCTGCAGAGCGTATCGCCCGAGCACGTTGCGCTTGGATCTAGATCGCCTACGAACTAAGATAAGATATACCCGAGGATATTTTCTTCGACAACATGGGTAAAAATGGATGGAATTGAACGCAATAAAGAGGGGCAACTGCAACGCAACAGAAACAGAAGATAATTATAGAAAGCCGAAAAAGGAAAACGAATGAGTCAGCCAGTCTGGACATCCATTGCGCGTTCCCTTGGCCGGGATTCCGCAGCCCGAGGCTACCCATATGCGTGAGTGGGGGGGAGACCCGAGGGTCGTCCATCGAGTCTAGAGTCTAGAACACTTCCAAGGTTGTCACGGTGTGCTCGTCCACCTCTTTTATTTATACTCTCTTCCCCTCCATTCCTGGGGTCCTTTTCTTCACAGCCCTATATCTTAGACACCATCACATTATCATCATTGCCCACTCAGATCTCATAGTCTCATTCCGGTATGTCAAAGACCTCGTCCGCTACTGGCTGCGACCGGCCTTATCTCCCCCCACTCAGCGCGGATGGATAAGGATAATCCGGCGCTGCGACAAGTGACACAGAAACTAACGTCTTATCAGCTTCATTCCCCATTGCCCCGTGTTTCCTGGAGAACATACATATTTGCCTTCCAGAAGTTAATGATCCTGCATCGACCCGTGTTTCTGTTGACCGCAAAATTGCGTGCAACACCAGCCCATTCTTTCAAATCCCTCGTGCTCCACACCAGGGTCCCTGTGACGATAAGATAGTGTGAGGCATTTGAAGCCACGGCTTCACCGCCACCCCATATGACTCAAACTACTTCCCACCGTCGTTCCCCTTCCTCTCCTCATGCCTCCAAGCCCAAGTCACGTCCTGTGATACATCGGCGAGGTACTTCCGGCGCGAGCCTGTCCATCTCCAAGCTGGGCTCTGGTCACTCTCGGGGCGTGAGCAGGAACAGGGACGACGAAGCCGACTTTGATATGGCTGCCAGTTTCCTCAATTTTTGGTACGTTGTCCATCCTTATCTCTCAGGGGGGGGGCAAGGCTTTTCCCTGCATGCCGGCTGCCGTCATCGCCCGTGCCCCCGGCTCGGTCGATCTTGTTTTAAATACATGCTAACGCCATCAATAGTGCAATGTGCGAAAGACAAATCACCGTCCCTAGCAACACCGTCCTGTACTGCAGTGAAAGGTATTTCTATTCCCGTCTCCATTTATTAGAAGCATGTCTCAATTAACACCAACCCTAGTTGCCGTCGTAAAGACTCCTGCAAACCACTTTCTGCTTCCATGCCCTCCATGACCAACATGTCTTCAATCAACTCCACAACACCTCCCACATCCCCCCCTCTCTCCCCACGAACTATCGTGCCACCCATGACTCCAACCCGGTTTCCATCCAACCCAATCCCCACCATCAGGATACCCTCCGAGACCCACGAAGCCAGATCAGATCTCGACCCCACCGAATGGAAGCCCGTAATACTCGGTGGCGCGGGCACCTCGCTCGCCTCTTCCGACGCCTGGAACTACCTCTCTCGGTTCCACGGCGGCAACGAGACGATGCTTGCTCGGCGCTCTCACCGCAGCACCACCAGCCTGCCCGGTCTGGTCGGCGGCACCAACGCTCCGTCTCTGACAAACACGCCCTCCGTGGCTTCGTCTTACTCCAGCACTGCCTCCGACTATCTCGGTAGCATGTACGAGAAAACCCAGCGGCCCCTTCCCCCGCGACACAACCCCTACTTCTCGTCCAGCGCTGCGATCAAGGGCGTCGAGCTGGTTGTTCCGCAATACGCGTCCAACACCGACGTGGTTGCCGTTGAGATGGCCGACTCGGGCTCCATCTTCCCGGCCAGCAGTGCTGTTTGGGGCGATAGTTGTGAGAAGTCGGCACCCATTGTCATTGGGTCTGTGCAGGCACGGGCCCAGGAAGCCTGAATAGAGATTTGATTCTTTTCGATTCAAATCATTACTTTCTTCACTTTTGCTTCTACTGGATGGCCCTGAGCGAGGGTTATGACGAGGATGGATTCTACTCGGATACAATTTTGATTTCCAAAGCTTAGCACTTAGACATTTCTTCTAATCTGAAATGAAAAAGAGAACTTTTCATGATATAAACCCCTTTCTTTTCTAAATATAGATCAGCTGTCAGTGGCAATGCCGACCTCCACATATATGGCCACCTGGGCACTTGAGGATGACGACCGTAGAACAATCTGGGATTGAAATATATTCATTTTCATCCGCTACCAAGCTCCATCCAAAGCCGTCTTTCCCAATAAGCTACTGTAACGTATGCCTTCCCAAAACGGTGAATGCTTTTAGAGACACCTCGGAGCCCGTATCGCATCGGTTACATATCTGAATCTGAGGGCTTTGAATCGTTTGCTAGCCTGCTCGGCCCAGTCAGCAACGACAGGGAAGACGACCAGATCGGATGATCGGCTGCTTGGATGCTTTAGACGCGATTCACTGCGCTAAGACAGTCGTGAAAGAAGGGTTGATTCGAAGCACCAATCACTCGCACTGAAGGTTGGCGACTTAGCCTATATCCGCTTGCATCGAGGATACCAAGTTGCTTCAAAAGTACATGCCAAATTCGGCCCCCAGCGCACTGGACCGTCCAAGGTGACTAGTGTGCTACCAACCCACACAAGACCAGGGGTGACTCTAACAAATGACGAACAAATGGTAAATTCTATCGGCGTCGCAGGCAGCCACTTGTGATCGGATTTTGAGCCCCGCTACGATCCTCGTGTATTTTGACCTAGACGAATGAATTAGCTTTACAAGGCCGACAGGAAACCGTGGAGACGATCGTTTGTCTTAGTAAAGCTGTCACACTTTAAATTACCGGTGGAGATGCGCGGGGGAGCGGTTGAGGCTTAGCATGTTGAGGCTTAGCAGGCAAATTAGCCCTAACCGAACCCCATCGAACCAGACATACAGCCATCTAGGTACAACTGTGCCCCGTTTACTGAAGAAACAATTCTATTCCGGTATACATTCTGAATAATAAATTAAGAAGAAATTTGCAGAAGCAAAGTAGAAATCAGAAATGAAATACACCAGAGCCAAAACTTCCCCAAGACAATGAAGTCATATATCTCACCAATCCACCTATACTTTGAAACACCACACATGAACAAAACCCACATCATCACTCTACCTCCCGTCATAACCCCACCTAGGTTAGATTTAAAAGATCTAAAAGTCACCGGCAGTAAAGCAGCAAGTCCAGCAACCGTGAGAACTTCTGTAGACAGGCGAAGTCTACAAAGGATTAGCACATCCAGATCCAAAAGAAAGAAAAGACCGAAGAAAAGAAAAAAACTCACCTCAGGCTGCGGGCACTGAGCCTCCTCCTCACTAGGATAGCACACTCCCATACAGAACGCATTACCCTCATCAGCACCATGGTGCTTTTCAATGTGCACCGGCGCGACATCGGAACCGGGCGCCAAGGGCTCGATGGGCGCGATACCGCCGTCGCCCAGAGCATGAACATGCGCGGGGTGGAAAGCGGGATGCTGGGGCTGGTTGAAGTGCTGCTTAGCATACTGCTTGAAGGCATGGGTGGCAGAGCGGGTAGGCCGAGCCATTGAGCTGAGGGGGGTTGAGGAGGCTTTGGTGAGCATTGAGCTCATGTACATGTTCGAGGACATGGGTGCGTTGGAGGACCTGGCGTAGGGGGTTGAGACGGGAGTGGACATGGCGAGGCTGGAGTACATTGAGCCCTGGGAGTACATGGGGACGTCGGGGTAGATGGGCAGGTTTGGGTGTGGTGCCATGGCGACGTTGGACCATGCTGGGACGTGCGAGGCGGATGCGTGCGAGGGTGTCGACGTGGGCTTGTGCATCTTGGACGCGGCCATTGCGGAGGCCATGGAGGAGACGAGGGGAGCCATGTAGGCTGGGATTTCGGCGTTCGCGGCTGGGCCGTGGTTTACTGCGGCGCGCTCATTGTTGTAGAGGTCTGGGTTGTGGATGCCCATTGGGTTTTCGGGGTCGGCGTGCAGTGCCGTGACCTGTGCTGCTAGCAGGGAGGCTGAGAGGGTGAGCACTGTGGTGAGCTGCATGATGTCGGTCTTGAGTGCCGTTGGCTGTTGGCGATGTATAATATAGACCCGAGATGTGGTGGTTGGCGATGGGAGGAAGAAGGTGGGATTTGTGTGATAGCAATCATATAGCAGGACTATGGCTGGCAAGGGGCCTTATTTGGGTGTATACGCGAGTGCATTTTTGGGTTTGCGCGTAGTATGGAATGCGGGTTGTATACGGGCCTCTTTGGGGTTATGCTACGGGGAGCAACGATACGCTTTTTTTCGAGTTCAGGGCAGTCTTCAAATGTTTCATTTTGTTTTTGCAAACTACATATGGTAAAATGGATTAATTCATCGACTTGTAGGAGTGAGTCATCGAAGACTTTTTGGATTGTTGATGGGAGGTGTAGTCGGAATCCAGTCCAGCATACCATGCGGAATAATCACGGCACCCTCTCAGTCCGGCCTATCGGTGGTAAAACACGTGATATCTGATTGTAGCTCATACGTAAGTGAAAGTATGAATATGCGATGGTTGATACTGCTGACGAGTCAATTGGTGATCTGCGTGATTGACTAGGAAGTAGCTCAAAACGGTGCTTAGTCGGTGCCAAGACTACAAGGCCCGGGGATGAACCCGGGGAAATGACCGCCATGACAGCTCGTCCGATTTACTTCATCCGTACCCACACTAGGTACCTTTTCCAGACCACCTCTTAGCAGTCCAAGTAGGAGCGCAGACTAGCTTGACAAAAACTACCAAACACTAGAGCCTAGCATCATAAATAACACGAAAAAGTCAAAATCGAACCAAACCACGGCTTCAAGCACGAGGTTCTCGCCACTCAGTACATCACACGCGTGTGGCGCAGGAACCATCAGATTTGCGATCGCCAGAACAACATCGGAATTGCAAAACAAACTTGCCACAGTCGAAACTGACTAATGAAATAAAAGGTTTTCGAAAATTACTGGGCTATGTAATGCTGCCGATCAAAATCGCGATACACTGACAGCGGTCGTACCACTATGCCCACAGCAAAAAGCTTGGGACGACCGCATGAAACAGCCCGAACGGGTGGTTAAGGCCAGCCTATGACTCGTTTTTGGTGGCGGGAGCTCTGGAGTGCTCCAAAGACACCTCGAAGGGCTCATTATTGTCTCAGCTCGCTGTCATCGACGGGAGCCTGTCAGTACCTCCGGGGTATTGCCAGTATTTGTAGCATTTGGCCACCACATAAAGTCTTGGCTCTTTTGGTCCCCTGGTTAGTCGGTGTTTTTAGACAGATCAATAATAATAAACGAATGATGAGAGTCGGGCCATCACGCAGCTTTTGAACCTGCTGACCTCGACCTTCATTGCCGCGCGTTTGGGCAAATGGCAGGGGCTTACCCTAGTCCCTAGGTAGGGTTGGTTCGGTGCCAGAGATTCGGCAGAAACTACGGTCGTTCGCTGCGTACGAGACCGACACTTGTCAATCAGATAATCCCACAGGTACGCCATAATGCGCTAGACATTCAGTCAGAGATCGCCCTCCCTAAAGGACCGTCTCGATAGAAATGTGTGATTTCCCGGGCGTCTCAAATCTCCACGAAGAAGTTCAAAAAGATCCTCGCCCCCTGTCCTATCGGACCAGGTGTATCATACCGGGCGCAACAACTTCGCGAACCATGTAGTAGGATTGCAAAATCCTGTATTCGCGAGATTTCGACCATGAAATTCCCACTTTCCCGACAATCATCCTAGAAAGATGGACGTAAATGAGAGGCTCGCTTTGGACACCTGCCCGCGCGGTGGAGCCGTGTCCCCAATGACCTTCCTAGGGTCTCTTCTTTTCTCCTCTTCATGCGTTTCTTCCAAAGGGGACCGCTGGGGTTTTTCTGGGGGTATTCTCTTTTATCCCCTGCCATCCCCCCGTGTCTGAGAAACGGCTGTGTGGTGTCCCAGTGTCCATTTCGTCCTTTCTGAACGAGAAACGCCGGCCTGGTTGGTGCTTGGTGATGGCGTTTGGACAAGATCTGTTTATCTTCTGCCAAGCAGGACCACCCCTGGGTACGAAAAAAGCCCAATTTTGCTTTAGTGGTTCGAAAAGTACGCCTCTCAATCCAGCTGTGGTCGACATGATGTTTGGAGCAAAGTAGTGTTTGCTCCAAGACCCGTCACCATCCCAGCCTCGCCATTAACCACAACTTGCTGCCCATTCCAACTCATTTGGCTCACACCCTTCTGAAGGTCCTGGCCTGGTATCAGGACAATAAGCGACCGGGATGCAGATCTCAAGTTGCTAACGCGCGGCTCAGCCTCGAGTCATTAACCGTGACTCGGATAACAACGCAGGCTTCCTTCCGAAATGATTCTTAGATTCCTCTCTCCCCCACAACCTCTTATTTCGCAGGCCAGCAAATATCTTTTGCCACCAGCCTCCATCGAGGAATCACAAGAATCATTTCCCAAAGGGCACTGATAAAAGGGACCGAGATGATCGATGCTGGCGTTCGCACAAATGATGCTAACCGGTGAAGCCCTCGCCGGACATTAATGCAGAATAGTCAAACACCCAGCACTCGATCCATCCCTCCCTTATTATTTCGCGGACCTCTCGACAACAATCTCTTTCAGGCTCGTGAGACCGCCCCGACCCGGCGGTTGACTAGCCTCAGGGATGATGCTGGCGAACTTGTTTGGTCACCAGCTCCTTCATCGGGAAACCCCAAGGAATCATTCCCCCAAGGACCTGGATGATCCTCAGGGGGTCTGTATGAAAGGGATGCGAATGATCGATGCTGGCGTTCGCACAAATGATGGTGGCCGGTGAAGCCTTCGCTGGACATTAATGCAGAATAGTCAACGCTCACACGATCCATCCCCCATATTACTGCGAGCTGGTCGACAAGGACCACTTGCAGACTCGCAAGCTAGTAAAACCGCACGATCCGGCGGTTTACTTAGCCTGGGGGATGGAAACCAGCGTCATCGACAGTCCGTCGACTTTGCCACAACAAACTCGGCGCGAGCAGCAGTCTTGGACAGCTGGGACACGCTCCATCATTGTTTCCAACTCAACCCTGCAGGGTCATCGACCAACCCTTTGACAACTAGGACAGAACATGGGGCGAGCAGTGGTTTCTTCGGCTGTGTATCATGGTTTACCATTCAGGCTCCGACCTCAAACTTGGAAGGCCAACCCACATGAAATACCATACAAGGCGAAGCCAGATAATCGATGACCCTTTGTTGACAGGAAAGGACAGAACATGAGTTGGACACTGCTCAAGAGAAAGTTGTGTGACACGCTCTATGATCATGCCTCCAAATCCTTGCCGAGTCATCCACGATTCTTTTCCGACCGGGAAGGACAGAGGATGCCGTGAGCTGCAGTTTCTTAGCCAGCTGTATAGCATGGCCCATGATCATGTCTCCAGCTCAAGCCCGCAATCTCATCGATGACTCTTTGCCAATAGGGAAGGCCGGGCCTCGTCCTGAGCAACCGTTGAAGAGATAGCTGTATAGCATGATCCATGATCACGTCTCCAAACCAAGCTTGCGAGCTCATCGATGAATCTGGGTCGACTCGAAAGAACAGAGTCTGGTGTGAGCTGCAATTCAAGAACTGCACGCCATGCTCCATTGTCATATGTCCAACTCAAGGGCCAACTGAATTTTTTCGGGGCTGGGAGACAAGCCCTTCATGTACGCTGCGTGACAGCGAGGCCATCGACAACCTGTTGACTCTAAAACCATCGGGCCGGCACAACGTCCTTCATCAACGTCACGGCATTATCCATATTCATTCCTCCAAGTGGTGTGTTCCTTCGGTCATATGTCGTTGCCACATCGCGTGTCCGAATTGTTCAGTTGGCCGAGGCCCCAACAGACACGCAGCGCCATTTCAGTTATGTCCTTAAGTTCAGATAGTCGTGGCACATTACACGTTTCGAGGGACGAGGGCAGCGGCGTGCACGAGGGTTGGGTTACTGTCGATGGCGGAGGCAGGGAGGTTTAGAGGTGGAAAGTCAGGCCCCTCGAATCGACACCCGACGATTGAAGGTCTATAAATTGGATTAGCTGGATAGAGCCTTCTTTGGCCTGTCACAAGCTTCGAGGGCGAGAGCGGCGGCGAGGGCGGCGGCGGGCCTGAGATCCGGATCGTTGTCAGTTGCTGTCGTTGGCGGAGGCAGGGTGAAGGATCGAGGATGAAAAGTTAGCCCTCTCAACTCGACCCTCACGAGAGAGGGTTTCTGGGTCTGATTGCTGCGAGAAGACGCGAATCAGCAAGCTACCCACTGCCAGTAAATTTGGAAACCAGGGTCGATCGTACCTTGAGGATCTTTCAAAGGCGGCTGTCCATGACACCCTGATGTTTCCCTGGTGTTTCTCCGACTGGAAATCTTTCGGCACTCACCTTGAACAGTTCATTAGGCTTTTGGGTGATCCTATATGTCTCCCATGCTTTGGCAGTATCGAAGAACCCTTTCAGCGCCCTCGGGTCAAACCTGGATCACAGCGTGCTCCTGAGAGCGCGAAGGGTCTGCCATAGACCTCGACGGAACACATACTAAACTCGTCGTGCATCATATCCATTGTCGGTTGAGTTGACGCGTCCCAACGGATCCGCCTGTCAACTGTCTTCTCCTGTTGGCGGGCGAAATCCGGTGGTCATGTCGGAGAATGAGGCTCGGACGGTGTGTTCCTGGTGGCAACATCAATACTAAACATGTTTAGTTGGACAATATCAGTTCAGTCGACGGATAATCTGCAGAGTATTACAGCCATCACCGTCAGCCGTAACCCTGCAGTCTCTTTCTCGTTGTGAGGGGAAACCGCGAGGTGGTGACAAGCGAGTGTTCTGTCCCCGAGCCACTGCCGATTCCAACACACTTCATGTACGCCTAAAAGGGATGTCAGCACCAACCAACAGACGACCACCACTGCTTTCCGACACCGGCGATGCTAAGAGACGACGTGTCAAACAAGCTACCAACGCCACAGAAGCAGGAAGAAAGAGGATGAAGTCTAGGGGCAAATCGACTGTGATACACTTTTGAGACCACGAGGAGACTGCAGAATTGCACGCAGATTGGCCGGTACTTTTTTCCGGGTCGGGACAAAAGGTTACTATTTGTGAAAGATCCGACAAACAAGATATGACGGCTTGTCTGGTGGCCACACGAAGGCAGACCTGGCAAATGACCAGGTGAAGGGGAACACGGATCCGCCCATTCCCGTTGGGAGAACATCGCCAAGTCGTTTGGCCGAATATCGACTCGAGCAGGACAAACGGGGGTTTCTGTGAAGGGTTTAAATTGTTCCACCTTTCCACCAGGCCTTTCTTCTCCCGTACGTTTTCTCTCTTCTCTTTCTCACCGAGCCCTTCGACGTAGTTTCACTCCTTGTCGATCCAGAAGACGAGCTAGCCAGAATACAACACATCTAACTCAATCACTGTATGGCCGACCGCTTTATCCTTCTCCCACTCTCGTGGGTTTTCTGCGTCTGCATCTGCCAACTTGCTTTCAAATCCCATTTGCCCCTTTAGATTCATCATTTTCTATCATTTTTTATCACTTCCATCCCCTGCACCAGTACTGACCGTCTTCATCATGAAGGCGCTTCCTAGGGGCCAACCCCAAAAAGCACTCGTCGTCTTCGATTCAGTCTCGCATCCAACGTGCGGACAACTCTGCTATAATCCAAACTCTTGATCTCTGTAGCATCGCCACAGCCAGCGGATCATCACCCAATACCTAGGTATGTCAGCTCCATTCGGAGCCAGCGACGCTGGCAGCCAGGGAGACCTGGCCGGAGAAAACCCCAGACAACAGGCCTCGCCGGCAACATCAAGGTAAGCAGCCCTGCTCCTCTGGTCAGTTCGATCATTTGATTCTTCTCCTCCCTCTCAACAACCTCCCGTGGCCTCGGACGATGAGAGAGAGTCCTGTTTTGTGTGAGTAAAAGCTGAACCGTCTCGGACCCAACAGCAGCATCGGAACAACACCAGAAAACGCCCAGATTGCGCTTCCAGAAGATATAGAGGCTGAGCTGCAGCACTACAACTTCCTTCTCGAGCAGCTTCTGGACGTCATCTCGCGTGGCGAAGAGGACTCCGTCTCGCGCGTGATTTCCGTTATCCGTTCAGGCGGTTCGCATCGCCAGATCCTCGACATCATCAAACAGCAATCCGACAGTCAAACCGAGAGCAACGCGGTTATTTAAGTGGCGATATGATCTCCCTCCAATCTATAATGAGACCATCCCGACGATTGGCGGGGGAAAAGGTGGTCATGAGATCATCCAGGACAGGATAGGATCCAAGCTCCTTAATAGCGGGGAAGAAACGATATCGGGATCAGGTTCGGGATCCTGGTTTGCAGGAAGCATGTTCCAGCCTCATAGGGCTGGAAGATGGAAAATGGAAACGGTCGCAGTTGGGGAGAAAATAGCACAGATCCGTGATTTCCATCTCTAGCAATGTCTGATCGATGCTCATTCGATCCCGTCTTCGCTTTCTCCAAGGTTGCGCTGGTCCGTACCTAGGTATAGAGAATCATGTGCCCCGTATGATTTGGGCGCGATGCTTAATTGAGAATACAGTGCTGGTCCCATCCCCTCCAACCCATGGGAGCGTCTAAATCATGAGCTTTTACGAAGCAAATCAGCACACCAAGCAAGAATGGGGGTGGGGGTGGTGGCGAATTCGCCCCTGATATCATCGCTAACCTTGAGCTGTCTCGAGTCCATGGACCCTGTTCATGACGTTGACTCCTGTTGGCGGGAGTTATAAGAGCCCAGTGGGATCTCGGCCTTTTTGCCTTGTAACCCTACAAGCACATAGTGCTGACGCAGGTCTTTGCGGCACATCGCAGCTATCAGGGAAGCATCACGTCGGGAGCAAATCAGGTTTTAGCATGGGAAGCAAATCAAGTTGATGAAACATATGCCCTTGCGACCACAAAAATCACCAATTCATCGCGTCGCGCCGATGATCCTCGTCGGCAGAGAAAGAAGTCTGTCCAGGTTTCTTTAGGGCAAAATATGGACTATGTCCGGCTCTTGAGGCGCTTCTAAAAAAGCCGATGAGTGGAATAACCCCATGGGCTCAGTCGGTCCGGATTCTATCTCCGTGTCGTTGGAGCAATGGAATCACGGTCTGTGGAGCTCCTTCAACCCTTCCTCGTTCTGCGGCACGCGATCATCTCATCTCAGAGAAGACGTTCCAAGACTCTCAGGAAGATGCTTCCAACAGTGATCCCTTCGCATCAAGGTCGTGCTCAAGGTCAAGTAACCGGGTGTTCTAGCGTGGCTTCCAGGAACAGGCCGAACGACAGCCCAGACGTCCAAGCACTGCCGAGTCCTGCAGGCGGAGAGGAGCCAGCGCCCATTTCAACACGATCCTTCCTACCCCCTTCATCTTCTCCAGCATCTTCAATCCTGACCTGCATCAGTGTGGAATAGAACAGAGCAAAACAGAACTAACCACAGGACGGTCGGTTCGTAATCATCCAGCTCGGCCCATGCCAGCTCCGTCTCCAGACACCGGCCGCCAGACACCGATCTCCAAATCCCGAACAGGAGATGCCGAACGGAAGACCACAAGTACCAATCCCAGACACGCCGTGGCTTTGTCATATTCCCATCATGCCCGGTTCCTGCAGTGCGTTGCAGAGCGTCACAGATGGCCACGGACTCAATCCAAGGGACCTGGTGTTTGGGGCCGAGGAAGTCTTGCCCCCCTTCTCTGGTGCAAGGATGTTATGCGGAGACTTGTACGACGGGGAAATTCCTCTACTACAATCTAAACAGGGACGCGTTGCCCGGGCGCATATGGTTGTGCTGTGATGAAAAGGGAGTTGTGAGATTTTGGGTGAGGACTGGAGCAGCGGATTACCCAGGACTGATTCCTGAACGCTTGCCACCTTGCACTGCTCTAGAGGTTCGAGATGTTGTAATCTCCGATTCAGGCCTTGGATTCGCGGTCTGGACGGTCAGCGGCTGGAGTGAAGTTCTAAGAAAGGCGCGGCTCTTGAAACCAAGCAGCAAGAGCTGAAATCGGTCTTTCGAGACGGAAAGAGATGGACACGGCAATGGAATTGGTAGTGGAACGCTGACTTGTAGCTCTACGCTTGGCGTGAAGGAAGACAGGTCAAGTACTGTTGCAAATGGTCTTTCAGACTAGATGTACAGGACACAAGAGACGTGGAATCTCGCGAGCGTATTTGAATTGCCTCCGCAGCAATTCCAAGGTTTGTTCGAACACGCTCACTACAACAGCCACAGGACTAATATACGAGGATATGTACGAGCATTCTGGCAAGCACTTGAACATTTGAGTCTTGCAAATGTTCTGTCTAACAAGTTAACACGCTAGTGCTGTAAACCAAAGCCATATTAGTGCCTCGTAATAGCGCCCCCCACCTGGCGGTGAGGGTGCGCCTTACCGGTAGACCAAATATCAGCGGTAGACCAAATTCTATGCTATTCAGCTAATTATCATCGCGCTGGATTCGGATCTAGGTAAAAAAGGTCGCCTGCTTCTTCTCCTGCCCTCGCTGCTTCTATAGATGCCTCACTCTCCTGGGTAGGCTGTTTTGGTGGCGGTTTACCATAGACCTTCGTGTGTAGTTTATCCAGCCGCTTCTTCTCCTGGATAGCCTCTTTTGCCTTCCTATCTATAATTGACCGATTAGCATCGCGAACGCTGAGGATACCAGTGTGCCTGAGTGGTTTAATATGTCGCTTAGTATAATTCCGTCGTAGAAGGGCGCGAGTGGCTGTCATTTGGCTAATTATGTCGTTCGAGAGAGCTACCCGTTCTGCGATGACCTTATTGTGCTGGAAGATGCGTAGTAGGCCTCGCCGTTGCTTCGAGGTGAGGGTTTCTATCTTCGATAGCTTCCTATGGTTCTTTTCGAGAGCCTGGATGCTCTTTAGAGGTGTATTCTCGACGCTTAAGGATGTAGGCGGCGGTGATGGTGTCTGTTCCCTATATATACGGAGATTAGGCGCTAAGAGCACTGGTAGCTCTAGCTGGCTATTGGCAAGCTTCTCGATGATATGTGTGCTATTTGGTGGCTAAATGCCGCGTTCTTTGAAGGATTCACGAATAATCTATGCGTTGAATGCTCGTCGTCGTATATCCGCGATGCATCGTAGGAAATCAGCCTTTCTGATAGGCTCACCCGCGAGGAACGCGAGGTTATTATTCTCTCTCCGGAAGTGCTGCTTATAGCTCAAAAAGGGTTTTCCATTAAGCGGTTGATAGAGGTGCGTTGAATGAGGTTCAAAAGCGAAGCAAATAAGCTGATAATCCTCGTATCTCTGCAGAAACTCCTTCGTAAAGTGGGCACTATAGCCATCGAATAGCAAGATACGTTTCTCTCCTTTTAACGTACGACTAATCGTCGCCTTATGGAAGTATTAAAGCCATTCAATAGCTAATTCATTAGAGATCTAGCCATTTGGAGACATAGCCATGAGCGTCCGCGGTGGAAGGGCTTCGCTGCCATGATACTACGTCTCTATAAACGTCGAGCCCTTGAAGATAAATAGTGGATCTATTTACCAACCATCGGCAGCGATACACTTAACAGCAGTAATAGTCTCTCCGCGTTTAGCTTCGCAGAGATCAGGCACTATTGACCCACCGATTACCGTCTACGCTTTACCTCTACTGGGTTAGAAGCCACATTCATCGACATTATACACTAACCGCGGCGCTACATCTTTAACGACATTCCTCCATCGATCATACTATAGTTCTAGTATTCCACTATCCTCCGCCTAGATCCGCTTATACTCCTTCGTTCTCTGTTTCACTGGGGCAAGCGATAGCTCTTTAGGGAGACGTTTAATAAAGCGATACACCCACATCCTACCCAGCGATCGTTGAACACCAGCGCGCGCAAGCGAGAGATTCGCCATCTCCTCTAGCAGCCCAAGGGTCACTAGGAGATATCGATCACGCATATCACGTACCCAGGTAGTCAAAGCTTCCTCCTGATACTCTTGAAGGGCCTTATTAACTGGTTTTTGGGCAGTGCGAGCTAGTTTACCTCGTCGGAGGCGTCCCCGCAGTACCTCGTACGAAACACCATATTCCCGGGCGATTTTCGACAAATTCGGCTGTTTTTGGGCACGGGCGGCATCGCAGGCCTCAATGACACGAGATTCCGGAGTTTCGGGCTATTTAGGCATGGTGGTGGGTGGTTATGGCTAAAAAACGATGGATTGTGGAAAATTTGGTCTACCGCTGATATTTGGTCTACCGGTGAGGCGCACACTCACCGCCAGGTGGGGGGCGCTATTACGAGGCACTAATACTACATAAAAGTCATGGAAATGAAAAAGGAAAATCTTCGTTGAATTCTACACGAATCCTCAGTTTTAAATCTCTTATATCCTAATGCAATCCAACCGTACTCATGACCAATGCTTCGCTTTTTACGGGGTGCAACGGCCCGTGAAACGAGGGTAAAGCGAGCAGTCGCGGACAGTGTAGCGACCGCACAGCCAGGCGAGGAAACGCTCCAGACCGAGACCGTAGCCGCCGTGGGGGGAGGTACCATATCTATTTGAATTAGTATTTCCTTTTCTTTCCTTGATGGTATGGGTGAACTTACTTGCGCTGGTCAGTGTACCAGTAGTAGGGCTTAGGGTCCATGCCCTCGTGTTTGTAAGCAGCCATCAGCTCATCCCAGTCATCCATACGCATACTACCGCCAACGATCTCGCCAACGCCGGGCATGAGAACGTCAACGCTCTCGGTGACACGGCGATCCTCGGGATCCTTCTTCATGTAGAAGGCCTTGATCTCAGCGGGGAAGTGAGTGAGGAAGATAGGAGTGTTGATGATATCAGTCATCTTGCGCTCCGCAGCCTCGGCGATATCGTCACCGAACTTGTGGGGCTGGCCCTCCTCGTTCGGGATGTTGTGCTCGACGAGCCAGTCAATGGCATCGGAGTACTTCATGCGACGGAAGGGACGGCTCGGGAGCTTGAAGTCCGGGTTGAGGGTCTTGATGTAGTTGGCGATCTCGGGCTCCGCGAGAGTGTAGTTGATGACGCGGCAGATCACGTCCTCCAGGTGGTCCAGCAGGTCTGAGAAGACGATGAAGTCCAGCTCGGCTTCAATGTGCGTGTACTCGGACAAGTGGCGGCGGGTCAGGGACTTCTCGGCGCGGAAGGACGGGCACACGCAGTACACGTCGCCTAGGGAGGGAAGACAGGTCTCCAGGTATAGCTGCGAGGACTGGGTGAGGTAGGCGTTCTCACCGTAGTAGTCGAACGCGAAGAGGGTGCTGCCGCCCTCCACCTGGGTTTGCACCATCGCGGGAGGAGTCACCTCCAGCATGCGGCTCTGCTCGAAGGACTTGCGGAAGGCGCGCAGAACGGCGGAACGCACCTTCATCACGGAGGAAGAGGTCTCGCCACGCAGGACCAGGTGGCGGTTGTCGTACAGGGTCTGGGGGTCGGCGTCGGGGGCGACACGGGTGGTGATAGCCTCCTTGTCACCGGCGGCGCGACCGATGATGGTGAAGAAGTCGGCGTGCAGCTCGCGGCCGTTAGGAGCATGAGCACCAGCGGGGACGGCGCGCATCTCTCCGTGGATGACCATGGAGGTCTCGAGGGTCAGGGTCATGATATCGTAGGTCTTGACCATGTCGCCGGTCAGAATGCACTGAAGGTACCCATAGCCGTCGGCCAGGGTAATGAAGACGACGTCCTTCTGGGCACGAGCACGGTGGACACGACCGAGGACGCGGACACGGGTACCAGGCTCGTCGGAGCCGGGGGCGCGCAGCTTAATAATGGCTGGGTCGGTGACATTCAGACGAATGCGCACGGGCTTTGGCAGCGAGGTGTCCTCCTTGATAATGACCTTCTTGGCCTCCTCGAGGACCTTCTGGCGCTTATCGGCCTCGGCCTTCTCGCGGATAGCCAGCTCCTGCTCCTTGGCGGCCTTCTTCTTGCGCTGCTCGTACAGGTTGGTGGCCTTCTTCACGGCGGACTTGGTAGCCGGCTTCCACTCGAGCTTTGCGGCAGGGTCGACATCCTCGCCGGGGGCATCGGTCTGGGACTTGCGGGTGAGGTACTGGATGCCCTCGGTGGTGGGCGCATGCTGCACAAAGGCGTGCAGGAGGGTCTTGTAGGGCGCGGTCTCGGAACCGGTCGCGGTCGCGTCGTCGAGGCCGACGTCCTCGTCAATGTAGATGGATGGCGCCATGGTGGGCACGACTGGCACTGCAAGGACTGGGTCCAATGGGCCAATTGACTGTATAAAGGGTTTGCTGGGGTGGTTGGTTCTGTGAGGACGAGCAACAAATTAATAGTGTGTCTCACATGTGAGTCATCTATGAGGATGGGCAGTGGGAGCGGAAGGGGAGTGTGCACAGGCCCAACCTCTACATGAAAGGGCATGAGTAACATACCAGTCCGGTCTCTTATCTTGCGGTCAATGGCGCAGCGCCCAGAGGAAGAATCGCACAGTCGGACGTGGAGGGGTAAATTTCCGCTGATAGCGATGCGGGTATTCCCCGCGGATGCCTGAGGCAGGAACCATCTGCCGGAAATGTCATGTCTGGCCACGCCGGTGCACGACTAGTACTGTTTGGACCATAGGTACTATGTGGTGTGAAGTGTGTTCGGAGAATACCTAGCTACACTTGTAGGGCATAGTACAGTTGGTAGTATCCGTGGTGAGCCACCGTCTCTCGAAATACATTTCCACCCCTCGGAAAGATAACCTCACGATGAGGATTACTAGGAATTCTTGAATTCACTGCTTAGCCCGCCAGGAAGGTAGCTATACAATTCCATAGTGCGCGAGGAATGAAACAGGTCACGGGACAAGAGGCTCGGCCGTTTAATATACAAGAATCGCTTGTTCCTGAACTCCGTTCGCATGCCAGGGGCGCACCGGGCCCGATGATTGGCGGGGCCTGATCCAGTTCTGCAGGAGCCACGGAACTCGGGGACGTGTTTACCTGGAGAAAGGCCTATATGCCAGGCTTGAATGATTATTCCTAGTCCTAGCCCGGACTGAATAATAAACTCAAGTTCCGTGTCCATGTCTCCGATGTTTTATACAATGAAACTGCCGTAGTGGGCTTGGTAGCCCCTTGGACGACCTCCTTTTCCATGGGAACTTCGAGGCGTCGCGATCTTCCCCTCTTTTCCTTTCCGTCTTTCTCTCCCCCTTTTACTTCCCTTCATACCTTGCCTGGATTCACTTCCTTGCCTTTCATTCTTCTTCTCACCTTTTCTCCGCTCGTTCACCTTTCTCTTCTCGTCACTCACTGTAAATCCTCCCCTTCCCCCTATTCTTTTCTAGCTCCCCCAATCACCAACCACCCCCTATCTGATTCTGATCTCACTCCACTTCGGTTTCTTCCCCCCTATTTTTTTTTCCCTTTAGCCTTGTGCCCTTGTCATCCCACTTATCCCTTTTCAGCTAATGACAAGTCCCAGTGCTTTTTCTTTTCTCTTTCGGCTCCGCGCCTTGCCTTTCTCTCTGGTTGGTGCATGAACATCGTATATACACGAACATTCTCCATCCCGAAAAGTTTAGCTGGTTAGTGCCATCCCTATTCACTCTCCCCGTGATGCACATTCCAATTGAAATTTCCATCCTTCTAGACACGTCTTCCCTTTGACTGGTCGCCGAACTTTTTCGCTCTTCCCTTCTCTTCCCTCACTTTGAACCTACGATCTTCGAGTTGGTCTCCTGAATGGTGTAATCTGATATCCCCTTCACCCCATTTCAGGCCATTCGAGTCTTCAGGGCTTCTTCCATCCCCCGTTTGGTTTCCCTTTTCCTTCTGAGGGAATACCGATTTGGTCCCTGGAGAACTTTCTCGCCATGCAAGCTTCGGATGCACCAAGCATCCCCAACAATTCTCGTCTGATCCCTCATAAATACGACACGGGATTTTCGCACGGCGCCTATAACTCGAACAACCCCAACTCCCTGAGAAACCGTCGCGCAAATATCCCTGCTATAAATACTGCCGCCGCCGGCCAGACCGCCGATATGTCCTCCGGTGCCGGCTTCGATATGAACTTTACTCCTCTCCTCCCTTCGCAGTTGCTGGTCGGCAGCCCCTTCCAGCCCGGAACCCCGTCGGCCTTTCACTCACCCCAGTTCGCCAACTTTGGTGGTTTCCCGCAAGCCAACGGCAATGGACTCTCGCACAACTCCCAGAACCAGCTGGGCAGCCCGACACTGGGCATGCACCACAACTCCGGCATGTACCCCGGAATGTTGTCGACCGACGGACTAGGCGCGTCTATGCTGGGTGGTCCCCAGTCGCCCATCCACGGACTGGGTGGCCTCGGAAGCGCGGCCCTGGGTAGCCCTGCGGCCTCGGTCACACCGGGAATGCTGTCAGGAACCAGTCGCACGGTGTACTTGGGAAACATCCCCGCTGAAACAAGCGCCGAGGAAATCCTGAACCATGTGCGGAGCGGTCAGATCGAGTCGGTGCGCCTTCTACCCGATAAGAACTGCGCCTTCATCTCTTTCCTGGACAGCAGCTCCGCCACTCACTTCCACTCCGATGCCATCTTGAAGAAGCTGGCCATCAAGGGGAACGACATCAAGGTGGGCTGGGGTAAGCCTTCCCAGGTCCCAACATCCGTGGCCCTGGCGGTTCAGCAATCGGGCGCGTCCCGCAATGTCTACCTCGGAAATCTGCCCGAGGAGACCGTGGAGGACAACCTGCGCGAGGAGTTGGGCAAGTTTGGACCCATCGACACCGTCAAGATCGTCAAGGAGAAGGCAATTGGTTTTGTGCACTTCCTCTCGATTAGCAACGCCATGAAGGCCGTCACGCAGCTTCCCCAGGAACCCCAGTGGCAGGCACCGAAGCGCGTTTTCTACGGCAAGGACCGCTGCGCTTACGTTTCCAAGACTCAGCAGCAGAATGCGGCCCAATTCCTGGGTATCGCACCCGGTTACGCACATGTGCTCAACTCCGCCGATCGCGACCTCATTTCGAACGCCCTCGCTCAGCAGTCCGTTGCTGCGGCCGCCGTGGCCACGACTGCTGGTGGTGTCAACAACCTTGGCAACCGAACCATTTATCTTGGAAACATTCACCCTGAAACCACTATCGAGGAAATCTGCAACGTTGTCCGTGGAGGTCTTTTGCATCACATTCGATACATCCCTGACAAGCACATCTGCTTTGTCACCTTCATCGACCCTACATCGGCTGCTTCTTTCTACGCCCTGAGCAATCTCCAGGGTCTGATGATCCACAACCGACGCTTGAAGATTGGCTGGGGTAAGCACTCCGGCCCTCTTCCCCCCGCTATCGCGCTGGCTGTCAGCGGTGGCGCCTCTCGCAACGTCTACATTGGTAATCTGGATGAGGCCTGGACTGAGGAGCGCCTCCGCCAGGACTTCTCTGAGTACGGTGAGATTGAGTTGGTCAACACTCTGCGCGAGAAGAGCTGCGCGTTCGTCAACTTCACCAACATCGCCAATGCCATCAAGGCGATCGAGGGTATGCGCAACCGGGAGGAATACCGCCGGTTCAAGATCAATTTCGGCAAGGACCGCTGCGGAAACCCGCCGCGCCAGGCCGGCAACCAGGGTGGAAACCAACAGCAGAACCGCAACGGCGCCGGCATGGATGGCCCTCAGTCGCCTTCGCCTGCCTTGAACGGATTCCAGCAGAACCTTAGCCAGTCCGGTTCCCAGTCGAGCCCGACTCGCCCCGCCCTCTCGCCCGCGCCGGGCTCCACTGGCTCCCAGAACGGCCAGCAGCACCGCCATCCGCTGCATAACGTTTCGTCTCCTTCGGGAGCACTGAACGTGGGCTCAAACAACCCGCTGACCATGTACCTCAACCAGATTTCTGCTCAGCAAGCGCAGGATCAGGAGAACCAACTCGGCGACCCCATGGCCCTGGCTGGTTTGCAAGCCCAGTCCCAGGCCCCGCAGCAGCAGCCTCTGTACAACACCAGCAACGGCGAGTTTTCTAACGGAAGCATGAACGCGCCGATGCACTCACACAAATCCTCCGCCAATGGCTACCTAAGCGTAGGCAGCGGCTCCGGTCCTGGCCACCACTCCACCGCCAGCACCAGCAGCCTGAGTGTGCCTCGTGCCCAGCATTCCCGAGCTGTCAGTCTGCCCTCCTTCTCCCAAGAGCCCTTCGGACCGGTCGCCGGCCAGTCCAGCCACATCCGCACCGGTGCGGCACACCACCCCCAGAGCAGCTTCTCCAGCTTCTCGTCCGGCCTGGGTGGACTGAACCACTCAGGCTTCGGCTTGGCCATCCAAAACGAAAGCTCCCTGCCTGGTTGGGCTGAAGAGGAGATTGGTGCCAAATAAACACCTCTCCCCAAAGATGCATAATTCGACTCATTACCCTTGGTGAACTTAATGGCATTTCCCCTTCATTCCTCATTTTCCTTTTTTACACATAGTTCTTTTTGATTGTGACGCCATATCTTTTGACTTCGTTTCGTGTATTGGTCTTAATACCTTCTTTTACACCATTTTCTTTTCTCTTTTGCCATTGTCTTTACTACTGCCTTTTGTGTTTTGGCTCCATTTCTTCCGGCACCAAACATCTTCCGCCAATGACCTCTACCCCCTTTAATCCCCTTCTCCTTATTCACTTTTGTATTGCTAGCTGGGCTATGAGCTTCCTTTTTGCTTATTTCTCGATCCCTCTGCATGGGCAAGAGCACGCCAACTTGGGTTTTGAAACCTGAACTGGCGCCAATCACTCGCGATTGGCCAAGGAACCTTGGTTTCTGCCTTTTGCCCTGTGGATATCGGCCCCTTCTACTGCTTTTTCTTTCCATTTGAGTTTTCATGCAGTTGGGTGGTTGCATCGGGTGGTACGATCCAGTGAATACCCATTTTCTTGCTCGCGCCCGCCTCGAGGGCTATGTCGAGACGGGTGGTTTGGCCTGCAGATGTGTAATTAGGAAAGTTCTCAGGGAGTAATGAAATGAGTCGATGAAATAGCTTCAATGAATACAGTGATTGTAGTCAGTAGTCACCTCCAGGAATTGGCAAGTTACAAGTTGGTTCAATACTGAAGACCGAGATCTGATATCACGTGCCACCCACTAAGCCGATCTCCACGTAACGAGCGGCCTTTGCCTCCATTCAAAGTTTCGTTTCCAGCTGCCACCATCAACTTCCCCGGCCGCATTCAAGATGGCTCTCCCGCCAGAGCAGATCAACATTAAACGCCGTCGCGAGGAGGAGCCCGTGGAGACCCTGTGTACGGAATCCCTTTTTTCACCTCTGTTTTTTACCCCCACAATCTAGACCCCCTCCAACATGATTTTGTCTACATTCTTCAGCCCGTTGTATAAAAATTCCTGTTTACACGTTCATGTGCCTGATCCATACCCTTCTAATCTTCCCATGTCCGTGTGTTCCTACTGATCTCCGGAATAAACCCCGCGTTCCCCACTGACAATTCTATCTGCTCGACTCCGTTGCATAGCTAACACAGCCTCCAGATATCCAGTCCGCGCTGCACCAAACCAAGCGCCGCTTCACAGACTTTGTCTTCCAGCGCGTCACGATCAGCAGTAAGGACGTCCAAAATGACACTGCCCCAGCACCACACCCAGCCGCGCAGAGACTCCTGCGCAGTCCCCGCTCCGTAAGCAGCTTGCACGCTCCTAAGACTCGAGCCGCGCAATCTGTCTCCTCCAGCGGTGTGCCCTTGGTGCGAGCTACCTCTCCAGGAGCGGAGATCCGCGACGCGCAACGGGCAGCCGCTGCGCAGAAAGAGACCGAGGAGAAACGTAAGCGTGCTTTGCAACCATCTCCTTCTTTTCAGCCTGCGCCAGTGTCTGGTGCAGAATCTCCGGTCAAGGCGACGGAAGAACAGCGCTCTGCTGCTCCGTCACCTAGCCAGGCACATTCGGTGCGCCGGTTCCAGATCTCCAGGTCCAGTAGTCCTAGCCTGGGTTCTCTCCGCGGCTCGGGTGGTATCCATAAGCGCCGGGATGGTGCTTCGCCACGAGTAGCTGTTCTCGTTGAACAGCTGCGACGAAAGCCGCATTCACGCCAGGCTTCGATGGTCGCAGACCTGGTCGGACGAGCACAGGCCGAAGGACTTGACGATGACGCTACAAATATGGTAAACGTGTCACCCATCAAACCCAGGAAACGGCCCGTGGTGAACAAGGCCGAGAAGCGGTGGAGAGAAGAGCGACAGAGTGCCATCTCAGCAGCGAAGCAGCATCTCTCCGAGACATTTGAAAAATCCGCACAAGCGAAGCAGAGTACCTGGGACGAAGAGTCGGAGCGTCTTGCACGCGAGTTCGAGCAAGTCGCGCTGGAGATGGAACAGGATATGGACGTTGACCAGAGTGAAAGTCCTGTGGCACCTAAGCAGCCATCTCAGTATACGCCTGTTTCTGCGCCGAAGCCGTTGAAGGTCCAGCCGCGGTTGCCCAAGCAGCCTCGTGCGGTGCAACAACCGACAGAGTCGGGTATGGAGGATGGTTCTGCTCAGGCGGAGGATAATGATGAGGACTACGTCTACGATGTCTACATCCGCCGGCCATTGGCCGAGTCTGATATGCTTACGAACCCGCTGGCCGAACTCGAATCTGATCAGCAGATAAAGCAACTCGAGGCAGCCAACCGGGGCATTGGTGTCATTGTCATCACCGCCGAGGACGAGGAAGTATGGGAACACTTTGTCGAGGATGACGAAGAAGAATGGGATAGTGAGGACGCGGATTCCAATGGTGAGTCACTTTGCATTTCTCGTCACCCTCCAGCCGCCAGGCTGCCATGATTACCAGGAAACCAGAAGCGAGCCAAAGAAAAGAATATACCGCTGACCGAATGACACAGCCGAAAACAACCCAGCCAACGACTACCCAGATGAAGAACTCTCGTCTGAAGACGAAAACGACGATCCAACCGCCATTTACAGCAAATATCGCCGCCAAGCGACGTCCGATGACGAAGAGTTCGATCTTGATTATTCCGACGGTGAGGGTGGCGCGCATTTCGGATCTGGATATGGATACCAACCGCGCTATGGTGGCATGGATTCTGACGAAGAGAGCTTTTGATTGGGAATTTCTCCGGTTGTCTGTAGGGGTGAGTTGTCATGATGGATATGGAACGTGCAGCACCTGCATGTGTCTTGGTCCTATCTTGTTGGCCTGCAAGTCGGCATGGGTGAATCAAGGCTGCAAGGCAGATCGCGAGTCATTGGGGAGGGTTCATGTTTCATTGGCGCGAGGCGAATCAGGGCCTCCTGCAGGTCTCTCATCGTGAACTTTCCCTTTGCCGCCGTGGCTGGCTCGCCGTTGGCCGTGGACTCTATCTGAAGACCTCTGGCCCTATGGCAGACCCTAGCCAGGTCTTACTTCCCTCGGATCCTTTTGCGTGCTGACCGTCAGCGATTCTCCCCGACGATCCAGTGAGCCTGTTGGACGAGAATTTCCCCGGTCAGCAGGCCTCCCCTTGCCCCTGCCCCCTCATTTGTTTTTCGGAATGTCCTAGGCTTCTTGAAGTCTTTTCTAAGACAATAAAGCCCTAACTCGGGAGATGAACCGGAATTAATAGCCACCTGCCTCGGGATGGTGATGCGGGGTTGAGGGATATACGGAATTTACGGTGATGAAGAGCAATCTACAACATTGAAAGAAATCTACGTATGTGGAATGAATCTACGAAGGGATCTACCTAGATATCGTCATTGAAAAGAAACAAAAACCATGACCCGAAGGCCTTGTGCCTTTGCACTGCAACCTCGCAATCACCCCCTCCATGTATATACCTCAACCACCACAGAAATAAAGAACACAGTCCAGGCCCAAAACACTAACACCCACGCCACGCAGAACCAACAACTTCCATTGCTCACCATTGGCCCATCCATACCGCAACCATATAAATAAACCGCAAAATCCCGCCCGAACCACCTCACCCACGCCACGCAGAACCAACAACTTCCCGTGCTCACCATTGGCCCATCCGTCACCCAGTTTGTCACCAACATCTACAAATCAGTCACCCTGCATGGCTCGATACAGATTACCCTGCACCATGCAGCCGATCTGTCCCGTGAGGCGACCCGAGCGATTTGGCGCCCGGCGGACCTGATTCGTCCGCGCATACCTAGGCTTTGGCCGGGGTAATGATGATATAGTACATGTGGGACTGCAGTACGACAGGCCAGTATTTAATTACACGGCAGATAGGGCCCCTTGGGCTTGGGGTAGATGTCATCACTGAACGAGCCGATCTATGACATTTTCCTTCACGCCTCTCCACAAGCAAGTCCGACAAATTGAAAATACCCGAATAATAATCCCACCGACGAACTCAACTTGCATACCTCGGAAAAATCCCGACTGACTCAGCTGAAGAAAATCAGTCCCGCGTTCTCCGTCCTTCGGAGCGCCCGGGTGGGACGGGCGTTCCATGGAATGCATCTTTCGACCCTCGGTGTGGGGTGGACGGAGTCCTCTCTCCGGCCGACTCCAGGTTACCTCCAAGGGGGGAAAAGCTAATAAAACTAGTATTGGCGCGCTAGACACTTGTGTATGTCGGTTTTACTTGGAGGTGAATTTGCGTAAACCTGGAATTAGACGAGTGCGGCTCTGCAGGGAGTTTTTTTTCCCGCAGGTAAAAACGTTGCCTGTGCTCGTGCATTACATTACATAATGGGATTGTGGGTTGTGGGTATGGTATTCGTCGGTAATACGGTAATTTGCAGGCAGAGTCGGTGACTCCACAATCAGCTGTCCTGGCTCAGAAGCACGCGGCTGCGAGGCCGAGTCAAAGTGCAACGGCAATTTCGCTAGACTAGAGGCTTGGCCCCGGCCGTCATGTCAAGCCCCATTCTGGGGCTTCTCGGACTGTTCTGCCTTTTACGGGAATATCTCGGGGCAATTGAAACTTCCGACTTTGAAAAAAAAAATACCTCAGCAAAAGGTTACCGGTTACCGCCAGAGGAAGGTCCGACGTCACCCGTGGAGGGATTAGATCTGGTGATCGTGGAAACATCATGGGTTGGATCGTGCGCCTTTGTTACATATGCGGTGCGGACGGAGATCACCGAGGTAAGGAACATGGAGAAGATCACTCCTCTTAGTGCAGTGGATCCATGTCGGTATGATTTGAGGGGGCGAACCATACAAGCTCAATCAATAGTCGGTCGAGTAAGAATTTTATTCAGGGCCGTCTGGTTGCTGGGCTATTACCAAGCCAAAGTCTGCTTTGGTGGGGAAAATACTCCAGGGTATGTACTGTATGGGGGTATCAACTTTTTTTTTTAATTACCACCGGAGATAGGGCTGACTTTCCGTGCAGAAACCGAATGTCCTCCTACAACAGGCTAGTCCGGGCATCAGTGGAAGTGTATGAGATATCCAAGGTTTGGATTTACTGCTACTCTGTCGAGTGTAAGAGAAAAGGGAGGAGAGATCTCAACTCTGTCGCCTGTCATCGTATTGTGCAGTGTTAGCCCGAGACTACCGTCCCGAGGGCCTGGCACGCGGTGTGACGGTTGAAGCATTAGTCTGTTTTCTGCGACTGTTGTCAGTGCATGTAGAAGACTTGATTGGTGTGCGGCGGAAAGCAATCTCGATGACCTAGGGGGGAGGCGTCCGCCTCGCTGACCATGAGTCGTGCCATTGTAACCCCCTCACGTTGCGACTTTGATTTGGTTGAAAGTGTCGATGGCGTGATAAGCAGATGGAACATTGGGGCAAGGAGTGGGGTGTCTTCGATGACCCGGTGCTAGGTTACAATGTGTGCTATACGAAGAAGGGCCTGATACACCCTCAGTCCGGGTCATCGGTCTCACGACATCCAAAACAGGAACCAGGAGTGAACTGTGTTCCATGCCATGATGAAAATAGTATAAGGCCCCGTGCTCAGGATTCGGAGGCCCGTTCATGAAACCCTATACCCAGGCAGTAGCACTTGTATTCACGGAGCAGGAGCAGGAGCAGGAGCAGGATCAGGATCAGGATCAGAGATAATACGAAAATACCACGTTACAAGGCCATGAGCTCGGGGGCTGGTACTATTCTTGGCACATCCCCGTCACTCTCCTCCGGAGTACGGGATTCCCCAAGTTCTAAACGAGGGAACCAATACCTACGGGCCCAGCGGAGACGACATTGGTTTTGTGGCAGTATTACTGGCAGGTCGTGGTTCATCCTGACCCGCGCGAACCGAGATGAGACAATCCTCCAGATCCTGCCTGAAGAGTATCCTGAGTAATTTCATGCAAAGTGTTAGGTTAACCACCGAAGCAGAAACGAACATTCCATGCCGTGCCACACTGAATCGGACTATGCCTTGCCCGTGAAGAAAGGACGATCTCGAATCATCAGCGGGTAAACCAAGCTCCCCAAACCACGTGTCCGTGCTCGGCCCCTGCGAATTTGCTCAAATGACGGTGGCCTGACGCGGGGGGCTAGCGTACTTTTGCGTAAATTCTTTGGTGGACCAGTCGGCTGAGTCCTAGCTTTAGGTATAGGCAGTCATTAGCGAGAATGATCTGAACTAAAAAGTTTAAGTAGTGAACTAAAAAAGTGAAACGTTGAAAGGGCCAGAGTAAGAATGCCGAAGTGCCGTCCGGGTATTAATTAATCTTTATACTTTGGGCGCTCTTTACCCACCTCGGTAATCAAGCGAACTTTTTTCCAAGGTTTGTGAAATAAGGTTTTTTTTCTTTTTCCTGAAGATAGCTACGGATGCCTCCAACACGAAGCTCCGCCACGAAAAGATTGAGGAAGATCCGGATCCGCGGTGGAGAACGGCGTGCCCAAATAGGCGGAATGCGCGAGGATAAATTACCGGTAGTTTACGGAGCGGGTTCTGATATCAGGCTCGGGTCTCACCACGTCGAAGCTAGGGCCAATAATGTCTGGGGTTAGACGAATGCCTCGACTGACCTCGTATATGCTGATTTGCCGCATTTGCTTGTCTTAGGTTGCCCGACGAGCGGGTCGATTGTTCAGAAGCGTATCGAAACCCCGAGTGCCCGTCAGCCATGCCTCCAAACCCGTTAATGCCGGTCGCCCCTGGCTGAAACCATTGCGTTTTCTAAAGGGGTTCCAGAATCCATTCTGCGAAATGCAATCGGCTAATACGAGCTATCATAGAAGTTACACAGGCGCACGTCACCAGTTGGATCTGGGCTGCAGGATGGGTCCACATGGCTAGTCAGGACGGCCGCTACTCCAGACAAAGCAATAGGGGCGAAGTGGGGGTCCGAGAAGCGGCAGTCCTAAGCTACCGGTCTTTTTTTTCTTTATTTATTTGGCTTCTGCATAATCTTGCCTCACCGCACTGCTAGCACTGGTAGACATGAGGCTGAAAGCCATGGCCGTTTATCGGCACCGAAAAACCGTCTTCTCGGTCGTTCCGTAGATATTCAAGTTAATGGTGCTTTAGTACTACGAGTTTCTGGTTGTGATGGGTCCTCGGCGTCCTTTGTCATAGCTGACCGAGAACCACTTGAGGTGAATGTCAGATCGTCAGATCTTACCGCGAACAACTCCGCTGCCCCAGTGGGCTTCTTTTATTACATTTTTGATTTATTAATTATTTAATTCCAAGATTGCGAAATTTCGAAATGCACCGCCCTGGATGCACCAGTTGGCCCGCAAATACTCAGATGGTCCCCCCAAAGGCAGAAAGCAAAGAAATTACGAAAGTGACAGTTCGGTGCTGGTCGGGGGCCGCGGGATTTTTAATGTTTGCGAACCAGGATCTATGCAAGGTTGAATCGGAGCGGTAGTGTTTCCGTTTCCAGCCTTGTATTTTTCATTCTCCCGCTCTCTTTTGGGGGCGAGGTGTAATACCGTACTGTATTTTACAACGCAGATGTACAACGGGCACGGGGGAGAGAGAACCTTAGGTAGGTACCCTAGGCTGTGATGTGGATATAGAAACAGGAAGCCAAAGGCGAACGTGCGCGCTACAGCTGTGCGGAGGAGCGAGCCGAGTTCCCCTCGGGGTCGCAAGTTCCGCCCCCTCTTCCTTAGCTCTGCACTGTTGCGCAGTGACTGCGCAACACTGCGCAACACTGCGCAACATGCGCAGGGGTCCAACTGCATGTGTGGATTCGATGACGACTGCCTCACCGAGTCATTTTTCCTTTCCACGCGGGATCGTCCCGTTTCCAATGCGGCACTGGCAATCTCGGATGCCTTATCAGAACGGATGGGACTTCTTATGTCGTATTTGGGGTGGGCTACAAATTGCGTGCGACGACTCCTAGGCAAACAACAAAGGCTGGTACCGACTTGGAGACGGCGGCTATCGCTAGCGGATGGCACAGGCAGTGGCGTCCATAGCGGGCTGCCTGGTTATTTCAAATCAAATCCCTGTTCGATCCTGCAGGGGATCGAGACCAATTGTGTCGTGGAATGTGGGATCGGTTATCGAGACAAAGAAAATCGATCCGCAGAAAATGCCACAAGTAGACGTTGGAGGATTAGGTTGTAGGGGTTAGGGGGGGGTGTGGTTTGAAAGCGTTGTCGATCCACAGGAGACACATCCCAGAGTCAAGAGGAAGCCTATCACAAAATAGACGAGGATCCTCAATTTCATGATTGGCCGATGACCCTTGAATTTCTGCCACGTTCCACCCTGGCTTAGCCGGGGGCCCTTGCTGATGGTTGGCCGTTGGTGCGGCATGCAACATGCACGACATGACTCGTAACGAATGTGACTGAGAGTCTGGCCGCGGAGATCCACAGACCATGACTGGGGGGGGGGGGGGGAGCTAGCGACATCTCCTACGGTACTCCGGAAATGCCAAATTCAAATCACCGTCCGCGAGAAAGACTCGGCGTGTCCGGTATCACATGACCTTGCCGGTCTGCGGCTACGCGACTAAGACCGTTTCATTCAATCTTTCCATTGGCCATGGGCCCACCGTGTCAAGAGCTGTCGCAGGTTTTCGGCTTGGGGGCCATGTTGATCTGATCTGCACGGGACCGGGAGCTCCAGTCCGTCAACAAAGGGAAATTATTCGTACCAGGGGTCCGCTTGCTACTCTGCTACCCTGCGACCTTGCTAACCCCCCGTGGCGCTTCCCCAGGTGGGTGCAGGGTGACACTTCTGGAAGTCTCGGTTATCTCCCCTCGAGTTATCTCGAGAGCACGGCCCCTCGTGGATAGCTTGCCGAATCATGACCGTTGCGGAAGAAAACCGTGCCTGTGTCAAAAAGCCGTTGCAGATGACCGACGATCATGGTGACATCACGCGGTTAAAAAGGGGTGGACGATCTGGAGCTTTGACCTGATCGTGACACTGTGGGGAGAGCCAACTCGGCTCTCAATTTGGATTGATTGTGCACGGAAATGTCGCCCTGTTCCGATAGAACTAGACCCCCGCGGCGGAACCGTGGTTCACGATATCTAGGGGCTTTCGACTTCTCCACCGCCGAGCGCCATTTTCGTCTCTGTCATATTTGTTATTTCTGAACCCCTTCAAACCCTCGACTGCTACCTAGCCGGGATATTGATTCTCTCCTGCAGGTGCGTTGGCAAACGCAACGAGGTTCCACTTGACTGTGCCCAAATTGAGCCCGCATTAGCTCGTCCGTCTTATTCGTGGGTAGGTCCCGGGACCACGGCGTGCGTCGCAGCAGGTGACTAGGAATCTTCCAATAGACGCCGCGCTTGTCTGTTGGTTTTGTCCTTCTTGTTTTGTCCTGATTTTTATTTTATTTATTTATTATTATTATTATTATTAATTATTTTTTGGTCTCCAGGTCGAGGACGTGCGAGGCTGCCACTCTTTCACTACCTGCAGGGAAAACCCCGGAGAAAGTGAAAAGACCGTCCTTCATGGTTTTAGATTAGAGTGTCTAAACCCACTCGTCATGCTCACATGAGCCTTTTTGGTTTTAAAAAATGTCTAGTGTGGACGGGTGAAACATTGGGTCAGGACAGAGATTGCTCGCGAGGGTGAACATCCTACTGATTCTGCATGATTATCTCTTCTTGTTTTGGGCCGTGCTGGGGATTTGCAGGTCCAATCTAATTCTGCTAGACGATGCTACTGCTAGACGCTGATGGGCCCTCGTATACGATGGCGAATCGAGTCTCATGTAATGCGCGGCCCCACAATTTGTCATTTATGTATTTTTGGGGAGTCTGGTGCTGTTCCCCGCGTGCTATAGAAAATAAATTACCAAAAGAAATAAAAAAAAAAGATCTGCTGAAAGATTGTGCCATTTGCGCCCTGCCACCAGCAGGTGAAAATTGCCGCGTCTCTTTAACAAACGTTGTAAAATGACCGATCGAGGGATTAGAAATTACCCGATCCAAAGACCGTCCTGCTCTGCCCAGCTATGGAACCAAGGATTGCCACCAGCAGCAACTCAAAGAGGTTGCGATATCAATTTACTCAGTGGCGAATGAGAAGAATCCTAATGTCCAGAACGCGTTCATCGGTTCCGTAGGAGGTTTTTTTTTTTTTTTTTTTTTTTCGTTTTTTTTTTCCGAGTCGGGGGTGGAACTACCCACATCGAATGGCCCCCTCTCCGAATCCACTCCCCCATTAGGCCCAAGAACGCTTGTGTGTATCCGCGGTACAACTATACAGGGGGGCCAATGGGGCAGACAATTAGGCCCGACCCGTACATTGATACACTGCACCCAACAGCGCCGTTGGCCTGCGCCTGCGACTATTTTCGCAATGGATTTTCCTATTTTTCTCATTTAAGCCCGGCTGCTCCAGATGATCTTCCGTCATTTTAGAATTCTTGCTTCGATCTATAAACCGCTTTCTTTCCTTACCTTGGGGTGTCGCATATACTTTGGTACCCCCCTCCACCTACTCTATCTCACACAATCTCACACAATCTTCACACTCTAAGCTCCCAACTTTTGAGTCGGACTCGAGTTTCAGACAATTCCATAGCTCTTGCATTGTGGAGTTTGAAGCTGTTTGATCTATACCCCGTACTTGAAGTGCGGGATCTGGGTTCACCAGCTCATTGTCGATCTATAAAGCAAACCCCGTCCATACATCCATACATCCATACAACACATACAGAGGAAGCAACCAAACGCACCAAAAATGGACACCCGCACAGAAACATACGCAAGTCTTCCCTCATCACGGCAAAGCCGGATGAAAATCGACTCCCTGCTCAACCCACCCGCCGACTCGGTGGAACGAGATTACAACCCCATCTCCCCATGCCAGACAACGCCCAGCTACCAAGCCTATCCACCCTCACCGGGCTACTGGCGCTATCAAGGCTACCACGACACAAGCCCCGGCGCAACCTCAACTGCAACCACCCACACCTCCAGTAACTCAACCACAAGCACCCAACACCATCACATGTTCCTATCCTACCGACCATCGGGCTCAGCCCCCTCAAGCCCAGACCCGTACCAGCCGCGCGAGCGCTATGACTCTGTCTCCTCGTCTTCGTCGACAAACGCCGACCGCCGGCGGCCCCCGCGCCCAAAGTACGAGGAAGAGGAGATGTACTTTATCTGGTACCACCGCGTTGACCTGTGCCAGGAGTGGAAGGAGGTGCGGGAGAGCTTTAATCGCCATTTCCCCTCGCGGCAGAGACGCGGGTTCCAGGGTATTCAGTGCAAGTTTTATCGCTTTATTAAAGAGAAGAAGTGCCCTACGCTACGGGAGCAGAGGAGGATGAGGGATGGGGAGTTTCTGAGAGACGGCGCGAGTTTGGGGCATGATTCGGGGGCGCCCAAGTTTGGTGTTATTGAGTGGGCTAATGTTTGGTATCCGTGGATGAGGGAGAGTCGAGAGACAGCGTTGAAGATGCAGAGAGAGCATCAACAAAGACAGACTTGACTTGACTTTTTTTTTTTTTTTTTTTGTTTTGGGGAGGCTTTTTCCGTTTTCAAGATACCTCTAGGAGTTCTTTTTGCGTTTGGTTTGGAAGGCTATCTGCTTTAATTGTTTGGGGCTCTTGGAGTGCCCTCTTCCTACGAATATCTACAAACTATATGACAGCAATGTCGCGGATCTGGAGTGTTCACCTCGTTCAATTGATGTCTTACAAATCTAGGTAAGAACTTAAAATTGCCTTTGGGGTGACCAAGCCTTGGGGAATATTTCCTGCTTGACTGGACGGAGAGAGCCAAACAGGCACGTTGGAGCTACTGAGGGACCAGGCGTAGAATCTAATTTAAAACGATTAACCGATGTTAAGCCATGAAAGCCAAATCACGTCTCGCTCAGGGTCGCCTTCGCCTCACCACTCAAAAAGCTAATCACACACTAACGACGAGCAGACTGTACACCCAACCTCGGCCCTCCGTGAACCAAAAACAAAATGCACGGGGGATCAACTTCACCCAACGGACCAATATTCACCATGGGAAATTCCTCACGGCGCTGATCTCCCTAGCCGACAAGAACCAGATCCACTGTAATCCATAACAACACCCCACCAACAGCCCACTCGGGGGTGCCTGGTGCCTCCGTCCGGCGGCTGTTAGGCGACCATCGCTAACGCAATTCTGCCTACCTCGAGGGAAACAGGATTCGCGCAATTGGTGGAGAAAAACTCTGAATTTGAGTCATATTACTACCCAGACAGGGGAAGATAAAATCACATTGTCTCAACGGCGTTACCATGCACGCGCAGCCTCGCGCACGACATGACTCGTCGTGCACTAGTAAGCCAGGATCGCACCGAACCGAGCCGTGTTTTAGGAAGGTCGTTCATCCTGTTCCTTCCTCAGGAAGCCTACATCATCCACTGGCGAAGCGCGCAAGTTTCTACTAGTGTCAGTGCCATGGGGCTCTGTTTGATCTCCGATCGATCTTAGAAGGGGGAAAGGGGGATGCGTTGTCTCAGCCTCAACGGGGGAGACGTGTTAGGTTGTCGCTAGCCGGGGAGAATTACGTTGGCCTTATTGGTGATTGTGATTTGATTTTAATTTTGGGGGCCACGAGTGGCGGTACTTTTGTTCGGGGATCGAGGTTCGGAGTTTGTGGATTTTGCGAGACTTGTCCGGATCTTAGCGGCCTGGTATCGTGCGAGTCTAGCTTCTGGGTTTGAGTCTAGCTTCTGGGTTTGAAGCTAGCTTCTGGGTTTGAGGCGTTGCTTGGGGGGCTTCAGCGTTGCATTTTGGACTTGCATTTGCATTTGCATTCGCATTGACGTTGTAGTGGTATTTTGGTTTGGATTCGGTCAGCTTTAAAGTGCAATTGGAGTTGGCTTCGACGATCAACGATACTCCGATATTGACTTACCCCTTGCCAAGCTAAGACTTGGGTATCCCAAACTCACACTATTACTTCTCTACCAAGGTAAGCCCGCCGAGCCTAGTGAGCCGAACCAGAAAGGAAAAAAATACCCTAATCCTATTCAAACACTGCTCCGGACCCCGACCCATCATGCACAGTCCGTCTAGGGCTTAGACGATGCTGTCAAGCACACCATGCACGCGTTGAGGCACTAAAAGTCAAAAAAATACGCGCTAATGACCGAATAGGTAAGAGGGGCGCCACTCACCTCGGCCGAAGTATGTACGCGGCTGCTCATTTGTGGTGCGGCGCCCCTTGTTTCCGTACACCGAGGAGTCGGGAAATTATTCGATCGATCGTGTTCGCGATGAACTGCCCATCGGAGTGCTGACTCTGGGGAAAGGGTCGGTGTTTTTGTGCTGACGAGGGGAAGTGTTAATAGCAAAGCTTGTTCTTAGTATCGTGGTGGATTGTTACGGTGGCTAGTAATGACATATTTTCAGGGAGGAGAGGAAGAGAGTGAGTGGAGATAACTAGTTCAATATACATGTGTCTCGGCCGGAGTAATCTGTACAGCACCGTCTTACAGTTAAGAGTATCTACGACTTGTCTTTTTCACTGGGATGGAAGCATGATTCAGATTCAATTGACTACGTAAGTCTAGGTAGATGTACCGAGGCAGACCTAAAACCTTTCCTAATGATAGCTTCAAATCGATCTGAATTAATGTAAGCAACAGCAGAATTGCTGTAAAAATCAAACGAAAGTGCGAATCAGGAAAACTTGTCCACAACCGTGTGCCTCGAACCCCAAAGCCGTCAAACGAACCCTTTTCAGGCCCCGCGTAGTCCGGGTGGGTTGTCGTTAGGCGCTTTAGACGTCGTCGGCGACGACGGCGGCAGCGGAGAAGCGGGTACGAATGGCGTTCGCGTGGAAGCCGGTAGCGACCCGGCAGCTACTCATCAAATTTAATCAGTAAATTCTTGATGAATGGAAAACTAGGGAGTGGAAGTGAGGACTCACGGGTCGGGAAGATAATCGACCACACAGTCACCCCAGGAGGCAGTGTCTTCCTCGATGCCCGCCTTGAAATCCCACGCATGAGCGAGATTGCGGAAGAAGACGTAAATCATACCGGGCTTCAATTACTCATCAGTGACTTTCATTTCAGAAGAAAAGGGAGTTTGGCGTACCTTGTCACACTCAACCAGGTGGATGTGGTCGATCTCGTAACCCTTCGCGAGGTCGCAGAGTCTACTGAAGGAGTCGTTGGCGATACCAGTGATACGGATCACGCGAGTGATTCCTTGATGAATGCGCTCCCGCTGGGCAGCAGTGAGCTGATCGGTATCATCGGGTCGCTCGATGACAATGACGTGGTCGCCGAACACAGTGATGCCATTGGAGTTGGCTTCGTAGTAACGACGGCAAGCAACGTCGTCGCAAAACTGGACGATGACTTCTCCGTCCACAACGCTCCAAGCACGCTCCACGGCTCCGCCGTAGACCAGGCAGAGGACGTCCGTAATCGTGGTGGCGTTGGGCAGATTTCCGAAGATGATACGCCGGGGAGGGACAGTGATGCGCACGCCACTGCGAGCTTGGATGGCACGCAGCGAGGCCATAAATTCCTGAGGAGTACGGACTCCGCGAACAATGAGACCCCCTCCCGGAGCGAAAGCCAAAGCCTCGGGGTTGATTCCAGATTCGGATCTATCAGAAGAGGAAGACTGGCTTCGACGATGATCTCCATTGGGCATAGAGTGTTCCTGGACAAAAGGGTGAGTACATGCTTCCATCAAGGGCAGTGCGTGGTGGAGGATGAGCAACAGAGGGGATCATGAATCCTTGTGACGGGGCAATATGCATGTTTGGACGAACAAACAGGATCAGGACTTGCACTCACATTCACAAATTGGTAGTCCGCCAGAGGCTTCCTGTCAGGGTTGGGACGGAAAGGAACAAGGCCAGGGAGTGCATGGATGCTCTCTTCGAGAGACTTTCCTTTCTTGGGGAGGTAGTCAGAAATGACCGAGTGAACGGCTTCCTGCGCATCAACGAGCTCCTTAAGACGTTCCTGGCTGATAGGAAGCCAGCCAGTGCTGGAACCAGCAAGGAGAACCATGATGGGACGAAGGAAGTGACAGAAGGTGAAGGAAAAGACGAAATGAAAAGTAAAACTTGCCAGAACGAAGGCATCAGGATAATCAGGGTTGATGGTCAACCAACCCGTGAGGGAACCGAAAGAGTGGTCCATGGCAGTGGCCAGTATCATGAAGCAAATGTATTCATGAGACGTTCGGGTAGAGACGGAGGACGCAGGGAAGCGGAGGGGACGGAGAGGATGTGAAGAAAGGATGAAATCGGGGGAATGACTCGAGTGATGAGTCGCGCAGGCGTGCACACGACTCATCGTTTTAAGCGGGTCTTTGCGATGGTCTTGGTGATGCACGTAGTTAAACCGTAACCTAATCTTCATCGCAAACTACCAAAGACACCAACATGGCAGCCTGCTTCTCGGCTCTTTCAAGTACGTGCGGCAGACCGCAGCCTACCAGAAAAGGCATCCTATGCATCAATAACAGAAGTTATCATAAAGGCAATCACATTAAATGAGAAATCCTATATACAAAATTAGATCCACGATGATATCAAGGTCAGGCACCGGGAACGGGAATCTTTTCCCAGCCCTTCTGACCAGGCTGGCGGTCTTCAACAATAACTTGAAGGCCCCGACGACCACAATAGCCATCATTTCCAGCGATTCGATTCACGGTTTGGAAGGAGCCACCGCCGTTTTGGTTGGCATCAGGTACCCAGACCGTTTCCTGCACATTTTGCCCAGGGCCCTCTGTGCGTCGAGGGTTATGCCATGGCAGACCGACGAGATGGTTACCAAGGTTGTGGAGGAAGGAGTAAAGCTTCTCAAAACGACGAGTGACTCCCAACCATGACAATGTACGGCGGTCATATGCAACTCGAACATATGGGTTCATATAGATCCCGGTGTCGGTGATGTCGTCCACGTTGGTCTGCGGGTCCTGAATGTCGGCATGAATCAAGCAGCACTCAGAAGCTTCCCAGAAGAGATCTGGTGCAGATCGGAAGCGAACAGGAGTAGTACTAGTGGGTGGTGGAGTCTGGAAGTACTTGGCATCGAAGGCCACCATACCACCCCAACAACTACGCACCCTCACAGCATCACTCCCGGCGAGAACATCTCGGCGACTGTCCCCGTTGCCGGCTGTGGAGAACCAAGGGAAGAACGGAAGACCCATGCTGTATCCTTGCAGATCACGCGTTGCATAGGTGTCGTAGAATTTGAAGGGGTTGTCAAAGTCAACCGCACATGCGGCGCGGTATTGAGACACGCCGTCCTCGTTGGCGTGTGTTGAGAAGAGTAACTGCACTGCGTCCAGTGGGTCGAAAAGGACGTCATTTAAGTAGAGCAGCTTGTCGTACCGAACGTCCGGGTGCTCTTCAAGAGACTTCAGTGCCTTGTTTCGGACTTGAGCGAGATACTCAATGCGTTTCACACGTTTATCTCCACCCGGGATCGTCACGGACGGCAATGTCTTGATGTCAAGATGCTCCTCAAACACAATCGCCTTGGGGGACGGGATCTGCTGCTCTAACTCTCGCAGAGCGTTTTGTCCTTTCTCCCCACTGTCATTCTCATAGATGCTCACAAAAACGTTTTGATCCCCTAATAAGTCAATCAACTGCAGGAGTTGCAGGCCCCATTGACCCCCGGCGAGCTCGCCACCACGATCGTATAGACTCGCCGCTATAAACACTTTCTCATTGCGCGGATTTCCCCTCCCAGCATAGCTCTTCTCAAGCACAGATGTCCGTAGTGTCGCGTAGTGCGCCGGCGGGCGAGTATAGGACGATCGAAAGATCGAAGTCAAGAAGGCAAGGGCGAAGACAATTCCAAAAACGACATGAAGATAGCAACATCTCCGACGAAAGACAAAGCGGCGGAAACACGTCGAGCGTGACGAGCTCGTCAGTATCGGTCTGGAATTGGTCTTCAAACGACGGTATCCTGAGAAATTCTGGAAGATCCGGGGCAACCAGGATCTGCGCGCGCCGAACCTAGAGGCGGGAGGGATTTGTGATTCGAAATCGGCTTCGTCGAGGTCGAAGGTGCCGTCGGAGTCGACTGACGAGCGCGAGCGAAGTTCGTACTCGTCCGGGTGTAGCAGGCGGGACGACATGGCGGAGATGCAGGTTGGAATGGGAGCTCTTTCAGCCCATACCCAAGGTGGCGTTTACCTGCGCGATGGTTTGGATGGGAGATTGGGTAGATGCAGCCATCATCCACCTGCTCAATTTCAACGGTGATCCCCTAACCCGTCTGCCTTCTGTCTGACACAGTAAATCTTATGTCATCAATGATCACGTGACCAGTCACGATCATGTATATGCCAGCATTAATTGAGCGGTATTGATCAAGTGGTGGAAAATGTGTCATCAATCAAAACGTAAAAAAGTCACATAGAATAAGAGGGAGTATTGGTTTTGCTAAAGGCTGTCCGATGAAAAAGGTCAACTCGGGGACAAGGCAAAAGCGGAGGGCTTGTGAAGTCATGAAGAATTCTGGGGTGGGCGACATGTGCGTATGCGAGTAGCTTGCGCACATTTGCCTGTGATAGCCATCGCCGCGGCGACCATGGATGGCGCCCGCCTTCTTGACGACAATTGCTACAGCGACGACTTATTATGCTATGAAAGGCAGATTCGAGTGTATGTTCTCGGCGGTTAGTATAGTTTGCCCTACCCTTCACTACCCTACCCCTATAACGGTTAGTATGATTGAACTACCTCACAGAGTAGGTATAATAAGCAAAAGCAATATATATACAGTATGTCCCCGCTGCCTGTCAAAGACCAGATAGCTCTGCCCCTCAGCGGGGAAGCTCGAAGAGTCATCCTAAAGTTTCCGGGGTTGGTGACGTAGGCGTATCATGTAACACCTTTGGGCCTGCAGAACTTTGGACTCGGCGCGGTTCTTCTTCTCAAATTCTCCCGAGGAACTGTCTGTGACTTTCTCATCCTCTTAATCCCAAAGTTATCTGGGTACGGACTTACCGTGCCGTTGTGTGACCCTCGATTTATACATAGGAATCATCTCCATCTCCAACGTCAGCCACCACACCCTCTCATCATGTCTCACTTCATCTTCGTCAACTCCAAAGAAGACGTACCCGGCGGCGAGATCCTTCCAGCAGAATTCTCGATAAAAGCACACCCTTCAACAGACATCTGGTCCAAGCCCCCAGACACCCAAAGCTTCACGGCCCCCATCTTGTACCAGCCCGTCCCACTGCAATCCTTCAAGCGGGTGCGCGTCGCCTTCAACGCCCAGTGGAAGCACAAGTACGACCAAGGTGGTCTGGTAATCGTTCTTCACAAAAAGGACGGCAGCCACAAGTGGGTGAAGGCCGGCATTGAGCTCACCCATGGGAAGCCGCACCTCAGCGCCGTCGCCAAAGACAACTGGGCGGACTGGAGCTTGCTTCCCGTGCCTTCTGGCGGCGGAGCTGCGACCCTGGAGATGGTCAGAGAGGCGGATGATAGTCTGTGGATTTATCTGGTCGAGGGCGTGCAGAAGTCCCCAATCCGCGAGGTCACCTGGATTTTCCAGGAGAACGTGCAGGAGTGCTGGGTTGGTGTGTATGCGGCTCGGCCGGCTACGGAAGGCGGGGAGCTGAAGGTCAACTTTGGACACTTGATTATAGACTTGAAATGAAGTAAGTAGATGGGCGAAACATGTTATTTATGATGGAATGGATGGGAATGGGTATTCCCGCCCATTACAAGGTCGATAGTGAACATGAATCGGACATGGACCAACCTTGGTGTATACATAGACTGAGTCGTGTTCACCCGTGATAGTGTCATGCCACAGGCACGAGCCAGAGCCAGAGCCAGGCCCCGTCTTGGTTGACCTGCAGGTCGAGACGATCCCGGGCCGCACAAGGTGATCGCCCGCACTGTGGAGATCAACTGACCCTAGTCGTACATGGGGTCAGCTCAGCTGCAGTACTGTACTCCAGCCCCAGAGTACGCGCCACAGTCCTAGCATCTACAGTACACCTCTGGAAGAAGTGTAAACCCAGGTCCACCGAGCAAATGCCCGATTTGCAAATTCAAGTCCCACGTGCCCTCGAACTCGGACTTTGCGCCGTAACACGCGGACAGCATGGCGGGGAACGGAATTGCAGTATTCTAGATGGTGTCATAGCTAGGTAACTACCGGGGTAGTCGCCTGTCCGTCTCTCTCCCGGTGGCCGTTACGAGGCATACCACTCGGACTATAGGGTATTTACCACTCGGGCATCGGGTGAAACAATCAATGGACGCCCCACCGACAAAGACCAAGGATGACGATTCAGCGACCCAACCCACCAAACAAGGCTCTTCCCAGTATCTTATCGATCAATCATATCTGATTGTTTGGCCAGGAGAATCCGGATTACGTGTCAGGCCACTTCTTGACGCGAGGCCCGGCCTTCCGTATCTGTCCTTAGGATCCCCTGTCCGCGTCCGTGCCTGACAGCTTTGTCTCCACTTTCCGACTCTGACTTTTGACTGCTCAGGTGAGGAACCTGATTCTTGCACTTGTCTTCTCTTCCAGCTGAACTAGTCTAGGTGCAGCCAGCCGGAATGTTGAGGCCCGCAGTCCCCAAATCGCGCCTTGCAACTCGTCTCTACCCGCAATAATCCCCCCATCGACGTGCATAAGTGCGACCGACGATCAGGCTCGGTTCGCTCTTCATGCCGGTATCGCCTGACTTTCCGACTCGGCATTTTTTCTTTTTCCACCTGGAGCCGCGTACTCTCCTCTCCATACAGTAGTGGTCATAGTGGCCAAAGTGGCCCCCCACCGACGGATCTACCCTTGCGCTGCCTGGCCGCGATCCTGCTACTTATAGCATAGCCATTTTCATGCTGGATTCTCGATTACCGCGCTTGCCTCGGATTTTTCTTCCTTTCTTCCTCACCTTTCTGCGCCCCTTCTTTTCTTCTTCTTCTTTTTCATTTCCCCTGATCGTCCCGCAGATTTGCTGACGTATCTTCTTGCTTTTTCTTGTCGCGCGGTCAACCTGACTGGCTCAGTCGGCCCAAGGGACCCTCTCCCCTCTTGGAAAGGTGCCCAAGCGGTGTTGAATCAAGCAGAATTCCATCCCCTTTTATGTGATACGCCCGCCGCTTGTCACGCTGATGTTGCATGAATTATTTTTTTGTTTTCTGTTGACGACTCATTTGTCCGTCGTTTTCCCCTTCTATCCGGATCGCGATCGCCGCTCCTCCTGTGATTTCCTACCTGTCTGAGTCTCTCCCGACGTATGGACACTCTATCCATCCTCCGTGTTATACTTCCTCGGTGTGCTCTCTGATCCCTTCTGTTGCGGAGATGCCTCTTATCGACTCCCGCTCTGGCCCGTCGTACGGTACAATCGAGCACGACAACATGGACGCCGAGAGGGACCAATTGTTGGCGGAGGACTATGACACGCACGGCGAGCCTAGCGGCGTTTCGACTCCCGACGAGACGCAGGAAGGTGTTCTTAAAATCGAGGCCATTAATATGACATGGACAGCTCGATCCTTAATTGTCGCCTACGTCGGGTTCGTGTGCCTTGCAGCGTCCCTGTCCCTTAATAATCACACCCCGCTAATTTGGCGCAAAGTATATTCCTCATGGCATTCTGCACGTCTCTAGAAGGCCAGACAGTGATGTCCTTGTCGGCATATGCTACTAGTGCCTTCAGCAAACACTCGTTGATCTCGACGGTCCTCGTCGTCCAGAATGTAGTCAATGGTAAGGGCCACCTGTCATGGCGCCAGGCCAATAGAGTGTACCCCGCTAATACTATCGCAGCTGTTATCAAACCGCCCATGGCCAAGGTCGCTGATGTTTTTGGTCGTTTTGAAGCCTTTTGTCTCAGCATTTTGATCTACGCCCTGGGATATGTGCAAATGGCAGCTTCCACCAATGTGCAAACTTACGCCTCTGCCCAAATCTTTTATTCAGCCGGCTCGACCGGCTTGCAGATCCTCCAGCAGGTGTTCATCGCCGACAGCAGTGACCTGTTAAACCGTGCATTCTTGGCATTGCTGCCCGAGTTCCCGTTCTTGGTTACTGTCTGGATCGGGCCGACTATTGCAGGGGCGGTGCTCAAAGCATCTTCATGGCGATGGGGTTATGGCATGTGGGCGATCATCTTGCCCGCGGCTTTCCTGCCTCTGGCGCTCACTCTACTTTTCAACCAGCGCAAGGCTCGAAGACTGCATTTGATCAAGGAGTCCAGGCATAGGCGGAGAAAAACTAACTTCGTTGGCTTTGTTAAACGGACCTGGTACGATCTTGATGTCGGCGGTTTGACACTGCTCTCTGCCGCTGTCACTTTGCTCTTGGTGCCGTTGACCCTGGCGGCCAACGCCAACGGTGGTTGGAAAAACAAGAGTATCATTGCGATGATCATTCTTGGTGTTCTATGTCTGTGCATCTTGCCATTCTGGGAATCTTCGAAGAAACTGGCCCCCAAGCCCTTGCTCTCATTGCATCTCCTCAAGCAACGAACTGCTCTCGCGGGGTGTGCATTGGCATTCTGGTATTTTAGTATGTTTTCCGATCCCTTCGGACTGATCGTCGATACTAACTGCCTTTAGTGGCGTTCTACTTCTCCGTCCAACCCTACCTTTACTCCTACCTGCAGGTCGTCCAGGGATACGACGTAGCCACCGCCGGCCGCGTCACTCAAACCTTCGCATTTACATCCACCATCGCCGCATTCAGCGTCTCCCTTCTGATTAAATATACCCGCCGCTACCGAATTTTCGTGACAATCGGCTGTGTTATCTACATGACCGGTCTGGCTCTGATGCTTTTATACCGTGGCGAAGGCGCCTCTCACCTGCAAGTGCTAGGCACTCAGGTCATAATCGGCTGTGGTGGTGGCCTGCTCAACGTTCCGGTCCAATTGGGTGTGCAAGCCTCCGCAAGCCACCAGGAAGTGGCCGCCGCCACCGCGATGTTCCTGACCTCCATGGAAATGGGTGGCGCCGTCGGCGCAGCCATCTCCGGAGCTGTATGGTCCCACCAGATCCCGAAGAAGCTGCTCCAGTATCTACCGGAAGAAACCAAGTCTGAAGCCGGCGAGATCTTCGGCAAGCTTACCAAAGCCCTGTCTTACGAGTTCGGCTCCCCGACTCGCACGGCCATCAACCGCGCCTACCAGGAGACCATGAACAGGCTCCTGATACTCGCCATCATCGTGACCTTACCACTCATCCCACTCAGTCTCGCAATGGTAGACTACAAACTCGACAAGGTGAGCACAATCCCATGCATCTAACCCCCTTCTACATAAAACTAACAAGAAAAAAGATGATTCCCGGGTGTCACGACGACAGTTCCGAAGAACCAACACCTCCTCCCCTGGAAGACCCCGACTCCAACACCCACCACAAGCGAATCTAGGACACCCATGCGCATGAAAGTAACGACTGTACGAACCGATTATATGTCACATTTTGCGTTGCATTCCAAAATTCCAGGCGTTCTGATTTCTTCATTCGTACCATATCCCTGTCCATGAAATAGCTCGATCTTCACATCTATTTGATGGGGTCTGGTTGACACCCCCTCTGCATTTGGCGTTGAAATATGTAGAATGATTCGAGCTTGCGGCCCTATAGACAGACGGCAATGAAATTCGGATTCACTTTAGAGATTGGGTGTTCGGGGACGTGTTTGGGATGTTATCGAATGTAGGCACGCCTACCCAGCTGACATTTGACATCCTTCTGGGATAAAACCCGACTGGGTCCATTTATAAACTTCGTATTGAATTATTATTGCAACGCGGCGTGCTGCAGTCCATCGGTTCCTGGCAGATAGCTCTGACGGAAAAATAGCCAAATACTGATCCAAAGGCCGACTTTCTTTCAACCATCATAGCTTGTAATATATATCCCCAGATATCAGCGTCCTTGTTGGATCCATTGGATGGTTATTCTCCCCTATCGCCATTTCAATGAATCTTAGCAATCGTAGTTGCCAAGGCCGGGTCCTAGATTCAAGGCGATGATCTTGACTCGAGGCGGCTTTGATACATCCACTCGCCCACGGCTCGTTCTCACCTGGACAGTCGGTGTCCAAAGTACCATCTCATCACGCGAACACCCACATTTCATGATGACTAGCAACCGAACTATCCAAGCCCAGCCCCATACCCCTGCAGTACCCGAGCACAAGCCTACACTGTACGAGCTGCAGACCCTGTGGCCCCTGAAATGGCCCGAGGCCCCCGCCCCATCTAAGCTCCGCCCCCAGGACAAGCGAACAGCTCGGGGCGATAGGTAATCTGCGCATGTACCTGCATATCTTATGCAGAAATAGCAAGCCTCACCTTTCGGGTAATCCTAGGTTCAGCACGTGCCAAGAATTGGGGGCGCAATCTGGCGCGGATGGACCTTGGATTCTTGGTTTTAGGCTACTGAGGTAGCTCGTATGGGTAACATCGGGGAAAGATAGAAGGGTCGCGCTTGTGAGGGGATGAAACAAGGGGCAGGCGAGAGTGGTCCTTGGCTTGACCCGCTCGTTACGGGATGAAGGGGGAAGGGTCGGGGTGTGGCTTTTTTAGAGATCGGCTGAGGGGAAATCGTGCATATAGGGGTGCGAAAAGGGGGCAAGCCGTTGGAGTCGAGGGCTGCTTATGGGTCATTCCGCGGCGTTGGCGATTAGCTATAGCTGGGTCATGAAAGGTACGGTGCCTTTTGAGGCGATCGCGGTGTTTTATGTTTTATGCTATTTGTATTCACGGTACAGCTAGGTAATCCGTAGTTCGTAGTCCGTACTTGAATGGAAATTTACTTAATGGTGCGACGTGTGAGTTATGAAGGTTCCCAAATATGAATATCCAGCAACTGTCAGTCCAATTTGTGGATCACAGCGCTTAGCCGACGCTGTTCACATCGAGGCCTTCTTTGATGCGCCTTGCCGTGGACTTTGAGCTTGTCACGGAGATATGTGCTGTGAATTTATTCTGGAGTTAAACACGATGAAATCAATCAAATCAATGAGTTAGCGTGTGGACATACAAAAGCCAGGAGTAAAAAATAATAATAGCCCGTGCTCCGTATCCGACGAGACTAACAAGCGGCCGTCTAGACTCCATACTCTGCGGGTTGCCCCATTCAATCCAGACCACAGCTCTGCCTCCCTTTTTGTTCTCCCACACTCACAACTTTCTTTCCCGCCCCCCCTCTCCCTCTCAACTCCCTCCATCTCGATTCATCCTCATTTCTGCTGCTGCTCAGAATGGTTGTTGCTACTATCAAGTACGCGCCTTTCCCTCTCCTTGCCGAGCCCCCCCTCTCTGGGACTAACCCCGATCTTCTAGGTGTGTCGTGGTGGGGGACGGTGCTGTAGGAAAGACCTGCCTGCTCATCTCCTATACAACCAACAAGTTCCCTTCGGAATATGTGCCCACCGTCTTTGACAACTACGCGGTGACTGTGATGTAAGTGACGCCGATTCCTTTCCCCTCACGCCCGCAAACCTCGAGTCTGAAAAGAGCCTCCCCCAAAATCCACACCCACAAAGCAAATCGCCTCTAACTTTGTTTTCACAGGATCGGTGATGAACCCTATACCCTTGGCCTCTTCGATACCGCCGGTCAGGAAGATTACGATCGCCTGCGCCCGCTGTCGTACCCCCAGACCGACGTCTTCTTGGTCTGCTTTTCCGTCACCTCACCCGCCTCGTTCGAGAACGTCCGCGAAAAATGGTTCCCCGAAGTGCACCACCACTGCCCCGGTGTCCCCTGCCTTATTGTCGGCACCCAAACCGATTTGCGCGATGACCCCAACGTCCGTGAGAAGCTGTCCCGCCAGAAGATGCAGCCCATCCGCAAGGAAGACGGTGACCGCATGGCCAAGGAGCTCGGTGCCGTCAAGTACGTCGAGTGCTCTGCTCTGACACAGTACAAGCTGAAGGATGTCTTTGACGAGGTATGAGATGTCCCATTTTTTGCGCTTTTAGCGGGCGCTCTGAGAGGGGGTTGCGACTCCGTCTCCTTTTCTACACCGCTAACTCGCCTTGCACAGGCCATTGTCGCCGCCCTCGAGCCGGCGCCTAAGAAGAAGTCCAGTCGCTGTCGCTTGCTGTAAACCTTTTTTTCTGGACATTTTTACAGGTGGGTTTCCTTTTGCGCGGTGGATCCCCGTGGGATTTTCTGGTTGACACGAAATGTCCGACAGATACGACGGAATGAACCTGTTTTGCTTTGTGCTGTTTTGGGAGGGCAAACTATCTGGCCGACCGGCTTACTGGGATATTCATATGCAGCGGTGAAAGCGGGATCTTTGTTATGAGCTAGCGTTGCTATCTGAATCGTTTCGACCAACTTCGCGTTTCTAACGGCTCGATTTGCCTCGTGTGCTCGATCACTCTCCCTCGGTCTGCGCAATATCCCAGTTTCAGCTTTTCCGACTGGTTTGCTTCTCCTGCCCCTCCTCTTCTCTTTCTATTCTTTTTTGGCTTCGTCCTGCTGCGCCCATCTGTCGCCCACCCGAACTGCGAATTCTCGACCATTTTTGCTCCCCTCCATCCCCATACCCCCGATGTCCGATCCCCGAATTCTCTCCTTCACGACAGCGACCGCGAGTTTCGACCCTTCTCCACCCCTCCTGTCTCCGACATGCCTGACAACCCGCCACCCGAATCCCCTCTTCGTATTCCCTCCGTTCCCTGCTTTCAACCTTTCTCTCGTCTCTCTCGGCGTTGGACGTCAGGGCGTCGTGTTTTTGACTGGCCATTGATTGCCGTTGTTTCTCTCCCCTTTCTCTTCTCATTCTCGGCCTCGCACCTTCGGATCTCTCGAGTTTGCTGTACCCGTTCCCTGAGACCCAACTCTATCTTTGCATGCGTATTATTGCCATCTTCACGGATTTCTTCCTTCTAAGCATTTCTGTTTTCTTTGCCGGTCTCTCTCTCTTCTCGTGCAGCTTTATCCGAGTGCAAGACCATGAACCTTAGAACGCTGCAGACAGAGGTCTTCAATTCACATGTTCTATGACCATCTCGTTTTCATCGTAGACGGGATCATAATGAGCTGCTGGACTGGACCTGGACTTTGATAATCGATAATCAGCAAGGGCCTTGGATCAGTTAATTTTTATATCACCTCGAACGCGCCTGTAATTCGGGTGTTGGGATCGCTACTTAAATCATGAAGCAATTTTTGTGTCATATGGCATTTCATTCATTCTCTTCTCTACAATCGTGTGTCTCGTATATACTACAATCTCCAAGCATCAAGCCTCAAGCCTCAAGCTTAGAGTTCATCCTTGGCAACCTTGTCCTCAGCCTCAGCCTCAGCCTCACCAACAACAGCACTGTCCATAAGGTGACCGTACCACCCGCCAAGATCCTCATCAACACCAGCCTTAACCATGCTAGTAATAATCTCAAATGCAACCTGCGCCGCGGCCAGAGCAGTAGTCTCACCCTTGTTATCATAAGCAGGGCTAACCTCCACAATATCCGCGCCAACAAGATTCAACTTCTCAAGTCCACGCAGAATGCGAATGAACTCACGCGTAGTCCAACCACCCGGCTCAGGCGTGCCAGTACCGGGCGCAGTCGAAGGATCCAACACATCGATATCAACAGAAAGATAAACAGGCTGCTCGGGATCAAGACCAGTACGCTGGATAATAGTATCAACCACACCCATCGGACCAAGATCATCGATATCATCAGCATGGATCCGAATAAAGCCCTGCTCAGGTCCGGGGTTCGTATAATCTCCCGCATCAACACCGGTAAGTCTCGTGCGCAGACCCGCATGCGCAGAGGTAGCGTTACAGATCAGTCCCTCCCGACTAGCCTTGTGGAAGAAACTGCCGTGGTTAAACTGGGTCTGCTCGCTCTGCCAATACGCGGAGTAGCGCACGGGGTTCCACGTATCGAGATGCGCATCGAAGTGCAGCACCGTAATCGGCTTCTGGTAAATCTTATGCAGAGCACGCAGCGCAGGCAGCGCAACGCTGTGGTCGCCACCGAGAGTAACAAGCTTGGGGTGTCCAGAGCCGATGGTATTCTCGCCCTTGGGCGCCTTGTTCACCGTCTTGCGGGAGCCGAGCTCCAGGAAGGCTTCGTACATCTGGCGCTCGGCCAGCCCGTTGTCGAAGGGCGTGATGGGGATGTCGCCGCAGTCGGTGATCTTGGCCCAGGACTTGTATGGGTTGATTCCCGCGCGGGTGTTGTAACTTGTTCCTGCCATTTGGCGAGCGGACGCGGCGCGGATGGCGCGCGGACCGAAGCGGGCGCCGGGTCTGTAGCTGACGGCTGTGTCGAAGGGTGCGCCGATCACGGCGATGTCATAGTTCTCAGTGGGCTCGATGAGACACTTGACGGGCTTGAGGTGGGCGAAGCTGGCGATGCCGGTGAAGGACCACTAGATTCATTAGAGTGTATTCGACGGGTTAAGAATGCATTGGAGCGTACCTCCTGATCCCACTTCTTCAGCAGCTCCTCGCGCTCATGCTCGGGGACGACTTCGGCGTCGCCGTGGTGAGCACAGGATGCCGCGCTGCCGGCGAGCGCCAGCAGGCTCACGAGAGACTTCCAGGCGGGCATGACTCAAGGTTTGAATGTGTATAGCAAAGAGAAGAGAATAGGTAGAACCAGGGAATATATATGGCCATTTTCTTCTCCGCTGGACTTCCTAATCAGCACTATCTTATCAATGCATGTAAAGGGAAAGACGAGCAGATTCGGCCCCGCCAAACCTCCGCCCGAGCCATCCGTGGTCCTAAGTCGTGCAGACCTTCCCTTCTTGGACCCTTTCTTTTTACATTCCTTTATACTCTTTCTACTACCTTTTATCTACTGCCTTATTGAAGCTATGCCATGCGTCGTGTCGTCGTGACGGGTTTAGGCGCGGTTACGCCGCTGGGTGTTGGTGAGTTGTTACCCCCTGTTATTCCTCTTCTATGCCCCTGGTCGGATATATGCCCTCAACACCCCGATGCCAGTGCAAGACTCGCACTCGATCCGTTACCCACCATAAGATCCTCACCCCGGACTTCGGCATGGGAGCTCGACGCGCAGAAAAAACTTGCGGCGGCGTCCCCACATCCGCCACCGAATGGGGAAAGTCTTAACAGCCAATGACGGCATATCTACCGGGGAACAACACCGAGCTTCGCTCAAAACAGAAGGGCCATGAGAAAGCTGCTGTACTATACTCGGCAAGGGAGGGACTAACTGTTTCTGGTGTGATGCGCAGGTATTCGTCGCACTTGGAGCCGCTTGTTGGAGGGTCATTGCGGCATTATTAATGTGAATCATCGCGATGCGAGGTTCAAGGACCAACCGTGTCAGATTGCGGCTGTCGTGCCGAAGGGGAGTAGGGATGAGGGTGGCTGGATGGCTTCGGAGTGGCTGAGTCGTGGGGTAAGTCACTCACTGTGGGAAGTATGGTCGTTGGATGTGCACTGATGTGGGGTTGTAGGAGGGGCGCAAGATGGCTACGTTTGCGCAATATGCGATGGCTGCAACGGAAGAGGCTTTGGGGGATGCGGGATGGAAGCCTGAGCCTTTTGAGCAGAGGGAAGCTACGGTATTATATCTGATTACTTTGCTGTCGAAATGTTACTGACATGTATAGGGTGTCTGTCTCGGCTCTGGGATCGGGAACTTTGAGGAGATCTATGACACTGTTGTCGCGTATGAGAAAGGCGTACGTGATGCATCTATCATTATGGCATTGCAAATGCTAAATATTCGAATAGGGCTACAAAAAAGTGAACCCGCTGTTTGTACCCAAGTTGCTCATCAACCTGGGCGCTGGCCACATCTCTATGAAATATGGATTCATGGTATGTTTCTTGCATCGCGAAGATTGACCATGGCTCACTCGTTCAGGGACCGAACCACGCAGCAACGACTGCTTGCACGACTGGCGCCCACTCCATCGGCGATGCAGCCCGCTTCATTGCATGTGGTGACGCCGATGTGATGGTTGCCGGCGGCGCTGAATCTTGTATCCACCCACTGGCTATCGGCGGCTTTGCTCGAGCCCGCAGTCTTGCCACCGACTTCAACGATAGCCCAGAGAAGGCGTCGCGGCCATTTGATGCTGACCGCCGCGGGTTCGTCGTCGGTGAAGGTGCGGCAGTAATCATTCTCGAGGTACCCGCTCAACTACTTTGCAATCTTGCTCGAAGTACTAACGCATGAGATGCAGGAATTGGAGCATGCTCGCGCTAGAGGCGCAAACATCTACGCTGAGCTCAGGGGATACGGCTGCTCCAGCGATGCACACCACATGACAGCCCCCAAAGAAAACGGCGAGGGTGCCTATATGGCAATGAAAAAGGCGCTGAAACAAGCCCAGTTGCCCCCTTCAGCCGTCGACTATGTCAACGCACATGCAACTTCAACTATTGTTGGCGATTCGGCTGAAAATGCCGCTATCAAGTCCCTCCTTTTAGGCCCGGATGGCAAGCAGAAGGCAGCAGATGTCAACGTGAGCAGCACCAAGGGTGCTGTCGGACACCTTCTCGGCGGTGCCGGCGCCGTGGAGGCTGTTTTTAGTATTCTTGCTATCCAAAATGTGAGTGGTTTCGTGAGTTACAAGGGGATTTGATATACTGACAGACCTTATCAGGGTGTTATGCCGCCTACTATTAATTTGAATCGCTTGGCGGATGGCTTCGACTGCAATTATGCGCCACATCATGCGCAAAAGCGGCAGATCAATGTTGCCTTGACGAATAGTTTCGGATTTGGAGGGACGAATAGCTCGTTATGCTTTGCGAAGCTTGAAAAGTGAATATCTTGTACCATACTACACCGTTTTGAGCGCTAGCTTGTTCAATATCTCGATGCATAATAGTGCGCTGCCACATTTTTTTTTAAATTTTGCAAATTAAATAGAATCCCGATTCGTGCTTATAAGCAAAACATACCTTCTATGTGAATTCCACTGTAAACCTTTGTACAATTTAAAGATGTTGTCCGTTGTTGTGTTGCTTACAGTGAACCGGGGCGCACGTGACCCTATCCAAATGCGGAGCCCCAGCCCGACGTCGATTTCGGAGTCCAATGTGAACACACCCTATCTGATCCACTTTGGCGCGATCAAATCCCTATTGATAGTGCCAGTGAGCGTATCTCAGTCTCAGGGCCTCTCCACCTTGCGCTCACCATGGCGACGAACGGCAACTCCGGTCGAGGTAAGCGCCACCCGATTCCTCGAGCGCGACACAAGAAACCGTGCTGGGATGTAACACCGGCGGACGAGAGGCCTACACTGGACAAAAAGCTGATTTTTCGGTCGCGTAACAGGATCGGGTAGCCTGGTCGGTGCATCGGGCTACAAATTTACTGATAAGGATACTAAGCCGGGGAAGATGAAGGTTAAGAAGACGTCCAAGGTGTCGGCGAAGAAGAAGGCGGATGGTATGTTCCTGCCAATGGCATTATTTCACTCGGGCGGTACTTACCTTTTATCTGTTGACAGATTCCAAGGACGGTGTCCTCGATACTTCGCCCACTTCCTCACCTCTGCCGAAGCTGGATGACAAGATCGCCGCGTCGTTTCCAACTGGTAAACCGCACCAGGAGGACCTGCTGGAAACCGTCATCTGTAAGCATTGCAAGCGACCTGTGCTGAAATCCACTGCGCCGGAGCACATCCGCGGCTGTCTGAAGGCGAAGCAAGAGAAAGCGCGCAAGAAGAAGGAGGCACGCGACGCAGCCAATCGAGCGAAAGCTGGCGACGACGACGACGTTCGCGAAAAGGCGGATATCGGTGATGACGTGATGACGGGCCAGAAGAGCGCAAAGAAGAGCGCTGTCAAGGCTACCGAGGACAACAAGAAGGGCAAGAAGCGCAAGGCCGACGAGGACGACAAGGAGCCTAAGAAAAAGAAAAAGAAGGATGAGCCCAAGGCCAAGTCAACCAAAGCTAAGGGTCCTGTGGATGTTGAGAAGCAGTGCGGCGTTACATTGCCCAATGGTGCCCAATGTGCTCGCTCTTTGACTTGCAAGAGTCATTCCATGGGTGCTAAGCGTGCGGTGCCTGGCCGGTCTCTACCCTATGATATGCTGCTCCAACAGTACCAAAAGAAGAACCAGGCTCGTCAGCAAAGTACGATTTTCCCCGAGATCATTCACTGCGGACACGCTGCTAACCTTTTCCTACAGAGGCTGCTATCGATGCCAATGCACCGCTGCAAGAGGATATTGAAGTCAGCGGCCCAGTCGATTCAGATGAAGAGCGTGACACAGTCATGGCTGCTATCGCGCGCTCCAACCCAAAGCCTTTGGCCGAACACACCCTGATCACCTCCAAATCCAAGTACCGCTACGTACGGATCAAGGAACAGATGCTACACGCCATGGGCGGACGAGCAGGCGGCGGGCTCTTCTCAACAGAAGACAGCCAACCTCTGTTCGGAGGGAGTATCTTTCAAGCCTTCGATCCCAACGTGGACGCATCCTCATCCCCAATGCTCCCAGGCACAGACTCCGGGGATGTCGACGGGTCCAGGAAAACCCCAGTACACGGCACACGCAAAACACCCGTGGCAGTGGCCTCGTGAGCTGCTTGCAATTGATGACGATTTAACGACTCTTTTCGGGAGCTTGGTGCCTCGCTTCTCTTCGCTTGGATCTTCTTTAAGGTGCACTGGATGCCGTTGCTGGAGTTTGAGGGCGCAGGACCCGATGCATACACTTTTGCTTGTCCTGATTTTTATGAGAAGGGCTTGGAACAGGCTGGTTCTGTTTTCTTTCGGTGATGATATGATACCCCGGCTGGTGATATGTTTCACTCAATGTCTATTTTGCAATGGAATTTCGTCCGTGTATTTTCTTCCTGTAGTTATGTAGCTCAGTGTGTACTCTAAGGGTTGGCTCAATATACTCAACTTCCATGGTTCCAAGGTATAGTCAACCGCCTCAAGTACCTGGGGCAACTGGCATGTCACGTGATAATAATATCAGGTGTCAAGGCAGTCAGGCAGTCAGGCAGTCAGGCAGCAGCACATCTATCTCTCGACTCCGCCGATCGTTGTCTCTGAGACCCTCAACCATGTCGCAAGCCTGATCTAACTGCTCAGTCGAGCTCTTCTCACTTTGAAATTACCTTAGAGCTGAAGACAGCTTATAGACCATTGCGTGGGCATGCGCCCTTCGCCTTCGCCTTCAATTCGCGTCGACCTCTCCAAGTCCAGTCCTGCTCCCACCCTGATTCTCCCAGCGCCCCTCGAGGCAGTCTCCGATTTCTAGATACCAGTTCACGATATCCCCACGGCCCTCTCCAAGTATTCTTCTTCAATCTCCCGCAATGAGTCACTCCGTTCCCGACCTCGACGCTATAGGCATCAAAGCCGAGTACGACCTAGCAGACCAGTTCCGTCGCGAAGTAGCTGCCCTCCTCGGCCGCAACAATCTCAATTTTCCCGGCGCACAACCAGTCAGCTTCTCCTCGAAACATCTGACCGAGCTGCAAAAGGAGGACTACTATGTGTGCGAGAAGACGGACGGTATCCGGTGCCTGATGTACTTTGCGCGCGGGGACCCGGAGTCCGAAAACCCCGAAATTCACTACTTGATCGATCGGAAGAACGAATATCGCTTCGTACCGGGGCTGCATTTCCCTCTGCCCGATGACGACACGTTCCAATCGTTCCACGTCGATACCTTGGTGGACGGCGAGCTGGTCAACGACACCTACCCGGACGGCACGCAGCAGCTTAAGTTCCTTGTCTTCGACTGTCTAGTGCTAGACGGACAGAGCCTGATGCACCGTACACTCGACAAGCGACTCGCCTATTTCAAAGTGAAGGTGCTAGAGCCATACAGGGCGATGTATCGCAAGTTCCCTGAAGAAAAGGCGCACCGACCCTTCGTTGTCGAGGACAAGTCAACGCAGTTCAGTTACGGCATCGAGATGATGTTCCGCGAGATTATCCCCAAAGTAAAAAAGATCCACGGAAATGACGGCCTTATCTTCACCTGCCGCAGCACGCCCTACCGCATCGGCACAGACGAACACATTCTCAAATGGAAGCCTCCGTCTGAGAACACAGTCGACTTCCGCATGCGCCTTGAGTTCCCCGTCCTGGAGCCTGACACAGATGATGAGGCAGAGGGCATCTCCGCGCCTTATCCAGACTACGACGCCATCCCTATCTGCCATTTATTCGTTATGCTTAATGCAGGCGAGTATCGCCATTTCGGCGAGATGCACATCACCCCGGCAGAATGGGAGAGTCTCAAAGCTCTGCGAGTCCCGCTCGATGATTCCATCGTTGAATGTTCCAAAGACGAACAAGGCCACTGGCGCTACCACCGTCTCCGTGATGACAAAATGGACGCGAACCACATCTCTACCGTCGAGAAGGTTCTCGAGAGTATCGAGGATCGCGTTACAGAAGATGACCTTATCCGCATTGCTCCCGCTATCAAAAATGCCTGGAAGAAGCGCCAGGCTATGGGATCCGGCGAGGGCAAGCCGCGCGGTATGTCGTCAACGAACGGGAACGGTGTCAAGCGGAAATTTGAGGAGTAATGAAAGATATATACTTCATTTCTGAGCTTCCTGTCTTGTTATGCTTCATTTGCGCGGCGCTCGGCGTTTTGCTTTCTATGGGTTTAAGCATGAAAAGAACCTGGCGTGACTCCAGAATTGGATATGAAGACGGTATTGATGGCCCGTGTCTTTGGATTTGAATTTAGTTGAATTGTGCTACCCGGTTATAGCCCTGGGTTTAGTATCTAGGACTTAGGAAGTATCCAAGATATATGTATTTTATGCCCCATTTGTTATATGAATCCTTGGTAGGTTATCGTGACAAGCATGTCCCATTAAGCCTTACGTCGACCCCCCTCTCGAACCTGCATCAAAAGATTTTAGATGTGAGCTAGATTTTCCATGATTCGCATCTACTATCCTCGCGAACCGCATGATCGAGAGTAAATCCACAGCCGCATTCGAATGAGCATGGATTCCATCACCATGAAACAACTTGGTAGCATCCTTACCAATATGCTCCAGCAAGTCCGGCTCTCTACCAGGATGGTGACCCACAAATTCCTCAACGTCATGAACAACAACACCATTAATGAGCAAGCGCCGACCATTCTTAACACGTACTGTGAACTTTTCCAAGCTCAACACCGGAAGTTCATCAACCGGAATACCCCAAGAAATCCTCTGACGCTGGAGTTCCAATCGTCGTTGAATTTTCTGGAATTGACCCTTTTGAATCTTATTCACCAGAAACCGCTTCAAGTCCGTAGCAAGACCCATCTTCTCACAGAGCCAGATGACCCACTTCGTTGGGTCCCATTGAAACCACCTGATTCCATTGGGATAGTCAACCGGGGCCTCATGGTGGAAGTTATGATATCTTCTCCCTAAGTGATAAGCACAACAAACCAGAAATTCCTCGGTGAATGCCGGCTTGCAAAAGGCTGATCTCCAACCCAATGAGCAAGAGAGTTGACGCAATACGTCTCTTGTTGGATCAAGAATACCCGGATGCAACTGGCCCATATGAATCCTCCGGGAAGTCATCATAGATGAATCCGCAGAACAGCGTGGGAAAATATAAACGGTCAGAACGAGCAGTGTTCCGTAGTGTTTACGCTGCCACATAACTGTAGGATCGTTCAAGAGATCTTGCAAGTCCACTCGGCCTGTATGCTCTGGTCTCCGTCTGGTCACGGCCCATCCATAATGGGAAGAGAAGATACTTTTATAAGCAGAGTATGGCTCTCTGTCGGTACAGTATAGCGATGGTGTGCTCTGTGGTCCCTGCCCCAGGTTCTGATAGAGGCTTGTCCTGCGGTGATCGCGAGGACGATCCTTCAGGAAGGTCTTCGCGGAATAGGCTCGGTGAGCCCATAGGCGATGGTACCCTATGTCTCTTATTAGTATATGGCCCGATATAAAATTGCAAACCTCAGCTTCACCTGCAGTGATACTTATCCCAGAGCATGTCGCATACAAGGTGGTGAAAATGGCGGTAGGAGGGTGCAGTGGTACCTATAGACTGCCGGTTTGGAGCGGTAGCGGCGTGAAACGCTGGGTAACGATTGACTCTGAATTCTTGAAAGGATTTCGGTATCGCGACGATGCAACCTCGTAACCAGGCTTCGTCACCCATTACCCATTACATTAACTTCGGAGTTTCCATAATCAAAATTCGTTTGCTTTGGTGGAAATCCTTTAACTTGAAAGACTGCCTTGCGCATGATTTGTCTATTATGCGTTCTTCTTGGCCTCCTCGGCGAATATAAGCTCATCCCGTTCCCATACCAATCTAACTGCTGCCGCTGCGGGCCCGACAATTGCGGTGAGTAGAAATGCTTTCAAACAAAGGTGAGTCAAACGGGCTGTGTTCATAATTCTTGCCTGGGCAACATGGTGCAACTTTATTGCCCAGATCAGAAATCCAGCAGATCCAATCAAATAGTCCCATACCAAGAAGATACGTGTGCCCTCAGCCATTGTTTGGACTTCCATTGAGGACCAAGGCAATGGAAGTCCAAGCATATTGGCTGGATGAAAAACATCTCTAAGGCCCTCGGGAAATAGGATTGGAACAACCCAAGCAGCAAGAGAGACAACCTCTGCAACGATGTGCGGTCCTGCTCCAAGGAGAAATGCGCTTCCGTAAACCCAGCGCAAGCTGTTGAGAGAGGCGCGATGGTTGTGATCAAGGTACGGAGACAAGGCAAATGAGAGTACGGGAGTCAGAATGGAAACATAGATGGGCCACGGTTGCCAGAGGGCGATAAACATTTGCTTCGACTCCACAGAGACCAATGTCGGTGCCGGCAGAATCATCAACAGTGAAGGCACCAGGTAACCGATCGTCATTGCGACGGGGAGAGCCGTCAGAACAGCGCGTGGAACACGGATATTGTCTGCGTCGGGTCTTTCTGCCGTGATCGAGTGGCCTAGTTGCAGGGCGGAAATGAGTGGTGTTGCAAATGCGAAGGTCAACAACTGGCCCAGGAGCCCAAGAATAATTGGACTGCGTCCAAGGTAGCCTTGTTAGCGCTGGCTCCAACGTGAAACTAGTCCAACCAGAACCTACTAAGCAACCACTGTGCCAATATTGCCGCTTCTCCAAGATTCCAACACGGTCAGAATCCACGAGGCACCAAATGTGCCGGAAAACAAGACTGCATGCAGTAGCAATCCGGGACTGTGCCCATCGACAGCGGGATAGAAAAATGTTGTGAACACACTCAAGAGCTGGTCAACAGGCTCAATTCCGGTATAAAGGGTGCTCAACTTTTCGCCATGCTGTAGCTTGCCGAAAGTGATAGCTCTTTCATTTAGCTTGAGAGTACCATTGGTGTAACTGAGATACCAGATAGCGTATAGCGAGAATGCGGTTAAGGAGAAAAGGATGTATCGCACAGTCATGTTCTCGAATTCGAAGGGTTGAAAAATAACATGGGTGTCTATGACTGAGTGCGGTATTTCCGGTGTTTATGTTTGAGAATGACCTGGAGGCCGACTTGCAGACCAAAAGGACCAGCTTCGGGCGACGATCACTCACTCAACCAAGGATAGCGCAGTGTGGAGCCTCAAGACTAGTCCGGGAAAGCTTTTTCCAGGGACACCTGCATCCTGTATACTCAATCTGGAGATACTAAGCAAGATTGCGGCGGAAACCCACGCTGGGAAGTACTAATCCCACAACTCGTGGGGTCTCTGGGAGCTTGGAAGGCCGAAAGTTTAATCATCCCTCGGTTCGCGATGATCAATGTTCCATGATAACATAATCAAATAAATCGCTCTTTGTGCTTCATATGCATCCTCGGTCTAACCTGCTTTGTAAACGTAGTGTCGGGATCATAAGCTGACCTGCCCACTACCTATCCGCATTGTTTTCAAATGCCCGTCTCTTGTGTCACAAAACAAGTAAATATGCTTCATCAAAAAAGGATGCGGGATTCTCAGAAAGTCCTCATTCCTTTGAGTATTGTGATGATCTTCTCAGGAATCATGGCTTTTACTGGTGCTCCGAGTAGTATCTGGGGACCGAATTCGCCAATATTTACCACAACAAGACATCATTCGGTAGGTCAAAAGAACCATATTGGATAGATCTCATCAAAACCTCGTTGCTAACATCTCTAGACTGGAGAGCATATTTTGAGTTGGCGCATCAAGACCGCGCCTCTGTGGGTTTATCAAGGCCTGCATGCCCTTCCCGCTCTCATATGGTGTCTCCTCATGCCTCTACAGCACGTCGATAGATTCCGTCGGCACTGGCCCGCATTTCATCGAAACAATGGCTACATTGTGCTGTGCGGCTTCTTAGTGTTGAGCATCACTGGATACTGGATGCTCAATAAGAAGGTGGCACATACACATGACGACATATGGCACATCCATAACTTCTCTGGCCTCATACCCCTTGGCTGGCCAACTTTCGAGCTGACACTGTTGGCCCTGGAACCCTTGTATATTTACACCCTGCTCCGGACAGTCCAAACGGCAAGGGCGAGGAATTTCAACACGCACGGAACATGGGCCGTTCTACATACGATGGTTGCCTATACTATTGCTGTGGAACGTGTCAGTCTGTTGATCTCGTATGTCTTGGGGTTAGCACTGAATTTCTTCCCGAAAAAGGAAGTATACAATTTCTTCCGCTTAGAAGATACTCTTGATGCCAAAGCAACGGCTGAAATGGATCTGCTGGCACTGATGAACTTGGTGGCATTTGCCCTTGTTGTTTGTTGGGGTATACAGGAATGGCGCAAAACGGGATCATCAGTGAAGACAACAGAATTCAGCCCTGCTCTGAAAGACAGGGCCAAGCAGAGCTGATCAACTCCTGGTTGGACTTTCCTCTCAGCGCATTTCGCGGATACAACCTCGTGCGTCATTCAGCCTCTCACCGCCGACGGCCTGGGCTTGGCAGGGATGAACCCTGAACAAGCCTTCAGAATAGAACAGTTGACAACTTCACGCAGCTCAACTTCACGCAGCTAGAAACTTTAAATGTGCGATGCATTCGTCTGGGGTAACGATTGACGTGGCTGCAGCACCGCAAGCATTTGCAAATCGAGCGGAGGAATCGAGACGTCGTTGCATATGACGGGAGTCTCTCGGAACTATCGGTATTTCGGAGGGATTTACCCGCGTATACAACGTTGTCATCTTCGCTGAAGCTCGCACCCTGCCAAATGTGCTGGAGCATCAAGAATGAGAGCGAAACAATCAAAGATGTATTCGTAATAGGTTTTGCATACGTACACGTATGCATCGGCCATCGTATCATTACCATTAATTATGGCCCCTGAAATAGTCGACTGGCACGTTTACCGCCTCCCATGGCAAAATTTCAAGGAGGCATGTAGCTGCAAACCAAAACGAGACTTGTCCTCTAAAGATGCTATATCGCGAAATCTTTTCCTAATCAAAATATATAAAGGCACATTTTATAGCAGGGCTTCACCCGTCTAGGCGAAGAATATTTAGGTGGGTGAACTGCCGCCTAAAGCCGCCCGAACCCGACCAAAGGCCGACTGCGTAAAGCTGCGACCCGCCCACGACCGAACGGTGGGCGCTAGGTGAGCATCGCTATAGTCTCGCTGTTGTATGTTTTTATTTCGAGAATATTTCCCTCGGCTGTCCCGAGTTAATAGATCCAACGCCCTGCAAGGCCAGCGGTGTGCAATATAGTTTTTTTGTTGGATGTGAAGGCTGATGATATGATCTATAATATTAAAGAAGGTGCGCCAGACTATTGGTGGAACTGATTCAAGTTTTGTGGCTAGGGAACCGTAGACTATATCTTCAAGCGAGAGAGGGATTTAATCACAAATTTTGACAAAATGGTGCTTTGCGGCAAATTCTCCGGTTCTAGAGCACATTAATTGCGTGTTTCTCATTAGAATGGAAAAGTCTACTCGGCACTTCAAAGTAAGTGGCTTTGTTTCTAGGGAACCGGTAATCCGACCCCCCCTAGTAATCCTCCACTAGGGGGGGGGGGGGGTCGGATTACCGGATCCCTGTTTCTATCATATCTTCGCAAGCAAGGGACCATACAGAGCTAGTCACAATTTCAAAACATAAGCTACATACGCACCAAATCAATAATCATGCGAAGCTACAGGAGAAAAAATCAAACTCCTCACAACCGTTTTCCCCCTTAAGTCTCGTCGCGCCTTAGATCCGATTTCCCCGTTTTGTGAGAGCGGATGAAAGTCAACAAAATGGAGGATTCAACCGCGCAAGATTGGCACGAACGCGACAACAAAAATGGAGTTGTCAGTGAAGAGAGTATTGGGAGTGAAATCAAGTTCTCCATTTCAAAACAGGATGTTTTAATTCTCCTCGCGATGGCCAGCTTGAGCTTGATGGCCGCGCTGGATGGGACATCTATTTCTGTGGCTTTGCCGGTATCGCACCCTAGCGCTTTCTTCTTCAAATTCTGTTTATTTAAAGATGCTACAGACAGCTAACTTGACGGCAATTTAGACCATGGCCCATGATTTAGGTGGCAGCGCAATCGAAGCATTTTGGACGGGAACCTCATTCACACTTTGTTCCGCAGGTGCGTGAGTCGACTGGTACGAGAAACCGGACCATCTAACCACCGTACAGTCTTTCAACCAGTATTCTCGTCATTATCCGACTTGTTCGGTCGGAAACCATTGATTGTTGTCGCGATAGCATGGTTTACCATTGGAGCAATTGTGGCTGGGGTCTCCACTAACTTCACGCATATGCTCATCGGTCGGTCGCTCCAGGGAATCGGAGGTGGTGGGATTATCACCCTCACTGCGATAATCATCGCCGACATTGTGCCTCTCAGTCATAGGGCAAAATACTTTGGAATGCTCAGCGCGATATGGAGTTTAGGAACAGTGATAGGGCCCGTCATTGGGGGTTGCTTTGCAGAGAACGTCACATGGGTATGAAGCTTTCCTTTCACTTGGCAACCGTTGGATTAACAGTTCATTTCTAGCGCTGGATCTTCTATATCAATTTTCCCTTCATTGGAATCGGGGCGGTCTTGGTTGCTTGGTCGTCCAGCTTTCGGGCCGGAAAGGGCTCTTTCGCTAAACAAGTGCGAAAGATTGATTTCGTTGGAATCGCCCTGTTCATTCCAAGCTCTGCTTCATTCTTGATACCGCTGACTTGGGGAGGTGTCTTATATCCCTGGGATTCGTGGCACACATTGGCCCCATTGATCATCGGAGTAATCGGATTCTGTGTATTCGCGATCTACGAATGTAAATTCGCGTTGCAACCAATGATACCACCGGCAATCTTTCACAACCGAACAGCCCTCATATCCTTCGCAGGTTATGCGGCCGTCGGCCTACTCGTCTGGTGCACTCTATATTTCCTTCCGCTCTACTACGAAGCCGTGAAGGGATTCAAGCCCATAATGACCGGAATTGCTCTTTTCCCCGAGACATTCACCGTCGCGCCGAGCGGAGTAATTGTCGGGCTTCTCATCAGTCGAACGGGTCAGTACTACTGGGCCGTCTGTACCGGATGGTGCATTTCGACCATTGGAATGGGCTTGCTGTGTCTATTGGATGCAAACAGCGGAACCTTGACCTGGATTTTCTTGAATCTCGTGCCGGGCATTGGTATCGGAATGGTCCTTCCCTCTGTCGCACTAGCAGTGCAGGCATCGGCAACGTCTAAAAACCTAGCGATTGCTGTCGCCACATCGACTTCATTCCGAGGCTTTGGACAGTCCATCGGCGTGGCGATCGGTGGCGTCATATTTCAAAATCGAATGAAGAGCAATCTACTGCAATACCCTCGCCTACGGTCGTTGGCAGATAAATACAGCGGTGATGCGGCGAGCGCGGTGGAGTTGATCAGAGCAATGACTGATGGCCAGGTTAAGGAGGATCTGAAGCAGGCTTATGCTGATAGTTTGAAGATTGTGTGGGCGTTTTGCTGTGGTGTTTCGGGACTGGTATTTTTCATCAGTCTCTTCACCGAGACTTATGATTTGAATCGCATCCTTGTTACAAAACAGGGCACTGAGATAGAGGAGATATGTGAGCGGGAGAATGAGGTTGTTGATAATTGATGATTGCGGTTTTACTACTAGAAATGATTCGCACCTTGGTCTTCAAAAATCTAGAATCAGCTTGCACTAATGGGGTTCTAGCATTATCAGAAGACAATTGCGAAAATAAACATGAGAAACAGTTGTTGAAACCCGCAGTACGCTTCACTGTCAATGAATAATTTCTGCCTTGTTAAACTGGACAGTTAATAGCCGAGGAATTTGCGTGAAGTATTTTATGCCGTGGCGTAGGACTCCTTTGGAAGCGGATAGCTATAATTTTCAGTCAAGGCAAACGTAATCATGGATGGGTCTTTTCCACTTACTTCGGGCCCATTTGTTTTATTCCTAGGTGCGCTAGCCAGTGTCCCATGTTGACAGAGGTTTCGAGCCATTTTTGTAACATAATACCGGCTAGAAGTCCTCCTGCGAAAGCATCACTGGACAGATAGTAATTATATTAGCCTTATGATGTTCCCAAATGGGGTTACTCGTTCAAAAACCAGTGTCGCTCACCCAGCACCGGTCGTGTCAATGATTTCTTCTGCAGATATCTTGCGGACAGGGATCTCCTTATATCCTGGAGTTCCAGATACCGCAATGACCGTGGGGGAATAACCTTGGGTAATCAATACGACCCGAGGTCTTTGAATATTTGCCTTTGGTAGGTTTGCGAGATGCTCGGCGATCGCAGGAATAGACTCGGACTTTCTTCACGTTAGTTCCGTGAAAAAGACCTCATTTTCAAATAATATTTTAATAGATGGCGAGCTATTACCTCTATTCCATGTGATCGTGCCCATGCCAGGGCTTCACTCTCGTTGCCCACAATGTAATCCCAAAATGGCTCAGTCTTGTCAAGGGCATCTTTGAATGCAGCTGGAATGAAGGGTGCAGATAGCGACATAACGAAAATCTATTGAAACTACTGGTCAGCACGTTGGGAATAGCTAAGAAGAGACAGAAAAGTGAGCGATACTTTGTTTTTAGCAGCGGCCTCTTTCGCCAGGGCCAAAGCCGCTTCGGGACAGACGGTTAGATGATATCCACCGACAAAATAGATCTGCGCCGACTGAACGATCTTCCATATATCGGGCCGTTGCAAATGTTCCAATTTGTAGTGATTAGCGGCACCTAAATCGGTGCAGAGGCTTCTGTTTTTGTCTGTGATAACAACGCCACATCGACCTGTTGGGCGTGTCCCATCGACGAGGTATTCCGTGCGAACCCCTGCTTTTTGGCACGACTCTCGCAAGGTTTCAGCATAACTGTCATTACCGACGCAACCGATGTAGACGACACTGTCGGGTGGAAGCATATACTAGGAAAATTTTCAGTCATTTTCAAGGAGGCAAAGAAAAAGAAGGCGAAGAAGTTAAAAAAATGTCGCCATACTTGTGAGCCTCTTGCTGTGTTCTGAGCACCACCGCCTGCGGTCGTTTCCGCCGACCAGTTATCAATCAGGTCATCAAAGAGACCCCCGTGGGACTCTGTGGCGAGAATTGCATTGTTGGCTTTTAACCCATACTTATCAAGAAGCTCCAGGGTCCTTTTATGCTGTTAGAAGAAGAATTAGACCGCAGTCGCGTCGGCAACAGTCATACCCGAAGGCCTGAACATCTAATGAACGTGTTATTACAGCCGATAAGTATAAACTGAAAATAAGATGTCTTACTTACCAAGTAAAGGATTTTCCAAACACAGGATTTTTGGCATCCTGTTTCTGTCGAGGAGTGAAAAGTGAAAAAGAGGGGAAATGGAAAAGAGGGGAAGTGGCATTCTGAGGGTTAGCATGCACCTATTTTTCACATGTATATAATGTAAGTCTGTGGCCGACTCTTTTTCCAGACATAGTGAAGATGATTGCTCAGCATGCCTCCGACATTAAGGTCAAGTCCCCAACAGCAAAACCGGAGCTCTTCTTTTGCCATGGATAGCCCAGATCCAATGGAATTTGAAATTCTCACCCGTCAAGTGGAAACTCCACTCTTGAAAGTCTCGCCGTTTGAGGTGTTTCGATACTATACTGCTATTGAATACTCGATAATTAGCATCAGTACCGTTGGCGCTTTGGCTGCCGGATCGACACGTATTATGCCAAGCGTAAGTTCAACAAAGCCCATTATGGTCTTTTTTCTATGGATCTGGGGACAGGAAGTTTGCTGACTTACATTCCAGATAGTCTTCAGTCAGCTTGCCAAATACGTTCTCGAAAATAGAAAATGGCACCTTTGAACAGAACACAGCGAGTACAACAATCTGGAATAATGCCTTGTTTTTTGTCTACATTGCAATCGGAGCGTTCGCTTACCACTGTATCTCACGATTTGGATTTATTTGGACGGGTGAAAGTGTCACTCATCGAATCCAGAATGCCTATCTCGAATCTCTCCTACGAAAAAACGTGGCATTCTTTGAAGCAAAGGGCTCTGGTGAGCTTTTGACACAATTTACTGCCGACGCCAAAAAAATTACAACAAGCTATCACTGGAAAGCTGGCTCTTATGATCAGCGCCTTTGGCACCCTGGTTGCTACCTTGATCCTCAGCTTTGTTTTATACTGGAAGTTAACGAGTCTTCGCAGACGACTCTGTTGTTATGGGATCAATGACAACCCCAACGACAAAGCAGCACTTGTGTGAGATTGAAATTCATGTGTTGTAATTGTTTATGATCTAAATTGTAAAAATTAATGCATATGTTGACGGTTGCTGTCATCATCAACTAGCTCTCTGTTGAATTGCGTGCCATGATAAACAAAGAGGCAGGCGGTGGTATGACTCTGAAGTAGGCAAATGAGCAATCCTTGAGGCTTATGAATGAAAGGAAAAGTCTTGATGGTAAGAAAGATGATTGCTTCGAGTATGGAGACATTAATCTTGATTAAACACTGAGATACTTGGCAGAATCATTATCCCGGAGCTGTTGGAAGTGAGCCGAGACTACTCTCATCCAGCAGAATCTATGTAAGCGTTTAATTGGTAAATTGTTTAGGGCCAACTTTCTTACCATCAGATAGAAGGGATCAAAGGTCGCATCAACCCCAAAGAGCCTTTTTATGACCCACTGGCCATTGAAGCACGTTGTATAGAAGGATCCCCGGACAGATGGCGCACTGGACCAAAGGTTAATTAGCTTGGCTTGATTTCTAGCATCGTCAACCAGCCTTAACACGTTAGCCTTGCACGAATACGGCTAAGTAGTGTGACGACGTCGGTTACCGACGATCTCCGATCGCCAAGGCGACGTCAAGGGAGAGACTAGTATACGATTATGAGATGTCTGGTTTTTGATTGTCGTCCTTTTTTAACATCGAGTGTATGATAATGCTGAAGCTGTGAGAGCCAAATTTACAATCTACACTAACATTTAGAGTTTTGGAAGGCATTCTAGGAAAAGTTGGGTTGGTTCTTCATTCTTATTTGACTATAAATACTTAGACACATAGGCAAACCAAGCCCCCAGAGTAATGGGGTAGCCCAGCGCAAAAAACACCAGCATTTTATTTAATTTTTCTCTTCTTATTCAATGTGACAGACATGGCAGACATGACAACTAGTAAACTAGTCACCTAACAGGGAAGACCCCAGGACAGCCTGCAATCCCAGGCACCGATATTCATGCATCCCGCACTCTCGAAGCTAGAATTGACCGGATTGAGCGATCATCTTGGATCAAGTATTACGGAAGTTAGGGCAAGAAATTATGCTAAAGCCATGCCGGTTGACCCAATCGGATGTCATTTAGTCTCTTCGGAAAAAGTCAGGTGGCGATCTTTATGAACCAGCAGGACGCGTAATGCGCCATATCATCCGAGGATGCTGTGGCGTTCATAGAACTTGTTGAAGAACAGAAGTTGATTTTTAACGGTTAATTCGGATCTACTTCCGCCAGATGTTGGGGTGGACAGGAATGAACATTGAGCTCGGAGGGGAAGTCGTGACGCAGATCTAAAGCGATGACGTCGGCAACCATAGCAACGCCCCCGTCCCAACACAATGGTGAAACAGCTTCATACTTGAAAAGATCGACTTTTCCAAGCATTGAAATAGGTTGTGCCATACAAATTGTCATTAATTGATGCCAATGAATCTTGCACAATGTCTGATACTACGCTAATTTCCATAGAAGGACATTCTAGAGGCATTCTAGACCGCTCGGGGAAATAAGCTTCATATAACCCAAGGGTCAGCCGGGCTGATGAAAAAGTCAAGCGAAACGGATTGTATGGAAATCGGATCTATCGCTGCATGCGTCTCCTGTGATGAAGGATCTTTGGTATGATGAATTGACTGCTAGGCCAGCAGCAATGAAGACATCACCACGTAGGTACTTTGCAACCTTGGAATTCCAGGTGTTATAAAAATCAGAATTTCCTGGATTTTCTCCCATCTACGACCAAAAACTTATCGTCTTCCAAAGCCCTTCTTGTTGAATAGCGCCCATTCAATAACATCATGCGCTTCGGATCTCAGATTATCTGGCTCTTGGCCGCGGGAGGGGCCCTGACCTCTGCAGCGAGCAGTTCTTCCTCCTCAGCGAGCAGCTCTTCTTCCGCAGCGAGCAGCTCTTCTACTGGCTGCGCTGTTACCTCTTCAGATACTCAGGTTCTGCAGTATACATGGGCAATTTCGATGTTCTTAAATAAATTCTACGCATCGGTTGCACTCAACACAAGCGTTGCCTCGTCAGTCTCGAACAGCACCAGCGCTTCGAAGGTTCTGGCGAACCTCCGAGGCATCGAGCACGCCGACAACTTGACCGTCGAGGCCGTGAGGGAGCTCGGATCTCAGGCTCCCGGCTTCAAAGAGCCATCATGCTCGTACACCTACCCCACGGTCAACAGCATTCAAACATTCGTCCAATATGCGTACCAATTTGAGTCCACTCTCACTGGCGCTTGTATCGGCGTTGCTGGCTACACCAAGTCGCCCGAGGTCGCTTTCCTTCTGGCTCGCCTTGCCGCTCAGCACAGTGCTCAAGCTACCTATATCGGTAGCCGCCTGAACTCCTCCATGTTCATGACCAACTCCTCCTCGTTGGTTTCTGCGTACCCGCCTATGCAGGTTCTCTCGACCACCAGCAACTCGACTGGAAGTCTGGGAAAGTACTTGGGTGGTTGCGTCACTGCTCCTCAGAACCCATGCGGTGCTCTCAAGATCGGTCCTCTGGAGGCCAACATTACCTCCAGTGCGAGCGGCAGCTCTTCCACTCCTATGACCAGCAGCACCGCTTCGGTCCGCCTGCACTAAAAGACTGTCGATAATTTTCTGCCTATACACGGAAGGGAGTTTATCGGTTTTATTATTCCGTTGGAAGCTATAATAATCAGTGTGCTTGGTGATGTTCTGTAATATTTGAAGCTAGTCAGGTATCTATTGATGCTGTGAACTACAATGAAAATCTTCGACTGTGTCACCCATGATGCTCGTAGCGGCACCTTTTAACCTGGAATACTCTCGGGACAAGGGTCTTCCGCGTAAAGAAGAAATATGAAAAAGCAAGAGACAGAGTATTCTCGATTCTGCTAGGCATCAGCTCACGATAAAATCAAAATGTATCTCCAGGTCCTGTATTCAGGCCATTGCCCTCTTCGCTTGTCCCTGATGCCCAGTTATTCCGGGTCCCTAGGTCATCAATTACATCATGACCCTGAAACCAGCTCGGATAGCTGCTAGGAATCAGGTTCTGTTCACTAATTTGCCATTGAGAGTCAGCGCCTTTGGGTAACGAATCAGTGAGTACTCACTAAGCAGGCACTAGACGGTCACTGGTCATACCTCTGTTGTCACTAAGGTATCCAAGATTGGAGCCAAGGTTGTTGTCAACACGAGAAAATGACATAGATCTTGAGCACCGAAAAAGTCGCCTATGCCAATTCTGGTCTTTCATTCTTTCCAGTGGAGATCTCCAAGTGCCGAGATGATGCCAAGATGGGAGACTAGAATTATAAAAGCGTTGGATCTCCACTTTGATTATCGCCTAGTTTCGAAATAGGGTATTTGGGTTAAAGCTGTGTGGCAAGGCTAGGATTTACTATCTACAATAAATTATACGAGATGTTTTGGGAGAGCTCGGTTTGGTACCTTAGGTTGGCCATCGTTGAGTATCAATACTTAAACAAGGACCTTAGTGTCTCAGCACAAAAAGTAACAGCTTTTTTTTAGATATCTCTTCCGTTTACATCAATATAAAAGGAAATTATCGTCCACCTCCGGGGGTTGGTGCTATAATCGGAAGCCAAGCTTTTTATTGTAATCGTCATGATCTTATTTATCAAACTGGGGATGGGGTCCGCGTGTCGAGACTTATGAGCTTGGAGAGTGTTTCTATTGATGACCTCACATTGCATATCATTGGTGTTCGGTTTTTGAACAATGTTGTGGTGGCTTTTAGTTTTGGGAAGAATGAGATAGGGTTTCCGAAGAGGGTTGATTCTCCTGAGGATAATTCTAGGAATGGTGGTGAGGGAAAAGAGCCGACTCCTGTCGTTGATGCTGCAGGAAAGATGCGAGATGCGTCTTGGGCTAGTGTTGCTGCATTTCGTGTGGGTGTAATCATGTTTTTGAGGCACTAAAGGAGCATTGAATGGAGTCTATGGGCTATGCGTTTCGTTGGCTTTGGTTATTTTCGTTCTTCATAGTTTAGAAAATTAATTGGCATGATCACAAAACAACCCCATGTGGCCTTCTCCTGAAATCTAAGCCATTGTAACTTTAGTCTTGAATATTGTTCATTCGTTGGTATCTAGATGTAGCTTGGTTATGCTTTTTCTCCGCCAGCAATTCCAGCATTAAGCCCTCCTGCTTCATTGGCTCCTTGGCTTATTCCCCTGCTTCAACGGCGCAAAGATATCCGTCCACAATTCACTCGCCTCACCGAGATAGTAAGTCAAGCTCACATCCGCCATACTAGCATCCTCATCCCCAGTCATAGTTTCCAGTTGAGAGATCAGGTTCTCCAAGCCAAACGCCTTACCCGTAGCCTGGGTAGCACCAGCCTCCAGCATAACATTGACAACATGAATATGGAAATGATAGTAAGTCGGTTGATCTATCACAGATCCATCAGCAATGCACTTCCAAAAGAGCAAAAAGAAACTTACAATGAACATAGAGCTTGAGCTGATCCTGCTCCAAATCAGGATACATCGACACCGTCGCCTCAAGCACCCGCTGCCGAAGATACCGCAGCCAGGGCACATGCTTCTTCTTCAAATCCCTCAGACTCCAAATATCCCGCCTATGCACTAGAGCCAGCAAATGCAACGAGTTCATAGTCTTCCGGTCCCAGTTCAGATCCGGTAGCATCAAGAATGCGTCTTCGGGGCCGTGCCCATCATCTCTCATAATTACATCCTCCTGCTCGGTCCGGCCTTCCAGGATATTGAATACCCAGTTCAGACGGCCCTCTTCGCGCTTGGTTTGCATGAAGGGTCGCACGTGCTGCGCGTAGATCTCCGGCGTTTCGGTGACCATTCGGAGCTGCTGGTCGGAGAATTTCTTGATGTGTTGTGCTGTACATGGCCAGATGAGGTTGAGCTTGAGGTCTTGTTGGATCTCGGAGGTTTCTGTGCTACCGTTTGAGGATGCGAGATACCACCGGTAGATGTCGTTGTCGCCGAGGTTGTTGACCTTTGTGATGGCTGCGTGGAAGGCTTTGATGATTGCGAGGGATTCTGTAGAGAAGGCAGTGCGCTCGGCGGTTAGGATGCCCTGTTCGTCGTCAATTGTCCCCAGCAGAGTGATTCGCCGGCCATGCTGGTCTGTAGATGGTGGTGAGCTGCCTGATTGCGGGGGTTTGGTCCGTGGGCTTACCTTGCTTCAACAGCTTATTAACTTGGAATTTGGCAATCAGTGCCTCTGTGGCTGCCTTTGTGTTCCTCAATTCTTCTGTCATATTGAACAGCTATTCAATTGTCAAGGTAAAGGAGGAATGCAAAAACGCGTCGTGGGAAATCTATCGTTATCGCTAGTTCGTGGGCGGTCAGAGCTTATCGCGGGGCGTATGGAGATAGTGAATGTGTGCAGGAAACAATGCAGAGAGTTGATCAATTCGTAATCACACTCGAAATAAAGACAATCAACATGCGGTTAGTTGGTTTGTGCTGATTTACCAGAACATGTTTGAGGATGAGGCATCAATAGAATCTATCTTCTCCCATGGAGCTGTACAAGAAAGTCTACTACACTTTGGTACTATTTCTTTTAATTTCAGATTGAATTGACTTGCAATATAAACCTTAGAATTCGACAAATCTGACCCGCCATCCAATATAACGCCACCACAGCCTAGCCACATCTCAATGGGTATATCTGCCACTCAGCACACCATCCAATCAGTCCTCGTCACTCTTAGTTACCATTCGTGCGCGCAGGAGTTCCATGCATCTATAAGACAAGTTAGATCAACGACTCCAAGAGTAATAACCATATATGGGGGTCCATGGATATACATACCGTCTCAGCAAACCGCACCCACTCCTCCACACCCTTAACATATGGGTCATCCGCCGCAGGAAGGATCTCATGACCCCAAACGATCATATCGTCAAATGTACCCTGCGTCTCAAGGATATTAACCGGCTCCTCAAGCTCCGTCACTTCATCTTCTGCCGAAGCATTTTTGACTGGTTGTTGAGATACGCGGTCTGTGAGTGTCGCGACGATGCCTGTGTATCCCTCTGGGATTGTGACGCGACGACCTCGAAGTTTACGGCCGCGGAAGTATGATGATTGGTTATTGTCTAGATTGGCAGAATTGGTAAGCGTTTCCTGGTGTATGAGATAGTTGTCTGTATAGGTAGATACGTGCGTACCTCGCGCGTCTGTCTCGGGCGTCCAGAACCGGTCCGTAGAGTCGATCGGGCCATCGTGGTGGATTCGGCAGGGGAGTATATTCGGGGTGAGTCGCGGAGTGCAGTCCTTCTCTGATTGCGTAACATACTTTGGGCTCTGGAAAGTGTACATGTCTGGCATTGTGTTTAATCGCAGGATGAAACGGGGCTCTGCGCGCGTGTAGGTCGGAGGCCTCCGCCCGGATGCGAGGCTATTGTTGACCTTGGACAGTAACAATTTTCTGAAATGGGTCTATGGTATCGATTGCGGGTTCAGTCGGCAGCTGCAATGCTGGGTGTGCTGATTTGAGGTTGGTGGTGAATTCTGGCGGTGTCCAAGTCGCGGCGCGTCGCGTAGCCGCGTTAAGTGGGAGCGGGCGGCCATGAACTACATCGTCGGTGAAATTTGCTATTTCCCTAACATTTACTGAATTATAGTTGTTTCGATGTATCAAAGTAAAATCTATCTCAATTGAATGCAAATTTGGGGTATACAAAGCAGCTCTCTACAATAGATACAGTTCTTTGCCTCGTCTCAAGAAAATGCCTCCGCTCGTGGACGATCATTTCTTGCCAGACTTCTTCTTCTTCTTCTTATTCTTTTTCTTCGGAGCATCTCCCGTTTCTTTAGGTTCGGGGGCATTCCTGATCGGCCACTTCTTCAGGTGCTCACGCTCAAAGGAATCTTTCTCACGTCGATACAGAGCCATCGTCGCCCGCGCATCTTCCACACTGGAATGTGCGCCTTCCTGAATCTTAAGCCCGAGGAAGTGCTCAGCAAGCACCTTCAGTCGCGGTGAGCCGCCGCCGGCAATCTTCCTATATTCCGGGTGTTTGCTGGTGTCTCTGATGTCCCGTTTGGGGTGACCGAGAAGTAAAGCGTCGAGATCATTGCTCACGGCGTGACCGACGAGAATGCGGCCGTCCATAATTTCGGCAACTTCTTTCTGGGCTTGTTCGAGAGTTCGTGCCTCCACCATGTGCTTGGGGGCAATGCCGCTGACGTGCGTCCTCCAGTCTGTCACCATTTCTTTGGGCCGCACGTATGAATCGTAGACTTGGTCGCCATTGAAGTTGACGATACTGACTCGGGCAAGTACCGAGTCGTTGTCTGGGTTTGGTCCGACGCCTACCATCTCGCAATCCATGGCAACGTATTTCCCTATCTCGGCACTGTTATCATGTTAGCAAAGTGACCGATGAACTGCCAGGGTGTAAGACACTTACGTCGGAGAGCGACCCTCATTAACTTTTCCATTGCGCGATCCTGTCTCGGTTTGCGCAGAGACTCCGGCGCTGGATTTCCTCCGTAAAGCAGACTTGGTCAAGTCTGTGTTGGCGGTTTTCGCCACAATTTGAGCTCCGTCAGACATCCTCTTCCGTCTATATGGTGTCTCTGTATCTCTTGTCTTCGTATGTTCCTTCTCGGGCTTTTGTTTCTTCACTTTTCCATGTCCAGGGTCGTGGTCCGAGGCTTTGCGTTTCCTCGCCTGTGACAAGGTCGAGGTCGAGGTCGAGGAGCTTCCTTTTTTGAGTGTGGCCTGTAGTTTCTTCCAGTTACTGGAAAGCCCGTTCGTATCCATTCCGAATGTGTTAATCTCTGCAAAAATTAAGACATTGTTGGAGGTGAGTGACCTGGAAGCGTTGCCTATGAACTTTTTTTGACGGCAAAAAAAAGTACCATCGATCGGTCTACACCGCCTTCCAGGAGTGGCAATATCAAAGACGCTACGAGAGTAAAAACACTTAAATCTACTCTTAACGTTACGATCCATGACTCGGTCAAGTCAAGTCATTTCAAAACTTAATGGTTAATCCTTCTTTGAGCTAGATAATTATGGAACAGTCCGAATGCCTTTGACCGCGATGTATGTTCATGTCCAAAAACCCATGCACGCCATTTTTGAGTAACAAGCAGAAATGAAATCAATAGAGGCCAGGAACTTGGAAGTCCTTCGACATCCACTTCTCCGTGATCTTTCTCTTAGCCTTCTTAGCCTGGCTCACGGGCATACGAGACTCGAGTCTGCCCTGGACAATCAGCGTTCGGAACCGATCGTCCAACAGGTTGCCTTCCGGCTTCAAGAGACGGAGAGAATCCTGTAGTTCATCGGGAAGCACCAGCTCCAATGGCTTCTGCGGGGCACTGCAAACATAATTAGCAGAAGTATATATAATCGAGAGCACCCAAACTTACGCAAGCTTGCCCCCCAAAGGCTTTCGTCGCAGCTTCGTCTCATCTCCCTCGTCCGAATCGTCGGCATCGGAATCATTTTCAGGCTGATCGGCATGCTCAGCAAGTTCTTGAACCTTCTCCATCTGTGCTTCTTTCTTTGCCTTCTGAGCTTCCCACCTCGCCTGCCTCTCGGCTTCCTTGCGCCGCTTAATCTTGTTGCGCTGGGTCTTGGTCTTTCTTTCGGGTCGCTTCTTGTTCAACCACTCGGGCTTCTCGTATTCACTTTCGAAGCCCTCCCATGCACTCTCGTCATCCGACTTGACTTCGCCATCGTCACCCTGGGCAGCTTCTATTAGGCGCTGCTTCTCCTGCTCTTTCAATTCTTCGTCAAGGCGCTTCTTCTCGGCCTCGACGGCCTCCCGACCATACTCCTGGATAAGGCGATCCCATTCTTCGAATTGAGGGTTGTAGCTGGCTCCGCCCTGGGGCACTCGTACCGAGGGGATGGGCTTTCCGTTGGCGGCAAGAGAGATCGGTGCATGTTTCAAGGTCTCGGGGGCGACCTTGGCCTTCGGTTTCGGCAAGAAGTCGAAACGGGGGTCTTCGACGGCGACTGAGTTGTCGCCTTCATCCGCCCAGGGGTCGTAAATTTCATTGCTGCCCTTCTTGGTGATGTCTGCATCTCTCGCCGCTTGCTTCAAGCGCTGCAATTCCTTGTTGCTGACCCAGTCCTTCTTGTGCTTCTTGGTCTTTGGCTCAATAACGCCGTCGGTGACGTTGGAGCTGACACGCTTGCGAGAGTCAAGAGCGGGGATTGCAGATCGTTGAGCAATAATTTCGTCAGCCTTGAGCGACTTGTGTTTCTTTGCGACGGTTTTCCGAACGTCTTCCGATCCAGTAGTATCGAATGTGAACAGCTCCTCAGATGGCTTCTCAGCAACAACACCACTAGTCTGAGGTCAGCGATAGTCCAAAATTTAGATATAGACAGTAAACGGACCCTTTGATCTCTTCGTCCTTCAGGAGACGGAGACCCTCCTGCACTTCAGTGACATCGACATTCTTGCGCCAGGCCTTCTTGCCTTTGCGAGAAGGCTGCTTGAATTGTTGGGGGGCTTCCAGCTTGGACGACATGGTTGGCGGTCTTATCTTTTTTTTTTTTTTTTGCAGAAACCGAAAACCAAAACCAAAAAATCTGGATGCGCTTACTAACGCGGGGGCGGCCAGGGCGGGCGGTGAAGGCACGTCGGACTTGGCGAAGTCGCTTTTCTTCCAGCTTCGACAACCACCCGTTGCGCGTCAACTTGTACCCCGGGATTCTCATTTATCTTCTCCCCGGTGGCGGAGTTGCGGTCCATTTACTACACTTCGCGATATTGACGGGGCGCTGAGTCCGATTGCGCGCCATGCCTGTCGTCAAAGGAGGTGTCTGGTGAGACCTCCCGTTACTTTTCATCTTCCATGTAATCGCTGCTAACATGTCTTCAGGACCAATATCGAGGATGAGGTGCTTCGTGCAGCTGTATGTTATCTACTAGGCCCCCAAAACACGTCTCCTGATGGATTGCGCAAACACTGACTCGATAACAGGTATCCAAGTATGGTCTCAACCAGTGGGCTCGAGTGTCCTCTCTTCTCGCTCGTAAGACGCCGAAGCAGTGTAAAGCACGATGGATCGAATGGCTAGACCCCGGTATTCGCAAGGTCGAGTGGTCGCGGGAGGAGGATGAGAAGCTGTTGCACCTGGCAAAGCTGATGCCCACGCAATGGCGAACGATTGCCCCCATCGTCGGACGTACTGCGACACAATGTCTTGAGCGTTACCAGAAGCTCTTGGATGAGGCGGAGGCTCGTGAGAATGATGAGCTTGGATTGGGAGGACCGGAGGGTGGAGAGTCGGCCGCACCTAGTGCCGACGACGTCCGCCGCCTGCGCCCTGGCGAGCTGGATCCCGATCCCGAATCGAAGCCAGCGCGTCCTGACACGATTGATCTCGACGAAGATGAGAAGGAGATGCTCAGTGAAGCGCGTGCGCGTCTCGCCAATACACAGGGTAAAAAGGCGAAGCGAAAGGCACGAGAGCGCCAACTGGAGGAATCGCGTCGGCTGGCTGTTCTGCAAAAGCGCCGCGAATTGAAGCATGCCGGTATCAACGTCAAGGTCGTCACTCGGAAGCCGGGTCAGATGGATTACAACGCAGACATTCCATTCGAGAAGCCAGCCGCCCCCGGATTCTACGATACGACTGAGGAACAAACCCTGAATGAACGCCAGCGGGAAATGTTTGATCCCCGCAAGCAGCAGCTGGCCAACAAGCGAAAGGGTGATCAAGACGAAGATGCCGAGCGCAAGAAGCGCAAAGGTGACAAAAACAGCAACTCGGAAGCTTTCGCTGCTGCTGCACGAGCAGGCCAAATGCAGAAGATCCGTGAAGCGGAGCAGAGCAGCAAGCGTAGAGGCTTGAATCTGCCCGCACCTCAAGTTAGTGAAAGTGAAATGGAGGATATTATCAAAATGGGTATGGCTGGAGACAAGGCCAGCCGAATGAGTGGTGATGAAGAAGCCACTCGTGGACTTATTGGAAAATATGGGGCCATTGTCGGAGGAACACCCATTCGGACACCACGCGCAGCACCCGAGGAGGATCACATCGCCAACGAAATCAAAAACATCCGGGCTTTGACAGAGACACAATCCTCACTGCTTGGAGGCGAGAACACTCCTCTCCATGAGGGCGGTTCGTCGACCGGCTTTGATGGCATTGCTCCTCGTCGGCAAGATATTGTTACACCTAATCCCATGGCCACACCATTCCGACAGGCCAACGGTGTAGGTGCAACTCCCCTGCATAGCGGTGCTGGGCCCGGTGCCACCCCGCTGCGCACACCACGAGACCACTTCGCTCTTAACCGGGATGGTGAGGGTGGCCAGCTTATTGGTAGCACACCTCGGGATATCAAGATGCATGAGAACTTCATGCGTCAGTCAATCCGCAGCAAGCTTTCTGCCCTTCCTAAGCCGAAGGAGTCCGAGTGGGAACTGGAAGAGCTTCCCTCCGAAAATGCCGAACCTGTCGCAGCCGTCGAGTTGAGCGAGGAAGATGCAGCGGAGCGGGATCGCAGAGACGAAGAAGCCCGCAAGAAGGCCGCAGAGGCTGAGTTCAGGCGCCAGTCGCAGGCATATCAACGTGGTCTTCCTCGGCCTGCTGTTCTCGATCTCGATGCATTGATTGAACGTGCAGCCCACGTTACTGACCCGGTTGAGGGTCTCATTGCCAGAGAAGCCGCGATCCTCATCGCCCATGATTCCCGAAAACACCCCGTGCCCGGCGCAAAGGTCGAAGGGAAGGCCCCTAAACTGGGCCACTTGGATGATGGATTTATGGACGCAGCCCGAGCTGCCATTGCAGCCGAGATTGCATCAACAGAAGCACAGCAGCAACAAGCAGAGTGGCAAGAGAAATTCGATGATGTCTGGTCATCGACTCGCGCCAAGGCTCTTCCAGGCCTGAACAACTATGCCGACGAGGAAGAAGACGCCTTCCAAGAAGAGCAGCGCATGATCGGAGCCTTCGACAACGTACAAGCATCCTTGCTCGCCACCGCCGAAAAGGGCAACAAGCTCGAGAAAAAGCTCGCATTGCACTACGGCGGATATCAAAACCGCGCCAAGACACTGCGTTCCAAGATCCTGGAGGCTAGTGCCGCCCTGCTCAAGTCCCAGGACGATCTGGACTCTTTCCGGACTCTCCAGATATCTGAAGAGGCTGTTGTTTCCCGACGACTGGAGAAATTGCGAGAGGATGTGTCGTTTGTGATGCGGCGCGAGCGCGAGGCACAGGAATTGTATAAGAGCAGGAAAGACGAGCTGGATGAGCTGGTTGCCGGCACGGCTACGGTCAATGGGTGGCATTGAGTTGGGTATATGGACTCGCTTTTTGATCTTTCAGTCATGACCCATTGCACCTCATTTTTGTACCATTACTAGGACGGTTTACATTTTCGTGGATAATGCGAATGCATTGGAGTTGCTGAAGTATTGATATTTGCTTCAATCTTTGGATCAGTATTTTTTCTAAAATTGCTTGGATTCCTTTTGCGCCCATTTAGACCCACAGGTATGAAATATGTCACCGTAGGTAATCCATCCAGAAGTGTGAAGCCCTCAGACGACGTGGATGTATATCTTCAATTGACGCTCTAAGGCTGAGGTCTTTTCCAGTCGTCAACATCCCACGCAATCCATCAGCGTTATCAGATGGCAATAAAGCAGAAAATAGATTTATTTTTCTTGTAGTGACCAAACAATGTCACCCTACTATTACTTGCCATCCATTGAACGTTTCTGATCTTACCGTTGCAGGATCCGGAAGCTTACATAACACGGCGCGATCACCGTGGCACCTCGTTCCGCCTGCACCACCAACCTCTCTTCATCGCACATCGCATCCAGTTCATCGAATTTCATCTAATCAGTGTGTTTGGGTGCCCGCGTCATCGCATAGCCGGTCACGATGGGCGTCCGAGATTCTCACGGCGAAGCGGCGGGGACTCCTGACCCCGTCGAGAAAGGGTTCGCCACTCTGAATACCATCAGGTGAGTTTGAATCCCGGGATGAACGGGGATTAAGTATCACCAGAGTCTCAGAGTCCATTTTGATCGGTCGCATATACTGACTGGGACGATAGAATCGGTGTGAAGGCCATGGTGCAGAAGGTCGGTGTCGCGCAGAGTCTGAACTATCACGTGATATCATTACTGACTGCGGCTTTAGGATGGAGAATTGCGCAAGGCGGAGATTCTGTCGATTCGGCAGCGCAAGGATGGCCCTTCGTTCTAGTATGTTGGATTTGAGTGGTAAAATGTTGTTCATTATGCTAACACGTACCCCAAAGCGTGCATTATGTCGACTTCAACAAGCGTCTTGATGGTGAGTCTTGCAGCATACTTTTCAACATGGCTCAAATTCTAATCAATGTCACTAGAATGGATCAATTCTTCTCGCATTGACCTTTCCAAAGCGGTTGAATGGCCGCAGCCCGAGAAGCCAGACAAGAAAAAGTCTACTACCAACAATAAGGCACCTAGCAAGAATATTCCCAAGAACGCTCGACCTGGCAGCCGCGATGTGTCGGGGACTCCTGATGCACTGGGTGGTAAGAATTTGAACGTCGGCAAGGCACCGCGGCCATCCAAGGCCGGTGGTAAAGAGAACCGCACCGTCGATACGCCAGGCGACACTTCACTTTTCGGGTCCGAGGCGGTATCAACCGTTGGAACACCCAAGGCAGACTCAGAAGATGTTGATATGGCAGATGCTGCCGCAGAAGCCACACTGAAAGAAGATGGGGTCAAAACCACATCTGGCGAGGTGATCACCCGCGAAGAGGAGATCGAGCGCCTACGGACAAGCGGCAGTATGACTCAAAACCCAACAGAAATCCACCGCGTACGAAACTTGAGCCGTCTCCAAATGGGCAAATTCGAAATTGAGCCGTGGTACTTCTCCCCATACCCGGACGAATTCTCCGACGTGGACATAGTTTACATCGACGAGTTCTGCCTCAGCTACTTCGACAACCAGCGTGCCTTCGAGCGCCACCGCGCAAAGTGCACTCTGGTCCACCCCCCAGGAAACGAAATTTACCGCGACGAGAACATTTCATTCTTCGAAGTCGACGGGCGTCGCCAGCGCACCTGGTGCCGTAACCTATGCCTTCTCAGCAAGCTCTTCCTTGATCACAAAACTCTCTATTACGATGTCGACCCCTTCCTCTTCTACTGCATGTGCACACGTGACGAAACCGGCTGCCATCTCGTCGGCTACTTTTCCAAGGAAAAGGACTGCGCCGAAGGCTACAACCTGGCTTGCATCCTGACGCTGCCGCAATACCAGCGCCGCGGATTTGGTCGTTTGCTCATGGCGTTCAGCTACGAACTCAGCAAGCGCGAGGGCAAGCTCGGATCTCCCGAGAAACCGCTCTCCGATCTGGGTCTTATGGGTTACCGCCAGTACTGGCGGGAGACGCTCGTTGAGTTGTTGATGGAGCCGGGCCGTGAGACGATAAGTGAGAATGAACTCGCGGTTCTCACTTCCATGACTGAGAAGGATGTTCATGAGACTTTGGTTGTTTTTAACATGCTCCGATATCACGTAAGTCTTATTTCATTTGATACCGGTTTCGTGGCTAACACATGAACAGAAAGGAAACTGGGTTATTGTCCTCACTGACTATGTAGTCGGGGAGCATAAAAAGCGTCTTGAAAAAGAGAAAGTCAAGGGTGCGCGCAAGATCGATCCCGCTGCTCTCCAGTGGAAACCACCTGTTTTCACTGCCTCTAGCCGGACGTGGAACTGGTAAGGAGAACGCTCTTTATATGTTCTTCGAGGCCCTCGGGGGTGCGGTTTACTCTGCTTTTTTGCTGGTGCTGGAATGAACGTCCGATAATGAGGCGCATATGACCAGAGGAGTTTTTCCTGCGGTATCTTTCTAATGGTGTTTGGGGAATACGGAACCATGGTGTTTTGGTTGATCTGGGTTTTACTTTGATACCTCTTTTCTTCTTGTATATCAACTCACCTGCAATGCATTCTAAACGTTAATTACTACTTGTCTACACTATATACATTCAAATATTACAAGAACGGATGAACCTGCCTTGCCCATGAAATGCGGATGATATGTCTATTCATGGACCAAAGCTAGTCAAGGTACAATCTACGATCTACAATTAAGAACAAGATTAAGATTCAACGACTGGTATGAATTGGGAGACTGCATGATACAAGGCGGATCGGATTGAATAGGGCAAGGGCCAGGCCAGCTCGAAACAGAGCAATCAGCGAGGCTGACAGTTTCAGGCGTGAGGAATGAAAGGTTGAGAATTTCCAAAAAACGGGACCCTGGAACAGAATGTCCACGATGCTTTTCACAGGCGTCCCTGTTCCCTGCCTTTCGTAACCGGGAACCTGCAGCCCACGCAGCCGGCGGGCACAGAAAAATGGAAAAGAAAAAGTACATAACATGAAGGAAGCATGTTGCATGTTGCGGAGGTGACGGTGAGGATGAGGGTGAGGTGGGTTTCTCCTGTCCGTCTGCCGTTGTGGCTTGGGGATGAGGGAAATGGCCACAGGAGGGTGGAAGGGGGATTTGAATGTGGATGGGCGGCTAATCAATTAGATCAGTTAAGAACTAACATGAGAATGCTCGATGCCTTCTCTGCCTTTGAGAATACCGAAAGGAGAGGCAAGATAGACCTCTTAATGAGAGCCCTGGCGTGGACCCCATGATGCAGTCCGGGACTGGTTGTGCCGCGGCGAGGATGAAACGGCCGTGCCTTGCTGAGACGCAGATGGCTTCTTCACTCCCTCCTTGCCCCCAGTGGCCTCACGGGGCTTGGTTACCTTGCGAGCTTTGAAGTTGGGCGAGCTTCGGTGCCGCGGATTCGAGTTCGGATTCGAACTCGAATTAGGACCGCCAGCCTTTTTGGGAAGGGTGATTGTCTTCGCGGCGAGTGCGCCGGGCAGGCGGATCAAGGCCCGGATGTTACCGGCGTGATCCTTATCGCTGATGCCGACCCAGAATGGCTCAACACTGTGGACCTGCATCGTCTTCAGGTTCTTTGCGCGGAGCCGAGACTGCGAGGGCGCTGGTGCAGCGCGCCATGCGGCTGGAGGTGCCATGTTCGGGACACGGACACCTGGGAGCGATCCTGGTTCACGGTCCTCGAAAATATCATCCTGCTCTTCCACTTGTCGGACGGCAAGGTCGCCGTCTCCAGATGGATAACCTTGCTCGATGCTAGGCAAAGACACGGGAACTGCCGCAACGGGCAATTGGACATCGAGAGGTTCCTTTGTCGCAGAGGCAACGGCCAAAGCGCTTTTCTTCTCGACAGGGGTCTTCTTGCCAAACAGTCCATTGATCTTTTCCTGCCAGGACATCACAGTCGAGGCCGGCCCTGGGGCTCGTGGGGTTGCCGCTGCCATGGATGCAAACGTGGGGGGTATATCTGGCGTGGCTTGCGCAGCGTGAGCAGCTTGAGCGGCTTGAGCGGCTTGCGCAGCCAGAACCTTAGGCGGGAGCTTGACCACAGGTTTGGGGTTGGGAAGGTGAACCAATGGCCGACTCGAGCCGCCGAAATAGACAGGATGACTTGAGATTTCCTCCGGAGGCGGAGGAGATGGGCTTCGTTGGTAATCACTGATTGTCTTCTCAATTGGCCGTTTCGCTTGCTCAGTAACATGCGGGAAGAATCGTGAGCTGCGTGCAGGCACACTGACTAGAGGACGGGCGTGAGTATCGGAGAATGCCGGCAGACCATCCACGGGTGCATCAAGACCGGTCAACGGATGGGAAGGAGAGCCATTCTTGTTTACGACTCCTTGTGAGACCCCGACGACATGACGTTGACCAGCATCGTTCTCGGGCCGCACTTGAGACCAGGTCTCGTTGAAAGCGACAGGCGGGCCGGACGATCGAGAATCACGGCTGGCATTGAAATCATTGCGGTATTTCTCCGCCTCCTCTTGTTCTCGCTGGGCTGTGAGTTTGTGGAAGTTGTTCCACGCGCCCAAACCACCTGGGGTACGAGAATCTTGTTGCCATTGAGATTGTTGTGAGCTCGGAGGCCCAATCGGACCAGGACGGCCAATAGGACTCAAAGGATCATAAGATGCATTCCGGGTTTCGGGCGAAGGCAGCGGGGAGATTGACGCTGCCTCCGGTGGGCCTGAAAGAGCCGGAGGGGGCATGATGGGTTGATCGAGACCCAGCTGGCCCCGTAGAGGCATTTCTCGGGACGGGAAGCCGCCGAGGCTCTGATCGAAAATACCGTTACCCAGTGTTCGATCGCTGATCAAAGGCTTCCATGGGTTCTTGACCGACGGTGAAGTCGTTGCTAGGTTAGGATTGGTTGACCACGGAGCATATGACGAGCCTGAAACGTTCAGATTTCCACGCCACTGTGCACCATGTTCATCAGTCTTCGAACTTTGCGGGCTCCCCTGGGTTTGCTGGTCCATGTTGCCCGAAGCAACTGATTCGCGTTTCGACTCGCGGTGAGGGGAAGGACCACGGCGCATACGAGGCGATGTTTTCTCCGCGTGCGGTTTCTCAGCTGCGCGGTCCCTCTCGTTTGCTGCAACAAGCTTCTTCACACTATCAGGGTGATGAACCTTCATCATGCCATATTGCTTAGGTTCTCCAGTGGGTTCGGGAACAGGAGGCTTCGGAGGAGAGCAAATCGTGACTGGAGCTGGCGCGGACGGGACCTGGGTCTTGCGACTTTCAATGCTGTTTTTGCGCTGTTTGTCTGGTGCTGGGCCCAAGGCCGCGAGCTTCTGGCGAATTCGCTCGTCCCTCTCTGCCTTCTCTTTCTCTTCTTGCTGCAGGCGACGTTGCCTAGCCTCAAGTCGCTTCTCCTTCATGATACGCTCCTGCACAACAAGAGGATCCTCCTCAGGCACTTCTGGTACAGCTGCCGGTGCATGTTGCTGCTCAACTAGCGGGACTCGGTCCAGATGCGCAGGTGGGTGTGCACCCCACCCTGGTGTAGCATGCTGTTGCGATGGAGACATTTCATGTGCATGGCCTGGCTCGCGAGACATTAATGCCGGATCGACCATGCCATTTACCTGAGAGCCCCGTCGGCCTTCATACCTTGGAGGCACATCTGCTCGACCGAAAGACATCCGACGATCAAATCCTCCGCTTCCTCCACTGACATTAGATGACGCACGGTGACGGTTCCAGCCCATGCCGCCATCTTGATGGCTTGACCGTTGAGTCTGGAATGCCGCAGAAGGTTCGGCCGGCCCATTCGCATCATGACCAGGTCGTTGCAACACAGCAGGAGCTCGAGGGCCTTGGTCTTGTCGATACGATGGCCTTCTATGTTCTGCTACAGGCTCGTACCGACCAGACCGAGAGTTGTACAGCTCACGTGGCGCATTCGGTGCGGTTTCTCGCCAAGTGCGATTGAAGTCATCCGCGGCAATCTCTTGCGGAGGCAATGGGGCATAACGAGCATCGTCTCGGTGAGGGTGGTGGACGGGGGGACGTGACTGGGGGATATTTGCAGGAGGATTCACAGGTGACACTCTCTCGACCGGAGGTAGCGTAGCCCAGGGAGACTTGCTTGGAGGTGCCGGACTTGTAGAGCCTGACGTAACTCTGTCATTTGCTCCTTTGGACGAAATGCTCGCCGCCTTCGCCTGCCGCTCCGCATTAGCTCCAAGCCTCAGTACCGTTGGGTTTGGCCCAACGGATGTAGTTGGCTTCGGGGCAACCATTTTTGAAACATCTCGCACTGCAGTCGGCTCTAGCATTGGTGCCTCCCTCGGTTCATGTTGATGTACCTCTGGTGGTGGTTGCGGTTCATTGTGGGTGAGAGTGACCTTGGTGCCGTCCGTCCACTCAATTGTCTCCGGAGCCCAGTCGTCTTCATCATCATCAATATCGGCCCATTTTGCCTCGGATCCAACACCGTCTTCTTGGATTCGAGATGTCATGTGAATTCCATATTGCAGTTTCAACTCCTCGTCCGTCAAGTGCTTCGGCGGTGTCGGTTGGACGGCTATATCAGAATCCACAGGTCAGCTCTAGTACTATAGCTCCCATTACAGCGATACATACGCCGGTTCTTATTCCAGACTTGATTCGGATCCGGTCCTGATCCACCAGACTTCGCGCCTCCTGGGCCAGATTTTGACAAGCCATCCCGCATGGCAGCCGTGGACTTCGGAACTAAGCGCGGCCGCGCAGTAGGCTGCGGAGTACCCAAGGGGGTTGTGGGAATTGATGGAGCTAACTTTGAGGTCAGAATCACGCCCAAGAGAGTAACCATCAAACAAAACAATACCTTTCTCAGGCGCCTTGGGCGGTGCCGTCGTCCCGGGTGCTTTTGGCACTGAGAACTTCGCAAAAGAAACCGGTTTAAAAGATGCCGGCTTCTTCGCCGACCCAGTGCGGGTGTGATGGCGACCATCCGTCCGACTAGCATCCGACTCCGAACCACCTTGTGAGGCCGTATCGTCGCCGCCGTCTGATACGGAAGCTAATCCGTTCAGTTCAAGGGCTCTCGAAGCGACCAACCCGGCGCTCTGCTTTGGAGAATCCTGCAATCAGTTCAGCCATTCCGTTGTCCAATACCTCGGCGACAAGAAACCCCTACCATCGAAAAGCTTCCGGCATCCTTGTCACCCAACTTGTCGGCGGAAGGGGGTAGTGTATCTCTCGTCTTGGGGTGTTGGTCGGACGTTATTTGCGCAGTGAAAGTCGTTGCGATATGTCTGGTCTCCCCCGCGTCCCCTTCGGCAGTTTGTTTGTCGTTGGTGCTCGCAGGAACGTCGGAAGGCGAAGGCTCGCCGCCCGACAGGGTCTGATCTACCACATCGCGGCTGCTCTGCTCTGCCATAACAATGCTCGAGCCTGAAGGAACCAAAAAAGGCGACATTTGTCAGAACAGCGCTTCAAAATACCCAGAGGGGATAGAGAGGCGGAATGCGAATGAGCGGCCGCTCAAGCTGGCATAGTTAGAGACAGGGCCAGCGTACCTGTTGTCAGATTCCAGTAGTCGCCACGGTAGAACTGCTCGTTTGACTGGTTGCACCCTGGAAAATCGGGATTCCACAACCAGGAGGGTGGAGGTTGGGCGGCCAACTCTCAGGAGCTGCGACGGTGACAACGTTCGCGGAGGTAGAGAACGGGCCTCGGAAGACGCGTGAGGAAGTCCACGGGCCCAGGAAACCCCGGGATAGGGAGGAGAGGATCGAAAAAGAGGGTAGGGTTGGGTGTAGTGATGGGTGGGAGGGTTGGCTTCGTTGAGATGATCTCGGGTTTGAAGCTGAGGCTTGGCTGCTTTCGGTCGGGGGCCCCACACCGCCCACTCATTGTCACTGAGAGAACTGCGCAGCCCAGACGCGTTCTGCGAATATAGATGCTAAGACAAGGTAAAGTCGGTCAAAACTGTTTCGTTCGAGACTCTAATTGTCTAGGATGACGTTGCTTTATTATGCAGGCACAGGCGCCGTGCTTGAGTGAGTGGGCGAGTGCAGAGTTCGACAAGCCAGAACATTGATCTATAGAACCCTACATGGTGCTATAGAAGCTACGATTGGCGGAAGCATCTTATAGTGAAACAATGAGATTCAAAAAGTCTCTCTAATTCCTACACACTGCCTTGCTCTGGGTCAGAGGACGCAGTATATACATCAATCCTCCACCCGTTCAATCAAAAGAAAAGATTTAGTGAGGGTGGTTCTTGTGGTGGCCTATTCAACTGTCAGTAAATCTTGCAGAGAATGACATGGATTATAGGATACTCACGCAGGTGGAAGTAGTACTCCATGCTGTAGCCGAGGATCAGGATACCGCCAATGGCGTGGACCAGGGCTGTTCAAATTAGCTTTCGTATCATGCCAGTCTTGACATATTTCAATACTTACGGACACCGGAGGCATTTTTGCCGTTGAAGTAGCGGGCCTGGTAGCGGCCGATGAGACCGGTGGCCTTAGTCTGGGGAGCAGGGCCACGGGGAAGACCGGCGTAGAAGTTCACAACGCGCTCCATGCGAGCAGCATCCTGAGCAGCACCAATGGCCTTTATATGTATGTTAGCGGTCGTTTGGGGTGGCAAGGGCGCGATATATCTCCTCTAGCTCGCACGAAAAAGACTTCGGGAAGGCACGGGGCCGGGAGGGGCGTAGGGAGCGATGGTAGGCACGAGGTGTTCTGGGTAACTCACGTTGGGGGAGGCGATCTAAAACAATAATAAGTATCATATGGAAAGGCTTGCGACAGCCATTTGATGGGTCAATCGGGTGTTCGTACCTTGGGAGGGATCAGGGTCGAGAGACCACGGCGGACAATGTAGCTCATCTTGTCTGACTGGAAGGGGTCAAAAATTTGTCGCAACGAATGCGGTCGGGTTCAAACAACGTATGGAACCCGTCAGAGACAACTCACTGTGGTTTGCAGCGCAAGTGAACCGGGGTAGACAGATGATGCAGAAGGGAGAGAACCTTTGGCCGGGAAGCGGGTGGTCGGATGAGCCAATGTGCGCTAAACCCCTTTCGGGTGTGCCGTGACCTGCACTCTGCGATTGACGATTAACACCTCCTCTCGACTATCGCTGCCCCCATCCCACCCCACTCCTTCCATCGCACACCATGTCGCTCTTCAGAATTGGAGGTGCTGCTGGCCTCCGGGCGACCCGCCTGGTCGCTCCCGTCAATGCCCGCTTTGCCTCCAATGGTGCCCGGGGCACTCAGGCTCCTGTCAAGACCAACCCGTCCGAGGCTCCTACCTCGACCTACTCCAGCAGCTCCTTGATCAACAAGGAAGGCCCTGCTGAGGCGATGACCCATCATCAGCCGGACTACGATGCAACCATTGACCACGGCACTTCGTATGCTTTCCTACTTTCGCCGCCGCCGCAAACCTTTCGCTAACACCAATTTCCTAGAAATTTCTCTCCGGTGCCCAAGCGCGTTATGGATGGCTCTGAGCCCGGTAACTCCCTGCCCGCTGCCGTTCTCTCCGGAGCCCCTACCGACCTTCAGGCCCGCACTGTCCGGTAAGACAAGAACCAACCAATAGAACCCGACCTATATAAGCTAACATTCAACGCGCAGTATCTACCGTCCCACAAAGGCCGCTACTCAATCTGGCCACTGGCACGGTCACCACTGGCGTATGGACTGGGATATCCTGCAGAAGGGCCACCGGTGGGAGAATCCCCTGATGGGCTGGCAGTCGTCTGCCGATGCCATGCAAGGCACCAATCTCAAGTTCAAGTCGAAGGAGGACGCCATTGCCTTTGCTCAGAAGCAGGGATACGAATACTTTGTCCAGGAGCCAAACGAGCGCCGGTTCGTGCCCAAGGCTTATGCCAACAACTTCGTCCACGAGTCTAGGAAGCTCAAGCACATCAAGACCAAATGAGTGCGTTTTTCTCGTGTATCATGTACATAATTACAGGTTTTTCTTTTCATCAAAATGAAGTTCATCCCATACAATACTTCGATTTCCTGGGTAAATAAAGGGCTGAGTGGATTGGGGCTTCCGCCTTCGTGCCCAGGTGGGCTTGATCTCGCTTCTTTCACGTTTTGAGCTTGGTAGTGCAGTTGCAAAGGTCTACCCAGGCGGGAACTACAGGGTTGTATGAAAACCCTCCAGGACTTGCTTAAAAAGTTGCCAAGGGAGTTCACTCAACGACCAAGTCAGTCTTGGTAAGACGGTACCTCCGACAAGCAGTATTTCCGAAAGACAACATTCAATATCTTCAATTATTCATCCACATCTCATCCATATCTCATCCACATCTCATCCACATCTCATCCATATCTCATCCATATCTCATCCAGCCAATTACATTAAGTCACCGTACTCATGGCCCTCCTCCTCCAGCTGCTCATCCTTGTGCAGGTAATCCTTCATCTTATCCATCTCACCCTCCTCCTTCTTGTCCTGGGGTTGCTGGCTGTCCTTGTCATGGTGCTTACAATCCTTGTTCTTATGGTGATGAAGGATTCTCTCGAAGAAACCCTCGTGCTCGTGCTCGTGAACGGGATTCGACTCTTGGGGGTTCGACTCTGTGACGATCAGTCTCAAGAACCAACAAGGTATAAGTGTGATTGGAAGCACTCACTGTCGGCCATGATGTTTAATGTATTGGGTGGCAGAGCTCACAGAAACCTCTTGATACGTTGATATGTATTTGGATGATTTTGTATGATGTTAAATGATGGAACAAAAAGGCGGGGAATAGAGCATAGCTATAAAGCATGAGCTGGGATCTAATAATGGGTCACACTATATCATCCAATAAGGCATCAAATAACATGGTGGAGCTGTAGTAAGGCGACTTTCGCACAATAGGCCGTTGGAACAGTGAGCGCGTCATCGAACAACATCTGAAGGCTAAAAGCGTGTTGATGCTGGGAGGAAGTTTAATTTGCGGTAGATCCCGATTGAATTGTTATCCTAGGGGAAAATACCGCGTGGGGTGAAGGTTACTTTTATTGGATTAGAAGTATTGCCACATTTGGTTTCGAAGCGTGCCGCAATATTACTGGATCTGGAGCTGGTGATGCAGTCTGCGTGGGTCTAAATGGATCACTTTGGAGGTTGCTCTCGGCAGAATCCCGAACGGACTGTTTCAGGACTTGGGTAATCGCGGGTCTAGAAGACAGATATAGAAATGCAAACGTCAATAGCTCGTACGATGACGGCTAGTCATCATACGAAGCGTCATGGGTGATCTCTGTGTTGATAAGTGCCAAATCCAGATTCTAGTGTCATTCTACTACTAAAGCTATCTTGTAAGATCAGACATTCGATTAAGTAAAAATTGCATTCTGATGAATCTGAACCGAATCAAAGAGAACCCCATTAGAAGCACTACTTTTTAATCGCGGCTTCAGTCGCCTTTCTAACCCTAGCGCCAAGATCCTGGTTAACACGACCAAACAGTGCTGCCAATAAGTCAGTATGATTTTCCTCATCTCAAGAGGAGCAGTAAACAAACCGTAAACCTCATTACGCAGGTTTGGCGACTTAACCTCCCTAATACTCCCAGCAAGATTCTCAACGACTCTCTCCTGATGTCCCGGATCGCGGCCAATAACATCCCACAAAGCAGCAGGTTGAACAAAATCATCGTCCGTGATATGGCTGGTGTAGCTTGTAACTTCACCGACCCATTTCTCGTGTTCTGTATGCAGGGCCAGTGACTTGGGACTGACGCCTTTGACTTCTGGGTAAAACTTGGTTGGTTGGAGGGAGGAGTTGACGTAGTTTGGATCGCCGCCGTAGTTGCCGTCGGATCTCATTTTGCCATCTCGCTCGAAAGGGCAATATACTTGGACCTTGGCTGCGTTTGTTGGAAGTTGTTGGTAATTGACACCGATGCGGTAGCGGGCTGCGTCGGGGTAGGCGAAAAGACGGGCTTGGAGAACTGGGTTGGGAATCATCAGTATCTAGGCTTCGGATGACTGGATTGATAATTGACTTACCGGGGTCGGCGGAAGCTGAAAACCCCGGGACCATAGTGGATGGAGAAAATGCCGCCTGCTCGATATCGGCGAAATAGTTGTTGGGCTGATTTATATAGTTAGAAACTGTCAATTCACTTAAGAGGACAGCGAAACTCACGTTACGGGTCAGGGTCATCTTGCCAATCTTCCTCAAGGGAAAGTCCGTGTGTGGCCAGACTTTGGTCATATCGAAGATATTCCACCGGTAGTTCTCGGCCTCAGATGGATCCATGACTTGGACAAAGACATCCCACGAGGGATAGTCTTGTCTTTCAATGGCCTCAAACATATCCCGAATCATGTAGTCAGGGTCCTCGCCGGCAATTTTAGTTGCTTCTTCCCGAGTGAAGTTCTTGACACCCTGCCGGGTCTTCATGTGGATCTTGATGTACTTGAACGAGCCATCCTAATGCAGAGTTAGTTGGTGCTATACAATGGCAAGTTGTGTCATCTTACCTCTTTGGTGAACTTATAGGTGTGTCCACTATAGGAGTTCAGATAACGAACTGACTTAGGTGTTCCACGATCGCTGAAAAGAACCAGGAGCTGGTGAATTCCTTCTGGGTTTCCAACGTGGAAGCTAGAAATTGTTAGCACTTAGTACGCAGAACCTTTGATGGCTATTCATACTCCCAGAACTAAATGTAATGTCAGATTTCGTATAATTAAGCTTGGGAACTGCCGCATACCATGTTTGCATCAGGAAGATGAGACCGCGGGTGCCTCTTGTGAGAACGGTTCATGGAAGGGAACTTGATGGGATCCCGAATGAAGAAGACCGGCTTCTTAGGTATTAGCGGGTGCAGTCATTCTTCGTACACGGGGCTTGCTCACGGTATTGTTGAAGACCCAGTCTAGATTGCCTTCATCGGTATACATCTTCATTGCCCAGCCATGGACATCTCGAGATGTATCGGCAGAGCCTGACTCCGGGCCGACGGTGGAAACTCTGAGTAGAACCGGAGTCTTTTTTCCAGCCTTGTTGAGAAAGCTGGCGGATGTTATATCGGAGCAGTCGGCTTCCGCTTCGAATTCTCCGTATGCTCTATGGGTGGAGAAATAGATAAGCTCGTTGTCCAGGGTAGGAATACCCCAGGGCTCCAGGCCTCGGATTGACTTACCCGATAGCTTTGGCGTGAACGACGCTGGAAGAATTCCAATGTCAGCCGTAATTCACCTTTTCCAGTTGAGTCACTCTTACCGCTCCGGGATTCTCTCGCGAGAGAAATGTGCGAGAGTCTCAATGAGCTGGGTGTCCTGAAGGAGACCAAGACCACCACCCTGTCTGTTTCTCATCAGCACAGCAGTGCTGCTGCTTGCGAAGGGACAGCCTTCTTAGAGTCAGCATTAAAAAAAATTTGGTGACTGATTTGATATTGCTGACCTTCTGCAAGAGTGTAGTACTTGTCAGCCGACATGATGAGCTCAAAAGCAAAAATCCTCGACAATTGAGACTTTTGAAAAGATCAGAATGAATTGAAATTTTTTCTCTGAGATATGTAGGTACCCTGCACCGGGAGCTCATAATGGCTTTATTGTACCGCGACTGATACCGCTATTTGGGTTCTCCATCCGCCGCCTCCGCCAGTGTATTACATCATTCCTGTCCGCCCACTGCAAGACGTTCGTCGGACCCGGATAAGCTCGAATTAAAATTGGCATCTATTGATTGGCCTATCGCCGAAAATTCCATGGCCCAAGAACCAGTTGCCCACAGACGCATATGCGTGGCGGCCCGCTATCGTCATGCATGTAAGCTCATTTCGGCCGTATCGAGAAGTGAGGTCGAAGTCGAGACGATCAACTTTCGGCATCTCCTGGTAAGCTTGAGTGTCAATTGACCCTGTAGCCGTGTCTACCTAGGTGGCGCAGTGGGTTGGAGGAGCTGAGCTCAACGGTCCCTGGTTCTTCCTCGTCGATTCCTGTTATATTAAATTGTTGCCCGGAATGTTTCCAGGGTTATTGAGAGGGTCAACGCGGCAGCAGTATTTCGTCGGGCTAAGATCCAGGTTAGGAACGCAGATGGGTGACTGGGTCGATACTATTACCAGATTGAGCTTTTGACGGGCGGTGGATCGATCTTGTTAAATTCGCCGCCCCACCTTTCATCATCGTGGACATCTAACCGCGGCACGACTTCAGTGTTTTTGTTTTTTTGCCCTTGGTAGATGCAGAAATTTCGAGTAAAGGGGTCAATAGATTTCCCTGTGGAGTGACGCTCCTGAACCAGTCTCAATCGGGACTCCCAAAGGCTCAGCATTACAAGATTCTTCGCGCCATCCTGGTTATTACTCTCACATACCGACAGAACATTTTGCCTAACCGTTTGGGGTTATACTATGCCATCGGGCAATGAAACCGGTGGGTCTCGTTCTGGAAGGAGCATGCCCTCCAACGATGCTCCCCGATTCGCCTTCGTGTCGGAGAACAATCAAGCAGACGCCCGAAGCCATGCAATGCGCGAGCACTGGAGACAGCGACACAGCCGCAAAAATAGCGGGAAAGCCAAAAGAATCCAGCCGAAACTCCTACCCACCCCGACATCTTCCCAAGATCGAATCCAAAAACCCAGGGATCATCTCAGCCGAGACCGTTCAACCCGCTCTCAGAGTTCATCTACTAAGCAGTCGGAAGCTACTTCCACCACCGAGATTGAACGGAGCCGATACAACAAAGAAACGGCGCTCGGTATTACCCCACAGCTCTTGAATGGAATGAGCCATGCTTTGTCAACTGCGAGGCTTGATCCCTTCCAACAATTCCCGGTGGAGTTGACACCCCAGCATCACAAACTACTGCATCACTGTACGTTTACGGCCTGCTGTTCATGGATCTGAAACCCATCTCATTGAACTCACAGGGATTGGAACGCATGCTACCATGATGTTCGAGGACCTGGATATCCCGACTTTCAATCCAATGAAGGACGTTTGGTTCCCACTAGATTTGTCCAACGCGTCATCTTTTAACGCTATCATGGCTCACTCTGCAGCTCACCTAGCTCAGCTCTATGCGGGGACGAGTTCGCAAAGAGCAACCAACTCATCCGCTGCCTTAACATTCAAAACTGAAGCGGTGAGAATACTCCACGAGTGGCTCTCCGACCCAGAAAAAGCACTCAGTTGTGATGCATTTGCAGCTGTCATCCGACTCTTGACATTTGAGGTAAGTACACTCTACGCTAATGCCTAGTGCATCCCCCTCATTCCTGATGTGGCGGAACCTAATTCTTACACAGAGATACTGGGGCACGGCCGAAGAATGGAATATCCATCGCATCGGTCTCCACAAAATGATTGAAGCTAAAGGTGGAATCAGTAAGCTCCACGACAACTGGCGTTTGGAGCTTGTTGTCTACCTGTGGGTCCTAGGTTTTCATCCTTGCCTTGATCTAGTACTGATTCACGTAGTGTATCTCTTATGTCCAGGCCGTCCTGGTTTGAGTCGACCAATAACATCTCCGAAATCTCCGAGCCGTCCGCTAACGCCTTCTCGCTCGACCCAAATATGGACATCCAAAAGATACGCTGTCTTTGGTTGATATCGTTCATCCAAGACATGCGTACTTTTATGGGATTTTCCTCACGATTCTATGTCCGCGGCCTCTCGGCATACCCATCCCTCTACGATGCTGTTACTCTTCTCCGCGCTGACTTCCAAGCTTATCATACGAACAAAAGTCCGTCGGGTGGACCGGAAATGGCCGTATCAGACTATAACAGGTTGGCCTGCCTGTTCTCAATCTGTATCATGATGCAAGACTCGATATCGTCCCCACTCGGCGGCCCCGTGGGCTCCCCGGGCCCCTCCCACGGTCTGGTCATGCTAGATGACGCTTTGGCTAATTCCCGGACTCTTTGGCAAGATTCCGTCAGTAATCTGCGTCCATTTCTACTCCACCACTTAATAGAATGCCATCTAGACGGGCCGCAAAAGATCGATTACATCGGGAGAATGGTGGAAGTGCTAAGCCATTTGAGTTTAGAGGCCGGGATTGGGGTGGAAAAATGTCTTCTAAACATGCTGTGCCGCACTCAGGCTGCACAGTCGACATTTTTAGTGGATGATGGTTGGACCCCTGATTCGCTCTTGTCATCTTTGCATGGACAGTAACAAATTCACCTTTTCAAGGAACTGCAAAACGTGGCAAAGGCAGCCTGGCTTTCGGGAATGCCATGAACCGACGATCATCTGTAGCTTGGACACGAAGCAAATACCGTAATTCAGGACTCGGCCGTGATTATTGGTTATAATTCGTTGCAGTAGTGACTCCGAATTGGGAAGGCCTAAGCCACCAATTACAATCCCGGCTTTGTACACCCGAAACCGCGTCAAAGGCTTACTTGAATCATAGATCATCTGTATTGAAGCTACGTTTAAACTTTAGCCCCTCTCAGACCGTCTCCCGTGCCAAACTCACTTTTACTACTATTTTTTACGGATACTGCAGTGTACAGCCTGACTGCAGATGTAATTAAGGCCCACAAACTTGCCGCCTGGATTCTGCCGGTTCTATTATGCCCATCTGGCCGCTAGGACCTCTCAGACCACCATATCGGCTGGGAGTAAAGGGTGGGCCTTAATTACATCTGCAGTCAAGCTGTAGGTGCTTTTGTGAGAGGGTGCACAGCTCGGGAGGATGGATCGTCATGGCATCATCATGACTTGGGGGATTGTCATTGGATCATGGCTTCGGGATTTGAACTTTTAAGGCGCCACGATCCACGGTACAACGTGGTACCGCATGTTTGTCTCCAAACTGGGGAAACTCCAAGTGTGAGGTAGAGTGAGATATAAGAGAGGCCCCGAAGACGAGCAATTGAACCTCCATCGCAACAACTCACTCTTCAAACTACTTCTCTTCTTCACTCTGAACATCATGGTAGCCTTGGACGGAGCTCGCTTTGACTTTGTCGTCGTTGGCGGCGGCACTGCCGGCAACACAGTCGCCGGTCGTCTCGCTGAGAACCCCAACGTCACCGTCCTGGTCGTTGAAGCTGGTATCGGTAACCCTGATGAGGTGTCCGATATTACTACACCTGCCTTGGCTATGGATCTGCGCGATAGTCAGTATGACTGGGCGTATAAGACTACATTGGTCAAGCGTGACGACTACGAACGCATTGAAAAGCCTAATACCCGTGGCAAAACCCTCGGAGGGAGTTCCTCGCTAAACTACTTCACCTGGGTCCCGGGTTGCAAGGCCACATTTGACATGTGGGGTGAATATGGTGGTGACGAGTGGACCTGGGATCCTCTTGTGCCTTACCTTCGCAAGAGCGCTACCTACCATGATGACCCCAGGCTCTACTCGCCTGAACTGAAGAAAATCGGCAGTGGCGGACCGATTCCTATTGCGCACGCCGAACTGCTTGACGAGATGAAGGACTTCCGAAGCCTTCTAACCAAGGCGTGGGAGTCTACGGGTCAACCACTGACTGAAAACATCTATGATGGCGAGATAAATGGTCTCACGCATTGCTGTGATACGATCTATCGCGGTCAACGCTCCGGTAGTTGGTTGTTTGTCAAGGACAAGCCCAACATTACTATCGTGTCTCAGGTGCATTCCAAGCGCCTAATCATCGATGAAGCAGACCGCTCCTGCAAAGGCGTCACTGTCATTGATCCCTCCGGCAAGGAGCTCAATTTCTATGCCACCAGGGAGGTTATTTTATCCCAGGGCGTCTTCGAAAGCCCTAAGCTTCTGATGCTAAGCGGTATCGGCCCGAACCGTGAACTTTCCAAGCATGGTATCAACACAATCGTCAATTCCGAACACGTCGGCCAGCACCTTATCGACCATCCCGGTGTTCCATTTGTCCTACAAGTCAAAGACGGCTACGGGATGGAAGACCACCTGCTACGCAAAGGTCCGGAACATACCGCTACCGTCAACGCCTACAAAAACGGCAATAAGGGCCCCATGGGCTCAGGGCTGCTAGAGATGGTGGGATTCCCCCGTATTGACTCATATCTCGAGAAAGACCCCGCCTACGTCCAAGCCAAGAAGGCCAACGGAGGCGCAGACCCGTTCTCGCCCATGGGCCAACCGCACTTCGAACTAGACTTCGTCTGCATGTTTGGCACCGCCTTCCAATGGCATTTCCCAACACCGAAGAAAGGCCAGCACACCTGTGTGGTTGTCGATCTTGTACGACCTGTGTCTGATCCAGGAGAGGTGACGCTGAATAGTGCGGACCCGCTCGTGCAGCCCAACATCAACCTGAACTTCTTCGCGAATGACCTCGACATCATTGCCATGCGCGAAGGCATTAGGTTCAGTTATGACGTTCTCACGAAGGGAGAGGGGTTCAAGGATATTGTTATCGGAGAGTACCCGTGGGAAATGCCGTTGGATGACGACAAGGAAATGAAGAGAGCTGTCCTGGATCGATGCCAGACCGCTTTCCATCCTTGTGGTACTGCGAGATTGTCGAAGAATATTCAGCAGGGTGTCGTTGATCCGAAGCTGAAGGTCCATGGGGTTAAAAATCTCAGGGTTATTGATGCTTCGGTCATCCCGGTCATTCCTGATTGTCGTATTCAAAATTCGGTCTATATGGTCGGTGAGAAAGGGGCTGATTGTATCAAGGCTGATCATAAGGATCTTTACTAATTGTCATGCTGCGGTTACCTGTGGTTACTTTGGGATCTCCAACTGGGAACTTTCATTTTTGTCGAAAGGAAAATCGTACATAATCCATAGTTTTTGATCAAGAATGTGTTCCAGTGACTACCACCCTAGCAGCGTTTGTAGGCTTTCTGCTCCTGGTAAGAGGTCATTTCAGACATCATAATCACTACAAACATTATTTAGCACCAACTTGGCGACGAGCGAGGTACCTTGTGAAAGTATAAAGAGTAGAATTTGGGCGGGCCAACCACATCCGAATCGGCGCAGCCCCGCCACCCCACTCTAAAAATCGATGATAAGATCAAAAAGATTGCGCCCTCAAACCCTTCAACACCACTTTACTTTTTGCATATACCCCCCTCTCTCCTTACAAAATGTCTCCCTCCGCGAACGAGACCGTCCTGACCCTCCGCAAGGTCCTCACCTCCGAATCCGAGCCCCTCGCTCGCCGCTTCCGCGCACTATTTTCCCTCAAGCACCTCGCATGCCTGCAGCCCCCGACCGAGCAGAGCCTCCCGGCCATTGAGGCGATCGCTGCTGGTTTCGCATCGCGCTCGGCGTTGCTCAAGCACGAGCTTGCGTACTGCCTCGGCCAGACCCGCAACCACGACTCTGTCTCGTACCTGCAGCAGGTCGTGAAGGATGTTGAGGAGGATGCGATGTGCCGTCATGAGGCCGCGGAGGCTCTTGGTGCCCTGGGCTATGACGACAGCTTGGATATTTTAAAGAAACTGCGGGATGATGAGAACGAATTGGAGATTGTTCGGGAGACTTGCGATATTGCGGTCGATCGTATCATGTGGGAGAACTCCGAGGAGAGAAAGGCTGAAAAGTTGAAGCCCAGGTATGTTTTACTACAGCACTACGAGACAACGGGGTGTTTCATGCTGGAGCATTGCTAATGTATTCTTTTCAAATCTAGTGACTTCACCTCTATTGATCCCGCGCCCCCTATGCCGCTGCAAGCCAGCGAGCCCTCCATCCCGGACCTGGAGAAGACATTACTCGACACCAAGCTCCCTCTCTTCCAAAGATACCGCGCCATGTTCGGCCTCCGAGACCTCGCCTCGCCGCCCGACCTCCCCACGGCAGTCGACGCCGTAAACGCCCTGGCCAAGGGCCTCAAGGACCCCTCTGCTCTGTTCCGCCACGAAGTCGCCTTCGTCTTCGGACAGCTCTGCCACCCTGCCTCGATCCCGTGCCTTACAGAATGCCTCGGCGACCTGAAGGAGCAGGGTATGGTGCGACACGAGGCTGCCGAGGCCCTTGGAAGTCTGGGTGACGAGGAGGGTGTTGAGGAGACCCTGAAGAGCTTCCTGAACGACCCTGAGCAAGTGGTCCGGGATAGTGTGATTGTGGCTCTTGACATGGCGGAGTTTGAGAAGAGTGGTCAGGTTGAGTATGCGCTGGTGCCGGATGGCAATGCCACTGCAGTTCCTGCAGCATGATGGAATCTCTGGATGAAAAATAAAAAATGTCGTGACGTCGTTATTTTGATACTCTTATCCCGCTCTGTTATACAGCCAAAACATAGACCCGTTTCTTTCTTTGTACAATCCTCCGCTTTTGCTCAGTTGTTCGTGGTTTCCCTGTAAGGAAGATTAGTCTCTGGCTTGGTGGGATGTAAAGTGGGATGCCATACTTGTGACCACAAACACAGCGAAAGAACACGGTACTTCCTTCGTCTGCACTGCGCAGCTGGACGGTGGTAAAGAACATCTGCTTGCGCCCACATTTTTCGCAAACCTTGTCTATAAGGGCCTCTGTTTTCCGGTCTTCGGCAGACAGGGTCTGGACTGCAGATCGCCTGGCTCTCAGTGCCGAGGGGAATGCGGAGGGCTTCGATTCCGAGACGATGGTGTCAGGGACAGTGTCTGAAGATATGTTAGCTTATCAAAGTCCAGAGAATTTCATCCGAAAGCTCAATTAAACCACCCACCCTTGTTCCGGGCTCCGCAGACCATGCAGTGTAGAGTCGCATTCGCATCTCCGGTGGACTCGCGCAGCAGATTGCCGCAGTCGGTGCAGAAGATCAAGGAACCGATGACGGACATGTTGGCAGTGAAGTACACAATGCAGAGAACTTGCCAAAAAGTAGATCTAGCACAAAAAAGAAGCAAGCTGATCAATGTCAAAGTAGACCGCGGATCGAGACTTTTTTTTTGACCGCACGGGCCACCGCGATACCCACGAAGGCGGTCAAGCGCGGCAGTTTTATGCTCCGATGAAAGTGATGAACAGTGGATACGTTCATCGTGAGCTCCCTCTGGTGTTCTGAGGCTCCCTGCATCCCGACTAGAGAGCGGATCCGTGAAGCATTCCATAAATGCTCACACCGCTTGTCATGACGCTGCCCCGAGCAGTTCTTCTTTCCTTTGACTAGCGCCTTCCTTTCCCGACTTGGTAACCGCCATAATGGATCAGAATGGACGTCAGGGTGTCCAGGTTGTCATCAACGGCCTCTCGCAGCCGCACGAGGCCTATGGCTCCAATATGCCTCTCCAGAATCACTCTCGGTCTCTGTCGGTGGATGAGGCGCTGCAGTACTCGTCCATGTCCAGCGCTCCTGTCTTTGGTTTCGGTTTGTCACTCCGTGAATGTTCCCCGAATAACTGCGGAAAGGTGTCTGACTGTTGCTCTCATTCCAGATTGTGTCATTCGTCCCGATGTTGGGCGGCCGGCTACTACCACCTCGATAAACCATGTGCTTCAAGCTGGTCGTAACACTCTGAGTGAGCTAGATGCGGATATTCAGTCAGGGCAGGACGAGTCAAGTCGCCTGGAGACGTCGCGGGAGTACCTTCAACAATTGCTGGATGGGGAGCATTTGACAGAATTGTGAGGAATATTTGACTCCGTTTGCTCAACTTTCGCTGACGCTTTTTGTCCCAAGCAAATTCAAGCTTCCTCCTGTTTTTGGCCGCAGCCAACCTTTACGTCCGGACGATGCCGACGGTCCTCCGAATATTCGCAACCAGCTCGGCGCCTTTGCGCGCATGATGCTCGATTCTACAGACATAGCCTTCAGATGTGAGAGACTTGACAAGATTTGGTGGTAGTTTGAACAATTCACTAATCGGTCTCAGATCCCGATACATCCCCTCCCAAGGTCAAACCCGAGAAAAAGACATCGGTCTCAAAGCCTACAGCTTCTTGGAATCAGCAAGCAGCCCAGGCGAATCGATCAGTCTCAGCTTCCTATCAGCCGTCTCCCTCGTCCAGCCAAATAGCCGTGGTCATTCCATTCCAACCCACGCCTCCGAAATACAGCCAGCCTAAGAAGCCAAAAGTGAATGTCAAGGGTTACGACACGATGACGGCTGTGTGTCTGAAGGACCAGAAGGAAGAGGCAGATGATGCTCTGCTGAAACTGCAGGATCTTCTACACGAAGTATTCGAAGCGGAAGATCAGATCGAACCAGATGCCTCAGTTGCTCCGACTCCCGACAGACCGAACCCTATATTTGTGAATGCAAGATCAGTAGAGGTGCACGGGGTTGTGCTTTCAAGTGATGCTCATAATCGGATCCAGAAAGCCATTCGGAAAGTGACTGGGTTCGACAGGCTACAAGACATCCCCTCGGATTATCTCAACCGGATTCAGAAGCTCTGCGAAAAGCCAATAGTGGCTGCCCAGGCACCAGATCTTAGCTTGAACGATCCATCAAGCGAGACTGAAGCGCAGGAATGGGCAGGAAAGGTCGAGGATGTACTGAATGCTTTGCTCGCCATTGGAACTCTTCTCCAGACCATGTCTGGTCATCAGACTGAACGTGACCTTTGCCCAGAAGATCTCATTGAGGCCATTCCAACTGTTCTGAACCAAGCTTTTGACCGTTGCATTATTCCTGCCGTTGAAGCTCGATCTGGTGGCAAAGATTCCGAGTATTTTTCTTTTTACTCGAGCCAAAAGCGAATCATCGGAACCTTGATTCACCAGAGCAAGAAGGTGCTCGCTCTTTTTGCGGACTTCTTGTCTCGAATTGAAATCCCAGAAGGGACAATCACAGCTGCCGAATTCTTTGCAGCCAAGTTGATTTTCGTCGAAAATGCTTACAATGACAAAGATTCCACCATCGGGTATCAAAGATTTGAGCCAGCAAGACGTGGAGCAATGGACGTCCTTGCTAAGATCTTTTCCAAGTACCCCGATCAACGTCCGTACATCTTGGATGAAATTCTTGGCTCCTTGGAGAAGCTTCCCTCTACACGCCAAAGTGCGAGACAGTTTAAACTTGCAGATGGCAAAAATATCCAGCTTCTTACTGCACTTGTGCTTCAACTTGTGCAGACCACTGCTTTGGAAACACCCAGGTCATCCAAAACCAAGCGTCGTCTGCAAGCTCAGACCGGTGGCGAGGATGATGAATTGATGGGCGATGACGAAGACAAGAAAAAAGCAGTCTCGGACGATGAAGATGAGCTGGACGAATCCTTGGAACGCTTGGCGGCCAAGGTCAACAAATTATACGACAATGCGGTGCGCAGCGCGCAATACATTGTGAAATTTATAGTCCAACGTGCCATGACATCGACCAAGAGCGGCGATCAACCCTACCGAAACATCCTTGACCTCTTTACCGAAGACCTAATCAACGTTCTTGGTTTCACCGATTGGCCCGCCGCTGAGCTTCTTCTCCGAATCATGGCATCGCAAATGGTTGGTATCGCCGATCTCGACAAAAGTCCGGCCACTGCGAAGAGCATGGCTCTCGAGCTTCTTGGCTGGATGGGCTCTGCCATTTCGGATTTGATTGCGACTGCCCAGCACATGCTCCCTTCCTTGGATGATTCCGAAAGCGACCTCACGGATGAACTCAAGCAGCAGTTTGAGGACTTTTCATCCCGAGCGTTGCATCCGCAGGACTTGATAACTCCGAGGGGCCCATACAGGATGGCGCTCGAGTATCTTTCACAAGACAGAAACTCCGACAATTCGCAGCTGGCCAGTGCACGTGGCTACTATCTGGCTCATTGGGCAAAGACCGTCTGCAACCTATATTACAACTCCGACGACAAGGAGGAACTGGTCCATGACCATATGACTGACGAATTGGTGGTTCTTCTCTCGAGATCGTTCTCTGATTCTCGCTGGCTCGAGACACACAAACAATTTGATGCCATTTCTAACATCCATGGCCGGTTTGCCTATGTTTTGACAGTCCTAAACTCAAGCTTTGGCAAGGCTCTCGACACGATTCTCAAAGTGCTCTTGAATTCAATCGGCAGCGACCAAGCCAAGGTCCGCAGTCGGAGTTTGAAGAGTGTTATTTATATGCTGGAGAAAGATCCAAATCTCCTCGACCGAGATGCCGCAGTCATGCGCCTGATTCTGCGCTGCACCACGGACGCCTCGCCTATGGTCCGTGATTCCGCCCTATCTTTGATCGCGAAATGTATCGGGCTCAGACCGAAGCTTGAGGAGGAAGGCTGTCGCAGTATCCTCGCGTGCGCAGCTGACCAAACCGCCGGCGTTCGAAAACGCTGCATCGGCCTGCTCAAAGAACTTTACCACAAGACGCATCGGCAAGAATTGAAGTTGGCCATCCTTGACAGCTTCCTTCAACGTACTGACGATCACGAGGACACTGTGGCCACGGCAGCTCGTCAGACTTTTGAAGAAATTTGGCTGGTTCCTTTCCACGATTCTATTGATTCCACTTCCGACGGACCAAAGCTAAAGATGGCTCTTGGAGAGCAGGTCGGCTTGATTGTCGGTCTCGTCCAACGCAGCGACACTGCCCTTGATTCTCTTAGCACCTGCCTGAAAGCTGTGCTCTCGGACAAGTCCAAGTCCGCCTCGATGAACTTCAAGGTCTGCAAATCCATGGTTTCCATCATGTTCCAAAGACTGGTTGAAGATGCAGATGCCTCCGGGAAGGAATTCCAGCAGGCTCTCCTTCAGACGATCACCGTGTTCGCCAAGTCGGATGCAAAGCTGTTCACCCCGGACCAGTTGGAGGCTCTGCACCCATACATCGGTCACCTCTCCACCGCGGATGATCTCTTTATCTTCCGATCCGTTGTAGTGATCTACCGCTGCGTCTTGCCCGAGATATCCTCTTCACACAACACTCTTCTCAAGGAAGTGCAGAACGACCTCTTCAAGAGTGTTGCTAAGCTGGCCCGTTCAGAGCTCAACGAAGTCATGGCCTGCTTGTGGACAATTAACGGCGTTTTGAAAAACACAGACAGATTGGTCAAGTTGACGGTCTCCGTTCTCAAGCCTCTGCAGCAGTACAAGAGCGTTGATCTGTCAGCGGAGAAGAATGCCCAAGTTGCGAATCGAGCCAAAAGCTACATTCGCATTGCTGGCTGCGTCGGTCGTCACTGTGACCTTGAAAGTTATGCCAATCACTTCAAGACCCAATTCCCAACCTGGGGCGGCAAAACCGTGCCTGATCTGATGGTTGACTCGATCCTTCCTTTCACCTATTCTGACCAGCCCGTTGAGCTCAGAGTCATGGCTCTAGAGAGTTTGGGATCCATTTGCCAATCCTGGCCAGCCCAGTTTGGACGCGAACCTGCGCGGAAGACCTTTTCTCAAGTTTTCAAGGAAGATTCTCCAGCGTTGCACAACATCGTCCTTCGTTCATTTTCAGACTTCTTTGCTATGCATGAGGGCAAGTCTGAGAAAAATATGCAGACCACGAAATCAGACTCTCAGGAAGATTCGACCCGACTGGGAGGCTCATTGAAAGCCAGTGACAACGATGGTGCGGCTGCATTGATCGCTCAACACTTTCTCAAAAACATGGTTCAAGTGGCACAGTCACGACAGGATGCCTATTCGCTTACTGCCATTGAGCTCATTGCAAGTATCAATCGGCAAGGATTGGTGCATCCCAAAGAATGCGCCGGCGTTCTTGTTTCTTTGGAGACATCGACGGTGCCAGCGATTTCCAAGGTTGCCTTTGACACGCATAAGCAGCTTCACCAGCAGTACGAATCGATGTTCGAACGAGAGTACATGCGGTCGGTGCAGGAAGCCTTCTACTACCAGCGCGATGTCGTGGGTGATTCGAACGGTGCAACTGCTCGACCTTATGTCTCGAAACTGGCGCCATTGTTCGAGATCGTCAAGATCAGCAACAGCCGCTACCAGAAGAAGTTCCTGGCCAATCTCTGCGCCAAGGTCAACTTCGATCCGAAGAAACTTGTCATTCAAGGAGATCCTCCTGAACACGTTTTGCTGGCGCGCTTCATCTCTCAAAACCTTGCTTTCTTCGACTACGGTCAGCTTGCTGAAGTAGTCCCCACCATTACTGCCATGGAACGCATTGTCTCGTCGACCGGTACTGTCATTGCCCACGCCATCGAAACCGATATCTTCCCTACTCCCATCGGGCCACCAGTGCTCGAGACCCCTGCTGGTATGGTGGGGCTTACTCCCGAGCTACAAATGCAAATGATGCAGATGCAAATGCCAATGCCGCCAAGCGCACCACAACAGGTCGACCCGCCCACTCTTCGACGATTGGCTACAGCAGCTGCGTCTCTGTCGATGCTCTGGGAAGCACGAACGTACCTGCGACGTCTGTATTCAGTCCATTCTCACACTAAGGACAAGGATGGCAAGCCTGCCACGAAGGAACTCAACAAGACTGCGACCAAGGTGCACGGCGTGACTGGTGACAAGTTCTGGGAAGCTATTACTAGAAATATGGCTTCGCTGGACAGCGAGGAAGCTATGCTGAGCAAGTGCCGCGAGTTTTCTACTTTGTTGGCGATTGACGAGGAGTTCAAAGTGGACCGCGACGACGACGCTGATGGTGATCTCGACGCACCGGGCGATCTCGATGATATGGCATCTGGCCTCGGTGGATCCCGGCCCATGAAGCGCAAGAGCTCTGTTTCCAGCATTGGGCTCAACAAACGGCCCAAGAGTCGGAAAGGCTCCGTCGGCAAGAACCTGAGTGCCGAGCCGGACGGCTGGGATTGATTTACCGTCAATCGCCGAAGGACGATTGGACTTGATCTCGCTTTTGCTTTTCTTTCTTTACTTTTCTTTTTTTTCTCTTTTTCTACTCTACATACCCGGAGAGAACGGCGTTGACTTACATTCTCTGGATATTTATGGGGAACGGCTCGTTTTTATCTCAAGAACAGGCGGGGTGGATACATTATTTACTGAAGCTTCATTATGCATGCGGCGGCGCAAAACAAGGAGGGTGGGTTCATTTGCTTAGGGCTGCTACGCCGGTTCAACGATTGCTCGGGCACTTCATTTCCATTGTCTGATGAGTATATATGCAATAGACACACATTCTAAGTTTGGTGGCTTTCCCTATTTCTACACCGACACACCAAAGTAATGAAACTGGTCTTCGACGTGCCGATTTCCCGGGACCGCGCCGGCACCACGTGATCTCCCATGACGTCGTGCCGTCCAGCGCATTTGTTTCCAGTCGCATTCTCTCTCTTCCAAGTAGTTTGGGAGCCATTCTTTCGTTGTATTCGGCTTTTTTCCAATCAGATTCTCTTTTGCCGGCATAGCGGCAGGCTATGACCTGCGTCATCTTTCTTGGCACAGTTGATCTGCTTTCGAGCTCTCCTGCGTCCGTCTACTCACCATGAGCGCAGCGCTGCTGCGGTGTCGTCCGGGCGGCTTCGCGCCTCGGTCAATTGCACCCTTGTCCAGAAGATTGGAATCAAAGGCTTTTGTAACTGCGAGATCCCCTATTTCTCGTGCCTTGCACGTCGCCAACAGACCCCTGCAACGGCGTCCCTTCGGCCCAGCCCTCAATGCATCGATCCCGATCCGATTCAAATCCGATGTCACCACTGCTGCCAAAGCCGCGACTACACGCCGATCTAGAGCCGCGGCCATTATCTACAAGCTCTTCGCCTCCTTAGGATTTTTCGTCGCCGGCACAGGTGTCGTGGTCTTCACTTTCTTTATGTACGATGCTAGCACATACCGTGAGGACCTCACCTCTCAAGATATCCCTGTTTCCGAATTGGCGCTGAACCCGCGTATCGGTGGGCCGAAGAATCTGCCCATTGCCGATGTCCTCGTTAGCGATTATGACTCGGAAAAGATGCTCGAGCAGAAGGATAAGCCGCGCCTGGTGATTCTGGGTACGGGGTGGGGTAGCGTTGCGCTGCTGAAAAACCTCAACCCTGGTGATTACCATGTTACTGTCGTTTCGCCTACCAACTACTTCTTGTTTACGCCTATGTTGCCTTCAGCTACGGTTGGCACGCTGGGTCTAAAGTCTTTGGTGGAGCCTATTCGTCGCATTATTGAGCGTGTTGAAGGTCATTTCCTGAAGGCTACGGCCACGGATGTCGACTTCTCGGAGAAGCTCGTCGAGGTTTCCCAGGTGGATAGCAATGGCATCAAGAGGAACTTCTATCTCCCTTATGATAAGCTCGTTGTGGGTGTTGGTAAGTTTTGATGTTCAGAGGAGCTCTATCATCAATGCTCTATCTTCCATTTGCAAGGATAAAGGCGATTGACGAACATGATTATGTCTTAGGCTGTATCACGAACCCGCACGGTGTCAATGGTCTGGAGCACTGCAACTTCCTGAAAACCATCGACGACGCCCGCCAGATCAAGAACAAGGTTTTGGATAATATGGAACTCGCCTGTCTTCCCACCACCACCGACGAGGAGCGCAAGCGCTTGCTCTCCTTTGTCGTCTGCGGTGGTGGCCCAACTGGTGTCGAATTTGCTGCTGAATTGTTCGACCTGCTCAATGAGGATCTCTTGTATTCTTTCCCTAAAATCATTCGGAACGAGATCTCTGTCCATATTATTCAGAGCCGGTCCCACATTTTGAACACCTATGATGAGGCACTTTCTCAATACGCCGAGGTATGTTTCTTGGATTTTTGGAGTCCAGCTAGAGCTTGTTTCTAATATTATGCAGGGTCGTTTCACTCGTGACGGCATCGAGGTGTTGACCAATGCCCGTGTGAAGGAAGTCAAGAACGACCGTGTTCTTTTCAGCCAGGTGGAAGACGGCAAAGAGATCGTTAAGGAAATTCCTACGGGATTCTGTCTCTGGTCCACTGGAGTTGGTATGTCGCGTGGGCATCCCCCTTAGAAGATAGTTCCAACTGACCTCGATTTAGCTCGCGCTGAGATTTGCGATACCCTCTGTGCGAAACTGGACGGACAACACAACAAGCACGCCTTGGAAACTGACACCCACCTGCGTCTAATTGGTGCACCCCTGGGAGACGTCTACGCCATCGGCGACTGCTCCACCGTGCAAAACAACGTCGCCGGAAACATCATCAAATTCCTCCGCACCATCGCCTGGGAGAAGGGCAAGGATCCCGAGAAGGTTCATCTAACCTTCTCTGAATGGCGCGACGTCGCCAACCGAGTCAAGAAGCGCTTCCCGCAAGCCTCCAACCATCTTCGCCGCCTGGATCGTCTCTTCATGCAGTACGACAAGGACCACTCCGGCACCCTCGACTACGGCGAGCTGTCCGAGCTCCTCCACCAGATCGACACCAAGCTCACCTCCCTGCCTGCCACCGCCCAGCGCGCTAACCAGCAGGGCGTGTACCTGGGCCGCAAGCTGACCAAGATCGCGGCTGCTCTGCCTGGTCTTAGGGCCAACGAGATCGACTACGGTGACCTCGACGAAGCGGTCTACAAGGCTTTCAAGTACAAGCACCTGGGTAGCTTGGCGTACATTAGCAATGCTGCTATCTTCGACTTTGGCGGTATGAGCTTCAGTGGTGGTGTCATTGCTATGTATCTCTGGCGCAGTATCTACTTCGCTGAGAGTGTTAGCTTCCGCACCAGGTGTATGCTGGCCATGGACTGGGCTAAGCGTGCCCTTTTCGGAAGAGGTGAGTTCCATTTCTCTTGAACATATATCTTATTTGGACTAACATATTTCGTGAACAGATCTGATGAGCTTTTAAGAGAATTTCCTTCGGCCGTTCTCAGTGAAATCTTGACTAAGAATATATGTTGAACATGATCTGTACACATCTTGTGTCCTCCCTGTCTATCTAATTCTTTGCTGGTTCAAGAGACGTTCATAGACCATCATTTGTTCCTAGCTTCTTTGGTCTTTGCATGAATTGAGTCGACCATATACACTTCTTTTACTTTTGAGTTTGTGCGCTTGCATATGTTCATTTGTGTAAGTTGCGCCCAGGTGGCCCGAGTTGATTTTGACTCCGAAGATACGTCTGATATATTTTGTCCCAACATCATCTTAAATTGTAGCTGTCATAAAATCCTCTATCTTCATCCCTGGAGGGCTAGGCTGTCGCGCCTCAGAGCTGGGTAGCCGGGATATTTAAGGCTCAGTGTAGCTTTCATAACTGGGCATCCATCAACTTGGAATTCCAGAAAGTCCCAGACCTCGGGAGGCGGCCTAGGGGCTCTCTCATTCCCAGGTTATACGTCATACGTTCTGACAGCAACTATGTCACTGGGTTGAGCTTTATCAATTAAGATATGATGGAAAATCATTCAAAAGAAGAGCAGACAGACACGTCCGCGAGATTTATGCATTGTATCGAAGAATTGACGCTGGAATCCCTCCTAAGAGAATCTTCGCCCGAACACCGTCACGGTTAAGGTTGTGCTCCCAAAGCGCCTCGCTAATCAAATAGAAAAGAAAAAAAAACACCCTAAAGACATCCGACAACAGCATGCAAGAGGCTGGAAACGAGAGCAATCACGAAATCATGTGATCGACGTCACCATTGTTGGCCATGACAGTGTCGCCGGTGCCATTGTGGTTGGAACCATTGTTGAAGTCATTAGTATTACTAGATTGGCTTCCGCCGTGAGAATCGCCAACCAGGCCGATGTCCAGCTTATCTGGGATGTCCCTTTTAGCATCGCGGGCCTTTTTTCTCGGCGAACGCGCGCAGCTTGACGAGGTTTCGCAGGCGCGCCTCTTTACGAGCGCCCTGGTTCTGCAGGATTGCCTCGTTGACTTGCGTCGCGATATCTTTACGGAGACCTGGATCTAGCAGGGCTGCCAGAGACGGAGACAGGTTGTCATTGGGGAAAATGAGCAGTGCCAGTGTCCGCTCCAGATCTTCCAGGAACTGTGGGTTGGTTGGGGCTCGCGGGGCTAGCTGCGACGTCGCGAACTCGAGGGCAGGACTGATGTCACCGTCTGGAGTGGATGTGCAGTTGCGGATTAGTTCTACCAACTGCAGGCGCAGAAGTGCGAAGTGCAGGGATGGGTCTTCATCTAAAATCTGTCAAATTGCGTTAGCGTCACTCAAGACAGGATTCGTGTGATGCTGCAAATTGAATTTTGTGGTTGCTGTTCATACTGAGGACTGAAGATGTTTGTTTTTCCGCAACTCCCCGAAGGGTATATAGGAGTGGTGCATGAAACGAATATAATCATAGAAGCAAGAGAGGGAGGTGTGCTGATGTGGAGGAGATCTGTTTCTTACCTGAGGATTCAACTCGTTGATCTTCTCAATTGCCAGTTGAATGTTTCCAGAGTGAATGGAAGTTCGAATGTCAACCCGCTCCTGAATGGCTTCCAGATCTGTCCGAAGCTGGATGTTGGCCTCAACCGCAAACTTATTCGCGGCAGCAGGGTAGCCATTGGTGATGAGGTAGTCCATGACCAAGTAATTGATATCACTGAAGCTTGCTATTAGCGAATTGTCACGAACAACAAGTCAAAGTGCATCAATGAAATGAGATAAGAGTGGATCAGGTAGACAAGTCATATTGTGTTCTCCTCAAGTGTTTTCAGAGAGATTCCCAACTTGATTTAAGGTGCATCATGTCACAGACGGCCAGCGATGGCCGGTGTGGGCAACGGGGGTTAAGGATAGAGGGGATGGGGAAGGCGACTCACGTCTTGGATGGCTTGACCTCTTCGACCTTCCGCTCGAACTGGTGCCATGTCGGCGTGGTCGTCGAGGAAGTGCGAGACATCTGTGCGGTGTTAAAAGCCAGCAACCACGGGTGAGAACACGCCGAGGATTCATACAAGATTAGCGGCCATGGTGTAAAGCCACTAGCCGTAAAACTGAAGGGCGACTCGGAAGTCAACAGCCATGGGAGAAGGCAGGGACGTGGAGGAGAGAAAACCCTGAAGTGAGAGAAGAAGGAAGAAGAGACGAGGGCGCGGAAAAGAAAATGACCTTAGGCGATTATGTCAGCCACAAGCGAACAGCGACGCGCTAAGCCCGATCGATCGCATGAGCTGCGATAACCACGATAGAGGAAGCACCTTCTCTGCCCTTCCTTCTCCGGTCCTCGATGGTGTGAGAAGAAGAACACCGTGGACATGGAGTCGATTTCTCCTTTCTACTCACTCTCCACGGAGGTCAAGTACTCTCCACCATGGCAGGACCTGAGTATCATTGGTATCGCTGGCAGTTCCGGGTCCGGAAAGACCTCGGTGGCCATGGAGATCGTCAAGTCCTTGAACCTGCCTTGGGTCGTTATCTTGGTTATGGTGCGATATGGAATATCCTCACGCTATGGGACCCGGTTCTAACATGTAGTCGGTCAGGACTCCTTCTACAAGACTTTGACTCCCGAGGAGCACCGCAAAGCGCATGCAAATGAATACGATTTTGACTGCCCGGAGTCTATTGACTTTGATCTCCTGGTAGACACCATCAAGGATCTGAAGCAAGGGTAAATCTCCATTATATGGGCCTTCCTTGTATTTGATCTGACCGGACTCTGTTACAAGGAAGAAAGCCCATATTCCGGTCTACTCATTCGCCGAGCACCAACGTCAGCCCCAGACGACTACGCTCTACTCACCCCGAGTATTGATCTTGGAGGGTATTCTTGCGCTTCACGACCCTAGAATTAATGAGCTGCTTGATGTCAAGGTAAATTCATATCCTTCATCTCTACGGAACGTCGCTAACATATTGTTCAGATCTTCGTCGAGGCGGACATGGATGTCTGCTTGGGCCGCAGAGGTGTGTAATTTTTAATTACTTATAGCTTACCTATCACTGACCTGTACCTTCAAGTCCTGCGGGATGTTCGTGAAAGAGGCCGAGACATTGAAGGTATCATCAAACAGTGGTTCGCCTTTGTGAAGCCATCTTGTACCAAATACGTGTCACCTCAACGAGGCATTTCGGGTTGGTTCATGCACTATAAATTTTGGACATGGTGATCTAACATCTGCATTAGACATCATCATTCCTCGTGGTATTGAAAATACAACCGCCATCGGTACTTCCCCACGATAACTCCTGCTCTTTATCTACTAATGAACTCAGACATGGTGGTCAAGCACATCCAGCGCAAGCTCCAGGAGAAGTCTGAAAAGCATACTGAAGCGCTTCACAAACTTGGATTGATCGCAGCCAAGGTGGAGCTACCCCCTAACGTGCACGTACTTCCTCCGACGCCGCAGTTTCAGGGAATGAACACCATTCTGCAGAATCCCGAGACCGAGGAGGTGGACTTCATCTTCTACTTTGATCGACTTGCCTCGATTCTGATTGAAAAGTACGCTATTGTTTCCTACGTGGCTCCGTTTTTCTGCTTACCTTTTTTCCAGGGCCTTGGACATGATGCCGTATCTCTCGACAAATGTAGAGACACCGCAAGGGAACAAGTACATGGGACTGAGACCAGAAGGGACTGTGTGCGCGGTTGCTATCTTACGTGGAGGCTCGTGTCTGGAGACTGCCCTTAAGCGAACTATCCCCGATTGCATCACTGGCCGTGTCTTGATCCAGACGGACGAGGACAGCGCCGAACCAGAACTGCATTACTTGAAGCTCCCGAACCAGATCGAGGAGAACTCTATGGTCATGCTTCTTGATGTCCAAATGTCCAGCGGAGGAGCTGCATTGATGGCCGTGCGCGTCTTGATTGACCACGGCGTTCAAGAAGAGAGAATTGTCTTCGTGACCTGTGCCGCGGGAGAGACGGGTCTCAAGAGGTTAACTGCCGTGTTTCCCAAGATCAATGTTGTTGTCGGACGCATTGAAGCAGACTTAGAGCCGCGGTGGATGGAGAAGCGATACTTCGGATGCTAGTGTGTGTCAATCATTCCTAGCTTTATTTCCTATCACGTAAATATCGCGCAGTCGACTTGCATTGACTCTTGGGAACACGCCAAATGGATATATGAATCTTTCGCAAACACTCCATTTGATAAAGCATCTGAAATATTTAGATATATTGTATGACCAAAGGAAGAGGCTCCCAGCTTCGCAGGTGTAGACTTGCCTTTTTAGGAAAGGGCACGTGCCATGTCACCGCCTCAAAACGCCGGCAGAAAAAAGAAATTTGTCCGCGGTCGAGCGCGAACACTTCATCCTGTCCATTTCACGATTGTTTCTTAACGTCTCATTTTTGAATTTCTGTTTCTTGTGCCCTCCAAATTCTGCATCAGTGTTCGGAGACCAAGATGGCAGGCCAGGACAAGAAAAAGTCCAAGAAGGCCGGCGGAGCCAAAGGCGAAGCCGGTCCGGTGATCAGTATGTACTGAGCAATTGCTCGAACCCAAGTCAGATCGAGGAAAGTGTCATGATGACTGACTACCAGCGTGAACAGCCGATCCTCGATTTGCCAATATCCAGAGCGACCCTCGTTACCGCCTCCCCAGCAAGCGCCAGACCCATGTCAAACTCGACAAGCGCTTTGCGCACATGCTTGACGACAAGGACTTCTCCCGCAATGCCGCTGTGGACAGATACGGGCGCAAGTTGGCGCGCGATGACACCAAGAAGCAGCTCAAGAAGTTCTACCAGATTGACGAGGATGAGGATGAGGATGAGGAGGCTGAAGACGAGGACAAAGTCAGCATTGCCGATGATGACGAAGTGGAGAAGGAGCTCAAGCGGGTTGAGGGTCGCTCGTTTGACCCCGCACGTGATGGTGGTTTCTCTGAGTCTTCATCCGAAGAGGAAAGCTCCAGTGAAGAGGAGGAGGAGGAGGAAGCCGAAGACGAGGAAGAGGAGCTCGAATTCCCAGACAAGCAGCAATCCAATGTTCCACTGGGCGAGGTTACAGAGCGGATAGCCGTCGTCAACCTCGACTGGGACAACATTCGGGCCACAGATTTGATGGCCGTCTTCTCGAGCTTCCTCCCAACCGGAGGCCGTGTCATGAAGGTTGCCGTCTATCCTAGTGAATTCGGAAAGGAACGCATGGAGCGAGAAGAAATCGAGGGCCCCCCCAAGGAGATTTTCGCATCTTCGAAGAAGGATGACAGCGAGGATGAGGAAGAAGAGGAGCTTGACTCCGATGAGGAAGAGGAGGAAATCAAGAAGTCTATGTTGAAGAGTGACTCCGGAGAGGAGTTCAACTCCACCAAGTTGCGAAAGTACCAGCTTGAGCGGCTCCGCTACTACTACGCTATCCTTACATTCTCTTCCAAAGACGCTGCCAAGCATGTCTACGATCTTGTGGATGGTGCAGAGTATCTGTCCAGCGCCAATTTCTTCGACCTTCGCTTCGTGCCCGATGGTACCGATTTTGATGACGACAAGCCCCGAGACGATTGCACCCGAATCCCCGATGGTTACAAGCCCAATGAATTCGTGACGGATGCCCTACAGCACAGCAAAGTCAAGTTGACATGGGACGCGGATGACAGGTCACGCAAAGAGGCTCAGGCTCGGGCCTTCCGTGGTTCACGAAAAGACATCGACGAGAATGACTTGAAAGCCTACCTTGGAAGCGACAGCTCCGATAGCGAGGATGAGGAGGATGGAGGTGTGGAAGTGGTGGACACCACTGCCGGCGATGGCACAACCAGCAAGCTTTCGAAGCGCGAGGCCGAGAGACAGCGCATGCGCGCGTTGCTTGGGCTGAGCACGGAACCTACTCGCTCTTCCAAGTCAGCCGGTCCCGTCGGCGAGATGGAAGTTACGTTTACATCCGGTCTTGCTGGTGGTCACGGCAAAGACAGCATCTTTGAAAACGAGCCAGAGATCGAAGAGAGTACGATTGACAAGTACGTGCGGAAGGAGCGTGAGCGTAAGAAGAGACGGAAGGAGAAGCTCAAGGCTAAGAATGAAGATCCATCTGCCGAGGGCAAGGATGCCGAGAGCCAAGATGACATGCCCGCCACTACCGAGGCGCCGCAAGAGGCTGAGGAAGACATGGGCTTCAATGATCCATTCTTCGAAGATCCCGATGGCAAGGCCACTTCTGCCGCCCGTCGTAAAGAGGAGAAGCGGAAGAAGCGCGAAGAGCGGGCTGCCGAAGAAGCTGCCTCTGCTGCTCAGCGCGCTGAACTTGAACTCCTGATGGTGGATGACAAGAAGGCGGACATCAAACATTTCGACATGAACGACATTGAAAAGGCAGAGAAACAGGCGAAACGGAAGGGCAAGGGCAAGGGCAAAGCGAAGAACAAGGAGCCGGTGGCTACGGATGACTTCAACGTGAACGTTGCCGATCCCCGTTTCTCGCGCCTGTACGATAGCCACGAGTTTGCCATCGATCCGACCAACCCCCGGTTCAAGGCGACCTCCGGCATGAAGGCCTTGCTGGACGAGGGTCGTAAGCGCCGGCGAACCCGGGATGACGGTGAGACCGAGGTCACACCAGAGAGCCGGGATCGCAAAAAGAAGCAGAAGAAGGCATCTAAAGAGGCAGGAAGCGAAGATCTCAAGCAACTGGTGGACAAGGTCAAGCGGCAGTCAAAAGCATGATGTGATTAGTTCGATGTACAAGCACAGCCATGATACAATGATGCATATAGATTTCGGCTTCAAGCCACTCATAAGCCGTAAAAGCAAGCCAAACCTGCCTACGTAGGAAGAGTCATCTCAAGGTCACATATGAGGCTGAGATCATGTGTCTTCGTGCTGCTGTCTCGCTGTTCACCTTCACCGCCCTTTCCTCTCCACCCTTTCTACATCCCACTCCCCACTCTTCTTCAGCAACTTTCTTCTCTTTTTGTCCCTCCAATTCTCCTGTGGGGTTTCCGCCAACCAATTCCCAATTGTGGTCCTCATCCCCCACCTGGTGCTGCACATCCCACTTTCCGACCCCTCGGACACGCTCACATTCGCCCCTCTCCATCAAACCGAATGATGGTTCTTGTCCGGTGGAATTAAGCAATGGGTAGATGCAGTCTAGTCTTGTCTAGCTGTCTGCTACCCATCACGACATCTCATACTTTGACCTGATACTTGCCTCTATATATTCTTTGATCCTCCTGAGCACCTTTCCAACGGCGGGAATCCCCCGAGGTCCCTCACAATGTTGGGCAGACTCTTGAGCACCGCTGCCTCGAGCTTGAACCCGGCGACATACTCTTCTCGAAGCCATGGCACCGCCCTCGAATCCGTGACCGAGGAGGAACACACCTCCGGCCTTCTCTTCCCTGATGCCAGCCTCCTCCGCCGCTCCAATGCCCATGCCTATCCGCTACAAACAACCTTCCATTCCCCGAATGCATCGACTGCAGGAGCTTACGATGACCGTGGGGGAATGGAATTAGATTCCATGAAAGATTTCCGGGTCATTGTGGCCCAGAACGCCCTGGGAGACCGTGATGCATGCGTTCTGCTCGACACCCGTGCTTCGTCCGATTCTCCTCCGACTGGCCTCGGAATTGACTCGCAGGGCGGGGAGAAATCCAGCCCCAGACATGCTCGTGCTGTATCCAGTCTCTCGCGTGGCACACGCCGGAGTGTCTTGACACAGTCCTCTGTGGTCGAATCCGGACCTCTCTCTGCCGCTGCAGATGCACGCAGGTCAACACCTGCAAGCCCTGGCGCCTTCTCTCGGGCTCGAGGGCGCAGCTCTACACTCGCACCATCTGGAACATGGAACGAATCCGGCCAGTCCCGGCACGCGACCGACTCCAATGATACCGGTCTTCTCAACTGCATTTTCGGCAGCAGTGCCTTTAGCTATCGTGGCTCATCCACCAAGATGCACATTATATCTGCAGATGACGATCCTTCGGTGGTCAATATGTCACCTGCGGCCCGCAGCCCACTTGCCCGTGCCTACACAACAGGGAGCCCGGGCCTTCTGGGTGCAGGCCGAGAATCGGATGGCAAGCCACCATCTAAAGTAACGGTTCTTGTCACTCGTATGTTTAGCGTCAACCTCCCAGAGGGTGCCGAAGCATCAGCGGAGCGACATGACTATGCTACTTCTCTCTACCAAGACTCTTTGCCCGAAATGGGCTTCCCATTCCCTGATGTTGGCAAGCAGCGGAAGAAGATCAAAGAGAAGAAAACGCCTATGTACGCCGTTGCGATTACTATCCAAATTCCTTTGCTGGCACGCAATACGCCACGGCCCGTGTCAAGGTTCAGTACTTTGGGCCCAGATGCGCCACGTAAAGGGTTGTCCAGCTCCCTGGACTCCGATTATCGGTGGCCTGCAGGATTATTTGATGATAGCCTATCATCAGCTTCCCCTCCTGCGAGCTTGGACGAGCGCCTGGATTTATTGGTTGACCACTGGGATGTCATTACCCGAACTCTATCTCACTTGGAGAGACTTGCTCGTAATGAGATTCTATTCCTCCTGAGGAAGGTGGATTCTTTATCCGGGCCCCACCCGAAGCCCGCCAAGTCTCCCAACATGCAGCGAACTAACCAAACCATCGTGCATCTGCCCGCCAACATTCTGTCCGTGAACTCCAAACTCAAGGAAGAAGCTCTTCGCAGCACTCGCCGAATCAGCTTGGCTCTCCAGACCCCATATGTCGTCACTGGCCAGAGTCGTTGGGGTGTCTGGCGGGAGGAGGGCCGGTCGATTGTTCGCGGCCTCGGAGATAAGGAACAGAATTTCTTTTTCCTCGTATTGCTGACGGCATTTCTGGGCAATCATACTGAGTGGTTGAATGTTCTGGGCCCAGATTGGTACCGCCGGCGACACAATCAACAGCAAAAAGCTCAGCAGGATTCAGATCCTATTCTCACCCACCGGACTGTAATTGTCTGTCCGGACAAGATGACTGCTCGCCGTTTGATTTTCCTGCTGTCTGCATTCCTTCCATCTAAACAGCGTTTGGAGCCTCTCCCTTCGCCACTCAGGCCTGGCACATCGGTCTCCATGCGGGCTATCTCGCAAAGCCCGCCAGCCGTACCTCTTCTCCGGCAAGAATCTCTTCGGCGGGCAATTGAACGACGATCTCGTGCCCAGAGAATGAACACTGGAGAGTATGAATATCACCGTCGATCCATGAGTCTTTCATCCCAGGATACGGCGCAGAGGTCGTCGGAGGGAACCGATACACCCGTTACACCCCAGCCAATCTCGGCTCGCAGGGCATCGGATGCTCGTTCAATTAGAACACTGGGGCCGGCCATTCAAAACAGAGACCTCCGGACTCAGAACACGAGCGGGGCTACCATTTCGATGACGACCCAGAGTAGCACCGTCCCAGTCCCACATTTTACATCACAGCAAACTATCCCTGACCCAAGAGGCTCTGAACGCAGTGCGATCGATGCAAATGAGAGCCTGGCATCAGAGAACTTGTTGAAGAACTTGCAAAGAAGTGATAGCTCAATAATGAGCTCAAATGGCAGTGTTCCATCTGCAGGAGGCCGGTGGGGTGGTCTTTTCTCCGGACTGTGGAGTTCGAGACAAGAGACATTCACTGATAGTAGTGATATGTACTCGGCGCCTGCAGCAGCTCACAGGCGTTCTGTGTCTACAATCGCTGGTCCACCCACACGCGGCGCACCCACCCTGAGTCAGATGGTCAAAGAAGTCACCGAAGACGAAGCAGAGCATCGTTCAGAGGCCGCGCCCAGTGGTAATATCTCAATTCCAACTGCATCGGCTGCACCTCACGGTTCCGAGGATGACTCACCGGAACCTTACTCGCTTACGAGCCAAGTCCGTGAATCTCCGCTGAAGCTGTCTGTCCGGGAGGATGAAGGCGTGGTTGATGTTGATATCCCGCTTCCTGGTTTCTTGTCGCTTTCGTCCTCAGGAGACTCGACCATTGCTTCGCCCAGGAAGACGCGAACGTCAATAACTAGTGTCGATGCCATTGCATCAACGCACAGCAGTGGTTCTGGCTTCCACGGTGCGATGAAAGATAATGATGGCCCCAGCACCCACGTAGCTGGATGGTTGAAGCTCTTCCACGAAGACTTTTCCGTGCAAGCAGTTCGACCGTACGCTACCCTTGAAGCGGATATCAAACGCGCGATGCAAGCCGAGCCTTCTCCATGCATTCCCGCCACACCTGATGTGGAGGGGTCTGAGAGATGGGTGGATGTTGCGACGACATTGATCGCAGATACACGAAGTTCATCTGTCAAGCGTCTTCGGTTGAGACGTAAGATTATCGTGGGCCACAGTGGTTATGGTCAGAACCACACTCCTCCATCGCCATCCAGTGCTCTCAACTCCAACCATACCCGTTCTGCCTCTCAATTCTCGGGTTTCTTTGGCTCAGGCAAGGTTCCTGGTGGCCCCAGCGAAGGACAAGATTCCAATTTTATGGAAGAGCGATTCATCGAAGAACCAGTCATGGATCTCGATGGTATCCTGGTTGATGCGGTTGAGCGAGTCCTCGGTCAGAGCGGCTATTCATCTCTTGCGCATTCGCGAGCTCCGTCTCCTTCTCGTACTCGACGAGGCGAAGATAAGGGCCAAACAACGCCCCGTGGCGAAGAGCCTCCTGCAGTCGAAGTTCCCCGCGCCGAGTGCCGCAAGATGGTACTCGGTGCTTTGGAAGAGGTTGTCCGCCTTGTCACGGCGGAACATTGCCGAGAAGATGTAGATAGCGAGCTTGGGATCGCTGACCGCGAGCGGAGAAGAGCCATGGCCGGTGCTGACAACACTTTGCGTGAAGGTATCCGAAAATGGCTTCTCGATGTTGAAGAAGCTTGGTGATTGGTCTTGCACTACATGATCCAGATTTCATCCTTTTCTATTGTTCATATGATCCTTTTTAATACCTGGCTAGTTGGTTGTTCACGGCATAGGGGTTGAAACCCCTGATATCTTGTGGCATTTTCTCTAATTGCATTCGAGCAGTGCCTTGTTTGATTATGATACCCAATCGTTGCTCAAGTCGCATCCTTGATAGCGCTTACCATCAATTTGATAGACTTCACAAATGGCTGCATACTCGTTCAAAGATATAGATCACCCAACATAGACGACCTCGACTGAAGGATCCTCACACTGGACTTTCCCATCTGCATAAGAGACCCGAAGCGTCTTGAGAACCTCGTTCGTCTGGCTTGGATTCACAATCTCCACCGTGGTCTCTTCACGCAAAGTGCCATTAACCAACAACTGAATTCCCGAGATCGCGTCGTCCTCCGGCACCTTCAACTCGGGATTGACGACTGTCGCCGAGCCAGGTCGAATTAACAGCGGCAGCGTATCAAACCCATGAGTCTCCGTATACCACTGTCCACTTTCATAAGTCTTGCTATGATCAAACCACGAAACCCACTTCCCAGCACCATCATCTTCACATTTAGGCACATAGAAGGTTACCTCCCTCTCATCAAACACCGGCGCAACCAGCAGATTGGGCCCAAACATATACTGCGTATCAACAGCATACGTATTCAGGTCCTCCGGGAACTCCAGGAACATCGCCCTCATCAACGGTGTCCCCTCCCTATGCCCCCTCAACGCCTCCTGCAAAATATACGGCGTCAGCAGAATCTTGCGCTTTACACAGTCCCGCAACACGGCCGAGCAGTCTTCACCGTAGATCCACGGCACCCGGAATGATGATGACCCATGCAGTCGCGAGTGTGTCGACAACAGCCCGAACTGCACCCACCGCTTGTACAGTGCTGGTGGGGGCGTCCCTTCGAACCCACCGATGTCTGACGCCCAGAAGATGTATCCACTGAGGCTCAGGCTGAGACCGCCGCGAAGGGACTCGGCCATTGCTTCGAAGGTGCTTTCGCAGTCTCCGCCCCAGTGCACTGGGTACTTTTGTCCTCCCGGTGCGGAGCTGCGTGCGAAGAGGAGGCCTTGTGTTGGGCCGACGTGTGCGCTGAGTGTGTCGTACACGACGCGGTTGTACAGCAGGGCGTAGTAGTTATGCATTCGCTCCGGGGACGAGTTGTCGTGGTATTTGATTCCCTTGACCGGAATTCGTTCCGCGAAATCGGTCTTGAAACTGTCGACACCCATCTTCATAAGTCGCTTCAGGTGGCTGCTGTACCAGTCACACGCTGTTGGATTGGTGAAGTCGACGACGGCCATTCCAGCCTGCCACATGTCCCATTGCCAGACCGATCCATCGGTGCGCTGTCGAATGTCAACCCCATCCCATACACACCCAGAACAGCACATACCTTGATGAAGAACCCCTTCTTCCTCCCCTCCTCGAACAGTGGCGACGCTTGCCCAACGTACGGATTAATCCAAACACTAATTCTCAACCCCCTCTCCTTCAGCCTAGAAAGATAGCCACCCGCATCAGGGAACATCTCCTCATCAAACTCGAAATCACACCACTGATAACTCTTCATCCAGAAACAGTCAAAATGAAATACCCCTAACGGGATTCCCCTCTTCTCAAACCCATCCAAGAACCCACTAACAGTCCCCTCGTCATAATTCGTCGTAAAACTAGTCGTCAACCACAGATTGTAGCTCCAGGCCGGCACCAAGCCCGGCTGTCCCGTCAAAGCCGTATACCTTCTCAACACGTCTTTCGGCCTGGGCCCATAAACGACAAAATACTCAACCTCCTCGCCAGGAACGGAGATATTCACTCTCGTCGTCCGCTCGGATTGAACTTCCAGGCTCACTTTGCCCGGATGGTTCACGAAGACCCCGTATCCTTTGGAGGACATGTAGAATGGGATGTTCTTGTACGCGAGCTCGGAACTGGTTCCGCCATCTTCGTTCCAGATATCAACTGTCTGGCCGTTTTTGACTAGTGGGCTGAACCGTTCGCCGAGGCCGTATATCTTTTCGTTGACGCCAAGGTCCATCTCGGTGAGCATGTAGCCTTGGCGTGTAACGTAGATTCCGTCTGCGTGGTTATAGGGTGCGCTGCGTTGGTCGGCGACGTAGCCGATTGAGCGAAATGCGTGGCCGGTTAGCTTTTTGTTGGCTGGGGTTTGGAATGTGAAGCCTAGTTCGTTGGGGCTTGTGTTTATAACGAGGTTGAGGGGGCCGCTTGTGTAGGTGAGATTGCCGGCTTCCTTGTCGTGGGTGATGGATGCATGGCCAGTTTGAGTCTGTAGCTCATAGTGCGGGCCGCTGTCGACTTGACCGGCCCTGGTTTGAGTTAGTATCGTTGGTATGGAACGCAGGTCGTAGTAGATTTGGTTTGATCTACCTGTGAGAGTTACCAATGGACGAGCTTAACGCCGATAATCCCTTCCAATGGCGACGTCACTTTCGCAGAAATGGTAGCTATTTCCTTTCAGTATCTTTCTACAATGATCAGTAATTTGTGTAACATACGCGAGTTCAAAGTGTCGCCCCGATGCCGTTGCACCTTGTTCAGCAGCAGATCAACCGTCTCCTGCTCGACGCGCAGGCGCTCAACATTACTCATCCATTCGATGCGTACGCCCTCCTATTCATCGCTCAGTATTTTTCACGCGTTCTCAATTATTGAACGAACCTTCAGATGCCACATTCCTTCCGTGAATCTCATCTTGCTTCGATTCGATAGTGGAATCTTCGTATTTAGGATGATTCCTGCAAAGACTGCAATCAACTAGAAGCAGCAAAGGAAAAATTTTAAGTTAGAGAGAAAAACGAAGCTAGAGAAAGCACCTAGCTTAAATATGAATCTCCCTTGGTTTACCCGGATTCCTTAATCGGGTACGGAGCGTCCTCCGCATCCCCGCATGGCGTATGCTTCACAAGAATAAAGCATCTCAATTAACCGATATTTAGCCGTTGGTGCTCGTTATTATCTGTACCATATTTCCAAAGTTTAACAAAATCCTCCGTGAAGGTATATACAAACCCGAGACAGTAAACGGCAAAGTGCTGTATTCCTCTGTTCGCGCTAAACTCAATTAAGCTTTCGCTCGGAACCTCGGGAACAGTCTTCAACTCACGACGACATACCGTTACGGTAGCAACCATACTCCTAGATGCCCGATCTACCGACGTTAGTCTTCGTACCGGGCTCCTGGCATAACCCGATATGCTACGACCCGGTCATCAAGCTCCTCCAACCAAAGTTCAAATGCACCTCCGTTACCCTCCCATCAACGACGGGAAACCCAGCCGCGACATTCAAAGATGATCTCGAAGCGGCCCGCTCAGCTATATCCAACGAGACGGCCGCCGGATGCAACGTTGTAGTCATTGCACACTCCTACGGCGGCATGGTTGGCAACAGCGCCGTCAAGGGATTCACGCCCGATACTACGAGCCAAACTCAAACCCCAACGGGGTGCGTTATCGGCATCATCCTCATAGCTTCTGGCTTTACCCTGGCCGGATTGTCGTTTATGGATCCATTCTTCGGTCGTCCGCCTCCTTCTTGGCGTGTTAATAGCGACACCGGCTATGCAGAGCTTGTTACTCCTCCCCGTGAGCTCTTTTATCATGACTTGCCGGAGAACGAGGCAGAGTACTGGATTTCGCAGCTTACGACCCAGAGTCTCAAAGCATTGTTCGAGGGTGGTGAATATACGTATGCGGGTTGGCAGGACGTGCCCACTTGGTATATTGGTACCATTGAGGATCGGGGGTTGCCGGTGTTGGTGCAGCGGGTGCAAGTTGGTATGGCGAGGGAATTGGGTGGTATTGTCGAGCATCGGGAGTTGCAGACGAGCCATTCGCCGTTTTTGAGCCAACCGGAGGCTACTATGAAGATTATAGTGGAGGCCGTTGAGGCGTTTACGGGGAAGGAAGGTGGAAATGAATCTACGAGTGGACGTGCAGATATGATTGCAGTGCCGAGGGCTACGCTCTTGCAGCCTTTCTCGTGGTTTAGATTTGGACTGCCGCTGGCATTTGGTCATTTATTAGGAAAGGGTTATCGCCTTTTCACTTGGGGGAGGAGGTTATGCGGGTTCGGGTTCGGGTTCAGTAAATGAAGTCTGTAATATCAATTCAAGAAAGGTGCATGGAGATGATGAATATCAAAGCGATGGAATGTTACAACATAGAACACTAACCATCATAGGCTATCTTATTTACGAAAAGTACTAAACTGTAAAAAGAGAATCTGATAATCTAGAGTTGTGGGACGCGCTAGTCCGGATCGGGACGAATCCTCCGAGTCTTTGAAACAAGCGTCACATCATATTCAATAATAGCATCATGATCTGTTGGATCAGGCGTATGTATATCAAATCATCCCTCGGTGCTAGCTTGCATCTTGATTGGGATATATAGACAATGTAGCCCGCATCCACCGGTGCGCTACAAGAGCAACCTCGTAATTTTCGCGTAGCTAATGGGAACCTCCCATGCAGGTCAAATGGAGGAATTCCCTTGCAAGTCGCCTCAAAACACCTCAATATTGATCATCTGGAGTCACAACCGCAAAAACAAAAACACGCGAAAAAAAAAAAGCACGTGGTAGGGCCCGGGCCCTATAGAAATGGTTAGCGACATCGCTGATTACTGCGGGCCAATTATACAAACTCCCAAGACCTACCCCGCCTTCCATCAAGCAAAAAGCCAACTCTGCAAGACCAAATCTTCTTCAGCCAGTTATAACCAAATTCGAAAATGTAAGTGTTTTCGACATTGTCCACGATGAAAAGTTCAGTGAACTAACCAAATGCCCATTTCTTTAGCCCCAGCAACAATGTCGGACGCAGAACGTGTGCAGGGAACCTGCAAGTGGTTCAACGAGGAGAAGGGATACGGCTTTATCACCCCTGTCGGTGGTGGCCAAGACTATTTTGTGCACTTCCGGGCTATTCAAGTGCGTGGTTTCAAGGTTCTGAAGGAGGGTCAGGCGGTCACCTTTGTCCCAACCCAGGGTCAAAAGGGAATGGAGGCGTCTGAGGTCATCCCCGAGCCCGAGTCCCAGTGATTGTATTTAAGGAATTGAATTCAACCCCTTTTTTTTCTCTTTGTCATAACCCGAATTTGCGGAGATCAGGCGACTTGAGAGTCGCCTAATATCTTTCTATCAACCATGCCATTCTCGATAACCCCAGTCCAACCCGCGGACGTCGATCCCCTCGTGCGGAAAGTCGATTATCTTGCACATCGAGATGGCCCGCTTTATCTGCTGATCTTCCCATGCCCAGCGCAGCGAGAGCAGCGAGAAGACGAGATTAGATGGTTTATTAGCGAGCTGCTTGAGACGGTTGATCGAGGAGACGAAACTCTGTACAAGGCCTGTGGAAAAGATGGACTACCCGTCGGGCTAATAGGCTGGACTAACAGTCCAAATTCTGCAAAGGACACAATCAAGTCTGCATCAGAGCAAGTGACAGAGGTGAACAATCGAAGTAGCTGGACGCCCCCTTCTTTGGACGTGGCCGCATGGCTCGGTGTCTCAAGACGACTCGGAGAAGAGAGGCAAAGGGTTCTTCGGAGTTGTCACGATAGTATATGCCGTTAGTCACCGGCCTGCCTTAGCCTCAGGCCTTGCTCACATATCTTAGGAATCACCTTCATGTCCGTGACCCCGGAATATCAACGACAAGGCGTTGGATCTGCCCTCATGGCGATATTTTGTCGCCATGTTGATGAAAATGGACTAGATGCCTTTGTCATGGCCTCACCGGTTGGAGTTTGTCTATACTCCAAGTTCGGGTTCAAGGCTGTCGGTGTTGTGGAGACAGAGAAGGGAAATTTTACTAGCATGTTAAGGACGGGTTCATATAGGAAAACGATGACGCTGTGTGAAGAATCAATAAAGCCGTGAAAAAAGGAGGTGGATGCGTTTGCAGGTATACCGCTCTATCGACTTGCGTTGCCCCTTTTTGACGGTGAAGGAAAGAGACTTCCAAGATTTCAACTATTCATCTGTTGACTCGCTACCGAGGTTCTCTCTGGGTGGTGCTACCCGTGGACCTAGGGTATGCGTAAAAACATATCATATCGCAGCTCATAAATCAACATTATCACAGTACAACTTCAGACATATCTGTGTACAGGGTATTCCAAAACTCAAATAAGAGGACGCAACCCCCCACTCCTAGGACTCCTCGGACTCCCAATAAGACTGTCACCCCTTGCCCTCGCCCTCACAATCTCAGGCGACTTCAATCCATCCCTCACTTCCCTCGAATCCCGCGTAATCCTAGACGGCAAGCCAGGCGGCGGCGAGATATGGTGGCTCACCACGCTGGCAGGCAGCTCGAGAGATGGGATAGACACGTCCAGATGCGTGGCGGGTTCCACCTTGTTCGAGACTGGGCGGGCGTGGTTCTCGCTGTAGAATTGTTCCAGCTGTGCGGCGTCGTTGCAGAAATCGGCTAGGCCGGTGAGGATGTGCTCCGGGGCGCGGTAGAGGTTTGCGGAGTCGATACTTGTTGGGCCCGGGGGTAGCGGACTGCCGATTTCGTGGATTGGTCGAGTGAGCGGAGACAGGCGTGGCGAGACACGGTCCAGTGCATCATGCGTCGTAGTGCGCCCACGGTACTCTCTGTTGGGATCGTGGCGACCTGCGTCGCGGCTTGCGGCACTACGCGTGCTGACAAGTCGGTTGGCGAGCAGGAGGAAGTCACCTTCGTCGGTGATCTGGGCTAGGATGCTTCCTGTTCGGTGGATAAATTGGGGGTATTGGTAGTCTGGTTTGCCCCAGGAGAAGGAGACTTCGACGTCGACTGGGAAGGCGGCGGCTGCTTCAAAGTCGAGCACGAAGTCGAATTTGCGGAGCAGGCTCTTTTGGTAGTAGAGTTTGTCTGGGGGACCGGGTTGTGCGAAGGAGGCGTTGTTGAAGACTGTGTGGATTGGTCCTTTCGGTGGTGGGACTTTTAGTTTGATTCTGAAGGGTTTGCGGAATGGTTGGGTTCTGTCGATTGCGGAGGCCTCGGCAATTGGGACCTGGACTAGCTTGAGGCCGAACTTGTCTGCCGTTGAGGCCCAGGAGAGGACGGCGTCTTCGATCAGTTTGGGTGTTGTATTCATCCAGCTGAGTTCGATGTGGAAACAATTATCGGGATTGTGAAGCCGGTCGTAGTGGAGGTCGATGACTTCAGGTCGGTTCGACCGCTTGCGGTTATCCACGTCGTACTTGAGCGACTTCGACAGCATGATGGCAACCTTGTTCTTTCCCTTGGACGGGGTAGTTGGCGTCGGCGGGACACGGTCGTCGGTGCTGTCGGAGCGGGTGTGTAAACTCGACGGGGAATCCTTCACATTTGCAGGAGTCGAGGGCATTGACTTGTCCGCTCGCAGCTGTGGGAACCAGCTGCCTCGAGACTCCGGACGCGTGGTACGATACTCAGGGCAGATCTGATAGAAGTAGTTGCCGTCACGGAAATTGTGTCTTTTCTCAACGTGCTGGAACAAGCCATGCTTCATCAACTCGTTACCGAATTCAACCGCCTCATCACGCGTGTCGATGTCCCGGAAGTTCTGCAGCAGCCACGTCGTCAACTCGAAGCCAATGAAGCAGTTGTAGTGGAGTCTCCAATGCCAGCGGCGGTCCATCATTCGCACACCCTTCTCTCCCTGGATCCGCTGCGCGAGCGACGACAGATTCACGCTGGACCTCTCAAGAAGCTCGGACTCGGGTAACAGCTGAGCCGGTAGATTGTCGAGTCTTGGGTCGGTGAGTAGCACCCGGTCAAGTTCCGCCGCGACAACCTCGGATGGGTTGCGCGTCTGATAAATTATATTGAGCGGGTTCTGATCTCGCTTCTTTGTCGACGAGTCGAAACGCTTCTCCTCCGGCGACACGTACTTGTGACGTTGCCAGATATGGGTCAGCTGGCTGATACCCAGCAGATGGATCTCCTCTTCATTATCCTCATTATAGGACTGCAGATGCCGCCGTGAGTTGGAATGAAGTTGCATTGGAATCAACACGTATCGAATTCGCCAGAAATGTAGCTGCTGTGCTGGGTTGTGTAAATAATCCCTGTGACCAGCCACGTAATTGTCGGCGTAGTTCCAGTTGTATTCCTCGGCAGTGGGATCCAGTTTAATTTCTTTCATTTCGTACTCCGGATTGAGAATTGTCCTCATAGCCGGCTGATAGAGAGTGAAGTTGACCCTCTTGGAAGATGCGAGCGCGGCAGTTGTTTGATGTGTGAACCGAGTCACCTCGATTTCTCCCCCGTGTATGCAGATAAGACGGTGAATGGCGTTTCCTTTGGAGAGGAAGACAGTGACACCATCACGTTCGAGTCCCCGGGTGTCGAAGACATTCAATGACTCAAGTGTGGGTTGAGACGAGACTTCAGCAACAGTCTTTCCAATGACGATCTGGAAACCATGGGACAATCGAAGTGAGATCATCTCGCGCAGAAGAGTCCCGCGTGACTTGGGTGATTCGTACCCATCCGCATCGTCATTTGGAAAGACACGGTATGGTGTTTGCAGGTAATCAGAGGCAAGCTCACCGGGTGTGGGGAACTCCTCTGTCGTCAAGGGAAGAACTGCAGGCGACTTAAGGCTCTTCCACTTGACCACAGCGACATGGGGAGGGCGTGGATATGCATGCTGCCAACGACCAAACCAGCTGGTATTGCGCAATACATCCTTCGGAGTATTACAAGGGTTGACAGATCGAACCCATGGGGACAACGCTTTGCTTGGTGAGCTTCTCACGGACGCGTCACGGGAGCCATGGTTGAGCGTGATTTCGATCTTGTGGTCATTGGGCCGGCCTGGCCCTTCTTCACGGCCTTCCTCATTGAATGGTACCTCGGCTGTGGATGTGGGGAGCGAGCCTTGGGCCCCGTCCCGCTCAGGCTGTTCCGCAGTCTCCGATTTTTTGAGTGGAGCTTTGATAGAGATTGGTTTCGAAGGTGTCACCTTGGAATCGGAATGCATTTTGGGAGGAGTGGATGGTCTTGACGACGGATCAACGATGGTAGGGGTGGATGTGGATTCTGAAAGGCTCAGAGAGGTAATGCTCTTTGTGTCAGAGAACGTCCCACCAGGTGCCCGCTGGTTTGACATTGGCAGTGCGTTGGCATGCTCAACATGGACGCCTGTGCTTGCTTGAGCCCGAGGAGGAGTAGCACTCAAGCCACGCAGTGCGAAGCTGATTGTCCTTGAAATCCTCGAGCTCTTTGGGGCCGCCGTGGGTTTCAATGCGGGCTTGCCCGGCGACGGACTGTTCGAAGAGACAATGACAGGGCTTTTAGAGGTGGATATCGACCCATCAAGTCTGCGTGGACGCAAAGACTGGTTGTGTTCATTCACGCCCATTTCTTGCTCTCGCAAGCGCAATATTGATCGTGCAGATATCCGTTCATGTGCCCCGGCAGCTTGAACCTCGGGCTCACTCAAACGTTTGGATTTGGGCTTTTGAAGTTGACGATGCTTCGGTCTTACGGAGAAGATGTTATCATCATACTGATCCATCCATGTCATCACGGATTTGCGTGACTTTGGCTGTTCATTGGCCTTGATTTCGTTCTGGTCGGTAATATTTTCGAGGAATGGCTCCGGCCGAAGGCTATCACTGTATTGGGCCTTTAGCGACGAAGGGGCGAATCGAGTTCTGGGAGGGGCGCGGACGATCGGGCTAGGCCCAGGCCAGGATCCACGAAGACGTGACATGTCGCGTCCTTCAAGGAGGTAGGGAACGGAGATGTTCGATTGCTCACTCTCCATGACTCCCATCATCTGGATCTCGTACATACGAACACGCGGAGTAAAGGCTTTAGATGGCCGAGTGACGGTAAACGGAATTGGTGCGTTGGGGTCGTTCTTTAGAATTCGTCGCGCTTCTCGGTACGTTTCGGGGTTCCAGTAGGAGATGTCAAGCCAGTGAGGAATACCGTAGTTCCAATCCCTCGATCGGGCACTTCCTTGTTCTCGCATTCTCATGGTGGAGAGGTAAGAGCTCGGAGAGAGATAGGAAGATCTGCTGACAAGACTTGATATTGAATGGTGCACCTCTGGCGACATGTTGCCTTTGGGGGTATGAGACGTGCCTGTCATGTTACCTGACTGTCGTTCCACGGGTTCTCGGTACTTGAACAGAGGTACTGAATGAAGGGGCATAGGACTCAAGCAGACCAAGTCGATGGCTATTCCACGGTTTGCCAGCGCTTCTGTCGTCGAGGCTAGGGACTCATAGGAGACTTCAAACACGCCACTCCCTGGGGTAATGACGATGATGGACGTGCCCGTGTGGACCATGTCTCGATCGATGTGGTCAAAGGCCAAATGAGCAGAAGCAAGGTGGATGGCCTCTAGGATATTGCCGCGAAGAGCTGTGCTGGGTCGTCCGGCGATAGTTGCAGTATGAGGTTTGGAAGGAATCTTGACTCCACTCCCAGCTGCAGCATCCAGATCATCTGTTTTCAGAATTGAGACATCCCGAAGAAAAGTTCGAAAATTCTTCTTCAGCTCGTCCAAAATCGTAGTCCAGTGGCCACTGGCCATGTCGTTCACTACAACACGATAGAAATCCCGTGTTGGAACGTTGTTTGGGCCTGAGGTATTGTTCGAAGTTCCGGCATTAAGCTTGGCCAGGCTTGAATGGATAGATGCATCGTACTCGACCCGGGTGAAAAGCACAATAGTAACCAAATGCTTTGCATCGGAACTGGCCCATCGTTTGAAGAGCTCCGGCAAGAAGCCGTTGATGACCCGACTGAAGAGGATATCTCCAGACCCCTCGGAGTCGAAATCCCACATCTCTCTTGACATTTGAATAAAGAGCACATATTTAGCCGACTCGCTTCGGAACACGGGGATGGTGTTTGTTGAAAAATACCCGGACAGGACCTTCTTCTCCCGAATAAAGATGTTTTTGATAGTGGCCTTGACACTCCCCATGAACGTGATTTTCTGACCCTTGTAAATGATCTTGTCGACAAGTTCCGACATGACCATCCTCCACATGTCGGATCGAACCATGTACTGATCACGAAAGGAAATATCCACGTGTGACGCAGCGCATTGCTCCCGATTGACTATCGACAGCAGAACCTGTGTCCTGTTTTTGAAGCCAAAGATATTGGCCACGCTGTTGGTCACGGAGATCTCCAATCTCGGATGGCGTGTCTTGATATCCTGCGGGAGGGGCTTGACCACGAACAAGCAACGGTTTTGCAACGGTGTCTTAAACTTCGAAGTGTTTTCTGCTTGCGATGACGGGTTGATATCCCCGTGTAACTCGCGACCGGCCTTGACGGCTGCATCGGGCTTTAGTGCGGAGTGGGCCGCATCTCCAGCCGCGCGTACGGGTAGAATCTCTACCACATCGCCGACCTGAACTCCCGTTTCGCCAAAGGCCGATGGATTCAGGAGAATCTCTTCGCGCGCAAACATCTCATCGTGAACCCACAGGGTGCATTGATGCCGGGCCAAGCTGGAGGACACCCGGACGGTGCGCTCATTCGGCGTGGGACCATGTTCGCGTTGGGATGCGTCCAGAGAGCGTATGGTCGAGATGGTCTCCAAGCTCGCAGCACTCACCTGTCTCAGGTGGGACTGCCGCATGCGCCCGCGCAGAGACATGCTTTCAGTCCCCATGCATTGCAGGGGAAATTGAGAGCTTCCCCGGAGCTTTCGCAATTGGATTGAGGAGGATCCACGGGCGACCGATAAGATAGTGTCGGAACGAACAGCCTATGGAGACCGGATTAATGGATGATCCGAAGTAATATTTCCTTATATAATCAGAAGGCCCTACAAAGTGTCAGAACTAGGGTAGTTATAGCAATACAGAGTTCTTTTCACTCGAGCTGATTCCCTAGGCAAACGTTGGTTTGTGCATATAGCGGATTGCCATCCGTCAACGATCATATTCGCATTGTTTGAAACGGTTGCAAGGCGCCTTGGTAAGTCGGCCCGTGTTCAAATGATACCGCAACCTCCTTTCCTTCTCTCCTGTTCCTCGCCCCAAGACTCCCCTCGCGCATATGTTGACGAGCATCTGGAATCACGGATTCGATTTTTTCTCAGCTCTGGGACACCATCTATATTATCTCGTTCTCTTCAAAATACCTTCCCTCTTTAAAAATCGTCTCCCAAATCATGAGAAGCCAGACGATGTTGAGTGCTGTAGAGGCCCCGTCAATGGGAAACAACCTCCAGGCACGACGGATGACACGCATGTAGTGTCGATCACAGAAGGACCAGGTGCCATAGACATCGAAAAAGATGGCCCGGTCCCGTACGAGCCTCTCCTTGGCGAGATCTTAGGTGAAGGATCAACTTCCCGAATTGCACGCGTGGCGCCAGATGTCATCATCAAATGTCCACGATTTTCTTGGTGGCATTCCAAGACTGCGGTGGATAAATGGTTCGTTCGAGACATAAAGCGGAGTTTTGAAGTAGAAGAACGTCTTCTACAAATCCTGGGACTACATCCAAGAATAATAGAGTCCGTTAGCCCCTAGCTTCTTGTGATCGGTGATTGACTGATCTCTAGGTTCAAGGGCGTTTCAGACGATCCATTTGGATTGTTATTTGCCGAAGCAAGCGATGGAAATCTACAAACTACATTGACAAGCACCATGCTAGCATCGACATCTCTTTACGACTAAAATGGCGCACACAAGCCGCGGAGGCGATCCATTTCATTCATCAACAAGGTGTGATTCACTCTGATCTTCGACCAGACAACTTTTTGTTACACACTGTCGCTGAGAACAAGCTCGATCCTCTCCTATGTGACTTTGGGGGGTCAACAAATCGAGAAATAGATGGTCGGCATCTCCCCGACGCCGGGGTTTTCAATCCTTGCCATCCGCCGGAATCGACGAAAAGCACGGACATTTTTAGCCTCGGGTCCATATACTATACGATAATGACTGGCCATTGGCCTTACAGGTCTCCGGGTCCATTCAGGTCTCTAGAGGAGATGGAGAAATACCAAGAAGAAGTTGACGCATTATTTGCCTCCAAAAGGTACCCGCCGGTTGACGGACTCGCAGCTGGACCTGTAATACAACGATGTTGGACAGGAGAATACTCTGATTTGAGGGCACTCATTGAAGACCAGCACTCGCAGTTTAAGAATATGGTGCGATGAAAGAGAGTTATTTATTGTCAATACACTCGCGAAGTCCCCGATTGTACGGAGCCAAATACAACGCCAATTGGATTCGCGTGTTATAATCAGTAGCCCTTCAAAATGAGTCCTACGCCCTCCACATACGGCCACCGCGCACGCCATCTTCTTGAAATCCCCTCTGTCATCTCACGCTCGAATTCCGATACACGTTGTTGGGCCAATCAGCTATGGGTTCGGGCAGCCATATCTCCCACATTTCCCCCTCTTTCTATGTGAAGCCAGTGTGTTGGGAATGCGACCCGGACACGTAGGGGTGTCGGTATACTTACAAGGTACGAAGTTCATGTCTTCTTTGACCCTGCAACCGCACGTATAAACCTTGGTAGCAACGTTGACTTGGCACATTCTAAATTGGAAGCGTCAGCGCTTGGCCGATGAATTACCGCTCGAATAACGCACCTGGATAATTTCAAGTTGTAAGTTTATGGGCTCCTGAAAGGTAGAATATCGTTCGATCCTGCTTCTGGGGGTCTGTAGATGTGAAATGTATAGATTGGGGGTTCAGCGAGTATTTGTACCCTGAGAGACCCCGGGATCACGCAGTGCTGCAAACTCAACTCCATACAAGCCTTGCAAATGAAATATCGGGTAACCAAGGAATTTTGTCACTTGGAGCGGTTTACAGTGCCCGGGCGTCTTTGACTCAGTAAAGTGGAATGAGTTCTAGGTTGAGACCGCCAATACTTCATCTCGGGAGCCAAGATCTACCCGGGTTAGAGCCGCACCCTCGGATGATAGAGCCAAAATCATCATCTATGATTGGCCTGAGAGCGTCCGAGCTACAATGGTTGTCGCGGTCTTGCATACGACCCGAACGAAAACAGTACCTGTCAATGAAGGTTACTCTAGTGTCTGCATTGCGCTTTTTCTGGCAATCTCACCTGCAAGATCATGACCCTGCATACGCGCACAGTTTGAGGCTTATTACCTAATATAGTAACTAGTGATCGGTTTCAGTGTAATTGCCAAATTTGGCAAATGATCAACTATTGGGAAATTGCCTGTTTTGTACATTGCGGCCACATAACAAAATTACTGTCATGATCCCGGTCATTGTCATTGCCTTCGGGGGGTTCGGTTGGGACCGAGGGCCTTGTTTGGAGTGAAAGCCAGAGGTACAGTGTCAAGTGAAGAATGAGACGGCAGGGAGGGCCAGACAGACGATGCGAGTCTCTTGACGTAGACATGGCCACCGGGTGACTGTGAGTTTCACGACTTGGTGAGTTGTTGGCGATGGCGCTAGCAGCGGCATGCATCAGTACAAGCGGCCGAGGCAAGCGAGAGGGCACACACATTCCGGTCCTTTCTTCGTGCCCCTCAAGACTTATGAGGCAATTGGCGACATCTTGAGGGCGTGGCCTCCCGCGAAGCCCGTGGCTTCTGTCTCTGTACATATGTAGCGATGTTTCACAGACTGCGCCTGCGTATGCGCCCCTCAAAAGTACTCCGCGCAGATCAAACCGAGCTTCAACCTCCAGCTCTCCCCCAAATGTATGGTGGAGACGCGAGGAATCTTTCTGCGAGCTCCAATAGGGTACCAGTGAAGCTTTGTGGCAACGCGGATCGACAAATCAGTGGATTTATTTTCCGGGAGGCGATCCAACTACATCGTCCACTTTGAAATCAAATCCTCCCGTTTTCGAAAATCCCCCCTACCTTCTGTCCATCTGTCTGTCTCTGCAGAGCTTTGGGAGCAGACACTCGAAAATGATCCCAAAAATGCGCCTCTGTCGTGGCATTGAAACTCTTTGTGTCAGCTGAAGCCACGGATCCACCCGGTCGCACCCAGGCGAGCCCTGTCCGTGGCCACAGGGCTGACCTTTGAATCTCAACATGCCAGAACGGACACTCTGATACAACAAGAAGTCATTGAAGGGGATGGCATGAGTATCTGAGTTGATTTGGGAGGCGGAGATTCTGCTGAGCCTCTGGCCTAGGTGTAAACACAGACATTGCCACTCTAGGGGATTCCCCCATTCCTGCAGCGCCAACCAAAGCCAGCAAGGGTATTCCAATTATCTGGAATCTACCGACGAAATTGAGCATGAATCTGCGCCGCTGGCTCCCCGTCCTGCCCTGATACTAGCGTGGACCGGCCAGGCCCTTCATACAATAAGACGGGTGTCGGCTAACTTGGGATCATCTCCCGAAGCATTCTTTTGCTTTTTTTCAGTGATCACTCTGTCAGTCCTTTGGAAATAGGCCCCCGTGACGTTTGCTCGAACCTGGACGTACGTCGCCAAGTCTCAACAAGCCAATGCAATCGATGGCGGTATGCCATGTTGCATTGTCTGCCAAAAGAGGCTCAAGTGGCAATTCGCCCAAGCCATAAGCCCTAACGCAGTGTCCGTGAAAGTGTTCACGAAAATGACTGGGTGTTGAATTTGCAGTTCCACGGAGCATCACTTTCTAACCATCATTGCTTCTCATCTATTTCCATGCAACTCGCCCGCTTGCTCACTTGCCCGGCTTGCCCAGTATCCCATTCGATTCGGTTGATGTCATGGCAAAATTGTCACCTCCGGAAAACCATCCAGCTGGAAGCCCAAATTCCGTGGTAATCTGCAACGATGACCGAACATTGCACGCCCTGAGATCATGGGCAAACATCATCGCTCGAGGCTGAAGCAACATCGCTTCCCGTCGCTGGAAATCCGCGCTTGAACAGAACAAGCGCGCCAAAGTCTTTTGCTTGATCCTTGTAGCAGCCTCCAAGGATCTGAATGTTGCAAACCCGGCGAGCATTCCCCTTGTCAAGCCTCCTTGTTGTAAATTTCCTCGGTCATAATGGGCTTCCGATCGCGTTCGAGGTCATTTGCGCCCATGGGCTGATAGTTGATGGGATGCTGGGCCAGTGCCGTGAAGTCTTCGGGGGTTGTTGAATGTTGCAGCCCGACGGCCTTGGGACAGAAGCATCTACAAGGGGAAGCATCGTGTCTTTCCCAGTAGGCCATCATCCGAAACGTGCGAGCATATTGTCCAGTGTGTCAATACTGTGCGTTTGCGATTGCCCGTACTCGTGTTTCAGTCTGTTCGGGTTGTACTATCCTCTTCGTGGCGCTCGTCGGGAGAGTCGCGATGACGACTCGGGCGCGTCGCAAGGCTGGGAACTGGATGATCTTGATGAAAGATTTATCAGTTTCAACGGAGTTCCTAGAACTCAAAGCTTCAGCTGACTTAGCGATGGACTCAACAACACGCGTCGGAGGGTGATTTTCACCTTTGTGTTGTCTCCTGGTTTCCTAGATCTCATCGCTTATTCAAAAGCTGTCTGTGTGATTAAGCACCATCGCCAGAACTCATTGCTAGGGACTGTCGACTGTCACAGTATCGACGTGCTTATGTGTCACTCCTCTCCCAGCCAGGTTACCAGCTTGTATTCTCGGGAGAATCTGTAATTCAATCTCTCCATGTTGAGTAAACTCGCCACTCGCGCTATCGATGGTATCCTGGATTCGGTTTCGTGGTCGGGGAGGTGAGACTGTTGTTTGCTAATCTTGGTTCGGACGAGTTCTTCAAGCTTCGCGTTGTTGTGGATGAAAGGAACGTGCAGTGAACGCTCAGGTGGGCGGAAATTGAGAGGACATGGTAGACATCGAGCAGAATGGAGGGTTGAACTTGAAGGTTGCCCTGTCCTACGTTCCCAAGAGTCAAAGTTCGCGAAGTTGTGTGTTGTCGTCTCATTTTCCGGATACCCTGACCGTCTAAAGGGGGAAAACCTGCAGAACTACTGCCCATACATACCATTACTGATCGAGACAAGCCCCGATTCAGCGGGAACGGGGCGAACTTGCCGACCCAAGATCTCTACCAATCCCCCTTCGACTGAAACCGGATCTCCACAAATGAAAACCATGCTTGACCTAGTCATATCAAGTCCAAAGCCAGTCGCATACGGGACCACTGGAATCTACGATGGCTTTGGCATGGCCAGGGCCAGGGCCAGAGCCTGCTCGATCTGGTGGAGACGACGTCACGGCAAGCCGGCTCTTCGAGTCAGCGGAAAAATCGATTGCGGAGCCAGCCATTGCTCGTCTTATTCTCGGAACCATGATAGCCTGTCCGCGATTACATATCTACATCGATAGTGCTGCAAAACAGATATTATTGCCGATCCGGTGCCTCCCGGATTTATGGGAACTACATGAGGATGGCAATTTCGGTCTATACCTATGTATACCCCTTCCGCTATCGGGGACAGCTGGAACCGGGGAGGAAAACGAGCCGAATACTCGACGTTACTGACTGCAAAAAATACCAAAAATGGGTGCTGACTTTTGTTGTTGGGGGGAATTGCGGCAACATTATTTGGGTGGCAAAACATCGCGGCTCTCACATCCAGCATACCACAGCTCTCCGTCCCGCGGGTCCCAAACTCTCAGCCCCATCTGGGCCGGCGAACCTCGCTTTCCTATACAACAAATTCGGTTTTGGCCGTATGCATGCCCGAATACGGGCATCTGCCATCAACCGGGGGTTAAAAGTCAGATATGCACGGTTTCAGCCCCTCGTTAGGGCTTGTCAAATCCACTAGGCTCGAAAAGCGCCTCCCGTGTATCCTTCCCCACGAAGTGTGCCAACGAGCCATTCCTTCGCACGATGAGTGACAATTTCCCTCTTCGCCCGTTGTTTCCCGAGGGAGCTTCAGACATCGCGGAGAACCAATCGGCCCCCTTCCTTTACGACTGGGCTCTCCCTGGCTACACGCAGCCAACTGCGCTTAGTTTTCCCGCCAATACCGACCGATTTCCTGGTCATGATGACCCTTCAAACACCGGCAACCAACATGGGAATGCGAAAGTCCCCATCCCGCGAACTTCCTACCCTAGCACCTGGACTACCAACAGCGGGCGAGTCAGTCGCGCATGCGAGAACTGTCGAGAACAAAAGGCTAAATGCAGTGGTCACCGCCCCGCTTGTCAACGATGCCAGGATGCGGGGATGCCGTGTTCGTATGGCGATCGGAAACGCGAGAAATTGCTAAAGTGCGTGAACACGTAGAATAATGATCTGTCATCCCTCTAATCCGGCTTTAGGCAGCTGGACGATCTTACCACACAAGTCAGCACATATGAAAATCTACTGCGAGAGATCTACCCGAAACTTGATTCTCCATTGGCCCAACGTGTTGATCAGACACTAGGAGGCCAATTACTTAAAGTGAGTCCACACCCAAGGTGTCTTTTGACAAGAGCATCCCTTCCGTTTACCTGTCATCTCCCCTAATACCTTACCCCAAAGGATGCTCAGACATCGAGTACATCTGGTCCTCCAGAGGCCGGGTCTTCTGGCTATTACTTGGCGACAATTGATCACACCGAGGAGGATTTCAATCGCGATGAAAAGATTCAGGCGATGGGTTTTGTGGGCGAGCATTCGGAGATGTCTTGGCTGTACAGACTCAAACGAGACCTCGATCAAGAAAGCGCAACCCCCGCCAGCGATAACCCCGATCGGCCATCTATCTCATCCCTGAACTATTTTCAAGACGACCGCGAGATCTCGATCCTCATCAACGTGGACCCGATGCAACGGCCTCCGCAAGACATTGCTGACAAGCTCGTTGACAACTACTTCCAAGCAGTGCATCCCGCCTTTCCTGTCATTGGCAAGGAGATTTTTCTGAGCCAGTACCGGTCTTTCTACTCCAGTGCGAATGTGCGCCCTGGGAAAAGGTGGCTGGGAGTGCTGAATCTGATCTTTGCCATCGCGGCGAAATACTCACTGCTAGCAGAAAGTCAACCCCTGGTGAATCCCGATGACGATTTGGTGTTTTTTGCCCGGGCTTGGCGGCTGAGTATTAGAAACGTGGCTTTGCTGGATCATCCCAATCTGCAGCAGGTGCAGGTCGAAGGGCTAGCGGCGTTCTACCTCCTTTCCACTGGTCAAGTCAATCGGTGCGTCTTCTCATTCCCACCCTGACTCGTCGCAACTCCGCCCAACTAACGGCTTTTCTCCTCTTTAGGTCATGGCGAATTATTGGGATTGCGATTCGATCTGCGGTGGCGATGGGTCTCAACCTTCGTAGCGACACCGATAGTATTGCACATTTATCCAAGGAGACGCGCTACCGCGTGTGGTGGGCGCTGTTCACGTTGGATACGGTGCTGTGCGTGATGACCGGGCGTCCGCCCAGCACCGACGACGTGTTCTGCACCACACCACTTCCAATTCCCTATCGAGAAGAGGATTTCTGGGACGAGGAAGTTGTACAACTCATCACCGACCAGGGCATCCGAAACTACCTGATGGGCTCCCTTCTTTCCCCTCGCGACGCTTCCGGATTCGTCAACACCTCAAACGATCGCATTTCTTCCGCCCCCCATGAATTAGACAAAGTGACACCCAACATCTCGTTGTATTTCCTGTACGCAGTGGACCTGGCGTTCCTCATGCGGCAGGCCATCGAGATGCTGTACGCCCCTGCAGCTGCGCGACGATCCTGGGGGAAATGGAGTTGGCGATCAATTCCTTCAACACCCATGCGGACAACTGGCTCGCCCGTCTCCCAACAGAGTTCACCTTTACAAAATTGGACACCTCTCTTCCATTCGTGCGCCAACGCGCCAGTCTCGCATTCCGATTCTACACTACCAAGCTCGTCATCTCCCAGCCCTGTCTTCGCCGCCTCGCAAACCAACCTACCACCTCATCCTTGGGATCAACTTGTGATAAAATGGCAGCCATGTGCGTGCAAGTTGCTTCCCAGATGCTTGATCTCCTTCCCGACGAGGCCGATGCATCCTGGCTTTACGGCGTCTCCCCCTGGTGGTGTATTTTGCACTACGTTATGCAGTCTACCACTGTTCTTCTGATCGAACTCTTCACTCGTTCACAGCCGGAAACTCCTGACGCTGTTCTCCTTGGGAAGAAGGTCCAGAAGGCTGTCCGGTGGCTGCGTGAGATGTCTACCAAAGATGAGTCTTCGCAGCGAGCCTGGCTTGTCTGCAAGGATATCATATCTCGGCACGGCCTGAGATTCGCCTTGGAGATCGATTGCTGACACTTTGGATTTGGCCCTGTTTGCCCTCGTGTCTCTTTGGCCACGTGGGCGCTGTCACGCCGCTTCTGCGACAGCAAGGCTGACCCGGATGTTACGTGGTATCGTAGTTACCGTTCTGGCTACTCGCTTTGCCCCCTACGAAAATTTCCACAGCGGAGATGGCAGTTCTGTGCACTCATCTTGGCGTCTTGAAGTGTCACCTGCGGGCTGAGCATCGGAAGGCATGCATCTCCAGTATTCATTCGCGGGCATTCTTTGGTGTATCTCTTCTGGGTTGCGCCCCACGTCCATGCTTCTGTTAACTCGCTTCCTGGATTTCGCAATGTTCCAATCCATTCGGCCAACCTCAAATATGCGGTCATCCTTCCTCGAAAAGATACTCTCAGTAAAGCGGCTCACGGCCACATGCTATTGACATCCAATCTGAACGCCAACCCTTGGAACTCAAGTAACTTATTTTACTTCGCCCATCCAGGTGATGACCGCCACGATCAACTCACGAACTAAGCCGCAACTTATAATTTTCCAATAATGTCATAGACATAAAGTCTTCAAATATTACTTAGATAATTGCAAGTCCCCAAGGCACCTCTCAGCCCTATAACTCATGACATGTGTAAAGATTCTCCGCCTCATTTAAAAACGTATCAACGGGATGCAACAACCCCAAATCGATATCCGACTGCGCCAAGAAATCCTGCATCGTCGGTTCCAAGAATGCCATCTCTGTCGTGTACCCCGCCATCGTCTCCCTCTGTACTGCATACTCCAGTCCAGGTCCAACTAGTAACTCATTCTCTGGCATCACTGGTAAAATACCCGGCACTGGCAATGTAGATGCTAGGCCTGATACCGGTGGTGCCGAAGCTGTAGTCGGAACGGGCACTTCCGCACTACCTCCCCTCCGCCCACCCCGATACGCATCCAGACAAACCTTCACCTGCTCGAGGTTATGATAGAACTCCGCCGCAGCGAGATTCCCATTCTCCGTCATCGAGCGCAGCAAGTCCAACGCAGAATCAAAACCCCCCATGTCACTGGGATTCCCAATCGGAACAAAACTCGACATTGCGAGTATCAGCGCCGACGAGAAGAGATAGTGAGCATGGAAGTATCCGAACGTCGGCATCGTCCCATTGATCCAGCGCGTCAGGATCATACTGTGCGAATGCCGCGCAGCATGGATACACGCTTCACTCAGCGTAAGCACGGGCTTCGAAACAGACTCCCGACTCGTACTCCTCGGCTCCGTCTTCAGCGTAATAAGAAGATGCAGAAGCGTAGGCCTCGTCGTCAGAATAACGCACTGGTTAAACGCCATATGCAACGACACGACCGGTTTCTTGCTCGACTCCAAATCCTCCATGTTCAGCCGTAAACTTTCCGGGAGCGTCTCGACCCAATTCTTCAACGCCTTCAACAGCTTTTGAACGCGTTGGAGGAACGTTTCTTGGTATTTCCGCCGGCTGTAGAGTTTCGTTATCGTTTCACCGACTATTCGAGCGAGCTTGATGTTCGCCGTCATGTATGCTGTGTCGGAGAGTTCTTCTTCGTGCCGCCAGGTTGGCGAGATGGTGCTTGGCATGTCGACGTGGATGTCTTCGTCTAGGATTTGCATCGGTAGGCCCATTTTCGAGCCCCACATTCGGTCGAAGATGTAGATTGTCCACCAGATTTCGATCCGGTGTTGGCGTTCGACCGGGTCGATTAGTTGGGATTCTGAGATGTTGTGGTTGAGGCCTATGGTTAAGCCCATGCGCATTGCGTTGCTGATCAGCACGTAGGCTGAGTGCCGGCGGTTAAGGTAGTGGGAGAATAAGGACTGAGGTTTTTAGTACCTAGGTATTCTTGGGGGGGGGGGGGGGGGGGGTGGAGGAGCTAATTGAGTGGGGGCCGTACTAGGAGTAGTAATGTTTCCAGGTGTGTGATGCTTGTTCGCTCGGGTAGAACTTGGACTAGGCTCATTGCTCGAGCGAAATATGCGGTTCCGGGCACGCGTAAGCTGTAGGTTGGTTCGGAGCGGATGGAATATGCCTGCCCGAAGGCGAACAGGGCGAAGAACTTGCATTTGTTGGTCGTGCAGTCGAAAGCTTCGTTTTGGTAGATTTCTTCGAGCTTGTCCAGGGTTGATTTGCGCATCATGAGGTGATACAAGTATCCGATCTGGTGGATGGCAATGCGCACCAGCAGCCGCGCGTGATGCAGGCTCGGCCATTGGGCATCGGCCTCGTTGGCAGCCGCGGCAATGGTTTCTTCGCGTTCCCATTGCGTTCGAGCAATATGAGGAGTTGAATTGTTCCCTGTGAGGAAGCGACGGAAACGCGTGGCAAAGGCCGAGCAAGCTGCTTCGCCGATGTAGATTGGCGGCGAGGACGGATCGTAGCGGTGGAACCAGGCACGGTCACCGATGATCGGGTTTTGAATGCCTGTTGCATCTGGTGCATCGGCTCTAGATGGGCCTCTGTACGTCTTGTGAGGTCTTGATCTTCTCATTACGTGGAAGTGGTGATTTACCGTTCTGTATTTGGAGGATCATTAACTTCGGCCGCATCGGCCGAGGTGACCGACTGCTCCTTCAAGCGCCGATTCTCCGCAAGGAGCTGGTCGAGATAACTAGAAGCATTCCAGTTAGCGCTAGGGTTTAATTGATGGGTGGGAAAGGCTTTTCCGGAGTTGGTCCCGCTCCTTTTCCGGGATTGCTCATACTTTTCGCTGACTTTGACCTGACGGTCTCTTGGGGCATACGCGCACTCATCGGCGCAGCCCACGGAGCGACACTTGTTGCATGGCAGGTCGCCGGAGCATTTGATTTTATGTGCATGACATCGTTGGCAGCTGTAGTTCTAGGTCAGCAAGGCGTGGCGATGGTGGAACCTGATTTCGCGCTACGCACGCGACAAACTTCCTTCTTTGCTGTCGGTCCCCTTCGTCGTCTTCGGAGAAGATGGAATGACGCTTCAGCCCTATGCCTCGTGTCATTGTGTCACGGCCATTGTGTTTGTCGGGATTGGTCAGTGCAGAAAGTGAGGAGGTTGTTCGATGGTCGGCGATCATGGCATCTTGCCGAGCCTCGGCGGCTTCTGCCGAATGCTGCATTTCCGTCGGCGTTTTGACCAACCAGATTCCCTGCACGGCGGTGGTCGATGCGGTCAAATTTGTTCATGACTCATGTTCGAGCTTTGATTAAGAGATACTACCTTCAAAGTACATTCCACAACTGGGTTAAACGGTAGTCAATTTTAGTGAAAGGCACTGCACGATTAGCTATTGTGTATTCCTTTCTCGAGGTCTCAGTATCCATCGGTCTTTCTATTTCATGAATCACGCAGGTGTCTATGTCTTTTATATCTATCATGCAGTGTATACGTGCGATAAAATATGCAAAACGCAAATGCAGGGACAGTCATCTCATCATCATTAGGCTTTGGCATCAAGGCCAAACTTTTGTTCCACCCATCGTTGCATGTCAAGTCCCCATCTCACGATCATGAAGACGAAGACACCGCCGATAAGGGCAAAGAAAACACCTAGAGACATATGTTAGAAGCTGCTTTCATCGTTTCCGTGATCAATGGTAAGAAACTCACAAATTGTAAATGTCCAACCAACACCAATAGAGTTAATCAAAGGCTCAACAGCTGCCGTCGCCGCTGCAGCAAAGATATACTGCACCACATACTTGCCGCTAATCACCTCGGAGCGAATATGGGGCATCACCTCTGCAAACAATCATTAGTAAATGAGCAATTTGACCAAGTGTATTTGGCAACTCACCAGCTGAATAAGTGTTCAACCCATTAAACGTGCCCAGCAACCCCACTCCAGCGAAGAAAGCGCTAATAATCGGCACAGGCATACCACCAACGCCCTCTTTAAGGGTCCATGCATAGATCAGAGTCGCGCCAGGGAGCACAATGAACAAAGTGATGAGACCACTGTTCAAGCGATCTTGAGGGAGACGCACACCGTTGCGCTTGATAATCCACTTCTTCACCGCGCGGTCTGAAAGCTTACCGCCAAGTACACTTCCGATGAGGAAGCCCATCCCTGGGGATAGGTAGAAAAGGCCGCTGATCAAGGGAGTGGTTAGGTTGAAGCGGGGGTTAAAGATTGAGCGGGCGGATGTGAGAATTGCGTATTGGAATGTTGCGAGGAGGCCGCATGTAAAGTGCTTTTCTAGTTAGCTTCGGGGGTTCAATCGACATGGATGCAGACGTACACAGAGGAACACGTTCGGGTATATGAACGGTCCGAAAATGCGGAGAGGATTGAACATGCTCAGGACCGAGCGGACGGTTCGAGGCCGGCTTGCCGCGTCGATTTCTCTCTTGTTGTTGATTGTTGGCACGAAAAGAAGGGAAAGAACCAGGCCCAGTGCAGTCATGCCGAATTGGAGCCAGTAGATAATACGCCATTGAGAAAAGGTCACGATGATTCCGCCAATGCAAGGTCCTAATTACCGTCAGTCTTCCTTCTTGTATATGGAAAGAGATGACAACGTACCAATCGCCGGTCCACTGACCGAACCCACCATCATGAATCCAACTGCAGTACCCCGCACGACCTAAACCTGATATGAGTCTTGGAAAGCTAACGGCAAAAAGTGGACGACGAACCGGCTCAAAAATATCCGCGATAATAGTCTGCCCAGCAACCATGAAGAAAGTCCCGGTAAACCCACTAAGCAAGCGCATCGCAATAAACATGTGAAGATTAATCGACGCTGCCGTACCAGCAGAACATCCACAAAGAATAACGATGGCCGCATTATAAGCCGCTCTGCGCCCAAAGACATTGGTAATGGGGCCCCAAATGAATGACGAAAAGCCCATCGCAATCAACACGCCCGCATTGATGACATTTAAAATCTCCGTGGATGTCGAGAACTCAGTTGCGATCTCGGGCGTCGCGGGCAGTAAAGATGTACTCGAGAATGTGACTGCGAGAGTCATCCAGCTGACGACGAATAAGATGAGACATTTGCGCCATGTCGGGATGGAGTACCCGTTTTTTGGCGATGGCCTTTTTGGCGTATTTGAGTCTGTGTCGGAGTCGTGGGGGGACTCCTGCGTCGGAGTAGGTTTTTGACACTCGAGGTCTGGCGATGCCATTTCGATAATGATGGGGTGGGAATTAGAGATAGAAATTAATGTATTCTTTGGTGTATCATGTCTTTTTTGCTATGTTGAGAATGCAGTTTGGAAGCAATCACAAATTACATACTGATCGGGCAATTTGTATTTCGGGCCCCTCGGCGTCTTGAATCAGTTGCCGATTGTTATCCGCTGACCCACTGCCGCTTTAAGATGACTCTGCCGTTGACGTCAAATTGAAGGATGTTTTATGATGCTTGCAGATTATTGACATACCTAGGTCACTATACGTACCATATTTCCTCTGCCAGGTGGGACTTTCCTATTCCAGATGCCGCCGCTTTAATGAGGGCGCTCAGAGTCAAGCTCACCGAGTAAATTTCAGTCCGGGCTCAGACTCACTGATCTGCTCGGAGCTAGTCACGTGATCCATTAGTAAGGCCCTCTGAGCTACGCTCAGACCATACCCAAAGGAGCAACCGGGCCCCACCTTGCTATTATTTCGTGAATTTTATTTCGATGGCTCTCAGTTCTCGCTATGCTCCCTTTTGTGAGGTGCTCCATCTTCCAACCCCGTTTTCCTTCCGAGAAGTTTATACGTTAACGCGCGATGACGCAAATAGAAGGCTCAGTTCCTATATTCTATGTATCTGTGCCCAAGTACTGAAGTACAAATAGAAGCTATGTCCTTACCTTAGACTCGTATAGTTCTTTGTCCTTTACTTCATTCACTTCCCTTATATCCAAATCTTCTAGCTTTTCGTTGGGTTTCTTTCTAGTTATAGGTCGAAAGCTCGAATGGAACGGAAGGAACACGAAAAGGAACCCGCTCATGCATCTAGTATAGTGTCTCACATTTAGTTGCACGCTTGTAACGGCATTGTTACGAGTAGCGTGGTAAGTTTGTATGGTTGGACCGGAGCAAATAGGAAGCACAGAGTGGTAGACTCAAGAGAGGGGATACGGAAGTTTAGGTATAGCTATTCTTACTAGATGTCGGAGATCCCTGTTGGGATTTTTATTTTCTCGACTTGAACCTCAAGGGCCATACTCCTTCTGCATTGGAGTCTCAAAATGCGTGTCAGGTTACAACGGGCACAGAAATTTCTTGGTCGGTCTATTCCGTGGTTTCATAAATACCAAACTTGGAGCACAAACTTTGGCTAAATTGGATTGCCAAGATTGGCGTCACGCTAATCGATCCCAAGCCAGATAAATATCGAGACATTCCCACCTAAGTTCTCAGGGTCTCACCACCATGGTAGAAAGGTCCTTTATTTACATACTCTATCATCTCTTATTATTATTGCTGTTTGGATACTTCGTGGTCTTTCACTATCTAAATATGACTTCCGACGCCCTTGCTTCATCCCCGCCAACTCGCGATCCAGCTGAAATCAACAAGTCAGTGACCGAACAGGATGATAACTCTTTCTACTATCACCCTTTATGGTCGGAGCGATGGTCACACCCCGAGTTCGTAGGCCACTACTCGAACAATTGGCTCAAAGCTCCCTGGTTTAAACAACCTAAGCGTCGCACAACAAGTTTTCTGTACCCCTCGGTGGACTCTAAGTTCCCCTGGGGCTACATTATATACCGAACAGTCTACACTGCCGAATCAGATGAGCTATGGCCTATTGCTATAGAGAAACTGGCCAAAGTCATGAATTACTCTATTGACTCTGGGCTTTACGCTATAATCAAACATAAGAAACCTGGAGATCCAGAGCCAGATGGAGACGCAGAGCGACTGGTGAAGGAAGCGCATAAGGACGTTATTTTCTCAGACAAACAGTTCTGGGATGGAGCAAGTATCGAGCAAGTTCGCCAACATTTTTCTGAATACCTTCGTGCAAGCAAAGGCCTATGCACCGGTCGATTCGAAGGCTGCCTTCTCATTGATGAGCGGTCACTGAAGTCAATCGTTGCCAGTCCCGACCCCCAGTCCTGGCTCGAGGAGACAAGGCCTAAAAAGCCTAGCCAACCTTGGGGATTTGTTGGTATGATCGATGGGCGGTATCCTGAGAATCGGTATAAGCCGCACTATACCGGCTATATGCGGGTGGATATTCTTTCCTTGTGGAACCTATATATTGAGTTCAAATTTAGATATATGCAGGAGCTCTGCCCCCTTGTTCCTGATGGATTGATTCCGGTTTATGACAGTGGAACCGGGAAAGCGCAAGACGAGGATGGAAATGTTTTCCCAACTTTAGTCGGCCGATTCGACTGTTTTGATGAATTATCGCTAGCTAACACTAAGAATATATGCTAGTTTGCGGTTCTTCGGCATCATCGTTCATCGCGACTTTAAATCGTTTCCTTTGTAGCCGTTTTCTGTGGACTTCGTGGATCATTATTGAAAGAAGGGGTTTCGAGAAGTTTCAAGAACAAAGGGGGTCTTGGACACGTGCCTAAAAATGGGATGGGGTAGGCTCATATATCACAAAGAACTACAATGGGCTCCATGAAGTGAAGTGAAACTAGAGCGTAACTCTGCGGTGAAATGATAAGTGATAGCATACTGACTGCCTCGCTGTTTGAAGGGGTTGCATTTCCATTACAGTAACAGCCTATAGTGAGAGTCTAGCTACCACAGGTCATCCGTACACTTCTGAAACACGAGATATATAACTTATTCTGTATCTCTCTGTTACTATAACAGATGGGAATATTGTTGTTCCGGTTTATTTCCAAGTATGTACAGACTAGTGGTCCTGGGCGCTCCGGTGAGAAAAACAATGAAGAGAGTAAGGTACTACACGTACCATATTTCCTCTGCCAGGTGGGGATTTCCTATTCCAGATGCCGTCGCTTCGTTGAGGGCGCTCAGAGTGTGCTGACTGATTACTCAGAGATTGATCAGAGGCATCTACTGAGCACCCAGTCTTCGCTCAGACCATACCCAACGACCGATAATGACGGACGCAAAGAACACGAAGCTGTCCTCGACAACACCAATAGCAGGCTCAGCCTCAGCCTCAGCCTCAGGCACAGACACAATCGCAGACGAAACCATGAGCATTGCTATCGCCCGCTTCCGTAGCAGGGTGGCCGCCGCAAACCAAAAGTTTCTCCAGGACCGCGTCAATGAAATCGGAGTGAAAGGCCTAGCAACTGAAGAAGAGAAGCGCCGCCAGCTCCGCCAGTAGCGATGGATGGGCAATCTCGAATGGGACGACGAAGACCCCGAGACGCGCGGGAGGCGCTACGTGATCCGGATCCCACAGCAGACTTCAGTCAACGACCTCGATATCACTGCTATCCTAAACCCTCCGCTATCCAATGAACCGGTTGACGGTGTGATCCCGCCCCTGCTACGCACAGAGCAGTGGCGGCAGATGTACCTCGACACAGTTCAGTATATATGCCAGCGGCAGGCGGACGCGATCGTCGCTGAAGACGATTTGGAGCTTGACGTCGCGTGCAATTATCACAAAGACCATAGGCCGATGAATATCCCGCGGTGTGATGAGCTAGCCCTGTTCCTGAAGTATGCACAGGGAGTGGTAGACGTCGACTTCCGACTCTCGGGCATTGCGCCATTTACACCAGCTTGGGGGACTGGGGTCAAGGACGAGGAATTAGACGGACTTGACGATCCGGAGCTACTCAAGCACGAGCAAGAGGGCTTGCAGCGGGAATTGGAAGATGAATCGTCGAATGGGCCGCTAAAGGCGTATATTGACGAGGACCTAGAGGTTAGGGCTGGCTTTATCACTGGTGTTGGATTTAACCGGCTATACGAATGTCCGGAGTGGTATAGTGCGTAAGTGTACTGCCGGCTATGGACGGATGACGACGAGGACGATAGCCAAGATGGAGACATCCAGGATGCTGCCAATATCCGGGACTGGGGGTGGCGGGTGGTTGTTTTCCAGGCTGAGGTTGTCAATCCTAGCGTCCTGTACGGCCGGACGGCCCGCTTTGATTCTATTATAGAATTCTTGGATTGGTACGCTAGCTGGCTGGACCATCTAGATGCACGGGGATTGCTTTCTCTGCGGCGCCACGCTGTAGGTTGCGAGAGGGACTGCGATTCGGATTGTGAGAATCATGCCACAGGGGCTTATGCAGAGAATTTCTAGCATAACAGCTTGCTCCTAATACGTAGTAGATTGGTCTCATTACTGTCTCTTCTTTGGTGAAGAAGTCTCCCTTGAATTGTTCATCGGGAGTAGTTAATCACGACTTAGATGCATTTGTCCCTTGAATAATTTTTAGAAGCCCGCTCTTATTTGCATTTATTCTACACCAGGTAAGCGGTGTTGGCATCATATTTTGCCATATTGGATCTGCGATGCGGTCTATATTAGGATGTCCAAACAAGTCTATTACCTGTCAAGATAACGCTACTTGTCATCTGCCAAGAGAACGTTATTGGCTTGAAAATATGCAAAATTGATGGCAGCTTAAGTTTCAATTCACAGCATTGCATGGCCTATTTGAGCATCCTCTGCTCGTCCATCCTTTACCAGTCTAGTGCACCAGCACGGTATGTGTGCCCAGTATACTCTTTATCGAGCCCTTAGCAGCTGCTAACTCTCTTCCAGACCGTGAAGCATCCTCTCCTTGCACACGCTGCCTCACTCCTCTTCATGATTTACGGATAAGTGATGAATTGCAACCGAGTGATGGCCTGGGATCATTGATAAATTTAGAGCGACTCATTAATTGGGATGAGGAACCAGGGCGATGGAATAAGACTCAAGCGACCGGTGAAAAAACAGTAAATGTTTCATGATGGAGAGACACACGTTTTTGACTTACTCTACCCGAGTAGACCATCAAAGCGAAGAGCCATGCAGATCGGCTTTGTGAACTTGACGCCGGGAGTGGATCGCTTTTGTTCCCGCAGAGTTGCGGTGAGGCGGTCGGCGTTGCAGCCTCGGCGTTGCAGCCTCGGCGTTGCAATCTTGGTGTTGCAGCCGAGTCGCGCCAACACGCGGAATAAGTGGGGTTTGGCAAACGCGCCCACGGGGTATTATAAACAGGCTAAGCTTATATGTGCCGAAATTCGCCGGTGGTCTAGACTATTCTGGAGCGCAAGACTCTTACACCCCTACACATGAAACCTCAAGTCCGACAAAAAGGGGAGCAATGAACAAAACCCACGGTTCGGGCACATCTTTTCCCTTGTAGATCAGTGTGCCGCAAGTGAGACAAGCTTCAAGCCAAGCCCGTGCCTCAGATTCGTATTGCCCGTAAGCGATCAGCCACCGAAGGGTTCAAGCACGCGGGCTAGAGTAGCTGAAGCTGATGCCCACGCGTCCAATCAGCCTCGGAAGATGATCGGCAGAAAATAAAGCAAACCCCACCAAGCTGAGTCCCATTTCAACTCTACGAACAACGCAAGGGACAGACCAAACACCCATACCATCGTCCCCCCGACGCAGGAGCTCTGCATATAATGATCATGGACGTCAAAGAGCCCACAGATGTCGAGACGTCTGCTCAACGCAGAAATGGCGGTCATGATCACCTCGTCCTGATCCCTCAGCCTAGCACCCACTCTCGAGACCCCTTGGTACTTTGCCCGGATCTTGGAGACCAAGACTATCTATTATCTTTGTGAAGTACGTACTGACTGTAGACTAGAACTGGACTTTGAGGCGGAAGTATGTCATTCTCTCCGTGTTATGTCTGGCTTCCTTCTCCGGCGCAATTGCGCCTCTGTCGGGACAGCTGAACCTCGGGGATCAGGAGAAGTTGTATCATAAGACGAAGTTGGAAGAGTCTTATGCGGTATGTGAGCATCCATTACACACTCTATCTCGATTGCTAACACTGCTCAGAACTCCGCCGCCTTAGCAGGCATGGCCGCTGGCCCATTCTTTTTCGCTCCCATCTCACATATCCTGGGCCGAAGCTCGGTCATCTTCTGGTGCATCCTATGCACACTAGTCTGTCAAATCTGGGGAGCCGTCATGACCCACTCCGACGACTATATCCCGTATATCATGTCGCGGCTCTTCGCCGGCTTCTTCGGCGCTGTCCCTACAGTCCTGGGCCCGCGCATCGTCACCGATCTTTTCTTCCTGCATCAGCGTGGCCGCGCATTTACTGCTTTGCACATGGCTTTCCTGTTCGGAACTATCGCTGGACCGACTTTCTCCGGGTTCATCTCCGCGGATGTGTTTTTCCCCGTAGAGTTCTGGTGGACCGTTGGTCTTCTGGGATTCACGCTGATTTGCTGTTTCGGGTTTCTTGAAGAGACTGGGTTCGATCGCAAAAACTTGGAGAACAATCCTGAGATCCCGCGCGGGTTGGTTGCGAATCGGTTTGCGACTTTCTTCTTTGGGCAGAGTGTTGTGTTGCCGACTACTTGGAAAAAAACTGTAAGTCTTTCTTTCCTTCCTCGAGATACGATATCTCTAACGATGATTCTAGGCCAAAATCGGCGTTACTCCCTTCCTCATCGGTATTTGTCCGGTGACACTCATCATGGGAATCTTCACTCTAATTTCCTTCGGCTTCTACGTTGGTGTCAATGCTTTGACTCCAGTCTGGCTCCAGAAACCCGTCGCGAAAGGCGGATACGGCTTCACGCTCAAGCAAAATGCCGCCTTTACCTTCTCCCACTGGATCGGTATTATAGTCGTGCTTGTCTTCGGACATTACCTGAACGACCGCATCCCACTCACTTTGGCACGGCGCTATAACAATGGAGTATGGAAGCCCGAGTATCGCCTTCATGTCCTCTGGATTCCGAGTCTAGTCATCAATCCCATCGGTCTTGGGATCTTCGGCGCCGCATTGCAGTATCATCTGCATTATATGGTCTTGGCCTTTGCGGTATTCTTGGTTACCATCGGATCCTTGGCCAGTGTGCCTGTTACCGTCAACTACGTGGTCGAGTGCTTTACGAAGTATCCTGCTGAAGCGGGTATCGTGATTGGTGCTTACCGTATTGCCTTTGGGCTGACCATCAGCTTCTATATCAATCCCTGGGTTGCGGCTGTACATGTGGGCTGGGTATACGGTATGATGGCCTTCTTTGCCGTGTTTTCTTTCTTCTTCGTCATGCTTCTCATGTGGAAGGGACATGCTATTCGTGGGATACAGCTTGCTAGTCTGGCCTCTAGTGAGGAAGGTGAGAAGCTGCTGGAGTAGGGATATGCTAGATTCAATGGCTCGCTAGATCTCAGCATACACATGTATTTGATCTTGATTCTCGCCCCTAATCCTCGATCTTGATTCTCTCCTGATGGCATTTCACCCATTCCCTGTCCGATGTGTATTTTAACCCAGTCCCTGTCCGTTTTGACGTTCGCGCCATGAAATTGCGATCGATCTCACTGGATGCTGAAAAGGGAAACAAAAGTTAGCCGCTGGCCCAAATGCTTATTGTACCGATCACATCAGGGGACTGGAGGAGTACATACAAACCAGCAAGCTGAAAAGGATTTCTCTTCGAAGCGGTTCTTCTCTGAGTTTTCATGAATTCCTCGATGAACTCTCGGAGTTTCTTCAGGCGAAACGGCGCGAATGGACTTTTCGCGAACTTCTTCAGCTCTTCGTCAGTGATTCTGAGGTTAGTAGGGCCGAAGCTAAGGTGGTAGTCAACCACCGCGTCCCTGATCGCGTAGATGGTAGCTCTGAGGATGGGGAACCCAAGAACGAGACCTTCAGCCAGCCCGTCCATCTCAAGACAACCTCTGAAATCCACCTTGCCAATCTCCAGCAAGCGCACCCCGTCGAATGTGGCTATGCCCTCAACCTGACTGAGGAGTTTGAACAGCTCGCTATCCACATCTTGCTTCCGACCCGCGACCCAGGGGCCCGAGGCAATGTAAACCAGGCCGTTGGACAACTTGCACAGCTTCTTCACGGTAGAGTCGGGCTGCTCGCCACTGATGTGAGGCACATATGCGAGTCTGCATGAAATGTTAGTCCATCCGTCACCAGTTCGATATCCAGGCCACATACCCTTTACGCCTGCAAAGTTTACTCAGATGCTTCACCTGCTCCCAAGTCGCGTCGGGGCAAATGATCCCGTTGATGCGGGCTTTCCGGTGGATGCAATCGCTCACAATCCTCTTCACTCCATACTGCCGCACCATTATGGAATGAACCCTGACAAGCACTGGGATGGTCAACCCCTTGCCCCGTGCTTGTCCAACGATAGCTGCCACCGCGTCGAAATCAAATGGGATTCTCTGCTTCATCGCGTACACGTTGATTGCTCGAATGACCCGGTCGTCGAGGGCGGAGTCGGCAAATGGAACCCCGAGTTGAATGATGTCTGTTCGAGGTCAATGTCAGCAAGTGTCCCTCACCAAGCAGCGTCCTGTCAACACCGGCGTGTGTACTCACCGATACCTGCGGCTTGCATTTCAAGCATGATCTTGTGGCTCATGTCCAAGTTTGGGAACCCAGCGGGCAAATACGATATGATCATTGTGCGGCCATCGATCTTGGCTTTGCGGTACGTGCTCTGGAGTTCTTCCACGAGCTGCGCTCGATCTCTGGCCTTTTTGCTCTTCTTGCTCTTCTTGCTCTTCTTCACGATCCTCTTTGTGACGCCCTCGATCTCAAGCACGAGCTCCGTTAAGGTTTGGGAATTCTCAGTCCCATCGACGGCCTCCGCTTGGGCTTGGGCGTTCTTGGCCTTCTCCACGGACTTCTTCGTGACGCTCTCCATGTCATTCATGATGTCCTGCGAGATTTTAGCGGCCTTGATGAGATTGAGGAGCTTCATCGTGGCCGGGGATTCCATGGGGCTCATTTGGACTGGGGTTCTCATGAATTCCCTCTGGGCTGGAGGTCTCGCGAGATCTGTTTTGACTGGGCTGCTCAAGTAATCCCTTGGGTCAGGGGTTCTCACGAACACCCTCGGGAGTGGGGATGCCATGATGTCTCTATGGACTGGGGTTCTGAAGAAGTCCTCTTGGGCTAGGATTCGCGATGGGTCGCTTGGATCTATCACTGCCATGAAGTCTGACTGGATTGGTGGTACGGAGATGTCTCTTGGGACTAAGGTTCTCATGAAATCCGGCTGGACTAAGATTCTCGGGAGGTCTCCAAGGGCTGAGGGTTTCATTGAGTCCGACTGGATTGGGATTATCGAGAGATCTTTTGGGACGAGGCTTCTCGAGAGTTTTCCCGGGACTGGATGTTTCATGAAGTCTGACTGAACTGGAGCTCTCGATGAATCCGGTGGTTTTAGGGTTCTCATGAACTCAGAGTGGACTGAGGGAGGCATGAAGTCCCATTGAGTCGGTGTTCTCGAGCCGTCCGTTTTGACTGGGCTTCCCACGGAATTCCTCTCGACTGGGCTTTTCGAGGGGTCTCTTGGGACTGGAGGTTTCATAAAATCTGACTGAACTGGGACTCTCGAGGAATCTGGTGGGATTAGGGTTCTCATGAACTCAGAGTGGATTGAGGCTGGAGAGTGGCTTGAGGCTGGCATAAAGTCCCTCTGGGTCGGGGTTCTCGAGCCATCTCTTTCGACTGGGCTCTTCACAGATTCCCTCGGGGCTTCCATTGTGATGAGCGCCCTTTGGCCTGCGGCGCCCTTGCGCTTGCGACGCGCTCGGACTATTTGCTCAGATGATAGGGGAGGTTCAGAAGAAATGCAACAGGGGGATGAGAGAGAGGAAGACGAGGTTCGTGGGAAGAGGGATGTCTCATTTCGTACTGTCGTTTATGATACGCATCCACGACGGCCATCGTTACGCGGGGCCTACATCGGCGGCCAATCATGCGACTACGGCGACTCATCGCCGTGGAGATGACTCGCGCACCATTTTAGAAGCCCCCTACGGCCGGCTTTTCGTTTACGGGTTCGTGGAATCTGATACCTGATCAACACGCTGCGTTCACCTTGCAATCATACCTCGACGCTCGGGTTTGCGAGAACATTGTAAGATAAATCTTTTGGGCTCCTGCAGAGACCTATGCCATTTTCATTTCTACTTTGGTGCCTGTTCGTGGATACCCAAGCTGTATTATGGACATCGCTATGTCGTGCACTTACTGTGAGGTGTGCCATCATACGGAGTAGGACGTGATTGGAAATATCCTACAAACGAACCTCTTCCCAGGGTTGAAGACATGTTTCCAGGGTGCAATCTATCAGCAGCCACCTTATATTGAGAAGGACAATTATTGCTAGGCCTTGCTTGCTGCTCCGGTCAGTAAGCTGCACGCACGATTTTCTTGATTTCGGTTTACCTCTAAACAAGCTTGGAAGAGATGTTGATAGCGAAGCTTGGTATGGAGATACGGGACAAACGGTAGCCTATGTCACAGTGGAAGACAAATATCTTCCATTAGAGCTTTGAATCACCAACTTTGAATGAGTAGATTGCATTCAGGATCTGTACAGCACAGATCGAAATCAGTTTCACCATTTTACTTTCTAGTAGGTATTGCACGGTGTTTCCTAGACGATATTAGAAGTGGGCCAGTCACATAAATAATTGACTGTGCGAAAAGGCTTTTTTAGATTCCATGTCCTGTGTTTGGATTGCTTTCTGTTTGCTATACATTCTGCTATGCGGTACAGTACTGTTTTAGAGACGGACAAACAAACATAAAATCAGCCAATGTGCAACTTGCAACGTAGTCAGTGCTCGCTATTCATGGCCATAAGCATTTAAAGCAGTCTGATATGAAGTAGCAAATGCAGTCTGTCCTAGCGATGGGTCATGTGACCAATAATCGCGTGTCGCGCTTCCCAGTCTTTTAGAGAACAATCAAGTCTCCACAAAGGTTCTCCGTTCCCGCGCCAGATATGACTCCACGCTTTAGTGCCTTCAGATCCGCCATCAGAATAGCGTCACGTCCATTTCAAGCCACATCTAAAAGATCATTTGTCAGGTTGCCAGTGGAAGGTCCGATCGATGAAGAGACGCTACCTCATTACGACACGGAGCATTTCTACCCCGTACACATTGGAGACTTATTTAATGACAGATATCGAGTTACGGGCAAGCTTGGCTACGGTGCCTATTCAACAAGTTGGCTATGCCGGGATCTTCGGTGCGTAACTATTGAGGCTAAGAATTCGACCCCTACTTACCAGGCTCAGAAGCCAAAAGTATGTGGTGCTAAAGGTCTCTACGTCACTGCCCAAGTTTCCCACTGCGATTGATCGCGAATTCAAGATCTACGAGCATCTCGGGAAAATCAAATCCGAACATCCAGGACAATCACTGATCCGAGAGCTCTATGACTCTTTTGAGCTCCGAGACCAAGCTGGAAACCACCGGTGCCTCGTCCTTCAACCAATGCACATGACACTCTTAGAGATGATGAGATTGAATCCAAGACCGTTTGACCTACCCCTCCTCAAAATGACATTGAGACGATTGTTACTGGCACTTGACTTTTTGCACACCGAAGCCAACATCGTTCATACTGGTACTTCCCCTCTCGCACCCGGTACGAATACCCGCCTGACTTGGAGTAGACCTGAAGACCGACAATTTGATGCTTAGCCTTGAGGATGATACAATGCTGGTTGATTTTACGGATGAAGAGATCAAGCAGCCGAGCCCTCGAAAGAAAATAGATGTGACCCGTACTATATATCAGAGTCGACAATTTCGCAGGCCCTTTGGAGGAGAGGGCTTTGGTCTTCCAATCCTATGTGATTTCGGGGAAGCAAGGGTTGGGAAAACTCATGAGTCTGGTCCTTTTGTACAGCCCAGTATTTATCGAGCGCCAGAGATCATATTCGAAATGGCTTGGGGAAGCCCTGTTGACATTTGGAACCTGGGCGCTCTAGTGAGTGGTGCTTTGGGCGTGTCTCCTGTTGTACACTTTACTGATAAAAGTCAGATCTGGGATCTCTTCGAAGGGCAACATCTATTTGGGGATATTTTTGATCAAAACGGCAACCACGATCCTTTCAAACACCTTGCGTTGATGGTCGCATTGGTTGGGCCACCGCCGGCTGATTTTGTCCAACGCAGTGAAACAACGGGTCAGTGCTTTGACTACAATGGTAAGCGACAGCAAGTTGGCATTCAATCTTTTCAATGGGATCTCGATTCTTGTGCTGACCTTTCTGCAGGTAATTGGATTGCTCATGAAGATGCGGTCGTGCCTCCGGCCTCCCTGGAGGTTCTGGAGGAAAGGCTCTGTGGTAGTGAAAAGGAATCTTTTCTTCACTTTCTTAGGTCGATGCTGAAGTGGATGCCGGAAGAGCGCAGGTCTGCCAGGCAGCTGCTTGAGGATCCGTGGCTGCTCTGATCCCAGCAAACATTATTTCGATAATTGTCCTTGAGAGTTAGGCCATTTTCCACAATGCCGCAGAAGCTGATCAATAAGTCCTCGCACCATCAGCCGAGCGCAGGTAATTTATAGACCCTTCTATCATGTACTGACATTTTTCAGTACGATTCAATACTTGAAACCGAGCCAAGTCGGAAATGGATTAGCGTGTTTCTAAATAGTTCGACAAAAGATTTGAAAAGAGTAAATTGGTGAAACTGATTTCGATCCATCCTGTACAGTAGTAAAACAGTGTTCTTGTGGCATTGTGGGAGGTAGGACCAACGTACTTGTTTGCCAATCAAAGGTCTCTAGGGAGCGGCGCCACTTGGCTGCTCGAGGACGCCACTTCCGAGCCGGCGGAACGCCGGCGGAACTTTGTTTTGACAGACAAGTCACCAGTGGAACTGGGTAGGATAAATGGAAATGATGAACCTTGGGAATCCTGCTTTTCAGGTTTTTACATCAGGCTGTCCAACACCTAATACCTTACGGAAGCTGTCGAGGGCGGGAGGCTACAAACTAAAAATAGACAAAAAGAAAAGAATATTGTAACAAAAGAACACCTGCTTGCTATTTAGGAACAAAATTATATATGAACAGGGTTACAAAAGAGGACGGATACAAAAAAAGGGATGCACTGATAGGGAAAAGCACCAGCGCAGACTTGAAACCACCAAATACACGAAAAATTTCACCGTACAGAGCCAATCTATACCAGGCTTACAGCATAATCATAAAGGCACCGGAAGCCACAGCGGCAACCAGATAAGCACCCGCGTGCCACGAGCCAACGTGGACAGCCTTGGGGCCAACGAAACCAGCAGCGCCCTTGGAGGTGGAGCTGGAGCTACCGCCGCCCGAGGCAGCGCCGTTGGAAGCAGCCAGGGAAGCAGCGACGATGCCAGTGCCAGCGGGACCGGCCTGCTTCATCTGGGAAGCGCAGGCACCGGAGGCGGAGGTGCCGGAGACCTGCTTGCCGGCACCCTTGAAGTCACAGGCCTTGTCGGACTTGCCCTTCATCTCATAGTAGCGGTTCATGGCCCAACCGAGACGCTGGAGCTTGTTGCACATCGAATAGGTACCGTAGGTACCATCGGTGGCGTTTCCGATCACACCGTCGAGGACGCCATCGCTGCCGCCGAGGTAGGAGAAGGTATCGGTGTACTGCTTGTCGGAGATGCCATCCACGGGCACGCAGTCCAGGGAGCTGTACATGCACTCGCAGAGGTCAGCGTTGGGGGCGGGAGGGAGCTTGGAAGCGGCGAGCCAGTCCGGGCCAACGGTGGGGCAGGCTTGGCCGACGGTGGTCGAGACGGAGTAGCTGGCGCTGTTGACACCGGAGGGGGTGGCGGACAGCATCTGCTTGGAGAGGTTGCCGTAGTCGGGCAGAGTGGAGACGGAGTTGCCGTCGGTGGAAACCAGGCCGTAGTTGTTGCCGGTGTCGAAGTACATATAGACGATACCGCCGGACCAGACGTTGTCCATCTTGGGGCCGAAGAGAACGGGCACGTCGGTGAACTTACGAGGGCGGGGGTTGTTGCAGCCATACTCGGAGAAGAAGGCGGGGACAGGATAGTCCTTGAATTCCTCAGTGCGGGCCTTGTATCCGGAGGTCTGGTAGGTGGAGTCACCGCACCACTCGTAGATGTTGTAGCCGAACATGTCAATGGAGTCGGAGGCGTCGTCGCAGACCAGGTACTTGGCGATGTTGTCACGGACAGCGGCATCGTCATCGGTAGCGTAACCAATGGCGAGAGAAGAGCGGTAGTTCTTCTCCTTGATGTAGGACTTCATGTCACGAACGGCGGCCTTGACGTAGGCCATGGAGTTGGTGTTGTTGACCATGTTGGCGACCTCGTTACCGGCAAAGAAACCGATCACGTTGGGGTACTTAGCGAAGGAATCAATGACCTGGGAGTAGCGGGTGAACAGGTCGGCGTTCCAGGAAGGGTCAGTCTGAACAATGGACTCGGTGGGCGAGGACAGGTCGGAGATGACATAGATGCCGGCATCGGCCAGGGCGCTCATGCACTCGTCGTGGCTGGAGTTAGGGTTGACGGCGTAGGTACGGACAACGTTGGTGCGGAGGCCGACCAGGTAGGGGATGTCGCGCTTGCAGCTCTCGACATCGGCCAGAGGGTCAACGTAGTCATTGTTACTACCGCTGGAGCCACCGTTACGGCCGTTGTAGTCGGCCTGGTAGGCGACACCGCGGATGTAGAACTCGGTGCCGTTGTTGGAGTAGAAAAACTTCTTGCCCTTGATCTCAATGGTGGGCACAGTAGTAGCCATAGCCGATCCCAACAGGGACAGGCCGGCGATAACAGAGTATTTCATAGCGAAAAGGCTCAAGCGAGCGTAAATGAGCGAATGAAAAGGAATGAGTGACTGGTGTAAACGACCGAAAGCGATGAAGAAAGAAAGGAAGATTGAGAAGTGGGAGAAGAAGGGCAATAATAGTGATTGGCGTAGGGAGAGAGTGGGTTGCCAAGGGGTTTCTGGGTACTTGGAGATGCACTGGATGACGCTGGGGAGCCATGTACCCTCCCTTTCCCCGTCCCATCCTCCATTGACGGCGCGAGGTGGCGACGCATCATCAAGCGGGCTGTGCCGGTGGGTGTGCACATCACTGGAGTATCCTGTCAGAGGCTAGGACAACAAGCAGATCCAGCACAAACGATGTTGTGAGACTTCCGATAATGATATCAATTGGTCCCTGAAAGGCCCTGAAGATCCACCGTTTCGGTTCCGGTGGAGTATTTGATCCCTGCGCCAATGACCCTGCCGCGTTAGCGTCGCCCCTGAGACGATTTCCTCCACTTTTATATTCGCTAGTAAGCCGTCCATGGTCCACCACCTCCACTTCCCTGGGTCGGGTTACAAGCAGCAAATACGGGTGGATTTCTGGACCCTGACTGGCCGATGTTGCGAGCCCACACTCAATTCTGATCCAAAATCACAAACAAAAAATTAACGCCTCTCTGCCTCGGAGGAATGTGGTCGGCCTGTTTTTGCCACGGTTCACAGGACAAGCCCAGATCCCGTACCCATCCCTTCGCCCTGCATCAGCCAAAAGCTTGTTCTCGACTGCCGAGGACGATCCTTGTTTCCCGTGATGTCGATTGGAATTCGGGAGCGGCTGGCATTGTTTCATCCTTTTCTATTTCCGTTCTCCTCGTCCATGCATCTTGACTCGAAAGTCCTAGACACTGCAAAGGCTGATGACGTCGATACGGTCTCAGTATGAACTGTGCCGCGTCCGTGCTCGGGCGATCTTTTATATAAGACGCAAGTAACCCTTGACTAGCCACCGGGCTTTCAGCATCGCACACGGACTCGGCTCGACAGGCGTGCCGCATTCCAATCTACGTCAATTTGGAGTTTATGTTACAGGCAGACACATTTCGTTTCCGACACCATCGCCACCCTGAAACCCAACCCCCGTAATTTAGTCCCCGTACCGGTACCAAAAAAAAGAAAAGGTCCCCAGACTCATCGGCCAGTAACAGCGGAATGGAAGACTGTCAAACCCTGACGACTATTTTTACTCGGTGGGGCCACTGGTCAAGTCCCGTCCGCCCCATGGGCCAAGACGGCACAGCTAGATGAATTACATTTAATCCGTACAGACTGAATAATCATTGGGTGATTGTCGCACGATCTTGCCTAACTCGCGTAATTCTCCATTTGTTCCGTCCCTTGCATAGACGATCAACTGTGGCCTACCCCTGACTATCAACGCGGGCGGGATGGGGCGGGCGCACATATCGATGGAGCCCAGCGCTGCACACACCCTTCTGATTCGAAGCGGCTGTCACAGAAGTGTGCGTTCCGTTTCCTTCATCAAGCTTTTTAGTGTTCAATAGTCTCGGTGATGGAGAAACGAGGACTCCTGTTCCGAGGATCGGACGTGACGTATATGTCTGCATGGGCGTGTTATGGATGTATGTATAGGGGGTTGTCGCTAGGGGGTTGGGAGAAAGTTGCTTGGGTTAATGAAGAGGTATCTGTCGTGCTTTGCTTTTGATGAGTTTACTGTCGTTGAAGCAGTAGTACGGAGGAACATTTCAGACTGTATGTAGATGCGTCCTCTGTATCAGGCTGGTGATTGATTCCTAGCCTATTGCTGTGCGAATTCCACCGACGATGGAATCATGAGCTCGAGGGAATGAGATACATGAAGTTGAGTCAAGCGGAGTTGAAGCTTGGCTAAAGCTTGGGGAAATGGGCCAAGCTTTACCCCAGCTTGCTTGATTTGGTTATTTCCTTGGCTTGGTATTGTAAACCTCGGTGCTGTGTGGATATCGACGACTCGTAAATGGACTGTTTGGGCAAATGTGTCACTGCAATTTCGCTGGAAATTGATGCCTAGTCTGCGGGGAAGACCCTGGTGTGGTCTTTTAAGCAAGACAAGGTTGTGTTCGAGTTCTTGAAGACTGAAGATACGCTCTCCCGGTCGACCACCTTGAATCTCTACGGCCAGTCAGTATTGATTGAATATCCAAAAGATCAAATACTCCATGGACTATGTTTGGCAGCTGGGATTCGGATGAGTGGCGCTGATTCAATTGTTACCGAGCCTACTTCCCGCTCCCTCCTAGCACAAACAACCGGACACCACCACGAACCTTTGTCAACGCGTAGCACCCTCAAGAGTATATTGTCTAGGTCTAGAGAGTAGGTTCTGATCCAGATATCATCTTTGTACTGTATGTATGGTTTGACTGTCATTGTTTAATATTTGTGACTGATAAGTTGAGTTACCAAAATGGAATATATTTCGTGTTCCAGACACTGAATCCCGCGTAACGATGCTCGAGTTTTCGTTTTTCCCAAACTTTTAGGATTCCACGGCCAGGGGGTATAATCGGGCTCACAATCTATCCACAGGCAGGCGAAATTGCCATGTAAGACGTAGAAGAGATCATGTCATCCCGCCGTCGAAAGACCGAAGCGCGGCATTGCATGTAATGCGTATGTGCAACATGCCAGCTTTCCGCGTCGATTACATGAACCCAGATCTCGCGGCGCCCCTACATTGCTGTTCAACGAGCGATCGCGCTTCAAAAACACCTGCTCTCATCCAAGCAACCCAGCTCTGTTTTCGAGTTTTACAACCAACGCAAGGCTTACATATCACTTGATCGCGAAAGATCCAACCCTGCAGAGCCAGATTTTATTTTTTTTGCGGTCTTGTGCACGATGTATTGAGACTTGTTAGTCATATAGTAGCAAGAAGTCCAGACCAACAGAAGCAATGTTGTAGAGGCCAAATAAATGTTATTGGTTGGCTATAGGAAATAACACAAATCTCAAAAAGCCATCGCGCTGGCACTGGAAGGTCGCCCAAGACCGAAAGCAAAAAAAAAAGCAAAAAGGAAAAGAAATGAACAGTTACACTAAGAAAGGCTTGTCAAATAGGACGGACAGGTGGGCCCATTATCACCACAAATCTTCCATGACGATCTCCAATTTGATGTTAACCAGAAGCTTTCCATCACCATCTTCCTCGTCAGATGCCATATGTTCCCTGATATCATCGGACTTTACAAAGTTGCACCTTGCTTGGTAACACTGTCCTCACTGGGACCAGTCTTCTCGCTCCCAGCTTCCTCTGGCGTCTCGCTGGTTTCACCTCGCTTCGTTATTTTGCCGTCATAATCACCACTAACGTGCTTGAAGGCATAGGGCGTTTTCCCGGTCTTGACCACCTGGTAGGCCCGATTGGAGATATTTACGTTCGGAGTACCAAATAGTGCTTGCTTGTGGTCTTTCTTCTTGCAGATGCTCGTGTCCGGCGGGTTGGAAAAAAGAGCTCGGCAGTAGTCGCCCATTCCACTACCATAAAGAAGAAATAATTTGTTAGCTAAGAGTCATTAACATTGTAAGTGATATTAGTGTGACCCACGCTCCCGTAAAGGTTATGCTGAACCACTCGTTAAAGTTGACGACACCGGCATAACCATGACCGATTGCTGCACCTTGGACTAATTTTTCCGTCAATATTCCAAAATCCACAATGAAAATAATTTGGGTAATAGCCATTATCAACTTACCCCGTTGCTGTTCAATTGTTGCTGGGAACACGTAGCCGTTTTCACCCCCTTGTTGTGTACTCTTCCAGGGGAACTCTTCCGCACTGGTGGTATCGGCATTGATCTGCTCAGTGTGCCGACTTCCCAGTTGTGACTCGTAGAATGGGTGGAATGCTGCTCCTGACTGTCTGTAGTTGAGATCACTTGCAGTTTCCGTGGCGACTCGTTGGCTAAAAATCATTAATGTAATGTCACGAGCGCGAGTGATAGCACCCGTCTCTCGGGGCTATACTCACTACACCCGATCCCCGTTCCTAATGCAAAGCATTGCGTAGCAGTTCTCTTCGGCTATATCTTCCCAACCTGTAATGTCGAAGGTTGCGTGAACCGGATCATTGCGACTGCCGCCAGCTCGCTTGACAAGCCCTTCGTTGTTGGAAGAGTCGCCAATTGGAGCTGCAAATGCGGCAGGGAATAGCAATGTGAGGAAGAAAAGGTTTTTGGAAATCATTGTGCAAGGCTTCTGATATAATCTCGATATAAGTGGCTGGTAAACAAAATTGGGCTTCGTGGTTATACATTGACGTTGTATCTTCTCGAGCTTCCTTTAAATACTTTGTCTTCTGTTCTCGCGTTTCGTAAAATCTCTATAAATCTGACTGTGTCTGTTTTATTTTTATTTCTAATATGGAGCCTTTTGGGGCGCGTTCCTTGGGGGCAGAAATCGAGACAATTTCCGCTTTAGTCAAACCTTAGCTAGCATTCAAACTTTATTTCTACTCTGGATATCCAGCCGTCAGCTTTGTAGAAAGAAGTATATTTCCTAATGGACCATTGAAGTCCCTCCTGACCCTTACGCCTCATGCGACCCCGGGCTATTAGTACGTCATCAATGGCCCCAGTTTGCGGGTCATCGCATCTTCGGATACCCATCATTGCTTACGTTGGTCGATCGATTAGTTGTCGCTGCCAAGAATTGTCGCTGCCAAGAGCGGAGATGAAGCAGCAGGCTAATAATAGCCTCAAATCCAACGGCATCTCCTAAATGGCCCCTTACAAAGTAAAAGATGATGTGACGTCAACCTCAGGCTACCCGTGAAGCAATAGGTAGTATCGGGGCAATCTGTGCCTTGTCAATGGCTCTTAGGATAGTCTCAGGATAGTAAACGAGGTGAGGTCGCCACCGGGGCCGGCCGTGATGAAGGGGCTAAGAATAACGAAGCCACATAACAAGTTGGAAATAGCACTGTCGAGACAGGAAGGCAAATGTATAAAAGGGTGGCTAGAGTCCTCGCCATAAAGATCTCAGATCACATTACAAACCTGATAATATTTCATCTTTTTCTTCAATTCACCAACAAATACAAACTACGACACAATCAAAGTTTCAAGATGCATTTTCAATCCACCACCCTTATCCTCGCTTTTGCCATGGCCACTGGTCTGATGGCTTCTCCTTTGAAGGAAAAGGCCACGAACGAGCTGGTCGAGCTCTTTCGAGAGGATGGCAGCGACGGTGGCCAACTCATCTATTTTGGCCATGGCGACAACACCGGCACAGAGACAGAGGCTCTCCAGGACCGTGCATCCTGCTCATCTACCGCAAAAATTAACTGCCATAGCAAGCATGCGGCGCGTAATGAAGTCTGCGACAAGCTCGTTACTCATCTCCAGGGTTACTCGGACGTCGCAGTTGCGGGATCGCCTCGTCAGATTTGCTACAAGGGTGAATCGGAGGATGATGAGTATTGCTGTGTCTCGTGGCATAATACAATCCCCGGCCTTACCAAGGGAGATCTGGCTACTTATGCCGAAAACAGTAAGTCAAACGACTCTTGCTTCCGTATTCAATAAATCTTACTAATAATAACAAATAGTCTTCAAACAGTGTACCAGCAATGGTATCTCTGGAAAGACCGAGAAGGTCTTGGTTCACTCGACTTGCACCAATGTCTGCATGTCCAACCGCGGAACCCATTGCTAAACAGGCGTGGACTGCATTATATGTTGCGGGGAATACTGTCCCAAGGTGATGATGGTTAGAGACTTGTCGAATTGTTTCATCCTTGTTCACATGTTCTTGTCATTTCTGGTTTGAGTTTGGTATGGCTTCTTGCATGCTTCGCGTGGTTTTACTATCATGAGATACATGCGAGAGGCGCAGTGCTGCTATTTTGAGAAAAAAACCAAAAAAATGTCGACTTCCTTGTATCCTTATTTTACCTGCTGGGATTTCATTGAAATTCAATCACACTCGTTATACACTTAGCTTTTCTTCCCTCCTACACTGATATTGCTCGATCGTTTTGTTTCTATAACAATTTATGGAGGTTCCAATTACTATCTAGTTATCTACTAAGTCAATTCATAAGCGAAAACTTTCAGGTGATTTTTAGAAAGATCTTACTGCAAGGAGAGTCAGTCACCTTGTAGCCCACCAGCAGGCAAACTAGGATATATCTGCGATTCTCAACGCTACCGTTATACACGATAATCTACAATATTTTGAAAATTCACTTTTTCAAAAATCAATGTATTGGTGTTCATTTCACAAAGCTATAAATCTACCCACATGTTATCCTCCCTTGAAAAGCTTTCCAATGGCTCAAGGTCTTAAGCCGGGATTTTCTCACCCGTCTCAGGATATTTGCCCATAACATACGAACCCGCCTTATCAGTGTCAAAGACACCCTTCTCGTTGGTCAACTCTTCTTTGCGTGCAAAATAGGTTGGGAGAACACTCTCTGGTGGGCCATAAACCAGAGATATATATACCTCGGGGGCTCCATCAGGTTTGATACGCCAGTTATACCAGGTGTTGATCTGCGGCGGGAGGGGACCGCCCCATTCGGGGAAATCCTCCGAAGGCACATCCGTTTTATAGCGACTCATTAAGATAGTTCCATCCCTAGCAGTGCGCGCATCTGCAATGCCAATGATGTTCTGCTCGATGAAATTGACCTCATACTGCTTCTCTAGAGCCCAGCTTTTGCACTGCTCCTCAGAGGCATTGATAAAAGCAGATTCGAAGGGTTCGTCTTCTTGCAACTCTTGTTTGAGTCCGTCGAGGTGACTTGGCATATTGTTTGATTCGACAAGGAAGAACATCCGTTTTCCCCGGTTGTGGGCTTCCAAAATCTTGGGAATGAGCTAATGGCCCTAAATCAGAAGTGGTAACTTGGTGATAGATATAAGCATAGGCTTACAGGTTTGGTTTCCTCGGCAGTACAGAATAACAAGACGCCTGACATAATGGAAAAATGGTATTTTGGATTCAACTTTAAATGAGAGATGTAGATATTTTGGTTCAGCTTAGAATGAGAGATGTAGATATTGATTATGTTGGCGGGCATAGGTTACTTAAATATTCTAGGGTTTTTACGTATTATGATCTCACCTACATAGATGTACCTAGATTTGCCACGGCCCCCGATATTATAGTTGGCCCCCAGATACCATGACATGCCCCAAAGCAACTCGACGAGCGTCCTAGTGGCTAATAATCATTATATTCTTATTATAGTCTGAATAAACAAGAGCTGATTATAAGTGATAGGGGCGATGACGCAGGAGTTTCACTCAGCAATGACGTAGGTACAAGACAAAGAATACATCGAGTAGGCGAGAAGCAGACCTATCTCTGATTATCTAAAGCCATCACTGCGTAAATGTTTCGTCCTTTGGCCACACACTCCAAATGTTCTGACTAGCGGTCAATTCGGGGATCATTCCAAGGTCAATGTGACTGGGTTGCGGGCGGAAGGCATCTGGGGTTGAAGGCAGATCTTGGCAGGCGGTCAAAAGTGGCAGAAGAACGGTGCGATGGGAGTCGTTTCTGTTGGATCCCTTGTATGACGGTCAGCCCACCTGTATTTAACCTTGCCCCAAGAGTCGGAGCCCGTATTTCTTCTCAGAAAAGTGGAATGCCTCAGTGGTTGCCTAGAACTAGCGGTCTGGATGATGCCGAGAAATCAAGAGCACTCCCTACCTCGTACCTGTCAAAACCGGGCAGAATAGATAGGGCGCGAGCTCAAACACCAGGTAGCCATAGCATAAGTGATAAAGATACTTGCAGTGCACTGTAGGAAGGGACGAATGAGATAAAACTAAATATAGAAGCGCCAGGCAGCAACAATAACAGACGAAAATCCTGGTAGATCGAGGCGCGCGGCCCAGGAGGGCGAATGCTTTATTTCAGCCTTATACCCCACGCTACACCAGGCCTCCCACTTCCTTCAGCTTTTCTCTACTTGGGTAGTTTTTCACGCTCTGAGCTCTGACCTCGGGGTACTGCGCCAGGATGAGAGGCGCTACGCACTGACCCAATTCACCAGCCACAGCAGCTAATACGGCCGAACAGATTACTCGAACAGGACATCGCATGACGAGCCCTCACCGACTCTGAGTGATGTGGCTGCAGAGCGATGCGCATCCCCGACCCCTTGTGGAACCCCACAGATAATATCTCACAAGCCACAAGCCACCGACGTATTGGCTAACCGACTCCAGCCTCATCGTGGCCCTGTCCTCGACAGGGTAATACAATGAATCAGCCATCGACAGCATTCACACCATCACACACGTGATTGGCGATTGCGAAAGCCCAACGAAACAAGGAACGGGGCAAATCGAACGAATTGCCAAACGAAGTTGATCGCTTCGTGCCAAGAACGGGTCCTTGAATCCGAACATCGCCAATCAACGCCCGCGGACCTCTCCGTGCCCAGTGTCGGTGTCAACACTGTCAACAGCGTGCCTGATGGGAAACCCGGATTACCCATGCGGGATGACCTCAACATTTCAAAATGTTCGTCGAGAATTCCGCAATTCTCGTTGAGCCAAGAAGCCCAAGCAAGCCAAAGCTTCGCCGAGGCCTTTGGTTCCTTGGCTGGGCTTGGTTCGCTTGTTCGTGTCACTCTCCCCGACCTGCCAACGCACCACTGTACCGTCACGAGGATTCCCAAGAAAAGGGGAAATCAAACGAGGGCCTCGATTGGCAAACCTACTGATTCAGGCATGGACCGTTGCCGCAGTACTCTAAGCAGCACTCTATACCAAACCGACCGGTCGCAAGGACCTCCAGGATGCCAAGCTTCAATTTCCGCCGGATTCGCGATCGCCCCCTGTTCGGTGTGGCTGTGTTTGTCCCCCAAACCATATGCAATAGTTAGCCAAACTTTGAACAATGAAACCCTGTTCTATCTTCTCTCCTTTCTTTTTCCGTCTTTGAAATTTGTTCGTTCGAGAACTGTCCATTCGCTTGCTTGATTCTGCCTCCCCTTGCTCCTCGCTTGACACGCGACCTCGTCCACCTCCCGCGTGTGTGCGCAGACAGAACCCACGTCTTTCAGAATTCAAATTTCCTTTGATCACCCTAGTGCCCGCCCCTAAAACCATCCTGTGGCTGCACCTGAGGCTGTGCCACGTCGCTACCGTATTCGCGACTCGCCTCTTCACCTCAAGTCGTATGGCCCAGGCTTATTGAAACGGACTTCCGTACGTGTCATTGATCCGCGCGTGTGCACAGCGCTGTCGTAAGGCCGTGGCGCGGAGGCCACTGCCTACCCTGGCATGCTCCCATATCTGCCCAAGTACTTATTGGCATCCAGATTATTCCCTCAAACTCGTTCAATAATACCTCCCAACTGATACCCTGCCATAATGCGTGAGTTCTATAACACTGCTACGTGCAATTCACATGCCATTACTCACACCATGGCAGATATCTACCGCCGTCATGCCCGCAATCTGGCTTGGTACGGTGAAGATGACCAGCCCTCGCATAACCCTTTCAAGAAGTTCCGCAGACGACCCCAGCGCACCCGCTCCACAGACTTGGAACTGGACAACACCCGCGCCCCCGGCGGCCCGGGCCAGTCCCGCGATATCGGTGGCCTTGGTTCGGCAACAATGCAGCCTCCCGAGTCTGCGGGCAGCGACCAGTACACTACGGAACCGGACCCCGACCCTTCAATGATAAGCCAAGAGCCTATCAACGTGTCTCGGGGCATGGAGGAACCTGCAAAGCCGCGCAATCGACACCCTTGGAAGTTCGGACGTAGCTCGTCGGAATCCGAGCCTGAGGATGACAAGTCTATCGATGGCCCCAAGTTCACCGTGGCATCGCAGCTGCGCGCAACGATCCTGAACTCGTGGATCAATGTCCTGATTCTCGCCGCGCCGGCGGGTATTGCGCTGCACGTTGTCAAAGCGAATCCAATTGCCATCTTCGTGGTCAATTTCATTGCCATTATTCCACTCGCGGCCATGCTGAGTTACGCGACAGAGGAAATCGCCCTGCGGACCGGTGAGACGATCGGCGGATTGTTGAACGCGTCGTTCGGTAACGCCGTCGAGTTGATCGTTGCTATCATTGCGCTGGTCAAGAAGGAGGTTCTGATCGTACAAACTTCGCTGATCGGCAGTATGCTTTCGAACTTACTCCTTGTCATGGGAATGTGCTTCTTCTTCGGCGGTATTAACCGCGTGGAGCAGCATTTCAACGTCGTCGTCGCGCAGACTGCGGCTAGTCTACTCGCACTAGCTGTGGGTAGCTTGATCATCCCTACCGCGTTCAACAAATGGTCTACCGCCTGTGAGTCCCATTAACCTGTCTCAGCTGTCGATACTAATGAAATTTAGCACACGCCGACAATACAGCCCCCCCTCTCTCGGGGAACCAGCATCCTCCTCCTAATCACCTACGGCTGCTATCTCTTCTTCCAACTCAAGTCCCATGTCGACATGTACAACCGCCCCAGCCCCAAAGTTGAGAAACGGCGTCAACGAATCGGCGAAGGCGATGCCAACCGTGGTATAGCCCAGATCGCCAAAATGAGCGCCGCGGCCATGGGCGGCGAGAATGCTCAGCAGATCGAGCTTCAGGATCCGGATGATGAGCCTGAGCAACCCCAGCTTACTATCCTGGTTGCGCTGCTCACGCTGGGTCTTTCGACTGCGCTCGTGGCTGTTTGTGCGGAGTTTATGGTATGCTCATCTGTGGTTTGTTTTATGGACGTGAGCTAATGGAATGAAATAGGTCGACTCCATTTCCGCGTTAACCGCAACGGGCCACATCGGCGAGACTTTCGTCGGATTAATCCTCCTTCCTATCGTCGGTAATGCCGCGGAGCACGCTACCGCAGTAACGGTGGCCTGCAAAGATAAGATGGATCTTGCGATTGGTGTTGCCGTGGGCTCGAGTATGCAGATTGCTTTGCTGGTTCTGCCTTTTTCTGTAGTTCTGGGATGGATTCTTGGTGTTCATGACATGGTATGGCAACATCCCAAACCTTTTGGAAAACATTGGTCGAATCGAAACTGACAACTGCTACTGCAGACCCTCAACTTCGACCCTTTCCAGATTATCGTTCTCTTCGTCTCTGTTCTGCTGGTCAACTATCTTATTGCGGATGGCAAGTCTCACTGGCTTGAAGGCGTCTTGCTTATGATGATGTATCTGATTATTGCCATCGCTGCTTGGTATGTTAACTTCCGAGTCCGGATTGATTCGATTGGGGTGCTAATTTTCGGTACAGGTTCATCTAGGTTCATTGATCAATTGGCTCTGTGAGTCTTGATCGGGTTAGAACTGCTACTTGCTCATATCATGGGTTCTCCTTTCTTATCTTTATTTATTCCCCACTGTATACTATATCTCGGTTGTACAATTGTTGAGAATAGTCACTTTAATGTCTCTTCCAAAAATATATCATCGTACAAATCAGATATGCAATCTTATGATCCTCGTAGCATCAGTCTGAACCCCAAAACCTTCACAAGCTCCGGTTTCTGTTCCTCGTCTGCACTCACTTCGGACGCAGGCAAAAACATTGAGGTTTTCCAGCTTGGCTTCTCGATGGAGAATGACTAAGTCGCGAAGCGAGTGCAAAGGTGGTTCTCGGACAACTGCATTGGGCCAACATTGGGCCAACTTGATCCAACCATCTGGGATCTCGAAACCGTTCAGGAAATAGCAATTTGGAAGCCCAGAGGCAGCAAAAACGTTGAAAATCCAAAAAGAAGCTTGCGGATATCCCCTGTTTCAGAATTCATGTCAAGTATTGATATCATTATGGTGAACACCTCCGCGGACTATTATGCACTTGCGAATGCATTCCAGCCCTAGAATTCTACCTGTCCCAGTACACATGAAGCGCTACTGCTGCTCGTTTACAGGCACTATTGCGAACTACGTTGTATTTTGAACTCCAGCAACATTCAGAGATACAGTAGCTTTCGAATTTAATTTGACCTCACACTCTTGGGACTTCATTCCCGGAAAATAAATCCCACATATAGGAGTTCTGATTGGATGTTATTTTAAGCACTTTTGATCTGGATCGCTTTCTACAATAGTTCATTTATTTTACAATACGACTTCAGTACCATAGGTGGTGTATTTTACACGAAATTAGCAGACACGGTACCTCCTCTCCCCTCTGAACATCAGGAACTTCCTGGCCATAACGCTCGCGTCTTGCACCAGAAGCGAAGATTATGTGCAACAACCTTCATCCATCGATGGACGGATCTGCCCTGGGCCCCATGCGCATCCTAATCTTGTTGTCCTTTTTTGTGGGCCAATCTATGGCGTCTAGCTCGACACCTCTGCTCAGCTGGCAGTTAGACGGGAACAGTCGTTCGGCATGGGACATCATGTGGACTTGTTTTTCAACAATTTTTGCCTGCACGTGGACTCTTCTTCATATGGATGTTCCCCCTCGCAATATTTCCGTTGCAAGATGTACAATAAAAAAAATACGTCTGTGGGTTCTAACTATCTTAGCCCCTGAGGTGACCTTCCTGGCAGCGACCGATCAGCTCGCCAATGCGAGAACTTTGCAGACAGTTTGCAACAAAGTACAGAAAACACGAGACGCCGAATCATCAGAGCCAAAACTATGGCTATCACAGCGGACTAGGCCGCTTGAACAAGTCGAAAACTTGGATCACGTTTATCTACATCCAGTCCACACCGAATGGACGCTCCGTCAATGCTTCTGTGTCATCGCTGGTGGACTCGTGTTGCAGACGCAGGATCAATGGATCTACACAATACAGCCCCGCGATATGAAACCTCTCATACAGGCCGGTATGCTCCACTGTTCAGACTTTCGAGACCAGGAAATCGAAGATCGAGCGAAAGCAGACTCGTTTGCCAAGTTCTTTACCGTCCTTCAAAGCACCTGGTTTTTATGCAACGTCATCGTAAGATGGGCCTACGATCTTCCCGTATCCCCCATCGAATTGTCAACTGTTGCCTACGTGGCCTGTGCTATTTTAATATATGGAGTATGGTGGTATAAGCCCAAAGACATGGGCACGTCTATCGCAGTCTATCTACGATGTAACCGTGATGATGTGCCAATTGAGGTCCGCAATATTATAGAGGGGAATTCCACAGGGTGGGTTCATGTACGAGCTCTCGTTAACGAGGATAACTGGATGTCTGTCTTGTGGAAGACCGTTCGAACGCCTTTCTTACGCAGAGATATTGAAGACCTCGGGACGATCGATGAGGCACTTGGTAATGATTTTATCAAAACGCCATTTGAAATCTTTATCTTTGATGTGATATGCAGTCTCACTGCTTTTCTTTACTGTGGGATTCATGTGGCCGCGTAAGACTGAACTTTCCTTTTGCCGCAATCGTCTCTGTAAGCTAACGGTAACCTTTTCCCGGATAGATGGGATTTTCCTTTCGCAACTCGCGCCGAGCTGATATCTTGGCATGTCTTTTCCCTCGCATCTATTGCTACGGCTTTCGGCACATGCCTAGTGGGTGGTCTCGCGGACGCTGCAACTCTCCCCAACTCAAAGGACCTGCTTCCTTCCTTCATGGTTGGCCTCACTCACCCAGCCGCTCTTTGGACTATGCTCGTTACTGTTATTGTTAGCTTTAACTTCTACATTATTGCACGTTTGGGGATTATAGGCCTTGTCTTTTCGTCGTTGAGAGCTCTTCCGACTGGGTCCTACACAACTATAGGGTGGATAACTAGCATACCACATTTCTAACAAGGATCGAGTCAATTAAGGTGATACATATATCATTGACCTAATGATATCCAAATCACAAGATTTTGCTTAAGCAAGGACTGCGGGCACTTGACCGAGAGGACCTAAATATAATAAGCCATCCCTGGACATCAGCATGTCATATGTCCATCTTTGAGCTATGCAGCGCTTCTTGTAGACTAGGTTGGCATGTGATCCGAGTTGTGTTCCCATGTTTCATGTTCAATAGATTGAGATGCATGATCGGCAAGACGGGCTTATTCTAAAAAGTAACCAAGATCCATAGAAAGTCCAAGTTACGGGGTGAGCCAAATTAAATTCGACGCCGGCAACGAATGAGACGCGTCGCAGATGACGAAACCCATGGAAATAATGTAAATATCCTTCCCTACCAGGATTAACTCTATACAGTGTACTGTAAGACAGCCTTCTGTATGATGACTGGCGGGCGTTCAGATATACACGAAGGCTGTGCTGCATATGGGAAGAATGGCAACGTTGGACTGGCGGGAGGGCGAAAAGCGTGTGGGCGATCTTGCCAGGTCGCCAGATCTACCAAGCGATTCTAGGGGATTCGATATATCATTACAGGCTTCTTACAATACGTTATAAGGTGAGGTATGGTCATTACCACGAGAGTTCTGCCCAACTGATAGAGCGGTGACCCTTTGTAAGCAGGATTAGCTTATTACGGACTTATTTCCCGGGAATCAAGTGTTTATAAAGAGTGAAACGTGAAACTGACTTCGACAACTACTGTATCAACGCCAGAATGTCTAAAATGACCTAAAGCACTTTGGTTTCGAGACCCAGCAACCTCAATACACCAGTCGAGGAAGGTTTGAAACCCTTTTTCTGAGTCCTCCTCATACCGTAACCAGTTCCGTCTAATGAATGCTTTCAATTCCGAGAAAAATTCCTCAATCGGATTCAGGTCGGGTGAGTACGGTGGCAGATACACAAGCTTGACTCCTGCTGCATCATATCATATACGTCACCCATTTACCCGTTGACACAACCAAACTCCGGGTCACTATCAAAGACAGCAGACTATCACCAGATCGAGTCCTCCCCACCATTCCATCACAAGCACTGACAAGAACAACCAGCCTAAACTCCAAGGCTAAAGGGATAAATATCGGCCATATATCGGACCAAATATCCAAATCAGGCGCAAGTCCCAAGTACCATCAAAACTCCGGAGATGAGTTCCCCTCCCCTCCTCCCGGCCCCAAACAGGCTAAATCCCGGATGAGTAGCGAGCGTAGAAGAGCATTAGAGTTGTGCTTTTACCGAGTCCAAACCTTGTTTACTCCAAGTCCCTGCACCCCACGGAGGTCCGGGGGCTGAATATCCCCAGACCGTGGCAGTGTTCTACATCTGCGATTGAACATGGGCCCTAGCTTAATCCGGGACTAGAGCTAGAACCCGAGCTTCCGGCACATCACAATCGATCGTGCATTTGCAGAGTGTACGTATTCATGCATTATTATTCGAGTGCCATAGATAGGAAATGAATGCAACCCCCACGTTGGGAGTCGGGCTAAGCGATCATCATGCGCGGCAACAATTGACCGACTCGGAATCGGGATCCCAGCGAGGCGCCGGCTTTGGGGGGGGTTTTTTTTACCCGAACCGATGTGGGGACCTGGGGCAGAACAAATGAAAAGGAACAAATGAATTGTTCGATGCTACGTTCAACGACTGCATTTCTCGGGCCGATGTTTCCCTAGTAGATGTTTTCACTAGGTCGTGGGGGTCGCACTTTTTGACTTCTACGATTTCCCTCTGGGGGTGCGCTGCGATTCGTGGGACTCACGACTTGATCGGTCGGACACGGCTCCGCGTCAAAGCGGGCCAGGGACAGGAACAGACAGAGACGCCGTGGAGATCCCGATTGGGTATTTTCCCGCTTTTGAGATTGAAGTGATCAGTGGACCAGGATTGATCCTGCTTACAGTGCTTTTCCTGGCTGCCCTGTTTGGTGCAGGGTGCCGTCAGGTATGAGCTCATCGGGGCCGAGGAGCCTACGCTGGACCGATTCGGTAGTCCGGAGCGACACGGGAAACCCGTTTGTTCGGGAAAAGGGCAGTTCGCATGGGAGTTCCTGGTCTGGAATTGGGTACTGCAGTGGATCAGGGCAGTGGAGGGAATCGGGGGACTGGGAGGGTTTCTTTCGTTAATGTCACCTGAGGTGTAAAGGGTATTTTTTTTTCGGTTTTCCTGCCCGGGTTCCGGTTGCCCACATCATTCGCGTGGGAAAAAGCCCCAAGCCAAGGAAAAAAAGAACGGCGAAAAATGGAGCGATGACACGGTCCCCTGGATGGGAAATTAGGCATTACATACCTGGGGAGCTGTTGGACAAATAGGAAGGGTGGAAATGTACTGTAGTATTTTCTTTTTGCCACGGTTACAAAAGGTGTCAGTGTACCCTACCTAGTAGAGTGGGCTCGAGGACACCCAATGGAGCCTCTCCGCATCGGATGTTTGTACCTGGTGCGCCAAATGAAAATATCCGCCGGGGAAAAGTCAAAGGGTCTCCACCGGGCTTGACACGAGGCAAAACGAATATCCCGCCCCTTCAGCCACATGACAAGATGGGATTATTTGGGGACTGCTGATTCGACGGAGATTCTGCGGTCGGGGATGGGGTGTGGAAATCCACGGATGATTGATGGACGGAATGGAGGGATGAATCGATGGAACAAAGAGTTCAATGGATCGCGTACGGTCCACCCCTTCTCGAGGTATATCGCGCCGAGGAGGGAAGGACGAAGACATTCGGGCCAGAGCCGACTTTACCTAATGCGAATTGAGCAAATGCGGGGTTGGCCGGGGTCGGTTCGCTGGCGCCTCGGAGGATGGGGGCCAATCATGAGAATCATGAGAATCGGACGGGGCCGAGATGCGGACTGCCGTGGAGGATCTCGGTGTATGACTTGTCCGGGTTAAGGTTGTCGTCTCGACAGTTGGCCATGCTGACACACTGCGTGGTAGCTGCCCGGTCATGTCGGTCGTGTATTTGTATAGATGCAGACGGACGCGATGCAGCGATGATCTCGGGTCGGGTCGTTGATTCCGCGCATTCGAGGGTATTCCGTCAGGCTGCCGAGTCAGTGGCAAAGGGCACGGGCGTGACACGGTACGGAGGCCGCCGCGAGAATCAACCAGAGCCAGACTAGGACAGATGTAACTTCCGGAGGGTAGGAAGGAAGATCAATGATCGGTCTCCCCGCGGGGAGCCCCGGAGGCTCCAGGGCGTCCATTGGACGGCTGGTATTACGAAAGGGAAGGGGAATACCCGAGGGATCACGGACTTTCAAGCTCGGGTTCCCCCTCAACCATGTGGACAAGCCCTACAACCGGGGTCTTGGGTCGTCCCCAAGGGATACTTCATGCTCCACCCCGGATCCTGCCCAACCACCGTTGGAAATCTCGCTGTACGTTCCGAGCTCTCGCTTGTCCAATTCTGGACTTTCCGTGTCGGCACGGCGTCTGATTTGCGTCCGGGTAGCACGCTTGCCGATCGGGCAGAGGATGAGAGAGCGAAGACGGGGAGATCCTAGTTACGAGAAACAAAACCCCCCGATGGCGGACGGTGACCGGATCATGATTGGGATTGCGGCCGGTCAAGAAGTAGATGTGCGACCACTAGTTGACCCGTTCCACACGGTTGGTCGCTCCCGTTCGGTACGGACGACCATGAGACATGGTATTTAGATCGCCCGCGTTGGTAGACTATACAGAAGTACGACCAGCTCGGCAGCCGGAAGGGGGCTCCACTCCTTGCATAGTTGGGCCTCCGCAATTTCACCCCAGCGGCTCTCGGCTCCATCTTTTTGTTTTTTTTTGCTTTTCTCATCGGTGTTCTCGACTCCGTTCCCTCCCGACTTAATTCGCATTCCCGGTCCGGTGCCCCGACCCTTTGACTTTTCCCCCACACTCCGCCCATTCCCGCCTTCTTCCCCCAGGTACACTCTTCCTCTTCCCCCCTTCTGCTTCCCCGGATTCCCACTGCGCATCCTTGACTGTAAGTACTTTTGCGTGCGTTCCTGTTCGAACGTGGGATAGAGTATGGCATTCGAGGATAAAGTACTAACTACCCCAGACCGTTAGGCCCCGATTGCCGACGCCTAACGCTCACCTCCTTCCCCCGATTTTTGCGAACGTCGATGGGAGAACGTCGCAAATACGTTGAGCGAGTCTAGTTTTCACACCCGACGCAGACGTTGCGTCTGCTTCTACCAATATGCGGTCCAGCATCGCCTGCGCTCGATGCCGGCGCAGTAAGATCAAGTGCGTCAATGCCGGCATCGACACCACCTGCCGCGCCTGCGAATCCTCCGGCCGAGAATGCGTCTACCCAACTCCCGCCATCGGCGTAAGCGGCGCCAAACGAAATCTGGAGGCTCTGGTGGACGGCGAGGACCGGAACGGCGACTGGGACGGTCCTAAACGAGTGCGCTCGCGCAAAGTACCCGGGCTCGCGGGCGCGGGCGCCGGTTCCAAGGCTGGTCTTGATGCGCTCGACTCTTCTATTCTCACGGCCAAGGTCTGGGAAGCCGTCTTCGACCTTTTCCAGTCGCATTTCGCGACTCTTCTACCCTTCCTCCACCCTGCTACTTTTCTCGGCCAGATCCGGCAACTCTCTACACCCGCGCCTGTCTCCATTGATGGGCAAGATCTTGCGCGCTCTGTGCCCAAGCCGGATCCCTCGGCTTCCCTGATTCCGTTGGGCGTATTGGCCTTGACAGCCCGTTTCCATCCGCCGTTGGTCGCCTATCACTCGCCGGCCTCGCCTGGTCATTCACCCAACCCTCTGTCGGCATCCGAATATTATGCGACGGCTTTGCGCAGCCGGCTGGCCGGCCTCGATGGCGCGAGTCTCGCCGTGCCCGACCTCGCGCGAGTGCAGGCATTGCTAATGCTCGCTCTGCATGAGTGGGGCATGTGCCGTGGAAAGAGCGCCTGGGTCTATGTCGGCATGGCGATCCGACTCGCACAAGCCATGGGCCTGCCGTTCGAATTAGACAATGAGTTCCCGCCTCGCGACATGTCTCGTTCGTCGCCCGGATTCAAGTCCGAAGACCACTTCGGCTTGCTGCGGCGGGAAACCAAGGAGCAGACCTCCGACGATATTATCTCTCAAGAGACCAAGCGCCGGACTTTCTGGGCCTGCTTCATCCTTGACCGGTGCCTGAGCAGTGGTAAATATCGACCGCGCATGATTCGTGTCAAGGAGCTCGGAATCCAACTTCCGAGTGATAATGCGTTTGCTTTTGGTGAGCGCGTACGGACAGCCCGACTATATGAGCCTACCGGGCGCCGCCCGCAAAGTTTTGGCTCCCAGGGTGTTCAAATCCCAAGCATTCGTCAGAGTCTGGGTGGTTTCGGTGATGAGAAGTTGCCGCCTGCCAATGGAACGCCGGATGGCAAGTCGTGGTCACCCGTCTCACGCCGGAAGGACTCTAGCGAGGACGAAGTTGATCGATGGGAGGTCGGCGCCGAAGAGTCTGTGCTCAGCCGAGTGATTCGGATCATTCGCATTTGGGGCAGCATTGCCAAGTGGTCCTGTGCCGGCGGTCGACGGACCGAGCAATATCCGCCGTGGCATCCCGACTCCCGCTTTGCGTCTCTGCGCATGCAATTGAACGAGTTCCAAGACAGCCTGTCTCGCAACTTGCAATATTCTCTGCGAAATACTGACACCCATATCATGTATAAGACTACGCTTGCCTCGTACACTGTCATGCATGTGGTCTATTTCTTGTCCGTCATTGTCTTGCACCGTGCTTATATTCCTTTCTTGCCACTCCGTTGCAATGAGCCCGTCGGTCCATTGGACGAGCCATTGTTCCCCTCGGACAAGATCAACGGCCCGCCCGATGCTTTCTGGCGTGACAGTGCCCGCGAGCTTTTCAAGGCGGCTCGACAAATGATCGACCTCGTGGCTACCTGCCAAGGCCGCGGAGCCCTTGTTGAGAACCCTCTTGTTGGATTTGCCATTTACAATGCTGCCTTTATCGGCATCTATAGCACGCATTTCTCGCACATGGACGCTGATGGTTTGATGGGTTCCAAGCCCCCACCTGCCAGTCATGATAGCCACCAGCCCGGTGCGGTGCAAGCCCGCAAAGCTTTGGATATCCTGCGAGAGATGCGTCCGCGTCTGAAGATGGCTGTGGGCTGGTTCCGCACCCTGAACCGCCTGCACAGCTACTTCTTCAAGGTCAAGCGCGATTACCGTCGCTACTCGCGTAATCGCCTCGACAGCATGTCCGATGCGTCTGACCATGGCATGACGAACGGTGTTCGCTCAATCCGTGAGGGTGGAGGTGGTCTTGAGGAGTTCAAGCTTCTTGAAAAACTCTTCCTTGATTTCGGAGCTATCGAGGACCGGCTTGAGGGGGACGAGGACGGTACTGCCATTGCTGTCACTGGAGAGCTGATGGCCGAGCGCATCCCCAGCGACGCTGGCAGCAACGCCGTGAAGAGCGATCTGGGAGACCCTACCGACCAGTCCCTGGACGGTGGCAGTGGTCGTCGCGAGTCATGGATCCCAGTCAACAGTCCCGGCCTACCACCTCCATCCCACGAGGGAGACCGCCGCCCAAGCCTCCCTCTCCCCAACAGCCGACCTATGCCATCCCAATCACCCTACTCGTTACCATCCCTACAACAACACCACCCAGATGGCGCAATGTACACCTCTTCACCACCGAGCCTCCCCTCCATCACAGCAACCACCCAATCTCCATCCCAATACATAACAGCCACAACCAACCGCCTCCAACCCATCAACTCATGGCTCCCATCACGCCCCTCAGCCCCACCCCCGCCATACTCCCAATCACTTCCCCCCATCAACGCAGCCACTCAGGCTCAAGTTCCTGTCCTCCCTCCCCCAGGCTCAGTCGGCCTCGCCCCCTCCCCACCCCTGACCTCATCCGAAGGCCCTGACTCAACCCTCCTCTCAACCAGTCTCGGCGGCGATGACGTCCTCGCCTTCCTAGACGGAGGTGAATGGTCCGCATCTCTGAATTGTCCTTCTGAAATCGGTATCCCGGCTGGCTGGCTCAGTGCCGTGTGGACGCAGTTCAGTCGTATCTAGGACTGGTTATTTCCTTCCCTGTATTTTTATTATTTTCACGACTCTTCGACACGTTTTACGTTGTACGGCCATCTCTTTTGTCTCTCTATCGCGACTTCGGGATTTCAAAAATTTCAAATCTTCAAAAGGAGCTTTTTGTTTGTTTGTGGTGCCCTTTCCTCCAATCCCATTTACTAGGCTTGGCAAATGGGAAGGGCTAGGGACGGGATTCCGTTGTTCACTGATACCCAATCCTTGTGGACGTCTTTTATTGTGTTTGGCGCTGGAGGTTCAAAGGTTTCGTGATGATCACGCCCTTTCCAAGGTCCCAAGGTGATTTGTTTTCTGTGCTTTTTTTTTCTGTGGTTTTTGTTTTCCATTCTGCTGTGTTCAGCGAGCGTTTTTGAGGATGTTATCCTTCAGGATGTGATTACGAACCTTGGCGTTACGCTGAGTCTTTCAATCAAGTCGGCTATATGCCTTGATCATTTCACCTTCTTCGAGAACTCCATGTAGTCTTGTATTCGTCGACGTCTGGGAACTCAGTCTGGTGTCTACCTCTAGGGCTAGTTGCACCTTTGTCATATCTAGGCTTGAGCAAGTGGGTGGTGGGAGGCATTGGCCATACGCAAGTATCGTTGTACTTCTAAAGCGGTCTCGGCCATAACATGAACATCGCAACCTACGCTGCAATCGATTTTCACAAATTATCAGGCTAATGGCTCGATTCGTACACCGTGAATTAAAGCTATCATCATGAGTAGAAAAAACACACAATCCATCACCGCAATCATTACATTATATTTCGTATATTTTAGGTGGCACAGGTAAAGTACCTCTATCCCAGCACCCAGAACCGGGGTGATACAAAAATATTTCTAAGTTTCCTCTAAACCAGGACAATAGCACCGATCGCAGCGCCAGCAACAGCCTTCAACGAGCCAACGAAGCCGGCCGCAATATTGGTCGAAACCGGATGGGCAGAGCTACTCGAGGCAGCGGACCCATTGCTAGACTTCTCGCTCGTCGATTGAGTAGCAGCATCTGTAGTCGAAGGAGCATTGGTAGTAGTCGGAGCAGTCGTAGTCATAGGAGCACTGGAGGTACCAGTATCATTCTCAGAAGTCTTCGCCGCGCTAGTAGAAGTAGGCGCAGGAACCGTCTCGGTCACAGTAGATTCCGTAGCTTCGGCGGAGCTAGATGCAGGAGTCGAGGAGGCCAAGATGGACGAAAGCGTCCAGCAGGAGAGCGTGGAGGTTGTGGACACGCAAGGTTCGGTGCCCGTATAGGCATCACAGCAGGGGACGTCATATTTGACTGGGGCTTGGCCGCCTCCGCAGTCGAGAGGATCGCAGACCTCGCCGTTTGTGGGATCGTAGTAGTGCACGATGCTGTCCTGGCAGGCGGTGTAGCTTATGGTTTCGCAGGCGCCGAAGACGGTTGTTGCCAGCATCAGCAGGGATGCGGCGGTGGTGAGGGTCTTGACCATGGTGGTTTTTTGGTTGAGATATAGTTAAGATGTGATCGCGGCTCGTGAGACTGAGGTCGGATTTGAGGGTCAAGAAATAAAAGGAGACTCGGTGTAGATGCGACAGCACTAAATTTGTGCCAAGCTGGGTCTTCTAACGAGCGCCACAAGATTACGGGGTAGTATTTTCAGAGATATTTTCTAGTTTCGCGTAGACTCCAGAGAGCCTCAGCTCCGTTGTTACTGGTCAGGTTCCAGAGCCGCCGTAAGCCATCGTGGTTTGCGTTTTATACCCAACCCCTCATACTGGATGAGTGTTGATCTAGAATTCTTGTTTCGTATACATTACTATGCAGTTTATTACACACCGAATTGGACTACCGAGTGTTTCTTTCATTCCCTGGGCGCAGGCAGTAAGCGAGGGCTTGGTCTTGGGTGTGGATCCTGAAAACACGCTACAACCTCCGAGGTGATCCGGATAGAGACGGTCTTCCTGTCTCCACCACTTCCCACGTGATATTCAAATTTGACCTTGGTCCCCTTTCTACCTAGTGTCGAGATTTGAAAAGCCGCAGGGGCCCTCGGTCGGTCCTGCGCTAGCACACCCTTCGCGGGGACCGTGATTATAAATAGGCAGGACCATTCGTATTAGTGACCGCCCCTTTTTAAATATTATTACTTCGCCTAATTTTGGACACGTTTATTTCCTTACCTACGCTCGCTACCATGATGAAGACCGCTCCTTTCTGGGCCTCTATCGCCCTATTAGTTCCACGGGCTCTAGCGACATCTCCAACGTCCACGTCCACGTCCACTACCTCTACTTCCGCGGCACCAAGCTGTACAGCTTCCCTCATCGCCAAGCTCTGCAACTACCCGGAACCTCAAGATGACTTTGCCGTCGCCAGCAGCGGCACGGCCGATTGCTGGGACTACTGTAACGCCAACCCTCCCTGCAGCTTCGTTATCTTCGTTGCCGGCAACCCTTACACGGGCACCGGCACGTGTTGGCTGTACCCGGGTGAAAACTACGATGCGAGCCAGGGTAGTTCGAATTGCGGCAATCCCTACCTGTCGGTCTTCAACAAGCCCGTGTGTTCTGGTGGGAGCGCAACCACCACTTCTGGCGCCTGCGCCGCCACCGCGACTCCTTCTGCTATTACCTCGGTCTGCGGGTATCCGGCGCCTAGTGACAGTTTTGACAATTGTTATGCTAGTTCGGGTGCATCGAACTGCTTGAGTATATGTGCAGAGGCCGATGCCTGCAGCTATGCTGTCTTTAATACGCACAATGACGACAACTCGCAGTATTCCTCTGGCACTTGCTGGGTCTATCCGAACGGCACATTCAACGCTGCGTCTGCGACCACTTGTAGTGGCGATCCATACCAGTTTGTGTATAACAACGTGTGCCCCAAGCCATCATCTTCATCGTCCTCCCTTTCATCATCTGCTACGGGACACTCTGGTGGCACTGGAACTGCAGGCACTAATGCAGGCTCAACTGTCAGCAATGCTAAGGGCTCAATTACCAGCAATGATAAGAACTCAACTACCAGCAATGCTAAGGGCTCAACTACTACCAGCAAGAATTCTGCGCCTACCGGCCTCTCGCTCTCTAACCCATTGGCTATAGGCGGGGCTATGTTATTATTGCAGGCCCTTTAATGATGTCTTTGTATATATTGGTTGTTTGTTCAGCTAAACAAGCTATTGAGTGCGATATATTATATACTAATGGATTTCGTATGAGATCACTTCTCGTCGTGTATCTCTCGCTATTGTAGAGGGTATTTCAGTTCCCTTGCGATCCGTTGCTATCAGCACATTGGCTAAGCATCTCCATCTTTCTAAATGTAGCCGGAAAAATAATAATAATTAGAAATGTGGACGCGAAGGGACGCCTGGAGGAAGTTTGATTTTTCTCTTTTTGGTTTCCTATTGAACTGATAATTATAATCTCTCTTATTCTTCGCCTGATGCCTATCTGATTATTATTTTCATTTTTCCAAGTATTGCTACTTCGTCATTCGTTATCTGTTCTCGTTGATTGAGTTTTGGGGTTGACCTCCTAGTACACACAATGGACTCCTTTACTAAGAGGGGCTTGTATACGGAGCACTCTATGTTCCAAGAACGAGGCCCAGGTTTCTCTCACTTTCGACAATTAACATTGGCAGGACCGACGGCGCTATGGTAAAATGGATAGGGGCTGGTCAGATTCGGTCTAAAAGAAGGATTGGGATATTCGACTGGTATTGGTACTTTGATTTAAATGGGTCTTGACAGGAACAGAACTTGGGATCTCGGTGCAAACTTTTTTAATTGGCCCGAAAGTGGTGTTTAGAGCCAAGAGTCTTTACTAGTGCGCTTATCCAGCGACGAAATAATGCAAACGAGCCACGTTAACAGGGCTGGACAAACGACAAACAGTTTCGTATGTTGCAAAAGCGACTGAACGGCATGAAAGCACAGGTACTTATTTGTTCTTCTTTCTTCTGGGCTCCTTCGACTTGGTTTGCAACCTTGCTAACCAGACGATGATGGGGTAGTTGTGGCGTTTCTATGCCCCCAGGGGAGGATTCCCTTTGGCAAGCTGCTGTCAAGAATGCGAGTCCCAATGAGGCGCTCACCATAATTAAGAGGGTAAGCCACATCCATAGCGTTGGATTCTGAAAGGGAGCTGATGCTAGAAAAAACTAGGTGATCATAGTATTCAGTTATTTGAACGACCCCGAGGTCTAGGGACGACTCAAGATCACCAACAAATTGGTCTGACAGGAATTAAAACTTGTACAAGACGCATACAACAAAGCCAATGGAAGAAATACACAAATCTTAGATTGTTGGGATGAATGGTTTGCGGGTCATCTGGATCGTGAATGGAAAAGGCTTAGAGGTATGGTTGTATCCGCACTGTGGACAATTCATCTTGGCAAATAAGATAGCTTTCTGTGGCTTTATGATTTTGTGATGATTGCTAGGTTGTGATCTTGAGGCAAAAGGAGAGAAATTCGAGTGCTAATGATGCCAACTTATAGAAGATAGATACGGGTAAGAGAGCCTCAATCTGGGGTATGACCCAATGATAGAAGCTACGTAAACTTTTGTGACACTATGCACCTCTTGCAGGCTTATCACACGCTACTCTGATTCCTCTGCATTACACACAAATAATTTCTGTGTAGGCTCAAAGCGGCGCTTAGAGCCTCTATCGAGGTCTCGCTCTCCTAGCTACTTCCTTCGTATTCTGGATGGCCTGTCCTCCAAGGATCTTTGGCGACCGAACGAGTCTAGCATAAAAGAGCCTGTCTGACATTTATACCTATAACCTCATATATACTATATTGACTCAACTGCTGTTTGCAAGGTAAAAAAAGCCATAGTCCCCAGAGAAAGAGAGCGTGGGAGGCGGGGACACTAGTTCAATGGTGGTCAGTCTCTTAAAATATAAGCAAGGGGCTTTCCGCTTAGAATTTTTTTTTTTCACTCTTCCTTTCAATCGTCAGTCGAAACTTGTCTCTTGCAATAAATTGGTCCGACCTCCTACAAACTATCCACAATGGGTGAACCACTCGAGAAAAGTTGTGTCGCATGCGGGTGGACACTTGACAAAGAAAAGCGGTGCCACTATACAAGCCACCTTAAACTATTCTACGGTGCATCTACACGGGGTGTGTGGTCTATTGGGTCAGATGTGATTCTGAAAGACCGGCCCGACGAGGGTCCAAAAGCAAAAGTTGAAGTCAAAACATTGAAATATTTAGCGACCTATACCGACATTCCTATCCCGAAGGTTTTACGCGATTGGGTCGATCGAGATAAGCGATATTTCGTTTTGAACGAACGTATCAGTGGTCAGACGCTTGAGGAGGTATGGAGTTCTTTGTCAGGGCCCCAAAAAATAGATATCGCGGACCAAGTCGTGGAAATAAGAAAGCAGCTTCGACTCGTCACGTCAACCTCTATTCAGTGTGTCGATCAAAGCCCATGCTATCCAGGCTTATTATTTTTCGATCTTGAGCCTCGTGGACCGTTTCACTCTGACCAAGAGCTCTGGGATGCTCTGGCCCTTAACCTTCGCCACCTCCCTCAACAAGTTTTGGAGAACTTAAAGAAACGCCTACCGAAGTGCGAACCCTATGTGCTTACCCATTGCGATCTTAATTTGGGAAACATTATGGTCCAAGACGCAAAGGTTGTCGGTATCCTTGACTGGGAATACGCTGCCTTCTTCCCTATTTGGTATGAATATGTTTCCGCCTCTTTTGGATTTACAGATATGGATGTGGAATGGAAAAAGTTGCCCCGGGAGCGCTTAGACGCACATGGCGAGGCGCACGAAAATGCCAAGGTATTCTGGACGGATATCTGTAATCTAAGACAGTATCCAAATCTAGACGAGAAAGGTCAGGAAACCTTAGAGAGATTGTCCTCGACAATATTGGATTAGCGAGGGCAATCTTGGACTAGTGAAATCACACGCTACCAAGAAAGCTCTGTTTTATTGGCTAGGTCCAGTAATTTTGGCCCCGAGAACTGCCAAGTCCAATCGAATTGATCACACTGGGAGTTACTCTTAGGGACTTTCCTCGTAAGGTGTAAACGCAATCAGTCTTCAGATTATATCCCTCTGCATGACGTTTGAATTGGATCGTAAGGTAAGGGTTGCTTTGGGCGGTAACGGTTTAGCCTTAGAATCAAAGAGCGAAGCTTGAAACATTTTTGGTTGAAAGAACTTAACGCCATATACTGGTGCTAGTCCATTGACTTGGGACCCTGGATTTGGGGCACGGTCTTTTAAGTGTCAGTCATTTGCGTCAGAAAGAATTCATTTCTAAGTATAGAATGCTAAAGGCAAGCAACATGCAACCAGGTCGGTGTCACCCAATTGGACCTGCCATGATCTAACCAATGCTCCCACCGCATAACCATGTGTGGCCCAGAATTCCAGCAATTATGACGGACGGGGACAAGAGCGGGGGATCTCCTCATCGGGTAAACGCCAACCGCATCTACGTAGAAGTCTATCCAGGAAAGATCGACTCCGTACGTCGGCGAAAGGAGCATCCTACTTACCCCTCAACCCGAAACAGCTTACAATATAGCAATCACCTTGGGAAGTAAACTCCAAACAAAGCCAAAGACAGTGTAAATCAACACATTGATCCCGGCCTCATTATCAACCAAGGTAGTATACCCAGCCCAATACAACCCTGAACGTACTTGGGTGTGCGCCCCTTGACTCCCAACCCCCTCGACTCCACCACCTCCACCAGACATGCAGCAACCCTGTCGATCCATTCCAGTTATCCCACACAAACATTGACTGGGCACTCGTCATGTCAGGCCACTGGAAGGGAGAATTTAACCATGCATCCGAGCTGGCTTGTTGATCCGTCGTCCCGTGTGTCGCGTCGTAGCACTCACATACAGGCCGGCACCTGAGGAACTGATCCTCAGGCCTCTACATAACCAGGTTCCCTTCCTAGCTCGTTGGCACATCTATCCAAAATGCGCCTTTCACACGCGAGTCTCCTCGCGACGCTTGGCCTCGCATCCGCTGCGTCCAAGCCTCCGCACTCCGCGCGCCTCTGGGCAACGCATTACAACGGCCATGTCTACACGCTGACACTCGATGGCGAGCACCTCTCGCTTACCGACAAGCTCAAGACATGCGGTAAAATGCCTAGCTGGTTGACCTATGACTCGGAAACGCGTGTGCTGTACTGCTCTGACGAAGACGGCACCGCCGACCCCTCAACCCACGGCTCCTTGACAGCGTACAGCACCGCGCCGAACGGCAAGCTGCATGAGATCGCGAGTACCAAGACGATCGGCGGTGGTGTCAACTCCGCGATCTATGAGAATGGCGATGGAGAGAAGTATATCGCTATTGCGCACTAGTAAGTTCTTCCCTCCCCTTGATCCAATGGTCTATATTGGGGATCCAATGTATAAAACTAACGCATAAACAGTGAGGGCTCGGCAGTCTCAACCTACGACCTCCCTTTAAAGGAAAACGCTCCCTACAAACAAGCCTTCCGCTTCCACATGGACCACAAAGGTGCCGTACCCCAACAAGACTCTCCCCACCCCCACGAGGTCTTCCTCGACCCAACGGGCTCCTTCCTTGTCTCTCCCGACCTAGGCGCCGATCTACTGCGCATCTATTCCATTTCCGCCGACGACGGCCACCTCCACGAATGTCCCGCCGTGAACGTCACATTCGGCAGTGGCCCCCGGCACGGCGTGTTCTGGACAGACGGGACAAATGAAACCATCCAGACCGCCGAAAACGGGCAGATCACGCACCAGAGACAGTTTGCGGCTGTGGGTAAGACGATGATTTACCTCGTTAATGAAATCGGTGGTACGATGATGAGCTTTGATGTTGCGTATGCGCGTTCCGGCTGTCTGGACCTCCAGAAGACGCAGACACTTGTTCCGTATACCGGGGGCAAGATGCCCAAGGGAGCGACGCCGGCTGAGATCAGGATGGTTGGGGATATGTTTTATGTTTCCATTCGCAGCGATCAGGGATTCAAGCCGAGTGATTCGATGGTTACTTTGAATCGGTCGCCTAAGAATGGGTCTGTTAGTTTGAGGAACAAGTCTGATGCGTATGGAAAGGTGCCGCGGACGTTCGCAATCAACAGGGCGGGCGATCTGGTTGCCATTGGGAACCAGGCGAGTGCAACTGTTATTATTGTGCGCAGAGATCGGGAGACGGGGGATCTTGGGAATAAGGTTGCTGAGTTGCAGGTTGGGCAGCCTGGGAAAGTTGGGACGGCGGAGGGGTTGAGTAGTGTTATTTGGGAGGAGTGAAGCGTAACTGGAGTATAAATTTCGAGTTTGGAGGGTATGTGTGTATACCGGACTCTTTCTATGTTAATTGAATTGACAGAACATGAAACATGAAACATGAAACAGGCAGTACAACGAAGATGAAAAGTCACAAAGTGCATAAATCGTGTCCAAGAAACATACACATGAACACATGAACCCGCCCGATGCCCACCAAACCAACATGAACCAGAAATGGGAGAGAAAAAGGGAGGTTAAGAAAAAAAAGACCAGCTTTGTTCGTTTTGATCGGGGGCCTGCTCCGAGATGATTGAATGAATGCGACGTCGTGTCCGACGAGGCTGGCCGTGATCGAAGAAAAAGAAAGAAAAAAAAAGGAACGACCGTATATATCAGGGCGTAAAGTCATAACATCCGTAAGACAATGAACCGTGAGCAAGCTCATAGATTACTTAAAGTCCAGCTGGAAAGCTTTCCACTTTCCTCCCACCGTCCTGCACCGTGGACACCCTCTTGCAGCGGGATAACTCGTCGGCCCAGGCGGCATACTGTTCAAAGCACCATTACCCGGGCTTCGGAACTGAGCAGGCGGACTCGTGATGAACATGCCAACACATTCACGACAGACACCACAAATGCATTCCGTACATGCGTAGCACTCATTCAACGCCCAGGCACGCTTACAATTGGCACAGTAGATTTGAATCTCTTTGTTGCGGAATGAAGCGGGGGTGGGGTTCGAGAAACGGTGGTGCTGTCGCTGGGAGACGGGCGGAATTAGATTCAGGACTGGACTTGAGTCGGAGTTTATTGATCGGGCGACGCCTGATGATGCGGAAGGCAAGTTCTTTCCTGATGCCGAGGACATGGAGTCTAGTGACGATTCGATTGATGGGAATGGTTCCAGGTCGCTGTCGCGACTGCGGGGTCCTTCGTATGGCGGGGGCGTAAGTGACTTGTGCAGTGGCGACGCCGCATATGAATGCGGTGGAAACTGTCGGTTGAGAGGTGGCAGCCCTTGGGCCGATTGGAAAGCCGGTGGTAGGGAAGACCGATTCTTGGGCCCAGATGGAGCAGACGTCACGTTAGCGAGTAGCGGGGCGATCGTTGGAGATCGGCCAGCCTGGGATCCATGTTAGTCGCACGAAACATATATCGACTGTCGAAAAAAGGCAACACTCACTTCGGAGTACCGTTCATCGTCAGCTTCGGTCGCCGAGGTCGCCGCTTCAATCAGATCCTCCCAACGCTTGCCTTGCGCCCACGCCGCAGTCTGAGGTTCAGCGGAGAGGGCTTTACGGTCGCCGAGACTCGGGCGCCGACCAAACTCTTTCGATTTCGGGCGATCATGCTTGGGTTTTCGGGCCGACTGCGTGATGGAGGATTTGCGCGGCCGGGAAAGCTTGTGCTCTCTTCGCTGAATCGGGGGTAGAGTTGATGAGCGACCGGGAGGCGAATGATTGAGAATAGACGGAAGGAGTTCCCGCGGGCGAGGCGAAGAGAACGGGGGAAGAGATTCTTGCTTGAAGTGGTCGCGCAGCGAGGGCAATTCAATCGTGGAGCGCATGCGACCCTGATGTAGATCGGTGTCGGAGTGGGTGTCCTGGGGAAGCCGGGGTAAGTACAGTCCAGCGGGTCGCAACGGCGACACATACCATGTCAGTATCCCAGTCGGAGGCGAGGCGATGGTGGTGCAATTGTGCCAGAGCGACGGCGGCCGTCGCTGCGGCGGGGCCTTGCTCGTCAAGAGCTCGCGGGGTCGCCGGAGAGCTGGCGTCAGCTACGTAGATGTCTCTATCCGCCACATCTGGGAGTGGCCGTCAGCAGTGCCGGAGGGGAACCCCAGAGGGGCAAAAGTGCAAGCAAACTGACCGCGAGGGCGCCGCGGCTGAGGGGGTTCTGGAGGTGACAGATGGGCACGTTGTTCGGGCGGGGTGTTAACCATCAGTAGGAAGCTCTCTTCGGTAGCCGGGAGCTTGGGGATGTAGTGGTTCGGATGCGCACGTCGGATATGCTCCTGCATGGAGCGATAGCGCTTTTCCTGTGGACCAGCTGGATTAGAGCAGAGCTTACGCAAATCGTTTTTTTTCTAGGGAGGTGATTTGCTCGCCGAGCTTGCGGTTTTGGCCGGGGTGGAGGGGGAGCTCTTCGAGGGGGAAAAGAGGCGACTCACTCCTAGACATCGCTTGCGACAATTGGAACCGTCGTTATTCTTCAAAGGACAGACCACTTCATTATTGGCGTCGGTGACCGAGAAGGAGCCGGTCAGCGAGCTTCGAGGAGGCATGGTGCATATGTCCCTCGTGGAGGAGAGGGGAGATAGGGATGAGAGGAGAATCCGATAAGGAAATGGACGAAAGAGCACGGTTTAGAAAAGGGCTGAAAGAAAGCCGGGATTGGCATGCTCGAGTGGGGGAAGTTAAGAAGAGAAAAATTAGGAGGAGCGGCTCATACAGTCATCGACGAGTACTTCGAGGGACTCGATCCGCCGCCGGTTGCTGCGTGGTGGGAGAGGTAGACGGGGGTATTACCGTAATTACAGGACGCCTCCCCGCCCTATCCAGGTTTTTCACCTCTCTCTTTTTCTTACTTGCTAGACTTTTTCGTTTCTTAGATGCCTGTGCATAGATCTCGAGTACTCCGTAAGCTGAGCTGGTTCATGCGTCGAGTCCCGGCCATGCACGGAGCTGACCACCTTATCCACCTGAGCTCGGGGCTGCGTACGGTCACTTTTTACGTTCGAGACTTCGGAAAGCCCGGGGGAACGGGAGTTTGATCAGCTGGATGATTTTTTTTTCCCTAGCTCAGACATGGGTACATAGGGAGACCTGCAGCATAAGCCGCGGACTGCAGGGATAGGGTGTGGGCTATAGCGATAATACGATAGATTGTGGGCGATAGCGCTATCAGCGGCCCCTCCGAAGCTCTCCCCAGCTCTCAAAGCTCGAAATTCCAGAAGCTCCTGGGCGAAGGAGGGGAGCTCCGGGTGGCGAATTTCTTAGCGCTACGTTACTGTACGTGTATTGATTCACCCACACCGCGATAAGAATCCCTAAATCCCCGATATCTAGTAAATATTTCGAACACTAGAAAGTCTCTACCTCCTACCTCGATCAATCCGATGCAAAGACTCTAATTTATGAACCTCTTGACCGAAATGAAGGGGAGTCAAGTTCCAAGTTCCGGCGTTTCCAGCGCGGGGGGCGTGCCGGGTAATACCGAGGCTCCCCGTGCCTCGAGTAACTTGTACTTTGTACTTCCTGCCGCTTAACCATTATACCCAAGGTAAGAATGGGCTATTCGCGAAATTTAGGAACTGAAAACTCAAACCCAAGACTCAAACCGGTGCTCCGACCCGACTATATACACGCGCAGGCGAGCTCTCCAGCTCCAACTTTAAACCGAATGTAACCCGTAATACCACGCGGTACACTGTATAACCGACTCCACGCACATGCCGATGAAGAGCATCCCAAAGCAGCCTGATTGGATCTCGCCTCAAAGCAGTGGACCTCAAAGTTCCCAATTACCTGCGACTCCATTGGCTTGGGACCGTTGCGGCAAGGGCGCCATCCGGATGTGGATGCCCGTGCAGGAGGAAGGATCTTGGGAAGAAAAAATCTGTTCCGGTTTCCGTACCTGTGGACTAATTCCCCCGTCTCTTCCCCTAACCAGGTACGTGGTAGATTTGAGGGGTTCTATTCTAGGTAACCCGGAGTGGAAACTGTCTTTTCCCCGTTATCGTGGGTCGAGTGTTACGGAGCCCCTTGGCTCGGCGGTCAGGTGACCAGAGCCCATTATCCCGTCTACGGACGTAGCTCAAATAAAATCATCAAGAATTCATACATGACCTCGGTCTTGCGTTCCTTTTCTGTCTTATTTCGTAACATGGAGGCTCGAAACGGGCGGGGAAGAGCATCAATAAAGCAATTTTGCTATTGAATATAGAGTAAGCGCGTGTGGCACTTGTAGTCACTCGGCAAAAGGGTCCAAATCGAACAATATTGATATTGTAACATGGAAGAGGCCTTAGGAAGAGCATAGGGGGAATATTTATTCATGGAATCAGGATGGTAGGGAAAGACATCATAGCAACAGGGAAATAGGGGACATTTCAAGTATTTATACCTGGACCGCTTTGCCCTGGGGCACTTGGTTTTATTTGAGTGAAGGATTCACCCACATCTTAACATCTTTGCAACTTCGCACCTTTCAACCCATTGACATACCTCCAAGGGCTTCACAAGTCCCCTCGTCCGGGATGGCAACACAAAGCCCGTGGTTTCTGCGTTTCCCCCCTGAAATGATTTCATCCATTGTGTCCTTTCTGCCAAACAAAGATGTCAAGTCCTTGCGCTTGACGTGCAAAGCCCTCGGCGAGATTTCACCATTCTCCTTCTCACGCGTGTTTCTTTCGGCCAACTCGTTGAACATCCAAGTTTTTCGGCCTGTAGTAGACCATCCAAAGTTTCGCCACGAAATCAAGGAGATCATCTGGGATGACGCACTGTTCGTATTCGCGCCGTTGATATGGGAAACCGTGCACCTAAGCATCAACCCCGAACGCATAGAAATCAACTCCAATGAGGGATGTCCCATCTGGTTCACGGAGGAATGCAAAGAGAACCGCTACAGGATGAAGCATCGGAAATACCGCGACGTGGACCGACCTGACCATGTTGCACGTCAGCACTAGATGGATGCCCAAATGCTGTTGAAAGCCTGTTGGAAGTATTATCGGCAACTATGGGATGATCAGACGTCTGTGATCGGATCCGAAGACGACAAGGAAGCCTTTCTTTACGGCCTGGAGCGATTCCCACGGCTCAAAAGAGTGACCGTTACGCCTGCGACTCACGGCTGGCTGTTTGCTCCGCTATACGAGACAATGATTCGAGCATTTCCATACGGATTCAACTATCCGATTCCGAGAGGATGGCACTGTGATCCCATTGATTGTCGGGTTGTCGAGCCGCTACCGTGGTTAGAGGCAACCGAGGACTACAAGGAGCTATGGAGAGGGGCTCGAATGGTTCTTCGCCTTTTGTCACAGGCTGAGAAGCATAATGTTTCCGAGCTAAGCTTCGACTCCAAGCAACTCCACACCGGACTAAACTTTTTGATTTTCGATCGGCCGTGTGAGGAATACAATCAATTTGCGGCCATCATAAAACGTCTAGGCTTCCGCCGTCTTCATCTATCTTTACTTACTGGCAGTAGTGGTGACTGGACAGGACTCCAAAGCGGATTATTCCGTCAAGCCGTGAGCCTGGCTAAGGAATTGACCTATATCTATTTATCAACTACATTCAATGATGGATCTCATTCTTTAATGAGGGATCCACGTATTCCCCTGAAGGATATTTTGCCTATTAAGGAGTGGCCGAATCTGTCTCACTTGGCGCTCTTCCGTTCCAGCGTTGATACGTCGGAGTTGATGGACATACTCAAATTGGCACCATCCTCATTACGATCTCTTGACTTGGAATTTATCGAGTTCCCCTTTGATGAATTGTGTTTGACTGGTCTACTAGAGAGGATGCGAGAGGAACTGGATTGGATCGAGAGAGATCAACCACTGAAACCGACCGTCACGATTGCGATGGAAGACCATCGCAAATGGCCGGGGAGGTTCATCAAGCTTTCAGACGAGGTGGCAAGCTTTCTCTATGGCTCTGGAGAAAATCCCCTGGATGGAGCAGATACACGCAGCCCCAAAGACGGATACGGGACGGATCATGACCTTTTTGAGGCGGAGTACACTCGGCCCAACGTCAATTTCCAGGATCTTAAGAAGTTGGGAATTATTTGTTAGGAATGCTACCCAGTTGATCCCGAGCCAAAGGTTTGAATGTCTTGTATTGAGTTTAAATCTTGGAACCTTGAAAAGTCATTAATACCCATTCGTCTATTCTAAAAAATCCTATCAATATGTATCAAGACATGTCCAATCGTATATTGGCACTTCATTCTAGCTACAGCTCCCATCATGAGGAAGATACGCTGACGCAGACATACCCACTCGCTTGTAAGCCGGAGCCACAAACAAGGGGTATCCTTCTTGAGCATTGGCAAGGGAGTGTGGTGGAGCTGGAGCTGAAGCTTAGGATGGTATCGATATTTTCTAGCTCGTAATTTATCTTTTCCGGAAGGTGAGATCCTGCCCCTTGGGGTTTGGCCGTATTGCATTTGTTTCTTTATAAAGCTCTCTATCGTCTAATATTACTATGCGCTATGTACAATCCTCGCCCTGCATGGCATGCCAGCGTCGCCACGGAACACGCAAGACAATCGTAATTCAACAGGCAACTCAATTAATCGCCACTGCCGAGGGGTCTCGAATTTGAAAAGAATGATGTTTCGGGGACGCGGGGCTTGAGCCCTTGCGGGACTGCTTCCATTTGGACTGGACTCAATTGGCGGGGCTAAATCGGAAGGATGCGCTTGAAACAAGCATTGTCTCACGGCTTGACATGCTTCTTCGGCTATAAATCGGCCCCGCTCAAGCGGCTGGAGAATCGAGTGGAGGCGTAATCATCCCATTGGGTGCAATGGGGGCCATTTTGGAGGGCTGGTCTTCGCCCGCGAAGAACAGCAGTACTGCTTCTGCTGCAGCTTTGGAATCGTCGTCGTCCTCCTGCCCCGGGACAAGAGAGCGCTCGATCTGTTCCACGTATGAGGCCACAGCTATCGCGGACCAGCGAGCGCGTCGTCCGAATTCGTGGCATAGTTCGTGGTTGACGAATGTGTCGAATTCAAAGTGGCCTTGGTAAGATAGGACCCGGCCTGGATTGTAAAGTCCCTGGATCGGGCATACGGCACTGCTGCCGATGTTCATCCACGGTGCCGGGAGCGAGACTTGTGTCTTCCCTGCATTCGCTGCAGCTGTAGCCTCAGGAGTTGGAACCACTTGGTCACCGTGGATCAACTGGATGCGGAAGGGAGAAGGTGACACCAGAGGAGGGAAGTATGCCGTGAATGATGGGTCCAGAATGATAGGCTGGATACCCATCTCAAAGCCCTTCTGCGAATGCTCGACGTGGAATGTCGAGGTTGCAGGGGCTGATTGTGCCGATCCCGACAGTAAAGCCTGCGCGATGACCTGGTGGCCGAAGCAGGAGCCGAAGATCTTTACCAGAGGGTAGTTGGCATGCACTGTCTGAATGAAAGTTTGGAGTTGCGCAATCCACGGGCAGGGGTCGTATGCTGAGTGCGCAGATCCGGTAATTAAAATCGCATCGATCGCACCAAACGGTCCGCTGTTGGTTTCTGGAGATCGTGGAGTAGAGCGAAGGCATTCAAGAGGTGGCAGTGTGCCCCCGACGGCATCGAAGGCCGTGACATGCACTGCTACTGGGCCATTTTGCAGCTGGATGCCTGCACTTTTGTTCAGACGCTCCGCGGCATTCTGAAGAAGAACGCGGAACTGCGAACTGTAGAGACCTCGTTGGGCGTATACAGATAAGCAAGGAATATCCGCGTCTAGCACGGCCACATGGAGGCGGTTGGCCATATGCGGAAGGTCTGTAGATTTTGATATCAAAAGTATCAAAATGATAGAAGAGATCAAGAGCAGTTCAAAGAATGTATAGCAAGGTATCAAAGAAAGAGGAGTTGTCGAGCGCCCGTCAAAAAATCCATGTTCAATGCCACCGATAGGGCGTGGTTCGGATCCGCATGCCCGATAAAGGGTTTCCGTGAGTAATGTGGTGGAGAGCATGGCCCAAAAGGGAAATCGAATCCTTGTCTGTGAACCATTTGAGTGGCTGCCGACCGCTGTTACTAATGGGTTGCGCTGGAGTATATCAACGTGTACTCACGACCACGACGAGTTCGATATAGGATCTACCTGGAGTACAGCTGTCGGTCAAGTAACCCTGAAAAGACCCCCGAGATCAAGTACGTTCCATTTTCAAATGTCATTTGAGGTTCCACCAGCAATCTCTAATCCAACCTTGTCGACCTCCCTCTAGAGAAACCTCATCATTTTCTCCCTCGTACACCTCCCAATGGCATAGAAAATACATATATTTCATCTACAGATGGTTGAAATCATAGAAACTAGCTACAAAGGGACCATTGGAAACATCGTCATTGCCGAGCCGATTCGCGATCGGCCGCGGTGATCACAACATCGACCCCCGCAAATTGCGCCATCCACGACCAAAGCCCCAATCACCCAACGCACAGCACGCAAGGCTATTATCAATCTGGACACTAAACTGTAACTGCGGCCCAGTTCCGTGAAACTCATAGGGTGTCGCCGTCCTATCACAGCGGGGAACGCGGACCTCGCACGCAATTCCGTCCACAAGATTCCTCACTGCGATGACAAGTATAACGACATGCTGTACGTAGATCCCATCTTGGCCGTAAGACACAACCCCTAAATTATAAATAGGTGTAGACAGCCCTGTCTAGCTTCATTGCTGCTTGTCCCTTCAAGCGTGCTCTCACAGAAAGTACCTATACATCATGGCTCCCGCTCTCACAGACTCTCTGCCCACGGCGCCTCACAACTTATCTGCCCCGCTAGACATCTTCCCCGATGGCTTGAGGACCACCGGTCAACACCCTCCTCTCTATGAGCAGATCCATCCCTTCGACGAGTTCCCCCGTCAGATCACCGGCCCCACCGTATGGGAGGCTGAGGACTACCGCGAAAACCTCGAGAAGTGGACGCACACGTTTACTCCTGACCAGGTAGAGGAGCTGTACACTGCTGCTGATGCATTCCTCGCATCTAAGACCCCTCTGACCGGCATTTCCAAGGTGGGTTACACAGCAAGCGGAGCACGCCGAATACCGCCTAACATATCATACAGAGTAACTTCCGTCTCCCCAAGCTGGCAGACTACCTGGAAACTCTGCGCTTGGACATCATCAATGGCAAGGGTTTCATTTTGTTCAAGGGCTTCCCCGTCGAGAAATGGGGCAACCACAAGTCCGCCGTGGCATACATGGGCCTGGGCACCTACCTGGGCTACTTTGTCAGCCAGAACAGCCGCGGCCATGTCCTAGGCCACGTCAAGGATCTCGGCGAGGACTCGACCCAGATTGACAAAGTGCGAATTTACCGGACAAACGCTCGGTACATCCCACCTTCTCATCCAACTCCCAACCACTGACAAGCTTCCCAGCCAATTCTTCCACGCGGATGACTCCGATATCGTCGGCCTCCTCTGCATCCACCGGGCCCTTGAAGGCGGCGAATCCGACATCGTCTCCTCCCACAACGTCTACAACACACTCGCTCTCGAACGACCAGACGTCCTAAAAACCCTAACTGAACCAATCTGGTATTTCGACCGCAAAGGCGAAACCAGCAGAGGCCAAGAAGAATTCATCCGCACAAGCGTCCTATACCTCGAGCGCGGCGAAAACGGCCGCGTCTACACAAAGTGGGACCCATACTACGTGCAGTCCTTGAACCGCTTCTCCGACGCCGGAATCATTCCGCCCATGTCCGATGCCCAGACCGAGGCCGTCCAGGTCCTTGAGGAGACTTGCAACCGCCTGAGTCTGCATATGATTCTGGACGTTGGCGATATCCAGTTCTTGGCGAATTCGCATGTTCTTCATGCGCGGACGGCGTATACGGATCATGCGCCTCCGACGCCGAGACGCCATTTGATGCGCCTTTGGTTGGCGACTCCTGAGCATGAGGGTGGTTGGAAGTTGCCCTTCTGGGATAGTAATGAGAAGAAGAGGGGTGGGATTCAGGTTGATGACCAGCCGCCTGTTGCGCCGCTTGATGCGGAGTAGGGTGGTTTACGAGTTATGTGTTGATAGCGCTTTTTGGTGATACCTATGTTATTATGAACATTTTTTGAAATACAATTGTTTTATACTTGAGAGCGGGCCGTGTAGTTGTAATAGGAAAGCATGCGTCTGGCCTTACAAATGTAGTTGTGGCTGAAACCCTCTACGACCTATAGAAGAGGCCCAGAGGAAGGGTGCAACAATCAGCGAATTGGAAGCTGCCTAATCGAACTGCCATATCGCCCGGCAATGTATTTATCAGCTAATTCTCTGAAATTCGTTCTTACTCCCTTAGTTCAAGGCGACACTTAGATTGATGATACTCTCCTCTTTGTCAATAAACCGATGCATCCTTCGTACCTAATTATAAATTCTAGAGGTAAGCTGGATGATTACATTAAACCGGGTGATCTCTATAAGACATTACCATGGAACCTTAGAAGTGTAACTCATCCTGTGCTCCGGGACACCGGGATCGAGGCGGTGGTGGTACGGTCGACTTTCAAATGTTACAATGGAAGTTCTAGGTAAGTTGGCCGTACTTTCTATTCTCCAGCGCGCACAGCCTAAAAGATACATGACCTCGGAAGAAAAGTCAAGATAAGCCAATGGCCTTGAGAAAAAAATCTACATAGAAGACACATCATACGAAATAAAGCTCATCATTCATCCAGGGTATACAAGTACACGACCACAACGCCAAACCCATGCAAAACACAAGCACCTAATGCACAAGCTTATAATTGCCCCCACTCACAATCTCCAGCTTCCTCTTCGACACCATCCCAGCCAAGAACTCGCGCAGCTCCTCGTTGCTAAACGGAAACCCACCAGGAACAACAATCTTCAACATCATGACAATGCGCTGCAGAGGCATGGCGCCCTGGTTGGTGAGCATGCCCACGATAAACTGCCAGTATAGATTCATCTTCTCCATGGCTGCCGCCTCGGCGGTTTCCTTCGCGGCCTCTGCTGCTGCTGCTTCGGCAGCGGCGGCGGCATTGGCTGTATCCGCGGATGGACTGCCGGGTCCTTCGACGCCTGAACCGGCTTCGGCTCCACCTTGTTGTTCGTCTTCTGTTGGGAGATACTCGAGTACGCGGAAGGTGTCACGGTGTACTTCGGTGAGGATACGCTTGCTGACCCAGAAGAGACAGGCACTGCGGACGAGGACAGCGGCCATGTTGAGTTCGGATGCCAGGTCTGAGATTGTCTTTGTGGCATCATCCTGGTCAGACTGGAAAGCGTAGATGACCGTGGCTTGCCAGGTTGAGACTTCGTCTATGAAGGAGCGGTCGCCTAGCTCCAGTTCGACGGTTACTTGGCCGAGGCCATTGCGCCAGGTAAGTTTGCGTGAACTTTTGAGACTCTCGAAGCCTGTGGAATAGCGGTGTTGTAGGTATGCGATCTCGTCCGGGACCTTGAATTCTTGGTCTTGGATTTCTGGCCAGAAGAAGCGAGAGAGGATCTTTGCGTGTAGCTGGGGGATTTGGACTTGGGCTGGGCGTTTGGAGTGCATGCGTGCCGGCGGCTTGGATAGGCCTTGGTCTTTGCGGACGCTGGAATCGACGCGTCGGGAGTCGGAAATATCCTTGAGCATGACTTCGCATGCTTGCAAGGCCGAATCGCCGAATCGGACCTTGAGAAGCTCCAGAACCGACATTTCCTGGTCGAAATCTTCGCGCTTTTGCAAGAGACGGTCGCCAAGGAGGGCCTGCAGTTCTTTAACGAAGGTTTCTTTGGACTCGAACAGGCTGATAAGACTGTCGATGACGTCGGAGCTCTTCGACTTTCGATAGTCGGGTGCGGCGTCGACCGGGTCTGGCACCCAGTTCATATCGTCCCAGTCCAGCTCGCTGGTATTGCTCTGCAAAGAGAGTTGGTGTGCCTTGGCCAACTCCGTCGATAGTTCTACCAAGGTATCACCACTAGAAGGCAGGGCCTGTTTATCCGCAGCGTGTGGCTCAGCAAGCAAACCGCTGACGATCACCTTCACGGTGTCATCGCGGTCTCTCAGATATCGCCGAATCGGTCGAGCAATGCGATCCAAAAGGACCCCCTTGGGATCCAAAAGGTGGAAGGCCCGGATAATTGAAATATACAACTGCAAGATCTCAACAGTTGAGGCACCAGGGTGCAGTAGCCGCTGATTGAGAATTGCAATGAATGACTGCGTGACATAGGCTCGTGCCGCCGGATGGGTCGTAAAGTGCCGGAGATCCTCAACAGCGCCACTGCTCGCAGGCCACTCGACAATGACGTCGAAGAGCTCACTGGTCCGCAGAGCTCCCAGACGAGCAATACCCATTTCTTGCCATTTTTCCACATCTCCAAAGCTCACATCCAGAGCACCGGATGCTTGGTTTCCTAGGGACGGTGTATGAATGATAGCCAGAACCTGTACGGCGAGTCGCGCAAAGACGTTTTCAATCCAGTGCCGCAGGTGTTGAGTAGCTGTGGTTGGCGTTTCCCACTTTCCAGTGTACGCTGCGCGGACAAACTCAGTCATCATAATGTTCATCACGCCGGCAAACACCTTCTGGGCCTTATCACCACCAAGCCCGACGAGCTGCAAGCCATTCAGAAAAGCCAGAAGACGATCTCGGGCCATTGTGACATTTTCTTGCTCGCCCTCCGTCATCATGTGTGCTTGAGCTTCTGTGGTCTCCTGCTTCCATTCCTCGTACGAGACGGAGTACTGCCGATCCACGTCCATGCCATCTTGACTGCTTTCATCCGAGTTTGATTCTTCGAATAAGGTGTCAATCCCCAAGATAACCAGAGATTCTTGTGCAAGTTCTTCAGCTAGAATTTTCGAGATCTCCGACCACGGAAGAGAGTATGAGACAACCGTGTGAAAGCCTCGTTGCAACTGAGTCAACACTCGCCCTTGGTCGGCTGTCGGTAGTAACGGTAGTAGCCAGTGTACGATAGGCGCTAAATAAATTCGACGGGCGAGCTGTAAGCAGTCGACAATCGTTCGTAAAAGACTTCCATTCTCGGAGGTTCGCAATAGCTATCCAACATGTCAGTACCGAGTTCGCGGGCAAACGTCACCCGAGCGCATACCTCGTACAGCCCACCGCGAAGGTTCATTAGGAAGTGTCTCCGGATTTCATCTCCATACCAGCTAAACAGATCCGTCGGTTCCGTTGCACCAGGTGATGGCCTCGTGTTCTGAGCCGCAGCTGTCAAATACGCAAGTGCCTCGCCAGTCTCTTTCGATGGAGGACTGAGTCTGTTCCAATCCTTCAAAATTTCACTTCCATCGGTTTCTCTGGATTCATAGATTGGCGCAAATCCGCGATTGGGGACAGACAAAAAGGCGGTTGCCGCAGACCACGCTCGATCCCACCCTTCTCCGTCCGCGGGTGGTTCTTGTTGACCGGGGGAGAGCGCAGTCGCCTGAGATCCGGTCTCTACAGTCGAGGAGGAGCCATTTGATTGAAACGAGGCGAACGGGGTTTGGTCGTGATTGAAGCTGGATGCGAAGGGCGGCCGAGCTTCGAGCGACGCGGGGGAGAAAACGGAGCCAAACACGCGTCGGCGTCCCACATTGAGGGGAGCGGTGGATAACATTGTGATCAAGGAAGTTTTAGCATTATGAGACTGAGGCTGTGATGCTCGACCGTTCGAGTTGGGGAGCTGTGCAGCTGTTGATTGATCAGTGTTTAGGTTGACCTGAAAGTCGGCGCGTGGTCACGTGGACCCGAAGTATGAATGTCGATGTGATTTTCTACTTCTATTCTTACCTTCGAAGAGGCCACACTCTCCTTATTTCATACTGGTAGCTCTCTTCTCTGATCGGTATCTACACCTAGGATTATTAGCTACCTTGATCGGGCCGAAGGTCAGTGTTGTCGTCACTTAACCCGAGCTCGCAAGTCGCATAATTTGGATCCACACCATCGATCCAACGAAGAACCTGCAAACGAGACACTCTTTCCATTATCCAAACGAAAATCGCAGAGAGTAATCATTTCCACTAGTTTTTCGGTATCTTCTATGGGCACAGTGTGGTGAGATACTCGAATTAGTGTCTCGGGCTGCACTAGTGCCAAGCCCCAAATTCAAGCCTCGGTCTACGCCTGCGCCGACTCACACTGCCAGGAGACTATCTTGAAGAAATTCATTTCAACATCTTGGGTCTAGGTATTCAAATGGGCTCCATCTAATCTAGTAGATAGTGCTACAAAGAGGGTATTGAACTCGAGCGGAGCATGGACCGAATCGGTAAAGGAACAACAAAGGCGCCGAAAAAATATCGGGATGTGCGACAAGACTCGCCGAAGGTGATACGGGAGGCCGCTAACGTAGAGCCAAGAACTTTGGAAAGGGAGCGTGTAGGCCACAGCGGTATACTTCATGTAGATCACGCCTGTTTATCCTCGACTTTCTCCCATTCGCTGTCGGTGCTTCCGTAGCCAGAGCTATCGCCGCCCGAGCTGGGCCGCTTCTTGGGATCGCGTTCGGTGGGCTGTAGTCGTGACGAAGATGCACTGCCGGTGGCGACGGCTGAAGGCTTGCCGAAGGTTTCGGTCTCTGTGTCGCTGTCGCCCTCCACGGAATCCTTGTTCCTGTCGGTCGCGGGGCCCTTCTTCTTCTCCTCTGCTTCCTGAGCTAGTTGGGCGGCGCGCACTTCCTGCGCGAACCAGTTGATCGAGTACCACAAGCCCGCGGATATGACGGACAGCGCGACGAAGTGTACGCTGTACGTTGCAAGGAGGAGGATGAAGAGAACGAGCTGGAGGGCGGCGAAGCTGACGTTGGTCGCGATCAACAGTGTCGGAGTGGGGCCCGGCGTGAAGACGCTGGACCATAGCTCTTCCACAAAAGAAGCCATGGTTGTTGAGGTGAGACGGACAGGGGAAGGGGGAGTGACGTCGTTCGGAATCCGGAATCCGTTGGAGACGGGAACTGAGCGAAGAGTCGGGGGCGCGTTCGGCGAACGGGTTCCGTGAGACCTAAACTGATCCACCCGAAGCGGAGTCGTCTTGAATTGAGTCGTGGAGAATTCCGAGTGGAAACAGTTAAACTCCAGTTTCCCCGTGGGGACTGTCCTCTAATGTACGTAGTCTACAACGGGAGGGTTTAGGAGCCCGTCAGATGGGCATATCACCCGTCTAGTCGCGAGATGTCATCATCAGTGCATTCAACGGATACTCCGACGACAACCGGCCCGAATGATCGGACATAGAATATGCTAATTTTGGCTTTGGAAGCCTTTGCAAACAACAGCACTTAAGCCCGAGGAATTGGGCATAACTCTCGGAGAGAAGCCGAGAGCCTATTCTGGCGCATCGCACGCAGGGAGAACCTTGGTTCTTCCAGCCGATACGGAGTGTCCTTGAAGAGCAGCACACATCATGACCTACTAGGCCGACACTAAATACCACCTTCTCACCAATGTTTCCATAGTAATCAGGATGTCCTCTGATCCAAAAGCATCAAGACTCACGTTCAACCGCGGGAGAAGGTCAAATGTACCAATAGCCGCCTGGAGAGTCCAATCCACCGCACGCGATTACCAAGAAACCCCGTGTTTTCCCCACGTAACCTTAAGCTGCTGATCTCCTCCGACTTTTCCCTGATGCGGCTACCTAGCCCTCGGGTCCCAGAAACCGCACTTTGCCGTCATCTGTCTGGGGAGACCCGCAGCCCGAAGTCGGCCTTTGTCATGTCGTCCAATCATCGGCCTGTTGACAGACCGGCAGTACGGCGTATCGAGAGAAAGGGAGGGGAAGCCGGGGAACTCTGCTGCCCAGCTGTATAAATATTACCGGGGTTCCTGTTCCATGTCCCAGTTACACTACGAATCAATTCTTCAAGTCTTCTTTGCCCAATTTGGAAATGACTGACAAGTCGGCTGTTGCCAAGGAGCTCTCGCCTGATGGGCGCTCCGTGGAAGGCTTCTCCCATCATGCTGAGGATATCACCGCGGACCGCGAGCCCTATGGCCCGGCGGGCCTTAGAGGTCTGGTGTCCAATCCGTTCGTCCTCATGTGTGCGGCCTGTTCCACGCTTGGTGGTTTGATTTTTGGTTATGATCAAGGTGTCGTGTCTGTCATCCTGGTCATAGATCAGTTCTTGGAGGAGTTTCCGCGGGTCGGGGGCGCTGGTTCTGGGTTCTGGAAGGGCCTGTTGACAGCAATGATTGAGCTGGGTGCATTGATCGGTGCCCTCAACCAAGGCTGGATCGCGGACAAGATTTCGCGTCGGTATTCCATTCTGGTGGCCGTCGGCATCTTCACCGTTGGCTCGATTCTTCAAACTGCCGCCGTGGAATATGGCATGCTGACCTTTGCTCGCTTTGTTGGTGGCTTTGGAATCGGCATGTTGTCCATGGTTGCACCGCTGTACATCTCCGAGATCAGTAGGTGGTAAATGCCCCCCGTTAATAGACTAAGTACTTACATCTTTCTCCTCTCAGGTCCTCCGGAATCTCGTGGTACTCTTCTCGTTCTCGAAGAGTGGTGCATCGTGCTTGGCATTGTGATCGCGTACTGGATTACATTTGGTACCCGATACATGGCCGGCGAATGGTCCTGGCGACTCCCATTCCTCCTACAGATGATTCCTGGCTTCATTCTCGCAGCTGGTGTTATCATTCTCCCCTTCTCACCTCGTTGGCTCGCCTCCAAGGGTCGTAACGAGGAAGCTCTGCAGAGTCTAGCCAAGCTGCGCAACCTCCCAACCTCCGATAGACGTGTGCGTCAAGAGTACATGGATATTCAAGCCGAGGTGCGTTTCCACCAGCAGATGAACGCAGAGAAGCACCCGAATCTGCAGGGCGGCGGAGCCAAAAACGCTTTCCTCCTGGAGTTGGCTTCTTGGGCCGATTGCTTCAAAAAGGGCTGCTGGCGCAGAACTCACATCGGTATCATGATCATGTTCTTCCAACAGTTTGTTGGAATCAACGCTTTGATCTACTACTCTCCCACTCTATTCGGCACTATGGGCTTCGACAACAATATGCAACTCATCATGTCTGGTATTCTCAACTGCCTGCAATTGGTCGGTGTCACAACCTCCGTCTGGACCATGGACACTCTGGGTCGTCGCAAGCTTCTGCTGGGCGGATCCGCTGGCATGGCGATCTCGCACATTATTATTGCCGTGCTTGTCGCCAAATATAGCTATGACTGGTCAGATCACCAGACAATGGGTTGGGTCAGCGCAGCCTTCCTGCTGTTCTACATGATCGCCTTTGGTGCCTCCTGGGGTCCCGTTCCTTGGGCACTCCCATCCGGTACGTTTGACTCCTATCAAATATGCAGGATAAAGTAACTAACAAGCATCCAGAAATCTTCCCCTCCTCCCTTCGTGCCAAGGGTGTTGCCCTCTCCACCTGCTCCAACTGGCTCAACAACTTCATCATCGGCCTCATCACCCCACCCTTAATCGAAAATACCGGGTACGGCGCCTATGCCTTCTTTGCTGTCTTCTGTGTTCTCTCCGGTGTTTGGACCTATTTCTTCGTGCCCGAGACCAAGGGCCGCACCCTCGAGCAAATGGACCATCTCTTCAAGGACAACTCGAACGAGCATGAGCGGGCATGCAGGCGCGCTATTGAAACAGAGCTCTTAAACGAGCATCTGGAATACAATGTATAATACCATTGTTGTTCTTTTGGTTACGGGAGTTTGTGAGCATACCGGGGGTTTCGCGTCTCTATTTTGATAGCATGGGGTATTATGAATCACGATTGGATACATGGCTTGTCCTTTGTATTGCGTACTCGTATATATCAGATATCTTGCGGAATGGCCCGACCTGGATTGAATTTAATAATCTATGGGGGTTTGTACGCAAGTGGTCAGCCTAGGTTGACGTGATACTTAACACTGGAGTTTATGCGGCCCGCTTACTCCTCCGTTCGCTTGTTTCTTCGAACCTCAGCAGCAGAACGTCTCTATCTCGTGAAGCTATCAGATAAATACTACCTCAATCTATACCATAAAATTGTGATATTATCTTTCGCAAGTGTGTTTCTTTCCGTGAAGTGACCTACACATGTTGAATATAGGAAAGGATCAAGGGTCACATATATTCTCTGGTCGACTTTCACTGATGAATGTTTCAACAGCACCACAAAACCTACTAGGTAGTTTAGTTCCCCATACAGACTGTGACCAAAATCTAGCGATCGTATTCAAATCCCTGCAGTTTCGAGATGTACTATGTTATCCAGATACCTCGCTATAAAGTAGCGATGACTTCGACTTCTTTGACTCCTTTGTGACTGCCATTACTTTCTATGGAATAGTCTGACTGGTGTCGATGGCTACCCTTGGTACGACTTCTTTGACAGCTTTGACTACAACACCGAGTCATCTTTGCCTAGGGATCAAAATTAGCAATGTGGCTTTCTTCCATTGTGGATTGGCCAATATTAGAACAGATTATGACGGTGTCGGAGATGATTCGTGACTGGGTAAACGGTGCAAGCCCACAGGGTTAGCTCAGATTATCAAGTGGCATACAAAGCTTTATTCAGCCTTGGGGTCGATATGGTCCTCAGAATATATTTTTCATTGTCGATCGACAAAGACCAGGAACCACTATTTAGGAATTTCTTTCACTTTCACTTTCAGCCTTCTCTTTCCTCTTTGCACCGCCGACTTAGGCAATACCTATATATAGATGAACTTCGAGCAATTGCATATAAGAAGCTGGGGCTTCGAACTGAACATGCTCGTGAATAAACATATTCTGTTCTCAAAGAATGTCCACCCGAGAAAAAATGAGTCAGGAACCACCACCCCCCTATACAAAATATGGTACAGTTCTTGAAATTTCGCTCTTGTGTTTTTTTAGAGACATTCTAACTGCTCATAGACTGGAAAGAGGCTGAGAAATACTATGAAGCATTTGAATCGCTGTCTCTGCTGCAGAAGCTTAAATATGACTACGATGTTGTGAAAGCGGCTGTGCACTCGCCCTACGTTCACCAGTCCCCTGAAATCCTTACGAGACACAAGGAATTTCTCCAGAGCGCGTCTTCGGGCGTTAAACAATTTCGCCGGGATTTAAAGAAGGGAAAAATTCCTCCCTCTGAGCTGGAGCGGAGAAGACAATGCGTTTATACGGCTTATGCTCAAGCCATGAATGAAATTGAGCGTTGGACAGGTCAGTTTTCTATGGTTTTGTATGGAGGTTCTTCACTAACGCTTTTCAGAATTTCGTTTTGATTCTATTGGTGGGAAGTCTGAGGGTAATTGGCAGCGAAAGAGATGAGTCGGTCTGTGTCGATTTTTAGAATATTGAAACCACTCATTTTTCAATCATGCTTGGTCGATATAGATCAACTATATTCCCCCTTACTCTTGGGGTCATATGGTGTCGATTAGAGTCCGATTCAATATCTGAACTCGTTGTATTCTCTTGTTGTTGATGGCGGTGGTTATTGGATTCAACATCTCCCCATCGTCAATCTGTTTACATTTTCTTTGAAGCAGTCCAGTCCTTTGAATAAAGTTTTTTATACAGTCATATTCGAAATCAGTTTTAGCTTCACACTCTTACGATATATTTCCAGGGCCCTAATTTAACAAAGGTTAATCTAATTTTAGTTCTTCCTCTAGTAATCCTATAGGCCTGTATCGTATTCAATTGTAACTATAAATGAGTCATTGTTGTGGTACCGTAAATACTTATAGAAACCGATGGAATTTTTCGTGCAAAAAGAACAAAGGGAGGATCTAAACAATCTGGTGAGCATCGCGGCCTTCTGATGAGACGGGCACTGGTATGGCTGTGTCGCTTCGAGTTGTCGGAATCAAACCCTAAATGGGGTTATAGTCCAACATATCAGAAAACAGAGAGCAGCCTGATACGCCTGCTCGGAATGATGTCAAGGAAAGACCTCCAACATTCAGTATGGAAAACCTTGCACATGTCTTTATTCCTGATGTCAAAGCCGTCCATCTTGCACTCGGATATTGCGCGTGGGCAATGCATCACCATCATAGACCATCCTTTGTGACCGGAGCTAGACTGGCATTGTCTAGAAGCACCTTAAAGATCTGATATTCATCAGGATTCACGGAATTCTGAACAATATTATCTCCTAGTCCATATGGTGCGTGGATCCACACGGCTTTTGCCTTTTCGAAGCCACTCTTAGATCAACAGAGGCATAGCAGTAGCAGAAGGCATTTATGGGAGTATTCATCCCCCTGATAATAAAATGTACTCCTGCTGGCCGGCCAAACTCGCACCACTGTGCGTGCAAGACAGGGGTGGTCATTGAACTGGTTCCGCCATTCTATTCGAATGGCGTCCAAGGCATTCACATGGGAAATCATATCTCCTTCAAGAATCCCACCTCAATCACCTTGTCCGTCGGCACCCGAAGGTTAGCCATTTTGTTGCGTGTGTTATCCCTGATCCATAAGAAAAGGTGCAGCAACACCTTCCTGGGGAATGAAGCATCAGTCTTGATCTTCATCTGTTCCTTACCAATTATGTAAAGAACTTTGTGTGCATACGCCCCCTCCAGTCTGGTTAGTCGATCACTTAATTCTCTTCCACCGTCCGCGTCTTTATCGGTTGCAGGGTTGTTTGTGCCGCCATATTCTGCGGAGGGACCTTCATTCGCGACGGCTTCTACAGGCGATGAAGGTAAACGGTCTGGCCGTGGCATTTTTTCCAACATTAGATACCTCCGGATTTGATCGACGACGATGCTTGCAAGATGTGGTGTAATAATTTCGTCATTGTAGCCATATCGGACAACCAGCCGATAGCAATTCGGGATGGCAAGACGAGAAACAGAATGTCGGTCTTCCGGGGCCACTGAAGGTATTTCAAGGGGCCGTAGATGAAAGAACACGGTAACCTCCGGTATTGATGTGAGCTTAAGAACGAACTGGCTGAACACTATCGGAGTAGTTTCGCCAGCCTTGTCGAAAAATATTCCCAGACCGCGACTAGTTCCGATGGGGCTGCCGCCATATCTCTCAGTCAGATGCATTTGGCCGTCTGACTCCGTTGCCACAAAGTGTGACGTAGGGAATCGATCCTCGGCTTCAGCCAACCATTGCTGTTCCTTTCCATATCGCCACAAAAGAAAGATCGTTGCAAGCACTGAGGAGAGCGTGATCGTGAACCAGGCACCAGAAGGGACTTTGGTGAGCGCCGATGAAAGATAAGTGCCATCCAAACACGCGATTATGAGCCACGGGAAAAAAACGAGGTAGGGGGTGATTCGCCACACAAACATTGCAGCTAACGAGACCATGCATGTGTCGAAAAACGTCACGAACATGACACAGACCCCATATGCATCCCCAAGTGATTTAGTCTATCGGAAAGATCAGCGTCTTGAAGCAATGTAATCAGTGTGCTGTCCAGTCATACGACTTACGTTATTGTAGATTGACGCCACCAGGATAGTTCCAATCATCAGCAGCCAGTTCGCGAGCGGAATGTAAAGCTGACCATAGAAGATTCGAGACGTATGGACAACCTTGCACTGGGGAAAGTACGAGAGCTTCATCACCTGCGTGAGGAGCTACCAGAAGTATCAGCCCCATCATCTTCGTGGAATAGTTTTTGGTCCCTTACTTGGAAGGTTGCGGATATGATGGCTTGCGAGGCAACGATGGCGGCAAGAATTGCAATCACTAGGGCGGGGTAGATTGTACCGGGTGGCGCCGCGTTGAAGAAAGGGTTCGAATAGGCCTCGGGGTGGACGCTGATATACGCTGCTTGCCCTATATATGCCAGCCAAATGCATGGGAACGCGTAGCATAGCCAGCTGATCTGGATTGCTCGTCTGCTGAAGGCTCCTAGGTCCGCAAAGAGGGCCTCGACTCCGGTAAACGCGAGGAGAACTCCACCAAGCATTCTCCACCCCTTTTCGCCGTGGTGGATTAAGAACTCAAAAGCAAGACCTGGATTGAAGGCTTCAAAAACAGTCGCATCATACTTGGCAAGGTTGTAGATCCCAAAAGCTGCATTGAATCCAAGCCAGATGACAATGATTGGCGAGAAGGCAAAGGAAATCTTGGTTATCCCAAGCGGCTGAATGGAGAATAACACTACCAGGATAGCGTCAGTGACACCGATCACAGTGCCTTTCGAGATATTGGGCTGGACGACTTCAATCCCTTGCACAGCCCCCAATACTGATTGCGCGGGGGTAAGGAGGCCGTCGGAAAGGACCATCGTCACGGCCAACACTCCTATGACTTTCAATACTTCCCTAGCGACCTTGCTAGATTCGATGCGATGTCGCACTCTTTGACCAGCACGTTCGAGGTCGCCAGACAGATACCGTTTCATCCGAACTAGTGAGGCCTCCCTGGGATCGCGGTAAGTGATGTTCATCTAATACAGTAGTCAGTGGACTTTGGGCCTTTGAGAGCACAGAAGGTGCAGGATTGCTTGCATAACGGCTCAGAAGAGCATATGTACTGAACGTCCCCCCTTCGCCATCGTTGTCCGCGCGAAGGATAACAAGCACGTACTTGACCGTCACCATCAGAAATAAACTCCAGATGATTATCGAAAGTACCCCGACGAGGTCCTGTCGTGATGGTGCCGAGCTGAATGTTGACGAGAATACATAAAGGGGACTGGTTCCAATGTCGCCATAGATGACGCCAATCGACTGGTAAGCTAGCCACAGAAGGACCCTACCCTTGAAGTTCTATCACGTGTGAGTTAAGACGTCCTAGATCGACCCTGCTTGAAGTCTTGCACACCTGCTTCTCTTTGAAGTCGCCAGGTGTTCGCAAACTGGGGTCCTCATCTGCTTGCTCTTGACCTGTGGATATGCGGCTGATCCGACCAGGAAGCCTGGCCTGGGAGCGGATATTGTAGATGTTATCGTCGCCTTCGTCTCCTTCTGGTTGCACGGTGGATGTTGTCCTGGAGATAGCGCCTTCACCACTCAAGCGACTTTCACCACCTTGACGCGCATCATCTGCGATCCGAATCGTCGTCATATTACTCCGAGATGATACAAGGAAGTATTGGGTTGCAAAAGGAAGCCTAATCGTTGGAGTAACGTCATCATGGTAAACGGTAGGTAGAGTGGCATGACAATCCGTGGCGGACCTATTATGCTGAAGTTAAAAGATGGATGGCGCTCAATCAGCTCCCGTCCCATTCCCAAGGGTCAGGAGGCCACCCAGCGATCTGATTGCGCGCCTACCGGTGTCTTCCGCCTTGGGGGGGGGGTATGGGAGAACCACCACCCCACCCCTTCAGGCAGAGTACTTTGTTTAATTCGACGATCATCATAGAGGTGGAGTCAATGCAGCAGATCAGCCGCCAGTGCCAGACTACTGAAATTATTCTTCAGGGCTCGGACTGGTGTCCTCGTGCTCGTCCGATTCCCTAAGAAAGACTATAGTCCTGACCCAAGGTACAATAGCAGAAATCAAGTGGGTCATGTTTTCGCTTACTCCTGTATAGCGGATTCTGGTGGGGCGCTGGGACAAAGAGGGAGAGGGATGGGCGCTAAAGCTGATTTCTAATATTCCTGTACGTTGTCAAACCAGTCAACCACCCAACTGTCGCACACAACGTCTGCAGTCATCAACCAACACTGCCGGATCATAAAACTACAACTTTGCGAAACACAAATCACTATTATGGCTACGCCGACTGATAAATCTAAGCCCTACTTCCCTCTAGCAGGGGTCGCTGGCGATGGCTGGTCGAAGAAAGACTCGGCAACCGCAACATGCTTCTGCGGCATCGTGCAGCTCGCATTTCCCACCCAAAAGCCTGGCCTCGTCGGCACTTTTGTCTGCAATTGTACTGACTGCCGCAAGATCACGGCGTCTATGTTCGCCACGAACTTCACCGTCCTAGACACATATCTCACCCACGTTCGCGGTCGCGACAATCTAACAGCATACGGTCAGTCGAACACTATCTCATCGGGAAAATTGATGACGAACTATTTCTGCTCCACCTGCGGCACGCTTATGTATCGGGTCGGTGAAGCGTTCCCGGGAAAGAGTATCCTACGTGTCGGTACGGTAGACGACTTCCATCTACACGAGACAAAGCTGAAGCCGAGGCGTGAGATCTATGTCAAGGATCGTGTTAGCTGGCTAAGTGCTGTGGAGGGGGTGGAGCAGTGTCTAGGAGGAGGCCAAGGAGTTAAACTATAGCACTCAAGATCATACAGTTTGTTATACGCTATATACAAGAAAGCGTTAAATAGTTGATTTGGATGTTCTTTCTAGATAACGGAGTAGTGTCGAGAAAGCGGCAATACGTGATCAAAGTATATTAGGACTAGCTGCGGGGTATATAGTAGGTGGAGAACTAGTGCACTGATTTCGAACATGACTATATCTTACATCTGAAATTGATATGATAGCGAACAAGTTAAGTGGTCAACCGTTATCCGGTATTTAGGCAGTAGAGTAGATTCTAAGTGGAGCCCCGCGAGAATGCACCCGCCAAGGGCATTAAACAAGCGTAAACAAGTCTGGAGACGGAGTAGAAACGTGTAATATATTTGATTCTCCAATAATATATCCAAGCTTGGAATATTTTACTCCTTCTGCCTTGCCCATATACACGGTGGAGAAACAGGCGACAACCGAGCCGACTTCCAAGCGAGATCCTAACCCCCGCCGAAGATGTTGCAAGAACCTAAACCAGTTGCACAATCGACGCATTTAACATGATTTCATTCGTAATCTGGGGTAATAGAAGATTCTCCTATAAAAGCTGGGAAAGTCCGGGGTAGTTTGTAGCTTCATTTCGAGATAAATTCTCTGACCGTCGGCTTCTATTCACAATATGCGTCCTTCATTCTGGGTTACTTGTATAATTTGCAGCCCATTTGCGGCTGCGATGGACATTGTCAATATCTATGCCCCCGCACACTTGCCTGAAGGAGCTTCAAAGCCCGTGGAGCATTCGTTTGCGTCTTTCTCGTTTCCTGTTCACTTTTTTGCGGATTATGCGGGTTGGTATACCTTCGACCGGAGAACTAGACCAAGACTAATCGAAATCAGGAAATAAGAGTCATCCAAATCGCTTCTCCCAGGACATTGTCAACCTTTTCTATGAGAAGACCGGATCATGGCCGAACATCCGCGTCGGTGGTACATCAGGGTAAGTCTACATTCACCTGGGCAGTCTTAAGTAACACCAACCTAACAAGAATCCAGAGACCGCGCCATCTACAATGCCTCCCAGACACAGTCGATCATTCTCTCCGAAGAACTTGACAACGGCATTCCCCTCGAAGTCTACCTTGGACCAACCTGGTTCGAAGGCTTCGAAACCTTCCCCACACCTTGGACCTTCGGCGTCAACTTAGCCAATAACAAGAGTAACGCCCTGGAAAACGCCATCGCCGAGGCTGAAGTAGCTTTGAAACATATCAAAGGCAATCTGCTTGCTTTTGAGATTGGGAATGAACCAGATCTTTACCCTGGCTCGGTGCGGCCACTGAATTACACGGAGGCGGACTATGTGCGTGAGTGGAAGTATTTTGCAGATGCTATTTCCAGGCGTGTTATGAAGGGGAATAAGTATGGGCTGGATTGGTGGAAGATTTACCAGGCTTTGACATTTGTGTTTGGGTGGAGTGTGTGAGTTGCCTCATGGTCTGGAGATTCATGTTGGCTCTCAGATGCTGATAGATCACAGGGCTGAGGCATTCTGGAAAGATGGAATCGACAATACTGGACATGTCAAGTCGGTGTCGCAACATCAATATGCTGCGGGGAATGCAGAGTGGGTGCGCCTTGGAAGTAAGATCGCCGATTACGTCCCTGCGGACAAATCCGACTAACTGCACCCAGAGTCATTTATGAACCACACGCTCATCGCCGCAAACCTGACCCAATACGTCCCAGCCATGGAAGCTCTGCGAGCCTATGACCCGAATATCCCGTTCCTCCTTGGTGAGACGAATAGTGACTACGTCAATCTAAACATGGCTCAAGTAGAAGGTGTATTTGGCAGTTCCCTTTGGCTGGTTGATGACTTGCTTTACGGAATGACTCTGGTTCGACACCGCATCTATACATATTGATTACAAGCTAATATATCCTCGCAGGACATAACCCGTTTCAATCTAATTCAAGGCACAACCTTCGGATACACCGCATGGGTCCCAGTTGAATACAACGGCCAAGATCCTAAAGTCAAGCCTCCGCTTTACGGCCAACTCGTCGCTGCAGACGTAATTGGTCGTCACCCAACAGTCCAGGTCAAGTCTCTCGGTTTGGGACGGGATGACTTGTCGGCATACGCGGTTTACGAGTCGGGTATGCTGGCCAAATATGTCGTTGTCAACCTTGACGAGTGGAACTCTACGACTACATACCCTCGTCCTTCTCAGAAAGTATCTCTGGGTGTACCAGAGGATGTGCGTTCTGCTGAGGATAAGAGGCTTACTGGGCCTGGTGCTAGTGCTGATACGGGAATTTCCTGGGGCGGGCTGAGCTGGAATTATACTGATGGGCGACTTGCGCAGTCTGGTGAAGAGACCTCTGATATGCTACGAGTTAGTAATGGGCGTCTTGATTTAGAGTTGCCTTCTACTGAGGCTGTTGTTGTTGAGCTTCATCGGAATTAAGAAGCAAGATATGTTGGTTTTATTTAGGTATAATCGGCTGTACACAGTCTGATTGATGCAATCAATTCCTAGTATCGAAACTCGCATCCACATCTTCTCTTACTTCCAAAAGGAAGGTCGCCTTTTCCGCGACCGTCTCCAAAGAATGGCAGGCTATCTTTGAGGACGACCCATTTTTAACGCTATTCCTATGTCTTCGCAGAACCCGAAGGGCAAAATAGTGTGCATGAATGATGGAAAAATTTTAAACGCCAGTCAAATGAATATCTGATTTGTGAAAGGTACCATGCACCACCCCAAGCCTAACTAATGTCCACGTGGTATCATACAGCAAATTCAAAAGCCACAACTCCATAGATTGCCCATGCCTGCAAATATACTAAATCGAAAAGGAAAAGCAGAGGCAGAAGCAGTAAAAGCCTATCAAATTACACCGTGGCGCGCCTTGAAAATGGATATCTTATCGTCGTAAAAGAGAATCTCCTGTAGCTTGAACCGAACGCGGAATATGCTTTCTTCCAGGTCAGCGTCGTAGTCGTCGTCGGAGAGATCGCTGGAAAGGAGATCGGGGTCCTGTTCCCCTCCGTCTACGTCCTCGTCGTCTTCATCGGTCAAAGAGGCGGGATCAAAGACAGAGTCATCGCCATTCATTGTGGAGTGGTCGTTTGCTTGGGGATCGTCGAACTCGTCAGTGCCGTTGGCGGCTGCTTCCAGGATTTGGTAGCATTTCATCTCGAGGCCGATGTAGGTGATTTTTAGTTCTGGGCGAATGCTGACGATGTCGAGGACCTGCAAAGCGAGCTCTTTGAGATCGCGGTGCAGGCTGTGGCTTATGTTAAGCAAGTACAAGGCACGGAGCTGGGGCATGTGCGGGAGTCTCTGCAGGAAATAGTGCTAAAAAAATGTTAGTTTTGCCTGATAGCGCGAAGTGTTTAGGGAAATTCCTATCTTACCCAGTCTCGATAATGCATCGCCATTCCCAGCTCTCTCAGCTGCGGCATCCGCCCGCTTGTTACGAACGAGATCATTTCGTGATTAAACATCCACTTGTGCCAGCGATGGCTCATAGAATCCACGTTACCATGCCGATTATCTGAGATCCCAAACCTTTCAGAGGCATCAATCGAAACATTTCGCAGGCTTAGACGGTGTTTTCGAAGAATGTGCCTGTAGATGGCATCAATATGAACAGAAGATTCATAGCCCGCTCCTTCATTCAGATAGACACTCTCCAATGTATTTGGTGCCAGAGTATCTTTGATGAATAGCATGAGATATGGAGAAACGGTGTCGGTCCGCAAATGTTTGATTTTAAGCGAGTATTCCGGTACGCTAGGTGTACTGAAACTTTGTCGTGGCTGGTTTCCGCTCTGCGGTCGCTTTGGCGGCATCGCTGGCGGTGCATACTTCCGACGGAGAGCCCTCCAGAGGTTCTCATGATCGTCGCATCGCATCAGGGTAAGAGTGGTGAGACGAGTCCAGTCCAGGGCTGGCAGGAGAGTTGGGATAGAGAGAGGGACACGCTCCAGTTCAAGGACTTCAAGATTCAGCTTTTCGTCACTAGGCTGAGCGAAGAAACCTGGCAGATGAGGTCGTGTAGGTGGCGAAAGAGGGCTTGCTGAGTGCGGCACCCCATTGGGTTGGTTGGGAGCTTGCGGTAAGCTTGTCGTTTGTGTAGAAGTCCCATTTTTGGGTTGATTTTGACATAATGGTGCTGAAGGATCCGATGATGCAAAGCCATCATCTGAGGAGGCTGCGACATTCTCAACCTGTTGAGTCTTGGGCTCACGTTTGGAAAGAATACTGAGAATCCCACCAGCCTTCGGCCAGCCCATCAGGGACTCCCAAAGCAGATCAGTCTCATTTTTACAAATTACCCAGGGAGCCATATGTGCCTTCATGGCAATGCCAATGCGCAGTTCCACCAACTGACGGCGGGATCGTTCAATGAGAACACCAAGCTCCTCCACATAAGCCGGTTCATCTATGTCAAGAACAGCCACACTCTTGAGCGGTGGCAGCACAGACAAAGAAGGGTGTTCCACATGCTTGTATTTTTGTAGTGGACGGCTTGCGGGTGTCAGCGTCGAAGTTGGCGTACTCGACATGCGCAGGGCATTTTCCGAGTTATCGTGCCAACGCACCCAGACGCGTTCCAGGCGACAACGGTGGCCTGGTCGGTCTGCAAGTGAAGCAAGCGCGAGCCAGATTTCACGAACTACGCCCGTTGGCATGTCCCAGACGAACGCTTCGAGATTGACCATCCGCGCTACAGCCAAGGCAACCAGTGTGCCCAGCATCTTGCCCACTTCTCTGTTCACCGAGTATTCCTGAACCCAACTGAGGGGACCATTTCCGATGGAGAATGTCCGAGTGTACTGCGCGTAATAATTTCCTCGTCGCGGCTGAACCCCGAATCTCGATTCAGGCGTCTGGGAAGATTGATGTCCATAGTCATCACAGCCGCAGCGTGAACATGCACATGTCGATCTATCATTCCTGAGGAATGCAAGTTGATGAAAGACATCCTCTCCCATAACCAGAGTCGACAACCCATATGACAAGGCATCCACTCCGGAATAATCCTCGGTGGTCGGGTTTAGCGATTCAGGCCAGACGATATCGAAGCGGGAGTACATATGCGGAACAGTGAGGGAATGGAGGGTAGAGCACGTCAAAGCCAGCGAGGTAAGGTCATTCGTATGCGTAACCTGTTACATATCACGACTATTAGCTTCAGTCCCAAGACACTGCAATATTTGAGGCATTCAATGACGGCAAGATACTCACCTCTTTGATGATGTCCTTGAGGACATCTAACGGCAGTTCCAGAAGCTGCATTGGTTTCCTGCTCGTCTCTGTGTCCGACGTGGTCTCCATCGACGCTCCGGTGCCAGGCGTCGAGGTCCGAGTGGAGTTGTGTTCATCAGAGCTACGGCTCGATGCCTGGTGCAAATTCAGTGTGCCGAGCGCAGTCGAGAGGTCATGTTTTGCAAGGCCATCGGGTTCCGCAGAGGCAGTGCTTTGGCTGGAGACGAAATCCTCCTCATCCGATGATGACGCGAGATCGGAGGCTGGGCGATCAGCCCAGTCCGAGCGGGCGTCCGCCATGAGATGAGAAGGTTTCTAACGCGACAGCATAGAACCTGGGCACAGTTCGACAAGTAGACCCATGCCAATAGGCCGAATGGTAGGGAAGCTTTCCTATTCAAGAGTTGCGAAGAGAGACGGGGACTGAGGAAGCAACAAACAAAGTGGAGTTGGAGCGGATCGCCCCGACGCCTCGTGGATCACCTGCACAGGAGGCGGGGTTACGTAATTGTCTTGTCCATACTCGGAGAGTATGAGGCGATGACCTTAGGAAACTCGAATCCTAGCTCCTGTCTTGGTCAGTTTCCTTTGGAATACTATTCCAGCCATATGGGTACCGTTCTGAATTTATGTACTCGACTAGCTGTTGGATGATAGTTTTGTTTTAATGGAACGCCACTTGGGACAACCTCAAATGTGTACGCACTGGAAGAAAGACCTCGGGACTTCTAGGAACATACTTCAGAAGAGTGTAAAGAAATGGAAATATCACTCACGTATTAATTATTCTATTCAAATGGCAGAATTGCACAAACCGATTTTTGGGGTGGGCTCAGCCCACAGTCTACATTCCAATCCATCATTCCCGGCCCAGCTTCTCCAGATTCATAGCAGCACTGATACAAGCCAAATGACTGAATGCCTGAGGAGTATTACCCATCTGTTCCCCCGAGATGGCCACTTCTTCAGAGAACATGCCCAAGTGGTTCGAGTAGGACAAGATGTTGTCGAAGTGAGAGAGCGCGAGTTTCCAAATATTGGGAATTGGGACGTCATATCTGGCAGCCTGTATGTCGAGCAAGCAGGTTTTAGTGACTATAAATTTTTGCGCAGCAGAGAGAATACCAACCCGAGCCATGGCTTCAACCAGCCAGAAGGTAACCATGATAAAGGCACCTTCGCCCCCGGTCATGCCTGTGAAACATGGATGTCAGTAATGAGCCGGTAGAGAAATTGGAAAGAGTCCAGGGCGGGAACAATACCATCATTAGCTTTCACATGATCGTATCGGAAGACCATTTTGGCACTGGACAGCCCCTCTTTTTCCGGGCTATTTAGGATCTGCTTCAGAGTGCTGATGAACCGCGGGTCGTTAGGTGCGATGAAGAAGACGAGCGGCGCGATCAAAATCGAGGCATCCAGCACGTCTCGGCTCTCATAGCTCTGGCAGAAGTGACCACGGTCTACATTGTAGCCTTTCTCCATGATCTCGTCATAGAGTTCGTCGCGGATCCTGATCCATTGGAAACGGTCAGGGCAGGGGAGGCTGGCGCGCTTCTCTGCCAAGCGGATACCACGGTCCAGAGCCACCCACAGCATGACCTTTGAGTAGATGAAGTTTTGGATCTGGCCACGGGACTCCCAAATGGACATGTCCTTCTGATGACGTACGCCGACGCAGTAATTGACCATGCGCCGGATCGCAGACCACTGGTCATAGGTGATTGGATTGCCATGCTTGTTAAACAGGTAGATACTGTCTAAGAGTTCGCCGTAGATGTCCAGTTGAGTATGGAACACGGCGGCGTTGCCAATGCGCACAGGCTTGCTTCCTCTGTAACCATCGAGATGATCAAGTTCCACTTCGGGAATGTCGCACTCGCCGCGGATCGTGAACATGAGCGGCAGGAAGGGCCGCTTGCTTCCCGCATCTGCCTCCTCGAGAGCGTGCGGGAAGATCCGTTCGAAGATAAAGTTCACGTACGCTTCTGCCTCACGACTGTAGCCCATTTTCAGAAAGACGTATAGTGTAAAGGCCGTGTCGCGCACCCAAGAGAAACGGTAATCCCAGTTACGGGAGCCGCCCACATCTTCAGGGAGAGAAAAGGTAGGAGCGGCAACAATGGCCCCGGTGGGCTTGTAGGTGAGCAGCTTCAGGATCAAAAGGCTGCGCTCAACGGTCTCCCGGTAGTGTCCACGGAATGCACACTTCCGAGTCCAGTCAGTCCAGTAGTCGAATGTTTCCTCCTCCATTTTTGACAGGTATGCCGCCATCATTGCCGTGCTAGGAACCGCGTTCTCGGGACTGTGGAGGACAAGGTGCACCGTCTGTCCCTCCGACAGGCGGATATATGCCACCAGTCCGCGACCCTTCAAACTTGGTTTCTCCTCCAGACTGAGTTTCGCCTTGGGGTACCCAAGCTTATCGGGCTCTCGCGAATCGGCAAAGATCTCGAGCTGCAGCCGCTCCGACTCACTCTCAAAATGGACCGTCTGGAGGCGGTGCCTGGACATGTCGTTCTCCAATTTTGCGCGAGCGGTGTGCGTATCTCGTGCATAATTGAACGCTGGGAACAGTTCTACCTTTAGCTCCATGAAGCCACGGCTGCATTCCAGCTTTCTTATCAGACCTGAGTGCTGCAGACCCGACTTGAAGCGGTTGGCTCCGGGCTCATTGCATGGGCAATAACCCGACAGCACCCGGCCAGCATGACCACCCTTCTTGGGGCTCACGGGGAAGTAGTCCAGCATTATCACGACACCGTCATTGTTGGTCCATCGAGTTTCCAGTAGGTTCGAATATGGCAAGTACCGCTGCTTGCTATGGTGGTCATCCGTCCCTTGGGGCGCAACGGAGTAGAATCCGCCCTTCTTGTCGTCCAATAGACGACAGAAGATAGAGGGCGAATCAAAGACTGGCCAGCACATATAATCCAAGCTGCCGGCCTTACTCACCAGAGCACAAGTGTGCATGTCTCCGATCAGCCCATAGTCTTCAATGGCACTATACCTGGGTTCTGCCATGATGATGACAGATAGGATGAACTAGGCTGCTTGAAAGGACGATCACCCCGTGTGAGGTTCTTCAATCGAAAATGATAACAGGCGCGAGCAGGTGCAATTGTAACTCCGAGGTGCGAGAAAGCGAAAAGAAACAACCCCGAAATTCGCTCTTTTCCACCGTACAGACCCGACATATATGTCCCAAACGCCGGAAGCACAGAGAACAACGACATGATGATGAAGATGGGCTTTGGCTGAGGTCATTCCGATGCATTGGGGAGATGTTATTCCGATAGCTCCTCCAATGATCGAGCAGAAAGGAGGGTGTACAGCACTCGACTCGGGAGGCACATCGTCATCATGTTAACTCCGAGAGATCTAGTCGAACTGGTCTAGGGAGTGGCATGCTGTGGTTCTCCTGCGAGAACAGCGAACGACGAAACAGGCTTGGTCCATTCGCGAAAGGCACCAAACGGGTTCAAAAAAATAAAGAAGCCGTGAAATCCCTGACATCGGGTTCTTGATGGGCCACGACGTTCGTGCCTATGTCCCATTCCCATTCCTATCTTAACTCCGACTCCTGCCAACGCCCGGAATTCGCAACCCGCCAGTGAAGGCGCACCAGAAACTCGTGCCCAATTTCCCCTTAGACCCCGGATCGACCGGACTGTGGATCGGTGACTTCGAAGTGGAGTCGGCTGCGGACCAGTTAGCACGCCAAGCGGCCAGCGAAGAAAACACCGCTTTTGCAAGGAGTCTCGTGTTTCTTCATCTTTCCCGTGACCGCTACTCCTTTCCTCTTTTTCCCTTCTTACCCCGGTCTCTCGCTCTCTATCGACCTCGATCTACCTCGAGCTTTCCTTTCACCTTCCAAAGGGTGCACCGTCGTGAAACAGCTCCCGGTCGCACCCTCATGGGGCAAACATTTCTCTTCTTCCCCCTTCCCTCCTTTCCGAACCGCGTCTAGCCCCATCCGAAAAATCGAAAATGGGGTTACCAACCGGCAACCACCACCGACGGCGCAGCTCGATGCTCACAGGCGCGACGCGATCCTCACAGCCGGCTTCTTCGGACTGGAGGGATGAGAGTCTGCGGTCAGGCGATGGCGGGCTCAAGTCTGACGAGCAGGAGCCCTTGACGGCCGAGGACACGGACACGTCTGATCTATCATCATCGGCTATCGACAATAATCGGGATATCGAAATGAGCTCGGACGACGACCAGTACGATGAGGAGACCGGCCTGACGGCAAATCAGAAGCGTCAACGGCGCCGCCGCCGCCGGCAACGCAGGAAGCTGGATGCCCGCATTGCAGACGTCAAGTCGACCCGATCAATCTTCCAGCTAGGCTTGGCCGATCGCAGCGTCGTTAAGAGGCTGTCTGTCAACGCCGGTTTGATTCTCATGTGGTACTTCTTCTCTTTGTCCATTTCCATCGTGAGTGACCTCCACCCCCTGCGCTCATCTTTGCACGATACAGAAAATTAATCCGTCCCCCATTATGCAGTACAACAAATGGATGTTCTCCGAAACCGATGTCGTCTTCCCTTTCCCTCTCTTCACAACCAGCCTGCATATGCTTGTACAGTTCACCTTTGCCGCTCTTTTACTATGGATCTTTCCATCTTTGCGCCCTCGTCACCCACCGACCTCTCCCTCGAGCTCGCCCGCGGAGGGCTCCGAATCGAACGAACCCGTGGTCACCAACCTCTTCTATATCACACGTCTCGTACCTTGTGGTGCTGCCACCTCTCTCGACATCGGACTGGGCAACATGTCCCTCAAATTCATTTCTCTCACCTTCCTCACCATGTGCAAATCCTCTGCGCTCGCTTTCGTTCTTCTCTTTGCTTTCATTTTCCGCCTCGAAACCCCTTCCTTTAAATTGATCATTATCATCGCCACAATGACGATCGGTGTGGTGATGATGGTCGCCGGAGAGACTGCTTTCAATGCACTCGGATTTACTCTAGTCATTGCATCTGCTTTTTTCTCCGGTTTCCGATGGGGTCTGACGCAAATCCTCTTGCTTCGGCACCCTGCAACTTCGAACCCGTTCTCAACCCTCTTTCTCCTCACACCAGTGATGTTTATTTCTTTAATTGTCATTGCCCTCGCCATCGAGGGCCCTAACGAAATCCACCAAGGTTTCCTCAGCCTCGCCGAAAAGCATGGAACAGGCTTCGGTGCCACCTTGCTAATTTTCCCTGGCGTTCTTGCATTCTGCATGATTTCTTCTGAATTTGCACTTCTGAAACGCTCTTCCGTCGTCACTTTGAGTATCTGCGGTATCTTCAAGGAAGTTGTGACGATTAGTGCTGCAGGCGTTATTTTCCACGACAAGCTCACGACTGTCAACATCACCGGTCTAGTAGTCACCATCAGCAGTATAGGTGCTTACAACTACATGAAGATCTCTCGGATGCGCAGCGAGGCCGAGGACTACTCGAGCCGCGAGGGAACCCCGGACTCCGACAGCGAAGACGGCGGACCCAGCGGCGGTGAACCTAGCGGTGGCGAGTACGGCGAATATAACCGAGTCGCCAACCAAGATACGGACATGGTTAGCCCTGCACCGACCGGACGTCCCAACGACGACTTACATGCTTCTCCCGCGGGTGACCAACGGCGGTCGTTCCGCGTTCGAGCCAGCGGTGCTATGCACGGGCTCTCCATTTCCACCTCCACCATTCCCGAGGATGACGGGCCTCCGTCTCCCATCAAATCGGCCCCGCCAACGATCACCTCAATGGCGGAGGCGGGCGGGTTCCCCCGCCTTCCCGCGGCGCAGCGAGAGGATTCTCCAGGCATCCACTCTACTGCTTCTATGTCGCCGGTTCGCCATCAAACGCCAGGTCCTCACTAGTCCATCTCTCACTTTTGATTCTCCTCTCCTATGATCTATCTATAAGCCATCTGATAATGGTTATTCTGTACGGCGATCCGACCGCTCGACCTCTTTTGGAATGATGGAGTCTGCGACTCGCCCAGACCGAGTTCGAGCCTGGCATGTCACCGATACTAGATTTACGCTGCCTTTGGTTTAATGCAGCAACGAGTATATTGGGGTTGGTAGCAGATGTGTTTTCTTATTGCATGGACGCACTTGCATTCATTGCAAGGCGGCTTGACTGATACCATCAATTCATTTCATTTATTCCGGCTCTACTGTTGGCCGTTCCATTTTACAATTGCGTGATTCTCTTCATACTCGACCTCGTAGATACTGCCTTGGTGTTTTGTTTTATAGTGGTCAATATCACCAATGATAGTAACCCATGAGAAAGGATCAGTCCCTATCAGCCTTTTTCACCATATCAGTAAGACTCTTCTGCTTCCCCTTCCCCTTAGCCTCCTTCTTCTTCTCCGTCTCCAACTTCCGCTCGTACTGCTCCATATGCTTCTCACGTACTTCCTTTCCCTCCTCCGAAAGCTTCGCCTCAAGAGCTTTGAACTCCTCCCCCTCAGGATCCATCCCAATAAGCGACTCAAGTAACTTGATCTCTCGAGCCCACACACCCGGGTCCGGAGCAGTAGGTGGCGACGCCCCAGCAGGACGCCTCGGTCCTTTCTTCTTCTTCTTACCCTCGCCATCACTCCCCTCGTCAACATCTTCAACCCGATCAATAGGCGTTTCCAGAACCATGGGCAATCCCTCGAAACGCGGCTCATTCATAACATTATGAAACGCGCGCAGACCAAGGAATCCCGTACCAATATTCGCGTGCAAGTCTCGCTTACTTCCGCGCGGAGCTTTGGAGTCGTTCAGATGCAGAGCGCGGAGAAACTTGACTCCAACGAGCTCGTCGAATTCAGTCATAAACGCCTTGAAGCCTTCAGGTGAGGTCAGGTCGTACCCAGCGGCGAAGCTGTGGCAGGTATCGATGCAGATACCGATGCGGGAGTGGTGCTCTTTCGGGATTAGGGCTAGCAGGTCTCTGAATTCAGAGAGGGAGCCGCCGATTGTGTTGCCGTGGCCGCACATTGTTTCCAGGACGGGGACTACGGTTGAAGTCTCGATTATGGCTTTTGTGAGCGTTTCAGCAAGGCGGGCGAGTGCTTCTGGGAGGGGGGTTTGGTTTGAGCTTCCAGGGCTGGGTGGGATTAGTATTCCAAAGTTGGTATGGTGTTAGAGATTTTGGGCTTACTGGAAGTTATAGAGAGTGATACCGAGAGCTTCACAGCGGCGGAGGTCGTCGACGAATGAGTTGTATGCTTGTGTGGCTTTGGCTTTGTCACTCTGTGCTAGGTTGACGAGGTAGGAGCCGTGGGGGAGAATATGCCTGGCAGTTGGTCAGGGATTTGTTTGCCTTGTATGGTAGATGAGAGGACTTACTTGGATGCGTCGTAGTTCTTCTCAGCACACAGCTTGCGGAATTGATCGCGGACGTCATCTTGCAGAGCTGGGTTATCCCATTTTCTCTGGGACTTGAGGAACAGAGCAATTGCATTGCCTCTAGATATCTAATCAGCCCAAATCCAATGTTTCGAGATGAAGAAGAAATCTACCCGATATGCTCGCTGTTGTGTATAGAGTTGAAGACGCCCTTGGCAGCACTGACGTGAGCGCCGACAAACATTTTCAACCCCTTGGACCGCGGTGCCAGCGGCATTGCTTCGGCTTCTTTCTCTTCTTTGGTCTTCTTGCCCCGCCTAGCAGGAGCAGGTTTCGTTTGCGTGGTGGCAGCCGCCTTGGGTTCAGCCTTGACAGAGACACCGTCCTCTTCGGTCTTGGACACGGTCACTTTTTCACTGGTCTGGATGGTAGAGACAATATCAGTGTCATCAACAGTCTCCTTCTTGACGGAAGAGGGTGTCTTCTTGACCCGAGGCTTAGGCGGCGTAGACTTCGCGGGTGTCTTCTTTTGGGGCGCAAAGTCCTGATCAGACTCTTTGTCTGACTCTTCAGAAGAAGAAGCCTCCTTTAAATTGATGTTTGATCTTTGGCGTTTGGATCGTCGAGCTGGAGAGCTGTCTGGTGTCCCATTGCTCAGATTTCGTTTGTGGCTGACTTTGGGCTCGGTAGCTGCCTGCTTCGACGATTGGGCGGATATTTCCTCCTTTGTAGGGCCAGACATTGTATTCAAACACCGAATTGCGTCCCGAGCGTGATGCCAGAAGGGACTTCGCGGGGTTCTGGAATACTTGCGGTCCCGAAATTGATGGATCCCGATTTGATTGGGTGTGGTTCGGCCAGGAGTTGTGCCGAGCTTAATTGCTCCGCAACAGCAATTAACTTGTAAATTCGGTATTGGTCGAATTACCTCTTCTCAAGTGATCAGTCAGATAACGTCCAGAGTGGTCAAAACAACGATATCAAAAGAGGATAACGTGCAAGTGCCTTGCATCTACTTTTCCATATCACGTGGAGATCGCCGGGGCAACAGTCATGTGATGTTTATCGATAACCAAACATGAAAGTGCAAGCCCCTCGACAATTTTGACTGCTGCACGACAGACGACTCAGGCAAAATGGCTGCCTCCGAGGACCTCATCGACTTCAACATTATTGAAGCTCAGAAGGAAAACGTCCAATCGCTTCCCGGCGGCCGTTCAGCCAGAGAGCTCGCTCGCATCTTCTCTGGTGGCAGCAACAGTGACAGTCTCGCGTCGCCATCACCGAACGATACACGAACACTAAATGGTGCCATCCGCCAAGAATACGAGAATGAGTTACAAGTGATAAGTGAATCTGATGACCCGCTCGACGTTTACGACCGCTACGTGAAATGGACTTTGAACGCCTATCCCTCTGCGCAAGCCACCGCCGAGTCCGGCCTCCTCCCGCTGCTCGAACGTGCCACGAAATCTTTCCTGTCATCGTCACATTACAGAAATGACCCCCGGTACCTCAAACTATGGCTTCACTACATCAGGCTCTTTTCCGATGCGCCTCGCGAGACATTCGCATTCCTTGCGCGGCATCACGTCGGTGAGGGCCTGGCCTTGTTTTATGAGGAATTTGCCGCTTGGTTAGAAGGTGCTGGACGGTGGACTCAGGCCGATGAGGTATTCAGACTCGGTGTGGACCGCGAGGCTCGGCCGGTTGAGCGATTGCTCCGGAAATACAGCGAATTCCAACATCGGTACGAGGAGCGACCGCAGGACGCCGGGCCATCCTCACCTGCTTTGCCAACTGTCCGCCCTGCGCTGGCCGCGAAGATGGACCCGTTTGCTCCCACCGATACGTCTGCGGACCCGCAGGCCTCCCGGCCATCACCTAAGGCGGGCGCTGCTCCAAAGACCAAGACTGGAAAGGCAAAAATGGCCATTTTTTCTGATGCCGACGTGGCTGTGACTGAGCAGCCGGCAGCAAGCGGAGCAACGAAGGGTTGGGAAAGCATCGGATCCATGCGAGACCGCAGGAAGGAAAACGAAGTGGAGGCAAAGCCGTGGGTTGGAGAGACATTGAAGGCAGGGAAGAAAGCAGCGCCGAAAGAAAAGATGGCCATTTTCAGGGACGAGGTAAGTTGCAATTTACGTTGCTCATCCCCTTTAGACCATCCTTATATTTACGATCACAGGACTAATTGCTGGGACCTATGTGCTTCGATTCTGTGTATACAGTCAAATCCAAATCCTCAAGAAGAACCATGTGCCCCCAAGCACACTCCGGAACACCATGTAAGAGAAGCGGTAAACCCACGAACTGGCCGACGAGAACGCGTGTTTGTCGACCTGGAAGCAGTATACCCCGACTACAAGAACCCTGCGCATGAGGTCAGCTTCGAGGAATTGAGAGCTATAAAGCGAGGCTGGATGAGCAAGAATTGGCGAATTCAGAAAGAGCCTTTGCAGCAGATTTCTGGGAACTCTACCAGTGAACTGCAACCGACACAACCCAAAGCGCCCACGCCTGATGAGAACCTGCCAGAACAATTTGACCAAAAGTTGGCTATTGATGAGCAGTCTCAGCCACAGGCGCAGGATGGACCTCATGAAGGCAAATCTGGGAAAGCAAGGAAGTTCAAGGTTCACGGCGATTCGCAGACTCAGACTGGTAATCATTACTATGACCTAATCTTTCCAGAAATCGATGCTAACTATCTTTCAGTTAAAATGAAGTTTGACTCTCCTACGAGCTCAAAGGTTCGCCGGAAGAGCACCAGGGAGCCGACAATGACTATGCACACGCGCGCTGCCACGGACGAGATCTACAGCATCTTCAATCAACCCTTGAAGGCCGAGGAAGAAGACGCAGCCGACAGCCTGTACGGCAGCGACTATGACGATGATGATTGTGCTAGTACTGCGGATACTACTGGGCATATCTCTGCGACTTCGAGTGACTTTGGTGACGATGAAACACAAACATTCCACAAGTCTCTTGACGATACCGAATACGGTGACGGTGACACTACTCACCCCGGTAGCATTGTCGGAGACGATTGGACAGAGTTCAGCGTCAGTCGTGATGTCCCTGGTATCGAGTCTGCAGATGCTACATCACATTCCGTTGTAAGTGACGGGGTACCTGACGATTCTCAGCATGGAACACCCGAAAGAAAAGGGTTCGTGCCGCAGATGCCAGAGGACTATGCTCCGCCTTATGGGACTTACAGAGATCCTGCGATCATGGCCCAGAACCGCCTCCCCTTCATGACCCCCATTGTGGAGCGGACTGAGTCCTCTATCTCCATGACCGCTGCTCGGAATGCTCTTTCTAATGCTAAGACTCCGTCTAAACCTCGGACGCCTGCCGGTGTACCCCAGATGGGCGATCTTCTACTATCTAGTCCGTTTGGAGCTCCGACACCATATCACGGAGACCATACGGTGACTTCCTCGGCAGATGTACCATTCAGTCCCACTGCTTTCAAAGCTCTTGCCCCGAAACAGCGCCATCGGGAGGTGATTATCAAGGAAACACAATGCAATCCAACAGACAAGGGCATTCGCAATACGATCTTGAATTCCTTGGACCCACCGCTCGCGGCCTATGCAGGCTACCACGGACACGTTCAAGCCAGCAACTATGCTTCTATGATTCAGAAGTTCGTGAAAGCTCACAGCAGAAAGTCCAAGAGCGGCCATGACGAAGAATACGACATTCCAATCCTCGAATTCCCCGGTGCTGAGCGAAGCTACATCATCCGTCGTGAGCTCGGGGCAGGCGCCTATGCCCCAGTCTACTTAGCCGAAAGTGTCGACAGTCTCGAGTCCTACAACTCCGATTCCGACGACGAAAACGCATTGCCAATTGGCAGAGATTCCCAGACCAGAAAATCAAACTCCTACGACACAGTCCGGTACCCATTCGAAGCCGTCAAAGTCGAAAACGGACCCTCTAGCGCCTGGGAATTCTACATGATCCGCACCGCCCACGAACGCCTTCGCAATTCCACCGGTTACTCCCGTGCCACGGACAGCATTGTCCGCGCCCACGAGTTACACGTTCACCAGCGCGAGAGCTTCCTAGTCGAAGACTACCGCGGCCAAGGCACACTCCTCGACCTAGTCAACATTCTCCGCAATGAACCCATCTCCTCAACCCACAACAGCGAAGGCGGCCTCGAAGAATCACTCGCCATGTTCTTCTCCGTCGAGCTCTTCCGTACCGTCGAAGCCCTCCATGCCAACGGCATCCTCCACGGCGACATCAAAGCAGACAACTGTCTAGTCCGCCTTGAAGAAGAAGACCCACCTACAAACGCCCTCTCCCTCCTAGACCTCGGCGCCGACGAACCAGCCCAAGACTCCCGCGATAGCATCCACTACTCACCAAACGGCGTCCTCGGCTGGCGAAACAAGGGTCTCGCTTTGATCGACTTCGGCCGCGGCATCGACATGAACGCATTCACCCCCAACGTCCAATTCATCGCAGACTGGGAAACAGGTACACACGAATGCAACGAAATCCGTGAGATGCGCCCCTGGACCCACCAAATCGATTTATACGGCATTGCCGGCGTAATCCACGTCCTGCTTTTCGGGAAATACATCGAGTCCTCAGCCGTCCGCACTTCCTCCGGCACATCTACTACATACCGGATCCACGAGTCGTTGAAGCGCTACTGGGACCGCGAGCTGTGGGCTGATGTTTTTGATTTGCTTCTTAACCCTGGTGCCGAGAAATGGGTTTCTTTGGAAAGGGAAGCTGCTGGGGCTGAGAATGTTAGGCGTGCTCTTCCGGTGTTGCATTCTATGCGAAGGGTGCGTGAGGCTATGGAAGATTGGCTTGTTGTTAATGCGGAGAAGAAGGGGCTTGCGTTGCAGTTGAGGAAGATTGAGGCGTTGCTTTCGGAGCGAAAGAAGAAGATGGAGCGTGCTTGATCGTTTTTTTACTTGATTTCATTGTTTCTATTACCCCTGTGATGTTTTGTTTACGAGATCTTATACCCCCTTCTCTTTTGCTTTCATGCTCATTTTGTTGATATTCATCTACGGCGTACAGTGTTTCCGGAAATCGGTGTCGCCGCCTATACTTTCGATTGTTACTCGAACCCCAATGCCAAGATTCACTACTCTATCGAGAAACGTCTCGGAGTACCAATATTCCATTAGGCTTCAAATACATGAATCTTGGCTCGTAAATTTATAGATGCGTTGGGGAATAAATCTGCAAAAGTTCTGGGTGTCCTTGAGTACCACTTAAGCTCAATTCTGTTTCGGATTCTTTTATTTTCATCTCATCACTGAACTACAGTATAATTCGAAAACAGATTACCCCTTAGACCCTCATTTGTATCAGTTTACTGCGACGCCCTGTTTTATACTATACTACTACGGATGTCTCCTACAGCCGGTGTCGAAACCAGTTCCCCGATTAGCACTCAATAATTGTTTCCCGGACCCTATCCCGAAACACCCTAGTATATAGGTTTAGTCGGAGATATTCCTTTTCTTAGAATAGTGACCCTTTTTAGGGTGGTAATATAATCTATAATATGTACTACCTTTTATAAGAACTGCTATATATGTGCGACCTCCTAGGTCGTAGTCATCTCTGCCCACGGATCTGCACAGTTTGGCCCCGAGACTACCCATGCCTACCCACTTTTAAAGCTACATATCATTCGTGATATAACGTAGAGCCGGTCACTAGCTATATCTCAAATGACCGAAGCAACTAAATGCTAGAGGTCACAGAGCTATAATCACAGTTTTCTCTGAGAGACCGTTGAGCAGAATCATTATAGGGACTAGGAAGATAGCAGCTTTGTCACTACTATTTATTTATTCCAATTCTGTAAGAATTTTTTAAATCTAAACGGTGGGCGACCGTTTTCGTCTTTGGGATCAGCTTCAACATTCTCCCTTTGCACCAGTAGCTCCACCACTACTTGGTGTCCTTCCGCAGTTGCTTATGATAAAGGCGTACGACCATCTTTGTCTTTGGCATCAGCTACAACATCCTCCCTTCCGTGATTACAGGTCAGTAGGGCCCTACTGAGACCTCAGTAAGGTTAGTGGCCGGAGGCATAAACCCCACCAACCTTAATTTCAAAACACTTACCATATCTTACCTTCTTTCTCCACCTACCCAAAACCCATGAGACATCGTTTTGACCCGTCAAAATTAGCAGTTTCCATCTCCATTACAGTACTCCTTCCAAACTAGGAAACACCTAAGGATCCTACTCAATAGAAATAGGCGCAGTATCTATAAGCTCCTGCACCTAAGTATAGCGATGCTGCCATTACACTGTTTATATAAGCAAAAAAAGGAGAACCCCTAACGTGATCCACGGTCGCCCGAGCGACACGGTCGCCCGAGCGGCCCCATCAAAAATCCACTTCAACAATAATCCATATTTGTTAACCACAACAACAATGGCCCCCCAACGCTCTGATAAAAAGAAAAAGTTGACAGAGCAGGAGGGTCGCCTTTTATTAGCTATAAAAGCCATAAAAGATGGTAAATATCCCTCTGCTGCAGCTGCTGCACGATCTTTTGAGGTACCTATCTCAACTCTGAAGGCCCGGATCAATAGGCGTGAATCTGCTGCTAAAAAGAGGCCATCTAGTCATATTTTCACTCAGATCGAAGAGCAATCGATAGAGAATTGGCTACTTAATATGGATGCAAGAGGTGCAGCTCTGACTTTGCCTATATTGCGAGATATGGCCAATCTTCTACTTCGTGCGCGGAAAAAAACACCCTCTGCCATTGGTATTAATTGGCCTTCTCAGTTTGTCAAACGACACCTAAATCTCTCTACTCGGCTTTCACGCAAATACGACTATCGGAGAGCCCTTTCAGAAGATCCTCGAATTATTAAACTGTGGTTCAATTTGCTCCAAAGTACGATTGAAAAGCGGGGTGTCGCTTCAGACGATATCTTCAACTTTGATGAGTCTAGTTTTGCTATAGGTGTTGGCGCAACACAAAAGATCATCACTTCAGCGGAATTCTATAGAAAAAGAGCACTGTTGCAAGTCGGAAATCGGGAGTGGGTGACTTCGATTGAGTGTATTAGAGCTTCTGGAAGTGTTCTTCCTCCGCTCTTCGTTTTCAAAGGAAAACAGTTCCTAGAGTATTTACGGCCCTATCTTCTCTTGAATCAAAAAGGAGCTCGTCTAACCATGAGCCCTAATAGTTGGACTACCAATATAATTAGTTTATAGTAGTTAAAACATTATTTTATCCCTAATATTGGGACAAGAGTAGGAAAATATTGCTTACTAGTCCTAGATAGTCATAGGAGTCATTTAACCCCTGAATTTGACTAAGTTTGTGAAGAAAACTAAATCATCGCAATCTATATGCCTCCGTATGCTTCTTATCTTTTATAGCCTTTAGATATAGGTTGTTTCTCGGTTTTAAAGAGACTTTATAGAGGAGCGGTTTCGATTTTAATGCGGAACGGAATCAATACTATTGACAAAGAAGATTTCCTAGAACTAATCGTAGATGCGAGAACAGGCGCATTTAAGACTTCCACTATACAGAATAGCTTTTTGGCTACTAGACTAGCACCATTTAATGCTAATAAAGTCTTGGAAAAGCTAAATGTGCACCTAGAATCTCTTCCTCCTCTAGAGACCCTCACCTAGCGACCACTCTCTTCTGGCAGCGACAGTGACCCAAATACTCTCTAGACCCTCTCAAAATTCACAAAATCGCAATCTTGGATCAAAAAAGGTCTAAAATCTTCTTCTTCATTGCTTTCTTCACCAACAAAAAGGGAGATTGAGAAGACCTACTAAATGACTATAAAAGTAGTCCACCGCCACATTTTTCTCCAGCATCGCTATACCCAATTAGAAGCTACCAACAAGAAACAGACCAGAAAACGAGAGACCAAATATAGGTTTACTACCCAGAAAGGCATCTTTGGGGGTCTAGAAGGTGGTGAAGATGATGTGGTCGTTGAAGACGAAGATAGAAGCAGAGATATATTTTTACCAGAAGCGCCTGCGAAACCGGTTGCTGAGCCAGCTTTACCATCTATGCCCTTGGTTCGGCGGCAGGTGACATGTTCTGGCTGTGGGATAAAAGGTCACACATATTCCAAATGCCCTACCCGTGTTCAATAGCCAAACTTATGTTATTATTGTGGATTCAGTAGCGGCTAAAAATTGTAGGTTTTCTCAATTTTGGCGGGGTCGCTCGCGCGACCGTGTCGCCCGCGCGGCCGTGGATCACGTTACTGAGCACGCACTGACCTACGCACCCCACTGAGGTCTCAGTAGGGCCCTACTGACCTGAGTTCTGCTCACTTTGCACGGACCTCCGAGCTGCCTGGAGTGAATTATCTGAAACAATTCAAACACATACTTCTGTCGATGTCAGGCCACCCTGGCCCCTCTGCTTCTCATCTTCTGTCAACCAAGAACCGACACAAAACAAAGTACAACCTGAGCCCTGCTAAGTCAGATACTTACTATGGAGAACCTCCAATTTAAAGGTAAAACATACAGGAACAGGACTGACCTTTTACTTTGTAACTGACAACCCCGCATTCCGGGTTTAGATTATCTTGCTATTAGTCAAGTTGCTTTTGAGTGGGCTGATAGCATTGACAAGAAGGTTAGCTATTGACCTGCCAGCCGCACATAATATTATTAACCTGAGATAGGACTGGGATAGACTCCGCAATATCCTGGCGCCGAACATGACGGTATTGTGCATCTGCCGAGTCGCTTAGGGCATGTTCCTAGAACTGACCTTCTATTAACAGGTGGACTACAGCATGATTGGCTACCAGTGCTTCCCAGATATGAAGTCCGAGGAATTCATTTCTATGATGAGCTCCCCCGACCTCGTAGGAGACCCACTCGTCCACACTCAACACCTCCTTGGTGCCGCTAGATACGAGTGCCTGTCTGAGACTGAGATCAATGTCATCCATCAGATACGCGCTGCGCACCAGCGCTACACGAATCTTGATCTCACTAGTGTCGCTTATCGGGGCCACGGCCATGGCGTCGTGAAACATTCATACAGGAAGATTGATGGAGCCTGGAAGCTTGGTGGAGTGCGCCCTGAGATGTATTGGGCTGAGCATGAACTTGACAAGATCTTCCCTCGACCATCGGCATCGGATTGACCAGATTCTAAGATACGCTTAGAAACCGCATACTTTGGCAGCTATCCTAGATGAGGGGCGTACGCCTACGCTTGCCCGTTCGTTCGGCCAGTGCATCACCTCGTCTGACGCCAAAGTGTACTCATCCAGTCTTGTTTCCCCATATCTGAGCTCTTTAATAGCAATACTTCTCATCTGTTTCTCTTCCTTTACAGTAAATCCTGCTCCGTCTCCTAGCAGACTTGGCAGGGCTGCGAGATCGGCACTTTGACTTTTGACGTGCGAAATTGGATTACTAGAAGCTAAATTGTGTGAGATATAAGGGCCATCTTCTACCTACGCTTATTTTAAATGTTGGAAAATTCGTCCGAGTCACATTATATGGGGAGAGCTTGGTGCGAACTTGCGGTCCAGCACCGTATTATGTTTGTCCGGCATTAGTAAACCCGGACGCGCTACTCATCATACAAGATCCCAAAGCGTCCCCACACAGTTGTGGTTCATTTGTATCATTTATTCATGGCATATGCTCTCTACCGCAATTTCAAAATGAGTTTTACCGCTATAATCTCTCAATTTGATTCGCGAACCCTAATCCGAAATGTACTAATCTAATTTTAGATCCCCTCCCGGTAATTCTCGTTGAACTGTATCTTATTGCCTTAGTTACAACAAACCATGAATCACTTATATAATACAACAATGCTCCATAGAACCGTTTAGAATGTTTCATGCACGCAGTGCAAATAGCATGGTGCCCGCATAATTGAGGAAATATCCCTTGTAAAGGATTCCGACTCCAAAATATCTATCCAGACTCATTGACAGCACCGTCCTGGTCCTATGCGTTCAAAACGGTCAGTATAATGTTCGAGCCTGCTCCATTTGTTGACACCTACCTTCAAGTTGGAGCAATTCTTGCAGTTCGTGCAGTTTACCAGGTTGGAACAATTTTGGCAATTGGTACAGTTCGTCATGTTGGAACACTGCTCGCATTTCTCGCAGTTGCTGCAGTTGCTGCAAAATGAGCAGTCAACACAGTCCGTACAATCGGAGCACTGAAGTTTATAGTAAGCATTACGTAGGAAACATGACCTAGTGATGTGGGCAGGAATGGACGTAAATGGCGTAGAAATATACATTATGGCATCCTGTGAAGTGACTTTTAGCGTTGCTGACCTTTATTAGAACTTGTAGGCTCACCTTTGCAATTATGACAGTTACTGTTGTTCCTATTCCCATCGTCGCCTCTGGGGAAGACAATTAGTTGGCGGGTAGACCTTTTAAGGAAGAACATCGCGGTCATTGGGGAACGCGGGAGGGGATCTTAGCTCACTCGTTGCGTAGCGAAGCGTGCTGATTACGTGTCATGTCATCCACCTGGAAGATTAATTCTGTCGAGGATACGATTATCTCTCTAACGCAATGTCAATCGCAATGGCCTTGAGCAGGGAACTATATACGCGTTAGAAAACGGAATTGGGTCATCATGACGTAAATAAAAAAAAAGTATATGGCGAATGTCTTATGAATTAGTGGCTTTTTCCTAGAGGTTTATAATTATGCTTCTACGCGTGGTATTCCGTAAAGGTATTTGGCCTACCTAAGCATGCCTTTAGTCCCCACGCCACTAGTGCCGCTAATAATTGGGGTGGAATGGCGTTTCTGATTTCAAAAGTGATCATTTTCGGCATTGATTCCACGAATTCTCACATTCTAGCTGTAAAAAAGGGAGACTAGTGGTTGCCCAGGCAGGCTGATATCCGTTGGGGTCATTTAATTGGAGCGCAAACTATTAAACGGGTAGCTTCCGGACGTATTGGGCCCTAGGCGAAGGCTGCAACTCCATAAGGCAAAGCAACTCCATAAGGCAAAGATGGAAAGCGGGGGTGCGCGATCTTGCCAGAGTGTCGGATCTCCTAAGCACTTCCATTACTATTACACTTCTGTCCAACTAACAGAGCGGTGACCTAAAACGGGAGTAGCGTAGCTCGGATTTATATTCCAGGAATCAAGTCGTAAGAGTGTGAGTTACTGTAGTATAATTCCAATACGTTTCTGATTTGATTTCTCCTAACATCCTCGTCTGGCGATTTTGAAAATTCATTCAACCGTTCACCTATGGACGGGCGACAGAAAAGATGAGAATTACGCCGCGGCTGGCGGCAGATGTGTACATTGATCATCAGAGCAACGGAAATAGACCTAAACAATTGATCAAGTCAATAATATCGACTGTGTTTATCGGCCGGAAAGTGTCTCGCCCGACAATCTATGGTGAGTGAGTCACACTTCAGACCATCTAAGCTAGGGCGACTTGGGATGAACACGAACCTTAGCCTTATTTGAATACGACCTTTGCAGGGTTTCTGATGACGGCTTCAGGGGTCTATACGATCTTTTCTGACTATAAATACAATGGCACATCTAATACAATCATATTTTTAACCGTCAGAGAAAGCTACTCTCTTATTTATCTTATTAAAAATGGCCAAGTATCGTGTTTACAACCGTCGCCAGCAGGGTCTCGCCGAGACAACCCGGTTGATCCTTGAGATCAGTGGTGCGGAGTATGAGAACGTGTTCCCTGAGGCGAGTATTTTATTTATTTCTAATTACGGCCATTGTGTATCTAACATGGCACCATAGGACTGGGACAAAGAAAAGGGATCAACTCCGCTTGGACAATTACCCGTTCTCCATGTCCAAAAGAGTACCGGCGAATGGGTACATAAGTTTGACTCATAGTAATGAACGACCGACTGCTGATCGCACGATATAGGAATCCATTGCCGAAAGTTCCGCCATAGAGCGTTTCCTCGCTGCAGACCTCGGGCTCCTCGGTTCAAACCCGATAGAAGCAGCCGTGCTAGACATGTACCATGCAGCCTGGGGCGATATGATTGCCATGTTTATGTGGAAGGTGTGGCGGGCAAGCAATGATGATTCAAAGCAGCGCGGCGCTACAGAGTTCTGGGGTTTGTTCCCTAAGTTTCTGGAGGTACATGAGAATATACTTGCAATTAGGGGTCCGTTTTATGGAGGCGAAGAGGTTTGTTGCGATTTGCCACTAAAATTGATTGGGTGCTAACCTATTTCTAGCCCTCATTGCCAGACATTTACGCCTTTACTTGGCTGAATCGTTTCATAACTAAGTGGATTCCGTCCCCCGTCGACTCTATCACTGAAGAGAAGTATCCACGAATGTGGGCGCTTTGGAAAAGCATTAGGGAGAATGTTAAGATCAAAGATTATATTGAGAGTGGGCGGTGGCAGCTCAAAGAGTAAAGGCATTATCTGAGTCCCTTCGTTCATGATGCATTTTTAGAATGGGGATTCAAGTCCTAGTTAGTATATACTGCAAGAAAAAAAAGTCCAATTTCATGGCAACAATCCTCCTTGTCTCCTCTTTCCCGTTTCCCTTCTTTCTTTTCCCAACGCCGAGACATCCTCCACGCCCTCCTACTATATCAGACCACAGAAGGTTGTCTTTACGCCGTAGAGACATAACGCTGGCACTGTAGTCCGACAAGACGCTCTTTACTAGTCGTGTTAACTTCAATGCTAGTCGGCCATTCGACCGTCAATGTCCTATGTCGTAAAGTCCTGTCTTTGGCTTTGTGTAGATTTTAGCAACATAACTGAGTTCTGCTAAAAGCTAACTGCACGTGAATACATCCAAGATCGTATCACAGTCTAGTCGCGCACCAGCAAATCATGGCTATGTTATCATCCACCGGAAGCGCTTTCTTTGTCTGCTCAACCGCCTCATCTTCAAAAAAGCTCGCCTCAAACTTCCAACGTGTCTGAGTTGCAGCTTCAATGTCTCGCCAGAAGCCCTTAAGTGTCTCAACATTATGGCGATAGTGTAAAGCTTCGTCTTTCACACCGTGCATTTGGTAGTGGCCACCTAGCCGACTCCCCATTTGCCGCCCAACAATCATAACGTCTGGTTTGTCGCGACATAATCGAACTAGGTTTATTGCAGCTCGAATTTGCGTGTCATAGTCCCATACGTGAAATAAAGAGCTGGCGAAAATAATATCAATCTTGCCAGACATTGTCCGCGATAATTGGCTTTCCGCAAACTTGGTATCTTCTGCAGCGAGATCACCAGTTGCAAAAGTCGCTTCTAAACGTTCTTTATCTCGGAAGAGCTGGTACCCTAAGTCAATGAATACCGGCTCTAGGTCACATCCAAATAGCTGTTTGCCAGAGATGCCCTGATCTATCAAGGAGCGAAGCTCTTGACCAAAACAGCAGCCGGCATCGAGGAAGCTAGTGGACGGATTCGTACGTAGCCGTTCTATCACCCGATTGTAGAAAGGTATATGAGGCAAGTTGATGGAAAGAAAGCGCATCTGCCCGATAGAGGGGTAGTGATAGACTCGAAACGCCTCGTCTCGCTACCAGGAAGGTTACTTTATATGAACGGAATGACTTGAGGAAACATACCAGCGATAGCACATGTGGGAGGATCTCAGCGGGTTTAAAGCCGCTGTACCTTTCTAGGAGTTTTTGGGCATCAGCATTGATGCTTTTCACATCCTTTTCGTACCAGTTTGGCTTGTCCGGTGATTCCATAGTCGAAGGTTGGAAGTGAAAGAAGGTGAGCACAGAAAGAAGGTAAGCACGGAAAGAAGGTAAGCACGGAAAGAAGGTAAGCACGGAAAGAAGGTAAGCACGGAAAGAAGGTAAGCACGGAAAGAAAGGTAAGCACGGCACGGAAAGAATTCCAACCCGCCTCCCCCGCTTCAATGATGGTCCCCTAGATAAATGGACGGTAAGCCGGGGGCTGACCTACAAACGATAGGCTTCTCACTGTCGTATGGTAAATACAGAGATTATTAACGTTTTATACCGACACGGCTAAGAAGGGATCGTTATTAAAGTAACCTCTATGGATTAGCGTGGTTTCCGGTACGGACCGAAGAACAGCGTGTGTCTGAGGAGTAAACTGTTTCCGAAGTCCACTATACAGTAGAATTGATAAAATGTAAGTCTCTCATTATTTTTCATTGGATCGGTCTTTGCTGTGCAATATAGATCACTTCGTTGGCAAGCCACGACGAACATGCGGTGAGTCGATGACGTAGAATTCACTCTTCTGATGACCCGCGGTGTAGACACCCCTGTTACTTCCGTTTATCAAGTACCTGCTGTGTAACACAGATCACTCTTGTTGGAGCCACTTCACATTAGATGCATGGGAATTAGAGTGGGGACCCAAGTTGTCTCAACTTAGAACGTCCTTGATAATCACCAGGCCGCCACTGAGACAACTCAACGGTAGTACATCTCGATTTCCCAATTTCTACTTAGAATGTCTCCAAATTCTAGGGCGATCGGGGCACTAGATAGCTCTCTGACCCGGGTTCCAAAACTCGGACGGAACCTGAAGTGTGGATCCCATTTTGGGCTCCCGCTTGGCCAATCAGAGGGCCCTATTAGACGGAACCTACCCAGCTTCCGTCATGGAATAGAGTTAAAAAAAAAGTCGCGTTATCACAGACTAGTATGTCCGTAACATAGACGTGTAATGGTGGGGTTGGGGGCGACTGGTTCGATAATGATGTGGTGTGAAGGTAGTGCGGGCACGTATTCTCCTGAGGACGGCTCTATTTTTGACCTAGCCTCTAGGCGATGTCAATGAACGAGCCGAAAATCTTGTGACACAAAATTGCCTCATTCGTGCATCGACGGGCGCGTATGATCGGCTAATAATCTCAGTCCGAAACCACAATCAACGTAAGGCCTAGGGAAATTTGGCCATCAAAGGGTGACAGTGAGTCACACCTTGCAGCTGAGCTGTTCACTGTGATTGTCTTTTGATTCGCAAATGATAAACACTTAGAATATCCGAATGCGAATGTTTCTGCGTACGCTCTTCTGCAATGCAGCGCCACGTCACGCACATCACACCAGGGCGTAATGATAAATACCCCTAGTGTCAGCCTATGCTTCCACTTTCTTCAGCCCCTCGCACAACCTCTTTTTTACCTTTGCTACCAAATCTTTGCTGATTCGAGCCCGTCGCCTCTATATCACTTAGCCCGTAGGCACAATGGAAGACTCTGCGATTTCCACAGAGATAGTCCCAGCAAGTGCAGGTTGGGCAGTTGATTACATCGTGGAGGTGGACCTTAACAGTGAAGACGGCACCAACATTCCTCTTTACAACAAGAGCCTGTACTACGAATGTGGCTCCGAAGTAGCTATTGTCCGAAAAGACGGGGACGAGTCGGAATACTTTGTTGCAAAGAACGAGGACTACTGGCTGTTCAAAATTCATTCTAACCATGCCGAGTTTGAAATCGCCATTGGAGGCGAGACTCCGGTGCTGGTGAACTCGAAGCCAAACTGGAAGAAATGTACCGACGAAGAGACCGATGTCATCTGGAAATCATGCAAGGAGATGGATCCTGGAAGTTGTACCTGGCATGATTCATGGTACCAATCATGGGTTGTCTACGAAGACGAAGCCAAAGGAGAATTCGATCGTTTTGTGGCTGTTAGATGTCCGAAAATGGACAACCCGGCTATTACGATCAAGGGCTCGGGACATTTTGCTTGCCTTCACTGGGTGGGCCTGTTTCTCAAATCGACCACCAACAAAACCAACAAGTTCATTGCTGTGGAAACTACCAACCAATTGCTTCCGAAGTATGCCAAGCGCAACAGAAATGCAGGCTACGACTGGTTCAGGGACAATGGACCTGCTGACATCACGGACCGCACTCTTACCATTTTTCCCAAACAACTGTACGGCACCAGCGGCAGTGACCCGGACTTATACGATCGGTTTATTACCATCGACCCAGACAACATCGTGGGTCAAAAGCATCTTGAGCTCGTCCGCTCCATGGTGGAGCAGAAGTCCGCATTGTCTGCCTACAAATATACGTGGCATGCTAGCGGAAGGACATTGATCAAAACGTCCAAACACGACGAACCGGATATCTATCCAGTTAGCAAGCTTAATTATGTATCCGGCCTTGAGGTGATTCGAAAGAAGGTAAATGGTTGGGCGGTGCTTCTCACTGTCTTCATGAGTGTGACCAAAATTACAGCTGGGCTGCTCACCACCAACTTTGCCAGCATCGTTGCAGGTATTTTCGATATGAAGGATATATTCGATGAAAAAAAGATGATGGAAACCGCCGATTTGAATGGCTTTATCACAGCTGTTGCCAAGGGAGTAGACGACTATAACAAAAAGTTTCCCGGGGACAAGAAAAAGACGCCCAACACCTCCGATGTCCCCACGATCAAGCTGGAGATCCACAACAATACGGTTTTGTGTAAGCAATTTGGGACCTCCGCATAATTATAAGAGTGTGTGTGTGTGTGCCCTGCAGCATCGAAAGAGCCCGAGGATACGAGACCACTGGGTACTTGATATATCCATAAGTCAAACAAAATTGTAAATACTCGTATTGCCGGCGGAGATAGAAAAAAAGTACAACTTTGCGGCAATGTTCTGAAAGCAGATTAGCATTCATTCGAAGTCCTGGCGCGAAAATAATTATAGAAAAGCAATATCATGCATATCCTGAATCGTACCAATGTCCTTTATGCTACCCCGACCGTTATCATTGTGTTGGAAATTGGAGCCCTCATCCTAAGGCGCCAACATCGGTCGGCATCTCTCTGCCCCGATGGCTGCTGATTAATTAGCTAGGCCTATGAGGATATTGAAATTGGGCTATATGAACAGCCCGTATATACAGGTTCCTCATCTTTATTACCTTCTTTGCTCTTTTCTAGAGGAAGTTCTTTCATGGACCACCGGGCAGCAGTGTAGGAGAACAATTTTGTATGTATTTCCCTTAGAAAACAGTTCTCGGAGAGAGGGTATAAACATCCCCCTAAGAACGAGCAGAAAATAATATCAGAACTTACCATTAAAAATATGTCCATCCTCTTTCATCTGATTACCCCCTTCATTGCTCAACACATTGACTATGGTTCTCCAATTTCATTGCTGCATTTTTATTGATTCCCGCATGAAGCGGATCAGATAGACTTGCTTTTTGAAGGAGATTAAAGGAAAGTTTCGATAAAATACAATATTATACGATGTACTGAAAGGGTTTAGAGCTCATGATAGTGTGACCTGCCGCGTGGTTGTTGCTTTTTGCATGGGTGATTAGATTGATTTGCGCGCTGATGGTCAAAAGTCTTACATAGATCAAATTTCAGTACCTAGGACATGAAACCAAACAAGTCAGGAAGAGGACAATGCGTGATAATCGAGCAAGAAGTTACCACCTACCCTAAGCTCTCGGCTTCGCAAGTCACATTGGCACCATGGCTTTGGCAAAGTTAGGAGATTGGGAAGACTGGGGAGATTGGTCTGGAAAGCACGAAATTCTCTTATTTTAAAAACCGCGATCTCACTATGGAAACTGTCCCCTCCTTCTCCATGCTTCTCTCTATTTTAATAAATTCTTTCTAGCAGCACATTAACTCCAATCATTTGTGCCATCCAATATCCTTTTCAAAGAGATGGCCTATTGTCATCTACCTGTCATAGATCCACATGATAAAAGCCATCCACGCCTCTATTCAAAACTGTGGAATCTTAAAATTTGTTCAAGAAAAAAGGGTCTTGTTTACTTGTTCCAGTGCGTCCGTGCCCCAGTTTACAATCTACTCAAAACAAATCTACCAAAAGAACAATCAATAAGATAATGAATTGGGCAATCTCAACGAGTCAGACGCCGCCCAAACTCAAGCAAAGCTAAATCCCTACTTGGCAAAAGTAAAAGGAGTACACAATAGACAGCCTGAGAGCAAGAAAGTAAAAAGATGTAGTAATCAGATCATGTAAAATCAAATAATCGAATCAAAATTCCCAACCACAATTCCATATGAGAGTCAAAATGGCATCTCAAGTAGATCAAAAGAGGATGAAAAGATGGAGGGAGATGCAGATTAGAACGTAAGAAAGAAGCGAAAGTAAATCGACGAAGAATCGGACCCAAACACCTCGCTTGCGTTCAGGAATGTGGATGTAGATGTCATGTGCCAACTGCAGTCATGTGCGGTCGTTTCGTGGCGGTTCGTCTATGTGGGGTTTGCGTATGTATTCGTCTTGCACATTCTTTTTGGGGGGCGTGACATTTCAAATGGGAATGGAATCGAGATTTCCGTGGGATCGATCTCGGTGTTCCGGGGTGGGCCGAAGAGAAAACAGTAGCGAGTACCAATTCCAGCCCTGTCTCGGGGTTGAATGAGACGGGGAACAAGTGGAATGGTGGGTAAGCAAAGCGGTAATGAAAATGTAGAGAGTGAATCGCTCAGATAGCGGAAAAGAGTGGTGGAGATTTGATGGTTTTGGGTGTCGTTTTCTGGTTTTTTTTTTCTTTTGTATTTTTCTTTGTTGACTGCGAGGCTATGGCTGGTGCCCCACGGTCAGAGAATGGAAAGGAAAACAAATCTGTCGATTGAAAGGGACTGAACTCGCACTTGGTGATCAATTATGTTCTGTCATGTCAGAATATCTGTATTCAGAACTGCATTGACACCAAGGTGCTGTAGATGTGGCGGATAACGAAAGTAAGTCCCAATGAGAGTCGGCAGATCATTGGAGATCATGGGCAAAGCAATGACACCCGCAGTTTCGGATGATGCATCAACTTGAAAGGTAAGTCAAGTGGCAATTGAAGATGATCAACGGTGTGCGGAGTGCCGACTCAAATTGGGGGGGGGGGGGGGGAAGCCCATCACAATTTTCTCTTCGGAGGGTGAAGGTCAAGGAAAAAGCAAATTTTCAGGTGTACCCCAGCACCAGGCTGAAACTGGTACTCGGGCCATCAAGCGTATCATTACAGTCATCAAAGGCCGTTGCTGTCATAAATAAAAGGCTGCGAAGAAGGGCTGGCACGAAAACAAAGCGCCCATCTCGGTCGTTGAGGTCATTATGCAATGGGGAAATCTCGCAAAAACGAATTGACAGCGTAAATTCGCCTCTATTGGCGCACGAAGGGCATGTTCAGGATTTGCCGGCGGATACGCTCGGCATCGGAAATTCCTTCCTCAAAGGGGTCCTGCAGCGACGGGCCAGCGGCTTTCTCCTGCTCCTGAATGGGGGAGGGGTTGACCGTAGGTCTGGGGTAAGATGGGAGTCCACCGCTTGAAAAAGGATCGGAGAGCGAAGGTGCATGTCGGACAAAGCGGCGAGGGGCATCGCGACGCTTGAAACCGCCATCTAGCTTGAAAGGTGAGCCCAGTCTTTTGATGTTGTCGCCCTGCAGGCTCAACAATGGATTGGGCGGCTTGGTGACAGGGGTGGTTTCCTCGGCCTGGGATGAGTTGAGAGAGGAAGGGGGTGAGAAAAGCTGGTTGACCTCCCGAGGACCAACAGCACCACTCGTGGTGGCACCGCGGTTGCGAATGCGAACTCGGCCGTGGCCCATGCTCTGGAACTTGTTGTCGCGGAGGTAATGTTCCAAACGGTTCTGGACTTCTGCGTCGGAGGGATCCTTGTCCCCATACACGTCGCTGGAGAATACATCGTCGGAATCTCTGGGCGTCCTCTCCATCAAGTGGGTGTTGCGCCGCGCACGGCGGCCGGGCACATGCATTGTCCGGGCTGGGGGAGGGAGGTCTTGGACTTGGCGGTTCGAGCCTCCAGGTCCCCAGGTGCTGTACACAAACGGCGATCCCAAGCGCGGGATATTGTGAGCAGACTCAACGTTAAGGTGCTGGTTCGTGGGCGGGGGCATGTGGGTGTTGGGGGCTGCTTGCACCGGGTTGTTGAACCATTCCGTCTTGGGCTCTTCGGGCAAGGGGGCCTCGGCGAGCTGCGCCAGCGGAGTAGGGTCAACGGTGGAAATAAGAGAGACACCGAGGTCACGAGTGCCATAAGCTGCGGTGCTATTATCGGCGAAGTCACGGTCATGCGACTGCGCGTTTGTGGCGAGCACATCTGCGACAGGCTCCGGGCTACGAGACTGCATCATGCGCTGATAATGAGGCATAATGCAGAACTTGCGACGACATAACAGCTTCAGTCGTCGACGTGTCTTGGCGTCAGACTTGGGCCATACAGACTGGGTGGCATCGTCAGCTGCTTTGGGGGTAGAGCTGCCGCTGCGGTCAGCGGAGCGCATGGGGTGAGACTCAGTGATGCGGTGGTTCTTCTCCCAGGTCTTCTTGGCACGGCGCGAGACTCGAGACGTAACACCCAGCGGCGGGATGCTGCCAGGGGTCATCTTGAATGGAGTCATCGTCGGGTCCTGCAGGTACATCTGGTAGGTGTTCCACAGGTGGTTGTCCATCTCGCGACTCCACGACTTGTCCTTGGTCTGAGAGCGCATCACCCTATGCTTCTTGGGCAAGGTGGGAGAGCTCATCTCGGGTTCCTTGGGGAACTCTAGAGGGAAATACTGGTCGAAGTCGCTCTCGGCACTCGTACAACTCCCTCCTACCGATGGTCGCGATGCAAAAGTCTCGATCGACTCGACAGATGAGTCAGAGTGGTTTGAACAGGCGGAATCGGGGCGGGGAATGTTGTACGCGGACGGCGTCTGATCCCACGATGGCCACTGGTTTTCGGTGTCGCAGGCATCGTATTCCGCGCCGGCAATCTGCGCCGGGGGTGTCTTGAAGGCCATACGCTGGCGCGGAGGTGCAAGGAAGCGATTATCGTTGGTAGGCTCATCGGAGACGGTCGTCTCTGGTGCGATACTTTGCTGGTTCACCTCGATAGAGGGCAGAGGAACATCCTGGTTTCCTTGAAACCGGAAGAGATCCAGATCCATCCGCGCGCAGACATCAGTACCCGATCGAACGCGAACTCGGGGCAGGCGGCAGCTGGAGAAAGAGTGGCGCGGCGGAGGAGGAACGTCGATCGAAGCGGACGGCCGTTCGGGGGTTCTGGGCTCGTCGGCACTGAGAGACGGAAACGTGAAGTTTTTGGGGAGGGTACGCGAGAGCTGACGTGGAGTCATGATGACGGGCTCGCAGCCTTACGCTCGCAAAGTTTAAGGTTGGTCAAATCGATATTGTGAGAGATATCGGCGGATGGCTGAATCGAGGGGAACGTGGTCGAGGCGATTTGGTTGCAGCTTTGAGAGTCAAAGCGCGGGTCGTGAAATTGGTCGTGAATCGTGAATTGAGAAAGGAAAATCGAACGAGAGCAAAGCGGACGGTGAAGGAAACGGCGGTTGCGTGTGATCACAGAGCGCGGAATGCGCGAACTGAGGAATCGGGATAATATCACCAGATCACATCGGCTCCACCCCGGCTAAGAGGGAATGGAGAAAGTCGTCATCACCGTGAAGGAACACAAAAGAAAAGAAAACACTGCTGCGAGCAACTCTCGCAGGGGTGGGAGGGGGAGAGGGGGTGGAGAAGGGAAGGTGAGGAAGAGAGGTGAAGAGAGAGAGAAGAGGAGGTTGGGCGCCGAGTGAGGCGTCGGGGTCACCGGTACCTGGGACTTGGGGGTGTGTGCGGGCGCCAGCGGTGTACCTGCGACCTGCGCTCCAGTACTTTTTTAGCTGGACACTTGGTGACCAGATAAAGTGGACACCGCGACTTGCGCTACTCGCGAACTAAAAACCCGGTCTTCTACACGTCTACTTGGAATGTCCGGTTGTTATTGTTTAGATCTTCCTCGAGTCCTTCCCAGAGAGCATCGCTGCAGGTCGGACCTTACTTGATGCACGCTGCAGTGGGCATATAGAACAGATGGGGAACGAGTACGGAGTACCCCGAGGACTGAGGCTACGTGGAAACAACGGGAGGCTGGGAACCCAAAAGACCCAGAGGATCCAGAATCCAGAGAACCCCGGTGCCCATTGGAGGAGCCCTGGCGATGGGGCTCCATTAGAGCTCTCGTCAAGACTGTGCAGTCGATCGTGGGCTCGGTTAGCCCCTAAGTCAAGCCCCAAATGAAGTCCCAGGTCAACAACTCCTGCAAGGGCTGATCCTCCCGAGATGCTGCTGCGGTGATGGCCTTTGCATACAGCGGTTCGTGAGATGGCGCGTTCAGGATTTTCCTCTATTTACATAAAGTATAAACAACGGCTCCGAGCAACAGAGCTATATAACTCTCTTCATTCTTTTGACGGCATGGTTCTTGGAGCAGATCGAGAACAGCCAATTTTATCATTGTGCGGTGTAGCTGGCCCCGGCTCGGTCACGCCTCGTCATTCGCGAACGCCGCGACTGAAAACCCATTCTACTTCTTTTGGAAAGGTGAGACTCCACCGACGCGTCGCGTCGCGTCCACCACGCGTGTATTGTTACCCGTATTTACCTCGCACGAGCTACCCTCACGTGGACTGTCGACCTTGCACTTGCACTCGGCGACTGCCGGTAGCCTGGATTTTAATTTTACTCGAGGCTCGAGTCAGAGGCTTGTGCGAATCTGAAACATGGGACCCGATGTTCTGCCACAGTGGGACGTATCCACGCTTGATCTCACTATGACCTAAATCCCCTCCGAATGCATGGACATACTAACAAAAGATGAATCTTATTCTATTCATAGTTCAACGTACGGAATCATGTGCTGTAGCCCCAATGCGAGTACAACAGGCGTGAATATCCCGTGTACCGTACCGCGGAAAACCAAGGTGAAAAGCGCATGCGGGCCGCGACTCAAACCGCCCCGCCGATCCCCGCCGATCCCCGCCGATCCCCGCCTCACTCCCCAAGCGCAGCTAGGTCGACCTCCGGCACACGAGAACGGATCAACATCTCGATTGTCGGGTCGGTAATGGACTCCGTACCGTTCTCGAAGTTCTTGGGCCGCCCGCGGTCCTCCTTGAACTTCCAGTCGTATTTGAGCAGCAGGTGAATGAGCAGGATCTTGGACTCGTTCGCCGCGAAGAATCGGCCCGGACACGCGTGCACGCCGTGGCCAAATCCGAAGCTCTCGCGTGTGGTTGTAACTAGTTGGAATCGGTGCTCGTTGCCGGGCTCTTGGCGCTTCTTGTAGAAGCGGTAGCCGTCGTAAGTGTGCGCGTTTGGGTAGATGGATTCGTCTTCGTTGACGTGTGCTGATACTACGACGGTTGCGCCTTTGGGGATGACCGTGCCATCGGAGAGTGGGATTTCTTTGAGGGCAAGTCGGTTCATGGAGGCTGGTGATGGCCATGTGAGTGGAGGAATCTAGGACCGAAGGATGATGCACTTACTCATGCTCACGGGGTGGACTCGCTGCGACTCCTTCATCACGCTATCCATCAATTTCAACTTGAGCAGGCTGGTCTTCTTGAAGACTCCATCCTCAGCAGCAACAGCACAGATCTCATCTCGCAGCGGTTGAATATACTCGGGATACGCCGCCAAATCGTACAAGATGTTGGTCAGTAAGTTCGAAGTGGTATGGATGGCCGCCACGGACAATCCAATCTGGCCCCTGGATCGATCCATGGGCTGGTTGTACGCCGTGGAAAGCTCCTCAAACCAGTCGAGAGCATCGGTATGGGTGCGAGGCGGGTCCTCCTGGGGCAGCTTGCCGGCGCGGATCATTTCGCGCTTCTCGATCTCTCGGTCGACGATGGAATGTGCGACGGCCAGGTGCTTACGCAGCTTCTGTGTTGTCGGCAGGAACCAGTGCGCGAGCGGACGCAGGATGGATGGCCACCGGCGCAGCTCGCGGGCAGCCATGAAGGCGTCGATGGTGTAGTTGACCGAGACATTGATCCAGTCCTCGTCACGGCAGGTGTTTTCGCCCATGAAGACAAGTGTCGAGACCCGGGCGACCATATACGGGACCTTTTGGAAGAAGTTGTATGTCTTCCAGTCTGGAATGAGTTAGTATGAGACCTCTGCGATGATTTTGTCGGCTCACCGTTCGAAGGAGGGAAGGTATCTTTGACTGTCGCGGCCGTCTCCCTAGAAAGTGGGATTGTCAAAGAGCCTGGTACGCATTAGAATTTTCTATTTCCCACTGCTTGAAGCCGGAAGTGCCATACCGAGCGCCTGGGTCAACTTGATCCGGACCGTGTCAAGGATAACCTTGCCAGCACCCGCCGAGTGAAACGGTTCGAAGCCGGGAATCCGATCATCGAAGAAATTCTGATAAGGAATTAGTCCAGTCACAAGCATTCGGAGTATGCGATCAACCTTTTGTGTAGCACCCTCAAAGTCGAGGTGCGGGTGGCTTTTGATCTCATCGATGTACTTGGGATGAAGAACAATCAACGGGCTGGTGGCACCCATCACTTGGAAAACATTGATGCCCTGCCATATTTATCAGCATTTGTTGCTCGGATTCGACCGTTTCCTCCTACCTTTGCGAAGCCTTCGGCAATCAATGCCCGTGCAGAGCTGGTGAAACGAGATTTGGCCTTTTGGTTGCTTAGGTCCCACCAGCTCTTGCCCACCAACGGCACGCGGCCGTATGGGATTTCATCCGAGACATCCTTCCAGAAGCTGGAGACGAAGACGAGCGCAAGGGCGACGCAGACGCCCTGCACCAGATAGGGGGTGTCGAGCAGCTCGGTGAGAACGGCCATGTTGCAGACGGATCCCGTTTAGCTGCCAGAAAAGTTCCAAAGATCGTGAAAAATTAAAGATTATAAGGTAAAACGTGAGCCTGTCAGACAACTCCTTTTGTAAATCACTCGGGTGTGGCCCAGCCGATGCGGAGACCTAGCGAACAACTATTCGCAACGATCGGAAGCTAGACCCTCCGAGCCCTAGTAGGAGCTGAAGAAAAGGTCTGAGGACTCGGATCGGAGCCCTCCGAGGACGATTTGATATTTGCAGGGACTAAAGTCCTAGCACTATGCCAGTGGAATGCGAAAACGAAGGATCCTCGAAGAATTGCCGGATTAGGCAACTCGAGGATTACGTCTCTAACCGACTATGCGATCCACAGCTTTCCTAATCCTCTACATAGTGCTCTGCAGCCGGAACGAGATAAATTGCCCAGATATCAGGTTTTGGAGCCACGACAGAATGACTCGAGGTGAAAGCATGGCACGGCATTGTCCTCCACCGCATCCGGAGTGACCTGAACATGTATAGATATCCTGAGATCTCTAATATAGATGGGACAACACAACCGTGCATCTTATTACTCACAGAATGCAACTAAATAATTAACCGAGTGCCGTCAGCTAAGTGACAGCGAAAAGGAACGTCGAGGACAAGGATCCTGCAGCGCCAAGACCCCGCATTCAGTCATCTCCTGCGGAGGCAACTCAACCCCCCTCTCGAATACACCCTCTAACCCCATATCAACCTCATTAAATAACCTAACAACATGGGAGACTACGGCCCCGCGGCACCAGCACTCCACCCCATTCCAGTGGACAGCCCGTCCCAGCCACAGCCCCCGCCCAGCGAGATCTCAGTGTTGATAACAGGGTTTGGTGTAAGTGAAGATCGCCCGGATCGCACTCGATCCCGATCCCGATCCCAACTGACCCCCTTGCAACCAGCCCTTCAAGACAAATCTCGTCAACGCCTCCTATTTGATCGCCTCTTCGCTCCCGTCTTCTTTCACCTTCCCTTCTCCCAAGGGTGATCATGACCGCCGCGTCTCCCTTCATGTGCACTCCACCCCGATCCCCGTCGCTTATTCGACGGTTCGCGAAACCCTCCCGACTATCTTGAAGGACTACGCTGCTGCGCATGGCGGTAGACCTAATATCGTACTTCATATTGGTATCGCGTCGCCGAGGCCTTACTACTCGGTCGAGTCCCTAGCCCATCGCGATGACTATAATATCACCGATATCGATGGCCGTACCGGCTATGAGGACGGTGAGAAGCGCTGGAAGGAGTTAGGCTTACCGCCTACCCTGGCACCGGGGTCTGAGGAAGGTAAGGAGGGCGTGTATCCGCCGAATGACCATTTCCTGGAGACGTGGAAGTCGCTGGCTCCGGTGGAGACGGATCTGCGTGTCTCCAAGGACCCTGGTCATTATCTTTGTGACTTTATTTTCTATACTAGCTTGTCGCTGGCTTTGATGGAAGGTCGGGATCGAAACGTGGTCTTCCTTCACGTTCCTGCGGCGTCGGAGGATGCCGATATTGATTTGGGACGGGATATTGCCCTGGCTTTGATCAAGACTTTGGTGACCTGCTGGATCGACGAGAAGACTGCATGATCGGTCTAGAATATGCAGTTGAGAGAACCCCTTTTATGTTTGGATGATTTCAGCTTTTGATGCATCTAATGGTGCACTTCAACGTTTGCAGCATTTTCTTTCATTCTCTACTTCGCATATTCATGCGCGCATGGTGTTTACAGATCTCTCATTTGATATCCCTAAATCCAAGTTTTTATTGATATAGCCTGCTTTGATAACATAGCCAGCATATTCACCAACAGATGCACCAAAAAATGACTCATAAAAAAGAGCATTCCGTCCAGTAAGAGATACTCTCCAATTATATCCGGCATGACATCAAAACCCCAGTCTCCAACTACCCCGAGGCGGTCACCCGCAGCAAAATGCGCTTATCAATCCCGTCGGAACTATTTAACTAGAACTTGGCCTTCCGAGATGAGTATATCCTTCAATTCTTCATTCTCCCAGTCCCTCACGAACCTCAACAATGCTCGAGGCAAATACCGTCTCGATCCTAGTCCTAGCATTCTTAATCCTCTTCCCAATCTTCTTAATTCCGAAACTAAAAGGATGGACCCACACATCCCAATCCACAATCCTTCCACGGCTACGCCTATGGCGCAAACGCCAATCCAGCGAGATCATCTCGCTACGCATGTACCCAATTAAATCCTGCCGCGGCTTCGAGGTCCAGAAGACTGTTCTCAAAGAACACGGTCTCGACCTCGACCGCCGCTGGATGCTCGTCGATGCCGCGACGAATGAGTTCTTGACTATCCGCCAAATCCCAGATATGACACGCATTGGCACGGCTTTGAGCGACGATGGCCTGGATCTGCTCGTTACTATCCCGGGCGCTGAGAGCGTGCAGACTGTTCGCGTGCCGTGCCATCCGTCGCATGACTGGTTGGCAAATAATACGACCGTGGCACCAGTCAAAATCTGGGATAGTGATACAGATGGGTATATCTACAGCGACAGCGTCAATGCCCCCTTCTCTGCGTTCCTGGGGCGACCAGTCGCGCTGGTTTACAAGGGTCCGACACCGCGTGTTCTAAAGGGAAACGGCGCGCCTAAACTTCTGGGCCGTGTCCAGACAACCGGATTCCCTGATGTCTTCCCTATCCTTGTCGCCTCGGAAGCGTCGCTCTCGGAACTGAACGTCCGTCTCCGTCAAAAAGGCGTAGACCCAATTACCGTCGAGCGGTTCCGACCTAACATCGTCATCCGGGGTGAATCGCCCTGGAGCGAAGACTCCTGGAAAACAGTCCGGATTAGCGCGGAGAACAAAGCGCCGCTGGATCTGGATATTGTGGCGCGGTGTGCGAGGTGCCTGGTGCCGAATGTGGATCCGGATACGGCGGCTAAGCATAAGAAGCAGCCGTGGGATATGTTGATTTCGTATCGTAGGGTCGATGAGGGTATTAAGTGGAAGCCTTGTTTTGGGATGTTGGGTGCGCCGAGGAGTGAGGGTGTTGTTGAGGTGGGTATGCGGTTGGAGGTTTTGGAGGAGACTAACGAGCATCGGTATATTACTGGGTTTTGAGTGGTGAGGATTCTAATTTGTATTCATGTATAGATCCAACATTGGATGACGCTTAAAAGTAATGAAGTGTGAGTAAAGAGGTGAAACCGATTCGAGTACGTATAGGCCTCCCTGATACTATTATTGCATCCCATGAAATTTGGGATATCACACCCTACTGCCTTGTATCTAACTCTCAGTGTATGGAGTCACCTTGAACCCACGCCTTGGAACGTGCACCCTCACACTCATATCTCCGATTGTCTCAATCGTCACTTCCTTGATATTGAAACCAATGAGTTTCCCTAAAGTCTTGCGTCATGAGCCTGGATCGTTTCTTAAAAAAGGGATTGTTCTAATAAACCAGAAAGTTGAATAGTTTAAAATGCCTTCATCTATCTTTGAGGCCTCCAAAACAATGATTGGGAAATGCCCTATATTTGAAATTTGTGGGTCAAACAATTGCTGATCCGGATTCTTTAGTAGAGATTGTGTTATGCCAAGAAATTGTGGTGCAGTATGTACAGAAGAACGTATATGTAAATGTAAATATTCTATCCATTTAATTTGACATCATTCACGTTGCCCTCCGACGTGGCACTGTAATTCAAACCAGATCTAGTCCATCTGCGCAAACGCCTCCAGCGCCTCATCTAACCTTCCAAATACACCGTCATGCCACCCCTTCAACGCTTTCCATTCCTTCGCCGGCAACATGCCTCGACTCATACGCAACCATCCCCCCACAATAAAATCCGCATAGCTTGCCTTGCTCCCCTTCAGAAACGGTCCACTCACATCCTTCTTATACAAGCTCGCAAGCCCACTCAGGGCCTCTTCAAATGCACCCAACAACTCCCCCCTCTTATCCTCACTGACCCCTAGAGTCTCCCACGGTGCTCCCACCCTCTGCGAGAATATCGCCTTGCACTCCTCCGCAGTAGCAGGGTCGAACGGAAACCCATCCAACATCAGCTGCGTATGCGCAGTAAATGCAGAATCCACATTCGTATTAAACTTCACGTATGCCGTAATATGGCCCTCCGCCCCCTTTGTCTCTGCAATTGGCGCGTGAAGCTCCAAGTTCTGCCCAAAGACGAAGTCCAGCTCCTGAACCGGGAACAAGTCCCCGGCCCCCGAGGACGGGTATTGTTCCTGCAGGTACATTGCAATTTCAAAGGAGTCGCCCACTATGCGCCCGGTGGCTGGGTCGGAGATAACGGGGAGGGTGTGGTAGGGGGTTCCGTCGGCGAATGTGCGCGAGGCGGGGATATTGAGAGCCCCGCGGACGGAGCTGACGTCGGGCAGGGGCACCCAGGTTGTTTTGTAGGGAGTCTTTTTGAAGTTCAGGGCATAGCGGGTTTTCCAGGGGTTTGGGGAGCAGGCTGTTTTTTGGACGGGGGGTGCGAGGGCGATGTCATAGAAGGTTATTAGGCCCGTGGTGGGTGATGTGGAGGTCGATGTTGTGGGTGCCATGGTGGTATTTTCACGAGGAATTGGAGTTGAAGGAGGTATTCGAGTGTAATGTACTCCGTAAACCCGATTGGAGTTTGTTTTAGGCTGTTAATTGATCCCGGGAAGAGCAGTTCTATATATACCGATTCGTGTGGGGGGCGGGGCTGGTTGAGTCAGGAAGAGTCATGCACGATGTGGGGAATGGCCCGCATGCAGTATGTATGTAAAAGGCCTAGTGTATATTGCGCATAATGACTCGGATTTTGTAACAGCTAAATTAGGAAAACTTGGCAACTTTATTTAACTACGGTTCTACCGGGTTCGTGTAGGCGTCAGCACTAACGGGAGAGCTAGCTGCCAAAGTTGAAGAAAAGTCGAAAAAGCTCATAGAGACACAGGTGGCACCATGACACAGAGCGTGACCGTCAAAGAGAGTTCGACAATTGAAAACAAGGGAATCACATCAAAAGAAACGCGCAAATAAGTTGCATATACAGATGGTGGGCCCTAAAGCCCTGATACACCTGACTCGAAAGGCAAGGTGGAGGGCAAATGGCAAGTGCGCGTGACAGTAGCGGTCCTACGTAGACAAGCTCCTTTTTTTCACGCGTACAGCGTAGTGCAAAGCCAGCTTCACCGTTCCACACTCTCCCCTTAATTCTGGGCCCCACCGCCAAGATGCTAGCTTGGGAATTGGGTACATTTCGTGGACCTTTGTGCATCGCGTCATAAGCACTTTGCTTCACATTACCTCCGACCAGGTCTACTTCACATGGCTATGGAGTGTCACTAGGAGAGGCGCAAAACTCACCGGAGACAACACCTAGGAACATATCCCGTATGCTCGCTAGAAGTCGATAACAAAAATCTCCTAATTTCCACCCCTTAATTTCACGTTTACCTACTCGTCTCTTGACTTTGAATTAACAGTGAAATGGATTAAGCTAACCTTGGTGCTAAAAAAAGAATCAAAAGCTTATTATAGTCGGGCATATACAGTATGTATATCTGTTTTCATTTCTCCTCAACCTCAACGTTCACATGTGCGAGCACCCAGTATTTTTTGGTGGTTATCTTTCAACACGATGAGTGACTCCGCTTTCTAATGAAATTGCGGCGTATGGATGATGCCAGTCACCCGATATCATATTATTGTTCAAACGGCGGCCGAGGACACTGGCCAGACTACATTAATAACCACCTTGCTGATCATCAGCCACTATTTTACTAGTATTTGTCTTTTCTAATACCCTTTTGTTAAGGATCTCACGTAATTGTAGATTTTTGACTCGAGTAACAGTATGGAACTGATCATGAGGTTAAATGTTGTGTTTTGGATAGCTCAGAGCAAAGGAGCGAATGGTGAAGGGCAGAATCGTGAAGTGGCAGTGTGCATTGAAAGAAAGAATATGTGGATGTCGACGATAAGAGGGAACCACATCTAGTGGTGAGATAAGTCGACTCCCACCTCTTAATGATCGCTTAATTATTCTGTTCGTGGCTTGGTTTCAGTGTCGCCCTCGGCCGCCCGTATAAATTCCACAATAGATAGCGCGCCGTCCATGTAAAAGGAAATTCATGAGCCTAAGTAGGTGCAAACCTAAGTAGGTGCAATCATGGAGCAAAATTATCGTTGCCGGAAGAACGCGGAATTATTTCTGATGTGAATCAATCAGCGATCTGTAGCAAATATATCTTCAAAGATAAGATAGATTTGTTCACGTACAGAATTGCCACAGTTAGGGCACTGACAGGTGCCAGGGGCACAGGTGCAATTTCCCGAATTTGTGCAGCCGCAACCAGCCATATTGAGTAGTCAGGTGTGTCAGATTTGAGATGTGAGAGTTGGAAAGGTATGAGCAAGTTTGGTTGCAGATAATTCAGAAAGGTGGCTATTAATGGTATTTAAGTTAAAAATGTATGACCAGCACAGTGGCAAATTTCCAACTACGTAATGTGATTGATAAGTTAATTTAATTCACTTTCACCAATACTCAGTCTACTGTAGTATTCAACTAACTATTAAGAATACGTGAGCCCGGGGCCTTGGAACCACATTTTTGCCACTGCCAAGGTGCGGGCAGTATACTCACATTGGTGGAGATCCATCTGGACCCTGGTAAACTCATATATAAAGATCATGAGGACGCCTGGTTGGGCCAATTATAAAACCGATGTTACATTCAGACACACTATGATGTCATGTTGCCGGATTGGTGACATGAAGAGGGGTGTGTACTAGGCCTCGCCAGAACCCGCGGTGGGCGGTCAAGAGGGTGGGAAGGCGGCCTTTTTTGACGTCCAAAGCGGACATTATCGGCCTCAATTTCACAGGTCCTCGGATTCTAACGGAATCGGTAAGCGAGCGACGCATGTGAGCGAGCGGCGCACCCCAAAACACCATAGTAAATGCGATATTTAAGAACACCATATTTCAACCATGACAAGTTTGTTCTACTTAGCCTTTAGTGATCCACTGATTTAGAGCATAAACAGTCAAATTTGAAAGTCTGGGGTAATTTAATTATGATATCACTACATTTAGATAAAATACACTTTAATTTAACTACCTGAGCTTCAAATGTCATCGATTCATCACACCTTGAAAACTTTCGAGACCTTTAAATACCTTTAGACTCATTATGAAGGACATTTATTTATTGGAAGTCCCTATGAGAAGCTATGGGTGTTCAGATATCAAGTTGTAATTAATCGCATTCACTATGGTGTTTTGGGGTGCGTCGCTCGCTTACCGATTACGTTAGGAGGATGGGGGTACATAATATCAATTCCCTATATTTATTGACCTTATTTCACAACTCACTTCACTCTTATAATATACGTAGATTGTATATAACTACCTAGATCCTGAGTATAGCTCTAATGCGCGATTCTTCTTCTCTCGCTATATACGCATTTTGGAGCAAGTTTCCCAAGCTTGTCCTATGAATAATCATCCACTTAAATTGTACTTGGGGAGGCATTGAACGTACTTTTCCAGTCTTAAAACATGATGACTAGGTCATACTCAATTTCTTCGCTCGTTTCAGTTGCCAGATTTAGGCTTCAGCGAATCTAGAAGGCTACTCTTTGGCATACCCAGTTCCAGAAAGTTATCTATCTCCTCATCCAGTCTTTCCAAGAAGTTCTCCTTGTTCCAAATCGATTTCCATACGACGAGGCCTTTTTACTCCCACAGCGCTTTGGGACTTGATTCTCGGCCATTAGTATAGTGACTGTATCCTATTATCGACCCCATATCAAGTTACCTAGCATTCCACATACTATTTCGGCCACCATCTCATCGGAGGGCCACGTTTTAGTTGATACTTATGTGACTAGACCACGAGAATGTAATTTTGCCACAAGCCGGTCCAAAAATGTTCCACCATGGCACGATATGTGAGACGAGGAAATAGTAACCATCTTCGCCAGGTGGGAGCTGCTCACCTCGAAGATTTGCTTCGAGGAGTTGAACTTAAAATGCTGCTACGTTATATGCGCTAAAGTCTCATTCTATCCAAGGTGCACAGTTGGGTTTGGTCGAAGGCCAATGTCCTATTGCATTTGATAGAAACTTATTCGGTTTTCGGCAAATCTGTATAACTGCTATTTGGAAAGGGTTTGACATTTTTATGATAAAGTGTTGGGTGAGAGAACTAGAATTCTTGTAATTCCGTGCAACATGGCTCTGTTATCGCAGCCTGTACCTTTCGCATAACGGCGACATATTTTATTGTGCCTCCCTAGTCAAAGGGGTTTCAAAATTCGCTATATTTCCTCCGTAGACAGAAAAGACACATAGAGAATGGGTGACGCGTTCACGATGGAATGGACCGTCTCAAAGTCGTACTTGGCTCATTTGCGATGGGGCGTACAGTGTTGCGTGCTTGTAGGGGATAGAATCTTTCTACGCCGATGTGAATAGCTGCGGAAATTTGTAGACAGGACTTTAGGTCGGCAACGGGAAAGAGGCAGGAAAGAAAGAGACACGATAAATTCACTGTTCAGACTGCTTTCGAGCAAAGATGCCGCATGGGGGTACCAATTAGGACAGCCTAGGGATGAGTCACCGCTAACCATGTTCGTCTACAAATACCTGCGCTTCATCAAACTACAACCTTCTAGGTGCTAGATAACCTGTTCTTTCATATAGCCTTTGGAAAATGCAACCCCCATCAACATCGCAGTTATACAAACTAGTCAGCCATCCCGGCGACCCAGCCTTCAGACTCCAATCCACATCAACAGACCTCATCCTCCGTCTCCCAACAATCACCGAAATTTCAATTCTAGTCGATATTTTAGAAAACAAAGAAAATTCGAAATTCGACAAGTCCATCTCCGAGGCCACGTCCGAAGAGCTGGAAACTATTGCCTGGCGGTGGACAACCATCTCACGGCCTCTAACTCACCTCAACTTCCTGATCTGGCACCACAAGAATCCCATCGGAATTGCGGGGCTGGGTTGGATAGGGGCCTGTGATGCAAACGATGGATCCCGAGCTGGCGCGGCCGGCGTCCTGATTCAGCCTTTTGCGAGAGGGAAGGGGCATGCGTACGAGGCTCTTAGGATGGTGGTTGATTATGGGCTACGTGAGCTAGGGCTTATGGAGATTAGAATCGCCAGTCATTCTGGGAATGTTCCTATGAAAATGTTGATGGAGAGAAAGCTCGGGTTGAGGCCTGAGGTGCGTGAGGACGGCGTTGATCAGTTCGGGAATGATCTTTTGTGGATTGTAAGGAAAGAGACATATATCGCTTGAATTAGATTTTGCACTCTTGCAGAAAGCGAGTAGAAATCGTGTTTCTACTTTCACGGATTGATTCCCGATCGTAAAAAATGGGACGGCACGGTATGTAACCACAGGAAGCGATCAGCTCCCGAGTTGACGGGTACAACCTCGTTTACATGAATACGCAGTACTTCCGGAGGCTCGGATAAACAGCATACTAACAACCGTGGAATAATTGAATCGCGCCACTCCGGCAATTGTGCACAAAATGATCGCACTTCTTTTCATAGTCATAGTTCGGTGCTCCTGGGAATTTTTAAGCGATGTGGGCCGTGTCTAAGACTCGGGTGGATTGACTTTGGAATGTTTCAGAATCTTCTCAATCAGATTGGGTGTTGATGGACCCGGAGCCGTGGATGAACAGCCAGAATGAAGTGCTGTGCCCTGTGGAGCTGTGGACCCGAGTTACACCGGCACCTCGTCAGGGCCCGGCAATGTCTTTGTTTCTTCCACTGTCCCATAAATAAAAATGTCTTCGCTTCTTGACTCAAGCAACATATCTTTCTCAAATCAAATCCCCAACGTCATTCTCCAGAAAATCCCGCCATGAAGCTTGGCGCGAGTCTTCCTCTGCTAGCAAGTCTGCTGTCCATCAGCATTCCAGCTCAAGCCAAACCCTCCAACCACTCAATTGCCCAATGGCTCTACACCAGTGACATTGATGACGAAGCTCTCACTCTCCTGAAGCGTCCCGAGATCCAGGGTGTCCAAAGCCTGTACACCTGGAAATCCCTGGAGCCCCAGCGAGACCAATACGACTTCTCCGCTATCGCCAACGATCTCAACCGCACCCGGTCCCAAGGCAAGCACCTCTGGGTCCAGATCCAAGACCGCTCCTTCAGTACCGCCTATAACCCAGTCCCGAACTACCTCCACAAGCCCATCTACAATAACGGCAGTGTACCCCAATGCGACGGTGATGACTGCGGCAACAATTTCGTCCCCGGTGGCTGGGCAACCTGCCAATGGAACCCGCACGTCCGCGAACGATTCCAGCGCCTCCTGAAAGCTCTCGCCATCGCGTTCGACGACAAGGTATACGGATTCAACCTCCCCGAAACTTCTATTGAAGTCGAATCCAACACCACTTCTGGCTACACATGCCAGAAATACTTCGAAGGAACCCTTGACAATGCGGCCTACGCCGCCAGCGTCTTCAATCGCTCCTACGTCGTGCAATACGTCAATTTCTGGCCGTGCGGCTGGGCAAACGAGAACAATTACATGTCCGATTCGTTCGAGTTCTTCGCTGCAAATGGAGTCGGTGTTGGTGGACCTGATGATATTCCCTACAAGAAGACGATGGAAAACAATGCTTATCCGTATATGTCCAAGTACCGGAATAAGGTGCCCATTAATGTTGTTGCGGTGCAGGAGCCTGACTTGGCTGCGACTAATCCGAAGACGAATAAGCCTTTTACCAAGGATGAGTTCCTGGATTTCGCGGAGAAGCAGTTGGGTTCGCAGATCTTGTTTTGGGCTTTGTCCGCGCCGTGGCTGCATCAGTGATTGGCGTGAGGGAAGAGTCCAAGGCTGCTCTGTATTTGTGTACTATACTTGAAGATGATCATCTACCCATATAGAATATAGAATATATTAGGTGCCCAGGCGTACAACTGGTTGTGCTCCAGATTCACAATCTTGGCATAATCCGTGTTTTCGGACACCATCCATGACCTTGCTCAACAATTCAGGTACGGCCAGGCCAGATGCTTCGGATTTATCTTTAATTTCTCTCAATCTACCTTCCCCGATGGCTTTTCGGTAAACAATGACGGGCAAAGTTTCCCGCATCCGAGGGGAGGGCACGTGATGACATCACCACTTCTTGCGGCTCTGGACGCGTCCGAACGCCAATTCTCGGCTATTCCAAGAATCAGATATCATTTTGACAAAAGGACAGTCTCGGGCCAGTTAGGATATTGACGTATCCAAATAATCAACATCCCAGGGTACTTGCACCTCATGGCGTTCCGATAGGACGTTGGTCCAGGGGCGTTTCGATTATGACCCACTCGCTACAGACAAACAACTTGGACAACATCAGTCTTGCCACGCAGATTCTAGGCTTTAGTATCGTATCGCCTCTTGTCGCGCTGCGGGCTTTTGCTAGTTATAAGTTACACCACCCGTTTGGCGTTGAAGATGGTATGTGCCCTTTCATATTGTCCGCATCTTTGCTCAGCTAATCCTCGAAGCAACATGTTATATGGCATGGGTATGAAATTACCTACCAACTCGATGTAGGCAGGCCTAACGAGAATCAGCTGCTCTTCGTGGGGCATTCCATTTGCACCCTATTCTGTACGGAACCTATCTCAACCAGCGGGCTCAACAAGAATTGCTAATAATCTCTCGATGCAGACACGTACACCGGCGGCACAGTCTCCGACGTGCAAGGAGACGACCTTGAAACCAAATACAAAGTACTTCCCTTCCAAACCCCTCTATCAACCAAACCTAAGAAAGCAGATCTTCTACATAGCAACAATTTTCTACGTCCCAATGGTCCTATTCGTCAAGACCTCCCTAATCTACATATTCATCCGCCTCTGGAGTCCCTACCGCGGAAAGGTCATTGCACTTTACACCTTCCTGATCTTCATCACTCTATACTATATCATCATTTTTTTCGTCAAGATCTTCACCTGCAACCCCGTCAGCCTATACTGGAAAGTCAACCGCCCCGTCGGTTCATGTCTTAATCGATCCGCTATTATCGTCACCGACTCCGTTATCAGCGTCATCACTGATCTGGCTATTCTCGTCTTTCCTATCGTCTTGACCTGGTCTATGCATATGTCTGTTTCTAAGAAGTTGCATGTCATCGCCATCCTTGGGGCGGGTAGTATCGCTATCGCGTTTAGTATCTACCGGTTGGCACTGTCTATCAGTGAGTTGGGCACTGATAATAAGGTTGTGTGGTTTATGAAGGTTTTCTTGTCTGAGTAAGTCAAGGGCCTTGTGTTTAACTAATGGGTCGTGGCTGATTAATTGCAGTAGTGCGGAGGGTGGATTGGGATTGATATGTACCTGCATTCCGACTATCAATAAGCTTGCTACTGAGGTTAATCGGAAAAGACGGGTGAGGAGGGAAGAGAAGCGGAGGCTTGAGGTCGCGAATGCGAGACCTAGTTCGAGGCGGAGTGATGGGGACAGCGCGAGTTTGTTTTTATATAGTTTGCCTCATATATCGAGCCAAGATTCTTAATGTAAATTATTTGATTTGGGCAAAGGAGATGTGTGCCCACCACTACACTCTACAAGCCGAAGTCTTGCCACAGACCCTGTACCACAGCAGATGTTGTATCCGCGGTGTAGAGAATATGGATCATCGACACTCAACAACGTAGCTTATAGCCGCACGCACCAGTTGTGCCCTCACTGTACCCTGTTGCCCTTTGCATCTGGGCGCAAGTTTTGACCTCATTTCCAGCCGTGTATCGATCCACAGTACCCACTGAGAGGCACATATCCTTGAGTCTCACATTCCGTAGGCTGTCGCTGTCATTGTATCAGTAGAAACTCTCAACGGAGCGGGTATTATGCGTACCCGGCGTGGACCAGCCGGCCAACTTGATACTTTAAGAGAGAGCTCCGTAGATGTCACAGCGTATGGAGCAGGACGCGCCTCTGCTCGTGTCCCAGGTCATTGCGCTCACCCTGCTCTGGTCATGAAGCTTGATAGTTGCGTATGAGCCACGCATCTACAGCCTGGCTTCCTCTGCATCTTGAAGCTGTGAGCGAGTGTATCTTCAATGGTGATACGCGTATTCGACACATGTACTCTACACAACATCCAACACGAGAGATCTACATTACGCTACACTACAAGTCAAGAGAATACAGTTCAAGTATTACTACGCTACGCTACAGCCAAAGAGAGTACAGTTCAACTGACACTACAACTACACTACACTACAAGCAGACGGTCATACAAGCGAACATCTGCAAAGCACAACCCTTGGGATCCCCCTTAGGCCCACACACATCAGTGCGAGCCGTCAAAGGTACCTTCAGGGTGCTGGTGCAAACATGGGTAACTGAGAGGGAGGGAGGGGGCGAGATGAGGTGAGGTGTAGGGAGGCGAGCGGGAATAGGGTTGACCTTAGGGAGTTTACGCCGATGACAGCCCGACTTCGAGAGAGGAAAGGAAGAAGAGAAGAGAAGGGAGGGTGGAGGAGGGGGTATTTATACTCAGGCCTGCTGGGGCCTTGCCTCTTTGGGACGAACGGGTGCCTTTGGCGATTGCCATTCATGGGGGCATGTGATGCTGGATTCTGGAGGGTTCCGGTAGGAGTGAATTGTGTAGTACTCGATGGGAATTTCTGCGGGGGTCAACGAGGTGATGTGACTTGTTTTGTCTAGTAATGCTTTGAGGAATATGTACATGATCTATCCTAGTTCTTCAACTGCTTGCTTGCTGATACGCACCAGTTGTTCCATTCTGTGAAGAAGGATGGCTGGACGTGGCACTTTGTGCTAATCAGCTGTTCCTTTCGGGTTGCGGCGTAGACGTCCACCACGTCGGCGATGGCGGCCTTGTCGTCCGCGACAAGCACCTTGACCACAAGCAGCGATGCCTGGCTGGCGGCAGCTGCATGTGCGGGAGGTCCGCTGTGGCTGGCTTCCTTGTGGATAGCGCGCAGGAGCTCCCAGACGGGCTCGGCTTCGCCGTCGATCTTGGGCACGGCATTGCCCTTGCACAACTTGGTATACTCGCGCAGCACACTGTTGGCCTTGCCGGCGATCTGCTTCACGGAGGAACGGCGTGCGAGGCGGAGAAGAGGCAGGAGCAGGTCTAGGGCAAGAAGACGCGTGTGGCATTTCTTCACGAAGATCTCGATCAGGTCCAAAACCCGGTTCTTGAAGTTGACCATGTTCTCGCGCGCGTCTTTCTTGTCCTTGATTTGGGAGGCGGCTTCCTTGCGGGCTCGGAAGACGTTGGCCAGTTGGGCGTCCACTTGTTCCATCTCGTCATCATTCATGTCGGCGTCGGAGTCGGACTCGGCGGCATCTTCGTCTGCGCGGTGAGTGCCCAGGGCGGCGGCCAGTTTAGCCTCGAAGGCGGCGACATCAGCAGCGTCTTCCTCTCCTTCTTCCTCCTCCTCCTCTTCTTCGTCGGAGTCGGCGTCTCCAGAGGCGTCGCCTGCCTCGATGACCTCGACGTCGCTGTCCTCTTCGTCGACATCGATCATCTCCTCGTCGTCGTCCTTGTCATCCTCATCATCCTCCTCAACATCATCGTCGTCTTCTTGGTCGAACATCTCTTGCTGGCCGGCCAAGCTCTCCTTGGCTTCCAAAATCTAAAACACAGTCAGAATTTAAAAGCACATTGGCATAGAAAAATGCAAATACGTACCGAGATCAACGACTCCAAGCCATTCTCAGTAACCTGGTCCGCAAAGGCACCAAATACCTGCTCGCTCATACGACGGAACAGCTGCGACTGCTTCGAAGCAAAGGACAGTAAGATTTCCACTAGCGCATCCGAGGCATCGGAAGTGTCCTCCTTCTTCTTCTTCGAGCCCTCATCGCCCAAAAACTTGGTGTAGCAGAACTCCAACTCATCCAGCATCGATACGGCATCGGCGTCACCACTGTACACTTGCAGCACAGTCATGGAGTAGAGGAGCTTGAAAGCAGAGATGCTGGAAGTCTCACCCTTCTTCTCCCTGCTGGAGAGCTTCTTCAATGACTTGAAAGCGGTCTTCACGGAATCCTGCAGCTTATCATCGATGCTGATGATGAATTTGCCGTACTCTTCGGACTTGGCTCCATCGCGGATCTGGCGCACGACGGCGTAGGGAATGGTCGTGGCGTACTTCTGCGATGCGAGGAGACTGTTCAAGGACGAGTTGATTCGGTTCCGAAGAAGCTCCTGCGTCGCCTGGGTAAAGGCCGGTTCGGGCACAGACTCGCGGGCACCGTCACCCTTGAAGTATGCAAAGCGCACGAAAGTGGACAGGATCTGCTCGAGGACTGACTGGTAGTCATCCTCGGAGTCCTTGTCACCGGTAGAAGCCTTCGAGCGCACGATTGAAAGGAGAAGGTGGGCGACAAACTGGCGGTTGGAAGAAGCTCCCTTCTCCTCGGTTGTGCCGGGGCGGCTGAGAAGCTGCTCAAGCATGGGGACAATCTCCTGCAGAGCCTCGAGATTGGCCTCGGTCACGATCTTCTCGACAGTCTTTGTCTTCGTAGCCTGGTCAAAGTTGATCGTGCCACTGGTTTTCATCAAGCCACGCACTGCTGCGGCAGCGAAGCTGGGCTCCTTGGACACACGGGCCGGAATGGCCTTGGAGGCCTTGACGGCCATCCGATGGAGATAGCGGTCCTCGACTGCAAGCTGGTTCATCAAGCACCGGACCAGGTTCTTGGTGAAGATATGGGATGCCTGCTGCGATGAGCCGTCGTTGAGAACTTTGTTGAAGAGAAGGAATCCCCAGTACTTGCGCTCATCCGACGAGGCAGAGGCAAACAGACCATTGTCCACGACTTCGAGCCAGAAATCGGCGAAACTCAAGCGAGCAGACTTGGACTTGCTGCTTCCGTCGCTGGTTCGCGAGAGAACTGCATCCCAAGCAAAGTGGAGCTTGGAGTTCCACACTCCAGAGGATTTGGCTTTATTATCGCCCTCGCCCTGCTCGGAAGAAGACTCCTTCATAATCTTGGACAGACTGCCGCGCTCCTTGGGGTCCAGCGGATCATCGTGCTTCCAGATCTTGCTGGGGAAGTTGGCCTTGGGGAACATGTCCTTGGCAGCCAGCCAGATCGCAACGCCTTCCGGGGACGGGGCCAGATTATACGAGCACAGGCGTTCCACAGCAGCCTCCACGAACTTCACATCCATATTGCGCGAAGAGAGATCGTAGACACAGCGGTAGATAATCCAACCGCACTCCTCGCGGAGCCAAGGCTTCTTCTGGGCGAGTTCGAAAATCAGATCAAGGACCCTGGTCCAGTATGTGAACGGCACGAAAGGCTGAAAGAGGACGGCGGATTTGATGAGCGCTTCAGCGCCGAAGAGACGGCCGAAATGGTGGTCACGTTGTTCCTGTTCGCGAAATCAATTAGCAAGGCCACTTCTGGCTCTCATGACTGCAGAGGCATACCTGTCCCGACTCGCCGCCGGTGGCATTGGTTTGAGTCTCCCAAAGCTTGAGCGCATCCTCAAGGCTAAGCTGCGAGTCCTCGCGCTTTACCGAAAAGATCTGCGTCAGGACTTCCGTCAAGGCAATCGAGAATCCAATGCGCGCAGCCTTGCGGGAACTGCAAAGACCACGGAACAGTCGCTGGAGTGCCTTCTTGATCTGGTCATCTGTGGGGTTCTTGTCGGGGGTGAACTGCGACACGAGGCCCTGTGCAGCCTTCAGACGGATCTCGTCCTTTTCGCTGGCAAGGTCTTCATAGATCTCGACGAGCTTGGTGTCGACGTTGTAGAGCTCGCGGCGCCGCTTGAAACCCATTTCGTAGATGGGTATGCTAGCCAATTGGCTTGCAATGTGGCGATCGAAGGGTATGGCTTCGGAAATGAAGCTGGTCAAGCGGATGCTCCTGGCTGTTGGACATTGCTCGCGGAAGCGCAGAAAATTCGGGAGGCGGTTGCTTCTTTGGGTTTAGCGCGTTGCGATAAGCCGATAAGGATTTTGTCAACCCGGGGTTGATGCTGTCGATTAACTCCGTTGCGGGGGAATTTGTAGAAATTATTGATGAAGCGTTGGCTGTTAGGTGTGCTCAAGGCTAATTAACCGGTGTTTTCGGCCTTCAAAACTGGTTGTGGTGCTATTGGCGGTGAGTTTGGGTGTAACAGATTGGTGATATATCTCGAGTTCTTCACTCTTCAGTCATTTTACATCGCAAATTATAGATGTCATCCAAAGCCACTGTACGAGTCATAAGAGCGCCCTCAAGGCTCCAAGCTCACACCTGCAAGCTCCAAGCAATTGTTTCTACAGTTCCTACAAAATTTTCCTAATTGCTCTCGCAGTCCATTGTTGTCCGGCCAACTTGCTGGCCCAGGCGCCATCAGCAATTCGCAAAACCAAGACAACTCCCAGACCAAAGTATACAAGTACCAGACAGTAAGAACCAAAAATTCAACTATTGACACTTTCAATATTCTGAACCTTCAGCTGAAGCAAATAAAACGAGATGATCAGTAGTCCGCAGCTCATCTCAAAATTTGACGAGTCCTCCCGAAGGCCTTCAGGGGAAGCCTGGAACGAACGGGCCAACCAACCCGGGTACACCCAGCACCGAAAAAATCATCATCCGGAAACCAGCATAGCTAGAACCATCACACCCGGTGCCTGATCCATAGTCTATAGATGCCTCTTCCCGATTCCGCGTCGACGTTGTCTGGGTACCTGCACAAGCTATTGAATTGGCGTACTCATCGTGCCGAACTCACAATCCACAGACACAACTGAAATCTGATGCATTGCAAGCGAAGCAAGTTATTCAGTAGGCAGAAAGGCAGAATTGCGGATCATAGGATTCGTGGCAAATGTATTCGGGGCGTTGCAGAAAGTTCGGTTGATATATACTGAGAATAAACTCCGTCGAGCATGGCAACCCAGGCAACGAGGGCGGGACGGCGAATATATCAAGTGTGTTCTACTCCGGAAAGCTGTCTAGACCGCATTTCCTCATGCATTTAACTTTATCCTGCAGCAATGTTGGAGTTGACATGTACAGTTCCACGGAGCGGAGGTCTACGTGGGTTTGCGCCATGCGTTTACCATGCGTCTAGGACATGACAGCTCCCGTGGCGGCTGCATCATTGGGTCTGCGGGGGGTACAGGATTGGGTAGGTGGACATGAAGATCGGTGTTCGTTTGTTTTTGTTGTGCGACGCTATTTAAATAAGGTCTTTACATGTCCATTGCAGCGGTAGATTGACCGATCGCTCTGATCTATCGCGGGACACATGCTTCAAAATAGGTTTGGGGCCACGAATCGGGGCTGTGCATTGGGCGGAGTTGTCTTTCCTGGATGGGGTGTAGACTGCTCACTAGACGGGCGATAGTATCATGGTTCAGGGGCCCTCATGCTGCTAGTCCCGGTTGCTGACAGGCACGAAATAGACGGGGCATGAGCTTTGACAGTTATGGCAGCCGGGGCATTCAATTCAATAGTGCTGCAGATCGGGGATGCCGAATAGCCTGGTCGTAATTGACAACTCGAGCGCGAGACGATGGGAGGCCTGGATGTGAGTATGGGTATTTCAAGTATTGGTGGTGTATTTAGATACAACCTCAGAAATAATCGGGCAAATTCAAGATCTGGACGCATGTATTGTTATGGCTGATGTCACTGATGGGGGGTCATGTCACGGGATTCCGCATTGGGTTCGCGTTTCCCGAGAGTTTGGTTTGTTTATCAACGCGCCCGTCAACAACTGACATCACCACGAGAGGAGACACATGGAGGGGAGACGGTCCAGACACGCGGAGATGTGATGACCCCGCAGCCGCGACTGGACATTATCGGCTGGAGGAAGCTTGCGACTGGTCCATTGCACATGGCGCCGTGACGCAGCTGACGGATCATATAGTCTGCTCCCCCCCGACCCCACCAGAGTAGGCCGTAGCGCAGCGGAGATCGGACAAGACCGACCAGACACCCCGGTCGATATTGGGAAAGAATCCTGTTCAGCCCAGCAGGATGCAGCCGCCGACCTTTGTGATTGGCACATCTAGCTGCGCGACAGCTGTAGAAGGCTATCTGAGCCCTAAGCGAGATAAACAAAGACGCTCGGTTTAGCGACGCGTTCGTTGTCAACAACGCCCAGGTTGCAACGTCATGAACCGTCATAGAATCATTGTGCCCGGTTAGCATGATTGAATTTTCAAGAATCGGTCGACTACAGTGTCCGCAAGTGACGTAGAAACACGGACCAACATGGGGTCAACGCTGCGCACTTTTTCGACATGGGAGTGTATGTACATTGTACACCGCAATGGGCACAGGCCTGCTTCAGGTCTGTGATAGAGCAAGTCTGACTGCAGCAGCTGCGTGATGTATGGTGCGGGTCCATGAGCTGTCTGGACCGGGAAGAATCAACCGGCGTTTCATTGAGATCTCACAGTGCCTAGAATAGTAAGTCGTGGGGTACAGCAGTGGGAGGCGGTCCGGTGTCCATTGTAACTGGTCCGATTGTCGCCGACTCCATACACTAGGAGTTTCAGGTCTCATCATAGAGCCGCGTTGATATCACGGTGGCAAACTCGAGAGAATTCCGCTGTCTTGAGTTTACCTAGCGCGTTTGTAACACCAGATCCAGGCCAATATCGACGCTCATTAAAGTCAATGACCTGATGATCTCCGTGACGAGCGCCGACCAGTGCCGGAGTGGATAGTCGGACCTGTTCGGACCCGCGCGTTCGACGACACACCCAATGTTTGGACTGTTAGCGTGATAGCTGCCACGGGAGCTCGGTCCTGTTGACCCCTCAATTGGATATCAGTAAGCCCAGGTATCATATCACAGGGTCACAGGACCACAGGACCACAGGACCACAGGATGCATGTCCGTTGCACTTCGCGACGGAGACGGAATTATGTTGACCGCGCGACCAGACATAGGACTGGACGGAAGGTTTCAATTAACGGCCCTGTGAAGGGCCTTAATAGCTAAAACATGGACCGTGGGTACCAAGGGGTCAAGGGATGCGCGACATTGAACGTTCCCCTCGCCGGGCCCTTGATCTACCGCCACCGGGAATGCGTGCACAAGTGCGGAGTAAGGGCATCGTCACGGAGTATGAGATTCCTTCACCATTCCTTGCGGGATACCACATCTCTTGGGATGGTGGGGTACAGCACTGCTTAATCGCGTCCTAACTGGGTAATGATCTCGCCGCTGCAAACACCGCGGATTGCGATTGTGAGATTCCCATCGAGCTCCGCCAATGACTGCCTCGGTAACCCAATCTCGGGAAATTGTATTAGATCACAGGCTTCCTTCGGTTCATTTCCACTCCGGTTCATTTCTCGAGAGAGTGCTTATCACGGGAATGATCGGCCGAGAGTTGCAACGCGCCATTCATGAATCTGGAGCCCCGGCTCGGCATAACCCGAACGGGTAAAGGGCCTCGCGATGCAATAAATGGAGGGAGGGTTAAGGTAAGAGTGACGTTGAAGGTCGCCTTTATTGCAGAATAATTCCAGTCTGGGGATCCAAGTCATGCTTGTCCTTGCATGATGCATCACTTGCATGTGAACCCTGTGAACCTCGTTGGTGCCCGTTTTGGCTTTTCTGAGCTCGATTTTTCTTCCGAACAAGTGGAACGAGTGGAGCTGCAGCCCGTTAGACTCGATCTCGCTCCGTTTTTCAGCTGAGCTGTGTACGGCACACACGGCTCGTGAGCGCGTAAAACTCTTTTTCCAGTGGATACGGAAGACCCATGGAAGACGCACGGAAGAGTCCGTTTGGGTACCTCAGACGCGTAAATACGTCGAGGGAATGATTCGTACTACGCTGAAAAATATATGGATGAAGGGTGTCCAAACGTCGGGAATCCATGGAAGGGACGGTACTACAGGATGGATCTCCTCGCTTTCGATCTTTGCAGAGCGGTACTTTGAACCTCGTGAAGGCCAGGGATGACGACCGTCCCCTCGCCCGAGACACATGGCCGCCAAGGATCGTAGGATTCAGCCCGGAAAAGAATGAGGGCGGAAGGGCAAAATGATCGCTGATAGGCGAGCAGTTGCTCAGCAGCCGATAGTCTGGACGATGAGCGGCAAGGGAGTCCGGGCAACCAGACTGGGCCAAACCTACGGAAACCCTTTGCACACGCTCACCCCCTTAGGCAAACCGCAAATCTATACCACGAACGGACCGGATTAAAAAAAGATTGAACGGACTTGCATACCACAGGAGCAGCGATCGTACCTGACGCCCTCCGCACATGGGGTCCACTGCCGGTGCAGGAGGAAATCAGTAAGCTCGGGCTAGCGCTGATGTAATTACGTATGGGTCCGTACCCAGGTACGTGCTGTACCGCTGTATCTCCGAAGTGCCTCAGAAACGGTACCGTACCCTATCTGGAGATCCTCCCCACTTGCGTTGCCATTGCAACAGACCCATCCCTTCAGCTTCACGAGGTTTCTTTCTTCAGTCAGTCTTGTTCCACCTTTTCTCTTCCTTCTTGACATCCGACTTTCGACATTAGGCATTCTCGACCCCTCGGTCACCCGCTCCTCCACCTCCTTCCTCCCCTCCACCTTCATACTACAGGTTTCAGATCAACTTCCTGACCCTGTACCTCCGCCACTCAGCCACCGTTGCCCACGAGCTGCCGCCCCTCCCGATTGCAGATACCGACAAATTGGACTTGGCCCCCCCCGGTATGGCTCTCTAAGCTCCCGCCATTTCGACACAAGACTCTCGCCGTGGTTCGAGGGTTTGGAATCTGCGGTTTCTCGGTCTGGGTAGCTGGTAATATTCCTCGACGTGGAGATTTCAAAGACGGAGTGGACGGGTTGCATTTTGTCCGGGACAGTGTCGGGAACTATACGAACCACGACCTCGGAAGTGTGCTTTCTTTCAGCTGTGACCCCATCGCAACTGTACTCCGTCAGAATCTGGCCTAGTGTGCAGTTCGACTTTTGAAATATGGAACAATCATCTCCGCTGGCGGCCATGCAGCCGCCGTCTGTGATGTTCGGCCACTGCTTTCGGGCAGAGCCGACCTCGTATCCGTCTTTGTCGGGGTTTGGCCCCAATAGTTTCAATTTCAAGGACCTGTCCATGAAGAAGTCCGGTCCGGATTATTTCAGCATGAATCCTCTCAGGACTTCTTCACCAACGGCCAGCTTGGCTGCGGATCTGTCACAGAACTTCCACATTGACCAAAGGTTCGTGTTTGCCTGTGGTGAACAAAGAGTCATTCAAAGCATACTGACTCTATTCTTAGCCCACAGCTTGCGACGCCCCGTCGGTCTTTGTTCTCTTCAAGCATGCTTGCTCATGCCAATGGTTATGGTAAGATCCCCATTCGGGAGTATGTTATAAAGGTGCCGTGCTAAGACTGCAATAGATGATGTGATGACGACTCCCCCATTGCCCTCGTCCTCGCCTGCCCCGGCCATGGACGTCATGGAATTGTCTCCGCTGCCTCACAAGCCTGCGTTTATTATGACGACGGAGTTTGAGGTTCACTCGCCGTCACCGTATGGATCTCCTATGGCATCTCCTCTGGAGTCTCCCATTCCGTCGGCTGCTCCTAGCCCTCTGCAAGCGTCGCCCATGGAGGCTTCCATCGGGCCGACTGAGTAAGGAAGAAACTTGCAATTTTGTATGCCCTTTGTCTAACAGTCTATAGGAGACGCCGTCCTGGATTCCTCCGCCCTAGCCTGGCTAAAAGCAAGGCTGCATCTTTCCAGCTTGGAATGAACCGACCCACCCCGGAGAGCAAGGCGCCTCCATTCCGGTTCTGCACATCAGGAAATAAGACCTCGCTGAGCACATCCACCTCGCTGGAGGACATGTTTGGGGATTCTCCCCCCCTCAGGAGAGACCTCTCTCTCGCAACACTTCCTCAAGCAACCTGGCACCGCCGCGTCTGCGGCCTCCCTTCCAGCATGCTCGTAGCAGCGGGTCACCCGCTCCCAACTCCATTCGCAAGCCCTCTCATCCTTTGATGCGCCCACGCAAGCAGTGCCGGCGGTCATTGAGTATGTTTGAGCACCCGGGCGATGTGATCGCCGAAAAAGAGGCCAAGGTATCTACAAATGCACCCGTCCAGTCCATCAGTGACATGGCATGTTCGCCGAGCCTTCAGCTTCCTCACTTCGTCCCTGAGGAAAAGGCGGACAACCTGCCTCGCATCAACAAGAGCACATTCGTCGAGCTTCTGGATGGGAAGTTCAATGATCGTTTCGACCATATCATGGTTGTCGATTGCCGTTTTGAGTACGAGTATGAGGGAGGTCACATCAACGGCGCCCTCAATTTTAATGACAAGAACCAGCTTGCCGGTGAGCTGTTTGGCTCCGTGAAGCCTCGCACCGCTCTGGTTCTGCACTGTGAATACTCCGCGCACCGCGCACCTATCATGGCGAAATTCATCCGCCACCATGACAGAGCCGTTAATGTCGATACCTATCCTCATCTTACATACCCCGACCTGTACATTCTGGACGGCGGTTACAGTTCCTTCTTCGCCGAGCACCGCTCTCTGTGCTACCCTCAGAACTATGTGGAGATGAGTGCCAAGGAGCACGAGTTCGCCTGTGAGCGCGGCTTGGGCAAGGTTAAGCGGCGTTCCAAGTTGAACCGCGCTCAGACCTTTGCCTTTGGACAGCACTCTCCCCAGATGGAGGATAGCCCGACCGGCCGCTGCAGACTCGGCGAACGAAACCGTCTCCCTTCGTCACCCTTTGCCGAGAGCCCCGTTCCTCAACGGACGCCTGGCCGCCGAATGCTTTCCTACTAATCTCTTCTGATTTTCTCTGGCGCCTGGCGGATACCAAATTCTGTGCCTTTTTTTCCCGGAGCGAGGTGTTTACTGTGGCATTTTCTGATTTCCCTGGTGGATTTTTGCTTTTCTCCACCGCTTCTATCTTCTTCATCAGTGCTTGCTAGCGCAATGGTCGACTCTGCGAGATGACCCTGGATTAGCTACCCAGAGCACTGCTTCAGCACTGATCTTTCCTTTCAACCTTTCGACCACCGACCCGATATCCTGCCGTCGATATCGTCCTTTCTTGCCTCCTTCACGGGCACTCTTTTTTCATTTTCCCAGAGTCCCGCACGATTCAGCGTTTCCTTGATTCTCAACCCGACACGATATCCGGCTCCTTGATTTTCTTGCACGGGTTCTTCCTTGCATCGCCGCACATGAGCTCAACAACGACCCTTGGGCAACTCTTTTTCTCTCACGACAGCTCAAAAAGCAGAGCCGAGCACCTTTCCTATGTTTCTCCATGACAACTCAATTCTGAACACAACCTGCCCACAAAGACGTCCTGGCAATGGCTCCATTTCTTTGCATCCAGCGACGCTTCCTAATCTGCCGCCACATTGGCGATTCCATTCTCTTCAACCCTAATTCTCTTCCCCCATTTACTGCCGTTTAATCCGCCGTCTTTTCGATGTACAGATCTTCGATTGTTTTTTTTTCCCGAACGGAATGCTCGCCATTCCCCCCATGCCTAGTTCGATCTTCCACCTCCATCGCGGAGTGTGACTGGGTTCTTTACGCAGGGGCCCTGTGGGATTCGGGCACATGATATGCATGAAGTGGCTGTGCAGCTGTACATAAAAGTGACTATTGCGTGGCAGCGACAGAAGTTTTATACTCTGTGGGATTTTAATGGGTGTGGCGAGAAGGCCAGAGGCTGCAGATACCGATTCCCTATGTGTGAGCAGAATGAAAATCATTCTCAATTCAAAACCAGTCCCGTAGATGTAAACTCCACATCGCGTGGCTCAGGCCGAAGTCCAAAAATTGTGCGATCGGCAAACGGTGGTTAATGACGATTGGCACATGCACGGCACCTGCGAGAATGCGGAGTCGCTGATAGGCGGAGTCGCCTGAATTATGGGGTCGCGGTCAATTCAATCCTCTCCTCCTGTTTCATTCTCGTCTTTCCTTTTCCTTTGACGGTGCACTGCCCTGTCACTCTTTTAGAACCCTGGGCTGTGTTGACACAGCCAGAAGACCCTTGAAGAGTGGCTTTCTTGAGCCGTCGAACCCCGCTGCCTACCTGTCTCACCTGGACCCCTCGAGGAGTCGTCATCCTTTGGATCCTTGTCCTTGCCATTCGTTGATTGTCTTGCGAAAGAGCCACGGAACATCCACTTCCATCAACCTTGCGATTGCGCGCCCCGCCGGATCTATCTTTGGAATAGAGTCAGGGTCCACGCTTTGCGTATCGCATGCGCTCCCGCTCGATTCTCCTGACCGCGAACACGACTGTGATCTGGCGCCTTTGCTGGACATGAGAATCTTTCTCTGCAAGAGAATTGATAATCGAATGTTGTCTCGTTTTTAGCTCTCTCTCATTGACTCTCCGGAATGGGTCCGACAAATATGCCCTTGTGGGCTCGCGATACAGCCAGTGATCTGGAATCGGTCCCCTCTACTTTCACCAGCTGGGATAAGTGTATGGCCAAGTCATACTGCAAGTGAGTTCATGAGTTCACTCAATGGGGGTATGTCTAAAGCGCAGGTCTAATCAATCTCAGATGGCCCGTCATCGTCGGTATCATCGTCGGCTCCGTGATTGTAATCGCCATCCTTGCCTGCATAGTCAACTGCCTCTGCTGTGGCTACCAATGCTGTAAAGGATGCTGCAGTTGCTGCTGCCCCTCCGGCCGGCGCAGAAACAAGCAGCCCAAACACTATGACGAGCCAATCTACCACCAACCCCCACCTCCAGTGCCGAACCCGGTGTATCAGGCTCCGCCTGCCCCGCCAGTTTATCGCGGTGTAAACTCCACGGCCACCTTCGACGCCTCCTCCAAGCCCGGCGCAACCTCCACTGCCAATGAAGATGCGCTGCCGGCTATGCCTACTTGGGCCTCTGCCGTCGATAAGCACGTCGAGGACCACACCCATGAAGACGTGGAGATGGAGCCCTTGAACCCTCCGGACCGCAAGCAGGCCGGTACGCCAGGCCACCCTGGCACCGCTTTCTCGGATTATCCTCCGGATCGTGGCTCTCCTCTGGCTGGTTACAGAGGCTTCAACCCCACCGATCCTTACGCTCGCCGGTCCCCTGGCCCCGCGGCCGCTTTGGCTGCTACCGAGGACCCCTATGGTCGCCGCTCACCTGGTGCCCTCCACGCACTGAACACATCACCCGTTGATCCATACGGACGCCGTTCCCCAGGCCTGGCATCCCCAACACCAGCCGTCGATCCTTACAATCGGCGCTCGCCCGGCCCATCCGCTGCAATGGACCCCTACGGCCGCCGCTCTCCAGGCCCAGGGGCCGCCTACGCAGCCCAAGATCCCTACGGCCGCGGCTCCCCCGGAGCCCACAACACACCCCCCATGGACCCCTACAACCGCCGCTCACCGGGCCTCGCATCCCCTGTCGGCGCACGGATGGCCTCAAACCCCTACGAGCACCAGTCCTATAACCAGCCCTACGACGACCACAACAACAGTGGTTACCACGCCGCAACCTCCCCCTCCCCGGCTGCAGCATACAACCACCAATCAAACTACAGCTCCGTGCCAATGGCTATCACCCCCGGCACTGAACACCATTCCCAGACACCGGGCTTCACACGCCAACCTTCATTCGGGTCTAGCCAGTACCCGCCTACTTATACTTCCCAGCCTCCGTATAGAGGCTCATCACCTTCCATCCCCAGTTCACCACCCCCGCCTTTCCAGTCTCAGGCTCCGTCCGAGTATACCCCGTACGGTTCGCATGCGCATGCGGGCCCTCAGGAACAGACTCATGAGTACGGTGTTGCCGCGTCCGAGCCTGGTCGTAATAGACCACCCAGTCTACTCATGAGCGGGCGCAAGCCTGTGCCGAATACATATCGCGATGTCTAAGATGTCGTGATGTGTTTGTTTTCTTGTATGAATTTTTCAACTTCTTGTACGTGTTCAGCTCGAGGCTGGTTCATGATTTTGATACCATGGTCGTTTCATGTTTCTTTCGTTGTAAAATGCTCTTTTTGAGTCATTTTTTTTTTTTTTTTTTTTTTTTTTTGAGTCGCTTGGTGCGCGCTCTGTATATGCTTCTCATCTCTCATCCTCGCATTCCCATGCTGACGGTCTTCATGCCTTTGTTTTAACTCTTGGGAGTTATCTTGTATCTATGTACCATGGGATGACAATTATGGATCGGTGATCCTTCTTTATTCTATCTCATTTTCCAAATGAATTGGATATCTCATTGATGACTCGGATGACCTTGATGTAAACCACACCCCAAAGGCGGGGAAAGCTCACTCCATAGAGAAATCATACTTCTTGAACGCCTCCTTGAAAGCCTCCGCATCACCCTCCTCTTCCTCGACAGCCTGCGTCGCATCCTTCCAATTCATCCGCTTGTCCAGCTCTAGTAGCTTCGCCATAACGCGTCGTCCGAATTGCAGATCGAATCTGAAGTCTGGCGTTAATTCAAGCATGAGCGTCTTCTCCGATGCCTCTACTTTCTCCTCTGATGACTCGTCTTGAGTCTGTCCGGAACTCCAGATCCACACCCGGAAGAAATCACCCGGCTCGTTACTTCCGTCGGCTGAGGCAGTCGTGGATGTAAACCGTGGATAGGAGAGGTTCTCAGCTTCAACTTTGAAAGCTGCCTCGACGAGCCCGCCTCGGATTAGATCTGCGGGCATGGGAAGGAATTGCCAGTGGATGTGAATACCACTGCCGCGGCTGACTTCCCACGTTACGGCACCGAGTTTACCGGAGGAGCGATCTGTGATCATTTGGTGGAGGGCGGAGCGGTAGCGCTGCATCTCGTTGTATGTATTTGTTCGCATTTCCGGGTCAGGGATTGTGCTTAGGGTGGGCGAGTGGCTGAATGGGATGATGAGCATGTGGCCTGGGAAACCCAGGTCTGGGAAGTAATTGTTTGGAGGGAGAGGGCCCTTGGCGGTTGTTAGGTAGGCTTCGTTGCCGATGGAGGTGATGAGGTGTGTTGCAATGTTAGGGTTTGAGAGGCAGAAGAAGCATTGGTCTGGGCCTGGTGGCGGGGCGCGTTGATGGCGCTTGCGAGGCCGTTGGTCCTCGTCAGGGGCCGCGAAGCGCTGGAATGATTCGCGCTGGGGCGGTAGGCCTTTGCGTTTGGATTGGGGTGCAGAGAGTGGTGATGCTGTTACGCCTGCTGGCACTGTAATTGGCGGCGCGGCCTTCGGGTCTATCGTGAAGGCGTACATGGCTTTTTGCTTCGAGCCGAAGGCGGCGAGCGAGATGAAGCGGGTTAAGGGTTTGGCGTCGGGGCTGCCTTCGGTTGGCATGTGGAAGAATGGCTCGCGCTCGTAAAAGAAGCCATCCGATGCGGAGAAGTGGTAGCGGGGCCTAAGGGTTGCGACAATGTCGGACACGCATTGTACTTCGGATGGCAGGAGAGCCTTGTCTTCGGGTAGAGGTACTTGAGAACCGAAGCGGATTCCCTTGGGCCACTGATAGGTGATCAGGATATCTGCGCTGTGTGTTCCGAACAGTGCGCGAGCATCAGACTCGCTGTATGTCGGTTGGAACCTGCCGCCGAGGTTTGATTCAGGCTTGGACTGGGCGTCTGTGCTGCTGCCCAGTTTACCGCCGAGAGCACTAATGCGGATGCCCTCTGAAGTCTTCAGGGTGCCTCGCTTCCCAAGGAAGTACAAGTTAGGGCAGACTTCATCGTCGGCCTCGATTTTCTCCACAATCCGGGTTGGCAGTGGCCGATCACCCAACGTGAAGTAGGTTGGTAAGGGAACATTGATGCTGCCGTTGAGCAAGGCGGAGATCTCATCCAGCTCAGCCTCTGTCGAGCAGTCGCCAAAGAGATTGCCGACAAGAATTGCAAAGGCAAAGTTCTGCTTCGCTTGCAATTTCGCCAATTTAGTGAATGTCGCTTGCAATTGGCAGTCCACGCTTCCAAGGACGATACTGCGATTCTATTAGTATTTATCCCACGAGAATGTCGGGGTGCTCACATCTTGGAAGACATCTTGAAATTACAATAGCCTAGCCTGGTTGCTCACCAGGCAGGGATTGGCGACGTTCGATGCGCTTTAAATGACACGAAGCCGAATATTGGCGGGGAGAAAATCAGGCTTAATGGTAGTCGTCAAGGGCAAGTAGAATGCAACATGTAGCGCCGCAAGGATCGCAGCGCATTTCTCGATGGAGCTTGGGCCACCGTGACGGCACTAGCCAGATGTGGTTAGACCACACGAACTAGCCTCCGCGGCCGGAACAAAGTTGCTCCCGCCCCGGTCAACTTTTCTTGTATTCGATGCGGGCAGAGAAAAAGTTTCCAAATACCCTTTCTCGTCAGCGTTGCCTGTCGAATCTTTCAAAATGGTGGCACAAGGCTCCCGAGCCAAGCCAACCAGGCGCCTGAAAAAGGGCACCGAAACCACAAAGCACCACCGATTCGAGGGCTTTTCTTCGCGCATCGCAAAGCTCAAAATCGACCCGATCCACCGCGTGCGCCGCGCCAGCTTTGGCGAAGAAGATGGCGAGACCACCTCCTACTTCCGGTCCGCCCTCGACCACTGGGTTGAGATGAACCTTACGGACAACTTTTCCCAGTTCGCTCGCCGTGTCAATAACCTCTCCGAGAGCCTCGCCCAGATCCTGTACCACGAAGAAAAGATTATGAGCTTGTTGATGGAATTCATTGAGAAGAGGGACCAGCTATCTATGGAGCCGCTGCTGAGCTTGCTGGCGCAGTTTGCGCGAGACCTGGGTGTTCGGTTCGAGAAACATTTTGCCGCATCCGTGACCCTCGTAGCGTCTGTCGCTGCTACTCATCCCGATATCGAGGTCGTCGAGTGGAGTTTCACTTGTCTCGCATGGATCTTCAAGTTCCTGTCTCGCCTCTTGGTGCCGGATTTGCGCCAGCTGCTGGGTATCATGACTCCGTACCTCGGCAAGGAACGCCAGAAGCCGTTCGTGGCTCGATTCGCCGCAGAGTCCATGTCATTCCTGATCCGCAAGGCTGGCCTTGTATACTACAAGAACAAGATTCCTCTCGAAAACGCCGTCACCTTCCTGTTCGATGATATCTCGAAAGCGGCTGATGATGGGATCAACGTTGAGAACTATAAAGAAGGATTGATGGTCATGTTTTCAGAATCTATCAAGGGTATCAACTACGGACTTCATTCCAATGGAATCGATGTTCTCCGTTGTATTTTGGACAAGCTTCCCCCCACCAGTGAGGCGCATAATGAACCGGCAGAGGTCGTATACGGAGTGGTGACCAATCTTATCCATTCCACTACTCCTGAGACCTTTCCCCCTGTCCTTGATGCTATCAAGGAATACATCGAAGCTCGCTCTGAGGGATCTCAAAATCCTAATATCACTGAATGTTCCAGCTTGATCTTCACCTGCGTGGCAACTCGCAAGGGTTTGAGGATCAAGAACTGGAAGCCTGTGCACCAGGTGTTGGTGTCTCTCTTGAAGCAAGTGTCAGCGAGCCCTGACAAGTACATGGAAACAATTCCTCAACTTCTTACAGTTGTCGCATACGCTCTCCAATTGTCGCCAATGGACGAAATGCTGCCGTTTATGCGCACTCTTATGGACTTGGTATCAACGGGACCGCTGTCAAAGTACTTCTTGTTCTTCTGCACAACTTTCTCCGAGTGGGGATCAGAGCGTTTCCATAGCCTCCTGCTTCCTTACTTCCAGAAGTTCATCAACTCCTCCTGGAAGGAGCATGAATGGGAGACGTGCTTGACAATCTTGCGACTTAACCAGACCGGCTGCATTACACCCGAAGTCTCGAAGCCTGGTCATGTCTCCTGCCCCGATGCCTTGAAAACTCGCATATTTGACTCGTTGAAATATCCTACGACTGACGAGTCTCTCCTTAATGCATTGATCAAGCTTCCAAAGGCTGTTTCACTTTCTGCGGACTCCAGCATGCTGACCAAGATCGTGAAGAAGTTGCACAAGAACATTCTGTCCGCATTGCAAGATGCTGCCTCCGAGAAAAGCAAGGACGGATCAATATTCTACCAGGGACAAGGCTTCAAGACATACGTTGAGTTGGCTAACCAAGCTGGGGAACTCGACTCAAGCCTCTGGCGGCCGATCTTGACAGCTTCAACCAGACTCTCTCGCGTGCCTCTGTTCCTGGAGGGTGTTCTTGCATTTATTTCCTCCCTCCCGGAATCGTCAGACTTGGAAGACCCTTCGGTGAATGATTTCGCTCGCGACTTAGTTGTCAACCTCGCTAGTCCGTCACACAGACTGCGGGTGGTGTCCCTCCGAATTTTGCGAGAACTAGTTGCTCGGATCTCCAAGGATGACCCCTCCCCTATCGATTTGGCTATCGAGGTTGAAGAGAGCGAATTGACCCTCCAGAGCGCAAGAACTCTTTCCATGCACGTCCGCAAACTGGCACTTCTTTACCCACAAATCGCGTCTCAAAAGTGGATGGCCACACTCATTCCCTACTTCCTCTTTGGTCTCTTTTCGAAGAAGCTGGCTGCACTGTGGGAGGACTCTTCTGCGGCCTTGAAGACCATCAGCGAACACCCCGAAGGAGAGAAGATTGTCTCTGATTTATCTATTCAGTGGCTGCAGGAGCGGGACTCTGGCGCCATGGATGCGGACGATGACGAGTCGGAGAGCAACTTTGTTTCTAGCGACTTCCAATGTTTTAATGCTCTCAAGGTGGAGAGTGTTTCCGTTGCTAATTTCAAGAATACGGAGGATCCCTCTGCTGTCTTGTCGCAGCAGTTCGAAAAGGACCACAGCACGTCAGACCTTATCCCCACCACTCCTCGCAGCCATGCACTGCTGGTATTGAACGCCATTCCTAATATTGCCGAGAAACGATCCCGTCAAATTGTTCCTCTGTTCTTGTCATGGGCACTGCGCGACGACCAGGACGACGCTCCTGACGCCAAGGTCGACGATGCAGACCCCGAGAACATGTCTATCCGATGGGGCTTCCGTGACCGTTTGGCCATGCTTGGCTTGTTTGGGCGGTTCCTGAACCCGAAGGTCCTCTTCAGAGAACCCGAAGTCCACAGTGCAGTGCTTGGACTTCTGTGCCACGGTAACTCAGAGATCCAGAAGGCCGCTCTTAAGGCTCTCTTCACTTGGAAGAATGCGCACATCCTGCCCTACCAAGAGAACCTCCTCAATATTCTGGATGAGTCAAGATTCAAGGATGAACTTGCCGTTTTTGTCCACGTTGGTAGCGAAGACAGTTTGATTGAGCAGGAGCACCGCCCTGCCTTGCTTCCCGTGCTTCTTCGATTGCTGTACGGCCGCATGATCTCCAAGGCTGGCGCAAGTTCCAGTAGTGGTGGACAAGCGGGGAGGCGCAAGACTATTCTGCGGACCCTTTCGCACCTCTCCGAGGCAGACTTTGGACTTTTCATGCATCTTTCATTCGGCCCTCTTGCGGAGGTGAAGGTTGTCCAGGATGGCAAGACAAATTCGAATGCCTTCTCCGAGGAATTGACCAGCCCGAGAAGACAGGTCGGTTTGCTCAAGATGATCGACACGGTCTTCGACACTCTTCAAAGCCGCATGGTCCCCTATTCCGAACAAACAATGAATGTTATTATTTATTGTTTAGTGCGGGCATGCCGGGCTATCTACGATGAGAGCAGCTCGATCTACGTGGACCGTGAGGATGAGAAGGTTCTGGCTATTTACCAAAATGTCCGTCAGGCATGTATTCGCTGTCTGAACTTGGTATTCTCTGTGGCTTCAGACCGTGAGTGGACACCTTATGTTCGAATCATCTTCGATGAAATGATCAACGGCAGACTTGAACAATTCCCCATTGAGACCGCCCAGGGTGTTTCGGGTCTGCTCCGACTCTTCCAAACTTGGGCTTCCGCTCCAAGATCCACATTCTACCTGGTGCAACACAACAAGGATGTTCTGAACAAGGTTATTGACTGCCTTGGCATTGAGTCCGCGCGAGATGAAGTCAAAGTCTTTGTCCTGGAAGAGGTCCTCGTGCCTCTGGTTCAGCTGGCCAGTGGAAAGAAGCTGGAGGAAGATGAAGAAATGTCCGACATCCCAGCGGAGCAGATTAGGTCTGAAGTCCTGTCGCCTTACCTTGAGCACGCCCTCTCCCACATGGCTCGGCTCTTGAAGAGAGGTCCCTCAAAGCCTGTCCTGTTTGCAGGTGTCAATGCCCTGTCGCAGATTGCACCTTGCGTTGAGTCTTCTCTTGAGACTTCGACACTGATCAGCATTTCTACCTACCTTATTCGACAGCCCCCGGATCGCGTCAACCCCAGAACTAAGTCTGGTCTTCTGAAGATTCTTGAACATTTCCTGCCTCTGTACAACCCCAAGGAAGATGTCGAACTTTCTCAGCAGGTCTTTGAAGCCGTGTCAGCCATGTTTGATTACTTCAAGGATGACGCGAACAGAGAAGTGCTGGCACGAGTTTTTGCGGCTCTTGCTACCCACGACAAGCAACTCGTGGAAGTTGCTGAGCTTTGCGCGGACCTCAATTCCCGCTCTATGAAGAGACTCGAGCCCGACTTTGAGCGTCGTCTGCAGGCTTTCACAAAGATCAACGAGGGCCTCTCTCAGACCCTCAGCGCCAAGCAATGGAGGCCTCTTCTCTATAATATGCTGTTCCATGTCAAGGACGATGAGGAGCTTGCTACTCGATCCAGCGCTTCCTTTGGCTTGAAGCGTTTCATTGAAAGAGCGGCCATTGAGACAGGCAAGGAAGACTTCGAGGCTCTCGTTAATGACGTTTTGCTTCCATCGCTGAAATTTGGTATCAGAAACAAGTCCGAGCTGATTCGTTCCGAGATTGTGTCTGTTCTTGGTTATTTCATCAAGCTGAACCCGGAGAGGGAATCTGTGAAGGATATGCATGTGCTTCTGGTCGGTGATGATGAGGAAGCTTCTTTCTTCAACAATATTCTTCATATTCAACAGCATCGTCGTCTGCGCGCTCTGCGCCGTCTGGCCAGTGAGGCTGGCCAAGGAAACATAACGCCCACCAATCTAGGTTCAATCTTTATGCCTCTCATCGAACACTTTTCGTTCGAGGAGGCTGAGGATGAGAGTGGCCACAATTTGATCGCCGAGGCTGTTGCTACCATTGGCTCCCTTGCTGAATGGCTGGACTGGGCCCAGTTCCGTGCGAACTTCCGGAGATACCGCAGCTACATGAAGAGCAAGCCTGAAATGGAGAAGAATATTCTCAGGCTCCTTGGCCGCATGTCTGATGCTCTGTCCAGCGCTATGGACCAAAAGAACAAGGCGAGCGAGCAAGTCAATGATGATGCTGACAAGATGGAGATTTCTGAGCCATCGAAGTGCATGCTTGCCAAGACTGTTCCCTCTCTTGCAAAGGTCTCAACGGAGCTGACTACGAACTTCATTCCTTTCCTGACCGAGTTCATCCATCACAAGCAAGAGGCGGAAATGAGTCTGCGTCTTCCGGCTGCAATTACTACGATTAAGCTTCTTAAGATTCTCCCCGAAGATGATATGGCCATCCGTCTACCTCCGGTTTTGCTGGATGTGTGCAAGGTCCTGAAGAGTAAAGCACAGGACTCCCGAGACACGGCACGAAAGACGCTCAATGAGATTGCTCTTCTCTTGGGTCCCGTCTACTTCGGCTATATCCTGAAGGAGTTGCGTAATACCCTCTTGCGCGGTTACCAGTTGCACGTCCTGTCTTTCACAGTTCACTCCATGCTGGTGTTTACTACGGACCACTTCAACCAAGGTGATCTGGACTACTGTTTGAGTGACCTGGTTGCAGTCGTCATGGATGATATATTCGGTACTGTTGGCCAGGAGAAGGAAGCTGAAGACTATGTCAGCAAGATGAAGGAAGTGAAGAGTAGTAAGAGCTACGATTCAATGGAGTTGCTGTCTAAGAACGCAACTATCGGTCACCTCTCGGGTCTCGTCCGTCCTCTCCAGTCGCTCCTGCGGGAGAAGCTCAACTCCAACATTGTCAAGAAGATCGATGAACTCATGCGGAGAATCGGTATTGGTCTTTTGAGAAACCCTGCCGCCGAAAGCCGTGATCTGCTGGTCTTCTGCTATGAAGTCGTCAAGGAGTCCTACCAGGACAGTGCTTCCACTGAGAAGCAGGCCGCGCCGAAGTCTTATTCCGAGGAGCGGTTCTTGGTGAGGTTGCAAGGAGCCAAGCGTGGCGATAAACGCGGTATTACCTCTTCTCACGTGTACAAGCTGACTCGCTTCGCCGTCGACATTCTTCGCGCCATTCTCAACAAGTTCGGATCCCTGTTGACCCCGACGAACTTGGCTGGGTTCCTTCCCATCATTGGTGATGCCATGGTGCAGGCCCATGAGGAAGTCAAGATCTCTGCTTTCCGACTTCTGTCCACAATCATCAAACTGAACTTGCCTGAGATTGACCAGAACTCCCATGTTTATCTCACGGAAGCTGTGAAGATGATCAAGGAATCCCCGAGCACCAACAGTGAAGCGGCGCAAGCCTCGCTGAAGCTCATCTCTGCTGTGATCCGCGAGCGCAAGAACACCAAGCTCCGTGATGGTCACCTTGCCTACCTGCTCCACCGCCTGACTGCTGATATAGAGGAGCCAGACCGTCAGGGTATTACTTTCAACTTCATCCGCGCGGTGATGTCTCGCAAGTTCGTTGTGCCGGAGATGTACGAGCTCGTTGATAGCATTGCTACCATGATGGTTACGAACCAGACGCGCTCCGCTCGGGATCTTGCTCGTGGTACTTACATCCACTTCCTGATTGAGTACCCTCAGGCCAAGAACCGTTGGTCAAAACAGCTCGGCTTCCTCGCAAAGAACCTGGACTACAAGCACCAGGAAGGACGACAGTCTGTCTTAGAAGCAGTCCACTTGCTCCTTTCGAAGACCGGACCGGAGATGGCCCAGGACATCATCAGTACATTCTTCTTGCCTGTTGTCCTGGCCATGGCCAACGATGATTCGCCTGAATGTCGCGAGATGGCCGGCGCGCTTCTTGGACAGTTCTTTGCCCGCGCAGACAGAGAGCAGATGAAGACCATTTTGACTCCTCTGCACTCGTGGCTAGAACAGACCGACAACATGGCTCTGTGCAGCATCGGTCTCCAGGGCATGCGAATCTACTTCGAGACCGACGAGACACAGAAGGATAAGGAGGCTCGCTTCATCGTCGGCATTCTCCCTGGGTTGATGCAGCCCGTTCTCGACGACCACGAGAACGGAAACTGGGAAACCCTTTACTTCGCCTTGCAACTGTTCTCGAAGCTTTGCAAGACGGTTACTACACTTGCGCTTAGCCCGGACTGTGCGTCTATCTGGACTGCCGTGCAAGAATCCCTGTTCTTCCCCCACGCCTGGGTCAAGACGTGCGCTTCGAACCTTGTCGGTATGTGGTTGGCTGATGTGGCTAAGACACACGCTGTTACTGGCTACAGCGAGATTCCACTGGCTAGTAGCTCGGGACTGGTTTTGGATAAAGAGGCAATGATCAAGCTTCTTCGTGCTAGCACCCGTTCTCTGCGTACCCCTGGTATCTCTGAGGAGCTGGCCATGCAGAGTGTCCGCAACCTTGTCTTCCTTGGCCGTTGCTGTGCGCAGAACGGTCTCGAGTTCCATAGGGCCGGTGACGAGGAAGAGGAAGCCGAATCTGATGGCGAGGACGAAGACGATGCTGGCAGCGAGGTTGATGGTGAAGACACCACGACGAAGGCTATCGCCCCCAACAAGTCCGCAATCCACTACATCTTCAGACAAATCTCCTCTCTCCTGCGCCGCGAGATCATTTCCACCCGCCCGGGCGTCCTTGTTCCGAAGACAGCCTCCATCGCACTCCTTGCAGCCCTCATCCACCACCTCAGCGCAGAGCAAATCCTACCATCCCTCCCAATTATCCTGCTCCCACTGCAACATATGACCGACTCGTCCATCCCCGCCCCGCGTTCCTCTGACGAGACTTTCCAGAACACATACAAATCCCTCGTCTCCAACTGCCACGAGGTCCTGGACTCGCTGCAGAAGAAGCTCGGCACGACGGAGTACATCGCGCAGATGAGCAAGGTGCAAGAGGCTATCAAGGAGTGTCGTGAAGGACGCCGTGTCAAGCGTCGCATTGAGGCCGTTGCTGATCCTGAGCGTCACGAGCGTGACAAGAAGAGGAGAAATGATCGGAAGAGAGATAAGCGTCGTGAGAAGGGGCTTGAGCATCGTGGCAAGAGACGTGGTTGGTAAGATACGTTTACATTGGTGCATATTTTATGACTGGATCGTGGCATATAAAAGCTGGCGTTTGGATTACTTTTGGTGTTGCATATACCTAGAACAATCTGATTTCTTTGTACATTCAAACATTGGTTCACTCCGAGTATGAGGGTGGTGAGGTGATTTTAATTGGTATCGTTGACCTTGATTAGGTCTGTTTCTACTATACAAGATGCAATATTTCACATGGTCATGATGAGTAGACATCCTCCTCTATGCGCCGTCTAAATGTATCAATGCTCCCCTTCGATGTCTGGAACCCGCCATGTCGAGAGTGGAGAGTAGCCGTAGTATACACTTTTCAAAAACACGGACTTCGCGTCCAACAATCGCGCGATTGTTGCAAGCTCAAGAGGACACTTTCTCGGCAGTCTCTTTACCAGCAGAGCCCAAAAGCTCTTGGCCCTCCAAATCAAAGCTCTTGACTGTGCCATCCTCCCAGAACTCCAAGTCGCCATCGGTACGACCATGTGTCAGAGCCTGGCCTTTTTGCTTGAGAAGATCTTCCAAAGTAGTTCCCTTGTCAAAGAACACGCCAAGGTGATCACTCATGACATGACGGTTCTGGCAAGACGGGCATTGAATCAGGACTGTGCCACGGTGGTAACCCTGCTTTGACATGCGATGCGATGAGCGCTCACCGCACGGCTTGCAGGTGAATGTGATGCGATAGGCTTCTTCATTTTTCCGGCGCTCGGCGTTCTTAGCTTCACGCTCTGCATCGGTCTCGTTCCGGCTGGCTGGATCCTTGGTGAGAGGGCGCGATGTGGAGTTGTGGCGGATGGTGTTCAAAGGAAGGATGCGGGCCGGTCGGGCCAAAGAGGGCTTTGATAGAGCGTGGTGGACTTGGCTGAGCTGTGAGAAGAGACGAGAAGATGGTGATCGCGTCGATGTAAGGGATGTGTATGAAAGGAGGGAGCGAACTGGGCGAAGGCCCTGTGCGAAGGGACGCATTCTTTCTTTTGCTTTGCGCTGTCTGGGACGTTGCCTTGTGAACTCCCGAGGATTGAACTTTGAACGGCCGGTTCTTCAGTTCCCGATCGCAAGAGTTGTTCGTTTCTTTCACCTGGGCGCGACCGACAAGTGAACAAGTGAATAAGGAGGGAAGACAGAATATGACGACCGGCTTCGAGTTGACGCCTCGGAAGCAGATTCGGGTCGGAAGAAAGATCATCCGAGGTACTGCCCGCCTCCGCGGAGCCCTCAGCAAGTGCACTTCGCGAAACTTCGGTACTCTCTGTTACGCCGCTTCTTTCAAATTCTCTTTTCCGGGCTGATTTATTTCGCCTCTCCGTGCCCCAAATGGCTGCAATGAGGGCGCGGCATAAGATTCGGGCCCCCCGTCGGGTACGTGACTCTCATGGGGTTCTCCAAGCTCTGCACTGACAAGTATCACAGGGTCTGAATGCAGCAAAAACAGATGACTTCGACTCTCTGTGGACTGTTCTCTCCTCATCTCTCACCGAAATTCATACCAAAAACGCGTCCACTCTCTCGTTCGAAGAACTCTACCGCAATGCCTACCGGATTGTGTTAATGATGCGGGGTGACGACTTATACGAAAGTGTTAAAAAACTTGAGAAGGATTGGTTGCGGGATACTGTTCAGAAGCGCATCACCGACTCAATATCATCGAGTCTGGTTCGTGCTCAAGAGTCAACAGATATTCAGGACCAGTCGGAGGAGAGGAGAGCCGCGGGGGAGAAGTTCATGGGGGTACTCAAGGAAGCCTGGGAAGATCACCAGCTTTGCATGGGGATGATTACCGATGTCCTCATGTACATGGTAAGCTCGGATGGTTATGGCGACTTGGATTATATTCTAACATGCCCCGCAGGACCGCATCATTTCTACGGATAAATCCAAGCCCTCGATCTACATTGTCTCAATGGGTCTTTTCCGCGACTATGTCCTCCGAGCCCCGGTCCGCCCCGACTCTCCTATCACAGTTGCCGATGTTCTTGAATCTACAGTCCTCTTTATGATATCACTAGAGCGGGTGGGTCACATCATTGAACGGCCCCTCATCCGGCATTGCATCTCAATGCTGGAGGGACTCTACGAATCAGAGAAGGAGGAAGGCGAGAAGCTATACCTTTCAACATTCGAACCTGCGTTCATCAAGACGAGCAAAGAATTCTACCAGGCGGAGGGACGGCGGTTGCTGGAGATCGGAGATGCGACGACCTTCTGCCGGATCTCCTCTCAACGTATTACTGAGGAGCAGGAACGATGCTTGTCTACTCTGGCCATGATGACTGAACCGAAAGTCCTCGAGGTCCTCGATAACGAGCTGATTCGGAAGAACATCGACGAGGTCGTCATGCTGGAAGGGACTGGTGTGAGGCACATGCTGGATCACAACCTGCTCGAGGGCTTACGGAGCGTCTACTCTCTGAATGCCCGAGTTGACCCGAAGAAGGACTCTCTCGCCCGTGTTGTTAACAAGCGGATCGTGGAGCTCGGAAAGGAGATCAACGCCTCGTCTATCGTTGTCGCGCAGGCGGCTCAACCAACAAAAGATGCTAAGGATGCCAAGGATGCAGGTACCGAGAAAAAGGAGAAAGGCAAAGAGAAGGAGAAGCCGGTCAATCAACAGACGTTATCGGCAATCCAATGGGTTGACGACATTTTGGCCCTGAAACGTCAATTCGACACGGTATGGGAACAATCGTTTTTGTCCGATCAGGGCCTCCAGAGTTCCATCATGGCTAGCTTTGCCAACTTTATCAATATGAACCCCCGCAGCTCCGAATATTTGTCTCTGTTCTTCGATGAGAATTTGAAGAAGGGCATCAAGGGCAAGACGGAGAGCGAGGTCGATACATTGCTGGACAATGGCATCACCTTGCTTCGCTACATCAAGGACAAGGATCTCTTTGAAACATATTACAAGAAACATTTGTCACGCAGACTGTTGATGAAACGATCTGCCAGCACAGATGCGGAGCGACAGATGATTTCAAAGATGAAGATGGAGGTGGGCAACCAGTTCACACAGCGGATTGAGGCCATGTTCAAGGATATGACCGTCTCAGAAGACTTGACTGCCAACTACAAAAGTCACATTGCACGGAGCGCCGATCCTGATCAGAAACCCGTGGACTTGGAGATCAACGTCCTCACCAGCACGATGTGGCCCATGGAAATCATGGCAAATACCAAGGACGGCGTTGTCCAATTGCCCTGTATTTTCCCGCGGGAAATTGAAAACCTCAAGCAGAGCTTCGAGAAGTTCTATCTTGACAAACACAGCGGGCGAAAATTGTCCTGGCAGGCCGGTATGGGCACGGCAGACATCCGAGCGACTTTCAAGCGAAGCAACGGCAAAGTCCAGAAGCATGAAATTAACGTGTCCACTTATATGATGGTCATTCTGCTGCTTTTCAACGACCTCCCCGATGGCAAGTCCCTCTCTTTCGAGGAAATCGAAGAACGCACTCGCATTCCCAAGAACGACCTCATTCGGAATCTACAATCATTGGCACTCGTTGCGAAGACGAGGATATTGCGAAAATCGCCCATGAGCAGAGAAATCAACCCAGCAGATCGCTTCTCATTCAACCATGAGTTCCAGAGCCCATTCGTCAAGGTGCGCATTGGCGTTGTCGCAGGCGCCAAGGTGGAAGATCAGGAGCAACGGAAGGAAACTGAGAAGAAGATGGCCGATGAGCGTGGCGGTAGTATCGAGGCGGCCATCGTGCGCATCATGAAGTATGTTCTCATCTTGTCCAAGTTCAGATCTATGTCCTAACTGCTTGTTTCCAGGCAACGCAAGAAACTCACGCATTCTCAACTGATGACCGAAACTCTTACACAACTCTCCACCCGCTTCGTCCCCGACGTCTCTATGGTCAAAAAGCGCATCGAAAGTCTCATCGATCGCGAGTACCTCGAACGTCTATCCGAGGAGCCGCCAACCTATGGTTATGTTGCTTAAGCTGGCGCTTCAATACTCCTACACCCACCTTCTATCTCTTTTCTTTTGTCATCAGGACCTCTGCAGCGGGACATCTGGCATTTCGACTCTCGGCATTTCATTCTTCTGAATTAGCGACTGGCGTTTTTCTATCGGGGGTTTAGTTGCAGAAAGCATAGAAGCGGTCTTGGCCAAGGTCGTTTTATCAAAATAAGAACACAGCATGGGCTCTCCCTAGCTCAATACTTGCAAAAAACATGAATCATGAAGCATATCAATTCTATGCAGCCGTAAGATGTAAATGTGTACCCGAACGCCTCAAATGCCACACATTCCCAATCCGAATCCCTTTTCAAAAGACTCCACCGGAGTAGCCAAGAAACCAACAGATCATAATAACTCGACCTCCCCTCTCTCCCAAGCCCTCCTAACCCCCTCCCATCTAACAACCCAGACATCCCCCATCCGCATCGTAACCCCGACCTCCTCCTCCCCATCTTCTCCCCCCACAAAAACAGGAACCTCAACGCCCAAACAACGCGCAAAAACCACTTCCTTGGTCTCCGGCCCTTGCACCATACTAGTCCCACCCGCATTATCATCCAACCGCCTCAACGTCCGCGGAAACGACCCCATAAATGAGCCCCCGTAATGACCCGCTAGCAGTGTCTGGTGCGCGTGCACGAAGCTGGATTCCTGCTCCGATAACGGGCTGACGTTGTCAACGGCCGAGATGTCGGGGACTGAGTCTTCGGGCATCATATTTGGGTTTTGCGATTGCGATTGAGACTGGGATTGGGAGAATGGGCTTTTGGAGCGTGATGCTAGTTGGACGAGGTAGTGCATGCTGTGCTTTGTGAGTTTGGCGAGGCGTTGTCGGAGGAGAGAGCGGATTATGTATTGGGTGCGTGCGAGGTCGGTTTGTAGGATTGAGAGGCGGAGGTTTAGGTTTGGGTTGTGTGTTGCGTTGGTGGGTGTTCCGGTGTCTCCTGATGAGGAGGCTAGGTCTTCGATTGTTTCGATCTGCGTTTGTTAGTTACCACAGTCTTCCAATTGAGCAGTGCATGCATTGAGAGAAAGTACCTGCATCCTGACGCGATCCATTACGCGCTCCATCAATGGCGCGGGCCATGGTAGGACTTCTGACACGGCGCGCTCGGCGACCCAGAACCGTGTTAGTTGCTGGTGGTCTAGCGCGGTGGACTCGGGGCTTGCGCCCGCGCCGCGATCGACGGAGGCGAGAATGTCGTCGATGTCCATTCCTGGTGGTGTTGACTGGAGATCGGAGTTTGGCGTCGGAGATGGAGATCGTGGGCGGTGCGGGTCCGGTGGCCTGGGGCATCAAGGACCCTGATCTTGATCTACGAGGAGCTTGGACGTTGGCTGGAATTGGGAAATCACGATTGGATTAGTCTAGGGCAATCGGTGTCGGCCTTAGCAGAGTTGCCTGATTTACCCGCACTGCGGCTGGCGGATTCATATTCCTGCTTTCTCCTGAACTTGACGGTCTAGATCTCGATCTACATGGACCTTACAATTAACTAAGCACCACTGAACCATGAACCCTGATATGATGTGCAGAATATGTCATTAGAAAAAGAATCAAGTAATGTACGAAAGCATGAAGACCTCATCGCCGCCCATCCGGCCCGAAAAATGCATCATCCAAACACGAATGCAACGCGAGGGCCAGACATTATCGAAAAGCAGTTCTCACGCAGTTCTTTCATAATGGAGAATCCCGTGTCAGACCCAGAAACTAACGCCGTCCGAAAGCAAATTGACCCTTGCACCGAATGTGGTAAAATAATATCGACCCCCTGTAGGTCTCGTGAGACCCTTTTTATCGTCTTGTAGCACAGCTCGTCACATTCATGCTCACGCCTTGGGTGGAGGGGGTCCATGGGGTGGAGCATATTCGCGACCACCGGCGCCGTAGGTGTTGGGTGGCGGCTGCATTTCGATTTCGCTTTGCACGGGAGGGGGCCCCTGTGCGCCGAAGTAGCCGTAGGATTGCGGGTTCGCGGAGTATTGCGGAGGTGGCTGGGCTGGGAAGTTGGGATCGTTGCCGTAGTAGGGCTGTTGATAGATGGGCTGGTTGGGCGGGGGAGGGCCTGGTGGTGGTGCCATCCAGGCGGTTCCCGCCATCGGGCGCCGACCGAGGCGACGGCGACGGCGAGCGTTAAAGCAGCTGGTTCGGAGTTTAGTTGGTGGGATATTTGGAGGGCCGGAGAGAGTACTCACGCGAACAAGAAGAAGACTATAAAGGCGCAGCCGACGATAACGGCGAACGCTACCCAGCGACCCCAGTTGTCCCAGGAGGAGTAGCCACAGTTGTCATCGTAGTAGTTGTTGCTGGGATGGGTTAGTAGACGACCACCGACACCGAGAAGGAAGACTCACCAATATTGTCGCGGAAGGATAGCCATGGTGGCTTTTGGGAAAGACGAGAGATGGAGAGTAGACGAAGGGAAATAGAAAGTTGCAGGTGGCTGAGACTCGACGTCAATCAATGGGGCTGGGCATGTGGGTCTTGGCACTAGGCTGCAAGTTTGCGATGATTCATGACGGACTTTTCACGTTGGCAGTGCAGTTATCCGATCGATGCCCTTTTATGCACACGCTAGATAGAACTTCACTACACTCTACATCATATCTGACATGGACTGCTCGCTATTCAAAGTTGCATACGACGCTACGTACGTATATTCGCCATCCGATGCGGCGCAGTCGGGATATACTCGTTCCACGGCCAATCACACTGCGGTGGAGCGAGGCGCAAGGCTAACCCGGAATATTCGGAAAGTCCAGAAATGTGGTTTGTTTCAAGTATACCGTGTACGGATCCTCTGGTACCTCCATCTACGCAGCCGTTCTCTCCTTGCGGGTGGACTGTCCGGACTGGGATATCAAGCGGTCGGCGACTATAGCGCGCCAACGCTACTGACTTTAGCTATTCTAGCCGGCGCCGGGTCCTGCACGACCATTGCGCTTAGGGTCTTCACATGCGAAAGATTCATAGGGTTAGATTAGTACAGGGGAGTTTCTTGCTAGGATGTTCCCAGTCCTCTCACCTGAATAAGGCAACTCTGCATCGGATTTTTGGTCCACGGAGGATTTTTTGGTGCGGACCATAGCTATACAGTAGTCACGGTTTATGATTACGAAAACTCTACTCCCTCTCAGCTGCCCACGCCCTGACCTCGAAGTGACCCCCCTGGGCGGGGGCGTTGGCCACTTACTACATCTGGTGCCCCTTCGTCTGCAAGGCCAACGCATCGGTTGGTCCGTGTGCATTTCACTTATTTATGCTGGCGGACCCCCATCGTCCTGGTTTCCGAGTAGGATGTCAATCAGCATTCAATTGCCCCGTGTCCTCTCCTTCGATCTTATTCACTAACCCCCAGTGGAGCTAAAAAAGACAAAAAAGCACCAAAGACGTTGATCATTACATATGAGACCGTGAGATCGTTTGCAACAAAATGCACCTGGCTTCGCTCGCATGCTCCCAAAAATGAACCATAAATAACACATGATATCGTTGACCTCGTCACATCCGAGGCTGCGAGCCAGCACGCTAGAGTCTACAGGATATACACAGAAACTGGAGGGAACGCTTTCAACGAAAAGCAAAAGAGTCAAAAGCAAGCGAGTCAGACGTTACCGGCTTGCGCGGGCAATCAGCCAGTGCAGGACTGCGTCGAGGTTGGTCTCCTCTTTAGCGCTGATCCCGTAGCAGCTGACTTCGCGGTGCGTGATCGACTTGAGGTCCATCTCATCGATCAACTCATCCACCGACAGCTTGACCGGGAGATCGGACTTGTTGCCGAGGACCAGGAGCGGGATGCCGTCCAAGGTGGGCTTGGTCATCAGCTCGTGCAGCTCCTCGGTGGCCGCCGGCAAGGCGGCTCGGTCGGCTGCGTCCACGATATACCTGGTCGCAGCGTCAGCATGATCTGATCGTGTTGGGTAACTTTCGCTAGATGTTCTTACACGATCGCGTTGACGCCTCGACAGTATCTTTCCCACATCGGGCGGAATCGAGGCTGTCCACCCAAGTCCCAGCTGAAAGACGTTAACATGGCTGATCTTGGCCTAGCAGCAGAGTCCAACATACCATTTCAAGGTGACATGGCCCTTTTGCACTCGTTTGGTGTTGAACCCGATGGTCGGGATGGAACTGTTCGCCGGTTAGCGGGAGTGTTATGGGGAGGACTACGCCATCGCCGTAACGACTCAAGACGACTTACTCAACCGTGAATTCCCCGCCCTACGTGACACGATCAGTTTCGATACAATATAACAGAACAAGATGGGCGCTTACCGCCAACACGCGCAGCAGGGAGGACTTGCCGGCATTCTGCAGGCCGATCATGGTGACATCCATCTCCGTCGCCCTGCAGGGAAAAGGGATTAGCAGGCTTCATCTGCGGGGACGGGCCGGGAGTGTTCTCCCGCGACGCCTGGCCCACACTTACCAGAACATCCTCAAGAGCCAGTCATAGATGCTGCGAAAGATCCCGGCCATGTTCAGCGGGGTGAGGGGTTATTCTCGAGGGGGTTTGGGAGAAATGTGAAACTCTTGGATATAATAAAACAACACACGAAAAGAAGCAGGGCAGTGGAATCCTTGAAACTAGAAAGTGCCGGAGTGGGGTTAAAAGGGTCAAGTCAAGGTCGCGAGCACGCAGTGGACGAGGTTGTCAATCACCGCGGCTATTCAAGGGGAGCAAAAGAAAATAAATGTGACTAGGACTATCCGAGCGTTTCTTTCCCCCTCACTTTTCGAGGTGACTCGAGTCACATCCAAAACTGGAGATTGAAGCAAAATGTGAGATCTACGGGCACACATGACCGCCGTTAAGAGGGGCGCTTAGGCTCCTTTCGCGGCCTGACGTAGCGCAGTCACTGCAGAACGAGGTCCCGGTGGCGCTCTGGCGGTTTCGCTCCTGGGTGTTGTATTAGGCGGCACTCGAGGTCCGAGCTGAAAGAGAACCTGGGCGTCTAGATAATGCTACTGTAGTATAGAGTGATCCATAGGGGACATTGGAGATATTGTAGAATGAAAAGAAAGGTCAACAGTCAACTCGATGTTCAAATGTAGATGGCCTCAGGCATAAAAATGTACTTTATCACCACGTGACGATAAGCCGCTCCACCTCGAAAAATTTCCCCGATCACCGTCTTCGCTCCCATCCAAGCTGCCATTGCTGGCTCAATTCTTTCCCTGCTCTCTATACCCCCTTTGGGAGCCTAGGCAGAAGGGGCCCTTATCTTCGCCGCCCTTGGATCGACCACTCGGGCACCTTCCCCCCCCCACCAGCTCTAATCGACAGGTTTTCTCTCGACCCCGGTCGAGACCTGTGAGCTTCACCATGGCACCCGCTCCCACCAGCACGGATTGGTCGGTTGAATTCGACTCCTTGCGGCGCGAGAATCTCTTCCAGAACCCGCCCAAGGACCACACCGCTTACCCGTCGCTGGCCGAGTCCATTAAGCCGCACGTTGATTCATTTAATGCTCTCTTCGCCGACAGCAAGATTTTGGAGGCCGGTTTGAAGGATATTGGCACCAAGACCTTCCTCGATGGCGAGCCCGAAACCCTCGAACAGAAGGCGGCTCGAAAGGCGGAGGGTCTTCGTGCCCCGAAGCGCAACCGCCTGAATGTCCGCGTGAAGGAACTCTTCTTGGACAAGCCCACCCTGCCGCCCACCAACAAGTACAGCACCAAGAACCGCAACATCTACCCCTCCGAATGCCGTGAGCGACATTCGACATATCGTGGCAAGCTCCGCGCACGTCTCGAGTATCAGGTCAACAATGGCGACTGGATGGAGTCGGTGCGTGAGCTGGGTCAGGTTCCCATCATGCTGCGCACCAACCGATGCCACCTCGAGAATGCGACCCCAGAGGAGCTGGTCACCCGCAAGGAGGAGTCGGAGGAGCTTGGTGGTTACTACATCGTGAACGGTAACGAGAAGCTGATTCGAATGCTTATCGTCGGCAAGCGCAACTACCCCATGTCCATCATCCGTAATTCGTTCGTCAAGCGTGGTCACACCTATACCAACTTCGGTGTGCAAATACGATCCGTTCGTCCCGACCAAACGTCTCAGACAAATGTTCTGCACTACCTCTCAGACGGCAATGTCACCTTCCGTTTCTCGTGGCGCAAGAACGAATACCTCATCCCCGTGATGATGATCCTCAAGGCCCTGGTGGAGACCAACGACCGCGAAATCTTCGAAAGCCTCGTTGGCAGTGCTTCGTCCAAGGGAATGAAGAATACTTTCGTGACGGACCGTGTAGAGCTCTTGCTCCGAACATACCAGGCCTACAACAAGCACAGTCGCTACGACTGCCGGGCTCACCTGGGTAAATCCTTCCGCCCTGTTCTCGGCGTGTCTGCCGACATGCCTGATGAGGATGTTGGCACTGAGTTCCTGCGCAAGGTTGTTCTCCCTCACCTGGGTAACTATAATGTCACCGAGACTCAGGATTACGACAAATATAAGATGATCATTTTCATGATCCGGAAATTGTACGCCCTGGTTGCAGGTGACTGTGCTCCCGATAACCCCGATGCAGTCTCCAACCAGGAAGTTCTGCTTGGTGGATTCCTGTACGGAATGATTCTCAAGGAGCGTATCGAGGAGTGGCTCCGTTCATTTGGCCCTATTGCCCGTGACTGGAGTATGCGGAACAGCGGCGCCAAGTTCACAGACCCTTCCTTTGAGCGTGACTTCCTGTCCAAGATTGTCAAGCGCTCCAACGAGAACATCGGTAACGCGCTCGAGTACTTCTTGTCTACTGGTAACCTCGTCAGTCCCACTGGTCTCGATCTGCAACAGACTTCCGGTTACACGGTCATTGCGGAAAAGATCAACTTCTACCGATTCATCAGTCACTTCCGCATGATTCACCGTGGTAGTTTCTTCGCCCAATTGAAGACTACTACCGTTCGAAAGCTGTTGCCAGAGAGCTGGGGTTTCCTTTGCCCTGTTCACACCCCTGATGGTTCTCCCTGTGGTCTATTGAACCATTTGGCGCACAAATGTCTGATTGCCACCGACAATCTCGACGTTTCCACCCTGCCCAAGACTCTCGTTCAGCTTGGTGTTCGGTCCGAGTCATCTGTGGCTCTGGATGACAGCGTCGCTGTCCAGCTGGATGGCCGAATTATCGGTTTCTGTTCGCCGAAGCAGGCTCGCAGGATTCACGACACCCTCCGGTACTGGAAGGTCGAGGGCACCAACGGCATTCCCCGTGGATTGGAGATTGGTTACATTCCAAACTCCAACGGTGGACAGTATCCCGGTATCTACATGTTCTCCCAGTCGGCAAGAATGTACCGCCCCGTCAAGCACCTGGCTCTGGAAAAGATGGACTACGTTGGTCCGTTCGAGCAACCCTTCATGGAAATTGCCTGTGTGGAGTCTGACCTGATCGCCGGTCTGTCCACCCACATCGAGTACACACCCACCAACATCCTCTCCATCGTGGCCAACATGACTCCCTTCTCCGACTACAACCAGTCTCCCCGTAACATGTACCAGTGTCAGATGAGCAAGCAGACCATGGGTACGCCTGGTACCTCCATCGGCTACCGTACAGACAACAAGCTGTACCGCCTGCAGACCGGTCAAACTCCCATTGTGCGGCCCCCGCTCTACAACGCCTACGGTCTAGACAACTTCCCCAACGGAATGAACGCCGTTGTGGCTATCATCTCGTACACCGGTTACGACATGGACGACGCTATGATCATCAACAAATCCGCCCACGAGCGTGGCTTCGGTCACGGTACCATCTACAAGACCAAGGTGCACTCCCTCGCCGATCGTGACTCCCGACGCAGCAAGTCCAAGCGTGAAGTCACCAAGCTGTTCGGTTTCGCCCCCGGCGATATGGTCAAGCAAGAAGTGCGCCAGTTCATCGACGAGGACGGTCTGCCGCACGTCGGTGTCCGCGTCAAGGAGGGTGACAAGATCGCCGCCTTCCACGACGTGCGCTATGACGCCGCATCCGACTCCTACGTCAATGTTGATGGTATCACGCACTTCCTCAAATACAAGGATGCGGAAGCCGGCTACATCGAAAGTATCCGCCTCATGGGTGCCGAGTCTGGCAACGAGCCCATCCAGTCTCTCAGCGTCAAATACCGTATTCCCCGTAAGCCGATTATTGGTGACAAGTTCTCTTCTCGTCACGGTCAGAAGGGTGTTTGCTCACAGCTCTGGCCCGCGGTCGACATGCCTTTCTCCGAGAGCGGCATGCAGCCTGATCTGATTATCAACCCTCACGCTTTCCCATCTCGTGAGTCACCCACCTCTTCTATCATAGCAAAGATTCCCTCGCTAACATAATCCAGGTATGACAATCGCCCAAATGATCGAATCCATGGCCGGCAAAGCCGGCGCTCTCCATGGCCACCCGCAAGACTCCACACCCTTCCAATTCTCAGAAGAGAACACCGCCACCGACTACTTCGGCCACCAGCTCCGCAAAGCCGGCTACAACTACTACGGTAACGAGCCCCTGTACTCCGGCATTACCGGCAAAGAGTTCGCCGCAGACATCTACATGGGTCTAGTCTACTACCAACGTCTGCGTCACATGGTAAACGACAAGTTCCAAGTGCGCACAACGGGTCCCGTGAACGCTCTAACGGGCCAGCCCGTCAAGGGTCGTGCCAAGGGTGGTGGTATCCGTGTTGGAGAGATGGAGCGCGATTCTCTGATCGCTCACGGTGCTGCGTTCCTTCTTCAGGACCGTTTGATGAACTGCTCCGATGCCCAGCATGCTTGGATTTGTCGTGGATGCGGGTCGTTCCTCTCTACCCAGGTTGCTGTTTCGGGTTCTGGTGCCGCTCGTCGTGCGGCTGTTAACCCCGGTGCTGCGGCGGCGGCTGCGAAGGCCGCGCCGAACCAGCATCATAGCTCTGGTGGTGTGTCTGGTATTGTTCGCTGCCGTCGCTGTGCCCGTCCGGCTGGTATCAATGACTCCCGCGCTGAGGCATGGGAGGATGGCGATGGACTGCGCTACGTTGGCGGCGACGATGTTACTATCGTTGCTGTGCCGGGTGTTCTGCGGTACTTGGATGTTGAGCTCGCTGCTATGGGCATTCGCATGAAGTTCTGGGTTGACAATTAGTATATACTGTCGGGGTTTGGTTTTGGTCTAAAATTTTCTTGTACTTTTGGTTTCTTTTATGACATAGATGTAGCGTCTGGTCTTTAGTCGATGTGCAAATCAACATTTATTCTTCATAATCAGCTACACGCAGAGAGTTCAAACACAGACTCTGCGCGTTATGCGTCACGCGGCGCGCGAATAGTGCCCACTAGGATAGCATGGACCGCAAGAGCTTATTAGTTATTAGTAGTCACGGATAACTTTAATTTCTCGGATTAGATCAACAGGGGTAACGCCTTGCACCGGAACCCGGGGCGGCGGTGAAGCCTCTTGTTGACTAGTGTGATAGCCTCGGTCCTTCGGCCAAAAGCCTATCCTGCGTCCCAATAGCAGGGCGAGTGACTACATACGGACTCTGGCTATTTACCGATTTTAATTAAAAAAACAAGGTCAGTTAGCGAAATGTAACATCGGTTGTCATTTATACTCGGTCTTATCGTTCCTGGAAGGTACCATGGTTCCTGACCGCACTAGTTCGGGTCGAAAGAGGGCAAAAGAAGGCGATGATTGGGTGCTAGCTTGCTAAGGTGAAGCCAACGAGGAGGTCCAAGCATATTTACTATCGGCATATCTGGTAAGGTCTACGGGATGCAAGATAAGCACCCCCGCATCTCGTGAGTCGCAAATTACCGTTGCCAATGAGAAAGGGCCGCTTGCAAGAGGGGAAAGAAACCGCGTCGGACATCCGTCCGGAATCCGTACACAACTCCTAGCGACATTTTAGAGACTCTGCTAAGCCTTTTTGCCAAAGTATTTGGACCTTCGTAGACCAATACAATCTGCTGAAGAACGCCCCAACAAAGTCAGGTGCTGCCGTTATTATCTATAGTACGGAGTATAGAAAACTAAAGTGGAGGTGAAATTGCTGCAGCTAATTCCCTCGCCCTAGTGGAGAATTAGCGCGGAAATAATAACGCCATACAGCAGAATGGAGCAAAGAAATGGAGTATAAAATCCTCCTATATTCCCTATAGATCTCTCTGCTCCATCCCTCATCCCCAATCTTTTCATCGTCCTCTCCATTCGTCATGGTTTATACTACTGTCCTCGCGGCCCTGTCTTTGCTGGCCTTGACGGCAGATGCAGCGCCCCACACGGGATCCTCCGTCAGTCATCTGGCTAGACATACTCTTCAGAACCGGGACGTGGATCTGAAAGTCACCACCTGGAAGCCCACTGCCTTCACTCAGCCACGGACCCCTGCCAAGTCGCCGCATGTTATGAGCCTGAAGAAGCTCGCAACCAACCATGCCAACACACGTAGTGCAGCTTATCTCAAGGGCTTGACTGGCAGATGGCTTGGCTATGGAGAAGACCAGTTGATATCTCTAATCGAAGGCCAGGAATATGCCACTTCCATTATGTTTGGTACCCAGTCCTTCGATGTGATTGTCGACACTGGATCCAGTGATACATGGGTGGTCAAGGAGGGTTTCGAGTGTATCAATCTGGCCACAGGCAAGAAGACGACTGAGGCTGAGTGTAAGTTTGGTTCAACATACTCAGTCGACTGGGGTTTCGAGAAGATCCCTGGGGAGTTCTTTAATATTACGTACGGTGATGGCGAGTATCTGCACGGATACATGGGTACCGAGATTATAACCCTAGCCAACGTCATGGTCGAGACGGAGGTTGCCGTTGTCACCGGGGCTGCTTGGGAGGGAGATGGAACCACGTCTGGATTGACCGGTCTGGCCTTCCCAGCCTTGTAAGCGCAATTCCAATCTATCTATCCGAGCTTGGACTGACGACCGAACCAGGACAAGCGCATATTCCTCGAAGACCGACAAGCAGAAGGAATACAACCCTATCTTCACCACCATGTACGAAGAAGGCCTGGTCGAGCCATACTTCAGCCTGGCTATTCTTCGTGACACGTCCGGCGAGGCGGGCTATCTGACCCTCGGTGGCTTGCCCCCTATCGACTTCACCGAGACCTGGACTACAACCGATATCTTGATCACTTCCATCACGGGATATCCAGCCACCTATGATTTCTATACCATCAACATCGACGGTGTCACCTTGAATGGCGAGACTATTTCTGGCGCGGGAGGTGACATTCAGTACATTGTAAGTCTCTCCCATCCTCGCTTCTCACATTTCATGGCAAAAGCATATACTAATACCTGCCAGATCGACTCCGGTACAACCCTCAACTACTATCCCACCTCCGTTGCCAATGCGGTCAACGCCGCCTTTGACCCCCCGGCCGTCTACAACACCACTCAGGGAGCCTACGTTGTCGACTGCAATGCCAAACCCCCGGCGCACGCCATCACTATCGCTGGCACCACCTTCACCATCAATCCGCTGGATATGATCCTGAACGGTGGCACCGACGCAAATGGCAAAACATTCTGCATCTCGGGTATTGATGATGGCGGTAACGATCCCTCTGCAGATCTCTATATCCTTGGTGATACATTCCAGAAAAATGTGGTGACGGTGTTTGATGTCGGCGCTGCTCAGTTGATGTTTGCGCCTCATGAGGACTATACTTCTAATGATACCTACTAGTAGATATATCTCTAGACGTGTTTCTGGAGGTCTCTGTGAATATACCTCTGAACGTGATTTACTACGATTTTGTTATGTGAAAGGTGGTGTGTCGTTTTGATTTAATGACCGCTATTCATGCCCGTACACGCCGTAACGTATGATATCAGTACGCCTTGATAAGTCTCTTACTCATAACTCAAATTGAAAAGCGATTGTTTTGTGGGCTGTAGTTGGTAGATCGCAGAGGGGTTGCGGGTTGAGAATGCGTGCAATGACTAAAGACTGATGTCTCTCTAATCCTGAAGCTATATTCGAACAAGCGATGCGAAGATCACTGAGGAGACTACAGAATGCCCAGAAAGAGGGATATACGGGAGAGTTCATGGAGAAAGTTATTCAATGCCGACCTCTCAACTCCTAGAGGTCTATTTGATACAGCTCCGATGCATACAAGGCCTTCGCAACAACCTACGAAAAATGGGTTTTATGCACCTTTTGGCGGAAGGCAACGGCTCTTCAAGGGATGAGGAATGGCTTCTTGGTCGAGAGCTACAGCAGTGTAAGAACTACAAGTAACCCTCAGGAGAGCTTGACCAGCACCTAGCCTATCCACGCTACAAGTGAAAAGGTAAATTAAAACCCCAAGTTACCTAGCATCAATCAATAATACACAGTATCCCAGCCCTTACAACTCAGACGTAACATTCGAGAACTCGCCACGATCAAGCTTCGTCTTCCAGAAGATCGGGTTCATATCATCGAAGCCATGGTGCACCCATCCTTCCTCCTTGACATGGTAACAGTTAATGAAACCACCGGAGTAAGCATCACGGTGCATAGCCGCCAGAATGGCACGTCGGCCCAGGTCCAACGCCTCCTGCTCGGTCAGGTCGTACTTGTAGTTTGCATCCAGCACACCGTATGCGAATGTCTGGCCGGATCCAACACAGAACAGGTTGCCTGGCAGCCGTGTACCGTCGGAGTCGATGTAGTACAGCGCGGGGCCTTCTTGGGGTGTCACACCTGCGAGCATAGTTCCCATGCTCAGACCGTAGCCCTTGTAGGCGTACGTCAGGTTGGCGAGGATCTTCGATGCGGCTGCGACGGTGATACGGCGCTTGTGTCGGATTTCTAAGTGGCTGTTAGTAACCCCTATTCCATTATCAAGCTGAGAAAAAGCTCACCGTGCAGAGTACACTGCTGACTCAAATACCGCAACCAATATTGGCAATCCTAGCAATCCAGTATCAGCACCCAACGTTTCTTTTCCATCCCATCCCATCTCCATCGACTTACCGCTGCACCACCGGCCATAGTACCCAGCAGACCGGGAGTGGGGTCCTTAGACGGCTTGTCCTCGCCACGACTCAACCGGGACACGGGGATGACCTTCTTCACTGTTTGACTGGCGATCCAGTTTCCGGCTGTAGCTCGGGAGTCGGTGCATACAATCTACCAACAGCAGCATCCATTAGCATTCTATGTCCAGATGGACTCATTCGAGGAGGAGAGCGTACAATGCCACCCTGGAAGCGGAAGGCCAGGGTCGTTGTGCCGTGAGCGATCTTGATGGGACAGCTGGGGTTGGAGTGGTCATCGGTCATAGCACGGAGGAAAGCGGCGCGCTAGATGGAGCAAGAAGATGGCCGATTAGCAATTATTCTCATTTCGGCGATACGGTCGCGTTTCTGGGAGCTCCATTTGCCGCAAAGCTGTGATGACGGGCGTGGACGGTCGGTCGGCCAAAGGGAATACCCCGGTCGCATCACCATCTCATCCAGGGAAATAAAGCCCGCCGATGGAATCAAAAACACTCACATTGTCGACGGGAGGAAGGGCAAACTTGAGGGAGAGCGGAGGCATGCCCTCCGTGAGCTCCTGCTGCTCTGCCTCGGAGTAAAAGTCATTTTGATGCTTCGGGCGCGAGTACTGAGCGACGAGCTTGTCCATGATGTGCGGATATGACGAGGAAACGAGAAAATGAGGGAAGGGTGAATTGGAGAGGACGGGGACAAGTAGCTGATGGATGCAGCTCCGCTGGAGCTTGGGATTCCGCGTCACTCGGCCGCCTACGGTCACGTGCTGGGCACCCGATACATCTGCCGTTTAAGCCATCTTTTTCCCCATCTCTAATCCTGCTGATCCAACTTCGAAATATTCATTTGGAGCCAGAACCTAGGAAACACTATATTCGAACGAAAACGGCTGCGATTAATTAAAATTTTTGCATAAGATCCGGAGTATGTAGTAAATAATACGCTCGAAAGAAAGAACGATATTTGTGACTTGACGATTCTTACTTGTCTGCTACTTGTGCAATAACTCATGAAGAGTGGCGATCGATAGGGAACCCTCTCCGGCTATATTCACATGGTTATAAGCTTATGCGCACGAAAAGTAGGATTGTTGGCCTTTGGGAAGATAGCGTTGCGGCCGAGATTTTTGAAGCGCCAACTGAAAAGTGCAGTGTTGATCTTAGTTTAGTGCCAACCGCCGCACTTTCAATTTCTAGCGGATATACCCCTAATCTCTGTCGGTGAAATTATTGTTGTTTATAAAGGACGAGACCTACGTCGCCTGCCTGGCGAAGTTCTGCTTCTAGGTGGAGCAACGGCTTTCTTCGAGCTATACAAATCATCCGAAAGATTAAGCGACGCAGGCAAAAGTATAAATGAGTCTAGGACCTAGTACCAGTAACCTTGCAGTTCCCGAGATTGCAGTCCCCAGTCTGTGGCTAAACAGAGTATTAGCGACTAGGTGTAGACTCCGACTAACAACTTGAAGTCCTGTATAGAGCGTAATCAAAAGATCTGACACCACCTAAGCCGCCAGTCCAGTCCAGTATCTCTTTTGTCCCCATCGCAGCTAGAACAGAAATATGAGAGAGGAGTCTATGCCATTATATAATGCTACCTTTTCTTCCGGGACTCCGAGCTGATTTTAATAATTAAACAGATTCCGTCCTCTCCACGACCTCCGTGGCCTTGTCCTCCTCTGCCTTTGCGGCGCCGCCTGCTTGTACCTCTGCGCGAGCTTTCAAGCTGTGCCACTCGACAAAGACACTGCCAAATATGGTGATAGCGGATGTCGCAACCACCATGTATGTCACATTGTTGATGGCGGTGTTGTAATCAACCAGCAGCATCTGGAGCGTCTTACCCGAAGCCAGCTGTCTGAGCTTGATGACACCACCACCGGTGATGTCATCTGGGTTGATGCCGGGGATATTGGTGAGCTTCTTGACAAGTGTGTTGAGGAAGATGTTCTCGGCAACGGGCAGGAAGATTGCTGAAGCGAGGAAACGCATAAAGGTGACGAGAGCGGAGCCGGTCGCGATATCGCTTCTGTCGAGGACGGTCTGGACGACATTCATCGGCTGCTGCAAACCGAAGCCGGTGCCAAGCCCCATTAAGATCTGGTAGCCCACCCACTTGCCAGTGCCGGTGTACGGTGTGAAGGTTGAAATAAGACCGGCGCCTATGGGCATGATGATGGAGCTGATGAGGAAGAACTGGGTGTAGTAACCCGTCCTCGATATGACGATGCCAGAGACGACGGTCCCCAAGACGGTCATGAGCATCAAGGGCAGCAGCATGATACCTGACCTGATGGCGCTGACGCCCTTGATAGCTTGAAACCAGATGGGAAGGTAGTAGGTCAAAACCATCAAGCCAGCGCCGTAGAAGAAGGAGTAGAAAGTCGCGGCGGCAATGCTGCGCTGCTTGAGCAGCCGCGGGGGGATAGTGCCGGCATCCTGCTTCCAGATCTGAATGCCAATAAAAGCAATGACCAGGACCGCGCAGACGACGAGCAGCACGATGATACGGGCACTGCTCCATGCATACTTGGTGCCTCCCCATTGCAGGGCGACGATGAGGCAGATAATACCTGGGAAGAAGCAGAGGTTACCAATAGGATCGAGCTGCATAATTTTGCCAATCCAGCTGTCAGCAGGCTTGTCAAGCTTCTGGTGCGGGAGTTTCAGGATGAAAAAGACAACGAGGATCGCCGCTGCACCGATGGGGAGGTTGATATAGAAACACCACCGCCAGGTCACCTTGTCGGTCAAGGTACCGCCGACGAGGGGCCCGAAAACAGACCCAAGAGCAAAGACGCCCCCGAGGCCACCTTGCCACAGGGGTCGCTCCTGCAACGGGACGGTGTGGAACAAGATGACCATTACGCCGGAGAAGAGGCCCGAGGAACCGAGACCGGCGACGGCGCGACCGAGGATGAAGGCCTTGGAGCTAGGCGCCGAGCCGCAGACGGCGGAGCCGATCTCGAAGATTGAGATGCCGATGAGGAAGAGGGTCTTGGTGGGGTAAAACTTGTAGACCTTGCCCATGAGGAGTTGGAAGGCGCAGGTCGTTAGTAGATAGGCGGAACCGTACCAGCCAATGTCGTCGTTTGAGTTGAACTCATCGGTGATGCGTGGGATAGCTGTCGAGATGACGTTTTGGTCCTTTATAGAACGTATAAGTGCTGATTTCGAGCCGTGGAGTTGCCAGTCCCTGGGGAAGGCTAGGGAACCGAATACGTACGAGAATGATTAGAAAAATGGACAAGTAGAGAGAAATCATAATGAGCACCCGCTTGTGAATGCCAGGATACTCGTGGACTTCCTGCTCCTTTTCTGCGGAGTCCAATTGGGCAGAGCCAGAGGTGGCTTGATCGTCTGCCGAGGGTCGCTCCAACATAGTGTCGATACTAGTAATAGCAAAATCGGGGAGCGAGAGGGATGTCCTGGACGTGTTGTACCTTGAGAACAATAATATTCACGACTCAACCTATCCATATTTCAAGCACGCTGTACCCGTCCTTTTAAAGTCTTTCGTGATGGCGGTCTCGGTGTTGTCGGTGCTCTAAAAGGAGGCCAGGCGGCCCTCGGGGCTCAAAAAGTCATTTTTCACCCCCGAGCCCCGAGTTCTCTCCGCCACCACGCAATACTTCGGTCCTCAGCCTGAAGGCGCATATCCGAATATCAGAAAAGTCCGAGGTATCTCGGTGCTTATCTCAAAAGATCTTCATCGGGCATGAAATCCGTTTCATAAACTTCTCAAACCACTTGTACGGAATCCCAAGGGACGCAATGACCGACCCCGCAGCCGGTCAGCTCCAACGATTCTCTTGTCTGGCATGCCGCCAGCGCAAGGTGAAGTGCGACCGCCGTGACCCATGCTCGCACTGCATCAAGGCATCACGAGAATGCAGCTTCGTTGTACCAGTCCGGGGTAAGAGGAAGAGTACTAAACCCGTCAAGGAGGGCCTGCATGCCAGAGCGCGCCGCTACGAGGAGATGCTGAAGTCGTACGGTGCTAAGATCGAACCCAGAGGTAATGGCGTTTCCGAGCGCGGGAATGATTCATCAGAACTTTCAGAACCGGTGTCGCACACGGATTTCGATATGACCGACTGCGACAGCGTCGAGTCGTCGCGGCAACCTCGGCATTTGATGCCGTTGCGAACGGACGAGAAGCTGAGATTCACCAAAGAAAAAGACTCGTCCGGGTATATGGACGCGTATGTCTCCCCCACATCATCTGTGTTCTTGGAAAAGGCTACTAATGTCGTCTCTAGCTTGCCTGAGGCTAATGTCATTGAAGACGATACCGTGAGCAGCGCCTATCCTGTTGTTGTTACATGATCGGTGCTGATTACTACCAACAAGTTCCCTGAATACCCCGTGGAAGATGCCATTGTAGACCGAGGCAGTAATGACGAGTCGGACACTCTTCTGGAGACGGGCGAACTACCCGACAGCATGTCCAACGGACCGAATGAGCCTCTCGCCAACCTTCACCCGCCGCATCACCAGCTGCTCAAGCTGTGCGACACCTACGCCGACCGCGTCGACCCCATAATGAAGGTGCTGCATCTGTCGACCTTCTGGACTTCGCTTAATGATGCTATTCAACAGCCTGAGAAGGTTTCAAAGAGTCTGGAGGCATTGATCTGTGCCTTCTACTCTATCACTGTCCACTCCCTCGCGGAACATGAGTGCTGGTCTATGTTGGGTGAAGACAAGTCTATCCTGGCTAAGCGGTACACTCGCGCAACACTTCAGGCTTTGAAGGCTGCCAAGTTTATGCGCACATCCAGTTCAATGACCCTTTGCGCGTACTTCATCTACCTCGTAAACTCAACCGCCCTCTTCTTCCTTTTCAGATGCAGGCTCAGCTAATTAAAACCTGTAGATGGCTGTGAGAAGCAGTCACTCGACAGACGCCTTCTACATCCTCTCCGGCGTGGCCGTTCGCCTGGCCTGCAAAATTGGCATACACCGCGACGGCATTTCTCTGGGCCTGTCCCCCTTCGAGACGCAGATGCGCCGCCGCCTTTGGTGGTCCATCATGCTCACGGACTTGCGCATGTCGTCCCTTATCGGTGCTAAACCGTCCATGGACCTCTTCTCTAGCGACGTGAGACCCCCACTCAACATCCCGGACGAGGACTTCGGTCCGGACACAATCAATATGCCGCCAGAGGCCGAGAAGATTACACCGCTGACAGTCGAGCTGCTCCGGTACGAGATGGTTCGTTTTCTTGGTAACTTCCAGGGGGGAGATCGCCGGCGGCAGCTGGCCAGGAAATGGCAAAAGTCTCGCGAACGCAGAGCTCGACTTTACCAGGAGGAGCAGTGCCATCGCCGAGCTCAACGACGCCGTGGAGACAAAGTTTCTACGGTACTGTGACCCGACAAACTCTCTCGACACCTTCGTTTCCATCATGGCACGCTCAGGCATTTGTATGTGCAGAATCAAAGCAGGCACGCACAACATCCGGCAATGCGTCGACCGTGGCATCCCCGTGCCGCAGAGCGAGCGAGACACCGTATTCGCCGCCGCCACCAAGATGCTCGAGTACGTTAAGCTGACGCGCCAAAACACCAAGCTAGACAAGTACATGTGGCAGGCAGGCACGAGCGTCCTCTGGCACTCGCTTCTGTGGGTGCTCATTGAGGTGAAGCGCCGCAAGGTCAGCCCCGAGGTCGACCGGGCGTGGGAGCTCATCGGGTCTGTCCTGTCGTTCTACCCACTCATGTTCCAGAGGAATACCACAGCCGTGTACGCCGTACTCGGCAAGTGGACACTAGAGGCGTGGGACACCAGCCACGCTGCCCGAAGGGAGGCGGGTGTGCCGAAGGAGTCGACGCCGGACTGGGTAGATGCGCTTCGGCGGGCTCGGGAGCCGACCCAGGGCACGTCGGCCACAAAGATCTCTGCAAGTGTCCAGCAGCCGACACCCATTTCCAAAATCGACGAGTGTGATCCCTTCACATTTTCGGATCTACTAAACTTCGAGTACGCGCCCGCCGAATGGGACCAGTGGGAGAGTTTGCTTGCGGCAGAAGAGGTGGGCAGTTTTTAACAATAGACATCTCAAACACCGTCAATCTCTTTTCACGGCAAGTGAAGCTTGAGGTCGCTGTGATGAGATCCTATGAATTAACATAAGGACATCACCGAAGCTGATTAGGTCATCAGAAAGTAATTCACAAATGAACAGTATTATAGGGCTAAGTGCCCTTTTTAGGTATAGACCAAGCGTGGACCAAGTGCTTAATAGATGCCTCTGATCAAAGTAATCAGTGGGCAATCAGTGAGCATCCAATCACTAGCACTGAGTATTCACGGAGACTGAGCTTGGACTAAAATTTACTCAGTGAGCCTGATTCTGAGCACCCTCATAAAAGAGGCGACAGCTAGAATAGCAAAGCCACACCTGGCAGAGGAAATGTGGTACGTATAGTGACCTAGGTACACTTCTCAATAATATTCCATATTTCCACAGTATTATCGTGTTTGCACTAACAATCGCGTTTCCTGGTAATGTGCCACCTCGAACAATAACGAATTATACAAGAAGAATTTCAACGTAGCTAAAGTACAATTAACTAGCGAGCGGAACCGCATCCTCCGCCGCCATGGTGGTCTGGGGCTCGTTCAGCTGCTTCTTTGCATGGGTCGATGTCTCTTCATTGGCGTAGGACTCGGTATCGACACGTGTGTTGACAACGTCGGGTTCTTGCTCGGAAATCCCGTTGCCATGAACGGGAACCTCTTGGTCTGCCGAGGAGACGACGGGATCGAGGTTGGGCTGCCAGTTGCGTAGATCGTTCTCGGCATCTTCAAGCACCTGGCGAGCCTCCAGCTCATGCTCGTAAGCTTGGCGAGCATCACCGGGCACCACTGGAGTGTCATCAATGTAGTTGAGCAGGCGGCGCGCGTGGTTAGCGAGGATGATCTGCTTCTCGGCGCGCTCGACCACGGCAGACAGGTGGATGTCAAAGGCCTCCTTGAGCTTTGTGCGGGTCTATTAAAGTTAGCAAAGCCCACACCCACAAAACGCTTCAGCAACATACGGTGTTGGACAGCTGTGCCTCAGCAACGAGATTCTGCGCCTCAGCACGAACCAGCTCATGCTCCAGAGTGGTCAGACGCGTGTTGGTAGGATCCTTGTACTTGAGCTTGGCGATCTCATCAGTAATTTTCTGGCGCTGGTCACGGCTCGGCTGGACCGAGCTCTCCATGTTGCGAATGTGCTTCAGCGTGCCCCGGTAATCCTCAAGGTTCTGCGAAAAGATGTCTTCCTGCTCGCCCATCTCCGCCAACATCACACCCAGCTTGTCCGAGATGTCGGAGACGGCATCGTCCTCGGTGGATTCGCCCCATTCGGACAGCTGCGAAGCGATCGAACTGCGCTCACGGCCGGCGGCTTCATATGCGCCGATGGCTGAGTTCTCGCTCTTGATCAGTCGGCTCAGCTTGCGGCTCAGCTCGGGGCCGGTCATGCCACGGAAGGTGTTGATGCTGAAGCGGTGGCGCGGCTCTTTGCGCGAGCGGATAGAGAGTGTGCGATTCCTGTGGACTTTGTTAGTGGATGATGACACTACTGTACGTTGGGTACATACATGATGTAGGTCTGAGGAATCAATAGAAGGTAGGATGTGGTGTGGTATATTGGTATATGAAACCGGTGCGTACAAAACAGGGAACTAGTAGGAAGTTACGTTATAAGAGGCGCAGGATAGCGCTTTCCCGTAGATGACGATGGAACGCAACCCTAATCTCGTCGTAGCTTTGAGGAAGTAGTCCCGGTGGCTGCCGTGACGTCATGACGGGAGGGGCGGAAGCTGAATATTGGCGCTGGTCCGATTGCAGTCGAGTGCGTGACCAGCTTCTGGTGCTGTGGGCTGTGAGTGGACGATGCATAATCTGTTCATTGCTCGCGAAGTTTATTGAAAGCTAGATCGCTGGCCCGGATCGTCACTTCTCCACAGTTGTGCCGGCAATATCAGATGCGGAGTCTAGATCACCGGTCGTCGCTCGATTCTTGATTCTAAGCCACCATTTTGGTTCTAATGAGCCGGGCAGAGAATTTCTCCGTGACTATGGCTGTAGACTTGTTCCTGAAAGAGAATATCTCGATCCTAGGGCTTCCCTGATCGGGAAATCCCTCCGCCATATCTTGCGGTAGCAGTCTTTCTGTCTACAAACACTGAATGGTCAAATAGCCAATATCCATATCATGGTCTGAACTATTCAGACACAGCTCTCAAGTTCTCGGTTTTATTGTACAGCACAAGAAATTGGACGCAAAAACAAGACATCAGTTCCAAACCCTCCATAACCACACAAAACACCCAGAGCAGACTGCATGGCCCGCAGTGTGCTGAAACGCAGAATGAACCAGATAGCGCCTTCGTAAGAAACAAAACCCTAGGACATCTCATCCGCGTCTGGGTTGTGCGAGTGCTCGTTGTCCGAGGCGTGGAAGGCATCTCCAAACGCTGAGTTTTCCAGATCGGGAAGATCTAACCCGTCGTTCTGCTCGGTATAGGCGGCCAATGCATCGCCAGCACTATCGATGTTGTCAAAGTCGAAGTTGGAGCCCTCGAGACTCACGTCTCCAGCTCCCCCCTTGTTCTCGTTATGGATCATCACCCAGTCGCCGTTCTCGTTGGTGACGCCGCCGGCAAGTTGGTCACCCAGGTCCATATCCACGTCACCTGGGATCTCGGTGCCGGGCATGCCTTGTCCAGGTGCAGCACCAGAGGCATCAGCACCCGGGCTGCCAAATTGGTTCAACAAATGGGAGTCATCCTGATCCATGACCATATCGTTGGTGAACGACTCGGGCTCGTCCTTGTGTTCCGGCTCGATCTTCTCCAAGAGTCCACCCTTCTCCACGCATGACACCTTGGGCTCCGGCATGATCTGTTTCTTCCAGGCGCTCTCCACGTCGCGGACCACATCCTCAACCTTGTATTTAGCTTTCTCTTCCACGTACTGCTGCGGGGTCTCGCTCTCTTCCGTGGGAATGATAATGCGGCCTTCCAATCTCCAGATCTCAGCGCCAGTCTCGGTCGGGTCGGCAGCAGCGTCCCGGAGACGCAGTTCCGAGTCCTTGAAGAGGGAGCTGCGGTTGAATCGCTCCATACGGCGAGCGTGCTGCTTCTTCAACTTCTCAATCTCGGCGGTCATGTCGGCGACCTTCTTGGCAACTCGATCAGCAAACTCCTCAGCTTTGGCGGGTTCCATCTTGGTGGCCTCTGGAGCATCGCCTGCCTCCTGGCCTTCGGCGCTCACGGAGTTTCCGGAAGGCGCATCGAAGAAACCTGCTGTCAATGACTCCAGTTCACCCTTCCGGCCAAGGCCCAGAGAGACTGGTGTGATCTGTGAAATGGCATACGGCGACGCAAAAATCTCCTCCATCCACTCGTGGTGCTGCACGTATCGCATCTTGCTGACTTCACGTGGGGTCAACAGGTCGATCTGGTCGCCAGTCGAGACATCCTCATCCTCCAGAGCAAAGTCGGCCGCTGCGGCTGTTATCGCTGCCGATGAGGCGCGGTGAGGGCGTGCCATCTTAGCCTGGGCAGCACCGGGTGGAACAGCCCCAGGGTGGCCTTGGGGTGGGTAGAAACCGGGTCGTCCCGCAGCAGCGGCATTCTGGTAAGCTGCTTGGGGCTGGACAAAGCCCTGGGGTCCCATCTGGGGCGGGAAGTTGATGGTTGGCCAGTTGTTCCGGTCGTGAAGCATAAATTCCTTGCGAGCAAGCTGGCCCTGACTTTGCAAGAAGCGGCGCTGGGCAATCGAGGCCTGTACTTGCGGGGAGACGGGAATGCGTGCTACTGGGACGTGGTCGGCTGGAGGGGCTTTCGAATAGTGAACGATCCACAGTGAGGGATCAGGCTGAGGGGCGTTGGGGACTTTAGAAGAGACAATGCGATAACGCTTGCGGCAGTGAGTAGCAACGTTTTCCTTTCCGGGAAGGTAGCCGCTGCGGTGAAGGTGCATTTCAATAGTCTGTATCAACATATGTCAGCGTTATGTTGTATTCAAGGAACGTCCCATGCGGCATGGGACCAGGAGACATACGTAGCCTCTGGCTTCGAAATTGAATGCCTGCTCAACATCTGCCCAGATATAACCATCGCTGGCGAAGTTGTTGCCCAATTGCGCAAGCGGCTGCCATGTGAGCATCACAGTGCCATCGGCTGGGCCATCCAAGAAGGTCCAATGCATTGGTTGTGAGCGGCAGACCCGGGGTGCGCTGGTCAGGTACTCGACGGCGGTCTCAGTCGGCATCATATGCATGTTCGGGTAGGCATGACGCGAGAGAAGGTGCATGTGCGGGAGCTATATCCATTGCGACAAGGTCAGCTTTCAATTACAGAGTGCATTACCACACGAAGGGCGCGCAGGCCGTGCCGAACGGCATTGGGGTAGTCCTACCAGCTGCCCCGGGATACGGGTTGCCGGGTCATCCATCTTGGCCACGCCCGTTTGCGGGAATCAAATTAGTGCAATTGAGTCGCGGGAGGCCTTTCGGATGTTTGCAATGGTCAACGGGGATGTATCCGATGGGGAGACGGCGGGCGCAGATCTGGTTGGTGAGGGCGATGGAGCTCCTGGCAACGCGACGCGGGAGATTTTTGATGCGGTAGGCGATAGTCGCCAGTAACGCAAGACACCTGAGGCATCAATACAGGAAATGGCCAAGACAATTTTTACACGGTGATTGCTCTATTTGGTTCGTAGTAGAGTTCATTAAAGCTTTGCTTACACAAGGATATTCAAAATGAGCCCAACAAGTCATTCAGAATGGTACGCAGAACGGCTTCTGGAAGATGGGTTCTAACTTGCTACGCAAACCAACTTCCCTCGGGTTAGAAACTATTTGTTTTGGAATCCTTCGTTTCAAAGGTTTAAATCTTTCTTTGAAATAGACCTGGAAAGTTTAATCCTTCGCCTAAATTTACATTGATCAGCATACAGCAGGGACATGAAGAAGTATTTCATCCCGCCGCCCTCCGTGCGTATTCTTGGTGACTACACTCGCAGCGCCCAACGTCGACCTCCCTGCCTATTGCAATAACAGAAAGAAGCATGGCATTTTCCGCAAACCCAGCAGACCTTGCCAATCCAAAACCCCTTGCCCATCTGAGGGCCCTTGATGCCACGGTCCACCTCCGGGTCTAGATGGTGGCAGGGGAGTGGTGTCGCCCACTGATCCACAGCCCGAGTGAGAGATTATGGTCTCGGATGCTACTCTCCCACCATGTTTGAAGTACACACCTACACTACTGTACGAAAGAGGAAAATGAAATGTTGCACTGAGGCAATGCGACAGATGATAGTCGAATGCACTCACATTGCGGGTGCTTGGCAGTTGCTAATCCTCCAACACCAACACATATGCTTCCTGGAAGACTTTCGGAGTCACTGAAGTTGGGCCAAATGGACTTGCCCTGATTCGGTTATGTCTCGTTACAACGACACGCTCTGTCTCTTAACGATCCGCCACGAACCGTGGTCGACCCCAGGGTAATTTGACGCGGGGGCGGCGATCTGCGTATTGCACGTTGCGACCGCACCAATTGAACACGTAAACTCTACCCCAAAATAGAGATCACCAGAGGCTTTCGCGTGGCGGAAACCTCAAGGGGCCTTGCGGAGAGGGTCCGGGGGGGCTCCACTCAAGCTTTCGCACGCCCTCACGAACCCAGTCAATTGGGTCCCCCGCGGGAGGGGCCCCTCGGCGGTTCAGCGCCGCTCCGGTTTGGGCTTCGTGTGGGGGCTTCCTGCTCCTTGATCACCAATCATGCTGCATGGAACACACCCAAAATCAGCCGAGCAGGGTGGCTTGTCAAAGTACTACTGTGCCGAAGTCTTTTTTGGCCCCCGTATAAAGTGTGGGCATCCCCAGGTCCCGGTGAAACTCCGAGTTGCTCGCTTTTACGCTTCCTTCCCTTATACCCTGAGCTATACTTGCAGCCATGGGTTTCTTCGGCAAGAGTGAGCCGTCCGACGACGAGATCCAGTGCGCGCCGCCTGATCCGGATGTCGAGAAAAAGATCCCCTCCCACGATGAGGGACCTACTCAACCATCCATTGTTACGGCCGCCGCAATCGACCCGGAGCTGGAGCGCCGCGTTTTGAAGAAGCTAGACCTGCATCTCCCGACACTGATGGCCTTTTTCTGTATGCATATCCTCCCTCTTCAGTGCTCCTAAGATGATCATACATCTAACTGAAATTGCGCGGCAGATCTACTCGCTTTCCTCGACCGAAGTAACATCGGGTCCGTTCTCCCCGACAAATTCGCCGGAAACATAACTAACCGAAGCATAGCAATGCCAAAATTGCCGGCATGATGGAAGACCTTTCTCTCGACGACCGAAGCTATGCTTGGCTCCTGACGATCTTCTACATCTCATACACGGTATTTGAATTCCAAGCACTCATGTGGAAGATCGTCAAGCCGCACCAATGGGCTGCTTTTGTCGTGTTCTCCTGGTATGCGCATTCCACGTGGGAAGGATGATCACCCGGAATCGGAATCACTGACACGCTACATGATTGTAGGGGTTTGGTGTCGACATGCCAAGCAGCGACGAAAAATTGGCAGGGCATGATGGCACTTCGGTTTCTTATGGGTGCTTTCGAGGCCGGCTTTGGTCCCGGTGTGCCCTATCTGCTCTCCTTTTTCTATCGCCGGCACGAGCTCGGTCTCCGGTGCGGTCTGTTCTTGTCAGCTGCCCCGCTGGCGAATACCTTTGCCGGTGCCCTAGCCTACGGTATCACTTCGGGCCATGCCGCTATCGCCAATTGGCGTCTCTTGTTCCTCGTTGAAGGTCTGCCAGTAATTGTCGCTGCGCTTTTGGCCTGGTTCTTCGTGCCGGACTCGCCCACAGCGGCGAAATTCCTCACTGAAGAAGAGAAGGAGATCACCCGAGCCCGTGGACTTCAACAGGCTGGAGATGCTGAACGCGAGAATAAAATCCAGTGGAAGGAATTGGCTGCGACAGTCTTAGATGCCAAAGCATGGTTCACGGCTGTGAGTGTCCCCTCTATTGCTTCTTTGACGATTGTTAATTCTCGTTCAGTTGATGTACTTTAGCTGCAATGTCAGCTTCTCCTCGCTACCCGTCTTCCTCCCGACCATTCTCAAGGAGATGGGTTTTACGGCCATTAACGCTCAAGGCCTCACCGCGCCTCCCTTCTTCGCTTCCTTCCTAGCAACCATCGCAACAACTTGGGTGGCGGATCGAATCCAACAGCGAGGGCTCATGGTTGCTGGACTATCAGCGATCGGCGGTGTGGGGTATGTTTTGTGTGCCACCTGCAACTCGGTGGGTTTGCGTTACTTCGGAGTATTCTTGGCCGCCTGTGGAGTTTTTCCGTCGATCGCCAATATTTTGCCGTGGGTTCTGAGTGAGTCATCTCTGCAATCGCGGATGCGAATCACAGATGCGACCAGTTGCTTACGTTTACCTTTTACATAGACAACCAGGGCTCTGATACCCGCCGTGGTGGAGGCATCATCCTGCTCAACATCGTCGGCCAGTGCGGTCCCTTCCTGGGCACTAATGTCTTCCCCGACAAACAAGCTCCAAGGTTTATTAAGGGCATGTCGATCTGTGCGGCGTTCATGTTCTTCACGACGCTGCTTGCCTTGGGTCTGCGCTTCCTGTTGGTGTGGGAAAACCACCGCCTTGACAAGAAGTATGGGCCAAAGGTCAAGGTCGAAACGGTCAAGGGTGATACTCCGGTAGCGGAGGACAATTACGGTGCCAGTTTCCGCTATGTGTTGTGAAACAGAAATATCTGTGGGCAACTTGACCATTTTCCGTGTTGTCTGCGTCTCCACACACACCCCCCTTCTTAGCTCCCTGCCGTGATGACTTCATATGATGTCAGAATCTTCACGAAGCCCGGGAGCTCGTCTGAAAAATGATATGGATGGTAACGAATATGAATAGTCATGAATACGAATAGTCACGAATATTCCCATAAATGTGTGCATCTTCAAAACTGCGGCGTGTAGAGAAGGAACAGTCAATGTTCCATTACGGAAAGGGTTCGGAGGACGGGGCCCCGGAGGTGGATTCCGCCAGTCTTGTGGCATCTACGGAGCCCAACTCGAGCGAAATTGGTGGGCATTAGGTAATTGCATGTAGTATTAGGGGGTTGGAGTACCAATAAGAGATACCACCCATGGGCTCAGTCCAGCTCAATTGAGATTAATTGGTCTTGTATTGCTGCTCTGATGGACTACCTCATCTATCTCGAAAACAGGTCATCCATCCCACATTCAAGCCCCAATTGGTGGGGAAGGGAAACCTAAAGCCCTAAACGAATCAGACATGCATTCTGCAGTTCTGACCAGGATTCCCCTCTCTGTTCACCGGCCGGGGAGATTCGGAGTGCGATGACAGCACCGAGAGAGATGGTGGGGTCAAACCCATATAAGGTTGAGCTGCCCCTCACTTCGCCTCGACTTTTCCTTCTCTCTTCATCATCTTTCACAACTCCAAAGATTCCATCAATCAGCTTCATCAGTAACTATCTTGCCCTGGCTGTTTCTTCTAAAGCTAACCATTCCCTGCAGACCTTTTCGGTTCAAGTACATTCCGCCCATTCCTGCGGGAAGCCATGATGGAGTCTCTTTGGTTGGGCAAATTATCTCTTAGGGATCAAGGTATCTCAGGTAACCTCTGTGCGTGGACCGGTGTTCGTTCCTACGTCGTCGACACTTCTCTTTGAGAGGTGTTGGCGGCCGTGGGTTCGTTCTGAGATTATACGGTCATAACTTGATATCTGGATAATACCAGCGAAAGGATCATGCCTTCCCCCTTTTCTTTTGGCAAAGCAAACTGACCACATTTGAAGTCAACTTGACTTGATCCCAAGCCCACAATGTCTCCTCCCGCTGCTATCTTCGAGTCTGCCTCTGCTGCCCCCACCGGCATCAAGGGTAAGGTGACTGTCCCCGAGACTGTCTCCACCACCTTGACCGGTCAGGGCGAGAGCAAGCTCCTTGAACAGTTCGGTGGCAAGTGGGATGAGTTCAAGTTCGCCCCTATCCGCGAGAGCCAGGTCTCCCGTGCCATGACTCGCCGCTACTTCCAGGACCTTGACAACTACGCCGAGAGCGATATTGTCATCGTCGGTGCTGGTTCCTGCGGTCTGAGCACTGCGTATGTGCTGGCCAAGGCTCGCCCTGACCTGAAGATTGCCATTCTGGAGGCTTCCGTGTCTCCTGGTTAGTCTCTCCAGGCATTTAACCTCTAGCAAACGTACTAACGACTACACAGGTGGTGGTGCCTGGCTCGGAGGCCAGCTCTTCTCCGCCATGGTTCTGCGCCGCCCCGCAGACGCCTTCCTGAACGAGCTCGGCGTCCCCTACGAGGAAGAGCCCAACAACCCCAACTTCATTGTTGTCAAGCACGCCGCCCTCTTCACCTCGACCCTGCTGTCTCGCGTCCTGGCCTTCCCCAACGTCAAGCTCTTCAACGCCACCTGCGTTGAGGACCTGATCACCCGCCGCGAAGGTGACAGCGTCCGCCTTGCCGGAGTCGTCGTTAACTGGACCCTGGTGACCCTGCACCACGACGACCACTCCTGCATGGACCCCAACACCATCAACGCCCCGGTCATCGTCTCGACCACCGGCCACGACGGTCCCTTCGGTGCGTTCTGCGCTAAGCGTCTCGTCTCCATGAACACCATCGAGAAGCTCGGTGGTATGCGTGGCCTTGACATGAACGCTGCTGAGGATGCTATCGTTAAGAACACCCGTGAGGTCACCAAGGGTCTTATTATCGGTGGTATGGAGCTTTCTGAGATTGATGGCTTTAACCGTATGGGCCCTACTTTCGGTGCTATGGTTATGTCCGGTGTTAAGGCTGCCGAGGAGGCTCTGGCGGTCTTTGATGAGCGCAAGCGCGAGTGTGCCGAGTAAATTCGGTTCGCTTTTGCTATGACTCAGATACGCTGACTGGACTTGGGTTTGATGGAGGTTGCTAGCTTGCTATCGCTTTATGAAATTGCACTCCACACTCGTTTCGCACGAAGTGCGACTGATATGACCAGTTTCCATGGTAAACTCGTAGTCGTAGAGGATTTGAATCGTCATTGAAATTATGTATTACTTGGGTCGTCAAAAGACTAATGACATACCATGTACAATTAATCGGTCCTGGTAACCTCAGAGACAGCACTAGAACCAGCAGTACCACGCTCCGCAGCAAGGACCAAACCCCGAGCATTCCTCACCTCCCACTCAAACTCCTTCAACGCACGCAGCTCACTTGATACAAACAGTCCGCCGATGAGACCATCCAGGATTCCAGCTGCGAAGTTCAGCGTGCTGACCAAGATCAGGATGAAGCCGATGTAGGTACGGCTGCCGATCCACCACACGCCGACCATGCATCCAATAGAGACGGCGATAGAGACGAGGAAATGGGCAAGGCGCCAGCGGCGCTGTGAGCGTTCTCGACGCACGTATTTGTGGATCATGTCGATAATGTGGTCGTATGTTTCAGGGGAGAGGGCGGCGTTGGGGGAGACTTGGGTTGAGGTTGTTTTGTGCAGGGATGGAGAGCTCGGTGACTCAGGGACAGGGTCATTGTTCGAGGATGTAGAAGCCGGGGCTGTGGATGCTCGAGTAATGAGTGCTTCAACGGCGAAGTGGTCGCTCAGGGAGCAGCGGAGGGTTGGGTGACGCTGGGTCATGCTGACTTGGGCGGTTTTGACTGACCAGCGCGGCGTGGGGAACTCAGGAGGATAGCCACCGTCGCCGACGAAGATATAGTCAAGGCGTTTGGCGCGGGGGTCAGCGCCGTCCTTATCGATGCTGATGTCTTCGCCCTTGTCGAGGCGTTTGCGAAGGGCCTTGGACCAGCGCCAGGTGTTGTACGCGCCGTCACAAGTGGCGCCGTTCTCGATCAGGTTGAATTCAGCGGTTGGGATGGGCCGGTTCCTGGCACGTTCGACGGCATCGATAGCGGCACCAACGGATGAGTCTGGATGCAGCTCGCGCCAGACATCGCGGACTGGACTTTGAGCGGAGATGAGTCGGTGGGCAAAAGATGACGGCAGCATATTGAAATCACCCAGTCCGATAACCAAGTGTCCACGCTCGGCAGCACCGCGCATCAGCTTGGAGATCTCCCAGGCCTGCGCGGTGCGGTGACAAAGGTATGAATCGTTCGGCTCACGCTCGTACGGAGCATGCAAGTGTGTACAGAATACCTCGGCCACGTCAGATACGCCGGGACCAAATCTGACTCTTGCACAGGCCACGCCTTTTCCCACGAACCAGTCTCCACGGAAGAAAGCTGTTGGCCGGCCATTCAGCGTGTAGGCGTACATGCTGCTCTCCTCGATGGGCCATCGTGACAAAATCGCCAAGCCCGCACCAAAGATACCCCCAAAGTAGAACTTCCCATATGGCAGGATGTGTTGTGTCTGAGCGTGAATGCTCTCGTAGTCTTGTTGTGTCCAGCACTCCTGAAGGCCAACTATCTCTGGCGGCGGACTAGCGAGAGCCAGCTGCCTCCCAATCTCGGAGAGACGCTCATGGCGGTATTTAGCGAGATACTTCAGACCCCAGCAATTGAGAGTCAAGATCCGAATGTCATTCGGAGCTTCACTGGGAATGGAGGAGGCCATTGGGCCGAGGATGCAAGTGCAAGTTGACAGAACGTCGATCATTCAACGGTGATGTAAATGTGCAGCGGCTCACCGCCTTCGGACGCGCCTGCTTTTCTTTTTCGCGCGAGACAGTCGGCGCGTTCGCAATTGTCCTTTTCGCCTCAGCTCCTCATGGACAATGCGCACCCCAAAACCCGCAGGCGAGATCCTCGCTCCCAGTCACCAGTCGAGTCCTCATCCGACGAACTAGCTGCGGGCTCCGAACATGACGAAGCCGAGCGCCGGCGAACCAGCTGGAACATCCAGAAGAATTTCACGCCGCAGCGCCCCAGTGCAAAAGAACGCCGTTACAACGAGTCTGCAAGCCCAGATGAACTGGCTGTCGATGCTGACGAATACTGGCGCAGCTCCCGCAACCGTCGCAGTCCCTCGCCTATCAATCGCCGCGGGGACCTGAGTAGCCGCGAAGCAAGGTCACAGGACGAGTCGGATAGTCTGGGAGATGATCGGATGAGCAATGAGGATGGGAATCATGCAGGAACTCTCGATGCCATGTCGGACCGCTCCAATACCCCCGCGCCTCTTGCTGAAGGCCCGCCTCCGAAGCCTGAGCAATTGAACTACAGAGAGAAGTTTGTCCTACGGGGTCACTTGCGCGGCGTGTCTGCGGTACAGTTCTCTCCGTGCTGCTCTATGATAGCTAGTGCCGGTATGTTGCTTTGCCTTTCGGGTCGTCAAGAGAATACCACTAATTGGTCTTGTTTATAGGCGCCGATGCGGCCATCAAGGTCTGGGATACATTGACGGGCCGACTTATCTACACCTTTGAGGGCCACCTGGCAGGTATCTCCACGCTCGCTTGGAGTCCTGACGGTCAATGGATTGCGTCCGGCTCCGACGACAAGACAATCCGTTTCTGGAATGTGACTACCGTATGGGATGCCCTCACTTGCGTCTCACAGGACTTGCTACTAACTTGACAATGCAGGGCCGAGCTCATACAAAACCCTTCGTCGGCCACCACAACTACGTGTATCAAATCGCATTCGCTCCCAAGGGCAACATTCTCGTCAGCGGCTCCTACGATGAAGCCGTCTTCCTGTGGGATGTGCGCCGAGCGCGCGTCATGCGCTCTCTCCCCGCCCACTCCGACCCCGTTGCTGGTATTGATGTCGTACATGACGGCACCCTGATCGTCTCGTGTGCGCTGGACGGCCTGGTCCGTGTCTGGGATACCCACAGTGGCCAGTGCCTGCGGACACTGGTACACGAAGATAATCCACCCGCTACCTGCGTCAAGTTCTCGCCGAATGGTAAGTACATTCTGGCGTGGACACTCGACGGTTGCGTGCGTATGTGGAATTATGTGGAGAGTCGCGTCGTCAAAACTTTCCAAGGCCATGTCAACAAAAAGTACAGTCTGTCTGGATGCTTCGGGTTCTACGGTTCGCCAGATGTGAAGTACTCGCCGCCTCTGTGCTTTGCCGTCAGTGGCAGCGAAGACGGTGCCATTCTCTGCTGGGATCTTGTGAGCAAGGACATCCTCCAGCGCATCGAGGGACACACCGATGCCGTCCTTGGTGTCCACTCCGGCAAGCTGAACGGCAAGCGCCTGCTCGTCAGCTGCGGCTTGGACAAAACAGTCCGAGTGTGGGAGGAGGTCTTCGAAGGTCAGGGCCAAGACAGTCCGCCCCCTGTTTCCGGGTCTTGCGCTGAACCTATCCAAAACGGTGTCTCTACTGGCAGCGACTTGGATGGAGATAACGCAATGACCGATGCTCCTCCCGACCCGTCTACTGCGACTACGCCTGCAGAGGACGTGATGATGACATGACCATAGTCTCTTACTTCATTTTGTGTTTCCCTTACTTGCATCGGCGGTCGGTCTTTTTAGGAAATACCCTTGTGTCTGGAGGCGTTTGATGGGATTGATAATACGGCATGAGAATACATAGGAGTGTCTTTTTTTCGGGGAGTCATACTTGCCTATCTAGCTAGAAGAGTAAATGTGCCTACCTTCTTTCAAATGGTCCAACGATAGGAGTACAGTCAACCTCATTTATGATACGTCCTACCATCCGAGAGAAAGTCCGTGTTACAACTGTTTGGTTAGTAGATAAATATCTTGCTATCCCTTTTTGCCGGCCGACTAGCAGACTTCTTATAGTACTGACAGGGGGATGATTTACTTGAATCTTTAAAGAGAACGAAGATAAAGATTTAAGCATTATATTAAGTTAGAAAAAATATGTAAGGTGAACATTTATGCCCAGAGACTATAGGAAAAAAGAAAGGGGGCTCTGAGCCTCGAACCGCCACTGGTGGCCGTAGTTGAAGTAGGCTTAGAGGTAGACCGAACCGATGCGGCGGTTGTCATCGCTGCAGTTGATGTTGAAGTCGTAGAAATAGCCGCTTTGATGCTAATTGAGCTGGTCACAGATGAAGTGTCAACGCTATCGGTCTTTGTCGAACTTGCGCTGCTAACGGAGCTTAGATCGCTTCCACCATCGCCGCATTGAACCACGGTCTCCCAACCACCGGCCAAAATATGCTCCCACCAGGTTGTTTGATTACAAAGAGCAAAGTAGTCAAAGAAATATGCCGAGCCGGGTTGCTCATGTGCGTTTTGGAAGAACTGGACTGCACACTTGTCGCTACATGGGAAGTCGGCTCTGGCCCAATCGGAGCTGTTGGGATAGGTCAAATAGCAGTAATCAGACCTGCGGAAATATAAGCATATGCACCCTGAACAAACCACCATGTACCGAACTCACCCGCTCTTGGCACAGGATTGGCCGTATTTGTACTGGAAAACCTCGCCCACGCTGGCCACGGGAGCCTGATAAACATACGTATTCCCCTTGGCAACCCCGGCTAGATCGCCGTCCGTGTCGCATGCGGCCTTGACGTTCTTGACATACTGGGATAATGAATCACTGCATGTCGTGGTGCACATAGCCTGGAAGTCCGAAGGTTGCGGGTTGAAGTTAGGATTCATAGACGCCACGATCTCGAGGAGGGTTTCATCGCAGTTGATATTAGCGCTGTAAGCGTCCTTGCAGGCCTGTGACGTTGTGTTTGCTAAGACCTTGGTTGTATAGTCCCAACTAGGACCAGAAGTATTGAGACTGAAGGTAGCAGTCACCTGCCCCAAAGCAGCGGATAACGCGAAGAGACGAAAGATCGTGATGGCGGAGGCCATTTTGCTGAGAATTAGAAAAGGGCGACAAGAACAGTTGAAGGATAGTATTCCCGATAGGAAGAAATGAGAGACGAAAGGTGAGGAATGGGGTGTGTGTACGAAAGTAATCCGGGGTAGGTCACGGCCTATAAATGCTCGGAATTATTTACGAACGTTAGAGTTCACTCGGCGTGCCCGGGAATAAGTAGTTATAAGCGAGCTTTAGTCCCGATATGGAGCCGCTATTAGATGGCTCCCGAACTTTCAGGGTCATTTTACCGGTAGCTTACTCACCCATCCGTACCCTGCTGCGCAGGCTCAGTGAGCGAACGAGGGTGTTTTCGGGGACTTCGATGTAAGTAAGATATAGACTAATGGGGGGCATGCGATATTACAGTGCTTCGGAAATCGGTGTCACCGCCTATTGTCTTCGATATTTCTAGAACATTGATGCCAAGATCTGGGCATAAATTCCTGAGGGTGTGTCAATGTTTAGATATGATTGGTTCATGTACTCGGACTAATGCAGTCAGACTACAATTTCTTGTCCTTGGCTTTCTTTCTGGACCAATTGATGAATTACTATATTCCTGCATGGCTAAAGAGGATCTAATAGAACCGCGTCTAGCAGCTAAGCGAGTCGACCCAACAAGAGCCCTTCCGAGCGTCATTCCTAATGCTCTTCACCAACCACTAACCAAGGTCAAGTAGATACAGCCAAGCTACTCGAAGTTGGTATTCAGGGGTGTAGCCTCCATTTTCTCGCTCTGGATGGCTGGTGTCCTAAAGCACAAACTCCATATCGTCATCGTTGAAACGTGGGACATACGTGCCTTGGTTGACGGCATCGAGGATAAGAAGAGAATATGGCAGAATCCACAAGCATTTGATTATTGAATTTAGAGGTAGAATAAGTACAAGAAGGCTCAGATAACAACGGCGCTAACAAAGGGACATCAGAACAGTGAACATGCCAAGCATTTAGGTTTTCGATCCTGAGAACAGTGGGTCCACTGTTATGAGTCCCACCCTCTATACGAGCACCAAAGACCCTCTCAGGATCCATATTATTGCTAATCGAACAGCCTATTCCATTCACCTGGGACATGTCCGCCTCACCGGGTCTCTCCACCCTCCTCCCACGAACCACGCCCTCCAACGTCCTCGCCAACCCATCGCCAACCTATCGCCAAGCCTGCACCAAGACCCGTAGTTCCCCGTCGACCCTCATAGATCCGTCTAGAATCCTAGTGCTCTTGGCACCGAAATATTTGCTGTCTTGGCGGGTCGCTGACCCATAGTATAAGCCTGGCTAATCAGAGGTGGCGTGGTGGATGAAGTGGGTGAAGGAAATGAAGTGGCGCTCGAGGCGAATGGGGCGAGGGAACGTGTACCCCATACGCGCCCTAAGGCGAGGCGAGAGGCGAGAGGTTGTTGCCACTGAGGGTTTTTCATTTGGGTCTTTGTGTGAGTTTGGAGTCTGTTGGTGGTAGTGGGATTAGGTATAGATTGCTTCGGTTAAAGTTCTTGATAATTGGATAAGTTCAGGTTCAGGCACACTGTAGTTCACTGTGAACGTACTGAAATTACTGGGTTTACTCGAGTAAAAAATCGGGAAGAAAGCTTTTTATGATATCTGTAACTCCTAAGAATATGAACACGGAAATTCAGAATAAACGCAGATGAGAACCAACAAAGTGCCGTGAACCCGAAACAACAGTTCTGAACCATGCGCCTCTTATAGATAGAGAAAATCCCATCTCGTTATATTCGACCCTGCGAATATCTCATATATCATATCCATCCCCATCAGTCAACAATTTAGGAGACTTAGGAGGAAGTGGAAGTGTAAGCCTCACCAGCGGCGTTGAGGGTGTTGCCGTTGAGGAGGTAGTTCTCAGCACACATGAAGTAGGAGTAGTGCGAGACCATATCCTGAGAGTCCAACCAGGGAAGGACAGTGTTGAGGAAGGCGGCGGTGGTGGCGGGGTCGCCGGTGCCGGAGACGTCAGAGTTCAAGGCAAACTCGGAGACCCAGACCTCGGACAGGCCGTACTGCTGGGCGGTGCTGATGGCCTGGGTGACGAAGGATTCGAACTCCTCGGCGGTGTTACCGTACCAGTGAACAGCGAGACCGGTGATGCCGCAGGAGCTGCAGGAGCCCATGAACTCGGTGAACCAGGACAGGCCCATGCCGGGGGTAGTGGAAGAGGTCACGGCGGGAGAGATCAGCTTGGCCTGGCCAGAGTACGGGGTGATGTACTGGTTGTAGTAGGAGGCCGCCTCGGAAGGGCTCATGTTGGCCTGCGAGGTCATGTCGGGCTCGTTGAAGCCCAAAATGTACTCGCTGCCGCTGGACAGGGCAGTTTGAATGGCAGTGAACCAGCCGCCAAAGTCCGAGGAGCTCCGAAGCATGGGGACGTAGCTGACACCGGAGGGCAGGACGCCGTACAGCCACATATCCCAGTTGTAGGCCCAGGACACAGCGCCAGTGCTGGCAAGAGGAGACACAGTGGTGATGTCGTTATAGGCAGCGCCACGCTTGCTAGTGGAGCGCTTCTGCACCTGCACGGGGGCCGCGAAGGCAGTGGTGGCCAGAAGGCCGGAAGTGAAGAGAGCAGTGAATGAGACCATTTTGGCTTTTCTGTTTCTTCTTGGATTGTTGCTTGTTCACACAGTAAATGAGTGAAAGTAGAGAAACCTGTCTCGGTTGAAAAATGAATGTGATTGAAATGAAGGAACACTAGACCGTGCGCGGCACAGGAACTAGAAGGATCAAGAGATCAAGGAATGAATGGAGAACTGACACAGCAGGCTAAAGAAAGAAGAGAAGAAAGATAGAAACGTGAGGGGAAAGGAGGGTTTTATCACGGGCGACAGTGTGCGCTGTTCTGGCGCAACCACTTGGCCGGGGCCACTTTCTTCATCATTTCTACGGGTGGACCAGGACAGTCAACAGCCATTGGGCCCCTGCAAAGGTGGTACATCCGGGTCTGATCACCCATGGAAACACAGACGCGATTCAAGGAGAACCAGGGGGAAGGAGGGCGTGGATCTTGGGGTTGACAGCCCCGAGGCCTGGGCTGATTGGCTGCACCTCCTGTCCGGCCAGGCGCTTTCGATACAATTCAGGCACTAAAAGCGACAGAGCGGGGCTGCAGAGAAGGAAATTCTTTCTTCTATCAAAGAAGAGGTCCGTTCGAGGCACTCCACAATACCCGGCCAAGAGATCCGTTCGCACTCCACTGAAGCCTGGACCGCGTGCAACGGTTTCCTAGTGCATGTTCGGGACTAAGTCGGGCAGAGCCTGATAGCGCCAGGCAAAGACATGCCGAACAGATCGGAAACAAGGTGCCTGACCACCGTGCATCAGAAAGGGTGCAGCTCGGGTTTGGTGACACCAGGAGCTGATCATTGGACGACCCTTGACAGGTGAACGGCGCTTCATGTGAATATGTGCGTAAATAAGAGGCCGGAGGGTTAAGGTGGAGACCGGCTCGCGAGCCGTGGGCGATGCTTGCGTGGATGAAGATGTGAGTGGAGAAAGGTAGGGAAAAGTCGAGAGTTCCATGGACGCATCCAGGGCAGCGGTCGACCGTGACCTATCACATGGCGACGACCTACATCTCTTAATTTCAAGAGGTTACAGGTCTAATTTCACATGACGTGAGAAAAACAACCGTAGAAAAAGACGACGGGACGTTCCAAAATGCTTCTCTCACAATGTGAAAACCGTTAAGGAACATGGCATAAAGATCCAATGACGGCATCGGCCGGTCATAGGCGATCGGATCTGTTCCCGATCGCTAGTGTTTCACCCTAAACCTTGACCCTTCGGTCTTGGTCTGGCCCTTGCAGGCCCCCAGAAGGGCTAAAGGGGATTCGCTGGGGCTGAAACACCGGCCCCTTCTGATCGCCCTGCTGTCGTCACTCTCCCCTCTTCATGCGTTCAGGTACCGGCACGACTGCGCTATGGCTGCTAAGCATTGCCGGACCTGACTGGCGCCGGCAACTCGCGCCCGCGGGAATCCGGCATGCTCCCCACCGAGCGTCTACCGACACAGGGCGTGTTTTGCGTTTGTCATCGGTTCCTGTATGTGGAAATTGTGATTGGGCATGGGAAGACGAGTTCCCACCTTCCTACTGGTGAACCCGTAATTGACCGACCCAGTGATGCTGGCTCAGGAACTCGGCGCAGCGTCTGGCCCGCTTGGCGATATCCACGACTCAGGGCCCGAGCATCTTCGCGCTGTGTTTCTGGTATGAAGTCTGCGACCTGTCATATCGATTCCTGATACTCGGGTTGAGACGATTGTTGAACCGGGGTCGGAGGAGGACAGCGGCGAAGTGAAGAAGTCGTTCGTTTGGAGCCTCGAACAATCATCCACCTTCTTCAACTTTCTTCAATTTTCTTCGATCGCTTGCCACACCGTCGTCTACTCCGACTATTGCCGTTGTGACCTGAAAAATCGATTAAAAGTATGAATTACAACACACACCTCGCCACTACCCTAGTGCCCAGCCTCGTTACGAATGGGATCCACGCCACCTCGCAAGCCTCCGAGTCCTTACGGAGTACGACAGATGGGTACGACTTGATTACGGATGCACAGCAATACTGGCCAGATCCGAAATGGCGTAGTTGGAAATGTTGCGATCCCATGGGCACAGCCATTAATCTCCGTAGCTCGGTCCATTATACCTAGAACGTGAGAACCTGCTCAGGTGTGAAATGGACGGCGAAAATCACACCTTTCGAGGCTAGTAATGGCCTCGTCACTTATAACTTCTAGCGGCGAACTCATTGGGCTGATGCTAACTAAGCATCCTCCCATCTGTACATGTTTACTAAGGTTGATTATGTCTCAACGAGTTCAAGGTGGTGGCAAACGTTTCTTTCCCAAAGGTTCTTTGACAGGTCTATTGCCTTTGATAGGCATCCCTCGAGACTATTGGCTTGCGGCATGCAAAATTGGTTAACTAATACAGGCCCTTTGCTGATGGAGCCTCGATGGCTCAGCCATTCATAGCCGTTGTGTAGAAATCTCGTTGCCACACTCCATCTTTGCCCATTGCTGACCTAAAGGACTGTGATGAGGTGTCGCTTGCAGATTGACCATTCACCTGTATCTCTTCATATGCGATTGTGATCTTCAGAGAAACCCTTTCGGTGTTCCTGATGGTCAAAACACCTGCAGGCATGCATACCGTACACTCGATTTATTCGTTGTCGAGGCGACCCAAACAGATGATCATCCAGCAAATCTGAGCTTGTGGATAGCCTCTTAGCGACCATCTTTGAATGGATCTCTGGGTTTGACTGAATAATAACCACGAGGTTGGTAGCCCGCGCGTCTCCCTGAATATAGAACAAATTACTGCTCTCGACGAACACACCTGAATCCATGACTTCGGCTGACGAGGTGGAAGAGTGTGAAGACATTGTTGTTGATTTCTCCTTCACCCAGGTGCAGGACTTGCTCATCTACGGCGTCTCTCATCTACTCCATTCCTCATTTGCCGCAAGGACGGTCCTGGTAGAATATGGAGTGCCCCATGGAGGGAAGTTTCCACTCAAACATGGAAATGTGACTTTGTCTACATCATTGGCAAAATTTTACGACAAGGTGTACGCGAACACCATGCGCGCAAATACCTAGGCAGATGTGATCCTTGAGTATTACGTTCATGTTCCCTTACCTAGATGGTTATCAGGCAATATAACTTGCACGCGTCTAGTGGTTAGAAAGATTTCCAGAAAGATGCATTAACCACCAGTCCTATCATATCTTCTCTACCTCTTTTTATTCTCTCTACATCATTTTCCCATCATGAATACCCTACAAGACCTTTGAAAGATCTCTACAACTTAAGCGGAATAAACATCAACCAATCAGCATAACTGCCGTGATCACCCCAATCAGGAAGGCGGTGAGCCCTATGATGTAGCCTCGACCTCTCCGCATCCCGCAGCTCCAAGCTCCTCCTCCTCCATTTGCATACTCAACCACGACCACAATTCACAATGTTCGCCCGCACAGCACCCAGACTCATGCGGTACACCGCCCGCCCTTCTCTACGCAGCCCAGCAATCTCCAAACCCGCCGCCCTCCGCACCACCCCAGCAGCCGTGACCTCGGCTCGCTCATTCTTCTCTTCCCCGGCCTCCGCAAAGGGCATCCAGCCGGACTCAGAAGACCCCAAGCCCCCGAATCCCCAGGCCCCTGTTGCTGGAGCCGGGTCGCATGTCACGGAGCCTACACCCTTGACTCCGGAGGAGTACTACGAGTACTCGGAGCACTACTTCAACTACCTCGTCCAGCACCTGGAGAAGGCTCAAGAGGAGGGTTCCGATGTCGAGGCTGAGTACAGCGTATGCTAATCCTCATATCTGTCTGTCAATGAATGAATCTAACTATCCCAGGCCGGCGTCTTGAACATCTCCGTCCCCGCCACCGGCACTTACGTGCTCAACAAACAACCCCCCAACAAGCAAATCTGGCTCAGCTCGCCCATCTCCGGCCCCAAGCGGTATGATTGGATCGTTGAGGGTGACCGTATGCATGAGAAGCAGGACACGCGCGAATTTGCCAACGGGCAGTGGGTTTATTTGCGTGATGGGTCTAATCTTACGGATTTGTTGAACAATGAGTTGACCCTTTCGTTGCCGAGAGATATTTACTCGGAGATTTTGGACTGATTTGGACGTCGTTGTTCATTTCACTGGGGAAATACCTCAAGTGCTGTAGGGGTGAGATGAGGCGGTGATGTATTTTACTAAAGTATACAAATTTTTCTTTGATTGGACTTGTGAGAGTGTGGATTTATATGGATGTAGTAGTAAGATTGTACTCATGTGTTATGGACCGATTTCAACAATTAAGTATTTAAGTGTAATGAGGGTGGCTCTGGTATGTTGGGCTCTTCTCTCAAGACATAGGTACATCCAAAACCAGGCGGATAGTTGTTAAGTCATTCTTAGCAATACACTCGCGCTTTCCGCGTCTCACTGGGGCAGACCGGCCGGGTTGAGTCTCAGTTCGAGTCAACTGTAAGACTGCCATGCATGTAGGTTCAACCGAGGAGGGGCACAACCCAAGGCTCGAGAGATCGCCAGGTGGTGCTTGGGATTATTTGACGTTGTGATCCACCGCAAAGCACGCGACCGACACACAGAGACCCCTCACGATCGGCTGCGAGTCCATTATGTGGCAAGGGAATCTACTTGGGAGTAGATCGCAGCGAGGCGGCGCTCGGTGGTCGGTATCCGCGGTCTTCGTCGAGAAAGAGTCGGGGTCGTCGGTGGATATTCTCCGGTCGAAATTCAATTTGGTATTCCGGTGCAAAGTACTGAGAGCCGGCAAGGAATATAATTTCACTGCACACTCATCATTCACGCCTGGATAGCAACGGCTTCCGCATTCTGATCACTGTCCGCCTTGGGAAGATCGGCCTATTCAGAAAGAAAGTATTAGCAACGTACACACCCTAAAGCCCTTAGATATAAGCACATACCAAGTCAAAGATAACGCGAATCATCAAACTGCAGCTGGGACACACAGCGATCTCCTCGCCGTCGCGCAGATCATCGATGCAAATCTCGAAGCGGTCGCCGCATGGGCACGGGAACGTGTAAATCTGCATGGCCGGGTCGAAGGTCATGTCTTCGATTTCGATCTCATCGTATATGTTGAGGCCTTCGTCTGCCATTTTGTGTCTTTTCTCGGGGCGAGGGGTTGAGAGTGGGAGTTGAGAAGTTTACGCGGATTCGGTGGCGGACAAAAATTGGCGGGTGGTCATGTGACTGCGGAGTATATCCCAAATTGTATTTTGATTGATTATTCTTGTCATATTCAATATTTCAAAGGTTGTTCTTATTACTCGCCCAGTCGTGCGATTTCCATTCGTACGGTCTCGACTTCTTTTGCCAGGGAGCCGTAACGGCGTGCGATCTCTGTCATCGTGCCTCCATCAGGTCCGCCGCGATCTGCCCCCGCGGTTTCAGGGACTTCTACGTGTCCGTAACGCTTTAGTTCATTGATGGCTAACTCTCGTCGCTCATCCAGCCGGTTCTTTGTTTCGCGGATATGTTGCTTGTACCGGTTGAGCGCACCCAGTGTTTCGGGTGTGTAGAGAGTTGATGCTATCTCGAGCTTGGTGACTCTGTGGGCTCGTTAGCAACAACTTCGAGAACATAGCCTGAAATTCAGAATGGCGGGTAACGTACTCTAGCTTTCCCTCGACCCCTTGTGCAACTGTGGCCAAGTGCTCCGCCTTGGCTTTCGTCGCCCGCGCAAAGGCTCCATATTTCACCCGTTCAAGAACCACAACTACCCGCTCAAACACCTGTGTTTGTACCGCCAGCAATGCAGCTGCAGTGGCAGCCATCTGTCGGCGCGCGGTAGGCAGATCTGAGAGTTGCACACGGCGGAGGGTCCGGATACGGTCTGCCAGCTGCGACGCGAGGGGTGGGACAGGCGCCATTGATGTTCGGACCCGTCGGTCTCGGGCGCGTGCACGGGCATAATGGTCTGAGGTCGAGCGGTAATGGGCGGAGATGTTTTGCGGCTTTTCGTGCAAAGGTTCTGTGTTGGGGCTGGTCTCGGCGTTTGTTGTTGATAGGCTTCGGAGCTCATGGATGGCTGCAGAGAGAATTTTTGAGAATGGGAGTATCAGGGTTGGGATGTTTGAGTAGAAGGCTTCGAGCTCGGGGGCCAGTAGAGAGAGCGCATTGTCTTGTGTTGGTCCATCGGCATCTTGCGAGCTACCTGGGTCGATTGCACTGCGTGGCGTCTCGAGATAGAGCGATATGATGGCCAGATTATCATGACACTAGGGCACACGGGTTAGAACCTTTCTTCGGACAGGATGGCCATTGCATTGGCTGCGCACCTCGTTCGGGAGCCCGCTGTCCGCTCCAAACGCCAGCTGCTTGAGTGTCCGCTCCTTGATCCGCTTCTTTGCGCTCCGTATCTGACATTGTTTCAAGTCCTGTTGAATCGGAATGGTTAGAAGCCGGCATCTCTCTTTGGCCATTGTTATGATGCGGGTGGTCCTGGACGCGCCGCGACGTACCTCTGCAACTGCTTCTCGGGTCGGGTCTGCACTGTGCGCGCGAGTTGAGCCATCGGGGTTCAGGAGGTTCGCAGTAAGGCTCTCGTAGAGTCGTTTGAACTGCGGATTGTTCTCGAGAATGGAGGGGTCACAAGGGGGTATCATGGCGTGGAGTAAAAAGGGAGGATTCACCGCCGGGGATCGACAATGGCACCCGAGCTACGAAGCTAAACAGCTTACAAGAACTAGTCTGCAGGTACAGTACATTTTATGACATTTCCGCATTTATTTCGTAATCATACATGTGAAGCAAATCGCTTCAGATCAATCCCCATTTTTCCACCCGCAAGTTCATCGAGTAGACCTTCCTATCAAGGAAGTGCGACGGAACGTACACTCGGCAAGAATGAACGGGTAAACAATTCGAGCAAGTCAATCCATGGACCCGGACAGGTTCCGAAATTGTCAAGCCCAGAGTATCAAAGCCGTGTGTCGAGTCCAGGATATCCGAAAGAAGAAGAAAAAAGATATGTACAGAGGTTCTTGATCGTCTGAAAGGAGAACGGGTTTGCACAGGAAAGCAACTTTGCTGGGTCCGAAACCAGACAGTGGGTTAGATCAAGAACGAGGGGAAGGAGTCGGTCAAGGAGAACAGGCGGAAGAGAATATCGACGCTTAGAACGCAAATCAAAGCAAGCCGTTTCGCGAGAAACAGCAAGAGGCCAGAAGGGTATCTACTCCTCCTCGCTCTCCTCCGAATCGTCGTCGTCAGACTCGTCCTCGCTGGACTCGTTGGGTTCGACGGAGGGGACCGGGATAGGGGAGCCACCGCCCTGGAAACGAGACAGGTTGCTCTCCAGCATGGTGATCTGAGCCTCCTGCTCGTTCTTGCTCATTGGCTTGTTCTTCTTAGGCTTGGAGGGTGCGACGTTGCTGGCGGGAGCAGAATCCTCGTCGTCCATAAGGTGAGGAACGTTCTTCTTGACGAACTTGAGAAGCATCAACAGCACATCATTAGGCAGTTCATCGATGTCCAGTTCAATCTCAGCCTCTTGGGTACCCTGGATTTAAAGATTAGTGTCTGGTGCACTATACTATGACTTCGTAAGTGAGAGCTTACCTTCAGAGCAGGAACGTTGTTCTGAATGATCTTGAGGGCTTCCTGCATCTTCTTGTCGGGAAGGCTACTGATGCCGTTGGAGATGACCTGCTTCTCATGGTATGTGACGAAGCGCGCCTTCTCCGGCTTGAAGCTGGTCTTGGTCTTCTTTTCCTTCTTGCTGCCGCTCTTCTTACCGTCCTTCTTACCAGACTTGGCCTTGCTGCCAGCCTTCTTGGACGACGGAGGAGTCTTCTTCTTCTTGTTGGTGATCATTTCGACTTGGCGAGACATCTCAGCGATCTGGCGCTGCAGGAGAGTGAGTTTCTCAGTGTCCTCATCCTCCTCCTCGCTCTCCTCGTCACTGTCCTCGTCGGAGTCGTCGGTCTGCTGATCGTGACTCGGCTCGTGCTTCTCCAGATATTCGGCCTTCTGCTCCCATTTCTCATCGAAAACCGCTTCCAGTTGCTGTCCAGCCGCGTAGGTGGGATCTCCGGCAATGTTGAACCGGTAGCAGTTCTTGAACATGAGCCTCACGTCAGACTCGAACTCTTTGGCATTTTCATACTGGCCAGTCTTCAATTTGGACTGAATGGTAGACAGGTCCATAGGCTTCTTGATCACGCTATGGTAGGTGGGGATGTTGAGGGCAACGGGATCCACGGGCTGGTAAAAAGCCCATGCAATTAGCTGGTACTTGGGCTTGTGGAGCTCGTCGAGAACCTCCTGGCAGAACCGCAATTCCCACTGGTACTTCTTCTTTTTCGGTTTGGTGGAGTAGGGAAGATCCCGCTTAGGAGGGTGAATTGAACGCTTGGGACGGCCGTCAGGGTTCGTGGAGTCACGACGAATGACAGGCAGTCCCTCCGGGCCCAGTGCAAACGTGGTGCTCTGGGGAGAAGTGGCCTTGGCAGGCTGGCTACCAGTGGACGTGCGAGGCTCCCGGCGAGCAGCCGAGGTCTTCTCTGTCACCTTCTTCGGCTTCTTCTCCTCCACCTCATCAGGCTTGGGGATGTTCAGCATCTGCTTCTTGAACGTGGCTTGCAGCTTCTGACCCTCCTGGGCAACCAGGTGATCGGGGCCGTTGAAGGTGAGAGAGTTCCCAACCATCAGAGCGAAATCATCAGCAACCGCCTGGGGAGACGAGTACTCGTTACCCTTGAGCTTCCTTTCCATGGTGCTCAAGTCCATGGGGTGGGTGATGACACTAGTGTAGTTCGGAATGTTCAGCCTGATGGGATCCACGGGTTCGCGATAGAAGCGCGAGTCATGCATGCGCTTCAGGCTTGACAGGCTCTTGGAGATGAACTTGTGCTGCATCTTAGTGAGTCCGGACTGGCCACCTGCAGGCATCGGACCGGGAGTCTCGGCAGCGGGGGTTGGCAGCGTAGGGACTTTGAAGTCGACTGGTGCCGCATCCTCGCCCTCGACCTTGGTACGTTTGGCAGCTGGCTCCTCCGCGGGATCCGCCTCGCGTTCGCGAGAAACCTTGGAAGGAGAGTGAGGAGCGCTGGGAGCGTCCTTCATTTCGTGATCTGTCTGGAGAGGTGGCAGACTGGGGGTTGCGGATTCAGTGGAGTGGTGAGGAAGCTCGGTGCTCACAGGTGCAGGTGCGTTCTGCAGACTATCGATAGCCATCTTGTCGGGAATGTCGGCTGCGCCGTCAAGTGGTCCTGAGGTCACACCAGTTGCAGGGACGGGTGGCGGGGTGGAGGTCGTCTTGTCCGCAGATTCGGTAACAGCAGCCGGAGTAGCGGACTCTGAGGCCTGCGGCTGAGCGGGCAAAGTTGCCTCCTCGGGAGCCTTAGTTTCTTGCTTCACTTCTTCAGTTGGGTTTGGTTCAGCCGTCACTGGTGTCTCGCTCTGAGCCGGCGCGGGTGGCGCGGGTGGTGCGGGAGAGTCCGCTGAAGGCGCAGGGACAGGTGACTTCGGGGGGGATGTAGCATTGCCAGTGCCATTAGTAATTGAAGACTCGTGGGGGGTATGGCCGTTCATCGCGCTTCCGTTGCTCTCAGTTGCGCTGATAGGGACATCTGATTTGATCTCTCCAGCTGCAGCTTGAACGCTTCAAAGTAGAGTTAGAATACGGTTTGCGGAAGGGAAGAAGCGCATTCAACGACATGATCTCTTACCTGGTAGGGGCGGCATCAGGCGCAGATTTTCCAGTCGGGGAAGGCGCAAGCTGAGGCTTCTCCTCCTTCATAACAGGAGTAGCCTCGGGAGGCGGGGTCGCCATGAAGGGCAGCGTTCCAGAGACCAGAGTACAAGCTTTCTAGAACAGGGAACGGAGAGGTGAGAGCGAAGCTATCGGCGACTGCTTTTGGCGCAAGTTCAACTGGATACACAAAACCGCTCTCCGCGCGCTGTCACAGGCAAGATTTGCGATCGCGGAGACCAGAGACACGCGATGAAAAGGAAAGGCGATAAGGGTAAGCGGAGGATAGCCGGGAGATAGGAAGATAGGAAGAGTGGAGAATGCGATCGGAGGCGAAAGAATTTATACCGCCAAGAAAACGGCAGTTGTGATCACGTGGGCGGTGGGAGTGGGTGGCAAGGCAGTCAGGCAACGATACCGGAAGAGGTAAGTCACGGGGCCGGGGGGAGGTGAAAAAGGGAAGGTCAGGAATTGATGCCTGAGGTGGGAAGGTGTGGATAAATAGGAAAGGAAATTATGAAAAATAAATCATAAATGGCCGGGGCGGGTTAATAAGGGTAAGGGGTGAAACGCGACGCGAGACGCGTTGTTATGGTTTTTAGGGGGGTAACCAAGGATACGAAGGGCAGGGAGGGCAGGAAGGGGGGAGGCGGTCAAATAAAAATAGGAAGCTCCAGAGACGGAAGCAGAAAAATCCTCGGAGGGGATGACAGAATCCTTAAGTACAAACGGGCGCCTTGCGCAGCAGCGCCGCGAGTTCCACCGACTGAACTAAGCCGGATTCTCCTGGCTCCACCTGCTTTCAATTGGTGAAAGGGGTTTATCCCTGGCCCTGATTGGCCTCTAGGGGTGTACCGTACCGTATCGTCGATGATAAAAATTTTCATTCATCCTTATACCGGAGTGTGCTAGGGTGTGAATGAGGTCATTACATGGTGTCATTCAGTTGTGATTAAGATCTGAACTATACACCTCTTACATGCCACTGTATAGCTCATTAGTGATAATCAAGATCAACACCCCTGAGCCCTAGGGTTCGCCGAATACGGCTAGCGTGTGATGCGTCGATTCCCGACGAATACACGTGACTCGTTACTATTCCGGTATGAGCAAGGTGTTCTCTTCTACTCGTATAGAATGTTCAGATGAGTAGGTGAATCAGACACATAGTAGTCAGATCGCAAGGAGACCGCGGGTTATGGCAATGCCGGAGTCTTACTCGGGTAGGGTCTGCAGATCCGACTGGCCAATCCACTGAGCCTCTCAGCTGGCCCTTGCCGATTAGGCATCATCTCGCATGGGCTGGGCCAGACCAAACACGGTACTCTCCGCAGTATGTCTGATTGGTGAGAAACAGTCAACGGCCCTGATGATCTGGATATCGTCAAATCACATCACTACTTCGTTTGCATGCCTCTATTGCCTATCACCCTGAGGCGCGATCCTTCAAGGGCCCGATGTCTATTCTCTCATTTACATCACAGCGTAATATCTTGCCACTATCTCATTAGCAACTAAAGAAATCAAACACAGAACTGGGGAAAGTATCCACTTTCTTCGACCGGTCAATTGGAAGGTTCTTTGAGCCTCGACCATGTATGTTTTCAGTCATGTTTCGGTGCATATCAACCTTGGAAAGCAGTCTGGTAACAACTGGTATGCTTCTAAGGTTGATTTGATTTAGATAACAGACCAAATATTCACTGCGACCGAGGGTTTGACATCTTTGGACAAGTCAAGTGCTTGACAATGTCGAAAGATCTGTCAACCCACAATATATCGTGGCCATCGTGAGCTACCAATTTTGGAAGGCAAGGTTTGGGGTGCGAACCCACAATATGATCCTAAAACAAGGACCTAGAAGACACCCAAGTCATCACTCAGAGCTTCTTTCAACGCAAATCACCAGATCCATTTGTACAATTACTATTGCTGCTGGTATAGTTCCAAATGAGGAGTCAAGCTGATTAGATAAGGCCCGACCTCACCGCGCTATGCTCTATCGGGACTAGCGCCGAGCCCGACTACAGAACATTTTTTTCCTTTCCGCAACTGCAAGACCACCAGAGTCCCAAAGCCCCATCGTTCTCCCTCGGGCTGTGAAAAAAGTGTGACTGGTGATATCCGAGCTTTTATAGGTTGTCGGTGTCGCTACTCTCCATATACCCCCCACCAAAAATCCGAGGTATCCTGGAAGCAAGGGAAAAAAAGCTTCGGCAAGAAAAAAAATGGGCAAGAAGACATCTCGCCCATCCACCAAGGTCGGCTCGGCCGCATCGCCAGCCGACGGACTTTCGCAATCCGGCAGCAAGTCTTCCATTCTGCGAGCCGCTTTCTCTCCGTCGGAGTACCAATTGGCCCTTTTCGCGTCCGTTATCCAGGGCCTGGATGCGCAGCACCTCCGCATCCACGATACCAACACCGGCAGACTACAGTGCGAGCATGCCTTGGCGCCGAAGGAGACCATTACCTCGCTCGACTGGGGCTACTATGGCGGCCAGGGAAAGAAGGGCGACCAGTCCAAGAAGAAGCGCAAGCGCGGGTCTGATGTCAACGGTAGCGTTGACGGTCTGGACCAGGGAGATATCGTTGTCGCATTCGGTACCAGCACTTCGGATATTCGGCTGTATTCGCCTTCGGAGGACAAGGTCGTTGGCACTCTGACCGGCGTGCATGACAAGGGTATCAAGGATTTCAAGTTTACCGCTGGCCGCCCGGGTCAGGAGGCTTGGAGTATCGGTGGTGATAACAAGCTTGTGCAGTGGGATCTCCGCACTGGCCAGAGCTCAAGGTACGCATGGCTTTTGATTCATTATCGGAAGCGCTTCTAACAACTTCTCGTGTAGGACGATTCACCTGCCCGCATCCTCGGTCTTTACTGCTCTCTCTCGTCCCGTTCCCTCCACCACGCCCGTCATCTGCGCATCCCAGACCCCGTTCTTAATAGATATTGAAAATACCGACGAGCCGCCTGCCAAGTTCCCCGCCATGCGCAACCAGATTCACACCGTCATCTCGTCTTCTTCGGAGTCTGCTGGCTCGGGTACTTTCCTAGCATCTGATGGCGAGCGCTTCATCAACGTTTTCGACGCCTCCAACCAAAAGCTCGTCCGCAACCTGGTGGCGGATCAGGATGTGTCCTTCGTGTCCCTGTACAACGCTGGTAACTCCGCGCTCGAGACGCAAGTCCTCGCCGCCGTCACCGAAAATGGAACGATCGAGTTCTTCACAAAGCCCTTCGCCCAGCCCCAGACTGCGCAGTCCACCAGTGCCAAGGCCAACCGGAAACAGATGACCCAAAAGGCGAACGCCTCCCTCAAGATTATCCGCTCCGAATCTTCAGATGCCTGCGTGCCCGTGGTATCTACCTCTTTCCAGGGCCCTGACATCATCGTTGCTTATGCCGAGGGTGGTGTCATTCCGGTGTTCGAGCGTGTGAAGCTCGTTGATGAGACTACTGACGAGCTTGCGTTTACTGGCATCAAGGCAGTTGTGAAGAGCAAGTCGAGCTCCGCCATTGCATCCGTAACAACAAACGGAGGCAAGAATGCCGGTGAAAGCCAGGTCAACGAGACCCACGCTGTTGTGGAGCAGGGTAACTTTGTGGATGACGATATTGAGATGAACGACGATGCCGCCTCCGTGTCCGGCAGCGAGGAGGACTCTGACGATGAGGAAGACACCAAGCCCGCTACCGAGAAGAAGAGCAAGCCCACCAAGCAGACCGCTGCTGACGAGGACGTTGAAATGAAAAATGCCGAACCGGAGGATGAGGAAGAGGAGGAAGAAGGTGCTGAGCCATCATTCGGCGAGCTGCTGCGCGCCAACGCCGGCCAGGAGGTTGATGTCGAGGCCGAGCTCGACGACGACGTGAACCTGGGCGCCCTGGTGCCTGGCAAGCCCACCGCAGCCGTGCAACAGATCCCTACCGGCGTGTCACTTGCCACCGTCCTCACACAGTCCCTGAAGACCAATGACAACGGCATGCTCGAGTCCTGCTTCCACACCAACGACACCTCCATCATCCGAACCACTATCCAGCGCCTCGAATCTTCCCTGGCTGCTACCTTGCTCCAGAAGCTCGCTGAGCGACTTTCCTCCCGTCCTGGTCGCTATGGCCACCTTCTCGTCTGGGTGCAGTGGACCTGCGTCGCCCACGGCGGTGCTTTGGCCGGCCAACCCGAGCTGTTGAAGCGCATGGCTACCCTGTACAAGGTCATGGACCAGCGCTCGTCGAGCCTGCCTTCCCTGCTCCTTCTCAAGGGTAAGCTGGACATGCTGGATGCCCAGCTTGGTCTGCGGTCATCGATGCGCGGTGACGGTGACGATATGGATAGCGAGGATGAAGACAACGTTATCTACGTTGAGGGCCAGGAGGATGATGATGACAGCGAGACCGGGGCCAAGCCGCGGACGAAGTCGATACGCGACCAGGCATTTGACGAAGACGAGTCTATGATGAACGGCGTCGACGAGTCCGAAGATGACGAGGACGACGGCAGCGAGGAGGAAGATGAAGACGAGGAGGGATTGCTGGACATCGAAGCCGAAGAGTCTGCCGGCTCCTCCGACGCCGAAGAGTCCCTGGAAGAAAACGAGGACGACGAAGACGACGACGGCGCTAGCGAGGGCTCGCTGGTTGATTTCGTCGCTGATACAGAGGACGAGGAATCCGACGATGCCATTGAGCAGCCGCCGCCGACAAAGAAGAGCAAGACGAGCGGGAAGAAGGGAGGGCGGACATAGATGGGTTTCTTTGTACCATTTTGGAGGTGGATTTTGTTTTCTAAAAAGAATTTATATACTGGGTTTGCATCGACCTGCATTTTTCAATCTCGCTGCTGGATCTCGTGTCCATAGTCTTTGATCCAATCGATTTCATTTACTGCTTGACTTCTCTGTCCTCTCAAGGTACCTAACCCAAATTTCCAAGGCTATCTACATCTAAGCAAGCAACTCCTCCCCCCGACAAGCACCAACATGCAAAACTGAATGTCCAGGGACACCGCCCTCCCCTAGTGGAATCTCCAAGGCAATCGTCTGCTCCCTCGATGGATACGTTGTGTAGTGACCAAGGGCACTAACATCAGAGGTATCCAGCGCCAGAATGGCACCGTTTTTCCCACCGGAGACCCAAGCCTCGGCTGTAGAGTTGGGAAGAGTGATATGTGCCAAGCCGGAAAGGAAGATCACCCATCTGATAAGCCGTTAGCGCAGTCCCGCATTCTTGTAGAAACGCAGGCATCAGATAAGGTATGTATTTGGAAGGCGAGGGGTAAAGGGGTTGCTGGCACGTACTGCAATGCGGGCGCATTGTGTCTTCCGCCGTTGAAACCTGCGGGTAGAATGGTGTACTGGGAGTCACCTCCGAGTTCGCCGAGGTCTAGTGACTTCGTGCCGGCGGTTCCGGCTTCTGAAGAGGGTTTGAATCCCGAATCAAGGGCCCAACATTCCAGGGTGGAGCGATTGTGTTGCGCGCCTAAGACAGTTACGTTGAGAGTGTTGCCCAGGGCGAGGGTTGAGGATAGGAGGAGGGAAATAATTGTGAGACGCATTGTGAGTGTTTCAATGAAGAAGAATGGATGGGAAAGGACGATCGGAATCGGCAGAGCAAAATTAGCCGAAGAGCTGCAGAGGAACCGGAGTGATCAACATTGTTTTTGCGCTAAAGAATAAGTAGACCCATTTTCGGGTATGTAATGTATGTAGTGAGCACCTGCAAGAAAGTAAAAATACGGGAAGAATAAAAAGGAATCATGATCAGAAAGAGGTCAATAACCTAGCGAATGATTTCACTGCTCGACTTCTCAATCCCTTCCATGCCCTCCAGGATATCGCTGCCTCCCAACATCCCACAGGCTGAACCGATGCCCTGGCGGCGTCCCGCCCATACTTCGTGGAATTTGACGGTCTGGTCGCTTGATGCAACGATGATGCATCCTTCTTCCATTGTTCGTGTGCACCACATCCCGCCCTCTTTCTCTTTGGGCCGGACAATTCGAAGACTAGGCTTGGGTCTACCTGCTTCGTTTACGCGTTCTGGTGATCGCGAATGGTTGCGTGGCACTGGAGTTGATCGTCGTGGTGATGTACAGAAAAGATCTGATTCATCTAGCGTGAGCCCCGGAGGGCGAGGTGGGCGTCCGGGATAGCTGACTGCCCACAGCGCTCGTCCGCAGTCAAAGTTGACATCGTGGTCGGGGCCATCCCAACTGGATCCGGAGGGCCCCCAGGGAATGACAGCAACCTGGGCACAGCTGGGCCATGCAAAGACGGCAATTCGGAATGGATGTTCTGGTTGGGCGTACCCGAATGTTGCCGCAATCTCACGTCGTGTCTGGCTCCAGATCAGACTGGTCACCTGGGCAAACACGTTGATATTGGCGAGGCAGACACCAGTTCGAGTGTGGAAGAAGTGAATTGTGCGATCATTGGAACCTCCTCCTGTCGCCAATAACGAGGGCTGCCACGGTGCAAAGGCAATTGCTTTAACTGCAGCGGCGTGTGGCAGTGTGTGCTTTTGGTGATCATGTGGAATCAACGCAGTTCGTCCGCTACCTGATATGAGGGTACCTCTAAGACTGAGAAGAGGTACTGCCGCCGTAGGCCTCACCGGAGGTGGATGAACCCATGATGGGAGCAAGTGACTGACGGTGGGCCGCCTGTTAAGAAGGTGCCGTGGAGTGTTAATTAAACCGAGCAATGAAAACGAGCGAACACTCAAGCCCTCAGAATGAGTTGCCATGACAGGTAATAGAGAATGGTTGAGCAATGGCGGCGGTGGAAGAATATCAGTCAGTTCGAAAAGCAAACAAGCGTTATCGTTGCCACCTGTAGCAAGGAACCGCTCATCGGGTGACCAGGCCAAGCCACAGACTTGCTGAGTATGAGCAGAGATCTTGGCGAGAAGCGTGATGAGACCATTCCAGCTCCGCTCATTTTGGCTTTCGGGCCATTCGACAGAGTAGTACCAGACGTTGCCCACGTCGTCTCCAACCGCAACTTCCTCTGCATCGATTTCTAAGTTGGCACACCTCTCGGAAAGTCTTTGTGTGGTTCTCGGCTTGAACGCGACGCACGAGATACTGTTTGGATGACTGAGTTCAAAGCGAACATCGGCTTCATTCACACCCCACAGAGATAACTGGCCAGACTGTCGGCCAACAGCAAGGATGCTCCGTCCGCCATTCTCCGATGAGAACGAGAGAGATGTGACGTAGTTTGACGGATGTACATTTTCAAACGGCGGATGGTCCACGGTGAAGCCTTCGGACCACAGGTAAACATGCTGGGCAAGTCCAACAGCTAGCACGCCAGATGTGAACGAATAGGCCAGCGTGGTGCAATAGAAATCATCCCGAAGGGAAGGGGCATCCAAGATCCGAAAGGGCTTTGGAGGAAGCGCTTCTCGTTTGGAAAGGACTGCTGGCCCTAATTGACAAGGGAAAAGTTAGTCGTGATGCGCGAGAGACCGCAGTACGATCGTCCCACCTTATAAATGGCTTTAAATGTCATATAAATGTTGAGCCTGTTTGATAATAAGTGGTGACAAAAGAGAGGCTCAGTGAACGAATATAGAAAGCCACGAGAATTGGAAGTGAAAACGTAACTGTACTTACACTGCTCCCTTTCCACTTTTTTCCACGCACTCTCCTTCCACACAAAGGGCGAAAGTCGCTCGTAATATGGCGAGGACGGACTAGGTGAGTTCTCTGCGCATGGTACACAAGTAACAAGGAGTCTGGCGGTTGGGTCAATGTCCAATGCAAGGGCAAGCCTTGATTCGTGCTTGTTCTGGTCATCAGCCCTATTGTTTCTCGGCAAGAATTTAGCTACATATGTAGGAGCAGTTGGCCCTCTGGCCGAGAGACTTAGCGCGCCATTTGAAACAGCCACTGAGGGGTCCCCGAGCATTGCAGTCATCCCACCGACGCCCCACACGGCTCCAGCACTGACTCGCCTGAGAAAGTCAATTTGATGGGCTCCTCCTGCAACACCAGGATCCGTGACCAAATGAGGCCGTTGGAGGGGTCTTTGGCGGAGCCGAATGGGCGTTGGTCTCTGTCCTGGGAATGCCGGAGATCGGGGTCTGGTGGGAAGAAAGGGATCATCCCAGGGCAAACGACGCCGAAGAAGTTTCTCTTCAGGAGACAGATGGCGAGGGTGTTTGTTCACATGAAATGGTGTGGTTGAGATCTCGGCGAAATGCCTCTTTGGGATGAATCGATCAGGCGATAACGAGCTGGAAAAGCCCTTTCGAGTCACTTCTATAATAGGAGGCCCCCTCAATCTGGTACGACCTCGTTCAGGAGACGATACATCTGCCGTTCTGTTTTCTTTCAGTGGAGCGATGGTGGGTATGAGGGAGAGGGATATCTGAGAAGTGGTGGCTGATCCATGAAGTGGTAAATTGATAGTTGCAAATTCAGTTAAACTGACGGATCCACCATCCTGAGAGGAATCGGATTGAGAAAATGATGTTAGTGACGAATGGTGATTGCCTGTTGAAGAGGCATCCTCGAATGAGTGACGTCGCGAAGCCCCCATTGTGGGAGCGAACGCGGGTAAGTTGTCTAGGCAGCAGGCAGCAAAGGAGTGTGCTGCAGACCCTGAAACAGGATGGCCGGGATATCGAGATAGGGAGATGTAGGTTTGTAATAGATGTGGAAGTAGATGTTGCCGTTTTGAGCCACTGCGCTGTGCTGACTAATGCTGCCAAGTAGCGGGCGCGGCTCCCTCGCTCTTCCTCGATAGCACTGTCTCACATGTTCAACAATGGCAAGTGTGAGTTACGGCCTCCTTTATTTGCTTGAACTGCCAATATAGTTACTGACGGCTTGACAGCATGGTGTTCGGCGCTTCAAGCTGGTGGAGAAGACCCCGGAGCAGCGGCAGCAAGAGCTGCAGAAGATAGAGGAATACAAATCTCTCGAGAGTTCCGTGTCGGAGAAGGTCAAGATTCATGTCTGATTATGCTGAGAAAGCTTATATTGACATCTTGCCAGGTTGCTGAGCAAGATTTCACAGCCGATACGCTGAAGAAGATCTCCGACTTGATAGGCCGCAACCCAGAATATTATACCGTCTGGAACTATCGACGACAGGCCCTTCGGCACCAGTTCTCGGAGACAGAGAACTCCACTGAAGAAAATGCATCCGTAGTGATCGCAGACCTGATCAGAAATGATCTGACATTTTTGATCCCCCTCTTGCGCAGCTTCCCCAAATGCTACTGGATCTGGAACTATCGCCTTTGGCTCCTCGATGAAGCACGCCGGCTACTCCCACTAGCTGAAGCGCGCCCATTCTGGGAACAGGAGCTTGCCTTGGTGGGTAAGATGTTGACTCTGGATAGTCGCAACTTTCACGGCTGGGGCTATCGGCGCTTGGTGGTGGAGACCATTAGGCAACTGGGTACTCCAGATGAGGCGAAGAGCATGACCCTGAAGGAAGTCGAATATGCAAAGAAGATGGTCGGAGCCAATCTGTCCAACTTCTCCGCTTGGCACTATCGCACCAAGCTGATTCTTCGGATGCTGGAGGAACAATCTGCTAGCAACGGGGAGCGGAGGAAGATGCTGGACGAGGGTGAGTCTTTCTGAATCACTATTTCTTGAGCTCTTACTAATTTTTGCAGAGCTGGAGCTCATCCATCAAGCCCTGATCGATCCTTATGACCAGTCGCTATGGCTCTATCACCAGAACTTGATGTGCGTTTTTGACCCGTCGGTGGCGGATCGGACAATGGCTCCGAATCTGAGCACGTCAGAACGACTTCAATACTTGCGGGACGAAATCGAAGCCATTCAGGAGATGCTTGACGGAGCAGAGGACTGCAAGTATATCTACCAGGCTCTAATCGAGTGCACACTGCTGGCATCGAAAGTAGGGGGCGGCCTGCAGCAGGATGATCGGGATCAGATTCTGAGCTGGCTCTCAGAGCTGAAGAAAATAGATCCACTTCGGCAACAAAGGTGGCTGGACTTTGAAAGAAGCCTGTAAACACTAGCTACTACCGGCATTATTAGCGGCCACTAGGAAACCGATACTGGTTACTTTTTGAATAGTAGGATACCAGGACGACGGGTTTGAAGATACATTTGAAAGCTGCATAGAAATACGTCCAAGAAGATGACTAGAAAGGACAAAGGAAAAATGAATAGAGGGTGGTAAGCTACATATGCACAAAGAGTAAGTAATTTTGCGGAGGTGTACAATGCCAAATGCGGAACAAGGGACCGGCGATTCGTGTCATACTCTTCAATGTACGATACCCGTCCACGAGACCCGTCCACGCGACCCTGCACGACGGGTATACATACCTACGATAGCCGTGCATGAGGAATCTTGCATTCTGCAGATGCATGCTAATTACAGTGCACACAGATAGCGTGCATTTCATGCAAAAGGACATTCCAAGCACTCCGATCGACAGGTCGCCCCAGTTGCCCCGCACAGGCCAATCAAAGCCGTGTGTTCCTGGCCCTCGATTCGATCAGTGAACTGACATCCCCAAATTCCTTCCACGCTGGCTCATTCCACCTTCTCTCCCCCTTTTATTTGTTGTCTATGACCATTCCGCTCATCATATGGAGTCTTGCGCTCTCTAAGCTGTTTTTCCCCCTGAGTCCCGACATGTCCTCGAATCGGAACAGCAGTGACTACATAGGGGTGAGTCTCGCATCGGTTTCATCGCGTGTGCCACATGCTTATCATTCCCCTCAGGAGTCTTTTGACGATGCCCCCGAAGTACGAGAACACCTGAACGTTTCTATCCCCCAATCCTCCTCCACTCGCTCCCTGACCGGTAGCCCTCCTGTCGGCACGGGGACTTCCCCCGACGCTACGGAGAAGCCTCCTTTCCCTTCTGAATCGCAGGACGAACAGAAGGACGAGGGGCTCGAGTCAGGAGAAACGACGGGAAAGAAGAAAAACAAGAAGAAGAATAAGAAAAAGGCCAACAAAGATGCGGAGGACGGTCAAGGGGAAGCAGGAGACGAGTCGAGCGAGCAACCTACCGACGACGTGAACCTCGAGACCGCCGACGCCGCCAAGGATGAAGAAAAGCCGGAGCAACACACAGAGCAGCCTACGGAGGAAGACGACGAAGGAGAAGATACTATTATTGGGAGCCCCCAGCCGAACAAGTCGCCCTTACTTACGTCCCACCGCCTCTCGACCGCATCCTCCCTCGACGAAGTGAACCTGACCAACAGCAAGGAGGATGGGCCGATGAAGGCTGCAAACAAATTGGAGCCGCCTCCATTGCCCCCCAAGGACGAGCCGGCATCCTCCCCAAGCGGAGCCTTGAAGGGATTGTCGGGAAGTTTGCCATCCTTGCCCTGGGGTGCGCCTCCGCAAAATAAGAACCCTCCTCCCGCCGCACCGCCGCCACCGACGCGAAAGCCCAGCGGCCCCTTTGCATGGTTCTCCCGGAGTTCAACAGGAACCAAGGAGGTCAAGTCCCCCCAACAGTCTGGATATAGCCGCCGAGACACCGGCAACTCCGTGTCCACCATTGCTAGTCACTTGGACCTGGCTGCTCGATCTGAAGAAGGGGACGCCGCCAGCCTCAATTCGAGAAGACCGAGACGCAACAGTTTGAAAGATCAATTCAAGCTGTTGCGGATGCGGGAGGAGCATATTGGTGCCGAGAACGATCAGTCGAGCATCCGATCTGGCCGTGCCAGCATCAGTCAGTCCGGCGCCAGCCCCCCCATCATCCACGAAGAGAGCGAGGATGGTATTCTTGCTGCTCCTGTGGCGCCCGCCTCTGGAGCAACCTCCCCCGCAACTGCCACTGCGCCATTGACAATCAACCCTACCCTTGCCCCGGGCACCGTGTCCGGGTTTTCTAGATCAGCATCCGATGCCTCTACACCCGTGGATTGGGATATGTGGCAGCAACTCGTGAACGACGGGCCTCAAGCCTTGGCGAACTCGGAGGATCTGAATGCCGCTATTAAGAGAGGCATTCCACAGACTATTCGTGGAGTTATTTGGCAAATTCTGGCAGAAGGCCAGACCGGCGAATTAGAGGATATTTACCGGGAACTTGTCGCCCGCGGGACCGATAAAGATCGTCGGCCGTCAAATGCCCAGGCCAATGGCACGCCCGAGAAAGAATCGGTCTCCTCGTCTCGCTCGTCCATTCGGTCCGATAATTCGGGCTCCGGAACGCAGTCGACGAGCGTTGCTCCTAGTCCTTCCCTGGAGACGGATCCTGAGAGGCTGACCAGGGATCAGGCTGCTAGTGAAAATGCTCGACTGAAGCAGGCTAAAGATGAGGCGATTGCTCTGCAGAAGCTGGAGAAGACCATTCGACGTGACCTGGGTGCTCGCACGAGCTATTCGAAGTACTTTATCTCCCAAGGAAGCCAGGAGAGTCTGTACGGACTGTGCAAGGCATACGCCTTGTACGATGACGCTGTTGGTTATGCACAGGGTATGAACTTTATCGTCATGCCTTTGTTATTCAACGTAAGTGCTCTATAAGCCTGCAGGGCGCATGGAATCGATTCACTAACAAACATTACAGATGGATGAAGTGGAAGCCTTCGAGCTTCTCGTTAAGTTGATGAACAAATATGGGCTTCGGGAGTTGTTCATCCAGGACATGCCCGGCCTTCACCGCGCACTCTACCAGTTCGAGCGTCTCCTGGAAGACCTCGAGCCCGCCCTGTACTGCCACCTCCGCCGGCGCGGCGTTCCTCCCCAATTATACGCTACCCAGTGGTTCTTGACCCTGTTCGCCTACCGCTTCCCGCTGCAGCTTGTCCTGCGCATTTACGACCTGATCTTCGAGGAAGGCCTTGAAAGCACGATTCTCAAGTTTGGCATTGCAATCATGCGACGCAATGTCGATGCGCTGCTAGAAATGAAGGATATGAGCTCGCTCACGACCTTCCTGAAGGAGCGGCTATTTGATGCCTACATCGACAAGCAGCCCTCAGCCTCGTCGATCTTGGAGTCTGGCTTCTTTGGAAGCTCTGGCGCCGCTGACAAGGAGATTTACCGCGCCGATATCCTCGTGCAGGATGCTTGCGCTGTGCCCCTTACCCAGGACATGATCAAGACATACACTGCTGAATGGGAGGAGAAAACCCGCACAGAGAAGGAGCAAGAGGCAGAGCTGGAGCACCTTCGACACACCGTAACTACGCAGGCTTCCCGTGTGCGTCTGCTCGAAGAGCGTGCCGAAGCATCCGATAAGGAACACGTCCAGTTGGCGTCGGAATTGGTGCACGTCAAGGTGGAGAACGAGGAACTGCGTGATCTCAACGATGCCTTGAAGCTGCAGGTCTCCGAGCTGAAGGTTATCGTCGACAAACAGCCCGGCGAGGTGGAGGAGAAGCTTCGGACGGAGATGGACCGTATCATGAAGCGGAACATCGAGGTACAGAACGAGAACCGCGCGATCGAGGACAACATGGCCGAGATGGAGAAGGAGCTGGTTGCCACGAAGATGAAGTGGGCCGAGGTATGCTTCCCTTCCCCCAACCCACTGCTTCACTGCCTTGGAGAATACTGACAATATCCAGGTGTCCGAAAACCACGAAACCCTCCGCCAAAAATGGAGTGACCTCCGCCGGGCCCTCGACTAAGGGCATCCTATCGATCCTAACCCCTGTATATTTTCTCGCACTGGGAACATGATCTGTGATCACCTCCCCCCTGCCAACTACGCCTATGGGCCGGAAGTCTGCTTTATTCTCATTTAGCCACCCCATGACCTCGGTCACGTAACGTCTCTGTACGGTGTTGCGCCATTCCCAGCCCAGCATTCTCCCTCGGCGTTCTCTTTTTCTTTACAGTGTAGTGCATCTCTCTACATACGTACTTTTGTTGGTGCTTGGGGCCACTGCAAACTCCGCATACTAGACGTATGCTCTGTACATCCCAATGAAACGATGCATTTTTAAATTTCCTTTTTGTAATTGCAGCGGTCTAAAATCGTTTAATTCCTCAGTTCATCTCATTCCCCGTTGGCCTCCACCCTAGAGAATGTTCTCATAGAACGTAGTCAGAACATCCTCCTTGACGGGCCCCGCAACAGCCTTGAGCGCCTTATGCGCCTCACACTCCGTATCGTAGTACTTCATATCCTCCATCGAGGCAAACGTCGTCTTAACCGAGATATTGAAGCCCTGGTTCCGGGGGTCGTCGATCGATTGGCCGACGGCAGCTGCGACGATATAAGGCTTTCCGTCCTGCGCGAGTTAGCCTTGACTCTCAAATACACCGGAAAGGAATATAGGAGAGCGGGGCATACCTTGGTCGCGGTCTTGGAGAGCACCTTGTACTGTTCCAGCACGCGCAGCCGGTCCGCCTCGTTGGGGATCTTGAAGAGGGTGATGCGTTCGATTGGGGCCATGGTGACTGGTGATGTGGAAATCGTGCGTGCGAAGTGGGTGAGAGGTCTCGCGCTGCGGAACATGAGTTCTTATATTACTTTGTCTTGGTGGGACATTTGCGGGGGTTCGGGATCGCCTTACGGCTAATTATTAATGCCGTCGTTCAAGGTAACTTCCGACGGATCGGGCTCAGATGCCGCTGGAGTGTTACTTCATGCAGGCCTATCGGCTTTTATTTTCTATATCTTCTGGATCTTTGAATCTGTAGGATTCAGTATAGATATTGTTCTTAACTTGAATACAGTCGCTGATGCGAGTGCGGAATGTATTGTAGCAGTGCGTCCTAATTCCGCTCGGCTATTTGTTTTTGGCGGGGGCGGAAATAAGCGTACTGGCTTAGGACAAGACTCCTACTGTGTATACCTAATTTTAATGATACACCTGGACATTCAATAGTCCAAGGGGCTGGCGATTATTCAGAAAGCATAGACTGCATTTTAAAGCTGCATGGATAAATGTATTACTATCGCCCAGTCCAATCAGCGATTCGAACGTCTTCGGCTCCAGTGACTTCTTTGATGTCTTTGAAAACGTCTCGAATGTCGGACATAAAGGCCACGTCCAAAGTTGGGATTCCCCCGAACAAGATCCCTACAACCTGCCCTTGCGCACCATACACAAAAGCACCGGAGTCCCCATGCTCTGCGAATGGTTGATTATTCGTCGATTTAATCGTCCATTCATGTGTCACGGTCTCTCGAGGCCCGCCAAGAACTCCGGGGGATTGCTCATGCTTGAATGTGTACGTCAAAAGCTCGTTGCATTTGCCCGCGGTAATCCAAGTCGATCGGCCGGACTTGCGAACGTTTACTTTTTCGTTGTAAACCGCATCGAATTTTCCCGTCTGCATGAAATCATCTGTTTTGGTCCCCAAGTATCCGAAGGGCTATAACTCAAAGTCAGTTATGACCCAAACAAACTCGATCAAAAAATGATATGCGTACCTTGTTTCCCTGCAGTTTACCGTCCTCTCGATCAAATCTCCACTCGTTGACTTTGATCAGCGCCCAGTCCATATAGCTTTTCTTTTGGTCGGATGAAATCCCTCGTCGGTTGGGTGAATCTTTGATTCGGCCAAAGCCACTACCCGCGAATAGTCTTCCTAGGTCGTTTTTATCCCGGTAACGTCGAAATTTCGCCTTCCTGTTTTCAAGTTTCGCAATTTGCACCTGCGATTTATTGTACCTTCCTTTCTCGCGTTCATCCAAAAAACCATCGGATGGATCGAGTGCAATCTTATCCGCCTGGACCTTCCAGTCCATGAACTTCTCGGATTTGATTTCGCTTATTTCACCATCTGTACTTTTGATAGACTGGTTGAGGTCAACGGTTGAAGGTTGCTCAACTCTCAGAAAATTTTGCGCTGGATCATCCCCAGGCTGAACAGGATTCTGAAGCACTTTCTGGAAAGCTATAGTTAATATGACATCTTTCTCAGCAATACATTCTTGAAAGAGAATTTATTAGGGAATATCAAGCGGAATATACGGACCTCTTTCCGTATCAGGTATTTTCAATAGATTGGCGCGGTGGCCTTCCGGGGCGAACACACAGTGGAAGCATGTGAGGGCATATGGTGTCCAGGGGGTACGATTAGAAAATCTGAGTTTAACAATTCCACCTAGAGTCGAGGACCCGGCAGAACTGTTGACAATGCCGATACTGACTCCGGGTTTCAGAGCCTTTGTGCAAGCATCCGCTGGTACTCCAGGGGTTTGGGCATAAAGCTCGAATGAAGCTTCCAGGAACAGGATGTCCACATTGTTCTCCTCCCTTTCCGCCGCAAGGACATCATGAATTCGCTGTCTGGAAGTTTCAAAAGGACCCACGGCAGACTCTTGGACGTTGACAATAAGCGTGACTCGGTTCTCACTCGAGTCGGAGTTCGATCCGTACCGCCATATTGAGATTCCATTCCACTCTGCCCTGTTCATTAGGTCGTCGTACATAATCGCATTTGCGATTCTTTCCCACTTCTCGAATACGGAATGGCTTCGCTCGACGGGGTAGCAGTGCATCCGCGTATTGAGCCGCTCATCAATAATCTCGACGGAGATCCCTCGAAATTCACCAACAAGCTTTCGATGTATCTCTTTCGCGGCAATAAGCCAGTTATTATTAACTGACTGATGATCCATCATAACGAGCACGGTCGGAATGGGTTCAGGTTCCCGGTCGGTAAACGACCGTCGTCCTAGAGCCAGGACTTGCTCGGAAGTGATGCCGTGAGTTCGGAGGATTGCCTTAGCCTCAGTGAGAATGTGAAGCTCATTGCTGTAGAATCCTGTCCGTTCATTGTACTGGTCGCTGACGCGGTCAACTAGGACCGGGAGTGAACACAGAGTAGGCCCTCCCACCCGTCGTGGGGAGTGAACCCAACCATTTTCATCGACCTTCACCTCGCTGCTCAACAGCAAAGTTTCGTGGGTCAACACCGAAGATGAAAAGCTACGCGAGTGTGCGCTTGCGCGGCTACGGCTCGCGCTGGATGAAGCCATGGAGCTCATCCTGAACGAAAACAAAAAAAAAAAAGGAATCTTGAAGTCGAGCAGGAGGGAGAAGGAGAGTGACTTGAGTGAGTTGATGAAAGACAAAGTAGTGTCGTGATGAACACTATAGGAGAGGTGGAAGAAGAAAAACAGAAAGAGGGCAGAGGTGGAAAGTAGGGGCTTTTTATAGACAGACCTTTGCACCCTATGGCCTCCGCGTTCGAATTGGGATGCAAAGTCCCAGGGAGTATAAGTCGCTTTTGCGCCAGCAAAGTGGACGTGGAAGACCCACGGATCAACCACAGATACCTAACTGTATCCAGAAATGTATTGAGTCTAAAGATAGGTTAGTTCAGGGGAGAAAACGTATATCAGCTCCGGATGCCCAACTTGGGTGGCCGCAACCAAATGAGGAGTGAATGAGGGACAAGGAGAGTGATAAGTGAACTGGACGAAAGATAAAGTGATGTTGTGATGAATGAGAGGTAAATGAGAGGTAAATGAGAGGTAAATGAGAGGTAAATGAGAGGTAAATGAGAGGTAAATGAGAGGTAAATGAGAGGTAAATGAGAGGTAAATGAGAGGTAAATGAGAGGTAAATGAGAGGTAAATGAGAGGTAAATGAGAGGTAAATGAGAGGCAAATGAGAGGTAAATGAGAGGTAAATGAGAGGCAAATGAGAGGTAAATGAGAGGAATAAGAGAGGAATGCTATTCTGTTCTTGGTTTAGGATGAGAGTCGGAAGTCCAAAGGGGAAAGAAAGGGTACCTATGAAGGAAGCGGGAATAGTGGATTAAGAAATCTTAGGAAGCAAGAGAAAGTGGTAAAAATCCGAACTCCCATGGGATACGTAGTAGTTATTCATAGACGAAGACTTCAAATTAGGCTTAGCTCTTCGGATTAGGCATGGCTCCGTAGGTGCACCAAGCCTAACTGGGTATAGCACTTCTAGTTAGACATGACTGACCTAACAACCCGGTCCTTAGTACCAGGAATTGCAACCTTGGTGACTTGACTTGCATCTAAAGATATCTATGTTTGCTTATCGGAGTGGGCACGTGTCCTGTTCATGCTCCAGGAGTCGAAGCCGGTTGAGATTGCCGGTGAGAGACTGAAGGAGGATTTAGGGTTTTAGGGATAGGCGATGTTCCAGCGTCGGGCTCCTGAAATACGTTGATAGTATTGTCGATAAAGGAGAAATAACGAGAAAAGTATGCTGTTCATAGAATGCAACTGGGGCGGATTCCTGTTAATATACTTGATGTTTCTAAAGATGGCTTGAAGGTATCTCCTATTGATTTCTCTAGGAATGTAACGCAAATCAATGCTGTAGAGACAAAAAGCGCAACTCTTCTATTCTAAATAAGACTTCGCATCGTCTCTAATCTTTCTCCTTGTTCATGGGCATGAGGCGTAAACACCTATACCGCACTATACACTTCGCAAGTAAATCAAAGTTGGCATTCCATTCCAACAATAGTTATCTTGTCTTGGTTCTGCTTTCCCAGTTTGGAAAGCGGAAACCCATGGTCCATAAGTCCATCCTTGAATGTTGACATCCGAGCTTGTTGGCCGCCTGGGGTGCCGCATCCCCTAATTTCTTTTTTGGAATGGCAGGGATCAAGAGAGTAAGGTGTCGAGGATTTGCATGCGCGCACATGGCACGCCGTAGTGGATGTACTCAGAGTGCTGTACCCGACTGACACAGGGTAGTTTCAGCGCAGAGTAAGCCTCGCCAGAGGACTAGATGGGCTGTACCGATTGAGAAATATCCGCTTGGCTCATTCTTCTGTTTCATAAACCAAGAAGGTGTCCCCGAGCCCAGCTCAAATGTCATTCACAGGCTCCGGTCGGTTCTTGAAGAACACCTTGTATCGCACAATCTCAACAACCTCCAACTCCTCCGCCTCTGAAGACCCGGCGCGCTTTTGCAACACAGCGATCGGCCGTAGCAGTTTCTTGACCTCGCCAGTCATGCGCTGGTACCGACCGACGTACAGATATGCCCTCTTCATCCACTTAGTGTCATCCGGGTTGAGGGACGAGTAGTCCGGGAACATGATCTTCCCGATCGGAGTCTCGTAAGACGGGGCATTAGACTCGGAGGATCCGTCTGAGCTCGTATCTTGCTCGTATTCTGAGAGATTGATTGTGCCCTGAAGCTCGAGAAGGGCAAGGCCGGAGGGTGTTTGGAGGAGTTGGGGGAGTGGATTCGTGATGGGGAAGCATGATGCATCTGTTGCCGCAGTAGATGATGCAGTGGAACGTGGGTGCAATTGGATTGAAGGCATGGTTGTTGAGGGGTGTGTGGGATTGCTTCAGTTGGTGTGGAAATGAAGGTGACGCGCGACGCGGGCGGGTCGCGTGCGGGCGATCAACCCCACACGAGTGTAGAGTGCTATTTTGCCATTTTTGGTGGGAGTGCAGAACTACACAATGATACTGGAAAGCCACGAAAACTTCTACTAGTTGATACAATTGATAATGCTCAATGCCATGTATTTCTCATTCCATGATTTGGGACAAAATATGCGATGAATAGCTGACAATCACCCGCCACGTAGATGGAGGCGGCGGTAGCATGAGATGACTCTAGTCTCTTCTTAATAACCAGGATGACCAGGATGTCTTCTGATAGACTGAGATCCTGCATAGAGGCACCATTCATTTCCCACGGTGGCTCAGGCATTTGGTAGAAAGGCGTCAGTTTTAGGGCAGATGTGCCCAAACGAGGAGCATCATTGAGAGACGCCTGTTTCAGAATAGGGTCCTGGATTCTAGGTGCAGGGTAACAAACACCCTATCGATTGCCACATATTTCCACGCCCTCAAAAGTGCTTTCAAGGTCAGCGTCAGGTCCATCTTGCTGGACGGGCTCACTTACCTAGGTATGTTCTCTGACCATTGAACATGGCCATATCAAGCCGGATGCAAGTGAAGGATCTTGAAGTAGATTGGTTACATAGGCCATTCATATGAATAGGTTCATTTCACGAATTGCTCTTGTAGCAAGCATCTTCAAGATTTTGCAGGCCCTTGATGGCTTCTTCAGCCACATTGCTGGAAGTACCTGCAGGCCCCTGCAGCTTGCCATAGCGAAGGTCGCTCATGTTCCCAACAGTGGTATTGAGCTCTTTGAGAATATCCTCAGCTTCACGGTCCACATCGGAGATTTCACGTTCGATGGTGGCACAAGCTGCATCCATTTCAGCTAGGAGACTGGCCACTGAGTGGTAATCCTCGGGATCGGTGTGGTTCTGGCCAAATAGATGGAGATCCACGTTCATCTCTCGCTGCTCCTCTTCACTGGCAGCTTCCACTCCGGCAGCAAGAGTGGCCTTGCGGAGCTCGGCTTTTTGCCGCTCGCCCTGCTTCAGCTCTTGGTCAATGTTTTCATTGACTCGGTCCATGTCATGTTCACGGACTTGCTGCAGCTCCCGGTACACTGTGCGGATGTGTGGGTGGTTCCGCAGGCGCTTTGGGAAGAGCTCTGTGAATTTCTGCAGGGACAGCACTGTCGGCAGCGGTGCCGGCGAGAGCAGAAAATTGCTCAAAATAGATTCTTCTGAGGGCGCCATAATTGACAGCAGCTTGGCATTCTTCTCGGAAACAATGAAAATGGTGATAGAGCATGTGCAATCACATTGCCTGCGGTGGATAGCTCCTTATCGCGAAATCGCGTCACGTCTCCCGAATGTGGCAGGACGCGGACGCGCGGAAAGTAGGCCGTGGCGACTGTCAAGTCTCCGTTGGAAAAAGTATCAGGGCTCTATTCAAGCAGTAAGTAGCCAGAAAGCACGAGACAAGCAGTTGTACAACTGCAGCACGGTAGTTGTCAACGGTGAAGTTGTTCCCGCGCGGACCCAGTCTTCAAGGGGCCGCTCCGCCTTTCCATCAACCTCTTCCATCACCCGACGCCCATCCACTCACGCGTTCAGAAGTACCAGTACTACGATCTAACTTGTCCAAATCGACTGTACGGCAAATTCAGACCCATTGAGGGCTCAAGTTTTATCTATAGGAGTGCAACAAGTCTCCTCCTACCCTGGGCAGAACGTTCCAGTGGCATTATCAAGGACAGGCAGTCCAGGCATCGCCCTAGGCATCGTCGCAGCGGTCGAGAGTCGATAATAGAACTCCCGCGTGAAATTCTAGTCAGGAAGTGCGTGAGAACAATCACGTTGCAGCCTTGAATCGTCGACCAAGCGAACGACCCCATTCGCCGTTCAGAATCGCGGCTTGAAGCAACGCAGAAGTTCTCCGTTCGCCCCAAAACGAAACTTAACTTCTTCGTCTCCCCTCTCCTTCTTTCCTGTTCCATTTCCCCCCCTTCTTTTTTTTTCTGGTGCAATCATGCCTCCATCCATGTACAGCAAGGACGAGAAGGTCCTGTGCTTCCACCAAGAGTTGCTCTACGATGCCAAGATCCTCGATGTGCGCCTGAAGGACCCCTCTGACAAGAAGAGCCCCCATGAGTACCTGGTCCACTACAAAGGCTGGAAGAATACGTATGTACTCCTTTTAATCATCTTTCCTGCCTCCACGCACTCCCTTCCACTGCCACATGCTCGTCTTCCGTGTCGGATCTTGATCGTGCCCTCTCTCTTTCCCACCCCGGCTTCATCCATCTCCCCCATCTCGTCTTGCCCAACCCTGCCTCCCGTTCATCTGCACCAACTTCAGCTTGACCGTCATGTATCGTGAGCAACTGCGCTGGGTCCCGGACCCCAACAAGCGTTATCTGTATTGACCCCCCTCCCAACCTCACTTGCTTGCCCTTGCCCTACAGTACTGGGATACTCTCACTTCTCTCTTACCGGTGGCGGTATCTGCCATATCTTTTTAGCATCATGTGCTGACCACTCTCGAGTAGATGGGATGACTGGGTACTTGAGGATCGCCTCAGAAAAGCAACCGAAGAGAACCGCGAACTGGCTTCCAACCTCCGCCGCGAGGTCGAGGCTTCTGTCCGACAGAAGCAGGTTAAGCCTGCTTCCAAGAAGCGGGCCATGTCTGACCGCAGCTCCGTACGTGACAGTGAGGAGCGCGGCAACTCGGTGCCTGGCCGTGCTGGCAAGCGGGCCCGTGGTGAGAATGATATCGAGAAAGTACGTTGCCTGCCCTCGTTTGCTTGCTCCTTTCCGAACGTCGTCGTTGCGTCTCTCCCCACGAGTCATCATGTAATTTGTGTCTCTCATCCCCTCATATTCTCTCTCGTCCTTCCTCCACCATCTCTCCGATTACACCATCACCATGGCTCGCATCAAAAACACTGGACCTGATCCCGAGGAGCTCGAAGATCTCAGAGACTATGATTCTTCAGATCTTTCGGACGTGTCTGATCCCCCTGACGACCTTCCGTCCGTTTTTGACTCCGAGGACGACTACCACAAATGCGAAGAGTCGGAAGTTAACGGCATTGAACAGGAAGAGAGCTTCAACACCCGTCCCTCCATCCGCATCGTGATGCCCGACAACTTGAAGTCTCTCATCGTCGATGACTGGGAGCGCGTCACCAAGAATGGCAGCGTCGTCAAGCTGCCCGCCCCTAAGCCCGTCCGCCAGATCCTCCAGGACTGGCGCGACGAGGAGGAACCCAAGCGCGCCGACAACCGTATCGATGTGGACGTTCTCGACGAGGTCATCTCGGGTATGCTCGAGTACTTCGACGTCATGCTTGACCGTGTCCTCCTCTACCGCTACGAGCGTGCCCAGTACCGTGTCTTCCGCAAGCAGTTCCAGGAATCCGGCAAGGGACCCGTTGATATCTACGGAGGCGAGCACCTCATTCGTCTCTTCAGTAAGTAGTCACTTGGTAATCCTTTCCCGTGCCCTTTTGACTGACTTTCTACCCGACAGGTCTCCTCCCTGAGCTCCTCGCTCAGACCAACATGGACATCCAGAACACTCAGCGCATGCGCGAGGAGATTTCCAAGTTGTCTCTCTGGCTGAGCCGAAACTCCGAGAAGTATTTCCGCACCGAGTACATTCCTGCTGAGGACTCCTACGAGGACGAGGACTCGTCTTAATATCATTTTACCACATACCCGCACCGACTTCTCTTTTCTGTTCTCCGAATGCTCGTCATTCCCAGCTTATGCTGGCCCATTTCACAAAGGTTTTTCTTTCGGCGCACCTTTCCACCCGGCATCTATTCTTATGTGCTTTTCTGGCCGGGTTTCCAACGGGCATCGCCTCCGCTAAGGGGGCACGTGGATTTTCCTTATGGGGTTCGTTTTCAATATCTTTACTCAGCTCACCAATATCTTTACTCAGCTCACTAGGATTTATCTTATTTCGGCCTCTTAGTTGAGGCTAGGCTACCGGAAATACAAAAGTATCACGATGACTCTTCAGTCACAGATCGTACGTTAGCCCATTCCCTTGGCTAGAACTACACCCCTAGAAGATTCATGAAGGCAAATTCCCATATTTTCATGCCGAATGCTGTATCTCCACTGGATATCACAGACAAAAACAATGCTTCTCCATCCCGTAAACCAACACAAACGGAAGAGTCAAGCTCTACCACTCCCAACTCAAGCAACAAGTTGCCGCGCATCATCAACCGCACACCTAGCCGCCCTCTTCAACTCACCCTTCCAGTCCGTCTCCCTCCACCGCGACCAAGTCGTCAACCCCTCCGGAGGCTGAATACTCAGCGTATCATACCCCTGCTTGATAATCCGATGCACCTCCTTCGGACTCAAATTCCTCTTCTTAATCGCCGGCAGCGCAACAGGCGTCGGCTCGCCATCCGGCTTCGGACTAGGCGCCACAGTCGCAGCTGCATCGCCTTCGGACTGGAAGAGGAGGGCGTAGAAGTGCGTCGAGACGGAGAGCAGGGTGTCAACTGCTGCGGCATGGGTGTTGTCTTTTGAGTCTCGGAAGTAGACGTCGCGGAATTTAGAGATCACGGGCCCGGTTTCGACGAGCTTGTAGAATAGGTCGTCGTAAGAGGCGGGGTCTGGGAGGAATGTGTCTCCTCCGGAGACGCAGAAGGCCATCAGGTCGGCGAGGGAGTTGGTTAGGAGGTGGATTTTATGGTTGGTACTTAGGTCGGTGGCGTAGGTTGTCAAGAAGCGCATTGTTGAGAGGAGAGTGCGCCAAAGCTCGGACCAGTGGTATGTGAGGCGGATTTTGTTCATGGAGAGGTAGGTTAGGAGGCGGAGGATGATTGCGATCGCGTGGCCGTAGATGTTCGCGTCAAGTCGTCGGCGGAGGTTGTGCGTGAGTGTGTCGATCATTATGTCAAAGGTTACTGTTGCTAGTACCCGATCCCCGGCGACTAGGGGGAGGTAGGGCTGGCGCTGGCGGCAGAGCCGGACTGTGCGCTTGCTTTCATCGCTGCAGATGTGCTTGCAGAGGGTTGGGTCTTCGACGAGGATGCGTAGGGTGAACAGGCTTAGCTCGGCGTAGTGTGAGCTTCTAACGGAGCGGTACGCGTGTTGCTGGAGGTAGGAGGCCAAGGAGAGGAAGCTTGAGAATGGTGACTCCTCGGTTTTGTTCTCTGGCATCATGTGAACCATGTGGTAACCGAAAAGCTTGTTCGAGTTTGTAAAGTCGTACGTCGCCATCAGGATGGCGGCCTCTTGAGCCGGTCTTAGTTTTGTTAGCAAATGCAATTGGATTTCACTTGGGGGTTTGAGGTCTTACAGTGCAGCAAACATCGCCTTTGCTTCCTCAGCCGTGGGAGGATTCGCTTTGTCTCGTGCGCCGGGTGTAATGGCCCGCAGACCGAAGAAAATTAGAGTGCTGGTCAAGTTCCAGCCTTCGGGTATATCATCCTGCACAGCGATATAGCCATTACGTAGGCCACCACAAGAGAGACCGACGCCCTTGACGATCTTTTGAGTGCTCGACTCATTGACAAAATCGTCGAGTCGAAGCTGGTAGGGATTTTGGAATTCGAATTTGTTGTAATTTGCCAACAGCCCCAGCAAAAGGAAGGGGTCGAAGACTTGCATCGGGGTATCAGAGTCATTTACATACTGTTATTATTAGCGGAGCTCTTTCACAGAGCGTTTATAGACCATACCTTCATCAGCGATGGGAAGAGATCCCGGTGGGTGAAATAGGAGACGAGGCTGGTCTTGTATGCCCCACTGGTCATGGCGATGGCCACTCTGATTGCCCTGCGGCGTACCTCAACTGACAGGGACAATTAGCTTCACTATAGTAGACTCCAGCCTTGTTTACTCACGGCTACTGCCAGTGCGAATGATGTTGTCCAGGACGGAGACAAAATCGGAGATGACATGATCGACTTCGTCAAGCCCGGCTAGGACTGTGATGACGTCTGAGCTGGGGTTTGTGTATTTTTTGCTCAATACACTGGTCAAAAAGACCGACAATGTCTGAGACGAGCATCAGCAAACACGTTCTTGCGCAGACCGGATTAAACACCCACATCCAAAGCATAAGAATCAGCCGGGGCGATACCAGCAGCTGCCTCGCGAATTGCGCGGGAGAAAAGATGCTTCGTTTGCGTCTGAAAGAAGGTTAGAACCATGTAGGTCGTAAACACGGGGAAACGGCTGACCTGCAGACTCAATGTGTCGTCTGGGCTCAGACCATCTAGCAGTGCGTGCAGCCGGCTGCTATTGGGAGACAGCAGGAAGAACTCCCTCCAGAAGCCCTCGGAATGCTCAGCATCGTCGGCCTAGGAATATCAGCTGGTGACTGGCACTTGGTGGGGGGGGGGGGGGGTGTAACATACTTTAAAAAGAGTCTCGTAGAGCTGGACGATCTTCGGCTGAAAGGTCTCGGGTCTACTTTGCTGGGTGAGGGGCGATGCCTCCATGGTTCACGGAGGAATGATCTACACGTCGCCGAGGCAGAGAGATGTTTCTTTGACGTGTTTCAACATCGAAGTCCAAGTCCGGAGCAGCTTGGCACCAGCCACTTTGTCAGCGGATCCAGCCACATGTCCTTTTGAGATACGGGGTACAAGGTTGATATAAGGTTGAATAATGGGATTTATTGGTGTGATTTCATTTCTGGATTGTAGATAGTATGCACTACCGGGGAAATAAACTATAGGCGATGACTTCACTCCAAGTCAGCTCGACTACCCCTCGGCGCTCAGTTGCACCGCCATGCGGAGGTGTCAGCAGCTTCCGGAAATCGGTTCTTGGCCATGCGGAGGATGACTCAGCTTCCGATTCGCGCAAGGTACGATGACCTTGGGGGCGATCCTTTCGTCGCATGGTATGTTGCTCATATGATGTTTGCTCTAATGTGTAGCCAGTTAGGAAGAGTGATTTAAGACGATCTAACCAGAAATGACTCGCTAGTCAAGTGAATCCTCAGGACAAAGCAGTTTAAAGTGGCGCCACCGCGAAGATCCTAAATAGCTGCACGCTGATTGGCTGCATCCACATCATGCAACGGATTTGACTAAGCCGCCCCCCGAGGCCACCGGGGAACAAACACTGCGAACTTTCTCTCACTTTCGTCCTTTTACCACTTACCCCCATCCCACTCTCATTCCGACCGTGCTTCATATGTGTCTTTAGCCGTCTTTGCAGAGCTCCTCACCTCATCGATTGCTCCTCATCATGAGTTTCTGCAGCACCATGCACCGTCCGGTGACATCATCCGCCACACTCCTCCGCTGGGCTCTGCCCTCCGCTGCTCCCCGCGGCGCTCTGCGCTGCTTCTCCTCCTACGGAAGCGCCCACCAGTCTTCTAAGCGAGACATGCAGACCGCTACTGCCTACCGCCCACACACACTCCCTTCATCTTTCCCGCCACCCCGCAACTCCGGCGGCCAGGACACCTCGATTTCCGCCGAATTCCCTCCCCCCTCGGAGAACCCGAAGACCTCTTCACAACAAGAGTCGTCCCAGGTCAGCGTGCGAGAAGGCGAGGCCCAGAAGACCAAGCCCGCCTCCTCGACAGCATCCAAGACTTCCCCGAAGCCCCGACGGCCATTGCGGCCAAGAAAGGCTGCGATGAAAGTGACGCCGCTGGCAATCCAACAACTTCGCAAGCTCATGGACAACCCCGAGCCAAAGTATATCCGGGTGGGTGTCAAGAACCGCGGCTGCTCAGGCCTGGCCTACCACCTCGAGTACGTGGAGAAGCCGGGCAAGTTTGACGAAGTGGTGGAACAAGACGGAGTCAAGGTTTTGATCGATAGCAAGGCCTTGTTCAGCATTATCGGCAGTGAAATGGATTGGCACCAAGATAAGCTGAGCCAGCGGTTCGTCTTCAACAACCCCAACATCAGTAAGTTTCCCCGGCAAATACCTGCAATTACGTTTCGAGTTCGGTGGGCTGACTCATGACAACAGAGGAATCATGCGGATGCGGAGAGTCCTTCATGGTCTAGGCGCTCTTTCTCAATGTGTTCACTATTCCGTTTCTCGGCGTCTTCATTTACGGTGCATCGGATGGCGTTTTATTTCCACGAGTGTCTGGGACTTGGGACCGTTTTAGCGGCCCAGTACATACGTTTTATATCCAGTCAATACTTTCTCTTGCAATCCTTTTGCAATCCTTTTGCCGGGCCTGTTTTGCCCCTCCTTCGTTTCCCTCGGAAAGGTCCGAGGATGCTGCTTTGGCCTTGCTCATAGAAGCCATTGGCCATAGAGGCTAAACTGTGTTCTCTTTTGTTTCCGTATCTCTTCTGTCTGTGTTGGAAGTTGCAGATCCAGATGCGATATTACCTGTATAGAACAGTCCAATTGACTATGAATGAAATGACAAAAATATCAGCAACACATACCACTTCCACCTTATTTACGATCAACTGTTTATTTCGTATCTTCAAATGATTCAGTTACTTTTCAATACTACAATTTAAATTCATGGAAATGGTTCCTGCATCGCTGATGTCACATGATGGGGGCTCGGCCGGCGGAGTTGCCGCCAACTCCAACATAGCTCCAACACATCCATGATCCCGGGCAGGTACCCATAGTACAGACTTGAGCAACGGAGAGAAAAGAGAATGGCATCACCGGCCTTACTCTCTCCCTATGGCACCGTCGCCAGCGATCCGGTCGCCGACGCCCTCCTCATAATCGTCCGCTTCTCTGCCTCAATCCCGGACCTTCCCCTCGACGTCCCAACGCCAGAAACAACAACAGGCGCAGGTCTCAAACAACTGATCCGCGCCGAACTCCCCTCAACACTTTCCTCCCACCGCCTGCGCCTCATTTACTCTGGCCGCGGCTTAGAAGACGCAACCGCCCTAGCAACCTCCCTCAAGCTCCCCCCATCTCCATCCCGCACACCCCACCCAGAGGAACAAGATGAGACGGAATCCCCCAATGGAAAAGGCAAAAAGCCCGTCCGGGATACCAGGAGTAGGATCTACATCCACTGCTCCATCGGCGATATCGCACTTCCAGAAACAGACCTGGCCGCTGAAGCAGCGATGGCATCTACACTACTCGTTCAGAAACAGAAACAAGCCCCAAGTACACTCCGCTCTTCTATTACGCGTGCATCCCCACCACCTCCGCCCGCAACTACAACCCCCGCACCCCGTGGCTTTGACCGCCTCCTCTCGGCAGGTTTCACGGCCGCGGAAGTCACAGCCCTGAGATCGCAGTTCCTGGCTGTACAATCCGTCTCCAGAACGCCGGATACCATGCCGACGGGCGAGGAACTGCGTGATCTAGAGGATAGATGGATGGATGAGGGGTCGACGGCTGCGTTGGCGCAGGCCGGTGGGGAGGGTGGTAGTGATGATGAAGGCGGGTTTGGGTCTGGGTCGCGGAGTGCTATGGATGATATGCTTTTGGGGGGCGGTGATGGGGTTCTTTTGGCCTATCGGGTGTGCTATGTGGTTGAGGAGGGAGGAGGGGGTTTGGAGTTGGAGGAAAGGAGTTGCGGTTTTCGTGGGCGTCGTCGTCAATGCGGCTTTTGGTGGCATGAGGATTATGAATTAGTGCCCCTCGATGGGCGCGGTCGTTTTGGGTTTGGTATGGCGTTTTCTTTTTGGTTGCACTGCGAGATACCCCATTAATGAGCACGCTTGTTTGTTCCGTCATGAGTTTGGTAGTATATCGTTGAGTTCTTGAATCTGGTGGCTGTTACCGAGCACTGCTCTATGTGTAGACAACAAGAACGTTCAAGGTCATCTTGCATGATATCAAGTATTCGATTACAATGCGAGTCACTATCAAGACGGAGCTCTCGCTCACGTCAACTCACGAAAATGCTAGCATACAACATCTCAAACGGAAGCGAAAAATCCTCGAGTCAAAACGCCTGATAACTTCCAAACGCTAATGGAACTTGCCGTAAATCACTGCGAAAATCAAAAGGACGAGGACCGTGATAATAGCGATAGTGATCATCCGATTCGTAGCCATCCTATTCAATGTCAGTCAGTCCACTTGCGCAAATCAACGGAAAAGGTGAAAGGAATCAGTACCTACGGGCCATGCCCCTCAAAGTCTTGATGCTAGTGTCCACGTATCCCTCACTCTGCTGCAGATTGTCCCGCGTGTGCTGGATCGTCTGCCGCTGTCCGTACAGATCCGACAGCACATTACGGCCCACGTCCTCCGTCTCCAGCGCCTGTCGCTGACTCGCCTGCAGCCGCGCCGAACTGCGCTCCAGCCGATCAGTCCCCGACAGTAGCTGCTGGCGCTGCTCCTGTTGCTCGTCGATGGGGTCGTCGGTGTACCGGTCGCCGAATAGCGCTTTGCGGTCGTCGGAGAGAGACTTCAGCTTGCGCTTGATCTCGTCGACGTCTGTTGAGTAGTTCCGGAAGCGCATGTTGACTTTGGATCGTGCTGCTGATGGGATGTTTTGCTTTTCCATTCGCAGTTGGTCCAGCTGTTCCAAGTCGTTAGTAAAAGTGGTCTGGAGACTGGGCGGAGTCTGGAGAGGTCAAGTGATTGCTGGTTTGTTGGCTACTTACCAACTCTGTTGCTTCGTCGAGCACTTGCTCGGCGGACCGGATTGCGGCCTTGCGCTGCTCGCCGCTGGCTTCGGCGATCTGGTCGAGCTTTTGGTTCAGATCCGCTTGGACGAGCTTCAGCTCATTCTCATAGCTGGCGAACATCTCCGAGCCGGCGTCTGTGTCGAGAGGGTTCGACATCTTGATGGTTGTAAGGAGTTATGTAATTTCAGAAAGAAGGCTTTCGTTATTTCTTGCGTGAAGATCGAGTCGTGAAGATCAAGTGGCAGTTGGGACCGGAGGCTCCACCGTTATCTGGGGGAGCGGGTGACGCGGTTCAGGAGCTGGGGGCGGAGTTTCGGTTCAAAGAATCTTGCCGAGTCCGGTTCCTCTTTCGTAGAAGGGTAAAGAATGAATCCAGAAGGCGCTAGGCTGTCGCAACCAAATCCAAATGCGAGACGGAGTAATGAGGCGATTGGGAGGTTGGGGGAGGGGGGGGGGGGACGGTTCCCGCACGTGATTCGACCGAGGCCGGGGTTACAACGGATTCACCGGTGATAAGTAGCATTCATGAGATGATGGAAAGATGAAGAGTTAGATTTGTTTAGAACTTCGGACGAAACTCAGTACCGGGTGCATCCTGCAGGTCCCGCAATGATCAGCAGATACAGTGCTTAATACACTGTCCCTTACTCTACATGAAACTGCAAGTCAGATCGAATCCAGTAACATCAGGTAGCATTAGCGTAAAAGTCAGGCCTACACTAGCACAATTCGCCTTTTCAAATAAACCAAAAAAAAATACCCCCGTGGTATACATGTCATGGAACTCCCTCAGTCGCTGTTCCCAATCCTAGCAATATCCCGCTTCTATTGAAGGAACTTGCTGCTGTCCTGAGCGACAATCGATGCACTGCGTTTCGCATCAAGGAAGAGATCCTCGCACTCCGCAACGTCCGCAGCCTCGATACCGCCAGGACGTCCGTTGACGCGGGCCAGGATGCTCGCCGGAGTCAGCAGCTGCAAGGCGTACCGCAGGCTGACCTTGCTGCCGTGCTCGGCAACCTTCTCAAGCGCGGGCTCAGTAATGTTGAGGCTCTCCGTCTTCGCGCGGAGGCGGATGATAGTCTTGATCTCTTCGGGGCTGTAGGGATTGGTGGGAATAATGAGGAGACGGGCCAGGAGATCGGGCGGGATACCGTGGGCAGCGCTGATGTCGTCGGTGCCCCGGATAACAGTGTTGCCGCGGTTGGAGGCCAGAATAACGATGGGTGAGATGGTGGACTCAAGAGCACGGTTCAGATATGTGAAGCACTCGATATCCAGCATATGGACCTCGTCAATGAAGAGCACACCGGGAACCAGCTCGGCGACACCCTGGTCGATATACCGGTTGACCACCTTGTTGATCTCTTGGCGCAGCTTGTCCGTAATTTCGGTCTTCTTGGGCTTCATCAACTGGCCCATCATGCTCATAACATCCTGGCCACCTTGCGGCCGGGCGTTGGCCATATCCAAGTCGTGCAGGGTCACGTCCTGGACAATCTCCTTCTTTTTGTGAACCTCGCCCTTTGGCACGGGCACATACTCCTCCGCCTCGAGATCAAACTCAGTCGCGTAGGCGTCTGACCGTCCGACACGCTTGCAGGCACCGGTGTTGGCCTCAATGTAGATGACGTCTCCCACGGTGACCCGCTCCTTCTGGATGGCCTCGTAGATGCTGGGGTCCAGGCGAAGCTTCTTGGTGCCCTTGGCCGACTTCAATCCGATAATCAAATGGCTAATTGTGCGTCCGTAGCCGCCCAGCGGGTTCTCAGTCTCCTCCGGGGTAAGCTCTGTAACTTCACCTTCGTACACCTCCTTGGTTTCCCGAACTCGCAGGCCTAGTCTCGTATTAGCCATCGCCTTGTGTCAAAATCACTGTGCCATCGCGTACCGATCGCTCGTCGGAAGTTTTCCATCAACGCCTCCGTCTTCTTGACCTCTGCAGAGTAGATCTCGCTGCCAACGATGGGGCAGAAAGGAACCTTGGTTCCCAATTCCTGTGATACGGCGAGAGCGAGCGCAGTCTTTCCGGTACCGGGCCCACCGGCGAGCAGGACAGCCCGGCCGGCCATTTTCTTTGCTTTGATGAGGTCGACTACCACACCGCATGCCTGTTGATCGCATTCTAGAAGTTAGCCGCGGTTCTCCATCGAAAGGATCTGTCTCCATCGTCTTGGAGCTGTCACGCACCTCACGGGCACTAGCTTGCCCGACAAATCCATCTCCGGCTGCCTCTGAGGTGCCATCAGAACGCAGTCCCAGGCCCTTGATGTGCGTGTGCGCGGCGGTCCTGTTCTCGCGCGAGTTGCCCTTGACTTCGCTGATTTGGACCATGGTGGAGAGATGCGGCTTCGTAAAGCCACTGGCCTGTGCGGGAGTTGGGACAATTGGTGAAAAGAAAGACAAAGGAATCAAAAAAGAAGGCTGGATAAAGCTCAAAGAAGATACTGAGGTGCTTTTCCAGATGCGCCTCCGAAATTCGCGAGCAAGGGATCTGCGCCAGTCACGGAGCCGCGCCAAAGGCGGTCAGCCTCCCCCCAAATTCTTCCCGTCTTGCTTCGTCTATCGAGATCTCACATTGGACTTGCCATTGGCCTCTTGCAACATGGCCACTCCCTTTTCGCTCTCCTCGGCCTTCCGCGGCCTTGCGTTGTCTGCACCCAAGCGAGCATTCTCGACATCACCGGCATGCCAGTCCAACAAGAAACTCCCCGAGCACATCCCGGCCTACCCCCATGGACCCCGACAGTGGTACAAGCAAGCCGACACTGGTCTCTACGGCGGTGCTATGATCCGTTTCGGTAACAAAATCTCCGATGGACGCAACAAGGGCAAGACACGACGAAGCTGGAAGCCTAACGTCCGCCGGCAGAAGGTGTGGAGCGAAGCGCTCGGCGAACACCTTCGCATCAAAGTGACGCGCGAGGCGATGCGCACGATCTATAAGGAGGGCGGTCTCGACAACTACCTCTTGAGCGATAAGAACGGCCGCATTAAGGATCTCGGCATGTTCGGATGGGAGCTTCGCTACAAGGTCATGCAGACTCCGGCAATCCAAGAGAAGTTCCAGAAAGAGCGGGAAAGGATGGGACTGAAAGATCCCTTGCCGTTTGAGGAGTGGATTAAGACCAAGGAGGACGAGATCCAAGCGAAGGTTGAGGAGAGACTCAACATCGAATCCATCACGAAGCCCCGTCCGAAGGGCAAAGCCGACCTCCAGCACCAACCACATGCCGAATTCACCTTTTAAATGGGCCAGACCTGTTTCTTATCTGGGAAATGGAGTATTGTCCGGTCGATGCCCTCATTGACGAGAGAATACGGATTGGCGCTTTTTCCATTGTATCATTATCGCGACGAACCGGTTGACCCTGCCCGAGCGCCGCTTCCTACCTCTTTTCGAATCATACCTGCGCCTCATCTCTCGAGCAATATGGAGGCGACCGTTTCGCATGGTGCGATTTTGCTGGGCTTGCATATTAGAAATTCTGTGTACTTATACTCCACATCAATGTTTTGAGCTATTTCGATTGTCTTCCGGTAAAATAGCGTAGACTCTGGTCTTGTGAACCGTTTAATCATGTGCTGTGTCTCATTTACCAACATCGAGAGCTTTACGTTCGCCCGATCTATCTGAAGGGACCCGATGCATTCAAGCATGGTACAAGTAGCTAGTGAGAATACCCATGAGTTAATTGGTATAGGAGGGCCTTTTATTTCCCGTGAAGAAGGCAGCTAATACACCGGCAGCTAGTCCATAATAGGCCGGCTCTATCCCCATCCGAATCGCTTCCTCCTTGCTGGAGGGGAAGGATATATCTATGGATATGCCCCGGTAAATATACAATGGGTGAGGCATAATAGTTCTTCGAGCGAATACAAAGGCGTAGCCAAAACGAAACCAGCGATGAATACTCAATATAAATTCTTCAAGTAGTCCTTATCTCAATCGCTCAAAACGGGCGATGTCGACGACGGACGCGCCTCTGGAACGCGGCACCGAAGGACCCGCCACCGGATTCGGAAATGGCCAGCACTTGGTTCCAACCCCAATGAAACTCACCTTACACCTTGCAGTCGTTTCGGCATACGACAACGCCTTCCAATCGCTCACGCCGATACAAATGTTATGATCTGATCTCTTCAATTCAACTGCATCCTTGTCCGGCAACTCAGCGCTGGGGTCCCCTGCCATGCATTTCGCATTGCCTCCGCGGAGGAGCCCCCATCCTCTCCCAGGCGCTCGCTCGTCGCGATTACCGTTGCACCGCAGGAAACAGCTCAAGACGATCGCCTTGATCGCTTTCGCGGTTCTTTCTATTCTCTACCTGCTCTCCCACTTCTACTCCTGGAGCTCGACTATCAAGGCGCCGGCTGCAACGGCAGGTGTGGTGATCGTGACGTTGCTGGATCATGAACGTTTTAGTGAGAGCTATATCAGCAAGGTTGTCGCTAACAGAGAAGACTATGCGAAGCGCCATGGTAAGCTTATTTCTTTACTTGCTGAGTTTATTGGACAGTGGGACTGACGTGCGCGTAGGGTATACCAACTTCTTCGCAAGCGTCTCCGACTACGAGGAAGCATTCGGCGACTCCCCCCGAAGCTGGGCTAAGGTTCCAGCCGTCCGCCATGCTATGGCTCTCAATCCTACCTCGAAATACTTCTTCCATCTGAGCCCGCACGCCCTCATAATGAACCCGGCGCAGTCCCTCAAATCACACCTTCTGGACCGCAGCCGTCTCGAGTCGGTCATATTGAAAGATGTCCCCGTTGTGCCGCCGGATAGCATTATCAGGACATTCTCGCATCAGAAGGAGAAGGACGTCGATCTTATCTTGACGCAGGACGTCGAGGATCTCAATCCGGGCAGCTTCATCCTCAAGAACGGTGACTTTGCTCGCTATTTCTTGGATCTGTGGTTTGATCCGCTTTTCCGAAACTATAACTTCGCTAAGGCGGAGACTCATGGGTTGGTATGTGTTCCCGGGATGCGCTGGAGCTTTGGAGATTTTTGGCTGACTTTGTTTACTAGGATCATATCATGCAATGGCATCCCACTGTCCTCGCCCACACTGCCCTGGTCCCTCAGCGGTATTTGAATGCTTTCAGCAAAGACTCGACGGGTCCTTCTCCCGATGGCTCGTACAAGGACGGTGACTTTATCATTCGCTTCCCTGCGTGCGAGGAATCCGAGACTGGTGACTGCCCAGAGCTCGAGGCTTATTATAAGCTATGGCAGAAAAAGAATAAAAGCGAGCGAGACGCCTGAGATCTAAATTCTTGGGTGTTGCTTCTGTTGCTTTTTTGTTCTTATGGATCTGATGTGGAGTTTGGGTTTAGAATGGTCTCATCATTATAGCGCGGTGCTTCTTTTAATGCCATACATAGATCCACGGAAACATGGCCATTACTTTTTGATTTCTATGTTCGGCTATCAGATACATGCTTCATAAAATGTGGTTTTTGATATCCCATAAACATCCAGTATGAAGATTCAGTCTCTGGACTCGTGAGAGTAGTGCGTCAGAACAAGTCTTGACTTTCCATTAGTTCACCCATTTTGATATTTCCCTTGTTTTTCAGCCGGGAGCGGGTCATTCAACCCTTAACAGAGGAAGGGGAGAATGACAGTACGCTTCTTCTTGTACTTGTCACCGAACTCCTTGCGGTATCGCTTCTCCTTCTTCCACCCCCAGCTCCACATCTGTAGACCACTAACAAGAGTGAAAACAAGGACACTCCAGCTCAGCTGGCTGACGAGGAACACACCAATCCAAGCCAAGATCTCGAAGCAATAGTTAGGGCAAGTAACCCAGCTGAACCCGAACCCATGGGGAATACCCCGCTCAGTAGTACCGGGGCGGCGCAGATCACGCAGAACCATGTGGGCATTCAGGTTGGCCAGCTCACTGAATATGAAAAGCGCAAGTCCGGCATACAAGAGGACTGGGTTGGGGTGTGCAGTAGCGGCGCCCGCGTCGGGGCGGAAGACCCAGTAGGCAATGTTGAATCCGGACAGTGCCCAGTAGTGTGCGCTGTTCTTGAAGATGTTGCGGGCGGGCATGGTGGCGCTGCTGAAGCGGTGCACGAAGATGGTCTCGTACTCGCGCTTCAGGAAATGCAGGGTTAGGAGTGCGCAGACTAGGACCTGGGTATCGGAGGGCGCAGGGATATTGTCGAAGTTTAAGTACAGGAGGGGACGAAGCGGATAGAGGAAAAGCGCTGGGATCAGGAGGGGCCCAAGGTATTCGATGATGAATACGGTGCGCCATGCGATCTGGGGACCTGTTTGGAAGATTGTAAGTTAGTTTTGCTGCTCAGAGACGTAGAATTCCTTTTCTATAGCTGGATATGGCTGATGCTTCAATACGTACCCAAATCCTTGACGTGGATCACGCTCGACTCCCGGAGGCCGGTGTCGTCGATGGTGGTGCGCTTGTCGTTGGGAATCACGCTGCGGTCGCTTCCCTTGGTGATGCGCAGACGGTGGACGGAGGCACCGGATGCTTCGGCGATGGCATTGTGCAGCTCCTCGCCATTGGAGCTAAGGGTGACCGTGACGGTCTTGGGGAGCTTCTTGATGGGTTTGCCTGGCTTGTTGTTAGCTTTCTGTAGATACGGGAATTGCCCCTCGAGAGCTCGGAATTCGAAGGAGCTGTGGATGCATACCCCGCGGCTCGACGGCGAGCGTGATCTTGGACGCCATTGTGAATTATGGCGAGCTCCAGCTGTGTAAAAAAAACAAATCAGGGCTGGTGAGCAGATCGAGGACACACAGGAGCATCGAGAAATGTTGGGAGCCTCGGTTGACATCACGTGATATGGACGACTGAGGTTGGGGTTATACTCGTCATTGCGTGTGAATGATACATGGAATTGTTCTCATAGCAATGTGGTAAGGCAAAATATGTTATTGGATATTAATTGTGCGTAATCGGACTGCACATCCCATGCACCACGGGCTGAAGAAAACTGTATGCCAAAACGGGGCTCCTATGCAGCACTAATGTCAAGCACTTTGATATGATTTGCAATGATTATGGCGCTAGGAACTGTCGGCAAACTCTCCGTGCCTATGCCAAAAAAAGGAAGAAAAAAACGGGGCTGAGCTGAAGCCCCGCTCCAGAGTCAGACTGCCGATGATCCATAACCGGGCGCGACACTGGGCTATATGTAGCGATGAGAATACAAAGCTCGAGTTGACAAACGGCCGTTCGTTGCCTGGAAGGCCCACGAGGCCCAGGTTCAGCTCGGGCAATCTGTACGGCAGCGGTTAGCATGACCGAGCCCTCGCCAATCAACTCCCCGTCAAACATCAATACCGGGGCTGTTCCTGGCCAGAGCTCAGATGTGGCGCTGTAGCCCCAAGTTATCATTCATTTCTCACTGGTTGCGTGCATAACAAAATACTCGTGTGAAAAGGGACCCGCTCGGGCCAATGGAGATTGTCCACCGAGTAAGCTGGGCTGTTGGTGTTCCAATGGCACGCCCGTGAATTGATGGCGAGACTCAGCTGGCCGGGAAGCCCGAGGCCTCGTATTGGCGGCCTGAAATGATTCAAGGTTGACTCGAAACTCGGGTACGCAAGGTGTGGCAGAGGCTAGGCTCGGGGGGAACGGGGAGGGCAAATCGTCACTTCACATGGCATTGGAACGCACGAATGAGAAATGCTGCAATGTCCAATCTGGAGTGGGGTGTCGCATGTCTTTTCCTATCTTCCGTTCGGCTGCGTTAGGCTTGTGGCGCTAGGTGTCCTGGGGTGAACTATGAAGACGCTACGCACCTGCGTATGAGGGGCCATTTCAGCCGTAAGCCGCTGTTCGCCGCCCCCCCCCCCATGACTTGCCATATAAATCTCTAATACCCTCCATGATCTTATTATAACCGTTTAGCTTTGCTTGATCCTCGGTACATTATTTGTCTACCTCCTTTTGGCTCTCTTTTGTTGCCTCCTCACATCAATTGATAAGCGTTGGTCTCCAAACCATTGCAGCATCCGTTCTCTATAGTCTTCGGCGGCTGTGTCATATTTGAATTGGTATGTCGACTTCTTCTTGGAATCGTGTTTTGTTTAAATAAATGATTGCGCAAAGCGCTTGCTTCCCGAGGTTCTTGCCTTAACTAACATTTGGTCCATATGTTGGACAGACCGGCGCCCATCTGTGAATTTTCACATTGTATAAATATTTCGCACACCCCATCATGTTTCACAGTCACGACAAGTCTGCCAATGGCAGCCAGAACCCCATTGCCCAAATTGAACAGGTTGAGCAGGTTGTTGCCGCATCCTTGAGACCCTTGCCTACTGAGACTGGTGACGGAACCTACGTCAAAGAGAACACGACTACTGGCATTGCCAAAGACCTCGGTCATGTCGACGTCAAGGATCTCGAGACCCTGGCTGTGGTTGCCAAGAGCGCAATTACGGGGGATGCAGTAAATGACAGGGAATATATCATGGAACGAGTGATCCAGGTATGTCTTTAGACACACCATAAGAAACCTGCACTTTCTCACGCTTCAATAGCTCGCGGCAGGGCTGCCTTCAACATCTCGCAATGGGCGGGATTTGACGAACACCTTTCTGAAAACTCTATGGAATGACTTGCAGCACCCCCCTATCTCGTGAGTTGAGTCTCCTGTCTCGAGCACCGGGGGTTATGTTAAATTTGTATATGCAGGTATCTCGGCCGGGATTCCATGTACCGGAAAGCGGATGGATCAGGAAATGTATGTGTTGCTCTGTCTAAAATGACGTACCCTCTAACATCCGCATAAGAACGTTTTCTGGCCTCAAATCGGAGCTTCTGGGACTCCGTACGCTCGATCAGTCCGACCGCACACTATGCAGCCTGCTGCTCTTCCGGAGCCGGAACAGCTTTTCGATAGTCTTCTAGCGCGGAAAGAGTTCAAGGAACACCCAACCAAGATCTCCAGTATCCTCTTCTACTTGGCATCCATTATCATCCACGGTACGTAACGGAATTATCTCTTGCACTTCGTCTCAAAGCCCGAGGACTCGGTTTCACTAACGGAGGCCAGACCTTTTCCAAACCAACCCAAGTGATCCAACCTCGTCTTTGACATCCTCATATTTGGATTTGCAGCCTCTCTACGGCAACAATCAGGATGAGCAGAATGCAGTGCGGACCTTTAAGGATGGAAAGCTGAAGCCCGACTGCTTCTCTGCAAAGCGAATCCTGGGATTTCCTCCTGGTGTCGGTGTTATACTAATCATGTTCAACCGCTTCCATAACTACATCGTCACGCAATTGGCGGAGATTAACGAAGGCGGCCGCTTCACCAAGCCGGATGAATCTGACACCACAGCCTATGGTACTTGGGACAATGACCTGTTCCAGACCGCACGCCTGATTACCTGTGGTCTTTATATCAACATCGTCCTGAAAGACTACGTCCGCACCATTCTCAACTTAAACCGCACTGACAGTCAATGGAGCTTGGATCCTCGAGCTGAAATGAAAAATGGATTGTTCGGCGATGGTGCATCCCAGGCCACCGGCAACCAGGTCTCTGCGGAGTTTAATCTTGTCTATCGATGGCACTCGTGCATCTCGGCCCGCGATCAAAAGTGGTCTGAAAATCTTTACAAAGAACTGTTTGCAGGCCAAGACCCGCAGAAGATCAGTATGCAACAGTTTGGATGTGGCCTGGGACGGTGGGAGGCGAAACTCTCCGAGGACCCTGCGGAGCGTCCGTTTGCGAACCTACATCGCAACGCAGATGGTACGTTCCCTGATGATGACCTCGTCAAAATCTTTGAAGAGAGTGTGGAGGATGTTGCCGGTGCCTTTGGAGCTTCCAATGTGCCTGAAATCTTCCGAAGCGTTGAGGTCATGGGGATCAAGCAGGCACGTTCTTGGAATCTGGCCACCCTGAACGAGTTCCGGTCATTCTTTAGCTTGGAGCGCTATAATTCTTTCGAGGAAATCAGCTCGGATCCGTATATCGTCGACCAGCTCAAACGCTTCTACGACCATCCCGACCTTGTGGAGCTCTACCCAGGAATCATTGTGGAAGATGCGAAGAAACCCATGGTTCCAGGAAGTGGCCTCTGTACCAATTACACGATCTCGAGAGCAATTCTTTCGGACGCGGTTTCTCTCGTCCGTGGTGACCGCTTCTACACCGTTGATTATACTCCCAAGCATCTCACCAACTGGGGGTACAACGAAGTCAACTACGATGACTCGGTTGACCAGGGCCATGTGTTCTACAAACTGGTCCTGCGTGCATTCCCAAATCATTTCCGTGGAAATTCAGTCTACGCGCATTTCCCAATGACCATCCCCGATGAGAATCGCAAGATTCTAAGCAGCCTTGGAATGGGTCACATTTACAGCTACGACCCGCCCACCTACACTCCTTCCCCCAGGCTCATCAACTCCCATGCTGCCAACATGGCCATTCTTGCGGACAGCGATTCCTTCAAAGTGACATGGGGCAAGAAGATCGAGTTCCTCTTGCACCGTGATGGGCATCCCTACGGTCAAGACTTCATGCTGTCGGGCGATCGCCCGCCAAATGCAGCGTCTCGAAAGATGGTCGGCAATGCTCTATACCGGGACAAGTGGAGAGAGGAGGTCAAAACATTCTATGAAGAGATTACTTTGAAGCTTCTGGAACAGAACTCGTACAAGATCGCGGGTGTCAACCAGGTGGACATTTGCCGGGATGTGTCCAACCTGGCCCAGATTCATTTCTGCGCCAACATCTTCTCCCTCCCGCTGAAGACGGAGTCAAATCCCAGAGGAATTTTCACCGAGGTTGAGCTCTACGAGATCATGGCTCTGATCTTCACCTGCATCTTCTACGACGTAGATGTCTCCAAGTCTTTCCAGCTTGAACAAGCATCCCGCAAGGTTGCGCAGCAGCTCGGTGAGCTGGTCATGGCTAATGTTGAGGTTGTCGATAAGGTAGGATTTATCACCAATCTCGTTAGCAAGCTTCATCGTCATGATGCCCTGAGTGACTATGGTGTTCACATGATTCAACGCTTGCTGGATAGTGGGCTGCCTCCCAAGCAAATTGTGTGGACACACATTCTCCCATCGGCAAGCTCGATGGTCGCCAACCAAGCACAACTATTTGTCCAGTGCCTTGACTTTTATCTCGACAAGGAGAACGCGGCTCATCTGGCGGAGATCCAGCGTCTGTCGAAGGAGGACACGCCGGAGTCTGACGAGTTGCTTTTGCGATAGTGAGTTATTTATTTTACCCAAATCGCCGACCTGCGGAAGCTTACTTACCATTTGCAGCTTTATGGAGGGTGGCCGAATTAGATCGTCTGTCGCAGTGCCTCGAGAGGTCGCAAACCCTTCGGTCATTGACGACAATGGAGAGAAGGTGACATTGAAGACTGGCCAGCAGATCTTCTGCAACCTGGTAAGTTCATATCTTGCTTTCTGGTATACTCTCCTCTAACAAAATCCGTGATATAGGTGGCTAGTAGTCATGACCCCAAGGCATTCCCGGATCCCGAGCAGGTCCGGCTGGACCGTGACATGAGCCAGTACATTCACTTTGGATTCGGTCGCCACCAGTGTCTCGGCCTAGATGCGTGCAAAGTTGCCCTGCCGACCATGCTTCGAGTGGTTGGGAAACTGGACAACCTCCGTCGTGCCCCGGGTCCTCAGGGTGAGCTCAAGAAGATCAAGGCCATCGGTGGCATCACCATGTACATGGACGCGGAGCATAGCAGCTTCTCTCCGTATCCTTCGATGATGAAGATCCAATGGGACGGAGAGCTCCCCAAAGCGGAGTACAAGTGAGGTGTGTACTTGATGAAAAGGTTTAAGGAAGTCCACTCCAGGGCTTTCCATGTATTTCTTTAGTGTATATTTCATTGTTGAGCTCGTCTTCTTGATAGCGTTTGCTAGTTGTCACCGTCATATTGAAAATGCAGCATGCCCCAACCTTTCAATCCGAAACAATTGATGACTCTGTTTAGAAAGGTAAAACCAGAGCCCAAGAACAGATGTCGTGAAACGTGTGTTAGCATACAAGAGATCGAGTCCGTAGAGAGGACGTTCTATGTACATTTAAGCGCATGGCAGCCTTGACGCCTGACCGCCCGGCGGGGAATCAGGGCCTGCTCCGCCCAGCTACTGCCGCGACAGCTCAGGTTCACGAATCTTCCCTGACCTTTTCCCTTTCTTCCTGCAACTTCCTTCCCCTCCCCCCTTCCCCTTTCTCTTTCATCCTCATCCAAGTTCCTCCGGTATTGTCATTACCCAGGGCTCAACGACCTGCACCGTTTACCCTGCCCGTGTGACTCTTTCACTACCGAGCGATCTTACGCATCTTTCCCCCATCGGTACTTGGAGCTATCGGCAATCCTCAAGCTCCTCTCTGGTGGATAATTGATACCATTCTATTCTCCCGCTCGAAATATTTTCGCTGATACCCATACGTGCGATATTTTCTCTTCGTTGAGCCGGCCCAATTTTCGTGAGGCAGGAGTGGAGGAACAAAAACGTCATAAGGCATCTTCGCGCCTACTTCGCGACCCGGTCGTCAAGACCTCCCCACTCCACCCTCTAGGAGTCTGCTCTCCTGGATTTTCTAATCCTCCTCATGGTTGGCTGTCTGTCCGATCGTCAACATGGGGAGAATTAAGAAGGTGGCCAGTCAGAAGCATGAGGCTACAATCGTACGTTTCTCTCCCCGATACCCGCTTCTCATCTACATCGTGACTAAAAATTTTCTTTCCCACTACAGTCGCCATTTTTGGCAGAATTCATAGCGCATGCAACAAGCCTTCCTGCACCAGAGCTCCCTTCGCTTTTTTCTACCTTCCCGAAGCTATGGCCCTTCCCTCGGGGCGACCTCTATCACTGGATCAACGTGCTGGACCGCTTTGATGAGATACTGGCCTCCGTTATCGAGAAATATTTCCTGAATATCGGCCCTCAAACCCAGCCATTTGGCCGAGGTGTATTGGAGGCTTCATACACTGCGGACCCGAGCAAGACACCGGCAGAAGGCGTCGATGCGAAACTCAATGCTTTGGGATATGGACCCGACGGAGACCGGGAACTAGTGGAAGCGATCCTGGATTTCTCTCGTTTGCTTCTCGAGAAGTGTGGTAACCGCAGTCTGTACAGTAGCAGCGAACGACTGGGCGACCTCTTGAACACTACCTCTCTATCATTGCTTCAATCAACTTTGCGCCTATCTCTCTGCTTGGCTCAGCGATACCACTCTCGCCAGCGGGGTACTCACCAGCAGTCTCTCCTGGCAACTCACTACAACATTGATTTGGAGAAGCTGCAAAAGATCGCTGCGCCATTCCCTCGTCCGTTCATTGCTAGCAAAACTCCGGTTCTTGCACCCTCCGCTGTCTCTGACAAGGGCAAAGAGAAGGCAGCTCAGACCAAACTTAATGCAAACGAGTTGGGTTCTCTCGTGCGCGACCAAGATGGCTGGGAAGAATGGGGTAGCGTCCGCGTGCTTTACTATCCCTCTGGATCTTCCGACCAACCGCGAACAACGTCTGAGTATGGCCAGAGCGAGCAGAGCTCTCATGCTCCGTCCACTCCCACTCCTCTGCGTCGGAGTGCAACTCACCCAACCCCCCGATCGAGCCGCGGCTCTGGTTTAACCATGGATGAGACTCCTACTGCTGCGCCTAACACGGGTGGTAAGCCTGAAGAGACATCACGCAGCGGCAAAATCCTGGATCTCCCGTATTCAAAGCTGTCTTCTGGCAAGACCGAGGATCTTCTGGCAACGAACCTACCCCATTTGCCTCTTGAATCGAAGTACGAGTTGCTCCATAAAGTTCGCGTTGCCCAGGCATTGGCCGGGTCGCGTGCTACTCGCGAGCAGATCCTTGCAGTCCGAATCCTTGCAGCGACAAACCTGGCCTATGTTAACACCGAGTCTGCTTTCCAGCAGAAAGTTCTTCTTTCTGACATGGAAGTACCCAAGCGACTCCAGCTGGTTTACCAACTGGCCGAGCTTGTCCATCTTGGCGCTAGTGGCGACCTCGATGTCTCAAGGCATCTGCAGACATTGGCAATTCAGGCACTTGATGGGTTGGCAAAGCACAAGTCTCGTTCGAATGACGTCTGTGCAGCTCTCAGCGTCAACGTCAACCACGGGGTGTTGATGTTCCTGACCCGCAAGGTCGTTAACGAATTGGGCACCGATGATGATGCAAATGATCTTCATCAGGACGAATGGCGAGATGCCCTTCTTTCCCTGTTGCGGACCCTGCCAAGCTCGAGCACTCGCACCCCAGAGACGCTTGTTGCAGCTGGTCTTATCCCGATGTTCGTTGATATCCTGAATCTGCGCACCGAGAAGGCCCGCCGCGTTTACTCCCGGGTTATGGAGTTCCTTGATACTTTTGTTCACGCGGTCCGTGATGCGTTGGCTACTTTGACTTCGGCAAAAGGTTTCGATGCAATCTCTGATCTGATTGACAATGAGACGAAGACCGCTTTCGAGCACGTCTCTCGTGGAGCTGGTTTCCCTGCCAAGTACAAGAACCCCTCCATCGACTATCAGATTCCCTACTTCCAGCAGCAGACACTGCGATGGATGTTCCGCTTCGTGAACCACATCATGCAGCACAACGGTGGAGGGTTTGACCGTGTTCTGAGGAATCTGATCGACTCGCCTCAGCTACTCACTTCATTGCGTCTGGTGTTTGAGAACGCACGGGTCTTTGGCTCGCACGTTTGGAGCAACGCGGTCAACATCCTCAGTAGCTTCATTCATAATGAACCGACTAGTTACGCTGTCATCGCCGAAGCTGGTCTCAGCCGCAGTCTCCTCGCGGCCGTGATGGGCCGTGAGCTCAAGGCCAAGGAGAAGCCCCCGGCTGTAGAGCCCGAGGACGCCGATCCTGTTGCCGAGGCCGCTCAGCCGTCGGCTGCTGCCCCTGCTGACGCCCCAGAAGCAAAGAAAGAAGGTCGAGAGTACACTTTGATCAGACCGCGTGGCACTCGTCTCGCCCCGGGTATTATTGCTGCGGCCGATGCTCTCGGCTGCGTTCCTTCAGCATTTGGTGCCATTTGCTTGAATTCCTCGGGACTAGACCTTTTCCAGTCTTCCGATGCACTCGAAAGTTTCTTCGAGATTTTCGAGAACCCGGAGCACATCAAGTGCTTGAAGGATGACCCCAACCTGGTCAGAAACCTAGGTACCACCTTCGATGAACTCGTCCGTCACCACCCTGCCCTGAAGACTTCTATCATGTCTGCAGTAATTGTCATGGCTGCCCGCGTAAGCCTCCTTGGCAAGGTCAAGGCCTGGGAATCTGGCCTGGGATCAAAGCTGTGGACCGAAGATGCTCAGGGCCAAATCAGCCTCTCGGGCGACCTCGCTTCTTTGTTTCGCGATATTGGTGCCCCTATTGATGCATCGGTGGAAGACCCTGCATCCATTGGAGTTCCCCAGCTGAAGAACCACATTCTTCCCAACGGTGGAAAGCTTGTCATTGGCGATCTGAGCCAAGTTCTTCCATCGCAAGACCCCGGCTTCGATCCCAAGGACAAAGACGAGCATGGTTTGACCGTGACGGATTACCTTTTCCCTGCGATCCGCTTCCTTGGCGCCTTCTTTGAGAATCAGCCTAACTGCACTTCCTTCATCCAGGCTGGTGGAGCGGAGTTCGTTCTCGACTTCGCAACCCTCCAAAGTCTGTCATTCGACTTCCACAACACGGATGCTAACCAGGAGCTTACTGTCCTCGTGCACATGATGGCTGAAACTAAGCCGCACTTGGTCATTCCCTCCTTGATACACCGTGCCCAGTCAGCTGTCAACAATCTCTCGGCCTTTTGGACTGCACCCAAAGAGTCGGGATTCTTCACCGCGTTGGCTCGGCCAGCTGACTCGAAAGAGCCAGCACCTGAGCCGACCCTGGCTGTTGGTAATGGAACTTTCTTTGTGAAGCACATGAATGCCGTTCTTGTCATGACGGATCTGCTCCGCGAGGTCTACGCAATGCCGCTTTATCAGAGCCGACCTGTGCAACAAACTTCTCCCTTTGCCCAGGTGAACCTTGCAGACCTCTACGCTGATCTGGTATCTTCACTTGGCAACCTTCATGCTGCATGCGTGTGGGAGGAAATCATTCTGGAGAAAAACATACCCGAGAAGTGGGTGCAAGCTACGAAAGCATCTGCTGGCAAGCCCGGCTCCGACCGTCCTAATGATGTCCCTGGACAAGGGGCTTCTCAGGGCCTTTTAGGAGACTCTGCCACTGGATCTCAGCAAGGAGGTTTAGCTGCCGGCGAGGGTAACAACACTTCAGCAACCGAAGAGCCTGAAAGCGAAGAGGCCAAGGCGGCGACTGAACGAAGTGCCGCTTTCAAGAACGTTCAGATCCTTCGCTATCTTCTGAGCTCTTTGCCTTCGTCGATTACAGGCTTCTTGCATAACCTGGGCCTGGGCCTCGTCAGTAAAAGAAGGTCGGACCCTCACTTAAAAATGCGTCAGAATGCCAGTATGGTGGCGGATGCCATTGCCGAGGCTGTTCTTCGAGAGCTCCAGTTCAGCGCACCCAACTCGTGCGATAGCTCCAAGCACCGTTTCGCTTACCTCATTGTGATCCTGTCATCATTCTCGCATCTCCTCTACGAAATTTCAAATGAGCGCCCCCAGTCGAACTACTTGACTCTGGTTTTCTGGTCATTCAAGAAGGCCAACGGGCTGCAGGTTCTCAAGGATATCTGCGACGTTTTCATGCGCGAGGTCCAAGCCCTCACACCTGCCGAGTCCGTTCCTGACACCGAAAAGGACGTTGCTGCTCGCCTGACTTCCGCATATGGGGGCATCAAGATTATTCTTGCTCTGTTTGCCGAACTTGCATCTGGCAAAAACATCGTGGAATCTAATCAGACTCAGGCCTTGACTAGCCATCATGAGCGGGATCGGGATCGTCACGACTATTTCCAGCCCGGCCAATTCATTGTGGATCTTCGTATAGAAATCCTTCCCATGGCCCAGAATATGTGGAATTCCGATTTTGCTATCCAGTCGTCAAGCCCGATTGTCAAGTGTTTGGTTGACATCCTTCGCTCCTCCCTGGATGGAGAGTATGAGACCGGAGCGGCTCATAAATCGGACACTCCTCCCGCCCTGAAGGAGCCGCCTCGCGGGGCATTTGTTGTCAACAAAACGCACGCAGCGGGTCTGGTTGAGAAGGGGTTCGAGGATGCTGATCTGAACAAGGAGGCCCTGTACCGTTGCAACAACAGCCCGAATGCTGCAGAAGAATACTGCAAGGCACAGAACTACATTCGTGCCCCTCCAAGACTCCCACCTCGGCCCAACGATATCCAAACTGGTTCTTCTGAAAACGCCTCGGGTGGAGAGGGTCTCGATGACCCCGTCGGTGGAGATGTCACCCCCTTTAACAGTGGCTTCTTGGAGCGCTCCGGCCTTGCCATGCTTCTCGCTCACGCAGGACGACCAGGGCAAGATCCTATGAACCAAGAGTCACATCCTGAAACAGGAGACATGGATCCCGACATGCGCGATGGGTTGGCCAGAGCCATTGGCAACATTCTGAACGATGACGAAGACATGATCCCTGGCCAGCGAGGCGAGTCCTCAAACACGGAACGCCCCCCAAGTTACGGTGCCCAGGACCCCTCTGCGCCCACCGACCAGTCTCAGGCCGAATCTGCCGCACCGGTGTCACGTCGTCCGATGATTACTATCGAAGATTTGGACGAGGAAAGAGAGAAGGTCCGGTCGAACCTCATTGAGCGGTGCCTGGATGTCCTCAACGAACACCATGATGTCTCTTTCGAGCTGGCGGATCTAATCTCTTCTGCCATCAAGAAGCATCGTGAGCCTGAGAGCTTCCGGCGCGACGTTGGAGAGACCCTTGTCCAGTCACTCGTCTCTCTCCAGATGGAGAACTTCCAAACTGCCGGGAAGAAGGTGGCTGCTTATGCACACATTCTTGCTTTGGTTCTCCAGGATCGAGACATGTACAGCGCGACTCTCGAAGAGCTCAAGGATTGCTTCTCGACTTTCCTGGGCTTTATCAAGCTTCCCACCCCCGAGAAAGCTGCTGATGAATCTTTCCCTTGGATTGGGCATGTGCTGCTCATTCTGGAGAAGTTGCTTTCTGACGACTGCCAGCCTCCCCAGATCACCTGGACTCCCCCTTCGAGTCTTGATGATGCAAACACTGATGAGCCCGCGCGTCTTGCGGAGCCGCTCGTTTCCCTTGACGAGAAGACTCAGCTCTTTGAAGCATTGGTTGAGATCCTTCCTCGCGTGGGCAAGGATGAGACTCTCGCACTCTCTGTCTGCCGTGTGCTGGTCATCTTGACTCGTCAGCGCAGCATCGCTGCCCGTTTCGGTGAAAAGCGAAACCTGCAGCGTCTCTTTGTCATGGTCAAGCAATTGGCGAGCGCTACCAATGAAAAGCTCCAGAGCGCCTTCATGTTGATCTTACGACATATCGTTGAAGATGAACCTACAATCCGGCAGATCATGCGAAGCGAGATTGTTGCTTTCTTCGAGTCCAAGTCTTCCCGTCAGGTCGATACCACTGGCTTTGTCCGCCAATTGTACCACCTGGTGCTGAGAGCGCCCGAGATATTTGTGGAAGTGACAAATGAGAAGCTGCGTCTGCTCAGATATGACACACACCAGCGACCACAAGTCCTTGGATTGAAGGCTGACAAGGATCGCAACCCCCGTCTACTACGTCAAGGCAACGATGGCGCTGGAGAGAGCAAGGACTCCGGCTCTGGCGAGACGTCGGCTTCGGCTTCTGATGACAAAGAGAAGGATAAGAGCCAAGGCAAGGGTACTGAGCTCAAACCACCTGTTGTGGAGAATCCAGATGGCGTTATCCACTATCTGCTTTCCGAACTCCTGTCCTACAAGGATGTAGACGACAAAGAGACTCCCACAGAACCCTCAGAGCAGCCCGTTGGCGACCAGTCCGAGGCCCAGACTGATGTCGAGATGTCCATTGATGAGCCCACCCCTTCGGTGACGAGTAGCGCCGATGCCCAGCCCAGCCGCGGCACATCCAGCAAGAAGGGCGAAAAGCCCTCGTTCAAGGCCGAAGATCATCCGATCTACATCTACCGCTGCTTCCTCCTTCAGTGCCTGACCGAACTGCTATCATCCTACAACCGCACCAAGGTCGAGTTCATCAACTTCTCGCGCAAGGCTGATCCCCTTGCTACCACGCCTTCGAAGCCACGCTCGGGCATTCTCAACTACCTATTGAACGTGCTTGTCCCTCTCGGAACCATGGAGCATGATGAATCCCTGGCATTCAAGAAGCGCAGCATCACCTCCTCGTGGACAATGCAGGTTCTGGTCGCCCTTTGCACCAAGACCGGCGAATTCGGTGGCCTCGGTAGACGCCGTGGCGAGCAAAAGCGCAATGAAGAGGACGAGCCGGAGCTTGCTTTCGTGCGCAGATTTGTGTTGGAGCATGCCCTCCGTTCTTACAAGGATGCGAATGCGTCAAACGAGTCTCTTGACGCGAAATATTCGAAGCTCATGTCCCTTGCCGATCTATTTGACAAGATGCTCAGCGGCTACTCTTACACCCAGGATGCAGGCTTCCCCTCTTCGACAAGACAGCTTGCGAAGACCATGTTTGAAAAGCATTTCATTCCTGCCCTGACTGCTTCTGTTGCCGAAATCGACTTGAACTTCCCCTCGTCCAAGCGTGTCATCAAGTACATCTTGCGTCCTCTCAACAAGCTCACGCAAACAGCTGTCCTTCTCAGTGAAACTCACGACATCTCTACTCTGGCTGAGACTACCGAAGATGATGAAATCTCGTCAGCTACCTCCGTTTCGGACATGGAGGATGAGCGCGAAGAGACCCCTGACCTTTTCCGCCACTCTACACTCGGTATGCTGGAGCCTCGTCATGACGACGATGAAGATAGCACCGAGGAGTCAGAGGGTGAGGATGAAGACATGTATGAAGATGAGTACGATGAGGAAATGGACTACGAGGAAGACGTTGCCGAGGACGACGGTGAAGTTGTTAGTGACGATGACGAAGATGGTGTCGGCCACATGGAAGGTCTCTCTGGTGACCCGGTCGAAGTTATCATTGATGATGAGGATGAAGACGACACCGGGGATGAGGATGATGACGAAGACGACGACCACTCCGACATGGAGGACGACGACATGTACGCCGACGAAATCACTGGCGACCGCGACAACGAGAGCCTCGAAGAAGGCGACGAAGACGAGTGGGAGAGCGAAGAAATGACCGAAGACGAGGAAGAAGCCGAGATGATGAACCAGTTCGAAGATGAAATGGCCGATATGCGCCAGTCCCAACGGCAACCCGATGGTCATGCCCGTATTGATGACTTGTTCCGTGCTCTCAACCAGGCTGCAGGTGGTGCTGAAGATTTCGGCGCTGGCCCCCTTGGCGGCGATATTCATGATGAAATTCTTGACGAACTCAACGAAGAAGGAGGTGTGTTAGCCCTCATCCCCACCATCCCAGTGTACATTCATTTCTCACCTTTATCTTATTACCCAGAGGACGACGATGAGATAGATGAGCTTGAAGAGGACGTCGACGATTACGATGATTACGACATGGATCAGGGCTCCGAAGGAGACATGGAAGGTTCGATTAATTTTCGTGAAAGGTTTGTTAGGGCGTTGCTAACAATGTCTCCTTTGCAGACGATGATCTCCTAGAGCCTTGGGGATGGGAAGCCGATGAAGGTCCACCGCCTCGACACCACCACCGCTTCCGTGGTGGCCCGCCTCCGGCTTGGGCTGCAGTTACTGAAATCATGCCAGGCCGACACGGTGGACTTGTTCCCATCCAACCTTACCACCGCGTGCACAGAACCCAACTTCCTGGGCCCCGCGGCAACGACGATGGAACTAACCCTCTCCTTGTTCGAAACGACCGTGGTGTTGACCCTACAGCTCCTCTCCGCGGACCCAGCGCTGAAGCCTTTACTGACTGGACTCATGCAATGGAGCCTACTACCGGGGGTAACCGAATGATCCCCATGGAAAGCCCCGTTAGCTTCATGAATGCCATCATGCAGGCTATCGGTGGCAACGCTCAGCCCGGCTTCGGAGTTGTCACTCGCCCCGATGGCATTCACGTCCACGTTGACCGCCGCGCAATCTTGCCTAACCGCCTTCAGGATATCTTTGGTCTTGGTCGATCTCAGGCGGGTCCCACTCGCGGCCGTGACGACCCTCACAATGCGGTCAAGTTTTCTCTGTCTACGACCAGAAACCGCTGGCAAGAGGAAGCTCGTATTCTGTTCAGCAGCACCTACGTCGAAAAGACACAGCGTGTTGTCAACTCTCTGCTGAAGGTCCTTGTCCCTCCTGCCATAGAGGATGAGAAGCAGCGCCAGAAGCAGGCGGAAGAGGAGCGCAAGCGTCTTCAAGAAGAGCGCGCCGAAAAGGAGCGCCAGGAACGTATCGCCCGTGAGGAAGAAGAGAAAGAACGCAAGCGCAAAGAAGAGGAGGAGAATGCTATTCGACAGGCTCAGAGAGAGCAAGAAGAGGCTGAACGTCAAGCCGCTGGAATCGACGAGCCTATGGAGGATGTCCAAGAGGCAGATACCCCAGCCGAAGCTGTCGGCTCGCCCGCTCGGGCCGAACCCGCTGAGCCTGCCCAACGTGTTCACACAACCATTCGGGGCCGCCAACTCGATATTACTGGGTTGGAAATTGACCCTGAGTACCTGGAGGCCCTGCCAGAGGAACTCCGCGAGGAGGTGATTATGCAACAGCTTGCGGAACAGCGATCCCAAGCTGCTGCTGCTGGTGAAGAACCTACGGAGATCAACCAGGAGTTCCTCGAGGCATTACCTGCAGAGATTCGTGAGGAGCTGCTCCAGCAAGAAGCTGCCGATCGACGCCGCCGGGAACGTGAGACTGCACGTCGACAGACTGCTTCCACCGGTGCCCCGCCCCGTGCCGAGGACATGGATGCTGCCAGCTTCCTTGCTACCCTCGATCCTTCCCTGCGCCAAGCAGTCCTTGCAGATCAACCAGAGGATGTCCTCGCAACGTTGGGCCCTGAGTACCTTACGGAGGCGCGAGCTCTCGGTGGCCGTCGCATGGCCCAGTTCGGAGATATTAGCGCAATGGATCATCGCCAGAGAAACGATTCTGCTGAGGGCCAAGAACCTAAGAAGCCTCAGAGGCGCCAAATTGTCCAGATGCTCGACAAGGCCGGCGTTGCAACGCTCCTTCGTCTGATGTTTATGCCTCTTCAGGGCAACGCACGGCACCAGCTCAATGACATTCTCCACAATGTTTGTGAAAATCGCCAGAACCGGAGCGAGGTTATTAGCCTGCTTCTGTCCGTCTTGCAAGATGGTAGCATTGATTCTTCTGCTATCGAGCGCAGCTTTTCTCATCTGTCGCTTCGTGCCAAGGCCCCTGGCGCACAAAAGACTCCGCAGTCTGTCAAGCGCAGTACCTCGCTGCAGACGTCTTCCAGCGTTAGCAACGAAGTGACCCCTATCATGGTTGTGCAACAATGCCTGGGAACACTTTCCTTCCTTTCCCAGTTCAACCCACACATTGCTTGGTTCTTCTTGACGGAACATGATTCAGCGTCATCCCTCAAGTTCAAGGCCTTCCGCAAGGGCAAGGGCAAGGAGAATCGTGCCAACAAGTTTGCCTTGAACGCTCTCCTTACCCTCTTGGACCGGAAGTTGATCATGGAAAGCCCTACCTGCATGGAGCAGCTGTCTAGCCTGCTCAGCAGCATCACACAGCCGCTGACTGTTCTTCTTCGCCGCGAGAAGGAGAAACAGGAGGAAGACAAGGGCAAGCAGGCCGAGGGTATCCAACCTGAGGAGTCTGCTGAGCAACCTGCTGAATCCACCGAGTCCGGTGTCGACGTTGCCATGACCGACGCCCCTCTTCCCACCGTTGAGACGACTGATGATCAAGGTCACGAGCCGACGGAGTCTGCTGAGACCAAGAAACCCAAGGGTGCTGCCAAGTCTGGTGAAGAAGAGAAGCGCAAGCGGAAAACAATTGAACCCCCTGTTGTTCCCGATCACAACTTCTGCATGGTCATTCACATTCTCGCTGCGCGCGAATGCAATGGCAAGACCTTCCGCGATACCCTCTCCACTATCAACAACCTTTCTGCCATCCCCGGAGCTCGGGATGTTATCGGCAATGAGCTCGTCCGCCAAGCGCAGGGCCTGAGCGAAACTATTCTGAGTGATTTGGAGGAACTCCTCCCTCATATTCACCAGGCCAAGACCGGCAATGACATGCAAGGCTTGGCTCTGGCCAAGTTCTCTCCTGCAAGCTCAGACCAAGCTAAGCTGCTCCGTATCTTGACTGCACTTGACTACCTCTTCGATCCCACTCGTGTTGACAAGACCAAGGGTGCCGAGCCCGAATCTGCACCCAAAGAAGATGTACTCAAGAAACTGTATGAGAGCGCTACTTTCGGCCCCCTGTGGACTAAGTTGAGCGACTGCTTGACCGTTATTCGCCAGAAGGAGAACATGCTGAACGTGGCTACTATTCTCCTGCCGCTGATCGAGGCTCTGATGGTTGTTTGCAAGAATACCACTCTCAAGGACCAGCCTGTCTCACGGGGCAGCCGCGAGTTGTCTGTCAACAGCGCTCAAGCCGATGCTGGTCTCAGCATGGAGAATCTCTTCTTCAAGTTCACCGAGGAACACCGCAAGATCCTGAACGAGCTCGTCCGCTCCAACCCTCGGTTGATGAGTGGTACCTTCTCCTTGCTGGTCAAGAACCCCAAGGTCCTGGAGTTTGACAACAAGCGCAACTACTTCACCCGCCGTGTTCATTCTCGTGGTGCCGAGCCTCGTCACCCACACCCCCCTCTTCAGCTCTCCGTGCGCAGAGACCAAGTCTTCCTAGACTCCTTCAAGTCTCTCTACTTCAAGTCCGCCGACGAACTGAAGTTTGGCAAGCTAAACGTGCGCTTCCATGGCGAGGAAGGTGTTGACGCTGGCGGTGTGACCCGTGAGTGGTTCCAGGTTCTCGCTCGTGGCATGTTCAACCCGAACTACGCTCTCTTCATTCCCGTCGCTGCCGACCGAACAACCTTCCACCCCAACCGTCTCAGTGGTGTCAACTCAGAGCACTTGATGTTCTTCAAGTTCATTGGACGGATTATTGGTAAGGCTTTGTACGAGGGACGGGTTCTGGACTGCCACTTTTCTCGTGCTGTTTACAAAAACATTCTGGGACGATCCGTGTCGATCAAGGACATGGAAACGCTTGACCTCGAGTACTACAAGTCTCTGCTCTGGATGCTGGAGAATGATATTACAGATATCATTACCGAGACATTTGCTATCGAGACAGATGCCTTTGGTGAGTCACAGGTGATCGACCTCATTCCTGACGGTCGCAACATCCCAGTCACGCAGGAGAACAAGGAGGAGTACGTCCAGCGCGTGGTCGAGTACCGCCTGGTGGAATCTGTCCGGGAGCAGCTCGACAACTTCCTGAAGGGCTTCCATGAGATCATTCCGCCGGATCTGATCTCCATCTTCAACGAGCAGGAGCTCGAACTTCTGATCTCCGGTCTGCCTGAGATCGACGTGGATGAATGGAAGAACAACACCGAGTACCACAACTACTCCGCTTCTTCATCGCAGATCCAGTGGTTCTGGCGTGCCGTTCGCTCGTTCGATAAGGAAGAACGGGCTAAGCTGCTGCAGTTCGTTACCGGCACCAGCAAGGTCCCTCTCAACGGCTTCAAGGAGCTGGAGGGCATGAACGGCGTGAGCAAATTCAACATCCACCGTGACTACGGCAACAAGGATCGTCTTCCCAGCTCGCACACATGCTTTAACCGTAAGTTTTCCCCGATTGACTGATACTCGTGCAAATACTTACTTTTATCTACAGAGCTTGATCTTCCTGAATATGAAAGCTATGAAGATCTCCGGCAACGCCTGTATACAGCGATGACGGCTGGCAGCGAGTATTTCGGTTTTGCATAGACAAGGGTTCTACATGATTAATCGTTTCAATGCCCATGCATTCAATGGCGTTTCTCCGGAATGGGGAAGTGAGGAGGAAAAGTCATGAAGAAGAGAGCCGCGCGACTGGTTGAAGTGCAGGTCAACCGGGAGCCGGGCTTTTATGTACTTAGATTGCTTTGTTATGGGAATATCCATATTTCTTTATTATCTTCAACTGCATCCCCTGCGAATGCCGAATAGCGTGCCTCGCTACACTTAGTCCTCGTACTAAGTAAGACGTTAAGCCGAATTCGGATGACGGGCGGTGAGCAGTCACGGGACTCGGAAAAAAAATGCGGGGCCCAAAGTGGCAGTTGCGGGATCCGATTTTTCTGAAAAAGCTCCGGCTTCGACTTGCAGTTCGTTCTGGGATACTTCCCTTCATATCCAACATGTCGTCCAACTCTATCAAATTGTTGACTGGCAACAGTCACCCGGAGCTGGCCCAGCTCGTGGCCGATCGGTACGTTCCTTGCATCGATCTCCAGTGGCTGCGTCCGTTCTTTGGCTAATGCAGAATCAATCAGCCTCGGCATCGAGTTGACCAAGATTATGGTCTTGCAGTACTCCAACCAGGAGACCAGTGTGACCATCGGAGAGAGTGTGCGAGACGAAGATGGTACGCGGACTTTCTGTCAGAGATGAGATGAACGCGTTACTGATGATCTCACCCCGCATCGTGCAGTCTTCATTCTGCAGTCAACACGACCCAACGATATCAATGACGGTCTCATGGAGCTTCTGATCATGATCAATGCCTGCAAGACTGCCTCCGCTCGCCGCATCACTGCCGTCATCCCCAATTTCCCTTACGCCCGCCAGGACAAGAAGGACAAGAGCCGCGCTCCCATCACTGCCAAGCTCATGGCCAACATGCTGCAGACTGCTGGATGCAACCACGTTATTACCATGGATCTGCATGCCTCCCAGATCCAGGGCTTCTTCAATGTGCCCGTCGACAACTTGTATGCTGAGCCCAGTATACTGAAGTGGATCCGCGAAAACCTCGACGTCAGCAACTGCATCATTGTCTCCCCCGATGCCGGTGGTGCCAAGCGGTAAGTCTATCGGTCTGATTCTTCTGTTGTATCCCAATTCTAATAACCTGCCCTTAGTGCGACTGCCATCGCCGATCGCCTCGATCTCCAATTCGCTCTGATCCACAAGGAACGTGCCCGTCCAAACGAGGTTTCTCGCATGGTCCTCGTCGGCAACGTCAAGGACAAGGTCGCCATCATCGTCGACGACATGGCCGACACCTGCGGCACGCTCGTCAAGGCCGCCGACACGGTCATGCAGCACGGCGCTATGGAAGTCAACGCCATCGTTGTCCACGGCATCCTGTCCGGCAAGGCGATCGAGAACCTGAACAGCAGCCGCCTCAGCCGCTTGGTGGTTACCAACACCGTCCCCCACGCCGAGAAGAAGGAGCAGTGCGATCGTATTGAGACTATCGACGTCAGCCCCACCCTCGCTGAGGCCTGCCGCCGTACCCACAACGGCGAGTCCGTCAGCTTCCTCTTCTCCCATGCTGTCGCGTGATTCTTCCATTTTATGCTTGTATGTGTTATTTTTGCGGGTTCGTTACAATGGGAGTGCGGATTATCAAAAATACGATTCTTATGACCTTTTTTTCCCTTACATCTGATTGAGGGTGCGAGTTTGGGAATTTTTCTGTTGTCTCCCTATATGGAATTGAAGCTTGTCGGAGACGCTGGCTTGTCTTGCTATCTGTGGGAATTTATTGCATCGTGCATTACTGGATTTGCTTTCTGTGCCGTGATCGGTGCCGTTTTTGTCGTTATAGATTATGAAAGCCTCGACGGCATTATCTCTTCGTTCTCTTTGTCTCAAGGCCCCAAGGTTTCTGGCGAACCTTGAAAAATTGTTCTTCGGGTGATGTATTTTTATTTTTCGTTAAGGGTGCGGAGTTGGGTCCGGTCATGGATCTGGGATTATTGATTTACCTGAATGACTCTTTTCGACTCTATTCAATACACTCTTTTTCACAGACATTAAATTGTTTCCCGGTCCGTATTCTACGCTCGAATCCGTATTTGATCTACTCTACCGCATCGAAGCCTACGCCACCCTGTTCTAGTTAGTTGAGGGTATCAATTGAAAAAGAATTATGTATATCACGCGCTATCGTAATTTTTCATATGACAAGGTTTCGTTCCATGAGAAACCTCATTATCCGCGCAATTCAGATCGCATTTTGCTGTCCAGTTCAGCGGCATCACCTCCCCCATTCAACTCCAGCGGATGTGTTGACCGTCCAGCAGTTCCTTGGACCGTATTCGTCTCCTGCTGTGAACTAGTCAGTCGTCGCCGCGATCTCGCACAAAATATAAATAACGCCGTGGAAAGCAATAGAGGAATACCCAGCCCAACACCTAAACCCGCGCCAATCGCAACTGTAGAGTGGTGAGACGACTGGGTCGCGGCCGCCGTGCATGCCGGACAGGTTGCCTGCGTCGAGCTTGAGGAATTCGAGTTTTTCAAGTTCATCACGTCCGTCGCGTTGCATGTCGACTGGCCGTTCTGCGCTGTCGTTACGTTCCCACCGGCAACCCAAGTCCACGAGCCTACGGCATCGACGCCGCAGGCCGTTTCCGCGTCACCTCTGCTGCTGCATGTCATGTTTGTCCAGTCGCCATTGCCGGGGCATTGAAAGAGATTGGCATATGAATCTGGGATTTCTGTGTCCAAATCAGCGAGAACGGGATTTTTGCGCATGTGAACTGAGAGACGTAGACGGACCGGTGTAGCACGCTCGCGGGCAGTCTGCGATAGGCCATGATTTGTCTGAGCAGCTGCCGCGATATATGACGCCCAGGTCGGCTCCGAAACAGAGCCCGTTCGATAGACATGCCTGATCTTTGCCGCAGCATGACTTGCTGTTGGGACATGGTTCCATACTGCTCGTGCTCGTGCCGTCTGGGAAGTAGCAGGTTGCTTGGCTTGGTGCGATCCAGGAGATGAGTGCCAAGAGGGCGATTGTCATGGTTTGTGATCGAGCATGATGGTTTCTTTGAGCTTGTGGGTGCATTGCGCTGGCAGGTCTGGGTTCATGTCTCGCGATGAACCTTGGAAATCAAGGAAAGAGAGATCGGGGAGTTAGGTTCATCGTTCGAGAGTTGGGGGCGAAACTGGGCGCCTTATGCGCTGTGAGATCGACATGGCTAGCCAGATTGGAACAACTGTAAAAATGCTCGGTGTTGCCGCGCGCGATGCTGATTATGCTTCGAAGAGAAAATGCAAAACAGTAGGGGTTTATCCAGTAGAGGAAGTTAGGGCAATGCCAGCTCCGCGCTCAAGTCTGATGCATTCTGGCAAAAAGGACCTTTCGCATTCTCCTCTCACAGAAATATGAGCTGGAGTGGTTGGTGTCAGTATGTCTCGGGTTTGGTCTCGGCTCTCAGCATGCGTAGAAGCAAAGCTAGTCCGCTTGATCACGGCCGCGCGGTATGAGTCCTGACTCAAACCGTAGTTACTTGGTTAATCGAACTGAAACCAAATACGTATTGAGATCTAATTGTCTCAGTTTCGTGTCTATGTAGGTTTGGTCTATTTGGAATAATGCGTTCGCTTCAATGATCTAAGAGCTGCGTTATATATCTCGGATGTGGATGGACTCGGGAAGTCCAGCAGGCGGAATAAATTTCCAATACTTATTAATTAGTGTTCTTGGATATCTAAATGAGCAAACAGAACATAAGTATAGCACTCGAGTGTACAAAATGTATATTTAGTTGAAATGTAGAGTGTGATGTGCTATTTTGAAAATTTCTATCGAAAGTGGGCAAAGGTCGAATGTGCCCAAACAGTCTGCAACCACTCGAGCCATGATGAGAAGTCGACGGCAATTAGAGAAGAAAAGTACGGCATAAGAGTAAATTCATCATTGAGGAAATATCATATTGAATCATCCAGAAAGACTAAGGCATGTTTACAAGGAATGTCCCAGATCTTCAATGGACGTGTGCCACCTCGACCGAAGCCGCAAAACACAAATCTAGTACTCACTGGCCAAAGAGACAGAGTCTCCGCTGATATAAGCACTTCTTCGGCACAACCGCGGTCATGAAAGGACCGGATCGCAATTTGACATCCGTGCTATGGGTATGGGTATGGGAATGAGGAAGAAAAGTCTACAGCTACACCTGTTCAAGTCAGAAACAATGAAATTTGCATGCACTCCATTCAAAAAAGGGTTGTCAAAAGGTAGGTTCGGCACAGATGCATCGCCCTGGGCCCGATTCAACGCGGCATTCGCGCTGCTTTGTACGTCAAAACCTGGTCCCCCGCTTTTTGTTTTTTTGCCCTTTTTTTTGTAGACATATTCGCGCCCGGGATGATCTTTTTGCAAATCCCGGAATCATCCCATAACGTGAACCTCCATTACCGTCATCCCCCGAAAGAAATCGTTACACCGCTGGTGTGATTTACTTCCGCATGGACGAGGCCCTCCGCTTGCGGAGCTCGTCACGCTTGGCCTTCTCCTCGTGGACACGGTTGGCAAGGAGCTTGGCGTAGTCGTTGCTAGGTGATCGTTAGTGGGTTGGAAAAGTGAGGGAAAAGGGGGGAAATGGAACGTACGCAGCCTCGCGGGCAGCCTCAGCGCGGCGGCGCTTGATGGCAACGCGCTGGCGCTTGTGCTGCAGGCGCTGGGGAGTAACCAGACGCTGGATCTTGGGAGCCTTGGTGTACTCCTTCTTGCCCTCCTTGGTGACGGTGCGGCGGATGACGAACTTGCGGACATCGTCCTTCTTGTCAAGGCCGAAGAAGCGGCGGATCTTGGTGGCACGCTTGGGGCCGAGGCGCTTGGGGACAACGGTGTCGGTCAGGCCGGGGAGGTCGCTCTCACCCTGCTTGACAATGGACAGAGCGAGGACGGAAAGGTCCAGACCGGTGATGGCTGAAGAGTTGTCAGAACTTTGATTCGGGTGCGATCATACGGCCATGAAGGCGCCTGGGGACGGGGCACACATACCACCACGGATGGACTTGCGCTTGCGCTCACCAGTGCGGCGGGGGCGGTAGCAGCTGTGGCCGTCGGCGAGGAGCAGACGGGTACGGGTGGGAAGGAGAACTGTAGGTCATCGATGAGCATTCGAATTTTTTTTTTCGGCGTGGTCTTGGAATGTGTGTCCAAGAGTGATCTGTCAAAACGTACCACCCTGCTTCATGGGGAAACCTATATATCAATCTAGTCAGCCATCGTGTCTTTCATTGCACCGCATGTTTCATCTCCGTTCGCCATGCCCACAACGTTGCCAATGGAGGGAGCAGTCATACCTTGCTTGTCGTTACCACCGGTAATCTTGAAGATGTAGCCCTTGAACTCATCGCCGAGGGACTCGGCGGAGACCTAATCATAAAAATTCCAATCAGCCATTGCTCTCGTCGTTCGTGTTGAGTGTATGTGGGTGTAGAAAATCGTCGGGGGTGGTGTGTGTATTTTGGAATCGGGAGGGATGCTGACTTCGGTGCCCATGCGCTTCTCCATGAAGGGACGGAGCTTGCGCTCATCGTCGACCTCGATGATTTTCTGCGACCCATTGGCCGGGTAGGAGATGTTGAGCTTCATCTTGACGGGGTTGCGCGGTCAAGACGGTAGCGCGGAGTTGTCGACAGGTGAGGTTGAAGGGTACGGTCGTGTGGATTTTTCGAGTTCCAAAGGTTTGGGTAGCGAGTGTGTGTGTGTGACTCAGCTTGCGCTAGCCCGATTGGGATTTGGCTGTGTCAGCAGTCGCTAACCCTGTCAGGTGACTCTTTTAGTCACCTGACCTTGCTTAACGTGATAATCCATGTCGGATATCACGTGCCGAATTAGGCTTCGGTAGGCCTTGCAAATCGTGTGCATATCGCTTACTCTACTTCTATTCTAGTGATTCAGAGACCCCTCCATGGTTTTAAGAGCCGAAGATCCTAAGTATATTTGATCCTCGAACTATATCCCGGCAACTTTTCTTCTCCAGCGCGTCAGAACATTGCATCCTGAAGAATCTGCATTTCGCCACAAGACATGGACTTTACATTCGAATCTAAGATTCCACCCGAAGCAAAAATGATAAAGAATCAGAGTAGGCACTTAGTATCTCATCTGCTACCTATGTACTCCGTACTCAGTAAGTGAAACAGACACCCCTTGCAGGTGACCTCGTACATCTTGCCGCTTCAGGGGGGCGAAATGCCCCGGTTGCCCCCCCACAGCGGCATACGAGAAATCCGTGACCCAGTGGCGCCCAGTACTCGTCATCCTAGAAAGCCATCGTAGCTGGGCCGACAGGCGGTGGAAATGGTGCAAATTGCGCAGAGATAGTTCTTTCTTTCATAGACACATCGGGCAGTCTATTCCAAATGTCACTGGCCCTTTTTTGTAATTGGGAGATGCTGAAGTAGACATATTCAAGTCACAACCTTCCACTCGTATACGGAACGAGAGGGCTCGGGGATAAGTATTCAAGCTCCATGTGGTGTGACCCGTTCGCACGCGACGCTTTTCCACGTTGGGCCACGCGGCCAATTAATTATGCTCATGGCGAGGTCCCCTATTGGGTGCTTATTCTTGCAGAAAAAAAAGAGGGCGTGCCCTCGACGGAACCCTTTCCCTCTTGATGTATATTTCCCTTAATCTCCGCACGTTCCCCATTCGCATTGAACCTTTGGGATCCGTTTGACATTATTCCGGTGCTCCCGGTGGAGATTTCGTCTAGACTTTACGGATTTCTTCTGGGAACTCTTCTTTCCTCAAATCCGACCAGATTCTTTCACCCTTTTTTTTTTCATCGAGCGCAAGCGCTCTGCTTGCAGCGACACACAGTGGCGAACAGGACCAGCCCCGTTCCGATCGCAACGAATGCGCTGAGACTTGCATCGCTCCGGGTCAACCCCGTTGCTTTCCCGATCAAGTAGAACGGGCGAATCTACGATCGAGATTATGATGCGCCTATTTAATCGTTTCTACGCCTTGTACGCCGTCGCCGCGTGCACCATCCTCTTCTTCACCTGGGGCCTTTCATCTCGCGCATACGGAGATATTACACCCATCCAGTCTGGGGACTTTCAGATGGCCAAGAAGTTTGATCAACGATTGGTGGTTTTTGGGGATTCGTGGAGCGACAATAAGACTCAGGGACGACAGGGAAAGGCATGGACTGATTGGCTCTGTTCGATGGTAAGGATACCCTAGAGTGGAGTGGAACGGGGAATGTCTTGGATGTCTTGGACTGCGGGAGTCTTATGCGACGAGCCGACTGACAAATACTAGATTAACTGCCACCAAGAGAATCTCGCCCAGACGGCCACGTCCGTGCTCAATGGGAAGTACGCGGGTGCCGTGGTGGACAACCAAGAATTAGAGTTGGTCGACCGACTGTCTAAGACAAATTTGGCCGACTTCAAGACCCAACTCCAACAGTGGCTGGACGCCGAGCTTCCCACATTGGAGGGACTCTCGGAAGAAGAAATCAAGTTCCGTCAGGAACACACCATTTTCGTTGTCTCGTTTGGTATCTGGGATATTTGGGATCTGGTGACCAAGAACGACTACAATGGTGCGGCCAGGTCCCTCGAGCGCCGCATCAAGACGCTCATGGAACAGCTGACTCAGCTCAGTGAGCGCTGGGGCTCGACCGAGCTCAAGGTCATCTTGACGCAGGCCGTTGACGTGACCTTCCTGCCGGGCTTCAAGGCGGCGGGTGACGAGAACAAGAATGCCGTCAGTCTCCTAGAACAATGGAATAAGAGTCTGCGCCTGGCAGCCCAGGCCTGGCAGAGCGGGCGTATATTCCTTTTCGACACCAATGCCTTCGTGCTGGATCGCATCCGCGATTGGCAGCTCTACGGAGTGGGCATCGAGCAAGAGAACGGACTGGGTAAGAACCTTGATCCCGGATGGGAGAACACCAGCGACCCTTGCGTCGAGAGCGGAAGCGGTCTCAAGGCCAAGGTCATGATGTCAAAGGATAAGACGTGCGAGCATCCCGAGAAATATCTGTTCTGGTGAGTGACCCGAATGCTCGGCGGCTCGATTTGACGATCGGCATTCCAAAATACCCTTTTGTGCTGACCGGTATCTACAGGGACGAGATGCACCTGGGCTCATCCGCCCACCGGCTCTTGGCGACGGAGATCTACCATGGCATCGACGGGGAGCTGGTGAATCGTAAGGAACCCGAAGCCGCCACACCGGCTGAATCAGGTGAAACCGCGGCCATTCGCCACACCCGGGACTTTGCAGCTTAGACATTGTCATCATCACTTCGTCGAACCCATGAATCCACAAGAGCTTCCGCAATGGTCGCAAAGCGGGTCGCAACGTCGGTACCCGAGAAGCAGATCAAACGCCCCAATGCGGCGCGGAGGGCCAGGTTTCGTTGGGGAGAGAAAGGAACGAGGTAGCAACCGACGTCAGACCTCAAAACCCCGGGACACAAACCCGTGCCCTAGGACCGTCCACAGTCCCTAGATCGGGAAGAGGTCGTATTGTCCCAAATGTTCCATCTGGTCGATCGCAGTTACAATCGTGGGCGATCGGCGGCGTGATGAGATCATCCTGGATCCACCCATGTACGATATACTACGGAGTAGACGTAGGCCATAGTCAAACATAAACGAACTTGACCGATGCCCTGAGTCCCTGAGTCCCTGTATCCCGTTTCTCAACTGCAATTGCTTTTTTGGCGGATGTGTGCTGAAGTTCCTGTCGAGCTTCGGGGAACGAGGGTCTGGGACGCGGGCCAATCAGGCCGCCGCCGGGATGCAACTCGCCGCATCCGGAGACAAAGAAAACAATGAGCGCGTTTGCTTCGATGTGATAGTTACTTCTGTTACTTCTGTTACTTCTGGTTACTTCTGGCCCCTGCGTCCCTGGTTCTCGCATGAAAGCCTTTTTCGGTTCCTGATTTTCTTTTTCCCGGTTTTCAGGTAGCGCGAGTAGACAGATAACAAAGCACGTTCCCTAGCCTGACCTAACCTGACCTATCCTATCCTATCCTATTCTATCCTGAGATATTTGAGATATGTCCAAGCCACACCGCAGGGATCTTCTCAAGCCAACAAAGAAAGCGCAAAAATACTTCTGGAGTAGCTCATCCTCTCCACCTTTGTCTCGCACCGTTTCCCTGTCGGTCCTGGCGGATCTCCCTTAATCGCTCTTTGTCTCGGACTGCGCTGTCGCCTACGGTGGCTCGTTCCCCTCCTCTCGTCTCTTTCATCCACGTTTATACTTTGCCTCCTCCTCTTTCTTCGGCCTTGCCGGTTATCTATTCACTTTTTTTCTTTCATCCTTGGTTCTTGACTTTCCTTGATCAGTTCTCGCCTCCCCGCTCTTACTAGATAAATGTCTTACAACCGAGTGCTTCCCAACCCGGTTACTTTGCACCATGACTCTTCTCAAATCTCGCTGCCCCGATCCAGCAACCTTCTTGACCACAAAATCATGAACGACCTGCCCATGTCCCACGGTGCTCTGCCGCTCCGTCCGGATCTTCTGGCCCCTGCGCGCAGGTACCCCGAGATCCGACCCGGACCAAACGGCGTCCCGCAGGCTCGTCAACACGTGGCTGCGCTGAATCGAGCAAAACTTGAACTCAGTCCTCAGATGGATATGATGGGCAGACAGCCTGGTCCCATGCCTTCCGTGGATCACCTCACTCTGCGTGCTCGCTCGTCTTCATCCTCGGGAGGCTCCAGTCCCACCAAGTCGACAAAGGAGATCAGTTGGTGTCTCTGCAAGCCAGATCCGAAAATCCCTCGGCCTCGTAACTGTGAGTCGATACCGTCTCCACCATGGTCCTTGGAGCATGGCAAGTGATTTCTATTTTGAATCGTTGGAATCTCGTGCTTTGGACTTTATCCGGGTCAAATCCATCGTGAGCAATGCTAATTTGGTAACCAGCATTCATTCTTTACCGCCAACATTATCAGGCAGTCGTGGTGCATCAAAACCCGGGTCTGTCGAATCCGGACATCTCCAAGATCATTGGAAGACAATGGAAAGCTCTCTCGGAGGAGGAGCGAGAAAAGTGGAATGCTCTCGCAAGGGTAAGATTTTTATCACAGATTCAAGACTTCGACCACTTACATGTTTCATAGGAGGAGAAAGATCGCCATCAACAACAATACCCTGATTATCGCTACCAGCCCAAACGATCCAGTCGAGATGGCGGCGCTCGTGGTTCGGTTTCGGGCATCAGTCACAATTCTTCGGGACAGTCAACATGTAACAGATGTGGCGGCCGCATCATGAATGCTCCTTCATCCCCAATGACCCCTCTCACATCCGTCGGCTCACAAACGAACCGACCGGATCTCTCGGCGGGCTCACATCCAATCACTGTTATATCAAGAACGTCTTCTTGTCGTGCGGATACCAAGCCAGTGCCAAAACCAGTGAGAATAGACCGGCTAGAGTCGCGAGCTCGCCGCTATCCCGAGGAAGATCATGCTCCAGATGTCAAGCGCCGCCGTGTCTCCCAAACTGCTCTCAAGCCAGGTCTGCATGCTAATCGGGACATGAGCCCCGAGACCACATACCCCATTTCTCCATACAGCCGGACAGAACTGCACCACCCGAGTCCGCACCCCATGATTCACCCTCCAAGATTTGGTAGCATTCCTAGCTCGCCGCATTCCGACCCCAGCCTGAAGCTGCCGCCGCTGAAAACCACAACGCCCTCGACGCCCCTCACGCTCTTCTCACAAGATGGCTCTAGCGTTGAGAGCACAGTCATGACCATCCCGTTCCTTAACAAAATCAAAGTCCTCGCCAAAATCTCCCCACCCTTGCTGCCCTCCTTCCGTGACAAAAGCACTATCATCCGGGGACCAGTGATTTCTATCGACGGTCAAGACCAACACCTCGTCCAGATCGCCGTCGACTTCCTGGAACGTCTACTGAAGAAAGAACCAAAGTACCAAGTACGAGTGTTTCCAGGACCCGACATCTCCGGAGCCCCAGACGGCGGTCAAATGGGCGATGCGACAGTAGACTACCTCAACACCATCTCATCCTGGCATCGCATCTCCGACGAAGTCATCAGCTTTGTCAAGCCTGCAACACCATACACCGCAGACGAGCGCTCCTCGCCAGACGCAGATAACCGATCAAGCGTCTCTCCAAAGACAATAATCCCCAAGACAGCAAACATGAGAATCAACTCCCCACTCTCAAGCGAGAGTGGCTCCGAAGATGGCGCCATAACCCTGGGCACAAACACAAGTCACGGCACCATTCCCGTCGCCCTAGTTCCCCGTTACCAACTCACAACAGCAGACGCCTTCGCCTGCTCAATCCCAATCCACGATTCCTACGCACCACTAGACCACTGGCAGTGGATGGCATCCCTCTGGCGCGCCTGCGTTGGCCCAGATATCACAGTCTACATTCGCGAATGTACAAAAGATGAACTCGACCGCTCAGGCGGGAACCCTGTCGAAATACGGTTGCAGGATGCTCGAACTGTGATTCTGCGCAAGGTAGCTGGGACTTCCCGTGAGCTTGAGGAGAAGGTGTTGAAGCGTGTTGGCTTTGAGATTGAAGACTTCTTGACTGGATGATTTGAGTGTTTATTCGCTGACGAGCAATTGTCGCTGCGGCGCTTATATAGGGTGTATTTGATAGAGAAAGTTTCTTGTGAAAATTGTGCTCTGCAGTGATGATCATAGTTACAGTAGAATTCGAAAACGATGTACCCCCACACACTCACACTTTGACTTTCGGCCCGTACCCAAAATGATGCTAGGTCATATGGGGTTACTGAGAGAACAAATTCTTTTTGCTGTAAGACGGTATGTCCTATGAGTTATTATAAATTACCGTATTATCCTATAGAAAGTCCCGGGGAGAGATCGTTCCTGATAAAATCTGCGAAGAATTATACATAGAGGAACAGCAGAGAGGCTGGAGAAAGACAAGCACCGAGGTAGTAACGTTCTTGAGGGCAGAACGTAGCATCCACCCATCAATATCAATATTCTCCAGTTATACCCTACTGGATTAGACATAAACGGCTCCGAAGGTGCCTGATAACTCCGCTGGGCTAAAACATCCGGGCCCATTGACAAATCACGGGTTCCAAGACGTAGCTATCCAAAAAAAAGTGGTAAGTGGCTTGCATCAAATGTAACCGATGATACCCACGAAACAAGCGCGTGACGTAGCGCTGCTCGGTGGCTTTGGTGGGAGTGTGCGAGATTGAAACCTGTAAGTATTACACAGAAAGATGCCATCATACCCCGAGCAAGCCACCTTGTAGCAAAGTCGCCCGGTATGGTCAGCACCCATGGATATGGGCACAAACTGCAAAAAGCATCATCCCAAACTCATCGGTTGACTGCACCCACCGCCCAATTCGCTTCCTTCTTGCCTCTGACCCCGTCTCCGACGATCTCCAAAGCTCCGAAATTTGCAGCATCCCGTCCTCCCATCTCGACAGGTGCCGATTATACTCCCTCGTCCAGGATCCTCGATCAGAAGCCTCCCACAGCGCCTTGCTCTCGGGAACAAGAATATCTCTCAACTCATCAGACAGGAAATTTGGAACGCCCTTGTCGGAGTTGTACACATTCGTAAAGAGGTACATTGTGAACAGCGTGCGTCGTTTGGAAGAGGCGATGATCCAGGACTCCCAAGTTGGCCGCGTTCGCGAAAGCTCGGCTTTGCAGGTAAAACCTGCTTTTGCGGTGCGAAAGGCGAGGTCTTGGAGGGTTATAATACTCATGTCGTCTACTAGGGAGGCGTTGTCGATTGGGGAGAAGTAAGCTGTTAATAGGTAAATGAGGTATACTTGGAAGGAACATAATGTGTCCAAGTCGCTTGTTGCGTCCTAATTCATGGTCAGGGGAGGTTTTTTCGATGGAAGGAAACGAAACATACCTCTCGGGATAATCTCTCCATCTCCTGTCTGACGGTTGATAAGACAATTGCCTCGCTTCCCTCAACTCTGTTCATCCACATGCGCACCAGAGAAAAGCAGTTCGCCATTGTTCGCGGCATCGGTTTGTTGTTGACTTGCAATGGGTGAATGAATGGAGGGAGACTTTTCTCATCGAGAAGATGGTTGGGGTATGAACGAAGCACGCAGGCGAGGAACTGCACGGTAAACGGACTGAGCAGCTTGGGGAGTTGCCCCGTCCCAGTAAGAAGGTAAGGCTGCAGCCAGCGATCGCGAACATTCTCGGCGTCTGCCATTGGCACGAGGTCAACGTGATCAAAGGTCAGACCAATGTCCACAGTCTGCGTAGATTCGGGCCGAAAATAGATCTGTGGTATACCTGACGTATGACCAGACACAGGACTCGGGAACGCTGTTGCGGTCGAGGTAGGGGAAAAGCTTGCAAGTGACGGCTCAAAGCTGAGTCGCTCATCTGCTGAGTTTCTTTCACTCAAAGCCCCCGGGCTTGATCGGTGTACGTCGCCTGAACCTTCGGGATACCGACACTGCTTGCCGCGATTCAAGCATCGCGAGCAGGTCGGCCTCTCCAGGCTACATCGGACCTTGGAGTCCGTGCAGTTCTGGCAGGCCTTTTTGCGTGGTGGACCTTGTTTTCTGATCTTCATGGTTGATTTCGAATTCATGATGTGAACGCGTCCCGTGAGGGCATCTCGGGGTCAAGAAAGATGGACGGTCGGAACCCCGCGCTCGCCACAACGGAACTCCGAGACTGACATTCGAGCCGCAAAACATTCAAGTTGCCACATAAATATGCTCCCATTTCCACAGTTGAAACTCAATTCCTTTAACTTCCAAACAAGACCAATTCCCAAATCTATTCGATCAACATACAAATAAGATTCAACCAAAATGCCCAAAGTCTACACAACAGACCATTCCACCTCAGTCCTGGAAACCCACAGCTGGCGGACCCTCTCCAATTCAGCACCCTACCTGCTCCCCTACATCCAGCCAGACCTGCAAATCCTAGACGTAGGCTGCGGGCCAGGGAGCATGACAATCAACTTCGCCAAACACGTACCCCGAGGGCATGTAACTGGCGTGGAATATGTCCCCGAGCCTCTCGAAGGAGCCCGCGATCTCGCTGCCTTGGAAGGTGTATCCAACATCAGCTTCCTAGTCGGCGACATACACGATCTGCCATTTCCGGATAACACTTTTGACATTGTTCACGCGCATCAGGTCGTACAGCATATCGCCGACCCGGTCCGGGCATTCCAAGAGATGCGGCGCGTGGTAAAGCAAGGCGGAATCGTGGCAGTGCGCGAGTCTGCTTCGCTAACTTGGTATCCTGAATCGGAGGGCATTGCCGCATGGCGAGAGGTTGCGGAACGAATGCAGCGAGCAAAAGGCGGCAATCCTCACCCTGGAAGGTTTATTCACATTTGGGCAAAGGAAGCCGGGTTCCTACGAGAGAGTATCAAGAAAACTGCTGGTTCATGGTGTTTTAGCAATCTTGAGGAACGGAAGTACTGGGGTGGTTCGATGGAAAAGAGAGCTCGATCGTCTGGATTTGCGGCCACGGCAATTGAAGAAGGATTTGCGACTCAAGAGGATTTGGAGAAAATCGCGATGGGCTGGAGGGCATTTGTGGAGGACGAAGATGCGTGGTTTGGACTGTTGCATGGGGAAATTTTGTGCTGGAAATAAATGCTACTGATTTGGCGGATTTCCGCCTCGTTTATTGAGACAAATAAAAAGAAAAACAAAATGGAAAATTGAATGAAGCTTCAATCTACTAGTGTATGTCTCCTCGGTCATACTCCGGATCTTGGTCAAGGCCGCCGGCCGCCTCATCAAACAGGCGTGGAAACCATCTCAAGATCCTCTCTCTGCAAACCTCGTACCCAGCTCCCATACGTAGGACCTGCATGTTTTCAACATCGAGATTGACGCCACCGCGGCCGTACGAATGCCACTTCTGCAGGCCGTAATCAACAACCAAATCGACACATGCAAGCACGGCGGGCTCCACGTCTTCAATCCGAAATCGTTGCCCTTGCCCAGTAAGATTTGCGGAAGTTCCGAATATCAACATGCCCTGTGGGTCGACATCGCAAAGACGGTCGAGCTCCCGCAAGAAAGGTCCTTCTGGAATGGCGATGCCGACCGTGTCTCCCTTTGTGACCTGAGAGAGTGTGGCCTTGTCCAGCGCCGCCAAACGCGGGTGAAGGCTCTTCGAATCGAACTTGGCGATGATTTCGATGATCATTCCCATATCCTCCGTCAAGACACGCGTTAGTTCGAACTTTGATTCCGGCAACAAATGGATCTCTCGATGTTGCTGATACGTTCCAATGATACCGATGTTGTGGCTCTCTCGACGACCTTTGGCAGCAAAAATTCTTTGAATCCCGGCTTGACTACTGGCTAGAAGTGCATAGCCTACATCGGTGGGGGCGATGATGACTCTATCGGACTTGAGAGTCTGATAAGCTTGTTGGGCGTCGTGAGGCACGTTTGGCACATTTCCTGGCTCTGGAATTATACGGGGAGGCATGAGGTTGGTAAATTTGTCGGAAATGCGGCGGGAAAGAAAGCTTGAGTCTTCCAAAATCTGCCTGTATTGGGATTGAACAGGATTTGCAAGGATGTGGTGCAAATAATCAGTTTTGCTAAGAGGATCGTGACGTAAAGTCTGACTATAAAAGCTATGAAGCCCGGAGTCCCGATTCTCTTGGCTCAAAGTTTATTTTCGGAATTCAGGAACTAGGAGCAATGTTGGTCGGAGTTCCGAAAACTTAGTAAAGAAATGGACAATAAAAGGCCTATGAGACTTGAAAAGTTCACCAGCTATTCATTTTCATTCACACTCTTAAACACTCTGGTACACTTGAAAAGGGTCAATGCAACCTGCTCCTAACTCATCGTACCTCTTGCCAACGGTTTGCCACGATGAATGCTCTAATCCGCGAGAGCTTGTTTGGACGCCTCTTAAATCTTGTGACCGGTAACAAGGCCTTGCCATACTCTGATCTTGAGACATCTAAATTCGAGACGCTGTCGACTTCAGCTACGTCGACCAATTCGGTTACACCCGAGTCCAGCCAACAAGTTATCGTTGAATTCTCAGGCGACGATGACCCGGATATGCCCAGGAACTGGCCACGGTTATCGAAGACGCTCATCATGCTGGATGTAATGTTCCTGAATTTCAGCTTCTATGCCGCTTCGGCAATTTTCACACCAAGCATTCCCGGTATCGAGGATCAATTCAGTGCCACGACTGCCGAAGGAACTCTGGGGCTATCACTCTTTGTCATTGCCTAGGGCATTGGACTTTTGTTTGTACGTACACGCCAAACTAAAACGAGACGTCCTTTGGTTGATAATCCGGTTTACGTTCCCTAGTTGTTTCCACTATCAAATCTCCCAGCCATCGGCCGTTCACCGGTGTATGTCCTGGGATCTCTCATCTTCTGTCTGTTAAACATCGGAACGGCTCTTGAAAAGAACGTTGAGACTATCCTCACACTTCGATTTCTTGGTGGTTTCTTTGGAAGCGCCCCAATAAGTGTTGGGGGAGCAACTCTGATGGAAGTATACGGCCCGGGTGAAGTGCCGTATGCGATTGCCTTATATGCAGTAAGCGGGGTTTGTGGGCCGATTTTAGGACCGGTATGTCCTCCGCTCTACGATCAAGCATGAATTATAAGGTCAACTAATCCCAGTTGTCAGATATTCGGCACTCTAGTGATGTTTGTACCTTCCCAGCTCTATACCCTAGGTTATGGTTGCTAACTCATATAGCGAGCGTTGGCACACTTGGACAGCAAGTTTATGGCTTCTTGCTGGAATTACCGCTTTCACAACGTTGTTCATCTTTTTTTTATTACCGGAAACGCTGTCTTCTAACATCCTTCTTCGTCGAGCGCAGCGTCTTCGTGCACAAACAAGAAATCCTTTATATCGAAGCCAATCTGAAATGAATGCACCAACAACGAGCTTTGGCGCGATGCTTTTCGAGCAGACAGTGAACGATCTTAAAATATCCTGCATGGATCCGGTGATTATTTTCGTGAACATACACACCATGCTGATATATGGAATTCTCTATCTATGGTTTGAATTCTTTCCGTTTGGTAAGACGATCCTGTCTAATTTAGCAACTCGTATCCCTGGGCTTACAAACTTCTTATAGTTTTTGACGGAATATATCATTTCAGTCCCGTACAACAAGCTCGTGAGTTTCCCCCGCTATTCAATCTGTGGGTCACTTCAGGCTTATATGCTCTTTGACAGTTGCATTTTTCGGTATCCTAGTCGGCGCAGTCATCTCCGTTGTGGCATACGTGCTCTGGCTCCGATTCTCCTACCAGCCTCGCGTATCTAGGCCTGGATCCAGTGTGGAGCCTGAAGCAAGACTAGTTCCAGGACAAATCGGTGCAATTTGCATTCCAATCTGTTTGTTCATATTTGCGTGGACATCACGACCAAGGTACGCTTGCTCAAATATTACTAATGGAAAAAACCGCTTATTGATATTGACTTAGTGTACACTGGGTTGTTCCAATAATCGGTACCGCTTTTTTTGCGCCAGGCTTTTACCTCACGTTTCAGTCTATCCTCAGTTACCTCGGGCAATCTTATCCGAGACACGTTGCAAGTGTGCTTGCCAGCAATACCTTTTTTAGGAGCTCATTTGGAGGTGCATTACCTTTGGCTGCCCCTCGGATGCTACAGTCTCTTGGAATTGGCTGGGCATCCACTAAGTTGGGATTCATTTCCATCGCTATGCTTGCGCTTCCCTTCATACTATAAAGAGTAGGTCGAAAAGGATCTCGCAGTTCCCTTTATCATCAGCTAATTAATTTTACAGTATGGAAAGGCACTACGCTCGTGGAGCAAATTTGCAAACTAGGGCATAGGGTTCGGGCGCATAGTCTCAGCTCCATGCTGCGCAGAGATTCTAGCGGTTCTTAGATGGTGGTACTGAGAAGAATGGATATCATGAATGGTGCGTGATTAGCTCTGTAGAGATCTCGGCTCCCTCAAATATTTTTATGAGGGTTAAAATGGAAAGACTAGAACCTTATATATTGTATTTACAACAATCAATGGCGATCTTCTCTATCAATACAGTCGTTCTCGAAATTGGCTTGACCAGTAGAGTGCGTCCCAAAACTGGTACACCCGCCTATATAGCGTATTTGGTAAGCGAGTGACGCAGTTCGGAGCATCAGACGTAATAAGACGCCGTAAGTTAATCGGTTAGTCGAATTCAATTCTAGACCTACATACAAACCAAGGCCTGTTACAGTCTTGCATTCAAGAAGTTTACAAGCTACGAACCACTTCCAATACTACAGGGTGGATCGAAGTTAGCTTCACCATTTTCATCTCTTTGATTCTCTTTCTTCTCCGATGGCTAGCATACTATCAATAATTCCAATAAAACTGTTGCCTGTTGTGCTGTCTTGTCCCGGGGCTTCCGCCACAAACAGGTCATCAATTAGATTCAGTTCGTTGCGCCCCACTACCGGGTCGGCAAAAACTCTCCCCAGCCACTAGAGGGTCCGAAAACACCGAAAAGTGATCAAGGTTCGTTCGCCGCACGGCCCCTTAGTGGCATTCTAACTTTTTCTCAAGATCATGGTCCTGAATTTATCCCTCCTGGTACTTTCCTTCCTTCACCTCTTTCCCTCTCAGTCCATCCACCCCAGCCAACCCAGCACCACTTTTCTTTTCTTTTCCAATTATGTACCGCATCATCTGATCGCAGATACCACAGCAACCACAACCATTCATTCTAGTGGCCAGCCGGTACGGGGCCAGAAGACAAGAAGAGAGACTAAATCAAGAAAAGGTCCAAATGCGACTCCAAGACCTTCCGATTCTTGTCATTGGAGAAATAGCCTCCTATCTACCCTCACGTGATGTGATAATCCTGGCTCAGCAATCTAATGCGCTTCACTACGCGTGTAAACCACAATTACGGCAAAACAATCGACAACTGCAGTTGAACTCGTTAGAAGATTGTTGTGATGGCTTTAACATCCTTCTCTGGACGTTGCGCTGGCCTCCCTTAGGACAGTATGTGCGTCATATCACTATGCACGCATCATATGGTGGAGAATGCTTAAATATACCCCGTCCGAGTGATAAGCGTTCTCTATCTGACAAGGAGATAACTCTCTTGCAAGATGCTGTGCGTCGGGCAGGGTATGAAAAAGACGAGTATGACAATATGTGGTTGCAGATCTCGACCATCCCAGAAGACGCATCCATAGCTTATAATTCGATGAGCTTCACTACAGACGAGGAAAAAGGTCGTATCACGGCCTGGGCTCAGGCGTTGGCCGCGATTTTTATCTCAACGGCTCCTAATCTAGAGTCTCTTTCATTTGCCCCGCTCTCTTGGCAGCGAAATCACACATGGGAGCCCAGATATATGTTGAAGCAATTTTTCGCCAATTTAGATCAGCATCAGGACAACTCATGTGCCCACACTTTGAAAAATTTACGCTGCATCAGGCTTTTACCCTGGGGACAATACACTTCGGGTATATACGAGAGTTATCCGTTATCTGTCAGCATGCAGCTCGTTGGCCACTTACCCTCGGTAGAGACATGCTGTGTCGAGGGAGTCCAATCTCTTGCTGCCGAGAAGCTCAAACCTGCTTTCTGTCATTTTAAGTCCATCCACATCCATCAATCATGTCTGAGCCATCTTGCATTGATTCACGTCATCCGCTCTTGCAAAGAACTGCAGGAATTTGATTACTGTTTCGGGTCTTTCGAGACCATAGATATGCGATCAGTGGTACACTATCCAGATTTGCTCGATGCGTTGGGCAACCATACAGAGACGTTATATGTCTTGGACCTAGATCTCGGGGCTCAGCGCACGGACATGAATAGATATGAGGATCAAGCAAATGACGAGGCCGGGGCAAAGCTGGCGGATTTCATCGCAATGACTCATCTGAGACTCGGGGTGGATTCGTTGCTTTACTTTGCAGGCGGTTTCACTAGCAACAGCGACGAAGAGTTCTCTTTAATAGAACGACTGCCACCTCAGCTGGAAACTCTTACTATCTATGGGTATAGGCCGGGAAAAAACGCACTATGGGACGAACAGTTAGAGGAGTTGAGTGACATGATTGTGGATGGAGACGAATGTGTTTTTACTCTCCGTGGTGTTAACGAATATCTTCGACATCCTACGCAGCCGGAGAACCCAGAACGGGAGCCTATGGTAGAGGAGAGTGCAGAGCAAAGCGAGCATGGGGGCACAGATTCCGACTCCGATGCTTCTGATACGTCCTGGTTTCTTGCCCCTGCCTGGTACCGGGATATGCACCCGTATCGACAGAGGAATATCGATTAGCATAAGGGGTATTGAGATCATGACGCCAAATTTGTATATATGGTCTATGGCTTAGATTAGCGCTTATTGAGTTGCTTCGCACTTGATATCTTCGAGATCTAGTACAACGACCTCTAGTAGCGTAACGGGCTGCTTGTGGGTGAGATACGATTGCATTGTATTTAGTTGTGCTGTTAAGATTGGTGCGAGCGATTTTGTCGAGTATGGTTCGTCGTAGCTTGTTGTATAGCGGGCACTGGAATAGGATATGCCTCGGTGTTTGAGGCCCCTGATTATAGCTACAACGATCTAATTCCCTTTCCTTGGTTTTGTATAGTAAATGGCCCAAGCCAATACGTATTGACCTTATTTGAATCAGCCTCGATGCGTATAGCTTAGACAGGCCACTGTATAGCTCCAGCGTCTTCCGATTCGGCGCCTTGACCAGTTGCCTATGTTGAAGATTGGAGCCCTCATCCCAAGGCGCCAACACTGGTCAGCATCTCTCTACCCAGGCGGCTGCTGATTGGTCAGCTAGGCCCATGAGGATAACTAGTTAACTTAACTAACAAACAATGAGAAACAATTGCGGATCCCTAGATTTTGGCCTCGACCATAAATACTCAACTTTTTCCTTTTCATTCCCCTTCGCCCTAGAGATATTCACAATATTCATGAATTTATCAACCGAGCTGAAGATGGATCCATTCGCAAAATTCCCAACCGAAATTATTTGGCAAATTCTCGGATCTTGCTGCGACTTCACTAGTTTGGACGGTCTTCAACAAATATCTCCCCAAGTGAAGGAAGCTTTTAACGGCTCGTTCAAAAACATCACCGAGCACGTCCTGAGAAACCACACCCTCGCCTCGCACGGGCTTGATTACTATTTCACGCTCTTGGCCTCTATTCTATCGACATCATTCACTCCACAAGCTCTACTAGAAGAGCTCGCTAGCTCACCAAGGGATGTTATGCGACCTATTTCCCTTTCCACCACCCACTCACTAGCTGCGGTGCATCAGACTATAAATATAGCAGCGAAAATACATCGCACTGCCTGTGCTTGTATTCAGCGTTTCATCAATCGTCTCGAGTCCGCAGAACCCCGACGTCCTATGGCCTCCGATGCCAATGTTGTGGATTGGGTGAATAGAAGACTTCTACCACCTAAAGGTGGCGAACTTATCCAATTCGATGTTGATCCACCATCGTGGATTGAGTCTTATCGGACGCATCGAGGCTTCTGGAAACTTGAGCTCTTCTACCAGATCCATAATGCTGCAACAAACCACTGGCTATGGTCTACGTATGATCTAGACTGCTTCATTGAACAATATCTAGAATGGTGTCAGTATCCAGGGGGAATAGAAGAGCTCCAGACGATTTCGGAGTGCGTGGTCGATCTATGTTCCTCCAAACCAACAATTCTCAGCTATCGGGCTTCATATTTAGTTGCCGTTCCGTCACCAACCGATTTGACGGTACAGACATGCTGGCCTCTGCCAAATATTCAAGATACACAAATTGATTCGACATGGCGTCGGAGTCCGAGTTTTGCGGAGTCCAGAAACGCCGTGCTTGGTTCTTTCAATGCCCTTCGTGGCGGTGAAAAAGGTCGTAGTTATCACGCCCTCTGGAAAGTGGATTTCAAATCATTTCGACGACTTGGTATACCTCTTTGGGATATGTGGCGTTTGTACCAAATGAGACTTATGCACCAATCTCGCAGTGTGCTTTCACCACGGGGCAACTTGGTTGGCGGAGAGCCAGAAGAAAATGAATGGCCCCGTTGGATTGAAGCTTTCGTATGGTTTAGTCTAGCAGAGGAGGGTGATTTGACTGTATAGCTTAGAAAATAAGTCCTGAAGTCCTAAGGTCTGAGTGATATATTTAATCAACCTAATAGATCAACCGACAGCATATGGACGGTATGAACTGAGGCTGTGAAGAGATGCATAATTATTGTATGTAGTATTGAGACTAATCAGAATTATCCGCGGGTTGACCAATGTGGAGACAGCCTGGAGACACACCCACACACACAGAGAGAGCGAGAGCGAGAATTGAGCTCTCGTCTTGATAATGCAAGAAAATGGATGCTCTTCAAGAAATTTATTGTGAAAATCGGGTGGCTTGGTTTAATCTGGACGTGTGTTGACCATTGCACGTCACTATATCGACGAAGGTCCGAGTAAATAGGAAGTCAACAGTTTGTTGACGGGGAAGTACAGTATTAATGATCACGGATGTTATTTTATGCACATGTTAAGCGTGAAGGAAGGTCTTAGTGAACGTTTACTTATATCTAGGAAGATTCTACCATCACCGTTTATCCTCAATGAGGCTGATTATGTCGTCGTTGATATTATTCTGTTTGACCTCTTCAATGTCGTGCCATCTATCCAGCTCTGGGCGTCAATATGATCCTTTTGGAAACCTGTGAGTCTCAGTTTCACTTTCACTTTCAGAAAGGAATTCGCTTTCTATGAAACCACTCAGCTGAACGCGTACGACTGTATACTATGAGCGAAATCAAGATCGCATACTGTTGGAAGCTTCATGATCTTTGCTTCGCTAAACTAATTTCTTGCGGTTTCCTGGTCGACTTTATCCATGATCTTAATCTCGGCTCCTTGTCAGTCAAGTAGAAGATAAATACAGTAGTAATTTTATGGAATATAGACTAATTTAACGCGGTTTGTACGGATGTAAGACGGGGTATTATTGTGTAAAACGCGAAAGAATAACAAACAGAAAAGCGGAGATCTTTCGTTCGCCACCCGCATTCGCTTCCCGTCCGAGTACGTCAATGCCTGTTCAATCAACTGATTCGTACACCGCAGTAAAGGTAAAGATAAGATGCAACTCCGTAGGATGTCCTGGCTAACGGTATATCGACTGAAGCGCTATCGTGCGGGAGAATAGGGTTTCGTAGAGTGCAGGAAGGTAAATGCTTTCTTTTCATTCATTAGAAAGCCTTAGATTTGCTCCTTCTGGCGATGATACTGTGGTAGGATTCAGTTCCTTGAGTAGGGCTTTCTCTTTCTCTATTTGCGACACGTAGGCCTGTAAGTCTTCCATATCATGAAGGAAAGCCCATGAATGTATGGCTAAAAAACCCAGAGTGGCGGCGCCGGAGCCCCAGAATGCTATATTGAGCCAAACGCCTGCATTTTCGTAGCTCCAGCCGTTCAGGAAGCGAATCCATGATGCGACTGACATACATATGACACTTGCAAAAAGTGCGAAGGTGTAGACAGGGCGGAGGCGTAATGGAGGTTCCTGTAGGTTGCGGCCCTTAGCAGAGTCCCAAGCCAGCGGCGAATCCAAGACCATGGCCGTGCTGTGTGTTGTGGAGGAAAGAGACTGGAGTATCGGTAGGGGGAAGATAGATTGGGACTGTCGAGTAAGAGGGTACCGGGAAAGAGGACACAGTTGTCTCGGTGAAAAGTCATACTCGTGCGCTTGAGCGCCATAAAAGTATTGATGTTAGGCCAACGCGATGCCCTTTGCTTCTGCTTCGCCTAACAAGGCAAGAAAGCGCAGATCACGTGTGCGGGGGCCCTTATTGACGCTAAAGCGCATAGGTGGTCTGATGGTGCGTTTCGGTCTCGACACTCGTGGTGGTGAATCTTCGTGTGCGTCGCGATCGGGGGTTTAAGGGGTTCGCATCGCGGCCCGTCCCGACATTTTTCGCGTTGGTACCGTCGCAACGTGGTACAATCCTGGGTACAGTCGTCGCCGGTTGTCGATATTTCGCGAATGCTCGAACCTCAAGCATATCTGAAAGGTATACAGTACGCCCCGCAACTGGTGCAACCACTAGCCGACATATTGCGGGATGTTTTCACTAACTTCGATACGCCGACACCTCGGTACCCAACGAAAATCATCGTCCTTTGGTACGCGCAAATCTTTGATTCATGATGTGACATGTGATGTGAACTGATTTTGCATATGATCGGCTAATTATCGGATGGCGGTAGGCGGCCTAAGCGTTCAATTATCACTCAACTCGCGTTGACGGATAAAAAGCAATTTGACTGACACCCCTCACAGGTGTACATACATTCATGATATTCGACTTTGGTGAAACGTTAAGAGGTTGAAGAATGGACAATCGAAGGCACTAGTAGCCTTGTAAGAGTCTCACATCAGCATTAGACAAAAGTGGGTCGCAGGATCACCGCTGGACCTGATTACAATTTCCAACGCTCTTCCACTTCTCCCTCTCTACATCTCGACATGGCTGGAATTCTAGGCCCCCGGGCCATCTTCTGGGCCTTTATCGTCCTCGCCACAGGCATGATTTACAGAACATACCTACATACCTTCATCTCCCTCACCCTCGGTATTGGACGAGAGATCCAACCAATCGAGGACTTCCCATGGACCTGTACACGCGTCCGGCACCCCCTCTTGGAGGGCTGTGAAGACCTATGGCTCGATGAACAGGACCGAAAGCTGTACGCAGCATGCAGCAGCCTGGAGTCTCGCAAGGGTTGGTCGCCTGCAGGCAGCCTTTACAACATCTCCGCGAGATCCCGCACGGATCACATCGCTGTTATCAATGTTGACCAACCTGGCTCAGATGGACTGTACGGTCTACGCCAGCTCAAGGTCGGCGGATATCAGGATGATCTTGACTTGCATGGATTTGATGTCCGCAAGATTGAAGGCCGGCTTCGGTTCTGGTTGATCAACCACAGACCTCCTGTTGACCATGTCACTGGAGAATTCCTTGATGCTCGGGTCGTTGGGGCAAATTCTACTGTTGAGATATTTGATCTGGATGAGACCTCGGACACGCTTGAGCATGTTAAGACTGTAGCCAGCGAGGCGATTCTCACGCCCAATGGCGTGGCAGTGGAAGAAGATGGTCTGGGATTCGTGATCACAAACGACCACAACACCAAGACTGGAACCTTCCGTGATCTGGAATTGCTGTCTGGAGGCGGAAGTCTCGCATACTGTCGGTCTGACACAGGGAAATGCCATATCGCGGCTGATAAGGGATTCTCCATGGCTAATGGAATAGCCCACGACAAGAATGGCTACTACTACGTCACTAACTCTGCGTCTGGGCTCATCACCGTTCATAAACTCGTCAATAACGAATTGATCCAGGTTGAATCGATCAATACCGGGTACCCAATGGATAACCTGTGGCTTGATGCGGATGGCAACCTCATTGCAGCTGCGTTCCCTGATTCAATTGCCCTTGTGAAATCCAGCATGGATCCATACAATATTGTTGCCCCTGCTACTGTCCTCATGATCAATGACATTGCAAAGCAGTTGAAGACTTATGGAAAGAATGTCAAAGTGTCAAAATTGGCGGAGGATAGAGATGCTAAGAGCCTTCCCAGCACGACAGTCGCTGTGCATGATGCGAAGGGTCATAAGCTGTTTTTGGCGGGTATATTCTCCCCGTTCATCACAATTTGTGAGCAGCGTCTCTAATTATCTATGCCCAAGAGATGAAAATGATATCGGTCGATATATTCCAGAGACTTTTTTGTACATAACTCTAGACGCAGAACACTCACTCCGGTAGGCTGTGATAGATGCAAGGGGGATGAACGTTCATTAAGTGTTTCCTCGAGGCTGAGTGACTCGTAGACAGATGGTGCGGATTCAAAATCCAAATAGTAACCAGGAGAGGGAGCATATAGGGCCAGCTGAATCTTGCTTTGTTGCGGATTTCGTTGAAGAAATCGAGGGAGGCTCTGAAGTTGACTTCAAAGTGTTAAGCCTCGAATTTAGCGCAGAAACGAGGGCAGGATTCGTTGATCCCGAAGCCGAATTCAATGCAGAACTCAATGCTGAAATCAGCGCAGAAGTCGGTGCGGATATTAGAGCTGGATCTAGCGGTGGATCTGGTACTAGATCTGGTGCTGGGTCTAGTGCTGGGTCTGATGCTTAATCTAGTGCTTGATCTGGTTCGGGATTCGAATCGGAACTTGACACTGATCCTGGTATAGGACTGGATGAAGGACTAGATACGGAATTGGATGATGTACCTGTGCCCTCTGATAGATGGTCCTGCACCTGCTTTCGCTGTAAAACCCTCTCTATCTCGTTATCCTTTCCCTCGAGGAGTGATTCCTGGGTGGCTTTGGGAGGCTGCTCTGCCACATTTGCTAATTATGTGAGACTACAAACCTGCGAATATCCTGCTTTCAGACATCCAGCCTGGCCCTGTCATCGCTAAAGTGGGAGATTTGGGACTCGGTGAGCACATATTGACAGACAAGTCGCGCTTTCACTAATACGCTTATAGTATTCCGGTCGGCAGTCGTTTCAATGCTCAGCCTTATGCCATGCGCGCCCCTGAAGTCTTCGTAGGCCAAGCATGCACTGAGAAATCGCAGGTTTGGGCAATTGCGGCAATGGTGCTTTGCTGGATAAGACCTATACTGGGTGAATGGGATAGCCCTCATCATCTGATTAACGAGGCTTGGTGTATGGCGAAGATTAAAAGACTCTTCCCCCACGGAAACATTTCTACTCCTGAACAGGTGGATGGAGATATCCTTAAAGCCGCAGTTGGCTCTGCCAAGGATTTCAGTGAAGTGGAGCCAACATTGCAAGTGATCTTACCTTTCGATCAGGAGACTGCAAAGGTTGCGATGCCACATCAGTTGAGAGATCTTTTTCGGTGTATGTTGGTAGTAGATCCTGATCAAAGGCCCTCCGCTTCATTCGTGTTAACATCGAAGGAGCTTCGAGACTTTGAGAAGGTCGTGGACGTATAATTTAATTGACCTAGAGAACCGCATCCTGTCCGAGCGGATAGATAGTTAATCAAATACTGCTCCTGTTTCGTCATTCAATGCATGGAATGCTTAAGATCGTGTTGCTCTTGTTCCTATCCTGCCTTTTTTCTGTTGTTGCAGAAAGTTGCCTCCCCAACCGGTATCACACCTATTAGTCTTAGGGAGATTTTTGACATACTGCCATGCTTCGTGAACAAACTTTTTCTTCTGGGGTTGAGTTTCATCATGAAATGCCATGAGGGGCCTTTTAATGAAAGAAGGGGGCATTGCTCCAACTAAACAGGTTTTCACTTTGCTACCGAAACACTGACATTCCAACGAGAAACAAGTTAGACCTTTCAAATATGAAAAGATCTCGATGGGCCGTGCATACGGACAAAACGTGAACTGTTTTGAGTCGCAGATGGCGCTCAACCTCTCAACCTGCCATCGGCATATGGGAGCACGCAGCCGAGCGCGACCCAAAATTGTATGACTACTCTTGGGTCATGCTCAGCTGGAACCTGTGACCGACGCACCCTACTGAGATCTCAGCAACTGTTGGAAGGGTTAAGGGCAACATGGCAAAGATGCCTTGGGAAGGCTTGGAATAACTACGAAAATGTCTGTGGCGCCCGGTACAGAGAAGGGAATTTGTGTACAAATCAAATCATTGGTATTGTGATGATGCCCCACTCCGGGAACTAAACAGGTCGGGAGCGACCCGAAAGTGCTAAGGTTTGGTCCTGGCCTGCAGCCCAAAGCTTATGGTGGGGATACCGAGTCTCATTGGCCATTTGAAACACCCCTTCCTTGGCGCCTACTTTAGAAACAAGGAGGACGGTGGGCGTGGACAGGCCAGATCGCCAGATTTTCGCTTGAGGGCAAGTCGAAGATGATCCACGACTCTTCCATAGAGGTTGATGTACATACCCATCCATCCAACCAAGCCGACTGATGCCCGCCACAATGCACATCCATTTAGTTGACTATGCGCAACGCGACGCAATCCGAAATGAATCGAATCACGGAATCGACCTCGAGGTTGGACCTCTGTCGTCTGGCTCCCAGGTCTCCTCGACAGGGCGAGAGAGTTCTATCCCGGACGTATCCACCACCGCAGCAGCAAGAGTCAACTCTACCGATACATCCAAACGCTGTAGACGACGCTCGAACACTGCCCGCTCCTACTGCGCCGAAGGGCTCGCTCCCGAATCCACCTGGCAACCCGGCACAGAACCAGGTATCGATCCCACAAAACCGCTACCTTCATACAGCTCAGGATGGGCGTTGAACGTCCCTGGTGACCTACAGCGGCCTTGTGAAATTACAGTGGTTGATTTCTCCGAGAATGAAATGCAGCAATACGAACTCGATAACGATACTCTCGAGCAATTTTTATCACGCGACCGAGAACCTTGGGTACAATGTCGTTGGATTAACGTCAATGGACTAAGCTGGGATGTGATCAGAACTCTCGGTAAACACAAGGGGCTACACCGGCTGGCAATCGAGGATCTTGTCCACGCAACAAATCGCATCAAAGCAGATTGGTATTCGGACCATGCGTTTGTTGCGTTGACATTGCAGAAGCTAGTGGAGCTTCAGCAGGAAACCAGACATTCTGAGGACGAAGACGAAGACGAACCTGGGGGTGCATGGATCTCTAAATTCAGGAAGAATTCAACCGCAAGCCATCAAACCTCGACGACTATGAAGCCGCCTACTAAGCGGCGTGTCATCTGGGAGGCTCTCAAGGACATATTCGGATCTAAACAATCGTCAATTCGATATGAACACAAAAAGGTCACAGTCAAATCAAGCATCCGGCCTGATTTCGATAGTTCATTATCAAAACAAGCCTCTCAATCTAGAGATGTCGCTTCTGCGACCCAAACTACAGCTCGGTCTCTCCAGCGCTACCGCGGTGGGCCAAACGAAGATCGTATTGAATTTATGGAGCGCCATGCGGCACTTGCGTCCAAGGGACTCTCAGTAACATTAGAGCAAGTCTCGATCTTTCTTCATGCCGACAATACTGTCACATCATTTTTTGAAACGAGTGCAGATGACATAGAGGCACCTCTAGTGCGACGTTTGAGTTCTCCCGAGACTATTCTTCGACAGTCATGCGATGCAAGCATGCTCTTGCAAGCGATTATAGATGGCGTCATTGATCTTGCTATTCCGGTCACCATGGCCTATCAAGACGCAATTGGGGACCTAGAGCTAGAAGTTTTGACTGCTCCAGATATTGACAAGTCAAAGAGATTGTATATCTTGGCATCTGAAATTGCAGTGCTCCGCAAATCCATGCAGCCAACGGTGGCCGTGATCAATGCTCTCCGCGATCACCAATCTCAAATTGGTCTCGGCGGCTTGCGCAGTCCCCCGCTCAGTCCCGGCATTGTCCCGGGAGAATCTTATCTTCATCCTCACATCGGAACTACAAACTCTATTTTGAAGGGTCTTGGTGGCTCGGGTATTAAAATCAGCACCATGTGCCATACCTACTTGGGTGACGTTTTGGACCATTGTATCACTATTGTGGAAGGGTATGATGAAATGCGACGTTCTGCAGACAACATGATTGATCTTATTTTCAACATGATCGGTGAGGGAATTGGTTCTCTTTCTCTAGGGTGCAAAATGGCAAAACTGATCTTCTCCAGGTGCCAACCAGAACCAGAGTATGAAGCGACTGACACTTGTCACTTGTCTATATCTTCCATTGGGATTTTTGACAGTATGTACCAAGTTCACCTGTCTCGACTGCAGCCACTAACTGGCTCTCAGTCTTACTTTGGTATGAATTTCAACAAGAATGAATTTGCTGGCATCAGACACAGTGACTCGTTTGTTTTGCTCGATTCCACTATGCCAGGGGGGCGCGAATACTAATTCCATTCCCAGGTACTTCTGGAAGATTGCGGTGCCATTCGTGGTTGTGACCACGCTCTTGTTGATGTAAGTCTATGTTTTCTGCTGCTCTGGGTACGAGAGATATTGATGCTTTTATCTCTAGGCGTGACAAAATTCAGCGCTATGCTGTCACCCTCGCCCAGCGACGACTAATATTAAGCTCAAGAAAGCAACGGCACCAGAAGAAGTGAATCTAGCAACAGTCTGTATATACTACGGTGTATCCCCTCTCGGCTTTTGTTACGAGCGTGTGGCCGTTTTCCTTTGTTCGTAAGAGCTCAGTCGAAGACTCAGTTTTGACATATCTCTTGTTTGAGTGCTGTGCCCCTACGTCCTTGCGTGGAGATGGGGATGGAGATGGAGGAGGCCATGTAAATTGCTCTTACGGACCATGTCGTCCTCAATGTGTCCAGCGTGATTAGCTCCGTAGGGATCTCGGATCTCCGAAATATCCTCATGAGGGTTAATATGGAAAGACTAGAACCTTATATCTTGTACTTATAACAATCAATGGCGATCTTCTCCATCTTAAATACAGTCGTTCTCGAAATTGGCTTGACCAGTAGAGTGCGTCCCAAAACTGGTGCATCCACCTAGTTATATAACGTATTTGGTAAGCGAGTGATCTAGTTCGGAGCATCGGACGTAATATGGCGCCGTAATTTAATCGGTTAGTCGAACTCGGTTCTAGACCTCCATAGGCGTCCTACATCTACTTTTTATGTAACCAAGTGTCGTGTTATTGAAGATAGCTAACCCTGTTAGGCTAACAAGCTTCTCATCTGTATTACCATCTCAGGTATCGTACTGCCCAAGGCACCTACTCACCGTGACTAGTTAGCAACGTGTGACAGCCAGTGCCCATGGAAGGGTACGGCCGAAGTAGGGAGTAGGGCTAAGCTAGAGAGTATAACTGTATAAAGCTTATAGTGCTAACTGCTTCATGATACTGTATCATATTGCAGACAGGCGACTCGTTTCACATTCGGAGGGATTCGGATTTGAAAGTTGAGAGCAGATATGACCTGGATTCTTTGAGATTTTTCTGAACATGATGCTATTTCTGGTATTTAGGTCGCTAGAATTGATGGTTAGGACGGTTACAGATCCATCAAGCATCCATACTGACGTAAATCTTGATTTTATTAACGAAAGATTTCTCAGTTACCACCATGCAATTGAGGCCTTCTCCTGCTTTTATATGAAATAAAGTATTCACAAAATGCAACGAAGCAAAATATCGTCGAAAAGATAAAAGTGGAATTAAACATGCGTGTACTCTTGCAAGTCTAGACGGAATCAATACCAGCCGGCTATACAGGCGAGACTATCTTTTTATAGCTGAAGGCTCTCAGCGACGGTCACTTTAAACCCCCGAATCCTTGATGATTTGCCAAAGATTCACCACGCTGTCATTTTCCCACCCCTGATAGCGAATATTATCAAGAATACTAGTCAAAAGAGCACGGTCGCTGTGCGCAATCGAAAGCTCCCCGTCTTGAGCAAGCATACGCTCGGCCACTTTCTGATACGCCAGTCGTTGGGCGCGATGTTTGATGGTATTTCGAATCTCAAAATATAACCATCGCCGACAGCTTGCCAGAAACTTGATCCGTTCAAAGGCAGGCAGCCCATCCAGCTCATCCCTCGAATCGCCAGCAGGACCGCCTCGCGTGAACACCCGCTGTTCTATCTCGCTGGCCGTCAGCTCATACGCCTTATTTTGCACCAGTGTCGCCAGCTCGACGGCCGATATGGGACTGGCCGCCTTCAACATTCGACCGGTGGTCAAGTGCTGAAGCGAACGTTGCGCCAAGAGATAGTCCACAACGTGCTCGGCCAAATTATCGGTGAGGGATTCGTAGGTATGCTTTTTCTTCCCATCTTGTACCGCTTCTATCTCAGCCGTGAATAGCACGGTGAGAAGCTCGCTGAAGATGACCCCGTCTGAGTATAGAGGGTCGGGCTCTGCGGTGTGCATATTGGGGCTCCGGATCAAGGCCGTGAGCTTGGATGGGAGTTTGATGAGATCTGTGAAGTACTTAGACCCGTATAACTCGGGGGCCACGGACGCAGCAGAAAGATGGGCAAAGTCATGGAGATCCCACAGTGCAGAGGGTTGGTCCAGCAGCCGGATACTTTCTCCGTCATAATCTTTTGCCCGCACCGCGATGCAGTTGATGCCAATTGCTGATATAGCAGTTGGGGGAATAAGCCTTGTCTGGTAGTCAACATTTAAATCCGAACTATTAACAAGCCGATGGACACCATAATTTATTGCCCTGTTGGAGTTACTATCGCACGAGAGAAAGCCGTTGATTCTGTTGAATAGCGGGCGGTTGGACTCAGTTGTCGACAAAAACTCTTCTCGGCACTCCCAGCGAGCAGCGAAGTATAAGACTCCATATTTGTGGACAGATATCGCTGCCACCCACAGCCGTTCATCTTGGTCTATCGTGGCGAGTAGCGAGTGATTATCTTGCCTCTCCAAGAGAGTCTTGCACCCTTCTAAGATATACTTAAGAAGGGCACCTTTCACGGCTTTGACATGGAGCCGAATTCTTGCCGCATCGTCGAAATGGGGATATGGAGGGGTTCGGCCATCTAACCACTCTGTCGATGGATCATAAGAAGGGTTGAGATTTTCAAAGGGTTGTAGTGTCGCCCTGGGCGATATGCAAGGATGTTGCAGCCCATCGTTGTATATAGACTCCGCCAGTGGGTCTTTGAGATATCGGTGGAGGAAATTTTGTAAGACTCGCGTGATAGCGTACATGGTGTAGTTAATCCAGAAATCCGGCGAAGCTAGGCCCCCTTTTTGCTCTGCAGGCGATGACTGCCCGACAATATCCCGCTGCACTTGCATTTTATATGCATGTTGGGATTAGGGCTAGCAACGACATTCCAGTACGCAGCTGAAGTGGATCGGGTTTAAAGTGGGAAGAGTAAGTGATTGGCGCTCCCGTTAGCGTTCAGGCACCCGCAGACCGCTGGGGCTACTGCAAAATTAGCTATACTGCGTAGCACTCCAAGATATCTTGGCTCCAATCGTAGGGGCAATTTCCGAGGCTCTCGTAGCGATCTACGGTGGCTAGATTAGGCTCCTAAGTGTAGGCAGAAGGCCAATTATGCCGTAAGGGATACTGTGAGCCCAACAAAAAAATGCATTAAGTAGGCCCCTATCAAACTCTCAGCAAAAATAGGCCCGGCCGGACAACCGGACTCCGTGCGACACGGCCAGGGTAGCAATAAGTGGGCTTCTTCTTCCCCACAGACAAACATCAAAAATATACTAATAATATTAAGAAGATCCCTATATCTCTTTTGTGGGCCTCAAAGCCTAAAGCCTGATGAGGCTGACGTTACATCGCGTAGACATTAGTTGGCCCGCCAATCATAAATGCAGCTCGGACGGCGCGAGCCAAAGACCTGCAGAATGGGGGCGGTTGCTTACGGGCCATATCCCTTTTTGGGTCAGCTAGCTCAGTTAACGATTATAGAGCTAAATTATATGAAGATAAATATTGTATTTAAGTACACGTAGGCCTAACTACAGAGGACAAGGTGGTATATATGAGATCTCCATTCTCGGAGTGATCATGTATGAAGCTATAGGCATATCTTGTTCCTATAGGGCCTCAATATCAACAGTCTTCGTCTGCTAGATAGAAATGGGTATATTGAAACCAAACGAATTGTATCCGACTACCGCGGTGTCTGAAATCATTAACAAAGCTCACTCATAATTCCTCAAGGGGACAAAATTGATCTGACTTACTCGTGCTGTGACTAACTTCGGCCACCTATTCCTTGAAACGTTCATACATACTACATAACAAGCCCTACAGGTAGGAGGGGGCTAAGAAGCGGATTTACCACTACAAAGTGGGACGAGCCCATACATCGAGGTATTATACGCTAAAACATATCACTAGCTAGGCCGCGCAAGCTCGCGTGAGATTTTAGGCTGGGGAAACGACTAAAATGAAGAATAAAGTACTCTCGCCGTGTCGCACGGAGTCCGGTTGTCCGGCCGGGCCTATTTTCGCCGAGAGTTTGACAGGGGCCTAGCACCCAGCGATCTGCGGGTCCCTGAACGCTAACGGGAGCGCCGCTCACTTACTCTTCCCACTTTAAACCCGATCCACTTCACCCGCGTACTTTAGGGATCCACTGGAACTAAGCAACTAAGATAACTTGGCTCGCTTGGGAGCCCAGGATAGCCTCTGCTGATCCTGAACTGTTTAGCCTTCTCTTGGCGGCTTATCTCGTTTTTTTACGATCTTCTTTCCCGCTTGACTCATTCTCTTAGCAAATCTCAAATGCAAGTTCCTCCCGCCCATGGCGCCCATTGAGTTGGTTGAATCGAAAGGCACGGTCGCGGTCTCCGGAGGCCAGGCAACGGAGCCAGATGAGCTGGTCGATCGTGGAGCCCGCGCCTGGACAGTCGTGCTGGGAGCTTGGTGCTGTCTCTTCTGCGGCTTTGGCTGGGTGAATGGTGAGTTCCCTTCCGTTGCAGTTCACATGTGTGCCGGATTAGCCCCACCATATTTGCCCCCATTTGCCCGTTTCGAACCCGCAGATAACCTAATGCAGTCCTTGTTACGACCCGTCAGCCATCGGCATCTTTCAAGAGTATTACCAAAACCACCAATTACGCTCATACTCGTCCTCGAGCATCGCCTGGATTCTATCCTTAGAACCGTTTGTGCTCTTTGCAGCCGGACTGGTCATTGGCAGAGTGAGTTCAGCCCCGAACTTCCCAGAACGAGGAGTGTTCAATAATCACTAATCCTCATGGCCTCGCCAGGTATTCGATAATCATGGACCCAAGTGGCTGCTGCTCATCGGGACCTTCCTGCATGTCTTCGGGCTGATGATGACCTCGATTTCCAAGGAGTACTACCAATTCCTCCTTGCCCAAGGGATCTGCAGCCCGCTAGGAGCCAGCTTGGTCTTCTCTCCCGCGCTCTCCTGTGTCGCCACATGGTTCGACAAACGCCGTGCCTTGGCCTTTGGTGTCGTATCCAGCGGCTCCTCGCTGGGCGGCGTCGTGTTTCCAACGATGCTGTCGCGACTCTTGCCTACGATTGGCTTTGGATGGACACTGCGCATCACCGCCTTCATCATTCTTGCCCTCCTGATCATTGCCAATCTGACGGTCCGGTCGAGAATTGCACCGGTCCCGCGGCCCGTCAAGTTCAGTGATTACACAAGTCCGTTCTCCGAGATCCCGTTTGTCCTGCTCATGCTGGCGTCCTGTTGTGGATTCTTTGCCATGTTTGTGCCAATCAATTATATCGTGCTTGAAGCCCAGCAAGATGGAATTGACCGTGACCTCGCTGGGTATCTCTTGACTATACTGAATGCCGCCAGGTGAGTAACAGCCAGTACTGGTCGATCCCCCCTTTCTACTGTTCATTCAGATAATACGAGTGGTTTGGCTAATTCCTCGTCTTTCCACCTGGGCTCAAAGTCTCCCGGGCCGAATTCTACCGGGCTATCTCGGCGACAAACTGGGACGCTTCAATATCATGATCGCCATGTGCTCCCTGTCCGCGGTTGTGATTCTGGCTCTGTGGCTTCCGAGCACGCTCCTCTCGCCCGGCAGTGTTGCGGTCTACGTTATCTTCAGCATGATGTATGGCTTTGCCTCCGGTGCGTTTGTGGGCATGGTCCCGGCGCTGCTGAGCCAGATTTCGCCCGATGTGACCAAGATCGGGGTTCGACAGGGTGTCTTGTTTACCTGTATCAGTATTGCCTCGCTGACGGGTAGTCCCATTGCGGGCGCCATCTTAAACAGCCAGAACGGCACCTATTGGGGATTACAGGTCTTTGCTGGGGCCATGATGACTGCCGGGGTGCTTTTCTTCGTGGCTGGGAGGATGGTTCTTGCGGGCCCCTCGATGGCGAAAAAGGTTTAAACTGCACCGTTCATTGCAAAAAAAAGACTCTATTTATATATAGCTATCACATAGTTGGGCCATGTTCACATCTAAACTTGTCAATCCTTTGGGGTCGTGCGTGGTCCACCGGATGGAAACGTTGTTATAGATCTATCGCATGCCATTAGCCCTAGCGTGGAACCCACTACCACACAGCCCACGTAGATGATTCCCTCGTTCGCTTGGTATGATTGGATTCGCACTCACATTCGTCCACTCGGGATGATGCCGATGTTCCTTCGCAGCCTCTGCCACCTTGTTCATGAACGCCTTATTGAATCGAACCAGTCAGCATAGGAACCATATCATGCGCAAGAAGCGAAAACCACCACTCACCCACGCCTTATTAAACCCCGCGAACTGAAAGTCTCGCTGAATCGCCAATCCCTCACTCTCCAACCGCCACGCCCCGCCATTCTCAACCAGCAAACCCTCCACTCCCACCACCACCCGCGACACATCCTCCCCCGCTGCCACAACCGGTCCCTCCGCCTCAACCATTCTCCCTCCATAGATCTTATCCCCAATATCACCATGCGTATACGGCACTAGATATCCCCGCTCATCGCACCGCTCCGCCCGCCGCCCCACAACCACATACTTCACGCCCGGACACGCCGCAACCCGCTCCAGCGCAGTCGGTGCCGCATAGCAGCAGCACACCACCATGGACGCAGTACCACCGCTGAGTGCCCACAACTCCGCGCATAGCTGCACGATCGTGTCACCCGTCGCGACGACCGTGTCCAGCACGACGAGCCGGCCGTCGTCATGCGCCGCCGGGAACGGGCGCCGGCCAAGCCACTCGACGACCACGTCGGCGGTGCCTTTGGTCTTGCTGCAGCGGGCGAGGATGCTGGAGGAGAGTGGGAGATTAGGCTGTGCGGCGACGAGCATGGGGAGGGCGCCGCGGAGGATGGGGATTAGGGTTGTGGGGGTGTGGGCGAGGGTTGGGTCGTTGGTGTGCGCTGTTGTGAGGATTTGGTGGGTGAGAGCGTGGATGGTGTCTTGCATTATTTTTGGGGTTGTGGAGGGGGCGCAGAAGGTTGTCATCAGGGCTGTGAGGGCTGGGGTTGAGGGGACTTCGATTATGGGGGCAGGGCCCTTGGAGTCGGTGGTGAGTGTCATTGTGGTTGTGTGGTTGATTGCGTGTCTGCGGCGAGAGGAATTGGTGAAGATCTGGGGTTAAGATCTTCGAGATTTTGAGATGGCGCGCATCTTTATTGGAACCTGGGGCCAGGCTGAGTCTGTATATGTGTTCAGGCTGGGTACGCATACATCGGCTGGGATGAACTTACCTGGTGTTTACCGTAGTTTACCATAGTTCACTATATTTTCCCGCAGTGGACGGTCCAGTGGGTCTCTGGTTTTCTCACGGGTAACTCCACAATATCTCCGAAATTACTTGCTGATTGTGGGCCTAAAGGGCTTCACGGTCAGACAATATGGTTATGCATGGAGAGGCTGATAGGATTAGGTTAGAGTGTTAGTCACTGGCTTTTCTTACGCCCCGGAAGTCTCGCAAGGTCACATTAGCTGCATCGTTTCATGCAACCCTCTTCGGCGCTAAGCAGATCCTTGTCAAGCAGATCCCTGTCTCTTCATTTATTTATTTTTTGGCTTCTTATTTTTCGGTCTTTAGCTCTATCACGTGCGGGGTTCGCTTCACATGCGACTTTCCATGATGGCTTCAGAGAGACTGACCATTCCTTGAAACCCACATCTGGTCTCCTGCTTTTCAAGCCCTGGCGTGAATTGTCCTCCCATCTCTCCAATTGCACTCCAATTGCGCTGTTGCACTCACCACCGCCGCCACCATGACCACGCTCGCCATCTTCGATTTCGACGGCACCCTCTTCGACACTCACGAGTCCATCTCACAAACCATCAAATTGACCTTCGACGCCCTCCTCCCCGCCCAAGTTCCTCCCCAAGACTCCATCCACCGCCTCATCGCCAGCGGCGCCGGCCTGGCCGACACCTTCCAAGCCCTCCACCCCAACCCCGCCGCCTTCACCCCCGCCGTGGAAACCCAATGGATCGACCAATACCGCGCCCTCTACGCCACCCACGGCCAAACCCTCGTCAAAGCCTTCCCAGGCGCCCAAGCCCTCCTCGCCGCCCTCACATCCCGCCAGATCCCCATCGCCATCGTGAGCAACAAGGGCGTGGCAGCCGTCAAGACCGCCCTCGAACGCAACGGTCTCACCGGCGCCGTGCTGGACGACCTGATCATCGGCGACAAGACGCCTGGCGCGAAGCGCAAGCCCGACCCGGCCAGCTTCGTGGACGTCCTGCTGCCCGTGCTGCGCGAGAACTACGGGCTGGGCGCCGTGGACCCGGCGTCTGTGATGGTGGTGGGCGATACGCTCGCGGATGTGCAGTTTGCGCGCAATATCGGGAGTAAGGTGTGTTGGTGCCGGTTTGGGTATGGGGATCCGGCGGCGTGTTTGGCGGCGGGGCCGGATTTCGTGGTGGATTCGTTGGCGGAGGTGGTGGGGATTTTTAATTAAGGAGTAACTTCATGTGTTAGGGTCGCATTTTGGGGACGGGTTGCAGGGTATGGGTGGGCTGGCGAGATTGGAGGGGCCTTGCGATTTTGCTTGGTGGGCTTTGGCTTTTCGTGTGTGTGGATTTTCGTTGCATATTCTTTGTTAAAAGCTTTGTTATAGAGGCTCCGATGCGGGGCTGGTCTCGGGCCGCCCGGCGGACGACAGCGGCCTAGGGTCAAAACTCCACTTGAGTGCATAATATAGTAATATACATAGACATCTCAGGTAGTAAATTTCTGCCAGCAATTTCAAATTGTCTCCCTTAACGTACTCAGGTCGACCTCAATGAAAATGTGAGTGTGGTATTTCTATGCTTGGCATATTACTAATTACTTCAATGACCGCCGATCTTATATAACTAGTATAGTTCAATACATCACTATTTCAATCGTTCCCGTTGAGTTCTTACCATAACCATCATGGCTACCCCCTACCAGGCGCCGGTTTTGGGTGGGGCTGTAATCCAACTCCAGGCAACCATCAACACACAAATCCACTGCAATAAGACTTCATCCAGTTAGGTGTCAGACTTCTCAAACCAAATTAACGTGTTGGGCATATCGGCAAAGTCTACCGCCGCACCGAACTTGGCAGCCCTGCCTGCTGCATCGATGTGAAACTCGGCTTTGATAGTGGTTATCGGATCTATTCTCCACCGGAATATGTACAACTCCGCAAGGAAGAACTCGCCAGATACGTGTATTAGGCTCATGCTCGCATTCAAGTCTCCGGTGACAGTCACTTGCAGGATCTGCTCGCCAGGTTTCACGCTGATGATGAAGTCTGGGTAGGCAGGATGCGTATATGTGCCGGCGTAGTCTGCCAGCGGGAGTGAATGGGAACGGCCAGGCCAGGGAGCAGACGGATACAGGCGTTCACGAGCGGTGGAACGTTGCTCTCTGGATTTGGCAACACCTTTTTGCACCCTAGGACATGTTAATATTACCCAAAAAGTCGAGAACGGAACTTACACATCGTAGAGGTCTAGACGATCCTCCTGCGGGACATTCAAGAGATTATCGATGAGATGCCACGCTAGCGATTCCCGCCCTGGGCTTGCGATATTACAGAAGACGACGATGCCCCAGTCTCGATCAGGGAGGTAGATCATCGTGGCCGTCATCCCTTCGAGGACTCCAGGGTGCAAAATAACATTTTCGCCGCGATACGTCGCCGACATTAGCCCAAGGGTATATGTCATCTGGTTCTTCAGCGGCGGCTGCATCTCCGGCATGAAAGATCGCGGCTGCAGCAGAGCCGCATACCCTGCCTTAGATATTGGGCCCGACTGCCGGATAAGTGAGCGAATATACTTAGCATAGTCAAGGACTGTGGAGATAACGGCACCGGCACCGCTCAGCGTTCCCTTAGAGTGAGGAACCTCTTTAATCTCCTCGGAGGCCTCATCCCAGGCGTATGGCTTAGCGAGTGTCACATCGCTCGACGTAGCGTATCGTTGCGCGTCAGTGAGTGAGAAAAAGGTTGAGTGCATCTCAAGCGGGTCCCAGATCCGTTTGCGGAGAAAGTCGCCCAGCCATTCTCCGGTCACCACCTCGATCGCATGCGCGACCGTGATGAACATAGCATTGCAGTACTGCCAGGTTGTGCGGATCTCCTTGTCCATCGGCAGGTGACGCAGGTTGCGGACTACATCCCGCACCGTCCCCGCGCGGCCCAGTGTCAACAAATGCCCCGGCAGGCCCGTCCGATTCGACAGCGCGTCCTCCAATGTGACGTGCAATGTCGCATACTCGTCCTGCAGGACGAAGTCATCGCGGATGAGCTGGCTGAGCGGCGTCGTCCACTTAATGTGAGAGTATCTTTCGTCGTCGTCGACAAGCAGCGAGGCCGCAGCCGCCGTGAAGGACTTAGTCGTGCTGCCGGCGTAGAACATGGTGGAGGGTCGGACAGGCACATCGGGGAGCGCAGCAATTCCATAACCCTGTCATATTAGTACGTATACAATTGGGTAGCGTAAGTAAGCGGCATACCTCCGACCACGTATCGTCCCCATCAATGACAGCAATGGCGACACCCGGGATATGCCACTTCTCGAGCGTACTTTGCACAAGCTGAGCAAAGTCCTCGTCGAGGGGAGAGACTTTGGAGGGTTCAGAAGTCTCTTGATGATCTATAAGTACGGAGGGGTTGATCTCCTCCGCTGCTATCGTCGGTACCGCTGAGTTGCCTAGAGCTGCCATAGTGGGCTAATAATTGAGAGGATAAATAAACTGGCAGCACAAGAGAGGGGTTCTGATCACAGCGGATTCAGGCACCCCCTTAATTTAGTCTCACTCTTTCTGGCACTGCGGGGGCGGAGAACGGGCGTAAGACAGCAGGACGGCGCTAGACGTTTTGGGCAAACATGATGAGGAAGATACGCGATTGGCTAATGTTTATCTATATTTTCGCTTGTTTGCTAAGTTTTCACCGCACCTTCTATCCTCTAAAACACGGTATCGCCCATCCTGGAATTATACAGAGCTCGATACTGCTAGCTATTTGCTAAGAAGACGGGCAAGAACCGGAAGATAAGTCCTATCTAGCTCAGGTTGGCCTTTCGGACGTGAAAGGATCTCCGTGAGACTTTCATTTAGGTCCCAGTTTGGGTCCTCGAATGTACGACAGAGAGTAGCAGCGATAATGAGCAAGGGAACGGATAATGCCACTAGCCTTTGAAGATCTCCGTCACCGGGCCAGTCTATAGGTAGAAAATGTTCTGCTCTAATCTCTGCGAGTCGATAATCAAAGAAAAACAATATATTATGATTTATCGCCTCCGTAGGGATATTATGGAGAACAAGGTCCTTATAGTCATCGCTTACAATCTTTAAAAATCCTAGACGGATCGGTAGATCAGGCCTACTAGTCAAAAGCACTCGTAGACGCATAGTAGCTATGTTTCGTTAGCTATGAAATAAGTCAAAGTATAAGCCAAATGCCACTATCTCCCTCACATTTGTCCAGTGTGTCAATCACCATCACTATGGTTTGGATAGGGAGATTAGATCGCTCGAGGCTTTGTAGTGGCTGGAGGATGAGGTTTTCGAATTGTTCTCTTATTGCCTTTTCTGAGATGTCTGGTTACCAGAGACAGTTTCCTAGAGGGATAGTTTCAACTGGCAAATGTTAATCGCTAGTTGCCTTGCGATTATTGGAAAAAGCTTCTCTGTTACGGAGGGAGTGACGAGCCACCAAACTATGCTAACTTGCGCGCCATTTGCATCGATATAATATCGCTTAGCTCGGCGCTAAGGCCTTGACGGTGGGGCTGGGAAAGGGTGATTTAGTGTGTACTGGTCAGGCCGATTTCGAGAACGGCTGTACAATTCCTGAGCCGAACAGAGTTTTCCCCAGGACACTTATTTTCAGGGACAAGGGGATCACCCAATACGGTTAGCGCTATTCTCTTATCGTCGATAACGGATGTTCTGCCACGCCTCACCGTCAAGAAAGATAATTTACTCTTACCCCTACGCTTCGAAATTTTCATCAAGCAATGATTTGCTGATTTTTTTTTATTCAATTATAACCATCGACCCTCATGCAAGGTCCCGGAATTGATGCTGGCTCCCAGCCCTACGCCTCTATGGCTGGGAAGCTGGACCCCAGACTCCTCAAAGCCCTCGATGTGATGGGCTTTACGTCCATGACCCCCGTCCAGCAACGTGTTTTGACCGAACTTCCCAACTGGCGCAGTGACTGCCTCGTCCAGGCCAAGACCGGTACTGGTAAAACTCTTGCCTTCTTGCTCCCTGCTTTGCACTGCCTGCTCCAAGGTCAGGCACCTCCCAGAGGCAAGGTCGCTATCTTGATCATTACGCCGACGCGAGAGCTTGCTCAACAGATCGCAAAGTCATGCGATGAGCTCACTTCCCAACTAACGACCCCTCTGGAGTGCCATATTGCGGTTGGAGGAACCGCTCGGGCTTCAGCTCACTCGCGCTTCATGAAGGGTGCTCCGTCTATTCTGGTTGCAACCCCCGGACGACTCAAGGACTACCTGTCTGAGGACTACACTGCTCAGAAGCTTTCGAACATTCAAACTCTGGTTTTGGATGAAGCCGACACGATGCTGGAGTCCGGGTTCATTGCTGATGTGAAGCGAATCCTGCAGCTCATCCCGCCCAAGAGCACGGGCTGGCAGGGAATGTGTTTCTCAGCCACTGTTCCTCCCAAAGTCAAGGATGTCGTCAGTGTTGTTTTGAAGTCGGGCTACAGCAATATTTCGACTATCGATAAGAACGAAGCCCCAACGCACGAGAGAGTACCCCAGTACCATGTCCTGATACCGTCAGTGGCAGAGACCTTTACCACGCTTGCTTCCCTTCTCAACATGGAGATCAAGAAATGCTCTAAGATCATTGTCTTTGGCGTCACTGCAAACATGGTTGCACTTTTGGCAAATGTCTTCTCTGAGGGCTTGACCCCCTTGAAGGTGTTTGAGATCCATTCCAGACTCAACCAGAGCCGCCGCACAAAGACTACGGAGATGTTCAAGGAGGCTTCTGCCGGAATCATGTTCGCCTCCGATGTTATCGGCCGTGGCATGGATTTCCCCAATGTCGACCTGGTCATTCAGGTTGGCCTGCCGTCCAACGGTGAGCAGTATGTTCACCGTGTCGGCCGTACAGCCCGTGCCGGCAACGATGGCCGCGCTATCATTCTCCTCACGGAGGCTGAGTCTTTCTTCATGAAAGTCAACCGCCACTTGCCCATCAAGCCCCACCCGCAGACCGACGCAATCAACGCGGCCGCGCCATTATGCGCCGATGCGGTCACTATGGCCATGTACAGCATTGATGAAGAGACAAAGCAACGCGCCTACTCGTCCTTCATTGGATTCTTCGCTGGTTCGGGTCTTCTGAAGCCGCTTCGTCTCGACAAGACTGGCCTTGTTCAAATGGCCAATAAGATGGCTATGGAGGGTATGGGTTGCCCTGAGCCACCGCCGATGGATAAGAAGGTCATTGGCAAGATGGGCTTGAAGGGTGTTCCTGGGTTCAACTATGCGAGTGGCAATGATCTATATGGAGGAAATCGTCCGCAAAGCCGTTCCAATGGTCGACACCCTGGCAAGAACCGTGACGCCCTTAGCCCTGGAGCTGGCCGAGACCAACACGGTGGAGTTGACAAAGGCCGCCGTGGCCGTGGCGGCGGAGGTGGGCGTGGAGCGCGTCGTGGCGGGCGTGGAGGAAAGCCGAGAGGAGCATAGATTTCTTAATTCACATAGACACTAGGATACCACGAACATCTGCAGATCGTTAATGAATACCAAATTTTACGCGAGAAACTGATACATATCAAGTAGCAGTGGGCCAATGCCGATGGCGCCCAGACCCACTTGGGCGGTGAGTGATCTGTCGCCTATCTCCATCACTTTATCTCCGTACTATTCCTGCATTCTTCCTCCATCCGTGCTTTGCCACCATGGATGTCAAATTTGAGCCCAGAGCGAGCACCATAGAGGCTGTATGGGAGTCGCAGACGTTGAGAGATTCTAACTCAGAGAGTGTGGTTTCCGACATTGCCTCTTTTGGGGCTACGTCAGCCACCTTAGATGTTGCCCCAGGTGCTCCAACAGAAACTTTACTTCTATCCGATACGCCGGCATTGAAAGCCAAGTCATCTCTGTTTGAAGAAAATAATGAATATTCCAACAATGTCGACACAAATATACCTATTGGGGATTCGATGAGCGCTGAGCCGAATCCCTCTACGCTATTACAGCGTATGCATGATGCACCATCCATACACAATACCACACAGCCCAACGAACAGCCCGAGAGCATCACCCCCCTACTTGCTGTGGGGACACTGGCAAAAGAAGGATATTCATTTCGAGAGGTTGAGCTGCTGGAAACAAATCACTGGATCCGCAGCCAGACTCACCATGACAGCTCCAATGTCCAAATTTATGTTGATCCAAGGTTGACCCATCGAAACAATATACAGCGCTCAATCAGAGATTTGAGAGCTGCTTTCAAGGTGTTGATGTCCAAGATAGACCCTTCGCCTGAGGCTTGGGAAGGACGGAGGAATGCAACCAATCCAGATACACTGTCCAATGGTGAAGACGATGAATCATTGTGGTACATATTCAACACTCTGCAAGATCCAAATCCGCATGTGGATTGTGTGAAAGATGGCCCGTCGCGCAAAGCCATGTCATACCTGTTGTCAAATGAGGATTTCTCGGAATATGGTCTCAAAACTTCTCTCTATCCATACCAGCGGCGTTCAGCCGCTATGATGGTCCAGCGAGAGGTGCAACCGGCACGAATGCTGGACCCGCGTCTGCAAGCTTGTGCCGGCCCAACAGGCCTCGAGTATTACTATGACAAAGAAGATGGATGGATTACTCTTGAAAAGTACATGTATGATGAGGCTGTTGGAGGTGGGTTCTATGCTACTACTACCTTGAATGAGCACAACTAACATAACAACTAGGTATTCTTGCAGAAACCATGGGCTGCGGCAAAACTTTGATCTGCCTTGCCGTTATCTGGGCTACTCGAGGGCATTTCCCCAAGATTCCTATTGAGTATTTGCCTGGGATACCCGTGCGAGAAAAGACTGGTTCTCTCATGGAAATGGCGGCGGCTTCAGCCGGTCGAAGATCCTTGCCTTGGAAGGCCCATTTCATTGAGACAGAGCAAGATGGCAAAGTCTACAGTCGGTGTGTCAAGGCTTGTGAGTCAAATAGCGGGTTCTATGAGATTCCTCCACCTGTGACGAGACATCAAGTTCGACTGAGCACGACATTCACACGCCCTCCGCCAAAGCGCATTCACCTCTGCTCCGGGACACTCGTGGTCGCCCCCAATAACTTGGTAGACCACTGGATACGCGAGATCAGCATCCATACCGAAGGTCTCAAAATCCGGGTTCTGCGACAAGGGTCTGATAAAACACCGTCAGCAGACGAGCTCCTCGAATTCGACATTGTGGTCTTCTCGAAAACACGTTTCGAACGAGAAGTGGGCGAGCCTGTCAACAACCGACGCAAGACATTTGTCCAGGTTGACTCACCACTGACCGAGCTCCACTGGCTTCGCGTGATTGTTGATGAAGGGCACAATGTTGCAGGCCATGGCTCGAAAACGAACATGATCCATATGCTCAGTCAGCTACATTTTGAGCGTCGCTGGGTTATTTCGGGAACTCCGTCTGACAATCTTATCGGGCTCGAAGTCAGCCTTGCTTCTCAAGAGGCTTATACCAGTGATACGGAGTCTCCTGAAGAGATCGCTGCAGCTGTACTCCAAGGCCGCAAGAAGACGGGGAATGCGGGCGAGAGAGAGTTGAAAGATCTGGATAGACTCCGACGGATGGTGATTGAGTTCCTGGATTTAAAGCCCTGGTCAAATTGCCCTGCCGACTGGACAAAGTACATCAAGCCCAAGGGCCAAGATGGTACCCGGCGAAAGTCTCCAGCAATACGCGCCACCCTTCAGGGCCTTGTGGTGAGACATCAGGATGACACTGTCAGCCGGGAGATTACCCTTCCCAAGCTCTACAATAAGACGGTCCATCTGGAACCAACTTTCCACGATCGGTTGTCCATCAACTTGTTCCTCTTCGGTCTTGCTGTTAACGCGATTACATCCGAGCGCCAGGGCCAAGATTACATCTTCGACCCTAGCAACCGCAGGCATCTCAACCAGACCATTACCAATTTGCGCCAAGCTGGATTCTGGTGGGCAGGATCGGAAACGGACCCGCAGGAAACCATCAGCCATGCGGTTAAGTACATGGACGCCAATCGGGAGAAGATGACGCCTGCGGATGCTGAACAATTGAGCCGCGGGATGGAGATTGCCCGCCTTGCGCTGGAATGCAGCAGCTGGCGCGAATTCAAGCAGCTGCATGAGCTTGGGGTCTTCATCAAGGAGTTCCCCGCAGACCATAAAACCCACTGGGCGCTCGACCGCGGCAATCCGGACCGAGAGCCATTGCTTATGGGAATCACACAGGCTCGCCATGCTCAACAGTTTGTTACAGATCATCTTCGGTCACAGGATCCCTCTGATGGGCTCTCTTCAAGGGGGCTCAGAGTTAGATTCGAACTTCAGAAACGCGATAAAGGGGCTACTACTACGAAAGGTGCTCCAGAGTCGTCCAACGGCTCCACCACTGGCCAAATGAGCCATGGCGCTAAACCCAAGAGCAACAAGTCCCCCAAGAAGTCTTATTCTCGCAAAATCCTCAAAAGTCTTCCTGAAGACTCCCCTCTCATGAGAACTCACTTCATCGCCACTGCCTCGGCAAAGCTCACATACCTGTTGAACCGGGTGTGGGAGCTCCAAACACAGGAAAAGATCATCATCTTCTACGACAATCCCAACACCGCATTCTGGATCGCCGAAGGCCTGGAACTCCTTGGTGTGGAGTTCCGCATCTACGCGAGCACACTGAAGACCGACCTCCGCGAAGAGTACCTGAACCTGTTCCGTGAAACCAACGAAGTGCGTGTTCTGCTCATGGACCTTCGCCAAGCCTCCCACGGTCTTCATCTCGTACAAGCCTCTCGAGTATTCATCGTCAACCCCATTTGGCAACCCACCGTCGAAAGCCAAGCCATCAAACGTGCCCACCGTCTCGGGCAGACAAAACCGGTCTACGTTGAGACACTCGTTCTTCGGGATACTCTAGAAGACCGCATGCTTCGCAGACGAAAGGAAATGTCCGAGGCTGAGATGCAGAACGCAGAAAAAAGTCTACTCGATGATCATGCCATGAGTGATATTATACAGCGGGAGCCTTTCTTGTCCATGCCTGCTGAAGGAGATGCCGAAATGGCGCTTTTGAAGTATGCCACGGGCTTCTTCGATAAACATTCCCTGCCAATTCCCGATGAGGAAGCTGCGCGAAAACCAGATCTAGTCAAGCGGGTCCGACAGACTGTGGAGTCTGATGCTGATTCCGATGCTTTCCCTCCTGCAAGTCCCACACCGAAGAGACCGCGCATAGGATTTGCATCTTCTGTTCAGGTCATTGAAGATGTACCTTCCGGGCCTGTACCAGAGGGCTCCCCAAAGCCCAGGCGGGTGTCATTGTTTAACCCGGGAGTCTGATATTTTAAAGGACCACGCTCGTGGATCTCTTAGATATAAAATACTTAATCCATTCATACAGATTATTCTGGTCTTGTGCTCTTAATTCCGTCTCTCAATGAAGCAAAGAATTTGAAACTCCAAGCTCGCAGAGATCGTATAGATCAGGATGGCTGATAAGATAGCCCGATAAGCCCAACCCCTCCTCTTCCTCTCATCTCCAGTTCCTGACCGCAACATTTAGAGACTAGAGAACAAGCGCAATGGCAGATTCAACAACCAGCCCACCAAAAGCCCTAATAGTCGGCATCTCGGGCCCTTCATCCAGCGGAAAAACCACCCTCGCCCGCCTCCTCCAGCGCGTCTTCTGCGGGGTACCCCTCAAGAACCAACGCCTGAACACCTTCATAATCCACGAAGATGACTTCTACTACCCCGACGACCAGTACACCCCTCCCCCCATAACACCCGTTTCTTTGTTGCATACTGACAACGTAGAATCCCATACACGACAACCCCCTCCGGCTCCCGCATCCAAGACTGGGACACCATCTCCGCAATAGACACGACCTTCCTCTCCCAATCCCTATCCTACGTCCGCACGCACGGCCGCCTCCCACCCCGCCTCCAAAGCAAAGAAGACCAGAACGAGAAAGGCGAGTCCGGCGTTCCCGACTCGGTGGTTTCTGAACTGCGCGACATCGTCGCGAAGAGACTTGCTTCGTCCGCTGGGACGACGATTGCGTTTATGGAGGGGTTCTTGCTATACGCTCCGCCTGGATCGGATCATGTTTTGAGGAGGGTTCATGACCAGATTGCGCTTCCGCTTTTCTTGCCTGCTTCGTATGAGAATGTTAAGGCCAGGCGAGAGGGGCGGAGTGGGTATGTTACTATCGGGCCGGCGCCGGAGGAGTCCGAGACTGCGGAGGTGGGGGAGAAGGGTGGGGAGGTTGATCTTGAGGGCGAAGATGATCGGCCACCGCAGAATTTCTGGGTTGATCCGCCGGGGTATGTGGATGATGTTGTGTGGCCGAGATATGTGGAGGATCATGCTTGGTTGCTTGTTCCCGAGGGGGACGAGGGAGATTTGGTGAGGAGGATTGGGAGTGGGTTGAATGTTAGACGGGATGTCGGGGTTAAAGTTGGCCCTGAGGGCGAGGTGGATTTGGAGACGATGTTGAGGTGGGCGGTTGAGGAGGTTTTAGGGGCTTATACTTCGGGATAGCGTGGAGAGTTTGAAGTGGATTGTTTCATGACGATCTGAGTGAAAGACATAATATGGGCTTTGGCATAGACTTGCGTCATTGACCGTGCTGATTGCTATCATACATTCGAAAAGAAGAAAGAGAAAAGCTCCCTAAACCATAAGAATAGGCCCCCTCCAACCCAGAAGATAGTCGATACGGTCTCGCAGAGGCATAGAGGCGGGAATGATGACCCGCTGCACGAGCAACTTCACTGGCTCTGGAACTGACTCCTCCACCGGTGTCCCGTTGATATGTTCACCCTGAACTCCTGACACGGGCTGTGCCTCAGCAACAGGGCAAATGCACCGTATCTCATGAACACGATACGCAAGACGAGCGAGTATGAGCAAGAGCAACAGACCGAAGCAGACTTGCCGGAATCTTTTCCAGAACGACGCGCCCTTATGCCGCGTATTTCGAAGTTCGTTGCTATCTTTGGAGTCGGCACGTACCATATCAAGCATTTTTGGGGACTCGGCGACCTCAAACTCGGCCTGCAGACCTTCCTCAATGTCCGCTTTATCCAGACTCGCTTTGATACGCGGCATCCACATTGCACTTTTCTGGCGTGGGACCTTGGCCTCCCACGCCAGGACAAACATTCCCAGATGAGTGGGATTGCAGATGATCTGAAGCTCAGAGACTCCGATGAGCTCAGGCGCCGAAGCATTTAGGCGGATTGTTTGAAATCGTCGTCGTTCCTTGGGTAGGTGACAAAGGTATTCGCCCTCAGGCCCGCCATGGATCCAGACGTGGAAACCGCATGACTCGGCCCAGAAATCGCGCTGGATGAGATCAATTGAGCACACGGCACGGTATTTGATGACGTGAAAAAGTGACTCTTTGTCTTCGTCCGCCACCACTTCGGCGCGAATGGCCTGTGTCACTTTAAAGTCCTTGAGGAAGCCGTAGAATCGGGATTCGCAGGGTCGGAGGGAAAGGACGAGTTTCGACGGAATTAAGAATTGGGCCATCAAGCAGCTTTCCACGAGGCTGTACCGCTTAAAATGTGTAGTGCGAAATTCCATTCCCTGGCCTGGAGGTGTACGGAAGTAAACGTAGCCATGTTCATTCCGTGCAAGCCGGGGCAATCCCGGAACGATGAGCTCCCACCAACCTCTTGGTCTTCCCTTTTGCAGGGGTAGTGAGATAGTGATGGAAACTTCGTATGCTGCGGGCTTCATGTCGATTGGGGTTCGGACATGGAAAATTCCGTCAGTCAAGATCAAACAGGGACCTGTGTCGGGTGTATGATTTGGTTCCGGAAAGCTGGAGCGTTGGGGTAGGTCGCATTGCTGGAGATGTACTCCTCCAGACGAATCGGCATTGTCCAGTGAAGTGGGACTGTCAAGACTGGACGAAAGCAAGCTCATGTCGGGTGGACTGCCCTGCGATACATCCGTAGAAAAGCTCTCACAATCCTGCAGGGGTCTGTTCTCGCCCGTACGTTCAACTCGGCCCAGGCTAACCCTTGGAGTCTCAGGAGATGGGGCATTCGAACGGTTCCTCTCCGCAGAGTTTCTCCCTATGGGATCATTCTCTTTGCCAACACCTAGGGGAAAGCTCGCCTCCAGCCGCCGATATCCCTCCACCAGGGCAGACCTATAGTCCATGGAGACAGGCAGAGTATTGTTGGTCACCTCCCTTCCAAAATGACCAAGAGAACTGACAGGTCGAGGAATGAGGCTCGGCTTTGTGGAATGTTTCGACGTAGAAGAGCCGATTTGCTTCATCGAATCGGCAGTCAGAGCCTTGTGCTTGGAGCCACCGTACGACCTCTCAGAGTCTGTGACCGAGTCAGGCAACGACGCAGCCTTTGCAGTCCTCTTGCGCGGATTCGGGCTCGCCAAAGGTGTCTCGTCATCCACAGCTAACAGCCTGGTGTAGAAAGGATCAGGCGATCCAGAGTCCTGAACTTGACTGGCCGACCGTAGGATAGTACTGTCCGGGTCAGAGTAGACGGATGGCGTGTATTCGTCAGGCAAGTCCGCATCCTCAGTGTCAACTTGATCAGCGGGTGTCGAAGGTTCTCTCACTTCGCGGATCTCGATGGGCGGCTCTCGTGTGCGCAAGCCCCCAGAAACCGACTCGGCTTTTTCGGGTTTGGCCTCCTTCAAGTTGATGCCGTACTTCACGATCTCCATAGCAGATGAAGTGCGAGTGTTCAGGACAGGGAGATGATTGTACGGGGTACACCAGACCTGGAAGGTTACCGTTGGGTAAGTAGTGTTGGATATCAGTGCTGGGGCCGCTTCGGCAAATACGTACCTCGACAGAGACGACGACCTCGACAGGGTCATTGGGCTCGCCTGACCAGTCGCACCACAGATCAAGGTTGCTGAAAGGGCTGTTAGATGCATCCATGTTGAAGAGATGGGTTGAGGGAGAGAGAAGGGCAGAAGTGAGAAAGAGGAAGGAACACGGCAGGAGCATAAGCCATCGATTGCGAATTAAAAACACGGTGACTGCTAAAGGCCTTGTATATACACGAAGGGATAAGAACTAGCTCACTTTTTAAAAGACAAATAACCTCCCTCCCTTCCTTTTCTACCAGCGCCTGTAACAATAATAATCAAACCCGAAGCCACCCAATGTAACCTAGAAAACACAAAAGTCATATCTAACACCCACCCCAGTCTATCCAGACAGACAAATAAAGGAAATAAAAGAATAAACCAGTGTAAAGTGTAACAGCCAGAGAGGACCTTCAAGGTCAAAACAACCCGGCAAGAACGAGCGAACGAAAGGTAAAAGAAATCCTTTTAGGGTGGAGTTCCGTGCGCAGACCCGGTGGGATCAAAGGCCGCTGGGCCGGCAGAGCCATATCGATCGCCGTCGGGGACCATCTGAGAGGGGAGAATCGGAGTGGCCGAGGGAGATGGCTGGACAGGGTGGTCATAGTAGCCTCGCGCGGTCCCGTTGCCGTTCCGCAGGGGAGGAAGAGTGGTAGGACTCGTCTGGTATCCGGACCGAGGGTATCCCTGAGCCATCATCGCTCCTGTCGAATCTGGGGTCTATCGCAGGCCAACAGAAAAGAAATCTTTAGCAGAGGACTTCTCAACCCAACACTCACTGGTTGGCAGAAGGGTGCCGTACAGGTGTACCGGGCTGGTTCATTGCCATGAGTTGTCCCACCGCAGCTTGTTGGCTGGGTCGAATCTGGCCCGAAGGGTCAGACATCTGGGACATGGGCGCTGAAGGCGGCAGACCGTAAGACATCTAAGATGAGCAGGGTTAGTTAAAAGAAGAGGTTCTGCTGGTCCGGTGGATTCCCCGGAAGAGATGAACGAACCCCGTAATCCGGCACCACCTGTCCAGCCGAGTACTGCATCGGAGTCTGGTATGCGCCTGCCTGGGAGTACATGGTCGCCGGCTGACCGTACGTGTCCATCGGGCGAGTCATTCTTCCATCAGCGTCATAAATGCTCTGCCGGCCGTAGTCAATTGAGGTGCGATGCCGCTTGACTGGAGCCCCATAGTACGTGTAGTCTCGAGTCGCCGCCGGATAGCCTGTGAAGCCCGCCGCAGGAGGGATCTGGACGGACTGGCGATCTGGAGACCGCGGCGGCATCGCTTGTGGAAACTCGTCCGGTCGAGGGTGCGAGCGTTTCCTGAGCTGCTGTCAGTAACAATCCAAGTCAAAGCACCTTGCTGTCACCTACATCATGGTCCGAGGCTCCTTGCGGATCCGCAACTTGACTCCTTGATCCGCAAACGACCGAGAGAGGAATGTAGACTCCATCATGCCCGGGAAGTTCTTAGGAGGTGAAACTGGATCACCGTTAGCTGGAAGTCCGAATCCGTGGTATTCGGAGATCTCTCACCTCTAAATCGGTCCGAAACAATGGTCTTCAAGTAGGTGACCACCTCCCTAAACCCAAGTCAGCGTACGCTCAGCAGGAGGCTGCGACCGCACAGAGGCACACTCACTTTCGCATCTCGAACAAAGTGAACTTGAGCCGAAACTCGCCCTCAATCTTCACTGACAGGTCACCGAAGACAAAGAAGCCTCCATCTACTCCAAAGTCAGTCGAGTGGAAGGTAATTCCCGAGGCTCGTGTTCACTTACCACTGTTGTCCACGTCCTTCAACCGGTGGAGAGACGACACCAGGGTCCCTGCCAAGGCAGTCGAGGGTGCGACAGGCACAGGACGATCTTCTGAAGCATCGTACAAGCTGCAGCACATGAAATAGTACGGACTTTGCAGGTAGTGCCTGGGAGCGGGGTTAGTAACGAAGTCAAACGAACAGCCCTCGTGACCTCGTACGGTCCTGCAACACTTACTGTGCTAGATAGGAGCCCTCCTCTCGCACCCTGAGCTGGACGATCGGAGGCGGATCGATGGGTTTGCGCTCTGCGGGAAGGTTCAGTTAGTGGTTTGTACTCTACCTTCAACGGCTTCCAGTCCAGGCCGCCGGCTTCACCCCACTCCACCCCGCCATCTTCGAGCTTCGGCGAGGCAGAAAGAGCCGAACAAGCTAAACGAAACGAAAGAGAAGCAGCAGGAAGAAAGCAAAAGAACGTACCTTTCTCTTTGCCCCCGGCCACGCGCGCCCGGTCGGGCTGCTGGCGAATGGTCAGGTCAAAGTCAGAACTGGTGTTGGTTAACATAGTCAGTGGGAGTCCCTGGACCACCGAGTAAGAGTTGCGACTTCAGAAAAGCAGCAGGGCTTTTCAAACGAACCTCTGGGCTTCGCGCGAGAGAGAGGCGTCGGAGAAGGTCGCTACGCTCATCAAGACGGGAGAGTGGAACCCAAACGGTATGAAAGCACAGGAACCACCAGGAAGTAACTGGTGGTTTGATCCAAGGAAGTCGAAGGTCGAAAGTAGAGTGTAGAAAGGAAAGAAAGAATGGGTCAATCCGATACCAAAGAAAAGAAGAGCTGTAGTGGGGTTAAGGAAGGGGAAGGTTGAGTGGAAGGTGCGGGATTCACGGTAGGCGCGCAACCATGGAAGCGAATTTGGTAATTTGGGTGATGTGCACGAAAACGGCGGTTGGTGACGTTTTCTTCAGAGCTACCTCACAGCTACCCTAGCAGTCTCTAGGTAGCAGTTGCAGCAGTTGCGGCAGTTCGTTGGAAAGACTACTGCGACTCTCCTTTCCCGGAATCAATTGGGCCTTGATTTTTCCCCGCGAGCAAATCAGCGTTCCGCTCTGAAAACTGTTCCTCGTCGGGCCTGTGATCGCACAGATGGCGAAAATCAAAAAGCTATCGGCCAATAGCGGTGCAGTATTTAAACCACAAAAATTTTCTGGCGCAGTATAGCTGAAAGGGTGGAGCAAGGGAGGAGGGGGGGGAGGGAAAGGACCCAGGCTTTCGACCGTTAGACCCGGTTAGGCCGTAAGCGGTTGGGGAAAAGTGGATGAGGGTTCAGCTGTGCTCGACCACGGTTTGGCCACTTGGGACTTTGGTCGGTGCTAGTGACAGCCGCGATGATGCGCACATTCGGTAGTTTCTTCGGGGGGGTCTTTTCTGGGTCTCGGGGCGTTTGAGTTGACACCTAGTCCCTTTCCAGGTTCGGAGGTGGATTTCCCGGACATGCGAGATCACAGCCGCATCGCCCTGGGGATCTTGGATCTCTTTCGGGGGGGTAAGCCCCTTCTCCCCCACTAAGATCTATCTAGTTTAGGTGATTAGCATTAGCCTTGGCCTTAGGTTTTTTTCTTTCACCAGGGATTGGCAGTGGACTGGAACCTTAGGAACGCTCTGACTCCCTCTTATGTCATCCAAGGGGGAGACCATGAGAAGCGTTCCTCGAGTATGGTAGTTCATCCCATCCCCTTTCCGAAGGGATTTCGATCGGAGATCTCAGCGTATTTCATGAGCTCATACCTTCTTTTGCTTTCCTTTTGGATTCCGCCGTGCCTGGCTGCCCTTGGCGCACTTTGTGTGACTGCCGTGGTCGCGCCGCTTCCGGAAGCCGAGATCCGGCCCGCGTGGTCGTGTACTTCCCCCGCAAGGTCAGAGACCAACACACGATGACAGCAGCCCTCCTCGAGAGATCGAGAAATACCAGAGATCGAGTGTGGGACCCGAATCCAAGCGTTGCGAATCGTGACAGACCGAATGGTGTTAGGCCGGCAGTGATGGTCCAGTCGACGTATACCGGGTCATGATCGTGGTGGGTTGAGGTTGAACCGACAAAGGGGGAAAGGAAAGTAACTGAGAGGGCATGAAACCCCGACCTTTCAATCAGATCAATGTGATGCGTCACATCGGTGTGTCGTGCAGCGATCCCGTCAGAGGGCGCCTGCGGGGGATGGACCACCGGAGATCTCGATCGAGTTCGCGACAGCTCGGGCCTGGCTGGTCTACCTGACTGGCCTGGGAGAAACTGCGTGATCGGTTCGGAGGTCAATCTTGTGGCGGATGCGGTTTGCAGATCCGTGTGTTCTTCACTGCACCTCTACTTCTGCACCACGCCAGCGGTTCAGCCGCAGACAATTGTATGTACGGTACTTTTGTTGGCTTCTTGGCCTTTTTCCCAACCGTGCTCGAGTGCAACAACGGCGCAGGGCGGTTGCTCCTGGTCGCATCTTACTCGATCCAAATCAGGGGGGAGAAGAGTTCGATATCTCTCCTCCCGCACGGTTCATGATCGGCTGCAATTTGGGTTGGGTGTGTGCGTCTGACGAGAGGAGATTGCATGGTAGCTGCAGCTGGAATATGACAAGGGGCCCACCCCCAACGAACCAGAATGCATCTTGGAACATCCGATAGTGCCGCGACGGCCATGCAAGGGTTGGCCCAGTGACCGTTCTGTCCAAGTCTTTGTCACTGAAGGATCTTGCGACGGTCAATTGACTAGGCCCATGATAAAGTGTTCATCACAGCGGGTAGGGCCGTAGTGCCCCGTCGGGTCGATCAGTGACACGCGACATAGCGGTGGGGAGAGCCTCTCGGCAAAGAAAAAACAAAAGAAAACAAGGTCGAAAGGGGGCGGCCGACATGAAACACCCAAAGTAGAGTCCGTGATCCGTCTGCACCCATCCGGTTTGGTTCTTGAATCTACCCGAGAGGTGATTCGTGAATCGTGTGCAGAGCTTACATCCAGAGCAGCACGCGGTAAAAAAAGAAACGCGACTGGAGGGGAAAGAAAGATAAGAAATTCTCCGAAGGGAAGAGATTTCTTGACAGCATCCACAGGGCTCATTTACCCTCGACCCTGAAAATTGGGGGGGAGCAGAAACTAAGGGACTAGACACCGGCTGGCGTGGGGACGAACAACTCACGGCTGCATGAAGTGGCACCTTCTAGCGCACGGCCACGTATGGTGCTACTGCGTGAACCCGTTGCAGTCACTATAGATCTATACCGGGTAGACTAGCTAGTAATCTAGCTAACTAACAGCTCGTGAACCACGGAACTCGCAGTTTAAGCATAACCTAGGAATGCCGTGGTCGTTCGGGCCCGTTCCATGGTTGTTGCGCCCCCTGACAGCTCTGCCCCGCCGATCGCATGCCTTTTGTTCTTCTACTCCGTACTAGTCAACTAGATGGTCTTTGATCTGAAATGGAGTCTTCTCCTTATTTAATATCATTTTTATTTTTATATTTATTCCCGACCACCTGGTTGAACTCACTAGTTTTCTGCCCTTGGACACATCACATCCCACTCTGAGTTTCGGGTTTTATTTGGCCCCTCACACGCACGCACCCCGCGCTTTTGCTGCACGGGAGAGTAAATAGGGATAAGGTTTATCTATCTTCCATCGGTGGACATCACTAAGGGCTTTTCCTAGGTGAGTGTATGACAGGTCCAAGGATGGGTAGACGCGTCGCATCTGACATTTACCTTCCTAAATAGGTACCTTAGTAGACTATGCACGAGCGAAACGATACATTAATATCGATCTGTACATACGACTCACATCGACTCCATAGGACTTCCGTAATGGTGGAATAAAAATTCATGGATTAAAAAAGTTACCTCGAAACTCCAGGCTCCGCGCCGCTCCTTACCGGACAAAATCCTCAAAAAGGACCCGACACGGCACCCGATGCGTCGCCATCGTATCGCGTCCATCTTGCATTCAGCGAGACCGTTAGTTAGGAACAAATCGCAAAAAAGTACATGTAAGTGTCAGATATCAAACGCCCTGTTCGTATGCACGGCTTCACGGGTATCTCGCCCACTCGGCCATTCGTTACTTCCAGTGGTCATGGTTCATGTCTCCATTACCACGTCGCCGTCCACTTCGTACTCCGCGTCTTCCTCTCCCTCTGCATCGACATCGACGTCGATTCCATTAGTCTCCGCTGCGGCCTTCTTGGTTCGTGTGGCTGAGCCGGGCTCGGCGGGAATCACTACTTGGACCTGCTCCACCAGTGCTTTGCGCGGAGAGGACTGTGGGGTCTTGGGGTGATGATCCGATTGCTTCCCTCTGGATCGATGCGACATCGCTGTAACTGGAGAGCGAGAAGCAGACGTTGACTTTTTCGAAGGTGTCTTTGGGGGCTCTTCGGGTGCGGACTCCTCATGGTCAACACCGTTCGTCTCCACCACATCTTCGATCTCATCGTCCCCGTTGACCTTCGGAGCTTTGCCACTGTCTGAAGTTTCGTCCATCACGAGGCCAAGATCTTCGGGACTTGGGTCGAGGACGGCCTCTTCATCAAGAAGATCGGCCTGCTCCTCGTCAAGACCATTGGTTTTGGCGGGTGAGTCGCCCAGCTTGGCGCTCCGGCCACGACGAACACTGCCCGAGGGTGTGAAGTGAGGTAACCCGGAGGCTCTGCGAGGGGTATTGCGGCCGCTTGTCCGGATGGTCGTCGGCGTCATTGATGGTCGAGATCCGTTGGCTTTATGAGGACGGCCAACCTTCTTTTTGCTCGGGGCGGGGACATGAACAGGAGGCCACAACTCGAATCGGGAGGGAGGGATGCCAGCCGCCGGGTTGGGGATGGGAGCCTCCAAGCTTTCGGTGCTGTGGGCCTCGTGAACGCCGTTGGTAAGGGCAGAGGTCGAAGGCGGTCCAGCTGGTTCATCGACAGCATTTCCATTCACAGCAGAGCCCTCTTCTTCCTCCTCTTCCTCTTCCTCTTCCTCTTCCTCCTCGAGACCGTCCCGAGGAGCAACGGCATGGAGAGGAGCTCGGTCAAAGTGCGATTGGTTGTTGCGACCCATGATGTACGGAGTCCAGAGCAGGGCATCGGGGTTGAGCTGAACGTACCCCTTATTCTCCCATTTGCTGATCACCTCTTCAAAGTAGCTGTTGTCAAGGCGGAAGGCATAGGTTTTGGTGAGCGGATCTCGCACCAGGGCACGCAACCCTTCCAACGCAGACACGATGTCATCTGCCGTCATGCCCGTCCGATCGGAGAGATCTGCTATGCTGACAGGGGTTTTCAGGTCGCGGAGCTGATACGACAGAATCAGCCGCCAGTAATTGCGGTATGATACCAGACCCATATCGGAGAGTGGTTTTTCGGGGGAGCCATTCTTGCCCTCAATGCGGGTAAGGAGGTACGAGAAGTCGATGAGAAGGTTACCGTAACCTTTGCGTTGATGAATTGGGAGAGTGAGAATGCAGGAGACGTTATTTGCAGAGCTTGGTCGTTTCTCTTTGCTGAAATAACCGACGAAATGACATCCCAGTTCGTCGTACTCGCTCATGACATAGAACAGAAATGGCTCAACATCGTAATAAAGAGTCTTGGACCCCAGGAAAAGCTTGGCTAGAAGACACAGGTTCTGGCAGTAGACGGGGTTCTTTCGTCCATCAACCTCAAAGATCGAAATCGAGCCATCGCGATAGATCTCGTCTCCCGGAGGGTGCTTCGCAGGGCATTTGAGCTTATGCCGATAGGCGACATAGTCCGAGTTCATGTACTTGAGACAAAACTCGCAGATGTAAAGAACGCGATTGCGACTGTACTCCTCCGGGTAAGGGGCGGCATACCATGTCTCAATCTCGTAGCCGCCAAAGTTGATGTACTTGATCTTTGAGGGCGGACCGGACACTTTCTGCGATACAGTCGGATTCGGTTCGCCTTTAAGCTCTGCGTCTCGGATCTTCTGTTGCCATTCGTCTTCAGCTCTTTGGCGAGCCTGCTCAAACTTTTCGCGGTCAAATTGTAAGGGGAGTGTCTTGGATGTGTCCGCATCGGACTCGGATAAAATGCCGCCATAAGGCTTGGACTTGGAGTCATCGATGTCTCGGTCATGGAAGTGGTGGAAGTGGCTGTAGGGTGCGGGTGGAATGGGAGCAAAATGGGCTTGCGGTGTTTGTGGAACAGCCGGAGGTTTTGGTGCTTTCTTTTTCTTCTTTCTGTCGCGCTGCGCCTGGCTTGGGGTGCTAAGGATGTTGCTGATCTTGCCCTGATCAAGGCGAAAGCCAACCACAAGTTTGCCAGCTTGCTTGGAAACTACGCGTAGAGGCTCACGCTCGACCGCACGGCTTCGCCGAGGGCGCATGGGCCGAGCCGGGGAGTGTCCTTCGGCCCCCTCTCTCCCTTCGAAGGGCGCATCATTTGCATCCGAGGCGTCCGTCTGGCGTCGTCGTTTCCGTAGAACAGGCACATGTTCCTCTGCTTCGACCGACTCGGCTTTCCGTTTTCGCAGCGACCGGGAGCTGTTGACGTCGTCGATAGCAGTGTCGAATATGGAATGGAATCCCGGACCTTGTTTCCCTACGTGCGCAGGTAAAAGTTCTTTGGGAAGATGGGACGTCCCAGATCTTTGTTGTGATGTCGGACTCTCCACAGGGTCTGGCTCCAGTTTGTTGCGAACACAGGTGGGACATTTCCACGGATCTACACGATCGGGAGTTAGCGAGTGGACCCTTCAGAAGACAAACATTCAACTCCGACATACCTTCAGTATCGTTGAATGCTTCTTGTTCGCGGGCGCATTGCCGATGAGCTGTCGGGATGCCGAGTCAGCAAAATTTCATTTATTGGGGAAAGGGTTAAGCTTTCGCTCGGACCCGCAAAACACAACATACAGTGATCGCCACAAACAACGCAGGTAAGCCATTCTTCGAAGTCCTCGCTCGGGTCGTGTTCTTCGTCTTGGGTGCAGAATCTATGGCATGTTAGCACCGATGAATCATGCTCAGGCCAGGCTGCAGTCTAGGCTCCCACTACTTACATGCAGTTTGCGCGGCTGCGAATGTCTGCATCTGCATCCTCGCCTCCATTGCTTTCTGCTTCCCAATCTTCCTCGACTTCCGATTCAGCTTCACTTGACTCAGCGTTGGATGCTTCTCGGTCATTGTCGTCCTCAAACGCAGGGTCGGCATCCGCATCAGCGTCCGCATCCTCGTCCTCAGAGTACGCGTCTTCATCCGGAACCTTCACAGCGCCAACAGGCTCAGTTTCATCATTGTCGCCACTCTGTCGATAGCTATAGGCGTCATCGCGCATTGAGTCGCTGTCACCGTTGTCCTCGGCTTCTTCTCCGCTGTATGCCCGGTGAACCGCATCCTGAAGCTGCTGATCCATCTGGTACAGATCCGTCTCTTCTTCTCCCTCCGCATCGATGTCACTGTCAATCTGGTCCGCAGGCGGGTCGAGCTTGCCCGGGTTGTCATTTGCCGGCGGCACCGTCGCCGCCATGGTAGGAGCCACCGCAGTCGCCAGTTCAAACCAACTCTTGTATCAGGTAACGTGCGTAGGTGTGTGTGTCCAGAGACCCAGTTGTAGAAGGGCCCAACCGATGCAAGCTACAGAGCCACCCCGCACGCGTTGGTGGCGAACCGGGGGAGCATCTGGAGCCCAGAAAGGAGTAGCAAAGGTAAGGAGATTCAGGCCAAGCACTCAGAGCATGAGGCTCAAGGTTCACCTTGAAGATGGGTTCGTCGGGCGCAAAGAAACTGGACAAAAGCAGAAACGTCAGTTGGCTGTCACGGTTCATAAGCGCGCGTCGCGAGGAAAAGGCGACTCACCCCAGGCACGAGCCAGTAGAATATGCAAAAAAGAAAGATACAAGACGCGTCGACGGACAAATCAAGCGATGGTGCCGAAGTCTCTAGCAATCGAATGCGATCCGCTGCCCCTTGGCCCTGCGAGTGTCGTTGCAGGCGGCTGACTCAACCCACGCTAAACCATTTCGGGCCACGCAGACCTCGTTGCCGGCGACGCTTCTTCCTCCCCTCCTTCGCTCTCTCCGCAATTCGCCCTTCACCTACGACACGAGCCGGATTCTGGTTCGTTGAGTTTTCAATTCGCTTTCCGTGATCTCCCTTCGACCGAATTTCGCGACCGCACAATATGGGTGTTCCCTTCGAGGCCCTGCTCCCTTATGGCATTATCTTGGGCGTGCGTCTCATTCGTCAATCCCCTCTGGAGCTATTACTTACGTCCACCACAGATGTTCGGCCTGTCCGGATATGGAATCTCTTTCGTGAAGGGCTTTGCCAACGACGGCAAGAAGGCCCGCTGGAACCGGGATCTCTGGGATCGGGTAAGTCACGTCTTGAATGTCGGCTGCGGTCGGAACTCACAGAACACACCGGCTAACTGTCTTGCAGCAAAGTAAGTGACGATTGAACCGGAACAACGAAAGCCTGCAATACAACCCGACAGAACTAACCACACGCGAACAGTGATGGAGCGTGACTTGCGACTCACCGGTTCGGAGCGAGGACAATCCAGCAACCCCACGGCTCCCAAGGGATTCGACGTCAGCAACCCGTGGAAGGTATGGACTAGACAACATGGTGAAAAGCATCGCTGCTATCGAATGATGCTAACACGTTATACAGGTCGAGAAGCGGATCTTCTAAGCCCAAAATCGCAATGTCTTCTTATCATGTCTGCGCCTTTTGTCTCGCGATTACTTTACATACCTTCCACCGCAATTTTTCTAGAAACGCCGCTGTATCATACCATTGAAACCGTTTCTTCTATCTAAGTTCAGAGACCAATCCCCGGATCCCTTCAATCTCGCTACTACGGAGGTGCACGTTAAAGTATTTGGCCAGGGCCTTGATCCGGTCCTCCTCGGTGTGAAGCACTTGCAGAATCTCCATCTGCCCGCGCACCCGCCGCTTGACTTCTCGACCGGACATGACACACTGGCCGATAATCTGCTGCCCATCTGCATCCGGGATCATTTGCATGCACACGAAGGTCTGCGTAAACCAGCTGGTCCGTGTTTGACTGACGGCGAAGTTCATGACCGCAAAGTCTTGCGGCAGGAACTCCACGTCGTTGAAGCAGAACATAGGTTGCCACTTGCTCTCCGCATCGTATCTTGTTTGGTAGATCCAAATCTTCTGAGTTTTATCGGTAAACTCCGCAATGCTTTCCCTCACTAGACGCATCTCGGCGGGTGCCATGCGTATAGCAGTCGCACCCTCTTGGAGAGGCAATGGTGCCGTAGCTCCGTTGTTGCCGAATCCGACGTCAACCTATCGTGATGTTAGGAACGAGAATGTAGATGTAGATGAGATGTGGAAGGACTGACCATATATTTTGCTCCGTCAATGATCACGATCAGGATCATATGTCCACTTCGAGGAGGTTTCAAGATCAGCGACATAGTCAATAGCCGGTCAAAAATAGAGGCACGTACAAGGACAGATACAGTCCGTTATCAACCCCCTTGGCAGCCGCATGGCTCACTCTGCCGCCCGTGGCATAGACCAAAAACCCAAGAGACCGCAGAACAATAAAGAATAGCCCTGAATTCTCCATACAGTATCCGTCCCTGCGTCTCTCGACCATCTTCTCATAGAGATTGTGCGGGTTCAATGAGATGGTGTGGTGTTGTGAGTAATGCAGTTCAGAATTGCCCCAAGGGACGGCCGCCAGATGTCGGCGCTGCAAATCTGCCAGCGCACCCAGAGCATCGGTTTGGATTCGTTGGTGTACATCCTGTACAAGCGAGGCATTTTGTGTGCTAGGTTTGTATTCTACTCGCTGAAGATACGCTTCCAGTTGCGCCTCGGTATATGTCGGTTGGGATGCCATGGTGGCGGAGAGCTCTCTGCGCAGGCGGCACAGCAGTTTTTGCTCACGAATGTGGGTGGTATATGTCTATGGCAAGAACCAGATCAAAAACAGGCTGGACTAAGTTCCCAGGTCGGATTTGTTCCTTGATGACCAATTACTTGGTTTCCCCACCCCACATCCCTTGAACTTTCCGCGAGTCAGCACTTGGCGTGGTCCATGTCCTGTTCGGGGCGGAGGTAATCCAACTGTGCTCTGCGTTGGCAATACGATCTGGAACACATCTATATAACTAGTTGTGTATATATCTAATAGACATCATATGAGCGAGCCAGCTTGGCAACCCCAGTACCATCGTCGAGAGTGACGACCGTCTCCACCAATTTATATCTTCCCTGCCGAGGGAGAAGCACGGTCGACACGTACGAATAGACGACCGCGAAATAATCTTACGCGCTTCGATTAGCATCTTTCAATACAGAACTGGGGAGTAGTCAGCTTCGAATCGATTGATACTGCACAAGAAAAAGTAGGTACATGCCTTCATAAACAAGAATTTATGTTAGCTGCCATCAGGGTTCTGTTCGAGGACTGATGTCCCTTAACTCCGGCACCAGTGCCTCGGCTTGAGCAACCATCATCTATATTTGACTTTCCCTGCTCAACCATTTGCATAAATTCAATGCTGCTGGATCTCATACCTAAATGGACAAAGGGCTCAGCTTACCTTCAATGAGCCAGATACCTGCTTGGATTCCTAGAATATCCTAGGACGTAACTTCTAATTACGTTATTCAGGAATACATCAACAGTCTGCACCTCGCCATGCTCTATAGATAAACAGACGGTAGGCATAAAAACTTCGTGTCAACGCCACCAATATTGGTCCCTGCATAGTTCATGAATTCTATAGTCAACAAGTACTAGAAGCCCCCGCAAACGACAAACTCAGAGCATCATTGCCCCTCCGATTCCATGCTCGTCTCAATCTTTCGAATAATCTTCGCCGGGTTCCCAGCAACAAAATGGAACGGAGGAACATCCTACACTAGTCAGTAAGAAGACACTAGCCACCGAAGTTTAGATTACTCACCTTGGTAACCACAGCGCCCGCCCCAACAGTACTCCCTTTCCCAATACGCACACCAGCGAGAATAATCACACTACCCGCAATCCAAACATCATCTTCAATATGAATCTCCTTCCCCGCCTCCGGCCCTTTCAGACCCCGCCGCACCGCCGGATCAAGAGGGTGCGTCGCACCGTAGATGGAGACGTTTGGTCCAAACAAGACATTCTCTCCGATCGTAATGAGGCATGTATCAAGAACAAGCAAGTTGAAGTTGAGAAACGTGCCTTTGCCAACCTTGAGGTTCAGCCCGTGGTCCACTGAGATAGGTCCGTCCACGAATGGGTCGGTTTCCTCGAAGAGCGCTTCGTCTTCTTTCGGGTCCGGGTTCACTGGCGGCATGGGTCGTTCGTCGCAAACAATACTGGGCGCGTTAGTGATTCGTCATATCCACCAGCCTTGTATGCTTTATGCTTACTTTCTCCAAAGCTCCACCATGCGACGCCGGCACACTGCGCCCGCGGCATTGAACTCGTCGCATGCTTTTTTGCATCGTGTTCGATTCGCTTGTAGATCTTCGTCCCAGGCCCAGTACAACTCTCCGCGTAGCATCTTTTGCCACTCCTTTGAATGCGCCATTGTGCTTAATGGGTGATCGTCTATGTGCAATCGCAATGAGGAAAAGGATATGAACGTCAAGATAAAGTAGATGTGAGATGTGAATGAGGGGAAGATTGTGACGGTGTCCGGTTCTTTAAGTGAGGCGACTGCGGTGGGTCGCGCGATGCGCTCTCGTTTACCCGATTGGGAAGGTCAGCCAGCAGGGCTGGTGGACCACCGAGGATTTTCCGATTGGCAAGGTCCAATGCATGTTCGTGTGGGCTGTAGAGCTTTGAAATGATTGATAGATTAAGAGTTTATTGCTAAGACTGAGTCGTTCCTTCACTTTGGCCCAGGAGGCAGGAGACGGTGTGGCCCCTATAATTGTCAGGGTGCATGGTGAGATAAATGCGGGGGGATGGCTGAGATTGACAAAGCTTGTCTTTATTCCAAGGCTGCGTTGTGTTGATCTGCATTCCCTACCAACTTTATTTTCAAGTTACAGCAGCTGATTGGAACTATATTTCTAGGCATGAAGAGTTGATTACTAGCGATTTCCAAGAAAACAGTACCTTTGAGCCGGCGAGGGAGGTTAAATGAATTGAAATATAAACATACAGAGAATAAATGCCAGGAAAGGGGTATACCGCTAAGATATACACCGAACACCAAACCAACCCCTCATAAACGCCCAGATACGAGGCGTGGATGCAAGAAAGATAAAAGAAAAGAACCCCCTTCAACACGCCAAACTCATTTACTCACAGTAGTCCAGAGTAACCGCCAGACGAACAGGTCCCGCGACCAGGTTCCCGCCAATGCCACCGATATCAGCCTTGACGCTGGTATAGGCGTTACTGACCTCGCTAGCGTCAGAGGTAATATACGAGCAGGTATCCTCGTCCAGCATACTGCAGATCTTCATTCCCTGGACAGCCAACCCAGCTTCCTGGGCCTGGATGGCCGAGACATCGAAACCAGACCAACCCGAGTTGATAGTCGAGCCGAAGTCGAATTCACCCCAGGTGGATGCGTAGCTGCCGTAGTCGTTCATTGGGATGGAGCCCTTGGCGGCGGTCCAGCCACCCTGGGAGTCGGTGTCGAAGGCGTAGTAGACGGTTTCGCCGGCGCCGATGGTGAACTCATGGCAGGCCTTGCCGTACCAGCCGTCCATTTTGCCGTCGGGGCCGATCTTGTTCCAGATCACCACGAGCCAGTCGTCGGTGTTGGAGCCTGTGAACTCGACGACGTACTTGTATTCACTGGCGACGCTGCTGTCGACGCTGATGATGTTGCTTCCGTAGGGAGTGCCCACGTTGCCGATGTAGGTGTCGCCTGACCCGGAGGAGTTGGTGACGCCGCCGAAGCCGGTGGTGCGGTACTCGCCGCTGGAGGGAGTGGCGGTCCAGTCGGCGTTGGCGGCAGACGAACTCGACGTAGAGCTGGTCGGGGAGGGTGTGATAGTGGAAGTGGTTGACTCAATGGTGGAGGTGGTCGACTCAATGGTGGAAGTGGTCGACTCGATGCTGGAGGTGGTCGGCGCAACGGTCGAGGTGGAAGTAGTCCACTCGATGGTTAAAGTCGAGGTCCACTCAATATAAGAAGACCAGATTGAGGTGGAGGTCGTCAAGGCTTCAGAAGACGACGGAGTAGGAGAAGGAACCGCCCGGAGACTGGAGAACGAAGCCTCACAGGGACAATTGATGATAGTGGAAAGCGTCGTGACGGTGATAGTTCTGTCCGCAGCCTGAGCCTGACGACGAGCATGGCCCTCATGGCGGCCGTGATTGTGACCATGACGGCCGGCCAGAGAGCCGCTGGTAAGAGCTGCCAGCAGCAAAAGAGTCTCGGTGAAGCGCATTTTGCAAGGATGACTCGGTAAAAGTTGTGAAACACCGAAGGGCTCGTGGAACCTGAAAGAAAGAAGGTCTAAAAGAGTGACTATACAAATGAGTGGCGGAAGTATGGGGACTTCCCTTGAACTGAAGGATGTAAGAAAGAAAGTGCAATCAGGGGGGGCTAGGCCATGATTTTAATCTACCACACATTTTGAGACAAGCCACTATTGCACCGGCGTTATATTTGTACTCCGTACGCTGGCGCCAAAGCGGGCGTTTCGGAATGGGAGGCTTCGGAGTCAGGGCTAACGCTCACGGGTTGACGTGTGCTCTGGCGCTAGCGGATATTAACTATATAATACCGAGAGATTATTGGTGCCGGTCTGATTGCAGGCCCACCCGCCTGTCGAATCTGGCCGGGAACCTAAATCTAGATCGCACTATTACGCGGTCGTTGGCGTGGGCGCGTAATCCGGCCCCGCCAGGTAGATGCCGCTCTCCCCATGTGCCGATGAACACCGTATATTTTACTTGGGACTGAATACCGTATATTATACTTGGGGATGAATGTGCCTTGCAGTGGGTCGAGGATGCCTATTCTTGTAGTTGAACCATTGTTCCGAAGCCAACATCTACCTTGTCATAAAAAGGTGTCGAAAGTTTCCTCGTTCGGAAATGTATTGATTGGTCGGTTTAGGCCCCGCCGGGCGAATCGCGGTGCCTGTGCCTTGCAGCACCCTATTTGGTCCTTCTCGAATCAAGTTAGCGTGAGGAGGGGCTACCGGTCAGTACGTCGCACGAAAATATGAAACACCTCTCTGGGACTAAGCTTAAAGGCAATCCCATCGCCCACCGGGCCTCCGACTCGGTGTGGCCCAAGTCTGGAATCCGCAATATACACAGTATAGTTCACCTGAACTTGGTAACTTCGTCACTACAGCATCAGTCAAGCAGAAAGGGCTAGGAAAAGTCTGGTTGAGACGATAGAAGCTTCTGAATAGATCATAACAGGGTTCGGTAGACATATTTCCCATGATTGTATGTTGATGTGGCAACTACGGCTTTTCTATCCGACGCTTTACGCGACATCAGGATGACGCCATGCACGGTCGTCTGAGCCGTAGTTATAAGACGGGCGTCTGACAAAATAGCGACATACGCTTCTCTCGGCTGTTCAACAATCCTGCAACAGGTTACAGCGCGCTCGATTCTATCAACGATTTCCTACAATATGGGACACGGCGAGGTATTGGACAAGAATGGCAATGTCATCCATGAGGGCGATTATGTCTTTACAAGAATGCGCGGCGGAACACATGAAGGAAAAGTGAGTTAGCAGCGGCCCCGCGCGGATCTTACAGTCGCTCGGATTAGTCTGGTGGTGGGTTATGCGCTAACAGTTTGTCTTTTCTCAGGTAGATGAAATCATCACAGACGAGCAACGAGCTCAAGAGAAGGACGTTAAACATCCGCCCAAGGTAAGCAAAAGAAATGATCACTTATGCAATTGCAACGGTGTGCTAATGCGCAATCTCTGGAGGTTTTATTCCACAACAAAAATGGGAAGACAGTCGCGCATAATCCAAGGACTCTGGAAGTAGACCCAGACCATGAATGAAAACACCGGTGGTTATAGTTTCCGTACTTGTTCGAGGATACAAGCTTTTTTTGGCAGAGGTAGGCCCACATCATGGAAACTAGCCTACGAGCGGAGAAAGCAGCCAGTGAGTCCTTTGCTCGTGTGTGGGCAAAGGGGCTGGATTAGGAGTATGAGGTTATTGTTAATTGTATGAATCCTGGTCCCGTTGCAACGAGCGAGTAAAGACTATCCTGTTTTGAATCTTTAGCCGATACGTGCACAATAGTGGATCCATGTCAAACTAAATTCAAGTCAAGTTAAGGACCGTTTGTCCAGGTCCATCATAATTGCGTTCGTTATGTACATTCCCAAATTCCCATATCCGTAATCCCTTGTAGTCGCTCCTAAAGCAATCAATCCATATCCGTAAATCTTGCGTTGAAAAAAGAAATCAAATGCATCCCAGTCTTCTTCACACGACTCGCTCACGAGCACCGAGTCTCATCGCCCTCGCTGTCACTCAGACTGTCACGGCGACGGCGTCCTCCTTCGCCGCGGCCACGGCGGTAGCCCTTGGTCAATCCGGGAATCGGATGGTGGTAGCTCTTATGGCCTGAATCTTCGGTGTCGACGTTGGAGTACTGGTAATCAGAGCGGGTGCCGGAGGAAGAAAAGTCGAGGGGCTCGGTGTAACCACCGGGTGCGGAACGGCGATCCTTCTTGCGGGGGCTACTGGTGCGAGATGATGGTGCAGAAGGAGGCGCGGCCGGAGGTGCGGCGCTTCTGCGATGCTCACGCTCATGCTCACGCTCGCCACGATCACGGCGACGGTTCTGGCGGCGTTGGGACGGGTCACGTAGATGGGACTCTTCGGTGGTCTGGCTCAAGACGTCCTCGCTGCCGGCAGTGAAGGAGAAGCCAGAAGGGTCGCGGCGCTTCGAGCGGCGGGGTTGCTCGTATGCGTAGTCGCGTGCCTCGGTCACCTCGCTTTGCTGGTAGTTCGAAGGCACTGCAGAGGAGTCGTAGTCGCTGCCGTGGTAGGTTCCATCCGGTTGGCGATTCATGCCACCAATTCGGGCAGGCTTTTCTTCGCGATAAGCTCGCACGTCGTCATCCGCTTCACCCTCGTATCGCTCGTCTTTGTGTCGGCGGAGGAGCTTCTCCTTGAGGTTGCGTTTCTTCTTAGGCTGCTTCTCGGTGACGGTTGTGCCGGTCTCGGTGTAGCCGTCGTCGTCGGTGTACGTGTAGCCGCCATCGCTGTAGCCCTTTCCAACCACGCTTCCGCCGCCGAGCTTGGTGCTCTTGGTTGCGTTACTGAGCGTTCGTCCGTCCGGTCCCTTGCGACGCAACACCGTTGATTTATAGTCATCCCAGTCACCTTTCCGCCAGACGAACCCGCCGTTCTTGGCCCAGAAGAAGAACCAAATGGCAGCAAGAACGAATGCAGCACCGATGATTGCGAACAAGGCCATAAGGCCCTGCATCTTGATGTGGGCGGGGTTGACCGTACCCTGGCCATAGGCAATCTTGCCGGCGGTTGTAGTAGAGTCGGCTCGACCTGCGAGATTGTGCAGGGTAGAAGATGGCGACATATTGATGCGAGCATCTTGAGCGGAGTCTCGAGCATCAGCTCCATTCACTGACATCACAGGAATGTCGGGGAAATCCCCAAAGCCCTGTACGGGGGCCATGGTAAATGAATCGAGCGGTCGAGAGCGGGGAGCTCAAGACGAGACTCTGAAAAACGTCAGAACGGCAACACATTCCTGGAATAAGAATGAGAGCTCACCTTGAGTTAAATGATCAGCGCCAGATCAAAGATAAGCAACGGGTTCCGATCCGAGGAATGTAGACAAAGAATGTAGGAAACGAAACTCGGTCTACCTGGTGGGAGGTTAGTGGACTGGAGAACTTGTGACAGAGGAAGAATACAAAGCCAGAAATATCGTGGAGATGGCCTTGGTCGATCTGGAAATGAGGAGGTTGGAGGAGGCTGGGGTCGTGTTTACTCGCTCGTTGGCCCGACGACCGTAGATCCTCAAGGCCCGACTCTCCGAGTCACGTGTCCCGGTGTTTCACGTCATGCGGCTCCTCATCCCTCATCAAGCGGATTTATTTTTAGATTCGCCGGTTAAGAGATGAAGCCCTTCATTTGCTTCGATTTTCCTTAGATACTGTATAGTTTAGACTGGCACAGAGTTGGTACTACATATATTCTCCCATGTGGAAACATATTACCCTGCGAGGAGTAGACCAAGTAAAGAATACAATATCGCGTAGATAGATAAAGCAATAGATGACCAAGTGTTGAGACAAGACAAGTACAAATAGTGGGTATAATCTCTCTCCTCCAACTCGGAGTCGCACGACGCAGAACCAGTAACCAGGAGAAAGACAGTGGCCCAAGATGACAGTTGAAGATAAAACGTAGACTCGTGGATCAAAATCAAAAAGGCTATACACAAACGCTGGCATGAGAGTGCATCAAGAAAAAGCAAAGGCACATCAAACTTGTCATCGCAGGTCATCAGAATCGTACAATCATATCACCGTAGCGGGAGCCTGCGAGTGGGCATAAGGTGTGTCCTCTAGTTCAAGTCACCCTTTCCCAGTTGCTCGCCCTCTCAAACGCAATAGCAATTGCAAATATAAAACCAGAGAATCCTCCCAGTCCGAATGAAGAGGGATGGTGAGTCGCCAATTCCCGGACCCTTTGCTCCAACACCGACTTTTATTTTGTTCCCATCACAGATTCCCGCCCTGCTGAACGCAACTGAAGGATGGAATCCGAACTTTTTTTTTTGCCGCAAAAAGACCGCCAGCTCGCGCTAATGCTGAGGTAACGAAGATAAAGAAGAAGACCGACCATCCAACGAGAATAGAAAATGAAACGGTGGATAGGAAGAAAGAAGGAGGTAACGCTCACGCCACGCTTACACTGCCTGGTACCGACGGTTCCGGCCGTACGTGGACTGGCTAGTCCGACGGCTTTCTCGGCTGGAACGCTCTGACCGCAGCTCGTCGCGCTCGCGTGGGCGTCGCACATCTTCAATCTCCCGTTGGCCACTGCCACCCGTATGACTGGAGTAGAGGGAGCCACCGGTCAGGTATTGCTGAGGCTTGCGACCGCCGGCGATGTTCAGGTGAACGCCGCCGGAGTCGCCCGTCCGAATGTTGATGGACTTGCCAGCAATGCCTTGTTCGGTGAACCCAATAGTCATTCCATTCACTTCAAGGTTAATGTTCTTGCTTTCCCCGTCATACTTCGACCCGCTGCCGCGACTGCTGTTCGATCGGCTCTTCTGGCTGCCGTGGTCACTACCGGTACCGTTTCCAAGCTTGGGAATGAGAGCTTCCGTCGACAAGGGCATCGCACTAGCGGGACGTCCGGCTTTCAGGGCCTGGTATCGCTCGATTTCCCGCTCGCGATCTTCCAGGTCACCGATGCTACCAGCGTCCTCATAGTAGTACTGCTGCGGCCGTCGTCGGCGAGAGTTGGAGTTTTCCACGGCAATCTGAGCACCCCGAGCATTGTCATGGTAAGACATTGATCGTTTGCTGTCACGGAGGCTGTGGCTGCGCTCGGGCAGTCTGGCTTCCCTGGACAGGCGACGGTGGGCGACCTCTGGCAGTGCGGCTGCCATATCCGATAAGTCGATGGATCTATCCGTGGCTCTAGACGACCGACGCTGCGAGGGGATGGCCTGGGTCGTCTGGGCCTTGTGTGGTTGCGGTCGCTTGGGCTGGTGAATTTGTGGTGCAGCTCTTTGTTTCGGCGCTGGAGGTGGAGGTGGAGGCATCTTGTAGTAGTCCTCATCACGCGCTTGGGTAACAACCGGCTTGCTCGAGCGTCGGCCGCGAGACTCTCGTGGGAGAGCTTCTCGTGGCTGGGGCTCTCGGCTAGCATGTTGTTGTTCCACGTAGTCACCATCATCCCATGGAAACATGTCATCCGGGAGTGGGTACGCGTAGACTGACGAACGACGGGGTCGAGATGCTTCCCGAGGCCGAGACTGAGATCGTTCTGGCACGTACTCTGCAGGAGCGGGGAAGTCAGACCCAGCATAGTACGAGCCCCCGTATGGCGAGGATGAATAGGGTTGGCTGACATATGCCGACTGTGCTGGTGGAGGACCATGGTCGTAAGGATACACCGGCGGTGCTTGGTACATGTGGGGCGGACCCATTGAAGGGTGCATCCCGCCATGGAAGCTCACGGGCCGTTCCTGGTGGTACATTCCACGGTAGGAATTCGAGCGACCGGGCCGGCCGGAGGGACGACTAGCATGATATTCTTCGTAGGCGGCGGGCGGAAAGCGAGCACTCTGAGGTGAAGACGGTGGGTAGTCGGGCACGGGCGGACGAGCAAAGTAGGGAGGGAACTCCATTGCTCGAGTCTCGACGGGGGTGGAGGAGTAGTGGTAAGCTTTCGCATCGTAGCCGTAGCCGTAGTCTGCATTATAACGGACGGAGTCTCGTCTACGAGACTTGGATGGCGACCGCGGCACGGGAGCATGATGGTGGGCAGAGCCCGCGTAGGCACCCATCTGCATCTTCTCGTCGCGCGTTGGTCGGGCACGTTCCTTGTCTCTGCGTTCTTTGCGGCTGGAGGGTCCCTTGGCGATGTCGACTCGGTCTCGCTTGGGCATGTCCAGCTTATGAAGAACCGGGGGGCTCTTTCCGCCCGACGGGCCAGATTGGGTGCTGTTGGCGGTGGCTGCGGTGCGACTAGAATACCCTGAGTCACTGGCGCCGTCGATCAGCGGCTCCGCTGGGGATCTCAGATCCAACCTCGAGTGTAGTTTGGCAGCCGTATTGGCTACCTGCCGACTATCGGGTACGGCGTCGTGGGAGTCTTCGTCGAAGTCTTCGACACAGGCCGGCTGAGGAGGGGCTTTGGACTTGCCCGCCATGGCTGCACGGAAATCGGGGTAAATGGGCGCGGTGCCTAGGAGAGGAAACAGGTTGGTCCCGTTTGGTCATGGACGTCGGTGTGGGCTTACCCACACCTGCAGGAAGGGATATGCTTGGTTGACACTTACAGCAAGCCACCCAAGAGGGAGATGAGATGACTCAGAGAGAATCGAATTTTTTTCTTTTCGTTTCCTGCTCGTCTCCACGCCGTATGGGGTTCCGTCGTCACCCCCGGCGCTTGATACCCTAGTACCCTCCGCGTCTCCAGTTCCGGAACTTTTGACCAGTGTTCTGTTCACCCAACCCAGGGACTCAAACAAGAAAGCGGACCTGCCGATCGCAGGGGCGATGGCAGGCGAGGGGTCGGGGAGATCGAGATTCGTCAGCGGGCAGAGAGTGCGAAGTGGTAATATCCAGATCGCAACGTCTCCATCTGAAATGGGAATTCGGGCGGACAAGAATAGAAGTCGGGCGGCGCAGAGAGCGTTGGGAGATGGGTCCGAGTAGGAGTGAAAACTCTGGCAGACGATGAGTGGTGGGTAGTCTGCAGGTTGCAGGTCGGGTTGGGTGTTGATGATGAATCTTAAAGAGTTGTGCCTGACTTTGGTACCCGGTGGGGTTATTGTGGAGTCGATAGGGCAGACGGGCAGATGGGCAGATGGGCAGACGGGCAGACGGGCAGCGATGAGGGGTTTGAAAGGGAGAGAAGGGGAGAAAAGCGGAAAAGATAAGGGCAGAACTTGCAAGAACAGCAAAACAAATAAAAATAAGAGAATGTTTCAAAGATCGGGTACCCAAAAGACAGAAAAAAAAAGAGGAAGAGAAGAAGAAAGTGGGGGGCGTCGGTCATAAGAACGCGTTGTTTACCGTGCTACGCTTTAAGCTCGGAGACCCGCTTGGGGATCCCTGGTTCTGCTCGGATCTTCTAGGATGATTCTACGCTTTTTTGATTTAGTCTATCAAGGTGCTTGTACCTTCTGGATTATGCGATCCCATGAACGACACATTCCCATCCTCTGTCAAGTAATGCTTTTACTGTTTCCCGCCTAACGCCCAATTCCGGCCATTGCGGCCCAATGATCGCCTCCACCTATGCAAACCATCTCCCGTCTCCATAGAAAGGAAAAGAATCGAAAGAATCGAAATCTATGTCTGGTACTCGGTACAAAGGGATACTTTGCTAGAACGGGTTTCACCATGGTTAGATAGGAAAATACAATGGCTATGTACCTGGTACACGGGAAAAAAAAGTCGGTGGGGATGACATGCTGCAGTGTGGAATTCCAACACACCACGCAGCGCCAAATCGCCACTGATGTCTCGAGTGGACCGAGGAAGCACGCTAGAAACGAAATTGCTGAACCCTCTGCATGGCGCTCGTCAAGCCCCGGTGCTCTGGAGGCGAAGACGTGAGCCCATGTGGCAGGACTTCTATGGCCCCCCTCGAGGAGGCTGCTTTCCTTCTCCGCAGAACCTGCCCGTCGCGAGTCATGCGTGCCATGTACTCTGTACTTGTCGCTCTCGACGTTCTACTCTTCTGTGCCCTTTGGAAACCCAGATCCGGTCAGATCGGTATGACTCGCAGCACGGACGGTCCATCATTGCCCCCTCCGTCGAATCCTTCACCTCCTTGCGTCCTGGACCTTGGCTCGTTTCATGGAAGGCCCAGGACCCCGCACGTGCGGACTCAATCGATAAGAACGCAATTCACCATTTTGAGGGGCAAATTTCCACGCCTGAGGTCCATGCTCTGCCCGGGTGAGGATGGGAAATCAACCCGGGTTGACTAGCCCCGATGCCCAGCATCCAGGATATCCATGCGGCTCGGGGGAGAAGAATACGCCCACGATCGCAAGATCGCAAGATCTCCGGATCGGGCCCGGGGAATCCGCTGTGTGGTCCGGACATATCGCAACTCCTGATAACCGCATTCACTTTCACCTTCAACTAATAAGCTTCGCACGCATGTCATCTTCTTCGTGCGCGATTACAAAAACTCTCCCGGTCCCTTCGGAGAGATAGTTACTCTGGAACCCCTTGCTTCTCGCCTCTGCAGGTGGCAACAGCTTCTCCCGCAACAAGACCTTCACCGCTAGTTCTTTGGTATGGGAGCTGCCGTCTCGATGAGGAGAAGGAGGGGCTCGCACGCGTCCTTTCCAAGTTCTTCGAAGCCCCGGGATCAAAAAAGACGGTCGCTTTCTACCACTTGCATTGAACGGGCGAATGGATGCTACAGTATACGTGATGACCGTGAGGCCACTGCTGTCAAGCAATTCGCCGATGCCAGCGCCATTCAGGAGGCGCACGGAGAGCTCTGCGCGGGTGATGCCGGTGCGCCGATTGAGCTCGAATGTGCCACAGAAGGACAGTCATGCCAGCGCGCCGTTCCCAGGGTTACGCGCGATGGTTATCGGTTCGTGGTACTACAACATGCTGGCTTCGGCAGAGATAGACGGATGGGCGAACGCTGGGATGGCCATTCAATCGCCCACCTAGGTAGGTGTAAATCTGACTGAAGAGTATACGATACAATTACAACTAGAATATAGAGACCTGTGAAATCGACGCCGAAAATGACAGCCTCTGGCGCCAGACGGCCGCCTTTCCACCCGTAACTTTTGGACGGCGAGCCACCGTTTGACCGCCCGTTGCCTAGTACCGCCTTCTATTCTTCTTATCCTCCTCTCATCCTGTTGTCGACGCTTGACTTCAACGATTGTTCCCTCGGTTTCCACTAGCGACAAAAACGATGCCAAAAACAGCTCCCCTCTGTATTGAAACCTAGATTCCCTTCCTTTTCGCTCTGCTTAGTCGAGCGCCTATAAGATGCTTCGTCCGCCCTCTGTTCCGGGGTTCTTTCAACACCATTCTACAGAATCCAAAGGTTTGTCTTTATCTTCGATTTCTCCTTATAGCGCCTCTGTCCGTGTCTCCAGCTCAAGTTGATGAGCATCAGTATTGGATCGATCCTATCCTTTGCGAGGAAACTCGAGCTAGACTAGAACACTTCCGTAACCTTGGATGTCTCCCTCTAAACTTCAAGCCAATAACGCTATTAGGAATCGCTATAGTCGAACGGTATTAGCGGTTGTGGGTATTCCCTTAATAAAATGATAGCCTTGTGGTTGGGGAATAACATGGTAATAGATATTATATTCAATCAAACTAGGACTACGTGGACTACCTTCTACTCGAAGATTAAGCAATTTGTATGAACTTTATCGACTGGATGTTCAAGACGTCACCAAAAAAAGTACTTCTATCCTATAATGAATACTAGCGCCGCCTTTGTTAATACTTCGAGCTATTCGCCCGTCGCAGTGTCAATGACGATATTCATGAGCAGATACGACGCGTAGCGTTGGTTCGTCTACTCTAAAGTGGATTAAACTTACTAGAGCATAGTTTCTAAACGGCGTATTCCCGGCTAAGCGCAGAATTCCCTGCCGAACGAAGGATAAGAATACTCTAGATATAGATGTCTTTTGTGTGATCTATCGGCATCACTAGTTCTATTCGAGGTTTTTTCGTCACGGAAGTATAATCGTTTAATTTTCTACCGTCCAGCTCTGGTCTGCTATTACTAGGACTTGAGCTAGCGTCTTGCTTCCACAGAACACCTCTCTACCTTGTGACTGCTCCTTGAGCAAACGCGAACAAAACCCCACTTTTTAGAGCGATCCCCCCAAGGATATCTCCGTGATAGACCTTCCGGACTCGGTCTGCTATCGTGATATTGAACTGTTCTACCTATGAGACCCTTAGAGCAAACGTGACGTTCTCTGTGCGGTGATAGAGTTTCGTAACCTAAAAGGTCGACCGGAAGGTCCTGATAGGTAAGCGTGTTTATAGTCTCAAATGCGAGAGTACTTGATACACTACTAACCCTTACTACTAGAACTAAATTTTTTATGCACGGCGATTATCAATTCTATTATTCATATTCGAAAATATTCATGAATATTCATATTCCCTTCGGAGCCCTACATCCAAGCACCTTCTCACTGCCCTCCTGGTCTCGGAGATGCATCGCTTCTGCTTCTTCATATTTCCCTTGGTTGTCGAGAACCAAGCCGAGGTTACTGACACTGATGAGCGTGTCAGGAGGCTCATGTCCAAGCACTTTCTCTCGTGCTTGCAACGCCCGTCGATGCAACGCTTCCGCCTCTTCATAAGCTCCTTGAAGACCTAGAAACCACCCACAATTAGATGATACGGTGGCTGCATTTAATCGATCCCCATCATCTACATCACATATTGACTTCAGCACACTTTTGGCATGCGCAAAGAGCCATCGACATTGCGTCCAGCTTTCGTAGTTGCCATCTGGAAACCCCATGCCATAATTCCACGTGATTTGACCTGCCAGCCGTGAAGCGGCTGGTGCATGTCCAGCCACGCCCACACGGATAACTGCACTAGGTTTGGGGTGGGTATTCAATATCGGTGAAATAGTTACGTTAGTTAGTGGCAGTGTTATCTAGTTTACTATCTAGTGGGTGCCGGCTCTGATATATTAATCGCAATATTCTTAAGTATGAGCATGAGCATGAGCATGATAGTACAGTACTATAAATGAATAATCATGGGTGAGGGCGAGGCTGCCATTTGAAATGGACATTTTATATCTAGCAACTTCATTATTTACTGACACACTGGAGAGGCCACACATTGGGTCGTAATAGTTTTCTCATTCTAATCTTCAAACTAAGTTTGTGGCCCATCTTAACAGTAGTGTGCCCACTCTAGCTCTTTTTCGTTATAATAGAATCACAGAGTCCATCTCGGTTAGAAAGCCGAGGCCTTGACCATATTACCTTTCAACTCTAGGATAAAGCCGAGAGTTAATATCTAGGACTGGTAGTAGAGACCATTAATACTTCTAGGAATCAAGGCAGGCGCATTGTCCACCAGTTTGACCACAGACTGGGTGGCCGTCATCACAGCAGTAGATAGTGTTACACGGATAAGAGCAAATCCAGCAATCTACAGAAGTCACTGGTTATAAATAGAAATTTTGATGACTAGGGCAATCACATTGTCCTGTCTTACCGGCAGTATCACGTTCTGTGAGTGGCTGTGTGGGTTTGTATTTCACAGCATCGGTACCTGCAAGCCCTTTGGCTGTTACGATGGTGGTGTCAGCTGGACCTTTAATCTCAATATCTAACTAAAAGGCTGATTTGTTATCTCCTTTGCCGGCCTGTCCAATACCGATGCCGGCGACAGAGTGGCCGGTCAGGTAGATCATGAGAATTATCACGGCTGCTCGAGGCATTATGAAATAGGAGCTTGAACTAGAAATTGATGCCGAAAGAGGTTAAAAGTTGATGGTGTTGAGAAATGTAGGGTAGATGATCAGACGAAAAGAAGATGGACTGGGTATTGATAGTAAATTCTGATAATATTTTCTGTTCGTTGTCAGGGGGATATTTATACCCTCTCCTTGAGCACTGTTTTCTAAGGAAAATGCATACAAAAAATGTTATCCTACACCGCTGCCCGGTGGTCCATGAAAGAAATTCCTCTGGAACGAGCAAAGGAGGTGATATAGGTGAGGAACCTGCATATACGGGCTGTTCATGCAGCCCAATTTCAATACATATCCTCATGGGCCTAGCTGACCAATCAGCAGCCAGCGGGGCAGAGTGATGCCGACCGATGTTGGCGCCTTAGGATGAGGGCTCCAATTTCCAACAGATGATGTGCCTGTTTTGTGATTTATATTGCAAGCCTGCCGGATGAAGTCAGCTTTAATTTGTTAGGAAGATAAATCACTCGCGGGTACTGTTATGTGGTATTTATGAAAGGGTCCTACCTGGGTACGCTTAGTATTCCCTAATTTGCTAATCTTGGATCGGCCAGGGCCAGTATTCATATAGGAGAAGTACAGAATTCTTCATGGTGAACAAGGCATGATCTACATTATTGATCAGCACGTGAGACATGACCGGCCAGTAGCTGAATCAATCAGGTCGATGGATTGCAGATTGAGCTATCCTGGACCCTAATGCTGTCGGCTCGGGATCGCCAAGAAATATGCTTTTTCAGCACACCCTTACTTTTCTAGCTGTTGTTTGGTTCTAGAGGCGCAGAAACCAATATAAAGCGTTGTAGATCTGGTTGAAGTAATTGACGCAGGGAGCTACTGCGTGAAGCAAGCGATACAAACGAATTACCGCGCACTTTGCACGGCATGCAGTTTGACCACTGATATCGCTTCACCTATCGCGTACGACGACCACAATTCCCGGTGGCTAAGAATCTTTAATGCTCGATAGATTTTCTTGATCAGGCAAGGGTTATGATATGTAGTCATGACTGTGTTTTCAGCTAATGAGCGTCTGCAATGCACCCAAACGGCTACTCTCCATGGACTACAGGGGATATCACGGCTGGCCACCGGCGATGGCTACCAGAGCTCATTCGGGATGGATCGGCTCTTGTAATTGCCGAGTTTCAGCCTCAATAGATATGGGCTAGAATAGGCCTATCCAGACTTTCATGTCGATTGGCGGTGCAGGGGGCGGTTGCTGTGGATATAGGGTCAGTCGTACACGCAAGTGAACTTAAATATCAACGATGCGCCCTTCTGTCTGTGGAGAGGCATTTCTGTGTCTTAATAGAGCTCTACTTATGTTGGAAAACTATACCGTTATGGCTGAGCTGAAGGTGTCTATGGATCTGACAGATCATATTCTTAGGCCCCGCCCCGCCCCAGATCTTTGGATGCATGTGGACGGATTCGTCATGCCTGAAGAACTCTAGCACAATCAAATGAAATCTTTTGGTTAATATGCATGTTATCATGCCAATATAAAGACATATTTTAGCAAAGTAAGAATAAGAAAACAAATTCACATTGACTTATCGAGCATAGGGTGAACTGACATCTTTTTATATGCTTTACGAAGTTCCAGGGCAAATAGATTGGCGGTCAATCTCATGCTGACGGGTTGTAATAATAGGCGGTACAAGAATACCATCCTATGTTTTCAGAATTCAAGTCTGCGAAGAGACTAACTGACAACAGCTTGTATGCAAGCCAATTCATTTCTCCTCATTTTGCAGCGGAGCTAACCAAACGGTGAAGCAATTGGCGACTTTGCAATAGCTAATTTTAGGGGAAAAGAAGCAAGTCGGAAAGCCTCACCAACCGAGAGCGATCTAGATAGCTTGGTAGTGTGGCCCATGGCCACTTTTCAAGATAGAGGGGATGGGGGAAAGAAGAAGTAGACAATGAAGAGGACGAGGTCGGATCTTTATGTTAGACGATTGGAGGGCAGGTTATGTGACGGCGTATTGGGGCGCCAAACCTCAAAAGACAAAATTAACCACATATAGTAATTCACAGGTCTGCCGTTTACAAGCTCTACATGTATAACTATCCAAGACGTAATATTACAAATCCCCCTATCTCGATCTCCTGCCGACGACCATCAGGTCCTGCGCAGTAGAAGCGCAATCCATCCCAACAGCCGATACACTGCAATGATACCAATGAGAATGCCGACCCATTTTCCAGTCCTGCCAGTCGCATAGCCGTAGGTCTCTAGAACACCCGTTCCGCGGATCTGGCACTGATCTTCCAAGTCCGTCTTATACATGCACTGACACTGATCACCGCACGAGTAGTTCCGTTTTGAGAACTCATTCACCATCATCCCCTGGAATACATATGCCTAGAATGATTGTTAGTCTGATCAAGTATTTCAATAGATCCTTATCTCACCTGATAATCGATGTAATGGAACACGTATTTCCAGAACGGATTGAGGATCGTCGGAGTCACCAGGAACCCGCCCACGCTCATCCAGAGCCCGTTTGCGAATGCCACGAGTGCCAGAGCGATCACGAAGTTGGGATATATCGCCGTCACAAGGACAACTAGTGACTCGGCCGCCACTAGGTCCAGGAAGATCCACATCACCCAGGTGAAGAAGGCGTCGGCGCTGGGGCGGAAGTTGGAGAGCCAGTACGAGACAATCGAGAACAGGATTGAGATTAGGACTGCAGGATCGGTCAGCTATGTGAGTCTGGGAGCTCAGGTGTCACATCACATACAAAGGAATGGCAGGCCGATCAGGAAGTTGGAGATCATGAAGGGCGTCGCCCCGTATAATCCGTTGGCTCGTTCTTTGGTGAAGTTGGCCCGGTCCTCGAGGAAGGCGGGCACGTATGCCACGGCCATGAAGGACATAAAGGCCGATCCGAAGAACTAGGTTACACCGATTAGCGCTTATAAGTATGTGATTATAGGGGAAAGGCCTTACAATTGCGTTGACGTAAGGTTGGATATACTCCTGCGACGGGTGCAGACGGAGCCACACTGTGCCCATCATGATTGCGAGTCCTGTAACATGTTAGATATGGTAAGTAGTTACGATCCAATGTTACATACCCAGATACATCACAATGCGGATTCCATAGGCAACAACATCGCGATAGCTCTTAATGAAAGAACGATGGAGGAGTGCGGTTGTGATTTTGACTGGACCGGGTCGAGCCAGGTCTTCCATCACAACCTTGTTGACATCCTTGTCCGTCGTTCGTGCTCTCGAAGAAACTTGCCGTGTGATGGTATTTGCCTCTGCGGATGTCGCCCACGCACGTTGGATCGCTTCGACCTGCTCTTGGGGTGACTCTTTGCCACTGCTAAAGTCCGAGCTGACGACATCCAGAAGAAACTCTGCAGGGTTGGTGTTTGCAGGAATGGGACGACCGATATTGCGGAAGTATGTATCGACATCCTGGAGAGGTCCAAAGTAGCACGTTCGTCCTCCTGACAAGAGAAGTAGTTTGTCGAACAATTGGAATGTCGTCGTCGAGGGCTGGTGGATACTGGCGATGATGATGATCTAGGATTCATGAGTTTTCCGTACACCACCCATCGGGCGCTATACTCACATTGTTCAATCTGGCCAGTTCCTTGGCATACGACATGACCTCGAAGCTAGCCGTCGAGTCCAGACCACTAGTCGGTTCATCCAAGAACAGGATCTTGGGACAAGTGATGAGCTGGCTGGCAACACTAACCCGCCTCTTCTGGCCACCACTGATGCCCTTTCGAATCGGAGTCCCAACAAGGATATTGGCTTGCTTCTGGATCCCAAAAGCCTCCAAAAGAGTCCGGATACGTTCCATGCGCTGGCGCTTCGACACCGAACTATTCCAAAGCGCATCAGCAAGACAACAACACAAGCCATGAACAGGATCAATACCTAGGCAACGAGAGATCCGCCGCAAACTTCAACGTCTCTTGTACGGTTAACGACCCGATAAGTGCATCCTCCTGCTCCACATACGATGTCATGCGCCCGAATGAAGCCGCGTCAACCTTGGCCCCATTCACATAGCTGTCACCCATCACTTTGGCACCTGCCGCCCGATGTGCCAGCACGTTGAGCAGCGTTGTCTTCCCACACCCCGACGGTCCCATCAACGCCAGAAGCTCCCCTGTCTTCGCGTCAGTATCATCCCCGTTCAATAAGCGCTTCATAACATACCCCGCTGCACATCACCGCCGATATCACAGATCAGATCTCGTGGTTTTTTCGTCTCTCGGTCCTTGACCGTCACCGTAAGCCCACGCCACGAGAAACTCTCCACGGAATTGTTCATCAGAAACAGTCCTTCATTCATCTCCACATCCGGGCTAGCCCTTGCCTCCATGGCGAATGAATTTGGCTCATCCATTGTCAGTCGAGAACGCAATGGTTTCCACGTCAGTACCCGATTTCTTGGCTTTATGCTGAGTCTGTTCCGCTGGGTCGGGCCTTGGGCTTTATGTACATTTCAATCTCGTTTGAGGAGTCAGCAGGATCGCCTTGTGGAGCTCGGGGTTCCGCTTGGTGGATTTAGGAGACCGGGGCGATCAAATTTTTTATTTTTTTTTCCCTTTTTTTAGGGGTTCAGCTGGCGGTTTTAAGGTCCCCGATCTACAACGGTGGCCTCCGGAGCTTGGTCCCCGTCCCGCCCCCGTTCCGTCCGCGTTTGGCGATAGTGTGCGGCTCGGCGGAGGCTTAATAAGATCCGTTGGTCCCCGAGGTATGAACGCCGTTCAACATTTTTACGGGTCAGAGGGATGTGCACGCCGGGCTTACTTGAGTTTTTGCTTCTAGATTTTGGTGTTCTCGGTCGAGAATGTCCCCTTGATTTTGAGAATTCTTGCCTACGAGTCTGATCGGAGACTTGTTCGGATACTTGCGGGATTCACAGGCCGTTGCATGTGGATGATCCCCGCACGCCACATTTTCCCTAAAACGGCTTGGCCTTCTTTTGGGGTTCTTTGTAACGTGATCAAGATCAGCGGACCCACTGCATCCTCCTACGATTGTGGGTACTAGCAATGGAGAACAGTTGCAAATATTGATATTTTGATAGCCAGCTCTTAGCGCCGAATGCATCTTAATAATATGAGATATCGTGAAGTGTGAAAGACCTTCAAACGTGTTGGAGAAAAGGGAAAAAGCAAGTTTACATCCTACAAGCATGTGAAAGTTAGCGGATGGCTGGAAGAGTGCAAATGGACAAGGGAGACAAACCGCTCAACGGGGTTCAGGCCAAGGATGCGCATGCCGTTGTGGAGGACCTGACGGGCGGAGAAGTAGAGGGCCATGCGGGCCTTCTTAATGTCGGGCTCGCTACCAACAACCTTGAGCACGTCGTAACTCGAGGACAGGGCGTGGGTCATCTTGAACAGGTAGGCAAGGATGGTAACGGGTTCTAGAGTCTTCGAAGCGTTGATGATAGTGTCGGGGTAGGTAGCCAAAAGGCGGATCAGGTCGGTGGCGTGCTTCTCGGTCAAAAGGTCGAAGTTGGCGGAGCTCAACTCCTCCTCGGTCAAGCCCGACTTGCGCATCATAGAGCAGAGACGGGCGTGGGCGTACTGCAGGTACGGGCCAGTGTCACCCTCGAAGGAGGTCATGGCCTCCAGGTTGAAGTCGTAGCCGTTGATACTGAGATGGGTTAGTATGGTAGATATGATAGACCTTGGGGGATTGAAGGGACGTACCGCTTGCCAGTGTAATCCTGAACCATAACGGCGGTGATACCCAGCGTATCGGCAGTGGCGACGGGGTTCTCCACCTGCTCGTACTTGGTCTGGTTCTTCTTCATCACCTCGTGCATCTTGTCACCGACATCGTTCAGGATGTCGTCCAAAAACTTAACGGTACCCTTACGAGTACTCATGCCCTTAACCATGCCGAAGTTAATGTGCTGACAACGGTCAGACAGGTCCTTACGGCCTGACAGTTCAGTGACCTTGAAGAGCTGTGCCAGGTGAAGATCCTGCTGCGAGGCCACGACGTAGATCATCTTGTCGAACTTGTACTCCTCGTCACGCTCCAAAATGGCACCGATATCACGGGTCAAGTAGAGGGGAGTGCCGTCCTTGCGGACAATGATAGCCTTGCCGAGCTTCTTAGCACCGTGCTTGGTGAAGTCAGCAATCACGGCACCTTCGGACTCTTCGGCAACCCCAGCATCTTGCATGGCCTTGAAGGCATTGGCCATGCTCTCTTTCTTGACCTGCGATTCACCGGAGTAGACATCGAAGTCAATGTTGAGACGAGCATAAGCCTGCTTGTACTTGAGGATACTCAGGTCACGGAATCGGCGCCAGAGGTCGAGAGCCTCGGGATCGCCATCCTCCATGCTCTTAAAGTAGCGGCGAGCCTTCTCATCCTCGCTGGCATCGACCAGCTTGGCAAGCTCGGCCTCAAGGGCAGCAACATCCTCGTTCTTCTCCTTTTTCTGCTTGATCTGCTCCTTCAGCTCCTTGATCGGCGCCTCCTGCTCGCTCACAATGTGGTTAACCTTGACGTAGACATCGAACAGATGGTTAATGGGGTCCTTGGCGAGGGCTTCCTCGTTACCGAAAGCCTTGTAGCCATTGGCCAAAAGACCGTACTGCTTGCCCCAGTCACCAAGGTAGTTCATGCGGATAACATCCCATCCCATGACGGTGTAGAGGTTGGCAAGGAAACCGCCGATAATCGTACTCCGCAGGTGGCCCATGTGGAATGCCTTTGCGATGTTCGGGCTGGAGAACTCAATAATGATCTTCTTCTGGCCCTTGGAGGGGTCTGAGGGGTCCTTTAAACCTTGGTTGCCATTGGTACCGAAGGCAGCCTTCTCCTTCAGGATACGACCAAGGACAGTATCGGTGAGAGCCTTGGGCTTGCAGAAGAACTGCAGATGAGGACCAAAGGCGGTGGGAGGGTTGACGAGGTCAGATTCAGGGAATTTGGAGGCCAGTTCCTGGCACAGCTCCGCAGGGTTCTTCTTGATGCCTAGCGCTGGGACCTAAATGACATGGAAACAAGGTCAGTCTGAGTTTCCAATTGAAAGATGAGACCGCAAAGATTGCGGACTCGCGCTCTGGACGGTATATCAACCACATACCGGCAGCGTCAAGTCGCCCTTGTCCAGGGTATTTGTCCATGCGAGGCGGGAATAGATCTTTTGAGCATCGATGCCGGTGGCCTTGCTCAGCTCCGTTGCAATGTGCTCGCGGTAAATGTCCATTGGGTTCAGCGACGGGAAGCAGCCGGGGTACTCGGACTTTTGTGTGGTCGATTGGAGGGAGAGGGCCTCGACCGAGGCGGGCAAGCTTTCGGACGCCATTGTGGTTAACGATCGGGAACGCGCCGGGAAAGCGATAGCAGCGCGAAATGGAGAGGAGGAGTTCGATCGGACGGTGATGAGGGGCGATCGAGAAAAAAAGTAGCCAGAGAAACGCCGGGCCCCGCTTAGCATAGAATGACCCATAAAGAGGGGGAAATTCTCGGGGAGTTACTTTTTCTGCTGTGAGTCAGTGGGCGGGAGGCAGGCGGTGAGTCACGTGCGCTGTATAGACCCTGTTTCTGTGATCAATTCACCGCGGGCTTTCTTATCGCGTGCTGGATTATATCCCAGGATGTGGTAAAATGGTAAAACTAATTTTCGAATAGTGAGCGCATATTGTTCATTATTGTTGAATGAACGAGGATCGTCAAGATCATACTGGTCTGGTGCTGGAACTCTAATATACAACCACCCGCGATGAAGCCAGAGGCATGTACTGAATTAGTACTAGTAGCTATGGAGTAAAACAAAGTCCAACCACTCAATCTAGATACTGAAATAGTACTAGTAGCTACGGAGTGAAAGAAGGTCCAACCACTCCATCCAGATCAAATACCCTTGTTAGTTGCCTGTCAGCCTTGTTTAAACGCATTTCATCTTGGTGAAGCCGCTCAATGCATGGGACGGTCCCTGAATCTCAAAAATTGGAACGATTATCTCTTAGTGGAGTAGCCTTGACCATTTTCTCCGACAAATGGGAAGTGCATAGACTCCTCATCCGCACGTACAATATTTTTCTTACTTTCCCATCTACAACTACCAAAAAAAGGCTATCAGGACACAGATAGAGAGGACTGATTGTATGTTTGTTTATGAAGCTCATGAGCAAGGTATTGGTCTACTAGATGGTATAGAAGGGGGTGGTGTGTCTTTCGCAGCACTCACCCATAGAGCTTCAGTGGCCAAGGAAGGAGCCAATAGGCGGCAATATACATGCAGCGTATGCAGAACGCTTGTCCAGGGGGCTAATTACTGTCCATATAGGGTTTAAATTCAATATAAAGGCGTTGTGGTCATTTAAATACTTCATGAAAAGAGTGTAAAATGGTTGGGGTGGCGACCCCTCACTTGGGGATGGCGACCCGCTTGGGATATACGGTAGTAAAAGCGACAAAGCCCCACACGGAAGATCTTCTAATGTCTATTCTAATATCTAATGAGCTCTAGTCAGCCTTATCGCCACCGTGCAAATCAGGAATTTGCCTGGGACACGCTCGCGGATGCGCCTTGTTGCACGCTAAAAGGCGCCCCTTCTCTCGCACAGATGCGAGAAGTGATGAAAGAAGTAAGTGTAGGATGGCGAACCGAACATAGCACGCGTTTCTGCCATCCATGACACGGTGTTTAAGCCTCTCATCGTCTTTCATTGGCTTTGACGTGTCTAATAGGTCCCGTGAATGGGTCTTTGTTTCCTTCGTTCTCCAATCACGTTATTGACAAGAGGAGCGAGCTACGTATCGTACCGAAAAGCCGCTGTGCTTACCGCATTAATCTTGGCGTTTTGCTGTCGCAATTTTCTAGCACGGGATTGCGTCTTCCATTCTTTAAAAGCTGGACTTTGCAACCCCCTACCCCTACTGAGTGAAACCTGCTACTTTCTTCAAACCTTTATCACCTGGTTGGCTTTGTGCGTGCCCTCTTAAGGCAACAAAACCAACGATAATTTAGTACATCCCCCAACTAGGTTGGGTTGGTCGGCTTACAGAAAGCAAACAACAAGTGATCTTCAGTAGGTCAATCTCTGATATAATGAAAGCTTTCCCGGACTTTTTTTTTCACACATGATTAAGCCGTTTCTTAATTTGAAGAATAAAGTATCCAAAAAACGGGGGACCGGCACTCCAACTCCAGCTATGACGGAAAAATTGAGGAAGCTAATATCGCTGTTAGTATAAACGCCAAGAGCATGAACCAGATGACGTCCTCAGCAGAAGCGGCGAAGGCAAACAAAAACAAAAACACTCTTCATCTCTTGATAATGCAGCAAGGAAAGCCAAAGAGCAAGAAATGAAAGGATCTGGGAAGCAAGGCAGGAAAACCTGATATGCGCTTTTTAGTCAGATGAGCAGATGGCTGGACCAATATGCCCCGCAAATGCTTCCCGCAGGTGATTGTCGTATTGCTTCTTGTCTTCAAGCCTTTTGTCGAGAAATTTGAACGCATCAAACGTCAAATATGGCATCGTGATCGACCAGAACGCTTCATCGTCCATATGAGACTGGGAGAAGTGTGGTTGGATATGATCGTAGAAGATTCCAAACAACGCCATAGGAGTGTTGAGTGCTAGAGAGCACCAGAATGTTCCACGGTCCCACCCTTGCTGTAGAACGGTATGCAATTGAACAAGAGGCTGTGTTTCTCTGGTACTTGCGTATTCTTCTTCTTTCAGCACCTCCATGAACTCCTTATGGATGCCCTCGTATACATCCAGTCTGATTGTGGCAATAGGATCATTCGACAACCAGTGCGGAGGATGAATCATTTCCACCGGGTGAGAGCAAGCCCATTCAAGGTCAAGAAGGCACTTGATATTCCAATCTTCATCGACAAGTATATTGCTTTGGTGGAGATCGGTGAGATGCATGAAGAAAGGTCCGTTGAAAAAGTCACGGCGGAAGAAACAAGGCCAGACACTCCTCATGACCGATAACGCACATGCCTGATAAAGACCATCCTGAAGACTACTAACAGCATTGGGTTGGTGACGAAAACGGCTATCATGAAATGCAAGGATATCATTTATGTATGAGTCTGCCCTTAAGTGGGTAACTCGTCGCGACATGTCAATTGGGATGCCTTCGTTTTCGAGGAATGGGATCTGAAGGGTTAGAGGCCGGTTACTCAGTCTCAAATGCCCTGTGTCATCCAAGATAAAAGAGCCGATTCTCTGAAGTGGCGTTCGTGTCAGGGCTATCATCATACAGGAGAGGTCGCGGAAGAGGGTCTTTCGTAATGCCTTGTCATGACATCCATTCTCCCACGTATCGGAAAGCATTCTGCCTCGTGATGGGTCGATGTATTCTATCAGCATATAGCCTGCCCCTAGGGTTTTTGCTTCCTCAATTTGGTGTGGAACGTAAAGGGATGGCATAGGATAACCAAGCCATTTACAGACTTGGCGGCGAATGTATTCGACTGCACGTGTTATGAAAGATACGTTGTTGAGGTGAGTGAACTAAATAAATTCAGTTATCTGACGTTTCGGAGTGGAGCAGGCCTTTGTTTCCGTACAGTCAGTCCGGTGGACAATCCAAACCCATATAATTGTGGAATAGGAACATCTGGACAGTTCTCGTCAAGCCATACGTATGTACCAGCCTCACAACGAATCTTCTCATCCCCGTTGCCAGGGCAGGTACTTTCACCGACGCGATATGGCAGAGGAAATCGAACCATCACTTGTTTTTTGGGGAATCGTGCTCTAGCATCGATATCGACCCGAATACAGACATTAAAGCTGCCGTCTATCCAATCTTCAACATCAACAAGATGGCATGCGTTTACCGCAGTTATACCGAGCTGTCGCGCAACGATTGACTCAATCAGTCTCCGGTTCCGATACAAATGCGTGAAATATCGTAGTCTCTTGTCTCTATACCCGAGTTCATGGAGGATGTTTGCGTCTTGTTCCTTTGCGACGGAATATGTAATCTCGCCATGGAGTAGATGAAGGGGCTGGAGAGTGCTTTTCAAGTATTTGTCGTGGTCCAGTGACATTTCAGCGCTCTAGCTTCCCGGGGACGAAAGTATGAGAAAGTGGTCTCAGTCCAATAGATAAAAATAGGGGAAGGTAGGCAATTGTCAGGTAGAACTCCACTCGGCTAAACGTTAATCCCCCCAACTGTGGTTTATCAGCACCCCTGGCTCGAGCCTCCTTACAGTGGACGGTGCAACAAGGGTCTCATGGAGATGCAAGAAAAGGCTACTTATTGTGACAGACTGACCCCACCCCGTCCCTCTTCTTCCCTCGCTGGAGTTACTAGCGCCCCTCATCGGACCCACAGGAAAAGTCACATAAACACTCTCCGATTCTCCACATATGATCCTCCCCAATACTCTTTGCATGTACTCATCTTTACTCAACCAGTCTTTGGCATAATAATTTCAGCTCGACAAGACCGAACAAAAATGAGTGACATCCTGAGATATGTCAAATGTCTTTGGTCGGACGAACGCCGGTGGATGCTCGGCGCTAAAAGTCGCACTTCACGAAATATTCCTGCCAATAGCGCAGCACACTAAAAGTGGCGCTGTACGATTCGACCGGGCCCTATTCCATGAAGTTGAATTGTATGGTAAGAAACTATACGAATTATGCATGACTGAAGTAAATTCATGCCTACAGCACAGGTAGTATTATGTATTATGTATTAGATAGCTCGGGGTGCAAACATCAATGCCCCACCCTCCGCGGTGCCTTGTGCACCAGGTACTTTCTCTTTGTACATCAACCTAAAACAGGGTGCTAACCTTTAAATTCCTTCTTGGTATCTGTTGCTGCGGTAAAGACTTCCTGTTGAGCAAGGAGAACCTCGAGAATATACCTTCAAAAGCCCCTACGTCAGCGACAATGAACCAATCACCCAACGATCCTTTTACCCAGGAAATTCGGCTGCTGAGAGCTGATTACGAGGGGAAAAAAGAGCGCTCTAACCTAGGGTATTCTGGTGGCCGACGGATCATCGATCTCAGTTTGGATATGATTGATAATGTTCTCTGCTATACGTATTGGTATGAGCGCCAGTGCATCCGACTGGCTGATATACCCGGCACTCTTTCTGGTGATGTCCTCCGCCTACACCAAAATCTTCCCGTCTCAGTCGACGCCGGCGACCACGAAATCATCGGTGACCAAATACGCGCCATCGAGAACGCACTACCACTTCCGGAGCTAGACGATGACTCCGAGGAACTTGATACAATTCTTGCCTCGCTCCCAATAGTCGAAGTCGATCCCAGCAAACATTTTGTCAAGCAAGGCAAATATAAGAGCGAGATTCGAAATCTGCTCGAATGCCAAGGTGGCTCCTGCCCGGGAGTGGCAAAATCATCTCACATCATTCAATTACTGGGAAAGTCACCAGAGGGGAGGCTGGTTTTCGAGAGATTCAAGCCACGATACGTCTTAGGGTACATCTACCCCCTTGCGACCTACAAAGACTGGATTCTGCAGATAATCTCCGCGATGAAGTGGGTTCATTCCCTTGGGACTATTCATCGTGAACTCCGCATCGACAATATTGTCTTCTCCTCTGACACGTCTCGCGTGCTTATATGCGATCTTGAGAGCCGTTGGGGAAATCGTTTGGCTCCTGAGGTTTCTCGCGAGCCCGTTTTGAACGCGGGCTGGACTGAGAAATCGGATGTTTATGATCTCGGCTATCTTATAAAGGGCATGATATACGGAAACGTTCCGGTTACGAATGCGGTGGAATGGCCTGTTCCCCTTCCTCTGACTGCCGTTGTGGAAACTTGCACCCGCAATAGGCCTGAAGATCGCGCTAGTTTGGATGAAATTTACGCTATGGTTGACAATATCAAGATTGCAATCTAACACTATGGAAAGCATAACCACGTTCGGATCAGTAATGGACAAATTAACTTGTTTAACGAAATAATGTAAATTATTCTTCGGGTATTGGGTAACATATACAGCAGCGGAGATGAAATGCCTGAGCGCTCTCATATAAGTGGCGGCAGCTCAGACAAGAAGGCCCCACCCGGCAGAGGAAACACACTACATAGAGTGAACAAAGTAGTATCAGTAACCATAGAGTAAAACAAGGTCCAACCGGTCACAATAAATTAGTTTTGTAGCGTTGTTGATGGCCTGCCAACCTTGGTTCGAACAGGCAAAGGAAGATGCCGCCAATCATCGCGCGACTCCAGTCCCTGACGTCATTAGTCATGTTGTCTTGATTTCCTACATAAGCAAGCTTCATGCACCCCTTAAAGCTTTAATCTCCGTTCCTCTTTATGGACGTCCTCTCCCCACTATTCTCACGCAATGGGCAAAAATCGCCGACAATCGGCTCTGGCCAAGTCCATACAGTCTGGCCTGCTCCGTGACCCAGACCGGTTCAAAAAGACCGCCTGGGGGAAAATCATTGCATTTTTTACATTCCGCAGAATCAAACTCATTAGACATGAGCAGGACTTATTTGCGAAGCTGCGTCAAGAGGTGTGGAACTTTAACGAAGATGAATACCAATCGAGCTTCCATACGACAAGTGGCCAGGCACCGTTGAAAATGATCGGCGATTTGGGATACTCGGGATCGGTAAATCTTGTTGCTGACATTTACTCGAGGATCATGCTAATTCCTCTGTAGACTTTCTTCGGCACATTTGATGGCCGATTGGTCATCAAAAGTCTCCCACGTCGCTTTGAATATACATTCTTCGAAACTGATTTCCTCGAGCCCTATTATGAGTATATGCACCGGCATCCGGACTCTGTCTTGGTCTGGATCACAGATTACATTCTCTCGCCATATGTGACTCTAGGCACGCTTTGCGGCTGCGCCCCGGCACACCATATCATCATGGAGAATATCCTCTGCGGACAAGCCGATGATCCCGCCGGTAATCGCTGGGAAACCTACGACCTCAAACCAATCGACTACTTCTATCCGGAGCGTGACCTGGTCCCCGCACCTCTGGTCAGCGAGGATACATTAAGCAGGCTGGCGGATACCTTTAACGACAAGCTTCGTCTTTGGCAGAAAGACTATAATGCCTTTTGGGAGGCCATTCAAGCAGATACTAAGTTCCTACAAGAGGCCAATGCTGTCGATTATTCTCTATTTATGGTCCGAATTCCAGCCACTTCGAGCCCGAAGGTACTCGGGAGGCGGAGTCCGTGGAGGGCTGGTATCCCGTCCACAGATGGAAAATGGAAGTATCGGGCTGTGATACTCGATTTCTTTTGGGCTCGGCATAAGCTGCATGCGCAGGCAATGTCCGGGGTAGTGCAGACATTCAACGTTGTGGGTCGTCAAGGACCTATGTCTATTACTACAACGGCGGATGAGTATCGTCAGAAATTCTTGTCCATGGTCAAGGAGATGATTGAGGTATATCCCGAATAGAGCTTTGATACACTCTACCTTTTATTTGCAATGGAATACCCCACGGGCTTGTTACGGAATGACATTATCACTTCTCACACCAACTGATGTATATTCATAATCCCACTTCTGGGAGGGTAAAGTCGTTAATCATATATCAAGTCATTGCCATCTCCACCTATACGTCCTCTCAGCCATTTCCTCTATGTCCCAATTTGACACATGGCTCTGGCTGGCTTCAATAAAGCCCGAATAAAGCCCGGTAAAGCTCACCATTAAATCCATTGATAGGTCAAGACAGGAATATCAAATACAGGAGCCGTGCAAGTGGCGTTAAAATACGCGTCGTGAGCGCACGTAAGCGGGAAATTCACACTTCCCGAATAAGTGATAGAGCTCCCATTGGCACAAGTAAGGGCATGTCCACTTCCAAGAGTATAGTCCATGTGTCCAGTCGAGCTATCAAGGTCCGAGGTACCGTAAAAGGCAACAATACGGCCCTCTCCCCGATCCGCGTAGCCGCAATTACTCTCTCCGTGGCCAATATCGTGAATGCGGTATCCAATGTACTGGTCGTGGCACTTCAGGCCATCGGCGAAGTCAATGTCGAGTGTTTGCGGGGGGCCGTAGCCCCACGGCTGGTAGTTGGGCATGCCGGTATAGCAGACGGGCACCATTGTCCCGTTGCAAGTAGCCGGGTCGGGCTTGCACCAACCGTTGCCGCAGAGGCAGCCCTTGGCATTGATGTCGGCTTCGTTGTGGATGCAGTCTAGTGAGTGCGAGCCATTGTACCATCGGAAGTTGCTAACTGTCCATGTTGGGATTGGGCATCCGTCTGGAGGAGTAATGGAGCGAGGGCGTAGAGAAAGCGTAGAAATGGGCGTTGATAGGGCTAGTAGGCCTGTCACAATGTTTCTAAAACCGAACATGGTTGAGTTTGGACTGAAGTGAAAATGACCCGAATGTCTGCCCAGGTATTATGGTTAAAGCCCAGTGGGCTTTTATATGATTTAATGGCCGAGCCAATGTTCTCGATGGCGTCCCGCAGTTGCATTCGTCGTATGGGACGTTTATGCAGAGAAACACGCTAAATTTGGTAGCGGGCAAACTCCGCAACACAAAGCCAATGAAATCGCCGCCATCTAGGAAGGGTCTAAGACATACATTGATCATGCTCTTTCGAGCTTCTATGATTGGAGTCAACAATAAGCAGGGTCCTCTTCGGCCCTGCGGGCCGGAGGTAAGACTGACCCGTGCTAATTGGGCTGATCGAAAGAGCCGGAGTTTAATGCTAACACTTGTTCTTGTCACTTTAGTTGCCTCCTATTTTAAAATTGTGCATTTCCACATGCCAGTGAATAAACAGGGCGGCACCAGCAAGGAATGCCATTGGAAACACAGATTATTAGGACCATGAGATTTGATTTTACAAGGTGATAGGTAACATGCGAGTAAGACGTGGGCGGAAAAGTAGTGGCTGGGCGTGCAGTCTGCGATCTTGGCCTTCCTGCCCCTCATTAAGCAACGACAAAGCATTTAATTGCCGGCAACTGTACTCTGTACAGCTCGAATTTGTCCAACGTGGTCGAAAATGCGCGGAGCTGCCGCGGGTATGGCAGACGGAGTGCCATCCTGGATGGAGCAGAGAATCAACGAGGCACGTGTGAATTGCCTCCAAACTGAGAGTGACGAGTAATTAAAGTACTGACATGTCAGAATGCAACCCCAATCGAGTTGCGGAATCGCTCGGTGGAATTGTGATGGTGTAGGGATCCACACTAGCTGGGGGCTGGAGGTCAGATCGCATGGAGAGGTCCAACTGGTTTTGCAAGTACGGGATATAAATGTATGTTGGAAGCAGAATGGAGGCAGAATCGGGCATTTACTACGCCACTTGTAATATTATCAAATACTGTCTCTGTCTTTTTGGATCAGGATATCATGATTATGCGGCTACGGGAACTCAGGGGGTCTTCCATGAACTGACAATAGCCTGTCTAACTGTGCCTCCGCCAGTCCTTTTCTTAGGTCAGGCTCTTATGTGTACCGGGGGAAGTGAAAATTGGAGATTGACAATCCGAATACTTCGAAGAGCTGGAGAGACTCGGATGTTAGGTATAAAACAAACAAACCCGATGACTGGAATATACATAGCTTGTTTTCCTTAACCGTACTAGCTTGCCTTTGTCTAGTCCATCATCATTGACTTTGTTCAGTGCCCAGTCTAGAATCCACTTTCCTCCGTGGAATCCTGCACCGATTGCGTCGACGCAACTGCCGGCAAACACAGTTCGTAATATGTTTCGACCTTTACCAAGCCACGACTCGAAAATATCTCAGTCTTGCTTTGAAGTTGCAATTCAAGTGGTTTCTTCATTGTCATACGGGCAAATCGCTTTGCATCATACAGGGGACGTCAATGGGCGGCTCAGCCCGCGTACATTATGTTGCACAGACATCTCGCGAGATGGCCTAATTAACCGACGATTCGCCGAGCGCAAGGATCGACGGCTACGAGTATCGATTACCTGCCGAGCCCGAGGAACCTAAGGAAATGAGCACTGAATGATCGGCGAACTAAGAACCTCGGACGAGCCCCGGTGGCGCCCAACGAACCCACCCCCGCTCAAATCTATGGATGGTGAAGACACTATTCAAAGCTTCCCAGAGTCGGTCTTCTTAATTGACTCTCCGGGTATTCTACAGTACGGATGTTTCGGCGGACGCCGCGGTTCACGGTCGCATTGAACACCACACTCACCATCAATGCCCACATTCACATCACCAGTGCGAAAACAAATGCCAGTGTAGATCAGCCATATTTGGATAATGCAAGCACGCCGAAAGCTCTAGTCACTAACCCGATGGGGAAATTATCTTGAGGGTTTGACTCGTGTGCAATGCCACAGTGGACTCGCGGTCGATCCCTGCCTAACCTAAGCCTCGAAAGTGGAGGCATATTCAGAGAACGGTCCAAAGCAGCTAAGATCAGATAGTTTCGTTGAAAGCAAACCTGACGGATCAATAGTAGGTGCATTAGGGGGTTTCTTATTGTTTGGTTCTCCTGCGTGGCCTTACTATCGAAAGTATCGAAAGTATCGAGAATTTCTTCGGGCGCAAAACACGGTGCCGCGCCCAATCGGACAGGCTCGCTGCAGGGGCCCGCCAGGAGGCGATTGATTGACATGGACGGTAACCAATCCCGGGACTGAGTGCTGCAAGATCCAGGGGAACGCACGCTTTGCCGATGCATTGACCCCACAGATCCGCGGGACAGAGTTGGCCAGCCGGAGTGCCGAATTGTCCGATCGTGGTGATACGACGGGCTCCGGAGACAAGGTTTACGTAGTCTCAACACCTGCTCGGCTTATTTCGTGGGCTCATAGGATGGTGGGATGGTGGGATGGTGATGGGATCCCCGCCTCGGAACCAGTGTTGAGAGTCAACGAACAAGGGGTTGACGCGGCCTTGGTTGCAAGGTGGGTTGGGTCAAGGGTCCAGCCAACACCGACGTCTGTATTTGGACTTTGTCTGGTTGACGTCGGCTGGAATTTTGGGTCAATCCATGAGCGAACCAATTGACGGACGTCCGGCATCGTCAGCCCGTCTTTTTCGCTAGTTTCTCCACTGGATCTACTATATTGTTCTTTAGCAAGCAAGCCTGTTGCTCCTGCACGTCCCTCCGTCTCCACCGTCCATGTTGGCAATGCAATCGTGCGACTCATGTACTCTGACGGGCTCCTCCGCTCTTTAGGCGCGATCTCCATACGCGAACATAAAGGCCCCGTCCCCACGCCACTGGAGTTTTTGGCGCCTTTTGAAAATGGGTGCTGATTTCAGTCCCTCGTCACTCTTTTTATAATGTCGCTCGAAGAGAAATTCCCCGCATATGGCGGGCGTGGCCCGGCGGACTTTCGCCTGGGTATTGCCCTGGGTCTCGTCGCCACCACGTTCATGATCCTACGGGTCTACGTTCGGCTACGCGTGAACAAGTTCGGCACGACCGCCTTGTTATTGTCACTCCTTGCTTGGGTAGGTCATTGCACGAGATGCAATCCGACATGTATACTGACATTGAATAGTTATTTACGATGCTTACACAAGTCTTCGGCTTTCTCTCCGTTCTCCACGGCCTGGGAAACCATATCACCGTCATTATGAAAGTTGGCGAACTGCACAACTTCCTTCTCTTCACGTGGATCACTGTCTTTTTCTTCAACCTCGCCATTCCCACCGGTAAAGTGGCGGTAGCGGCTTTCTTGATTGAAATGAACGGGCAAGGCAGTAAGTCCAGACTCTTAAAACCGGTTTCCATCCCAAACGCATACTGATGATCAATTCCATCAGACCCCAAGATTCGCCGCAGTCTCGTCGCCATCGCCGTCTTGAACATCGTCCTGAATATTCCCCAGCTCCTCTTGGTCTGGTTCCAGTGCAGCCCCGTCGATGCTCTCTGGGATCCTGCGCGCCAGGCGCAATGCGATCACCGAAAGAGCGTTTATTATACTTACTTTGTCGGAGCCATTGCGGCCATCTCGGATTTCTATCTTGCCATCGTTCCCATTCACATGCTTCTGCCCCTTCGCATCGATCCCAAACTTAAATGGGGTCTGAGTTTCCTGATGGGATGCGGTGTCTTCGCTGGCGTGGCCGCTATCGTCCGCACATGGGCCGCCAGCTACATTCTCTCCGAGGATTCTTCATGTAAGACTGCGTCCTTTACTCATTTGCAATGACTTGACACTAACGATCCCTCCCGTAGACGGCGTTGGGACCCTTTTCCTATGGGGAGAAGTCGAAGAATGGCTCGTGCTCATCACCATGTCCATTCCACCCGTGTGGCCTCTCTTCCGTCCCTTCACTTCCAAATTCATCAGATCGCACGCTACCCGAAGCCAGCAGCGCTACAACTACAACTACGGCTACAACTCCAAGCAGCCGTACAGCACGACGGCAGTCGGCGACCAGTCACCGGGCTTCCCGCCTCCCAACTACCCGCCTCCTCTCATCACTACTACAATCTCCATCTCGTCGGCCAAGGATGCCGAGACAATTGCTGCGTCGGAGGCCGAGTCCCGCTTGTCGGATGAGCGCATGCCTCGTAATATCATCCACGATAAGAACGCGCAGCCTTGGGTGGAAATGAAGGAAATGAAGGACGGCCGCTCGCCGTGACTGGGCCTTTTTGGAAACAACTTTATAATATTCTCTTGATGTGTCTTACCACGCTCTTTCACTACAATTTACGACTGATGCCTCGATACCATCCTTTCTATCCTTGCCCCTCCTGTCTGTTTTTGTTTCTGAAACAGATTGTCTTAATTAATAATACTCAATCTCATGCCAGCAGCATGCATAGAGGCATATACTTTATCCGTTTCCAAGCGACTCATGAATAAGTCTAGATTTTGCAGGATCAGGGTAAGACGCCTGTTTCCAGGGATGGTACGGCTTCCCAGGCCTCGGCTTGACGTGTCTTGGTCAGAACTGAGATCATCGGCAGGGGTATTCCCGGTCTGCTATGACGAAACATCCCGAATTCTGCAGAGGAGCAAGGACATCCCTGCTACTACGCCTCACTATCGCGGGAAACGTGTCACATTCTTTCTCGTGCCAGAACTACGGTCTAGATCAAGTATTGCGTGGAATTACTTTAATAGTATGGATTCATATGAATTCTCAAATTTCAGATCGTCTGTACTAGAATTTTACCGTCATCGTTTGCTGCTGGTGTAAAGAAGACCTGGTTTATTTTTCACAGGGGCGGCTGTTGATCTCCCAGGAGCAATACCATAGTTTCGGAAAGTTACTACCACCCACCAAGTTATATTTTTCATTAATTATTTGTTCTTTTTAAAAAAAAATTGAATAGCTCTTTTGTTCCCAGGACCTGATTAATTCTGTGTTCTAAAAAGGGCATGAAACAAAATTTGTCAACACCATTTCTAGGAGTAGATTTTGCCAGGCAACTCCCAAGGTTGGGGCAGGTGACCAAAGCACCTCGCCTACAAGACAGACATCATTAGCCAAGAAAGCTGCAGCATGTCGAGATGACACCGGAAACCATCCAATTGGTCGACAAGGCTATCAGAGAGACTCTAGCCGCCGCCATGAGCTCGAAGCCTCATGATATTGATCCTCGAAAGCCTTTGCATGCATCAGGTGGTAAGTTAATCGACTATGGCCAGGTATTTATTTATACCTGTCTGAGCTGCCTACTGATTGTTCTTAGTTGATTCACTTAAAGCTGTGGGATTTCGAAATTGCGTTCTCACTCCATGGACAACTCCACGATGAACGGTCCTTCTTGATAAAGGTCATTTCGAGAGAACTGGGTCATGAATATGACCAGGGGTGAATTTTTGTCCCTAGTCGCAATGCACAACGGTCTGCCGGGATTTTTTCCAAGGCCAATTCGCTTGCGGCACCTACCGGACGATTCCAGGTACGCACTTCTTCCTCTGGAGTTTCCAGAAGTGATTGACGATATGCCTGACACTCAAAAGTTTGCCGCTCTTTCGTCAAAGCTGCACCAGAAAAACGCATCGCCTACTGGCAGTTTCGGTTTTCACGTAACCATCTATGCAGGAAACCTCACCCAGTTCGTGGCTTCGGAGGATAGCTGGGAGACATTCTTCGCCAAGACCATGAGACAGGCACTTGGCCTGGAGATTGAAAGGGAAGGGCCTAGTGAGGAGCTCGATGTACTGTCTCGTTCTCTGTTTGAAAGGGTCATACCGAGCCCGTTGACAAGGTGGTCACATATGAATGTGTCGGAGATCTGACCGCTGGACTAAAAATGCCAAAGGGACTTTTAAGTACCATACTAGTCATATAATCTCACTTCTGATAGAATGCCATCACCCATCCAGGATACAGTGCTTCCGGAAACGGTGTCACTGAGGTTGGTCACAACCTAAGAGTACTGTGACGCCAGTCTCCTTGTTATATGAAGTACGATTTCTTGTATAATACCACACCTATTTTCAGACTACTTTCATTATGTACCTTATGTACCCTGCTCAACTGTTGTCCAGTAGTAAGCCTGTCAGTCATGGGTTTTCGTCCAAACAACACTTCGTGGCACCATTTTGTAGTACTTCAACAGACAACTCAAAGGAAACATCAAAACCCCCAAGCACTTGACTAATGGAAATGACTATTTTCTCTCGTGAAATGTGCCTGGGTTGATGGCCTAGCCCAGTATGCTTGTTCGCTCTTCTTTCTCAATTCTGCCAATGTTCTTTCCTGCTCTCGTCGCAATATCATTTCGAGCCAGTCCTCTTCTATCTTTCCTATTTCTGCTTTAATCTTACTCTCAGCAGATGAGATAGACTGAAGTCTTTCCTTTAGGGTTCGAATATCCTCCAATTTGAGATCGATACTCCTTTCCTTTGTTCGTTGCCTCCCAATCATGGTCACGATGACTGACTCTTGTTGTTGCCTCCGTTGTGCAAATTCTGCCGCCTTGCCTGGCATAAAGGAGCATATATATAGCCACCATGTCTCCTTGGTAGCCTTATCCCTAACCAGACGTTCTTTCTCTCCTTTGAGACTGTCTCTCTCTGCGTATAGTCTAAACAGATCCTTGTTTGTGTTGGTTAATGAAATCTCTGCCCCCCTGCGCTTATCTTTGAGCTGTCGATGCTGTTTGCCTAGCTCTGCTATCCTTCGATTCTTAATTCCCCTGGGACGTATCATTGATTGATATATCCTGTCGTAATCTCGCCGCTTATCGACATTATAAAGGTGCTCGTACGCTTCCTGAAGCTGATCATAGCCATATCAGTGACAACGACCGCTTAGAAAGCTGGTAGTCAAGCTTACTAGTTGGAATTCAGCCGTGGCATCAGGCTCATTCCTTCGACGATCCGGATGCTTAACCAAAGCCAATCTTTTGTATGTCAACTTGATAGTAGCTGAATCTGCAGTCTGGGGAATCCCGAGAATTTCATAATAATCATGGACTGTGGTAGGCGCCATGTGTAAGCCTGCACAGATAAATCAAGGCAGAAATCTATCAAAATCCGATAGACGCGAGCGGACCGATCCGCGGAGTGGAAATCGTAGGAGAGAAGGGAGGAAAATTTCGCTAGAGGACGATTCTAACGTGGGGCACTCAGGTGTCAGCTATTCTGCTAATACATGCCAAACATGTCTGGTACATTTATGGTATTATTGGAAAATGCCCTGAAACGAACGGAGTGAGAGAAAGGGAACTAATCAACGCGGTTGTACGTGTGCGCGAGACGTTGCAAAAAGAGGTGGCTAAACTACGTATGGACTGTTCTGCCACGCACGCTTCCCATTCGCCCTTGGTCGCTCCGTTCCTGTATTATTGTCGCTTTCTTCGGACTAGATGCTCTTGGCTCTAGGGTTCTAGGGCTTCGTCTGCATATTTCTGCACGTTGCCCTTCTATGATTGCTTCGTGTCCGGCTCCTTGCCCATCGGTTTACTGCGACGCCCTGTTTTATACTGCCACGAATGTCTCCTACAGCCGGTGTCGAAACCAGATTCCCGAACCCTATCCCGAAACAACCTAGTTTATACTTAGTTTAGCCGCAGATATTGCTTTTTCAAGAGCAGAGACCCTTTTTTTATGATGTTAGTATATCCTATAATACTACAACTTATAGAAAAGCTCATATATATGCGACCTTCTAGGCTGTAGGCATCTCTGCCCACGGATCTGCGCAGTGTGGCACCGAGACTACCTACCCTTACCCACTTTAAAGCTATATTTCATTCGTGATATAATGTAGAGCTGGTCACTCACTATATCTCAAATGGCCAAAGCAGCTAAATACTAGAGGTCACCGAGCTATAATCACAGTTTTCTATAAGAGACCGTCGAGCAGAATCAGTATGCGGACTAGGAAGATAGTAGCTTTGTCGCTACTATTTGTTTTTTCCACTTCCGTGAGAATCTTATAGATGCTAACTTTGTGCGACCATATTTGTCTCTATATTTAGCTTCAACGTCCTCCCTTTGCACCAGCAGCTCCATCACAGCTTGGTGTCTTTCCATAGCTGCCCATGATCCTTCCGTAGCTGCCCATGATAAAGGCGTGCGACCATCTTTGTCTTTAGAATCAGCTTCAACATCCTGCCTTTGCACCAGCAGTTCCACCACTGCTTGGTGTCCTCCCGCAGCTGCCCATGATAACGGCGTGCGACCAGCTTTGTCTTTAGAATCAGCTTCAACATCCTCCCTTTGCACCAGCAGCTCCACCACAGCTTGGTGTCTTTCTTTAGCTGCCCATGATAAAGGCGTTCGACCATCTTGGTCCTTAGAATCAGCTTCAACATCCTCCCTTTGCACCAGCAGTTCCACCACTGCTTGGTGTCCTCCCGCAGCTGCCCATGATAAAGGCGTGCGACCAGCTTTGTCTTTAGAATCAGCTTCAACATCCTCTCTTTGCACTAGCAGCTCCACTACAGCTTGGCGTCCTCCCGCAGCTGCCCGTGATAAAAGCGTGCGACCATCTTGGTCTTTGAAATCAGCTTCAACATCCTCCCTTTGCACTAGTAGCTCCACCACAGCTAACTTGTCACAGCTAGCTGCTATTGACAGTGGTGAATCGCGGAGTGGATGGTATGAATATTTTGCAACATCATCCCGTTGACTTAGCAGCTCCACCACTGCTAGATGACCATGCTTTGCTGCCCACCACAGTGGCGTGCGATGGCTATCATCAGTTGAATCTGCGTCAACATCGTCTCGCTGCACTAAAAGCTTTACCACTGCAAGATGTCCGTTCCCAGCAGCGAATGACAACGGTGTACGACCACAGTCTTCGGGTATCCATCTTCCCCCTGCGTCTTGGTCGTAATCTTCCGCATCAGCCTCGATATTGTCTTGTTGTAGCAGTAGCTCCACCACTGATATATGTCCATGTTCGGCAGCAAATAATAGCGGTGTGCCATGGTAATAATCTTTCGAGTTAAGATTAGCATTATCTTGTCGTAGAAGCAAATCCACCACACGTATATGCCCATGTTCGGCAGCGAACGACAGCGGCGTTCGGCCTTCATTATTCTCTAAGTCAGGCTTAATGTCATCTCTGTCGAGTAGCATTTTCACAATGGAGTCATGCCCTTGCATAGCAGCCCAATGCAGAGGAGTCGATTTATAGCGATCAAGTTCATTAAGATTGACACTAGTACGGGCAAGGAACCTCGTGCTTGATATTTGTCCGAACGTCGTAGCCTGATATAATTGTGTAATATCATCATGTCTGAGGGCGGATATCACCCATTTAGCGAGAAACATTTTCATTAGTTTCTCATCTCCATCCCTTGCAAGAAGATGCAAAAGTGTTTCGCCATTCTCGCCTTTAATGGCAAGGTGATGGAATGTGAGAAGTTGATCAAGGCCTTTCGCTGCTTGCAAAAGATTCATAATGTCATCGGGTTGTAGAAACCTAGCGATATATAGAATCAATTCAATAGGGACGGAAACCGCATCTCTTGATACTACCGGCATATTCGATCAAAGTAGCTATAGCGAGGTATCCTAGTCAATAAACAAAAGGGAGGTGCAGAATAAAGGGAATGACTCACGAGGTGTCAAGCCGAGTCTCCACGTGACCAGATATTACTAATTTGGTTAGTTCCGCAGTGGTCTACAAATTCGGAAGATGAGGTGTGGAGCGACGGGAGGGCACGAATACAATTCTCCCTTTGTTTAGTATATTTACACAAGGATTCTATAGGTTTTTACGAGGAATAACGGTACTACTGTACCACTTTGGATGACGACGACAAAGAAACCTAAATATACTGGCCAGACACCCCAACGATACTGAATCTTTACCACAACCTCAGACTCCTACGCCGGAGACACGTTCCCAGAGACCGCGAACAAACATCCTATGCTGACGAACTTGCTCAATCGAAATACATCTCTTAAACTTTCTTAAAAGTTCTATCTGATTTTGCTTGCACTTTTACACTTCTTCCACGGTCCTGGTATTAGTCATGCCGGTGACTTTCATCATTGGTCTATCTTGTTTAGCATGTATGTTCACTTACAGCTCACCAATTCATCTATTTCTTTACGCTTTACACTCTTGCCACCCTCTTCTCTCATCGTTTTAGGGCCGATGCGCGCGCCGCGCGCGTCTTCCAATATAATACTATTCTTTGGACAGGGATAGTGCGGAAAAACTCCCAATGTGCAATAGTGTGTCTTGGCAGTTCGAATCCGAGAAACAAACAAAGAGTGTAGGTTGTGACACCGATTTCCGGAAGCACTGTACGGAGTACTGGATCGGGCACTTTTGCCAAGATTTTCCGTCTAAGCAACCGGCTGTTATGTCGGTCATCGACCCCGGAGTGAGGTTTATCGATTTCACAGGAAAGTTGAACACCACGATGACCCATGACGGCTCTTGGACAACAGAGCCAGGCCCGAACGGCATCGGCCACCGGTATGCATGCGGGGGAGCTCCCGCCCCGCAGCACTGTTGGCCATCATAAACACATCCCCTGAGATGATTATGACGGATGTTAGTAAGATGAGTCGGGTATTTAAGATCAGTGTCAAATGGGGAGGGGGGTTGGCTATCTGCCACGCACCTTTCCTGTTTAACCACCCCCCCTCATATTTAAAGATCTCGCCTGCCCCGCCCCAACTTGGGTACACAAGAAGCATGGCGCCTAAGATTTTCGACAAGCTGTTCAAACGAGAATACCATCCCAGGCCCTTGGTGTTCTGGCCAAATGCAATCGGGATCTCAGATTCTACTTGCGAAATTAAAGGGGACCTGTTCAACGAATGGAAACTACCGATCCCAGCACCAGAACAAAACGCCCTGAAATCTCGCACTCGACAACGGGCCACTCAGCAAACGAGCTTGTTCTTCCGGCTTCCTGTGGAAGTGAGAAGAATGATCTATATTGAGCTAATGGGTAATCGACGCGTACACATCGAGTATGCATGGACGTTCCAGTCTCCTTTTCGGCCAAAGACGAAACGAGGACGCAAGCGCTGGGATTGGTGGCATGGCGTCTGCCAAAATAGAGATTCTTTCGCCCGGGACATCTGCGCGGACAAGTGTATGGATCGTGGTGATGAGACGGATTTATGCCGCACCGAGCGATTAGCGAGTGCGCCCCCTGGGACAAAGCTTTGCGGCGTAGAGTGGCTAAGGTGTTGTCAAATTGGGTAAGTTTTCCGTTAACTAGAGGTAGCTTGAGCATAGCTAATCTACTCAATTTCAGCTACGACGAAGCATTACAAGTCCTATATGGAACAAATATCTTTGTTCCCCGAGAAGGACTCGCCTCTCCGTTCATTATGTCGAAACTTCTATCACCAACTTGCACACAACTCATTCAATCGGTCGATCTCACATTTGAGTCTTGGCATGGCATGGACGGGGCACCACTTGCCAAAATCTGGACAACAGTCTACCCCGCTATCTTCGACCTTTTCGAGCAATGCTTCTGTAAGGTTCGCTCGTTACGCATGACGATTAAATTGCCGGCTTGGGAAAACGTGAAGCAGAACATGAGCAACAGCAAAATAAATGAGATCGTGGCACCGTGGGAGAGACTTGCCAGAAATCGAGACTGGAAAAGACTAGAATTCTGCGTTCCTTTTGATTGGTACCCTGTACTAACAGAGAGAGCGGCGACTCAGAGTATATGGGAGCTCACGGAGACATATTGGTACGACAAGTACATAGGAAGAAATGGTTGTCTTTTTTAGAGATAGCCTTTGGAAACCTAACCTTCATATGAGATTGCAAATTTGAACAGAGTTGACTGATATCCAGATCAAGTACTAAAGTAGCTGGTAGTCGTCGCCGGCACTGGGGTCCCACTGGTTATTGTCGTAATAGGCCCCTTAGTTCCAATACATACAAACACAAAGGCCTGGAGACCGGCACAGTTCGTGCTCACAGCTGGGTTCCAGCTATAGAAGTCACTGTATCGTTCGGATTAGCCCCGAAACAATCGTCCTATCTGGGGTTTAGTGGTGAGGGACTTACGATTCGGCAATGCCTGCCTCAGAGGCTATATCAGCGCAGCCCTCTCCGCTATGTACATCGTAAAAGCGTAGACAGCCGGTCACCATTCCGGTCTAGATTCTTATTAGCCACCATTTGCACCATATTGCGTGGGGCATCAGTCTAAATCTTACCTGGGTTGGGGTTGGCGTGACAGGAACAGGTGTACCGGTGGTGATGGTGGTCGCGTATCCTGTCTTTCCGATGCAGACATACACGTTTGCCTGAAGACCAGAGCAATCGCCGTTCAAAGCAGGATTCCAGCTGTAGAAGTCACTGAGCGCTATCCCTGCATCTTGGGCAATATCATAACAGCCATCGTTTGTCTCGACTTTGTAAAACCGAATACAGTCACTTGTCATGCCCGTCTGTTTGTGTCAACATTCTGTAGTACTCGATACTCAAGATGTTCATTCACATACCTGGATAGGCGAGGGTGTTGCTGCCCCGGATGTAGTGGTTGCGGTTGTTGTGGCGGAAGATGTCGTACTGGAAGTACCTGCTCCAGTGGTGGTTGTAACAGAAGTCGTCGATGTGCTGGTAGCATTGCTGGGGATTCCAACACAAATATATGTGTTGGAGCTCAATCCACTGCAGTTCGACTCCAGGGAAGGGTTCCAAGTCACCAGAGTCGCAACTGAGATTCCATTTGCCTCAGCGATTGTCGTGCAATTATCGTTTCTATCTTCATTAGTTTTGTCATTTCAACAATGAGGCTTTACGTACGTTCCCACCAGCCAGTAGTCTAAGCAAGTCGAAATAGTATCAGCCGGCGTTGTTGGCGTAGGCAAGCTGGGTGCCGATGCAGTTCGAGTCGTGGGGGTTCCTGGCACCGCGATACAGTAGTAATCTCCCATCACAAGTCCAGAGCAATCAGACTTCACGGCAGGGTTCCAGTTGAGAAATTCGGGTTTTGAAAAAGTACCGAACTCCTCAGGGATAAGATCACAGTTATCTCCGTCACTAGCTTGATACCACGCAGTGCAACTCGATGTAATGCCCGCCTGCACGGGAGACGGCAATGCATTTGTGGTTGATGGCAAGGGCAGAGATGTTCCGTTCCAGATACAATAGTAATATCCTGTCTGGATGTTGGAGCAATTGGTTCCAACAGCAGGATTCCACTGAATAAACTGATCTTCGGTAAGAAAGCCTTGAGAGGCGGCGATGCTCGCACAGGTATCACCCTATATTCTGTCAGCTGGAACCCGAACAATCATTCGAAGGCTTACCTCATCTGTAATATAGTAGTCTTGGCAATCGCTTGCGAGGCCATCTTGTGCAGGTGTAGGAGAGAAATTTGTATCCATGGCGGCTGGGGCCGTATATGACCACGTAGGGTACCATAGTGATGTGGCCGTCTCGTTGTATCCGATCGAAGTTTGCGGCTTGATTCCGACGCAGTACCAATAACCGTAGAATATGCTAGTACAGTTCTCACCCACCGCTGGATTCCAATCAAGGCTGCGATCTTTCAGTTAGATTGCCTTGGCATCTTTATATCGTTTGAAAAGCTCACAAGTCACTCCTGTCCATCCATGTAGAATATCTGAAGGTGATAGTCTCGCAAGTATCTCCATTCTTGGCTTGGTACCAATTGTTACCTTAGGTCATAGTCAGTCGAGAGTAAGTTATCTTTTCCCAGCTTTCTTACAGTAGCTAGGCTGCCCTGACTGTGTCTGGGTCGGCGGCCAAGTCGAGTCAGTTATAGTGACTGGATTGGTCGTTGTGTTGTAAGAAAGGGTAGAATAGGGCGTCGTAGATGTGGCGTTTGATGTGATTGTGCCCGTGCCCGTGATTGAAGATGTTATGCTTGACACTGGGTCACTCGACTTGATGGTCGTGGTCGAAATGGAAGGCGTTGTTGTCGACACGACTGAGCCGACTCCCACACAGTATGAAACGCCAATTTCGACCACGCAAGAGCTACCTACGGCCGGGTTCCAAGCTTCAAACTGATCTTGAGTGATTCCAAAATCTTGTGTGATGGCCCAGCAAGAGTCCCCCTGGACCACATCATACCATTGGTTACAGTTGCTAATGGTTCCGGTCAGAGTTGGTTTGTCTGGACTTGATAGTGCTTCAGCACTCGTTATTGTTTGCGCACGCCGATGAAGAAAGCCGTGACCTTGGCCGTGTGCTTGAACAAGACCTGCGCCAGCTATCAAGACGAGAGAGAGACCGGCTTTCATCTTGGCCAGGTTGTTACTGATCCCCTTGAGCTCTGGTGGTGTTTTATGGGTCAAAATCAGTCTCGGATTGCTGGAGTAGTTTGCGCTCACATGGTCTAACCGAAGAACCTTTCACCTCCACCGAGATCAACCGATGTCGGAGACAGCACATTATTCGTCCTCGATAATGCCCCTATTAGGAGGTCCTGTAATTTCCGAATTGTGTATGTTAGCGTAGCAGGGCACAGTGAGTGGCGCTCAAAATCACACAACCGAAGCTTGCTAGGACCGTTTTTGATCTTGAGCTCGCCACTAGGGGTCCGCCGTCCCCTCGAAAGAGACAAGAGGCCACTTTTAGTTCCACAACAGAAATCTATTGATTTGTGAAACATCGTTTGCCGTCCGACCCCAAAAGATAAAATGCCTCAAGGGACCTGGGTCCACTTTTAGCTCCACAACGCAAATCTATTGGTTCGTGGAACATCTTTTGTCGGTGGTGCCGATAAATATTCAGGGACGACGAAGTAGCCGATGCTTAGCTTGCATTAGTAGACAAACTAGTTTAGCTTTGTCTTGGCCATCTTGGCAATCAGGAGACATGTTATCCTTTGCTTGGGTCTGGTTGGCTCGGGTGCAAGCGGATTGACAATGTTACATCGTTCCTGTTGGCATGCGCGGCGGGTCACGGAGAAGTATACGAGGATGGCTTAGTTGAGGCTTTATTGGAGCTGAATTGCAATTCCGCACTAACAAATAAACGGATTTTATTTCTTTGCCGCCTCCTAACTCCATCCATAATCCGCACCAAGTGTACTGTTGGCGTCGGGAGGGTAGGTATCACTTTTGGCTCGACTCAAGTCAGACCCCAAAAAATCGATACTGGTACCATTAGTATTGTCTTGGTCAATGGCCCAGATCATCGTTCTGTACGCGCATTAGCTGATCAAAATTTTGGCAAATTTAGATGTCGGTGGACACAAACCCTCCCAAACAATGCTGATTAGCAAAGTCGATTTTCGTTTTCATTGTTTCTGCATCATCATAGGAAACCCATTGGTCATTGTCCCAGGTCACAATTTTGACGGCTGCTGCAGTGTCCAGAGTGACCTTCGCGCCATCGGCGATAATATCACGAATTTCAGCGTCTGACAGAATGCCCGATGATGCGGTACAGGGACCTTCTTTACCGCCACTAGAGAACGGGCAACCTGCCGATAGGCAGTTTGGATCAGACATGGTGAAGCCTGAAATAAGTCAGCGGATCAGATTGAATGATATATTGGATTATATTTCAGGAGTCCACAGACTTCTACCGTAGAATCCGAGGCCCATGTTAACTCTTGTGGGATAGATGTTATTCCTCCATAACAACTCCAGACTCTCTTCAATCTCGGTAAGATTGGTGTGGGCTAGGGCGATCTTGCCAATATAAGGGTCATTGCCATCCCATGTACCATGAAGATCGTAGGTCATGATGTTGAACCAATCAACAACAGGATCGATGGTAACAATATCGAAATGTTGCATGTACCAGTATGACGAAGGCTTCAGAATTAGTCATTGAGCTGGGAAAAGTCTCGTATTAACTCACAATGGTAATGGATAAACCGAATTTGTTTCCTGTTCCGTCCAGAGCTTTTCGCAGATTCTGGAGGAATATCGGGTAATTTTGGTAGTCAGCAGCCTTTCCACTGCGGTCGGTGGCAGCAGGGTATTCCCTGAAAAGATCAGCACTGGATTTGGCTTTCTTGGGGACTAGGATAGACAAGATACCAATCAATATCAACTCCGTCAAACCCGTTAATGACAAGAAATGTAATGAGGGAAGCGAAAAACTCTTTCTGAGCCGACTCAGAGGCTGCCAGATCGGAGAAGGTTGTTGCAGTAGGTTGGTCGTCATCGTTAAATGACCATCCACCTACCGAGATCCAAACCTCTAGATCAGGTTGTTGCTGTTTGAGAGATGTGACATCTTGATAGAGAGCAGCAACATCAGAGGACATGGGAGACATCTGAAATGAATCCGGGTCAATATAAGCAAATGCAAAGTTGATATGCGTGTAGTATCCGAGAGGGATCTGGGACGGCTTCATCGCTATATCCGGTTGTTAATAAAGCTTCGACAATTTGACACTAGTTTCCATACTGTCACACTTATGCTCCAAATTCCATCCCTCGTAGTAGCCGACCGTTCGAGCGTCTGATGAGGTACCGCTGCATGAAGGGGAAGACACTTGCTTGGAGCCACAGAACTCGGAGGTTGTTCCTACATGTTTCCATAAGTGATAGAAGGGACCAAGTTCCTACATTGTTGAACACATACCGCAGAACCCAAACTCACTACAGCAAACGTTGAGTGGACAGGTAGAGGCATTAGACCACTGGATACCCCATCCTGGATCACATTCGCTTTTGTAATCGCAGCTTGAGATGCAGACGTCCGTGGAACAGAAGTCAGGCCCTAGATATAACATCAGATATGTGTATTGCGCTTTCTGGGACATGCCTACCGAGGCCACAAACTCCACTGTCGATGAAATAAATGTATTAGAAATAGGATGAGAGGGGCATTGACTGAAATACATACGTCTTGGAGCAACACCCAAGAGTGCAAGGCTTCGTCGAGCTGCAAGTATAATCGTTCACTGTGGATTCAACATTCAACGTAACAGTTTCTGCTTGGCATAATTCGAACAAAGCGATGAAAAAATAGAGGACCTTCATTATGGCAATCGGCGGCTAAGTTCACTGGGTTAGAGAAAGGTATTAAATTCCAATGAGCCTCCAACTTGACAGCAATTATGATCCGAATCTCAAGCAAAGTTGACAGAAATATTTCTTTATCGCGTGGAATCGGATGAAAAAAATATTCAGGTGGCACCGCCTCCGCTGGTGGGCGTTAGCATCACGGAACCTGGTTCAACCCCGATGGCGGCGACCCACGGAAATGAAAGGATGGGGCTATTTGACTAGCGGCTTATTGAGAGACATAGTAAGTTCAGGGTCAGTTTCCCCTTAAGCGCTACGAAGAATAGATTCTATACAATATAAAATGGCTCAGTGGGTCCCGAACGGGCTAAATTAGTACACCACGCTAACGTAGGAGGCCCAAGCGTAAGGGCCTAGAGCCGTCGCCGCTTTAGTTCTCAACGCGGCCTTGCAATTTCTGAAAGCTTGAACTAAGTTATAGGTTCTCCTAAGCGAGATATTACTTTAGGGGTCTCTGTATAATGCTATGACGGCGTGCAATTGTTCGTAGCACCGTGACGATCTATGAACAATTATCGTTTTGGTTCTTGTGATTGAATATCCCTTTCCACTTGCTCGCACTTTTCCAAAATGGCACAGGTGTACTTTTCAAGGGCTTGGTCAACACTCGGTCATAGAGCCAGTACATCGCTTGGATATCTCCTTCACTTGGAACCTGATTGTAGCCGAATGTCGAGCCATCACTAGCTTTCACCAGGGTATTCAATCGTTGTCCATTCACCGTCTTTGAGCCCGCAATAGAGCCATAAATCATAATTGAGTCCCAATCAACCTCGCTAGCAGGGCCCATGTCGTGACCAGATCGATCGGGAAGTAGATTATACGCGGAAAACCCCGCAGCAAGTGCGATATTCTCATAGCGACATGGGAGATTCATAGATTTACCCTCCGCTTGTCGTTGTGCTTCGATCTCTTCATAATCGGCCATGTTCTCGCACAGAAATGTAAACATGTTTGTTGCACCGTTACCGCCATACTCACTTGTCCACAGCCCGGTTCGTTGATGTTCGTGAAGTAATCCCCATGCATGCCCAAGCTCGTGGGCAATGTTGGCCACAGCGTTGCCACACCCGATCGAATCCGAAGGGTCGAGATTGGTGGTAGACCCGAAACGACCAATTGCACTGTAGCCTGGTGTGGTAACGAGGTCACCATTTGAATTGTATTTGATCAGGAGATAGTCAAGGCGGTTGGCTATATTGCAGTATGCGTCTTTGCCCTGCTCCATTTTGAATTGGTTACTGAGCCCAGCAGCTTTCCACAAGTCAAATGCCTTGGGAATCAGCGGCTTGAGATATCTCTTCGCCAGACCGCCGTCTGTTGTATCGAAACAGTAAGTGATCTTTGCCTCAGGCCACGTCGCTCTGCCCCTGTCCTCGCGAGGGAACCCGCGTTTGTCGATATTCGAGTCTCCATGGCTTTGAATCGGGCGATAGTGAACATTTGGCTGAGGGCAACTGAAAACACTGTGAAGGAGACAGACTCCAATCAGGAGCTGGAACAGCGATCTCATTTTGTGGGTTTGGATCGGTATATCTGAATGGGCGTCAGTTTTGAAAACCCCAAGTTATAGAATCAGGCAACATACCAATGTCAACGAACACGCCGAAGAGCTTGAGGAGACTAGAAATGACCCATAAGCAGTTATGAATCTCAATACTCCCTGGCAATTTTCAGAGGTTCTTCCACCCTCTGGATCGAGCGGCAGACTCCGCGCGTGGCATTAGACTGAGCCCCGCCCGCTAGCTTATCACTTCAGTAGAAGGAGGAAGGCCCAATGTAACATTGGGCAAGGCCAAGACACCACCATGTGGAAAAGTGCTTAGGAGTTTCGGATGTACATTAGCGTGGAAGCCGTGTAGCGCCTTCGGGGAGCTCGGAAATTATTGTAGACCGAAGCGACATTCGACAACGCGAGCAACATTCCGATTTCGGTCAGCGAGGACTAATTGACAAAATAGGAGCCAACTGAAATTCAGATGTCTAATTTTCTAGCCTGGTCTTCTACAAGCCTCTACTTCTCCAGGCGCTGTTAACTTCTCCCCTCCTACTTCGTCGGTTTTGCTCACACGTGCCTAGAGCTCAGTATGTGGCTCAGCACACTACCCTTCTTCTTTGCCATTGCGTCTGCGAGGGGACCAGAGACAAATCCTCTGTCCCCCCGGAACCCTGCAATGGACCCTGAAGATTTTTCGTGGATCACGAATTGGGCTGCTGTTGGAGACAGTTTCACTGCTGGCATCGGGTCAGGGAATGTATACAGCTCTCGTAAAGCGGACAAAGCCTGTTCACGATACGATTACTCCTATCCTTCCATTATGAATCAGTTCTTCGGTAGTTCAGTGGATACATTCACTTACTCGGCATGCTCGGGAGCCACCTCCATAGACATTGCGGCTCAGATCGACGACTTATCAAAAGGGTTGGACCTGGCGGTAATGACAGCCGGGGGGAATGACCTTTGCTTGGTGAGTCAAGAGAAACATTTGTATAATGACAATGAAGCTGATCCTTTTAAGACGAGTATTATCACTACTTGTATCTTGAACTCAGTGACGAGCGAGTCTTCCTGCCAAAAGGCCATATCGGCAGCTCAGAGTGCAATTGACAGCATTTTAGAGGGCAACATTGTTTCCCTCTTGGGCTCCCTAGACGCGAAGATGGACGCCCAGGGAACAATTGTTTTGTCATCATATGCGCCTTATTTCAACAACCAGACGGACGATTGCACCAACAATGAGGACTGGGTTTTCCCTGGACAGGCAGGAAGCACCAGCTTGCTTTTGACCAAGGCGCATCGAACTAGCTTCAACACCTTGGTGGCTAATACCAATGCTAAGCTGAAGTCGGCTGTTGACAAGGCCGCAAAAGATGCCAGTTCAACAATTGTATTCGCAGATTGGAGTGCCTGGGGCGAAGCAACAAATGGCCGATTCTGCGAATCGGGCTCCTCCCCTGACCCTGACGACTCAAGTAACGAGAATGCACTCTTCTTCAAGCTACCGACAAACAAGGTTTTCAATCCTGGTCTTGTCTACCGTGGTTTTGAATTGGATTCGGTCTCTCAAATGGAGCTCACGTCTAATCTCACTCTCCACAAAGCGGCGAATGAACCAGATGGTTCTCAGCTATTGGACTCGATCGCTTTATCTCTAGATAAAAGAGATGGTCCTACAGCCGGACTCTGCACGAAATCGGTTGTTTCAAACCTACTCCCCGACGGTATTGGGAAGATCTTCCATCCTTCAAACCTGGGCCATGAGGCAATTGCCTCTTATGTCACATGGGCGATTGCCAATGCTCAAGCCAAGAAGATGGACACAACCACTCCCGCCTGCAACATTGTCGACGAATTAAAATGTCACCAAGACTCAGGATCCAAGAGTTATGCGAGTGCCTACTCGCTGTACATGCATACTGCAGACTTCTGCAAAGATGCCATACAAGATCTGAGCGAGCAAGGAAGTGGCTCGTTGTTCAGTAATGAGTACAACAAGGGCACTTTGGATGATGTGGTTTTCACCGTTACAAAAGACGCCGGCGCAGTGGATCTTTCAGAGAAAGCTTGCAACCTAGCTGTCAATCGTATCCTGGATGGATGCGACGGCAACGACGATAGCAACCCAATGAACTGGAAATTCGGGGGCAGCTACATCAATGGGGCTTATACATACAACATTGCGCCAGTTCGAACAAATCGACCCTTCCCTGTGCCTAAAGAGCCGTCGGCAAAATGCACGGGTGTTGGCTACGGCTTTTGGACGCGTTATAATATCCGCGGCGCGGGCTGGGCTACGTGGGACAAGGGCCGGAAGTCATTGCTGCCAAATAGTACCCATTGTTTTGGACTTGGGTTGACGGGTTGGTGGTTTGAATACTTTGATGAGCCAGACTCGAATGGATACGAATGGCTGGCGAAGTTTAATTCTCCTATTGCGACGGAGGCGAGATGTTATTCAAATAACAAAGTCCAAAAAGCAGCCGGTGGCCCGTCAAATGATGGATGCCACTAAGAAAATTCTAGTAGTACCATTCGTATCAAATATATTTTAACTATTCTCACCCTTCGAATTCTTTTTTCGCCTACTTTAGAGCAGGTAACTACATATATGCGGAACTTGACTGAAAATCTTAAGAACTTTCGCGATCTGTGAACCTTCGCACTATTAATGTCTCAATTATATTCATCTCGCTAAATAGCCTCGTCAGTCTATGGCAATGGATCTCATTCAATGCTAACATTTGCAACAGCCCGTCACTACGACGTCGCCTATGGGTATTTCAACACTCAAATTCTTGCAAATTGACAAATGAACTCATCCCAATGTTTTCTATGTCCCATGTGTCTTTATTCCAGGACATCATTGTTCCATCACTATATTATTACGAAGATATGTCGAGCTTTGATTCAAAACGCTCGGTGTCGTCGGAAGAGAAGCAGCCCTAGGTTTTATTGGCGGGGGAGAACCACCGGGGGCATAGTCAAAGTGGCAGCTGGCACAACCTGCAACGTCAGCGTATAATTGGAAATTTGACCTATCCACAGTCGCCGCAGTATGTTATATATCAAGAGACTGTCCGTTAATTCTAGCTTTGACTTGGGGCGGGGCACATACTCCTAGGATTCGGCGTCTGTACTGGCTCCCATCATTGTTGGTGGTGTTTTGTCTATTGGTTGGATTGTGAACGAGCGCTTTACGGTGTCAGGCTCGGTCATGGCAAAGGTGTTTCCTCGCCAGAAGGCTATGATGTCGCGGGAACTGCTACGGCAGCGCGATATCGGGTTGCTGTTTCTGATCAACATTTCCGTTCGGGTTGCTATGTTTGCCGTTATGTATTTCATGGATCTGTACTTTGCGGTTTGGAAGCGACGAGCTCTGCGCATGCGGGCCTTTCACTGCTATATTTCCTGCCCGGCTTGGGCGGTACGCACTACCTTTCATCCTCATGAATCATCATAGCTACATTGGTGGATGGAAGTCGGGCCGTAGTACTCCTTAATATTAGTGCCTACTCAGCGCCCCCCACCTATGTAGCGCGCTCTAGGTGGGGCCCGGCCTTGGGAGATCAAGAGAGAGAGATTGGAGGTAAGACTGATTTCGAATATCCCCGTAGTAGGTACACTCTACCCCTTTTTTTTGTTAGTGTAGCGATACCGGATATTGGTTCCTCGGTTCCTTAAAATTCCGTTACTGTTATCCGTAGTAGATTTTAGTCACCGTCGAATAGAATACACTGTTTATCATTGCGATGCTAGCTCTACCGTAGGGTACTTGGGTACTAGATCTGCCTGACTAATTACCGTTTGGCTTCCTGTATGCATGGGAATCTCACAAGAACAGCCTGAACGCAAGGATTTAAACCGTAGAGAAAGAGCAATCGGACGACATGTCCATTGGCGATATATAAATCGAAAACGATCATTCACATGCGCCGGACCGCTCGACGCCTGACGACCAGGGTCTAACAAGTCTAATCCTTCCTCAACACATGTACGCCGACTCCACTTCGCCGACAGCACTGCGCTTTCTCGAGGCCAAGGGAACACTCGACCTCTTAACTTTTTATGATGCACTTAGAAGCAGAAGACCTGGTCCTCCAGCTTGCTGACAGGACGGGCCTTGGTGTAACCGAGAGACTCGGTGGCCTTCTTCATAGCGCTGACCATGGGCGGGGGACCGCACAGGAGAATCTTGACATCGGAAGCGGGGGCAGGGAGACGCTCCTGTCACACAGTTAGCACGTGCGCCTCAAAACTCAATTGCAATAACGAACCTTGATCATGTCGGGAGTCACGAAGCCGACACCGCCGGTCCAGCCCTCGGGAGGGTTGTTCAGGACGTAGTAGACGCGGAATCCCTCGTCTTCCTTGACCAGCTTCTCCAGCTTCTCCTGGAGGAGAATGTCATCTGGGTTGACATTGGCGAAGATCAGATCGACCTTGGTGGTGTCGTTGCCGCCGTTGCGGGGACGGTTGCGGATGATCGCCTCAATGATCTGGAGCATGGGGGTGATACCAGTACCACCGGCGATCATACCGATGTGACGGCACATGTTGGGGGTGTAGACCATGGCGCCCTTGGGACCGCGCACCTTCATGGTCTGACCGATCTTGAGCTCGGTCAGGTACTTGGAGATGTTGCCTTGGGGGTAGGCCTTGATCAACAGGTCAAAGTAGCCAGCCTCGTGGTCGGAGGAGATGGGGGTATAGGAGCGGACCACCTCCTTGGGCTGACCGGCAATGGTGGCGGCGAGCGAGATGTGCTGACCGATGGGAAGACCCAGGATGTCGGTGGGGCGGGGCAGGGCGAAACGGTAGATACAAACATTGTGGGAGACTTCGTTCTTCTCCTTGAGGACGAAGTCCTGGAACTCGGTGGGGTTCAGGACCTTGCGAGGCTCTGCGGATGGGGGTTAGACGGGGGGATTATGCGATCAGGGATAAACGGCGTCGAGGATCACGTACTGCTGCTGCTGAAGAAGGCGAAGCCAGTGATAATACCGGCGACGGCGACGGCGTAAGCGACGAACTCGGGCTTGACGGCGTAGACACCTGCGATGAGCAGGGCCGAGGGCACGAGGGCCGGGAGGAGGGTGGAGAGAGAACTGGGAGGAATTAGCGATTGTCCGTTGACAAGGCTGCTACGTAGCTGTGTAGCCACAGAGCTCGCGAAGGTGCGTTACCTCATGTTGGCTGGAGAGAAAGGTGCCCTGGAGGAGAAGGGAAGAAATGGAAAGTCGGGGGCTATGAATGAGTCGCGGTTCCGCCCAACGGAATTTCGCACCCTGTTGGGTTTTCCCCGCCGTGTTTACTCCCTGCACGGGGCCCTCATTGCTCCAACTACGGGGAATTCCTCTATACTATGACGATGGGAAATATAGAACAGCCAGAGCCAACACCCTTCCACCTCACGGCGCTGGACCGCCAGCTGCTGGCCATGACCGACGAGGAATTCGTCGCACACGACTGGGACAATTTGCGGGACATCATCGGTGAGATTCTTTCTCCTCATCTCGTCATAACCCTCCCCTCACACCCGCAGCCCGGAACGATCTGGCCGCTCTCAAGCGCAAGCCCTCCGATCTGCGCCGATACCTGGCCTGGTCCGCAGACACCAAAGCCCAGTATGGCACCATCATGAACTACATATGCCAGCGCCGCCTCCAGTGGCCCATGAGTGGAATCGTTCCCAAGAACCCGCGCCCGTTTGCCGACCCCGAGGACTACAGAATTCTCCGCAATGACTGGCCCTACGGCCTGAGCCCCGACATTTCACACTTGGTGGTCTGGCTTCGGACCCCGATCGCGGTGAAATCGGACGAGGGCCATTTGACGGACGAGTCCAGGGCTTTGATTCAGGATTTTGTCCAGAGTAAGTTTGTCGCTCGCTTGGCCGAGGATGTCGATCGTTTCCCCAATCCCGAGTCGCATGTGTTGTGGTTTAAAAACTGGGTGGGTTTGCAGAGCGTGCGTGCGCTTGAGCATGTGCATATTCTCGTGCGCGATGTCCCCGAAGACATCCTCTACGAGTGGTCGGGGGAGGGCAACGTAACGGATATTTAAGCGCTCATATAGAATTGCATTATATTTAGAAGGCTATTGTCCCTTAGCGTGACATCTATGCATGAATCTCTCCCTCCAAAGATCCTCAAATGTCCGTGCCACTCTACTAGCATAGGACTGATGAACATCCCCGAGGCCAACCGTGGAAATTGAAAAGTAGGAAAATACAATAAATTCGTAGATCCATGAAAGTAAAAATAAGACGTTCAGGTATCACGGTACGCCAGTCCACCCGCAAAAAGCAAATGTACACGGACCCTCAATCAAGTCTTTTGCTCCTCCACAAACTTGAGCGCCTCCTCGCGCGATACCACGTCGATCGTACTGGCCTTTTGCCGGAAGCTGACGCCGTAGCACTTCTCCGCCACGTGCAACATCTCCGGCCGGAAGGTCGTACAGATGAACTGGCCGTTGGTCGAGTCCGAGATGGATTGCAGCATCTGGGCCACCGCGGTACGGTACTGTGCGTCCAGATTGGCGTCGATCTCGTCGAAGAGGTAGAAAGGTGCCGGGTCACAGGCCTGGATGGCAAAAACAAGGGCCAGAGCGCACAGACCTGCGTAGATCATTATTAGTACGGTCGGAATGCAAGTCAGGGAAGGGAGGGGCGCTTACTCTTCTGTCCACCACTCAGCTGCTGGATGCGCTGCTGGTCGTCGTGCTTGCTGTTGAAGCTCACGCTAATGCCGACGCCGACGTAGTTCTCCACACTCTGCCGAGCCTCCTCGTCATCCGAGTCCACATCATCTTCCGGCCGCACGGCACGGTCCGTCTTTCGTTGAATGATCAGTCGACCACGACCGGCCGGGACAAGTTTCTCGAAAACGTTGGCAAACTCGCGAGAGACCTGCTTGAAGGTTCGCTCAATCGCCTCGTCCTTCCGTTGATCCAAAACCGAGATCAGGTCGTCGATGGACTTTTGAGATGCGTCGAGCTCTTCGCGACGGGTGGTAAGTGTCTCACGCTGCTTGGTGAAGCTGTTGTATTGCTCGAACGCCTTCTTGTTGACGTGAGAGTACATCTTCAGCGCCTCGTTGGTCTTGTGCAGCTTCTTCACGACCGCATTGGAATCCGTGTTCTTGTACTTGGTGAATGCTTCATCGGGAAGCACACCCAGGTCACGGATGTTGGAAGCACACTCCGCAGCCTGCTTGGTGAGTGCTGCCTTCTTTTGCATGCTCTTCTCCATGCGGCGCTGGTGTTTCTCGATGGACCGGGCCACATCCTCCATCTCCCGCCGGGTCTCGGCGTTACGCTGCTGGAGGTCATTGACACGAGTGTTGGCCTTTTCGATTGAATCGTCAAGTTCTCTCAGGCGTCCATTGAGCTTCTCGAGCGCCTTGCTAAGACGCTTTTGCTCACGCTGGGTTTCCTTCAGGTTGCCCTGAACCTCCTCTTCCGCCATGTCGAGATCCCTGTTCATAAGCTGGTCGAGGCGAGGGTTGAGGTTCTCCCGAAGCTCAACCTCGAGTACTGACTTTCGTGCCTCAAGTTCGCTGCGCTTGGTCGAGATCTCCTGGTATTGCCCGCGCAGTTCCCGCACTGTGCTGCTGAGTGTCTCCAATGTGGCCTCCTCCTCACTCGTTAACGCCTTCTGGAATGGAGAGGACATTTCAGTCTCAAAGGCATTAACCTGATCGTTGAGGGCTGCAAGGTTAGATTCGACGTTGCGGAGAGCCCGTTGCTTGGCCTCCAAGGTGTCATGCTTCTTCTGCAAAAGATCTCGCTTGCTTCTCAATTCTTGCCTCAGGGGACCGCTGCTATTTTGCATCTGGTGTCGTTGCTGTTCGAGCTTCTGCAATTCACCGAGAGCCCGGGTGATGACCTGGTCGAGCTTCTCCAGCTCTTTGCGAATCTCCGTTCCACGGTTTCGCTTGCTCTCGAACTCGTCCCTCCACTTCCCAACGTTCTTGACGGCATCGAGTCGTGAGGCACGGGAGTCATGGAAACCTCCAGTCAAGGCACCACGCTTATCAGATCGATCACCTTCGGGAGTGATGGCATTGACCCCGTGACTGCGGGCATACTGCGAGGCAACCTGTAAGTTGGGACAGATGATGGTCTTTCCAAAGACGTGCTGGAACGCCTTGTCATATGCTTGGTCGTACTGCAGCTTCTCGATCATGGGAATAGTGTCACTGGCGCGAGGCATGTTGATCGGCTTGGATCGGAGACGGTTCAACGGCATGAAAGTAACACGACCGGCCTTCTCTTTTTGCAAGATTTCCAAGACAGTGGTGGCAGTCTCGTCTGTGTCGACAACATAGTGGAAGAGGCTCTGTCCGGCGGTGACTTCCACGGCTGTCCGATACCTATCGTTGACATCGAAAAGCTCAGCCAAGGTACCGTACACACCCTCGAGGTTGTGTTGGCGCTTGATCCTTCGCACGGCAGAAATTCCGCGGCTGGTGTTGTGGTCCATCATTTGGGAGAGACTACGCTCTGCGCGATCCATCTCTTGGGAAGCACTAGAGATGACCGAGTCGAGCTTTGCTTCCTCTCTCCAGAGTTCCCTGCACGGTTGTTAACGAGGGTCTTTTTGCGGCACATGGAAGTTGAACCTACTTTCTTTGATCCATTAAACGATCTCTCTCATCCTTCGCGGCCTGAACCTGCTGGTCCATGTCATGCATGTTATTACCACGACCGTCAATCTGCTCACGCAAGCGAACGGTCTCTGGTTCAAGCTGAGCGATCTCGCTTTCGAGCTCCCTGATGTCTTCCTGCGTTTGAGTGACGACATTTTGGACGGTAGCAATGGACCTGTGACTCTCACGAACTTCCATTTGCAGCCACTTGTCTCGCTCGGACTTGTTCTTAAATCGCGAATTGCGGCCCTGCTTGGCGTATAAGCGTTGACGCGAGGTCTCCGCTTCAGTCAGGCTGGTCTTGACAGAATCCTCTTGAGTCCTGTAGTCATTGAACGTTGGCAAGATGCTGGCAAGCTCCGATTCACGCTCATTAATGGCCTCTTTGACGGAGTTCAAGTCGGCATCGTGGCGAGACTTGAGCGCCTGGGCAGCGACCTGGTTGTCGGAGAGGGACTTGGCCTGGAGTTCAATCTGCGCCAGGGCCTTGGAGGCCTCGCGCCGTTCATCCTCCAGCTGAGACTTGTCGACCTTGAGGAACTCGATCTGTTGGCGGCATTCGGCGATCTCGGCATCAATCTGTGCCATGGCCTTTTCGCCTTCAATGAACTGGTCGCGGTTGTTGTCTGCATCTTCAACGCCATTCTGTCGTGCTTCCTCCAGACTATCGAGCACGTTCGAAATTTCTTGCTGTTCGCGCGAGTAGATGGTATATTCGAGGCATCGGCGCTCCTTGTCTTTGTCCTGGTAGTTCCGAAGTTCGTCCTTCTCCTCCTCGAGCTCGGCGAGACGCTCATTAATGTAGTCTAGAAGTTCGTCAATCTTCGCACGCTTGCTGTTGGTCTCATGCATGATCTTCAAGGACTCCGTGCGGCGTGCTTCATAGACTTGTGTACCCGCGACTTCTTTCAGTAGTGTCAAACGCTCCGAGTCTTTCATGTTTGTCAGTGCAGTAACTCGACCCTGGGGAACAATGTAGTAGGGGTTTGATCGAGAGAAGCCGGCGGACTCGAGCAGGTTCATCACATCGTTCTTGGTAGCGTTCTTGCGGTCGAGAGTGTATTCGTCTTTCTTGATACCGATGGTACGGCGGAGGACAAGCTCGGGCTTGCCAGTGGGGAATCGATCGTCCGAGTTGTCGAAGATGATCTCAACATAGGCCGACATCACGGCCGATCCTGATCCTTCCTACTCGAGGTCAATAAAAGAGTTACATCCAGCTCGCGACGCGACATACGTGAAGGAGAGCCTGACGCTCCTCTCGGCCCAGGTGGGTATAGGCATCACTGAGAACAAACCGAATGGCCGCGAAGAAGTTACTCTTGCCCGAGCCATTGCGGCCGACGATAACATTGTGTTTGGGTGAAAAAGGCTCAATGACCGTCTGGTCCTTGTAGCTGTAGCGCGGGATAGTCAGCAAGTGACTCGTTCGAGCAGTATAGCTGATTAGGTGATGTGACGTACCTTTTGAAGCCCTGGATGATAATCTGCTTGACATACATCTTGGGACACGCGCGACGCGAGGATCACGGGGAACAACGCATTCGGCGGCCAGCACGAAGAGGGTTGTTGAAAAAGACAATCAGGTATACCCTGACTGCGAGAGCTGTGCAATACTCTCAGCTAAAAACCCGACGTGAATGGGGAGTCAATCGTCGCGACGGGGCGGGGACTACGCGAGGAGCGAAATCACCGCGTCTCGGGCGGTAAGTCCGCATTGGCCAAGAAGTGGCAGATTCCCCCCACATGATGTCGCCGCATCTCCGCCCTTTCACTTTGCTCTCTTTCGTGCCATCACAACTTTAATTGCACCCTCGGGTGTGCAGTGCACTTGTCCCCGTGAGACTGATGAATATAGGTAAGTTTGTTCGTTTCAAGTGGAGATAGCACAGCTTGAAGCATGTGCTTGGCCCTAGAGCTAGCCTACCACATAGCTCTTGGTTATCGGGGCTCTATGCCCGAGCTCCTATCAAACCCCATGTGGCTTGGATGTGTCTTGAACTCAGCGCTCTACTCATGTGTGCCAACATAGTCGACCAATACTAAATGCCGTCTTCTCTAGGAGCTTCCTTAATTCACTAGGCTGGGTCCTTCCGTGTACCTTCGTAGTACGACGTTTCAGGTACCGCGGCAAATGACCCCCTAAGGTATCGGCTATCTAATTCCCCGTCAACCATCTCGGACCTTTCCAAGATGGCATCTTCTCAATCCTCGTCATCATCTATCTCGGGGCGTGGTGGCAACGAGCCCGACGACCAAAAGTCCCTGCCTCAGCTGGAGACCCTCATCTCTCACCTGCTAGCGGCAAAACGCTCCCTCTCGTCCATCAACCATGTCTGGCGTGCGAACGAGATCGTCACTGCCTCCCGCTCTGCTCTCGAAGAAAGTGTCGTCGTCTCCTCACGAACCAACTTTCTGCGTCGTGGGCTGAACAATCAGCTCAGACTGCTGTACAATGTTCGTTCGGAGGTGGAAGAGATCTCATATCGTGGCCGACAAGAGTTTTCGGAAGCATTGAAGAGCCTGGATGCCGCTGATGCTAGGCTCCGGAGCACTCTGGACCTTCTTCGCGAGACGATCGTTGATGCATCGTTCCGTCCTAAGGATGAAGAACCAAAGAGTCTGCATGACTTTGTGGATGAACGTGGTGTTGAGGAGCTACACGAGGCGATGAAAAGCTCGATCGACCGCACAAATACTGCGCGTGGAGATCTAGATATCTCCAATCGGGAGTTTGATGATGAGCTAGCCTCCATCAAACGAGCCCTCCGGCACTACCGCTCGGCCACCAAGATGGCTTCTTCCCGCGCATCGGCATCTTCGTCATCGTCGGCTTCGGTCTCGGACTCTGATCTACTCGCATTATCTTCAATGCCGGGAATGTTGCAGTCCCTTGAAACACACGCCCAAGAAATGGCCAGCCTACTAGAGTCACTGGTTCGTCATTTTGATTTGTGCGTTACAGCAGTGAAGCACACGGAGGGTGGAGGTGCAGCTGCTCGATCTATTACGGGCGACATGCCGGCTGAAGTGCAAACCAGCGGTGACGGGATGCCGAACTTTGGCGACGAGATCAACGCAAATCTCAACGCCCCTTTGGACCCAATGTCGGACCAGGAATACGAGGAAATGGTGAATGTATTGACGAAGGATGCCCTTGAAGCCGAGGACGTGGTGATGGAGATTCAAGATCGCATCAGCGAAATGGAATCCGTCTATGAACAAGTGGGGATACATCGCGATGCGCTGCTCTCCATCTCAAACGCCACCCTCCAAGTCCACCGGCATCTCTCCACTCTCGCATCAACGCGACTTCCGCGGTACATCTCCCAAGCACACAACTTCACCCAGGTCTGGAGCGAGGAAAACGACCGTATCAACTCCGGTCTCACCGAACTATCCGACCTACACTCTTTGTACGAAGGCTTCTTAAATGCCTACGACAGTCTTATCCTCGAAGTAGCCCGGCGAGCTCATGTTCGTGCCCGCGTGGAAAAAGTCCTCCGAGACACCAAACACAAATTAACCCAGCTCCACGACGAGGATGTAGCAGCCCGGGAAGCTTTCCGCGTCGAGCAGGGCGACTTCCTCCCATCTGACATCTGGCCTGGTATCGGCCGAGCACCCATGCAGGTCGAATTCCTTCGTGTTTCTGGGGGTCAGCTTCCGGCACTTGCAGAAGGGCAGGATCCAGAAGAAACTGCAATCGAGACTGATGCTGAGCCCAAAACGGGTGCAGCGGATGAGAACGCCAGCGGTGAGATAATCCCTGATCTGCCGAAAGATATGATCGAGCGGGCGTATGAGCGACTGAAGGCGCGCGGTGGGAATTTCGTTTGATTGCTGCATATTTTCCTCCTCTCCACTCAATCTCAACTCCGAGCGCTACCATTTGACACTTCATCCTCAATTTTGTTTGTTTGTTTGATGTTTTTTTTTTTTTTTTTTGCTACAGAGCGAACTTTTTGCTTGAATTTACACTGCATATCGGCTGGCGCAGAATGACTTGCTCTATTCAGCAACACCCAAGTGATGAAAGCTAATTGGTACGACCTTCCATTTGTCGGATGCATACTCTCCATTTTTGTGGGCGATGTAAGCACCATCGTGCGACTCTGTCGTATCATGGATAGGCATGACTTCCAAAGAGAGCGCTGATGGGTTCCATTCCCGGATTTTGATAGAAATCTACCGATGCTATCTACCTTCTACAAAGTTTTCTTTAGCTTCAACAGATGTAGTTGTGTATGACTGTATTTTTTTTGGTCTATACCCAGGTATCATATGTCCAATGCTCCATCCCTATATGCATTTTATCATCAAATCATGGCAGAAACGTTCGAGAAGATATCGTAGAGCCCATAACCATGCGAAGAAAATTGAAAGCAAGCGCACAGGTTTATTTCTTCTTCTTTGAGGAAGAAGAAACAAGCTTTCTCTTGAGATGCTTGGGCATCTTGTTCGCGCGCTGCTCACGCTTTTCTTCCTTGACCTTGGCCTTGTGCTCGCGCTTGGAATCCTTGTCTTCGAAGCGCTTGCCACGAGGGGGCTTCGGCGCGAATGGGTCCTTCTCTTCCTCGGTGTCACTGGCTTCGGAGCCCGACACGGAGACGCCGCCGCTGGCATCGGATTCTGACTCGGCACCGTCGACAGTAGCGGGAGTGGGCTTGGTCTTGCCAGTCGCGAGCAAATCTCCGTAGATTAGATCCGCGCCGGAGCCGTCGCGGATTTTCTCGGCATCACGCTCGACATCGTACACTTGGTCCAAGGTCTGGGGGATGTACTGCTGACGGAAAACAGCGGTGTCAAGCTCTTCAGACTCCTCGGTGGCACCAGCCTCTTCCCGAGCGGTGTAGAGCTTCTCAATTGCTTCGAACATCTCCTCGTTTCCACCGGTGATATCAGTCGGGCCCTCGGGAGACACGATGAATTGGTACACAGTGCGCTCGGACAGGATGTCAACACCTTTGCGACGGAAGAAGTCGCTAACGTTCTTGATATCCATACGCAGGAACTCCAAGCTGCGAGGATGGTCGTGCTCAACACTTTGGCTGACATCAATGACGTACAGGCGCTTCTTGTGGTACAAAATGTTATACTCGCTAAGATCGGCGTGGACCAAGCGGCAGACCTGGTACAGCACACGCATGTAACCCATCAATTCAAAGTAGAGCGAACGCCAACGGGCCTCGAGATCATCGGCGACGATCGTAGCGTCCTTAAGACGGGGAGCGGGAATACCCTTCGAGCTGCCGAGGAAGCCCATGACGAGAACGTGCAGACGGAGCTGAATGGGCTCGGGAGACGGGATACCGGCGGCGTAGATTCGTCGCAGGTTTCGCATTTCCTTTTCAGCCCAGACCTTGACCATTGCGCGGTTGTTGCTCTTGTTGTATCCCTGACGAAAACGGAACTCGCCGGTGACGTACTTGTCACGGTCCTTGAAGACCAAGATGCTGGTCTTGTAGACCTTGATAGCGCGGTGGATTGGCGAGGCGTCCTCCTCCTCAGGGATCGACATGGCATGGTACACGTTTGCCTCTTTTCCGGTGGACAAACAGCCGTGAATCTCGGAGACAACGCCACGGTTGATCATCTGCAGCAGAATCATCCGAGTGCGTGGATCCAACACCTGCTCTGATGTGGCGCGATCCGCACGATCTCCACCACGGTTACCACCACCGCCGCCCGAGAAGCCGGACTGTTGATCATCCAGCTTGATCTTTGCGGCATGGCGAGTCAAAGACTTGACCTGGTCATCAACAGAGGCGTATGTGTTGACTGTCGGCTTCTGGGTATTGGTCTTGGGATATTGCCATCTGGGAACGTTCGTATCGGCGGCGGCGTCGTTCAATTTTCGCTGGCGGTTGTAGGCCTTGGTGAGGTCCGAGGGATCGGAAGATTGAAAGTCCTCTGTGTCCAGTTCTTCCTCGAAAATATCATCGTAGTACTCGTCTTCTTCATCCTCATCGTACTGCTCGGTGGATTCTTGCCCCGCCTCAGCGGGGTCTGTGCCTTCAGGATTGACGTATCCTTGGTTAGGAACGTAGGTATGGGACGGAGCGAGGCCGTCAGCTAGGCCAGAGGCCTGAGCAGCAGATTCAGACATACTTATAATTGTCGTTATCGTGTAGAAAAAATTTTCGGGCGGGACGATAGAGGGGGGACGGTAATATTATGTAACCACCTACGAAGTTCCTCACCGGCCTTCCCCTGGCCGCCTAGAACGCTACGTTTCATAGAGGCACTCGGGAAAAAAAATAACAAAATGATTACTACCGCCTCCTGGCTTCCTATAGTACTCTTTGTCCTGTCTGTACACCTGCCCAAGGCTGTTCGACTACATACAATGCCTTGTCAGCAAACCCGCCATTCGGCTAAAGACCCCTAATTCAACTTACTAAATGTGCCTATGCTTTTAAATCGTCCCTGACTATTAATACGAGTGTGTAATATATTATTGTAATCACTGAACCCGATCACTGAGCATATCAACTTTTAAGGGACAAGATAATAGTCTCTTTACCGTAGCAGAAAGTTCGAGACGCGACCTAGGCATCCGCCGTTATATCTGTAGATAGATAGGCTACCGGTGTTGCCATTAAAGTAGGCCCATATTGCTTTCTCTTTTCTCTCTGCCAACTTACGTTCTTAGAGAGGAATGGTATTTCTAAAAAGAAACAGCAAGGAAAAGACAAGGCGAAGCTGGAAGCGGAACGTCGGCCGGCAGAAGGCGTGGAGCGAGGCACTAGGCGAGTGAATATTTTGGCATCAAAGTTATGCGCGAGGCGATGCGTATAATCTATAACGAGACAAATATCTCGTAAGTGACAATAACCGGCCGCAATAAGAATCCCCGCATGTTGGGATGAGAACTTCGGTGCAAGGTTCATGCAGACTCCGGCAATCCACGAGAAGTTCCAGTCAATGCGGAAGAAGCTGTCACTGGCGGATGAGCATGGTCTATAACCAGCTAGCGCGGGCATGGGCACTATGGCGGAGGGAACATAATTTCCTCGATATTTAGTGCGAGCTAGGTGTACGGACATAGAAGAGTAGTGTATGAAGTGCGAAACACATCCCATGGGATATTGATTAACAGAAACTCACAGGTCTAGTGCTGGCCTACCACATAGACACTAGCCTTACGGGACAGGTGCACTACACCAGGAGCTGATGGTGTAATTCTCGGCTTCCAGATTGACTCAACCGCACGACCGGGGTGATGTGCGAATAGTGGAGACCTCAGCCCTAGGGATATGGGGGGAAAGGCGGTCTAGCCATATTGCAGGGTGAAGAGCCTCCGAATTCGTCAGGCGGCGATCACATCATCGCTGTTGCACGATGGTGAGCAAAGTGATGTGCTCCAAGGCGGAGATGGCGCCATCACGTGGAGCCTTCGCACTGCGGGCTTGGCATTAGCCAATGCGGACTCACCGCCCGAGATTGTCGACCGCGAAGGTTGCGTGCTCTCAGTCTCTGCTCTCGCGCCATAGGTGTTTCAACCCATTGTGCAATTCTCTCACAGACCACGGACATATGGTATTTGAACTCGAACCACTCCCTTGATCCCCAACTTCATTCTCTTTCGCGACTACCGCCCAACCCTTATCTTTGCGGTTTCTGCCAGGGTACTCGCCACCCACATCTACCCCAGTGGCGCTACCACACTGCAACCTTGGTGTATAGCGGCAACAAATTGGCTATTTGCTTCCTGGCCTAATCCTCTACTCCAAGTCCTTGCATTCTACCGACTCTCTACGACTTCGAGACCACTTCTGCACGAACAAACGAGCCGACTGGCCTTTATCGCTTTCCAATACCCGACGTGATCGTCCTCTGGCGTTAGCCACATTCTTCCTGCCGGCCAACCAAGTGTCTCTTGCCTGTCATGGAGCAGAACACCCAGGTTTCGTCCGCCGCGCAGGACTTTGTCTATACTTCGCTGACGGTGGGGAATGACGGAACGAATGCCGATTCCAACCGTTCTCGGCCCCATAACAGCAACGATACCCACGAGCCGAATAATACGACCGATGCCCTATCGCGGTTGGCACAGCAAAACGTTGCGCCTTTCCTTGCAAAGTATCATCCTCGCCAGTACGCCCCGTTCCGCTCGCCGGAGGGTACCCCTGAGATCCCTCGTCCGGTGAACGCAGGCTACTGCTACCGCCACCAGCCAGATTCCAAGTGCAGGCGACAGGCGGATGAACAATCCATGCGCCAGCTACAAACCGAACTTGACACACTTCCACAAAGTGACCAGCAGGGAATCGCTCATGTCTGGTCGCTATTTTCCGCCGCCCCCGCCAAGCAGCGCAAGCTGATGCTTCAGGGCGTTTTGGCTCAGTGCTGCTTCCCCCAACTCTCCTTCATCTCTGCCAGTGTTCGAGAACTGATCCGAATCGATTTCCTCACGGCCCTCCCTCCTGAGCTCTCCTTCAAGATTCTCCGATACCTTGACACGGCCTCTCTTTGCCGCACCGCACAGGTCTCTCATCGCTGGAGAGCTCTGGCTGATGACGACGTTGTATGGCATCGAATGTGCGAACAACACATCCGCCGCAAGTGCGCAAAGTGTGGCTGGGGCCTACCTCTGTTGGATCGCAAGCGTTTGCGTGAATCGAAGCGCGAGATTGAATTGCGGGCCACAAATTGGGGAAATGAGTCCTCGAAATCTACCGGTGACGGCGCGCCAAACGGAACCTGCTCAGATGTTGAGATTACGGTCAATGGCAAGCGGAAGATCGAGACAGATGACCAGAGCTGTGCTATGATCAAACGCCACTGCAAGTCACCAGCCTACAAGCCCGACCCGAATGACGACTACTTCAAGACTCGATATCGCCCTTGGAAGGACGTCTATCGGGATCGATTTGTGGTTGGCATGAACTGGAAGCACCGTCGCTGTGCGCAGAAGGTCTTCCGAGGCCACACCGACAGCGTGATGTGCCTGCAGTTCGAAGATAATATCTTGATGACCGGTTCGTACGACGCCACGGTCAAGATTTGGGACATGGAGAGTGGTGAAGAGCTGCGAACGCTCCGCGGCCATACTGCCGGAGTTCGCTGTCTCCAGTTTGATGACACCAAGTTAATCACGGGCAGTCTGGATCGCAGCATCAGAGTGTGGAATTGGCGTACCGGAGAATGTATATCCAAGTACAACGGCCACTCCGAGGCGGTCATTGCGCTACATTTTGATTCGACTCTTCTTGCATCTGCTTCCGTCGATCGGACAGTCAAAATTTGGAACTTCAAGGACAAGTCCACTTTCGTCCTCCCCCACCCCGAAGGCGTCAACGCAGTCAAAATCGACACGGCCTCTCACACAGTCTTGACAGCCTGTGACGATGGTGCAGCTCGCCTTTGGGATCTAAACACCAAGCAATGTCTTCGAGTCTTCCATAACCACATCGGTGCGGTGCAGCAGGTTATCCCCCTGCCTCGCGAGATCGAGCTTGAGAGCCACCTGGATGACTGTGAGAACGACCACACATCCCTCAAGGATGGTGATGCCGTTATCAACACTCTTTCCCCCCTGCTAGAATCCAAGTCTCTGTCCGCGCAGCCATCATCATTTAGCTCATCCTTCGACCAGGACCAGGATCGCCAGGAGCCACCACGGTATATCATCACTAGCGGTGTTGACGCTACCATCCGCCTGTGGGAAACTAACACTGGCCGATGCCTCCGCACCTTCTTCGGCCATTTGGAGGGTATATGGGCACTTTCTGGTGATACTCTGCGTATTGCCTCTGGTGGTATGGACCGCATGGTCAAGATCTGGGATCCGCGCATCCCGACCTGCCAAGACACCTACGAAGGCCACTCCGCGGCAGTCAACTGCATCGGTCTCAGTGATAGCCGCTTCATCACCGGTGGCGACGATTACCTTGTCCGCATGTATGACTTCCGGGCTTAAATCTTCTATTCGCTTCCTTTGGGATTCGTATCCTACCCTCAGCCCTTTCACCATCCTGGGCTTGCCAACTTCTTTGCATAAACCTTTTCATTGGCGCTTTTCTTTTGATGGATGGATACCCTGGTGCTTTTCAACATATCGGATCTTAATGTAAAATTAGGAACTGTTCAGGTCAATTGGGCCTTTCCTTCTCTGGTCCTTGCATAACTGGCGCTCAAATGGGCTTTATCACTACTTGTTACTTTACGTCGGCTCGTGTTCCGATCTTGCTGTTAATACAGTAGTATTCGAAATCACATATACCTCCACACTCTTCGGCTCTAATTCCCGAACCCTAATTTGAAACGCTAGCCCAGATATAGTATATCCGTCGGTCCCCTTGTTCCTAGAATAGAAACTGTATTTTACAAGAGTCTTAAGTCTTTCTTTAGATCATACGACGAGCGTCTTCCGCAGGATAAGCTACAATCAGATGGCTAGGTATCAAGGACAGCGATGACAGACGCGGATTTAATATTCGAAGATTCGCAATAATCACTACCTCCATGATATAACGAGCTCACGAGATATCTTGAAAGTCGTATATGCTTCCTTCTTTCTCACTAAACTATCACTAATGTTCTCTTCTAGTAACCGTACGAGGTTCCCCTCGGATATTCTAGAAAGAGCATCAACATGAGTCTCCCGTACTTATAAGCCTTGCGCGGGATGTGATGTCGATTCCAGTAACTGGAGTAGGGGTAGAACGCCTCTTCAACTCCGCCCGGGATATCTATCATTACTAACGTGGCTCGCTGCAGCCAAAGACAATCCGGGATATTATGCTCTAGATGTGTATAGCAAGATTTAACCTCTAAGAGTAGAAGCGGCTTATCACTCTTAGAAGCGGCTTATCCTACAAGAGTATCTCTCGCATTAAGAGATCGTAGCGATGACTAAGGCTAATGAAACCCGAGAGGAATCCTTTGAGCTAATTAGTGATACCGAGGAGGATGACGTACAACCCTAGGATAGGGAGCCCCTTCTATAGTCTTGTACGACGACGGTTTATCTTGAAGGGATAGAGGCTAGGGATTATGATAAGGATAATGACGATGACGTTAACCTCCCTCTACCTAATACCTAATAGCGTGTATCTAGTAGAAAGCAGAAGCGCAGCAAAGCTACTTAATGGCTACATACTTAAGTCTCAATGATTTGTTAACTATGGTGTTTTGAAGATGGCCACTCGCTTGGGATGGCCACTCGCTTGGGAAATACGTTAAGGATTAGTTCAGTCATAATTGCAGGGTTGAAGTTCCCGCCCGCATACTTACAGTTCCATCTGGTCCCTTACCTGGTCCAACTCCAGCCCATAACAAAGACCTAGATTTTATGAAGAGTTGGGGTTTTGCGGGCTGTGGGTTGGGCCGTGGGCCTGGGGTCCGGGCCGAAACGTGGGCTTTGGTGCAGTCTAGTAATAAATTGTAGCGATAAGAGACTTGCCCTTCAAAGCAGATTTAACCACATAAGCCCATATCCGATTATCCATAATTGGGCTAACTTTTAGAGTGCTTCTTCGAGATCGTAGATCGACGAAGCGCCTCCCTATTATATACCACGTCACGGATATGCCTATTCAATTGATGGTGCTACTGCTCCGGTGTTTCAAGAGTTTACATAGGTTAAATGGAAGGACAGATGGTACTGAGCCAGAGATTTATGTAGTAGAAATTGGCAAACCTAGAGGTGAAAGCCAGAACGAGCTTTTGAGAGAGCTTTCAAGGTCTATTTGATGCGACAAACCTTCATGATTGTGTCCAAAGTGTCACTGTTGGACTTGAAGATCTTACCCAAATTCGAGATCTCCGTCGCTTTCATACCCTGGCGGATCCGAGCTACCGAATCAAGTCCTGGACCATCGCGCGCGACCTTGGCGATTGATCCAACCCCAATGAGACTTCCGATGATGTTGACAAAGGCCGATTGAGGGTTTTGCACCGTATCGTAAATAGCGAGACCTACGTTACCAGCTTCACCGGCAATGGCGCAGCTGCGGGCAAGAGTCGCAAGTCCTGCGGCGGCAGCAGCTTCCTCGCCAATAATAGGAACGAACTGGAATAGTTAGCGATGTTTTGATGCGCCCCAAAAAGCATCAAGGGAGAGAATACTCACGATGAGAACAACACTGACAATCGTAAGGATGAAATTCCTCTTCTTCGACTCAGCTTCTTGACCTTTTAAATTCTTCTCATCCTCTCCAATCTGCTTCGCTTGTGCCATTCCATTCACACCTTGCATCAACATGAAAACGGGAGAGCTATAGGCTTCCGCAGCGTTAGAGATTGAGCCGTTGATCCATTGACCCAACATGATATCGAGCAAAGTAGCCTTCATCTGACTGCGCAGGTTTGGGATGTTAGGAATGACCTGCGAAACAATGTCTTTTGGATTCGGAACAACCATAGACGTGTTCTGGATGGGGAAGTTATTGAAATTGTAATCGTATTCCCGATTCCCCCTGGGACCTGTGTAGTATTGCTTCCGCGTATGATCACCGAATTCAACGTAAGAAGAGTCAATGCCTTCGTCGGTGAGCTTAGCGCTCCAGCCATCAGAGTCCGTCAGGGTTAAGCGCGTGGCAGCCCCATTGGCTGGAAAGTCAAAGTACGAGTCGGTACGGCTACTGAATTCTCCGCAAGGATAGTTCTTTCCGTCTGGAAAGGTGCAGTCGAAATCTAGGAGCTGATTAGTATATACCCTTCGTTGGGATAATTTGGAGGCATCTTCGTACAGTTCATTCCCTCTCCAAAGACAGGCATAGCTCCGACGAGTTCTGTTCCAGCCGGATTGCCTCCGTCGCCCACAAACATAAGCTTAGTGTAGAGAATCTGCGGCACCAGATCATTCATGTATTCGACGTAGTAAGTGAACATCTCGTCATATCCATTGTTGACATTTGTGAAGTTATCGTAGGCGGTATCGAGCATCTTGATCAGGACTTTTAGGGTGTAGAATGCGACGCAATCAGTTCTCATATCCGTGGCTGCAGAGCTGAGCTCTTCGAGGCTATCGTACGTCCAGGAGTAATCGCACAGTTGGTAGTCGTCGTCGTATCCCGAGTCAACCTCACTTCCGGTTCCGTTACTGGCATAGGTCTGGTTCAGGTCCACTGCCCAATCAGAAGTACCACCGAAGTTCAGGCTGTCACCCCATTCTCGTCGAGCGACGTAGCTTTCCGGGCTGAGCCAGGAGATCCAGTCTGTCTCGTTGAAGATCACGACATCACCTTCATCTTCGTATTGGGAAATGCTGATATTGCCATAGATATCACTGTTCTGGTCCTGGGAGAGCCAAGTGAAGATCTCATAGTTGGAAATATATCCGGCCCTATGGAAACGAAGTACAGCATTAGTGTAGTTCGACGCCTTCTCTTCAGAGAATATCCTTACGTATTAGTGCAAACGCCCAGGGTCGCACCAGACAGTGGGCCGGTGAAATGGCAATTGGGTCCAGTGCATCCGGCTTCAGCAAGTTTGAAGCTACGTCCGTATAGAGGAAGACCCATGATGATCTGCTTTGCGGGAACTCCTGCCTTGGTGATCATGGACAACGCGTATGCGGTCTCCGTTTTATTGACTTGACTGCGAAGACAACCGCCCGCTGGGCATCCGGAACTTTTCATAACTGTTAGCAAAAGTTGACTTTTTGCAGAGACAAAAAAACCCACGCCGCAGTTGGCTTGTCATAGTCCCACTGACCGTGAAGGTCATAAGTCATATAAACAATATAGTCCTGGGATATATATAAGCCTGACGATGATCCTCCATGTAAACATTAAAGTAACTTACAACAACCTCTGAGATTTCCTTAATAGGGAAGTTCCTTAGGTACCAGTAGGAAGCAGGGGCAGCGATCGACAAGGTCTTGCCGGAAGGAAGCTGTTGCCGAACCAACTTCAAAAATTCAAGATAATTTGCTCCAGAATCTGGGCTATCGGGTGGAACACCTCGGATATCTTGGGCCTAAACTCGTTGTGAGCTTCAACTAATAGATATTAACGGAATCAAAATTTCGGTCTTCACTTACACCGGGGTATTCCCAATCAAAATCAACTCCATCAAGATTATACTTTGTGATAAAGTCAACCACATTCTTTGCAAAGATTCTTGTTTCGTTAGCTTTATTTCTATAGCGCCCTCTTCTCTCTTTGGGATAATAAAGAATAGCATAAGCCATAGTAAAGGACACTTACTGGCGATTGCCATCTTTAACACCACTGCGCAGAATGCTATATGTATAACCACTGGTCGAGAAGCCCCAACCACCGAAGCTAAGAACCTTGTCGATCAGAGTCAACTTAAGCATGCCGTCAAACTGCTCTTGCTGGCCGCTAACGTCAACTTTCCAATCAGTTGTGATATTAGCAAAAGCCCAGTGGACGGCTGAGTAGTAGCCATTGTTGTCTAGCTTGGAAATGTCCATGTTGAGACACTCTCGCTGCTTATTCCAAGCCTCGAAGTAGCCAATACGCCTAGGGCTCAACACTGGCTCATTATTGTTGGTGATTTTGGTTCCACAATTCGAGATACACCCATTAGTTCCTCTGCGAGCAGTACCCGGGTTACTATGCTTCAAGTTAGGTCAAGGAAGTAGTTAATATCAAGTCTAGTGACTTACCCGGTGTCAGCAGGGCTAGAGGTGCAGAATTCGGGAGTGATACCACATTGTCCCCAGATGTCACAGCAGGCGTTAAGAGGACAAGGGTTTAGATTTGTCCAATTACTTACCGGTCCATCGGGCTGGATTGTACCGGGAACCTTTTGTACCATTAAGTTAGCATAGGTTAGGTTGAGGGATAACGGGTAATTCACCTGCGGGCCACAAAGAGCATTGTCCATTGGTGATGGGAAGGGAGGGGTGCCAGCACTTAGGCACATTTTCGCACCAGCTTGAAGATCACCGCATCCCGACCAGCCCCAGGTTTGACTGTTGTAGCCTGGGATCAGGGCCATATCCATTTGGTTTGCCGTCGCAATGTCTGCACAGAGGTCATTTGGTTGAATTGTGTGAGTGTAACACGTTCCATTTGAATAAGGCTTGGGGGAAAAGTCCGGCAGAGACCCCGAGGAGCAACAGATGGGATCATTGGCTTTGATCCCCGTGTTGCAGAAGTCCGCAATTAGGTTAAATGTGGTTAGGTCGGCCTGCGAGATGCCGCAGCGTTGGGCAAGTCTCCAGCAGCCATCACCAGGATTTGCCCTGATATATGTGCAAGTATTTCCCAAGGAGAAAGATATAAGAGATGAAAAAACGAGTGTATGTGTAAGCAATTTTTGAAAGAGCGACATGGTGTGGACTGGTGACCATAACGCTTTCTATAATATCGGGGGAAGCAATCAGTTATAAGGCAATCAGCCACTCAGCATCTTAACCCAGTCGGATTCTGCTTTAGATCCAACGGGGCGATGTTACCCAGTTATTGCCTAAAGTGAGTGGTAATTGAGTCCATCCGCTAACACAGCGATGGGGTCCTTTTGAACCCGGAGACTGTTATTAGCCTCTCAGGGTAGTATCATTTGGTGTTATTTTTCTCATTAGAAACCTGTTTAGCCCCAAGCTATTCAGTGAAGACGCAGGTTTACCTAAGACAAGTGGAGATCGTTTTGAGAAAGGGGTAGTCCCTTAGTCGCAAGCTTGCCCCTTTTGAAAGTCCGGTACGCCCCAGACGATTCTTGGACATCCCGTGGGAAGGTAGAAATTTCACTCTAGCTTGAACTCTATATTAGCCCAAGGTGGGTATTTGAGGACCCTTAGACTGCCCTTTTGGCATCTCAGTTAGACCTAGTCCGTTCCATGAGTCCGCTATGAAAGAGTGACCTATACGGATGAGAGCGATATGAGATAGAAAACAAGGTTCTTTTTTCACCATTCTGAAACATCACCAAATACTCCGCGGTGTAGAAAGAATACGCTTGCTTGATCCTGGGTGGTGCACGGTCGAAGGTTTCTGAAACAGCGCTATGCTAGGCACGCATATCTACCGTGGTTGAAAGAACATAATTAGACACGGCAGTAATAGGTTGTAGAATTTGCACGACGAGGCCTTGAAGGTTTGCCGATGTGGGTCTTGGGCCCGAGGCTACATCGGCCTACGGGTCTATCTATGCCCTCCGGAATTCCTACCTCCGGCACCCCCACATCGCTTCGCTTAGTCCCTGACGATCCGAACTCAGTTCGGCAGGGGGTGGTGGGAGCAGTAAAGGGGGGTGGTGGGAGTATCAATTCTCTATCTAAATACGGCTACTAAACCAGCACTTCACTAGTCTCACGGAAAAGGTATCAGTTTTGGGACCAAATTACCCCTCGAATACCGCTCAATCCCCGAGAAAGTGGATCTCACTCGCGAAGCAACATCAAGCAGCGAATGTGCACAATGCAACCTTACCTCGTTAGACCGAGAATATCCTTGAGACCCTGAGAACTGTATGACAATTAGCGCAACATTTTTTTACATTACTCTACCTTATAGCCTCTTCGTTTTCTCCAAGACTTGACGAGAGATTTAACGTACTGTACGGGTCCGAACTCATGAGTTCGCCATCATGAGGCTCTCTATTACATATCTTGCTTTATCTGTCTTGGCTACGGAAGTGCTTGCTTCCTTGAGTGCAGGGCCATTTGAGGTAGGAACTTTTCCTCACGTCATTTTAAATCATCCCTAAGTCACGTTCATGGTCATACCCAGCAGCTAATCTTTCATAATTAGTCTGTCTTTTTCTACTACGCCTATCGCATAGACACCCTGGCCGGTCCGGCTTCACTCGGCATCGCAGAAGGATGCCCTGGTAGTGGTCCAAAAGGCGTTTGCTACTTTGATGAGTTCGTGAGGTGGATCCAGCGGAGCAAATACCCTTGGACGGGTGAGACTTCTGTCGGCGATGTCTTGGATCCTGATGTCGACACTACGGCTCAAGAGTTGAGAACGTCAGGCACAGAGGGGACATCCTCACGTTGCTCCAATCGCTATGATTTCAATAAGGTCTTTCCAGGGATCTACCCAGCACGCACAAAGCCATCTTATCAGGCAGTCATGAGGACCCTGGTCAAATCAATTCAAGCCCAACGCTCAGTACTTGGCGACGACAAGCTTACTTCTCAGCTTGACAAAGCTCGTCGGGCATTTGGCCGCACTTATGAAGCAAGAATTGGTGACTTGACCAATGGTCTTATTGGTGAAGTGAACGAGATGCTCAAAACTAATGGTCTTACTTGGGTAAGTTTATTATAATGAACCAAATTTGATTATCATGCACTAACCACACCGGGTCAGACCTGTGAGACATTTAATAGAGAGCTCCTCAATGGGTACACCGTGAAAATGATTAACACGAAGGCCACAATTGATGCCCACCCTGATCTAGGCGCAGATCTCGAAACAGCGATTATGGACACGGTTGAGAATTATGACCATGCAAGAAGCGCTGGCAGAACCCATTACAATACTATTGTAGCACTCCAAGCCTATCAAAACCTACTTGAGGGCTCCTGTACTAGTGCTTAACCAAAGCTGCTTCGAAAAAAACCATGGGAAATACCTGGCCATGGGTCTAGCTAGTTTCGAATTTCTTTCTTTAGGTGACTAGCCGCCCGGAGTCGAGCTTTAAGTTGGAAAGGCCACTGGGATATTTGACATAGTTTTCACTGAACGAGAATTGATTGTTTGATATCGAGAACTTGATGGACTGAGAATAGTTGCGATCCCTTGACAGTTTGGCAAACATATGATCCCTTAAGCTCCGAGACGTACGAGGGCGGCAATAAGTATACCTTTATTAGAGGTGCTTATGTAGATAAGTCTGAGTTGACATACTTGAACTCTAGTTTTACCTCATGTGCAAAGATTCTATAAAAGATCTGAAACTTTGCCTACCCCCGGATCCTTCATTGGCGACATCTTTAGCTCGTCGAAAATTTCCGATGGAATGGTTGCACCAGTAAGGGCAGAATCTGAACATGATGGCCGGACGTAGAGGCAACGTCCGAGCAGCTTGGGCATCAAATGCATATGCGAGGCGGTCGTTGAGGAGTTTCCTGGCCGACTCAGGAGTCTCCCTGCGGAAGTCTTGCTTCCCAGTAATATATCCGTTGGGTTTAGATTCGCATTTCTCTGCAAAATCGAAAAAGGCATTCAGTCTTGTCTCGTCGGATATATCGACAAGCTGAATGTAGGCATCGCCAAGAAGTCCAAATAGTCCCGTTTTCGCCGCATTCTCGAGTGTGGTATGCACTATAATGACACGCATCACAATGACTCCGTGTTGTAATTTCCTGAGTGCCCCAATCCTTTCTTTAATGTAGACATCACCATCGCACGTATTATCAAGATAATCAAACATAAAAGAGCCCCCGCGAGCCTTAGCCGCACTCCAAGCTAAATGATCGAGAGCACTTCCGTCACCCCAGTATCCAGCACTGTAGGCTGGTGTCCAATTCAAGTGTATCGTGTCACGAGAGGGGTCGATCCATGTTTTGTCAACGCGGATATCAGAATTCCACGGCACCTCTTCTGGGGTCGAACCATCCTCGCGAAAATGCCCAGATTCAAAGGCGACAAGACGCGACTCACGGCATACACGGCTGATCATTGGTGCGCGTCGGTTAAGATTGGTCGTTTGCTGCAGCTTACATGCCGGCGGATCAAGACCGAAGACGCCGCCGTCATCCCATGGATAGTCTATTTCAACGACTCGGTTTGGGAGACATTCACGCCATATGGCAAGTCTTAGTTCCGCGGGCAGCCGGGAGAAGCAATGAAAGTCTTGAGTGTCGTTTTCCATTAAGTCAAGATGGTTGGTGGGATATTGGAGGGCAAGTTTGAGAAATTCAAAATAAAATTTTTAGGGCGCGGCACGGCACCCTTTATTTAGCGCCGAATCTCGCCACGTTTGCGCCAGGGAAATAGTTAAACAGAATCCGCTAGTGGGAGGGTCCCTTATATGCAAAAAAAAGCCGTCCTACGATCCTACCCTATTAAACACTAGTCGGCCGAATGTGTGGGATTCTCCCCTTTTGCGATCCGTTAAGCAGGTATGTAGAGGGGTATCCGAGCCGGTGGATCATTTTTATCTCAGTCTTAGGCCCCTGGTTGACCGCTTTTTCTGCCATCACTGCTGTCGTCTCAGGCAGACCTTAGCTGTCGGAACGAACAGCTTGTGGAGACCGGATTCGTGGATAACGTAACCGGAAAGCGAGCCGCCCATGTAAGCGAGCCGACCACCTCAAAATGTAACGGGTTGGACCCGCTTTCCACTCTATGGCCTGCCATATAGCCTTTCCCTCACTCACCTCTGCCCGCTCCCGTTCTACCACTGTCGCTTCCGTTCTGCCACCGCCTTCACTCATTACTTACCACGCGTTGTTTGCTCTGTTCCTTCCCTTCTCCAAGCTTTTTGTACAGTGGTGTAACATAAGTATTTGACCTCGAGTACTTTAGGATCCACTTTTAGCCTGACCGCTTTATTATACCGCCTACTTTATTAGTACACCACACCTCGCGTTTCAACGCGCTTGCTAACATATACGCTACAGTTAACGCGTTATAGCAGTCTTTCTTACCTTATTATGCCTCCTATACGTGGGAAGAGAGGCCCAGAGCTTGACTGCCTTACTAGGGCCAAGATCTGCGAATTACACGCTACAAATGGCTGGGGTGCAACAACCATTAAGAAGATGCGCTTTCCCGATATTCCACGCTCAACAATTCAATATACCCTTACCCAAGAGGCAAAGCGTCAAAAACAAGAAAGCCTTCCACGCTTAGGCGCTCCAAGGAAGCTTACTGAAGAGGATCGTGACTATATCTACGACACTATACAAGAAAAGCCATCGATATTGATTAAAGATCTACTTAGAGAGGTCGATTTTAAGGTCCATCGCCAGTCAATTTGGCGTCTAACCCACGAAATGGGTCTTCGAAAATGGAGGAAAATGCAGCGTCCGGCACTTACGCCTGAACATGCTACGAAACGGCTTCAATAGGCACTCGAATACCAACACTTCACTCCTGAAGACTAGGCCCGCGTCTACTAGTCAGACGAATGTACAGTTGAACGTGGAATAGGCCAGCGGCAAGAATGGACGTTTACACGTCCAAAAGACCAGCTTTTTCAGCATTCAAAAGAAGGCTCTCAGGTTCAGATAGTTCCGGCGCGAGGGAAGCAAATTAAGCAGATGTTTTGGGCTGCTTTCTCTGGCTTACCGCGTCGATCAGGCCTAATTCCATTATTCGGAGATCCTACGTCTAGAAGAGGTGGTGTTTCTTCACGTACGATTGAAGAGCTCTATCGGCGTATCTTACCTACGCTACTTAATAGTATTGATAATAATGCTATTTTTCAGCAAGATAACGCGCCCGTTCATACTGCATATATTGTACGGGAAGCTCTTAATGAGCTTAACTGCGAGATTATGGAATGGCCTCCTTATTCACCTGATTTAAACCCGATCGAGAACCTCTGGGCGCTGCTAAAAGCCGAAATTCTTAAGCGTTATCCTGAGCTAATGCGCCTACCGAACAACGAATCTACGTTAGATCTATTGCTAAAAGCTGCACAGGAAGCCTGGGAAGGCCTAGATATTGAATTATTCAAGCATCTATCAGAAACTATGCCTCACAGGGTAGCTGATGTTATTAAGTATGAGGGGTGGCATACTAGCTATTAGACTGAATTGAATTTCAGAGGTTTCTGCCTGGCAGTATTAGAAAAGTGGGTCCTAGGCCGAAGTACTCGAGGTCAAATACTTATGTTACACCACTGTACATACAGTGACACAGTAAAAGTTTCGACACCCCTGCCCCACACCAGTTATTACCTAATATCCTGCCTAGCCAAAATCCTTAAAAGTGTGTACCTGAGAGAGCAAATTGGTGTTCGATAGTCCCAAATATCGATTGATACTTCCATTAAACAAGATATGGCTTTTGCAAGGTGTCTCGGCATGTCTATTATGTTTATAACCCAAGTTGGGGCCCCAGACCCAATGCTGGGTTGAAGAACTCGACCCAAAACCCAACCCAGGCTGGGTTGGGTCCGGGTTGAGTTGGGTTCTGCGGAAGTCTAGGCATAGTTTTGAGTTCGCAAATGAGGGCTACGACATTATCATCAGTCCTACTGGCCTCAGATTCCTGAACTTTACGTCTCTCAATTTAAGTTGGTCAGTAAGCAGGTTCGCCAAGAAGTCTTATCCGTTATCTTCCAAGAGTCTGCGGTATCTGTTCATGTCCAGATTCCCCGACACGGCTATGGACCATTCAGCGAACACACTGCATCCTTGCCCTCGATTACCCAAATATTGAATAATTATCCGCTACTATGCAATATGGCAAAACGGCTGACTATTTTTGTTGATCCTGAGCGCCCTTATATTCATACAATGGAACAGAAAATGGGAAAGAAAATAGACCCTATCATAGGTCGCTTTGTTCTGGATCACTTAGGCTTGATGTTGGTGGCAGCCGCGATCTTGAGACCCTTCTTTATTTTGGGTTATTCGGCTGGGCGTGTTTATAGGAGGGTTGCAACAACCTACAGCAAGGGACACGACGATCTGACAACCTTCGTTGACAGTATTTTGCACTGTTTTAAGACCTGCAAATCGTTAAAGCTGATTCTCTATTTAGACAGATTAGAGTTACCAGGCGTAAAGATTATGCTGAGGCTATTTAACATACCAAACTGTTCCATGACCCTAGAGGAATGGTGGGAAATACCGAGACGAGGACCGCGAGGCAATTTGCGCGAGTCCGCGCTAGCAGTTTATGATGAGCGGCATAAGGATCTCATTCCGACGGCAGCTGAAGAGTCTGGGCACAAGTGGTTTTTGTCAGTTTGTCCAAGCTTGGAAAGAATTTATTTTCAAAGGGTCGAGGATATTATGATAAGGCAAAGAGTCTGGTCCAGGTAGCCCCCAGCCAAGCGCGTATGATTTACGGGAGAGAGTTGGGTTATACACCACAGCTGAGTACGGATTCGCATTTCGGCCTAGTTGGGTAAACCAACCTTGGGTGAGGGGTCAGGGTAAATGAAACAAACACACACACACAAACATACTATATCCTTTCCTTCATCTACATACGCTCCCCTTCATAGCAGTATGTAGAAATGACGCTGGAAAAATTTAATCTCTTCTGGACGCGGATGCTGTTCCATGGTTAACCTTCTACCACCAGCCCTAATCTGTGTCACCTCCCAGCTGTGGGGATGACTATACCTAAAGCTCCAAGTATTATCCTTGAATAGGATTAACTTATCCATTTGGAGTGGCCGAGAAAAGTGAGGATTCGGGAGCCCTGATATGCCGCTATGGTTATCCTACTGTCTTTCTCGTCTTCTCTCTTTCCTCCGTTCTTCCTTCGTTCTTCATAACCGTGCATAAGGTCAAGCCTCAAAATACTGCTGGCTTCAAATCATCCTTAACTACCCTCTTCAATATATTTTCAAGGATTCGCATCGAAAATGTTCGGAAAGGAGGAAACTCCACCCGATGATCCCACCCTCCCTGCCGCCGCAAGACTTAATGAAATATATATTGGCGAAGACTGGAAACCAACTCGTGAGTACCTCCACCAAGGCAGTAGACAGTACACAAAACTGACTATTTGTAGCCGAGGACTACAGCAATGTTCCGACCGTACCAACTGACGCTGCTCGTCAAGGAGCTATGAATTATAAACTGCCAGAAGATATCCCTCAAAGGAAGGACTGCGTGGGATTTGTGAAGGCCATGACCTGGACGAGCATATTCTTCACGGCCGCCATCACTACTGCAGCTATTGCCTTCATATCTTTTCTGTGCTGGATCGGACCGCGCCAACATCTTGAGGCTCTTGAGCACAAAGCTAATGCCTACAATCAATCCCACCATAATGCGACGGAGGAAAGCTTCAAGCCACCACCTCCTACCTACATTCCTCGATTCTGGGAAGAATCTTCGATACCCATCCCGACCGCGAGCTTGAGTTCCTCTCTTCTGACATCAGTCTCCCTGTCCACCACCCCTGCGACTCACACCACCTTCATTACTCGCACTGGTGCAGCAACCTCTGTGCAGTCGACCCCCCAAACCTTCAGCGCGTAAGAGTCCGCATCTCCAAAGTGCTCCACGACACCTTTCTCTCACATTAAGCTGACTCGTCTTTACTTCACTTGGACCCAATGCGCGTGAGAGTCGCCGACTGGAGGAAATACTACATCTGACATCGGTGCCGTATGGACGCTCGAGAACGTTGAAACATCCATTTCGTTATCTTATGTTCACTTTACCGCTACTTGTTGGGAGCAGTTGCTCTTTATCGATTGCGAAGCCTGGAATTTCCAGGTTGGCTACAGTTTCTGGTCCCTTTATTGACTGATTGCGTTGCTGTCTTCGTCTTAACAATATTTCTGTCCTTGTTTTCCGTCGTGTTCGTGACTGAGTTGTGCAGTGCTTTTGATATTCAATATTGGTGATTCTGTTACTTTTGCGTTCTTCATAATCTTTCTGTTCCAGGTAGATTCAATCAACAAATGTGTTTCTGCTCATCCTCTCAATCTCATGTAGAGAAATATTCCGACGGCGCAATGTTTCAACCCAATCGCACTTGGCTTTCCAGGAAGCCTACAAGTTGCATCCACTCTCTATTGGTGTCTCGGAACTGTGAATTTCATTCTGCACATATCTCATGAACTTCCATCCGGGTTCCTTTCAATCGCTACTTTGCCGGCTGCAGTGGCCGTTCGACCAATTCATTGCAGTACATGCCCATCGTATATTCACGCCGAAGTGCGACTCGGGCTCCACCGAGTGTAAGTCTTTCTCCAGGTCAACCATGCAAATAATTCTCCTGGACAAAAACTTATTCTCACAGAGTTCACACACTATCATTTTCACCGAGTGAGGGCGTCCATCCGTTCACGACCTTCTGTGCCAACGACAGCCCTCTCAAGTTATCACCGAGCCCACTGGAGTGAGACGAGGAGACCTCGTCATCATGGAATATACTGTTGAACGGTTCCAGCAGGCCTTCAAAGCCTTCATTGCACCTCCAGAGCAGGAAACGGAAATCGCGGAATTGGCATCATTCATCGATGATAAACCCTATTATCACCTCAGACGCCACGCCAGGAAGAAGCTCTCGGCACTTGGCATGCCATGGATTGACAATGACATGACTGGCACATACGATCCCCTTGAGGATTCACCCCGCTCCAAGCGCAAGCTCACTTCTGAGCGACGAGGTGGACAGTTCTCCAGACCACCCAAACGAGCTAAGAACCTGTCCCCAGCCTCCCTGGAAGAGCTCCAAAACAAGATCGAAGAGCAAGAGAAGCAGAAGAGAAGTGCCGAAAACAGACGTCGTAAAGAGGAAGAAGCCTTCCTCTCATCTGGTCCTTTTGACTACAACCTTCGTACTCGCACTAAACCAAGTGAGATCTTGGAGAAGGGGTTGGGAAACGCCAAGATGGCCAACGACACTGATCCCGGGGAACAAGATACTCTTGGTAGCTCTCTTTCTCACAAGGGATGCCTTGCATGCCGGGACCTACAAATCGAATGCTCTCTGATCGAGTATCCGTTTTCCTACCCTTGCAGCGACTGCCGAGATGACAGAATTGAATGCAAATTGGACCCTTCCCCCATCTGGAAACGACCATGTGAGGGATGCAAGAGGCGCAGGGCACAATGTTCATACAGCTCCGGGGACTACGACCACAAACTTCCATGCCACTTTTGCTTGCAGCATGGGTTCGACTGCGTCGCCGGGCCTGCCAGGAAACAGCCAACGGCTGGTCAGTCCCAAACGACGAATATGGAGATGACCGATGACCCTCAAGGCTACAAAACTCATCATACGATGGCGGAAGATGCTACTGCTGAGGCCAATGGTGGATCCAGTCACTTGGACTTGGATGAGTCCAACCAGTTCCCACTGGAGACCGAAGCAGAGTCTGAGGTTAGCCTGCGTAGCAAAATCTCGGTCATCGCTGGAACAACTCCGACACCAAGTACTACACTTTCTGAAACATCTGAGCGGCCTGCTCTGAACGCCAGTGATCAGACTTGTCATCGTCTGACTGGCGTACAAACTTCGCTAAAACTATGGCATGAGATCTCCACGGATGGATCTAAGCCTTGCAACTGGTGTTACAATTTTGCTTATGGTATATCTGGAGACAGTGAATTATCCCATGAGATCATGAGCAAGAGCTATGACCATATCCTTGGGCAACAGCGTGCCGATACACAGGGAAGAGAGCCAAGGCGCATGTGCATAAACTGCACCATTGCCAGGATTTCTATTCTGAAATGTCCACACGACAAGATCCAGAGCTTGTCTGGCTCTCCAATTTCTCACCAAGAGGTGCGTGCCGCGTTCGACGAACTGGCAAAGGCCTCAGTGGCGCTTGAGTCAACATCAGACCAGGCTGGTAAATGCTTTCCTCTTCCCGGCTACCCATGGTGCGCCATTTGTCGAGAGCCAGCATTCTACCTCTGCACCAGCCACCAGGAATTTGCAAATGATGAGTGGTCTTTAGGCCAGTATATTCCCTCCGACCCAGGATGTGGGCTTCGGCTTTGTGACTACTGTGCCCACTACGCCCAGGTATACCGGGGTGATCTGGATGCAGTGGTCAAGAAGGGACAAGAGGATACCAACAACAAGACCGAACTGCGTGCTGACGTTGAATTCATTCTGAAGCGCTCACCAGACAATCCGTTTAAGCGCCTTGCAGGTCTCGAGTGAGGGAAATGCTGAATATTTACCTGGTGCCGGGACTCCCCTTTCCTATTGTCCCTTTTGTGCTTACTTCCTTCCTTCGATATACTTGATTCTCTCGTCAATAGTTTTTCACTTATCTGCCTAAATTTGTCTATAACATCGAGATAGTAAATGCCACATTGACCCATATTATGTGTCTTCATAGCATTGTCTTAAAACGTGCCCTACATGGAGCTGTAATTACCTTCACATGCTGTAAACAGTCTCTATTGTTGCTATTATCTCTACTGACAAGTTCCAATCAACGGCTTCAATCCTTCTACACTGGTTCAGTATCCATTTAGGGTTCTCCACACCCAAACCAAGTTCCCGCACACTTCACGGTCGCCTCCATTCAGTGCCATAGCCTTTCTACCCAAAAACCTCTGCCTTGGACAGTATTAGCTCTCCCTTCTCTTCATAACTCACTCATTTACCTCAATTTCCGTCCGATCTACTGGTGAGCACCTATCGCCAAGTCCACAAGGAATAGGGCTTGTCCCGGCCCGGAAAAAAACACTAATCGGGTCGGATTTTCTGCCAGACAAAAAAAACTCCCTTGCCGATTACCTTTTTTTCTCCGACTTCGTTCCTTTAAGCAGGAAGGTGTGGAGAGCCTTGCAGCGATCTCATTCTCTCCATCTTTTCGTTTGTTACCTCGAGCTGCCACGAGACGTGCGCAGCTCACCGTCACGACGTCTCCCGCAAAGCGTCGTAAAGTTTCCCCAGAGCGCCGCCCAGGAGAAGTACGACGTCACGGCCACTCCGAACCTCCGCCGCTCCATCCTTTGCCACCACGGCGCTCCTCGTCGGCGTCGAATCCCAGGAGCAGCTCCTCTTTGTCCCCCCCCTCGCTACGTGCCCGCCCATCTCCAGTCCCACGTTCCTGGGACCAAGTCCAAGCCCGGTGCTCGCTCGCCAACTCCCGCGACCGCGACCGCCGGACTGAGCCTCTCCAGTGAACAGTCCGATATGCCCGACGCACGCGACGGCAACCCTCACGGGGGAAGTCGCTCACCTTCACCGGGCGACAAGCGTCCAGCTTCTGAGATCGATACCGATCCCGAGGGCGGCGTGAGCATGGACACGACCGAGGACAGCTTCACTCCGAACATCGACGATCAGGTCGCTCAGGTGTACAAGCTGGTGCAGCAGCCCCCGCAGGATGGTCAGAAGGGTTACGTGATCTCTACCTCTTGGCTGAAGAAGGTTCTTGCGCGGAGTAGCACTCACGCGGATAAAGCCGACAAGGAATCGTTGCAAAGCGAGCTGGGCCCAGTTGACAACTCCGATATCGTTCTCGACCTCGGCCCCCAGAAACGTGACTTCAAGGACGAGAAGGGAGATCGTTTCGTCCCTCTGCGCCCCGGGCTACAACTCAGCGAGGATTACGAGGTTGTTCCGCAGGAGGCCTGGGATATGATTTTGAAATGGTATGGCCTTGCTGACCAGTCGCCCGTCATCGTTCGCTATGCCCACAACACCAACCCGGAAGGCATGGAGAACATTCTTTACGAGCTCAACCCCCCGATCTATACGATTTTTAAACTGTCCAACCCCGCCGCGGGGACCACCCCACAAGTCCTCCGCGAGAGGAACCTTCCGCCCGCCAAGGTTCTGGCTGCACGCGATACTCGCTACATGAAATGGCTGAAGGAGGCCAAGCAGCTGGCCGGTATTGAGATGGCGAGCAAAGTCCGCGTATGGAAGATTATGGGCGGCATCCCCAGTGCCGAGCCGTCGACTACGACTACCCCGGCTGTCTCCCGCACCGCTTCTCCCGCGCCTACCTCGTCCTTGATCTCGAACCAACACAAGAGTCTGGTTCTGGACCTTAACACTTTCCTTTCTTTGAACGAAGCCAGTCGGGAGAAGGTCGAAATTCAAGACCAAACCAACAATGCCAACTACAACGGCAAGATGTCCATGAGCATGGCCGGCTTGATCGGTAGCGATGTGGTTGTTCTGGAGGAGCAGGTGGCCGGGTCCAAGGGCGGCAAGTGGGTGTCTGAGGCCTCGACTCAAGCACTGCAGCGCGCCGGTCTTGCCGCTGTCGAAAAGGTCGAAAACCCTAAGAAACAGCTTGCCACTGCCACTGCCACTGTCACTTCCACGGCCAACAGCCCAGCGACCAGCGGCCGATCGAGCCCGGTTCCAGAGATCCCCCGTGGTCGAAAGAAGGGCGGTCGCCCGATGGGCCTGACAGGACTCTCGAACCTTGGCAACACCTGCTACCAGAATGCCGCTACCCAGTGTCTTCGCGCTGTCGAGGAATTGACCTACTACTTCCTCAGTACGTCGTGGTTTAAGCTATGCGGGCCATTGATACTAACTTAATTCTCGCAGGTAACGCGCACAAGAAGGAGTTGAACCACAACAACCCACTCGGCCACAGGGGTACACTTGCCAAGGCTTACGCTGATCTCATCCAATCCATCTACGTTGAGCCCACACCTCCATCGGTCACCCCGAATCGGTTCCGGAATACAATTGGACGCTGCAATCCCGTCATGTCTGGCTTCGAGCAGCACGACAGCCAGGAATTCCTGATGTTCGTTCTGGATGGTCTATCGGAAGACCTCAACCGCATTCTGCAAAAGCCCTACATTGAGAAGCCCGATTCCACTGATGAAATGGTTCACAACCGACAGGCACTTGAGGAGTTTGCTGCGAAGCAATGGGATATTTACAAGGCTCGCAACGACTCCGTGGTTTGCGACCTGTTCGCTGGCATGTACAAATCGACGCTGGTTTGCCCCGACTGCCACAAAGTCAGCATCATCTTCGATCCTTTCAGCAACCTGACCCTCCCCATTCCGGAGCCGCAGATCGTCTTCAAGCAGATCGTTTACATGGCCCTTGACAAGCCTCCCGTGGCTTTCACGGTCGAGGCCAACAAGAGTCGCCCCGTTTTGGACTGGCAGAAGTCGGTTGCTGCCCGGAGCCAGAGAGAAGGCATCGATGCAAGCAGACTGATCTCCGGAGACGTCATGGGCTCGACTTTCTTCCACGTTCATGAAGAGCCTCATGTCTCGTACGACCAACTTGGTATCCGACAGGATGACAAGATTACCTTCATGGAGCTGGATTCTCCCAAGGAGGATTCCATTCTTATCCCCATCTTCCACCGAAAGAACGATGTCAACCAATTCACCAAGCGGACCAAGCGGACACCCTTTGCAACCCCAACCATCATTTCTCTCACTCGTCAGGAGGCTCAAGACCTGGCCACTATTTACCGCAAGATCCTGCGCCATGTTGCCACGATGACCACCCGCGACATTCTCAACGAGACCCAGCCTGAATCGGACCAGGCTCGGCAAACCCCCGAGGACCCTGACACCGTTGTGATGACCGAGGATGATGCCCAGTCGGTTGACTCCAGAATTAAGACATCATCTGTGGAAGGAGAGGATAGCATTGTCGATGTTTCCATGCAAGACGACACCCAGACACCCGGTGCTAACACCGATGATACCGAGGTCACTGATGCGCCCCCGGCTCACCCCTTGGCCAACACCATTGCCCCCGGACTCTTGAACCTCTTCGACGTCCGGGTTGTCCCACAGCGGCCACGCCAGACCGGCACCATTCCCGATGGGCACTCCCTTGACACAGCGAAGGTATACCAATCGCTGACGTCTCGGGCGAAGACCGAGAACAAGTCCCATGGCTCTGCCGATGACAACAGCGATGGGTACAGCAACAGCAATGGTTCTGACAGCGAATCTCATGGCGCCTCTGAGTGGAGTCTGGTCAAGCAAGGCGAGGCTATTGTTCTTGACTGGAACGACGAAGCTAGGGATGCTTTGTTTGGTGGCAAAGGAAAGGAGAGCGATCTTCGAGGTGCTGCGACCTACGCCGACGCCAACATTCGTGTTCCCAAGGACCCAGAGATCATCGAACGTCGTGCGCAGGTCGACTCTGATAAAGCCAAGGGAACCACCCTTGACCAGTGCCTGGATGAGTTCAGCAAGGTTGAAATCCTCGGTGAGAATGACGCTTGGTACTGCCCAAGTTGCAAAGACTTCGTCCAGGCCAGCAAGCAGTTCGAGTTGTGGGCGGCCCCCGATATTCTCGTGGTGCACCTGAAGCGCTTTGGCAGCCTGCGGCGAAAGCTGACTACGAAAGTCCGCTTCCCGGTCACCGATCTTGACTTGACCGACCGGGTCACTGGCCCGGATGATGGAAGGTCGCTGAAGTACGACCTGATCGGTGTTGATTGTCATTCCGGTGGCATGGGCGGTGGCCATTACTATGCCCACGCGAAGAACTTCATCACCGGGGAATGGTGCAACTTCAATGGTAAGCCCTTTCTTCTCTCACTTTGCCTTTTGGATCCAATTCGCTAATCTCTTATATAGACAGTTTCGCCCGCGTCATCGAGGACCCCGAGGATGTGATTACTCCGCAGGCATATCTCCTGTTCTACCGCCGCCAAAGCTCCGAGCCTCTTGGTGGACCGGCACTGCAGGAAATTGTCTCGAAATACCGGAAGAGACTAGAGGATCCTGGAATGGAGGTCTTGCGCGAACCGTCTCCGTCGGGGGACGGCCAGCGCCTCGGCGACTCGCGCAATGGATCGTCGAGCGCCTCAGCCGGAGCCGGAGCAACTCGCCCAGCGGGCGATAACGAAAATTCCCAGTCTTTTGACAAGATGCTCACTCAGCCATCGTGGTCATTCGATCGCCCCAACAACTCTCCCTCATTTGGAGAGCCCATCGCAACCAACGACGGGGATGTCGATCTGTTCGAAGATAACGACAGCACCGCTGCCGTTGGAGACGGCAACTCGGAGGCCGATACCCGCCTCGACGATCTTGAAAGCTCCCGCCCTGTCTCTGTGCAGGAGGGCTCTTTCGAGGACGTCCCACCCCTTCTGGAGGACGGCTCCGATGATGATCTTCCCGTCGTTGAATTGCGTGTCGGTGAGGACGAGAAAATGACCACCGATGCCTGATGGGGTTGTTGATAAGGGTGTACGTGATGATGTCTTACTGCATCCACTGATACACAAATAATTTTTCACGGCGAATCTGGCGTTTCTTCACGGGATAAAAAAAGGTGGTGTCCTTTCGTCCCATGTTCATGACCGTCATGGAAGGCCACCACCGTTGGTGGCTGTCTGAGCTTTGGTGCATTCTGATTTCGTTTCATTTCTCTCTGGCAATGGTTCTGCCGGACATGTGTGATGACTTTTCTGTATCTTCTGTCTCCAGCAGAGACATCTTTCTGGAGAGTGCGCATTGCATGGGGAATTGCATAGACTGGCTAGAGCCTTCGTTAGAATCGAGCTGCCTTGGTCTTTCCTTTTCCGGGTTTCTCAGTCTATATACCTTCCTATCTTGTTGACATATAATTGAAGTCCTTTTCGACTCCCTTTTCAGCTTTAGTCCGCCAAGTTTCTACATCTCCGCCATGGCGTCCCCTGCGTTTAATGGCAAGGTCGGTGGCTCCCCTGATCCCTTCCATCCTTTCCTCGCAGGCTCTCGGGGGGCCAGGAAGCCCATGCGCATTAATCTGGAACCGAAATCACCCGAGATCAAAGCAGAAACCCAAGATGAGGACGCCCTCACAGACCATGATACGCCGAACGATCCATTGCTTTCTTCCTCTCACCCGAATGTCCACCAGACCATTCCCACCTGCGCTCCACTCCTTGCTCCAAGAACCGTCCCACCAGTCCCGCGGCATAACCGCCTCCATTTCCCCAGTGAAAGCGACATCAGTGCCCTGGACATTGGCCCAAGCCTAATCCAGACCCACTCGCAACGCACTGCCCAGTCTCTTCGACTCACTCCAGCCCCAATAGCTTCACGAACCGGCTTTCTGCGTGTCCTTCCAGTGACCAGATCGCCAAACACTCCCCCAGAGACAAGTTGGTCAGACAGTTTCCCAGAGATCACAAGACCGGACAGGCCCAGAAGCCGCCTTCGCATCGAGGATCTTGAGCCCAATGCAGTCGCCCCTGGCAGCGCTTCAATCAGCCCTCAATTCCTCACAACCCGTCTCAACCATCAGAGTGCCCTTCACGCGTTCCCCGAGCCCTTCGGCTTTCGCCTTCAGGAGCCTGTGAGGCCGGATAGACCTAGAGGTCGCTTTTGCATCGAGGACCTGGACTCCGAGGCTGTCACGTCTGACAGTGCATCAATCAGCCCGGAGCTACTTCTCTCAAACCGTATTCGCCGTCAGGAAACTCTGCATCAGCTTCCTTATCCCCCTTTCCTGTATCGTACGTGGAGAGGCCCAACCCCAATCGCGGGCGATATCCACATGCTTGGCTATGGGTACGGGTACGGGGCACGCAAATACACACATGTCGATCTCGCTATGAATCTTGACCCTGGGAACAATATAACATCTGCCTCGCAACTTCCTTCGCAGCATCACGCTCCTCCCCCTGTAGGGCCATATGATTCATATCCTAATGCTTTCATGGCCGGTATGGCCGACTACGGAAGATCCCTGGAGATTTACAAAAGCTTGGAGGATGACTGGAACGAGGTCCCAAACGAACCTGTGGAGGAGATGAATGGGCAAGTTTGATGTTGGGGGCTTATAACTCATGCGGCTCAACGATCCCGATGGCCATTCAAGATCATCAGACCTTTGCGGGAGTTTCTATCTTTACTGATCTTCAGATCATCCCGATTCGGGCTAAGGTCCAGCTGTTATGAGTTCTTTGAAATTCATGACTCAATCGTGTCGCTATACCTCTAAACAAAATCTCATTCATCCAGTTTAAACTCCGCCCAGTTACTAGCCGTTACTACGGGCTTTAAGTTCTGCCTAAATTTGCGAGACGTGCTAAATTAAGTTCATTCTAACTTTGACAGGGATCTGATTAAAAAGTCCTACTGATATCTGGATGGGCATTTCTAATGGTATCTCGAAATGGGCTCTCATAGTATTGTTCAGCTAATTTGCAAGTGGCTGCACACTAGCTAGCAAATCATCCAAGACGGAGATATCCTCCAGGTTCTCCATGTCCAAGACTAGCTTTTCAATCATAGTTCGTCTTTTGTCATCGATCAAGCCTTTCGTAAATTTTCTGAATTTGGCCAAGATTTCCTCGTTGGACAGAGGAGGATTGACACCTTTTGGCGCATCCACGGTTTCAGAAATGTTATCTCCATTTATGAATTGGATTGTGACCCTTTGCTCGTACTTCCCACCCAGTTCCGGCGAGTGCACACACTTAGTCTTGCCGACCAAATCCCAAATGGTATCCCGATCGAGAAGATGACTCTGGAATTCCTTTGGTGATACCTGAGCATCGACGAGCTGGACGGCAGCAGCATAAGCACAACTCATTTGTGCCCCCGTCGCTGTTAGGGGTCGGTGAGCCTCCCATCCTCCGTGCTTAAAAGCTGGCTCAGACATCTCTATCTTGATACTCACGACGTCAGCCAAGTTCATCAACTTTGCTGGATGCTTTTTTTGGAGTGCTTCGACCGTATCAATAGTGCAGTGTGTTCCTGCCATGGAAGCATGAGGCTTGACGCGAATAGATTCCAACTGCCATGCCCGGCCTAGGTCTTTGACCAGTTCATCGACCAAGTAGGGAGGCTCTTTCCCAGACCCCTGTCCAAAAGTAGCTAAGAAACCACCGTAAGGTTCCTCGAAGACCTTTTTAATACCGACATAGCCACTCTTTGCCAAGAGGGCTGCGAATAATCCATTCCGTGCCGCGAACCCGTGCTGCATGCGTTTGACGTCGCTACCAAATTGGGCAGACATCAGACCACAGGCCTGGGTACAAGCAATACCGAGGGCATCTTCGATAGCATGTGGATGAAGCCCGAGTACCTTACTAACAGCAGCTGCGGAAGCAGCATGACCGAAGACGACACCCGAGTGCCATCCCCTCGTCAGCATGTGACTTCCATGTAGACACAAGCCGACTCGCGGGCCCGTCTCATAGCCGACAATCGTTGAAAGGAGCAAAGCTGCACCATCAAAGGGCGGTGCACCGTTAGCTCTCTGGTGACTAGTGACTGCCAGAAGGGCTGGCAATAAAATGGAATTTGAATGCACGGGAGCTAACGAGTGCCAATCATCTAGTTCAAAAGCCTGAATCTCGGTACTGTTCACAACGCTGCGGGGAGTGGCCCAAGTTTCTGTGTTCTCCATCAGTGTACAATTCACGCTGGTATTTAATTGAACGTTCACCTTGTCATATCCCCAGACTGTGCAATTTCCAGGAGATTCCATCTGGAAAATCGCTTCGGCCGCTTTCTCGGACCAAGGCAGGTGAGCGCCCACGATTGCACAGCCGAAACCATCAAGTATCAAGTACTTTGCTCGGGTCCGGACGTCATCAGGAATATCACTCAAAGAAAGTTGATTCACCCATGCGCAAAGCTGCTTCGTTACGTCTTCATTGGCATCGCTCTTTGAACTCGATTTTAGAATCATTATCGGTTCTTGGTTGTTGGCCAAGTAGGATATTTCCGTCGAAGAATATTTGAGGATATAACGAAGTAGATAGATGCACCAAAAAATGGCGCATGGCTTTTATATTTTGCGGGTGGATGGAATGTGCTTATTTTGCATATAAACAAAATAAACTTTCAGAGGCAAAAGCGGAGGCCGTTAACGGCCCGAGACAAAAGCCCAAACTCGCTAATATCCAAGGTGCTTGCATTCGGCTTCGATTCAAAAACCCTATAGATTTCAGATCTGGGTCACGTAATACCATCCCTTTGGACCGTAAACATGCAAAGTCTGCTCCACATACGGCCCGGGAATCCCTTGAGCGGCCCGAAATTCGCCTTGAATAAACAGCCCAATTCATTGGTGCCGAAACAACTCACGATCCAATTCCGCCTTGAAATGTCCAAATTACTGGAACGAAGTGTCGCATGGCTGCTGCAGAATCGCAGAGGCCACGACGCTGGCCTCATTCACAAATCCGCACCCTTTTCTAAACTCCCCGACTCAACTATCGTTCTGGAATGCAACCTGGGACCCTCAGGGTCTAACATCCCAACCGAATACAGCTTCTTCCAACGGGGCCTCTTTCCAACCCTGCAATGGCCGGCACAGGATGGAGCAGTCGAGTATTTGCTTGTCGTCGAAGATCCCGACGCACCTCTCGAGAACCCCGTCGTGCATGGCCTGTACTACGGTATCGCGGCGACAACAACACAATTGACGAACGAGGACTTTGAAGTGGTCGGAGATGGATGCGCGTTCACCCTTCGCGGCGACTTCAAATATGGTTTAAATCGCCACAAAAGTGTCTATATTGCTCCCAGGGGCTTGCTTGGTCATGGTCCTGATCGGTACTTTTATCAACTTGTTGCATTGCGAGAAAAACTTGATAGGAGCAAGTTGAGTACTCCGGCTTCCAAGGAGGAGATCATTCAGCAGATTGAAGGAAACGTTATTTCTTGGGGGGTTTGGCAGGGGATATGGGAGCGGACGGAGTGAAAAGATCCTCTAGCCTCTTGCCTATCGTAGCCGGAGGACTTAGTAGAACGACAGATCTGACTAGGGTATATATATTCTTTATTTCTTAAACTAGAAATTTAGAAGCCCCACGGCTCCTTTAAGTGGTCGATATAGTCCGTTGGGAGCCTATGAAGGGCCTTAATAATATGAGGCTACTCGAAATCCTAATTGGGACATGACGGGAACTCCACGAGAGCTTCGGGAGAACATACACGAATGCTAGCACCGCGTGATTGCGTAGATACATGAAAGACAGTCTCTTATACTTAATAGATTTCTCGTCTTCAAGGATTAGTTTAGTCACATCGTGGCATGCAAACTCCTGAATCAACGCCCAGATATGGAGATATCGCTCCTGGCTCGGGTCCAAGCAGCGACGTTCGGAGTATGGTCAGACCCAACAACTGCGTACTGTGACAGTAAATGCAAGGCCTTGTGGATTTCTCCACTCTGTACGACAATCCCATATTGTGCGATCGGAGTGAAGGGGATCTGGAGAAATGACATTCGGCAGATGTATCGGTGATCGATCCTAATGCGAGAGCTGCGGCGTTGGCAAGGACATCCGGTTGACCACGAATCACAGCCCCTGCCTACAGAGTTCATGGGGTTGTACGTGCGACAACAATCTTGAACGGCCCAGAATCCAGACGGTCTCACGAAGACAGCTCGCCGCTGTGGAGCATGGCGTAATTGAGACAGTGAGAGGATTGAAGGGTGATGAGCGTGCGACAGGAAAGTTCCAGCAGATGAATAATACTAATTTTTGGGTATCGAAGATCTCTCGTATATCCAATAAACGAGTATCATGGCAGGAGATCAGAGAAAATACCAGCATTTGGCGGAATTTCGCTTTCGAAGTTAAATGGAAGGAGGGACATCATTTCGACATCGAAGAGATCTTCAAACGAAAGCCGATCGATCGTGGGGTCTGACGGGAGAGAAAGGGCATTTTGTAGATCCAGCCCTTTTTCAGGAATCTGTCCATCGACCGGCTCTGCAAAGGAGTGACAAATAGGCAATTAGTGGACAAGGTCCAAAGGATAATTTTGATTGAAAGAGTAGTACGATACCGCGGAGTGGAGTATGCGAGGCAGAACCTTGGCCGCCGAACGTCTCTCGCCAATTCCACAGTTCGTCATGGAGCAGGCTGGCAGCTAGTCGAGAGCGCAATTTTAGACGGGGTTCTTGGCTGCATTGCTGGGAGCGCCCTTGCACACTCCATAATTGGGCTAGTATTTTGGAAGTTCTGTCGGTCAGGTCATTCTCTTCGGAAGTAGTTCGACGAAGAAGGGACAGTGCAGCGTTGAATGCCTGCTCGCCACCCTCAACACCCAGGGTATCTGCAAATTTTGAACGCTCTAGCCTGAGAAGAAAGAGCGCTGCCAACGAGGTCATCCGCGAATAAGACGCAGGACAGTGTCTCATAAAGTCGGAAACAGCATCCATTTTTTGAAGCTTGGTGACCAACGCTTTTGATGTATCGAAAGCCTTTAATAGACCCATCTTGCGAGTCAATGACTCTCCGGCATCAAGCAGATAGAAAACATAAAGCTGCAATCCAGTTCCATACAGCAAGATTTCATTATCAGCTGAAAGGGTGTCAGTGAGCGGCGGAAGAGGAAATTAGAAGCAATTTTTCTCAGAATATTACCTGCAAGTGTCTGGCCGACTGAACGGGCAAGATCGGCGAATTCACATTCCAAAAGCTTCAGGACAGAGATCGTCTCCTGGGGCCGAAACGAATTTTCTGTGCGGGACAGATCTTTGGACATGAACTTGTTGACGCGTGCAGAAAACCGGTAAATCAACAGCTGGTGCTTCATGGACTGGGGAACTGCGTATGCGTCTTCATCGTCACAGACACGATCGATCATCGACTCCGAGGAAAACAATGCTATGCCGTACGTGTATGACATACTGAAACGCCATCAGCCGCTACCCCTGCGATAGAGGGAGTAGTCAAGTAAGGTTCACCTTTGAGATGCGATGTAGCAAACAGACCAAGTTTTCACCACTTCCGAGATTTCTGCCTTGGTTAAATTTCTTTTAATGCGAGAAAAGTCCTGAATGGCATCGGGCTGATGCAGACCCAGTTGCATTGCGATCGTTTGAGCAATATTGATGAGCATTAGGGTCGTGTCAGTTGACAGCGATGACGTTGGGAATGGCCACATGCAAAGAAGCGCAATCGATTGTACAATGTACCAATTGTGGGGAGGATTCGCGACGGTCTCCCACAGGAGGTTTTTCATAGGTGAGATTATTGCAGTATGTAGGCCGGGTACGTCTGAATATCGACGGGATGCAATGTAGATGACCACCCAGAATAACAGAGGGCATCGATTGTAACAATCATCCGGGGTGACACTGGGATCAAGCACCGGAACAAAAGGATGATATGTTCTGAAAAATCTGCGTACAAGTGAGTAAATAGTGCCAGCTCTCAATGAGGCTACGCATTCGAGGCAACGGACATGTCAAAAAGCGAATCGATCTGAGCTGAGTCTAGCCGAAGATGATCAAGCAACCGCGCGGTTGTAGTTGAAACAATCTCTTGCGACAGGCGCTGATTCTCATCTTCCACATTGAGTGACGGGGCTGATTCATCTTGGAAAAAGGTAGCTCCTGATCGTGAAGTATGCGAGCCCGATAAAGTCGTGCCGCCTCGGTGTGGGTTCGATGATGACGCTTCAACAGAGATTGGAGGATCTAAAGGTGGAAAATTAGAGATAGAGGATCGCAATTGACGAACTTCGTCCTCGAGATCCTCGAGCCGTCTAGAGGACGAATCAGTTGGTGCATCCGGGCTGTGATGGTGCCGATTACTTGCGCTCGCTTATTGACTCTTTTGAATTCGGTATCAATCTCACAATCCTGATCCATACGCTGACATCGTGAACAGGGAGTCGTTCCTCCCGGTGAGAAGTCACATCGCATCTGCCAATCAGTTCAGTCGCATCCACTTGAACAATTTTGCTCACGATCCTGAGCTATTGGTGGTCCCACCTTAGCTTGTCTACACTGTCGACATGCAATCCGTCGGCCTCGCCGCATCGACTTTCTAGGCTCTGTTGCGCTTCGAGGTTGCCGCCGCATTTTGCAGGTAGTTCGGCTACGAGCATTCGAATCGTTGAATGGAAAGATTCGCGAGTCAGACACTGCGACGTTGATCAGCGCGGGTCGTCACCTGACCCGCGAATTAAACCGTCATGCAATACCAGAATACCACCCTCGGACCTAAAACAATTCCGCTGAAATAATACCGAACTCTCGGTCCTCGTCCATTCGGCTTGTCCTGAGTATGGCGACACAATGGGTCTTACTTCTACGGAAATCCGCGCGGGATCTGCACAGCTGGTCTTGGCGGCATATTGACATTCACTACCAGTTAAATTTAGACCCCCTCGCTAAACCGATTTTCTCCGGATGCCATATCAATGGCCAAAGCCTCTCTAAGACCCACAACGTTGAACAGATTCTTGGGGTTGTCATCTCTAGATGCTAATTGCGAGCCTGTCTCCTTCAGGTGCTTCGCAGCCGCGCTCACTGCTGCATATACAGGTCCCAGTGCAAAGCCTGGAAAGATTATTATGCGAAATCCCAGCTCCCTGGCCTCTGTGGCGGTCAGGTTGGGCGAGATGCCTCCAGATACCGCATTGAATAACACTGGAGTAGGACTGAGATCATGGCAGACTTGCCGCGCCTCTTCCTTGGACGTGACACCTTCGAGGAATGCAACGTCCGCACCTATGCTGATTGCACCCTTCAGACGTGCAAGGGCTTCATCGTAACCCAATGTAGCGAGGGCGTCGGTTCGTGCAATTAAGACTATGTCGCCACCAGACGCTTTCCGTGCAATGACTGCGGCTGTAATTCGGGAAAAATACTCTTCTTTCGCAACCACTTGCTTGTTGCGAAGATGCCCGCAGCGTTTCGAAGTTGGTTGGTCTTCTAAATGCAGCGCTGCAACTCCCGCTTGAATATACTCGGTAACAGTTCGATGCACCATCAATGAACCTACTCTGGTCAGTATCCCACAAGACAATGAGATTCCACGGTTCCCTTGACATACCACCGAAGCCCGTATCCGCGTCTGCAATAACCGGCGTGAACCGATCAAGGTTGGAGATCATCTCAGCATTCTGGCGCATTTCATTAAGTGTGATCACCCCGAGATCGGGCTGACCGAGCCGGGACGCGGTTGTCCCTGCCCCAGTCTTGATGTTATGACAATTGTTAGAGCGAGGTACTGGATTGTGGGCTATCTGGAACGTAAGGGCACAGTTACCATGTACAAAGCCTCAAATCCCGCTTGAAGTGCGATCCTCGCAGTGAGGCCGTCATATACGCCTGGACATACAATGATTTGGTTTTGGTCGGCCAGGAGCTGGCGCAATCTCGCGGCCGCAGATAAAGCAGTCATTTCAACGGGCCGAGTAGCTTTTTGGGTTATTTGAGATTCGAATTCAAATGAATTGAAAAGTCTTCCTCTATCCTATCATGGCTTCTTCAGGAATTGAACGGCTATTTAAGTCACTTGACTCGAGTCGCGCGTTGTCGCGCCGAGTTCCTATACTCCCCCGCTTTCGGGCCGTTCGCGGCCCGACCAAATATTCAAGAATCGGGGAATTAAATCGCGGGCGTATTCGCTGATCAACAGATTCAACAAGCGAAGAGAGTCATATTACATTCCATTTGAAGAAGCTTTAAGATACTCCGTGCGATCGCGATGACAGAATCCAAAAAGGTCTTCTCATTTACTGGGCTGATCGAGCTTGTTCAGCAATCGCGGAACATTAGTCTCGCTATTCCAGATGGTAGGCAGCACATTTGATAATTTCTTGATTTGCTGACCTAACGAACAAATTTCGTACTCATGATAGATGAGTGTTTTGATCCGCCGAAAAATATTTTGGAGGCGTTGGCGGTTGTTATCGAACTTTTGCGAGGACAAGAATTAAGACGGGAGGCCAACGCTTTATCCGACATCCTGGAAATCTGCCACCAGCCCACGACCCTAGGAGGACTTGGAATCACTCACGATGACTCGCTTACCATTGAACAGGAATCTGAAATTATGTTCTTGGTGTCTGCATGGCTGGAAGCGCTCAACTCGGCAGATCATGCCAAAAATCTACCGAGTCCGCTGCCTCAACGCCCTGTCGGACGACGTGGAATGACATTAAGTGAGAAGATTTTTGCAATGCATGACATGGAACACAAGGGTTTTGTCACTCCGGGAGAGCTGATCCGGATTCATGTGGACTGGGTGATAGCCTCCGAAGCATCGTGGGCGGTATGTTCCAATCGTGGATGGGCAAACGACTAATTGTTCTTCGGTATCTGACACTTTGCAATGACAGGGAATGGAGACAACATACAACGATCTCGGGAAGCCTGGTATCTTCCGGAATGACCGTTTCTGGCTAGCGGGGGATCATGTCGTTGATCCCCGAATCAATGATTTGCCCAAGGTACGAGGGTTGATTGATGCAAGTGAGCGTGCCAAGCGGGTGTTCAAGATGACGGATTATCAAGGCATGAACGTAGGTAATCTTTCTACTCACAATCACATTGAGGGTGCCAACTCCTATACAGTACACAATTCTGCACACCGAATTTTACCGGGAACGGGCACAGCCGGGCATGGTTGTCATAGGTTCAGACTCGCATACGTGCTCCTCAGGAGCGCTAGGATGTCTCGCTATTGGTCTTGGGGCTGCAGATGTCACTTTGCCTTTGGTCACAGGGGAGACATGGTTCAAGGTACCAGAATCTGTCAACATTCGTCTTGCTGGAACTCCAAGGCCTGGAATAGGGGGCAAGGATGTCATTCTTTACATTCTGCAGCAATTGAAAAGAAATACCATTGCTTCAGAGAGAATAGTGGAGTACACCGGTCCAGGGGTCAAACACCTATCTCCCGATGCGAGGTTCGCCATCTCAAATATGACGACTGTGGGTGTTCCTGGGAACTGACCTGTCTGGGAATCATACGCTGACGGTTCGACAGGAGTTTGGGGGTGTCACAGGAATCTTTGTTCCCGACGAATTTACGCAAAACTTCATCCATAGAAGAAAGCTTGCACGGCACAAGAGTCAAGCCGTCTACTTCAAGCCAGACGATGATGCGCAATACGCTGAGACTCACGAAATCGACCTTGCGAATGTCAGATCCTTTTTAGCCAAATACCCCAAGCCCGATGACGTGGTCCCGGTTAGTGACTGCCAGGGTATGGAACTGGATGGTTGTTTCATTGGCGCCTGTACTACAGCAGAAGAAGACTTAATCCTCGGAGCTTTGGTTCTCGCCGAGGGATTGAATCGAGGTCAACGGCCCATCAAAAAGGGTAAACGAAAGGTGGTTCCAGGATCGATGCCAATCCTTCACAGACTACGTCAACTTGGTCTCACGGAAACATATGAAAGTGCTGGTTTTGAAATTGGTATTCCTGGATGCAGCTACTGTGTTGGAATGTCAGCAGATCAAGCAGCCCCGGGAGAAGTGTGGTTGTCCTCGCAAAACCGTAACTTTGAGCACCGGATGGGACGAGGTATGTTTTTTTCTTCTTTGTGACAATCTTTTGTGCTCATAGCGAGGCACCTAACTAGGATCGATCGGCCATCTTTCGTCAGCTGCTACCGTTGCTGCCTCGTCTTTCCAGATGAAGTTGACGGACCCGCACGAGTTAATAGAGGCAATTGATCCAATTCAATGGAGTGGGATGAAAGGCACCCCTCAACCCCGGGGAGAGGATGAAGCCCCTAACGGCCCGAAATACGTGGAACCTAGTGGCTCCCCTCGAATGCTTGAACCAAATGACGAGACCAGGGTTCGAGAACCAAACCTGAGACGTGTGCCTAATTCGTCTGCAGCACATTCTAACACAGAACCATTGAGAGGAATGATTCAGCTGCTTGGAGATTTCATTGATACCGATGCTGTAAGTTCTTCGCGGTAACGGGAGAAAAGTTGCTCTTTCTAAATCGTATTACATAGCTTGCTCCTGCGGAGTTTCTTATCGGTATGAAAGATAATGAAACGAGTGGACTACACTGCCTGGAATTTACGCATCCTGAATTTCGCAACCGTGCCAGCGACGGCTTCAGCATCCTGGTAGCCGGCAAAGGTTTTGGTTGCGGATCGTCCCGCGAACAGGCTGTAATGGCCCTTTTAGGTAGGGTTCCAATGTTTTACCTATTTCATCACGCATTGGAAGCCAAAGTCTAACCATTGGTAGGGTGTGGAGTGAAATGTGTGATTGCGAGGTCATTTGCCTTCATTTTCCAGCGCAATATGCCGAATTTAGGCCTATTGGGTATCACCATGCAAGACGAGGAGTTCTTTCAAGCTGCTACGGATGGCAAAGAAGCCTCCATTGACTTTGATACCAGGTCAATTTACTTGGATGGACGGGCATTCCACTTTGATCTCAGCCAAATGGAAAAAGAGCTCTTCGAACATGGTGGGATCTCTTCTGCTTTTCAGCATTTTGGAAGCAGGCTTTTTGAAGTTATGACTTCGGTCAAGGGACAGAATGGTGAAAAATCATTTCCCAAACCAAATCCCCAATTGGATTGGTGAGGTTTATTGTATAAGAAGATGGTATATCCAAATCAGCCCTGCGTTCTTTTTCTCTGAGAATTCAAGACTATAAGATAATTTCTGTTGAGATTTATTAAATGGAAGGTGAAGTAAAGTCTGTGTTATGAAAGAAAGAATAGATGGTATAGTCTAGCCTACTCATTGAACCAAGGGTCATCTAGGATCTGTCTCGCTGATGCTCTTGCCGACGGTTCAAAATAAAACAACCTTCCAATGATTTTTCCAAGCCTCGCTATATCCTTTCTTGTAAGATCAGTGATCTGGCGTCCATCAAAATACACTTCTTCCAGCCATTCTTGCAAGTTGGGCCCGGGGCTTTCAGCGGTCACGTCGTTCCCTTTATTCATCGTATCCCATATCTTTTGCCATCTTCTAGGTAGGTCATCAGTTGCCATCTCTTGCATTTGACCGACCAGAATTGGGGGTGTTATTAAGAAGGTGTCAAAAGGTGGCTGGCCCGTAAAAAGTTCAAAGAGCTGTCATGGTTATCAGTTTAGTCGTGCATAGCGTTAAAAAAGACTTGTATCATTTCACGCACCATGCAGCCCATACTCCACAAGTCAACATGATGATCAAGTTTATCCTGAAATATAACTTCGGGTGCTCGAACAGGCAAAGGTGTGTGTAGCCTATGAGGGACAGCAGAACATGAAAATGATTCTCCGAAGTCAATTATTTTAATCGACTGAGCCGACTTCCAAAGGCGTGTTCGAGATGAGTTAGGCTTAACGATATATTCCGGCACGCCGAGCCCAAGGCCTTTCCCATCGCGCCTTTGGACACGGCCTATTTTGGGTTTTCCTAATATCTCAAAAAAAGCCTCCTCGGTTACCTTATCCAAGTAAGGCATGGTGAAGGCCAAATTGCGAGTGTGCAAATCTATTTTAGGTGAGAAATGTCTGACTTTTCCCAAGTAAGTGGATTACAGTACCTCCATGTCCAATATCTCGTTGGTGCAAATCACGAAGCCCGGCAAGACTTTGCTTGGCAATTGTTTTGGCAAGCCTCCCGGGGAGTCTCCCACCGGAAAAGTGTGCATCAATTACGTCTGGAATATTTGGCCCCAGAAGTTCATAAACGAGGCATTTATGAAATCCATTTGGACCCGTTAGATCGAAATCATCAAGCAACTGCACCACATGCGTCAGACTCGGGTGATAAGACGCCAGTTCCTTCATAGTTTGGAGCTCTCGCGTCTCCCTGTCATGTCCCTTTTCAGCAATACAAATCTTCACAGCGACGTATGTCTCTGTCCTGCAAGGGGAAATTTCGATTAGCTGGGACTACCGTGCGTCACATTGGTATGTATAACCTTTGGTCTCTCGCCGCCCACACTGTCGAGTAGCCACCCCATCCTAATTTATGCAACACCTTATACCTTCCAGCTTTAAGGTATTCTCCTAAGGTGACTGGGTGGTAACCGCCTTGTCGGTAGCGATGAAGTGGCTCCGCATCAATGGGGGAAATATAAGTGGGCTGGTCCATCGGACTCTTATCGGCATGGGTAGACATGGACTTGAGGAAAATGCAAGGGCTTCTCAAGGGAACAATACGTCTCGGTAGAACGCGGGTGATGTTCATCATGCTGAACCGAGGTTGTCGGTGCGGATTATGTTGATATCGTCGGGAGTCCTGCGCGGAAGGCAGACGACGGGACAAATGATTGGTCAGCAGCGCATGTCAAAATAAGTCAACGGTGTCAGTGCATTGAAAGCCCAAAATGCCATGCCTAGTCTCTCCTCCTCTTCCCTGTATAGTTCTAACCGCGGTTAGCTGTTGCGCGGCACTCTTTTTATCCTCCGGGCAATCAGATGGTGGGTGTTGGTGGGGCGCTCGAGGCTAAGACGACGGATATATTGATGATCCGATGATATTATTTCCCATGTAATCAGACCTCCCTACGAATTGCGAGAAAAGGTGATCTAGCAATGCAGAGTTCCTTCATTTCTGATTGACAGATATCCTACGTACTCCAACGATACAACATGGAAGCAGCTTTTTTCGGCCCTTTCGGAGAACGCAAAGTCAATCTCGGACCATCGCCGATGGACTCGTCAAATAGTCTCCACCGAGTTGCGTCCACTCCCGTGCTTCCATCCTCCCACGCATCCTTCCATGTGGCGGGTCCAAACCTGAATAATTTTACAATTCGGGATGGGACCGATTCCACAATCGCACAGAAGACGATACCAATACTAGTAAGGAATTTTGGGCTTCCTCCACCATCCACCGGTTCGTGGTGTATTAGGGAGAGGCCGACCAGACCTGTTTCTCTTTTCTGTGTCGGACCGAACGACCTTGGGAATCCTAACGAGAAGAGATTTTTCGATGGATATGGAATACAGGACCACTGGATGTTTATGCTAGATGGCCAGGCAGCTTAATTATGCGCAACACCAAGTCTTAATTAAATGACACATTCAAATATCTAACGCTCAGCTCTAGTAGAAATACATGCATGAATGCGTAACAATCTTAAACCCATCTTCCAAACCATCATAGTCCACCCCGAGTCGAGTGACTATGCCCGTCGTCCGAAACAACGGAGATATCAACCTGCTTCGTAATCGCAAGGTCATTCGTTGGCGATCTCGATTCCCGTCCGACGGCAGTCATGCTCGTATGTGTGCTGTTGTCCAGGATGTAATCCACGCTGCCGTTCTCCATATCACGGGACTTGGTGACGCGTCGGCCTCGACGCGATTGAGTGCCTGTCGCATATTGCTGGTCTGTGCGGCGGTTGTGGCTGAAGGGACCGCTGAGTTCGTAGGAGCGGGTTGCGCTGGAGATCTTGCGCACGGAGGAGATGATCAGCGGTCGGATGCAGGGGATCGAGGAAGTTATTATGATGACGGCATTTTCGATGTAGCCCCAGCGGATCAGTTCGAGTCCGCCGCCGGTGCCTAGGTTGGTGATGCTCGGGAGGGTCTTGAGTTTGGTGGTTTTGATGATGGAAGCGATCATGGCGCTGAATTGGTTAGTAGGTGGTGGTGCGGTGAGTCGGGGGGATGCTTACAGGAAACCCAGGCTGAGAAGAACGATCAAACCGGCTTTGATGCGCAGTTTGAGGTTGAGGTTCCAGAAGACGACGGTGGGGAAGACGGCCAGGAACAAGTCCGTGGCGGAGTTGAAGGTGTTGGAAAAGTAGGCGTAGTTGATGACGGCGGTCAGGTTACCGCAGGTGGTCTTGACGGTTGGATCCCAGAGGATGTGCACGTTCTTGCAGATGCTGAGGGGCAGCACCGCGGAGGCGGTGTTTGCAGCGAGCTGGATGACAAGCACGATCCATAACGCGATCTTATAAGCTTTGTTGGTGCCGAGAACGCCAACCAAGTATATGATGAAGGCGCTACGAGCGATGGTGGTGCTAAAGGTAATGAGGGGAACTTGGACGGCGATATACTTCAAAACGAGCGAGGTATCCTTGGTGAAGGGTTTGCCCAGGGGCTTTCCAAAGCCATGTTGCACGGACAGGCTCAGGAAGACGGTGGAGGCAATTGCCAACGCCTGATCGGTTAGTACACCATAGAGACCAATGGCAGAAGAATCGGTACATACCGAGGCAATGATCATCAGAACATCGTCCACAAAGAAACGGTTGATCTTAATCTTTGCAAAGACCCGTAGAATCACGATCAGCGCGGCGATGATCATGGCGGCCCAAATGCCCCGTTCTAGGGCCGGGCCTTGGTCAGACATGGCAGACAGTTAGTAGAGATGAACACGGTCCAGGCAAGATTCGAATAATAATCCAATTCAGAAGAAAGATCTGGGAAAGACGTCTTTTTAATGGCAGGATGCACGTTTTCACATTCACATTTCCAGTCTCCGAGCACCACAACGTCCAGTTCCTCGGAAAAAAATACGAGGAGCGAAAAAAGCTAAAGTCGGAGATCGGATAACCAAGGGCTCGTCAAGGTTCTTCGGCTAGCAATAATGTGGTCCGGCGATAGCCCCATTGTGACGGCAGAAGGAAAAGTCCCGAAGAACCAGATGCAAACCATGGAACTGGACGAGCGATAGATGCACCATCTCCGCCGCGCTCCACTTGCATCGGCCTCCAGCAACGTGGTTGGATCCGAGAGCAACCGGGCTGAGACAAGCGACCTAAGCCTTGAGCTTGCGCCCTGGGTTGGCGCCACCCGTCGGCGGCTTCCCATGGGTTTTTTTCATCGCTACCGCGTCGGTTTGCCGATTGCCAGGCACCATTCGTCAAGGGTTGGAGAGGTCGTCTTTCAGGTACGCTTTGCCACCCGCGTGCGGCATCGATCCGATCTACCTTGGAATCGTGCACCGGGAACGATCCGACAAATCGAAATCGGACGATCGCATCAACCCGCTCTGCTGCGGATCCACACTCGGCCATGCCACGCGAAAGGGAACATCTCCGACCCTGTCGTTCGCCATCTCCAGGGCCGAGGAGCTCCCGGAAATGTGGACATGGTCGAGTCTCCGTTAAATAAACTCTCGATCGGCACCGTCTTCTCCTGTTCTTGTCCTCCTCGTCCTCGTCTTCATCTTCCCTTCAATCATGAATTGGTTGCTCTCTCTGTTGGCTCTGGCCTCCACGGTTGTGGCCCACCAGTGTCACTGTTTGCCCGGTGACAGCTGCTGGCCCTCCACCTCCTCCTGGTCATCCCTCAACCAAACGGTCGGCGGTCGTCTGGTGGCTACCGTGCCCATTGGTACTCCCTGCCACGGTGCTGCCTACAATGCCGCTGCCTGTGCCACTCTGCGGTCCGATTGGACTCTGCCGGAGACGCACATGGACTCCTCCTCCTCGGTGATGCAAACCTTCTTTGCCAACCAGAGCTGTGATCCCTTCACCCCCAAGAGCCGGCCCTGCGAGCTGGGCAACTACGTGAGCTACGCCGTCAACGTCTCCTCCACCCGGGATGTCGTGGCCGCCGTCCGGTTCGCCCGCAAGAACAACGTCCGTTTCGTCATCCGAAACACTGGCCATGAGTAAGAATTTACCCCTGACCGTCTTGCCAAGGAACTTCGCTGATCATACACAAAGTTACCTCGGCCGCTCAACCGGTGCTGGTGCTCTGTCGGTCTGGACCCACCATATGACCGATATTGAGTACAAGAACTGGTCCAGCGAGATCTACAAGGGACCCGCCTTCAAGGTCGGTGCCGGTGTCGTGGGATACCAGATCCTCGACGTTGCTCATGCCAAGGGCCTAGTCGTTGTCACGGGCGAGTGCCCCACCGTCGGTCTGGCCGGTGCCTACACCCAGGGTGGTGGTCACTCCGCTCTGAGTACCAGTTTCGGTCTCGGTGCCGATCAGACCCTTGAATTCGAGGTCGTTACCGCCAACGGCACCGTCGTGACTGCCTCGCGCACTGAGCACCCGGACCTCTTCTGGGCCCTCAGCGGTGGTGGCGGCGGTAACTACGGCGTCGTCGTGTCCATGACCGTCAAGGCTCACGCCGATGCCACCGTTTCCGGTGCGACGGTCGAGTTCACTGCCTCTGGCATCACCACCGACACCTTCTTCCAGGCCGTCTCGGAGTTCCACTCCCTCCTGCCCGCCATGATCGACTCCGGTGCCACCGTCATCTACGAGATGACCAACGCCGTCTTCCTGATCCACCCTGTCACGGCCTTCAATCAGACCAAGGAGGATGTGAAGAACACGCTGACCCCCTTCCTGTCTGCCCTAGCCGACCTCAACATCACCTACAAGGCCACCTATACCGAGTTCGACTCCTACTACAAGCACTACAGCACCTACATGGGTCCCTTACCCTACGGCAACCTCGCCGTCGCTGACTACCAGTACGGCGGCCGCCTGATCCCCCGCACCACCCTGGAGCAAAACTCCACCGCCATGGGCGCCGTCCTGCGCAACCTCACCTCGCAGGGCGTCATCGTCGTCGGCGTCGGCTTGGACGTCTCCCACCCGACCAACGTCTCCAACGCCGTCTTCCCCGCCTTCCGTAACGCCGCCATCACCATGCAGATCGGCACTCCGTGGAACGAGACCGCGCCCTGGAGCAAGATGATCGCCAACCAGTTCAAAATCACCGATGACTTCGTGCCCCAGCTCGAGGCCATCACCCCCAACTCTGGCACCTACCAGAACGAGGCCGACTTCCGCCAACCGAACTGGAAGCAGACTTTCTTCGGCAGCAACTACGACCGTCTTCTTGATATCAAGCGCAGATGGGATCCTTGCTCCTTCTTCTATGCTCTCAAGGCCGTTGGTAGTGACTCTTGGAACGTTGAGAAGTCCGGCCGTATGTGCCGTGCTCACTAATTTGGTGGAGAGGCATTTCACATCATCCTATGTAGTATACCTAAATAATTCATGTTGATAATATCCTTGTTTCTATTTATATAGCTAGATGTCTGGCGATTAGCAACGAATAGACGATTGATTCCACAAGGTCGCGATGATTTCCCAGGTCGATCCAAACTTTAGCATCTCGGTAAAAGAGAAACACAGTGGTCTTTATACTTGACGGCGACTAAGCCACGACCTAGACAAAATATAAGGCTAGAATAACATCGAATATCGGTGTGAAATCCAACCCCAACTTTGAGACTTCCCAATGAAAAATGCACTAGTATAAGCTTTCAACGGTAAACCTTCCCAGCTCCAAAGATGATCAAAGCTTCCCCCCACCAGGATGATCACTTTGATACCGCACCGGGCCCACACCGCAGATCACAGCCTAGAGATCTTCGGTCCCACACGATCAGCAACGATATCAGCCCAGACATACATACGGCGGGTCGAGTGAGACACGACTCGTAATGGGGAATGACACGTATGACGAAAGATTCCGATTTCTATGTATCCAGACACCGCCATCTATATATTGGGAAGTACTGTATGTCCACCCTTCAATGTTCTAGCAAAACGCCCCCTTCCCCAAAAGCAAGAGCGGGTTAAGTGTGATTATGTTCCCGAAACGAGACGCCGCGAAATGCAAATAATGTGGAGATGGCGCCCATACGTGAGGGACGAGGTTGGTATTCGTCGATCGGTGCAGATAGTAGCGGCACGGAGATTCTATAGTCGAGATAACGAGCGGCGGGATTGACATTCCCGAATTTGAAAAAAGGTGAAACAGGTGCCGAAGGTGTCATGATGGAGGATGTTGGACCTCTTTTTTCTCTATGTTTTAGGATGCGAGGATGTGATTTTCGAAATTGGTGACGTAGTTTTATTGCTTAGGCCAGCGCAATGGGCCACCCGTTGACGTATTTCAATGGATTGAATCCTAGAAACGCATCCTGCAGGTATAATGTTAGACAATTCCGCTGACACGATCGAGGGGAATGAAGGAGGATCGGCAAGGGCATATGTAGATGCGGGTATCTCGATCCACAAGCCTGCCGTGATGCGAACTTACCGAGAATGCAAGTCCGACAGTCTTGTTTTCTGGTGGAGTTAGTATGCGGGCCATTGGGTTTGAAAAAGGGAGTGTTTCTCACGATAGTGGTAGTAGAGGACGTCGGCGTCGCCGATTCGGATCACGCCCTGCCCGCCGGGGGCATAGGTGTCGCCGCTGGAGCCGTAGACAATCTCGCCACCGCCGTCCGTCAGGTCCTTGCCTAACTTGTCGAAGAAGGGACCGCGAGGGTTCTGGGACCGTCCGACGCGAATGCTGTATCTGGATGTTGTTAGTGTATGTATGAAAAAAAATAAACATTTCAGAGGGATGGAAAGCACTCACTCGTTGCCCGCGGGCGGGAGGTGGTCCTTGTCCAAGTTGCAGCAGTATCCGTGGCTGTACCACAAGTAGTAGAATCCATCGTTGTACGAGATAAAGGCGCCCTCGATGGCATGCGGTCCGGTGGGGTCACCGCAGAGCGAGGTTGTGTATCGGGCCGGGGTGGCGAGAGCATTGGGTTCCCAGGCCAAGCGTTTGGCATCGGGGTCGGATGTGCTCATCGGAGAAAGGAGAGTCTGGTCGAGTGGGATCTGATAGATGCCGGTCCAGTAGCTGCCGAAGGTGAGATACGGCTTTCCGTCTGGAGTGACTATCACACTGGGGTCGATGGCGTTGGACACGGTGTAGGGATAGACGCCAGAGCCATTGCCTGTTCCTGTCTGGATGACTGCGCCATGGTCATACCAACCACCCGGTCCAGGGTGATCGGAAGTCGCCACACCGATGGCACTGTCTCGGCAACCCGCCTTGCTTACACTGTAGAAGCAGTAGAAGGTACCATCCACATAGACGACATCGGGAGCCCAGGGCACGGCACGGTCGCCCTTGGGAATGACGGAGTTTGCATCGAGCACGGAGCCGATGTGCTTCCATGGCCCAGCCATGGTAGGAGCGGTATGGATGAAGATGTGTTCGCCGACATTGTACAGGTAGAAAGTGCCGTGGACGTGCATGATAGTTGGATCATGGGTATGCTGGTTGGTTTGACGCGGAGGAGGGAAATGACCGGCGGCGGCCTCTTGCTCCAGACGAGCCTCGAGATTGTGATTGAGGTTGACGCTGAGCGCGACCGAAAAGAGACATAATAAACCCAATAGAACGAGCATCTTGATCCAGCGTCCAGGAATTGAATGAGGCCAAAAAGACCGCAAAGACCACCCCTGACGAAAATCATCGGCATGGCCAGAAGGTGGCTTCACCGACCGTGATAAGTGGCCGGTCCTGACGATCATCCCGGCGGCTATGGAGCCAGCCACTCATTGTTTTCAGACCTGACGCACGGCGTGCCACCTCCAAGGTGGGTTCCTCACGATGCGGAAACTGCCCGTCCGAGAGGGGGTCCGCTGTGAGGGATGCCACGACGTCCACTGGTTCTGGTCGAAGCAGGTCCACCGGGAAGCATGCCTGCAAGGCTCTGGAATGCGGGAGAAGATCAATCGAGCTTCGTTGATGAATCTCTAACGATGCAAGCCGAAGAGGCACGTTCGGGACGATATACTGATTGACAGATCCTCGTGCTTGCGTACAGCGATTGCGCAGTAGTTCTGCATCAACGCGACGCACGGTTAACCGCCGACATTGGCAGATGACACGACGCAAGGGAGAATGAGGTGAGGTGAGGTCGACGCGAAAAGGTGGCCTTGTCCTGTCGATCACCTCCTTGACTTGGCTCGACCCACCGCGGGATCAACAGAACGGTATTTCACCCTTCATATTCTTCTCGTTCCCGAGGTGACACTTTGCTCCTAAGACAGAGTCGCAGTTGCGAGACACGGCCATTGGCTTTTACCTTCGACGCCGTGTGTACCTGTGTTTCTAAGCCTCTGTTCCTTCGTGGTCCTTTCTATGCCTCTATTGTGCCTGTTTAGGAAATACACGCAACTACACCATTAATTGACACCGGGTAGCCAGCAGATCAAAATTCAAGATAGCTCTACAGGGCACGTTATATTGAATAGAATGCGAAATGCCTCGCTTTGAACGCTCGGGCGATGAGCGACAGACTCACGGCCAAATGATATTCGAAAATAAAACCCCCCAAGGACCTAAACGCCAACGCCAAAGGGCCACAACCCTAGCGAATGAACTCTAGCGTGCCACAATCTTATCCACCTCGTCTTTGGCCTCGGTCCACGTCTCGAGATTCTTCCGTGCCCAGTCCAAATGACAGCGGGCGTATGCGACCTAAGCGCAGCACGAGCCATGGTTAGTTATGGGTCCCTGGCTCGGGTGGATCACTGTACATACCATGTAGCGGCGGAGATCGGCTTCTTTGTCCTTCTGGAAGCGTTGGAGATCGTGCAACACACCGGCACTGGCGTCCTTGACATCTTTCTCGGATACCTCCAGTGCTTGCTCCAGCTGCATGACGCGGTTAGCTTCACACTCCTCTTCGACCCCCACTTGGCACATACCTGGATGAGACTCTCTTTGGTCTTGCCGATCTGGTCCCGACGAGTTCGTTCCGGGTCCACGTCTGCAAATCCATGGATGGCGTGATTGATGCGACCGAAGATCTTGTTCACTACGAATGTCCCGCTGGATGACTTGCGGTGGGCCGGCGAAGAAGACGGCGTGGGATCGGACTTCTTGTGTCTCAGTGTTTCAGATGGGGACGGGGAGCCACCGGATTCGCCGTGGGTAGGCGGGAATTTCGAGTTTGCAGAGGCCTCTGCGGCATTCCCACTTTCACTGCTCACAGCCGACGAGGCAGATAATGAACGTTGTGGCCTGGTACCGCCGGTTTGAGGGGACGTGCGATTGAGATACTGCTCAATCCGCTGCGCCTCCAGCTCGCTGCGCTCCAGCGAGTCTAGCAGGCTCTTCTTCCGTGCTAGCTCATCTCGCGTCATGTCCTCCTGCACCCGCTTCAACACCCGATAGCGTAATACCCCACGGACGACACTGGCAAACTGCGCGCTTTCCCGCATGGGCTCGGCAAAGCTAGCACTCAACGCATTCGACAGCTCTTCGGTCTCGATGTACGAGGTATCGGCCGCCTGTCCGATGCGCTCAATCGCGGCGGCAACGGTTGGGGATTGTTCGGAGAGCGAGAACCCGTTGTAACGCGCTCCCAATTCCATGAGGTCGGCGGATAGGGAGGAAAGATGTGCAAGTGTCCTCCGGTTGACCTTCTCGATGTTTCCTTGCAATAGCAGCTCCAGTTCCCGTGTAGAAGCCTCGAAGTTCACAAAGTACGGGTCCAGCTCCTGCTCGCTCAGCTTGCGCGAGTCGGGCGGGAATCGTCCCAGAACTGCGGGGCCTGGACCCGATGGCGCCGGGCCATCCGTGTTTTCGCCGGGTGATGTAGGTGCTGATGCGGTTCCGGAGATAGTCCCGCCGCTCCCGCCGCCAGTCTTGAGTTTCGCGGAAGAGGATGGGACTGGAAGCCAGCCATGGGCCTGGGTCGGGTTTGCGGGATCGAGCGGCGGGGCCTTGAGGTTGTTCTTGGGAATGGACGATGCAGGGTGGGAATGCAGGACCTCGCTCTAACATCAGTCAATCAAATTAGCAAGCGTACACCTAACCCGGACCGGCTCCGCAACTTACCCAGCTGACGTTGGGGTCCAGGAACCGCCACCAAACACCATCCTCGCGGATTTCCTTCATCCGGCGACACCGGTTGAGAAATACACTCAACATGCGCTTGCGCAGCTCAATGATGGCCGTGTCTTCTTTGGCCTTGGTTGGTTTCGCGGCGTAGTCCGCCATGCTATGCTTCTCGGGAATTGGCGGAACAATCAAAGTAGGATGGAGATTGACGAGTGTCTGTCGCAACGATGCGAATTCCGAGTACCGGCGACGGACTTCGAGGTCCTATTGTGTTCCATTAGTTCAGCTCCGAGGCTCCTTTCAATCGCGATAACAATACCCCAGTCCGGATCGTGTAGACGATGAAGCTACCACCACCCTCGTGATTCTTCCCAGCATCCGTGATCAATATCGCCATCTCCGGATTCTCGTAAAGGATCTGCTCGATGCGACTGTCATAGACGCTCTTCCGCGGGTATTGCTGACTGGCGGCGCCATAGTCAGCTTCCTCGGGATCGCTGAGATCCTCCGGATGAGTGAGATAGTCTGGCGGGTCCAGATTGGAGTCACGGCTGGAGGGCGGGGTATCATCGTGCTCGTACAAGGCTGCCGAGGGTCAGCAGTATCACCGCAACAGGCCGGGGAAGAGCTTACGAGGGGAGAGAGCGGCGGAGTGCAGCGATTCAGAGAGGTGGGACTCATGCTGGTCAAAAGCCCCATACGGGTTGTTATCCTCGTCGTTCCACATGATGGTCAGGGCGAGAGGATGTTGCCTTTGGGGATGAAGGTTGGAAAGCTGTGCCTGGGATCTGCGGGGGGGACCTCAACGTCACCGCCCTTCGGCGGTCTGCAGCGACCAGTGACGAAGTGGCGCAGCCGCGGTGATCATCCGTGAGTCTATCTGGAGATAATTGTAGATGGATTAGAACAAGCTGCCCAGGTGCTATGCCTTAGAGCACCTGATCTGTTCTGTCGTTATCATCCATGCTACTATGGGTATCTCATGGGTCCAAAGTTGGACGAGAAACGACTGCACCACGTGCCAAGCCCAGATCTATATCGTAGCCGCGATCAGATAAACATTCGGGCTTGACTCGGATATCAGATCAAATACAGGATCAGATGCCCGTTTGAAGGTTGTCAAAGGTAGTCCACTTAAGTCCGTACCTGTGAATATGTCTATAGAGATAATTCATCGCGCCAGTCTCTCTGGATTGAATTGGGGACCAAAAAGAGATGTACGCTCGCGCTCGACCCCAAAGGTGGAAGTTCACCGTGTCTCCATTCCACAAAATTCACACCTCCATACAGCCTGGACCCTACCATACGACTTCTGGCTCTCCTCCATCTTCTTTCTTACTGCCCCAACCCACTTGTGAGTCCATGGCATCGCCATAATTCATAAGGCTATGACGACGCTGAGGGATCCCTCGGCTGGTTCGATGTGACTGTCGGTCATTTTCGTTGCGGTTGCCGCCCCAGCTGTTTTTGGAATATTGACGATCTGATCCATCTTGATTTTGTGAGTGGCTCTTCCTGGATTGATTGCTCTTCGGCCGCCATTCATCCGGGTTGTCTTCCTTCTGGGATGAACTGCCTTTGTGGGACTGGTTGGCATTGCCATTCTGATAACCGCCTCCGTCATTATTATCGTTATTGTTAGTGTTTTCCCAGGTTGTGTCGTTCTGGTTTCCTTGATAGTTGTTGGTGTTCCCCCAGTATGAATGATCTTGATTGTTCTGGCGGTTTTTCTTGTTCTGTTTGTTCTTCCACCTCTGCTTCTTTTTCCCCTGGCTCTTATTTCCATAGCCTTGCTGCTGTTTCCGCTGTTTCTGTCTCGGCGCTGGTGAACCTTTGCGATAAAAGGGATTTTTATCCTCCTGATGCGGTCGACTGTCATGCTGAGTCCAGTCCGTATTCACACCCCTATTGACCAACTTGTACGTAACATAGCCGGGTTTTGCGATGTACGGAGTCCGTTGTTTCCGCGAGGGCCGGATCCATGCATCGTGCGTGTAGTCAGGTATGTGGCGGCTTCCGTGTCCTCTCTCAAGATCTCGAGGCCCGTTTTGACCTTGCACGTGGGCGCGGTCGTTTTTGATTCCAAGTCTGACATGTCTGTCATAGATGCAGTGGCCGGCCCATCCTGTACCAATCACTACCAAGGTGATTCCAATGAGGAGGGCAACCAGCGCGTTTTGTTGCATTGTAGATGGACGGCTGCCGATAGCCCGGCTGTCTTTGTCGGGGGAACGAGCAGACGCTGATGAGGATTAATACGAAGAGGCTCCTGTCTTTTGTGTGTCGCAAGTAACAGGAACGATGGGAATTCAAACAACGCAACGTGCTCGGCGATGATGCGGTAGACAGTCACCGACGTTGTGACCAAGGAGGCTTCGAGTATCTCGGAGAAGTAGGACAGAAGCTCACAGAGAGTGAGGGAACTGCAGCAGGATTAAAAGACTTGGGAAGAGGAATGTTAGATTGGTGGTAAACGTGGGACACGCGAAGTGCAGTGAACGAAGGCACACCCCACGGCAAGTGCACGATTTGTCGAGTCACCCTTCTTCAAAAGTATGTAGTGAAATTGTCTATGAGAGCTTCTTCTATATCTTGATATCTTGTTAAACGCCACAATCTACCAAAGTAACCCAGCCTGGATCCTCAACAGCCAGTTGTCATGAACCGCGGCGGTTTGACCAGCGCTGAGAAGCGACTGAAGCTGCGTTTTCAACGTTTGCGGCTCAACATCCAACCACTCCGGAGCCGCAAATGTCGGAGATGCAAGATTTGATGAAATGCTGATGAGCCGAACACCTAGTGTAAAGGACTCGGGCCTTGATATCCAACCCAACAGGCCATCTCGCCCGGCATCTTGAGCGATGTGCACCGACAGATGCTCCAATCCCTCAGAGACCCAGCTAGAAATCTGGCGCACCAGAGTTTCAGGATACGCGTTTCTTCTCAGTTGCTTAAGTGCGGGAGACCAGACATCTATCTCGCGTACCTCGTCAATGAACAGGTTCTGCTTCTCTTCGACGAACAGCGCAGTGCGTTCCTGGCCGTACTCAGCGACAAGGTCCGAGACGGCCACGAGGTGGGTCTGTTCATCAGATCCACTGATGCGAGGCTCTTGCCCAGTGAGATAGCGGATCACTCGCCGAGTAAGCTGCACAGAGTCCGAGTAGTGTTTGACGATGAACTCGGCCAGAAGGGCGCTCGCGTTCAGTGGGCCAAGGGCGACAGCTGCGTCGGGCGAGACCTCGGAGTATGAAAGCACCCACGAAGCAGAAGATGCGGAAATGTCTCGCAGTTCTTCATCATCGTCATTCAACATGTCGTACAAGATCAAGTAGATGTCCAGTAACGAGGCGTCTGTGCGAGGAGAACCTCCAACTGGACGCAAGGACCGAGCAAAGCTATGGAGTGATTGCACCGCTGCAAAACGGGTCGTAAATTCGGTTTCCTCGCCGAGTGCAGAGCGCAGCTTCACAATCCAGCCCTGAATGTCCTGCTTGACTGACGAAAGGGGGTGTCCTTCACTTGAGGAACCTCTGATTGCAAGAAGGCATCCCTGAAGACGAAGTGCGCCGTCTGTGGCGTGTCTGTTCCATGACTTGATATCCGCCTCCGGTCGGAAGCTTTTGACTAGATTATCACAAGGCAATGCAAGTCCTGGGATCACATCTGCTTGAGAAGACAGCAGCTCTTCCAAAATGGATGCGAGATTGGAGACAGCCACTGTCTTTGCCGATGCCGGGCCATCATTCAAGATGACAAATGAATACAGGTCGACCAGAGGTTTCCGGAGTCTTTCGACCTTGTCAAGCTTTTCTTCCAGTTGTTCGAGGATCCAAGTCGCGGCATCGGCATCGAAGAGCGAAACACCATGACAGAATTCGGAGATTCCGTTCCGCTCTAGAGCAAGCATTTTCAGCACCGTGCACCATGAGAGTGCTCTCCTAAGAAGGGAGGATGCCCGAGTCTTGCTTTCAAGTTTCCATCCTACCTTCGATGCATCGAAGATGTAGCTAACAATGCCATCAATGTCGAGTTCCGCCCAGATCTTATTGATGAACGGAGCAATTCGGTCTATCACAAATTAGCTTTGAGTTAATAACGCAGGGCACTTGCATCATACCTTCAATTCCAGCCTCAAAGCTTCGCTCAAGAGTATCATTCAAGATATCCACGAGCACGGTTGCAGTGAAAGGAGACCTGGCGGTTGGGAACACAGTCGCTAAAACGTAGCGGATAGTAGCGAGAATCTCATCGGCGTGTGCTGTGTTCGTTAGTATCCCACTCGAAAGATTGGGCCCCGGCGGGTGGGAGGATAATTCTTACAATTCCAGAACACATCCGTTGTAGCTGCGAATCTGCGCAGAGAGTATCTGACACAAAGTGCAGTGCCATGAACATAATTCTCGGTGACGTTGCTCTGGAGAAGATCAACAAGATGACGCACATCCTTAAGGATGTCTGTCCGGGTTAACAAAGAGGCATAGACACGAGCTGCGTGTTCTCGGATTCCCCAAACGGGGCTCTTCAGATGCTCGAGGACAAGATCGCAAAGCAGAGTGTCATAATTGTCGGGAAAAGTGGGAATCTTCTCTCCGATCAATTCAAGGGCAGGGAAAATCCGCTCTGTAACAATGTCGGTGCCTTCTGTTACAGTTCCTTGTGTAGATGCGAGAAGCTTTGACAACAGTTCCAGCAGACCAGGATATTTAGGGAAAGAGATCTTGGACCCTGGTTCTGATCCAGAACTGCCACCAAAGCCAGCTCCAACACCGGGAACTAGTCGGCACATTCGGATTAACAGGGAACGGAAGAGCATCAATCCAGAGTTTCGGAGTGCCCATCTGTTCAATTGTTAGTGACCGTTATTAAACAGGGTTAAGGATGACTTACATAGGTGATCCCAAACGCTCAGCAGACAAAGTCAACGCTGGCATGATGAAGTCCTCCGTGAATGGACCCAGTTTGGTGTTGGTGAAAATTTCTTTCAGGCAGTTCATAGCGTGGACCTGGGGAAGCTCCCGATACTGCTGATCCTTGTCGTACTCTACAGGCAGACGTGAAATCTCGTGAAGCTCACCCAAGGCCTGCTTGAAGAACGGTGTTCCGGGGCTAGAAACGAGAATGCCCGTAACCAGCGCAGGCAAACCAGCGGATCTTCGGGTGAGTTTCGCAGCCGACTCAAAAATGGTTGCTTTGGCCTCCCGGTACCACCCCTTCGGCAATTCTTGGATAGAAGCGTCTTTCGAGTCGCTACACCGCTGGCAGCATGTAGCGAACGTCTGTGAGACCGTGGAAAAGGCACCTCGGTGACGCAACTCGGCTAGTTGTGTGAAACTGGCCTTGCCAACGTTCTCGAAATCAGCAAGCTGAAGCCCATTGCTCCCATCTGGCCCATAGGTGGTATTCAACAGAGTAGCGTGAAGCAGCAGACTGTTCCTATCAGCAAAATATTCATCCCAATCAGAAGCACGGTGCATACCTCGATTCGCGCAGAGCTCTCCAGGAGTAAGAAAGAATATCCTTCGGTCCCACTGAGAGATCTTCGAGCGGCTCATCGGTGTGTCCTTCGGGAGAGTCAATGCATAACACGGGCTTGACCTCCTGCCAGACTTTGTCGCAAATGGCAACAATCCGGTCATGGACAGATCTCCAGGCGGTGGAATCGGACTCTGGTGAGAGCAACGAAAAGAATTTTGGCATAAGAACAATATATCTAGTGTGATTGTCAACACAGGAAATCCCTTAGCTCTCGAGGGCGAAAGCACGTACCTAAGTCCGGACATATATCCGTGAAGGGGAGCCTCGCGCATGGTAGAATTGAAGAGACCATTGGAAGATAGAAGTCTTTCTTCCAACTTAGTCAAAATGGTATCAACCACTGATTGCTTTGTTGCCCACCAATCTGCACCATTCTCAGTGTTGCCAGCAGCACAGAATAGAATGTGGTACAGCCGAGCGACAGTGTCGGCGTTGTCGGCCCGGCTCGTTTTACTCGCAATACTCTCCGCACGAGCCAGGGCATCGGTCAATCGCGTACCAATTGTCGGCTGTCGCTCAGCTGCATCAATCAATCCACTCAGCAAAATCTGCCGAGGAAAGAGATTGATAATCGAAAGCGATGTTTGTCGGACTTCTTCGAAGGGATCGAGAAGGAGATCCACCAGCAATCGAAGCAAAAGGGGGTTAAATACATCGATATGCAGCTTCCAGCGGGTCTCGACTTCGGACTTGAGAGGGGGAATGTTGGTCCGAGGATCGAGACCAGACTGCAACAGGAGGTTGAGAGCTTTCAAGGAACTGGCGTGACGTGGGTAGGAGGCCGTCACCACCAAATCACTCTGAAGGAAATCGACGTATCTTCTCAAAAATTCCTTTGTCTCGTCATCGCTCCGGACCCAGCCCGAAGGATCTTTGCTGGTCGCTGGCACAGCTGCGTCTGACATATCCTGCTTTTTCAGAACACCACTCTTTAGACGGATGATGACCTTGCGCGTTAAGCTCATGATCTCGCCTCTGGTGTACGAGTCAGAGTCGGCATGCATAGATGGGAGTGCTTGCAAAAGGGCAGCAGTCGCAGCTGTTGTAAAGGGCTTAATAGTGGAAAACGTTGTGACGAGTAGAGACAAGGCAGCAATTCTGATACTGGACTCTCGGTGAAGCAAAAATTTGCCAATAACCTGGCTGTCCAACACTAGTTTCCGAGGGCCTTCTTTAGATGTGTTTTGCTTCGATGAATCATCTATGTCCGTTAGAGACTGTTCATGAACAAGGGAAAATAATTCCACTTACAATCCTCGTGCACAAGGTTCGCCTTCTTTCCCATTTGCAAAGATGCAAAAAGAAGCATATATTCTGACTGTCCGGCATCGGCCATGTCACCCGCAAGGAGACTTTGCAATGGAAGGGCTTCCACGAAAGACATGAAACCATGCGGATCAGCGGTGAACAAAGGGTGAAGGATTTGAGCCGACAGTGCCTCCAAGTTATCCGTATTTTGAAGAAGGATGTGTCGAACGGGGCCCACCCAGAGATTGGATACCTGTCGAGTCATAGTCTTGCCCTTCAATTTTTGCAAGAAAGCGGCCAACACACTACCACTTGTCCCAGACATTTGACGATTGTTGGTTTGAGTCAAGAGACCGAGGATAAAGATCTTTGTAGCCAGTTCCTCCGATGGAACCCCGGCTGAGATTGTGGAAAAATCAGAGGTTTCGGGGTATAGGGCCTCGTGATCCTTTTCAAATACCGATAACCATTTTTCGCGGTTTTCTCCAAGCCAAACCTGCAATAACGAGATCAACTCCGAGGGCAAAATGGCTCCCTTGCGGAGGAAGATCTCCAAACAGACAAGGGAACCCTTCAGCCGCGAACGGGGTTCACCAAGGACAACACTGGGCAGAATTGCTTTTGCAACAGTCTGCTGAATAGTATTTCTCTGCTCACCCCGGTAATGTTTGACCAAGATAGTCGTGAGGGACCCTATTAGCTGCTTCAAGGGCTTGGGCTTGGCATCTTCGTAGCGGCTCAAGAAGATATCGAATATTGCCAGCCAAGTCTCGGATTTCAGGGCCAATTGCTTGGTACATTCATGTTTCGAATTGGCAGCAGCATCAATGAAAGCTGAAACAGCGTGGTAGGCTGCTGCTGTATGCTGATTAGACAAAGACGGGTTCGATGCTGTCTGAATGAGTGACTGCCAAACCCGATTCACCTTCCTGTCAAGTCAATTTCAGCACTCCGAATCATTTATTTTCATCAAAATCATGATAAACTTACTCGCTGTCATCATTTGACACGGTAAACTTAACTAATGGGCCCTTAGCGATCTCTTGCAGGGTCTTTTCGGACAAAAATTGTGCATTTTGCGTAATTTCCTCCATACTGGCGGAAAGCGCACCCTGGAGGCTGCAAGAAGTGTCACTGTCCATGGCCAGTGCAATCCCAAATACCCTGGATTTCCACAGAATGAGCAAACGCCAAACCGATCGGGATATCAAATTTGCTCCAAGCTCCCCGCGCTGCCTGAGGCGCCGAATAATGGGAGTGTTCTTCCCAATGAGGACTAGCGTCGGAAGAACCAATCTTCCGCGCCTCAGTCACGGGACCGAAGTTTTTGCTGGTGCCAGTCGGTGGAGCTGGAACTCAAGGGACATCGGCCTTCCTTCTTCCCTTCGCCTTTGTGTAAATTAATCACCTTATCTTTCCCCATCCTCCTTTCATCATGCCCATCTGGGACTCTCTCGGCGGCCGCAAGGAGGGCCAAGCGACCTCGGCCTATGACACTTCTAACGCGCAAGATGCCAATTCCTTCCTTTCCGAAGTTTCCATCGATCCCACCAAGCTGCACCCCTTGGCCGGCCTGAACCAGGACACCCTCGACTACCTCACCCTCGAAGACTCTGCCCTCGATGAACTCCCCGGCTCCCGATCTGTCCTGCCTTCTCGCGGCTGGTCCGACGACCTTTGCTACGGTGCCGGCACCACATATCTGGCTGCGCTGACTCTCGGAGGCGCGTGGGGTCTCGCAGAAGGATTGAACAAGACACCATCCACCGCGCCACCCAAGATTCGGTTGAACGGTGTTCTTAACTCGGTTACCCGCCGTGGTCCGTTCCTCGGCAACTCCGCCGGTGTCGTCGCGATGGTTTATAACGGTTTCAACTCGGCCATTGGCTACGCGCGCGGGAAGCACGATTCTGCCAATAGCGTTGCTGCCGGTGCCTTGAGTGGAATGCTGTTCAAGAGCACCCGCGGTGTGAAGCCGATGATGATTTCAGGAGGCATTGTGGCCTCGATTGCTGGTGCTTGGGCCGTACGTCTCCGAATTTACCCGTGTGTGAATTTCTATCTTGCTAACATCCAACAGGTGACGCGAAAGGCCTTTTTCTAAATTACCTGGCTTGTCCAGTTTCATCCCACTCCTCTTCGGTGAACCGAATCATCCATACCCTCTCTGCCCTCGACGACATAGGCGGTAGCCCGTCTCCGCAAACTTCAGTCTTTCAACCTGCGATGTATTACAACAGCTTTTTTTTTACGCTTTTCCCCTGAGACCTCTTCACTCTGGCGCTCCAAGCATCCATGTTTCGCATTTCTGCGTGGGTTGGGAACGGGGTGTGCAACTGGGTTTGTACTTTTTATTGCTTCTGTCCATGTACATAGAAAAGTCTCTCGCATTTGCGAGGCTTATTGACTCGGACGCTCCCTTGGTGTCATGTCATGTAACCTTAATGCTGCGCGAGCTTCCCAATAGAGAAATCATTACGCATCGGTCCCGGTATTCATATTTCGACGCAAAAATTTCATTGAACCCTGGGTTTGGACTAATGAAAAGTCGGATAGGAGTTGGGATTCTATACCGTGATGGAGAGAAGGAACAGAAAGAATGAAGACCTGACCGCCGTGCAGATACATCCGAGGGACTATACAGAACTTCAAACACTCGAGAGATACCGATCAATCAACATGCAATCGCAACTATTCCTCACTGGCTCACCACCACTATCAATCTAAAACCTGGCACTTTCCAAACTGCTTAGAGGAAGGTTCAGCTGCAGATCCAGCCAGCATAAGCACAACCGAACCGATGGCAGACTTTGAGAGTGGTCGAGGAGCAATAACTCCACCCGCATTCGCAGTCAAAGTCGCGGTGGCTCCCTTAAAGGTGGCGATAGTCGTCGCATTGGCATTGGTATTGGTATTGCACTAGCCCTCGCCAGGCTCGGAGGCTTTGACGAGTTTGCTTATTCGTTGGATTGAGATTCATGGCTCTTCTTATAATTCTTACAAGACTTGGAAGCGAAACACGCCTCATCTCGTACTCTTTGGCAGCCTCCTTTTGGAATAGCTATATCACCGGCCTCATGGGACCGACGGTCTAGTGATCAACCGCCAAACAAGCCCCTGCATGTAGACCGTAGATAGTCCCACTTGATGTCTGCATATCATAGGATTTTCGATATCGGGGCTTACCTCTGATGACATGGCTCAAAATCAGCTCACTCTTGGTATTCGACTATGAATAGAGTCTTGCTGCCCGTCCAATTATGGGCAATGGCCTTCTGCCCGTGTCTGGGCAGATTTGTGCCGTGATACCACATTTTTATCAATGGCATGAATGTTTCATCTATGATGTGTATAGTAGGAGATGAAGGTGCCTAGCCCAAGGTACCATATGTGCGACATGGAATTTCATCATCCAAAGCAGATAATTAACAGCTTTTGCCCAAGACGTTCGAAGAGTAATGTTCTACAGACTTTTCAAATGACCCAGTCTTCAAACATACACAACGCGAAGTTTTTTCGCGTCGACCGTTCAAGCACGCAACCAAACTCTCATAATAGTAAAACATTCTAAAAATCAGATACAGGCTGACTTCCCAATTTCGATTGTCCACACATCAATTTCGGAAGGCATTTCCATCTCAGGCCTCATGTAGATCAAGGCCCGGCGGTTGCCGATGCGGGGGCAAATTCGCATAATTTTGTGTCGCCCGTCGCATCGCCCCGACATTCACCACTATCAATTCAAAACGTGGGTATGCCGAAAGAATCTTTATCAGCTAATGTGAAGGCCCCCAAATTGCGTACGAAGACCTTCACTGGATGTTGGACCTGTCGATCCCGCAGAGTCAAGTGTGACGACGAGCGCCCTCACTGCCGTCGCTGTAGCCGCAGTGGCTGGCAATGCCAGGGCTACGGCCTGCGTCTGGGATGGTCACAGACACCTGGGAGTCGCTCGCAGCGGCGCCAGATTCTATCGTCGACTCCACACTCCACCCATGATTTGTCTTCTGGAGCTGTGACGGCTCTCTTGGCAGAGCTGGATGGATGCTCCGCCGACGGCACTGCCCAGCAACGGGGGCCTTTCTCGGTATTCTCCGCCTCCGGCTCTGAGTCCGAAGTCCAGGAACCAACAATTGACTCACAACATATTATCGAATCTTCTCGGTTGTCGCAAGAAAGAGAAAGAGCCCCGGACTCGGACAGTTGCAATTCTTTCGTGGCAGACGTATCTTCTACCGGTCACGGCATTGGCGATGAGATTTCTCCAGAGCCTGCGAGTGGATTATCATATTTGGAAAATGGGTCGTCCTCCATCTCAAGTCATGATAAATGGCCATCCCCGGTGCCCTCTGAGCCTGTCGTTCAGGCCGATGGTCCTCGCTCCTCTGCGCTCTCTACCCTCAATCAGTGTTCTCTCGGGAGGCTGGCTACGGATGGGATCCATTCGAAAGATCCTATATCTGGCTCTTCGCCTGCGGATACCCCGTTCTGGAAGATGATAAATCCCGTGCAGTTACCACGACCAGAAACAGAACTGGTCCACCATTGGGTGGTCTTTTTGAGTGGGAACATGCTACTAATTGATACCCCTGACAACCCGTGTCGGACAGTATTTATGCCACTTGCATTACAGGGAATGGACACATACCCTCGGGAATCAACTATTCATCTCTCTATCTTCCACGCCATATGTGCCTCGTCGGCCTTTAGCCTTTACCACCTTCGCCGAGACTCTCAGTATCAATCTCTTGCCATGCACCATGACCAGCTGGCCTTGCGTCATTTGCGTGGAAACCTGGGACGAGCTAAGCGTTTCGACGAGCCTACACTAGCTGCAATTCTGTCATGTATCACAGCTGAGGCGATGTCCGGGCGCAGAAGCAGGTGGAGAGCACATGTTGCCGGTGGACTTGGCCTCTTGGAGAATGAGATAAACGGGGGCTGGATCAAAGGCCCCACAGCCTCACGGTTGTTGCAAAGCTACTTGTCTCTTTCCTCACTCTGCAGTCTGCCCATGTCAACGCAATTGTTGTCACTACTCAATGGCCCTTCGGAATTGCGGCACTATCTTGAACGCTCACACGGCATCACAGCACCTCTTGTCCAATTCCTCGCACAAATTACCGCCATACATGATTCGAAATCAGCCCTGTCGACAGAGGAACTGGATCGACTCGAACTGCAATTATATCTCAATTTTCCGTGCCTCTCTACCCCCGGTGCTCCCGGCTCGACCATCATCCAGCATGCGCTTAATTCCTTCTACTACGCCACAATTATTTATTTCCGTCGAACACTACGACGTGTGCCATTATGTGACGTTCAAGAACTCGTTGAGAAAGCTGTTCAAGAATTAGAAGTCGTGGACACATTGAAGAATGACAAAGGTGGCTGCGCCTATAACTGGGCTAGCTTCGTTGTGGCTGCTGAATGCCTACGACCGGATCTGCAGACCCGCATGCTGTCCTGGTTCGAGCGTAAGAGGCGGAACGGGATCCAGAACGTCATCATACTCTGCGAGATTGTGAAGGCGCTTTGGGAACGCCGTGATCAGGCCGGGAGAGATTGTGATATTCAGTGGCAGGAACTTGCCAAGGAAGCTGACTTTGATATTATGCTTGTATAATAACATGGAATGTATGATGATATTCTCATGGACCCTAGAAGATTCCCTCATACTCGGCAGATGTGCATCTAGACAGTGTTACCACCGTCCACCACTAACGCTGCACCGCATATGTAGCTGCTCATGCTTGATGACAGGAAGAGCAGTGCGTCGGAAATTTCTTCCACTTGTGCAGGGCGACCGATAGGTGTGGCCTCGAAGAGGGGCTTCATCGAATCGAAGTGATCACTGAGAATTGGAGTATCCACGAAGCTGGGAATTTGTAGTTAGTTGAGTCTCTTGAGACATTGAGGAATAACGCACCCAGGGCAGATAGCATTGATGCGGATTCCCTGTCGGGAGTATGCCTTGGCATCCTATACTTGGGTCAGCCGTTTTATCACAGATTCGGGGAAATGATCAGACCATCTTCGTTAGACCAACCACCGCTGCTGTTATTAGCTTATATTGTTCACGAACGAGATAAGTGAAGACATACCATGCTTTGCTGCAGTGTAGTGCGGAATCCCGGAAGGACTCGGTGGACCAGCAATGCCGAACATGGAAGAGACATTAACAATGACTCCTCGTCCTTCACGGAGACCTCGCGATCTATACCAGATGAATGAGCATTGATTCCATTCGGTGCATGGACGGGACGCACTCCTGGGTTAGCATCTGCCGGATCACAGCCCGCTGACAGAGCCAGAGACCCGTCTGGTTGATATCGATGACCTTCTGCCACTCCGACAGGGACATCTGGTCGGTAGGCGTCGGGTTGCCACTGATACCGGCGCAATTGATGCCAATATCGATACCGCCAAACCGTTCAACGGTCTTTCGTACGGCCGAGTCCACACATGCCTCATCCGCAACGTTCACTTGGAGCATTTCGACCTGAACGTTGGGAAATTGGATGTTGATTTCGTGGCAGGTGCTTTCCAGGGCAGAGATATTTAGGTCAGCGAGGGCCAGTGCGCCAATTCCGTTCTTCGCGAATGCCAGTGCAGTGGCCTTGCCGATTCCTATTATGCTTAGTGCCAAGATTCGTAGTCGATGGCAATGGAACTTACCTGATCCGCCGCCCGTGATGAAAGCTGTCCCTTTGACTTGACACGCCATGTTGGTTGGAGGTTGGATGAAGACTCTTAGATTGATAGTCGAGGCGGTGCTTGTCTAGGCATTCAATGCTATTAATGCCGACATCGCCCGAAAAGCAAAGTGATTGATCCAGCTCATTAGCTCGGCTGCCTCTCGGATACGGAGGTGGCATGTTCCGACTTGACATGTTAGTCTAGGACTCGGACCGCCTGATTGACGTTGCAGCGGATCCTCGTGGCATCGCGTGCTACCGTGTGGGTCTCGAACTATCTCGCTGTCGACTTCCAGTTTGGATTTCAAGGTCCATGCTGTTTACAACCTAGGACGCTCGTAACCGGAAGTTCACAACCGGGGATGGTCCAATTCATCGGGTTCGGATGCGATCAAACCGGTCTCCACGATATCGGCTACGGAGTTGATTATGAAGACACGACACGAGTCAGTTTCGACCCCCTGTAAAAAGACACCCTATCTCCCGTGCTAAGCCACTTGATAATTTCCAACCCCGCAGCCTTGCTCGATTTATTTTATTTCATCCTGGTACATCTTGAAGACACCAATATGACTCGAACCGGCCCCTATATCGAGACGGACGCCATCGTCATCGGTGGTGGCTTTGGAGGATGCAACTCTCTGTACAAGCTGCGCAACTTGGGATTATCCGTGAAACTCATCGAGGCCGGTGGTGCCTTCGGTGGCGTCTGGTACTGGAACCGCTATCCTGGAGCTCGCGTTGATACTGAGATGCCCTCATATCAGTTCAACATTCCTGCCGTCTATAAAAGGTGGAACTGGTCTGAGCGATTCCCCGGCGACGAGGAACTGCGCCGATACTTCAAACATGTCGATGACGTGCTTGGTCTCAGTGAGGATACCTTTTTCAACACGATTGTCACACGTGTGCAGTACGATACCACTTTGCGCCGGTGGGTTGTGCTCACCAATACCGGACTCACTGCCCGCTGCAAGTATCTCGTCGCTGCGACCGGATCGTCGTATAAGAAGCACAGTCCTCAATTCAACGGACTGGATAAGTATGCGGGACGGCTTGTGCACTCTGCCGATTATCCCGAGTCCTTGGACGTGAAGGGAAAGCGCGTCGGCATTGTCGGCAACGGTGCCTCGGGCCTTCAAATCGTGCAGAACCTCGCCAAAGAGGACTGTGAACTAAAAGTGTTCATCCGGACACCTTGCTTTGCAATCCCCATGAAGCAGCGCAACATCCTGCCCGACGAAGCCGAGATGATGAAGGGCTATTACGACGGCATCTTCGACCGCTGCTACAAATCCACCAGTGGTTTCCCGCATAACACTCGCTTCCAGTCGGCGCTCCAGGCCAGCCCCAAAGAGCGAAAAGAATTGTTCGACGAACTCTGGGCCCGTGGTGGATACAGCTTCCTTGTTTCCAGTTACTACGATTTCCTGTTGAACGAAGAAGCAAACTCGATTTTCTACGACTACTGGGCTCAGCAAGTGCGCGCTCGCATGACGGATCAGAAGAAGATGGATCTGGTTGCTCCGCTGAAACAGTACATGCTGGTAGGAACGAAGCGCCCTAGTTTGGAACAAGACTACTACGAGATGATTGACCAGCCCAACGTGGCTTTGCACGATCTGAAAAAGTCTCCCATCATCGAATTCGATTCCACTGGCATCGTGACGGGTAATGGTGAGACCACAGAGCACCACGATCTGGACATCATGATCTTGGCCACGGGCTACGATGCTGTCACTGGCAGTATCCTGGACCTGGGTATCACCGACAAGAATCAAATTCCTCTGTCCGAAAAGTGGAAGAACGGCGTCTTGACCAATCTGGGCATTATGATCCCCGATGTTCCTAATCTCTTCATGGTCTACGGACCCCAGGCCCCGACATCCCTGGCGAACGGGCCGCCTTTCATCGAGATGGAAGTTGACTGGATCTGCAAAGCCATCCAGAAATTGCAAACGGAGGGACTCGAGTCCGTTGAGACTACACAAGAGGCTGCCGAGAGGTGGAAAGAGCATGTTGTTTCCGTCAGCCAGCACACACTTTATCCCAAGACTGATTCGTGGTATATGGGTGCCAATATTCCTGGCAAGAGAAGGGAACCTCTCATTTATCTTGGTGGTATGCCGCGTTGGTGGCAACAGTGCACGGATGCTTTGGAGCAATGGGAGGGATTTCACACTTCATCTTGAAAAAGAAGCCTTCTACGTTCTTTTTATCTCAGACTGTGGAAATTGATTAGATATATAAGGACAGTCATGTATATTGCCACAATTGTTATTTCTTTGGGCTTCATTCTGAGTAAATCTATTTTAGCCCTGTCATTGATTCGAGACATGACGTTAAGTTGTGCCTACTTGTTCACTTTCGACGTGATACAGAGTTGGTCACCTCGACGTACTATTATGTTTCAAGATCATAGGTTTAATCTTTGGATAGTAGTGGTCCTTGACAATTGCTAGACCTGGGAATTCATCAGATGACCAATTATGTATCTCTGGGATACCATATTACATATCAAAGAAGTGCAAGCGCATTTGGGGGGCTGCCAACAGCTCCAGGTACATTCAGCGGTGCTGAAGTCAGAAGGAAAGTGTACTTCTGGTTTCCCTTGCAATGCGTGGCTAAAGTTTTGAGATACCAAAGCTCTCCGAGCGGCATGCCAAAAAGACTCAAGCACCATTGGTGAAGAACAAGCTGCGTCAATGGCTTCGTTTCCCCATCGACGATAGGGGGCATAGCCTCGACCGCAACATTGTCGCTGGCAATGGCAGCAAAGTGCTGGTTCCACAGCCAGCGGGCCATCTCTTTGGTACCGTCGACACCGCAGTAACTATAAGTCGACAAGGCAGAGGTTTGCTCGTCGGGAGTCATCTGGCCCAGTGCCTCGGTGACTCCGAATCGGATGATTAGGATATCGCCCTGTCGGAAGGTGACTCCCTGGTAGGCTGCAACTGCTTCGATGTCGGCAATTCCAATGCGAAAACCACTGAATGGGTCGTACTTGAGTCCTTCGGCATCCGCGTATGACTTGAAGTCGATGAGAACACCTCGTCCAGCAACGCAGCCACGGTCGTGCCAGTCTCGGTGATGTTAGCATAATGATAGGCACAGAGTGTCGGGTGCTTACTCACGGTCAAGGGTGGGAAGCTTTTGAGAACCTTTGGTAGGATTTTGCATGTCCTTCACGGTAGGGGTGACTCCGTTGTACGTCTTTCCAGTTGGAAGATGCATGAAGTGACCTGTTAGATAATTAGCTGTTGTTCAAAGTCGCACGTGGATCAGACATACAGAGACTATCCCACTGGCTGCTGGCCTGAGTATTGAATTCGACCTATTTGCCATTAACCGCCATGCCAGGCAAAACATTGTGCTTCATTTACCTCGTCATCAAATCCATAGTGCAAGTTTGCATGCGGGTCTTCAAGCTTCACGACCGTGTGATTGAGGCTCTTTCGAAAGAATCCAGGGATTTTGATGCTCCCGATAGGCCAGCTATTCCGTGGTTAGCATGTTGCCGCGTGGAGAAGAGACCAGTCTAACTTGAGTGAAATCGAGATACCGTGACGAACTTCCTCCGCAGCGGCCTTGACCACATCGGGCGTTAGTAGATTCAGTGTCCCGTAGACATCTTTTTGGCCATCTTGGTCGAAGATACCCCACGCACAACCCTGGGGCACGCCCTCAACGGGCGGCAAGTCATCAAAGTCGGGCAATGAGAGAGTCATGAGTGAGAATCGTTTCAAGTGAACAATAGTGGTATGGCCGTCGCACCGTCTGCGCAACCTGGATGTTTCCCGTCTTAGTCGGGAAGCTGCGATGTACCAAGGCACCGGCTGTTGGATATCGTAACCGGCAATCTACAGCGAGCTGTCAGGTTCTGTTGTTCGAAAGATTGGGGAATGTGGATCATCCAGGGCCTCGCCGTTGCCTACCTAATGCGCTGTTCCCCGCCCGCCTGTGGAGCCCGCGACGAGCCGAATCGCTCGGCAGCGAAAGACGGTGTCTTCCGTAAACTCAATCGCAAATGAAATCCGGAGCCTCGGATTGTGTATGGATGAAGGAAGCGGAAGAAGTAAATGAGTGCCGAGAGAAGAAGGCTCGGCACTGAACAGCCGCGAGGTTGAAGATAAAATGCTTGCGTGGGATTTCAGGCAACTACGCAAACACGTTTCTATCACTTGATTCTCCCACTTGCTAGCAGCGATGCCTCTCAGCTACGATCCGGAATTTCTTAAGGAAGCAGCACCAGTGCTGCAACAGCTCGCACAGGCTGAGCGTGCGCCACTTCATGATGTCGCGACCAGACGATCCATGATGGCCGCCTTGACGAGACCTTTGCCTGCAATGCCCGATGGCGTTGAGAATCTCGTTCACCGAGTCCCCACTACCAATGGTCACGAAGTGGCGGTCTATCACTTCCGTCCGATGCAAGAGCCTCGTGACGGTGGTGAACCGGCTATCGTTCATATCCACGGCGGAGGATACTTTTCACTGAGCGCCGAACAATGCTCCGTGCCGCATGTTGGGTCGGTACAACGAACCGGGGTGCAGATCCTCACTATCGATTATCGATTGTCCCCAGAGCATCCGTACCCCACACCCCTGAACGATTGCTGGACAGCACTCGAATGGGTTTATGCAAACGCAGAGCGGCTATCCATCGATCATTCGCGCATTGCACTCATGGGCGAAAGTGCAGGCGGTGGGTTAGCGGCTGCCTTGACGCTTCGAGCTCGAGACCGTGCACTGTCGCCGCCGATTGCGAAGCAGATTCTGGTGTACCCGATGTTGGACGATCGGACAACGACCAATCATGCGGGTGAACTGGCATTCTGGAACGAAGTGGACAACATCACCGGATGGACGGCATACCTGGGTTCTGACGCAGGGTCCGACTGGATCGACGCATATGCTGCGCCTGCTCGGGTTGAAAGCGTCGAAGGGCTTCCTCCGCTATACATAGACTGTCCACAGTTGGACATTTTTGTACACGAAAGCTTGGAATATGCAAAACGCTTTGTGGAGGCTAATATCCCCACAGAATGCCATGTTTATCCCGGCTGCCCACATGGATTTGAGGCATTTGCGCCACTCTCGAAGGTGGTACAGCAGGCCATTGCTAATCGAGACAAGGCCGCGATGAACTTTTGAAGGCGGCTGGACGTGCATGTGGAAATCTTATACATCAGTGAGAAATAAATCTGCTATATTCAGTCGTGGGAAAGTTCCATGGGTCGAGAAATACATAGGAAAACCACGAAGAGATTACAAGTCGGTTACTTTGAAAACGCAATAGACAAATTAATAGCTCGACATATTTAAGGAGAACTCCCTGTCTAAGATAACGGAGTACTGAGCTGGTTTACTAGCGAGAGAAGTAGAGGTTCCAAAATATACCTGGCTCGGATAAACGAGAGAGGACCGTCGGTGCTTGGCGGATGAAGTCATGGACGGAGATTGTAACAGCCGGGGCCGAGTGGGCCTGGCGTATAAGAGGCGTGCCCTCCCCGGGAAACCTTCGTCTCTACCCCAGCATTTTATTTTTATTTTAGCAATGGCATCCACTCCGAGACCCAATCCTGACATCGTTCACAGTCTCATTCAAGACCGCGTGGCCCTCGTTACCGGCGCTGCTCGAGGAATCGGCTTTGCAACAGCAGCTCTTCTTGCGCAGCATGGTGCGCGTGTAGTCCTTGTTGATTTGCGGGAAGAAGATCTGAAAAAGGCATGTGCCACAATTGGCAAGCAGGCGACATGGCAAGTCTGCGACGTGAACAACTGGGACCAACAATTGGCTTTGTTCGATCACGTCAAGAAGACGGTGGGATCTATCAGCCTGATGGTCTGCAATGCGGCTGTCAACCCGGAAGTCGCTCTCTTGCAGACCCACGACGTGGAAAAGCATGCGCGGATGAACTCGCAAGTCCGACACAATTACCTGGCAGATGAGCGCAGCATACAAGGGGATACTCTTGAGAAACCATCCACCCAGCTCATCGATATCAATGTCAATTCCGTCATCTTTGGACTGAAATTGGGCATCCACCACATGAAACAGCACGGTGGGGGCCGTATCGTGGTCATTGGATCTGCCGCATCCTACGTTCCGGTTTCCTCGCAGCCGCTGTATACAGCTAGTAAGCACGCCGTACTGGGATTGTGTCGGGCCACGTCTCAGATCAGCGAGGTGGTGGACTCGGGGATCTCGATATCTTGGATTGCTCCTTGGTTGACCTTAACTCCTATGGTGGAAGGTCTTCAGGCGGCAACTAGCCCCGACACCCTCAAGAGCTCACCGGAGGACGTTGCGTGGGGAGTTATTGCTGCTGCGGCTGCTGAGAATCCTACTGGCAAGGGCTACTGGGTGCAAGGACAGGCGATCAGTGAAGTGGAGGGCGCTTACGGTGAACTGGCAGGGAAATTGATCCTTCCGGAGAACCGGTTTTAGTTGAACAGAGTTGACGCAAATGACATTTTTGTTTGTGGTTTGTGTATCATTTCATATCGATTTTAAGCTGAAGTATTGAAGTGGCATGAAACAATGTTCCAAAATGCGAGGTTGTGTTGTCAACCCCGCCCTCGGTGGTCGAGCAAATCGGTAACGTACCGACTATGACACGCTTCCGCCATTCCTGGGACTGGTTAGGCGAGCGTGACTACCTCCACCATCGTGCCCTTGCCTTGCAAAAGTTAGTGCAACTCCGTTCGCCTCGATCTGTATCGATCAGGCCGGAATCGAGGCCAGATCGACCCACAGCGGGGCTTGGCGATTGCTTGTTCGCCCGTCAAGATTCAATCTGCCAGCCTCCCGAGGTTGGGGGCATTGCGTAGTCTTGCGGTGCTCTATTCATAGCTCACCAGGTCAGCAGAAAAGGCTGGGACCTTGCTAGGAGATCTGCAAATCTCGTAGCGTCCAATGCTAGGCAAGTATGGAAACCCTGTACCCCGTGACACGTCCGTCGCTGCGAAGTATAGGATTTGAATGACTTCAGAAGGTCTTCCCCAGCCCCTTTTCCTGACGATTCTGTGTCTGTTGCTTACATGCATGGTCGGCGCCATGCTGCATCCATGGGGTGTTTTACCTCGGAGATGTGCATCCCTCCCGAGTCTGCTTCCCAACCTCCACGAATACTTGAGGGTAGCCCCTGGAATAATCCGGCAACTTTACCCATGGACCAGTAGAAAAATCACTCAAGGTAATCCACACGTGCGCTCATTTTGTCAACAATGCCAGTCAAATTCCGTCGAACCACAACTGCCTCATACTGTAAGTAGCTCACAAGCGCTGGCCCCTGCGTCTGTGGTAGAACTCGGCCCTCCACAAACCCAGAAAAACCAAGAACGCGACAATCCTTCCTCGTTTGCCGCCGAACCCCTCGAAAAATGTAAGCTCGTATTGCAGAAGATTAGCCTCACCCTTGCCATATAGGGATGGCCGGTTTCCTTCCCCCAGCCGTCTCGATGTCTAGCATACTTCTATTGCTCAGGGTATCGTCATTCTAGATGTGGACTTTCGGGATTTGAGTATCGAGCACAAGCATTGCAGTACGGACTGGCGATTGTGTGCCTTCAATGAAGCATATGCAAGATCCATCCCCATCAGCCTCTCTAAATATAGATCTAGGGAACAAAACCAGGCGCGTCCCAATCTGGCGATTCCGGATGCGGGGTGCGATCTCCGTCAGCTGACTTTTGCTTTCCTGTTTTCCCCGTTTCTTCCTCATTTCTTTTCAACCACCTGTGAACTCATCATTTCCTTCTTTGCATGCCAGTTTGGCGTTTGCCTTGCCATAAGGCCGTTGACCCTCAACGGGTCTTACTCCCCCCGCGCTAAGGCCGATTTAGGTCTGGAGGCTGAGACACAACTCTTGTTTTCGGTCTCTCTAATCTCGTAGGATTTGCCTCCGCTTGCGGCTCCCATCGATGCAGTTCCCCGAGTCCGGATCGACCGAAAGGTCCAGCCAAGATGCCGCAATCAACCGTGGCGAAGCCCTCAGGCGTCTGGAGATGAACGAACCTGCAGTAGACCACGCGCCTTCCGTACTTCATTCGCCGTCGTCGATACTGCCCTCGCTCCAGATCCGAACCGACTTGCCCAGTATTCGTCCGACCAGCTCGAATCGCGATTCCGATCCATTAGCCTCCCTCAGCGTATCCTCCGGAAGCATCCTGCAGCGGACTCCCAGTCTGCGCGCGCTTATCGCCCCTCCCATCTCGAGTGCGGGCTCTTTATCACCCGCCTCGTTTATGTCCTCGCCCCAGCTGAATGCTATGGGCGATATCACTCCTCTGCCATCTCCCATCGGCGGATCATCACCGTGGCGGCGCGGAGACCTGCCGTCTCTATCTCGCACATCGTCCGCTGCATCGCGAAGCGCATCTAGTTTGCGCCTGAGCGATTCTTCGCAGATGCTGAGTCCACCAGTGTCACGCTCTCGCGGGAAAACATACAACGGGCTTGACGGTATGGGGGAGAATTCACCAGTGCCGGGCCAACTTCGCCACGACTCACCCACAAAACATGTGCGCAACCGCAGTCTCAGCGACTATGCACCGCCTGGCCGAACGAGTCTGCCTCGTCCGATTGCCGTTTCCGGTGCAGCTGCTCATGGTATCGCTCCGTCGTCAAGTACGGACTCGAAATCAGCCGGCCTCCACCGCGAACAATACTTGGCCGTGCGTCGAGGTATCGCCCTGCCTACTGTTCGCCCTCCGAGCCCGCCTCGCAGTAGTGGCAGTGGATATTGGGACAGTGACACGGAACAGGTCACTCAACATCCCGTGCCGTTCTCGGCCTCCGATGAAATCTATTCGGTGAAATCGATTCGCACACAGCAAGCCCGAATGTACCGAAAGCTTCGCGTGCTGGGTCAGGGCACCTTCAGCAAGGTCTGCCTGGCCGCACGCGTGGAGCAAATGGTGCAGACACCATTATCGCCTGACGTCGACGGTCGTGGTGAGACTGCCGCGCCTGCTGCCACTCAGAAGCTAGTCGCGGTCAAAATTATCGAGCATGGCCCAGCCGGGGGTGCAGATGAGGAACGACTTGAGATATCTTTGAAGCGCGAAGTCGATATTCTAAAGTCGGTGAACCACCCGTCTTTGGTTCAACTCAAGGCATTCGGAAGCGATGAGAAGCGCGCCTTGCTTGTTCTGGACTATTGTCCCGGTGGTGATCTGTTTGAGTTTGCAACCTCTGGCGGTCAACCGATTTCGCCTGGCTTGATTCAACGTATCTTCGCCGAGTTAGTCGATGCCGTGCGCTATCTTCATTCTCGTTACATTGTTCACCGGGACATCAAATTAGAGAGTGAGATTTCTTCCTTGGAGGGATGAAACGTTGCTAATCCCATGACAGATGTTCTGCTCACCATGCCCTCCCACGCCCTGGAGGATGTGACAGATTGGCGTACTTACGACCGTGCAGTAGTTGTTCTCAGCGATCTGGGACTGTCAAGACGCATCCCCGAACCACCTGAGTGTCCGCTGTTGAAGACTAGATGCGGTAGCGAAGATTATGCGGCACCGGAGATTCTTATGGGACAATCGTATGATGGCCGTGCGACCGACGCGTGGGCCCTTGGCGTGCTTCTGTACGCCATCATGGAGAACCGTCTGCCATTCGACGTGCTTCCCGGCACTCGTGGTGACCCAGCTAAACTCAGGGCCCGCACACCGCATCGCATTGCCCGTTGCGAGTGGAGCTGGTACCGATACGCCAACGAAGACGAAGAGTGGGATCCTGAAAAGGGGCAAGGTCTCGATGGTGCCCGTGACTGCGTGGAGGGTCTACTCAAGCGCAACACCAAGCGCAAGTCACTCGATGAGATTGCTGCCTTGCCTTGGGTATGCGATGCCATTGATGTCCCTGCCGGCCTCAAACGAGGCGATAAAGAAGTGCCGTAGAGCTGGCCTCGCGCGCATGTTTGCCGTCTTTCTTCTTTTTTCCCCCTCTCCTTACTATTTCCATCTTACCCTTTTCACCACACAACCACTTCTATCCATACATATTCCCCTTCTTTCTATCTTTATTCCCCTTTACTTCTTTATGATGAGGCATGTTGACATGACCGTAACGGTCATCTGGGTTTCTTTCTTTCTTTCGGTGACGATTCTGGCTAGAGCAACTATTATACCCTTTTTTAACCTTTCATATGCACCTATACGTACCGGATTTTCCCTAGCTTGCGGGCTTTCCTATTTTACCTGCCGCCGCTTTGGTGATGGCGCTCAGGCTCAGGCTTAGTGAGTAGATCTCATTGCGGACTCAGGCCCAGTGATCATGCCCAGTCTTAGGTAAATCTATTTAAGCGCCTTTCACTTAAATACTCAATTCTATGTCCCACTGTTTATTTTGGCACTACCTCTGACCTCTGTATAGTACTGCATATGACGATGGGCAGGAAAAACTTCTTTGCTTAGCGCGACAAGAGGCATCGCCTATAGCACGAAAGGAATGGTTATGTCCCTGGAACCTATAGAAAAGATAACTCAATTTAACAGAAAGTCAAAAAGATTGCAATAACGAACAGTCTATACCAAGCTTACGTGGACCTTTAGATGAGGTAGGTTAAGACGCTTCTAAAGCGGCAACTTTATCGAAACAAAAGGCTGGCCTTGCCTAGCTTCGCTACAAACCTATTAAATAGGTTTAGATACTCCATAGGCTACACCCTCAGGCAGCCGCCTAAGCAGCCGATCAAGCGTTTTTACCCCTAAAACACCAGCGACCGTCGCCGAATTACTTAAACAAGGAGCGTCAATCCAGGCTTTCCTAAAACGACGCTCAAATAGCCCCCCATCGCCCTCGCAGACCGCGTTAAACCAGCTTATCAAGGGCTGCCAGCTCGCTATGCAGAATGGTATATTACTTAAGCAAGAAGTTAAGGAATTCCGCCCTGCCAACGCAGCGCAGAAGCAAAAGCGCGCACGGGTTAATAGACGCATAGCCTACGAAGCTGGTATGTCAGTGCAGGAAGCTCAGGAGTATTTACAAGCCCATGAGCCTATTATACAGCCTACGGCACCGTCTCTAGCAGCACCCAGCCAGCCTATTCAGCAGGCGGTAGCACCAGCGCAACGACGTCAGTTTACGTGTTCTTTATGTAATCAGGTTGGGCATAGGGCAAATCAATGTAATCAGAGATAATTTGGTAAATATAAAGGCGTTTTGGTTGAAAAGACTAGATATAAAATAAAAGTAGGTGGTTAGGTGGCCGGGTGGCTTGGGTGGCCGGGTGGCTTGTGAATTACGCTATTCCAATATCCAATCGTTTTCGTCTGTTGCCGACCTTTCCTACGGACAACAACTCCTCTTTACGCCTGCTCCGCAACAACAGTACAGCAATCGCAGTTGATCATAGCTCGAAGAGAACATGGCAACCGAACAAACAAAAATGTCGTCGTCGTTATCTACTTCATCCGACTCGTCCGACTACCCTCCACGTCTCCATCCCAATTATACACGGGCCTTGTGGGTCAGCATCGCACTTCAAGCAATAGGATCCTGGAGCTGCGCCCTTGCGACACGCAAATGGGAAACTGCGCCTCTCTGGGTGAACCTTATGTTCTGGCCAGCTTCCATCTCCACGACAATCTTGGGCGCAATGCATGTGCGTGACTTAATATCGGACTGGAGGGATGCGATGCGGTGGATATTGTTCACGCTTACTGTGATCGCATTCGCGTTGCTCTACCGTCAGGTAGCATTATACTATCTTGATAAACCGGAGTGACACTAGTTAGTCCTGGGTTGGAGATAACGTCCGAAACGGACCTGTGGAAGCTCAAGGACAGGCCGCAGCGGATTACATCGGGCCCTATACATAGGAGCCCAGCCTGGTATATTGACCACACGCGATGCAAATCGGTCAATTATAGCCAGGAAGGAGGAAGAAATAGCCAAGGATAAGCGGATGCTGGCTAGGCAGTTTAAGAAAGTGCATAGCTTCGAACCCGCATAGAGATCGGAGGATAGTATTCAAAGAGCGATTATATGCGCGAGAGAGAGGTGAGAGAGGTAGGAGAGCTATTTTTTAGTGATAATTAGCTAGATGGTTAGTAAATTTGACGGTTTCTCTACAAAGTGACGGGGATCCCGCAGTGACGGGGATTAGGTGTCGGAACGAACCAGACTATGGAGACCGAATTATTGGATAATCCGATGTAACTAACGTAATTCCCGGCCGACCTGGCCACCCGGCCGTCCTGGCCACCCCATCCAAAACCGCGTCTTCCTACCTACCTACCTACTTCAACCACCTATTATGCCACCAAAACGCTCTGAATCTTCGCAGAAATTAGCCAATCAGGAGGGCAAGATCTTATTAGCCCTTAATGATATTAAAAATGGCCGCATCAAATCTCTCCGCGCAGTAGCGAAGCTATACGCAATACCGCGTTCAACACTACAAACGCGCGCCCACGGCCAAACCTCACGCGCTGAGAAACGCCCATCTGGTCATAAATTGACCCAATACGAAGAGGATTCGCTTACTAGGTGGATTATCTCTATGGATACGCGTGGAGCAGCGCCTAGGCCATCTACTGTGCGAGATATGGCTAATATCCTACTTACTGCGCGCGGCGAGACCCCTCCGCCTAGTGTAGGCAAAAATTGGCCATCAACCTTTATTCAACGGCGCGATGAGCTTCGCACACGCTTCTCAAGAAGATATGACTACCAGCGCGCCCTAAACGAAGACCCGAAATCGCTACGACAGTGGTTTGCGACTGTACAACGCGTTATCGATGAGAACGGTATACAATCGGAGGATATCTACAACTTTGATGAGACAGGATTTGCAATGGGTCTTATTTCAGCGCAGAAGGTGGTTACGCGGGCAGAATACTACGGTCGGCGATCTATTCTGCAGCCAGGAAATCGCGAATGGGTTACTGCTATCGAAGCAATCTACGCGGATGGTTATTCGCTACCGCTATGCGTGATCTTTAAGGGCCAAGTTGCTATTACGGGTTGGTTTGATAACCTACCAAGAGACTGGCGAATCGAGGTCTCAAATAACGGCTGGACTACCGATAAGATTGGCCTACGGTGGCTACAAAAACTCTTTATTCCAGCGACTACTACCCATACGCGAGGCAAATATCGTCTATTGATTCTTGATGGCCACGGAAGCCATCTTACACCCCAATTCGACCGAATCTGCGCAGAAAACGATATTATATCGCTTTGTATGCCTGCGCATTCTTCGCATCTTCTACAACCGCTTAATGTTGGGTGTTTTGCTATACTTAAACGCGCGTACGGTCGCTTCGTAAGCGATCTTGCGCGTGTAGGCTATAACCATATCGACAAGTTTGATTTCTTGGACGATTACCAACGCGCGCGGCTAGAAGCCTTTCAACCAAATACTATTCGAAATAGCTTCGTAGCTACTAGTCTAGTGCCAATCGATCCAGAAAGGGTGCTTTCAAAACTTAATATCTCACTCCGAACGCCTACACCACCGGGTAGTCGACTAAGCAGCAGATCGAGCCAATTCACCCCAAAAACGCCAAAAACTGTTATTCAGCTCCAAAAGCAAGCTTCGATGCTTAAGGATCTACTAAAGCAACGGTCAACTAGCCCTCCGAGCCCATCAAAAACTATACTAGATCAGATTATCAAAGGCCACTACATATCGCTACACAACACTGCGCTACTAGCGCAAGAAAATGCGAATCTACGCGCAGCGAACGAGAAGAAACGACAAAAACGCAATCGGTCAACTAGGCAGATACCCTGTGAAGATGGCCTATGGGTCGAAGAGGGCCTACAGCTAGCTCAGCAGCTAAACCAACCAGTTGAAGGTATTAGGTTAGCATCGCATGCGCAGGGCGATCTGCCTAATTAGCCAGATCAGCCAGCCAAAAGGGCTCCGCCAAGGTGTAGCGGGTGCGGGGTGATTGGGCATAAGATCAATCGTTGTAATAATCACTAGTTTTATATCAATTAATCCGTTTTGGTTGAGATATGCCGATTTAAAATCTTCTAATGGGGGTGGGTGGCCGGGACGGGCGGGTGGCCAGGTCGGCCGGGAATTACGTTAATTATTTCTTATGTAATCAGAACCCCCCATAAATTGCCAGATTCAGGGGTATAGCAATAAAGAGTTCTTTTCACCGCTGATTGACCCTTATATTACGTGCTCTGACAGGGTTGGCGGTCGACTTTCATTTGGCGTTGCGCCTAATCACATCCGTTCACCTCACAATGGCTTTGTCGTCTACGACCTCCATTAGCGGCTCGAACTCTGGACTTCAGATAGGGCAAAATTATGGTCCTATCACCGCAAATTTTAATCCCACCACCGGTAGGTGTTGAAAATACCATGTTAGCCGAATTCGCACTAATATCTATGTACTGTCTCAGAGCAGTTTGAGATATCGGCAAATCGAGCATGCCTGCGGGATTTGCAGACGACCAATCCTCGCCATGACAAGGATCGTATCGAGAAGGACAAGGGTGGGCTACTCAAAGACGCATATTGCTGGATTCTTGAACATGCTGATTTCAAACAATGGCGCTCTCAGGAGCAATGTCAGTTGCTCTGGGTAAAAGGGGACCCTGGGAAGGGTAAAACGATGCTCCTGTGCGGAATTATCGACGAGCTGTTGATCGCTTCTGACTCTGCTGTCGTGTCGTTCTTTTTCTGCCAGGCTACCGACGTACGGTTAAACCACGCGACTGCAGTCCTTCGCGGCCTTATCTTCATGCTAGTTGAGCAGCAGCCATCTCTCGTCTCTTATATACGGCGCCAGTACGATAAGGCTGGAAAGCAGACTTTTGAAGATGTTAATGCGTGGGAAGCTCTGTCAGAAATCCTCACCGGTATCCTCAAGGATCTGAGGTTACAGACCACCTATTTAATCATCGATGCTCTCGACGAATGTACTACGGGCCTAAATCGACTCCTTGACCTCCTTGCTCAGAAATCATCAGTATACCCACATATCAAATGGATCGTCTCGAGCCGTAACTGGCCAGCTATTGAAGGGACTCTCGACGCGGTAAAGCAAAAAACAAAGCTTTGGCTTGAATTAAATGAGAAGTCTGTCTCAAAGGCTGTCGCCGCTTTTATCCACTACAAAGTTCAGAAATTGAGTGAACAAAAAAAATATACTAATGAGATCTGCGATGCTGTTTCCCGACACTTGTTGTCAAACGCACATGGAACCTTTCTCTGGGTAGCCTTGGTGTGCAAGGCACTCGCCGATGTCCCTCGGAGACACGTCCAAAAGAAGTTGAAAGAATTCCCTTCGGGCCTTGATGAGCTTTATCGGCGTATGCTAGGTCAAATCGACGATTCAGATGATGCTGAACTTTGCAAGTCGCTTCTGAGCGTTATCACGACCGTTTACCGACCTATCACGTTGGATGAATTACCGTTTTGTATGGACTTGCCTGAAGAAGTCGTGGACGATTTAGATCTAGCAGAGATTGTAGGGCTTTGTGGTTCTTTCCTCACATTGCGGGGACGCACGATCTCTCTTGTTCATCAGTCGGCCAAGGACTTTCTGCTTCGAGACGCGGTTCATGAAGTTTTTCCGCACGGAAAAGATGGAGTACACGATTTTATTGCCTTAAAGTCGTTGCAAGCTATGTCTGGTGCGCTACGATGCGACATCTACAGCCTCTTTCACCCTGGATACCCAATCCACATGGTTAAGCAGCCGGATCCAGACCCGCTAGTTGCCCTACGGTACGCTTGTGTCTACTGGGTTGATCACTTCAGCGCGTGCTCTCTGACAAATGTCACAGACAAATTTCTCCAACATAGCGGCCCAATCATGAATTTCTTGTGTCGGGACTACCTCCACTGGCTCGAGGCGCTTAGTCTCTTAAGAAGTTTACCAGAGGGAGTAGCTTCAATGCTGAAGCTCGAGAGTTTCTCAATGGTCCGTTCTCCTAGATGCGACCACGAGAGTATATTAACAGGATCGTTTTAGAGAACAACGGAGAACTCACGGCTGATCGATAGAGTTCGAGATGCATCTCGATTTATCCTATACCATAAAGCAGTGATTGAGGATAGACCGCTTCAAGTATACGCTTCGTGCTTGATATTTAGCCCCGCCGGCAGCCTAACTAGAAAACAATTCCGGGCAAAGGAACCGGCTTGGGTAATTGCGAAGCCAGCCATGCCAGATGATTGGAGCGCTTGCCTCCAGACCCTTGAGGGTCATAGCAAGCGGGTCAACTCAGTCATATTTTCCCATGATTCGAAACTCCTCGCCTCAGGTTCGGACGATGGCATGATCAAGGTGTGGAATGCTGATAGCGGCGAATGCCTCCAGACCTTCGAGGGTCATAACGACTCGGTCAACTCGGTCACCTTTTCGAATGATTCAAGGCTCCTCGCCTCGGCTTCAGTTGATCAGACGATCAAGGTGTGGGAAACCAGCAATGGTGAATGCCTCCAGACCCTCAAAGGTCATAGTGAGTGGGTCAACTTTGTTACCTTCTCTCATGACTCGAAGCTTCTTGCCTCAGCTTCAGGCATCTACGCATATGATCCGTTCGATGATGATTTTGGCAGCGACTGCCTAAACTCTCTCGGGGGCTATAGCGGCTCAGTTAACTCGGTCGATTTCTCTCATAATTCGAAGCTCCTCTCATCAGCTTCAGAAAATAACACATTAAAGTTGTGGGATACTAATAGCGGCCACTGCCTCTATACCTTAAAGGGTCATAGCAAGCGGGTCAACTCAGTAACATTTACCTATGATTCGAATGTCCTCGCCTCAGGTTCAGACGATGGCATAGTCAAAGTATGGGATGCCAATAGCGGCGAATGCCTCCAGACCCTAAAGGGCCATAGCGGCTTAGTTACCTCAGTCACCTTCTCCCATGATTCGACGCTCCTCGCCTCGGCTTCATACGATTGCACGGTCAAAGTATGGGATACGAGCAGCGGCGAATGCCTCCAGACCTTAAAGGGCCATAGCGACTCGGTCCGCTCAGTCAACTTCTCCTATGATTCGAAGCTCCTCGCCTCGGCTTCATACGATTACACGGTCAAAGTGTGGGATACCAGCAGCGGTACTTGTCTCCAAACCCTCGATGGTTATGGTCACTCGGTCTCGTTGGTCGTCTTCTCCTATGATTCCAAGCTCCTCGCCTTGCTTTCAGACAGTCGCACGGTCAAATTGTGGGATACTAGCAGTGGAAGTTGCCTCCAGACCCTAAAGGGCCATAGCGACTCGGTCCGCTCAGTCACCTTCTCCTATGATTCGAAGCTCCTCGCCTCGGCTTCATACGATTGCACGGTCAAAGTATGGGATACGAGCAGCGGCGAATGCCTCCAGACCCCAAATGGCCATAGCGACTTGGTCCGCTCAGTCACCTTCTCCTATGATTCGAAAATCCTAGTCTCCCTCTCAGATGATAGCACGACCAAGGTGTGGGATGTCAACAACGGTGAATGCCGTCAAGGGCTCGATATTGGAAAACTCGCCTTTCCGATACCAGTTGATATCACCAACTTATATCTTAAAACTGATAATGGCAGTATTTGTCTTTCTTTAGCTGCGGGTATAGAACCGACTAGCTCCGAGCCCTCATCGCCACGATTTGATGCATTTAGTATAAGTAGTGATCGTACTTGGATCACTTGGAACTCGGAGAATTTACTTTGGTTGCCACCGGAGTACCGCCCTAACACTGTTGCAGTGTCACTGTCGACAATATGTCTTGGCTGTGCTTCGGGACGAGTATTGTTCCTGAAACTCAATTCCTCAATATTACAACATGTCTTGACTAGCACTGAATGTCTTTGAGATAAAGCATTATCCCCACGAATTCTGCGTAGATCTTCTCCATGCTTCATCGTTCCTGGGAGGTACCTCTTCGCCCCAGGAGTATGATGCCGCTACGTTCTCTAAGAGACCAAAATAATGGGGTTTTCACTCTTGCAGCCTATCTTATGGGGAGTTCTACCATTTGCTTTGCTTTGCCAGATTTCTCTTTGTAAATTTTCAATGCACGAATTAGTCAAATGCAGCCCAACACTGTGTCAAATGGCAAAAAAATACAGATATGTCGGATCTATAAGATATCCATCATCAATCTGGTGATTCAACCTATGCTCAACGTTAGCAAACAAAAAAGCGCCATGGTTCTCGCGATAGTTTCTTGGATGGCCATAGCATGAGTCGTGATATAGCAGGGCGGACAATTCTTACAATAGAGTCGGAATGGTCGGAACCTAAATTCTTGTTGACACTCACTCGCGCCCAAAAATATTTGCTCAGCGCTGTCGTGAAGTTGTGGCGCCAAGCAGCGAACTGAAGCAGTCAGTGACCAGATCTGGCCCCATCAAGCGAAGGGCAAACGTTAGCCGTACTCGGCCGATGACAATTGCCTGTTGATGAAGTTGGAGGAGGAGAAGAGGCTGACATGGAGCGAAATCATGGCACATTTTCCTGGCCGCAAAGTTCATCTTTGCAGGTACTATGCTACCAAGTTAAAGAGTCGGTCCACTACTTAATCTTGGCCGAGAACCGAGAAGTACAAATAAATATTATCAAGAAGTCGCCCACGAATAGGAAGTCGCCCTCCACTAGGTGACTGTGGCGAGCTCTTACAGGACAACCTTCAGGTTTTGGCTTTTCCCCTAGTCATGCTTATTATCTAAAACAATTCCGGTACTGTCGTTGAGGCTTCAAGACCTCCCTCGTAAAAGCACAGTACTCAGTAGTTAATCTTTTCTTGCTGCTTATCGTGCGCACAGTCATCTTTCGTTTCTAGACATTCAGGTTTCGTGCCATTTTGTAACGGTATAGGGGTTGGTTGCTTCTTGTCGGAGTCAATGATGCTTGAATTGGGAGGACGGTGTGGCGAGGGTGGTTATTTTTGATCAAGAATAATACATAGCGGTACAGTTCTTATCCGTTCGTATTTCACAGTTCAATACTGAAACAGGATTCAAGCTATGGAGCTAACCTGGCTTAGGGATTATCATCATGTGATTAGGGTTTGAAAGGGCATCTATATATCTGCGGCATGGAAGCCGATGTTGGGAGCTTCTGTATCCTATGATGGAAGAACACGCTTTCCTCTTTTCGGGGCAATCGATACATAGAGAGCAGCTCATTGGCCAAGGCCCCACCCCGACTCCGAGTCCTCACCTCTCCGACTCTCGACACTCCGACTCTCGACACTCCGACTCTCGACACTCCGACTCTCGACACTCCGACTCTCGACACTCCGTGGGTTTCATGCAGGCCATGTTCATATGTGTTTTCCATTTTTTCCATTCCCAATTTTGACTCATTTCAGTAACGTGAGTGAAAAATCACGATGCGCCGGCATAACGGTCTTCTGTCTTCGTGCGAGCCCTGCCGCCGATCCAAGCTCCGCTGTGACCACCTCGTGCCCACATGTGGACGGTGTCGCCGCACGCGCAAGGCAGCCGCCTGCGTGTATAGGCCGAATCCAACAAGGACCGCATCATCGACGACAGAAAGTGCTACCGTAGAGACGTCTCCAACGTCTGAAGCCGTGCACTTGACGCAGATGTCAGTTCCGCAACCGCAACCAATTGCGAGCTCGCCACACGCATTACGAGACCACTATATCAAGATCTGGAGTCATCGACTAGCCCTGAACTCCACTCCGAGCTTTCTAGGTTTAACGAGCTTTTCGGCAGTTTACAGTGAGAATGAGGCTAGTCTGAAGCAATACGAGTCTATATCGCCTCTACGGCTACCGGAACTCAATCCGCCCGGCGCACAGAATACTACCTTTGCGGTCGACCACCGCCAGATAAAGCTTGGTGCAGAATTGCTATCATTGTTTTTTGATGATTTTGCATTATACCGCCGGACTGCCATCGCTTGCGAAAAAGGAAATAACTCTGGTTTCATGGCTTTGCCGACCATGGTTACTATCTGCAATGCCGTTGAGGGGATGTACAGTAGTATACCGAATCACCTGAACTCACAATCATGGCTACTAGTGCTCTCTCGGCGGTTATTTGAGGGAACCATGGGCCAACTCGTCACGCACGCGGAGATGACACTCGACGAGTATCTCGTTGCCCTCGCGGGCCGCTGGGAAGCTATTGGACTAATTCTCACACTACCCGGAAAATACGCCTCTCGCACAGCAGTCGACGATCCACTCTTCCATGGTTTAGCCTTCTCTGCCACCGATCACAAAAATCTAGGAATCCTAGCCACTGCTGGTGGCGACTTATGTCTACAATTCTGCGAGAGTGTGGGCGTGATAAGCGACCCTCTTGGCTGGTTGTTGCTGCGACATATACATCTCCTGACCTTGGTCTGCGGCGACCACGGTGAGTTATCTTAGACGTTAGGAGAAGGGCAGATAATAGCTAATGTGTAGACTACCGGCCACGGAAACGTCTTGCGGAGCTCTCGACGCTCCTTTTCGCTATGGGCTATCACCAGCTTGACACCAGCGATCATATACCATTTTTCCTTATCGAAGGGCGTAAGCGACTTATAGTGCTCGCCTATGCCTGTGATAAGGATTTGGCAACATTTCTCGGCTGTCCGCCTCTGATTGCTTATCGCTTCTGTCGCATCCAGCTTCCCTTAGACCTCAAACCCGCCGAAATAATCGCCAAGCCAGCTATACGCGAAGTTGCAATCAGCAAACTAGATACTAAAGGTTGGAACGTTAAGGAATCTATTAACGGGGTCACATGGAGCCGGGTGGCCTTCCTACTAGGCCACGTCCGCGAGCTTGTGCTAGAACTCTCTCTTGATTGCCAAGATCCTGATGTTCTACAAAGAGCTGAGTATGCCTTCTTCTAATCGCCCTACTGCGATAGCTTGCTGATTTTCTTCTACTTGTTCTAGTAAAATAGTTTTATTGTCGCAGCAGGTGCGCAGAGATCTGCCATCCTACCTACAGTGGGACGACAGCACCGAAACTGCTCTGCGTATGAAGAACACTCTTCCTATCTATATTCATCTTGAATTACTGTATAGCAACTTTCTTCTACAGCGGATACTGGTGAAGCGGTCATCGACCGAGTCCGAGACTCTTGTTAGCCTTGCGCACCAGATTCTCAAAGGAATGCTTACCCAGATTGCCATTGGTCAACGACGTGGGAATTTCTGTAGCGACCTTGGATGGACGGTATTCTCGCCTTCATTTATTTACGCCCTCGATGGGGCATTAGTCACATACTGACGAGGATCTAGATCCCCTATTTTGGCCTCCCCTCAGCCGGAATTCTTTCTATCGAAGTCCTACGCCAGACGCAGAACGCCCGCCCGTGGCCGAGCGAGAGATGCTTTTCCCGCTCGGAGGTAATTCAGAACCTCAGCAATCTCGTCTCGCACATTCAGTACATCGTCCTACCGCAGAAGGGAAATTACGAGATCTGCCAACAAGCCCGCAAGGTCATCTCTTATATTTTGGACTACGTGCTCGCCGCGCCAGCTAATGCCAACCCATCGATTCGTGCAGTATCGAATGTGATTCCTTCAGACTGGCTCGATGAAGAGTGGTTGAATGATGGGACGGACTTTATAAAGTGGATTGACGGGTCCAATTGGTATGAGTAACTGTCATTTCGGGTGATTCACCTGTGTACTAGCGATGCTTCTGCCACCCGATTGTCAGTATTAATCATTATCATAAATTTAACCGCGGGGCTTGATGCTCTTAGAACCTTGCCAGAGTAGCTTCAAGGAAAACTTAGCCATCCTTTACACGTATACCTTTTGGCCAAAAAAATAGTCAACTATGTTGGTCTAACTGTGATCATTTTTGCATCTTCTCATTTTAATAGTATTGTTCAAACGTAGAGCCAGGGCTTGGAATGCGCGTTAACGAGATGTTGGTGCCAGACGTGGGAGTATAGCAAGGTAAACATCACCGTCCGAAATAGAGGTGCCCCGTCATCCTATAGCAGCAACAACGGAGTGAGCTGACCGGGCTGGACGAGAATACACAGCGAGCAAAATTGGATTGGACCATTATCAAAGCCGGTAGAAGAGCTTGTCCACCGTTAGCTTGCGTCTCATATCTTTGAGCGAGATTAAATCACCGCTTTTGGCATTTCTTTGTTTTTAATAGCCTGCATAGCTAATAAAAGGAGGCGCTCCTGTTCGATAGACTTTCGGCCTGTTTGAGAGCGATTTGGTGGCATGGTGGTCGGTAGAAACCAAAAATGACGCGTAGGACGCGAAAAGGAGGCTGTGTGGCCTAGTCGGCGGTGTGGCCCACTCGGTAGGTAGTTAACTATGTACTGTAGTTACAAATTGCCAGAACTAACGTACATAGTAGTGGAGATGGAAACTGGCAATTTTGAGGTAAAAACGATGTCTCATGGGTTTTGGGTAGGTGGAGAAAGATGATAAGGTATGGTAAGTGTTTTGAAATAAAAGTTGGTTTGGCTTCTGCCTTAGGCCACTAACGATACTGACCTGTAACCACCTGTAATCACGTCCCAGTCATTTGGCCCCCGCATTTGCCTGGGAATATATATAGCCCCCAACGCCTGCGTCATCTTTGTTTCTTTCATCCCCCCATTTGTCTTTGAGCTCAGTACGATTTTCTTTGCATCGTGATGTCTTGTATGATTCCGTTGAATTTGCGGTACTCTGCAACAGATTTGCAAAACTCAAACCATCCCTCCCATAAAGCTTGGTTCAAGAGCCTGGCTATACTGCGAGATATACAGAGAGGGGTTGATGTCACCATCGGCCGTCGCAGCTATTGTTGCGTGGATCAAGATGATCCCAAACAAGTGTTTTATCTATGGGGTGAGTCCGACTGGTTTTGTAAATTTGGTTACTATTATATCTAACTTTGACCAACTGGAGAGAATTGCGCGGACAACAAATTCAAGGCCATCAAGGCCACCTGTATATCCGAGACATCGGAATTGAGCCGATGGCTTTCACCACTTCTAGAAAGGCCACTATCCGAACAGCCTATCTGGAGACTTGACTCGCAGCTGCACATGATGCATCGATATGGCTTTCCCTACTCTTGCTTGGAGCTTGTCTTTGTTTATAACTCAAAGCGCCCTCTATGGCTCCCTGTATTCCTTGACCATTTTGCGCCCGGAGGATCAAATAGTGGCTTGCATCACGTTCCAGTGAATCGCAAAGAGACTAACTTCTTGAAACTGCCTAGTGGAGATCACGTTAGTTTCTATTGCATCGAGTGGAACACCTTCGAACGGCGTGAAGAGGTTTTTGGGGACCCGGGCTTGAGGCAAAGAATGAAGCAAATGTACAAAGAGGAACGACCGCCGATTCTCCAGGCACTTGGGAAGACGGAGGAGGAGCTTATCTGGGAAGAAGACCTCCAGGTATTTATTGACTGCACGGGACCCTCCAAGGTTCATAGGCAGTTTGTTCTTGCTATGCTAGTGGATGACAAATATTTAGGATTGGATAAGAAAAGGAAATTGTCATGTGTGATCTTATAGCTAATAGCTAGTTTGAGAACATGAATTGCAGCCTAGGGCCTCCAAGGGTGTTGGTGCTAATCGGTCTCTCTGATAGTCTGAAAGGGGACACGACCTAACGAGAGGTAGTATGAATTTGTGTCTCTTGGGTTCCGAGTGATCTCGCAACGCCAGAGTGCCATTCATAGTTAGATAGATATGCGGCCGCCGCAAAGTAATTGTAGTTATCAGCGTTTAGAATTGCTTGCTGACGCTGGGTTCGTCCCTTTTGAACATTCTGGAAATTATAGCCAAGGTCATCGTCTATTTAGAGAAGATTAGCATGGTTCCCTTTTTGTGAATGAGAGTCGTTGGGAACAAAAATTGGGTGATATCAATACGCACTTGTTCTAGAGAGTTGATGAGTCATCTCGTGGAGCAAAGTTGCCCCAGGACTCTGGTAATTGTCCAGATGAGCGGTCCCATCGGTCGGAATATTCCCCGTTAGTTGGGTCAGGTCTGCCTTCCACACATTTCTGGTGACTTTGTCCCAAACCTCTGAGCAAAAGTAGATGATTCGTTTTGAGTCCATGGTTTCTGCTTCTGGCGCTTCATTTGTATGTTTAACACCCTTGCACGGTCCGTCCTCACTCCATCCTTTACTTGCGACATAATACCACGTCGATTGGATTTTCCAGCGTTTTTCTTTATCTGCTTCACTTTCGTCGGGGTTCTCAGGTGGTGCGGGGTTCATCTTCGGCCCTCCCTGGTCGTACCAGGTGTAGTCGGCGAATGCCCGCCTTCCGTAACCACCATTAAGGCCAGCTAGCATATATCAATCAGCAAGTACCAAGAGATTCACCATCATGGTAGGAACCACATACCGACTTCTTTAATGGGCGTATCTTTGGTATAAGGGATGTAGTTTGTTTGCAGCGTGTTGACCTTTTTGGTCCACGAATCGCCGCAGGCGAATCGCCATTTAGAGTTGCCTCCGCTTGTGATATATTTTTGAATGTCTTTAAAGTTTTCTGCGTTCCGAAAAATGTCGTTAGCATCATTTGCATGGTAATAGTCAACGTTGATTCTTGAACTCATTGAAGGCTGTCGAATAAGAGTAGAGAACAGAACAGGATAGGGTATCTTGAGTCTGACCTTTCACGGTAGTCATAGCAGCAATAGAATCATTATCGAGCTTCAAATACTTCAACGGACTCTTCTTAAAACTCGAGCCGAATTCAGCGCCAAAGATTTGCCGTGCAAGCAGAAGGATCCGTTCTCTATTTTTCCCTTGATTATTTGAATTGGTTCGCTCCAAGATAGTTGGATCTCTGAGAATGAGGTCGATGGCGTTGATTGCAGCATCAACCAACTTTTGCACTTCGGGTGCCATCGCGTTGACCTTCGGCAGTATATCGTCACACTCGCCGCCCATTTTGTCGTCTTTCGTGAGGACTTTGTATATATTTGATGTTTCCACGGCACCTATTACGGGGCCAAACCAGCCCAGGAATACGATGACCATGCATAGAAAGGACGGCCATCGAGATGATAGAATCATCATTGCTGATCAAGAAGACTTGTTCAACTGGGGGTCAAGACCGAAAGTAAGAGAGCAATAAGCTAGCAGGTGATAGATGATGCCTGAGAGGTATATCACAGAGGGAGATCACTCATAATAAGAAGATCTCACGACGTATAAAGAAAACGAAGGACAATGGCCAAGGGAGCCCCGGAATTTACATAAAAATACGACCCTCCAGCAGACGTGGCCGAACTGTCAATTACTGGACACTAGGAGACAATTTTATGCCTGGAGCCACTCTTCGCCCCATACGAGAATTTCTTCCGTAATAGACGACTTTGTCGTCATGGCCCCATGGCGATAAGTTGGTGACATTCCTCCAAAGAGCAGCTTCCCAAATCTATCGATAGGCAGACATCCATGCAAATGAGGCATTTTCACGAACTTCCGAGGACGAACATGTGATATTGGGGCTGAATAGAGCTGTTCTGCCCGGAAAGATGAGGTCTTGAAACCGGACAAGGGAATCCTTCCCGTTTCTCGATGATGCTGTACCAAACATTTGCCATTTTGGTCATGTTGAGAATTGCATTTTCAAGGATATTCGTCATCTGGCCCCTATCGGCCCCTTTACATAGCACCCAGGTTGTGTACTAAGCCTTGCGGACTCACTCAAACGGGATACTAAGGCGTTTCTGATAGATGGAGTCACCGCTCGGGATTTGCCAATAGATTCTAGCCCCAGGTTCGTAAACCGCTGGCCCCGCCCCCAAGGGGGCCGGATAAGAGACCCATGCACTCCTCATCCATGTAGCCTGATCAATTTGGTTTTCGTGGCGTCATTTCATTTCTACTCAACTACACAAGCCGATTGGTCAAGGCAACGAAAGGCGTCCCTGAATTATCGCCCCCATCGTGATATGTCTTTACTATGTGGGGGCGCTGCACGGACATTTTCGCGTCTTCCTTGCGGGATCGATTGTACAACCCCATAACCTAGACAGCAGGAAGCTACGATACAAGCATTTTTGCCGCGTCATTTGGGGCCTACGTTTCATGGGGGCTGACCATCCTTCCAACATCAGGCTGGGGCCAGGCGGATCTGCGCAATGACGGCACAAGTTGTAAATCTCTCATTGTGACAAGACGCTCCACTTGGAATACAGTAGGTGAATAGATCCAAATGAATAGAAATAATTATAACAGAGGTTTGGCTTGATGAAATTAAAATTTCCCGCCTTCAACAAGTCCGGTTTTCATGAGTCATGGTGACTCCGTGCAATATCATGTTCTCGTTTTCTATACTTCATATCTTGGGCCTGCTTCTCGTAGTAGCTCTATGGCCTACCTTTGTTCTCTCCCAGGATATTGATCAGACTACTCAAGATCCTGGAAGAAATGATGATATCCAGGATGTCCAGGCACGGGCTAATGCAAATTCTATCCCGAGCCTGCAGGGCTACAATGTCACAGTTGAGAAAATTCCAAAGTGGCAAGCCATTCTGGTCAAGTCATTCGATCACAAAGCAACACCAACTCTCACTACGACAATCACCATGTCAGACCATCCCACGGCATTCACGATCAAACCAACCGATAAGGCAGTGCAGCTAGCAACGATCTCAGGTACTGCGTTTGGCCATCCAGTCACCTATCTATGCTACCCAACTCATCCCCATATCAATGGAGTGACAGCTACCGACTGTATGGAGGGCGCTGCCACAACTCTCGGAATCCTTAATATTGGCTCGGAAACCTTGACTCCTAATCCGACAGGCTTTGTGGTCGGAAAGGAAACCTTGACTCCTGGGGGTAAAGCCACCATTGGCACCCATACTTTGTCTTTAGGGTCCAGCGGTGGCCTGTTCATCGATGGAAGCTCAAGTCATATCGATTACACGATGCCTCCGGCCACAACAACGACCACCAAGAGGGCTGCCACAAAAACTACCGCCGCGCAGCATACAGCTCACACGGGTGATATCGTTTTCACGGTTGGCTCTCTCACCGTGACTGCAAAGCCCACAGGCTTCAAGGTGGGGACTGCCACGCTGACACCTGGTGGTCAAGTCACAGTTGGAACAGAGACTCTATCATTGCCAACAGGCGGCGGCGCTATCGTCGTTCACGGCAGCACAGTGCCCTTTGAGACTGCGCCTCAGACATTAACGGGCACTTCTGTTGGGCATGATACAACTACTACCGCCGCGCACCATCCATCTAGCACGGCTGATATTGTCTTCACTGTTGGAACTTTGACCGTGACTGCAAAGCCCACGGGTTTTAAGGTTGGCACCGCTACACTGACACCCGGCGGCCATGTTATAGTCGGTACAGAAACTATTTCCCTTGAAACCGGTCGCGGAGGTATTTATATTCAAGGCAGCACGGTGCCTTTTGAGACCGTCCCTCAAACACTAGGAGGGGCGACCCGAACTCATGCGAGCACTGGTACCTCCCATACAACTCACAAGACAGCGCAAGCGACCCATGAAGTGCTGACTCTGGGAACTCTGACGGTCACTGCAGACCCGACCGGCTTCCAAGTCGGTACCAATACCCTAACACCTGGCGGGGTGGTTACTGTAGGCAAGGAGACGTTGTCTCTGCCAAAAGGAGGAGGAGGTGTAATTGTTGATGGAACTCGAACAATCCCGTTTACGGATTCCACTACTTCAACCAAGTCAAAAACATCAACTACTTCAACTACATCTCATCAAAGCTGGACCACGATCTCTGGCTCCTCCACTACAGGGTTGTATGGTATCATCACCGTGCCACAGCTCACCGGTTTGACGGCACCTATAACAACCACCATGACCTATATTGATCACGCCAAGACGACATATGGGCCTATATTCGTGGGAGCTCGCGGCATTGTGCTTCAATCCTGGCCTCCGTCAACGGATGTGCAGCATGGCATTGGAGGTAGTCTGATTATCCCCGATCCAATCATGCCATCCACCAACGGGTTGAAATGCCCTTCATTCCTCAAATGGCTTTGCGGTCCTTCCTCTACCAGCTCACAAGAATCTGGCTCAGATGTCAACCCGGACGATGAGCCGAATAGTAACCCGAAGGACGATCCCAACAAGAAAAACAATCCTACCACGGAGCCTACTTCGCACAAGTCGACTACATCAGAGAAGACATCCACGCAAACAACTTCCACATGCACTAAGACTCAAGTAAAGAATTGTGAGGTCACATGTAGCCCGACAGTGATTAGTTCCAAGACTACAACTACATGTTTCACCACTGCTTGTTCCACGACGGAGGCATGCTCCAAGACGGGCCATACATCAACGACCACGATTACATCTTCTGATCCATGCGCAACTATGAAAAGTCTAGCTTGCGGACCTGTGCCGGACGAGACTGTCTGGGTTCACCCCGATCTGGATCTGGATACTTCGCTTCTCAATAGTCTAGCGTCATCCATCATGGCTTCCGATGCAGCGGATATGAACGACATCTCTAGCGGATTTGCTCAGGCCCGATCAAGCCTGACTGCAACGACTCTTACTACCGCTACTGCTACTACCAGTAGCAGTGAACACACCAGTACCAAGACCACCCACCATACTGCGCCCTCTACGACAAGCAAAGGCACTCACACTAAATCAACAACTAGTACTACTACTACTCTGGGTTGTCTTCATCAATGCCCGCAGGATCATGAGTGCAACTGCTATTGCCCAGAAAGTCCAGACAATTTCTACCAGATAATGAGCTCAACGTCTGGCATGACAAACTACCAACCATGCGGCTGGACTACATTGCCACCGCTGGACACAGCCGCGAATGTTGGCCCTCTCACTATTACCGAGTCCAACGGCGACGTTGTATACTGCGCAACCGCACACTATTCAGCGAGCACGAACAGCAACAAGAAGTGTGTGGGCTCAATGACAACCCTACACACCCCTGTCCACACTACGGCTACTTCAACGAAGACCTCGCTCGTCGCAACTGGAACTGGCCAGCCATTGGGCGAGTTGTACATCGGAATTATCGTTCAAAATGGCGGTGCCATTTCAGATTGGTCATGGAATGTGTACGTCCCCAAGGTTGGCGACACTCCCAACTGGTGTGATGACTCCGTGGGATCCCAGGATGAATCGAACGGTAATATCGATCGATACTGGTATCCGCCCGATCTCACTTTCAAGGATCTGAAGGGGAAAATCAGCACGTCCAGTTTGTCCAATTGCAAGTATACGGGAGATTCACACCACAAGAAAGCTGGATCTCTTGACTGTGGTCAGGGTGTTATTTCTTGCACAGGTGATTTCCACGGAAGCGATGACTCGTCTATGTGTCCAGGTTTTGAGTATGCGGGTGACGCTTTCCCTAGGGTGTACTGCAAGTGGTACCTGAGTTGAAGTGAAGGGGAGAACGTTCCATAGCGATTGAAGTTGTACTTTGTTCCTATTGTCGTCTTACATAAAACGAATGCCGGTTCATGAGAGTTGTATCAAAGTATATGATCAAATGGTCAAGATCGATCATAGCATTTCAAAACATAAGGAACCTCAGACACGTGAGGAGAGAGTGCATGGGATGTTTCGATTCCATGTTGTTCCTTTGATACCTAAATACATTGGTGACTTGCGTGATGTCTGTGTACAGGCTGAATAAAAGTTCAATTGACCCTCAGCTATTGTAAGCCCTCTATGAAGAGGGATCTTGCTAAAGTCGATTTAAAAGATAAACATGGCACTGCTGCCACCAAAGATCACAACGGTACTACGAGGATCAATACACCATCACCAAGTGTGAAGACCAGGGCTGCCATGGGGTTTTAGGTATGACCGGATGGTGATTGGTATAGCATTACTTGTGACGTATGGCATCCATAGCCTTGGAGGGCGGTGACCAATTCTGCCAGGGAGCCGGGACTAGCCCGATCGGGACTAGCCGCGTCCTCATGAGTATATTCAGCTACGCGAACACGTCCAGACTTAGTTTCTTCTCCAGTTTGTATTTTCGTTTATACTACATGATACTTTTCATACTGGGTTGTAGCTCTGGTCCTAGTCTTTAGCAAAGTTACTGCCTGCAGATATAATCACTTAAGTCGGAAGCTGTGTTAACTGCCTGATTTGGAATTGATCTGCAATATGCGACCTGGGATGGTCACTCCCCGTGACGGCCTCGGCAAAATACACCATGAGATTTGCACCAGGGCATGCTATGTATTTAGTAAGTTTACAATAAATGTGTCCCAATGTGCGTTGATGGGGCAATAGGTACAAGCTAGCGTGGAAAGTTATGCCGGCATAAGAAGATCAAAATGCGATGACAACTGCCGGCCCCAGATTGGACCGCGGCGATGGTGGAGCCCGCGGAGCAACATTCCAACTCCGAAAGCCTCCCTCGAGCTGACGTTCCGCCTTTTCTTATTTCTCGCGATCCCCGGCCCCCGCCGTTTCTTTGCAATTCACGGTGGTTCTGGTGTTTTCAATTCCTCCTTAACCATGCTCTCTCAAACCAGGGCCCGTGTGCCCGTGGCTCTCCGAAGCCTGTCCCGCTCCAGTGCGACTGCGTGCGTCCGCTCCCCATCAATTGCCTCCGCTCTACTAATCTCTGGTGTCTCTCTGCAGCCGCACTCTCTCCACTACCCTCCCCCGCACCGAGAAGGATGGCGCCCTTAACAAGGTCTCTCGCCACATTACCCAGCCCAAGGCCCAGGGCGCTTCCCAGGCCATGCTGTACGCTGTCGGTCTCAAGGAGGAGGATATGAACAAGGCCCAGGTCGGCATCTCGTCCGTTTGGTTCAATGGTAACCCCTGCAACATGCACTTGCTCGATCTCAGCAACAAAGTGCGCCAGGGTGTCCAGGATCAAGACTTGATCGGTTTCCAGTTCAACACGGTCGGTGTCAGTGACGGAATCAGCATGGGTACCAAGGGAATGCGCTACTCCCTGCAGAGTCGCGACCTGATCGCCGACTCCGTTGAGACCGTCATGGGTGGCCAGTGGTACGATGCCAACATTAGTATTCCCGGCTGTGACAAGAATATGCCCGGTGTCGTGATGGCCATGGGTCGTATCAACCGCCCCAGTATCATGGTCTACGGTGGTACCATCAAGCCCGGCTGCGCTGTGACCCAGAACAATGCCGATATCGACATTGTCTCCGCCTTCCAGGCTTACGGCCAGTTCATCACCAAGGAGATCACCGAGCCCCAGCGTTTTGACGTCATCCGTCACGCCTGCCCCGGTGAAGGTGCCTGCGGTGGTATGTACACCGCCAACACCATGGCCACCGCCATTGAGACTATGGGAATGACCCTCCCTGGTTCCTCTTCCAACCCTGCCAACTCGCAGGCCAAGTATCTCGAGTGTCTGGCTGCTGGCGGCGCTATCAAGAAGCTGCTCGCCGAGGACATCCGTCCCCGCGACATTCTGACTCGCCAGGCCTTCGAGGACGCCATGGTGCTTGTCAACATCACCGGTGGCTCTACCAACGCCGTTCTTCACCTGATCGCCATTGCTGACTCCGTTGGCATCAAACTCTCTATCGACGACTTCCAGGCCGTCTCCGATCGCATTCCCTTCCTAGCAGACCTGAAGCCCTCCGGCAAATACGTCATGGCTGACATGTTCAACATCGGCGGAACCCCCTCTCTGCTTAAGCTCCTGCTGAAGGAGGGTCTCATTGACGGCTCCCGTATGACCGTCACCGGTGAGACCATGGCGAAGAATCTGGAGAAGGCTCCCGACTTCCCCAGTGACCAGAAGATCATCCGCCCCCTCTCAAACCCCATCAAGAGCACCGGTCACATTCAGATTCTGCGTGGTTCTCTCGCGCCCGGTGGCAGTGTCGGCAAGATCACTGGTAAAGAGGGTACTTGCTTCACCGGTAAGGCTCGCGTGTTTGATGACGAAGATGACTTTATTGCTGCGCTGGAACGCAACGAGATCAAGAAGGAGGACAAGACTGTCGTTGTCATCCGCTACACCGGCCCCAAGGGTGGCCCCGGCATGCCTGGTACGTGGCGAATCTATAACAGCTTCTGAACTATCCTAACTATGTCCCTAGAAATGCTCAAGCCCTCTTCTGCCCTGATGGGAGCTGGTCTCGGATCGTCCTGCGCTCTGATCACCGATGGCCGCTTCTCCGGCGGTTCCCACGGTTTCCTGATCGGTCACATTGTGCCCGAGGCCGCCGAGGGTGGTCCCATCGGTCTCGTTGAGGACGGTGATGTGATCACCATCGATGCCGATAAGCGCCTCCTCGATCTGGAGGTGCCTGAGTTGGAGCTCTCCGTGCGCCGTGAGGCCTGGGAGGCCCGCAAGGCCGCTGGCCTGCTGCCCGAGACCGGTCTCACCATGCGCGGCACACTGGGCAAGTATGCCCGCACCGTCAAGGATGCTAGCCACGGCTGTGTTACTGATGCTGTAGAGTAAATCATACCTTGGTGTTTATGGACTCCCCGGGTGTCTGCCCAAGCATAAAAGCGATGTATTTTAGTGGGGGCCTGTTATATAATATCATTTCCATCAGTGTATTCCGTTCACATGTTTTTGTGTTTCTCGTAAGCCTAACATCAATCCTACAGATCATCTGATTTGTTGATCGCGCTCCAACATGGGGGCTGTGCGCACTGAACCTCCACCTATCAACATCCCCACCTGTTTCTCGGCGTCGGTGTGGCGCAGATCCTATCGCGGGCGCTTGTGCTAAAGGACCTGCATCGCGCTGCGTCTTGTTTCTCTTGGCTCATTCACACCCTCGGCCGCTCTACTCACCTCATCCTTGCGACCATGGCACCCCCAGACTCAAGCTCCTCGTTACCATAGCCTCACTCCCACCTCGATACGTCTCATGTCTCCACGATGGTATCTGTAACCTCTGATCCCCCGAGGCGCCGGCGCCTTCACAAGTGGATCGGAGGCAAGCTTGGCCGTGCGAACGATGCGGATAGCAAGCAGCCGTTGTACATAGCCCCGGCAGGAGCATACTCGGTGCAAGCAGTTCAACGCATACCTCCGACTTCCAGACCCATATTGCCATCCTCATAAAGGAGCAGCAACATCTATGCTACAGTTGCCTCCACGACCAACTCCGGTCCCACTAGCTGCAGCGTACCCAAATGTCGCACCAGCATCCCCATACTATCCCACCCAGTACCCCAACCAGCAGCCGTATTCGGACCTGACAAAATGGACATCATATACGAACCTGACCCAATCCGTTTCTAATCTCGTGTCACATACAACGGGCAAAGCTAATGCGACTATCTTGGATCTTGAAGACCTCGTGTTGAAAAGCGTCGGCGGCGGCTCGAATGTGCGCGAGGCTACCTCACAGCTTCTAGATCAAGTAATTACCCTGATTGATATTGGATCGTTCTGCGGGAAGGAGACTGAGCTTCGTAAGTAATAATTGTCCTTTTATATCATGTGGCTTTACTTACTTAACTTGACAGTCGCTGCCTGTGCGCTTCCATTCCAGTCGGATGAACGAAAAAAATATCGCCCGCCAGGGCGGAAAAAGCCTTCAGGGTCACTCGATTATTTCTCCAAGGTGTACATGTATGCCAATTCACGGATGCCACCAAATCTACCCCCGTTGAAATTGTCAGTGTGTCTCTGGCAGCATCTTCACTCGTTTGCTGATATTCTTCCAGCTATCCTGCGACATATCCCCTCCTTCGGCTCGCCGCTCAGTACTCTCGACGTGTCTATGACAAGCCAAACGGGCGCGAACGGCATTCATACGTGAGCTCTGACTGGCGTCAAGGAACGAAGGCGATGGTGATAAAATCACTCCCCATTGACGATATGAACACAATTGTTTTTGCCATCCGTGGCAGCCAAAGCTTCCTGGACTGGGCCGTAAATGTCAAGACAGCCCCAGTCTCACCCGCTGGTTTCCTCGATGACCCATCCAATCTCTGCCATGCCGGCTTTCTATCCGTGGCTAGAAAAATGGTAGCACCAGTCGCCGCACGTCTTCGAACTCTTATTGAAGAGGACCCAAGTCGAATGTCTTACACGCTCTTGATAACAGGCCACTCTGCCGGCGGCGCAGTCGCCAGTTTACTTTACTTGCATTTATTATCCAAATCATCGAAAGTTACATCGGAACTCACTCATCTACGTGGGTGCTTTAAAAATATCCACTGCGTCACGTTCGGTGCTCCGCCTCTCTCACTTCGTCCACTGGTTCCACCTTCCCCCTCAAAACGATCAAGGTCAATATTCTTTGCGTTCGTCAATGAGGGCGACCCTGTTACTCGCGCGGACAAGGAGTTTTTCTTTTCTCTCTTGGATCTCTATGCCTCGCCTGCCCCGGGGTCTGCGTGGTCGGTTCTCGATCCCAGGAACAAGTCAAAGCCGGCCCTGTACTGGCGCGTTCCTCCATCCACCCTTTCCAACGCTGGTCGGCTTGTTATTTTACGTGCTCGTGGTCAGATGAATGGCCGGTCAGCTGTAGTACAGCAGCCTGTTCCGGGCGCTCCTCCCCCGCTACCTCCTCGCGAGGAGGTAGAAGCGTGTGGAACGACAGACGCTGAAATGCGTGGCATCGTCTTTGGTGACCCCCTTATGCATTTGATGGACTTGTATTCTCGACGCATTGAGACTTTGGCTAGGGGGTCTGTGAAACACAGATAATAATATTATTAGGGCCTTCAAGTTCACTATTGGTCACTTCCCATCTTGGAATATGAGGATACCTTGAAGAAAATCTATTCATGTTTTTGGGGATGCACCAGTGGTATGAGATCAAACGATTGCAGGAGATACTAAGGCCTTTTTCCATGGTTGGAAGTTTCACAATCCCTCATCGTCTCCCCTTCCGCTGCCTTAACCTCCCACTTCCAAAACAAAGCCTCCATTTCCGCCTTCAGGTTCAGTGAGCACTTACTGCATATCCCGGCCTTCTCAATTTTTGAATAATCCCTAATAAAGAATGGAAACTCCACCGGTCCAGATTCGATCCTGAATTCCATTGAAACACATGTTAGTCTCTTGCGTAACGGTACACCCTTCTCAGCTTCCGGGCAGCGCTTGGCTGGAGCGGGACATATATGCTTGCATCCCATGAAATGGTGATAGACTTGCTGACACATTTTGATGAGGTGGAAATTTCGTTGATTTTCCGTTTCATTAATACTCATTGAAAGGCTTGAATATGATATAATTTCCTCTGTTCCTTGTGCTCTTCTGAACTTCGGGGGTAATATGTGGATTTAAAACACAGTTGATTTAGCAATGGCTATTGTAGCCTTTGTTTTCCTTTTCACTGATCTAAGACTTTACCTTTGTCTTATCTGGGTATGTGGGTAGATCACTCCGCTTTGTTTCTCAAAGGTTGCTATATCTTGTACAGTAGAGTTCGAAATCAGATTACCCCCCACACACTGGCGCTTTGTTCATCGACCCGTACCAAAATCACGCTAATCCGTATGGGACATTTTTAAAGACAATTACTCTTGGCTATATTGCAGTACAACGCGTATTAGGCTTCGGTGTATAATGAGTCCCTGTAAAATACAATACAGCACTATATATTGGTCCTGAAGGGGCGGGCGTGGTCTGGCAATCTGGCCTGATGCCCGCTAACTCACTTCTTTCGTCTTCTACAGGGTCCAAACTCGACCCACGTATCTCACTAGGCAACAATTTTAAGTCGTTCATAAGTTTAGAATTTTCCAACTGTTGATTCATTCATAAAGACATACCTTGTTTATTATCCATGTCGAAATATTCTCTTATCTTCGTTACCTTACTTGATTTCACAACTTTCGATCCACAATGAATGAAATTTACGGCACCTGTGACCCTGCCCTAGACTCTGTTCGCAATCTGCTCCAACAGAGAATCGACTCGGGGGATGAACTAGGTGTATCCCTCTGTGTGAATTTTGATGGAAAAAATGTACTCGACCTATGGGGTGGCTACGCAGACGTGGCCCGGACTCGGCCTTGGCATAAAGATACGATCACAGTGGTTTGGTCGTGCTCTAAGGTTGTCACCAACTTAGCAGCTCTTATTCTTATCGATCGTGGTCTTCTTGATATGAATGAGAAGGTGGCTACGTATTGGCCGGAGTTTGGAGCCAACGGAAAAGAGAATGTTAAAGTGTCCCACATTCTCAGTCACTCTTCTGGGGTCCCCGCATGGGAGCTTCCTATAACTCTCGAAGAAATCTATATCACAAAGAAGGCTACCGAGAAGCTTGCTGCACAGGCCCCGTGGTGGATTCCGGGTGAGAGTAGCGGATATCATCTCACAAATCAAGGCCACCTTGTTGGCGAAATCATTCGACGAATAACGGGCAAGCCGCTTGAACAGTTCGTGGCCGAGGAAATCGCAGGTCCCTTGGGTGCTGATTTTCAGTACGGAGTACCAGAAGAATATTGGTCACGCACAGCGGATATCATCCCACCTCCAGCGCTCCCGTTCGGCGAGATAGATCCGCAAAGTATTACGGCAAAGGCGATCGCGGGCTCGCCTTTTCCTGCTGAGGCTTCTATGACTCCGGGGTTTAGAAAAACCGTGTCCGGTGCAAATAATGGATTTTCCAATGCGCGCGCATTAGCCCGAATTGGTTCTGTTGTGTCTCTAGATGGTATTCTCGACGAGAATAAGCGCATCATCTCAGCCAGTACAGTTGAGAAAATGCTCACGGAGCAGATAAAGGGAACAGATCTTGTCACCTCTGGTTTTCTGCGATTTGGTCTTGGTGTTGCTCTGCCAGCACTGCAAACTTGTGCCTGGATTCCTGAGGGACGAATTGGCTTCTGGGGAGGCTGGGGAGGATCAATGATCATCATGGACCGTGACCGACGCATGACTATCGCCTACGTGATGAACAATATGTCTGGCAGTGGTACTCTGGGCAATGACAACACCGAAGCCTATGTCAGAGAGATTTATAGGGTCCTTGACGGGCTGTGCTCCTCGTCCGCATAGATTCGTCAAGTCATATTGAGATTGGTTTTCAGTAATGTATACACGACCTTGGCAAACAACTTTTGTATCAGTTATGAGGGAAGCAGGGCTTATGGGAAGAGGCTGACCAGCTAGACTTGCAGGTGATGGAGGTGAGCAAGACGAAGCTCGGCGTGGATCATCCCAACACACTCGCAAATATGACATCTAAACAGGATAATGTCTGGCAAATTTGGCTTTTCCTTTCCCTTTTATTCCCTTTGCCGCTTTTTGCAGAGGAAAACTGAGCACGCCCCTGAGTCTTACATGCATATCCGAGTCCCTACTAATACATTCCATTATGTGGATGGACCGGGGGTGGAGCATCATTCAAACCTTCGCGATTTGTTTGTTCCATATCCAAACCTTGAAGATTTATGGGTCTCGTTCATCGATACAAAAGAAGAGATAAAGTAGATTGAGCTGCGGGTGCATCTTATAACGGTACCTAAACACCGCCCCCTCTACCTTGGTACCTCAGATATGCAGGGGCCAAAAGCCCACATGACCAATTAGGACGATTATGACTTTTGCCTGATTGGCGCCTGGGTCTAGGTCTGCCCCTGACACCGAGTGCAAACCGTCCAGCTTTACCAAAAAAGGTCAAAAGAGAGTCCATTTCAATGTTTCATATATATGTATCAACGTATCGTGGCCGTTGTATTCATGAATTATGACTGCCTAATGCCCTGAATTTAAAAAGGATGGAGCAATCTGGTGGGCTGTGAGCGGTTAAACATTTTTGCCCTTTTGACTTTCGCTTTAAAAAGAAAGAAATAAAAAAAAATATACAGCGCGAGCCTTGCGCCCCCTCTTTGCCCCCATATGATTTAGTGTTGCTTGTTGTAACAAGGCTCTGAGTGGCACAGATTCGATATCGACCAGGGGTCAACCCCAATGTCTTGGGCTAAGTCTCCACTGAAAATCTTGCGGGTCGGACCATCTCCCGTGTGGTAAAGTGCCGGACTCCGAACATTTTCCGTTCTTCCAAAGCTGTTCTCCACGCTCCAATTCTCGATCCTGAACTGCCGGTCATTCCACGGAGAATTTCACGCCAATCATCACCGCTTCAGCGCGGAAATCACCAGATGGACAGCAGCACACAAAGAAATATATCCTGGAGGGGTTGCCAGAACTATCAAAAGAACCCCCTCACAGGCCCAGCCCTACAAGACGTCACTACCTAAGCCGTACCCCTGACGGTGAATTGGCAATCACACTTCCCAAGATTTGTGCCTGTAGACCAAAATGACAGTCACAAGTTCGTCGATCCTGTTCCATGCGCGAGCGTACACTAACAAAGATTCCCAAACAGCGACACGAAAAGACTGGAGAAAGAAAGCGGGGAGCTTCAAAGACATGCCGGGCGGCCTGAATGTGAAACCGATTGCCGTCATGCTCAAGTGTCTGAATTATCGCTTCCCCTTGCAACCGCCACCGGCATCTTGGTCGGCGGGTGCGGGCCGGGTCTGATCATGTCGCTTATATTGCCGAGCTTGGCTCGAGTATCCCTGAGTTGTCCCACGCTGATCTGCTCAGATTTTCCGCCGGCCATGGTAGAACAGGTCGAGGAAGCCAGGATACGCACAATCAGTCAGGATGCAAATTCGCCGTGGAATCGGGTGCGCCTTGAAGCCCTTGATTTCATGGATTTGCAGGGCATCGAAGGGATGCGTAAGAGAAACTTTATCTCTTTTTCTTTTGACTTGCTACGCACATTGATTGTTGTTTGTATACTCATTTTGATTCCCTCGGTTATGACAGGACTTTCTACAATGCCAAATGTCCCCTGAAGGCTTTGGCCGAGTCCATGCTCGTCTTTGCAGCCAGGCGGCGTCCTGTCGGCTTCATCGGGGGCGGAAACCGATTGGCTCAAAATCTAGAGAACCATCACCAAGGCTGATCCAGCTCGCAGCTCTCCATCTATATTAGACGACTAGACCGAGGCACCTAATCTTAGGGGGCAATTAGGCAATCGGGTCACGGGGTGCCAGTCGACATACCATTCCGATCGTATGTTTCGTTTGTCGAGATCTTGATGACGCGCGTCACGCAGATGATGACTGCGTGTCAGGAATTATCAGAGGAGGAGAAGCAAGAGTTGAAGAGACTGATGATGCAGGAGATGCGGAGCCTCTGTCCCACAGAGCCAGTCGTTTTGAAGGTAGTCTCGCTCGTGGCAGTCGGGATTATATAACTGCAAAAGTCTATATACATCTGGAATTATCCTAGCTTCATGGTATTGGAAAATCCCCCTACGGCAAAAAGCCTACATGTAGGTGCCGTGGATCGTCTTAGACTCATCCTCTACACATGGTTCTCCAGTGATTGTTGAACGGGGTCAACCAGCCATTCTTGACTGTTCATTGAAATACTCAGTCCCGATACCTTGGAACTATAAAGACAAGCTATGTCTTTTTAACAGCTTTCAAGTCGGGGTTTGGACTTCTTATGTTGTATTGCAGCGCTCTACCGTTATTGCAGTGTTATCACAAGTTTAAGGCTCCATGTAACGTAACCGGTAAGCGAGCCGGCCATGTAAGCGAGCCGGCCACCCATCCATTTTTTCGCGTTCACACGCGTCTTTCTATTTTCTACCAACCACTATGCCACCCAATCGCTGCCGATCGAAGCAACATTCAATTGAGCAAGAGGGCAGGGTTCTACTAGCTACTTCCGCTATTCAGAAGCATGAAATTAGCTCAATTCGTGAAGCGGCACGCCGATTTAATGTTCCGCGTTCTACCCTTCAAGAACGGCTATCTGGTCACCCAAACCGCTCTGGATCACGCGCCAATAGCCATAAATTAACTCAAACCGAAGAGGAATCACTCAAAAAGTGGATATTATCAATGGATCTACGTGGAGCAGCCCCTACATCCGCTACAGTGCGTGAAATGGCGAATCTTTTGCTTGCAAAGCGCGGTTCAACTCCAATCCAGACAGTCGGCGAAAAATGGGTCTACAACTACACCCACCGCACTCCAGAGCTTCAGTCACGCTTTTCACGTCGATACAACTATCAGCGATCAGAACAAGAGGATCCAAAGGTTATTCAAGAGTGGTTTAATAGCATACAAGCTACGGTTCAGCAATACGGCATCCTATCGGAGGATATCTACAATTTTGACGAGACTGGCTTCGCGATGGGCCTTACAGCGACCGCGGAGGTTATTACTCGAGCGGAATATTACGGTCGGAGATCGGTTTTACAGCTAGGAAATCGCGAGTGGGTGACTACAATTGAGTCAATTAGCGCTTCTGGGTGGGCGCTCCCGCCCACGATTATCTTCAAAGGCAAACTAGACAATCAGGCTTGGTTCGACGGCCTTCCGAGAGATTGGCGCTTTGAAGTTAGTCAAAATGGATGGACGACAGACGAGATTAGCCTACGATGGCTTCAAAGGCTATTTATACCGTCAACGAATAGCCGTACGCAAGGCCGGTATCGTTTGTTAGTCCTCGATGGGCACGGGAGTCATTTAACTCCACAATTCGACCAAATTTGCGCAGAAAACGAGATAATTCCTATCTGTATGCCAGCGCATAACTCACATCTCTTACAGCCTCTTGATATTGGTTGTTTTGCGGTTTTTAAGCGCTCATACGGAACCTTGGTTGATCAAAAAATGCGTGCTGGCATCAACCACATTGACCAGCTTGATTTCCTCGCAGCATACCCACAAGCTCGCGGAAGCGCTTTTCAAGCGCTTACGATTAAAAATAGCTTCGCAGCAGGTGGTTTAGTGCCGTTCGACCCAGAACGAGTGCTTTCAAAGCTCAATATCCAGCCTCGGACGCCTACCCCCTCAGGAAGCCGCCCAAACAACCGATCTAGCGCTTCTACCCCCGCGACCGTCGCCGAATTGCTTAAACAAGGAGCGTCAATCCAGGCTTTCCTAAAACGACGCTTAAATAGCCCCCCATCGCCCTCACAAACTGCGTTAAACCAGCTTATCAAGGGCTGTCAAATCGCTATACAAAAGGGCATATTACTTGAGCAAGAAAACAAGGAATTACGCGCTGCCAACGCAGTGCAAATGCAAAAGCGCGCACATGTTAATAGGCATATAGCCTACGAAGCTGGTATCTCAGTGCAAGAAGCTCAGGAGCATTTACAAGCGCGTGAGCCTATTATACAGCCTATGGCACCGTCTCCAGCAGCATCCGCGCAGCCTATTCAGCAAGCGGCAGCACCAGCGCGACGACGTCAATTTACCTGCTCTTTATGTAATCTGGTAGGGCATAGGGCAAATCAATGTAATCAGAGATAATTTAGTGAACATAAAGGCGTTTTGGTTGAAAAAATAGGTGTAAAGTAAAAACATAAATGGATGGGCCGGCCGGCTCGCTTACCGGGTACGTTACACATTGGATCATGATTATAAGTATGTATATTTATCACACCTTATTCAGTCTGGTACAATTCTACACGGGTCGTAAGTGCACAGGTGAAAAACAATTTCTATGCCACAGGAGTCCTGGAGGCACATCAAAACTTTAGTTCAAATGTTCTTTGATATATAAGAGGCCTGTCCATAGGCAACTAATTAACTTTGTGATTATTTCTTGCAGAGCCTCAGCTCACCAAATTTAAGTTTGAATGATGTAGCCTTCTCCTCCCTTCTGTATCCAATCGATCTCAAAATCGATCCCTTACTCATTCCCTCCACAATGTACACTAATTGCGACTCATTCTTACTCTATAGAACGAGCTTTGCAGATCCCTACTGCCGTTCAAGTTCCCCCTCTTCTGGCGCAGTCCCCCTTTTCTCATGGATCCTCGTCCACTTGACCCCGAAAGCCAAGAAGAATGCCGTTGCTGTCGTAGCAACTGGAACAAACTATTGGTGTACATCAAGTTAGTTTCAAATCCTCCAATAGGGTGGATCCAGAGAAGGGGCAACTCACAAATGTTGAAGTAATTGCTGTGTTGTAAGATTCCAAAACCAGACTTAACCGTTTGGGGAAATTATTCTCAGTAATTTCGCGTACGTGGGCAGTTCCAGCCTCAGATAACAAAGCCTTTTGGGAGGTATTCAGACCGGCATGTTTGGTCAGTTCTTTGCTCAGAATTGAGCGGAACACGATACCTCCAATAACCTGTGTGACCGTGGCCCCTAGGTACTGAAAGAATAAATTGAGAGAGACAGCAGCGGGCATAAAATCTGGTTTATCTTTGACTGCCAGCTGGACTAGGAGAGTGGGCATTTGCTGAGCCATACCGACCCCGAGGCCTTGGATGACCTGGAAGCCAATCCAATGGCTAGATGGTGTATTATAAGTCGAAAATTGAGTGTATAAGGCTGCGGCGGTGCACATAAAGAGAGGACCAGTGAGAAGCCAAGGATTATAATAATTTATCTTCCGGGCTATATCCTAGTTTTAGCTTCTGATACCTTAATATATAAGATACTAGCGTAAAAAGCTTACCCAAAATACCAGCAGTCAGTGTTCCCACTATTTGAGCGACAACAGAGGCTAAAGTACGCGTACCACTTTCCAAAGGAGTAGCGCTATCCACGGCTTGAAACCATTCAGGGAGATAGTAGTTCAGGATGCCAAGTGATCCGAAATGGCAGAAGGAAAACAAGACACTAAAAGTGACTGTTCGTCTGACGATTAGAATCCCCGGTATCATAGCGCCATCTCCTTTATGGCGCTCCCAGAAAACAAAGATTATGAACATCACACCTGAGGCCACAAAGAGACCAATGATTGTTGCCGAATTCCAATCCTTTTCCGTACCGCCCCACATCATAGCGAGAAGTAGCATAAAAATAGTTGGAATGAATATTCCACATCCGATAAGATCCAGGCCTTTGATCCGTTGAATAATGGTCCCGTCTGTCTGGATGGATGGGGGGTTGAAGAAGCACAGCATAGAGACCAATGTTACAGCACCAGGAGGAAGGTTGACCCAGAAACACCACCGCCACGATGCCTTCTCTGTAAACGCACCACCTATAACGGGTGCCACAATTATACCAATGGCAAAACAGCTGCTGCAAATTCCCATCAAGACCGGTTTCATTTTTTCGGGACAGACAGTGAGAACAATAACAAACCCTCCGCTGGCGACACCGGACGCTCCGACGCCTGCCACTGCACGACCCACAATGAAGCTGTTACTATTTGGCGCAAAGCCACATATGAGGCTGCCAACCATAAATATAGAAAAGAAGGTGATGTAGACCCAGCGAAGAGGAAATTTTGCGCTTAGCTTTCCTGCTAGCGGAGTCAAGGTGCATGTCGTGAGTGAATAAGCGGCCGGATACCAAGCCAGCTGCGAGGTATCGTGAAAGTCGGACGTGATGGATGGAATGGCCTTGTTTTGTGTGTCAGCTATGTTTCTTGTTTCTTTTCTGTAGAGAGCCAGGAGTGGGTGGTAGGAGTACTGTTGCGATGACGAAAATATCCAAGGACATCAGGAAGGCACCAAAGCAGATACCAATGAAAATGGCATAGAGCTTGAAACCATGCATCGCCGTCGGGTTCGTCTCTGATTCATCCGTGGTGTTTGCTTCTGGTCCCTTAGTTCTGTTCGCGTGCTGAGGTTGAGCAGTGCTGCCCGCATCTTCTGACTTGGTAGCTACCGTGGTCTCATTTGGAGAAGACAAAACCATATTCTAGATCTGATAGTGTGAAAGACGTTTGAAACGAGTGGGGTACGATGCATCTGGTAATAGAAAAAATATATGGATTGAGTTCTTAGCGGGTCGGACCGGCGACATTAATCTCTCAAACAAAGAAAAAGTCGCCTGTTCTAAGGTGTACATCCCTGTTCAGCCGCACCAAGCCCTGGTACGATTGCAAATAGCGGCCATAACCCCTTATTGAACTTTCTGCCGGCCATATGACTTAGACCTTGAGTTTCTAGCCGGAAATAGGTAGCTAGAAATGCCCAGCTAGGTAGAATAATTAATATAAAGGCGTTCTGGTTGAAAAAATATGTATAAAGTCAAAGTTACATGGTTGGGTGGCCGGCTCGCTTACCGAATACGTTAAGTTTGTGTCGCTCGCTTACATGCATCACTGGCTTACCGATTACGTTAGTTAACGTTAGCGCCCTTGGATCCTAATTGCGGATGCTATCTAGAATGACAAGGGTCCGGTGAATCCGACTTCGATCGGGAATAGGCTATCCAATGCCGAACAGACAGTCCGAAGAGAAGAGTCTCCCGCACCTCCGCGGGGAGGACCTCTGCGAAGCTATAAGCGCTTACGATTACATGAGCATCCGAGTAGCTTCATGTTGTTTAGGGGCCGTAACATGAACTGACAACTAAGGATGGTAGATATTTCCCGGTCGTTGAGGGAAGTACTTTAGCAATATTTCGCCATAGTTACTCCGTTCGTTCATGTATACATATGTTATCTATCCCATAATACAGTCTCTTTCTAGGCAAGACTAATTGAAAAAATCAAATTGTATTGTTGCTATGACATCACAAAAAAATGTGCAAACAAATCAGAACATAAATCCCGAGTGGGCAAGTGATGGAGCGAACATGATCAACGAAAATGAGAATAAGGTATTTCTCCATAGTACATGACTTTCACCGTTGAGACTGGTCTTTCAACGTCCACGGGGGGACTTCCTGAGGCAGTCCACTGCTCACTAGAACCGGCCAAGGAGGCAACCATTCGTTTCTGATGAGCGTCGCCTGAAGCGTTACTAGGGCATCCCAGAAAAAGTCATTCAGCTCGGAGGCATGCTTTGGGTGAGTAAAATCAGCCCAAAATGGTTGGCAAAATCCTCCAACGTTCCTCACCAGTCTCTTGCCATGAAAATCTTTCAAATCCCCCAGGGCAAGGAGCATAGGCTTCCACCAGTGCTGTCGCCCATCGGTTTCTTTGTAGTCTCGACAATAAAGGTACATCACGGCCTGTGTAAGTACGGTCACTTCCAAAAGCTTTACCGGGTATCTGTCTAACGTCGTACTTGGCGGTATTTCCCCATCATGCTTTTTCCAACCTGGAAGGTTGAACCAGTTGTCTAGCGTCAAATGGGGATGGGTCGGGGCCGGTCGGTCGACTTTCAAATCTAGGTCAATCCACCAGAGCATTCGGGACTTGTTATACAGTGCAATTGGTCCGTGAAGACTCGTTTCGTCGGTGTCAAAATGCATACTGGCTGTACATTGTCGGTGCGCTGGGGTGAAGTATTGGCAGTTCTCGTTGCGGCAGGGCTCAAATCCAAACTTCTGTAGAGATTCAATAGCCTTGTCCATATGATCATCTGGAATCACGAAATCGGTTCCCTGTGGAGTTGGTTTGTTAACAAGATCGGCAATTCATGGGGATAGTATAGTGAGACTCACTCTTCCTGGTAGCAGCTCTCTGACTTGGGAGTCCTGAATATGAGAGGTAAAGAGGACATTGGGCACTTTCCCCTTATCTAGGATCCAGGCAATGTTGTTAGGAAAGGGCATATACCGGGTCTTCTGCTTCTTCTCGTCGTCAGGGACGGCGTAATATTCTTCTCCATTTTCTCTGGAAGATGGGCTGGGAATTGAATCCTTCTGACCCCGTTCGCTTTCAACATCGTACCACCTCATATCCAAGACATTGGGATTAGATTTACCGAGCTTGGATAGAAGCGGAGGCATTCTGGAGGCTCACGGAGATTGGACGACACAAATTTTGTTGAGAGAGTAACTGTTCGTTGACGTTGTGGAAGCTATCGGAGAACTGATGTCTATGGTGTAGACGGTGTTCTGTCAATGGGCTTCCAGGGTTGTAGATCCCCATTCCACGCGAGCAATCGAGGCTCTTATATACCTGGTACTCGCTTCTGCGGACCCAGTGGGGTGAAAGAGGACTCAGAGTATTGCCAAAGTCTCATGTGTGAACTCATGTTCTGGTTTCGAGATCCCGAGTGATTTGGAACCAAGGACTGGAATAAAAGGTCTGGGATAAAAGGTCTGGGTAAATTGCTTTGTAGAACGGCCTTATTCGAGGCAACCTTTCTTAGATTTCTTTGTCTCGATTACGTATTCTATGGTCCGCGTCCGGGATTTCAAAGGAGCAGTTTTGTACAAGACTCGTTCCATGCAAAAATAACACTACTCATAGGAGCCATTATTTCCGTTCCAAGTTCTCCATTCTAGTTTATCACTGTCTATTATTAGAAGCATCTATTTTGGTGTATGTTGGACTTTGACGGCTTAATAGTGTATTCCATGGCCCAAGATTCTTGCTCTCCGCAAATAAGCCTGATCGTTACTCCCAACCCTTGGAACTTGGGACACGCTGTCTCCTGAATGAAGAAAGACTCGGTTTCGGATACTCTAGAAACAAGAGAGCCAGTGCGCATTACCGGGCAGCCACTAGAGCGTCGTTCTCAGCGTATCGCGTGATTGGTCCGTGTTAACTGGCTGGGCCTTTGTTCATCGTTTGCCGGCTTACTGGACGTATATGGTCGCGTTCTTTGGTTCTCTGTTTCGCCCTTCGAATACCTCGTCAAAGCATAACGGCCCATCAAAATATCCTGGAAAGAGGTCTCCATTCCGGGGTGCCATATTTCTCGATGCTGTAGTCACTGAGCAGAATTCAGCACGCCCCTGAGCGGATATTTGTGCCTCGTAATATGTAGCGTCCCCCACCTGGCGGTGATGGTGCGCCCCAGCGGTAGCCCAATTATCACCAGTAGCCCAATTCTCCCCTAATTATTCGTCCTGAAGCTATTTCCACCCACCCAGCATGCCAGCATCGCCCAAAGCCCCCGAATCTCGTGTAACCGAGGCCTGCGAAGCCGCCCGTGCCCCAAAAAAAGCCGAATTTCTCGAAGATCGCGCGGGAATATGGTGTTTCGGATGAAGTGTTACGAGGACGCGTCCGCCAGGGTAAACAGGCCCGTACTGCCCAAAACCTGTTAAAAAAGCACCTCACGCGTATTAGGAGGAAGCTTTGACTCCGTGGCTATGTGATATGCGCGATCGGTATCTGCCTGTGACCCCTGTATTGCTAGAGAACATGGCAAATCTCTCGCTTTAGCGCCCTGGTCTTGATCGAGAGCTTGGTAAAATGTGGGCATACCGCTCTATTAAACGTCTCCCTGAAGAGCTGCAGTTTGCTTCGCTGAAGCGAAGAACGAAGGAGCATAAGCGGATCCAGGCGGAGGATAGCGGAGTGCTAGAACTAGAGTATAATCGGTGGAGGAATGTCGTCAAAGATACAGCGCTGGATGGCTTTAGTACTTCTACAATGCGACAAAGGGTAGCGACCGGACGTTGAGAGGGGAGAAACGTATCTTGCTGTTCGATGGCTATAGTGTCATCGGGGAACGTGCAGCTCTCTCGAACGACATAATCAGCCAAATGACGGCCGCTCGCGCCCCTCTACTGCGCAAATACACTAGGCAACACATCAAAGGGCTTGGTCACACTGGTGTGCTAAGCGCACGAGACGCCAATTGATCAATTACAGGCAGGAAGGCAAATGAGGCTATACAGGACAAGAAGCGGCTGGATAAACTACACACGAAGGTCTACGTAAACCGCCACCAAAACAGTCTACGATGGAGAACGAGGCATCCATAGAAGCAGCGAGGGTTGCTGGAGAGGCTAATGAGCCTTTTTACTTTGATTCGCATCCAATGTGTTGACAAATAATAAGAATAGCATCGTTTTTGGGCTACTGGTGATAATTGGGCTACCGCTGGGGCGCGCCCTCACCGCCAGGTCGTGGGCGCTATTATGAGGCACAAATATAGTGACTTTCGGATGTTACCGTACAGTCGTGCTCGAAATCGCCTTGACCAATATACACCGAGACACTCTTTCCTGGCCCCACTGCCAAGGCGTTAGCGCGGATCATTTATTGAGCTAGCCGTGTTAAATTGAGGGCGAAATAAAATGTGCTGTATACTGTATGTACCCTGACGAAAATTACACTATGCGTGTAGAACGTCCGTGGAATTCCATGGAATCGTAAAGTGGATCTGCAAATCATGTGGGGAGTGCTGCCTAGTGCTGGGTAACCTGATGATCTTCCAAGCGACTTCAGTTCTCCTTCTCATGCTGTGCGGCGTGTGCTGGTCATCACCTGTGAGGCTGTCTCTTTGGCCCAGAGAACCTCAACAAGTGATCCTAGCGGCCAACAACCATTCTGACCACTTGGCGGTTGTTGCAAACGAACAACACCCTCAACCGCTCCTGATGGTGTAAGCCTCAACTAATAATCACTCACCTTTAGTCTGTCGTTACAGTAGGCCCAAGAAAATGACTCCTAGTTCTCTTATGAGCCATGATGATAATGGCGTTCAACAAAGCATTATGCTTGACCCGTGGGGTGATACATCACAATATGCACCAACACCTGGCAACTTCTGTTGGTCACCCACCTCCCTGTCCAACATAAGCTACATCAATGTCGATCACATATCCCCTGTTGATTACGCGTCTCCACAACAAAGTGCATCACAAAAGAATAATCTTCCCTTACTCTAGTTCGGTGATTGGGAGGAAGGTCGAACATATGACGAAGATCCACCGACTTGTATCCACTACTCGATCGAGTGGAAAGTCACTCTCAATAATAGGACGGTGGCGAAAGATACAGAACAAGATCTGGTTCTAGCCCCTCGATTTCACTGGAGGCTCTTTGCAACCAAAGCTAAAGGAGCTACTTGTACGAAAGTATCCACATCGAAAACTTGAATCGGATGACACATCTGTTGTCGTATCCGCCACTCGGCAGAAGGGCCTCACTCCGAGTTTTGATAGAATCGACATTGATTGGACCTCTATAGAAAAACAGCTTTCGGATCGGGGAGACCTCTTTCTTGCTGGCAAGAAACTGAGACTGGTCATCTCATTCAATTATATAGAGAACTCTTCGAGCTCAAACGGAAGTGGCAGGACTACTGATAAACGAGGCACTTCGTCTGCTACCTAGCGGATGCTTCAGGAGTGAGATCGACAGATCTATGCTGAGGAAGCAGCTTCTGGAGAGCCGCCTGCCTGGAAAGAGGTATATACTTTGATGCGTTGTCCTGGGTCCTGTGAACTAGGTCCGCACTGCTAGCAGGATCCCTATGGGAAAAAGCACTACAAGCTCTACCGGGATCAGCTGGAGAGCTTGGTTAAATACGCGCAGGGCGGTGGGATTTTATAGTCACATGAAGACGTGCCTGGTATGATTCGCGAGCAAATCTACAGGGCAGAGAGGCAACGGCTTAATCGACCGCGGGCCAATAATCGATCTACCGCCGAGGCAAGCTGCCCTCCCATTACTATCACAAATGTGCTTCGCCCCACAAGCAGCTAGGTCGTCAGCATCCCCATTTTTAGAGGACACTATTGCTTTGATCAACATTCCTGTCCTTCATATCCTAGGCCTTCTCGATGTTGCCGTGAGAGAATACAGTACCTGGCAACAGTCACATTTGAGTGATGAGGCATTAAAAGCCGAGGTCAGAGAGGCATGCGATGTAGCTCTAGATGATGGACTGGACCTGGCGTAGATTGATGAGGATAAAGATCCGAATTACTTCCAGACGCGTGGTGTCAAGTGGGGAATTGCTCAGCGTTTTGTCAAGGATATCAGGTACTGGGCGGAAAACTATAATTGTTGTGAGACAAGGGGAGGTGAATTTTAATACGAGCATTTGGTAATTCTTGTCTTTTCTTTTGAGTATCTATGTCATTTGAGATATATCTTCTACGCGACCAGGCAAGACAATTAGAGCTCATCGATCATCAAACCTGCATTTCGGAAATGACCCTCCGCACTTGATACCCTTGAACCAATCACGTCAACGCACCACTCAAGAAAGGCATCGAAACCTTGATTTAGGTTCACCTCATACTCATTCCACCTTCGCTTGATGAACTGCTTAAGCTCAGAGAAGAACTCCTCGATAGGATTCAAATCTGGCGAATAAGGCGGCAGATATACTAGCTTTACGCCGGAATCTGAGCACATGCGCTGAATCTTCTCTGTGTGATGGAAAGAAGCGTTGTCTATGATAAGCATAGACTTCGGCTCTGGCCATCTATTGCAGTGCTGAAGAAGTTGTTCAATGAAATCCTCGAAAACATTCGCGTCGGTAGACTCTTGAAATATACGCCTTAGGACGATCTTATCTTAAGCATACGCAGGTAGAATCTGATAGCGCTTATCCCGGTGGAACTTGGATATTTGAACTGGTGTCACACCGAGAGGGGACCAACCTGTTCGTCGAAACCCAGACTCTTTTATCACAACCCGACTCATCCACGAAGACCAAATGGTATGGTCGAAAGGTAGATAGGTTGTGGAGGTAGAAGTCCCGTAAATCTGCATTTTGTTCCTTCGCAATCTGTCGAGTAGCCTTCTTCGACCACCCCACCGAAGCAAGCGCTCTGCTGATGCTTTGAATCGTCACATGCTTCCTGAATTCGTCCCAGAGAAAGAGGGCCATCTCGTCTCGGTATAAAGTCGGTTTCTCCATCAAGTGTTCACAGAGAGCTTCGAGTATGGACGGTGTGATACTTCGCGGGCGTCCAACACCATTTCGCGGCGCCCTAACATTCCCGAATATTTTAAGGTTGGAGCGAATGTGTAGTATGGATTGTTTGCTGCAGCCAGCGGCAAGAGCCATCTGGGACGTCGATAGTAGATTGCTCTGGATCATATGATGAATAAGCTCGAGCTGTGGGGGTTTGAGGTTTGGTGCCATGTTGCCGATACAAAGTGGAGTGGTTGTCTGAATGAATGAATGTGTTACGTGGAGAGTCTAAGTACCGCAGTGGGCTAGCCCCTGGGTATGACGGGCCGACAATGGATCCGAGCCTATGACATCGCATGGCACTAATACATTCTAACCGGTTCTATGGGATTCTCACAGGTTATCACGCGAAGAAATGTTCTCTACAGTATAGCAAGTCTCGTCCTAGAGTCATCTGCATTCAAGGTGCTACAATGGTATAGTATAAGCGGCTTGGTAGATGGTAGGAGCGGACCGGGCCGGCTTGAGTGGGAATCATGTTTTCGCTGACTTTGGTAGGGCGAGGACAGCAAGATAGGGTACCGGGTGTGGTGGGGAGGGGGCGGCGGAAGCCACGAGTACAACTGGTTCTTCTACGGAACAATATGTACAGGTACGCCAGGTGAACTCTGACTGGAAGCCTGAAGGCCTGGGTTCAGCCTTACCGTAACCCCGCCTTTTCCTGACGTATCCCACGACCAGCGATTCTCAAGATCTTTCTTTCGACCACGATCGCCACATATTGATAGGCTAAGCATTACAAGCAACTATCTTACTGTTACATTGCCAGGGCTCACTGTTGATGCACTGACTGCTCAACGCCTCATTACCTTAGGAACAAAGGAAACAAGGTTGTGACTACGCACAAGGCCGAAGGCTACATCCACCATAGAGCACTACTGTTGCAAAGCTGCTGTCTATCGCAAAGTACCATCGGGGAGCTTGAGAGCAATTCAGGTACAAATGCCTTTAATACACAGATCTTATTGATGATACTAATGTATGTAGATACTGTTGCTCTTGCAAGTCGTCTAGATGGACTTCCACTGGCAATCGTCATTGCCGGGGCGTTTATGCGTGAAACTGGAACCAGCATCACTGATTACTTGCATGATTACCAAGAATCTTGGTCTGAGCTACAGCTGCAATCAAATCCTGAACGCCAGTACCAACAAGGTAACATGCTACAAACATGGATGATCTCATATCATGAGATTCAGAAACGGGACCCGCACGCAGCAAAATTGCTCCTTTTACTTGCACACTTCGATAATCGAGATATCTGGTATGAATTGATAAAAAGCAGCCAGCATAGCTCAAATGCTCCTGCTTGGCTTGAAAAAATTATATCAAAGGGACTCGCGTTTAGAACCGGCGTCAAAACTCTCGTCGGGTTCTCTCTACTTGAGACCACAGAACAAGGAGGAAGTTATACGATGCACCCAGTGGTACAAGACTAGTGCATTCATCTTTCTAGCACAGACAGAAATGTGGATTCGACCCAGCTAAATAGACTAGCACTAATATCTATTGGATACACTGTTCTAAGTTCAAGTGACCGAAATTATGCGGGCCTTCAGCAACGCCTTATTCCACACGCGAATCATGTACTTCATGGGAATTGGTCACGTGAAAACGTCGATAACGAAGTATGGGGAGCATTAACTCAATTAGGGAACCTCTACTCTGATCAGGGGAAGCTGAAGGAGGCAGAGGAGATGTACCAGCGAGTACTGGCAGGCAGAGAGAAAGCCCTCGGTCCCGATCATACGTCCACCCTTAATATAGTCCACAACCTTGGTGTTCTCTACTCTGATCAGGGGAAGCTAAAGGAGGCAGAGGAGATGTACCAGCGAGTACTGGCAGGCAGAGAGAAAGCCCTCGGTCCCGATCATACGTCCACCCTTGATACAGTGAACAGCCTTAGTGCTCTCTATAGAAATCAGGGTAAGCTAAAGGAGGCAGAGGAGATGTACCAGCGAGCACTCGCAGGCTACGAGAAGGCCCTCGGTCCACATCACAGGAAGACGAGTTGGGTTAAAAAAAGATTAGGTAGGCTGGGAATTTCCAAGTGAAAATGTGCATTACCCTCCATACAGGAAATGTATCTCATTATGATCGTATTGTTTCCAATCTATTAAAAAATGATGTTCTTGGAGAGGTTGGGGGAGATCTGAACTTGCTAAAGAAAGGTCGCAATTTTGGAAGATCCATATTACAGTGCCGACCGCTTTCGCCTTCCATGTCGAATACATAGAGAAGCTGTTTCAAACCCTAGTCATGTGGTCCGCTTTTCCAGATTTGGGTAGTATGTAATTAAACCGTTTTGTAGCTGACCAAGTAATATATACCACCAGCTTAGAATACAAGTATGTAGTATATAGTGAATTACTCCCTGACATTCCAGGCTGGAACCTAGGCTAGAAGCTTCGATGCAAAGTGAGCAAACATGGTGATCCTTAATCAGGTAACGTGTTGATCATACCCATCTCCACTATATGAGAAATGATTGGCCGTGAGATCATGGTGCCTCAGCCTCACTTTCCAACCCCGCTGCTCCTTAACTTCAGCCTACGTTCCCTAATTGAAATTCCGTGGGGCATCGATCACAGCCATCCCTCATATGAGGAACCAGCCTTTCAGCTCAAGCGAACTTATAATCATACAACCCTGCATGGCTGCTAGGGCGCCTCTCTCACATGGCGATTATACGGTCGGATGGATATGCGCCCTGCCGCTGGAGATGGCAGCTACGAAGCTGATATTGGACACGATCCACCCGAGCCTACCGAGTCCATCAACCGATAATAACACCTATATCCTTGGAAACATCGGAGAGCATAACATCGTCATTGCCTATCTACTAGGAGGCGCATATGGCATCGTATTAGCTGCAACAGTGGCGATGCATTTACTGTCGAGCTTCCACTCTATCCGCTTCGGTCTGATGGTTGGTATTGGTGGCGGTGTACCAAGTAGCAACGCAGACATTCGACTTGGCGATATTGTGGTGAGCCAGCCAAGAGAGACATCTGGAGGCGTGATCTAATACGATCTTGGGAAAGTGTTACACGACGGTCGATTCCAGCGGACTGGGATGTTGAACCGGCCCCCGAAGGTTCTGCTAACTGCTCTCGCTACACTACAAGCCCATCACCTTACGGAAGATAGTTAAGTTATTGAGTTAATTTCCAACATCCATACCAAAACAAGATCTCGTAAAGCTACTAACTTCACTCGTCCCGCCCAAGAGGACTGCCTATACCAAGCAGAATATGATCATAAGGCAGCTGATATATGTGCGAATTGTGACCGATCGAAAATGGCTCACCGACTTTTACGAGACCATAAAGAACCAGTGATTCACTATGGACTAATCGCATCTGCAAACCAAGTGGTGAAAGATGGCAGACGGCGAGACCAACTGGCGTAGGACTTGGGGGTATACTGCGTGGAGATGGAAGCGGCGGGGCTTATGAATGACTTTCCATGTGTGGTCATTCGAGGCATCTATGACTATGCTGACTCTCATAAAAATAAGGAATGGCAAGGATACGCGGCGGCAGTCGCAGCAGCCTATGCTAAAGAGCTGCTTTTAGTGGTTCCAGTCAATCAGGTTGATGAGACCCGTATAGCACAAGACACTCTCGGAAACTCTGGTAAGAGGCACTGAAATTTTATCTTTGGGCCATCTATATATTCCGGATATAATACTAAATAGGCCTTTCTTAATTTAGTGGATCGCTTTATTATCCCATTAGACCTCACTGCCGTGCCTCTGATTGAAAGCTTTGTGGGGCGGCAAGCCGAGCTAGAGACCGCCTTTGGCAATATTTGTAGCCGACAAATGCCTAGTCACGCAAAGTCGCGATCCTCCATGGGCTTGGGGGCATAGGAAAAACACAGCTCGCGATCCGTTTTGCACGAGATCACCAACATGAATTTACTGCTATATTCTGGTTGAATGGCAAGGATCGAAGCACACTTTTGCAATCTCTTAGCTCTGTCTTGCCACGACTACCTAGACACTCCCAGGAAAACGGGGCGATCGATGACGAGGAGCTAGAGCAACGAGCGAAGTATATGTTGAACTGGCTGGCAAAAAATGGCAATTCACGCTGGCTACTGATTTTTGATAATATCGATCAATACTCTCCCATCACCAGCGGCATTGGTGATGAATATGACATTGGAGCATTCTTCCCTTCAGCAGATCACGGGTCTATTCTTATTACCTCTCGGCTATCAGGCTTAAGTGAGCTAGGAAAGTCCTTTCCAGTCGGTCGGCTTGAGACAACGGACGCAATTCAACTACTCTTACAGAATAGTGGCCTACTAGCGGATGCCACTAAGACCCTTCAGGATAGTCTAGGTATAATAACATTCAAGATACAGACCTCATGAGTTATGGTATCATCAATACTAATATATCTAGTTACCGTTGCCCTCATTAATCGCCTCGACGGACTGCCATTGGCGGTTGTGATCGCGGCAGCATTTATGCGTCAAACCGGAACCAGTATCACCGAATACGTACAATATTACCAGCAATCCTGGTCTGACCTACAGTCACAATCTAATCCTGGTCGTTAGTATCAACAGGGCAACATATTGCAAACGTGGCTCATCTCATTTCATGACGTACAAAAGCGGGACCCGAGCGCAGCACTACTGCTACTACTGCTTGCTCGCTTCGATAGCCGAGATATTTAGTATGAATTATTGAAAGGTGCTTCTCATAGCAGCGATGTCCCTAGTTGGCTTGAAGAGATATTATTAAGTGGACTCTCATTCAAAAATCGGGTGAAACATCTCATCGGATTTTCTCTTCTTGAGGCTAAACAACAAGAGGGAAGCTATGCGATGCACCCGGTAGTACAGTCCTGGTGCCATCATGTTGCTCGCACGGATGGGATTGTGAATCCCGGCCAGATTTGTGAAATAGCACTAATATCGGTTGGATGGACGGTCCCTAGTGCAAGCGAACGGAATTACTCAGAGCTTCAGCAACGGCTTATTCCACACGCGAATTATGTACGTCTTGGGGAAATGTTTGGTAATGATATTGCAGGATGGGAAGCATTTCATGGATTAGGGAATCTCTACAAAGACCAGGGAAAGCTGAAGGAAGCTGAGGAGATGTACCAGCGAGCTCTGGCCGGTAAGGAGAAGGCCCTTGGTCCAGATCATACATCCACTCTCAATACTGTGAACAACCTTGGTCTTCTCTACGCTGACCAGGGAAAGCTGAAGGAAGCCGAGGAGATGTACCAGCGAGCTCTGGCCGGCTTGGAAATGGCCCTTGGTCCGGATCACATATCCACTCGTCATGTAGCCAACAACCTTGGGGTTCTCTACAAAGATCAAGGGAAGCTGGAAGAAACCGAGGGTCATACCGAGAAGGAGTGCAAGAGAGCCAAGATGATGCACAGCTCAAGCCCAACAAAGTACGGCGGGTGGTAGGGAAGTTCTTTAGATTGTTTTCACAGTCATAAATCCCATAATAATAATGATACCACTACTACTACCATCACCACCACTATCATTACTACCACTAATAATAATAAATAAAAAGGAACTGCGTCGCCATATAGCAGTCCACTGCGAAATGCTTGATAGAATCGAAGCGCGAACAGAATACTTCTCTTTTGGAAAGACAATGTAGAAACGATACGGGGAAACTACTCAAGTCCTATAGGTCAGCTATTTTATCCTCAGGAGCCTTCCCAGCTACAGAACCATCTTTCAATTCTGTCATATAGTCACTTGGGAATATACAGAAGGCCACAGCACAGGCTTTGTATGGCGAGGATAACTATGCAGTAGATTGGACTTTTTGATGGTGGACCTAGTATTTTTAGATCTGTAAGGTTACATGTACAGATACAGCCCTCGTGGGTAATTTAATTGTTTCGAATCATACGATTCGCCTTTGGAACAGGACTTAAAATACCAAACCAACCAGATGTGGACTAGCGTATCACATGATTAGGGTTTGAAATAGCTTCTCTCTGTTTCCAATATGGAAGGCGAAAGCGGTCGCTACTGTATGCGCGATAAAGATTGTAAGTTAGTCACTCAATATTATTAAGAACATGATCAAGTGACTAGGCACCAGGAGACCCTTACGATGTTTACTGGAGATCTTTGCATTTCCATGCCATTCCACAAGATTCTTGGACGTACAGTGACGCAGCAAAAGTATTAACACCCCCTGGACCCACGCCTACACCGCCCTCTCACCGCCTACCTAGGAACACGCTAGTAGTAGCTCAATAATCTCGCGTTTTTGCGCGTTATTCTGTTTATACCTCCTGAATCTCCTTATTTTGCTATCTATTATGGCACCGCGGTCTGAATTGACACCTGCGCTACGTGAGCGTATATGTGAGCTGTCCCAAGCTGCGGGATGGGGCTATAAACGTATTCAAAAGCGCTATCCTTGGGTCTCTCTTTCTAGTATACGCTATACTATTAAAAAGGACCGCGAACGACTCGATGGTGTCTCTAAACCACGCTCTGGACGCCCACGGAAGCTTGATGAAGCTGATCGTGAGCGTTTGTTAAACGCTATTGAGGAAAATCCTAAGATTACCCGCGTTGATTTGCTTGCAAATGTGTCGAATAAGGTTAGCTATATTCCTTTAGTTTTAAATGCTTACTGACCTAAATTTTTGGTTAAATATGACTCGATCCGACGCCTTTTAAACGCCGAGAATATGCGAAAGTGGCGCTGTAGCTGGCGGCCCTATTTGACCGAACAAAATGCGCTAAAACGGCTTCAATGGGCGCATCGCTATCGACACTTTATTGCTGAAGATTGGGCTCGTGTCTATTGGTCTGACGAATGTACAATTGAGCGCGGTATTGGTGTTCGTCGTGAATGGACTTTTATTCGCCCTCGAGATCAGCCTAAGGAGAGACAATGTCAAGGTCTTCCTATAAAAGGAAACCAAGTTAAGCAGATGTTTTGGGGGGCTTTTTCTGGCAGCACACGACGCACTAGCCTTATCCCTCTATTTGGAAACCCTGCAGCACCTCGCGGAGGCGTTGATCGCTTTATTATTCGAGATTTATATCTCCGAATGCTGCCTACATTAATGAATCATGAGGGTGGTATCTTTCAGCATGATAATGCGCCTACACATACTGCACACGTTGTCCGCAATACTCTACGCGAGCTAGGAATTGAGGTAATGGAATGGCCGCCTCATTCGCCTGATTTAAACCCTATTGAGAACCTATGGGCGCTCTTGAAGGCTAAAATCTATGAGTTACGGCCGGATCTTATTGATATGCGTAATAATAGCGCGTCCTACGCTATTCTAGTGGAGACAGCACAGATAGCATGGGAAGAACTAGAAATACAGCACCTAACGCATCTATCTGAGACGATGCCGCACCGGGTGGAAGCTATTATTGAGAGCCAGGGCTGGTATACGCCCTACTAGATAGAAATTCATGGAGTTTTAGGCCGGCAGAATATTAGGTAATAAGGGGGGGGTGGGTCTAGGGGGGTGTTAATACTTTTGCTGTGTCACTGTATCATGTAATATAACTGAAAATACCGTACCATACACCGTCCATCTTATGATGTCCCTCAATTTTAATGCGGCCAGCTCAATAGATGATCCGCGCTAACGCCTTGGCAGTGGGCCCAGGAAAGAATTTCTCAGTGTATATTGGTCAAGCCGATTTCGAGGACGACTGTAGCCTAGCTTAGGACAAGCATGTCTTCGAGTCATATCGGGGTCCATCGGGGTCCGATCGGGGTCCGAAAAGAATGGGCTGACCATTGAAAATAATTCCAGCCTTGGACTTCGTTACTCTATAGAGATTCAGGATTGGTGTATCAAAGCCTCTGAGTCAGTTGTGGCGTAGATATGACCGCCAATTTACCTGTTCGCTGGGTTCCTCCAATCGCCCATTCTCTGTGCCCACTAGTGCGACGCTGAAAATGATGGTGTGAGCATGGCATTAGTTTGGCAGTAGCTCGGCATTAGCTTAATATTTTTGACTTTGCTAAGTTGGTGCTTTCATCAAAAGATACGCGATTTTTGTGATAGGACAAGCTCCCTCGGTTCCGGAGAAATATAATACCTACTGTCCTTCCGTTAGATAATGGAGAGAAAGCGAACAACTTCAATTTCCCGCTCCTGCTCACTGTCTAAATAAATGATGGCATACACTCCACGCCCACAATTTTTGTTAACCCTCTTTCGCGAACTCTTCAATACTATCATCTACTCCGCAGGAAATGATCCACTACTTGCGCAAACTCATCGATTTGTTCAGAAAGGCCCTGCTCAAACCAACAATGTTTTACTTTTAGCACCTATTTTTCTCGGTATTATCCTCAAACTTCTAGTAAGCGACTAACAAAAAATCCCTATTGTCTGCGAAGACTAATAGAGCTTAGATCGAATACATCATTGGCCACGTCTTAATGTCTATCTTAATCCTCGAATCTGTGGAGAAGCAGGTCAATATCTCTGAGGTCGGAGACAAGAAGCTAGCCCCCTCAAGTCGTTACTTGCTCCAAACTAGTGCCGTCCTTTACCGCAGAGGGGGTTTCCGCCTTCTCCTGAATGGCATCGGTTCCGCTTGTACCTACTGGGTGACGCACACCTTGTTGACGAAAATATCAACTATTCTGCTTCCTACTCCGGTGGCGTATATTATTGCATCAGTCCTGCTCGCGGAGACCCATTTCTTCTGGACCGCGCACACCATCCTTCCTCGCGACCAGCTGCGCTTCGTGTCTAGTCCCCGCGATCGCCGACGATGGAAAGCTCTGGCACTTCCCACTTTGATCTACTCCGCGGCCGAAGCAGTGATGATGTATTTGCCGGCTCTATTCGACAGCACTCTTGCTCCGTCGTCAAACGAGAACGTCACAATAGAGGGGTTATCGTATATTGTGAGATCCGATATCCTGATATCGGCGCTCATGCTCTTTACCCAGCTGTCTCTTCTCCTTCCCTCTTATATTATGTTAATTTTAGTGCAGGCCAGTCTTCTGCCACCCAGATGCGAGACGCTGATTTTAAGGCCGTCACGAGAGCAGCAGCCAGGTATACGGGTAGGAGAGATCTTTTCGGCGGCCAACCGAGGACCGCTACAGGCACGGGAGGCGGCGCAGATGATTGGGACACGAAGGTTGCTTTATTGTCTGGAAATGCATGGAAAGATGTGTTTATGTTTGCTTGTAATTACCGCTACGGTGCATTTGATGGTCTACTCTATCTTGTAAAAGGAAGTATCAGCGCGTCCCGACTACATCTTTGTCAGAACAAGTGGACACATATAGACAGTATAAAGTCTGGCAACTCTCAGCTTTCCCTTTCCGCTTTTTGATCACTGAGTAGAACTAAGCACGCCCCTGAGTAGCCTAAATTGCTCAGTGAGTATTACACAGTATATAATCGTGAATTCCACGCACTGAGCCTACCCTGAGTGACCTAGTTTGCTTACTGAGCTTGACCCACGGGAAGGGATAAGCGACCTAAGTAAGCTCACCTCAGTAAAATGCGACACGGTAGTCCTATTCGCGTGCAATCATTCTAGTCTAGCTTGCCACTATTGCCCATCAACACAAGATAGGCATCATCAATATGACCGTCGACCCTAGTCATCTAGACCCCACCCATGGTATAATTTGCAGTATCATTTTGTTGTAAACCAATTATTTTTTATGTCAGGCTATATGGTTCTAGGAACACTTCAACCACAAGCCCCACTGTCCCCAGATCAGACTTTGGAACATTGGTTCCAAAACGCATCGTGAAGATAATGATACATTTGAAACTAGCCTAAGAATTGAAAATTGGGGCAAAGAGATTCGGGTCGGCCCGTAGCCTGTTCCAAATCTGTTTTTTGGTTGTCTTGACGGAGTCTGGTCTAGTGAGACGGTGTAGGGAATACTCTCCCGCACGCCCTTTAGCCTCGAGGGCCAGATAGCCCAGAGCATAAAGCTCGACATCCTCTATCCACTGCTCTCGATAAGACAAGTTCATCGTCTGTGGTAGTTGGTCAGCAGCCTTAGCTTGACAAAGAATATCGACGATCGGTAGGTCCATGTTAAGTCTAATATTTTGTATTAGTCCCATTGGTCTATATGGGCGGGGAAATCTCATTCTCATGTTCGCATCTCTCCGAGCTCTGCCTGCTGCGTCCTATGTATCGATTGACTGGTTGTCAACCGTACCACATATCTAGGCCTATGGCACGTTTGACTACGATGCATAACGAGTGGAATGCTGTAGAATAGCCAGACACGGGTCTAATTCATTGTTCTATAAGCTCCACGGAAATTCAAGAACCATGCTGTCACCACGTAGACCGAGTCTTGGTCCACATGCGTACAAAATCTTGCTTCTCCTTGACGCCCAGGCCCACGCGCTTGACCCGGCCCATGCGAGCGAGCGCTTCTCCCACATGATCCAGCATCGCCTTTTCCATCACTGCCTCACTGTCGGCAGCCAACTCGTCCAGAGTATCGAGGTAATTGGTGTTGTAGGTCGACTTCCGTGTTGAGCGGCTGGGCGGAGTGTCCAGCGGACTGCGGGCGATTGCCGCAGCCTCGGCAATACGCACGCGGATGCCGTGTGTCGGTTTGCTGAGCAGCGTCCACAGGAAGCTGATGTAGCTTCCCGGAAGAGGAGTCACGACATCTGCGGGGCTGTACCGCAGACTGACGGGGAAGATCTTGGTCTTGGAGGCAGCACCGAGTAACGATTCGCTCAGGGGCAAGATTGCGCGGCCGTTGGTAGTGGTGCATTCCGGGAAGATCACTATCGGTCGGCTCGGGTACTGCTCGACCAGGCTGGCGACGTCCACCAGCTGGGTCCCGGGCTTGGGGCGGGTCGAGGGTGATGCAAAAGCTCGTAGGACGGCCTGGAGAAGAGATATGCGCTCAACCTGGCGGGTGTTTGGGTAGGATGCGGTGAAGATTGGATCGAAAATCGCCGCCAAATAGATCGCGTCGATGGGGGAGGTGAATGAAGAGGCAATCACGGAGCCGGGCTGGGGAAGACGAGCTTGCCGTTGCTTGGAAAGAGAGCTGTTGAGACATCGTTAGCTACCGTTGAGAGCAACGGGGCTCTGATATCGCAAAGATACGGACCCTTTCCGAACACCATCCACCTGGAGGTCAATCCACCAGATGCTCGGGACGCCAAGAATGCACCACAACGCAGCCTTCTTGCCCAGTGATCCAATGGGAAGCCATTGCAAAATGAGGAAATAGGCCAGGGTCACAAAGATGAATAAGGGTAAGCGAAAGCAAAAGAGGAAGACCCGGATGGGTGCTTGCAGGCCAAGCGGCTCGGAGGGAATGGGGAGGAAGGGCGCAATGCCCGAGCCTAGTAAGTGTCAGTTGCAACTTGGATTAGGAGCTACAGCCACCTACCTCGATCCCGAAACTGGGAAAATTTCTCCATTGCCGATAAACGATGGCCGGTTGAGGAATCTCAGTATTTCCCTATCTACGCATGTGAGAAAGATGGGGCGGTGGGCAGAGCGGTGGGTTGTTGGGCGGCAGATCGATGACCTTTCGTCACGGTGGGGCTTCACATGTTTCGAGACAGGGTTCCGCGACGCCAAACCATAAATATGGTGTACTCAGGAAAATATGTATAGATAACACTAAATCGACGATACTCCCACTATAGACTACTTTATGCAGGATAGAAATACATACTAACGTAGATCCACCGACCAATCAGCACTGGTATATCAGCATGGGTCTATCTAGCTTCACGAATGAACTGATAAGTTCCCCTCAACACAATATATCGAATGCGAAAGAAATGGCCGTGGTAGTGAGTGGTAGAATCAAATGCGTTGGAATGAAAGCACACCAAACGCCCAGGAAATGGCTTGTGATCTATAATATACAAGGTTTATATGCTATTGTGCACTCATTGGTCCTCCTCAAACTCGCCCACCACAAACTCCGGTGCGTGGGGTGTGGGTGGCAGGCGAAACCACCAAATCGCGGCACCAACCATGCAAAACAGCGTACTGGTCATGATCCACGCCAGTCCGATCCAGAACCCTCCCAGTCGGAGACCGAGCTGGAAAACACCCGTGATCGACAGGCTAGCGACGATGTTGCCCACAGACTGGAGGATTTCAACTACTGTGTATAGACGGGCTGTCTCGTCGCGCTCGACCAGTGTCGTGATGATAGATCGCGCCAGGAACATAAAGCCCGAGCCTGATGTTTGCACAATCATGGCGGGGATCAAAGTGGATACGGAAGGCGAGAGTCCGATTCCCAGGGTTCCGATAGTGAGGCATGCTATACTTGCGCGAGCTAGCCAGAGGTCTTTCTCCGTGGCGGTTCGTCGAGAATCCAGCACATGGCGTTTTAGCCAGGGCAGACCCCATAGGAACACCGGGACCGAGACGGTGGGCCGGGAGGAGACGAGCATGTTGGCCTGTGCCAATGTCCAGTGGTAGCGTGTCGAGATATATTGTGACAGGAACCATGAGGAGCCGCGACTAAGGCGGTATACCAAGAATGATGTCAAGAGGAGCATGACGGGCTTGCGGTTCAGGATGAAGAGGTACGGTTTCATATAGAACCGGTAGTTAGCTCGACATTTCGCCCAAATAGACGAGTGTTGCTCGGACGGATAGCTCCAGGACAAGTGATCATGGTGATCCACCGCAGTATCGAGGTCACTTTCATCGTGGTACTGCCCCTCATTTTCGAAATGGGGCTTTGGTTCGGTGTCCTGGGACAGGTCGGAAAGCTCGACGTTCGAAGGTTCAGGCTCGCGGGATGGAATAACATGCATGGTCTCGGGCAGAAGCAGAATGAACAGCAGACCGGCATGTACAATGCCAAAGCCAATGAGAAATGGTACCCATGGGTTCATGGTCATCAGATACGAACTGAAGGCCCCGGAAATGAATTCGGATGCCATGGAGACGATGCCGAACTGGAAGAAAAGTTCCGCTCGCTCCAATTCGGTGGTGACATCGGCCATCATGGTCCAAATGATCGCAAATGCCACAACGGGGCCGCCTCCAATCAGCCACGCCAGGGACGACAGCCAGACCGCCCGCAGCGGGAATATGTCTGAGAACCACATGACGACGATGGTGATAAGAGAGTTGAGGGCAAAGCCGGGGATTCCCCATGCAAGGGTCGATTTGCGACCGTTCCGATCTGCCAGCAGACCGTAGGGAATGGCCATGAGCGCGCCTGTATACGTGGTCAGAACGATATCATGCTCGCATGCCTTCCAATCGTACTCAATAACCCGTCGAAGAACATATGATATCCCTTCACCGCGGCCAATTCCGCCTGGACCTCGCCCACCTTGCACAAATCCTCCGGTACTTGGCCATTAGCCCCGATCTTCGTCGGATCCGCGTCGGTATAGTATTGGCGACAGGCAATGGACTCCAGGATGCGCACCATGGGTCCGTCGAGGAAGGAGAAGCCGACTTCCACGGCTAGCACCATGATGAACAGGATCACCTTCAGCCGAAAGGTAATGGCACTGGCCGAAGCATGACGCTCCGGGTGAGCGGCCTTGGTCTCGACCTGAGGGACGCCAGGGGTTTCGAGAAACGGGGCATCTTCGCGGTCGCGTTCCAACTCATGAGAAACCATGGCCGGTCATGCCGTATATATAGAATCGAGGGAATCAGGAGAGTGTAAGAGACATGATGAGAGAAGTGTCAAGGTGGTCAAGGGCCGTCCAATCTTCGTTTGGGAATCCGTCACGCCGCCTTGGCGCCTCGCGTCCGGATTTGACCCACTTGGAAGATCGTCGGATAAAGGAGTTAGGGGCTGTACTGTACACATGTGGATTACGTGGAGGCAGAGGTCGAATGAAATGTACTCAATTATATACACGTATCTATATCCATCTATGTATAGCCTGCCTCTTCAAAAAGACTTCCCCGCGCTTGCACCACCGCCGACAGTTCCAGCAGAAACTCATACAGGACCACCACATTCGTCAACACGTGGCCCAGCGTGGCCGGGGCCTTTTCGGGATCGACACTTTCACTAACGGACGCCTCTGGGGGCGGGAATGGAGTCGCTAGTCGCTGGCGCAGGGTCTCTGCCGTCGCTGCCCGTGAACCTGACGAACCACGCGATTCCGCCGGTCGCGAGGATTCGCCTCGCAGTGAAGCCACCGCGGGGGAGCTGATGGGATTCGGGGACCGGCCTCGGGACGCAGGAACGGAGGCGTCGGGAGATCCGGGGTAGGAGGGCCGTGAACGGTCCATGGGCGATTGGGGCCGCTCGCCCAGATGCAGCAGATCGCGTCGGGCAGCAACCAAGACATCAAAGTCGGGCAGATCCTGCTGCCACTGGCGAACTTGGTCTACGAGTCGTTGGAGCGCCGCAGTCAGTGTCGGGTTCGCAGTTGCGGGCCAGGTTGGAATTTGGTAGGCGCGATGGATGGGATCAAGCTCGTCCGATGATTCCTCTGGCGAGTCATAGTTGGCAGGGTCGACCAGGACCCAGCCGTCCAGGGAGAACAGATGCGACGAGGCCAGACTCATTAGAACGCCGGTCAATGCGAGGTTAACAATCACGCTGTTGGTGAAGAAGGTCTCAACGCAGCCGAGAAGTCCCCGGACAATCGGGTCATCCTGCTGGAGCTGCAATGGCAGGGGGATCGCACCCTCAACCTCGTCCGCGGCAGAAACAGGGAGACACAGGCGGGATTCGAGTGTCCATGTCGCATCCGCAACGTAGTCGTCAAATGATTCGTTTAAACTCGGGTCGTCGAAGATCGATGTGCCGAGAGTCAAAAGCTGTTCGAGCTCCGCATTGAAGGCACCGACCGACCGCTGCTGCGCGGGCTGGCCAGGTACCGTGTGTATTAACGCCCGTGAAAACTGATGGTGCCGTTGTAGGACAACGTTCAGCAGGCGTAGAGTAGCCAGCACCGTCTGGCGGTTGGAGGAGTGAAGACCCAGCAGGACGAGATCCCGTAGATTGAAGAGTGAAGGAGAAGGCTGGGCTGCTTCGGAAGCCAGCGCGGCCAGAACATTGAGTGACTTTCGGCGACTTGCCGACATGTCCATCTGTTCCTCGGGGGGTGGGGATGAAGCCAATAGGAACTGCAGGATTCGATGGACCAATTCTCCCTGGTCAATCGAGTCTAAAATACGGCACATGTAGGTCAGGACGGCCGCTGTCGAGCCACCTGCCACATCCGACGATTCCAATAAAGAAGGGTATCTGTGACGGTTAGCACGAAATAACAAAAATGCTTGACGAGTGACATTACAGGAGTTGTTCAAGAAAGAGCACCTGGAAATGGTCCAAGAGAGTGTCGTTCACCTCCACGGACTTGCAGTGGTCGATGGTGTCCTGCCAGAATAATAGGTAGGACATGAAAGCATCCATGGTTTCGCCGAGGGCGGGCTGCAGTGCCGTCGCCTCTTTCGCATGGTCAGAAAGGGCAATTATGCGTGGGACGTCCTCGTCGGTGGGCGCATATTCCAAGCTACATTTGATCAACGACTAGTCTTTCTCGTATCCAAAATTCTACTCACCTTCCGAGTTGACTGTACAGTGCCCCCAATCCAGTAGCCATCAGCGTGGCTAGGTCACTCTCAATCAGCCACTTCTCCAGGTTCTTCGAGCGCGACGCCGTCTCGATGAGATACAGGAGCCCCGTACGCGCAAAGTCACCCGCGCGACCATCATTGTGAACGTAGTCGACCAGCAGGTAGAAGAGCGGGAACTCATCCTTGCGAGTGGCACCAGCGAATTCCATCGGAGGCATTGATTCACCGTCCTGGGCGATAGGAGTCGCTCGAGGCACGAACCAGGCAGGTAGGATCACGGGTTGCAGGCGGATGTTATTGGCAATGCCGAACAGTAGCTCGACCAGTCGTCCTTCGATCTCGTCCGATGCCTTGTCGGCGCGTCGAACCAGGTCGACTAACGCACGAGCGAACAGTCGGTTGTCTACGACGCCGTCCACCTCGGCATCGATGAGAGTATTGAAGAAGATTGTGGCGGACCGTAAGACCCCATCATCGTAGTATGATAGAGCAAGCTTGGTAACCGTCACGAAGATCTGGGAAGAGGCGGCGTAGGCAACACAGGGGTGCGGCGCTGGTCCGCGGGATTCGTCGCTCAGGATGGAGTTGAGGCGTTCAATGTAGGCGCGCGCGTGCGCAGTCGACTGTTCGGCGGAGGGAGTGTTTGTAGAGCGCCAAATTTGCTGGTTTTCAATGGTATTAGTCAGGGCACGCACAATGAAGCTGTCCAATCTACCTGAAGAGCGTTGCAGGCGCGTTTAAAGGCCGTGAGTCGTTCCGTTGGTGAAGTGGCTCGCGATGTCTTGGACAGCGCGCGCGAGCCGCCGATGAGACGAGACCACTGGTTAAACGTTAGTGACAGAATCGTTTCTGAAAAATTGCAGGCACATACAAAGTCCATTCTCAGACAGCATGATCTCAATGAGAGGGGAAGGGGAGTTTGGAGGTTGAGTTTGGAGGTTGAGTGGAGCCGAGTATCGCGGCGATCGTCTTCCGCTCCGAGGCGCGTACTTAGCTACGTAGACTGTAGACCCTGGCTTGTAATCACCCTCTAAAAACTATTGAAGGATTTTTTCGCTAGTACCTTAATACGCATATCATCACCTACTAGGTGGGCTTTCTTAATTTTCGCCTAGTTTTTAGGATTTATTAGAGCAAAGAAACAAGTCGGCGATTTTCCTATAAGAAGTGTGTTTTGCTGCGTGGCGGCCTCTTTCGGCAGCTTGGCACGCCGGAAAAAGCCCTCGATCAACAAGCCCCTTCGCCCACGCACCTCCACATGAGATGTCAAACGCAATAGAATGGTCCGTTAGGTTCTTGGACCGTGCTCACTTCTAGCAATACGAACCTTCCATCGCGAGTCATACTTTGCACTAGCCGCGCGTCTAGTTTGGCTTCCAGGCTTCGGCCACCATCTGTCTACCTCGAGAGGGAGCTTGTAACGCCTGAAACTGGTACTGAAACTGTATTAAGCTACCATTACTACCGTCTCTCATGTTGTGCGCCGGCGAGAGTGGTAGACTACCTCTTCCATTTTCTACTCTATATCGATTTTCCTTCCTTCCACCGATCTTTCAGGCCAGCGAATGTGCATCTGATGGCTCATTTCCAGGGCCGTGTCCTTTCTCGTGCTTGTAATTACGAATACTTAGCCCCCGAGGAGACCCGTTCTGAAGTGCTCCGCTTGCCATCGGGGTCTGGTATCCGCCGATTGGATCATTACAGTTGCGCATGTAGAGTCCGAGGCGGAGGGGATCGATTCTCCAATGGAGAGCCAGGAAAAGTGCGCTGGTGACCGGAATCAAGCAGCAGTCGAGGATACCATAGAAAATGAATTCCGAGTCCGGCGCAATCACGTTCCCCCCTTCGCTGACACCCCAGCAAACGGGATAGAGCATCCAGAGGAACCAGATCCAGCTGCTAGAAAGCGCATGCACTAGCCGGATATTTTGACCTAGAGCTCGCGCGTAAGGTCGAGGGGCCCACACGAGACAATACCCTATCAGTAACCAAGTAAATATCCAAAAGCCGTAGTAACCTGGAAAGGAGCAAGTTCAGCAACACTCGGAAAGAACAATGGGCTGGGCCAACCGTGATGATTTACCCCATTTATAATCGCTGCGCACGAGAGCCCCAACGAGAGCCATGACAGCCATGATGCAGCTCAGGAAACATGTCCACAGGATGTGAACGGTCGGAGAGGCACACGTCAGGAGTACCGCCAAGGAAAGCAATGGCCAAATCAGAAACCTAGTTGTCACCATTAGAGTCGATTTGATTTGATTGCAACATTTTGGTGCTGGGATACCACGAGATGGGGAATAATGAAGGGGTCCTCACCAGCTACAGTACCGCACCCACCAAATCTGGCGGTTGATGCCCGCAACCAGGCCGCTGCTGCGTTGCCATTGAACATCGATAGGAACCCATCCCAGGTTCGAAGCCATGCTGTAATGCTCAATCATGGCTACAAAAGTCGCGGCGGAGAGAATATAAAAAAAAAATACGACTGGTCGCAGGCTTCAAGAAGCTCAGCGTCATGATCCCCAGCATCGTCAATCCCATGGTCGACATCACCGCCCAGTACCAATCAGACCCTCGGACAGTGATGTGAATATCGACCCGTCGATCATTCACCACGAAGGGGTTCACCCGAGTTGCTTCGTTGCCCATATTTGTGCACGCTGGAGGACGTCTTCACCGCAATTATTTGAGTAAAATTCTTGGTTTGTTGGCTCCAGACTATTTTATTAGGTCTCAGTGGCATCCACAAAACATTTTATCTGCGGAATCGGAGCAGCACACGGACCCGCAGAGAAGATCGGTCGATGTTGCAGATGACATACTGCTCACGAGCTATCTTGGATCTTGCTTTGGCCGGAAGAGACGGAAACCACATTCATTGGCTTCAGTGGATCCGCGGAGCTGGTTCCCCCACAAGCCGCTCGTGGATGCAGATCAGTACCCATACATCACATCGCCCCTTAATCACCCTTGAATGAGTAGCCTGTTTCCATTGCCCTGTGGGTCGCACAAGGCTAAATTCATTGTATTATACACATTCAGCGCCATTGCTATCCCGTGTCAAAGGACGGTGGCAGAGCGGACAAGTGAAATGGAAAGTCGAATGCCACCTTTCCAAACAACCTTTATGGAAAACGTGCGCACAATAGAGATCATATACTACATCACTGGGCTGCACATCTTCCAGACATACGCAACTGGAAATGAATCATCAATATCACACCTACGGTCAATGGGAAGGTAACTCCTCACCAAGAATTTAGGCGCGGCGGGCAAGGCCTAGAATTTTCCCGGGATTTCCATAGCTCAGCCAGAGTCATGGACGGTAGAGTGTGCAGTTCTAACCGACCCGAAAGATGACTTAGGCGGGATGCGTCATTGAGCTGCCGTATATTTGACCTCGGATGTCGGCTGGACCTGGCGGACAAAGCCAATTTGCGAATCATTGTCCTGCGTCGAGACCGGTATAAGTACGTCTCTGGTTAATTCGGCTTCAACGGGACAGACTGACATGACCAGAATGGCGAGTGCGGCGAATGCCACGATGGGCAGGGATAGAGCCAGAGCCAGCTGTACCCCCTGAGAATTTGGGCCAGGCTGGGGAGAGTTACCGGCCATAGTTACCAGTATTCCGGGATGAGGTGGGAAGAAGTATTCATGGCAAGGTTCGAGCGAGGGTACCCATGAAGCTTTCATACGCCTCGACAGCAGCAGCGGCTAGTCGAGCCGGTCTCCGCCTGGAACGGCTCTCTCGCGCTCTCCCGCCTTTACCGGGGGAGGTTCCGCGGATTCTCTGGAACAACTGACAGTTACTTTTGCTTTCCGAGGGCGAGCTTCCGTTTGCAGAAATTCCATGTCTAGTTATGGTAACGGGACAGCTGAGCTTTGACGGGAATTTAGCACTGGATATTTGGAGTACGGACTATGTGTCAGGCAACGCTTGAAGGCGGCGCGACTGCCCGTTACAGTGCGCCTCGGTCGATTCTCCAAGCCGGAGACTATATCTTTCAGATGACGGGCTTCCATCGATTCCCATATATTATTGCATTGAAATTAAGCTCAATTTGCATAAACATTAATTCATCATGATCATTAAGGCCACAAGCGAGTCGTGCGAATATGGAATGACATCACGTGATGTCTCGGACATGGTCGGCCCGTCATAGAAGGATTGTGACGAACACATGAGAATATTCTTCCCCTTGACTCCACAGTAACTTCTGAAGGTCGGTATTGGATTGTTGTAGTATGCAGAAAATTTCCATTAATATCAACAATCCTAGGTAGACGAAAAATGATAGTTGAATGGAAAGGAGGACCGATGGTGGGATGATATTCAGTCCATTTCTTGCCTGGCGAATAATGCGATTTTGATTGGCTTTCCAATGGGCTCTGACGCTTTTGTGAAACCTCAGCATTTTGGCGCAGTCTGGTGGGGAGACAACGATTTCCTTCGGGCGAAACTCATCAAGGAGCGGGTCCTCGAAGATGGGTTTTCAAAGTGATCGATCTGTCCCAAAACGATCGAGTCAAGGACAAACGCGCGATTTTATTTAGTGTCTGGAAAGAAATAGTGATGCTTCAAGCTCTGGTTCAGCGAACCCCTTGGAGGGAGGAAGGAGGGGTTTAATTTATTCATGTGTGGAACGCATGGCGGTACGATAGCCGTGGTTTTTGTCAATCATAACCTAAAATGTCCGGCCCGCGCGGACCGGGCATCAGCAGCGATACGACCCTTTCATTTCCGAGCCATTGCGAGATGCTCAGGCTCTATCCCCATTGAGTAAGGATGATTTTTACAATGTTTGCTCCCGTTTATCCTACCGCTGACTCGTGACAATAGATATGCTTTTTATGCAATACATCACTAACTACATTGCTAAGTGCGATAGTCAATATCATACCCTAATTTCGATATAGTGTATCTCAATCACCGCCCCACTTCTGCTATTGCCACTCCACTGCTGCTATCCCTGCGGCGGGAGTGCCATTGCCTCGTTTTGACCATGAAGTTTCTTCCTGAGCCAGCATTGCAGAGAATTCAACCTTCCCAACTCCACTTCATTTCCATGTCGATTTTCAGAAGTTCTCCCTTGATTTGAGAGGGAACTGGGTAAATGTTTGTTTCTCCCGAGGTCGACGCAGTTCATAAAAAGACATGTGGCAGAGGGGGCAATTTAGAAGATGATCCACACTTCTGGCACTGTTCACTGGCCTTTTGGAGTTCGCATAGTGGTGGGAAATATCAAAAGGAGAAGTGGAGATTTATATTGATAAGCTGCCGATGGATCCCAACTTACGCTAACTGCTCGTTACAGTACTAGGATTTTAGGTTGAATTGCTTTATACTCAGGTCATACGATGGTTCAGCCGTTCAGCCACCGGCCGGCGATCCCCCACACGCAAGCTTTGATTATCTGTGACAATGGGCCGACGAATATCAGACGAGGCGCACAAAAAACATATGTTCACATAAAAATTTGGCAATAATACGCAAATTGGGAGGGGTCAAGTAGGCATTGTTCGTTAACATTGCTCGACATCAAATGATTCTTTCCACTGTCACAGGAAATAAAAAGTGGTCAAGTCACCTGCTTCGACAGCCCCGGAAAACACGGGAAATGCGGAAACATAGGATTACGTCGTTGAAGAATAGCAGAGTTTTGACCTTATTCGTGCCCGCGCCGGGAACAAGTGCATGTATTAGAAAGAGACCTGTTGCTTTCAGCGAGCTTCACCTACTTGTCCAGCTTCACATACTATGGCTGGGTACTATCTACACGTGCCATCTCCGACGGAGCGGGGAGGCTTAACCACAAAAGAGCTCTTATACGCTCATATGCCGTGTTATTTTGGGCTTCGCGACTGCACAACTGGTGAGTCCCTTGCATGCCTTTCTTTATCCCCAGACGGTTTTACGAGCGTTATTGACTTCTTTTCCGAAATAGACCCAGGTACTCTCCCAGATAGCTGTACCTTGTGCTGGGATGGCTTAGACGCTCTTTCGTCTTATCGCCGGCTTCCATGTAGCCATGTTTTCCACCTGCCCTGCATTGATCATTGGCTTCGATACGAGGATGCCAGCTGTCCACTTTGTCGGACCACATTTTACTACCTACGGTGGCCGCGGGTCATATATGTACTGGATACAATTCAAAATCCCGACCATACGTTTCCGATATCGACTTATTTGAGACAATTCAGATCATGGCTAGTTCAACAATTATTTACAGATTAAAATTTTAGCCATCATTGTCCCGTCCCAATGTAGAGAAGCCTGATTTGTTATAGATAATAGCTTTGTATCAGCGAGCCGATTGAGTCCATTCACAAAGGCTAGTAGAGTACAACCGCTGACGATCAAAACAAAACAAAAAGGAAAAACTAAACATCACGGAAGCTTAGCGATCTATCGATTGTTTATTTTTGATCTCGTACTTCCATCAATGGTTGATGATGAAGTTCAATCAATCTAGCTGACATGCTCTCGGGCGACATACAATGTGCAAACTCATGATGCTGAACTAGTAGGACTCACAGGAACTAAGTCAAAATCGTAGCGCACTACTCGTCTGCGTTGATGTCCACGGTACAAGTAGTGAGCACAGATTGAGTTGCCCCAGATGATGATCTGACTTTGGTCGATCGCCAATTTGGAAAGTTAACCAACAAGATGATCCATACGCTTATACTCTCTTCCGCCCTGGAGCGAGAAGCGCCGTCAAGCCGGGAAACTTGAGTCAGGAGGTAGTAATGGTCGCGATCATAATTGTCATGCCCAGGGAGTAGCACCAAACCACGACGACCGTTACAATACTGTTCGACAAATGCGTAGGATCCGGAGGGCTGCTCTATTCACATGGACCACCTGACAACCAACCACAAATATAGAACAATGTGGCAACACCGAGGTTGTGAGTGAGCTGGAGCCTCCCGGTGTTTTGGTCCTTCTTGTCGCTAATTGTTGTCACTGGGTGGCTCCACTTGAAACATATTAAATCTAGAAGAACATGCGGCCTTTGGTAAGACAGACAGATACATGTGGCCTTTTACACTCCAACCTCATATGGCCATGGCAACTCGATAATTCTTTCCGCCGTTATTATCCCAAAATTCATGATCAAGCACTCTATAACAAACGCAAACTTTCAAGTCCCCCACAGTATCCAAAGGCAGACTTTCTTTGTCGATAGTGAAATTGAAAAAGTCTGAGACGATTGAGTTTCTCATGTAGACAGAATGACAGTGCTCGGCAGCGACATTTGAGATCGTTTTCCAATCGTCAAAGGTGAAACGAACAGGGACTTCTTTCTGAAAAGCAATATTGAGGACGGCCATCGTCCCTGTAATGCTGCAGCCGGACGGTAAAAGCCCCAGACTCTCCAGTCGGATTGGCTGCCATGTTGACGGCGGAATAAAAGTAGAATTCACCGTACAAAAGCCCCCTTCGCGACTAAGCCGAAAGTGAGAGTAACCTGCCTGCTCGGCTTCATTCACTCTTCCGGCGGATGGGAGTGACTCTGAAGTCAAAGACAATGGTGCATCGGCCGGGACGAAGAGGCGGGTTTTCTGTGACAGGTCATCAAAATGCACCTTCTTAGTAACCACATCACCCTGGTTGGGTATATGCTGTGGCTGATTCGGTTTAAATCGGAACGCTGATTTGTGCGTGACGGTCGACGGTGCTGCTGAGCTGGCCGAAAGTCCATAACGTGAAGATGGCCTTTTGTCCGAATTTGCGGGAAGAGAGCGAGCATCGCTGTAACATTCTGTATTCCAGCGTACCGGACCCTGAAATTCCGGGCTTCCTCGTATTGCTGAAGCCATCATTGCGTAAGTGACATTCGACACTCCCTGCATCAGATCACTCGCAGAGCATTCGGATATGGAGGACTGGGATACAGCTCCAATCCAGCCCGAGCGGAAATGTGGTAAGAAAAAAGAAAAAGAAGAAAGAGAAGAGGCAGTAATTAGTGACAAGGCTTGAGGAACCCGCTCATTGAAACGTTGGAAGCGTGCCCGTTGGAACGTGTCCTGTTTCGATGATGCGAAGAGAACATGAACCTGGCTTGACGGACCGGGCGACCCGCCCGCCCAGCTTGGCTTCTAATCAAGGTATAATTCAGCAGCAGGTGGCCACGTTTTCTTGTATTGATCGTTGGTTAATCTTTTCTATTCTTTCCAATTGGATGTTTCTTCTATCTATCTATTCAACAAATATCTCAAGATTGATTATCTCAGTGCTTCCATCGACTTTCAATCAAAACAGTACCCAAATCCAAGTCCTTCATCTGGCAGGTCCAGAACCGGAATTCACTAACCCGGGAGATACGGAAGCATAGTTACCAGGACTTTGATTTGCCATCAAAGATGTACCAAATTAGTCATCTGCTTCGATATCGACGGTGCGAGTGGAAAGTACGAATCGGGTCGTTCCAGAATCGTTGCCGGGCTCCCGTTCGATTGCCAGCTTTGAGAGCTGTCCAAGGAAGCTATCCATGTGCTCTTCGGCCTTGGAGCGAGAGGCGCGACCAAGGTTGTCGAGCCACGTAATTTTCGTCATGAGGTAATACACGGTCGCTATCACGATTGTCACTCCCAGGGAGTAACCCCAGATGACGACGACCGTCACAATGCTGGTCGTGCCGTCGGAGAAATGGGCGGGATCGGGGGGACTCGTTTGTTCGAACGACCCTCCGGACAACCATCCAAAGACACAGAATAACGTAGCAATAATGTCGACCGCAAGAATAGCACCCACCAACTGCCATGAAGGCCATGTCTTCCCGCCTCTTGTGACGAAAATGAGCCAGTTTTCGGTCAGAGACACCTCCAGGAATAGAATAGGCTGCGGCGAGCCCCAATTCTGAATAATGCCTCCATTTTCTAGAAACATCATGCCGCGTATTATCCACGTGGCCACCGCTAGGAGGATACCCAGGACAACCGAGATGATCCAGATTTTGGGAAGCTGCCATTCCACGGGACGCTGCTCGTAGTGCGCCCTGTCATATGCCACGGCGATAGTGGCGAGGTCTGCGAAAAGCGCAATGAACACAATCAACTCCGACCGGATAGTCTCATTGATGATCAGCATAGAGGTCACCAGGTATATTTCCAGGTGTAGACACAGTGCAATCCGATATTGGATATATGCTTTCATACGCTGGAAGATTTGTCGTGCGACTTTGATGGCTTCAACAATCGTACTCAAACCAGGCGCTAAGAAAACGATGTCAGCCGCCGCTTGTGCCGCTTCTGTGGCTCCTTCTACAGCAATGCCGCAGTCCGACTTTTTTAACGATGGTGCGTCATTCACGCCATCTCCGGTCATGGCTGTCAGATGTCCCCGATTCTATAGCATTTCCACCACTTGGTACTTATGCTCAGGGAAAACCTCAGCGAATCCGTCTGCTTTCTCCACTAAGTCGTATTGACGACTTCCCGTAAGTCCGCCATGGATCAGCCGCTCGGAGTTATAGACTTTGGTGCCAAGGGCGAGCATCTTGCACGTCTCTTTGGCAATTGCGATGGCATCGCCCGTTAGCATCTTCACTGAAAGACCGAGGTTCTGAGCTTCCTTGATGGTCTGAGCCGTATCCTCACGGGGTGGATCGAACATTGGATATATGCCAAGGATTTGCCATGGTTCATTTTCCCTTTGCACTGCCACTCCTAAGGATCGAAAGCCACGCAGTGCAAATTCCGTCGCCTTGCTTTTGAATAGTTCCGCCTCCTCTGCAGAGCATTCCGCAAGCTTTAGCACTGCTTTAGGAGCGCCTTTGGCACACGTGTAGCGAACTCCCTCGCATGTACAGACGGTGGTGATCCGCTTCGAAACCGGATCAAATGGCGAATATTTCTCGGTGACCCAGTCTTTGGAAAGAATCTCGCGTGCTTTCGGATACCTCCGGAGAGTGCGGATCGTGATTTTATCGATCGGATCGAGGTTCTTCAAATTGTGAGATGACGCGATAGCGGCCACCGCAAACATCCAATTCACGTCGACCCCAGTGCATACAAAAGGCTCCCGGACCGAGAGCTTGTTTGCCGTGAGCGTTCCCGTTTTATCGGAGCATAGGACATCAACACCCGCGAGTGATTCAATAGCCGTGAGCTTTTGCACGATAGCTTTCTCCTGTGCCAAATATGCGGCACCCACAGCTAAAGTAGTAGTCGTAACAACAGGCAATCCCACTGGAACTCCAACGATCAGCAGGATAAGAGTCCAATGTAACAAGTTGTCATCGCTCTTCTCCGGAGTCGCGATTTGCAAGTGACGGAAAAAGCCGCCTACCCACGCTGCGAGGATCCAAAATATCACCAGAACCAAGAGACTGGTGCCAATCGAGTCCATGATGGCTTTGAAATGCCCTTGGTCCTTCGCACCCTGTACCAATAGAGCTGTTTTTCCGACAAAAGACTGCTGTGCAGATGCCACAACGACGGCGAACCCTTTGCCTCGCTTACATCCGGTAGTGTAATAACAGATATCGCCCATATACTTGTCCACCTAGAAGAAAGTCAGACGTCTTCCTCCAACTTGTTCAGGGGCGGCACAATCACTTACTGCAAGTGATTCGCCCGTGATGGCTGACTGGTCGGCCGCAACGATACTATTTTCATGACCGTGGTCATCACGTTCGTTATCACTGTCGTCTTCGTCATGTTTCTCTTGCAAGGTATCATCGGTATCTTGGGCGCGCTGCTCTTTGTATACTTCAAACAGTTCCGGTTGGTTGTAATCGCATATCAAACGAACATCTGCGGGTATCACGCTTCCTTCCTCTAGAATGACCTAGCGGACAGGGTTCCAGAATTAGCAACTGAGCAATGTTCCTTTCCATGGATGGTTCCTACTATGTCTCCAACGACGAGATCGCGTGCCAAGATCTCCTGCTCCTGGCCATCCCGCACCACCCAGGCTTTCATGGCAATGTCGCCTTTGAGACTGGCCACTACATCTGCCACCTGTTTCTCCTGATACCAGCCAACAATCGCATTGAGCATCAGAATGCCAATGATGACACCCAAGTCAATCCAATCACGTAATCCAGCGGCGAGGAGAGCAGCCATCTCCATCACTATCAGATCGTAAGTGGGTCACATTTTGCTGCAGAGAGAAGGTTGGATGCCTACCATATAGAATTGGACCTTGGAAGTAACTGAGGAATTCCAGAAACATGTTTTGACGTTTGCTTCCCAACTCGTTCCAGCCGCATTTCCGTCGACGAATCTCAACCTCGTTGGTTGAAAGACCCGATTGTATATCCGTGTCCGCCCAATCATGAGGGATGCTAGCTTGGCCGTCGGAGGTTGCGTCTGACTTGCCCCTAGAGCGGTGCCAGAATTTCCACCATGGCCTCTTATCATCCGCATCCGCATCTGCATCTTCGGTCTCTGAGACTGCCCCGCCGGGTTTCTCGCTAGCAGAAGATATATAGCGATTCAAAGCCACGTATTCGCTTGCCTCCATAGCTTCCCTGGGCCTTGGATTGTCTTCCTCTTGGTGAAAGGAAATCGACCGGGGAGGGTACTGTTCAGACATAGTATGGCAAATGTCCCAAGACAACAAGTTGAAAAGCTTTACTGTAAAAAGAGTCTGGAAATCAGGTACGCAGCCCGAGAATTGATGGGTTATAAGTAGACAGGCAATCTACACCACGCTCTTCGTGCGATCATTCCTTGGCATTCCAATTGATTGTTTGCCAAGTCGTCCATCGGCTTGCTCTCAGACAGCTTGGCAGCTAGCTGTCTTGGCTGTTTGATATGAATTATGGTGCATAGCCAAAAGGATTTCCGGTTTACCCGTCCTAACCGGAATTGCGTGCCTCTTGGCATCGCTATTGTTGGGCTTCCCAGGATATGTTAAGATCTGCAGCCAATACTCAGTGGCTGCCTTGAGTATTGGCTGTTTGAGAAAGGGTCTGGGAGATGCCCCACTTCCAGAGGCTAGGAAAAGCATTCCCCGATTGATTTTATCTGCTCAGAGCCAATTGACTTTCCGCGGAAGATCATGTTCGGGCAGGATACAACTCAATCGCTCAACCCAGTGGATGACATCATTGGGTCCGTGCCCTAAGCAGAATATAATCAATCAGTAGATAAGCCCGGGGGCGTCCGAAGAAGTCTGCTTTTCTCACAAAACTACAGGCTGAGATCGCAGCAAAGTAGAATCCCACCACCACCAGCTGAACATATTAAGAGTTCCCATCCTTGTTTACATCAAATCGACCATGGTGCCAGCAAAAACAATCCATATTGTCCGCCACGCGGAAGGCTTTCATCAACTCCCCCGTGATCATCCAAATGCCTTGGTTCGTGACCCATCTTTGACAGCCCATGGCAATGAACAAAGCAAGCAATTCAGCCAAAAGTTTCCCTACCACTCCTGTACCGACTTGCTGTGTGCATCTCCACTCCGCCGGACCATCCAAACTGCAAGCCTCGCTTTCGCGCCCGAGGTCGATAGAGGGTTGAGGATCCTTGCCCTTGCAGACGCTCAAGAGACATCCGACGCGCCATGCGATACAGGAAGTGACGTGTTCAAGCTAGCCTCGGAGTTCGGGGAGGTATTGGATGTTTCCCTCCTCCAAGAGGGATGGTATGAGAAGAAGGGCATCAATGGCACCAGCGAAGAGGCGCTCCGAGCACGTGCAGCTCGATTGAGGAGGTTCTTGCGAGAAAGACCCGAGAAGAACATCGTTCTTGTCTCCCACGGTGCTTTTGCGCACTACATCACGGAGCACGTGGATCTAAAGGGGCACCAAACAGGTAAATTCGTCCCTCTTTCATCCATTGATCTACTTTCTGTATAACTCCATGGCCTGATCAACCTGACGTTTTTGATACAAAATAGGCGAATATTGGCGCAACGTCATGTGGCGGACTTATACGTTCAGGTCCGGTGAGGATGAGGACGCAAAAATGCTTGAAACGGATGAGTCAATGCACAGACACGAGAAGAATTAAAGGGAGTTTACGGACTTTCCGGTCAGGTTCGAAGAGAGAGGAGATCAGACTTCAGCTACAGACGTTTTGTGGTACATCTTTTTCTTAGGCACTTGCCCAACACATGCGGCCAGCTGAGTGATGTTATGTGTGTGCTGTTTAGGGTTTCCACCCTCTCATTCTGCCCTCCTCGCTTTCATAATCTAGGCGACGCGAGGGTAGAATGCCTTTCGATTAGTACATAGCAATCCTCAACAGAGACAAATCGCATCGGACGCTTTTCTCCTAGAGCTGTCTCATTCATGTTGATTCAACCTGGCTTGAAATTACCTGAAAACTGATGAGACACTCGTAGTGCCGGGGCGATGGGTTTTAACGCGGCTGTCGGGTCGAACGTCGTATGCCTCTCTTGGCAATGCCTCCTTAATATCATTACCTCGTCTTGGTCATGTTTGGGTATGCCCTTCTCATCAATAACCTCGGACGTCGTCGCTATCCGTTAGACCGGTGGGCTCCGTACCGGCCTTGGCTCACGAGCCACTGGAGCACCACGATGAATCTCTTCGAAAAGTTAAAGATAGTGAACTTGATAGAAAAGTGACGGAAGAGGGCAATCTGGCAGTTGAAAGTGACGATGCCGATTCCAGGTTCAAGGAACCAGATTTGGCCCGGCTGAAAACACAAAAGCCTCGAACTGAAAGGCGTCGCAGTGAATAATAAATCGACGAATGAAATATTCCGTCGTCACATTTGGCCAAAAATCTCAGACGTATCAAAGAACATATCTCGAGAATCAACCAATGCCACTCAACCTAGGATTTTATTATAGTTGTCAAAGCGGGGGGGGGTTATTATACAGCTTATTTTTCACAACAGAAAGTGACGAACCCTTTTATGAAGTTTAAATTCCTGATCTTAAGTCTTGAAGTATTGATATAGTGATCAAAGCAAATTGGTTTATCTTATTTCAAACCCCCAAGTTCTCATTACATAGATCAATTGCCGCTGGAGAGCGAAGATAATGCGAATGTGAAATGGCCAATGTTGGCATAATGGCGCGATGCATATCCAATAAGAGGGAGTAAATGACAGCCGGTCGCCGGTACCGCAGAAGCGGGGTTTGGCGAACCCCAAGAATCCTCTCGGGGAATTTCCGAGAGGTCCCCGAGATAACGAATTCCAGTCCGCGAATGGGCTTGGAAGTTTCCCAACCGAGCAAGTGGCGTGTCGTGGCCCAAAGAGTTTCCTAAAAAGCCTTAGTCGCATGTCCGACGTCTGGGGCAGCGATCGTTTGCGGCTTACGATATGCATGGTACTTTACTTAAAGAGCATTTCTGCTGTCTTGTCTACTTCCTTTAGATCAAGGTCCCCTGCCAATGTAAACATCCATCTAAAATTTATCTTTAAAAAGTCAGCACAATGATCACCGCCACGGATCTCCGCTTGCCGTCCAGTCCCCTGCCCTTTCTGGGCCTGTTAGCGTCGATTCTCACATGGCTGTTTATCAGGTGGCCAATACAACAAAAGTCACAGCCCCAGAAAATTGAAGAGAAAGCAGAAGAGCCATTTGTCACGCCCCTTCCCAATTCTCAATCCGCTGATCACGATTCCATATCACCAAAACTGTATCGCCCATTCCGCCATGGCCCGAATTTTATCACCATGGGAATTCGCAAACTGAACTGGGATAACTGGATTGAAATGGACTCCTACTTTCTCCGTTACCATGATATGAAAGCCTCCGAGCTCAAGAAAGATTTCAAGGAGCATGTCAAATACGTCGATAACGCGGTCACTAGAGATGCCTGCTTCGAGCTCAATGAGGAATTGGTGCGGTATTTAGTTCACCGGTATCCTAATATCTATCGCTTGGAAGGAGGGAAGGTGCACAACAGTCTCACAGGTGAGGAGTTTTCATTTCCTGCCGGTAAGGTGAATGGCTGCATTTTGGTATTAAACACGGCTAACTTTGGCCATCTTAAGCAACCCCCGACGAGGCACTTGCAACATCGGCTCTTCTTGTTCAGGATGATCTGGTAATTATGGTAAAGAACGACGGTGAGATGATGATTCCTGCTCCTGGTTCTTAGGCCGGTTTTTGTTCTAATGGAAAATAGATGGGGAATATCACCTTGATGCGGCTGCCGTGTGCCTCCCGGGATTTTGGCGTCTCAAAGAAAAGTTCCGCATGTCGCTCGATACTCTCCACTTCGAAGCCGGCGTTCCCCACTATGCGGCGAAACTACAAAAAGCAATGAATAAGTTCTTCCAAAAGTTGACCCCCGACAAGCCTGTTGAAAGAAATAATGTATGTTCATACTCCCCTTGCCATTCAACACACGCCGGCCTAACAGTGATAGTTCTTCATTCAACTCGATGATGGACTACACTGGTCCCATCGTATGGGTGAACAGTCAGGATCCGAAGTTGCCTGTAAGTTTCTCACGTCTCTGGGATCGCAGGGCATGTTTACTCATGAAAATGGAACAAATAGCCGGGGCCACGGCAAATAGTAAAGGTCTGTCCGTCCAAGAGATCCACTTTCGCTCCGAGCGACAAACCCTGCGTCGGTTACCCCGCTCCAAAGTAATCGTATTCACGATTCGCACTTATTTCGAGCCAGTGACGAAATTGGCTCAGGAGCCCCACGTCCCCGGGCGTTTGGCAGAGGCATTTCGGAGCTGGGATGAGACGGTATCTTTCTACAAGGGTAAGTCCCACTGGGACAAGATCTTGCTACCCTATCTGGATGAGCAAGACCAACTACAACGGCAAAACGGGATCATGGAGAAGGATGAAGAGGGCGATTTTCCTTATTGATTGTTGACGGTCCCTGTTTTAAATAGGGATTTGGGAATCCGACACCCCCCCCCCCCCCCAACGCCTGACTTTTTAGGTCTCTACCCTTATGTCGGAGCACGTAATATAAGGGCCAATCAGCGGTGAAAAGAACTCTGTACAGTATTTCTATACCCCTGAATCTGGCAATTCATGGGGGTTTCTGATTACATACGAAATAATTACTTCGGATCATCCAATAATCCGGTCTCCGTAGGCTGTTCGTTCCGACACTGGGTACACGTCACGGGACAATGCTCAATAGTTTCTCTCCCAGGAGCCCAACAAATTCCTATGACGCCCCTGGCCGTTATGAGTGGTAGTCGATACAGATTTCTTTTTCCGTTGGGTGTTTACCCTAACGTATTAGTTTCTTGTTGTGAGAAAAATTAAATGGTTAGGGATGAAAGTTAAACGTCTAATGGTATTGAGTTTTCAATGCCAATTACTGAGTGATGTCATAGCGCCAGCGGTAACCTATACCCACTTTTTAGCGGCCAGGCTCCAATAAACCTGTATAGTCTGCCGCCGGCCTTTGGCATTTACTTGCTGACTGGACGCTCGGCGACAACTTTCTGTGACCCAATGACACTTAGGCGCCAGCTACCCGAAGTGGTGTTGGCGCTGTCAACTAATTTACTTCTCACCGCTATGTGTAAATTACCATTGGTATTCAACTCAGCCGGCTTTGGGCTGTCACATTGACATGTCTCGTGCCACTGACTGGAAAATTGTTTAATAGTATGCGAGAGACATGTGTCGGTGGCTCCATGTGCATGACAGTTGCTTGCCGATCTAGGGAGTGATATTTTACCACTAAGCCAAACTGAGCCAGGCGCCCTTCAAACACACTCTATGTTTCGTACGGTAAACCGTATCAACTTAGGATACCATTGTATTTTGCCAAGATTGATATACAGTGGTGTAACAAAAGTATTTGACCTCGAGTACTTTAGGATCCACTTTTAGCCTGACCGCTTTATTATACCGCCTACTTTATTAGTACACCACACCTCGCGTTTCAACGCGCTTGCTAACATATACGCTACAGTTAACGCGTTATAGCAGACTTTCTTACCTTATTATGCCTGCTATACGTGGGAAGAGAGGCCCAGAGCTTGACTGCCTTACTAGGGCCAAGATCTGCGAATTACACGCTACAAATGGCTGGGGTGCAACAACCATTAAGAAGATGCGCTTTCCCGATATTCCACGCTCAACAATTCAATATACCCTTACCCAAGAGGCAAAGCGTCAAAAACAAGAAAGCCTTCCACGCTTAGGCGCTCCAAGGAAGCTTACTGAAGAGGATCGTGACTATATCTACGACACTATACAAGAAAAGCCATCGATATTGATTAAAGATCTACTTAGAGAGGTCGATTTTAAGGTCCATCGCCAGTCAATTTGGCGTCTAACCCACGAAATGGGTCTTCGAAAATGGAGGAAAATGCAGCGTCCGGCACTTACGCCTGAACATGCTACGAAACGGCTTCAATGGGCACTCGAATACCAACACTTCACTCCTGAAGACTGGGCCCGCGTCTACTGGTCAGACGAATGTACAGTTGAACGTGGAATAGGCCAGCGGCAAGAATGGACGTTTACACGTCCAAAAGACCAGCTTTTTCAGCATTCAAAAGAAGGCTCTCAGGTTCAGATGGTTCCGGCGCGAGGGAAGCAAATTAAGCAGATGTTTTGGGCTGCTTTCTCTGGCTTACCGCGTCGATCAGGCCTAATTCCATTATTCGGAGATCCTACGTCTAGAAGAGGTGGTGTTTCTTCACGTACGATTGAAGAGCTCTATCGGCGTATCTTACCTACGCTACTTAATAGTATTGATAATAATGCTATTTTTCAGCAAGATAACGCGCCCGTTCATACTGCATATATTGTACGGGAAGCTCTTAATGAGCTTAACTGCGAGATTATGGAATGGCCTCCTTATTCACCTGATTTAAACCCGATCGAGAACCTCTGGGCGCTGCTAAAAGCCGAAATTCTTAAGCGTTATCCTGAGCTAATGCGCCTACCGAACAACGAATCTACGTTAGATCTATTGCTAAAAGCTGCACAGGAAGCCTGGGAAGGCCTAGATATTGAATTATTCAAGCATCTATCAGAAACTATGCCTCACAGGGTAGCTGATGTTATTAAGTATGAGGGGTGGCATACTAGCTATTAGACTGAATTGAATTTCAGAGGTTTCTGCCTGGCAGTATTAGAAAAGTGGGTCCTAGGCCGAAGTACTCGAGGTCAAATACTTACGTTACACCACTGTAGATATAGACTCTCTCAACAGTGGTCGACTAGTTCAGTCAATCAATGAACTGACTGCCTCATGGTTGATTCCCCCAGTACTAGGGCGTACGGATGTCCTGCAATCTGACATATCTGAAGGGGGGCTGTTACACGTAAAAGAACCGTGCCGAGTTCCTGGGAGCTTGGTTGGTTCTTCGTAGTCCACCAGGAAGTTACGGTCTTGGATGGTGGAGCGAAATGAGGCTCGATTTGAGTATGACTCTCTGTGCGCTTATTTCCCTCAATTATGGGCCTGTAATAGACGAACTTAATGAGAGTCCCTAGTCACATACCCTACAACCATTATCTAGGCACTAAGTCAAGCTATATTTCTCTTATCGGAGATTTTAAGTTGCGCTGCGTCATCTTCTACGCTACAGCGTCTGATTTTCAACCTGGGAGAAGCCTGAGTTTATTGTCGGACCCACGCAGTCGATACTGCGGTCAAGTCGTATTGGCTGCTAAGCGAGTTCTGAAGTTGGTAAGAATGGCCCGTCTTTTGCTATGAATGCTGTTGCAAGTAGCTACGCTCCTTAATCCTTGAGACCCAATGTCGTCGACGATATACCAAAAAGGTGGCGAATAGGTCTTAAGACACTATTTTATACTTTTCTTTCCATCTTGAACCACTTTTCTTCTACCGTAACGAGACCGTTAACCGCTGGGCTGGCATGGAGCTCCTCTAGTCTGACTGACCTCTCCTGCAAACGATTATGGGGTCAGACATGACATTGGAGTAGTCCGATCCAAACATTGGCAGATTGTCCAGAAGCGACCATGACGTTTGCATTCTCTCGTTCACTCTGACGTTCAACACTAATAATATGAATCAATTATGTGAGCCTCGGAGACGATAACTCAGACATAACACGTTTTAAAAGAGAGACTTGTCTCGCGCCACATTTTGAAGTGAGCGCCAAGCGAGCAATGTCCAGCCAATCGTCCAGACGTAAACGGTTGCTCTAAAATCTTTGCTAGTAATACTGTTCAAGCAGCCGTACCCTATGCAGGATACGAATAACATCACTACTGCTTTTGAGATGGCTATGCTAATAAGGAGCAGGTGTCTCGCGGCATAAATCACCTGTTAGACTTCAGCGCGGGAAAAATTTGGATAAACTAAAGAAGACAGCGGTATACGTACCGCCGGGCCATGAACAGATTTCTCGACTTCAGACAGGGGCCAGAGTGCATGGGACACTTTTCTTGTTTGACGTATCTCAGAGAGGATCGAACCCTACAGAGGATATTAGGCACACTTAGTGGCATGATTCTGGAATAAAAGCTACTAACGTCGTAAATTTGCCGTAGTCGGGTTTTTGAGATGGTCCCGTCCTGCCGGAAAAGCGCAACGATGTGCCATTCCGCCACAGTAACAACCCACTATATTACATCAACGAGAGATCCAGAGAAGTATAAGCTAGGGAATTCCCATACAGCAGCTAAGTGTGTAGGTCGTCTCCGTCGTTTTACGAAATCCTGTATCTCACCAGTGTCAAGGGAATCCTGTTGCCTTTCGCTGCTGCTGGCGAAGACCTCTTCAAAGGGAGTCGGGCAGAACCGGCCATGTTCGTCGTAGAAGCATTTTCCACTGAGGATCGACAGCTATACCAAACGTCAGGAATACTTGAGCTGGGAGTATCGCGAAGTACAGAACATACGATGTATTTCGGAGATTCTGCAACGTATACTCCTAGATATGGGTCCAGGCTGTGGGTGACAGCTAGACTACTGGGCACAGTCAAGGAGGCATGACTCGCAACGGTGACTATAGCTGAGGAAATCATGGAGAAACCCAGATCGTGAAGCCCGATCCAAGTGTCTGCGAGGCTGATCCTTCCATCGCCATCCCTATCCCAGAAATCTATGTGTCTCTGGATAGAGCTCTATTAGCAGGTCAGTGTTACGCTCAGCTATAGCAACTTCTATCAGCACAAAGCTCGAGGGAAGGCTACCTGCTTCGAAAGGTGTGGCAATAATCCGGGGCATTTTACCTCGCTATCACCATCAGATGAATCACTTTCAAGGGTGGCGGCTGGCAAGCGCTCTCCGGTAACCGGAGCATTGTCTACAGACAACTGGAATCCCAGGCCCTTGAGAGTGGCCATGCTTCTCAGAAGCTGAAGTATGCCATAGATGGTGCAAGGGCCAGATATGTACATAGAAGTTCACGAACTTTTCTTTCACAAGGAAGTCCACGTTATGGGAGGGTATGATGTATGTATGACGTGTAATGGCTTGCGCCTGTGCCGCATAGCAGGTTTCATGGTACGAGTTGTTGTATATCCGGAACCGTGCGGATGAACCGACCGAATGCGGCCATATAGATCATGGTGCGGCATCAACTTGGACCTCATCCCATCCTTTCATGCTCTCAATATGATTTTTATGAATAGGAGTGATGAATCCATGGGGACAGCTGTTGAGGATAAGTCTAAGACGATCCACGGCACCTACATGTAGGCTTTTTGCCGTAGGGGGATTTTCCAACAACAGCCATTTCGGGTACGGGCAGGGTTGCGAAAGGTTTTCGTGTGCCAGATATATAAACCGGTTCTAGGTCATAATACGGGAAGATGACTCGTGTCACTTTTTCTTAACCCCGTGACAGTACCACCACGGGCAACGTTCTTCGCAAGGCTACAGATAGTGTGTAGCAGGCTACCGCCGGAAGTTGCATAACGCCACGGATCTCAGACATGTGAGAAACCGAAAGCTACTACAAACCCTATAATCTTGCTGCATGACCGTCTACCTGCTCGGCGTCGCGGAAGGCCACGTGGATCTGGCAATCATATACGGCCTTCCCAGACGTCAAGCAAACAGCAGAGCACACAGCAAAGCACGCAGAACACATCACTCAACAGATCAACCCAGCGCGAGGCATCAGGCTTTGTGTATGCTATATCGCAGGACGGTGGGCACGGTGGGCGCGGCGGGCGCGGTGCTCGGGCGTGAGCATATGGACGGGGTCCTGGACGCCCACCAAGATCAGGAGACGGTCGCAGAGAAAGACGAGAGGGGGGGCAGGGCCAAAGAGGGCAGGGCTATGGAGGTCGCGAAGGCGCGGGCGCAGGCGAGGGTAGGAAGGTGCTACGCAGCAGTTAGCGAGGTCAGGAGATGCTGAATAATCAGGATAGACGTAACTTATCGGATTGGGTGCCCAGAGAGATATCAACTTGGCTTCCGCTCAGTTTATGGTTGAGCATGCCCATCAGCGTCCGTCCATCTCTCACTTAGCCTTCAGTTGTTGAACTTGGCAAATATACCGCTACCCGGTTTAAGGTACTTACGTTGTTTATTCTGCCTACGCGTTGGGGTTTTCCAAAATTTCACCTCTTTGAATCCCTATTGCTCAATAACGAGGGGGTAGTAAATTAGTACCGCATTGGTGGCAATGGTGCGTTGGTGCTTGGCCCACATGCCACCATCTCTTCGGTGTCTGTCTACCAATGTTACATCCCGGTTTTGTTGACAAGAAGGTTGGTTCATTGTTTCCGGACGCCATTATCGGCTAATTTAGGCAGCAGATGACGAAGCTTCATTTCCAAGACAACAATAGCTCATTACCGTGGCTCGTGTTGCAGAAGTAGTCGTTGGTTAGTATGCTCTTGGTTGGCTGGTCAGATGGCTTAGCATCTGCTGCTGTACTAGGCATTGACATAGGTCGCCCATGGGCCGGGACCTAGGACCTGGGCCCGGGCCCATAGATGCCCATGGGCCTAAGGTCAGGACCTGTGCCCGCCCATGGGCCGGGCCGGGTCGCCCACGGGTCGCCCGTGGACACCTAATTTGGCCTGATTTGGCCTGCTTTGGCCTAATTTTAGCCTTATTTTTGTGCATAACTCACTGACTAACCTTTGTTATTTACCTATGTTTTGGTCTAAACACTTACTACTCTCACCTTTCTCCCTTTCCCACTAGGTAATTATATGAAATATGCTTGTTTATATATATCTAAGGGTCGGTTTTATCGGTCGGATTAATATTTTAGGCCTATAGAAGTAAAGGTAAAAAAATGGTGGTAGAATTTATGGTTGGTGCTCTAAGATATATATTTGTTGTACACAACCACCGTACTATATTATTTCCTTCAATTTTATTATAGTATAAGACTAGGTTATTACGGCTTATTTTATTAGTTAATTAAATGATTAGAGCTTCTTTTATATATATTTATCTTATAAACACCTAATTATAAGTGTAGGGTGTGTGGTTGAGATAAAAAGGTCAGAGTTGAGAGAAAAAGTTGAAGAATTTTAGGGGGGGGATAGCTCTCAGCAAATTCTATAGGCCTATGGGCATGACCATGGGCATGCCCATGGTCGTGTAGAGATTTAGGCCAATAGGATATGCTGGTTTGACCCACTTAGTAATGATTGGCTTATAAAGAACCAATAGTATTAGGCTAGGTGCTTTACCTAAACATCTTTATCCCTTTGTGTTTTGTCTTACCTTTTCTCACTTTATCTTCACTTTTAGGTAGGATGGCACAACCTTCAGACCCTATGAGCCAATCTATCTATAGTGATAGTATTGACCCTCTCCTTCTATCCGATTCCTTCTCTTTTGAACCCACCGAACCAACAAATAGCCAAACAACTGAGCTTACCCTACTACCACTACCACCCTCTATTCAACGTGTTGGAGACCGGACTAAAGACTGGGCTCTCTGGACAGAGATGACTAAGTCTGAATTTATTGAATGGTGGCTTACTACCCAATATGGCTCAAAGCCAGACGCACAGCGTATATATTGGGACAAAAAGGGCTATACATCAGAGATATGGACATCATTTGATCAGATTGCACATATCCCAACTGGGAAGCCTAAGGTTATATGCAAACAATGTGGTGTAATGCTTGGTCACCCAACATTAAATGGGACGACTGCTCTACGCAGGCATCAGAAGAATGGTAGCTGCCGAAAACCAAGAGGGAAACAAACAAATATCCAGCATTTAATACAGAAGACGGTACGTTTACTAGAGAGAGAGAAAAGTGAGAGAAAAGTGAGAGAAAAGTGAGAGAAAAGTGAGAGAAAAGTGAGAGAAAAGTGAGAGCAAAGTGAGAGCAAAATATAAGATAACTAACCTATTATTCTCTCACTAGGCAGTTAATTCTAATCTATCCCAATCCCTACCTTGGTCTGATGAGCTCTGGCAGGAGCAGCTTTTGACTATAATCACTAGCCTACGCCTACCCTTCTAAATCATTGAGAGCGAGCACTTCTAGAAGCTTCTACGCCTAACCTAGTCTGCCCCTTTAGTCCCAACCTTTCCTACCGGTCGCACGATACAACGCCGACTACGAAATATAGTCGAAGACCGACAGAAAGACATCCTTCGGATACTACCACCTAATTCAAAGCTCTCAATTAGTCTAGATTGCTGGACATCCCCATTTCAGTAAGCATTTATGGCTATTACTGGTTATTTCCTAGACCAGAATTGGGATTACCGGGAGGTGCTACTAGGATTCGAACCCCTAGAAGGCACACATACTGGGACAAATCTTGGTTCGGTCCTAATTGATACCCTTGAAAAAAATCATATTCTGGACCGGGTTATAGCCATTACTACGGATAATGCGTCAAATAACCAGACCATGATTACAAGCATCCAGGAGAAGCATCCTAGTATCCCTTTGATCCGAATTCCTTGCCTTGCCCATGTCATTCAGCTTAGTTTGAAGCAACTCCTTGGGCAGATGAAAGCAAACCCCCAGAATGACACAGTGGAAATGGTTTGGACGGAAGAGCTTAGCCAGGCTGCTCGGCAGAGATCTAGAAAGCTAGATATTGCGAATACCCTTAATAAGGCTCGCAATCTTGCTATCTATATCAATGCAAGCCCACAGAGACGGGAGCACTTCCTAAAGCTTCAGAATAAGCAGCCTACATTAGTCCCAATCCAGGACGTTCGCACCCGGTGGAACTCGACCTATCTAATGCTTCAACGGGCTAAACGGCTTCAATCTGATCTTGAGCAGTACTGCAGGGCCTTCCGGGTTGATCATTTAATGATTAATTCAGAGGAATGGCGTCAGATTGATTACCTTCTTTGTTTGACTAAGCCTTTCTTTGATTTTACCTCAGTTATGGCCAAAACTAAAGATATTACTATCCATGGTGTCTTTAGTGTCTACAATTTGCTTTTCGACCACCTTGAAGCTTCGATTCGGCAGTTAAGGCGGAAAAAGGTTAGTCTCCTATATTCTCTCCCTTTTCCGCTAATTATGACTCTGATTTCTCGCACTTTAACCCTTGTTATATAGGTTGAAGAGCTAAAAATCAGAGTCAAGATTAGCGGAAAAGGGATTTATTTAAGTCTCACTTTCTTAATTTTCCTTTACTTCTAGGCTGGGTGGAAACGACAGATGCTTGAAGCTCTTGAATCAGCTGAAACTAAGCTTCGAGAGTACTATGCAAAAACAGATGATCCAGAACTTGGTGATATCTATGCGCATGGTATAATCCTCGCCCCTGAGCATAAATTACAGTTCTTTTCGGGCCTGGATTGGCAGGATAAAGACTACTCTTCTTTATATTTGAAAAGCTTTCACGACCGTATGAAAGCATATCAAATAGAGAGCGATTTAATCTCAAAACCCCAGGCTTCCGTCCAAACCGAGTTTGATCAAATGCTTAGGCGAAAACCTCCATCCACCCAGAACCAGGATGAATTGACCCAATTTCTCCAAGGAGGTAAGCTAACCTCTTATTTTACCTCTTATTTTACCTCTTATTTTACCTCTTATTTTACCTCTCGTTTTACCTCTCGTTTTACCTATCGTCTAATTTCTTTGGTTTCACTTAGGTTTGGTCCCAGTTAGCCCTCGTCTGTTCTGGAAAGACCATGCGCAAGAGTTTCCTACCTTAGCACGTATAGCACGGGATATTTTCTCTATCCCTGCTACTGGTGCTGGTGTAGAAAGACTGTTTAATTCAGCCCGTGATATATGCCATTATCGGAGGGGCCGTCTAAATGCTTCAACCATCCAAGACCTAATGATGTTTACATGCACGACTAGGTTTAAGATCGAAGATGAGCAGCTAGCTTTTATCCAAACTCTGTCTATCCACGACGAGGGTGAATCAGACGAAATTTCTGAGGAAACAGAAGATTTTGAGCCAATCAGTGATACCGAGGAGGGTGAGGAGGATGAGATAGATGAGGTGGATGATTCTGATTTGGTCTCTCTGCCTATAATGCCAGAAAGCCAGATTCGGGCCTCTAGTCGGGTGAAAAAGCGTCCAAGGGTGTTGGATGACTATGAAACTATATGAATTAAAATCTCAGTTTTCTCTCACTTAAATATTACTTTTCTCTCTCATTTTAGTTACATTTTCGTCTGTAATTTTACTAGTAAAATACCAAAAATTACTGCATACACTACATTAATTATGCTCTCTGTATCATGGGCATCTTAGCGGCCCATGGGCATGTCAATGTCTACCTTCCTCAAAGTAGTAGGAGACCCTATCGGAACAACGGGTATAGCTAAACGTCATTAGCAGCGCCCTTATGTTCTTCCGTGGAAGGCTAGGACTACGCGAGGAAGAAGCTATAGAGGCGAAGATGCTACTTAACTACGGAGCAAGCCACTCCTTTATGTCTCATAGTATAGCCCGATAGCTAGATGGCAGAGTACGGTGGCACGAACTAGACTCTAGGAGGAATCGTTTAGTAGTGGAACTGCCAAACGGGGAGAAGATACGCACTAGGCGCTACTATAGAGTACCCGTGCGGATAGGAGGATAGTCTAGCTTAGTAACTATATAGGAGCTAGACCTAAAGGAATACGATATTATCCTGGGGTACGACTTCCTAAGGAAGTTTAACCCTACCCTAGATTGGCCGTCAGCGTCGATAAAGATTCGTGACGCGCGCGGTCAAACATATATAGTACGGACGATGGGGAGACCGCTACACGAAGACCCCTCGTGGTAGCTTAACACGATCTCCCAGAAACAAACCGTACGGGCATTGAAGAAAAAGGGCATAGAAGCCTTTCTAGATTGGGTCCGGCCTATCTCTAGCGATGCTAGAGAAGGGGAGGCCGCGTAGGCATCAAATATATAAACGGACCCAAGGATTCAAGGGCTGCTCGAAGAGTTCTCGGACGTCTTTCCAAAAGAACTCCTAAAGTAACTACCCCCTAAACGGAATATTCAATATAATATCGATATAGGAGATACGCATCCGGTGAACATCAACGCGTACCTAATATCGTATATAAAGCTCGCCGAGCAGGCGAAACAGGTAACGGAACTAGTCCAAAAAGGGATTATACGGGGATCGACGAGCCTATAGGGATTCCCCGTTATATTTGTCTAGAAGCCCAGCGGGGCGTGGAGGATATATATCGATTACCGTGCGCTAAACAACCTTATAAAGAAGAATAGCTACCTATTACCACGAATCCAGGAGCTACTAGACCTCGTGGGCTGTTCGAAATACCTATCGAAGATAGACCTCGCTTTAGGGTATTAGTAGTTACGGATAGACAAGGACTCTATCCAAAAGACGGCATTCAACACTATCCAGGGTAAATACGAATAGCTAGGGATACTATTCGGTCTTTGCAACGTATTAGCGACCTTCTAGAACCTAAAAAACGACACCCGACGCCTAATGCTAGGCAAGAGCGTAGTGGTGTATTTAGACGAAATCCTGGTATTCTCAGACACGGCGGAGGACCATTACCACTATCTAAGAGAGGTCCTAGAGCGGCTACGAGAGGCGTAGTGTTAGGATTTTAGGTGTCTGCATTTATAACTGCAGATTTCCAGAGCTTCCAATTCAACATGGAAGTTCCCGTTGATGTTCCCGTTCTGCCATCTCTCACCGCCTTCATCTGATCTTCCAATTATCTCTTATTTATCTTTCACTTTGCTCTCACTTCGGCCTTTACTACACTTTCCCTTTACATCAGACTAGATCATAAGACCTAGTCATAAGACAAGGTCATAAGGCCTACCCCTCACTTCATGACGTCTATAACCTTAAGCAATCAGGCCATTCATTTCATGTGAAACTGAATATTTTTGTCTATAAATATGGCTCAGAACCCAGACTGAATTAAACAAGAGCTTTCATCTCAATTATTCTCTTACTACCTTTCTCTCATAAAGGCAGACCAAAGAGACCCTTCATCTTTATCTTCATCTATCTTCCTGGGGTAAGCTACTACGCCGTAGTAGTAGCCAACCTCTACGGGAGGTAGTATTTCTCTCTACAAATATTTGTCCTAAGGACTGCCCTGCCGCATAGGGACCCTTAGGCATTTATTTATCTCTCTTATCTTACATACTACCAATCCCGACACGTAGCTATACACAAAACCGTCTAAGTGTATATTCGCCTAGAGCAAACTGGAATTCTGCGGATATATCGTGGGCAGCGGGATAGTGGAACCTATATAGGCGAAGGTCGATCTCGTACGGGATTGGCCGAAACCTGAGACGGCCCACGATATACGATAGTTCTTAGGTCTCGCTTTATATTATCGGCGGTTCGTGAAAGGCTTCGCGACCATTATGGCCCCCCTACACGACCTGCTAAAGGAAAGCGATGAGGTGCAACGTACGAAGAAGTTCCGGAAGGTTGAATAGCCGCCTAAATACGGCTAGGCGTTTATATAGCTTAAGGATGCTCTCCAGACCGCGCTAGTGCTGGTTCAACTAGATATATCGAAGGCCTTCACATTCGAAATAAATATATCGGAATAGGCTATTAGATTCGTCCTCTCCTAGACGGGCGAGGATAGATTGCTCCACCTAGTAGTATTCGACGGGCGCAAGCTTAGGGACGCTAAGCTAAACTACCTAACCTACGAGAAAGAGCTACTGGCGATAAAGGAAGCCCTACGGACGTAGGATAGGTATATCGATAATAGCACCTATACCACCGTTATCACCGACCATGAGGGCAACCGCTATTTATCCGCTACGACGATATATAGTAAAAGGCTCGCCTATTAGGTCCCGGAGTTCTAGCAATATAACCTAGATATCCAGTACCGGAAAGGTGCTAAGGTAGTTATACCGAACGCCCTAAGCTAATGGCCAGACTTTATCGGCGACGGCCCAGCGAATATGGTAGATATAGCGGAAGGGCGGTTATTATTAAATATAGCCCGCGCGGTCCACGGCGTCGTGGAGAAGGACTAGTTCGACGCCACGATAGCTTTCCTTAAGATAGGAAGTCTGCCGGAGGAGCCGTCGATACGCCGCGCTATACGAGTATATAGCCACCAACTAACGTTAGGTGAGGGCGTATAGGATACCCTAACCTACCGATACGAGGACGGTAGTGCGGCGCCATAAGTAGGCGTCGACAACCGCTAAGAAGTCGTCCAACGACTGCACCGCGAGTATAGGCACCTAGGGTGGCCCAGCCTTCGCGGAATTATGAAGATATAGGCTTAGTGGCCGACGATTCGCGCGGACGTTGATAAGGCTATCTGGACCTACCCTAACTACTAGGTGTCGTAAGGGTCGAAGGAGGCCCTATAACGAGAATCCGCGCGATATTTGGTATAGGCGGGTATACGACCATTCGAGCGGTGGGGCGTGGACCTCATTAGTCGATTACCAGAAACTCCGAACGGGAATCGGTGGATTATCACCGCCATCGACTATGCGACCGGTTAGCTATATGCGAGAGCGGTGCTAGAGGCCACTAAGGAGACTATCGCGGATTTCCTGCATAAGGCGATATTTATTAACCATAGCGCGCCTCGAGAGTTTATTATAGATAACGGGGCGAATCTCCTCGCGGATTCCGTACGGTATTATGTACAGCAATTACTAGCACGCCACCGCAAAATAACCCCCTACCACCCGCAAACGGATAGGAAGGTCGAGAACTTTAACAGCACCCTTAGACGAATCCTGACGAAGATGCTAATGGGCAAGCCGACCCAGCTATAGGATAAGTATCTTAGCTAGGCCCTCTTTGTAGCGCGGGTGCGGGAACACTAGACGATAGGGTTCTCGCTATTCTTCCTTACCTACGGCGAACACCCTTATATACCAGAGGATTGGTATACCTTAGAGAGCTCGTCGACGGAACGCATTATATCCTAGGACGCGAAGATCGCCTTAGTTAGGAGTGCGCGGTCCCGAGCGAATGAGCTACTACTTAATAGGGCCATCTAGGCGGCGATGGTCCGGGATATGAAGGTCGAGAAACATAGCCTCGCTATCGATATATAGGTGCTGGTTCGGAACGAGAGCCATCAAAAATTCGAAAGCCATTAGTTTAGGCCCTATCAAATCATTAAGGCCCACCCCCTAGGCACGTACGTATTAGCAGAACCTAGCGGCCGTGTCCTACGCAACCTGATCTATAGGAACCGCCTTATTCAGGCCTATATCGACGACCCAAGCCAGTTATAGTCAACCTTAGTAGCGAACCGCTAACTCTAGTGGGTTGGCCTCTTATTGGAGCACCCCGACGCTGTGCGGGAGGTGATCGACGCTATAGATACGGCGGCGGTACGGTATTCGGAGTTGGCATCGATCCTACGGAAGATGTGGGATGAGTTACAGCGTTCCGGAGTACGCTAGCGTTTAGCGGGGGAGGGAGAGGTTACCAACGCGAAACGAGCGTATAAGGAGGCGGTGGAAAAGGCCCTAGCCTGCGGGCGCAGAAAGTCAGCAAAGCGCGTAAAGGAAGCACGCTAGCTAGAATAGGAGGATACTAAAGTTATCTAAGAAGAGGCTATAGTAAAGCAACCAGAATCGGCAACAGTCGAGCAGCCGGAGGATAAGTCGCTAGGAATAGAGAGATTAACTAGGTAAAGGGGATCTCGCGGCGTAGAGGATACGGATCATTAGGATAACTAGGTCGGCCAGGGAGATACGGGAACGAAGATAAGAACGCGTTAGGGACCACGAAGGCTAGGAAAGAGACCACTTAGGACAGCGAGCAATAGGTCGAGGCCGAAGCTATAGAGACGCCCTACTTATTCCGCAGGAAACGTAGATACTGGGGAACCGGCGGCGAAGATATATAACCCTAGAGGACGGGCAGAAGGCCTAGACTGCCTCTAAAAGGGCTCCAGTAGACCTAGAAGCCGTCGAGAGAGTCATACTAGGTAGTAGCAAAGGACTAAAAGGAAGGGAATAACATAAGTTTATTCAAAATCATCAAGATATACACGGAAAAGAGAATCCGTACGGAAAAACTACATACAGAAATAGATCACTCCTTAAGATCCATTATCTCACCCTAATCTTCAACAAGCTCCTCGGTTTCTTCTCTAGCTAGATTATCCGCCTTACGAAGCAGCACCGCACGGTCATACGATATACGCTCTAGGGTCTAGTCGATGTGGAAGAGGGCGGTTAAGACCCCCCTTACGACTCTAGCCCTAACAAAAAATAGCGGAGACTAGTAGATTAGGCTAGAGGGAGGCACAACGCGCGACTAGGCACTAGGGGGGCTAGACGCAAGAGCTATCTAGATAGGCCCTAGGGATATAGGAGACATCGTAGATCCCTTAGGTCTAATAGATGCCCCTTCACCCTCGACCAACGGCTCTAGAATAGACTCTAGAACGGATGGGACGTTACCACCACCTACGCGAGAGGACCCCTCGCCGCGAGACTTCCGTGGAGTACCTTCGCTGAAGACGAAATTAGGGAAGGTCTGCACGAAATAGTCTCGGACCTAGGCCAGTCGGTCTACGCGTAGACTTCGCCAAAGCCCACGATTGGGCCCAGAGTCCGGGCCCACGGCCCAACCCGCGTGGGCTTTGGGCTCAACCCTCCGGGCCCGAGCCCAACCCATAGCCCACTGCGGGCCCCCAATGGGCCCCCTCGAAAGCCCAACTTTTCATAAAATCAAGGTCTTGGCGGTCATAAAGCTGCTGATTCACCTAAATAAAATACTGTACCTTACGCCTGTTTTAGTCACTACTATAACTTCTTCAATATTTAATGTATTAACACCCTGAAATTAAGAGAAATTTACTGGTATTCTAATATAATAGATTCAGTAATAGTTTAATTACTAGATATAAGAGTAAAAGAATCATAGCCTTACGCTGTTAGTAGGATATTTGAGGAAAGGTGGGGGGTGGTTGCAGGAATATATATTTAACACAACGTGGTTTAAATATATCTTTATGGATGATCTCAAGAAATCTTTATTACTTTACTTTCCAACGTACGCTTAATAAGTTCTGGAAGCTTTGGCACTAGTATTCTGACGACTGTCAGAAAATAGAGTGCAATTCGATATAGTGTCGAATCGTATAAGGTATACTATAGTTTCTGCTTCGATCCTTTGCGGTTCGGGTTCTACGCGGTTCGATATTAAGATTAATTAGGCTCTAGATGGGCTTTTGCGGGCTTTCATGGGCTTCTGCGGGCTTTCATGGGCTTCTGCGGGCTTTCTGTGGGCTTTTATGGGCTTTTGTGGGTTTTTTGTGGGCTTTTGTGGGCTTTCTGTGGGCTTTTGCCGGCTTTCTGGGCTTAACCCTCTAAAATAAGCAAGCATTAACCAATCATATAGTATTAACCAGGCTTAGCGGGCCTAGTTTCCGATGTATCAATATCCTTGATTAATTATTGTTTTGTAGGTCTACAGACGACTGGCGTCCTAAAGATTTTAAGTATGTTCTACTCACACTGTCCTCACTTTCCCCTTACCGTTTTTTTGCCTTACAGCTATGTCTCAGAGTCAGAATTCTGAGGTTTTCTCTTCATCTATCTATGAGAGTGATATTAATAATATTACTTACCTTACTCCTGAGAACGCGCAGTTATTCACACCTGATCCTTCGAGCAGTCAGCAGATATTTGATTCCTTTGATACTGAGTTTCTTCGACCACCTCCTCTTCCTCCTACGATACCTCCCTCTCTCACCCTTGTTGGTCCTGGTCGAAAGAAAGGCTTTGCTCTCTATGACATAGAAATGCATTCTGAGTGGGTGAACTGGTGGCTCGAGACTGGCTATAGGAAGTCAAGCAAGATACGATGGGACTCAGTCCACCTCTCAGACATCTGGAAGCAATTTCATCAAGTAGCTAATACCTCTGATGGTGCACTAAAGGTTATGTGTAAACGCTGTGGTCAGATTCTTGAGCATCCCTATTCTTTTAAGCTAGGGGGAACAGCTCGGCATGGAACCTCTACAATGCTAAGGCATATCAAAAGCGCTAGCTGTCTAAGATCTTCCAACAATAGCGCACAGAAATCTGGCCTAACAAAGTTTATACAATCAAAGGTAAGTGATTATCTCCTGATTTTGATTTTATCTTACTCTCCCCTAGGGTTCAATAATAGCGAATAAGAAAAGCTTTACCCAAGAGGCTTGGGAAGAAAAGCTTCTTATCTTTCTTACTATTGCTCGTCTTCCATTTCAGCTCATTGAACATCCTGAGTTCTTTAGCCTCATTCAACTCGCCCAATCCGCTTCATCAATGCCAGATATTCCCTCCGCAAAGACTATTCGTCGTCGGCTACAAAGCTCTGTTCAGCTAAGACAGCAGGATATCCTCCGAAAGCTTCCTGATAATACAAAGCTTTCAATTGCACTTGACTGCTGGACCTCCCCATTCTCTTAGGCATTTATGGCTATAAGTGGCTACTTTATTACTGAGGATTGGCAGTGTTGTGAGGTCCTTCTTGGGTTTGAACCAATTTATGGAAAGCACTCCGGTGCTAACCTAAGCGCAGTTCTCTTGGGTATTCTACAGAAGCATCAAATCCAGAACCGAGTACTTGCAGTGACTACTGATAATGCTTCAAATAATGATACTTTGATAGCTGAATTACAGAAGTCACTCCCAGAGGATACTACGCTGATTAGGGTTCCATGTCTTGCTCATGTTATTCAATTAAGTTTGAATGATTTACTTGGACATATGAAAGCGATTCCGATTAATGACACCACTGATACTCAGTGGACAGAGCAGCGATCTCAGTCTGCCCGGGCAAACACAAAGAAAGGAGATATTGCTACTACTCTAAGTAAGGTAAGATGCTTTCACCTAACTTTCCCTTCACTATAATATAGTACTAATATCTAAAATAGGTTCGCAACCTTGCTATATTCATTAATGCAAGCCCTCAGCGCCGGGAGACCTTCTTCACACTCCAGCCAGATGCTACAAAGCTTGTTCCAATCCAGGATGTGAAAACCCGCTGGAACTCCACATACCTAATGCTTCGACGTGCAAGAAGACTTCAGTCAATCTTTATACCCTTCTGTAATGAATGGGATCGAAGTGATCTTCAACTGAATGATGAAGAGTGGCGCCAGGTTGACTATCTTCTTTGGATTACGCAACCTTTCTACGAGTTTACCACTGAGCTCTCAAAGACTAAGGATGTGACTTCCCATCATGTCTTTAGGATATACAACCTCCTCTTTGAGCATCTTGAGCAGTCGATCTCTCAGCTAGCAAGAAAGAAGGCGCGATGGAAGAAAACTATGCTTCAAGCGCTACATGCTAGCCGGGCAAAGCTAGACTACTATTACTCTATGACAGATACCATCCGTGGTGATCTTTATGCAGTATGCACTATGCTGGCGCCAGAAAATAAGTTTAAATTCTTCCAAACCAAGGACTGGGACGATGAGTGGCGCACAAGATACAGAAAAAGCTTCAAGGACTTCCTAGCACCCTACCAAGAATATGTTACTGGGCAACAGTCCTCACCTATCTCTCAGGGTTCTCTTAGAAAAGGCTCACGCCTCGGACTCTTGCTTAACAAGCGCAAGCCTCAGTCAACTGAACCAAAGGATGAAGTCACAGGATATCTTGATACTGGTATATTACTTACCTTGTTTTATCTATAGGAGTACTAATATATTCTAGAGCCTATAGACTCCTTACCTCTTGACTTTTGGAAAGCTCACCAGCAAAAATACCCAGCAATTGCTGCCCTTGCAAGAGATGTGCTTTCAGTCCCTGCGACTGGTGCTGGGGTTGAACGGCTGTTCAATACTGCCCGAGATATCTGTCACTATCGCCGAGGTAGATTACATGCAGTAACTATCCAAGAGCTAATGATGTTTCTCTGTGTATCAAAGTTTGATATAGATGAGGAGCAGGCATCATTTCTAGCTGACTCATTCTCTCAAGATGATATTGAAGCAGCAAAAGAGGAAAAGGAAGAGATGCCAGATCAGTTTGAACTTGATCCAATCAGTGATAGTGAGGAGCGCGCCCAGGAAGAGAGAGAGGGAGACACTAGTGATTCTTCTGAAGATGCAGTCCTCGCTCTGCCAGTCCCTGAGGAGGGAAGCACTCAAATACGTCAGTCAGTTCGATCGCGGAAGCGTCCTCGGCAGGAGGACGATCAATGGTCATATCATTAATGATTGACACTATAGCGAAATCAAGCCTATTTTCTGACGGCCGTCAAAAAAAGCTAGTGTTAGAGCTCCTAGTCCCTAACCCCTTTTCCGAGTAAATTCTGACGGCCGTCAGAATTCTAGTGCTATAGCTTCAAGAATTCATTGAACGTATAAGCAAATGATTTTGCACTAATTAGATTAGTCCCTTTAGAACTAGTAAGCTTCTAAATGTATACCTTTAAACTAAGGCTTCCATTGAAGAAAATTGAGAGTAAAGTAAAGGAAATACTCAAAAAAACAGGCGAAAACTGCATAAATTATGCAGTCACGAGTCTCTGCTTTGTTTGCATTGTTTGGGGCCCATTGGGGGCCCGCAATGGGCCCGCGGGCCCATAGGCAAAGCCCACGGCCCATCGTGGGCTCAAAAACTGGGCCCAAAGCCCAACCCATTTGCGGGTTGGGTTGGGTTGGGGTCGGGTTGGCGTGGGCTTTGGCGAAGTCTATCTACGCGAAGGGAACAACGGATACCGCTGCCGGTCGAGCCATAGTTTATATATACGCTAGCTAAGAGAGGCTTGGTATCTATACGGGCGATCCTGTAGGAGGCAAACGGTCCGTGGCCCTTCTAGTAGTCCTTATAGTCCTCACTAGTAGGGGTAGTGTGACCGACGCGTTGGGCTAGCGCAGCCAAGAGCTTATAGGACTTCGATACGTCCTTATACTTCGGCATTCTATCCGCACCTATACGCTAGTCGAGGTTAGGGGTCGCTGCTATAATATAGGTAAGAACCGCTTATTCGTCTTGGCTACGAACTACTAAGCTATCTAGGTTGCCATCACTCGTTAAATGATATTTAACGAGGGGGTTAGTAATGGCTACAGTAGAAGACGAAGCTAGAACGGATAGTGATGCGATAGGAACCGCGACTAGCATTGGCACAGTCGCCAGAGGCGTAAGGGAAGCTACTAACGGCGCTGTCTCCGGTGCGGAGGTCTCGCTGTCTCCGGTGCGGAGGTCTCGCTGTCTCCGGTGCGGAGGTCTCTAAGGAAGACGGGGGATCGAAGATACTATGGCTAGGTCGCGAAGACGCTGGATGGGAGCGGCGGGACTTAGAAACCCAGTTCGAGCGCTGGGAGGGTATCGTAGGCGCGACCCTAGGCTAAGGACCCCGGCGAGGCGTGCGTGGCACTGCGGGCACCGCCGAGCCCTTAGCGGGCGGATCCTCTAGGCCAAGTGCTAGGATCTCTTCATCCAGGGAGGAGAGAGGAGATTCTTCTCCTAGACCCAGAGCAGACGCGGCCATCCCGGCAGCAAGAGAAGCTTCTATCCCCTCGCCTTCCACGACCGTGGGATCAACCGTATGGCCCCCAACAAAGAACTCGTTGGCGATGGCTAAGCCCTAGGAGATGGCTTGGTCGTCGGCGGTTTCAGTGGGCGCAGTATACGGGTTGCCTATACAGGGGCCGTTAACGACAGTCCTCAACATGATGGGGACAGGGCTTACCGAAAGGATCCATCTGACGAAGTGGTCTCTGAGGGCGACCGCGAGATAGGGGTTTCGCAGCTTCAGAAGCCGCTAAACGAGAGAGGTTGGTCCGTACAATGTCACGTACGGCAGGAGGGAGGCTTTCAAGAGAATCTTCCAAAAGACCAGTGTTGGTGGATATGGGAAAGAAAAACAGGAGATGGTGATGAGAAAACATGGTTGTCCCGAGAGCATGCCTCGAAGTAGGGTTGCGGTGTCGCGTGTCTGTCTGTCAAGGTCTGTAGCTCGTGTCGAACTTCTGCGAGGGCGGCACTAAACTCTTCTTTGACTTCCCGAAGCTCTTTCTTGTGAGATTCATCTCGCTGTCTGATCTCTCTCCTGAGTTTGACCAGCTCCTTTACGAGACTGGCGATGCTCGGGTCCTCGTCCTCAGCTGAGGAGTCGTCCGAAGTTGCTGAGTTACGCTCTTCTTGTTCAGTAGTGGTTTTCTTCTTTTGTTGTTGGGACCGCGTCTTCCTTTGTTCGATGTCGATCTCCTGCTCTCGAGCGTAATTGTTCGGCGGCCTGGTGGTGCGTCTCGGTCTCGACAGTCGCGGTGGCGAATCTTCATGTTCGTCGCGGTCGGGCGGTTCAGGGGTTCGCATCGCGGCCCGTCCCGCCATCACTCACAGATCGGTACAGGAAGTCGGTATTGCCGCCACCTGGCACTCCGCAAAACTCGATATTCCGATCTATGTACAGTAGCTTGCTTCTGGTGCAACTCAGTGTGGGCTCCCCAGAGTTCCGATTGTCTAGATCGCTCTGAATGAGATCTCCGCCAAGTACCTCTTTCCTATCTGCGATACAGTTGAGTGCCTTACAGTAGAATTCGAAAACAGATTACCCCCCAGACACACGGGCTTTCTTTCCCCGCGCCCCACTTTGACCGCGCTAAACTGGATTCGGTCAGGAAAAGTCCCACAATCTTGTCTCGAAGTATTTCTTGTAGATCACTTGAATTACGGTAATTACAGGTTTCGGCGCTAGCCAAACATACTACCCTTCAATTGAGCCTAGCATGGAGTTTAGGCTTTACATCGATCGCGTCAAATTTGTGGATCCCCTCCCCGGGTTCTTTCCTTTTAAAGCGCATGAAACCGCTGCACCGTGAATACGACGTTCCTGCAGTACACTGTGCACAGATAAAAGGCCAGTCGATCCAATCAAATGGTTTTTAAACTGTTCTTCATTACTTGCTAGAAAATCGTGGCAGCAAACGAACTCAGCACAACGCTCAAGGATGTATTTGATTTGGCCGTCTTCTCCCAATTGTTGGAGATGGATGAGGAAGAAGATCGAAAGATTAGCTCAACATCACTTTATGGCTTCATTGAAAGTGGCGAGGAGAAGGTGGATACTATGGATCACGCCCTGTAAGTCAACATCCTCCAAGCGAACTTGCCTATGTCTGCTACAGTTGGCAGTTCTCAGTATGAGGCAATCTAGCAGTTGAACCGGCATCCTAATAAATGAGCTCTCATGAATTGGTCAAGAGAAGACTTCATTTCTCTGGTTTCCATTAGTGAATCACTCCAGGAATGTGCCGTGGCGATGGGTTTCTACAAAGTCCACGAAAGTTGTGAAAACATTCGAAGGGCCGGTGCGATGATGTGTCAACCTGGTGAAACTGCGAAGGCAATTCAGTTGGCCTGTCTTTTCTTCATTGAAGAAGAAATTGACATCCTCAATCATAATATTTTATATGCCCGCAGAGCGATCGATTTCTTCTACAAGACATAATAGCTACAATTCACGAGCGAAATTGAGGGCGATGCCTGCTTGTTCTTTTTTTGAAGTTTCTTTATGTAGTAGTTTCTTTGAAAAAAGAGACTATGACTGAACTAGGGTTTGCCGCACTTTGGTCAAATGTAGTTGAAACCTGTATTTCAGCTAAGATATTAGACGGGTTTAAGCTTTGAAAGGGGGAAAGCCGAGGGGTCCTCAAAATTGACGCAATCGAAGTAAAGTTCAAAGTTCAAGCTAGGCTCAATTTGGCAACAGACCATCGCGACGAGTGTGTTTGGCAGCGTGTTTCGCCAGAGCGGGAACATGTAATTACGGTAATTTAAGTTATCTACAAGAAATACCTCAAGAAAAGATGGTGGGGATTTTCTCTGACCAAAATCCAGCTTGGTGCAATCTGAGTGGGTCGCCGGGAAAGAAAGCCTGTGTGTCCGAGGGGTAAACTGTTTTCGAATTCTACTGTACCAGCTGCCTCGCGTGTCAAGGCGGTGGACGCCATCTTGGATTTCGCAGAGGCATCCCAACGGTTTCAAAGTCGCGCGCCATGAGGGCAGCAATCACAAACGGCATCTAGGCCACGACAGGCCTCGGCGAGGCTCTAAGTCCGTCTAAGAATTGGTACATTCTACCTGTACATACATGATTATATGTAGTTGTGGTAGCCTGCATATCGCTTTCAATTTTGCGAGGGGTCAGGGTAAATGAAGTCATACATACATACATACATACATACATGCTGTAAGGCACTTCAGATATCCGATTTCTTTTCCACTTTCACGAACATGTATGTATGACCTTCTCTAAGTTAAAATGACGTAGCCTGAGTGGAATGTTTTGCAAGGATTTTAGTCTGCCAGCCTATTTGCTGAAAGCGATCTTCAAGATATGCTGCCGCTTTGTCAAGCATAGCAGCGCCACCCACGCATGCTTTGGCCTCAGGGTGCTGTGCAAGTCCACTGAGTGTAGTGAACGACCGCGTAGGGCCTGAAGCATGCTTCCCATCCAATAGCACAATTGGACAATAGAACATAGAGCTTGCGTGAGCAGCAGAATTTTGGTGCTGTTCAAGAGAGGTCGTTGACGCGAAAGTCTTCGTATAGTCACGACAACGTATATTTCCCGGTGCAGCCTTTTCTTCTAGCTCGAGATAAATCAAATTCAAGCGCGTCACAAGTGATACTGATAAAGATGCATCTGAAGAGGTGCTGTTTGGCGTATAGATAGTTTCAGTATCTGAACTACTATCTGATGATTCACCATAGACGTGACCAAAAGCGTTGATAAGACGCTGGTCGGATATAATGCAATCAGTGTCATATGCGTAGATCAGATTGTTAAGCTTTTCTCTATCCAGTCCAGAGGCACATGCCCCGCTTTCAAGGTGATGTAGCAGGGAGGATTGGCACTTGAACTGTTTCTGGCAACGTGCATCGAAACACTTCAAGTTACTGATGGGATGATGGACCAATGAGCGTTGGTGCTGCTGTAAGGCATCTTTGTTTAAGAAGTTCCGGTTACACTCATCACAAATGAGTGTCTCCTTTTGTTTCGGCCGGATCGTGTGCTTCTTATCCCGAAGGTGTTGCTCGAGAGCTACCCCGCTTGCAAAGTCTCGCTCGCAGTCACAGCAACAAAACTGGTCGACGTGACCGGCAGTCTTCTGATGCCGAATCAGATCGACCGGCAAATCGAAATGTTCGTTGCATGAGCGACAAAAGCAATGAGTGGTAGAACTTCGATGTTTAGTCAAAAGTTTCAGACTCCGGAAGCGTTCTTTGCAATGACCACATTGCCAAGGATGGATAGCAGTGATATGTTGCTCTAAGCCGTCGGATGTCGTAAATTTTCGAACACAATAGGCGCAGTCTCGGCTGTGAGTCTCTCTCCGATGTTGCCTGAGAGCCGTTCTATGTCCGAATTGTCGACTGCACTCGCAAGTAAACATGGTTTGCTCAGCCCGAAAATTTGTTGGTGGATTTGGAAATATTTGGGAACAGATGCTATGGTGGATTAACCTCGCAAATCGAATGCGACTGAGCACTGAAGAGTTGGATTAGACAAGCAAAGGATCCGATAGCGAAACAGCAGAGTCCCGAGATTTATAACACGGGCTTTTTCAATCAGTGCGCAATAGGAAAACAAGACAGAAAGAGATACGCCCAATCATGGACAGATCGCTTTCAGAGATCATTCCAGTAAACTGTGTGTTTATATGTGGTGGCTCCGAATACGACCCTGTGCGAACTGGCCAATCAAAAATCAAAACGTTCATTCTTTGGCTTTACCGGCATCACCGGTTGAGTTGCATCAAGTATTTGTCACTTACTATCTAGCAATGCCAATTTTCACATACATCGGACAGAAGAAACCTCTAAAGGTTATTTGGAATGTGGTGGACGACCCCTTGAGACTGACCCTCGGACAAATAAACTGTATGTAATCGCCTCCTATGGTCTCGTTCCGGTCTTGTGGAATTTTACCAAGGGATGCAGACTACGTCTGCAGCACGTTTATTATGGCATCCCGACCAACCACAGGTGGTCTAGCAGGGTGAATTAACGGATATGGAAGGAATGATTTAAGTATCATTATAAAGCTCATATTTCGCGTGTTGAGCCGCACCCTCTGTGGATTTTTGAGAGTGGCACCTGTTAAAACGCCGTCTGATCTGGTTGTTGCCACGGATAGATGCATCAAGCGAGGTTTCCAGGAGACGAAGAAGGGCTTCAGTTAGAGTCCGCTCAAATTCTTGAGATCCTAATGCCACAGATCAGAACACAATGTCAGCGGATTGAACGGACACAGATTGGCAAAACTGTCAATGGTCAGTTGCTTTTTCCGCTCGACTTCGAAGAATCAGCAACAGCATCCATAGAAGCCGGAATTTAGATGACTAGTCTTGGTCCATACGCAGATTTTCTGTACAGCCTACTCAGAGATCAGGCGTTGGCGGTCCAAAGAAGTGTAAGCTACACCTCGTTACGCTATTGGATCAACTTCGAGATGTCTTTCTACTCCTTCTCTGGTACAGTATTTCCCGAAACTGGTGTCACCACCTACACTCTTTGATTCTTTCTCAAACCCTAATTACTAAGATATACTAGTCTATATTGAGAATTTTTCCGGAGTATCCTTGTCAGTGGGGCCTGTATTGTTTTTTACACAGAGTAACCGACAAATTGCGAGATGTTTTCACTTGTAACTTCGATACGCCGACACCTCAATACCCAACTTCGAAAACCGTCGGCCCTTCGTACGCGCAAATTTTTGATTCACAGGATGACGCCGGTCCTTGCCCTTCAAAGCACGAGCTTATCCCGCTTTACTGCCTCACCAAGCATCAAATATCACTCTTAGTGTGCTGTTGCTGTTGCTGCCCAAAAGTTTCAATACCGAGACAACATACTGTATCTATTTTCAAGAGACGAACAAGTGAATAGACCTGGTCGAGAAGGTCACAGCAAACTCAAAGCAACCCTCAAGTAGCGTAAATGCAATGGCGTACGAAATTTTGCGAGCTGGAAGGCCGGGCCTGGCAGAAGGACATAGGTAGACATTGACATAACCCATGGGTTGGGTCCATGGGTCGAACCCAACCCGTCCATGGACGGGTCCTGGACACCTACCCCGAACCCATGGACGGGTCAGGTCTGGCTGCCCATGGACGGGTTGACCCATGGGTTGCCAAGAAACCCATGATACTAGAATACATAATTTGCATAATTTATGTAGTATTTTACGTATTCGAGTGGTAAGGTTTAGATGAAACATTATCGGATTAAATCAGGAAGTGAAGGTAAAGTGAATAAAGAGTGAAAATTAATCAAATACTAAACTATTTACTAAGTTCGAACCCTTCATATATCCGAGGCGCCTTCCTTGCCCTTCCAGAATGCCGTACCTGGCTCATCAAGGGTAAACCACTCTCATTATCATCACTTTGCTCACTTTCATGATCGGACAAAACACTCTTTCGTCTCTTCCCTACCCTCACAGATAGCCTCACTTCATCCTCGCCTTCCTCGGTATCACTAATCGGATCAATCCCTTCTAATGTAGGTGAGATCTTTTCATTTTCACCTTCTTCAGGAATCTCTAGAGCCCGAGCTAGTTCAAGCTATTCGTCTTCTATCTCAAACTGAGTAAGGCAGGAGAACATCATTAAATCCTGGATAGTGGTTGAGTTCAGACGACCTCTACGATAATGACAAATATCGCGGGCTGAATTAAATAGCCTCTCTACACCCGCACCAGTGGCGGGGATAGAGAAGATATCGCGGGCTACCCATGCGAGGGTAGGGTATTCCACTTGATGGTCCCTCCAGAAGGCCTGAGGGGTAGTGCGTATAACACCTAGAGAGAAAGAGAAGTAAGAAAAAAGGGTAAAGAGGGTTAATAATAAGCGAGGAAGCCTTAAATCAGGAGTCGATCAGACTTAGGGAAGGAGTTGATCAGACTTAGGGGAGTAGTCGCTTAGACTCAAGAATATAAGGGATTAAGCTTGAAAGAGGAGTCGACCTGACTAAAAAGAGGAGTCGGTCTGACTCAAAAGAGGAGTCGAGCTGACTTAAAAGGGGAGTGAAGGAGACTTGAATCAAGAGGCTTACCGGCTTGAAGATACTGTGCGAGTTCATCCCGATCTAGGGTGGATTCACCTTCATCTTCGAGTAACCGATCAAGCTCTGACCTATGTGTATAAGCTTTAGATAGAAGGGTATGATCCTCTTCGCACTGATAAGCTTTGGTCCGATCTTGAAGGGTGCTGTGGTAGTATTCGGCCTATGTCTGACCTAGCTCGGAGTCCTCTGGGCCACCAGACCATTCCTTACGTTTGAAGTATTGTAACTTATCCTTTGGTGCGAGGATAGTGCCATGCGCATACACATTACCAGCCTCAGGCTAATCGGTCTTTGCGTAGTACTCACGGAGCTTCTGTAGGCCTGCTTCAAGAGCGACAAGCATCTGTTGCTTCCATTTGATCTATTATTTGTTAGAATAAAAGTGAGGGAAAAGTGAGAGGGAAGTGAGAGCGTACCTTCTTTTTTTTGAGCTGATTGATTGACGCCTCGAGGTGTTTAAATAGCTCATTATAAAGCTTAAACACCTGGTGGATAGTCACGTCTTTTGTCTTTGAAAACGTGCTTATATATAGGAAGAATGGTCTTGTGAGGCAAAGAAGATAGTCAACCTAGCGCCATTCCTCTGAATCAAGCTTTAGGTTGTCTAGGCACTCAATATGGCAATATCTATTAAAGTAGGGCTGTAGCCGTTTAGCCCTTTGTAGCATTAGATAGGTGGAATTCCACCGAGTTCGGACATCCTGAATAGGGACTAATCGACTAGGTTCCATCGATTGAAGCCGGAGGAACTCTGCACGCCTCTGTGGACTACCGTTAATATATATTGCAAGCCGGCGTACCCTATCGAGGGTGTTTGCAATATCCCCTTTCTGTCCTCGCTAGGTAGAAGCCCTCTGTAGTTCATCGGTCTATACTATGTCCACCGTATCGTTCTTTGGCTTTGCTTTGATCCGATATAGGAGCTTATTGAGGCTAAGCTGAATCACATACGCCATACACGGAATATGAACAATAGAGATGTCTAGATAGGTCCGTTGGACCTTATCAAACATTGTCTTATTGTTTAACGCATTATCAGTGGTGATAGCCAGAATTTGGTCTTTAATCCTATGTCTATCAATGACCGCACATAGGGCTAAAGCAAGATTTTCCCTAGTATATATACCCTCGAGGGGTTCGAAACCGAGTAGGATCTGCCTATATTCCCACTGTTCATCAAGGAAATAACCAGTAATTGCCATAAACGCTTAATGAAAGGGCGACGTCCAGCAGTTAAGTGCAAGTGATAGCTTTGCGTCCGACGGAAGCATATCTAGTATACCTTGCTGCTGGACCTAGACGGTGCTTTGAAGCTGACGAGCAAGGGTTTTACCCGTTTGGAGGATAGGGAGGGAAGGGGCTTCTTGGGTTAAGCGTAAAAGGTCTCGAAAGTGCTGGTTTTCGATGATCTAGAATAGTAGACGAAGGCTTGTGATTGTGACTAAAAGCTGCTTCTTCCAGTCGTTTTCGTCCCATACATTAGGCGGGGTAGCGCGTAGAGCCTAGGGATTAAACAAAGAAATATTAGCCTTACTTCTCTTTCACTTTTCTTTCACGTCTCTTTCACTTCTCTTTCACCTTGTCTTACCTAGGTACGAATCATCGCCTGAATATTCGTCTGTTTCTACTTATTGTTTGGTAGACATCTTTCTCTATGCCTTGTCATAACATTCGTCCCATTTTTAGGACTATGCGCGTAGATCTGGCCACAGTCCTTACAGGTAATACATGGTTTACCAGTAGAGATCTCTACGCCCTGTTCAAAGTGTGTCCAAACCTCAGACATCAAGCCCCTTTTATCCCACCGAGGATGTTCCGCTCGTGGTTTCTGCCCATATGTTGTTGTAAGCCACCATTGGATGAATATAGCCTTGTTTATGTTGGTCCATAGGATATAGTTTCTCTTAGGCCCGACGCGTTCAAGGATCGGTGGGGGCTCGGTGGTAATAGGGCGCGGTGGACTGGCTTTCAGGAACCGAGGAGGGTGGGATAGAGAAGTAGCAATCAGATAGAAGAGGGTCGATACTATCACTCGTGATAGAATCGAAGTGTTCTGATAAGGATCTAGCCATGATAAGGCGAAAGAACGCAAAAGTAAGGGTGAAGTAGGGAGGAAGTGAACCATGGAATGAATAGCGGGTAAGACTATACACGTGTTGATTGGTTATAACGCGTGTTAAGCGGGCCCTTTCATCTGATATTATTGGTCTCAACCCTGAGCCTAGACCCACACACCTATTCTGTATAATCAATTTCTCTAAGTCCGTTTAACATTAAGTCTTTACCTTCACTACTCACGCAAATTAAGCGTATAAGCTCTCAAACTCGGAGAATAGATAGATAGATATCCAGGTAGTACGTACAAGAAAAATAATTGCTTAATGTTTAAAAATAGGTGAGTGAAAAATAAAAGAAGAATCTCCAGTGGAAAGTGGTGGTACACTTCTCTACAGGAAATATATATTTCTACTCTACACCATCGAAATATACACAACCACCATAATATAGACGACAATAATTAGTCTTCCTTATGCGACCGATACAAATAGTACTTATCTAGATATAAACAATATTATTTCATATAAATACATTAGGGAAGGATGAAAAAAGTGGTGATGGTACGCGTTCAGACCAGAACAGAGGTAAGAAACAGTAAATAAGCTAAAAATTATGCAAAAATTCTAGGCTAAATCAGGCCAAATCAGGCCGAAAATCCTAAATCAGGCAGGATTAGGTGTCCATGGGTTGGGTCATGGGTCGAACCTTCGACCCATGGACAACCCATGTCAATGTCTAGACATAGGTCAAAGAAAAAGCACGGAAGATTTTTTCCAAGATACGCGCTTGCCTAATCTCGATGATAGGTAGCAATGTCAATTGAATCCTATCAAGGTGTGATACATATGATGTGACATGTGATGTGAACTGCTTTGCATATGACTGGCTAATTATCGGATGGCGGTGGGCGGCCTAAGCGTTCAATTATCACTCAACTCGCGTTGACGGAAAAAAGCAATTTGACTGACACCTCTCACAGGTGTACATCTATTCATGATATTTGACTTTGGTTAAACGTTAAGAAGTTGAAGAATGGACAATCGAAGGCACTAGCAGCCTTGTAAGAGTCTCACATTAGCACTAGACAAAAGTGGATCCCAGGATCAACGCTAACCTAATTACAATTCCTAACGCTCTTCCACTTCTCCCTCTCTACATCTCGACATGGCTGGAATTCTAGGCCCCCGGGCCATCTTCTGGGTCTTTGTCGTCCTCGCCATAGGCGTGATTTACAGAACATACACACACAGCTTCATCTTCCTCACCCTCGGTATTGGACGAGAGATCCAACCAATCGAGGACTTCCCATGGACCTGTATACGCGTCCGGAACTTCCTCTTGGAGGGCTGTGAAGACCTGTGGCTCGATGAACAGGACCGAAAGCTGTACGCAGCATGCAACAGCCTGGGGTCTCGCAAAGGATAGTCGCCTGGAGGCAACCTTTACAATATCTCCGCGAGATCCCGCACGGATCACATCGCTGTTATCGATGTTGACCAACCTGGCTCAGATGGACTGTACGGTCTACGCCAGCTCAACGTCGGTGGATATTAGGATAACCTTGACTTGCATGGATTTGATGTCCGCAAGATTGAAGGCCGGCTTCGGTTCTAGTTAATCAACCACAGACCTCCTGTTGACTATGTCACTAGAGAATTCCTTGATGCTCTGGTCGTTGGGGCAAATTCTACTGTTGAGATGTTTGATCTAGATGAGACCTCGGACACGCTTGAGCATATTAAGTCTATAGCCAGCGAGGCAATTTTCACGCCCAATGGCGTGGCAGTGGAAGAAGATGGTCTGGGATTCGTGATCACAAACGACCATAACACCAAGACTAGAACTTTCTGTGATCTGGAAATGCTGTCTGGAGGCGGAAGTCTCGCATACTGTCGATCTAACACAGGGAAATACCATATCGCGGCTGATAAAGGATTCTCCATATCTAATAGAATAGCCCACGACAAGAATAGCTACTACTACGTCGCTAACTCTGCATCTGGTCTCATCACCGTTCATAGACTCGTCAATAACGAATTGATCTAGGTTAAATCGATCAATACCGGGTACCTAATAGATAACCTGTGGCTTGATGCGGATAGCAACCTCATTGCAGCTACGTTCCCTGATTCAATTGCCCTTGTGAAATCTAGTATAGACCCATACAATATTGTTGCCCCTGCTACTGTCCTCATGATCAATAACATTACAAAGCAGTTAAAGGCTTATAGAAAGAATATCAAAGTGTCAAAATTGGCGGAGGATAGAGATACTAAGAGCCTTCCCAGCTCGACAGTCGCTGTGTATAATGCGAAGGGTCATAAGCTTTTTTTGGCGGGTATATTCTCTCCATTCATCACAATTTGTGAGCAGCGTCTCTAATTATATATGCCCAAGAGATGGATACGATATCGGTCGATACATCTCAGAGACTTTTTTGTACATAACTCTACAGGCAGAACACTCACTCCGTTAGGCTATGATAGATGCAAGGGGGATGAACATTCATTAAGTGTTTCCTCGGGGCTAGGTGACTCGTAGACAGATAGTGCGGATTCAAAATCCAAATAGTAACCAGGAGAGGGAGCATACAAGGGGGTTTGGTCCTATAGATCCGGTCGGCAGGAGTCATCGTCATTATCAAGAGGAATGTAGGTCATCCCTCTGGTGCAGAAAATGCCACTAAAGAGCCTAGTAACATAGTTTGGCGTTAACTTGGTACATGAAAGTGAGGAAGACTTAAGTGGAAAGATGTGGCTAACAAGCTGAATATGGTGTTGAGCAGGGTCATGAGCACAATCTGGAAGCAAGTTAGCAAGATATTGTTAATCACTTTATGCTGCTTGGTATGTATAGATTAAGCCCGAAGATTCTAACTTAGACACGGAAGTGTGAGAAGTAGTGACACATTGAGGCCCCCCTCCAGCTACTCATGTTTGACTCATTTGTACGCTAATGGAAGGTTCCAGCTTTTCCATACAGGGCCGATTCATAAGGTCATGTATCTTTTGTGGTACGATGCCCTGAAACGAACGAAGTGAGAGGAAGGGTTTACTTTCGCCCGCAGGGAATACCCTTGTTGTCAAACTTTTATCTATGATGTTGCTGTTAGCCAAATCTTGGCTTCTCATTCGCTAATATGACCCACCGTCCTCCTCTGGTTCGCTACTGCTTTATTCCACGCCCTCTTCTGATTGCTGTTTAAGAATCCATTATCTTGGTTTAGTGTTGGCGGTTTTTATGCTGGTTTACTGGCTCCTTCCTCCATAACCCTAAGAACTGATTGCCTAACCCTAGCGTCCGTGCTTCTTACTTACTGTTTCTTTGTTATACCCTCTCATTCATTGCTTGCATGCTTTTGCTACGCACTTCTATAAAGCCTTCTTCTGGTTGGTTGCGCGCCTGCGTGCCCTTGTGTTTGCGTGCTTTCGTGTTCAACTACACCGCTCCTTATTTCTTGTGCTCTGCGATCTCTGCTCTTACTGCTATTTCCTGTCAATAATTGTTGTTTTAGATGATTTTTACTCTGTGTTTTCCTCTTCTACTACTACTATAGCTACCACTCTGCTCCACAGTATATGTTCTTGGTATGTTATATGTCCTTAGAACGAATGGTCGCCGTGCCGTTCTATGTTACTTCCTGGTGTTCTTTGTAGGTATGCCGTTCGACCATTTTCGAAAATTTTTTTCCTTCTCCCTCACAACTTTCCCAATCGAATCGTCATTCTACTCCTGTGTATCCTGAAAATCACCTACCAGCTACAATAGTGCCACCTTATCATCACTCCTCACGGTCCTATCCTTTCCCTCCGCCCTTACATGATTCCTCGCCTCCTTCCATGCTGCCATCTTCCCAACTGCCCCTCCAATTTCCTTTCCCTCCACCCACCTATAATACCCCTTCAAGCGTTCGTTCTCTCGTGGTACAACCTGGAATTACCTCTGCTACTATGCCGTCAACCTCCATATCACTCCCATCTGAGTCCTTTGGTCAATGCCTCTCGTCACGTGTCCGTCCCATTGCTCTAAAGCTGGTCCTCAGTACGATTATGTCTGTAAGGCTTTGCCCCCCTACAGTCTCATAGTCTATAGAAACAATTCCTGTAAATCCATGCATTTGATCTATTTGTTTAGTGCGGAATATCCTTACATCCACAGGTTTACTGCACGCCCGGCCCTTTAATAAGTGCGTTTCCCGAAGCTGACCGGCACGCCTAAGGAACAAATCCGTATTATCCTGATCCAGTCCCGCCCACACACTCAGCGAAGAGGTCAGGCCCACCACACACGCTTCCACAATCCAAAAGACCTTCACTAGAACCTTAAAGCAATTCGATCCACTTCATCGACTAAGCCTTACAGTTACTATATGATGATCTCCAATAGAGACAAATCGCGTTGGATGCTTTCCCCCCTGAGTTATCTCAGGCTCAAATACGAGCTTCTGTGGTTCGATATAAGGAACGTATAAAAGCTACTGCTAAGCAAGGCATCTGTTCGTCATGTGGAAGATCTGTTCCTATTTCGGAAATCGTGGAGCTGAATAGTGATGACCCTCTGCTTCAACCACTGCGTGGCTACCTTGATCACTGCGGCAAACATGAGGATGATTGGGACGTGTGCTTGCTATGTCTGAGATCCCTTTCACAAAACACATTGCCTAAATTCTCTGCCTTGAATCGTGTGAACATGAAAATGTGTCAGAACTATCTGTTGGTGCTTAAAGATCTCACTCTAGTCGAGGAATGTCTTATTGCGAGGTGTCATCCCCTTGGAATTATCCTGAAGCTGCGACCTGGCGGACGCGTATCTCTAATAGCCTACCGCGCTCTGCGCGGTCACTTTATTGTCACCCCATAGGACCTGGAGCCACTTCTTGAGATCCTCCCGAGCCCAGCTTTGACGTTGCACGATATGATCAGGGTGTTTTGGTTGGGGAAATAGCCTGCCATATATACCGACCTATCTCCGTTCTTGCTTGTACGAAAATATAGAGTTCTCGTAGCTCTCCAATATCTGATTCGACATAATCAGGTTTATTAAGGTATAACCATCAACCACTATATGATCGACTCGTGGGATGACGACTTCATCCCACCCGATCTTGAGGAAAATATTATCTCCGTTGATTTGCCAGACGGTCATGAACGAGAAGGTTACTCAATCCACTTGGACAGTGGTAACCATGAGAATGATCTCCAGGCTGCACAAGACACTGAGCTGGACGTGGACAATAATGTGCCACTGATGACTAGGTCCGTCTCCACCGATATTAATGGTGAACGTCAAAGCCTCGACAGGCGCCTCTTGAATGCCTTATTGAATGTGGTTTCCAACCAATCGGCAGGGTCCACCTAACGTACTTATGGACACAACGAGTAGCACATCCCTAGGCTCTCCTATAGAATCTAGGGATATGCCACACTTGTAGATCATTGGGATAATCCTACGTACTTCACTACCGCCTTCCTAACTTTGTTCCCCTTCGGTATTGGCGGCCATTTGGAAAACCGTCTATTTACCGTGTCCTTATCTTCTTTTGCTCAATGGGCATTGAAGCACCATAGTAGGAGGTATGTTCCGCTTGAAAGTTTTATCTATTGGCTTCTGATAGATACAGGTTTGCGCAACACAAAACCTTCATGTTCCTTATGTACGATATACTATAGATTCGAAAATCTTCCCTCGCAAATAAGTTGCTTCTATAACGCCGCTACTGGCCATCAACCATAGACGACATTTCTTCTCTCACAGAAGATTAGCCTCAAAATGCCTTGCGAGATCTGGAAACTAATCATGAAATTAGTGACCCTATGATTGGCCGTCTGCTGCATGTTATGAAATCCATTGCGATATGGGTCCCTGGCTCCTTCGCGCAGAAGCTGAGAATGCGCTCTGAGATTCGAGGTCTGATAATTCGCTTTGGGATGCCTGCGTTTTGGATAACCATCAACCCCTCGGATTTACGAAGCCCACTTATGATCATCCTGGCCGGTGTCAAGCACTCCGAGGACATCCTCTCCGCCTCGAATTCTGCTATCCGAGGTGCGACCGCCACATCGAATCCAGTAGTGGTTGCCTCATTTTTTCATTACGTTTGCACCGCTGTTTTGGACGGTTTGTTCACTAGCGGACGCGATTATACTAGGATTCTTGGCGATGTTTCAAATCATTATAGCGTGGTGGAAACCAACGGCAGAGGCATATTACATTTGCATGTAATGGCGTGGCTGAAAGGCAATCTTTCCTTTGGTTCTCTACGAAGCCGCGTTCTCGCTGACACTGAGTTTGCTGCCCGCGTGCTCCACTACCTCGAAAGCGTTATCATCCAAAGCGTAGATGAGAGTCTTCCCCTTGATCCGGAAGTCAATCTTCCGCTAACCTGCCCCTCTGCTTGCGATCCGGAGTTGGATCACGAATTCTACTTCAGACTAGCTAATGATAGCAACCTTATCGCTCGATCTAAACTAGTACACTCCAAAAACCACTTCGCGACGTGTTTTAAATACCGCCCAACGGACAGAGCCAAAAACACTTGTCGTTTTGGCATGCCCCGTGAAATTGTGCCCTCCTCTGAAATTGACGACCTTGGTGTTATTTATCTAGCTCGGAATCACCCCTGGATTAACCCGTGGAATCCCGCCATCGCTAGTTGTCTTCGTTCAAATCACGATATCTCTTGGATCCCGACCGTCTCAAAATCGTTGACTCTAGTCTACTACATCACCAATTATGCCACTAAAGATAATGTGTCTCCTTGGTAGATGGTAGCAAAAGGGGCTCTCTTAAAACAAGCAATTGAGAAAGCCAAATTTACGGACCTACCGACCGCCACTAATCTACGTCTTCGGGAAAGAGGGATGGATAATTTCGCTCTTCGTTGCTTCAATAGCCTCGCACACAACCGAGAAGTAAGTCGTGTTTAGATCGCCAGCACTCTGCTGCATCTTCCGAGCTACTACACTGTCAACTCTAAATTCGTCCGTGTCAATCTTTAGTGGCTAAGACATTATATACACGCTCTTCGATCTCCGACCGCCACAGACGCTGATGGTTCCACTGGTATTGCAGACGAGCCTTGTATATTCCGAACTGGGGACGCGGTGCCAGTGAGCCTATTTAACAACTATAAATGGCGCGGAATCGCCCTTGCCCCTTTCTCATTCTTTGAATACTATATGCTGGTTCAAATAGGGCAAAAACAAGGGAGTCCCTCCGACCGCTCCGATCACTTTGGCTTTGACTCGTCCTATCCTAAAAGTGATGCCTGTGTATAGCGTCTCGCCCGCTCACGGTCACAGCTAGCCACCGTTGTATTTAATGGGTAACTCACTTAGTATCAAACGGCGGAAGACTCCATTCCTGGAGGCCATCCAATAACCGATGCCATCGAGAATGATCTCGTGGAGATCTTTCTAGGTCTCTTCGTTCCGTGGGAGAAATTACGCGATATCTTTTTTCGTTATATAGATGACAGAAATATCTTCTCACAAATATGGTCATCAGTCAAACCGACACTTGCTCCGCATATTCAAGACTTCGCTGCCAATATTGAGCTTCTTCGGAAGTCTAAGGAAGGCTGCTAGATCGATGCTAGGTTACGACTATCGGCACTTCACCCTACCGAGCTTTTCGACCGATATATCGATCATCTAGACCAGGCAGATTTCGGATCCGGTGATGAACAGAATGACGATAGTTTCATCGCTCCCGAGGATGAGAGATTCACAGTAGAGACTTTAATTGCTATATACTACACTGTCAACAAGACCTAGGGCCGAGATTGTTTCATCGCTGCAAAGCGAACCCCCATATTTGCCACTGTCTATCGAGCACACAATCCTTCACAGATAAACCCGATTCCGATGAGCATGTATATCTTCCGATCGGGCCACGTCTTAGATTTATAGTTTTTCCCGCACACGGTCCTTCAAGATTGGGAACACCGCCTAGCTAGCTTTAAAAACCCCTTTCAAGGAGACGATCCGTCTCAATCCATCGAATCATCTACGCGGCTGCAAGACTTTGATCTTCCTGATGGAGATGGTGTACTGTAGCCTATGTTGACTGACACAAGCATGAACGATGATACATTAACGCGACGTGCTCAACTAGGAGACAGTCCAACTCTAGGATCTCTTGCTGAATTAGTTAGTCAGAATATCCCGCTGAATACGAAGCAAATGCTTATAGTGCGCAAGTTGCTAGCTAATCTTCTGACGTGGGCTGATTATCTATATGACTCGTCACGCCGCAAGTAACTGCTTCTTTGCATAACGGGCGAAGGTGGCACTAGTAAAACCCAGATACCTAAAGCTATTGAAGCCGCTCTACATATCCTTGGTCGAAAACATGAGATCATCCTCACTGCCCCCACGGGTGCTGCCGCGGAGAATTTAGGTGGTAATTCTTATTATACTTCCCTAGGCATCAACCTTTCCTACAAAGCATCCGTAACCGCTCGCGTCAGAAAGCTATAGGCTCGAAAGACTATCTTGGTCATTGACGAAATGAGTGTAGTTGATTTGAAAATGTTAAGTGTCATCAACAACCAATGCAAAGTCGCTCGATCACTCCCTAGATCTTCCCCGGATCTTTTCGGTGGCCTTCCGATCGTGATCCTTATGGGGGATTTCTTCTAGTTCCCTCCCGTTCGCGGTCCGCCACTATGGAAAAAGGCAAGATATGGCAACGATGAAGATGCCGCCAGTCAACTGATATAGCATCGATTTCAAGACGTCATCATTCTCAATGAGTAGATGAGACAATCGGAAGATCCTACATTTTGTGAATTTCTAACGCGAACGAGGTAGGTAGCATTAACCGAAGATGACGTTGCTCACCTGAACACCAAAACCATCCACTCACTCACGAATACAATTACAGAGAATGCCACTGTCATAGTGAAATTAAATACAATTCGGCATACAATGAATCGCATCCGCATCGAGAGCTTTGCTCGAAGCAAGTCGCAAAAAATTTACCTATTCGCCGCTGTTCACTCCAGAACTAAGTCAACTGGTCCCACGAACCTTCGACTTCAAGCTTATGACTTATTGCTCCAGCCAGATCATAGTGCTCAGATCCCGTTCCCTGGCCTTCTCTTCTATACTAAAGATATGCCTACCGTGATGCTTACCAACGCCTATACCCCTCTCGGTCAAGTCAATGGTGCCACCGGCTACCGCAGTGTGCGTTGCTTTAGACCCAGCGGGAAAGTCTCAAGTTGAAATTCAAAGACCCAACTAACGCATTCTTGCAGCTAAACTATTTGACATAGATGACCTCTACACGTTCTGTACTAGACCGCCTGCTTCAGTTCTATTCAAACCAAACAGACCACTGGCAACCGACTTTGATTAACTTCCGGCTTCGACGATGCCAATATTTCTAATAGAACGTTCCATTTCCGTGAAAGGCTTGTTAGTCAGAAGGAAGTAGATACCAATCTGCCCAGCATTTTGTCTCGCTGATTATAAAGTGCAAGGCTCAACTCTTTCTGCCGCGATTCTAGACCTGAAAAACGATATAGTTCGGCGAGGCCAAGATTCTCATCGAAAGTACTGCTCCTTTTATGTTCAGCTTTCCAGACTGCGATCTTTCCAAGGCCTTCATTTACTCCAAAAAGTCACGATTGACGACCTCCGATTTTCTCCCGACCCGGAGCTTATCGTGGAGATGGAAAGATTACGCAACCTGCAAGCAGAAACACTTGTAGCCTGGGCATCGTCTGTCTAATCTGCTGGCCTCATCACCATGATGGATGTTCCCCTGGCTTGTACTGCCACGGCTTTCTTTGATTTTGCCATAATTGCCACGTCGTTTCAGGGCTTACAGCGTGCGTCAGCGCGCGTCCCCTAGTCAATGTGGTTGTATGTGCGCGTCCGCAAAGCTAAGCAGCTTGTCTACGTTGGAACTCTACTGCCACGCACGCTCCTTATTCGCCCCTGCATTGCCTTTTTGAGCCTGGCTTCCCTTGGCCTTTAGGGTTGTATGGCTTTTGTCTGCATGTATATGTACGTTCTAGCTCGATAATTGCTTCATGTGTTGCTTATTGACCCTCTTTTTATCCCGACGCTTCTACAATGTATTACCACCCGTGGCTTCACTGGCTTCTGTGCTCTCACTTCACACATGCTTCTACAATCTCGCTGTGAAATGGCTCCGCGATGCTAACGCGTCACCCCTGCCATGATTGTGGTCTCTATGTGCGTCTGTCTGCGACTATTTAGCCTCCGCGATGCCCTGCTTGTCGATTATCGCGTTTACCCTCTCCTCTCGAAACGCGGCCCTGTCTTGGATGCCGTATTCACCTCCCTGCCACCTCTTCAGACCTCTGTTGTAGGAGTTGTCAGGCTTCTCATTCTTGTTGCCCTAGCTGTGGAAGTCTCTTTCCAACCCGCCCTGGAGTGACTCGTTGTTTCCATTGCAGGCCTAGGATGTCCCATACTGTCTCAGAAGCCACTGATTTCGGTGACTTATTTAGCACATCTTTCAACCCATTCGTTAATTCATTCCAACAGTCGACTCCCTCAACACGGCAGGGACGGCATCTGCGGCCCCAACAAACACGGCAGGGGCGGCATTTGTGGCCCCGACAAACACGGCGTACGGAACGGCCTACACAGTCTCATACCTCTTCCTTCATTATCAACCAAGGTCTTGACTTCCTCCGCCAAGAACACGCATCTCGTGTATATGCCTTGAGCATGTTCCCGCCCGAAATTTCTTCGCCGCACATACGCCAATCCGTAGCTCGCTTTGAGAACAACATGGCTCTTGCTAGCCGAGATACCATATGTTGTTCATGTGGTATGCTTGTCATTCTTGCTAAGACAAGCCGATTTTTAGATGGAGATTCTCTGCTGCTGCCTTTAGAAGGATTCCTCGATACCTGCGGCTACAATGAAGGCTTCTGGAATCTGTGCTCTACATGCCACGCTGCACTTCTTCGAGGATCATTTCTGAAATTTTCCGGCAAGAACAATATAAATGTCACTCTTTGTCAGCACTATCCAGAAGCCCTCAAGGACCTTACTCTAACTGAAGAATATCTCATCACTATGTCCCACCCTGTTGGAGTGGTCGTTAAATTGCGCCCAGGGGGACAAACGTGACTAGCAAACCACCGTGCACTACGGGGCCATTTTATTGTTATACCACAGGACCCAAAACCTCTTCTTCAAATACTACCAAGCCCTAATCTATAGTTCACTGAGCTCATCAAAGTACTCTAGCTAGGAAACCGACCACCAACCGACTCTAATCTATAGCCATTTTTGAGTGTTCGTAAATATAAGGTGCTTGCTGCTCTTCGCTATCTCGTGCGATATAACCCCTTGTACGGAGACGTTACAATAGAATATTTAGCTATAGATCACTGGCCCGATGATTTTATACCTTCGGATTTACAGTAGCAAGTTATATATTTGGGTAACACGGATCACCTCGAACGGGCGGGCTACAGTGTCAATTTGCAAGAAGGCAACTACGAGAACGACTGGCGGGCCGTAGAGGACCACCGTGACCATTTTACCGACGACGCTCTTCCAGTCACCGCTTCTGTTACTATTGACTTGAAAGGGGATCGCCAGAACCCCGACCTACGTCTGCTGAACACGATGTATACCCTTATCGATGACCCACCGCCTAACATACAACCTCTATATACCCCCACGAGCCACGCGAGCCAAACTGCTCGACTCGCTACTGCTCAGCAACGAAACCCAGTGATCGAATATGGTATTCGAGGCCAGGCATCACTTCTTAACCAATGGCAAGACCCTCATTATCTAACATCTGCTTTTCCTGCGCTTTTCCCGGCGGGTATTGGCGGCCACTTGGACCATCGTGATATACCTGTCTCCCTTATTGTTCTTGCAAATTGGGCACTTAGTCACCATAGCCGCAGGCAAGCCTTTCTCTAGCCAGCTGGGCAATAGCTGGCTGAAATTTCCAGGTTTGCCTATCACAGGACATTCATGTACTTGTTATATGATATGATACAGCTACGGAATTCGTGTCTTGGCAATTCTCTTCTCATCAAGCGATCCTAGTGGACGTCTGTTACTGGGGACCTAAACTCACTTAACGTTGCTCGCCTACAAAAGGCGGCCGAAGAGCTCGCCACCAGTTAAGTCACCTCGGATCCACTAGTGCGACGACTACTCAAGAACATCACTGCCATCGGTGTACAAGTACCAGGATCCTTTTTCCAAACATTATAGATGCGAGCAGAACTTCGAGGTCTTCTCGTTCGGGAAGGTATGCCAGCTTTCTGGCTAACAATTAACCCTTCCGATCTTCAGAACCCTCTCGTACTGGTTCTTGCTGGCGTATAGTGTTCAACTGACCTCTCTGTCAACGTAGCATCGGCCATTCGATACGCGACAGCGACGTCAGACCCTGTTACTGTAGCGAGATCTTTCACTATATATGCAAGGCGGTTCTTGACAGGCTCCTCGGTAGCAAAAGTACCGACATTGGTATTCTTGGGGAAGTTTCTAATTACTTTAGTGTAGTGGAAAGTAATGGACGAGGCATATTATATCTCCACACATTGGTGTGGGTTCGCGGCAATCTTGATTTCATCCGACTACGTGACCTTATCCTTGCAGACGATGATTTTGCAAGCCGAATGATTGGCTTCTTAGAATCTATCGTGAAGCATAGCTTACATAACTCTCATAAGGACCAGACACCGCTATCTCCAACACAACCCCTCCTTCGACTGGCTTGGAAACGGACTCGGAATTCATTCAGAACCTCTCCTATAATAGCAATCGTGTTACTCATACTAAACAGCTTCATTCCAAACGGCACACGGCAACTTACTTTAAATACCGCCCGCAAAGATCAAACAACAATGTCTATCGCTTCGGCATGCCTCGCGACCTTCTAGACGCATCCAAAGTAGACGAGCATGGCATCATCCACCTTGCCCGTAACTATGCTTGGGTCAATCCACGGAACCCATCTATCGCTAGCTGCATCCGCTCAAATCACGATATCTCCTGGATTCCGACCGTGTCAAAATCGTTGTCTCTTCTATATTACATTACCAACTATGCTACCAAGGACGACGTTTCACCGTGCCACATAGTGACGAAAGCTACATTATTGAAGCAGATGATTAAACGTGCAAATACCGCTCCCGCTCTTACTATAGCAAATTTAAGGCTTCGGCAGACGGGCATAAATAAATTTGCTCTCCACTGCTTCAATAGCTTATCACAAGATCGGGAAGTGAGTGGAGTCCAGGTAGCAAGCATGTTACTCCAACTTCCCTCCTACTACACACTTAACTACAACTTCACTCGCATTAATCTCTAGTGGCTTAGACGGTACGTTCGTCCGATTATTCCAATAGGACGGTCTCGTCGAGATCCCTTGTCATCCGATACTATTAGAGAAGAGCTATGCAATTATGACCAAAGTGCACCTACACCGGCAAATATATTCGATAATTATAAGTTGCGTGGTAACCTCCTGTCTTGCTTGTCCCTCTTCGAATACTGCATGATAGTAAGCACTAAGAGACGCCAGGATGCGACGACAGAAGACGTGCCGTTCGATCACGAGCACCCAAGACACTATACGCATATATAGAGGCTGGCTTAGTCTCCCTCTCAAACGGCTACGGTGACCCTACAAGGCGAGCTGACCGAGTTTCAATCTTCGGAGGACTTTGTTCCAGGTGGAAATCCGACGACCATAGTGATTCAGAATGATCTAGCCGAGATCCTTCTCGGCCTTTTCATTCCTTGGGAACACTTATCCTCAATTTTTCACTAGGCACCTACAACCGCAACCACACACGATATTCTACGTGACATTTGGACGTCTATTGAACCAACACTCCCAGTATATATTCGTACATTTGCACAAAACGTCGAACTCCTACGCAAATCAAAAAGTGACTGCTAAGCTGATGCGATATTACGAAGTCGAACTGCTCAACACGCATGCTCGGTCGGCTAAGAACTAGACAATCCTCCGTCCCTGCTTCTGACTCGGAAAACGAGGCCGCGCGTGTTTCACAAAATGGAGATCATTCTCTAAGCAAAGAAACCCTTCTAGCTGTTTTCTTCGCCATAAGCCGACGCTATATAAAGGAAGCACAAGGCGCCCAGCGCCAAATCACCACTCTCGCCTTAATTTCTTTTCTCCCCCTATCCCTTCAACTAGAGAATCTCCGATCCCTTTATATTCCCGATAGCGCGCTATATAAATCCTCTGGTCTCAAATTCTTTCCGGCCTCCACCCTGCAAGAATGGCAAGATCGCATTAAGAACATTACTAAACTCGCAGACCAAGATCCGTACACCGAAACGTCCCAGCCACCACTGTACCGGATCTTGGTGATTTCAATCTCGAATTCGTCGACGAAGTTTTGGTCCCTATACTCACTGACTCTGCTCCACTCCCTGACTTGCTGCAATATCGCTTGCGAGTGGACCAGAATCCGACGGGCGCTTCAATAGCCTCCCTCATGTGCGAGATGGTCCCACTGAATAAGAAGCAACGCATTGTCGTGGAGAAGGTGCTTGCCGAAGCACTCCTCTACGCCAACTATCCATATGATCCTTCGCAGCGGACACAAACTCTCCTCTATGTCGGAGGTGAAGGAGGTGTAGACAAGAGCTAGATAATTAAAGCGATTGTCACCGCGATGGATCTAATCCACCGCAAGAACGAGATTATCCTGATAGCCCCAATAGGCGCAGCGGCTGATGTCATTGGAGGAAGCACATACCATACGTCCCTTGGAATTTCTCTAAACCGGTATCGACGAACCGGAGTAGGACTAAGGGTGCGCAGGCTATGGTCGCGAAAAACAATTATGATCATAGACGAGGTAAGCATGGTGGATCTCTCCGCACTTAGCATTATCAATACCCACTGCAAGATCGCGCGATCTCTTGACAGATCCTCTCTAGACCTCTTTGGTGGGTTGCCTATCGTCATTCTCATGGGAGATTTTTACCAATTTCCCCCCGTCCAGGGCCAAGCCCTGTGGAAACTGCCAAGGAATGAAACCGATCAGGACGGAAAACTTATCTGGTCCCAATTCAAGCAAGTTATCATCCTCCATGAGCAAATGCGACAAGCAGAAGACTTACCATATCGAAATCTGCTAACACGTATGAGGGCTGGCACTCTCACGAATGATGATATGTTGACGTTGAACTTAAAGGCGATCTCCTCATTGACCAATCCTCATCTGCAAACCACAACAGCAGTCGTTAAGCTAAAGACTCTTCGACACGTCATCAGTCGCTTCCAGACTGAGCGTTTTGCTCAGGCGAAACATCAGAGAATCATCATTTTCCCTGCTGTCCACACCCGCACAAGGTCTTCCAGCCCAACCGATTTAACGCTTCACGCGGATGACCTGCTTGGTCTCCCCGAGCAAGGCGCAAAAATCCCTTTTCCGGGGCTCATTCTCTATACACTCTCCATGCCGACAATGGTCTTCTGGTGGAAAGGCTGTTTCTCGAATCAAGGCCTCCTTTTCGCTGATGGACGTGGCGAGTTCGCCCCCGGGTCCTCGTAGGGTGGGAGTGGTAGCCGTGCCTTTAGACTTGGTGAAGCCTAAGGCGAGCCAGCACCGAGCAATATCCTCTGCATTCGATTGGTCTGGAGTGTCTGTAGGCCCTGCTAGGAAGGCCTCCCAGCATGTCCGTTTTGAGTGCCGAATTGTCCGGTAGTAGCTGTTCCTGGCCTCGGCGAGGCTGGCCGTGGGGATGTTCTGCGTCTGCCAGGCTCTTCTGGCCTGGCAGTAGACCTCACGAGCCTCTTTGATCTCTGGGCTCCACCATCGCTTGGACCTCGGGGTTACCCGTATTGGCTTCGCGTGCTGGTTCAAGGCCATTGTCAGCGTTTCTTGAATCCACGCTGCCTCCTCCGCGACATCGGCTAGCGAACAAGTGTCGTCCAGCGGGGCTCGTTGCTCTGCGTTCTTTTCCCAGCATTGCTTTGCATTCGCCAGGGTTTGATGGTCTGCCTGAAGAGCCTGGATTTGCCATCCGGTGACCTCCCTCGATGGGGGTTCCGAACCATGCTCTATCGGCGCCCATTCCATGACTAGCAGCTCATGGTCCGAACCGGTTGAATGGTCCTGGTCTACTGTCCACGCTTGGAGGGGTCCCATGCTGACTGTGGTTAGGGTCAGATCGATGATTGAAATCCCTGGTGTTGTTTTCGGTCGGGTCGGGACCCCCGATTCGTTGTTGAGGTAGAGGCTTCCCGCTTCTATCAGGCTCTCCAACGGCCCTGCATTGGTCCGGCTTCTCGCTAGAGGATTCTACAGCGGGCTGTGCGCGTTGAAATCCCCTAGAAATAGACACCTCCCCTCGAGGACGCCATCCCAGCCCACATCCTCAATGGCTCTCCCTCGCCGATCGCTGTCGCCCTGCCATCGCTGGCCGGGTCCGAGCCAGTTGTCATAGCAGTTGACGACTCGGGTTCTTGGAGTCCGTTCCCCAGCCCGACCCCGTTCCCATACGTCCAATGCTATGATGTATGGGTGTTTGATGAGGTCTGTCCGGGCTTCCACCATCACTTGGTTGAATAAATCCCGCCGAATGGCCACAGCCACGCGGCGATTTTTGTGTGCTCCTGCCTCTGCCCAGTATATCTGGTATCCCCCGTGTCGAAAGTCCTTGCTGATGTAGGGCTCCTGAAGGCACACCAGGCCCACCCCTAACTCTAGCCCGGCTTCGAGGGCCGCAATCCCGACCGCGTAGGTCTTGCGGCAATTGTGCTGTAGGATTCGCATTAGTTATGACACACCCCTTCTGGGGCCTGGTCATCGCTGAGATCCATCGCCAGCTCTAAGGTAGCTGCTCTCGGCTGCTGATCCCTGGGGGTCTGAGGGCCCCCAGGAGCTGGTCTCGTGTGATATGATACCTGATGTCGATGTGTTTTGATCGAGTAGAAATGTCTTGGCGTGACTGTGCTGTTGTGATCGCACTTTGGTTGTCGGCATACAGGGTCGTTGGATGAGTAGGATGACAGTCCGGATGGATGTCTGTAATCAAGCGTCGAAGATAGCTTGTTTCATAACTCGCATTCGCCATTGCGATATACTCCGCTTGGTGAGTGGATCGAGCAATAAGTGACTGTTGTTCTGATTGCCAATGAACACGGGCGCCGTTGAGGAGGAATGCATATCCACTTGTGGATCTTCGATTGTCCACGTCCGCAGCGAAGTCGGAATCGGTGTAGCCGTATAGCTCGGTGTCTCTTCCGCCGTAGATTAGGCCTACGTCACTTGTGTATTTGATGTATCGCAGAGCATGCTTCGCAGCTTCCATGTGCTTGGTCGTTGGCTTTGCGTTGAATTTGGAGAGACGTGACAAGGTGAATGCAAGGTCTGAGCGAGTTGCTGTCATGAGGTACATCAGACCTCCCACTATCGCTTGGTACTGTTTTCTGTCGTCGTAGTCGAGAACCTTGTCATTGTCTCGAGCTTCATGTAGATCGTTCTTGATGGAGATTGGTGTCGTAATCCCATGACTGCTTGACATGTTGAAACGCTCCAGCAGCTTATCAACGTAACGCGTTTGATGGATTCGAATTTGATCACAATATCGTTCGATCTGCATGCCAAGGAACAGAGACACTTTTCCTAGGTCTTTCATGTGGTACAGCTTGATGAGTTCTTGTTTCTTGTGGGCCAGCGAGAAGGATGTCGTCAACGTAGAGAAGTAAAATGCACTGAACGAGTGTGGAGACATAAATGTTGGGATCCTCGGTTGACCGACGGAATCCAAGAGTCATCAGCTTCTTGTGTACGTCAGAGTACCATTCATAAGGAGGATTGTTTCAAACCGTAGAGCGTCCGATGCAGACGCAGAGATTTTCCAGCTTCAACTTCCATGCCTTCTGGTGGTTCCATGTAGATTTCTTCTGACAAGTGAGGATTGAGAAAGGCAGTGATCACATCTAGCTGCTCTATCTCCCACTAAAACCAGGCAGCAAGGGCCAGTAGGAGCCTCACGGACGTCAACCTTGCAACAGGTGCGTATGTCTCTTGATAATGTACTCCATATTCTTGCTCAAAGCCTTTCGCAACTAGGCGAGCTTTATGATGCATGTCCCCTTGCACATCGTACTTTGTCTTGAACACCCATTTGCAGCCAATCGCAATCTTATCCAAGGGCAAGGGGATAATTTCATATGTTTGATTCTTTTGGTCCGCGGAAAACTCATCGCGTATGGCCCGAGACCAATTGACGGGATCCACCTGCATCGCAGTGTCAAAATCTAGTGGATCGCCTGCTACGTCCACTCGGAGCCTGCCAGCTGGCTTTTTCACTGCGCTCGGCTCCGCGCCGCCCTTGAATAGATCCTCCCTACTCCGCTGAGCGGCGAGAGCAGTTGCGCGTGGAGGTAAGATGGGGTCGAATAAATGACTGTCATGTGGACGCTCAATTCCACAGATCTTGAAATTCAACAGTTCCGGTTCTTGTTTAACAACCTCAATATGAAGGTCTCGGAAACTGGCTTGCACAATATTAGCCACAGCACGTGGGCTTTCAACTTGCCAGGATGGATGGCATTGCAGGGTTTGGGATTCAACAGGGATTCCTGGAAACTGTTCTTCATCAAATATCACTTGCCCAGAATTGCACGTTCGCTTTGATTCAATGTCATATACCTTCCAAACCTTTGATGTGTTGTGAATGTAGCCCATGAACAGGGATCTTCTTGTACGTGATTGCCACGTCGAACGCTTTGTGGGTGGAACGAGAACGTAGGCCAAACAGCCAAATGGTTTGAGGTGATCATACCTAGGGGTCAAGTTTGGATAAAGGCCAACGAGCGGTACCTTGCCATTGAATGCATGGGAGGGGGGTAAATTGCGTGTGTAGGTGGCAGTCGCCACAGCTTCACCCCAAAATTCTTCATGATCTTGCAGACTCGCTCCTGCAAGCATGGTCCTTGCCATCTTCTTGAGTGTCCGAATTGTTTTTTCGCTTACGCCGTTCATGTGTGGAGTATTAGGAGGGCTAAATTCATGTTGAATCCCTTCGCCAATGACGTAGTCGTGCCAATACTGGTTGGCAAATTCTCCAGTGCCATTATCAGTGCGAATCCTGCGAACGGTCGCACCGAATTGAGCCTTGATCCATTTTTGATAGGCACGAAAGGCTTCAATGGTTTCTGTTATGCTTTTGCCCTTCAGAAAGTATGTGTGGATGTATCGCGTGAAATCATCCACGAAAACGAGAAAGTATCGATAACCGCCTGGTGAGGTAGGCAGCAACCCGCTGAGGTCGGAGTGAATGAAGTCAAATGGCTTCGTGGCTCTTTCTTGAGGCCTTCGGTTAAACATGGCGTGCTGCTTCCCAGCCATACACGAAGCACATCGAGATAGTTGTTTTGGCAGTTGAATTCGGGTAATCTTTGACACGTCCTTGAGATTGAGATGTCCAAGCCGTTGATGCCAGAATGTGATCGGATGGTAGTTGTTGAATTTGGCATTGAATACAGACGCGGGTAGATTAAGCTGGTAGAGATTCGATGGAATTTGGCTTGCGGTGGCAAGAAGCCTTCCGTCGCGTCGTAGCTTGCATTGGCCGCCAGCAAAGATGACTTCCAGTCCCATATCGTCCAAGGAACGCACAGATATTAAGTTGCTACTGAGCTGAGGTACCCACCAGACTTCCTTCAGATCAATGGAAGCCAGATTTGTCCGATTATGAAGGATACCACTTCCGAGTGCTTTCACGTGCGATCCGTCGCCAATCGTGACCTGACGTGGTTGGTGAAAACGTTTGAAGTGCGTGAAATTCGACTTTGTGTGAGTCATTGTATGACTGGCTCCAGAGTCAAGTATCTATTCATTTGTGAAGATATACTATGGCTTGCCATATGAGCAAACCAGTCTTCCATATAGTTCGCATCGGATCGGGATGGTGGTTGAGTTGGGTTTGTTGATGTAGTCGCTCCATCCTCTGCCGTGTAATTTGTGCCGCGAGGTATTTGGGATAGCCGTGCTTGGTTTTGTCGGTCTTCTTCTTCACGTCGTTTGAAACTCTGACACTCTGACTTAGTGTGTCCTTTATGGCCACAATGGTAGCAGTATACTGTCTGCCGAGACCTGTCGATGAGCTGCCCTCGGTGGTATGGCTCAGAGAATCTGTATCGACGGCCTCTTCCTCGTCGTGATTGGAATGGTCTTCGGGGTCGGTTTTGAGTGACCAGTGCCGTTCCAGAGGCATTCGCAGCTCCGACCGGTAATTGATTTTCAAAGTCGAGGAGTTGTTGTAGAGCAGTCTGGTAGTCGAGGTTGGGAATTCGTTGAATGTGAGAGACTGTGATTTCGAAACGTTTAAGTAGTGTACTGAGCAATTTGGCGATTCTTTCGAGTTCGGAGAGCTCCGATCCAGTTCCGACCAGGCGCTGGTTATAGATATCAAGTCGGGTAGACCAAGTCTGAATGGTGTCGTTCTCCTTGAATGATTCACTCCCAAGTTGTTGCCGTACAGCCAAGATATTGTAATTATTTCTTCCTCCTAGTCGCCGTTCGAGTTCCAGCCACATTGCTCGGGGGTCTCGACGGACAGCTGCAACGATGCTGTGGAAGTCGCTGTGGATATGATTCCAGATCCATTGTATCGCCTTTTCTTGAGCTTGTCGGTAGACTTTGACATTCTGGCTATAGTTTGTGACTGCGGCTGCTCGTGTTGTGGAGGAAATTTCGGGAACAGGCTCGGTGCCTTCGACGATTCCTAGTGCTCCCAGGCCGATGAGTTGGACTTCAGCATCCAGTCTCCAAGAGTGATAATTTGTTCGAATGAGTTGCGGATGTCCTGATTCACTATCCATGATGAGTGATGAGGGCTCATAGCCTCTTGTAGCATGTGTATAGTAGTTGTGTTGTTATGGAGTTCTGTGGGTCACGACCCAGTGTTATAGATACAGGTCTAACCCTAATGCATGAGTAGTGCGTATCAGGGTGACAGGACAATACCATCAGTACAGGGGATCCAACAGGGAAGTACGCTGTACTTCAACGTAGACTAGTCTTAGTAGAAGTCGATAATCATTGCGCCCTTGAACGCGGTCTTTTGTATGCTCGTCGAATATTGTAATCATTGATATGCGCGGACCTAAACGGTCAATTAATTAATCAACTAATCAAATGAATAAGCGCTTACCTCATTATTCCAGCCCGTTGGCGATGTCGCAATGGCATAGTCATCTGGTAAATCTATTCGGTCTCGATACCAATTCTCAAGGTGAACTGTGCCAGCAAATAAAATCATTGGAGGCATTATCCAACCGTCTGCTGCGATACATTCGATTGCTGTCACCGTCTCCCCTATGCCACCAGGTGGGACATGCTTTTTACTATCTGGAAACTCAGTCACAACTTTCTGGGATTGTCCTTGACCGAGTTGGAAGCCTGTTTCGTCGACGTTGTAGATATAGCTCGGTCCGACTTTAAGGGTTTCTATCTCACTACCCAATTTGTGAAACCACTCAATTATTGTCGGTAATCTCTCAGCGTCTACTCTCTTCGCTTCCACGGTTTTTTGGGTTTGGAATTTGAAGGTTTCGGGGAGGCGTTTCATAAAAGGATGTACCCAACTTTTGCTAACGCGTCGGTCGGAACAACTTCGTGACAAAATGTCATTTGCAGCGCCTTCGATCTCGTAGGGGAGAGGTGAGAGATTCGCACGGTCAATGACACGCATCCAGGCAATTAGTGCCTCCTCTTGACCTTTATCAAGTGCTTTATTTGATGGAATTTTCGCTGAACGACTTGGACGGCCCCGATAGCGCGCCCTCAACCGCTGGTATGGAACGTCAAATTCCCGGGCAAGGGGCGCCATTTTTGGGTCGCCAAGATCATAGTACGCGCGTAAGGCATCGGAAATTCGTTTCTCGATGTCAGTATTTGATTTGGACATCGTGGTAGTTGGTAAACAGCTTCATTTTATCGATGGTGGGACAAAATTATCGTCACGCTGAATTATCGTTGTGGTGTGGCAGGCCCTCACCAGCGAGAGCGGTGTGGGCCTGCCGTCTAGGGGGCGGGTACTTAGACTCCGCTGCACTGCTAATCATTCTGATGGTCTTTATATCTCTTATTCCAATAGAGAACTGCTCTGTTTTCCCTTTCTTTTTCTTATGTTTGTATATTGATAGCTGGTGCTAGCCCATATCCGATGGATATTTCCTAGGTGGTCTTTGTCCAATTGTAATTAACGTAGCAAAGTGAATGGGACTATTGACAATTGTAAAAAAAAGTCGCGAAAGTGATGTTGATGCTTCAAGCTCGGTCGTATAGAGACAAGATCGGCTCACACATCACGTCGAAGCTCAGAAGATAGGCTTCTTATCAAGAGCACCCCCCCCCCCCCCCCCCCCCAAAGCAAGCCCCATCAGGAGCCTTTGCTGGGTTAATCTCGTTTTTGTTGTGATATGAGGCTGGTGCAGATCAGGAACAAAGCCGCACCATCGGAAATAATTCCCGAGGTGTCTATACGAAGCATCAAGTTGATTGAAAATCAACTTGGAGTTTCGTCTGTATATATATAGCCTCACTTATTTCCTCTGAAATAACAATCAATCTTCCTTTGAACTACAACAAAACAGATACGGGATAAATGGGCTCGCCAAGACCAAATTAGGGAGCAGGAAAATCAGAGAAGGGAGGCAGAGCTTGAATGGGTCAATGGAGACGACGGTCAGCCACTTTGTGCTATCGATAGACGTGGGGGGTATTTGTAAATAGCTTTAAAAGTTTGTGGGTAGGGTAGTTAAATTTTGCATTTCGCTGGGTTTGCATTTCGCTGGAGACGGCCCTCAGCAACGGAGAGCGGTGAGGGCCCGACTTATTACTAGTGGGCTGGTATCGGGTACAGTCGTCGGTGATGAAATACCTAGTGCCATCAAAACCTTCGATTGGGTATGTAGGGGTCGGCACGAATACATATTCGTAAAACTTTGAGATACTGTAATGCATTTAGCAGGCCCGTACCATGGGAAATGAATGCAAGGCAAACTGTTGAAGCAGGATACTGACCGGTAAAAACAGGAAGGAAAGCTGGTCATGAAGTGTATTACGTCAAGCTCTGTAGCGCTCAAAGCATCATGAAACAACTTTGACGTAGCAAATATTCCTGTCTCCGGTTTTGCAACAATCTATCTAGCGAGATCTTTGCTCATGAAAATCATTAGTCTCTCTCATCTGATATCAATCGCAAGCCTAGCGCTCAGCTCAGGGTTATAGCCACAGCTTGACGGATAATAGACGGAAGACGTTACAGAACCAAAATAATGCCATTCACGGTGGTCTCTGTGCCCCTTACCCTGCTGACCCGCTTCATGCAATGGTCAAGCGCTGTCATTGTGATGGGACTCACATCGTACTTTATGCATAACTGGCCAAAAGGAGAGCATACTATCTATCAAGAAGTTATTGTATGTCAACCTCACATTGCACGATGCTATCTGCATGACTCGGGTCTCTAACAAGGCGACAGTCAACGATGTCGGTTGCCTTTTTCCTGCCCGCCTTCGTGTCTCCCTTCATGCCGAACCTCTTCAGCAAATTCGTTACTCCGATTGATATCATTTTCTCATACCTGTGAGTTGCGTGATATAGTCCGTCCGTTCGCTTCTTAGCAGAAACTGATTGAAGATACTGTAGGTGGTTGACGGCCTTCATTTTTGCCGCTCAAGACTATATCTGGAAGAATTGTGCGACCAAAGCTCCGGCTGGAGCCAGCTGCGCTCTCAAAAAGGCTAACGAGTCCTTTATGTTCCTTGCCTTGTGCGTGCAGCTCCTTTCCGTCTTCATTGGCAGAATTTCGATGCTAACGTGACCCAGTTTCTTCACAAGCCTTGCGATCTTCCTAGAGCTATTCAATCTTTGGTCCTATCGCAAGGAAAATGACTTTACAGAAGAGAGAAAAATAACGCTCATCGTGCACAAGATGGGCCTAGCGATACCGCTGCTTAAAGAAGGGCGTCTATCAATGAGGCTTACAATGAGCGGGAGGATCGGCAACATGTGTGCCAGAAGGAGGCTGATGGTTTGTGTTACTGTATGAGGTTTTCTTGGTCAAATTGATGAGCGGTGGAAGGTATTAAGTCCGGGCGATTACATGCTACTTTTCATCTCACGTCCGGTGCCTCATTTGGCCAATTTGTCTTCTGGATATTATCGACCGGTGTTTTCTGCCATCAGCGCGTCATTTCTTTATCAATAGCAGAGCTCTAAGCCTGGAATGTCTGTCAAACTCAATAAGCAATAGCAATCAAATCGGTTTGAAAGAAAGAACAGTCGAGGAGGCTCTTTTGCTACTAAAGTGCTAGGTCTGGAGGCAGCAGTCGCTTTGCATGGGTGTGGGTTGATCAACCTGGAGAGCTCGAAGAACGGCTATCCTGATCTTTGAAAACTATAACAGTTATTAGATTACAGTTCCACAGGTAAAGTCACTCAATCCAGGGCTCACGAACCTTGTGGCTGTCTCCGGTTACGGCAATTTCGCTGGCCGGGGTGATATTTGAAACCTGTTCTCTGGTCACGGGATAGTTCAACCAAAGTTAGTTCTCCAAGGAAACCTACATCATGACATCACAGCTAGTAATCCAACCGTAGAATTTACTTTCAAGTTAAAATTTGGATCGAGTCGTAACGTAAGGCTTCGCTATGTACGACTCTCTTTTGGTGAGTGAAGGCTGCCACAATGTCCGCAATTCTACTTTCGCGTTCGCCCCTAAGGATAGTAAGGAACCGAGTCGTGACTCGCCGCGGGTTTTCGAAGGAATTGGTTAGCATCTACGAAGCTCACCACTTCACCGCCATCTCTGTGACAGCGCAGCTAGAGTCAATTGATTTCGCATAGGTGCACGCCAAAGACAGTGAATCGTGCCAGGCCGCGAACGTAGGTAACTCAAATGAAGAGTTGCCTGAAGATATCTTTCTCAGTAGAAAATCCCATCTCCCATTGTTGATCACGGTTTGACGTAACGGTGAAGACGCGCACTTTAGCCACAGTATAGTAGTTGTCTAAACGGACCGCGTCGTCGTCCATTCGGTAAGGCTACCGGCAGATTGCGCAGTAGAACAGCGGAACCTGACGCAAAAGCAGAATCACAGCTACGCAATCCTTTGTCAGAGTTAACTGGGACCTATGAATTGGTCTGTCGTGTTAGGTTATGCAATACAGGTGGTGGCAATATATCCCGTTTGTGGCAAACGTATAAGGGTGGCTCATGAGAGAAAATATTCTTACTGTGGTGACACGAGAAAATTATTTCGGGCACAAAAACTTCGTCATGTTCATTCAAAACGATAGTAGTGAAGTCAATCCAGGTAAGTATTTAACCCAAGTATAGACACACATAATGCGTCGTGTTGGCAAATTTCCAACTCAAGTCCCGCAGAAGAGTTTCAAGACCCTTGTCCGCTTTGTCTGGACGGCTTTGGTCCAAGCCCTAGTTATCGGCGGCTGCGTTGTAGCCATATATATCACAATGTCTGCATTGACACGTGGCTGGACCGTGGTAAACATATTTGTCCTATCTGTCGCCAATATGCAAAGGTCGGATGGAAGAAATATTTCCAAAAACCGTTGCTCTTCCTTCGAACGCCCAACACATATCTTCGCAGAATGCTGAAATTATGCGTGGACCGGACCGGACGCAAATTAGAGCATCTTTTTAGCCGAAACATACTTCGGTAGTGGTCTCCAAATCTGGCCAACGAAACAGATAACGGCACCATGTCTGACTATAGTCTTGATATTGTAACTTACCAAAAGAGGAGATATTTCACTATAAAAGGGGCTATTTGCAAGCTATGTGTAAATTCAGTACCGAGGAATGTACAATTTTCGGTATCGATGTTTATGCCGTCGGGAGGGAGCCTATATCATAGATTGTGGGTATGGACGACTCATTGCCATCACTTGGCCTAACGGCTCCTTGCGGAGCTGACCGCCTCACGTATAGGTGCATATGATAGATCGTCTCGGTTAAACCGCACAGTCCTTATATATAGCCACGCAGGTTCCAATATCCATACGCATCATGTGGTTTAAGGCATTATCTTATCTCGTAATCCAATCCATTATAACGTAATTCCCAAGCGAGCCGCCCACCCAAGCGAGCCGCCCACCTAACCATCTACTTTTTACTTTTCATCTATTTTTTTCAACCAAAACGCCTTTATATTAATTATTCTACCTAACTGGGCATGTAGGGGACTTATGCCCCTTCTCACCGCATATAGAACAGGTGTATTGACGTCGTCGCGCTGGTGCTACCGCCTGCTGAATAGGCTGGCTGGGTGCTGCTAGAGACGGTGCCGTAGGCTGTATAATAGCCTCATGGGCTTGTAAATGCTCCTGAGCTTCTTGCACTGAGATACCAGCTTCATAGGCTATATACCTATTAATACGTGCGCGCTTTTGCCTCTGCACTGCGTTAGCAGCGCGTAATTCCTTAACTTCTTGCTCAAGTAATATGCCGTTTTGCATAGCGATCTGACAGCCCTTAATAAGCTGGTTTAACGCGGTTTTTGAGGGTGTTGGTGGGCTATTTGAGCGTCGTTTCAAGAAAGCCTGGATTGGCGCTCCTTGTTTAAGTAATTCAGCGATAGTCGCGGGTGTTTTTGGGGTAAAAACGCTAGATCGGCTACTTGGGCGGCTTCCTGAGGGTGTAGGCGTTCGAAGCTAGATATTGAGTTTTGAAAGCACTCGTTCTGGGTCGAACGGCACTAAACCACCTGCCGCAAAGCTATTTGTAATTGTATCTGCTTTAAAAGCGTCGATACAAGCCTGTGGGTATGCTATGAGGAAATCGAACTTATCGATATGGTTGATGCCAAGCCGCATTTTTTGATCAACCAAGGTTCCGTACGAGCGCTTTAAAACCGCAAAACAACCAATATCAAGCGGCTGTAAGAGATGTGAGCTATGCGCTGGCATGCAGATAGGAATTATCTCGTTTTCTGAGCAAATTTGGTCGAAATAGGGCGTGAGATGGCTACCGTGCCCATCAAGGACTAATAATCGATATCGGCCATACGTACGGCTATTCGTTGATGGTATAAATAGCTTTTGAAGCCATCGAAGGCCAATCTCGTCTATCGTCCATCCATTTTGACTAACTTCAAAGCGCCAATCCCTCGGAAGGTCATTGGTCCAAGCTAGATTATGTAGTTTGCCTTTGAAGATAATCGTAGGCGGAAGCGCCCACCCAGAAGCGCTAATTGACTCGATTGTAGTCACCCACTCGCGATTTCCTGGCTATAAAACTGATCGCCGACCGTAGTATTCTGCTCGGGTAATAACCTTTGCGGTCGCTGTAAGGCCCATAGCGAAACCAGTCTCGTCAAAGTTATAGATATCCTCCGGTAGGATACCGTATTGCTGAACCGTAGTTTGTACGCGATCAAACCACTCTTGAATAACCTTTGGATCCTCTTGTTTTGCTCGCTGATAGTTATATCGACGTGAAAAACGAGTCTTTAGCTCTGTCTGTCTTTTGACATAGTTTGTGACCCAATTTTTGCTGACCGTCTGGATTGGGGTTGAACCACGCTTTGCAAGCAAAAGATTCGCCATTTCTCGCACCATAGAGGGCCTAGGGGCTGCTCCACGCGTATCCATTGACAATATCCACTTTTTAAGCGATTCCTCTTCAATTTGGGTCAATTTATGGCTATTGGCGCGTGTTTGAGGGCGAAATTAGTGGCCGATAATGCGGTCGCGGAGGGTAGTACGAGGCACATTAAAACGACGTGCTACCTCACGGATAGAGGTGATTTCTTTGTTTTTTATAGCCTGTATAGCTAATTCGAGGCGGCCCTCTTGCTCGATAGAATTTCGGCTTGATTGAGCACGTTTTGGAGGCATGGTGGTTGGTAGAAAATAGAAGGACGCGTGTGGACGCGTGAAAACTAGTTGGGTGGGCGGCTCGCTTGGGTGGGCGGCTCGCTTGGGAATTACGTTACAGGGCTCCTAACGGGAGGCCCTACAGGTATGCGCTCAATCTTTGGGGACAGTTCACCGTCACCACAAATAACACGTGCGCATAAAAATTGTCTGTGCCGTGAAAAATCCATCTAGATTTTCAGACCATTCAGTGCATCTCTTGCTTTTTTTGTCTAGTTTCCGGCCCGATAACCCCGACCTGAGAAATCGGTTCCACCCGCCCCCTAGTGGAGCGGTGAGGGCCCGACTACTAGGGGGCGGGCATGTACACTCTGGAAATCTGTGGATCAGACGGAAGCTCCGGCTCCACAAAAAATCATCAACAAACTTGGCATATTTTACCGATGACGTAAGTGAACTTTTTTGTAACTAGATTACTTGTTCGCATGCGGTGTTTCCGCCTTTATTTGTATTTGGAGGCGAGGGAAGACAAGACCAGATGGAAAACATCGATATTCGCTCAGTCTTCCTGTCTTTATTTTCATACATATCTGCTCCGACATCACCAAGATCGCTTCAATGGAGCAAGATTCCGTCCGTGGCGAAAACAGCGTTCAAAACCCGCAGGCAACACCCGCTCCAGCCCTGCTATATGAGAAGCTTGCTCAGAAGAACCCGAAGCTCACCGATCATCTCTCAATAACCCTGGGGCTTCCTATGATCATTATTTTTGATCTTGTAGTCCCATGCATAATATATTACGCATGGTTCGATAAAATACATGTTCCTCACTATCAGAACGACTGTCGAGCAGACGAGGAATGCGGCTTCGTCAAGTCGGAATTTGACAAGCATATTCTTGGCTACGCTATCATCTCCTTCGGTTTAGGCGAGCTTTATGTCCTGGTTGCCCGGATATGTCGTCTTATTTGGCACCCCGAGGAATGCGCCCCTCTTCTGTCACGATCGCGATGGGAGCTTGACGCCACATCCTGGGTCTATGGTGTCTCCATGGTTTGTGCATTAATTCCGTTTGTCATTGGCAGTAGCAAAGAGATTCCGAATCTCTATCTCTACTCCCCAGCTTTTCTTATGACCTTTCTCGGAAGCTTAATGCTTATCACATTGATACCGTTCAATATCCCAATTGGGATTGATTCACAAGCCCGGGGAACACCGCTACGGCCGTTTATATACTACGCAGCTGAAGACTTCATCGCTGTTGATGGTCTCCAGGATCGTGAGTTTCGTGTACGGTTTAATGCGCGATACGAGTCGTCCAAGGCTTTCAGGCACATGTTTTTTCTTCTCACCCTTTGGTGGATTTTTGGAGTTTGTGTATACCTTGGGTGTTTGTCAGCTGTTATATGGACGCTAGAATTCCATTTTGCATTCGGGTTGTCTTTAGGCATTCTTTTCTGCTATATCATCATTTGGGCACTGATTTCTTATTCATGGCTTCAGGCTGCGATGAATCGGGAGCGGAAGACATACGAAAGGTTGGCGTGTTAGATCTGTCAGTGTGAGCAACGCAAATGGAATAAACCAGGGGGTTCAACTTACAATTGAATTATTTACCGGGAAGGTAACATATTCCAAATCTGTAATACGCCATTCAAGTGAAAAAGCGGGTGTCATCGCAACCAGCCCATCTATGACAGAAAACGGACTCACTGTCACGATACTGTCTTTGATACTACAACAAGAGGTACCTCAGTACTGCCGGGCCCCTGCGTTCTTTTTGCAGTGTACATGTCTTATCTCGCTTAGGATCACACAACCCTATAGAACTCGCAATTTCTTCCTACAAGAAATCAGCGATTCGTCTGACATCATCCGCATACCCATAGTGTGTGTGCTTCAGGCGTAGTCTTGTGTTGTTCACTCATATTCCAACGTGCCGAGGAGTCCCCTCCGAGGGGCTCCTAACACTCATTAACTAGAGGGAATTGGTAAAATCACCCCCCATGTGGTTTTTAATGAGCCTACCTGGCAGAATTCCAAGCTTTTTCATTTTTGTTAAAAAATGTCTCTTTTTTTGACGAAAAAGATAATATCTTTTAGGTTTCTGTTGAGTTGAGAGGATAACCAAATACCACTAGTTTAGCACAGAAATTTCATCGCGTCGACCCTATCCGCCCCTCCGACGTTTAATAAATCGACTTCACCTTTATGTATTTGGCAGTCTTCTATGCTGCCGTCTACGTCCTTATGTGCTGTTTAATATATGATGATGATATTCAACTTACTCGATGTCAAACTTGAAAAATTGTGTTTCGCGGGACGCGTGCTATCTACCAACTCGAGAAACATTTCAGTGTTTAAAGCAACTTCACCCGCAATGGTGTTGGGACTCGATCTAAAGCTATACTTCAGACCTGTTTTGACTGGCGTAACGTTAGAGAGCCACTCCAACCAGCCGCGGTCGATCCTGTCTGTCCTTGCATCCGCGGTAGAGGGCGCTCAACACCACGGGTTAAAAAATGCAATCATCACTCACGTTTCGCTAATTCTCAAACCACGGTAGAAAATTATTTCGTTCCGGTGAAGTACATTCTACTTGCGTAATATTACTAAATATGCTCGCTATTGACCGGAAGCTTGACAGATCGAAACAGAAACTTGTTTGATTACAGGAAGAGTGCAGGTAATCTGTGAGAGGTTGAAATGGCTCAGGCATTCGTCCTTTTTGTCGGATCATAAATTAGGAGACTTCGCTAGTATATTCCTTCACTTTCGACCTTCTCGACTGCACCATTAGAGTCCCATGAGTCATGAATCGGCGCCATGTTTCCCGGGGCTCTGTGAGGTCCTCAACAACAGAGCTCCCTACCCGTATTCTCTCGATAATTTTTATCTCTTCCTGAAAAGAAACCACTGTCTTGAGATCATAAATTTTCTACAAGAGGCGAGACAATACCGAGAAAGTTATTTTTCCATTGAACTTCAATTGGGTCACGTGTCACACAATTCTTCGGATCGCCCGGAAGTCGAGTTGCTCGTCAACCTTTGGCAACACCTCCGGTCAACATATTTGCTCCCGAGATCTGTGCAGGAAGTAAACTTGATCGAAAATGAGCGTATAGGTTTGCTAGCCTACAAGGATCTCGCAGTGCCACCGCCACCCTTTGTTATTGAATCCGCCGTGAGGAGATTGAACGATCAGGTTGAAGAGACTTTGTTTCCGGCATTTTTGTTTCAGGACGAGGCCCTTAAGGGAAGTTAGGTTTCGAAATTTTGTCATGTATCTTAAAGACAAGAATGATGAGATCAATCGTCTGAAGAAAGTCAAAAAAACTGTGCCAAAAGGGCACGGATATACAGCCCTGGATGTGATGTGCGAGAGCTTCGCGCAGCAGTCGGAAGGGCTCCACCAACTTGAACAGACCTTCAGACAGCACCACGCTCCATAGAAGAGGAAACAATCAAGAAGACAGGTTCTTAGTAAACCTAAAGGCCATATGCTACCATCTTACGCCAATACATGTATCGCAGAGCGGAAGGCGAAGGAGCAAAGACAAGCGGAGGTGCGGACTCAAAAACAGCGCCAGCAGCAACAGCCTATTTTAGGATATACCACAACTTTATTTACAAAAAAGCTAAAGCATACTGATCATTATAGCCTGTAATAGACCGGAAAACTCCCTACTACCTTCGCTGATATTAACGGTAGTTATCGACATTCCTTTAATGCAGGCGGGCCGAAGCGGAACCGGATGCGGACGCACTGCTGCTCATAGACGAAGAGGAAGAGCCACCCAAAGGAGTGGAAGAGCTACCGGCCACAACACTGGAGGTAATGTTGGCCTCCAGAGGACCGATCTTGAGAGCGCCGCACGGGTTGGAGGGCGCAGAGACGCAACCACCCAAGTAGGAACCCAAACTGCCAGTCACGTTGCCAGTCATGAGAACTTGCGTGGGAGCGTAGGCGGGGATCAGCGAGCTAGAGTTGGCCATGAACATCGAAGAGTTCAGACGACTACTGATATAGATGGCGTGAGAACTGTGCTCAGCGGCAAGGCGAGCCAGAAGGAAAGAGACCTCGGGCGATTTGGTGTAGCCAGCTGCGCCGATGAAAGCGCCACAGAGGGTAGACTCAAACTGGTACGCATATTGAACGAATGAATGAATGTTGCTGATCGAGGGGTAGGTGTATGAGCATGATGGCTCTTTGAAGTTGGGAGCCTTGGAGCTGAGCTCTCTCACGGCCTCGACCGTCAAGTTATCGGCGTGCTCGATGCCTTGCAGGTTTGCCAATACCTTTGAAGCACTGGTACTGTTCGAAACCTGGGAGGCAACGCTTGAATTGAGTGCAACAGATGAGTAGAAGTTGTTGAGGAACTTCGAAAGCGCCCAGGTGTACTGAAGAACCTGAGTATCGCCAGATGTAAGAGCACAGCTGGTGGAAGAGCTGCTCGCAGAGGAAGAACTGCTCTGGGCACAGGTCAGAGCACCCCCTGTGACCAAGAGCCAGGTAATTTGAGATCCGAGATGCATGGTGCTTAAAATTGGGCGTTATTCAATGGGTAAGGCTCTGGTAAATAACTAACAGACTTTTGAAATGCAGATGGGAGAAAAGCGCGGGTGAAGATAGGATTTATAGCACACGGTGTGCAGACAAGTAGTGATTTTTTCATTGCTGCCCACCTGGCAGTCAATTCATCATGATAATTCTATTAAAATAACTTTGCGCTTGGTACTTTCTCTGGGTGCCCTTGTGGGGGCTGCCGGCCTTCCGGACACCGTGATGTCACAGCTAAATTCTAAATTCTGCCAACTCGCTCGACCATCCCTCAATAATCCTACTAAGCAATTCTCTTGTAGACGTAATATATGATATTCAACCAAAACGACAGTTCCTGAAGCTTACAATTGCCCGAATAGACGTATCTAACAAAGCTGGGATGGCCGAAACATCACCTTATATTGGACAACTCGGTTTCAGCAACTACCATGCGCTGGACAATGGACGCAATGCTCCTTTCGGGGCCCAGTCAGTGGCAGAAATTCCAGAACCAGAGGCTCAAGATGCGTCTTTTGATACAGAGTCGAATCCATCCGATAGCCCGGCTCCGTTTGAATCGGCATCGCAACCTCCGAGCTCCACGCCCTCTCCTCCTTCGGTCTTAGAAGCGTCCGTCTCGTCCGATACGGCTAGCGTCCTTTACACCCCCGGATCAACCAAGAGGAGGAAAGAGAAATCGCACCCCCCCCAACCTCCCCCCCCACACCCGCTATTTTCTGCCGGGAAATTATGGGTAGAATTACAGGTGTGTTGGCCTCTCTGCCGAAAATCTTCAAGATCCTCGGGTAATTAGTTATTTATTGGTGACCTCACACAGTCAAGAGGGATCAGGAACGTGTATGGTTTGGCCGTAAGGGGTCACCTGTCGCTGCGGTCTTAGACCGTAGCATCAGATAGGGCCCAAATGACCCGGGCCAAACTAGGATGGTGGAGGGGACGGTGGAGGAAGCAGCAGAGACAGTGGAGCCGGCGAGCCTGTCTGGAACTGGTGATTGAGCTTGTACAGGACAGACGCGTTCGTTGTGAAATACACCCCGAATGCCTCCGAGGTCCATCTCCCGAGCACTCGGATCTGATCGTCGAGGATCCCACTATCATGCGCATGTTGAGCCGCACCTTTCCGAAAGCTGTGGCCTGAGTAGCCGTCCGTGTGTATCCCAAGTGCTTTCAGCTTAGTAGGTAAGGTAGAGAGGAAATTGTTGCGACTGAATGGTCTTCTGTGAAAGGAGAACAACGGGGCGTCGGGCGCTTTATGGTCGAGAAGAAGCAGCTTCTGAAGCGCGTCAACCGGACAAGCTCCGTCTCCTGTTTTTGCAAGAATGATCTGTGCTCCTTCGTGGCGGCGGTCCGTCTTACTCCGCTGAAGCGTGAGTTGCACGTGGTCTAACGAGGACGAGAATCTGACGTCGGAGCGCGTAAGCTTTGTGGCTAAGAAGATAGAGCGTGTGCCGAGGTCTTCTGTTTTGTATGTAAATTCTCCGAGGCGAAGAAACCCAGCAAATGCTACCCGGCAGCGGTCGCGAAATTCAGGTCGTCTAAGAGGTTCGCAGTCATCTCTAAGGGACGCGACGGGAGTGTAGAGGCCCTTGCGGATAGTTTCGTAATAGTGTCACGCGAAATCGGTCTTCTAACCCGAACTTTAGTGATGGGGTTGAGTCTTCTCGCGCCGTCTATGAGACGTCGAAAGTGCTTATTATCAAAGAGTTTATCCTCAAGGAAGTTGTCAATATGGTAAGCTCGGAGAGCGGCTAGGTCGGCGAGTGCGGTATCGGGCTTAACGGCCTTTTGGTTTGAATTCCCAAGGAGTCGTGAATTTAGCCAGGAGGTTAACGATTGTGTTGAGGCTGGCCATGCCGGTAAATTTTGTACCGCGCTGTGCCTTTCGTAACTGCGTTGAACGGAGAGGTAAACGGAACGCGTGTTAGCGCTGAGACCACTCCAGAGCAGTTTTAGGTGGCCTGCAGTGAGCTGAGGAGCTCGTGAAGAGAACCACGCAGGCGATTGAATACCGAGAGGTCCTGCCAGTGGGGACAAGTTAGCAACCTCTTGGAAGTTATTACGGGAGAGGGCATCTGCTAGTGTGTTTTCCCAGGAAGGGAGCCAATGGGGCACCATTTGGATGTCTCTCGCCGCCGCTAGGATAAGTAGACTTTTCAGGGGTGCGTTAGGCGGGCCATGAAGGAAGCCTTTATTCAGTCCTGTGTGCGCTGTAGAGCTATCCATGTGGACAACGAGAGTATGATGACGCCAATGGTGGCTGAAGAGTAGGAAGCCTTGTAGAAAGGCGTCTACTTCGTTGGTATTGATGTGCGCATGTGCGTCTTGAGCAAGGGCCAATGAGGCAGCATTGCTTGGATGAAGCTGGTGACGATGGGCCAGCCAGCAGTCTGATGTAGACTTGGATGAGAAGAAAAAGAGCCCCTGGCCTATACTAGAGGCATCTGTGTAGAGATGCGTGATGGTGCGGCGGCAAGGGCCAATTAGGAGTACGCCGTTGAAAAGAGACAAGGAGTCCCTCCACCATTCCAAATCGTCACGTACCTCGTACGAGATACGGCGGCGCGCGCTCCTCCCATGTGGGAAGGCGGCTTGGAAGGTGTAAAGAGACTGTAGCCTTGTTCTTCCAATCCGGACAACTCTTGAACAGAAGGCCAATGAGCCTGTGAGACGCTCTGTTTGCTGGAGGGAGAGACTCGCTGCGTTCAGGGCAGCTGCGGCGTCCAATGTGGCGCGGCACAACTTATCTGGTGGCAGGCGAGCTTCCATTGCAAGAGAGTCGATCTGGATACCTAGGACTGTAATACATGTCCCTTGCTGGTCCTTTTTGGTATTGCGAGGGATACGTAGGTAGTCGGTGACTCTGTTGTAAACCCTATCAAAGGGACCCGTAGGGCCGGACACTGAGGGAGACTGGGAAATTGCGATGAAGTCGTCAAGGTAATGATTGATATAGAATGCAGGGAGGAGGCATTGGAGTATCCAATGGAGAGCCTCGGCGAAGAGGTTAAAGAGAAATGGGGCCGTTGCAAGGCCAAAGGGGAGGCAGCATTCGACGTAAGTGGAATCGTTCCACTGGAACGCAAGGAGATGCTGGTTATTCTCGGCAACAGGGACGATTCGGAAGGCGTCCTTAATGTTCCTCTTGATGATTGTGCAACCTAGGCCAGCTTGTATGACCTGCTCGTAGATATCATCGATTGTTATGTATTCGATCTGACCAGGAGTCCGGTATGCCCTTGTTGAAGCCTTGTCCAGGGGGCCAGGATAGATCATGGATACGGCGCCACCCCCCATCGTGCTTAGGGACTAACCCGAGCGGCGAAACAAAGGAGGGCCCAGAGGCTAGTCTAATGCGACCAAGGTTGAGATCCTCTGCTAGTTTGGGCGTGATCATGCCGGGTTCGTGTATGTGATGGTCGGAGGAATGACAAAACTGCTTCTTGCCCCTATAGCCGATCTGGACGCCATAGGTCAGGATGCCAGCGATAGTAGACCCGAGATCGCCTGGATAGTGGCGGAGGAGGTCGCGCCAGCCTTTTGCATATAGTGGTGATGGAAAGAACTGTAACTTTGGGAGCTCTGGGTTGAAGACGGAGTATTGGACAGCAGTGTTTGGCCTGGGCGGTTGGCCCTGCGGTATTATGCTTGGTGGTAAGAGATTGGAGATAACCCTCTCGGCCTCTGTAGTGTGTTCCCTAACGGCAGGGTCCAGTTGCTATGTCTTCTTACGGCAAGAGGAGGCGCCATGCTCACTTAGACCGCATGCGGTGCACTCATGGCGTCTCTTGCAGCCTTCCCAGAAAGATCCTGTGGTGTTGAACTTATCGCAAACCTCGGTCTCGCTATTCGAAGACCTAGTAGACCTTGTTTGGCGAGGTCGGGCTGAAGGGTTTGCCAGTGACTTCGCAGGCAGGGTAAGATTGTGACGGAGATATTTTTCGCGAAATGGCGCTGTGATAAGCTCGTTCTCCGCCGACAGCTCTCCCTTATCCAAAATGTATTGGTGGTAGTTAAGGGCGAGCGGCAGTACTGTTTCTGACCACTGATAAGTTTGAGCGAAGTCCAGGATCTGCCTCATGAACATGAGTAGGTTAGGGACTGCCTTTGGATGTTTCTCGCCGAAGAGATATCCTATGATCGCTAGGTATGTGAGGAGGCAGCTCGTCCATGTCTGAGGGTTGGGGCCCCAGTCCTTAAGCGATGCCGCTGCCTTCTTGAAGCCTACTGTGCCTCCCGATCTTGAAGACCCTGTCCTCCTGATCCAGTTCGGTGACTGACTTCTCTTTGAAGCGTATGAGTTCAGTCGCCTTCAACTTCCTCTCGTGGACGCGAGTAAGAAGGGCGGCGGAGACACCCGGAAATATGGCGATGGGGGGTGGCTCACGGTTTTCCTCGAGATTATCGTCATCTTGCAGGTCCACACGAGGTCTTCTGTGGCGGAGGTCGGTCTCCGCTACATCCATCTCCAGGCGCCTGGCCCTGTCTCTTTGTATTTGTCCTAGCCAGCTGGCACGGTCTGCCGCGCCCATGGTTTCCCAAATGGGGGCCGGAGGCCAAGCGCAGTCAAGTGGGGCAGGCGTGACACTGCTGGACTGGCTGAACGTCATGGTGGAGAGCGATGTAGTCAAGGCTTATCGGTGCTATTGCCGTAGAGACAGGACGTGAACAAAACGAGATTTGACTGCGTGAGAGATGACAAGCTACCAGCGAAGGCGAGCAATGACTCCCGTGAAGCAGTTGCAGGAGGGAAGAAACCCCTCCGTAGGCCTGTGGGCTCTGTGCGGGCGTCACGTGAACTGTGAGGTAACCCCAAAAAACTTCTTCCTTTAACTATCATATCGGTGGCGGACCCTCGTTATGCGAGGGTCCGTAATAAACTGTAATTTATGAAAGGGGCCGGTTACGCGTCGGAGCGATTTTGCGTGTCTGTCGCATGTGGGGCACTGATTTTTCCGTTCCGCCGGTTTGGTACCCCACGAAATCCGTCATAAACACCACCGTCGTCTTCGAAAATTCCTTCGCACCCAAGTATTCACAATGACAGAAATCGCAAATGACTTATCCAAACTCAATGATGCAATTGGCAGCGTGTCAAAGGAAAACCTTGTCTCCATGGTCGTGGAGATTTGTCGAACGAATCCCTCTGCGAGAGAGTTTGTAATTGATGAGCTCTTTGTCACTGAAGATAGAAATCCGCAACCAGAAACTCCGTGCACGATCAGCACCGTCAGCGAGGGCGACGATGACAGCGACAACAGCGGGGAAACTGTCCCTCAGCTTGGAGCTACTGGATCCAAGAGACAACGAACCCGCTACGCCGTTTGCGAAAACTGTAAGGAGGAGTTTGATGTCACGAAAAACACCCGCCGGAGCTGTTCCTACCACCCTGGTTAGTCAATACCTCATACCCCCCTCCCCTCGGCCGATTTAAGCTAGCTAACGAGACAGATGAACAGAGATCCCTGAAGCGGACGTTGACCAGTTTATTGATCATGATGAACAATGTCATGGTCCGATGGATACGGAGGAAAACCGGATCAACTATCCGGAGCGCTTTATCTATGAATGTTGTGATCGTTATGGAGATGAAGAGCCGTGTGTTAGAGACTGGCATAGAGAAGTGAAGTACGAATATTCGAAGAGGGCGAGGTACTAACCTCTAGTGGGATGATCGTGCGTTAATGAATTTGTGCTTCGTATTTTATGTTGTTGTTCTATGTATTGTTTTCTACCACGGCAGTTCATTCCCGCAGGTTTTCCTTATGGCCATCCTCGGATGTCACTATATCGAGTGAATCCGATCTGCTGAATGATCTAAATATGTGAAGGACTGAAGCAAGACTTAAATTCAATCTGACTAGGCCATGAACTGTGTACAAAAGGCTTGGAGAGAAGGAGTGGAACAACCAAAACACCAATTGAGTACTCCGTATCGTGGGTTTCCGTTAGTATCGCATTCCATTTGGTGATGGTTGTTGGGCTTGGGCACCGCGGTCGACACAGGCTGCGTTCGGGCTGCCTTTCGGGAGCTCAAATTGAAATGAAGGACTAACCAGGGAGGTGAGGAGGAACACAAATGGGTATGAGGATTTGGAGCTTGGACCTGTACGTTAAGGGGTATCAAAATGCATAAGCATAAGTTCATGAAACGTGATAAACTGGTTTTGAGGAAGTGAGGTTAAGCGTGCGCGTGACAGCCTGTTGAATCAACTGAATGTACTCAAGCTTGAAGACTTTTCAACTGCTCCGAAGAAAGACAGAAAATGATAATCACGAATATCAAACATCTCGCGACATTGGAGAGTAGATATAAGATATAGCATGATCTTTGACCACCTTCGTTGAGGAATACAGCACCGATCTCCATCTTCTTTGCCAGGATTAAAGGAAATACTGCATTTGTAACTAACTAGTAACTAGCTCGCATCTTGAATAATTATTCCTCCAGAAATTTATGAGTGCGCGATTGTTGCAGGCCCAGAGCCGATCAGTGGAGTCTGGGCAGGTGATATCTTGATCTGAATCGATTCTCGTCAAGTGGCTTTCGCAGACCATGCCAAATATAGAAAACCCGCTGGATGGTTTAATTCCGGGTTGTATTGGTCTTGGATGCGTCGGTGCGTGCGCGTGGGTATGCGGCAAGAAAGTCAAGCTTATCAATATGGCTCACGCCACACCGTGTCTGTTGATCCACCAAGAAAGCATAAGACCGCTTTAATACCGCGAAATAGCCCACATCTAGTGGTTGTAATAGATGTGAGCTATGCGCTGGCATAAAGATCGGTATAGTATCGTTATTGGCACAACTTTTGTCGAATTCTGGCGTCAAATGGCTACCGGCCACGCGTACGGCTAGTCGTTGCAGGAATGAATAGTTTTTGGAGCCATGAAGCCCAATTTCATCAGTCGTCCATCAATTCGGGCTAACATCGAATCTCCAATCACCAGGTCGATCGGAACAGAACCAGGACTCAATATATCGTTTGCCTTTGAAGATAATCAACGGGGGTAAGCACCACCCTAAAGCATTGATAGTTTCGACCGTGGTTTCACGGTTTCCTGGCTGTAAAACAGACCTCCGGCCGTAGTATTCCGCGCGCGTAACCACCTTTGCGGTAGAAACTAGTCCCATCGCGAAGCCTGTCTCGTCGAAGTTGTATATATCGTCGGGTAGGATACCATAGCTGTTAATCGTGGCTTCTACGCGTTGAAACCACTCACGTATTATACGTGGATCTTCTTGTTCCGCGCGCGCATAGTTGTATCGACGGGAGAACCGCGCTTGAAGAGCTGGGGTACGTTTGATGTAGTTTCCTACCCAATTTACACCCTCGGTGTCGGTGCCCTAGCCGCCAGTAGTATATTCGCCATTACACGCATGGCGACCGTGGGGCTGCACCACGATCATCCATAGAAATAACCCACTTAGCGAGGATATCCTCATCTAGTTGTGTTAATTTATGGTTATGCGCGCGTGTGGTGGGCTTCGCAAGTGCACCGTTTACACGGTCGCGTAGCGTGGAACGCGATACATCGTACACGCGTGCTGCGGCTGCAATAGAAGAGATAGATTTCTTTCGAATAGTCTCGATTGCAAATAAAATTCTACAATTCTACCCTCTTGATGAATAGAATCCTGCTTATTTCTGACGCGAATTGGGGGCATGGTGTGTGTTTAAAGAGAAAGGGTGGAGAGGAGGCGCATAAATCTAATGTGGTGGCGGAACGCTTGTGAAATACGTTACCTACTGTAAATGAAACGAATCGCGTGCGAAAGGTTTCATGACGAGAGGCCCTGAAACCGTATGGGCTAGAAAAGCTGGCTGTGCCAATCATATAGATGCAAATTGGTTGTTCTTCTTATGGAGCTATCTCAGATCGAGCTGACCGAGGAACCAGGTCATCGCACACCGACCGAGAGGTCATCGTGTCGGAACGAACAGCCTATGGAGACCGGATTATTGGATGATCCGAAGTAATTATTTCTTATGTAATCAGAAACCCCCATAACGTAATTCCCAGCCGAGTGACGCACCCAACCGAGTGACGCACCCCCAAACACCATAATAAGAGCGATATTTCAGCTCCTTATATCTCAGCAACGAAAAATCATTTCTCTTTGATACTTGGCAAACTATCATTCTTAGGTATAAAAATCAGAATATATCAACTTGAAGGTAATTCAAAGGTTATTTTCTTGCGTTACTATAAAATACACCGTATTTTTGATGTTCAGGACATAAATATATATATCTAGATCGTTATAGCGTGAATTATATCACGGTCCTAAAAATACGCAAGATATATTATAAAGAACATAGAAATATAAGATGACTTTATAATACTCTATCGTTGCTAAGATATGATGTTGTAATTTATCGCATTTACTATGGTGTTTGGGGGTGCGTCACTCGGTTGGGTGCGTCACTCGGCTGGGAATTACGTTACCCCTGAATCTGGCAATTTATGGGGGTTTCTGATTACATAAGAAATAATTACTTCGGATCATCCAATAATCCGGTCTCCATAGGCTGTTCGTTCCGACACACCCCCTCAGCGGTGTCAGTAGGCCTGAAATCGCTGAAAAACGATGACTTTACGAATCAGCCTCTGTTTCCTCTTTGGGACTAGTCAATCATGTGACCAACATCCACCATCCGCAGTAGTCTGAGGAAATTCTCATGCTTCTGACGAGGAAGCAGCTTGGTGAGTCCATCCGCGGCCATCTTGGCTGTGGGCACCCAGCGTATGCTTATCCGGCCCTCTCTGACCTCCTGGCGCAGCCAATGCTGATGAATATCCACATGCCGCAGCTTCGTATCGAACACGACGTCGTCCTTCGTTAGCAGCCCCATCGCTCGCTCGTTGTCGCACTCAATGGTTATAACATGAGAGGGAGCAAAGCCAATGCGGTCTAGCAGCCGCTTCCACCACTGGAGGTTCTTGCCGGCGTCAGATAGCCCTAGCAGCTCTGCCTCGGTGGTCGATGTGGTCACGGTGCGCTGTTTAGTGGCTTTCCAATCCACTGGACCCCTATAGACCTAACAGATGAATCCTGCTGAGCTCTTCCTATCTACATGGTCTGCATAGGAAGCGTCGCTCGATAGCTGCACAGACTCCATCCCACTCTCTGCACTGTACTCAATGGCGTAATACTTGGTCGTGTAGAGGTAGGTGATCACTCGGTCGATCGCCTGATGGTGCTGGGGTCCCGGATTGGTCAGGAATTGTGCTAGATGCGCCGTCGCCTTTGCGGCATCCGGTCTGGTGATGGTCGTAGCATATCCAGCTGAACCAACCTTCTGTTGGTAAAGATGAACGTCTCGCGGGCTTGCGGTGCCCTCATAAGGCTTCAATGCCTCAACCGGCAGCGGCGTGTACACGGACGGTCTATCCGTCAGGTTATACCGCGCTGCGACACTGGTGACATAGCTATCCTGACACAACCAGAGCTTCTTGAGCTGACGGTCTCGTAGGATGCGTATATTCAGAAACCATGCGGCTTCTCCATGATCAGTGAGCTCCCAGTGTGCCTCGAGATCCCGTTCTAGCTGCCGGGCCCGCTCCCTCGCAGTCCAATAGCTTGCTATCAGGATATCATCCACATAGAAGAAAACGATGATTCCTTCGCCCACGAAGACACAGGGGTCCTCAGGGACAGGCTGTAGCCCGAGCTTGCTGAGTACTGCCGCCGCTTCCTGCTGCCACAGGCGCGGTGAGATTCTTAGCCCATACAATGCTCGCACTAGCTTCCAGCACTTCCCTGGGACGGTGAAGCCCTCTGGCATCCCTGTGTATATCTCCTTGTTCAGCCTGCTGTTCAGGAACGCGGTGACAGCGTCTCGTTGGCGTAAATCAAGGTCGAATGCTGCGACCAACGCGAAGATCATCCGTGCCGTACGGGCAGCCAACGTGGCCGCTCGTTTCTCTTCCGGTGAGATAGTTTCGAGGTCTCCGCGCACGCAGATTCTAGCCTTGAGCTTCAAAAGGTAGCCATCTTGATCAAATTTATAGGTAAACACCCACAGGAGGGGAAGGACTCGCTTACCTCTATCCTTTGGCTTTCCCACGACCTCATACGTCTCCTTCTGACGTAGAGAGTCTAATTCCTTCCTCATCGCTGCCAGGAACCCCTGCTGGAATGGGTGATTCATCACGTCCTTCCAGTGCCTCGGTGGTTCAGGCAGATCATCGCGATGGTGTCGCGTATCTGGTTTTTCTGCGTATAGGCCAGTTGCGACTGCCTGTAGCATCGCTGGGGTATCCTCCTCATCAATGAGTGTCCTATAGGCCGCATAATCATCGTCCTGTCGCGTTTTCCGCTTTCTGCGTCCGCTAACGATGTTCCTAGTATCCACGTCGCCCATTATCTCTCGCGTTGGGGCTGTAAGCTCAACCTAAAGCTGTCGCTCAAGCTCGTCATCGACTAGTTGCGGCTCGTCAATCGGTTCCGTCTCGCTCTCGTTTAACGCGTCCTGTGAGTTAACCAGCTCAGATTCCGTACGGAACAGCTCTGTCCGTACGTCTAGTGGCTTAGATCGTACGACATTAGCGTCATCTGCCTCAATTTCAAAGTTTTCTCTAGCTTTTCCAGCTTCTAGTGGCTGGTCTTGCTGCTCGACGAAATCTGGTTCGTCAGTTCCCACCCCCTGACCAGCATCAGTAGCGCCATCCTCTCGCGGAGGTGTCGGGGGTAGCGGGATGTCCTGCGGGAACGCGCCTGGGATATCCTCAGGGAATAGTTCTCGGGCACATCCGGGCGACAGCAACGCCCGCTCGGCATTGGTCTGTTTCTCGACGAAAGCCGTAGGAACTATCGCTTCCTGCGCTCTCTGATGTTCCACGGGCTGTACCGGGCCCTCATCATCCTCGTCGGGGCGTTCTGTGGTCGCTGGCATCGTGCCAGTTCTAATCGAGTCCTCTATCGCCTGCCGCGTCTGTTCCTCATTTAGGATCTCTGGCTCTGTCACTAGAGGCAGTGGAACTGGCTGAAATGGTTGGTAATCAGGTGTATACTGTCGAGATTCATCGAAGATAGCATCCCTGACGTGCTCGACCTTTCCTCGTTGCGGAAACCAGATTTTCCATACATTCGAGGCCACATAACCAACTAGGAAACCGACCTCAGCACGCGGATTTATCTTGTCTGATCTCGCGAGCTTTTGAATGCGACAGTACGCGAGGCATCCGTATAGCCTCACGTTCGATAGGTTGACCCTTGGCATCCTGTTTCCTGCGAACTCCCTTCGAACCTCATCCCATGGCACGATCCAGCGGCTCTCGGCGTCGATATAGGTCGGTGTCCGATTTAGTAACCAGCACGCAGCATAAGCGGCCTCCGGCCATAGCTCTTTTGGAAGCTTTCCTTCCAGCATCAGCATACGCATTCGGAGGATGATCACACCCCCTGCTCTCTCGGCGTAGCCATTCATCTCTGGATGCGCTAGCGGGCTATAGTAAACGACCATCCCACCCCCTGCGAGGAAGCCTTCCGCTGGTTTCCCTGCCGATACCTCATTATCATAGTGGAATGCCTTGATTGGCAGGTTCCACCAGTTCTTTACAAGCTGCACGAACTGCTGGATAGCGAGCTGACATTCTGTCTTTAGCGTATGGGTCGCCACCCAGTGAAACCTAATCCCCTCGACATAGAAATGCGAGATCCATCGATGCAGATTATATGCCAGCGGGATCTGAATTAGGTCGAAGTGGACACGTCCGAAACGTCCGAAAGACTGACCGATGGGCCGTCTTGATATCTGGCGGGGTGCTCGTCCTAGCTGACACGTTTCGCATAGCTCTAGAGCACTCTCTGAAGCTTCCTTGGCCTCTGGGTCCTTGATCTTGACGCCCTGGACCATATTACCGACCTACTTAACCGTACGGTTGTTGATGTGCCTAAGCCGGCGATGCCATAGCTCCTTCGTGGCTACGGCCTCGATAGGCTGCTCCGAGCGCCGTACGGCATGCGCATGTGCATAGGCCGTTTTATCGGGTTCGTCGAAGAACCATAGGTTCTCTGGTTCCTTGAGGTGCAGGCTAACCACCGGTTTCCCATTAGGGTCGATGATCCAGTCTCTATCCTGACACCAGGTTCCGCCCTTGCTCTTCAGCTTCCCATACGATACAAGGTTGATATGGAAAGTGGGCGAATACAGAACGTCGCTCAGGGTTATATCTCTCCGTTTTCCCGTCAACGGGTCCCGTCCGGTTAGCTTTGCCGTGCCGCGTCCATACGCGGGTGTCCAGCTATCTCCGGTCGTCAAACGGATGTCCTCTTCCTCGAGGGTGATAAATCGGCTTCGGTCATTGCAGATATGGGCGCTCGTGGCTGTGTCGAGTATCTAGCGTCCTCTAGACGGCGAATCAGCGCCGTGAGAGGCAGAATAAGCCTGGACCTGCGTGGAATAGCTCATCATGACTACATTCGCAGTCTGTGCCTTGTTGGCTTCCTTGATAGCGTCCTCGGTCCACTGCTTCCATACCGGGTCTGCTGCTAGGACACTCACAGCCTTCTTGGCAGCCTTCTGGCTGACCTTCCAACTATCTGGTCTCGCTAATTCATTCAGGGTGAAACAGTCAATAACCTTATGGCCGTTGATTCCGCACGGGCATGCTCGTCGCTCGAAAGGTTGTGGAGCCCTTTCCTGTTTCGCTTGGGGCTTTGCCTCTGCCTTTGCTTCTGGTTTTGCCTCCTGATGATCCTACCAGGTGGAGAAAGCGCCGACTGACATCGTTGAGCTAGGTTTTGGCCCAATCTCTCGATACATCGAGCGAAATGATTCAACTAGATCTCTGGTCTCGAAGGGCTTCTCATTCATAACGATTTCCTCGTATTTTCCTTGCCACCAGATCGGTAGGACATCCTTAACCGCTTGCATGAAGTCCTTATTAGTGGTTTTAGCATCATCGAGCTTGAGGCTAACCGCTTGCTCTCTTAGGGTGTTCTATGTCGTTAGCCATGCTTCGACATCCGCTCCTTTCGGTGGCTTTTGCGACGCGAATGTCTTCCATTTCATACGGACTTCCTCCCTATAGGATGACGACCGAGCAAACCGACCCTGGAGATAGACCAGACGCTCATACGGAGTCTCAAAATCAAGCAGAGAGAGGTGGTGGATAGCATCCAGATACGTAATGATATACTCATTCACGTCATCTAGGCCCTTCGCCTGCTTCTCCCACTTGTTGTACCTGATCTTATAGATGTCCATCAGGTCTCTCCATTCCTTCTTGTCGTTGGAATCTCCTTCGTCAGGGTATTCGGGTTCCTCTGGCTCCTCGAGCGGGTCCGGAAGATCGTCGATATTGGTATCTGGGTTACAGAGGTCCCAGACCTTCTTTTGCTTCGCATACAGTTTGATGCGAGCAAACCACGTCCTCCATTGAGGCGTGTCCTTCAGCTTTTCGCCCTTCAGGGCGGAGAGTGTGGTTGCTGTCTCCATCTCTTCGTTTCGACCGTCTGTATACCCTCAGGGGTAGTACTCGTTCTCTCAGTGGCTCTCCTGGCTATCTCTGTGTCTACAGCGAATGACGCTGCTCTCTGGACCAAAGGATAGGCTTATAGGCTGCGAACCGGGCTCATAACTGTCAGAGTACGTAATATAAGGGCCAATCAGCGGTAAAAAGAACTCTGTATTGCTATACCCCTGAATCTGGCAATTTATGGGGGTTTCTGATTACATAAGAAATAATTACGTCGGATTATCCAATAATCCGGTCTCCATAGGCTGTTCGTTCCGACACAATAATTATGGCCCGTGCTTATCGCAACCCTGTAAATTTCTAGGGTAAACCCTTGTAACCTAGTAATCTATCCACACACCCCACTTCTTTCTTTCAGTCTCTTAATTATCAACCTATCTACCATGGAACGCGCTACAGATTATACCTGGAGGGCTTATGAGGATCGTACACTTTCTGAGCTTCTACAGTTTGATTTTACGCCCGATACAGAGGATATAAGCGATTATGTCGACCCATTTGACAGCGAGCAAGAATTTGAAACCGCAATTCCTGACCCGGACGAGGTAAATATATATTCACCACATTTAATTCCGAACTAGTTTAGAATTAATTATTAACTAATTTCAAAGGCACCTAATATTCCGACTCCCTTAACCTTTCACCTAACTCGCGCTATATCAGCTGCTGTGATTAAGTATGAGATTCTTGAGCGAAAGTAGTGTGTATTCGTAAAGATAGCTAGCTATTGATGGGATGAAATAGATATAAGGCGGTAAGAAAGGCGGTGCCAAATAGTAAGTAAAAAGGGGCAAAAAGTTAGTATTGTAACCGTAAAACCCCCCGGTAAGATACTCCTGTTATCACAGTAATTCGAGGGTTTGCGTCGATAGCGTCAAGAAGCTTCGTTTTATCGTCTGCGTCTAGCTTCCGTGGGCGCCCAGATCGAGGCGATGTCTCATTCTTAACCCTCTTATTTGCGCGGTAGACAGTAGTCTTGATTGTGCCAATTGGGATAGACGGATACTCTTTGTGTATCTGTTCATACGTCCAACCAGCGACAGTCTTCAATTCAACAAGCTTTGTACGCATATATGCGTCTAGCTGGCATCCCGGGCGGCCTGGAGGTGCCACTGGGGCCCTTGCTGACCGAATAGGCGGCATAATAGCACAAAAAAGGCGTAGGAGTAGCAGATAAACTGCAGTTTTACTCTAGGACGCGTAGGAACGCGTAGGGTAGGCGAGGTAGGCGGTGAGGGCGGTGAAAATTAGGCGGTAAAATCATGGTTTCAAACTTATGAACACCCACTGTACAAACGCCGGAGGGCGGTGTACGTGGTGTGTGCTACGGATAGTATTGAATCCTTGAGCGAGAATCTTGCGTTGATCACTTACACTGCCCATTTGAAAAGATCGACAAGATCCCCTAGATGAATAGTTAGCGTTTGTTGGTCCTGTAGGATTGATATCACATACAAATCGTGTCGTGTGTTGCTGTCAAACTGGGAACAAGTGCGGTGCGAACGATGGCAAATGCGCCGCTCCTGAAAAATGATTCCGTCAGTAATGTTCAGAGATCATTCTCAAAGGGGGGGAACATAGGCGAATCCCAATGCCATAATGCCGCAGATACCAAACTTGACTCGGCGTATGGCTCCAACCGATCAACATCGCCCACAGCACCTCCACAAATGACAATGTCGTATAGGTTTCCGAGGAAAGGCCGATCATTGTTAAAGTTTTTGTAATCAGGATGTTCTGTCGAAATGTGTTCTTTGAGGCCCATTTCCTTTGAATACATCGTAATATCGGCATACTCAATATTCCGGCAGACTCCCCTGTCCATGACCTCAAAACCACCGATGTGGGAAGGAAGTGTCACGGCATCGATGAGCACCGTTCTGAGATATTTTTTGGCCGTTGCAGCGACGCCACCAGGAGCCATGCAAAGATCGAGTACCTTAGGGCAAGTAGACTCCACGTTAAAGACCTTTGATCTTTTAGCAAACCATTTCCCTACTATCTGCGTCATTTTGTACAAGCTCCGTTTTGTTTCTGACTCGGATTTCTAGCAGTGTGATCTCGACTCTGAAAGAATCTATCACCGGCTTCATTTGACCAGCCCTTCGCCTAGTTTTAGTATTCAGGCTGCAGGAAAGCAATCTGTAACTTACCGCTTCTTTTAAATCTCTTAGTTCTCTATAACCTGGCTCTGAAAATATAAAATCCTTCCACGAATAGGGAGAGTCGGCCATCGCTTCTTCCCTTTTCAAAGTAGAAACAACCATTGTCAGAATTGACAGCCCCGTGGATGACTTGCGCAATGAGCTCAGAATGCTGGAAGAAGTAGGCTAGAATAAAAGCCTGAGGAGGGGGAAATCTCGGGTCAGCATGGTGTCCAGATCTCAGCAAATGATTAGAATGAATGAAGCATCCAATCAGCTTAAGACACGATATCTGAGTTGTCGCATGTTAGGGCCACGCACATTGCTACATGGCGTTAAGTGCTGAAATACTGTAACCAAGTTCACGTTGGGACATCACATGTGATATTGTTGAGGGCCGGACGTGGTTATTTTGGATCTGGCCAGCCAATCACCGCAACGATGAAGAGTGTAATTTCATCTAGTCACGTTACGCGGCGCACGCAACTTCTGAATCCATTAAGTAAGATCTATCGACGATTATTTAGCCAAGTCGCCTGTTTTGCTAACTTATACAGGACTGGTTTCCACATCGAGGCCATTCAACACTTCCATCCCGCTGGGGAAGTCATCCGATCTGAAAAATCCAATTTCCAGTTCACCGGAGTCACAACACGTCAATGCTTCCCGCAGTCTGGGAGATCGGATGCAAGACACTCCCGATACGCGATCCGCGCAGTCTCCAGTAGCTAAGCGCGATCCATTGGAGAAGGGCAGCGAAGCACACGCGGGAGAGGAACAAACGTCGACAGACGCACAGATAAAAAATGACCCTAAAAAGCCCGCCGAAGCCAAACGAAAGAATGTTGAGAATGCAGGTCAGAAACCCATGGGACCTGAGGATCATCAATAGGTCGTTTGATCTTTACTCTCCAGTTTGTCATCTGTGTAAATTAGGTCTTTGTTAGTTTGATTCAAAAAACAACAAAAATCAACAGATGCCTATCTCTTTATCCTGACGATCCTATCTTATATTGTGTCGATCGTAGTACGCCAACTTGACGGTATGGATCTCTAGCCCTTGTACGATTGAAATCAGATATGCATTCGAAAAAAAGTTACAAAGGACGCATCTGAAGAGAACGATGGTTCATGCAATGAATTTGCAAGATCTATTGATACTAAAATAGTAAAAGTCACATGGATCTGAATAATAAAATTGGCGAGCTGATGAGATTATGGCAAGACTAATATAAGCGTCATTTTCTCGGCCATATCTCAAAGACTACTATTACGAGTTCAAACCCCCTTACGCTTCACATCTCATCAACTAGATGCAAATATGCAGGAAATACTGTGCTTATAAAAACAATTGTTGAGACGCGTCTTGTCCCAGGATTATAGCTTTTTATTCGGCGAACTGAATGACACTTCGCAATCTTGTTCTTTGGCTAATCTAAATAAAACATTCCAAATGCCTCTGTTTGCACGTCAACAACGAATACATCCATCACCTAAACTGTACAGACAAGGTCACCATAGTCGTATATATCATGCAGACAACTCCCATGATGAATATCAAGATGTCAGCTCCTTTTGCCCACTGTGACCTCGCGATACCTTTCCAATGCAGATACGCCGGATAAAACAAGATCAACGGAACACATAAAATGGACCCAACCAAAGCCACGAACTGATCCAAGTTCTGGGCGCCCAATGCTGCGATTAAACCACAGAGAAAAACAATACCTGTTCTGAAAATATTCTTCTTCCACTTGGTGAGGCGGCTTCGCCGACCAGAGGCGCGGTCAAATATCTTTTCCTCCATGATCCGCAAAGCAGGGAAAAGCTGCACCGGAGTGCCCACAAGCACGGCTAGCGAGAAGGATAATCGGACAAAGTTGACCAAGACATCCGACTGGGGGAAGTTGTCCATGACATTGATCATTGTCTGGGTGCCAAATGCCCCGTATGATAAAATCCCGACGGAAGCAAAAAGGAAGGTTATAATGGCCATGACACTATAGAGGATGCGATCAAAATGATCGGGTTGTGCCATCGAAGATTGTATGGGAAGGATCAGGCCTATTCCCTCAAACATGAATATGTCCGATCCGATCGTCATGGTATATGTATTGGTGTCGAAAAGGGTGACCGTGGGCTCGAAACCACGGCCGGAAATCGTCGAAATATCGTAGTAATAAATGTATCCAATGGCGAAAAAAATGAAAACATCCGCGACTAATGCCACTAGCCCGAGTCGAGAGATTTTGCGAATTAACGCAAGAGGCACAAGGATCACTAACTGCAGGGCGACGATTGTGTAAATGGACGGCGTTATATGAGAGGCCGCTACGCCCTCCACAAATGAACGCATGTTCTCCGCAGTAAAAGCAATACCAGCGCACACGAATCCAAGCTGCGTAGTCACGACCGAAACGCGAATAATTGTGCGAAGATGGCCCCCGCCAATAGATTCTCCAATATCGCCGTACCCACCGCCATACCGTCGCCGGCATTCCAGCAGTAAGTGGAAAGAAATGGACGCCATTATCGAAATCGTGAGAAGAGCGATGGGTGAAAAGAATATGCCACCGTTGCGGAACGCCTTTGGGAGGAAAACGATGCCTGTTCCTATGAAGGCTTTGAGGAGTGTGAAGAAAGTTTTCAAGTCCGAGGCATCCCCTGGAGCTGGAGTGCTTTTACGCCCGGCAAGCAATGGCCTTCTTTCCGGGTCTACTTCACGCCCCGGCATTCCACCACTTTCAGCATCTGTCTCCTCTTCCGACTCGTTCAGGTCCTCACCAGCGAAGCTGCCGTATAATTCTAAATACTTCACGAAACTACTCGGCGCAAATCCGTTAAGGAAGGCACGCTCATTTCGCCATATGAACTGCCGGCGGAAAGCTCCTGGTTCATTGCGGATAGGAACATCGACGTCGATGTCGTTGTCTGTTTCCAGTCTAGGTGGGTGCGCAAATGTTGCTGCGCGCTGATCCAATCCGGCCCGCTTCGAACGAGCCTCAATACGATAGAGGTCACGATGTACATCGCCTCCTAGCAGTTTGAGAGACGATTGTCGGTTGTCGTCGTCATCTGCAGTTGACCCAGCCCCCCCATCAACGACGCCGGCTGGAGCCCCGGTAAATTGAGGGTCCAGATGCCTGGAGATGACTTTTACGTCATCCTCGCGAGGATTGTCTAGGCCTCGAGCATCGGCCATTGCGTGCTGGTATATTTTCAGTCAGCGTTTCTTTGTGGGTGGTGGGATGTCGCTAACGGGGCATTCTTTTCAAAGTGAAGGTGGGAAACCCAGCCACCACAACCGGAAATTCAGACATGACGTCATATAAACCGCTAGAGCCAGAAATGGCGACAAAGCTCTAGCTAAATCCATCAACCTTGGAGATGTATGGACGTCCACCATGCCTCTCTCTCATCGTTATTGGCCTTGCGATTGATGATGTCAGGCTTAATCGTTCTGTTAAGTCGACCCGTCAACTTGAGCTCATCGACAAAAGTTTTAGACCCAGTCGTAATAATGGCACGGTTTTGCCGCTGCCATAACTACTTTTATAATCCTCACTTTTCAGGTGATGACAGTCACTTACATCTAATCTTGTCTCTACATTGCTTGGTCATTGCTTTCGTCGTTTGACCACTCCATGCGTAATGTCTAGAGCTATCCAATGGAAGCAACCTATTAGCAGATGAATCCTTTCAATTTCCATTCCCATTCATGATCCACTAATTTTTAGCTACATGTTGGTGGGAGCTACGATATTATTCCATCATGTAGGTAAGTATACAGTTATACTTGCGGCCTTTTTTGGAAACTTGTAGGTACAAGCTTGTAGGTACATGGAATGCACATGAGAAGGGACGAAGTCATGATTTTTTTAAGATGTAGTCTATACCACCAGACGACTTTCGAGTGGATTGGTACCCTATGCTTCGCCAGATCTGACAGGGGAGAAATTTGAGATATCTGCTGGTGGAGATTAGGTGCGTGGAAATGGAGATAAGAAACGTATGCTATATGAGGGGGCAAAAATGCAAATGACCGGCACACACCAGAGGCTAGTATTTCTCCCGAGACCATGCAAGATCCGTGCACATACCACGACTCTCACAGGGCCAATCCATCGGAAAGCGGGTTGCTTCTGGATTGACAGACCGGATGACGTCTTCTGTTTTGTGGGGTCTGTCTTCAATTTCTGACTTTATATAGCTGAAGAAAATCATAGACGAACGACTCTCCGTCACTTGCCCCATATCCGCGGCGGCTCCATGAGACATCGAAGAAACGTTTGTTAAACTTTGGTCGGCTTATCACTCGGGCTTGTGCGTTACTTCCGGCTTAAACCACATAAATGAAAGAAATCTCGCTCCTGGGAGCCCGATCGGTGGCCACAGGAAATAGCAGTCCCTTGCAATATCCGCTTAAAATAAGTTTTGCTTCAAATACACTTAAATAATAATAAGTCGTCTTTGAAATTTACCCAAGTCAACTTAATGGATATTTCCATATTAGTAGTATTTTAGCTTTATAGTTAATGCTAATAACGTAAATCCTAAATGAGATATTGTACTATAAGCAAATAATCTTTTAATTCTAAGTTGAGTTAAACCTAAGGTTTTGCCTTTGAATTAGCAAAAAATGCTTTAAAAATAGAAAGTAGACAAGTAAGGATATCTTGATACAGCTTTACCTTCTGTTAATTGTTTGTATATAATAGTTAAGAAATATCATGTAGCAACAACACTAAAGTATTAACCTTAATATAAAGAATATTATACCACTAAAGGAAATTTAGAAAGTGCTTATTCTTCTATATATTTTATATTATTAACAACTATAATAATGCCTGCATTAATGACGAGGAATTAATAATGGAGGACATGACCATGTAGATATTCAAGGCGTGCCATTTCCGTTGCTTTCTCTCCTATCTTCCTGTATTCCGCAGTTCCCAAAGCCTCCTAGCCAAGGTGCCTTTCAATCTGTCACCACAATCATTGTAGCCTTCACCCTTCTATCAAAGGTACTTGCAGTCAGTGACTGACCCATTGATTTCTAGGCAAACAATCTAGAAACTGCATCGGGATTCGAGCGTCGCGACTCCTATAATCGAACAGCTCTTTGGCGTGCCGTCTTCAGATGCGATGTGGCAAAGGTGAAATCGTTGCTAAAAAGCGGACAAAATGCATTAGTGGCGGATCGAGATCGAGCCACACCGCTCAACTGTGCAATTACGCGAAACAATGCTTTGATCGCACGACTCCTACTGGAGCATCTGAAAGCACTTTATCCCACGACCACTTTCCTAAATGACACCGACCTCAACGGTACCGAGCTGCCACTGTGTCTGGCTGCTGAATATGGACACACGCAATTGATAGATCTGTTACTCGACTTCGTGCAGATGCCAATGCAGGCGACCGGCGTGGGTATACTCCGTTAAACCACGCGGCAAATCAGGGACAATTGGCGGCAGTGCGGTTGCTTCTTGAACAGCAACACATTAGTTTGCAGGCACAAGGCCCCTCAGGGTCTACCGCTCTTCATGTCGCTACGAAGCGAGACCACTTTTTTATTGTGAATTCGCTTTTAGCCGAGCCGAGCGTTGATTTATCAACAGCAAAGATATGTCCGGAAACACCCCCCTCTGGGTCGATTCGACTGAGACATGATGACATCTCATTTCGACTACTAGCTGAGGCAGATGTGAATCCCAACGCTCTCGGTTGGATGAGTGATCTACCTACCACGCCTCTCTATGAAGCTGTGGCAAGACAGGACTATTAACCTGTGGGACGACTTGTCGAAAACCCCGACTTAGACCCAAACATTCTCGGGCCTTTCCGTTGGACATCCCTGGATCACGCGGCACGTGACGGCAATGTTGCTATAGTGTGGAAACGAAACGGAGTAATTGATTGTCCTTTCCGGAGAGTGTAGAACTCCAGCTAAATACTAACGTAATTCCCAGCCGAGTGACGCACCCAACCGAGTGACGCACCCCCAAACACCATAGTAAATGCGATAAATTACAACATCATATCTTAGCAACGATAGAGTATTATAAAGTCATCTTATATTTCTATGTTCTTTATAATATATCTTGCGTATTTTTAGGACCGTGATATAATTCACGCTATAACGATCTAGATATATATATTTATGTCCTGAACATCAAAAATACGGTGTATTTTATAGTAACGCAAGAAAATAACCTTTGAATTACCTTCAAGTTGATATATTCTGATTTTTATACCTAAGAATGATAGTTTGCCAAGTATCAAAGAGAAATGATTTTTCGTTGCTGAGATATAAGGAGCTGAAATATCGCTCTTATTATGGTGTTTGGGGGTGCGTCACTCGGTTGGGTGCGTCACTCGGCTGGGAATTACGTTATCTGCTAGCTGCTTAGGTAAGAAATCCCGTACGGGATTTCGGAATATAGTATATCCATCCTCCGGCTGGCCCTGGGGACCACAATAGTGAAGCTACTGCTTCAGAGGGACGATCTTCGATGTAATGCAGTGAGTCTAGAGGAAGATTGCCCGCTTTGGTTGGCTACAACGTGCGGTAGAACTGGGGTGGTTGATCTCCTGCTGCAGCAGGGCAGCCGAGTGGACATCAACTGTCAAAACAACAAAGATGGTGAAACTGCCCTGTCAGCGGCGGCCCGTCTCGGAGGTCAAGGTCTACACATCTTGAAGCTCATTCTGGAGGATTCACGAACAGTGCTCAATGCTGTGGACAAGTCGGGCAAGAGTGCGCTATGGCACGCTGACTCAAAGGGACACGTTCAGGTTGTAAACGAGCTCCTGAAAGATCCAAGGCTTCACAGCGATCTGACATATGTTCCTTCGGCGGTGGGCAAGCACTAGATGCTCTCGACTCGATCAAGTGACCTGGGGAAATGAAATGTCGGATCTGCTTTGACCAAAAAAGCGCTGCGTATCTGTTGACGACCGGGGCTCCAACTGTGGGAGTAGTTCTTCAATGGCCCTCTGCTCTATGTAGATAGTCCAATAACCAAGCCTTTTCTTGTGCATGTAGCCAGCATATAGGCTTTGTCTATCTCTTTGAATATATTTTGCTTCAACTTCACTCTGGACCCTAATGACCAGTAATGTGCAACTAAAACCGTAGTGCCGAAAATAAGTCTCTCTGAGGATCACCCTTGGAATACGTTCATCCTCACCTTACTCCGACGCTTTGTAAAAGGATCTCGGTCGGCATAGTATATTGGCAAAGCCTTGAAGTAAAATGCTTATTCGGCGAGACTGAATCTTCGGAATGACTGTACTCTAAAACCAAGAAAAAGCTTTCAGAACGTACCATGGCTATACACGCAGAAAAAGGGCGCAATGCAAAAAGAAATGATTAAATATGGCAAGGTGAACCAGATATGAAGACTAAGAGGTCATCCGATGATTGTCGAACTATACAAATGAGTAGAAAGGATGGCCTAGATTCAATTTATCGTCCCAGCTATTATACCGTCATAGGCGTGGGGAAACTTGACGCCGGTCACGAAATTGAGAAACTTCAGGGTATCATCCTGCGACTTCTGCAAACCACCAAGCCTACCCCTGACACCCTCCCTCTACTGTCCCAGACTCTGAGGGTGCTGATACCGTCTGCATGGACTCTCAGTCTCTTTGATGCCATATGACAAGAGACGGAAAGGGGATCAACAAATATGGAACAGTCTCTCGTAAGCCCATGTCCAGCGACATGGCCTTTTTCTTTTGCATATATCGACTCAATAATTCCCCGATTCGTATGCCCTACAACTCCTCCTTCTCCTCTTCAATATCGTCCATTTTGAGCCTTTGTGCTTTGCAGTGGTCGTAGTTTGCAAGTGCTATCGCAGCGCGACTTGCCTGCTCGTTTTCAGTTAGTGTGCTCCATCTCTCCGCCCTTCTCAATTGCGCAAGGTAAGATTCTACGTTGAATTTAAGAGGCTCTCGCTTTTCAACTTGGCCCGGGGTGCTTTCAAGGTCGGCGGCATTTGGAGCAGGTGTAGGAGGCTGTTGAACAAAAAGGTCGCGGTCCTCCTCCTTCTGTTCAGACACAGCGGGGAGATCCGGATAACCAACATCCTCTTGCTTTACTTCCACTGGTCTCCACTGGCGAGGTGGCGGTGGCGGGCGTTTCAATACTGCCAGTGGTTATAGAGCCAGGATTTCCCCTGAACTTAGATTTGGGGCATCTAGATTTGGCCGATGACCTGGGAGGGGCCGAGTGCGTGCGAGATCGTTTCTCGCGTATGAAAGCGTCCAGCGGGCAAACAGAAGGGAGGCGATCAGGGCTGCTGCGCCCAGCGCCCTCTTCGTACGCCAGCCATCTGTCTTCCTGCTTGTCCCAAGCTGTGGTTATGGCGTGGCTGATCACCCCAGCCTCGACGGAGGAGCGCAGCAGGAGGGTGACAATAGCGGCCATTGTGCAGTAGTCGCCTATGTCAAACCTCCGTCGCTTGCCGACGTTCATGATCAGCCGAAAAGCCATGATGGCCACGCTCGCGCCCGTCAAGGCCCACATGATGATGATCTCCTGCGTGAGGAGACTCATGGCGGCTAATTAGCTGAAGGAGTGTCGAGGTGGATGTATGCTTCACCCGTCTGGATCCCGTGTGGTTCGCGGCGGTGATCATAGCAGGGTTTAGTCATTTATATCAGTGGGGCGAAAGTAGAAGCCGGAGATACGAAGTAGTGCGACCGGGGGGTGGTATTCTGTGTTGGTGGACATAGGGAAGCTTGGGAGTTTCCTCCGGGAAAAAGCCGAGTCTAGACTCTGCAGGGACTCTTATCTATATGCCGTGCCTGTATTCCTGGCTATTCTCTAGCATTAGCCCAGGGATAGTATGCTCTGTGGTTCTATACGTGGTTTTTCTTACTTATTGGCTACAATGTGGAGTATGCTTGCCCTGCTTGTCCTACTTATCCTTGACAATGATTTCAGCAATACAGACTGGTACTAACTATCTAGCCTAGTCTATTTGTGCAGAGAGACGTATGGGCGAGAAGACGAAAACCGTGGGATATGAACGACTGACATGTCGGCTAAGCGAGCAGCCTATATGGTGGAATTACATGATAATATCCGAGGCGCCTCTGCTGTTTCGTTCCCCTTGTTCCCCCGTCCTCCCATCTTTTGGAAGGTGAGCTTTCAGGGGCGCGTAGCATCGAGTCTCAAAGCGGAAATACCGATATTGTTAGGTTTGCCCCTGAACCCTGCAACCCGTACTTCGGACATTACCGGACTGCAGGTTGTGAATCCCTCGCGCTACTAGCGCACTTCCTCCTCTAACCTGAGATAGGTACTGTACTTATATTTGTTACTAATAATAGGATTTCTTTTTACCTAAAGAAAGAAGATATGGAGAGTTGATCTAGGGTCCAGGTCTAAGAAGCGAGCTTTTGAAAGAACTTGGAGGGAAGTCATGGAGTCTGGGAAGGGAAATGAAACAGCGCGGCGCTATTTACTCGGTTGAAGCGAGGCGGGCCAATACGCATCGGTCGATCCGGGCGATCTAAACCGAGTCCGTCTCCGGTCTCCGGCGCTCCGCGCAGACTAAGACGGCGTGGCGACGCTAAAGAGAAGCCAGCCAGTGCAAGGTGGCGGGGCGACCATGTTCTAATGTCAGCGCATGGGAGACGATGTAACCGCGCCCTGCATGCATTCGAGACGCTATAACGCTCCGGCGTGCTAGAACAGCCTTTGGCACAGTGGAAATGCCTCAATTGTCCCTCCCTCCATCCTGTATCCGTACGCTGCCGTGTTCCGCGGGTAGCAAGATGAACACCCCTTGCCCATGGTGGGAGTGGAGAAAGGATTGCAAGAGACGGCTCGACACGCTTCGAGGACAGGGTCACTAGCTAATTAACCAACGCCGGCTCTCCTTATCCTCGCCCCCCTTGTAAATATATCGTTGGTCCCAGATGGGGAAGGAGGCACGCGACACTGGAAAGGGTAGCGCGAACCCCCGCAAACTGGGATCCGCATAACGTTCTATCTCCACGAGTCGATAGTTGTGGAACATTGGGAAACGCAAGGCAGGCCAAGCAAGAGCCCGGGATCCCGTCGCCACGTTTTGACAAGACAAGACAGTCATCCCCTGATCGAGCGATTTAGTAATTGACATCGGTGTTGCCCTCCCCTCCGTTTTCCCAGCCCCATCTAAGGCTACTACCCTCCTCTGCCCCAATTTTGCTTCCTTTCACTCCTTTTAGTCTATATATCAACCACCCTCTGTCCTCTACCTTTTCTTCTTTGTGGACTGCAGTGTTCGAAATATTGCTGCCATGATGCGGTCCCTCGCGCAGCTCAAGGCCCTCGTGGTGCCTCTGCTCGCGCTGTGTGCGCAGGTCAGCGCGAAGCACGACACGATGGTCAACTCGCAGATACGCCTCGCGTACGTGGGAGACACCGCCATGAGGGTATCGTGGAGCGCCTTCGACAAGGTCGACCGTCCCGTCGTATTCTACGGAAAGACGCCTTCTGCCCTAGTCTACGCCGCCTCGTCCGACGAGTCCGTCACCTACAACACCTCGTCGGTCTACGCCAACCATGTGACCATTGAAGGACTGGAGCCGGACACTGTCTACTACTACTCCCTGCCGCAGCATCTCATTTGCGACAATGAGGCCCACGCCCAGCCTCCTTTCAGCTTCCGCACCAGCAGGTCCCCCGGGGATATGACGCCCTACTCGGTCGCGGTGGTCATCGACATGGGCACTATGGGACACAATGGATTGACCACCTCCGCCGGCCAGGGTGTGAATCCCAACAACATCCTCCGGCCTGGCGAACAAAACACCATCCAGTCCCTCGACGCGGTCAAGGATGACTACGAATTCATCTTCTACCGTACGTTCACGCCCACGCGCTTATACCGCGTTTTCCTAACCAACTAAACCTTTTCACTAACCTCGCCTTGCGCGCGCGCACACAGCCGGCGACTTCGCCTATGCCGACGATTGGCTCGATGAGGAGTCTGAGGGCTTCCTGCCGAACACCACCATTCAGGAGGGCTATGAGGTCTATCAGTCTATCAACAACGACTTCTACGACGAGATGACGAAAATCTCCACCGTCAAGCCCTGGATGGTCGGCGCCGGCAATCACGAGGCCAGCTGCATCCCGGACGGCGTCGAGACCTACAACGGCATCTCCTACAACGCCAGCCTCATCTGCCAGCCCGGCCTCACCAACTTCACCGGCTATAGGAACCACTGGCGCATGCCATCCGACGTTTCCGGCGGCCAGGGCAACTTCTGGTACAGCTTCGACAACGGCATGGTCCACTGGATTATGCTGGATACGGAGACTGACCTGGGCGATGGCTTTATCGGGCCGGACCAGACAGGCGGCGTCGAGAAGGATATTGCAGGCCCCTTTGGACCCTACGCTAACGCGCAGCTCGACTGGCTGAAAAAGGACCTCGCCTCGGTTGACCGCACTATAACACCGTGGATCATCGTCGGCGGCCACCGCCCCTGGTACCTTTCGTACGCCAATCAGTCCACCACCATCTGCTGGGACTGCAAGGACGTCTTCGAGCCCTTGTTTCTCGAGTACGCCGTCGACCTCTACCTGTCGGGCCATGCACACTTCTACCAGCGCTCTGCCCCGCTCAACAACAGCGTCATCGACCCCAGAGAGCTCGATAACCCGACCTCTCCTTGGTACATCACCAACGGCGCCGCCGGTCACTACGATGGCCTCAGCGAGGGCACCAACCCACCAGCACCCTACGAGCGCTTCCGACTCGACGAGAGGGATGCCACCTACGGCTGGTCCAAACTGACTTTCCATAACAGAACCCACCTAACCCACCAGTTTGTCGCTTCGGGCAACGGCAGCATCCTGGACACTGCTACCCTCTACAAGGAGCACTAGCAGTGAGACTGTTGGGTTTCTCAAACGTCCTGGAGAAATGTCCTCAATCGTTCTTTTCCTGTGTATTATATAGACACTTGAGTACATAGATAATCACCCTACCGTGCAGGTATTAATGAACGGTCGTAAGAAAGTTGTCTTAATTTGTGTCACAATAATCTAATTGGAAGAACTAGAATGTTTCGCCTGAAACAATCTCCCTCCCGCTAATAGCCACTTACAATGGCGGGGTGAGGGGGTGTAGAGAGATGGAATCGTTTGGATCTAGACGTTTGTAATTTTGACCAGAAATCCACCAAGGGCTGTAGACTTTCATGGCACAAGAGAGCTTTCATTATGCTTCGTGTAATATCTTGTTGAGTGTTCGTTCTTCTGTCGCAATTTGAAGATAGGCATGAAGGCGGGAACACAAGCAGCAATGATACTACTGGAGAGCTTGAGGATAGTTGTCTTTCAAGGATAGTGCCTAGGGCTAAACATCTCACTACTACATATAGCGGGGGTGCCCAATGTTAGATGTTACTATATTAAGTACCGCTGGACGTCAAGATGAATTCCCTGGAATAGCAAGGCTTGCACGAGATGTTCTTTCTATTCTAGCTAGTAGTATAAGAGTAGAGCGGCTTTTCAACTCTACACGAGATATCTGTCATTATCGCCGAGGCTCTCTACAGCCTCAAACGATCTCGGATCTTATGATGTATATATATACATCACGGTTCGAGATTCATGAAGAGGAGCGAATAATGCTCTCAGAATATCTTTCGGCTCAGGAGATACAGGCTGCAAAGGAAGAGAGAACATAGCAACAAATCACCGTTGATCCAATTAGTGATGATGAAGAGGCTGAAGGGCCTTCTACAGAGCTCCCGAGTCCGAGTAACTTTACAGCTCCGAGCAACCTCGCATGCCATAGCAACTTCACATGGCCTATCTACAAATTGGTGAAGCTGGTTTTGCACTTCTCTATAAAATAGACATTATCGAAGTGGTTGGTTTGTGTGGGGTTTCCCCGGACGGAAAGCATCTCATTTATCTAGTATTCCAGATTGGGCGGAGGGCCAAGATGAAGATGTGTTGAGCCGATATTTTAAAGTCAACGAGAGGGAAGTCGACAATTGGGGAGTTTTTGTGAGGAGCATTTTTCTGTATTTGCGACTGGTATTCTTAGGTACATCACCTAGAAAGGCGGAATTTTCAAAGGACCTGTAATCTTCGATTAGACATTTGCATGCATTCTTTTGCCGCTTGGAGGGTAGAGTATCAAAGCCATTTTTAAAGTCCCGACTTACGGTGAAATATCCATGTAAGAAGGGGCTTTCAGAGAGAACTCTTGTGCCTGACCTCGAACGACACGGCGAAAAGGAAGATCAGACGCTAACGTTATAACAAGAAGGGAGAGGATGAATGGTTAGAGGGGTCGAGGTTTAGTAACTATAAGTGTTGAAAGGTTTCTATATAGAATTCATCAGAGAAAACGCAGAAAAAGAGTGCATCCAGAAGGTGAGACGACACTCGCTTCCCCTTATCCTAGAACAGTAAAGCTTATGAAAACTGAAGAAGCTGCTTTTCTGGAGCGTTGACCTAGGGGATGCTTGGGACCTGGAAACCGATTCTTTGATTATTTACCCCGCAATAGGCGTCTTTTGCAAGATATCTGAAACGTAACGTAAAATTGTTGGGATCTAGCTGATTTGATAGGTTCACACCCCACAATACTACGTATTATGCTGTTTCTGAAACTTCATATACATTCAATTCTGCCGATCGGGTCTAGAACCTGACTTGATCCTTAAACTCTAGCATGTGCTGTCTTCCTACGGTGTATTCCTGCGGTTTTTTATAAATGGTGTCGCTGCACCCTACCAATTCCCGAAATATCATGTGTAGATATTCACCCTCTACCATGGCTTTGAATCCGGACGGGAAACCCATCTCCGCCAAAGGTATGACATCCTGAATTGATTGATTAATGGAAGCTTATTTTTTTCAGAGCTTGCGCAGAAAATTTCCTTTTCAAGCTTAACCTTAACGGTAGATGACTTACCTACCAATGGCGATACTGAAACAGACAACGGCAGGCGCCCGAGAACTTGGTGGAAAAACGAGATCGAAAGGGTAATGCTAGAAGAGGAACAAAGCTTTGCAGAAGAAGCTAAACGACTGCGACAATTTGGCCTTGTTGACGGTCAGTCACAGGCAGTTCCTTCCTCTTCTAATGCCGCGAAAGAAACGTTTCCTGATTGGAAATAGGTAGAGAGCGGCCTCGAGGACGGGAATGAATATTTAGCTATTCTTAGCTCCAAGCTTAATGTCGCAAGCTCTCAAATCGTTGGCCGGCTTCGATTTGCAGATGTTGTGCGTCGAGCGTTTGGGCTTTTCTCCGCCGAAGTCGATAGCTTCATTTCCCATTATGACAACTTCAGTTGGGGATTGAACAAATTTTGTTCTGAAAACCTTCATCTCCTGAAGCGTTTGTTATCCTTAAGACAGGTATGGTTCAGTCAAGTTCAGTGCAAGCGAGTTTGCTAATAGAAAGCAGTCTTTACGGGATGCAAATGCAGATCCCTTCTTATGTGCTGCCATAGACGAAGCCTGCAACCCGTTGACGGATGGCATGCCTACGGCTAAGCTTCTCAAATTATCGATTATCCAACCGCTAGCAAAACTTCTGGATGTCTCTACATCTCTGAGGAGTATCCTACAGCGATTATCTATCCTAGAAAGGCGCTTTACACGATACCGTACCGTTGACGCTGACTTGACGGTGCCTTTTGACACTAATACTGATTTATTTGACAATATTAAATGCCAAAATCTGGAAGTTCTTGCTTTGCAAATGACAATCGAGGATCTCAATGTTTTAGGGCGGCTGAATATACAGGCGATAGGCGGAGAAAGCAACCTAGGTCGAAGCCGCGTCAACAACAGATGGAATGAACTTTGCCTTTCGGTACAGGATTGTGTCGCAGCTAAAGTTGGTGCGACAGATAAAATTGAGAAACTCGCATAAGTATGTTTTGGAAAACGTCGGCTAAAATACTTTCTAACTCACAAGCCACAGATGATGTACAGAATGCGCAACTACTACTCCCTCTCCGCAATTATACAGGGCGCTGAATGTGCCGGTGATCTACCACATCTAGTGAAGAAGTTTGATTATCTTATAAACCCCCAGTTTCCGAACCCCTATGCCGCGGAGAGTGGTTATCAAAGAAATGATGCTACACTGTCGGACCAGTTTATTTGGGTCACTGCATGTTATCTTATGGCTCACAATCCAACAAAGGGGGAGATGGATTATTTTCCGCAGACACCTAGAAACAGCCTTGACCGAAGTGAACATCTTTTTGATTCCGATGAAGATGACGAACAAGGCTGCTTTTTCGGCATTGCACATTTATTGTCTAGTATCCAGGAGACTTTGCTTAAGTTCTACTACGATTTGTCGTCTGAATCTGTTTAAACTTTCGTTCAACGGACTTCTCAACTTATATGAAACATTTCGGCCATAATCAATAATCTTCTCTAATGCGATCTAATTCCATTAGCGCAATGACTTCAAGCACTCTTTCCGCCCTAAGTAGGATTGCAATGAAGCTATAAAATAACTCTCGGGTCCCTTTTTTAATTGCGAAACCAGGTAATAATGAGCCTGTCTACCCCCAGTTCCTATTTTCCCCTGCTATTCACACCATTTAATCACCATCAGTTTCTTCCGTGTCTTCCCTTTCTTCCGTGTCTTCCTTAGCTATATCATAAGTTTAGCCTAGCAAGATTAATACTTTCTATCAAGGGCAAACTCACGGAGCTTGTATTCCACGATAAGGCTTACTCGAAAGCACTCGTAGGGTGAGGGCGGCCCCCCTCGGTCCTCGCCCAATGGAAGATCCTTCTTAGGAACTGTCCTTCCAAGAACTTTAAAGAAATAGGAAAGGAAAGACTCGATATCATTCTTCGCCTGAAGCCCTTGGTGAATATCGTCCTGCTTTCTCCGAAAATGTGAGGATATAGAATCTTTGCTCTTCTGAAGACGCGAGCATTGAGGACAAACAAAATCCTTCTTAGTGTTTTTAATTATTCTCTCCAGTATAGCGCAGGACTGATCCAATGTGTTTCCTTTTGAAGGCCCCTTTTTCAATGCCACGAACTCGATGTCAAAGAAGGCACTGTACCGCGGACGCGTAGCGGACTCCTGAAAGTCTTTCGGGGAATCTTTACTGGATGCGTCACTCCAGCCCATAGCGACCTTGTAACTGGCTAGAAACAGTGGTAATTGGTCTCTTCGAGAGAGCCCCTTATGAACCTCATCACGGTTTTCGCCGATGTGTTTAAAAAGATTGGTCGGTTCACGAAAGCCCTTGTCGCAATAGACGCAGATGAATTTCAGGTTGGAGCATTTTGCAATTTATATCATAACTGAGTATTTTCGAAGATCGTCATTCCTAGATAGGATTTGTTCATCCATCGCGAACAGAATCATCTAGAGTATTAGATGTTAACAACAACAGTAGAGGGATTCGTTTGATCTTTATAATCAAATCTTTTTAGAAGAAGCCTTTCTACTTCTATCCCTTTTTAGCAGAATGCTAGGTCAATTAAAGCACCTTTCCGGTATTCTAGTCTCATATCTGAAAATACCATGGAGTGGTTTTGTGTCCTTCAAGTTGGCGTTTTCCAGTCTGCACCGCCAGATGCCATCGAGCCGTCCCCATTTCAGGAGTCACATTTTTATCAGTCAGGCGAAAAAGGAGATCCAACATCCTACTCTTTTGTCTCCGAGAGATGGAATAGACTAGAGCAATGAAGATGTAATTGTGAAGTATAGAAAATGCTGCTGCGTTTCGTTCCGTTATCAGGCCTAACCTCCTCAGGCACAACATCTAGGTACTACATTCTTTCTTTTGAGGTTAAGTCATTTCCAGTATTCTTAATAAAGGCAAAAGCCCTGTCTGGCCCGATAGGCACCTAAAGGGCTGTCCCCGTTTGTTTGGTTGGGAGTTGTTCCTAATCCATATGTCGCCTTTGTAGGGCTGGCATATGCATTTCTGACGTCCTGGCTCACTTGACCCAGATTATTACCGCCAGAGAGAACATCTGACGAAAAAAGAGACCAAATAGACTTAGGTAAAGGGGCTTTCAAAGGGAATAGACATGCCATAGTTGACCTGTTCGCATCAAGGTAGAGGAATATCAACGAGGAAGGATGTGTACGCAAAGAAGAGCCCTAGATATATCAAGGTTTAAATGAGCCCGACCTGTTACAATGCTTATATGTGCGTCAGAATAACGAGATAGATCACAAGGTTCATTATAGCGGCAACAGACTACATACGGTGACGTAGAGTTGAAGTGTGGGTTACCAAAAGACGAATGAGAGTTCCGTACTTAATAGGCGAAGGTTGAGGAGTTATAAGGAGGCTAGTATTTCTTGATCTATTGGTAAGCCGCACCACGGTCATTTGTAGTCCTAACGGACCCTTCCTCCTTTCCCTCATATATTGTGCCTCTGATTCACTAGGCTTTTGAATACCGAGTGAGCATCACCGCAAGATTTATTCTTTCCCGTTTCACTGGAGCGTCTTGAAAAAGGACTGGTATTCGCCTGACGCTCATGGACGATGTGCCGTACTATTTCTTTTCCATCTTTCCTATCTTTCCCATCTCCACTATGTCTCACTTCGTCTGTAACCATAGAGCGGCGAATTTCCAATGGAGACATAATGTGCTCTTGCCTTTGTCCCTTCGATTGTAGTAGCTCCATGGTGAGTAGTGACGGCGATTGTGAAATTAACTCAGGGGCTCTGCGTTCAAAATATTCTGGCTCGGGGTTTGTGTCGGTGTCTTCCTCATCCTCAATAGCGTAATATGTAGTATCGTCTTGCTTAGGCTCGGAGATTGAGGCCATAATGTCCTTCTTTTTTCCGTTTTGTAGGTTGAGTTATCCCGAGATATGTGCCCTAGGGGACTTTAGTAGATAGAGAAAGATAGAAGACCAATACAAATACCTGAAAGAAAGATTGTCACTTTATAGCTCCTCGCTTAACGAGCAAAGGGTCGCGATATCCAGTGTCCAAGGGTATAGGCTATGCGTAATGAATGGTTAGTTGGACGCCAAGGGTTGTGATAGGGATTTTCCTACCTGGTCTCCACAAGACCACACTATACATGGTATAAATGATTAGAATAAACCAGAATATAAAACAACAAAACAAGCAATGTTCCCTGACTGTCTATATATATTCCGCTTGAATGAAGCTGGGATACTATCATTGTCGCGGTTATAGGTAGAACGTGGGGGGTGGGACGAGCAGATACAAATAGGTTTTATGAAGGCATTACTTTTAATTTATCTTTTCTAGGTATTTATCAAATTTTCCGACTTTAGGTATAGATAACCGAAGCGGGAGGCATATTGATTGCTTCTTGGCAATGCCTTTAAATAATGACCTTCGCGACAAGGACCCCTGCCAGCTGAAGTCCAAGCCATTTTAGACCATATCTTACTACTAAGTGGAACTGGTAGAGCTGTGTCTACTTCGCACTCATTGATATAAGGAGGAGCGATACAGAAACATACATACGTGGAATAGGAGCTTTTTCGAATATAGCTACACCTAACGGAAACTGACAGAGTGATATAGAGAATTTAATTAAGCCACTGAAGATATTGCATACAACGGGCCATTATTAGTGACTTCACTTAGCCGCAACTTAGTCTAAGTACATCCCAAGCAATCAGTAGGCATTGGACGAGGATTCGAGAAGATCTGAATGAGGTAGAAAAGTGATCCAGTCACTGATATCACATGGAAATTTTCAAGGCAAAACCTGGCTTGCCATTGGACCAGACCGGACCTTTCATCATAAGTGGGGTCAATACCATCCAAAATTGCAGAACAGATTGGGGAATGGTCTTCCACAGGGAGAAGTTGCCGCATATGGTAATGGACGTAAACTTCCTGTTTTAAAGCAAGGGCAACCCAGGTGAAACAGCCTTGCTCGGAGGTTGCGAACCGATAATCCGACATTCTACCCCACAAAGCGTGGTATAATTTCCGGCCTAGCAGCCGCCCATGAACCCAAAGCGGACATAGTTCCATCATCACCACATATATCTGGTCAGGCGGAAATGATCTTATCGCAGGAGATAGGCGAAATTTTCTTTGGCATGCGACTACAATGTCTTCTTGAAGGGGAGACATATGTGTGAAAGATGTCTCATCGACGCTGACCACTATCATAGCAGTTAATAACACCTTTAGGCAAAAATGTCTAATTGACTCACGGTTTTCGAAACCGGTGAAGTGAGGTCGTAGATCCAGCGGATCCATCCTAGTCTGAAAGAAAAGATAGTTCGGTGCTCCGATTTTCATATATTTCAAGATCCTCATACAGTAAACAAGAACTGTAGTGCTTTTTATGTATCTTTATCCTTTCGCGAAGTAAGTCTTGCTAGAAGTTCCAGCAAGCGCCATTTGTGCCTAAGGTGGACCGAGCTGTGCAGGGGGGCATTTACAGAAACAACCGCCACCGTGGCCTACAGCGCAAAGTGTAGCAGGCTTCAAGATAGACTATGCATTGCGTATTGGTTTTCCTGCGCACTATTCCACTAGTCGAAGTTTATCCTACACACCCTTGCAAAAATAGTGGCCTAAGCGCTTCCTCCAATCTACAAAATGATATAGATTCCTCCGTTCGTCAACAACTTCTTTCAACCTTTCAAGCTTTCGTCGACTCCCCTCCCACAATTTCTGATCTGGCCATTGTATGGATACGGTCACCTCCCTTTATTCCAACATTGTGCTAATAGGATAGTGGACCACCATGTGCACCGAATATTTTATCACGAAGACAGTCGGCGGCGAACCCAAAAACGAAACGATCATCGATGAGTGCGAGAATAAACCCGCCACAGGCACATACAAAGATTGTCCGGACTACAAATTTGTTCCGTCTGGTTCTAGTCGGCAGAGGAAGGGTCTACCTTCTTGGGCTAAAAAGTAGCTCTAGGAAGCAGGCTTAATAGGTATGACATTTCATCAGCCATTCTAGTTCGGTCATCACCTAACTCGCGATGCAGGGCTATTTTCATCGTTGTCAGGGTTCAGTTCGGGGATCGCGAATAGCTCATCGGAAATCCACTGATAACAAAATTCTGTCTGTCACCTCGCAACTGCTTGATTTTCCTGGTTCAAAAATCAAGCACTTCAAACACATTACAGGGCGCCTAGTTGGTTTGGTCAGGGCATAATCATGTGACCATCGCAACCACTAATAGGATGGGTATGCGGAGCAGACTAGGAAGAACAGAATCGAAGTCGATCTGTGCCAGCTAGTCAGTCACGTCTTAACTCCGGTGCCGTTTGGGGGCACTTAATGGCAGGCGTCAGTTGGACAATCCAGGCGAGAACCTCCTCCTACCTTTTCGGTTCTGAGTTTTGACCCCTGCTTCCTTTAGCCTCTAACATTGGAGGTGACTTATTGTGGCTTCCTGCATACATAAATGTGACCCACGGTCGTGAGACCACCGCACTGACCCCCAGCTGAACTACGGTATTCAAAAAGGCACGGACCATATTCCAATTCGCTTCATTAACATTTTCCCTGTTGCTCAGGTCACCACAGTCTCAATGAGAGACCTCTAATTGTGATGTCCTCATTGAACGCTGTACTATATATTAGATGGTAGTGGCTATTCTACCAGCCGCGAGTTTTCCATGATTCGAGGTTGAGTGAGGCGGCTAAACTATGAATACGATTGGATGGAGACGGAGTACGTGTCTCTGCTTTGGTGCATCTGCAGTTCAACCAATAGCAAGATGGACTGACCCAAGAGCATGTGACTTCCCATCTCAGGCTCCCCTTTGTCCCTTCTCACTTCATAGGACTGGGTTCATTGCCATTGCCTCTTCTATCTCTGCTACCATGGGCCTCTCTGAAAGCAAAGTGATTCTTGAGACCCTTCAAAGAGCCTGCACAGAGGCTGAAAATTATGGAAATAATGATATTATTTCAGTGCTTTCGGAACCGGAGGTATATTTGCCTTAAAAATTGGGCAACCAAATCTAACATCAATCAGTTTATCAAACTCCTCCGACAACAGTGGGCCAATATACCTTTAAAGACCAGAAGAAGCATCGGCCGCAGACCAAATCAGGGACTCAGAAGCTCTCAAAAAAGGCTCAAGGCACCGAATAAGTCACTTATAACACTTCCTCATGATTTTGCGGCCAAGCTAGACCTCTGGGAAACGAATCCTTGGTTGTTTTTCAACGATAACACTAGCATCTCGCTTGACCTTACAGAAGGTCCTCTTGCCGGATCCTACAATTATATATCGACATTGCAGGGGAGAACAGAGACAGATAGGGTACGTTTGCGGTTTTGGAAGGTGACATACCATCGATTGAAAGAGAGGCTGGGCTTGAATTACATACGTGCGGACAATATGGAGATAGTGGCTCAAATTATATCCAGGTTTGGACTGGCTAAGGATACACTGGATTTGATTAAGCAGCACGTCTCTCAGTGGATAGACGAAGGGAAGAGAATCGATACACTGTGTCGAGATATCAGCAACGTTACATCTATGGATAATTCACATCTCGGCACTTTGTTTTGTTTACCTCAAGACATTTCTGACGAAGTGTGAGTTTGATACGCTGATATATTGACCAATCACTAACTACTTCACAGTATAAGAACGTTGCCATTAACTGGACCGGACCGGGATGAAGAGATCCGCCCACTGAAGGATCGTGGTATATTACAAGTTGATGGCAAAGAAAGGTTTGAGAAACTGGCAAACCGCATTTTTGAATATATGTGGGACAAGGTTGAATCCGAAGTTTCCGGCCTCGACGTATCCGGACTAGGTTCAAGTCAGTATGCTCCCCCCCTCCTTCTCATCATATACTGACAAAAACTTGATACAGACTGGAAGTTGCGGAACACTCAATATTTCCGGATACAAGACACAAGGATCTCATGCCCAGAATCTGAGGGGACGAGGACCTCGACAATATCCTCTTCATCCGGTAGAATGAGCCCAGACTCCGGATCTGCAGCGATGATATCCCCAGTATATTCTCCACCAGAACCAGAAAGCACCGCTGACGATGGTGGGGCGACATGCCAGGCTACAGCAATTTGCTTGCAAGATTCAGAGGCTGTAGCTGGGGTAGAATGCACATTCAACCTGTTCCAGAACGTCGAGCCACTACAGACACCGCACGGACAGCAAATCTCATATCCCATGACCGGGGTAGACAGCACATTCAACCTGTTCCAGAACGTCGAGCCGTTGCAGACGCCACACGGGCAGCAAAGCTCATATCCCATGACCGGGGTAGACAGCACATTCAACCTGTTCCAGAGCGTCGAGCCGTTGCAGACACCACACGGGCAGCAAAGCTCATATCTCATGACTGGGGTAGACAGCACATTCAACCTGTTCCAAAACGTCGAGCCGTTACAGACGTCGCACGGGCAGCAAAACTCATATCCTATGCCTGGGGTGTTCCAGAACATCGAGCCGTTGCAGGCACCGCACGGGCTGCAAGGTTCGTTCAACTTATATGAGAATATTCAACCACTTCACCAACCATTTTCTGGTTCCTTTTCGCCACAAGGTACTTCCTGTCAACAACTCCCTCTACCTATTTCTGTGCCTTGATCCTTCCTTAAGTTCATTTTTCGTACCCATAATGCAGCAACAATTCATCGTCTAAAGACAGGATGAATTCATAGGAACACGAAAAAGATAAATAAAACTTGGCACTTCGGTATCAGTAAGGTAGAATGAATACAGCAGTTGCCCCTGGGCTGACCGTCGGATCATCTGTAATATAGGTGTACTTGCCCTCTTCCAGTACAACTCCAGGTGTCAAAGTGAGATTTTTCAAAGGTATAACATATCCCTGTTTCCGTTCTTCATTGTTGAGTTTCGTTGCCTTCGGAAAATGTACCAAGCGATAACCCCAGCTCTAATCAATCTTAATCAGTCCAGCACCCTCGAAAAGACATTTTAAAATACATACACCACCAATCTTCATCTCATCCTTCATAAGCGATATCTTATCCATGAGTGACGCTCCTCCATAAGTTTTGGTCCCATGTTCGTCTACTTCGAGAACGATCGCGTGACGCTTAGAAGGCTGATCCGAAGAAGCTGTTTCAGGTATCATTTCTTTAATTTCATTGCGAATATCTTCGGCAGGACCGGGAAGATCGTCGTGAGTCATATTGAAAGGAGTCGTAACTACCGAGGAAGGCAGTGAGAATCAGCAACGAGTGCCTTTTGAAGGTCAATCAAAGGTTCAGTATTTCGAACAAGCGGGGTTTATTACTTACTCCGGGAACAATCGAGAAGTGACCATAAGTTAAAAATGTTTCCAGGTCGCTGGAATGGAGGGGGAGGGGTAAAGAGGGCTCCGGCGGCTGGACATCAGGCATGAAATCGCAGGGCCACGATCACGTGGATAAAGTCACATGAGACTAGCGAAGTGGATCATATAAGTGCCCCAATAGAAACCACTAAAGTTCTATCTAACAATTTGTACTTGTGGTTAACTACTATACTATAGACTTTCCAACGAGGCTGGGTACAATGGCTGCTGAGGCCTGTGATGGGCCTTTTACCCACGCATTAAGTTAACGTCGACCTTGAAAGGTTCTACCAATCATACTGCGTCATGTGACAGATCACGTGCATTTCAAAGTAGCCTGCATAAGTAGTCATCATTCCCCCTTCCCTTAAGTGATAGCGATTTCTCACGGGAGATCTCACTTATGCTATTTTCTTTTACTCCTTGTTCGTTCCATCATGAAGATACTGCGATGGTTTCAATGGTCTATATGGTCCCCTTTTTGGCACTTCTCTTCGAATATTTCCAGATGTGCTTTCTGGCCACTTAGACGCCTATTCCTTTCAATTTCTTCAACAGCAAAAAGGGGAGGTCATCATGAGGATGACGAAGAGCGATTGGAATCTGTGAGTTTAGGTCATTAGGCACAGAAAATGTTTTCTAACTTATCTCCTTAGGACGTCGGCTGGTGTGCCGGAGAGGGTCCTCACAAGATCACTATTCGACGAGCCACTCAACGCCCGGATAATTACAAGCTCTTGATTATTGGAATATTTGCTGAAGTATACCTTTTGGACAACAAGATCATCAGAAAGGTCCCCCGGAGTGAGAGTGAAGAAGATATGCGACCGATCATCCGCGAAGCTATGGTTTATGAAAGACTCAGCGTTCATCCACGAATTGCTGAATGGCTCTCTAGAGGCAGATCTGACTATATCGACGTCAAATATTATCAGCATGGCGACCTTGCAAATTATTGTCAGAAATACACGATCACTGCTGAACTTCAATCAAAATGGTTCCAGCAGATCCTGGAAGCTATCGTCGTTATTCATAGCTATGGTGTTATTCATTCGGATCTCGCACTACGGCAGTTTTTCTTGGATGACGAATTGAATTTACGACTTGGCGACTTTAACTCTTCTCAGTGCCCAGGTCACCTCGCTCTAGGCTACGAGAAAGCATCACACTGCCTGCCACGAGATTATGACCTTCCGAACACTGAAGCCTCCGACATCTTTGCTTTAGGGTCTACACTATACGAGCTAGTTGCTGGAAAGGCCCCATATGGCGAACTTGCTGGGCCCAAATCCGACAATCCGGATGTGATCAAAGCACAAATCCAACGACAGCACGAAGTGGACCATGAAATTGAAGCTCGATACAAAAGCCATATTTTCCCTAATATCTCTGGTTTGTTCGGTGGGCAAATCATATTAGGTTGCTGGAGGGGCGATTTTTCTAACGCGAATGAAGCGCTTGATCTGTACATAAATAGTTAGTTTGCTATAGGGGATATTATACAGGGAGCATGACTGGTTAATTACAATCCGTTCCGATTAATGGCCTATACTGTCCCGATTTACTTAGACAAAAGTTTCTGCAACTACAGCCTATTATATATTACCTTTATGGTTAATATGTTGAGAAATGAAGGGGTAGATGATCAGACGAAAAGAAGATGGACAGATAATTAATAGTAAATTCTGATAATGTTTTCTGTTCGTTCTCAGGGGGATATTTATATCCTTCTCCTGAGAACTGTTTTCTAAGGGAAATGCATACAAAACTGTTCTCCTACACCGCTGCCCGGTGTCCATGAGGGAACTTCCCCTGAAAAGAAGCAAAGAAGGTGATATAGATGAGGAACCTGCATATACGGGCGCCCAGTTTCAATAACCTCATGGGCCTAGCTGACCAATCAGTAGCCATCGGGACGGAGTGATAGCTGGGACGGTAGGTTGAATTTCAGTCGGCGGCTCCCTTTCGCCTTGTATAGCTCGAAAGTCATTGGATGACCTCTTCGTCTTTATGTATGTTTCCCTTGCGATGTAAAGTCAAATCTGTTAAATAGACTGTAGTGGCTACAGCCAATGGATTTTTGCTCAGTATCCCTAGTCGTCCCACATAGGCGAAGCTAAACAGATCAGCTTCTATAGTATGACTAATCGATAATCGGTTGATCTCATTGATTCTAAATTCATCGCTTAGCAACATGTCAGATTGTCCGTGCTCTATATCAACTTACTAGAGAGATCTCCGGCCGATCCGCAAAGCGGCGGACGTAGAATCCGGAGCTTTTCGAAGCCCGGTGCCGCATAATTGTGTTAAAGACGACGTAGCGAAACCGGGGATGCCTAGCAAAGCGGCCAGATTCGTGCTTCATTAGATGCCGTGCATAGTGCTTATACGTGACAAACCTCATCCGCGGCAGCGTATACTCTGTAGCACCGATAGGAAATAGCGTCGGGAACGCTAGCGCCTGGCTCCGGTCAAACTCGTTAAGCGGTGTCGTCCGGAAATCTAGCAGGGTAAGATACGTATAGCGGCCCAGCATATCGCGCACGGCGTTGATTTCCGTCTCCTGCGCTGAAAAATCCGGCACAGCAGCGACGACGGGGCAATCATCGTTATCGTCAGAGGCATCCGTCTCGACACTAGCAGGCGCTGAATCTAGGTCCATAGACTGGCTAAGGACCTACTCCATAACATCCCCGTCATCCGGAAGCCGGTCCAGCCGGTCCGCTAAGATAGTGATATCCTGATATCCAGGGTGTTTAACCCGTAAGAAATGTAGCCACGTCGTGATCACGGCTCGCCGCACACGGGAATTCCGGACAAACTGACGTTATACGGGGGTCGGACTGCACATTTGACGGCTGGAGAACGATAATATCTAGGTCCTCCGGAAGCAGGGGAAGCTACGAATAGATGTGCCCAGTATCGCGGGGAAAGTGCACGATATACCCACGGTAACGATACTGCTAGCCGTGAATCTGATGGACTTCGATAAAGACGTGGACTCGAGAAACCAGCATCTCCTCTACCTGCGTCAACACCGGCAGCGACGAGGGCATTATATCCGGTGCTGTTTAGCGTTCGCCCGAGCCCATTGAAACGTCGACGCCGAAGCTAAGGTCGCGCCCAAGGCGGGGAATTAACTTCGCTGTTCGCTTCTGTCGCTTTGCGTGCGAGGGTATGTGCTCGTGTAGAATCCTAACGGTTATATCAGTTGGTGGCTCCTGGGTGATATTAGCCCACATCTCCGACAGCTGGCTGATTGCTTCCATGATCTGAGCGATAAGAGACTGGCCACTGTGGAGACATGGCTCTACGAACGAAAGCAGAACAGCCGGGTTATTCACAACGATTGTAACCCCCTCCCGGTTTTCCACGGTGACATCTGGATACGACGGAGCATCGTCTCAACAAACGACACAGCCACTAACACTGCTCCAGCTGTGCGTAGTGAACGTTGAGCGCTTCATCATTGCCGACCGTCCGCGCTGACGAGAAGATGTCAACTTAATTAATGCGAACAACCAGCCCCGCGTCGACCAGACCATTGCGGACGCCGACACTGGTAAACAAGCAGAGACGTGTATCGCGGGCCTTGTGCAACTCTTGCATATCGGATCCGACGGTGGCAGTCAACACCCCAAGAGATCATTGCCACAGATCTAGTGGAAACGGTCGAATGGCCTCCATGGCAAACAAGCATTGTCGTTCGTGCTTCGCCAGTAAATCCGGTAAGCGAGCCGGCCACCTCAAAATACCATAGTTAAGCCAATTCTTCGCAACGTAATGTTCTTCTTTTTTTAATATTACATTATGTATCAGCCCTTCTCTCTCACCTTCACACCCCATCCACGCAACCTCCAATACCTCCCAATCACCACAATGTCCGCCCTCACCTAGGACCAGATCAAAGTCCTCGAGCAATCAGGCCAGCGCCTCGTGCAGCTGACACGCCCCCTCGGATCGTTAATCGCCAGTCGGCACCAAAGCAATCTTCTACCTCCGCGGTGAGTGACCGAGCCTTGCATAACAACAAAAAGAACTCTAGAATAGCCTACCGCCCACCCCTCAAGACTCAAACTTAACAACCGCCCCGTAAAACAGGTTCCCCCTCCAGTTTCAAGCAAGTATCATCCCCAACAACCTTCTCAGTATCTTCGAACAACTCTCCGAGCACAGCGACCTCTTCTCCGCTCTAGACGCCTACCCAGGGTCTGAGTACCCAGGCCGGACACGGTCCAACACGCTCGAACGCTTTTGTGCACGAAACTCGACCCACGTGTGGAGAACTGGGCGGCGCGCGGACGTGTCGCAGGTACACATGTTCCCGACTCTGCTTTGCATGTAGATTAGAATTCAACTGCACCCAAGCCACTCACCGAGGCCCAGCTCGCGGAGCTGTGGGACAGGGCGTCTCTGGAGACGAATGGGGAAGCGCGCCGGAGGAATTGGGGTAGGAATTGGGGTAGGAATTTTACATTTGAAGAGCGCGAGGCCGGGGTGCAGAATGTTGTTACAGGGCTGAAGAAACAATTGGAGGATGATGAAGGAAGAAGAGGAGGTCGAGGCTGAGGATGAAGAGATGGACATCATGGGTGTTCATCACAAGGCTTCTGGGGCCATGGAATTTGATATCGCCATGCATCATCGGCATGCGCAGGAGCCGGTTGTGCATCTCGATGAGTTCCTAAGGTATATGACGACCGGACGCATGCGATAAGCCCCGGGCAATGGTGAATGGCTTGTTTACAGAGGCAGTTCTTATATACGGATGTGTTATCTCCACGCACATTCCATGGAGATCTGAGATTAAATGCAAATTAATTCCCAAAGGAAGGCATTATTAAATTAAGTAAACCAAAAACCAAAAAGAAGCCTCCGGTGTAGAGAATATAACAGTACACATTCTAACACAGTCGTCGCGTGGTCGGGCCCTTGCCCTTGGGCGAAGGAGACACGCTAGTGCTTTAGGTCATGGTTTGTCTGTCTGCCGACTTGCGAGTCGCCTCCTTCTTGGGCGCCGAGCATTCAGTAGTATAACATCTGCGCGGCGAGGACCTTGAGCATAAAGCCGGCGATGAATCCGTAGAGAATGATGACCCCTCGCAATCCGATCCCGAATCCACTCAGTCCAATGGAGACCGTCACCTTCTACTTCATCTGCATCTTTATCAAGATACATCAGCGACCCCGCAGCCACGATAATCGGCGTATCTCCGGAGTCATCCCTTTGGTGCAAATCCACCGTCCCGACCGGTAACCGATTCTCTGGGTCATGCCTGTCCAAGATAAAGCGCATCACATCAATATTTGCAGTACCACATGCGGAGAGTAGCGGACGAAACTTGGGGTTAAACTTCTTGGCAACTTCCGGGGCCGTAGTGTACATCTCCGAGAGGATGTGAAAAGCTTCGGGACTACCGTACGAGGCTGCATCAAGCAAGGGGTCGTTCAAATAGGGTGTTCCAGGCGCAATAACATCCTCGGGAGAGCATGACGCGATGAATCGACGGAGTTCAGGGAGGTTGTTCTGCTTGATGATGCTCACGAGGCGGTTTGACATACGCGGTCTTCATGTTGGCGCGCTTTCGTGTACTGGGATCGAAGTTGGCTGATGTCATGGACTGATTGAGTCCTTACAACTAGTTACGAATCGCCAATGCGTCATGTCTAATTTGAAATTCCTAGCGCTTTTTGGAAGCTTTATAGCAGCGGGCTCCAACGCTTCGGCACTCGGACATGATCCAATTTTTTGACTTGGCATGCATTCCCCGGGGGCTTAAAAAACTCTGTCCAGAGCGTACTGTACAAGTTACTCTGGTGGCTGGTTGGCAAGTTCGGGTAGCATTCTTAAGGGCATTCGACGGGCTAGGCGTACACGCCTGACGTAACATGAGGGAACAACGAAGGGAACCCCCACATCTGCATGCCCCGCTAAAATGCCACCCAAAACAGAACTCGCACCTACAACGCATTACAATCGTGTTTTGCAAACAATGACACCGAAACGGTGACGATAATATAAAAGAAAGCCAATTTTTTATAAGGTTGGCAGTTTTGTTAGCAGAGACGCGGTCGGTGTCAGGCCCGAAGGTACGTAAATACCGCAATCGTTATGTCTTTCTTGAACGCTGCTGACGAAATCAGAGTCAATGGTTTGCAGTTCCCAAAAACGTATATGACCAGCGAGGATTTTGCGGAGCCGGGTCTCAGATGAATATGATCTCCTGTCAGCCAATTAATGCGGAAGAGAAGCGTTTACTTTCAGTCAATGTCTCTGATCCTCCGCGAGAAGTCTGCTCGCAACTACGCCGCGCTCTTCGAGACAGCGCCCGTACATCCCACTCCGGTGTAAATGAAATTTGCAGAAGTTAACTTGGATATAAATCGGCGCATTTAAATAGGCAACGGATACGGCATCGGCAAGAACGCTTAGTTTGCGATAACTACCGCGCCCTGACCAGGCATACATTCCAAGCTTCGCTCGGCATTGTGATGAGCTTTCGCTACGGGCTCCTTGACAGATCTCTCTGATTACGTATTGGTGGAACTTTGCGCTTGCACATACCGCACTGGGGCTGTGCAAGCTGGTGCTACCCTGGGTGCTACGTATCCGGTGCGGTCAATCCTACCGCCATTTGCTATAACGCAACTCAGAAAGCCGGCTACGCCACACTATGGCCACTATATTGGATGGAATGAAGAGGCGTTTAAGCAGTATACTTATTTCATCAGGGTGGTGTACGGTTCCTCGATTTTCAATATGAGACTCATCCCCTAGAGTGGATCAGGGGAATGTGGTTCCTTCACTCATGGCGACTCTTAAGAAGACGGCAACTCTAAGCGTCATCCCATGCCACTCCAAACGGACACCAATCTTACAGTTGCATGACAATCCGTCTATTCACTACTATCTGAACGATGTTCATCAAAGGGGGTTCCCGCTGAGGAATAGCTGTACAATCGTGAGTAACCTCTAGCATAACGCCGTCGACGATGGAGACGCGGCTCTATCTCCTTCGTGAAAGGAGAGCAGGTGTATGTATTGCCAGTAAGGAGGCTCAACTAGCTCAATCCGTTTCACTTAAATTGAAACAAAAGAAATTGAAGAAAGAACACTAACGTGCTATAGGTCCCATTAGACATCGCTTTCCACAGTGTCCAAAATGCAATAAAGGGTCCTATCATTTACACGAAGTTATGGTGCACCAAATCATTCATAACCATGTCTACTGTACGCAGTGCCAAGAGTGTTTTGAGGAGAAAGGGGATTTTGCTCGCCACCGACAAGAGTTCCATGAAATTCGACCCACTATAGGTGTGCGAGAGCATTAACTGGCATATGAGTCCATGGGCACGTTCAGCGAGATCATGTCTAGAGCAAGTCTAGAGGGAAACGACGTATCCTGGATTCAGTGACTCGTATTTCGATTTTTGCCCAATCTAAGCCCTCTCTGTACACTGATGAGGCTGCCCGCCCACCGTTGAGTCGGGTAGGTTCGCTCGTGAAATCAAGATTCCTGTACTACAATCTGGACCCCATTAGCCCAGAATAGACGAGTTATCAAAAGAACTTACCTGGGTCTGCATCAAGAAATCTCTCCTCAATCTCTTTTACGCGGTATAGCTCGTCTAGTAGTTGTAATCGTTCTTTCGGAGAGATGGACACCGCTGAATACACCGCCCCGCATCCCTCAATCTCTTCGCAGTGATTCTGTGGCCAGTGCGTAATTCGCAAAGGATATGAATGACGAGTGCGATGCGCTCTGATTGAAAGGCCAGCTGCGTCAGTCGCACAGTAAGAAGCTCACCTTCTTACCGGTCTTGCGAAGGCGGTCGGGCTCCCGGTGACCCACTCCAAGCGATGGTTAGTCTCTTCGGGACTGGACTGTTGTGTTTTGCCTGCCACAGTCTTTTTTCCACTGTAACGAAATCGGATTTGCTTGAATGGCTCGACAAGTCTCAAATAGACTTTGGCAATGACTCGATAATTCCTTTGTTGCAAATTTTCGAAGATTTCCTCATAGTGTTGACAGAGTAGAATTTTGTCATTGACGGGGAGCGTGGCGGTTTGGACAGACACAACGCGCTCCTCAGTCCACGGTTCCCCATGGCGTTGGAGACTTGCCCGTGGTTTGCTGATCCAGGCACTGTAAGCGCTAGCGATGATGCGAGCGGAAAAGATGGCTGGCTCGGAGATGGAAGGTGACATTTAGTGGCGAAGCTTTCCTTACCTGTCAATAGATGAAGGCAAAATACTGAGAATATTGCTTATCGTGTAGACGTTGTTGCAACATTTGAAGGGCGAGGTCGATCAACTGTCTGTAATCAAATTTTGCTGGGAAAGAGCCTAAGTTAGGGGCTTTTTTAGATGTCCAAAGTGCATAGCGAAAATTTGCGGTCGGTGCTAGAATACCTGTGGGATCATCCTATTCAGTCCTCTTGGCGCACCAAGTGGCTGGGATACTGAAAGTGGGGAGCCTCCAGAAGGTAAGAATGCCGACGAACAAGCCCAACTTGCAATAAATTCTATAACGTGATTCCCGGCCGCCCGAGCGACAGTCTTAAAAAGAATTGCTTCTGTAACAATCTTTATTTTTGAACATTAACCATGCCATCAATTCGCTCTCAAAATCTCAAAGATTGGTACAGCAAGAGGGACCCCTCTTCTTAGCTATCAAAGCTATAAAGGATGGTCGATATGCGTCTGCCGCTGCTGCTGCACGTGCTGTTAACGTGCCAGTTTCTATCTTGAAGCACAGGATCAAAGGGCGACAATTCTGGAATGAATCTCGCCCCTCCGGCCATAAATTTACTGTGGTAGAAAAGAAGTCCATCGGAAATTTGTTGCTTTTTATGGACTCTCGAGGAGCGGCTCTCACGCATGCTATGTTGAGAGATATGGCCAATTTGTTGCTCCGATCGCGTGAACTGACACCCTCCGATCCCGCTCCGAAAATTGGCAAAAATTGGACCACAGAATTTGTCAAGAGAAATGAAACTCTCTCATCTCGCCTTTCTCGTAAATACAAATATGAGAGAGCCCTTTCTGAGGACCCTCGGATGATTGGATCCTGATTTCACCTTGTTGAAACCACCATCCAAAAATCTGGTATTACATCTGATGGTATCTACAATTTTGATGAGTCTGGTTTTGCAATGGGAATCAATTCTACTCAAAGAGTCATCACTTCTGCTGAGTATCACGATAGAAGAGGCGTATTACAGCCTGGGAATCGAGGATGGGTCACTGTGATTGAGTGTATAGGTGCTAGTGGAGTTGCGCTTCCGCCATATCTCATCTTCAAAAGAAAGGTCTTCTTAGAGCGCTGGCTCTCGAAATCACCGCTTGGAGTGTGAACAAAAGCTCGAATGGATGGAAAAGCGATGAGATAGGTATCGATTGGCTCAGAAAGCACTTTTTATCCTATCTTCCTAAACGGAAAGGAAAATATGTGTTGTTGATTCTGGACGGACATTCATCTCATTTGACACCTGCGTTCGACAAAATATGCGAAGAAAATGACATCATCTCGCTTTGTATGCCTGCTCATGCCTCTCATCTTCTGCAGCCTCTTGATGTTGGGTGTTTCTCGGTCTTGAAAAGAGTATACGGAGCGCTTGTCATGGAAGAGATGCGTCTTGGTGTCAATTCGATCGATAAAGATGACTTCATTCAGCTCTACCCTATTGCCCGAGAGGCTGCTTTCAAAGCTCAAACCATACATAATAGCTTCAAAGGAACTGGTCTAGTGCCTTTAGATGCCACTTCTGTGCTAGGTAAGCTGAATATCCAGCTTGATTCTCTTCCACCATCTATACCACTGGAACCACGACCAGCATCTTCTAGCAGTACTAGTGATCTGGATACGCTTTGGAGCCTCTCGAAACTGCAAAAAATGACTCGAACTTTCATCAGAGACTATGACTTCGCCGCTCAAGCGGGCTATTGACCGGTCGCATAATATGGCTGTTCGGCTAACTCATGAGCTCATCTTTATCCAAGATCGCTGCACCAGGTTAGAGACTGCTAATAAGAAGCAGATAAAGAGAAGGGCTTCTGATGGGAAGCAGATATCGCATGAACGTAGTCTGCGAAATTTGGAAGAGATTAGAGCTGATCTGGTGGTGGAAAAAGATGGACGACAGCGATGTATATGTATGGCAAATGGTGCTGCAGAATCACCAGCAGAACCTGGATTACATCCTGTACGTACCATACGGCGCCGTGTCACCTGTTCTGGCTGCGGAACTAAAGGGCATACTTATTCTCAATGCCCTCATAAAGTTATTCAGCGATTAACCCTATGTTTATGTGTTGATATTCAAGATTGTAAATTAACCAAATTCCAAATTCTCGGAGCATCGCTCGCGCGACCGGGACGCTCAGGCGGCCGGGAACCACGTTATAGATAATTTGGAATTTCGAACACTATATCCTTGCCCTGCTCAATTGATTCATTTTTTTTGGCGGTAAATTCGCCTGCCGAATATCATGGGCTTTGTTGTATCTAAACTAACAGCTTGATGGGGTACTACAGTAGAAACACATTTAGAAGCACTTAGGCGAGACATTGAAGCTTACACGGACAGACTGAACCAGAGGAATGGCGGCAATCCCAACAGTATTGTAAATGGATATGCATAATGACTTCAGATATCTGGAGGTAATATGATTGACACTGGAATGACGATAGAGTGGTGTTTTCTTTCTTGAAATAAACAGGCTGTTTAGATGGGTTTCGTCGAGTAACATCCTACAGGGATCACGTCCATGAGACTGCGCAGATCACGACGTACAGCTATATTCAAGGCCAAAACAATTAACCCTATTTAATTGCGACCGAACACCTAATAAATTCGATCTCATTTGGTCAGTGTGCGAGATCTCAGACAACAGTACAACCCCCTTCACGTAATTCTCGACCAGGCGCGTCACCAAGGCGACCCGAATGTCATAGTCCAGGACGTACAAGCGTCTGCTAGTCTCTTCGCGCGACATTGAAAGCCACCTACGAGCAACATACCTTACATTATGCTATCCTGCCGGAGAAAGCCCCCACCGCGCTAGGTTGTCAATCAATTCAGTAACTTGCTTTATTTGCATCACTGGCCTACTCTGCTTGACCTGCCTAATCATCCTTCTACCTCCTTCCTCATCTTCGAAGCAGCGCTCACGACGAAACCAATTCTGAAGGTCGAGTAACACAACGGAATTTCCCGCAAAAAAACATTAATCGACATCACCAGCCCGAACCATTACAGACCCCATCGTGCCTAGCCTTGCTGGGCTCGTGAAATGCCGGTGAGCCGCAATATCGACACAAAGGGCATTTACGCCCATTCTAGCAAACGCACGAATGCTAAGACTGAGTGACCTACGTGACGTTTTTCTAAATAAATCGATCGAAGTACTGCGCGCCGCCCATATATTTTCATTGCCGTTGCCGACTGACAACGGACAAGGAATGTGGGCGGTAGGAGGTCCCTCGATCGTATAAAAGAAGCGAACGCGATCTACCATGGTCAGTCCGGACTTGTTGCACCAGTCCGTCTATCCGCCTGCAGTGACTCGTCTTTTTGGCAAAAGCTGGTTCATATTCCCGGCTACCTTCAACCTCCCATTTGAGGTTTCGCATAGTGTCCCGTGATAACCTGAATACTGCTAGATGGTGAGTCGTAAAGACGAAAACGTTGACCAAAGCAGACGAGTGATGGCAGTGCAGCCTTCCCGACCGTGAATTCTGGCGAAAGGCTTGAGAGCGCGCACCGCCTCATAGAGGTAAATGCCGCACATAACGCATTCTTATACACAAAACCCAGCCAACTGCATCCGGTTGTAGAACGCAGCAGATCGAGCGAAGCGTGCGTCGCCGTTGTTCAAGTCGAAAAAGAGGACAGTCAATCGGGACATGCATGATGCAGTTTTTTGATGTAATCATCCATAGTACACACTGCACCTTGCTGACATCCAACACGAGGTGCAAGCACTAATAAAGCACAACAACTTGGCTAGTGACCATGGTGTAGGATTCAGGCAAGAAAGGGATGGACATCGGCAGATTGGGTGCTTGAGATACGAAGCAAACCATAGCAGGAAGAGCATGCACGAGAATCCCCCACCCGGAAGCAAAAGCCAGGACCTAGGATCTTGACGAGGGCTCCAGGGTCGCGGCATCTCTCAGGACCGGCACAGACGATCCCAACAAAGAGTATGTCGTAGACAGGTATGGAAGTCGCAGCTCCTGGAGTAGATCTCGCCAGCACATGTGCCATATGTTGCATACGGTCCCGCAACCAGCACAGCTTTGAATGTCCAGCCCGGATCTGTTGACCAGTTCCGCATCAAAGCTCCGTCTCGATGAAGATGTGCTATGATTTTTTCCAATGCTTACAACTTCCCAGTGTGTCTAATAAAAGAATGAGTCTCGGTAGACCCTGGAAGAACAGCGAATACGCCCGAGGGCTTAGAGTAGAGGTGCAGGGATTTTACCCTGCGGTGCTGTACTCGGGTCGGGTGTCCCATTCCAAAATCCATCCCGTGCGCAATATCCTCAAACTAGCCATCCAGTTGCCCGCATAGCGATCAGGGCTGTCACATTCTATCGTGGCCGTTGACATCTACCGCCAAGAGCCATAGGCAGCGCTGGCAGTGGGCTATGCAGACATGGGTCGCTTGCCGAGAGGAGCATTATTCATGCACAAATTGCTGGTCTGTGAACAACAAGCCTCTCTACGCGCGAAAGGTATCAAGAGACCTCGTTGCCAGCGCTAGCATACGGCTCTGGGCGGTAGATACGAAAAGACGTGGTCGAATTTGGTAGCCATGCCCGCCGCGCCAGGTTTCGGACGCATGTACATTCATTATGGCCATGTTTGTCCGAGTGACAATCCTCTTTGATATCCGTGATACCGACTTGGGGTTAACGACCTTGCCCGGGTCGGATATAATCATATCGACAAACTCGACTTCCTCGCAGATTATCCTCAGGCGCGTAAGGAGGCCTTTCAACCACAGACTATTTGAAATAGCTTCTCAGCTGCTGGTATTGTTCCATTCGACTCAGAATGGGTACTGTCAAAGCTTAATATCTCATTCCGAACGCCTACACCGGGTAGTCGACCAAGCAGCAGATCAAGCCATTTCAGCCCCAAAACACCTAAGACCGTCGTACAACTACAGAAGCAAGCTTCGTCACTTAAAGAATTGCTAAATCGACAGCCAAATAGCCTACCAACTCCATCAGAAACCGCGCTAGACCAGATTATCAAAGGGCGCGCTATCGCGATGCATAACGCCGCATTACTCTGTCAAGAAAATGCTGATCTACGCACTGCAAACGAGAAGAAGCGCCAGAAACACACACGATCAAATCGGCGTATACCACATGAGGGAGGCCTATCAATTGAAGAAGGTCTACAGCTAGTTCAACAGCTAAACCAGCCGGTTGAACACAACCGGATGGTATCGCTAGCGCAGGGCGATCTGCCTATTCAGCCAGATCAACCGACCAAGAGACCGCCTCCAAGGTGTAGTGGATGCGGGGAGATTGGCCACAGGATCAATTCATGTAAAAATCGCTATTTTTTAAAATATTTTGGTTGAGAGACCTCTGTTTAAAAAAATTGTAATGGGTGGGTGTGCCACTCGCCCGTGTGTGCCACTCGCCCGTGTGTGCCACTCGCCCGTGATTACGTTAGTATAGATGACTATATCATATTAAGTGGAGATTAACGCTTCCTAAATTCAACGTGAAAGAAGACAAAGAACATAGGATGCAGGCATTCTGAACTAAACGCGAAATCTACAATCAATTCCATCAACGCCACCCAACTACTTCACTCAAGTTGTATTTTATGCCGCCATGAATTTCCGACAGTCTGGTTATCCGTCGATAATCCCAACACGATGGCGACAGCGCAGTCCGCTAGGACGAGATCACTGGAAACAACTGCTGGTGCCCTATATCAAGCGGTCTCGGCGCTCCCGCTCCCGTTGTGAGCATGGTGGCCGCTCTTCGCCCTCGCAGTTACGTCGTTCTCCTTGCGGTGGGACCAGAGGTTGAACAATTCCAGGAAAATTGCAAAGAACGTGAAGATACTGGGTAATGTTAGCATTCAAAAACCGACAGACCCCGGTCGTAGCAAGGCAGAACACACAAGGCCAGAAATATAAATGACTCATTAGCCTTCTTTATAGCACAGTTGGCCCCAATAGGAGCATTGATGGCGCAATTCCGCCAGTTGTAGTCTTGAGCGGCAAAAATGAATGCCGTCAACCACCTAGTGGTCGCCGATTTAGTCTTTCAGCAATCGTATGGATCACCCGGGGTCTGTAACTCACAAGTAGGAGAAAACGACGTCTATACCCAAAACATATTTGCTAAGGATATTGGGCATAAACGGAGAAATGAAGCCGGGCAGGAAGAACGCAACAGAAATTGTTGACTGCAACATCATTAGCATCTTTAGTTACATAAGACATAAAGAGTTAGATGAAGAATTGGCATACGATAACTTCTTGATAGATGGTGTGCTCTCCCTTCGGCCAGTTATGCATGAAGTAGGAAGTGATACCCATTACTATGACTGCACTTGCCCATTGCATAAAGCGAGCCACGATGACCATGGGTTGGGAGATTGTTGTCGACGACATGATTTTAGTTTCGTCTTTCGCCTGGGACTCTAACAGTACGTGCTTTGATTGATGTCCTGCAGGACTGACTGTCAATTTAGAGAAGATTTGAATTTGCTGCCCTGCAAGCGCGAGCAGGCCGAATATATGGAGCGACATAAGTCTTGCGTCATGTTTAGTTAATGTGGTGAACGAAAAAGCAGGATCGGAAGAGATTGAATTTCTCTCTACCTTGGCGATCCGCTTCTTGCATCGAAGTTTATCCTACCTGATTTGAGCAAACCAGAGGCGACAACACAAGCAAAACTAATTAGTTATACCCTGATTCTGCATTTGTCTCCTAGAGATACGAGGTTGACTCCGCATGGACTGCCCGATCTTCCAAGCCTCTATGCTTATCGAGAATATTCCGGCAGGTCCGACTTCACCTTAATCTGTCCTGACCATGTTGTCACTCTGCAGATAGACGTCGATCTTAGTAGGCTGGGGATCTAACGTCATGGGGTCCCGGATGATCAATGCTTAGCTCTTTTGCTTGCCATGCTTTTGTGGTTCGAGGCAAGGATGAGTAATTACCTTTTTTGCGATAGCGAATGAGCATCTCGTACCCGTTCATTGCATATGACCGTTGTTCAATTCCAGCAAGAAGTTGGCAAAGCTGGCAACGGGGAATCCATACCGGTTAATCAAGGTTTCCGGGTCCACTTATGTCGGTTATGTCATTCCTGCGTTAAGCTTTAGGTAAACAGACAGCACAGTCGAATGCTAGATGAGACCCTCTTTGCATCCATTAAAACTTGCGTTAATCACGATTTGTGTCGACGAAGCTCCCTTGCGCCATGTTACTTCCGCCCAGCAAGCCGTTATCGCGGTCATTTTTAGTCATTGCATTGTCCATGTATAGCCGTCTAGGCGCCTTTCTATGCTATCCTTTACGTTGTGGCGGTTCGTATTTACGCTAGTACTGATACCACCTTTTGACACTCATGGTTCAGGCATTGCCGACAATTGCCAGCCAAGCGCCTTATCTGTTGTCTTCCAGTGGTCGAGAAAAACTAGTCGTCGAAACGGATCGGTATCGGTACGAACAATATATTGCAAAGCAACAGTTAGACCAATAATAACGCATGAATTGGATTCAAGACACGAGCGGGCAGGGATTTTAAACTTGGTTAGATCTGACAGTAGCAGGCGTCCAGCATGATGGCAGATTTTGTATGGTTGTGAGGTTGATCCAGCTCGAAACGGCTAGAAATTACGGGTTGGAACTGCAATTTGGTCAGTTGAAATTACCACCCCATCTTTTATGGAGACCAGGCGATAAATGAATCGCTTAGTCTCAAGTAAAACTTCTTGTAAGCCATAGAAGCCTGGACAAAGTCACAAAAGACGTGTCCGAATGACCGTTATATGTCTTTTCTAACGACAATTTTCGACGTTCGAAGTCATTCAAGAGCGTTCCGAACTTGAACGTAGTAGAGGCCCAAGTGCTATTTCTCCGCTGATTTCCGTTGGGAATTGCAATTATCGTCTCCGAAGGCCACAACTCCTGCCTGTCCGCGAAAGCAAAATCCAGAGGCAGTGCAATAACCAGTTCCATCGCTCCATGCCTCGAGTGTCGGTATCTTGAATGAATAGTTACCTGGTAGCGAAGCTTGCCTCTCATGCTATGTCCCACCGATGCCCAGCTCTTGCATCTTCCACGGACTAATACTTGGCCTGCTCCGGTCATCCGGCAAGCACCCTGCAGGTTTCTAATAAAATGAAGGATTCTGATGCAAGACTTACGGTCACGGCAACGTAAGCCCGGGTTTAACTAGCTGAGTATATGATACAGATTACGCCGTAATTGGGCGACGGATGGTGCGTACCTCGGTTCTAGCAAAACCTGACGTCTAAGACTCGCTTGGCTCATCCGAGAAATGGCCATTTTCACTACGTAAGAAAAACCACTTCTTTTTAAGAACAAAACAAAGCCTCTTCGGAACAATAACATTGGTCTACGGTCGGCTAACCAAAGCAAGATCATACGCAATGCATCGTGTTTCTCAATCTTCCGATTCAAGTCGGGCAGACTTGCTTCCCGACCCATGTCCGCTTTGTCTGGATGACATTGATTCTCATCGTGATTATCGGAAGTTGCGTTGCAAACATGTTTATCATAAATTCTGTATTGACACGTGGTTGGAGCGCGGTAAACCCATCTGTCCCACCTGTCGCCAACACGCAAACCTGAGAAGGGGGCGATATATGCAACGACCACTCCTGGTATTCTGCATCGCAAATGAATACATTTGCAAAATTTCCGAGTTATACATGGACCGGACGAGACGCAAACTACAAAATCTTTTCAGCCGAAACACTCACCAGTAGTCACTCCCGGCCTGACCAATAACGCCCCACGACGGCTCTTGGTCCACGGAGCCAGGCCCGAATGCCATCAGCCATTTGGTGTGCTTACGGAGGAGCTCCACATCTGGAGCACTGTTTGCCAGCATGGCTACATTGCCTGACGGTAGTTTCCGAGTCGCAATGAAGGCAGCTCCTCCTGCCAAAGCGGCAGATTTCTTCTGTCGAGCAGTCGTGGCTTTTTGGCGCTCCACCCGCTCGACCAGCTCCCTCGGCGAGAGCCTGCGAATCTGTTCACGGTTTGATCCGACCTTCACTATGACCTTGCGGTCCTCGCGAAGCTCGATTTCAGGCACTCCGGGTATTAGGTGCCGCTGCCTTGGCCAACCCGCGCTGTCAGTCTCTGGATCGGAAGTCGCGCCACGCTGCTGCGGAATCCGCGGCGATGGAGGACAGAGTTGTTGACAGTATATTTTTTGTTTTTTCAATAGTTTCCATTCGCTGGTTCAGATGTTCAGTGTCGGCGTTGGTCTTGGAGGGCTTCGAGCACCTCGACCATCCGCTGGCCGTCACCCCGTTGGGCGTTGAGTGCGTACTGGCGGACCGCCCGGATATACCCAGTGAAGTATCGGTCCATCGTGCCATTTTTCTCGACGTGGTCTAGCACCCGGCGGGCTCCCTCTGCGATGTCGTTCATCGAGACAAGTCGGTCACCGGGTGCGGCAGGTTTTGGTGTTCCTCTCCTGTCAGGGCGCAATTTCTGTGCGTTCGCACCACTCGCAACCAACGCTGCCATCCCACCTCTGATTGGCTTGATATTCCAAGAAGACGTTTGTGCCAAGAAAGAGTTCCTTAAATCTGATGGGTTTCCCGTACTCGCCGCACTAAGATCATCTGCCACTGGTGCCTTCGGAGGCGGTGCAGAAAGCCGAGGTTCCAGTAGTGGAATGGTATGCCTGGTTCTCTAGACTACTAATCCTCCCGAACAGGTGAATACCAGCGAGTAGTATACATGTAGTAAGTTCTTCAAGAAACGTGGCGCGGGGTGCAGTGACTCTTAACCTGGATCTAAAAAGGGGGGGGGGGGGGGGGGTTGTAACAACAACCTAAAGATCTATTCAGGGACCTTTTCTTGGCAAGTTAATTGCAGCCAATGCTTGGAGATGACACCGACGCCTTTGTTCCCCTTTTTTTCGGAAAAAAAATGAGTGTTCAATTATTCCAGTCTCAATCTCCGATCCGGCTGACGAGACTATCATATGGAGAGAGATCAGACACGCCTAGCTGTGGCGATATGATAACCATATACCCGATGTTGAACGCTTATTAGTTATTTATCGTCTCATATCGACTCCAGGCATCAATGTGGACCAAATTGGCACTGGCGGGCTCTCTGCTCTCTGGCATAGAGTCGATTTTGGCATAGAGGAGCTTGTTCAGAGCTTTACCTATGTTGAGCATATTGATTGGAACTTGCCTGATCACCAAGGCGTTACCCCACTTACCCGTGCTACTGAGAATGACAATCTACGCATAGACGGTCTTCTACTACTGATTGATTGATTGATTGATTGATTGATTGGAGTTCTTATGAGCTGATGGAGCCTATCTAGTGGCGGCGAGGCTATGCAGCTGTCTACTAGGTAGACGAACCTCCCGATGCGCCTTTGTTAAATACAGATTCCATATCCCAAAACGAGTGGAAGGTCGTCTGTGACCGTTTGTTGTTTTGTCTTAGCCTTGCGGCTTCTTTTGCAGGTTAACCTGGCTTGTTGCGATAATCCGAAGATCTGCCCGGGATGCCAACCTGATCCCACAGCGATAAGTTGCATGATGAATGCGCATACTTATATGCCCTAACCTTCAAACACAGGGTTTCCTTTTATAGTAGTGTAGGATGTCCCACTAAAACTAGGTGTGCTTAGGAGATTATACATACTTCGTAATCCCCACCCGACCGACCGAGGTAGCAGATATACTACTAGGGGCCTTCTCCAGGTCCAAGCCACGTCAACCAAAGCTAAAGCTATCTTTGACGGGTGCCTCATGTTATTATTCTGTGCCAGCAACAGGATTTGAACCTATGGTCACTTAATGCTTAATAAGAGGTCCCCTACCTCCTTTCAGCACTTAGTGCCCTGCCAGGATGATGTCTAGCACTAGGTCTTCTACTACTACAGTCCGGGGTACACGTCAACGCTTGTTCCTTGCAGGTGGTGCCTCCGCTATGGGCTCGGAGCAGGGCAGAGTTCTGTTGCGAGATTACTGCTCGACCACGAGTCAATCAACATTAACGAGGAAAGCCCTCGTGGGACATCATTCCTGCAAGTGGCACTGACAATGCACCATTCGACCATCGTGCATTTACTACTTGATCAGACGGGTGAAATGGCGGTCAATGATCAAGGCCCGCAGCGTTGGACAGCTTTGATTTTAGCGCCTCCCGTGGCTTCAGCTGGGCTGTTGACCATCTGCTTGAATTTCCTAACGTCGAAACCAATTCAGTTGATGATCTTGGTCGAACAGCTTTGTGGTGGGCACGGCCGGGGGACACTCTCGGTGTGTCCAGTCGTTAACCAAGCAGCCTCGCCTCGATGTTGCAGTTCGTGATTTCCAAGGTAAAAGTGCCAAGGACATTGCACAAGAACATGACCATTGGGACATTGTCGGTCAACTCCAAGCGGCGGCCATGTGGAAGCATATTCTGTGGCAATAGTATCTGTTCTCATGGTTTCCAATGACGACAATGCAATTTACATAGTAAAGTTAGTGGCTTGGGGAGTGCCGTCAAGGACACAGTATTGTATAGCATTTTATGTACTGATTGTTATGCTAATTCCTGTTCTACAAGCTCTCTTTACGATATCTGCAACGCGCAGCTCGCAGCGCTCTTTCCCAAAAATGACAAAAAACAAAATTCTTTTGAAACTCACGACGGATCCAATTAGCTTAGATTCATTCCATCCATCTGCGGTGTGAGTTGTGTCGAGCCACCGGCTGATTCGTGGTAATTGAGGACTTCGGCGTATATGATGCTTCTCCAGACGTTGGCTGGTAGGTTTGCTTCTCTGAGCGACCAGTCAAACTTTTTTTCGGACTTGGGCTCGTCATCGGGGTCGTGGTATGGGGCGAGGTACTGCGATTCTAGACCCTCGGCTGCGGAACAGCGTTGGACGGGGTCGATTTGGAGGAGATTTTCTAATAGGACGATGGCTATGAAATGAAATGTAAGCTGCTGATAAATATATGTCGGAAGATGGTGCTAACCCTTTGCGTTGGTATCTGGGATGAGCTTCGAGAGGGGCTTTCGAGGTCGCTTAGGAAGCGAGCGGATGAATTCCAAAGTCTGTAATCACGATCAGCCAGATATATGTAGATTTAAGGTGAAGACCAAACAAACATTTGGGCTGGTCATATTGTCCATCACACTCGCAGGCGGGCTACCGAGTAAACGAGTAATCACGCAGAACTGATCAGCGCAGTTCTTGCCCGGGAAAAGAGGACGGCCCAGTATCATCTCGGCAAAGATGCAGCCCACGCTCCAGATATCGACCTTCTCGTTGTATCCCCGCCAGGTGAGCATGATCTCGGGTGCTCGGTAGTATCGTGTGGAAACATAGCCCGTCATTTTGTTCTCTTGTGCACGGGCAAGACCAAAGTCGCAGATCTTCAAATCACAGTTCTCGTTGACTAGGATGTTGCTCGGTTTGAGATCGCGGTGTATGACACCGGCTGAATGGACATATTTAAGACCGCGCTGGATGCAAGAGTTAGTTGTGGCTCCGGAGAGACGTGGTGATGAGCGTACCATTATTTGGTATAGGAAGAATTGGGTGAACTGGTTGTCTACTTTCTTGGTCTTCAGAAGAGTGTGAAGATCTGTTGCCATCAATTCGGTGACGAGATAACTTGTCTCGGTTAGCGACTCCGGGTAGAAAACTCACAGAAGCAAACCTACATGTCTTCGGATGGAGAGATGAAGATGTCGTAGAGTTGAATGAGCTGAATTGATTAATTAGTTTCGAGCGCTTAGTGAAGATGGTGATTGACGAACGTTTTCATGCTTGAGCTGTTTCAATAATTTGATCTCACGAAACATGTGCTGGGTGACCACGTCGGACTTGAATGGCTCCGCGAGCTTCTTCACGGCCACGGTCTGGTTCAGAATTTGGTCATTCGCAGAACTAAGGAACAGAATGGGCTTATCAGTGTTTGCCTAAAGGAGGGCGCAGAAATATCCTACCAGACCAGGTCTGACACGCCAACCCCGATGGGCTCCAGCTGCCTGTATCTACAAATTTACACATGTCAGAAAACATTATACGAGGCCTAATTAGAGGGATTTCTGTGCGAACCTTGACGTGATTTCAAAATCCACCCCCATGATAATGTTGTGGGCGAATTGGGCCATAGCCCGGCCTGGAGTGGGTAGTTGACTTGATAATCCAGTCATTGTCAATGCCGGTCACTGTAAGTAACAAGGTGAAGTCTGAGACTGAGAGCGGAACTAGACCAGAAGACCCGGAAAGTGGCCGTGTCCAATTTATCAAGGGTCAAAGAGTGTATGCAAAATGGAACGGCGGATAAGGGATCTTGATAATATATAAAAGCAAAGATCAATGTCACTATTTCGAGTGAATTCGGTGGCAATGCTGCTTTGTGACATCAGCGGCTCGGAGTACAAAAGCCATCAGGATATGCCGTTCGCAACACGAAGTATAAGGTCCATTTGAACCAAGTGAGCCCCACGATATTCGAGGTTTGTCAATCCCATTGGTTGTGATTGGGTTCCGACCAATCAGAGGTGCGACCCCACAAGCCCCGTCTGACCCGATTGCATGACTGCGGATAATTTCTCCACGCTTCACGACTGGCGCTAGCTCCCACAGGGGATCGGACCGTTCATGGCGTCTCTTTGCGCTTCGCACTCCGGCCTTATTAGTGCCTCGTAATAGCGCCCCCCACCTGGCGGTGAGGGTGCGCCTCACCGGTAGACCAAATATCAGCGGTAGACCAAATTCTATGCTATTCAGCTAATTATCATCGCGCTGGATTCGGATCTAGGTAAAAAAGGTCGCCTGCTTCTTCTCCTGCCCTCGCTGCTTCTATGGATGCCTCACTCTCCTGGGTAGGCTGTTTTGGTGGCGGTTTACCATAGACCTTCGTGTGTAGTTTATCCAGCCGCTTCTTCTCCTGGATAGCCTCTTTTGCCTTCCTATCCATAATTGACCGATTGGCATCGCGAACGCTAAGGATACCAGTGTGCCCAAGTGGTTTAATATGCCGCTTAGTATAATTCCGTCGTAGAGGGGCGCGAGCGGCTGTTATTTGGCTGATTATGTCGTTCGAGAGAGCTGCACATTCCGCGATGACCTTATTGTGCTGGAAGATGCGTAGTAGGCCTCGCCGTTGCTTTGGGGTGAGGGTTTCTATCTTCGATAGCTTCCTATGGTTCTTTTCGAGAGCCTGGATGCTTTTTGGAGGTGTATTCTCGACGCTTGAGGATGTAGGCGGCGGTGATGGTGTCTATTCCCTATACGTACGGAGATCAGGCGCTAAGAGCACTGGTAGCTCTAGCTGGCTATTGGCAAGCTTCTCGATGATATGTGTGCCATTTGGTGGCCAAATGCCACGTTCTTTGAAGGATTCACGAATAATCCGTGCGTTGAATGCTCGTCGTCGTACATCCGCGATGCATCGTAGGAAATCAGCCTTTCCGATAGGCTCACCCGCGAGGAACGCGAGGTTATTATTCTCTCTCCGGAAGTGCTGCTTATAGCTCAAAAAGGGTTTTCCATCAAGCGGTTGACAAAGGTGCGTTGAATGAGGTTCAAAAGCGAAGCAAATAAGCTGATAATCCTCGCATCTCTGCAGAAACTCCTTCGTAAAGTGGGCACCATAGCCATCGAATAGCAAGATACGTTTCTCTCCTTTCAGCGTACGACTAATCGTCGCCTCATGGAAGTATCGAAGCCATTCAACAGCTAATTCATCAGAGATCTAGCCATTTGGAGATATAGCCGTGAGCGTCCGCGGTGGAAGGGCTTCGCTGCCATGATACCACGTCTCCATAAACGTCGAGCCCTTGAAGATAAATAGCGGATCCATTTGCCAACCATCGGCAGCGATACACTTAACGGCAGTAATAGTCTCTCCGCGTTCAGCTTCGCAGAGATCAGGCACTATTGACCCACCGATTACCGTCTGCGCTTTACCTCTACCGGGTTGGAAGCCACATTCATCGACATTATACACTAACCGCGGCGCTGCATCTTTGACGACATTCCTCCATCGATTATACCATAGTTCCAGCATTCCACTATCCTCCGCTTGGATCCGCTTATACTCCTTCGTTCTCTGTTTCACTGGGGCAAGCGATAGCTCTTTAGGGAGACGTTTGATGAAGCGATACACCCACATCCTACCCAGCGATCGTTGAACACTAGCGCGCGCAAGCGAGAGATTCGCCATCCCCTCTAGCAGCCCAGGGGTCACTGGGAGATATCGATCACGCATATCACGTACCCAGGTAGTCAAAGCTTCCTCCTGATACTCTTGAAGGGCCTTGTTAACTGGTTTTTGGGTAGTGCGAGCTAGTTTACCGCGTCGGAGGCGTCCCCGCAGTACCTCGTACGAAACACCATATTCCCGGGCGATTTTCGACAAATTCGGCTGTTTTTGGGCACGGGCGGCATCGCAGGCCTCAATGACACGAGATTCCGGAGTTTCGGGCTGTTTAGGCATGGTGGTGGGTGGTTATGGCTAAAAAACGATGGATTGTAGAAAATTTGGTCTACCGCTGATATTTGGTCTACCGGTGAGGCGCACCCTCACCGCCAGGTGGGGGGCGCTATTACGAGGCACTAATACTAGCGGAAGTGAAGAGAAACTGAGACCAAGGTAAAGAGAAAAAGCTTAGACAGAAGGTAAGGGCTTTAGGCACGTAGCCTAATATTATTGGTTCTTTATAAGCCAATCACTATTGGGTGGGTCTACATAGCCTATCCTATTGGCCTAACTCTCTATATTTACGTGGGTAGCCCCATGGGAGTCCCATAGTCCCATAGAATTCAGTAAGAGCCATGCCCCCTAGAAATTTCTTAACTTTTTCTCTCAACTCTGACCTTTTTCTCTCAACTCTGACTTTTTCTCTCAACTCTGACTTTTTCTCTCAACTCTGACCTTTTCTCTCAACTCTGACTTTTTCTCTCAACTCTGACTTTTTCTCTCAACTCTGACTTTTTCTCTCAACCACACACCCTACACTAGCAATTAGGTGTTTGCAAGATAAATATATATAAAAGAAGCTATAGTAATTAAATTAACTAGTAAAATAAGCCATAATAACCTAGTATTATACTATAATAAAATCAAAGGAAATAATAGCAGAGTGGTTGGTTGTATACAATAAATATATATCTTGGAGGACAAACCATAATTTCTACCACCGCTTTTTTACCTTTACTTCTATAGGCCTAAAACATTAATGCGACCGATGAAACGGACCCTTTTATATATATAAACAAATTTATTTCTTATAATTACCTAGTAGGTAGGTTAAAAAGTAGTGATATTACTTGTTCCAACCGAAACAGACGTAAATAACAAAGATTAGTCAGTGATCTTATGCACAAAATTCAGGCGAATTCAGGCGAATTCAGGCATAATCAGGTGTCTATGGGTACCCATGGGTGGGTATGAGGAACCAGGTCATCGCACACCGACCGAGAGGTCATCGCACACATCACGTGATATTTACTATAATTATGGCCCGTGCTCATCGCAACCCTGTAAATTTCTAGGGTATGCCCTGGTAACCCGGTAATTTACCCACACATCCCACTTATTTCTCCCCCACTCTTTCTAATTATCAACCTATCTACCATGGAACGCGCTACAGATTATACCTGGAGGGCTTATGAGGATCGTACACTCTCTGAGCTTCTACAGTTTGATTCTACGCCCGATACAGAGGATATAAGCGGTTATGTCGACCCGTTTGGCAGCGGGCAAGAATTTGAAACCGCAATTCCTGACCCAGACGAGGTAAATATATATTCACCATATTTATTTCCGAACTAGTTTATAATTAATTATTAACTAATTTCAAAGGCACCTAATATTCCCACTCCCTTAACCTTTCACCCAACTCACGCTATATCAGCTGCTGTGATTGAGTACGTACCTTTGCTCCCAGAGTATCCCGAAACTCATGATGATGGGTTTGCGTATATCGTGAGTATCGATAAACATAAACCAGAGGAGCTACGACGTATTATGAAATCAGTAAGTTATAAACTAGCTTATAACTAATTATAAACTAGTTACTAATAAATTATTAGACACAATATGCTATGGGTGGCTTTGGGGACACGAAGAACATACACTCTGCATTCCTTGGCTGCCAAACAGAGCGAAAGCGCTTTAAATGTAGCGGTATAAAGAGCTGCGAGTTTCTTGATCCTAGACTCTCATATCTAGCCCATACAAAAGCGGATAAAGATCTATGGACCCTGATTACAAGCATACGCCAAGAGATCGCGGATTCCTCGCTTTCGGAGGGTAATGGAGAGCTACAGCGTAATAGCATTGGGTATGTAAACTAATTCCGAATTAGTTCTAAACTAAACTAACCTCTATTTAGGCTATATAACGCAATCAAGAAGAAGTTTCTTCGGGGTGTCGCGTGTAAATTCTCTCGTCAAGGTTGTGAACCTATATTTCGCCAGCACTATCACGATGTAAGTCCTATAACTACTAGTAAATAATTAGTTACTAACTAGTTATTAGAACGTATCTGGCATGTATAGCTATTATATAAGCTGCGCGAATTCATCACGAGAGAACCGTCAAGATCACTTCTACACTTCTCTAATCCCAAAAGAGAGATCACTTGATATAGAACTTCTACAGAAGCTTCTAGCCTCTACTTATCAGCCTAGACCACTAACTTGCGGAGTGATTGAACCAGCGGCCTCAAGAAGGCCATTATGCGGTACGAATCAGTTCTAAACTAGTTAAGACCTAGTTACTAACTAGATTTAGGCGTCATTCATCCTCAGGGTCAGGGTAAAATCCAGAGCCATGGCGCTTGTAACGTTATATTCCAGACTTTTATCCCGCTACTCCCTGAGAGATACCCATACGCAATATTCTACTCTCGTGGAAGGCATTCTCATCCACCACCGCCGCCTACAAAAGCTCCATGGATAATCGCTAGCGAGGTCCTTGATCTAATTTGCAAAAATCTAGACCCAGACCTTAAGCTAAGTATGTTTATATATTTAAATAGTTTTAAACTACTTGTAAACTAATTACTAACTACTTATAGGCACATTCCTACGCAGCCCTGCGCTTCGTGAATTCTGCAAGCAGTATAAATGCAAAACGCTATCACAGATCCATTCTAGCTTTGCTAAGATTGATAAGGTTTCGGCATTACTTTGGAAACAACGAGCGCTGAACTACCCACTCGGTAAAGGTATAGCTGGCCTACGCCATCATTTAGAGGCCAAACCTGATCTAAAGGTAATCTATCTAGTCAAAAGCTAGTTCTTAACTAGTTACGAACTAATTCTTTCTTTAGGAATATGTTCAAGAGATCTATGAAACTTCAGAAGGGAATTTTGTCTTCTGCGCTTTCGCTAAGCAGGTTCAATTTCTAGCAACGCGCGATGCTATCGAGGTTGATATGTCTTATAAGCGGGTGAAAGGAGATATTAACGAGGTAATATTCGCTACAATGCTCACAGACCATGGTAAAAGTAAGTAAAGACGCTATTAACTACTTAAGAACTAATAACTTACTAGTTCCGGGTTAGTCATAACGCTCTGTCGTGTCTTCACTGACCAAGAGAACTCCGCGGGATATAAATTTATCTTCCGGATGGTTTTCGAACTTATGTCAAGGTCAATAGGGAGACCTATTAGGTTTCACTACCTTCATGGGGAAGGTATCAAGGCAATTGTTGGTGATATGTGCCCAAAGCAGATCTTTAGTAAGTGAACTAATTGGAAACTAGTTACTAATTAGTTACTAATTAGTATAAAGGCTTAGGTGCATTCCTTCAGGACCAAGATACCGAGAACAATCAACGTTCTCCAACCTGGCACCTTATATGGATTATGATCTTTTGTGCTATCCATTTTATGCGAACAGTATCAAAGATCTACCCAAATCGACCAGATAACTCCCACATAGAGCGTCGCGAGCGTCTAAATGGGCTACTTCTATGTCAAACCGAAGATGATTATTATAGGCTACTAGACCTTATTGAAGGTAAATAACTAGTTCTAATCTAGTTAATAATTAAATGCTAACTAGTTTTAGAGCAAGATCCAGACCTTAAATACTGGGTTCGACATAAGAGACACCCAGTAATTGCAGCAGGGCTTTGTAAAGCATGCTCAGGTGTTCGCCCTGAATTCTTCTCAAGATTCCGGCCTTATACGAATGCAGTTGAGCAAAGTCATAATAAGTCCTATACACTAGGAACTTATGATTCATTGTTAGGTGCTGTGACAAAGTAAGAATCAAGTACGAACTAATTTATAACTAGTTACTAACTAGTTGTAGGTCGTTATACCTCGATCAACAGGATCTTGATCAATTAGAGAATCGAGATACTTTCGGTATTCATCACCGCTATCAAGCTGATGATATTGAGGCTCGCTTTGGAAGGAATCTCCAGCGCGAAGCTAGAAAAAGAGAGAAAGCAGAACAGAAAGCCGCTCATTATAGAGACGAACGAATTCAGTTTGATATTGACGATCAAATCCTCCTTGAAGCCTCATCTTCTGGCTTCGTATTTGATATTGAACGTCGGTCAAGGTCAGCTACACCACAGTCAAGATCGAGATCAGCCACACCACAGCGATTAAGCTCTAGAGGGGTTACACGTAGCCAGTCTCGGTATATATTTAACTAGTTTCAAACTAGTTAAGAATCAATTACTAACTACTTCTATAGTGCATCCATAAGTTCTAGTCTTCGTCGTACAGCAGCGATTAACTCGCAAAATCGTGATCATTTAAGCGACCTTCGAGAGCTCGAAATTCAGCAAAAACGCCAGGAGATAGAGGATGCTCGAGAAGAAAGACAAATAAAGCGCCAGCAGTTAGAGCTTGAGACTAAAGAACAAGAACTAAGGGTTGCGAAGATGGAACTAGAAAGGCAGCTTATTGCGGCGCAACTAGAGCAGATAAAGAGAGGGAACTAGTTAAAACCTAGGTAAAACTAGTTCTTAAAGCAAAAATGCAAAATACAAAACACGCAAAACACCATAAAGAACTAGTTAAAACTAGTTTTTTTTTAGTTCTCAAAGCAAAAAGCAAAACTCCAAAACTCCATAAAGAACTAGGTAAAACTAGTTCTCAAAATAAAAATGCAAATTGAAAACCATAGAAAACACCATAAAGAACTAGTTAAAACTAGTTCTTGAAGCTTGATAGCAAAAAAGCAAAACCCACGAGGAAAACTAGTTTCAAACTAGTCCCTACGCCTCATCCTCTGATGGGACGTAATCCTGACCCTGCTGATTGCGAGGGTCAGTGAAAAGACCAAAATGCTCACAAGTGCCCTTGACTTCGTCATGGCAGCAGACTAAACTAGTTAGTAACTGGTTTAAACCTTGTATTTCTGGAGTACTCACGCTTAGGTTGATCAGTGTCTTTGCAAACCTCACAAGGCATAGGAAGCTTCATCGATCGAACGGCTTGACGCATTTTGGTAATATGCACCTAAGAATATTAGTAGAAGAACTAGTTAGCAACTAATATATCGCGATACTTACCGATCGATCATTCTTGAGAGGAAGCTTAGGCAAAATCTCTTCCTTTGCCGCCTCGCGCTCATCGTAGGCCTCCATGATCTCATTGAAAAACTCTGTAAACTAGTTAGTAATTTATTCAGAAATCCAAATTAACTAGTTCTTAATTAGTTGTAGCACTTTCTGATAGCACGGAATTCATCAGCTTGGCAAGGGCGACCACCAAATTCCTCGCCAGTCAGAGACACTTCAGGATGCTGCTTCTGAACGTGCTTGCGGAGGTTGTTGGTGGAGGTAAAGAGAGTCTATAAAGTAGTTAGCAACTAGTTTAGAAAGGAGCAAAGTGAGGAGTAAAGTGAAGTAAAAGTAAAAGACTTACAGCATTTCCACAATCTTCAACTCGACAGTATCTCTCGCCAACCTCGATGGTGCAATAGCCTTTGTTCTGTAATATCAATTAGCTTTGCAGCCCAAAACCAGTTCGGAACTAGTAAACTGACGTCTTCAGTGAGAGAAGGGAGCTTCAGATCTGCCTTCGACAGGTCAAGGTAACGTTGGAAGTTTGGCTGTAAATCTGTCAGTTTGAATGCCCCAAAACCACTTCAGAACTAGTAAACTCACATTTTTCTTGACTTGGGCCATGATGATGATGATGATGATGGAGATAATAGAGATAATGGAGATGATGGAGATGATGAGAACCAGCTGTTTACTAGTTTAGAGGATGGTTTTGGAGATGGTGGAGATGGTAGAGAGGATGGTGAAGAAGAGAAGGATAGTGAAGAAGAGAACTAGATGTTGTCTAGTTTTATAGAAGGATTATAGAAGGAAGATTCCGGATGGGTAATTCCGTAAGGGTAATTCCAAAATTACGAAGGATTTACGTTCTTCCAGAAAAGTGGGGCAAAATAAAAATAAAATCACGTGATGTGTGCGATGACCTTACACCATGTGTGCGATGACCTATATGCACGGTGGGTATTCCCATGGGTGGGACTTGGGACGGACCTTAGTCCCATGGGAGTCCCATGTCAATGTCTAGTAAATACTTCAGTCAATCAACTGTCGCTTATAAGTCAGATTTACCACTCATATTATTATAACTGAACGATAATACGATCCTATCCCGCTCACACTTAACTTGTATTTATTATCCAAGTACGAAGTTAGTTAAGTAGCATAATCAGCAAGCGAGTGCATCAACCCAAAACAACTCCAAATCACCCCCAAAACACTTATAGCAAATCATTATTACCTCATATTTCAACCACCGCAAACTCATTTTATCGGTTGGTATAGAACCGTTGTCAGCATAGTTTACACTAACCGATACCTTGACCAGAAAAGTATTATTTTGCTGTATTACATGAAATACAGCTATTTGGGCAAATCCGGATCCCACTAGTGAAGCACATCGCCAGTATTGAAGGGGATTAGGTCTGCCCATTCTTTAGGCTATACTTCCCTTAACTAGATAAGTATCGACGGATTACTAGATATAACAAGGGGACAGTTCAGGTAGTGAAATTAGACGACTCAAATTATGGATGTTGAGATTAAATTAAACCTTTGCTGTAGGTGTACTAATTGATGTGCCACCGAAATTTAGCAAACCTAGGGGCAAACCCACACGCAGGAATCGCTGAGCAAATATAGAAAATCTACATTAGATTCATGCAGGATCTATTTGCCAGAAGCGAAGCGCGGAATTTAGTGTAGATACGAAAGCCCTGCTGTCATTAAAGATAAAGTGCACCAAATATTTGATGTATCATGTTTCCGACTGCTCAGCATCCAATTGCTATACACCCCCTTACATACATTGGAATGGCAAATCGGCATCAGCAGTGGCCTGCGAACCATTTTGTAAGTTCGTTCTAACTCACACTGTCAGCAGAGGCATCCCTTGCTGGATTTTCAGCTAGGCGTATTATCCGCTTGAACCGCGCCAGGAACCATCATTCACCTATTGATCCTGGATATCCATTCGAGAGTCTAGCATAGAATAGGTGGATCTGTGTCATGATAGTAAAAGGGCTTTGTTTTCCAGGCCAGACAGAAGCCTGCCTGTTGCGGTCCTGTTGCCGAAATTGACGTTACTACACAAGCGGTATGCTGGTTGATGAGGATAGCTCGATTGGAATCCGCGCAAGTGGAAGGAGATCCAGACACGAGACGCCAACCGAGAACGGGAATAGTGGAGCGGCAAAGAGAGGTCGTCACGGCCCTGCGATTATGACACCCAGCATTCCACTTAGCGATGAAGGCCTGATATTCTGGACAGGCGTCGTGGAATGTCCCGGGATATCTAACCAAACCCATGGGACAGTAAACTGAATATATATATGAAGGGGTTACACCTGTGTTTCGGAGCTAATTCCTTTTAGCTAAGCTGCTCCAGTCCCTTGCTAGTGAGACTATATTAATCAAAAGATAGTTTAGTACAGATTCCAAGCGGGCGACGCGCCGCTAACTTGGCCAGCAATGGCTAGTTCAAAAGAACTAGCTGAACATCTCATGAGGAATGGGGTGAAGCACCATTCTCCACTCGACAGTTCCCTCGAGGACACATCGCCAATATCACCAATACCATCGCGCGTCACTATTCTTAGAGAAGGGTACGGTTCCCAATCTAATCCCGGGTTGCACGCCGTACAGGCACTGGGCGTCTCCCATTTTGACGAAGACATTACCTTCGCACAACGTTCCTGTTCCCCAGTCTCACTTGGGAACGATATCCAAAAATCTAGCCTTGTGACTTTCAAGCCTCTTGCGCCTCCGAATTGGGCGAGCTCGACGCTTAACGGGGGTCAATATGCCGATGCCTATACTCCCAGCACCAAGCACAACACGACGGAGGCCGCGGCAAGGGCCATGACCAAAGCAAAATCATGCGAAAATGCTAGAGCAGCGATCGGGACCCGCATCTCTACGAAGTCTACGTCAAACCACGGTGAACACTTGAAACGCAACCGCAACGCCGCCAAGCGATTCCGTGAAAAGTGTAAATCCCAGAACGAACAGCTCAAGTTAAAATTCGAAGAGCAGTCCGCCCTTCACCGAAAGTTGCTCGCAGATACATATCAACTGCGCTCCGTGCTATCGGAACTACGTGACGAGGCCCTGAAGCATTGGCAATGTCGGGACGAGCGGCTCGCACAGCATCTAAGGCACCTGGTGTAAATTACCGAACGGGGAAACCAGAGGCTCCTCTACTACAGTTGATGCCGAAAGTCGCCTTGCCAAGGACATTCCGCCTTGCCCTCGATTGATCTGGGTTCCCAAGGTATCGCGAATGTGTCAAAATGTCCTGCAAGGCGTGGCCCCTGCAAGCCCCAAGGGCTCGAGTTTGACATTGCCATGTCTATTACATTCCCCGAAACGAAAGAAAACAATTCCATATCCTTCGGTGCTTTGGCCCAGTCAACCCTTGTCGAAATACTTTCAAATGGGCCTCGCACTAGTTCGTAATATAAGCCGTGGGAATAGCCACAAACGTTGATATTATCTTCTGGGCGTCGGCGTGGGCGTACGATAGATGGCCGATAAACCCAGTAGAGACGATTCGGTTAACCCTTCCCTACCAATGACTGACTGAGTCCTTTCCTTACTCCGATGATGTCGCCAAGCCCACTAGACGCTAGTGCTCCTTCAACGCGATCTAGCTGTCATTATTCTGGTAGCAAGGGAAACGGTTAGCAAGGGATAACACCCTAGAGGAAGATAGGCTTATAAAAAGTCAACACTGCGGGGCACATTGCGCCTCTTATGTAAATGGCTATGTTCCTGAGCCACCAAAGGCTATTACTCGGCCGAAGTCAATTTAACCGCTCATAGAGAGTTTCGGTGGTATACGTAGGTCTCCGGACCGACAGGGGCAGCGTCAACCGCAATACGCCAACAATTTCATTTTCCACACACCGTCCTCTGGCCCACATGATGGAGTAAGCAATTGCCAAGCACCATCTCATGAAAGGGAATCCTTTATATAAGTTCAAAATTAGACATTTCGTGACCTCCGATTCGGCATCTTTGCATGCATTCAGAACTAGTATATATGAGAACTCTCACTTCAGACACACTGTTCGTCGCTTGCTAAAGTCATATCAAAGTGCCAACTACCAATGCCCTAGGTTTTCGAGCCGTCGAGATGCAACAGTCTGCTAGATTCTGAAATCTAAATTTTTACATGCAACCCGCGGTAGCTATAAAGGGGCTTCCATGTCCACTGTGCTTTTCTAGATATCTCTGTTCTTATAGCGGCTTGTAAGAGCACATTTGCGGCCGTTACGGCCATTTTTCATATAACGAGTTATCGTTGCTGCATAGCAGGCGGAAATTTACCGGCCAGGCCATGATGACCAATTGACTGCTAGTGTTCCTAGGACAACACAAATGCATAATAATAAACATGATCGATTGACATGTGGCTTGTTTACATAACTACACCCTTCCTAATTTTCTCTCTACTTCTTTAGCCTACGGGGGACTAGCTACAGTTAGCACTTCCTAGCACAGTCTTTCTTCATGCGTGTATCTACCAAAAAAGGGATGACAAAAATTGTTTTACCGGTAGCATGGATAACAGAGTTAGGAAACCTACGGACAGCCAAGAGGTGAATTGCCTACGTCAGTTGCACGGACTCCTCTATTGACTGCCTCTATCATTTATGAACGAGAGTACTAAAGAGGCTCTAGCTGGATAATAGTCTCCAAAATCTCCGTGAAACGTAACGAGAAGAGCAATGAACAACCCAGAAAATCGCTCGTTTTACTAACCGGACTATCAAGGCGAGTCTGCCATCTCCTTTCAACCATTCCTGTTTGGTATGCATCTCGCGTAGGAAAACGGGGTTACTATGGAGCCATGGACTCCACAGAATTAATGCACAATGCGTGTTTTCGGTTTAGGATTAACTGCATCAAGCGCGGCTGATTCTAAACAACAAGCCAAAAAACGCTAGCAGTGGTACTCATTAGCACTGGCCTACACTGCTCGAACGGCCAAATCCCTGGACGTTAAAACGAAGCGTACTACTGTAAAAAAATATAGACCATCTACAAGCTAGCAAAGAGGACCAAGGGTATGCGCGAAGTGAAACTCAGTAGCTTACATTGACGGTCACAGATACTTTGGCTAGTACGAGGTCGACCGATCCGGTGGTGGGGATTGCGCAGCCTATTTAGATTAGTTTGAAAATGACTCGGCGACAACGGCGACCGAGATGCCAGGTTACAACGATGACGTTCGTTCAGTGTCTCATAAGTTCATTATATAGAAAAGCCTGTGGAGAATGGTATGTTTGTCTCGGCTTGTCATCTAGAACGGTCAGATAATCGGAATCTCACCGGAAGTTGCGGGATTTATTTTTCCGTGAGCGAACTCGCCGGCCGTGACCGAACCAGATTGATAATAAAGATGTAGTCTCTGTTTGTGCATCACCGGCTTCAAACGTTAAGTTGGAGAAGCCTTCCTCAATATCCATGGAAAGATCCGCGAAAGTACTTTACGAGAACGATAGTGCAAGTATTAACCGGGCATCGAGCTCTAACAGGGATAACAAGAGCGTAGAGGCGGCGAGTCGGCGTCCAACTACGAAATTATTTCGTTGTGATTACCTCACTGAAATCGATTGTTCGATTTGCATTCTATTTGCATTTTAACGGTTGCGTCGTACGGGTCATCCATGTGTATTTCGGAACCATTATCTAGCCGGAAGGCGGACTGTGGAGCAACTCACTGGAGACTTTCTATAATAGGAAGGACTCTCTCTTTCAGGAAGGGTTACTTCTATTTCGGGAAGGGGTATGGTATTTAGACCCACCTTTCCCCCTAACCCTGGGCGTTTCAATATTAGGCCTAGGGCGGTAAGTGCAATACAAGATGCTTACCGTGTTTTGGACCAGCGGTAGCAAAAACCTTGGATCAAGATACAAAGAAAGGGAAGGAAGCAGTTTCCGTTAGCCATTCTTAAATTTCATTCTGATCAATCTATTTCTTGGCGCTTCGCTACACTGGGTTGGCGATATGCAGCCCGAGCAAGTTGATCTCTAATGTACTTTAAGTGGCTGGTTCCCTCGAGTCAGGGCAGCAGCTACCGTTTCGGTGGCACGACACGTCCCTTGCCATTCCGCCCCGAATTAGGGCGCTCGGGCGCCCATATGCCTGACAAATTGACAACGGCGCTCCAAACCTAGTCGAGCCTACTCCACTCGAATAGCTTGGCAACCTACTCGGTTGGGCCTGTCGATCCTTTAAAAAAGCAGGCTGCAATAGCTACTCGGACACGGGCTAATGGTGTCTATAGCAGAACCGTTGTTGGAACATATGCTCACTATTTGATTTCTTCTCGCCTTGTCCGCCCTCACTCCTAATTGCTACGTTTGGAGGAATCCGAAACGACCGGCCTGCGTCTCACCACGCCACATACCTTGTTACTCTGTCTCGCGGAGGAAGCTGAGCCTGTACGTCTATTCCCGCTCTATACTCACAACATGAAAGTTACTGACTCAGCAAAAGTTTACCGGGCCCCTACGCCTTGCGCGATTCTAGCACAAATGTGGACGATTCTCCGCTCTTCTATCTTATCAAATCGGATTTCCGCCGAGACAGAGAGGAACGTGCAAACCCGAGGTTGCAGGAGGATGAGCCTGTAAACCGAATTTCGTCATCGCATCTAAAGAGCAGTTCTAAACTGGGCATTGCAGAAGTGGTCATCAATCAACTTCACCGAATCCGATAACCGTGGCTATTGCAGATGAACGAAGCGCTCGAGATGGGAATCTACTGATATACATGATGGAGTCAGCGCCCCCAGCCGAAAAAGGAGGCTGGCTACCCTTCGAGATTTGGTGCCTTGCATGTTCAGATGTGTCTAATGTTCTGGTATTCGCTTGGAACGTTACCGCGCCCGTCAGGGTTTGAATCTTTTGTCTATTATTATGAAAAGCGGAGAATTATAGCGGACAGAGTATGGTGTCGTCTTGATTTCTTCCCAATTGTAGAAAGCTGCGTTTGGCAGCTTTTTCTCCAGTGTTTTTGTGCAAGCTATACGTATCCGTTCCCGCTCTTCTAAAACAGGGAAATGTCTTCGGTGCTTGTACTGTCGGCTCCTCCTCGGCAAGGCCCGGACGTGGGAGGCGATTTCAGACCTGTAGGTTGTAGTTGCGCGATGGTTTGCACGTTGTCTTTTTCACGAACTAGACAGCTCTCCATAGAGGAATAATAAGCCCCAGGGACGCGAGTAGCGTCGTCAGATCGGGCGCCTTGCAAGGGAGAGGACTCGTAATCGTAAGTCGCAAAAAGGGTCATTGTCGAATCTATTGCGATGCACTGCTGAACCTCTGGGTCAAAGTGTACCTTCTTGCGGTTCGTCGACAGGAACTGGGTACGGGTGGGCCACTCTCTGTAGCGGACAGCGGACGCACATGACAATCTGATCCATGCCTTGTCGCCACTGGTTTTGGAACCGCCTTCTCCAGAGACAAATGAATCGTTCATTGGGCTGTGGGCGGCCACAGTTATGTAGGATACAAAGGACAACGCCCTCTTCAGCGATGGTCTTTTGGTAGGTGGCGGCTGCGAGCTTTCGTAAGACCTCTGTGGTGCCGCATGTGCAGTAGGCGACCGCCCACTTGACTTCCATGGACCATAAAGCCAGGTAATGTCGCTGTCCTTTGCCCTAACGACGGAGTGTTAAAACTGGGTTGATCTCGCGCAATCGATCTTTTCAGGTTTGACTAACCAGTCCACCCTGTCGGATGGTACAATGTTCAGCTGCTGTTGGCACTGTGTCCATGTCCTCCAGAGTGCATTTTCAAGCCTAATGCTGTTCTTCAGGGCACTTTTTTCCCTGAGCACAAACCTCCTGGTCACCCAAATATCCTCTTCTCTCCATACGTGCGAGAGGTAATCAACATTGATCAACGGCTTTTCTTCCAGGGCCTCTTCATCGCAGAACAGTTTCGACGCAGATGCCATAGTAAAGGGGAAAAGCGCCCTGACTAGAGAGGAACGGGAGAGAATGCTAGACGCTTGCAAGATATCAAGAGGCAAACATTGAACACAATATGCATGAGCACCGCCAATCTCACATCGTAGTCTGCTAGCTTGGCTAACGATTGTGAGTCTCTGGATATTCCCGGTCACTGCCAATACCTTTTTATGGTGACTGGTTCTAGCTAAGTTATATAAGAAAAGAAGATACGTAATTATTGTATTATTGTTTTCAGCCCCAGTCTGCTGGATTCGGTCTAGTTTTTTCTGGAAATGATGCAAAAAAATTTCCCAGGAAGTTACTAAATACGAACGCAGACATTCTGGAAAATCATACTGGTACCACAGCGGGTAGGCTGTAGCGCACAGACCGTATATAACAGATTCCCGACCCTTCGCTATGCGCGAAGAGCCCTGGCATTATCGCTAATAGATAACGGTAACGGTAAGTTACCTATGGAAACTAGTAGAGAAAGAAGACTAGTGGTCTCTAGAGCTAGACTACGATCACTGGTGGCAAACCTCGACTTTTCGAAAACAATTATCACCTTATAATAGCCATGCTCACTTTGAAGCCGGTTCTTTCCTCGGTTGCTCCCTAGAACTTAATAGTGATTAGCCACATAGTATCGGCAGGGCAAGCGCATAGAAATCGCACATGAAGTTCCTCGAAGCTACCCTCGAGATTGACGTAAATATCAAAGGATTTCCGGGAAACCTTGCTAGTTCAAATAGCTGTAATCGTTGCTAAAGGCCGCAACGCGCAAACTGCCCCCTGGGAAGGGGTCATCGGAGAACCGAAGAACCTTCCCGTCTTCTGCACTTCACGACGTCATCACCCAAGGGGCTAAACAGTTGTAGACTGCGCCAAAACCCAAAAAAAACCCGCAAAAGTGGGGCTCTTGCGGGTTTTACTCATATTTCACAACCCGCAAACCTGTATAACTACATAAATTCCATAAAAATAGCCTAAATAGGAAGGTTACCTACCTATTCAAGCTATTTTATGAATTTGCGGGTTTTGGCGGGTTGGGTTGGGTTTTGATTCCAGAACCCATTGCGGGTTTTGGCGCAGTCTAAACAGTTGCTAGGATGAAATGTCCTATTATAGTTGCACCTTGTTTTCGTCCCTTTAAAACACTGCCAGAGTTATTCTGCCCGCAACTAGTAGCTATACCACTCAGAAATTGTTCTTAGTGCAGCATTTCTATAATAAGAAAGCGGTAAATTATAGGGCGCCATCTGCGTACTGTAAGAGTGATGATTCTTGATCCACGGAGAAGCTTCCAAGAGCACCGGGCTGCGCAATATCTAGCTTCTTTACCATGAATAATATACTCATGTTAGCAGAATTTGCTGCATTTGCCCCTCTGAGGGCTCAAAATGCAGAAACCCGACAATTTTCCACCAACAAATGGCCCTATCGTCAAACACCTATGCTCCAGTCTGTGACAATGTCGTCGCCAACCTCATTCTTGATAATACGTTGGCTTAAGGGGCAGCTCCCAGAGTGGCGTCATATACTTGAGCATAATTATTCCCACCCCATGTTGTCATCAAATGGATGGAAAAGCTCCAGCAGATTGACTGCACTCTTAGGGCTTGACTGTATGAGGAGCAATTCAATGGGAAGGCAGCGCCATTTCGAACCTTTCATCCGTTGCAGACGAAATCCATGTGATCGTTTGCTGAAGCTGTCCGCAAAACAGGCCAGAGCCTTTATCCTTTCCGGTTGGCGTAGGTCACCCGGAAACACCAGGAGTCTCCACCCTTTTAACTAACATGCATTTCGTGGGTAGAATTGTTAAGCCGCGGGTTACCCTTGGGCGGGTAAGGAAAATTGAATAAGCGTCCCAAACCCGCCTTTGGCAAGGCCTAGGCACTAGAAAATGCACGTGATATGTGTGGAGTGGTGGAGCTGCATTATGCCAATGGAAAACACATTGAAAACCCTACATTATTTCTTGGAGGGGCGTTCACCAACTACTACTTCTAATAATTTCTTCACCCTAGTAGCCAACGCTCATGGCTCCCGGGCACTATCTATCAGTTTATGTTCTGGGCCAGAACGCATGCCTCGGTCGTGCACTTTTGTGCACACCCGAGAGATCGACCGGCAATAACGCCGCCGCCATCTCTACCGGATCGTACAGCACCAGAGACGAGGGCAGTCGAGCATTATCAGGGCCTACTGGCTAGACCCTGGACTGAAATTCCCTCACCACTGCGAAATGCAGTTGCAAAGGCAGGCGTCTCTTCAAGTGTCACGAAGCTTGACGGGCTCGGCGTAAGGGGTTCACTTTCTGCTATGCGCAGTATTTACCACCGTACGTATCCCGCGGATGCTCCTTGGATGGTCGACATGGTATGAGCCTACGCTCATCAGTAACACAAAGTCTCGTGCAAACCGTTCGTGGCCATTCAGAAGTAGGCGGCGTGCCTGATTAGTGGAGCATTCGGAACGACAACAGGAGAGGGAGGCGTTGAAAACTGAATTGCACCTATTACCAGTCGCTGTGCACATGATTCGGATCGCCGTAGAAACGGGTCAAAGTTTCCCGTTCCGTCAACGATGCTGCGACGAAAAGCTGGAGAGTTTTGGTTGCGGTTGGCGGGGGATGCGAGGCAAACACCTTAGCGATACATACCGGAATGGCCTGGTAGACTCAGTTGATTAAGGTGTTGAGGAGGCCCATATTGCTCCGCTTGTCAGGTATGCTGTACAGGCCGGCGTGGCCACGGGTGACTGACTATGGGTGACTGACTATGGATGACTGGGTATGGCCACTTATAAAGGTATACATAAAATAGTGACTGATCACGGCAAGCAACCACTTTATCTTAACACGGTGGCCGCAAGGACGGTCCTGCCCTGCTCCAGAATTGGACCCCCTGGCACCATCATCGCACCAAATACGTATGGAATCGACGGCAATAAATGGTGAGGATGCCCGAAGAGAATTGGTAAAAGCCCACTTCACACCAACAACGGTTCGTAAGTGGCAAATGTCCACTTATAGCTGCAGCAGACCTATAGCCGCTCTCGAAGGCCACCGTATGACCGAAGTGTTTCGTAATTTCCTTTGCAAACTCGACTGGCCTTGAGCGACTAGTTTTGAACTGGATCAAGGTAATAGTCCTTCGGCAGTTCGCATTACACATTACTAACGCCAACATACTACTCAGTCATTCGGAGCAGGGCAACTGTAATACACACGGTATTCTGACTTTTGTCGGGCCATATGTGGATCCAGAAGCCAAGCTTTTGTGGTGCAACCGGATAGTAGACCACGTGCCAACTTGAAACGGCGGTGCTCGGCTCTCGAATTGGTAAGAGAGATTGTGCTACGCAAAGTATCATTGGGCATGTTTTGGGTTCCGTGTGGTATCAACAGATTAAACTTGAAGTATCACAAGAGCTTATCCAAGCACGATCCTGACCCCCTGCGATCCATCAACTCCACACTCCGCCGCCCCGACCCAAAACACCCCCTCCTTGACTGATGTCAGACTATACGTCCCTCCGACGTCAACTCAATCGGCGTTCGTCAACGTACGTGAAACCTTGTGCACAAGTGGTCAACTTTAACCGGAAGAAGTTCATCCGACATGACGTTTTATAGCAGTCGATTTTAAGACTTCCAGGCCTTCTTCTCCACCAACTTCTCCACCAACTTCTTCACCAAATACAGACATGAGTGGCCAACGGCAGTGGCTTCGTCCGTATGCACCTTAATTGCCCGATCGTGCAGTTGGTTATACAGAGCTCGTCCTTTCATACCTCTAAAAGGCGCTGGGCTACATTGTACGGATCGTGTGGTTCGATAAGAAAGCCCGATTCGCTGTCTTTTATCTAGTAGGGAAGTCCACCAACCTTGGTTGCAATAACGGAACAGACACCTTGATCTCAAACCCTTCACAGGCCGAAAGCTGCAGCACAATTTTTGCTTTAGAAAGAACTGCATTTAGGACTTGATTAGAGGGCTTCGCACGAACAACACAAATGTGGTCTCTCAGATGGGGCATATTTTCTTCGATCTGATTGACGACCGCTTCGTAGGTCCTAGTCGCATCAGGGTCGTCAATAGACCTATGACCGTAGATGACTAGCTTCGGAACTTTAATGTTCAGTTGCGCCTCCTGCATACGGTCATGAAACATGCTATACCCACTTAGGACATCAAATAAGCCTTTAGAGGGATCAAACCGTGCAATCTGAGTAATATAGTCCTCGGACGGATGGTTGACCATTGGCATGCCACTTTCCTGGCACCACTGATTGAAGACTCGGCCATAATGCGCGGTGTCCTAGTCCCACATGCCCTTATTCAGGCCATCTAGCATGTCGGTAGATGCCGGCATATAGCCCACCATTTCCTCCGGAACATCGTGGGGCACTGAGTCAGGGATGGGGTGACTAATGAAAATGCCTGCTTGCTGCGCACGTTCCCAGAGCAGAGCCAGTTCCACGACCTAGCCTGGGGTGTGCCATAGGTTGAGGCGAGGCTGGCTCTAACTGATCCAGAAGGGCCGGAGCTACCCTCTGGGGTGTTTGGGCTCTTTCGATTAATGAATCGGACAACTGGCGGTGTGACGCGAGGGAATCCCAGATCCAAGCTTCAGATTGACCCCTAGGACAATTCGGCAAGAACACTCCTGACAGCGCTGTCAGCTACGCGCGCAACGTAGCCATTTAACCTTGTCTCTTTTCTCATGTTCGCTCCCCTGCAAATTTTGGCATGCTGGCTAACCGTTTTCGCTCACAAGCTTGGTGTATACGGAGACTCAGTTGAGCCAATCGAATGCTATGCCTTTCGAAACATAGGAGCCCTGGAAAAGACTGTTCTACAGTGGCACCGAGTGCCCTACACATGTAGTCATCCTTTAAGGTCTACAATACGTACCGCCTCAACCCAGTGCCTCGATGGGAGTACAATAAGTTGGAGATCGCAGAGAAGGGGGACTGGTGTGTGCACCGCATGGAGTGGCTCCTGACAAATTTCCTGTCTTCAGTAAGCCGATTTACAACATCAGGAACCTAGGATCGTGAATCAGAGTCTTTGAATATGTGGAAGACTACCCTGAGCATTGCTCTTCAGGGCATATGTGGTCAGAGCTCCTTCGGGCTTACCACATTAGCACTGACCTGGGGATTCTCAACGGCAAAGCGGTCTGGCCGCCTCACACGCTGGGTGTTCTCTCTGACCGAGGCACTTTCGATAGAAGGGAAGTCAATGTCAGTGTGCCGCAGCAGGATGTGAAAGGACTAGTTGATTTTATAGAGCTACACTTGCCAGACTACGCAGGTATGCTGAATACAGATGATTGGTGAACGGATTATAGAGATCCACCTGCGCTTCACCGACCAATGGCCCAACCTATGCCCGAGCGGATTTCTAAATGCCGTGGTAGGGTTGGATCAAGGGAAACGGTGTCCGTCTGACGAAATGATGATTTATGACACCCGAGGATTTAGCGTTGTCATGTTTGGCGCCCCCCAAAGGAGAGTTGTGGGCAAAGCCCGAGATGCCATTATCGAGGCCATTCGCTGTAGCCACTCCCTGTACAGCGTGCAAATGCCCTTCACTGAGGGTCTACCGGTTCGACACCACTCTCACCCTCCAGGGCTTATCAGTTTGCAACTTTCAATGGCCCCGATCTACTTCGGTGCCTGAAGGCGCGAGAAGTCTTCAAAAAGTTATTATTTATTGCCGTGAAATTTGGTCCAGCATCGCGGTAAGCCACGTCTAAGCTTGCCACTTGTATTTTTCAGCACAGGGCGTTTTAGTAAATAATTAGCCTCATTACGCTACCGCGTCTCTGCACGATTGACTCTCTGTGATACCGAATCTCGCGGTGCATTTTTAGCCAGCAAATTTAGTAATCCACTTTGTACAGTCAGTAGCACTACTGTATCTTTCGCTCAGAACCAGCCTCATGTTACAACTCTAAGTTACACACTTTGTCGGAGACATTATCCGAGGTAGAAATGGCAGGCACTTCGGTCAAGAAACTCAGTGAGCTGGTTATCCGAAAAACAGCGGGGTTGCAATTAACTTACAACGCGTAGAATCACCATATCTATGGGATCTTCCAGTAGTCATGGCCTTCCGCTCAGAAGTCGCATTTCTATATCCACGAAGGTACCAAGAAGTTGCCAGAGTGTTGAGCGGATTTGTCCATTCGTGAAAGCCTCTTTGCATCTTGCAAAGGCACCCTGATTCGTCCAGCATGCCATATGAAGGTGACGCTGGACCTTATAACCGAGCATGCAAGAACCTGGCTGGTAAAGTGCCAATGCAAGTTTTGTTGGTGGAAGATCACTACACTGAGCCGCTTCTACGGATTGTGCCGGCCTGTGTTCTTTGATTCGGTCATTGCACACAGGCTAGGGCCAGGGTTAGTCGAGTCCGTGCTTCACGAAACCAGTAAATCCTAGAGAGAATCGACTGTATTATCATTCTCCACTCGATAATTCGCATTCTGGACCCTTTCTTGACAAAGGAAGCAGCAAATCAATTCTCCTTCATAGACGGCAATGAGGCCCACCTGTTCTGGAGGGCCATAATCAACGATGAGGAGTGAATAAACAAAGCACTGAGCTGTGATGCCGACCAGTGCTCATTAGGGCTCGCCTCTAGAGTTACGAGCCCGAGCCAGGAAAAGGAAGCGAAAACACTTTACATAGTACTACTGGCAAACAACTGGTCTAGCAAAACCATGTATGGGTCTAGTGGGCCTGACAGCTCCATACATCAATGGATTCTGTTCTTGCGTCGAAGTTCGAGAAGTGGTCATTTTTATGGCGAAAATAATTACGAAGTGATATTGTCAGAGCTCAGCTGGCGTAATGCAGCTAAGGAGAGGATCACTATTCCAAGAACCAAATTCATCATATAAAGCCATATACCAAGCGCAATATTGCCACAGGAAAATCAGGGTACCATCCCCACATTGGCCGGCCTCATTCCGCACTCGGATGGGGAATTTCCGAAGTATCGGGCCACTTACGGAAGAGGTCCGCGAGATGATCGATGGGTGCCGTCAAGAGTTCCACAGCTGTCTTACAAGGATGCCCATGTGTCCCGCTAGGATGAGAACGCGAAGGGACGAACATTTTGGTTCGGCCAAAGCACTTAGCATAACTCTGGCTATCTTTTCGAGACAAGGATTTTTCTAACTTAGGCAACCCGTCAGTCTCCTCCTCTTTAATATGCTCGGATAGGTCCTCCATCAATTTCTTGATAGTAGGGATGAACAACGTATCCGAAGGTGTCATATCCTGGAAAGTCTTCAATTGCTCTTTAACCTATGTGTCATGAAGTCAGCGAATGTATATTATTCCACGCATATAGAGTTTAAGACTTACTTTTAAATGCTGCTTACGGTCCTTGTTAGCCATATCGGCCCCACCAGCGAGATGCTTTTCGAATACTGGATAAACCAGAAGCTCCTCCCCAATGGAGTGTCGGGCAAGTTCCCAGGTAAAAAGATTCTGGAAGCGCACCTGCTCCTCCTTATCCGAAGAGTGGATGATTTTGTCATAATAAAACTCGATCTCCCTATGATCCTCTTTGATCGCGTCGCTGAAGCAAGGTGCCATAGCGATAGGCAAGGTTACTATTCCGTAGGTCCGAGCTATCGGTGACAATGGTAGCTCGTGTGCCTCTAGTGGTGAAGGAAAAGCAGTGGGTAATCAAAACTGTTTGAATGTCCCCACTTATGCCATAATGGATTCGCTAGCACTGAATCAAATCAAGTGCGCACCCGCAACTATGCTGACGTATGGGTCAAGTCGAGGATGTTAGAGTAAAGATTTTATTATCATTGGGATGCTGAAATTGAGTACCTTCTTTTTTACGCAGATGTGACGTTTTACCAAGCATGGGTGGCCTAGCAGCAAGATGGTGATGGTCAGCGTCATGATGACGAGCTAGACCCGGGCAGGATTTTCCTGTCTTCCGACACACTTCAGATACAGCAGTTCCGCGCAGGCCATGCTGGCAGGATTTAGGCCATTGATGAGCTGGTCAACCCCGCTTTAGGTCGTCTCTTGGTCGGATTCGGCAAGGAAATACCCAAGGCCGCGTCAGAGCTTATCAGACCGACACCTACCTACTATTAATACCTCTGGCTTCTGTACAAGTATTCGAGCTTGATAAGATGCTTGCTATTACGACCAAATACGCCCAGAAGCAGGACGAACTAACTCTATATCTACAGGCAAGTAAGCTTTTAGCCTAATACCCCTTTGTTGTCGCCTCCTTTGTTCTAGTCGTTATCGTATAGTTAGGTTCGGTCTCACTCGGGCCCCGGCAGTTCTGAAAAGATCATAAACATTTTCCACCTCCGCCCGAACGGCTAGGTATATATTTTCTGTCCCTGCTACAGGTGCTGGTGTAGAGCGGCCACAACGGACTGCCAGTGATCCGGCTCTGCCACCACTGGTATAAACTGGGAACAGCAAAACCCCGATTTTCGCATCCTGGAAACTTCAATGGACCTAGCTGCCAACAGATCACAAGCGACCGATATACTCGACCACCGCGACACCGCTGATCCGTTACACCATTCATGGGAGATCTACCCTCGTCAATCACTGGGCGATCTTCATTATTTCACGGCTGCCCTCCCAACACTCTTTCCGACAGGCGTGGGAGGCCATCTGGAGGAACGGACAACAGCCGTACCGGTTTCCGCTTTCGCGGAGTAGCCTTTGACTCACCACAGCAGCAGAAACGTCATGTCAGCAACACATTCGTTTTAGATACTGATTCTAAATTCGCTCATCACAAAACCTTCATGTATCTTCTATATGATGTGATCCAACACCGAGGAGCTTCGCTGGGGAATAGCCTTCTCGTAAAACGTCGTCTTTGGAGATCGGTGTCACGCAATATCGAGTGCCTGACGATGGTCCAAGTGCAAAATGCAACAGAGACGTTTGCGGCGGGCCGGAACATCGAGGGCCCAACCATCAAGCGGCTACTACGGCACACCGCCATAATTGGTATGCGAGTTCCAGATATCGTTCTCCCAGAAAATGCTGCTGCGCGCTCAGGCCAGAGCATTAACCGTACGGGAAGGTATGCTCGCCATTTAGCTTACTCTCAACCCCTCAGACTTACAAAATCCTTTCGTTTTGGTACTCACCGGCATAGAATATGACTCCGAGCGTTCCAGGCTGCCGCGGCGGCCGTTCACCAAGTCGTAGACACTTCCAACCCGGTGGCTGTTGCGCGATTCTTCCATCATACATGCAAAGCCATTCTGGATGGCCTTCGCCGCTCCAAATTGGGCGAAATTGGCATATTTGGTGATGTGTCAAATTACTTTTGGCGTGGTGGAAACCAACGGCCGAGGAACGTTGCATCTGCGCACATTAGTATGGGTACTAGGCAAGCTGCGATTCACAACTCTGCGAGAGCAGGTACTCAGCGACAGTGACTTTGCGGCTCACATGGCCCGCTACCTAGAATCTATAATCGTGTAAAGTATAGAGAAAAGCAAACCGATCATCATGAGGGGGCTCGCCAAAAACACCCTCTTCTGCCAGTGGTACGCAGACTGACCGGCAATTTCTTCAGTCATTGGCCGATGACGCCAACTTCGTGGCTCACAAGAAACAAATCCACTCGAGGAAGCAATCCACAGCATGCTTCAAATATCGACCGAGGGGTACCGGTAAAAGCGTTTGCCGGTTCGGTATTCCTGGTGGCTTGGTTTCCAAGTCCGAAGTAGATGACCTGGGCATGATCCATCTATGTCGGAATCATGCTTGGGTTATCCCGAGGAGCCCTTTCATTGCTAGCTGTATCTCCAGCTTTACCCTTATTATATGGTCAATTATAATTTCACGCGAATCAACTGTGGTGATTAAAGAGACACGTGCGCGCTGTCGTTCAAGCTAACGGAAACGATGGTTCATCGGATCCAATGGCAGAACAACCATGCACGTACGATCATGCACGTACGATAATGACATGGCTCCTGCTAGAATATTCGATAACTATAAATGGCGCGGCGCACACTGGGCTTACCTGACACTTTTTGAATACGTACGCACGAAGAGCCTGAGAGACTCCATCGCGACTGACTTTGACTTGTGCCATTCATCCAAGATATGGCACATACGAACCACGCATTGCTCGCACGTCATCTCAGGTAGCAACCATCACATTCGTGGGATAGCTGCCTGTGTTTCAAGCGGCCGAGGATAGTATTCCGAGCGGAAACCGAACGACAACTACAATTGTAAATGATGTCGCCGAGGTATTGCTCGGTCTGTTTGTTCCCTGGCAGCAGTTAGCACCACACTCCCAACACAATGCTGCTGCGGCCGCTACAAAACGGGATGCCCGCGCTCAAGTCTTGGTGGCCCTAGAGCCGACGCTCGCGGCCACATAATCAAGCTTTAGCGAGAAATGTTGACCTACTACGGAAATCCAAGGAGGATTGTCGGGCTGATGCTGAATTAGGGATGGCAGGTCGTGTATCTGGCTCTTTCGATCCGATATTGATGACCTGAACTTATCTGACTTGAGCAGGGACAATGATGGACCCTTCCAACCCATAGACGAGACTTTCCACGCAAATGGAGTTGGTAAGAGCCAGGTCGTCAAAGCCATTGCGTCCGGCATGAACCTAATTTTACGCAAGCAAGAAGCCATCCTCATGGCCCCGACGGGCACCGCTGCTGATAATATTGGTGAGAACACGTACCACACGTCACTCACTTGGTATCTCCATCAACCGATCGCTACGGACGGCAATGAGTGCTCGTGTCCGAAACCTCCGGACCCGAAAGACCGTTATGATTGTGGACGAGGTAAGTATGTTGCAATTTGGCATGCTCAGCGTGATAGATAGCCATTGTAAAAACGCCCGATCTCTACATAGGGACTGCACCGACTTCTTTCGCGGCCTACGGGTCGTGATCCTGGTGAGCGATTTCTTCCAGTTTCCGCCTGTCCGAGGGCCTCCGTTATGGAACAAGAGATGGAAAAGACGAGGAACAGAATGGCCAGCTGATCTAGCATCAATTTAGACAGGCAATCCTCCTGGATGAATAGACGAGGCAGGCAGAAGACCCGTCCTTCCGCGTTCTTCTCGGCCGCGCACGATCCGCCACTCTGTCCGTAAACGATCTGAAATTGCTCAATTCCAAACCAATCACATCACGCATGGCTCCTGACTTGAAGCATGCAATAACCGTAGTTAAATTGAATGCTCTTCGACAGCAAGTGAGTCGCGCTCGAGCTCAGATGGAGCATTCTGCAAAGTCCCGAGGCCAAAAAAATCTTCGCCTTCGCGGGGCTCCATACACGCACCAGGCCAACCGGGCTAACGGGTTTGCGGCTGCATGCCGATGACTTGCTGGGACTTCCCGAGAAAGCCACCAAAATTCCGTTTCCAGCCCTTTCCCTGTACTCACCAATCATGCTTGTGGCACTGCTAACCAATATATGCACTCATCCGGGACCGGTCAATAGAGCAACAGGGAGCGCCGCAGGAGTCGTCGTAGACCCGACTGGCAAGTAAATCTCAACCTAGCAGCCATGGCTGCGGTAGCTGTACTATACTGGTTCCCAACCACACAGCTGAGTTCTATAAAATTGATGATCTTTACATCTTGTGCATGAGGCCGCCCGCGTGTGTGCTATTCAGACCGTGCATAAACCGAAGGCTGCCACATTCACAGGCCCGGACCCCGCCGACATGTCCGTGACCCCTTTTGAGAGATCCCTCGCTGTGAAGGGTCATTCGGTCCGCCGGAGACACGTGCCACTTTGCCCCGCTTCCTGCTTGACCGACTGACTACAAGGTGCAGGGCTCGACACTTACGTCTGCGTTTCTCGACCTGAAACCCTACCCAAAGGGCGAGGTCAAGATCACCATAAGGAATACTGCTCGACATATGTACGACTGTCACGACTTCGATCGCTGAGGGGACTTCACCTTCTGCAAAAGATTGAGATGAAAGATTTGGACTTTCGGCCCTATCCTCAATTGATAGACGAGATGCGCCGATTGCAGGGCCCTGAAAAGGACACCATAGATAGTTTTTGGAATCCAAGCAGGACAATCTGAATCGACCATCAACTTTCTCGCCCCGGTTTTCGTTTCAGGGCCACAGCGTGCGACAGCGCGCGTCATCCGGTTAAGATGGGCTTCACCCCTTGGTGAATGTCCGCCGTAATGGGTTTGGCACACTTGAACAAGCAGTCGGGACGCGGGAGGTCGCCCGACCACCACATCCCAGACCTGCCTAGCTTTGGGGTAGTAGGTCATGAGATGTTGCCAGGTCGCAAAGTTATCGCTTCCTGTCAGAGGCTCAATGGCCATGACGGCTCGGTCGGGCGAGCCATGGACCAGAGCAGACATGGCGATGATTGCAAAACGGGTAGATATATAATAAAGATGGTTAAGATGATCCTTAGATGAGTAGAGATGGCACCCGAGAGATTGCTCCCGGGCTCATAACCTGTTGTAGTTTATAGGAAGGTTAATCATTATATTTTAGAGAGAACAAGTGAGGCTATATATACTACGAGAAGATCAAGTTGATTTCCAATCAACTCGGTTCTTTGTACAGCCAACTTCCGCTTTCTGCACACCCTACCACCCCACCAGATTGGGTTGCACACACCGGATGTGTGCATATTACGATCGGATGACATAATCTAATCAGGACGATTTATATACATTATTTCCTCTTTGGGAGGAAGCCCATCTCATCCAACGTTTTCTGTTTCCTCCTATCCACCTGTAACCTTGTAAACTCACCAATTAGGCTCTCCATATATCGAATATTCTCTTCCGTAGCACCCTCTTTATGCTGAACCCATTCCATAACCTCATGCATATGACTAATAGCCTTTGCATTAGATAACAGCTCAGTTGGTGGCCCATATATGTAATCTTCATCCTGGTCATCATTGGCACTAGTAGGACCGTCGTCAGATAGATCAGCGATTATATCGGACAAATCAGGGTCGCTGACGTCGATGTTCTCATCTGACGGGTCCAATGGCCGGTAAACCGAGGTCGCGTTTGCAGGGAAAAAGACTACCTTGATGTTGGACGGCGGCGGCGCTTCATCAACAGCGAGGAGGTGGGCGGAAAAATTATCAAGCAATAGCAGGACTCGTCTTTGCTTGTCAATATGCCTATAAAACGAGCGTAGCCATTCTCCCATAATTCCATGGCGCATCCATGCCTTGTTATTCCAGCGCTAGATACATCCGATCGAACGTAGATTTACACCACGTAGGGCGCGAGGCGTCTTTGCAGTCCCAATTAACTAGAGATGCATCCAGTCTGAACCAGTGGCATTAGTTGCCACAGCAATAGTAATCCTAGTTTTATCTCTTTTCTGACTAGCATGACCATCCGTCGATAGACCGCCGTTTGGCATTAGACGCCAGGAAAGCCCTGTTTCGTCTATATTATAGATATCATTGGGCTAATATTGGTCGCAGATCGCCTTGAGAGGTTTCATCTCGCCGTGTATTGAGGCTGGGACCGATGCAGCTTCGCCGTGAAAGGTATAATATCGGATCGAATGGCGTTTTTTAAACCGGGCGAGCCAACCATCAGAGAAAAGGGGGACTAAAATCTCAGCATATGCGGGTATTTTCTTCCAGTATTCGACAGCTTTCATCCGAATGAGTGGCCCTGATATCGGAAACCTAGCATTTATATGTCGTCGCTGCCATTCAAAGAGGGCCCGGTCCAATATAGGCCACTGCGCAGTCGATTTCCGGGTTTTAATCCCTGCTTCACCAGTATCAAGATAGTTGTATTGAGATGAAAGGATTTTCGACATAGTAGTCCGGTCGATAGGGTGACCGAATTGGGACTGAAACCACTCGGCTATATTCCCTATGAGGGTTGAAGGTCGGGCATCGGACCAAAAGTATGCGTAGAGCTTTCTTCTGCGCGTCCGAAATACTCTTGTTTGGCCTCTTTTTGTAGGGTATCTTGGCCGAGAGGGTCACAGACGACGGGGTGGAAGGGATGAAATTCTGCATTATGATTAATCGGATTTCTATGACAAAGGTAGACAGGTGCAAAACATTTCCTGCACACTCAGGGTGTGCAGGAAATGGGCAGATTATATGGAGAAATCCATAAAAGTGAGTCCACCCACCAAATTATGGTGAAGAATGCGGATTTGTGACCGCGCCGGGCGTGGAGAATGTGGAAGTTGACTGTAGATGTTTTCGAAGGGTAAGAGCAAGACCAGCAAAGACTTTCTTTTCAAGATATCAATCACAACGAAAGTCCAGCCTGAGTTTACGATAATATCGAAGCGAGTTACCAGACCGCTACCATGCCTTTGAACGACGGTCTCCAAATCTCAACATTTTGACTCGCTTTATGCAATGGTTAAGTGCCGTCATCGTGATGGGAATCACTTCGTATTTCGTACACAACTGGCCGAAAGGGGAGCATACAATTTACCAAGAAGTTATTGTATGTCAATTAGATATCCCCAAATCTTTATTCAAACGACCCGCGACACTAACCTGGTTCCAGTCAACGGTGTCTGTTGCCTTTTTCTTGCCGGCATTTGTATCTCCTTTTATGCCCAACCTCTTCACTAGATTTGTTACTCCGATTGATATAATTTTCTCATATTTGTGAGTCCACGACCTATAGCTTATTCCTTGCTCCTAACAGAAACTGAACTGGTATAATTTAGGTGGTTGACGGCCTCCATTTTCGCCGCTTAAGATTATAACTGGAAGGACTGCGCGGTCAAAGCTCCGGCTGGGGCCAGCTGCGCTCTCAAGAAGGCCAATGAGTCCTGTATGTTTCTCGCCTTGTGCATTAGCGTTCCTTCTGGTTGATCCACCCTGGTAATCTCGAGATGCTAACGTTCCTTAGTTTCTTTACTTTCCTTGCAATATTCATCGAGCTACTGAACTTTGGGTCTTATCGCAAGGAGAATAATACTATGGAAGAAAGGAAGTATGACGATCATCACGCACGCGACGGGTCTAGTGATACCGCCGCCTAAGGCAGAGGCGTCTGGGATTGCGACCTAGTACGACTTCCTGGTCCACTTTTGACTTCTGAACCAACACCGGATGCGACGCGTCCCATCCGATCGAACATCACCCAATCCGGCCATTTATCTTACTTTGGGGGCTGGGCGCATAGTGTAAGGGAGGGAGCGATAAACTTCAAAATTTCTGCGTTAATTTAATGAGCTGTGAGCCAAGGAGGTAATGAAGTGTCCGGCTTTACTTTCGCTTTGATCAGATTAATATGAGATGTGAAGTGCTGGATTCTAGTGCCTATATTCAAGCTATTGTTTTTGTTATAATTCAGAGGAACAATGATTATTATTTTATAGGGAAGCATGAGGCTATATATACAACTCAAGCAAGTTGATTGTAATCAACTTGGTTGTCCCTGTAGACATAGAGCTAATTCCGATGCTGTGGGTTGCTTCATGATCTGCACCAGTCTCATATCACAACAGTAACCCGAGACCGTTAACCGCCGGGCTGGCATGGAGCTCCTCTAGTCTGGCTAACCTCTCCTGTAAATGAGTATTAGGTCAGCTATGACATCGGAGTAGTCGAATCCAAACTTTGCCAGATTTTTCAAGTGGCCATGACGTTTGCCTTCTCTTAGTTCACTCTGATTTTCAACACAAAGAATACGGATCAATTATGTGAACCTTGGGAGACGATAACTCAAGACAAAACTCGTCTTAAAGGAGAGAATTGTCTCGCGACACATTTTGAAGTGAGCGCCAAGCGAGCAACGCGCAGCCAATTGCCCAGACGTCAACGGTTGCCCTAAAATCTTTGCTGGCAATACTGGTCAAGCAGCCGTACCCTATGCAGGATACGGCGAGCATCACTACTGCTTTTGAGATGGCCATGCTAATAAGGAGCAGGCGTCTCGCAGCATAAACCACCTGTCGGATATCAGTGCGGGAAGTTTGGGATAAACAAAAGAAGACAGTGGTATACGTACCGCCGGGACATGAACAGAGTTTTCGACTTCAGACAGGGGCCAGAGTGCATGGGACTCTTTTCTTGTCTGACGTATCTTGGAGAGAAACGAGCCCTACAGAGGAAATTAGGCACGCTTGGTGGGATTATTCTGGGATAAAAGCTACTGACGTCGTAAATATGCCGTAGTCGGGTTTTTGAGATGGTCCCGTTTTGCCTGAAAAGCGCAACGATGTGCCATTCCGCCACAGTAACAACCCACTATCTTACATCAGCGAGAGATCCAGAGAAGCATACCCTAGGGAATTCCCATACAGCAGCTAAGTGTGTAGGTCGTCTCCGTCGTTTTACAAAATCCTGTATCTCACCAGTGTCAAAGGAATCCTGTTGCCTTTCGCTACTGCTGGCGAAGACCTCTTCAAAGGAAGCCGGGCAGAACCGGCCACGTTCGTCGTAAAAGCATCTTCCACCAAGGGCCGAAAGCTATCCCAAACGTCAGGAATACTCGAGCTGGAAGTAACGCGATGTGTAGAACGTACTATGTACTTTGGCGTTTCTGTAACGTATACCCCAAGGTAGGGGTCCAGGCTGTAGGTTACAGCTAGGCTAGTGGGCACGGTCAAGGAGGCATGGATCGCAAAGGTAATTATAGCTGAGGAAATCATGGAGAAACCCAGATCGTGAAGCCCGATCCAAGTGTCTGCGAGGCTGATCCTTCCATCGCCATCCCTATCCCAGAAATTTATGTGCCGCTGGATAGAGCTCTATTAGCGGGTTAGTGGTACATTCAGCTATAGCAACTCCTATCAGCCCAAGGCTCGAGGGTAGGCTACCTGTTTCGAAAGGTGTGGCAATAATCCGGTGCATTTTACCTCGCTATCACCATCAGAGGAATCGCTTTCAAGGGTGGCGGCTGGCAAGCGCTCCCCGGTAACCGGAGCATTGTCTACGGACAACTGGAATCCCAAGCCCTTGAGAGCGGCCATGCTTCTCAGAAGCTGGAGTATTGATGGTGCGAGGACCAGAGATGTACATGGAAGTTCACGTTCTGGTAAGGAAGTTCATGTTATGAGTGGGTATGATGTACGTATGACGTGTAATGGCTGGAATCCGTCCTGCGCCGTCGTCATAGGAGAACTTCCTCATTTCCTTCGGGCAGCAGTCGTCCGCTGTAGCCATACAGCCTGCAAGTCTTGTCATTGTACGGCGGGCTATTTCCTGTCTTCGCTCGTTTACCTTAGGAGCATGAGACTCCGCAGTGTATACACTCCAACCCCAGCGAACCGGTATTTGGAGTAGCGCATAACCGATTGATTTGCCGACAGCCACGACGATCCAAATGCCGGCTTCGAGCGTAGGCACTGTATGTTCCATCATTATATTTTTCTATTCTCGCTCTCACGAACCCTATCAACAGCGTCGCTGCGATCGATATACACTCACAAGTAATATGTCTGCTAACACCCGAGGTTCCCCACCATTTATAAAATTAACCCCATTACATCCAAAGGGTCATCAGCTATAGCGCAAAATCATCACCCGTTCCGTTATACCAAATCCGGGAAGCCAAAACTTGATCCGGCTTTCCTACTCTCCGCCGCCGGACCTTACACAAGTTACGACCCATCACCGGTCCGGTCGGCTGGGCAGAATGCATCCGGGGCCATGTAAACACCAAAAGTAAAAAGGGAGAGAAAAGAAATTGGCAGCAAGCAAACACATCGCGATATTGGAATTCGCTGGGTTTTCTCGGAATGAGGGAAATGGAAGACGGATACTCGGAGACAGGCATCAATGGCGTGAGATTCTCCAAAATTCTAAGCGAAGGCCACTCTTAGCCTACGCACAGAATGGCCCATTCAGTCCCATCCCATCCGACTGACTCACAATGCTGTTTGGGGGTTGTACTGGAAATTAGCATGGTATCCCACCATTAGGCGCTGTGCCTCTAGCAGCTGTTGGCTCTGTAAAGGCAGCTTTGTTTGGGCTGGAGATATTTTGCGCGCGAATTGGCGTTGTAGTGCTGCCTCTCCTTCGGAGGCATATTTGCTTGTACGGCGTCAAATGTACAATGCACCTGAAGATCCAAAATACGCAAATAAGAGCTCTCACACACACTTTGACAATCATAATGTTGGCTATCCTCCGGCGACTGCAGAACCATCAGTTTAAAAACCAGACAAAACTCACCTATATGCTGGACAATTTCTATGAACCGTTGCATCATGTTTTATTCCTGTTTGGCCCCATGATATCAATAATTTGCTGTTCCTACCCTAGACCCCGCTTTTGTATCGAAAGCTTAATCGCAAATTATACTCTCCTAGAACCTCGCACGATAGTCATATAGCCTCTACTCGCAGGCTGCCAAGTTTGAGCAGGTGAGATGCCATAATAAATGCTGGTCCGCTAGAAGACGATTATGTCATCTGTGCTTCCTTATTGTGCTATGTGCTGTTACGGACATAGTGCGTTCTCTCAGGCGCTACTGTAAAAATAATCTGAATCTCTCGTGGTTGCGTGGTACTGCCGTCCAACAATACGGAAGCCTATCTTCACATCATCGCTTTCCCCTGACTCGATGGTTCAGGAATGAAAAGTAATTTTCCAGCCCTACCGTGACCTCCATACGCCCTATCCATGCGATATGTTGATCCGGCCGACACAGTACAAGACATCCTGGGCCCTATTTATCAATGCCATATCCGGTGTAAGCTTGGTTCTTGTCATCAGCGAATACCTTCCATAATCCCCTGTTGTCGAGGGTCGGTCAGGAAGTACCCAGTCCATCCCTTTTTTTCAATGTCCGGGCTCGATGTAGCATACAAAGCGCTAAAGGAGCCTTGTTCAACATCACAACCCACGGCAAGCATAGCTAATGCGATAAGCTTTCCAGTCAATCCCAGTTAGGCATCCTCATATTGCTGCTACGTGGCGGTATTAACCTATAGTCGGTGTTAGGTATAGTGCAGGCTGCTCGTCTCCGTGCCATATCAGACTTACCGCACCCGGACGCACTGAGAGTGCATAAATACTGTCCTTGTTTGGTTTGGTAATGTGTTCTACGAGTCCGTTGGCTGCCAGGATAATCACGAGCTTGGACATACCGTAAAGTTCAATGAGTCTCGATTTGCCGTCACTGACATCATCGAGGGAAGCAAAGTGAACGGCTCTCGGTGCGCCCGATGCTGCCCCGATGATTCGAATACAATTTGAGGGGCATAAGTATCGGGGTACTTAGAAGATTCGTGTAATAGTCGGTAAAGCAGGTCGCAGACGTAGAATTGGCCAAGCTAGTTAATCCAAAATAGTGGTCAATTCTGTTATTCGTCTCGCCGTGCTAGTTCGCATTAGTACCAATAGATAGCGGCAGCTACGTCTATAGGTTAACCGGCCACAATAAATCTTGGGAGGTGTCTCGGAAGCCTTAATGTGAGGTTTCACTTCGGCTTGGATCTATAACAGTGACATTCACGTCGGTCGAGATGGTGACCAACGTCCTTTTTGTCAAGGCCAATATCGTTAGCGAGTTCTCAGATAGTTACCCAGCCACAATACCTATAGGTATATAAATGGACACGTGGATGTGTTAAGCTCGCTGGTTTAGCGCACCGTAAATGAATGATTTTTGCCTTCTATGGACGCATTTTGACCCTTTTTCCTCGACGTGGCAGTGTCGCAATCGCCCCAATCTTGAGCTAACTAGCCCATATCTGCTTCGAACGAAACACAATACTGATATACGAGCGCCTAGCATTTTATCC